GTCATGGCCCTGTGGGCAAACTCTACGCTACGACCGCCAGAGCGAGGCGCCGACTTGGCCAGCACAGAGCCACGGGCCAATTTTCTCTCCTCCACATCGTCAACATCGCTTGCTTTCTCTCTCGCTCTTTGTTGCGTATTGTTGGGATCTGCTTGCTGCATTCTGCCTCTGCTTTCCCGCTTACCTTTCCGACCGTTTGACGCTTTTTAACGAATCCTGCGAACAGGCCCCCGGCCGTATACTTCAAAATGAGCGACCAGCAACCCCAGGGCGAGGCCGAGAAAAACGTGAGTTGTCGACCCCTCCTCCAGCGCGCGTAGTAGCAGACACGGGAAAAAAATCTCTGCCCCGCGTCCGCCGCAGAGCGCGCAGAGCATCATATCGCTTGTGAGCGCCAGCGTGCTAATACCATCATTAGATCGAGATCTGGAAGATCAAGAAGTTGATCAAGCGCCTCGAAGCTGCCAGAGGCAATGGCACATCCATGATTTCCCTCATTATCCGTTAGTACACCATCATCCACCCCGCACCCCGCTATGGGCACTCACCACGCGACTCGAATCACCTCGCGTACTAATGCACCGCTGCAGCCCCCAAGGAACAGGTCTCCCGTATTGCCAAGATGTTGGCTGAAGAATACGTAAGTTTGGCAAAATGCAGTTTGTCTGCTCGTTGAGGTGCACGTCACTAATTTGATATCTCTCCACAGGGTACCGCCTCCAACATCAAGTCCCGAGTCAACAGACAGTCCGTCTTGTCTGCCATTACTTCGACCCAAACACGTCTTAAGCTGTACAACAAGGTTCCTCCCAACGGCCTGGTTGTCTACTGTGGTGAAATTCTCACCCAGGAAGGCAAGGAGCGAAAGGTCAACATTGATTTCGAGCCCTTCAAGCCCATCAACACCTCGCTATACCTCTGCGACAACAAGTTCCACACCGAAGCCCTCGCTGAACTGCTCGAGTCTGATCAAAAGTTTGGTTTCATTGTCATGGACGGTAACGCCACCCTTTTCGGAACCCTCTCTGGTAACGCCCGTGAAATCCTGCACAAGTTCTCCGTCGATTTGCCCAAGAAGCACGGACGTGGTGGTCAGTCTGCCCTGCGTTTCTCCCGTCTTCGTGAGGAAAAGCGTCACAACTACGTTCGCAAGGTTGCCGAATTGGCTGTGCAGAACTTCATTACCAACGACAAGGTCAACGTTGCTGGCCTGATTCTCGCTGGTTCCGCCGATTTCAAGAACGATCTCAACGGATCCGACATGTTCGACGGTAGACTTCAGACCAAGGTTATCAAGGTCGTCGATGTTTCTTATGGTGGTGAGAACGGTTTCAACCAGGCCATTGAATTGTCAGCAGAGACCCTCGGCAATGTCAAGTTTATCCAGGAGAAGAAGCTCATTGGCAAGTACTTTGAGGAAATCAGCCAGGATACTGGCAAGGTCTGCTACGGTATCGATGACACACTGAAGGCTCTTGAGCTCGGTGCTGTTGAGACCCTGATCGTTTTCGAGAACCTCGAAGTCACCCGTTTCACTCTTCGTGATAGCGAGAACACTGAGACCATTCTGACCTACACCAAGGCCCAGGAGGCTGTCAACCGCGACAAGTTCCTTGACAAAGCAACCGGCCAGGAGATGGAAATTGTTCTTCAAGAATCCTTCTTGGAATGGATTGCTGAGCACTACAAGGACTTTGGTACTGCTCTAGAATTCGTCTCTGACCGTTCCACCGAAGGCAACCAGTTCGTCAAGGGCTTTGGTGGTATTGGCGGTATCCTCCGATACAAGGTCAACTTTGAGCAGCTTGCTGACGACAGTGATGATGATGACTACTACGACGATTGACCAATCGACTCCCTCGATTCCTCCGAGGGTTTGTCTCAAATTCAAGCGTCCGCGTCCACGGTCGACAGCACAACCATGCTTCTCGAGGCACCACGCTCCAGCAGCGCCGCCCCAATGCCAGCCATCCAACGATTCTTGGCGCCGGGGCAAAGCTATAGAGCGTTCCATCAAAACCATCAGGCGTCTCGACCAAGCCCATTGCGCGCAATGATGTCGACGTCTTGAATTTGATGATGGACGGGTTTAGTGTGGCAAGCCACCCAGCCAACCCGATTACCTCACGGGACACAGAATAATAAAAGGAGTATGGAAGCAGTGGCAGGAGACAGATTGGCCTCACGATACTTTTAGCATATGACATTAAACCCCGCTGCCGTATTTTTAAGCGCAGCTAATACATGGAGATGAATGAAAGAACATGCTCAAACTGAGATTCAATACCGCTAAGCCCAGTGTAACCCAGACACCAGACAGTGCATAGCCTTGTGCTGACTGTAACGCTGCTGCATACTGTTCCCTCCAAAGGACAGCCTTGTCTTGAAACATATTGCTTTCTAAAACAATGTCCACGGGCCATGCTGTAAACGTCAGTTTGCGTGACACACACTAAATGTAGACAGCGCTGTAGATTGGTGCTCTACAGGCTGCATTGTAGTAGATTCCAGTGGGGCTGGCGCTAGAACGGTCCGTGAGCGCCGCGCTTTGGGCGTCTTCAGGAGAAGCATGCTGCCTGCCGTACGTCACTAAAACCGTCAAGCTGTCACCAACCAACTCCCTTCCATCTCCCGTCATCTATTCCCTTCTCTAACCACGTCCCCTCAAAAAGCATGCAACAGAGGCATGTTGTAGGATTACGCGTCAAATAGAACAGGCCACTGAGCCGACTCCAAATATCAACATGGCGGAACCTACGCTGACAACGACCGCGATTGCGCGTCCCACTAACCGAGCCGTCGCCGTACTACTCAACGAAGCTGCTCTCGACTCGCCTACCTTTCGATCCACGGCGCTACATTTCGGCGACCAGATAGACACGACCGAGAAATGGCTTGGAGGCTATGTTTCTTCAACGCTCAAGCTTGTCCACGACTTTGCCGCCCTCGACGATACCATAAACTCCTACCTAACCAAGACGAGCCCCTTGGCTAGCGACACCCTCCTCGACAACGATTATACACGCCTTGGCCTGAAACGGGTCAATGACGGGTCACGAGAAGTCCTTACGCAAATGCTTACTAGCATGAAACGTATGGAATCTACGGTGGTTGATCCTATCCGATCCTTCCTTACTGGAGACCTGCGAAACTTCAAGGAGATTCGACGTACCTTGGAGCAGTCACAGCGAACATACGACTCTACATTATCCAGATATGTTAGTCAGCACAAGACAAAAGAGCCTTCTGCTCTGAGAGAAGATGCATTTTCCGTATACGAGAGCCGGAAAGCGTATATACTGGCCTCGATGGACTACTGCCAGCTTGTACCACAGATTCGATCAACACTCGATCGTTTGCTCGTCAAGGTATCCAGCGAACTCTGGAAGGAAATGAAGGGCTCTAGAGATGCCGCCACGAATGCCACCAGATATACCAGAGAGATGGACCGCATCAAAGGATGGGCCAGAGGTATGGAGTATGCCGAATCCGTCTTCACCAAGGAACTTCAAGCAGCGCGCCGTACCCTCAGCGATAGCACTCTGGAACGATTTAAGCCATCTAGAGAGCTGGATGATTATAGCACTTCGACGGTACCCTTTCTGAGTTCCCGTGGACCTGTCAACATGAAGCCAGCCCATCAAGGCATCGTAATATCAGAAAAGCAGGGCTACCTTTTCCTTCGCGTTGCCACCAGCAAGCCCGTGAAATACAGCTGGGTTCGACGCTGGCATTATTGTAGCGATGGTGTTTTTGGATGGCTTATTCCTGGAGCTCAGGGTGTTTTGCAAGGTGACGAAATTGGTGTTTTGCTTTGCAATGCCCGACCTGCCGTTGGCGAGGAGAGGCGTTTTTGCTTTGAGGTTAAAACAAAGGATCAGACTATGGTTCTACAAGCTGAAAGCCAGACAGAACTGACAGAGTGGTTGGAAGTATTTGAGGTAACAAAAAAGCGAGCGTTTGAGGCCAGCGCAAGTCGTGATGCTGCATCCTTGTCTGGCAACGACCCGGCATTTTCCATCACCCCTGCAAGTGCACCGGAATTCTCGGCCAACTATATCGACACTCAGCTACATTCTGTGGACGAGCCACCTGCTGGTTTAGAACGCTCTGGCACCCTTGGCATCCCTGGCGAGGGTACCCTCGGCGTCCGTCCCACGTATGATGCAGCAGGTACCGTCAATAGGAGGTCGTTTTCTGCACTCAGCAAGGATATCAGCCGAGATGAGAGCGAAACGAGCCGAGATCATGCGGCGAGAATCATGCAAAAGCTTGATCTGCATCGCAAGTCGCCAGATGCGGGAGCTGGTGGAATCGCCAGCCTCATCAACGCCAGCGCCGCCGTCCTCCCTGCTTACCCTCACCCATTCCTATCCCCTCATACTGCTAAGAAGCTTCCATCTGCGCTGCCAAACATCGATAGCAGCCGGCTAGGTTTGCTGGCGCCTCCCACTCTTGCAAAGCCTCCGGCTTCAACCAATTTGAGCAAGACTGCCGTGCTCCTCGCCTCCGAGAGAGGGCCAATCTCTGATTCAAGAAAGAAGCTTCCTACTTCCATCGTCGCAAATTACTGGGGTAGTAATGTTTGGGCTAGCATCAACACCCCGGTTCAACCGGTGCTACCAAGGCTTGACGATGACGACCCTATTGGAGTGGTCCTTCCTGAAGGCATGCACGCATCTCTGAGCATCTCCAGTGATGATCGAAAACCCAGTGAAGTGTTTCCCAACAACTACCCACCAGAATTGAAGGCGCAACATGCACAGTTCCGATTACTGTTCCCGGATGCGCCGCCAGATGATAAACTCGTGCTGGTCTTCCGCGCTTCCTGGTCTAGCGCCACGCCTCAAAACCCCGATGACTACACTCTTGCTGGAAACGGTAGAGTGTACGTCACACAAGAAAATATGTACTTTTATGGCCAACAGATGGGCCTCGTTACAGCATACAGCATCAGCTTGGACATTATTACCGAGGTGGCGGCGGCAGCTGGCCGAGACTGCGATTCGATTAACCTCCATCTCGGAGAGGATACTAATGAAACTGGTTACACACAGATTCGATTGAAGCTCTACTTGGACGATCTCTATCTGTTGCAAGGACGACTTAACTTAATTATTGACAATCTCCAAGCTGAAGAGCCAACAGACACATACACTTTAATCGCGGCACTGATCAACCTCGAGAAGGCCGAGTTTGATAAGCCAAGTCCCAGTGTGGACAGCTGGGAGGATGTCTCGCCGTCAACTCCAGCCGATGGTACCTACTCTTCTCGACGCGACCTCAGTCGTAGCTACGATTCGACGCCTCACCTGCGTAGGACGCAGTCTCGTCAAAAGTTGATACCCAAAATCCAGCTGCCATCCCACCCAGTGATCTTTGAGCCCGAGGATATGAAGGAAATGGCGGCTGAGCGTCACTTTGAAATTAGTGCAAAGGCATGCTTCCACGTTTTGTTTGGCGACAAGAGCTTCGTCTTTCCCAAGCTATATTTTGAGCACCGAGCGAAGCAAATCACTCAGGGTCCGTGGATTCTTGTTGATCAGGGTAAAATGCGCCGAGACTTCCAATTCAAAGTCGAGTATGCCGATATGCTCGGCCGATCAAAGACAGCCAATGTCAACGATTACCAGACAATTGACACATTCAACGACCATGTGTCATATGTTGTCACTCATATGAAAACCGCATGGCATCTGCCTCACTCGCGCTCATTCAAGTTGATGACCAAGGTGGTCATTACGCACGTTGCAAAGTCCAAGTGCAAGCTTGCTATCTACGTCAAGATTGACTGGTCAAAGGCACCAGCCCTGTCCAAGAACATGGTTGAGCGTCAGGCTCTGCGCGACATTGTCAGCGATGCCGAAGAACTAGCAGAGCTGGCCACTGACCAGGTCCGAAAGCTTGGATCTCGTAGCCGCACCAGTCGAGCCATTCAGGTCTACGGCCACGTTGGCCAGCAGACGCAAGTCGTGGTCTTTTCACCAGGCTCTTCAGATTCTGGCAAGAAGCAGGCAATTAAGCCGAGAACATTGACGTCAATGATCTTTGACACTGTGCGATCCTTTGGAGAGAGTGCCATTACATCGGTAATCATGTGGATCTTTGCCGCCATCAAGACCATCTTCGGGGTCATTACGGGCCATCGTCTTTTGGTTGTACTGCTCGTAGTGAGCGGTCTGCTTAACCTGCTTCTTGGTTCTACAGAAACATCGACATGGTGGAAGGAACGGCGTGCGGCCAAGTTTATGCGCAAGATTGGTGTTGGTCCAAACGCAATGATGAGCAAGGCGCTTTACATTTCCGACTTGGACACTGCGTATGGAACAGACGGCAGCTCCGTGCTGATGCAACGCAACAGTACATGCTTCAAGTCGTTCAAGGATATATTCGCCGCGACCGATATGGATGCGCCCTGGGAAGACGCCGGTGCAGCACTGACGTTACCTACAAGCCGGGCAACAGCGCAACGTCTAAGACACACTCGTCAACGACTTGGAGCGTACAGACACGACCTGGTGGTGGCGATGCGCATTGTCAACAGTATGGACCGCGAGATGATGCAATCCGAGTGGAAGAACTGGGTCATGAATGAGAATGCTCACTGTGATAACCTCAAGGCAGCTCTATCATCGTCGGCACCAGTCAAGCGACGAGGAGTAGAGTGGGAGGCGCAGAAGATTCTTAATGCTATGCCTGCTGACCGCAAGAAGGCGGTCGAAGACTGGCATAACGAGTACTGCCAAAGCTGCAGTGAAGACTTTTCAGAAGTTGTATTGGGCAACAAGGGCAGCGTTTAATGGGGATGGATGTATAGCTGGTTGCAAACAACAAACTTGTATTCCCACTTTTATAGAAAATGATGATACCTTTCGATTAACGGAAAGACGTATACCTTCTCTGATAAATGGGAGTAATTGTTACTATTTGGTTTAATAACAAGTTTTGCTCAACAATTTCAGTTTTATAATTGCAAGTGATAGTATGGCCGGACACATGGTGACTGTATTTGAGACCCCAGCTAGATAGAGTGTTTGTTCGCTTACATCAACACGACTGTTTGATCGAGCATAAGCCAAACCAATGTCGACATCGTTACCACCATATGAAATTAGAGGTTGGGATACCGGGGATGATGATTTTGATATGAGCATCCGCCGCAACGGAGTCGGCTTTACGATTTCCGTCTCACCATATTCTTTTATCAACTCACCACACACTCGCCAGCTCTTTGACCTCAACTTTAACAAGATCCGCGCTGGTGAAGACGATGAACCAGAAGTTTGGGAGTATAGTGAATTCATTGCCGATAATTTCATATTGGAAGTTTTAACGCTGGCGCCTCCCATAACTCATACTGGCAAGTTGACTCTCGCAGATCTCAAGGCTCGTGGCTCGTTTACAGGCGAATACCGAGTTGCCGATGAGCAGCCTGTTTCAGGTTCTCTTGTACCACGTGTGATTGAACAGATGGAACCTCAGAAGGAATGGGATATGCGACTTGTCCAAGATTTATTTCCATTGTTCAGCGCTGCAGATGTTGAAGTACCTTATACCGATGGTTGTAACATACACAATATCCATCCTAGGAAGGTCTTTGTTAATGGCAAGCCATTCTTCTACAAGAGTTGCTGGTCGCCTTATGATGCCGTCGATGAAGTTCAGAAGTACTGCCGCATTGCTGCATCAGGCTTGTCTATACTAGAGCTGCGCACATCCCGACTATTTGGCATCGTTGCAGATAGTTACGGCCAAACCAAAGGACTGCTTTATCACTGGATACACATGTATGATATTGGAACTCTGGCCTCATTTATTGGTGTAGACACTCCACAAACGTTTCGAGAGAAGTTGGCGCAGCAAATCCGGGACTATTACACAGCTTGGATATTGTTTGGGGTGATGCTAAGCCGGACAACATTCTGATAGACATAGATCAGAACGCTGTTCTTATCGATTTTGAGGGCGGCACGACTAGAGGATGGGTTGATCACGAAAAGGGTGGCTCCGTCGACGGGGACCTTCAAGGTCTGGAGAGAATTGCTGATTTTATCCTTACTGGTGACTCGCATCCCCTTGGCCAAGAGTCCGATGTCGAATATGGTGAATTTGATTAGATGTCACAACTATGAACTAGCCACTAAAGTACCATCATCGTTGAACATGAACCCTCCCCCACACCACGATTCATCAGTCAACTTTGTACGTATGATTTCCAGCTCCTCGCGCATTGACTCGGGGCTAGCATTTTCCTGAGAACGCTCAAAATCGAGTAATTTCACCCCTTCTTTTGTAACAAGAAAGTTGTATCGATCCACGTCGCCATGTAGCAAACCGAGCCCGTGAAGGCTACCTATGGCCGTTTCGCAGCTTCTCAGATGGCTAATGGAAGCAGGACTTCCTTCCAGCTTCTCCAGGATAAAACCAATGATTCGACCATTCTCGTGGACATGACCAAGGAAGCGCGGGGCAAGGCCAGAACCCTCGAGCAGTTGGTATGCTCTCGTTTCCCGTTCAATCCGAAGCAGTTCCCACTCGAAAGGGGCTATTTTGGCGATTACCGTGGACTGTGAATCCTGGTGGGTTGCAATAGGTGAATGTAAGATGGCCTCGAAAACCATGGTTGTGAGTTGGCTGGTATTTTCTAGACTCAGGCAGTCGATAGAAAGATGATGCCATTGATTCTTGATGCCAGGCAGTCTTTGGTCAGAGAGAGTATATTTCAAGTCGTTACTGGTCTTATTTCGGGAGATATGAGCTACAGTCCAATTCTCATGCTAGGGAAGAGGAGGTAGCGATTCAATCGGAAACGAGAGCGTGTCTGTGTCATAGGTTCCAGGCGATATGACTAGGTACTTGACTTGACTTCCGATTTGTACTCGATATTCGCTTTCATAACAGTCGTCTTCGTCCACTTCCATGGACAAAATGACAGGTTGCTCAGTATGCTGACCAGACATTGTCGTGATGTGCTAATGGTGAACTGGCATAGTGAAGCTGGCTGGTAGGCATTGTTGTGGCAAGGTCCTTGTTATAGCCGCCTCACCTGCCCACCCAAGCGGCTGCAGGCGCGCGGTTACTCGAAACACGTGCGAATTTACAAAATGCTAATTTAAAAAATACTTGAATAGGGTGAATTAATTACTAGTGAGTAGAGATTAATGTTTCTACTTAATACGAATCTGCTTTATGTAATCCTTCCTACTCTATTGTGCCCACCCTAACTGACCTTACTGTAGCTTACAGTATATTACAGCGGGGGTGCCCAGTATAAAAAAAAAGGCCGAACCTTGTACGCTTATATAGTGGGCAGGGGGCGGGCGTGACGTCAAAATGGCGTCCCCCTCCCCTCCGGAAGAGCCGCCAACACCAAAGACCGGGTGACATTGCCAGCAACCAGCCGAAAAACCTGTCTGGTGCATTTTCTCTGGCTCTAACAGGAAGAAACAGCACACGCCACAGCAGCAAAGCCGTTGCCAAAGCGTGCAGATCTACGGACAATCCTGTTTTTTCCTTCTCTCGTTCAAACCACACAAGTCGTGATCTGGGCCCTTCCCCTCATCTGACAACTAAGACCGTCATGCGAACATAACCTCGACCTCACCAACAGTGTTGCTTGACTCCAACAGACGTCGACCTTCCTCTTCTACATTATACCCATCATCGCGAGCTCTCTCACACCATGTCGAATCACCACGAGCCTCTCCAGGCCCTCGAGCCTGTAGAGTGGGATCAGGTCCCCAAAGGAGACGACCTCTGCCAATTCCTACAAAGCGTATTCGACCGCGCCCTTCTTGTTGTCGACTCAGTCCCTTCTTCAGCTTCCACAGCTCCAAGTGAGCCCGTGGGCCGTTTGCGAGCCAAGACGGAATCTGCAGTCAACTCAACAGCCGGCCAACAATTACAGACACTGGAGTCTTCCCAAAAAGCTATAGAAGCTGCGCAGCGTCTCCAAAAAGACTGGAAGGAGGTCAAAATCAATCCCAGAGATAATCCCAGATCTATAAATGTCTTCAAATTGGCGGCAAAGGACGGAAAGGGCTCCTGGTTTGCGCGCCAGAGCGTCCACGAGGAGCTCTCCTTTGACGACTGGAAGCTTGGCTTGAAGAAGGAATTTGCCGAGACCATGAAGGTCCAGGGTGCTCCAGGTTCAGGAAGTATTCGTGGAATTGGAGCCGACAAAGTCGTCGAACACATTGCTGTCGATTCGGCGGGCGAACTCGACAGTAAGTCTACACCGTGCAATACAGTTTGAGTGTGGTAATGATGTTTGTTTGCTAACATAATGGTACAGTTTTTCAACTATCCGCTCAATTTCCAGGCCCGACATCACCTCGAGATTTTGTTACGCTGCTTTTAACATCCGACTTGTCATATCGATCTCCCGACACTGGTCAGCCACTGCGCCAGTATATTGTGGTTTCCAAACCGTGCCTTCATGAAGCATGCCCAACTCGACCGGGCATCATCCGTGGTCAATACGAATCGGTCGAGATCATTCGAGAAGTCCTAATTGATAGACATACATCCAAACGATCTCAATCGTCTACCGACTTAAGGCTGCCTGGGGATAGACGGTCCTTGCAGTCATCCGCCACACCTAACACGACAACAGACGATACCCCAGCAAAACAGCATACATCAGTAGAATGGCTCATGGTTACGCGAAGCGATCCAGGAGGCAGTGTACCTCGATTTCTTATTGAAAAGGGCACGCCCCCCGGTATTGTTGGGGATGCAGGCAAGTTTATGAGCTGGGTGATTGATAATGCAGCACGGGGCTTTGCAGACCCTGAGCCAGTAGCTGCAGATGCTCCTAAAGATGCACAAGACCAGAATCCAGAGCAGGAATCCACTGCTCAAGCAACACCAACCATCCATGTCGGAAATAACACTGAGCAGACTGACTATGCGCAAGATGAACCCATGCCTAACAGCAACGGCATTTACGGCATCTTAGCTGGCATCTTCGGTGCCGCTTCGACTGTTGTTCCAACCTCTTTAATCCAGACATTCTCTGGATCTCTGAGCAACGGTGGAAGCGACATTGGTAGCTTATCATCAGCGGCAATTCCAGAGGAAGGCGAGTCGTCCTTTAGCGATGACTCCTCGGTACAATCGTTTACGTCAGCCATTGAAAAACGTCTTACTGCAGAAAAGGAACAAGTAGACACTCTACTTGGAGAGCAGTCCGAAGACTCGAGGTCGATTTCCAGTCAGCCTATGAACAAGGAGCTACGCAAGCTCCACGAGCGACGACAGAAGCTGGAGCGCAAGCTTAGCGAGATGCAAACTAAGAGGCTCGGCGAAAAGGAAAAAGACGAAGCTTCCATGAATAAGAAGCGCGAAAAGCATGAAAAGGAGGTTGCTAAGCAAGAGGAGAAGTATAACAAGGAGCTCAGAAAGCTGGAGGAGAAGAAGGAACAAGAAGCCCGTCGAGCAGAGAGACGTCGAAGAAAAACGATTGAGAAGGAGCAAAAGTCGAATCTGGGCCTCGAGGTGGATAGGCTTCGTGCTGAGCGAGACTTGGCTGTTAAGCATGCACAGCTATTACAGGACCAAGTACGCGAGCTGCAGAACCAGAACACTATGCTAGTCGCAAAGCTGGGTAGGCTTGGTGTCATAGATGGAAGTGAACTGAGCAAGGCGGCAACATCCTCAATTTAAGAAGTCATACTGCGTTAATTGCATACCATTTGATTTTAGGAATAAACACGATGCATTGTTGGTCCTCTCTTGGGACGTATATTGTTATACAGAGTGTCATGAAAAGTTGAAAATGTATTCATTGCTAAAATTTATATAAAACTCCAGTTATGCTGCTTTTTCCAATGCATCCACCAATAGTCTGGAAACATGAGACTCCTTTGTTTTAAGAACATCATGTGCCTTGGTCATAGCCGACGAAAGGTCTTGGCTCGCCTGCTTTGCGTTGGTCAATGCAACCGCCGCGCCGATAATATATGTACAGATGGCAAACACATCCGGGCTGGATGCCCATCCAAGCGGGCCGTCCTCCTTTTGGAACTGATTATACAGAGAATCAAGACCCTGTGAAGCCCACTGATTCAGCTGTTTCAAGGACTCGTCATTTTCGGTCCATGAAAGCTCTTCAATGAGTTGTGCCCAGCGCCAGGTCTCTCTTACTTCATCGATGAAGAGATTCTGCTCCTCAATCACAAACAGCGCATCGTCAAACTGGAGCGACTCTTCCAGACGAACATTGGGCTGTTTCCAGCCGCTTTGCGTTACTTCGCCAATGACACGAGCACATGCGATTTCCTTGAGCTTTGCCTCGGAAGGGAAGCTCTCTGCAATCCAGCTGAGGAAGCGTGAGGCTGCCTCGATAGGCACGATAGATGAGCCCAGAATGTGCTTCACAGCATCGGCGCCCATGTCTCGAACCTCGTCGTCATCGTCGTTCAATACATCATATAGAGCAAGGAGGATAGGGATTTGGTCGGCGGTCTTGCAGTCGTCGCCGATAATCAGGAAGAACGATTGCAGAGATTCGGCGGCTGCGAAGCGGGTATCAAAGGACTAAAGCTTGTTAGTATAATACATCGAGGTGGCTTACTACTAATTACTTACGTTTTCAGCAATGGTTGCTTCGCTTATCATGGCAGCCCAACTGATGAAATTGATACTGGCAGGGCCGTTGGTCTTTGACATGGCAGCTACAACACCACCACTAGCTCTGATGATGGCATTTGACAACTCCGGATTCATGGAGTGTGATGGCAGCTCTTGCCACTGATGAAGCAGATTGTCTGTTGGCAATAGCTGCAGGTTACCACGTTCTAGGATTTTGTCTACAACGAGGTTGAGGTTGTCAACAGCGACTGCTTTGACGTCGGCAGGGCATTGTGTGAGAGAAATGTCAATGTAGAGGTTGCAAAGGTCGGTGAGCATGGAATCTGATGCGGTAGTCAGATCCCACAAGTCAGACAAGCTCCCCAAGGCTGTAAGCAGAGTGTTGGATCCGATGGGCGAATCAATGAGCACCGATCGTAGCTCACTAACGGCATCGTTGCTCTGTGTTGAAGATAAAAGCAGATGGATAATATGTTGGCCGCGGAATAGGGCGGATTCAGGGCCGCTAGCGATCTTGACTGGCGCTGGCAGCATTGGTAGAGATCGTGAACGCTGGAAAGTCCAGATCAAGTTGATGGCCTCCAGATATGCTGCTACTACATCGGGGCAACTGCGATAGCTGGTTTCGATTTCGTAGGTAGGCAGCTTCTCAACGAGCACAGCAAGATTACCAAGGACCAAATCAATATTGACTTCAGACAATCGTTCAAAGACAAACTTGAGACACAGGAGAGCACCATGGACAAAGTTTTGGTCTCTCTTGCCAGTGAGGGCCTCGGAAAAGATTGTCTCAAGAGAATTCAACCAGCCTTCATGAAGCAAACACGAGCAGATTGTTCGGGCAGCCATTTCCCTGACATGCCAAACCGGGCTGGATAGGTACTGTGTGATGTGCGTCTGGATCTCGCTTCGAAGCATCTCTGGAGGTCCAGCTCGGCGAATGATATCTAACGCCGGGAAGACGGACTCGGCCGCCATTGTGACATTGGCATTCTGGCTCATCATCTTATGGCCTGACTCTAACAAGTTCTTGAGAACCTCTGGCAGACTGGGATAGCGATGGTAGGGGATACGGTTTGCTTTTCCGTCCCAGCCAGCTTCAATGGTGGACTTGTTCTCATGGTTACCAAAGAGACAGTCAATCAGACTGCGAAGAAGGATCAGACTGCAGTTTCGAATAGCCCAGACTTGTGACTTTAATCCGCTGGCAGCAAGTTCGACGCATTCAGGAAGATACTGTTCCGATTTGTTGCCTTGCGATGTCAACAGCGAGTTGCGGAAGATGTCCTTGATGGAGTTGTAGGCATGAACTTGGGGAAGTCTCTCGTCGTCTGTTTCGGTTACGCGCGCCTCAATCCGGGCGATTTCAATCAGCTTGCGCATGACCTGATCAAAGGACGGGCTGTCTGAGTTGGCGGCCAGGATACCTGTGATAAGAGATGGAATACCAGCCGAACGTCTAGTGGTAGAAACTTGGGTATAAATAGTTTCCATAGTTTTTCCATACCACAGGTTGAGAATATCGGCATTATCTTCTTCATTATCCAAGTGCTTGCTCAGCTGGCAGCAAGTACTAAATGTAGAAGAGACGGTAGTAAAGGCACCGCGATGTCTTAAGTTAGACAGTTGTTCAAAGGTAAGATCGCCAACATCGCGGAAGACGCGAGTGGAGGGAGTTAACGAGCCAGCGCGGCTTCGGTTTCGCAGAGTCAGAATTATTGTCTTCATGAAGTTGCTGGACTCGTGCGTGGCGCGGAAGCTGTAGCTGATCAAGCCCTTGGTGTCGAGGCCTTCCATATCTTCAAGATGTAGGGGAAGATGGCCCTCTGGCGAATCGTCGCAGAGAATGTCCTTGACTGCAGCCCAGATACGCTGGCACAGCGAGACAAGGGTTTCTTGGATCTCGCGCATAACCACCAACTCGCTATCCGTCATCTTGAGCTCGGCTACTACTTGCCATGTGCTGCAGAGAGCAGCAAAGTCGCCATGTACAGGTACCTGGCGCACAGCCTCGCCGAGATCTTGTTCAGCAATGGAGATCTTGCGGTCCAACTCTCCCGTCAGACGTAGAAGGAGACCGACACGCTCATCTTGGTCGGTTGAGAATCTGTAGAGTAATTGGCGGATGCGGGCAACACCATCGGCGTGGTCTGCACGGGATGTTTTGCTCGCCAGGTCCCCAGCTATCGAAGCCAGGTGCTCGAGGGCGGCAGGTATGCTAATGGTATTGCCAGATGCGTTTGTAAGCATTTTGCGGTATCTTTTATCGGAGAGGAGGGCCTTGAGGACGTTGGATGCAGCATCGCGAACATCATCAAAGGGATCCATTAGCAGATCAAAGAGCGCTCTTGTCCATTTCTCGTCAAAGATGTCGAAGAAGAGAGTTTGGTCGTCGTCTGTCTCCCATGCTTTGGATTGGTTGCCTTCCAAACGGAAGATGTACATCAGCGCCTTCAGGGATGTAATATGTCGCTGGTAAGAGGCTGTTGGGATTAATTCGGAGCAGAGAAAGCCAATGTACCAGTGCAGGAAATCCTCGTGGTAGCGGAGGCAGTATACAAGCTGATCATCGGGAAGAGACACCAGATTGGCTCTATACAGAACAGGACCCGGTACGTTGGCTTGCTCAGTAGAGTCTGTAACGCCTTGAAGGGCCTTTGCCTTCTTTGCAGCCTTTGCTCTTGCTCGCGGGATGCTCCTTTTGAGAACAAAGATGGCGCCACGAACGCGGCGAAACATGTCTCGTGCTGCAGCGGACACATCAACTCTGAATTTAACGTCAGAGTCTGCGAAGAAGGCACCCATATGCTTTCGCAGCAGAGAGAGCGCAGTCTCCGAGTACGGTTTGGTGGTAGATGGCGATGCAATGAGGGTAGAAAACGCGAGCGAGCGCACAGCGTTTGATGGATAGGCCAGGACAGTCTCCAGGACGTCTTCGCGGATCATAACACAGTCGATTTCCTTCTTCGAGTCCTCTGATGTGTCGTCGTGTCCCAGGGCAGGCTCTTCAACAAGCCCAGCCTTCTTACCAATCTCAAGGACAGCAAGTTGCAGCAGAGCAGGTGTGTCAACACCCGCGGCACCAGAGACAGGCTTCAATTCAGCCATGCGCTGCAGGAATACTAATGCCTCTTTACGATCCGCGGTGAAGAGCGGCAAGAAGACATGGTTCTTCACACGCTCGAGATGCTCAGGCTCCCTGTTGAGGAACTCGAGAAGCCACGAGTGCCAATTCTCAATGGAGGGTGTGCCCTCTACTCCATCAGCGCCTTGGCGCAGCTGGCGATATATGCAGAGAATCAGTTTTCCAGCTGCAGGCGACACAAAGTGCAGTCTCATCCAGTTGAACAGGTCGACCATGAAGCTACCCCAAACATCGATAGCCTTGCAGTCCTTGGAGGCCAGGTTGAATGATCGATAGCATTCACGTACTTCGGCGGCAGAAACAACCTTTTTCACGAGGAAGTGCTCCAAAGTCTTCATAGCCGACTTTGCTACTGGCTTAGTCGACTTGCCTAGGATAATTGCCACCAGGCTGTGCACCAGCGACTTTGTCGTCGCCACAGCATCCTGCTCGCTCGGGTTCTTAGTGAGCAAGTGCGCAACGAGATCAAGCACGAGTTTCATGGAGCGGTGGTGATCGTATTCGTTCCAGTCCATGTAGAATGTGAAGAGCTTTTCTGTGGTCGGGCCCGAAAAGGCCCATTGCTGGACCTGCATACTCGACGACTTGGAGGCATTGTCAACAAATCCGCAAAGCTTTATACAGGCATTGCCTGAAGCAGACTTTGGCTGAGCCGCCTCATTGTAAAACTCATCAAACAGTGTTTGGGCGCGTCTGTATACGGTTAGATTTCAAAACAAACACTTTTTTCTGCAATGTGGATCCACTGACAACTTCTGCTCCTCAGCTGGAAGATCCTCGATTTCTGATGCAATGTCCTTGGTGTTGACGACAAGATCTGCTTGAGCAGACTGCTTCTTACCAGGCATTTTGGCGATATCTGCGCAATTCTGACCAGATTTTGACAATGCAAACCCCAAATCAATGCGTTAGGATATCAGAGAGCCCCAATACTTCAAAATCTCATTTTTAAATAAATTATCGTAAATCCGGACGCGATTCTCTCAGAACTGGCTTACAGCAGGGTAGTTGATATGGCCCACGGGGAAAGTTTCGGCGGTGACACGTGACTAGGCACGTGAAGAAAATTTGCCCTCCACAGAGGAAACCCCACCACGAAAAGTCCCACATTTGGTGTGCAAAGTGGACGAAATTCTCGAAATCCCAAGTTGAACGCCGTTTACCAACGACCTTTTTTTTCCCTTCACCCAATCACCCCGACCACGTCCTGATTACCAAAATTCTGGGAGACTGTCAAAATGTCTAAGATCACAGTCGGTATGCATTTCGCCCTCGAATTCCCTACGCCGCTCTTTCTGATTCGGCCATCCAACGCCAATCGAGAGAACACAGCCGCCGTATAATCTACAAACCAACGAATAAACCAGCTAACATGATCTTCTCTCTACAGCTAACGTCCGGACGCAAGTCACCGAGCTCCTTGAGTACTCTAACGAGACCAAGAAGCGTAACTTCCTCGAGACCGTCGAACTCCAGATCGGTCTTAAGAACTATGACTCTCAGCGTGACAAGCGTTTCTCTGGCACCATCAAGCTGCCCTCCGTCCCCCGCCCTAACATGAGCATTTGGTACGAATATGACGATCCCCTTTTTTTCTACGAACTGGAAACGTAGAAAAAGAAATGCGAAACAGAAGATCTAGTTTTGCTAACTTGTTGATTTTACAGCATCTTGGGTGACCAGCACGATCTCGATCGTGCCAAGCACGGTGGTGTTGACGCCATGTCTGCCGATGACTTGAAGAAGCTTAACAAGAACAAGAAGCTCGTCAAGAAGCTCGCCCAGAAGTACGATGCCTTCATCGCTTCCGAGGCCCTCATCAAGCAGATTCCCCGTCTCCTCGGTCCCGGTCTGTCCAAGGCCGGCAAGTTCCCTACCCCCGTCTCCCACAACGACGACCTTAGCGGCAAGATTGTCGACATCAAGTCCACCATCAAGTTCCAGCTCAAGAAGGTTCTCTGCATGGGTGTCGCCGTTGGTAACGTCGAGATGACCCCCGAGCAGCTCGTCGCCAACATCATGCTTGCCATCAACTACCTCGTCTCTCTTCTCAAGAAGGGCTGGCAGAACGTTGGCAGCTTGACCATCAAGGCTTCCATGTCGCCCCCCAAGCGCCTGTACTAAGCCTGTCGATGTGTTTGGCTGAGAGTCCTTGGACGGCGTCTATGTAAAGAGTGGCCTGTGTTTATAGAAATAGCGACATGAAATACTGTTGCGTTCGCTAGCTTCTCCAATATACAAAGTTCAGGGTGATTTTTCAATGGTTTATTTATAACCGTGATTATAAACATGTACCATTGTTTTAAATGAGACGAGGGTGTATAATTTGCGTCGTGTTAGTGATGGTAAGTATAAAGAAGCACGCCGTTCAGTATTGCTCACATTCGCAACCGCCACCCTCACCGCCAAATGTGAATACAGCATTAATGCATGAGAATAGGATATAAATACAATGTATTAATATAATTATCTAGCGATGTTGAGAACTTTTACGCCACTAGCAGCTTTTTGTTACTCGCCACGCGACGAGCCCGCGGCGGCCAACGACTCTTGTTAGCGTGTTCCACACACCGTCGTCGCCAAAGTCAAGATCGTCCAGGTTCAGGTGCTGGCGGTACCGCCAAACTTCACGGAACCGCAAACCTTGCAAACCTTTATTCGGTAGATGCTGATCGAGCCAAGTAGCTGACGCGGGCGCAATAAGGTAAGTACCATTTTTTTCTTTGAGGTATTCCTGGTTGCGACGGTCGGCGGGGGTGTCACATGTGGCCAGCGAAGTCAGCTGGTTTAGCAGCGCCTCGCCTTTCATACCCATGACATCTTTGGTCTGCAAAACTTCGTTTTTGCCATCCAGCAGCCAAATAGGTGGGGAGTATGTTTTCCACCAAATAGCATTTGTCGCATCCGGTTGGTTGCTCATGAACACCTGGCCTGGGACAATGCCGCCCTGGTGATATATTCCCATGAGCAGTCCTAGTGCCAAGTTGAATGCTATCCATGACCCAACCCAGACGCGAAGGACGGTTTTGTTTGATGGTAATCGCACTGATGAAAGGATCAGCGGTACTGTAGGTAGCAGGAAGCGGGCTTCCTGGTGCTGGAAAATAGAGAGCACTACTAAGCCGGAGATGGCTGAGTAGAGCCTGATGGAGAGATGTGGTCTCGTGAATAATAAAACAGCCCCGGGGCCAAGAAGAAGGGGGATATTGGCCAACAGATGCTGGTACCAAGGGTGCAGGCCATGCTGGGCGAGATTCTCGGTGACTGAGTTGTAATAGAAGTTATTGAGTGGTGTAATGACGGGTCGGTAGAGTAAATCGGCCCAGGTAATAGGAGTTGCGGAATAGAATGCGGTGTCCAGCGCAATCGCAATTAATGTAGTGGTAAGCGCAGCCAAAGCCAGGGCCACGAGGGAAAGGGGTCTGCAATGGTTAGCTTACGGGAGCTGCTCGAGGTCAGACAGCAGGCTTTGCTTACTTGTTGAGGAAATGGGGTATCAAACGAAGGCCAGGAATTAATAAAAATGCTGGAAAGGTAATACGGTTGAAGACGCCGAATATAACTACGATGCCGAGAATCGTGGAAGCGAGCAAAGACGGTTGCTGCAAGAGGAAAGCTTGTTAGCCTAGCGCAACGGTGGTGTAATCGGCCAGTTGGACAAACCTTGGATTCTACGATTCGCTGAATCAAAACCAAGCTCCACGCTACGACAAGCGTTTCGATGGAATTCGAAAATGTATGAGTTTGATACGTCCACGTTACGTATGACGACGCAACGAGTAACACAGCGATGCGGCGATGGCGCGGCGACGGGATAAGCTCATGGATGGCCCAGTCTTCCAAGACGAAGCTTGTGAGGAACATGAGCACCCGTAGAGTCCAGAAAACTACAATGGGAGGAATCTCTCCGTCCTGTCCATTTCCGACCCAAAGCCAGCGCAGAAGCAACATTGGTAAGCCGTAGACGGGCCATAGCGGGAAGACGCTTCGTATCGGATGTTCGTTTGTAAACTCCCACGTTCGACGGACCGGGTAACTAAAAATCTCGCCTGCAAAGTATCTTGTTAGCTGAAGCACATCGAAATATACGCTGCCATTTAAACGCGGCCAAGCCGATGCCCAGAGATTTCTGTGCATCCTGCTCGCCGTGTCTCGCCATGACAAAGGGGCTGAGACTTGCCAGCTATGACTTCCGGACCTTGGAAGTTCTCATCGGGGTGAAGGTAGCTGGGCGACAGAGCAAACCACAGCCGTATAATGGCTAGGAGGAGATATGTTCGCCTCCACATGTTGGGTCGTGTCGTCCAAGAAATCGCAACAAGCTCGAGCTCGGATGGCGCTGGGTTGGGGAAGGCGACATGGGGTGGCCCAGCGCGGCGAGAGGTTGGACGGATGCGGCCCCTAGAACGCTGTCGGGAGCGCGGAAAGAAGCAGAGGTTGGACGCAAAGGAAACAGTTCGCAGGTCAGGGTATCAATGCCCGCAGGGCACTGGGTTGAAGAAAAAAGTTGGAATTGGGGGAGGGATGCGAGGCCCGGGATGCGAAGCTGGGCGGATGCAAGAGCTTTAAAGAGGGTCGTGCAAAGAAGCCTCTGGCGAAAGAAAAAGGAAGCGGCAGCGGAGGTGAGCCACTGTAAAATAATAGAGCGCCACGCCAGCGGGTGCTAAAAGCGGTACGGTACCAGTGTCGCGTACCCGTACGGTAGCGTAAGGCCAAAGGCGCCAGGGGGCGGGATCCACTGTAGTGAGCGCTGGAAGATTAGCGGTGCCGGGGTGCAGTGGGCAAAAAAAAGTATTAGCAGGTATTTATTTGGGTTGGGGATGTGGCTGTTAGGGGGCGAAAACGTCAGCTCTGCTGTTTTTATTTTTGTTGAAGAGGTGAAGATGAAGCATGAAGGGATGAAAATGATGATGCATGCATGAAGAGAGAGAATTACAAAACACGCCCTTCCACCAAGCTAATATTAGACAGCAACCCTCCTGCAGTGCAAATGCCCAGACGAGTTTTAACGCAACAGAAATGTTACAGCGCTGGTGGTGGGCTTGGGTGGTGTTGACAGGCGCGGGAAGGACGGGCGGTGGGCGGGTGGACACGCTGGCCGCATCCGAAAGTGGTTGTCGCAAACAGACCGCCGGGAACGCTAGTGTACTTCCCCCAGTGCACTGGCGCTGGTGCACATCCACTGTTGTTCCCCCATTTAGCGTGGCGGCGACGGTACCTTATCCAGCGCGCGCCATTGTACCAAGCTCCCGCGTACCCCATTCAGTACTCTAGTGGTTAACGACTGGCTCCCATAGCGTTAGCTGTGGTAAAGGGGAAAAAGGCTAAGACGGGGGCCAAAACATGACCTCATCACTTGTTGCTCTGCGACACGACGTGCGACTGCCGACGAATCAACACTAGCAGACGACACCAAGTAAACAAATGTCCACAGCCAGTCGGCGTGATGGCTGCTGCAGCACAGCGCGTAGCAAGAATCTGCCGACGCTTCTGTTTGGTTCTGAATTCTTCGTCAACACCCCTGGCCTACCGTCGCATTAGCTTCTTTTGACAATGGGCCAGGGTCAGATCTCTTGGGTGCGGGCACCATGTAACTGAATTTTTTCTTTTTTGCTACGGCAGCAGCGCTGACCCCGGGTTTAACTTTTTGCTGTTCTGTTTTTTTCTTCAAAGCCGCCATTTCAGTGAAAAAAAAAAAGAAACATATAAAGTTTGCATCAGACGCTGATGGCACCAGAAAACGCAGCGTATTTTGCACAGGACCGTGTCATCGCTGGACGCTGTTGCGCGCGTAAGGCTACCTACTTACGACAGGATATGGTGCGAGTCACAGCAAACCTGAAGCATCTCCGGCTACCTGCCTACCGCCTTGGTCTGTCTCATGTAAAGGTGAACGTAGAAATAGAATACTTTGTTGCAAAGCTCAATCAGCGCAGGTTTGGTTTGCATCCAATTGAGCAGCCACGACTACGCCTGCAGATTGCCGCATTCCTGGCGACACACCTTCGTTATCAGTATAAGTGGCAGAAGCTCTGAGTGGTGTATTTTTTATCGATCAAGAATTTGTTGGGAGCCGAGGGAGAGGTCGCCTATTTACGGTGTTTCTGAATAGTGCGTTGTAAAATAAAGTGTACTGGCGTAGTTCCCCCTTTGTGGTACTCGAGTTGAAATCTGGACGTTCTTGGAGCTGCCAGCGCCCTGTGATAAAAGCAAAGCTGGCGCATTGGCGGTGATTCCCTACCGCCTACTCTGGTGATGCAGGGCAGTCAAGTTTGGCGTACGCCCTGCGCCAAAGGGATTAGCAGGGCTCATCAGCCTCAGCACAAACTCACCTCGAGTTCAGCGGGCGCGCCCCGCTTAGCTGGCTCGCCTGGCTGGCGCTACTGCTGCTATTACTACGTACTGCTGCAAGCCCGCCCGCAGCGCCATGCCACAGCCCGCCCTCTGACCGCTGTGACTCGCGTTCACGCAGGCAGCAGCGCTCTGTGGAGAAGCGCCTAGAGCGTAAACTGTGCCTGGCCATGAGCCTCTTCACAGAGTTGCCTGGCCGCGTGAGTTTGCGTTGAATCTAAAAAAATCCTCGTTAAAAGCTTGTCTCTTCTCTTCTATAAATACAAACACTTTTTTCTACCCACTAGTGTCACTTCACTCTCTTCTACACTTTCGATTGTTCACTGCTCGCAATACCCACGCCCGTGCAACATATTAAGTTAGCCTTCGCAAAAAAAGCCTATCCACAAGCACTATAATCGGACTAGCAGCGCTCGAGCCTGTCACAGTTCCAGCGCCTTCCTCCGAGCACCCCGCACACGTCCTCTCCCTCGCCGGCTGACTTCGCCTCTGGCTTGATCTTGACCCTTTGCATCACCACAACACCCCGTCATCACCAAACCACCCTACTCCCAAAACAACATGACCGACTCTACAGTCTCCAAGGTCTGGCTGGCCTCCAACGACAGCGCCGTCATCGAAGTTGGTGCGTACCGCCCGCCGCTCTGTTTGCAGCGCTCTTCTCCTTCGCTCAGAGCCTCGTTTGCACAATCTGTCTTTTTTGCTAACCGAGCTTCGTTAACCTAGACCGCATTGTTGCCGAGCGCTCTATGCTCATCAAGAACATGCTGGAAGATGTCGGCGACGAGATGATCCGCCAGGATAACCCCATTCCCATCCCCAACGTGAGTAATATCCTCGAGCTGTGCTCTGCCTTGTCATGTACCACCACAGCAGTCTAATGACAGCATATAGGTCAATGAGGCCGTCTTGCGCAAGGTTATCGAGTGGTGTGACCACCACCGCAACGATCCCCCCCAGGCTCAGGACGATGAATCTGATGCCCGTCGCCGTACTATGGATATTGAGGAGTGGGACCAAAAGTTCATGCAGGTTGACCAGGAAATGCTCTTTGAAATCATCTTGGTAAGTTTACACACGGCTACTAGCTTAAGGCTAGATTGTACGAAGAGGACAATTTGCTAACAATATTGCTACTAGGCTTCGAACTACCTCGATATCAAGCCTCTCCTCGATGTTGGTTGCAAGACCGTCGCCAACATGATCAAGGGCAAGTCGCCTGAGGAGATCCGCAAAACCTTCAACATCACCAACGATTTCACCCCTGATGAGGAGGAGCAAATCCGCAGAGAGAACGAGTGGGCTGAGGACCGATAAGCTGATCGCTTGAGCGGGAGATCTTGTTGAAGAGGGCTTGGGCCATTCATACCAAATGGCGCCACGCACGATGATGCACACGCATCAAAGATTTTCAGTATTCACTTTTTGGCGTTGGCTGGGTCGAAAGAAGTTACGTATATCGAATTCTGCCTCGCTGCTTCGGCTCTGAGGTGCTGCACTATTGGACGAGCTCGTAGATGGACTCTGGAGGGCAGCGCTTCTAGCCCATTCCCTTACCTCCTTACGCGTTGATAAAGATAGCATGTAACAACTACACTAATTCACTTTGGAAGAGCACCGATTCACGTGGTGATGTATGTGAAGGCGCTTGTAGAGTTTGCCTTGCCCCGTTTGTAGCAGTTGCGTTTAGAGGTCGTGAATGTGACGCCTCCATGGGCAAGCTTCGAATGAGAGGCCGCTAGATAGCGTCTCATACCAAGGCAACAAAGAATTAAAATGAATCATTCTCATTGAACGGAACTAGCACTGCAACGACACCGAGTACTACTGATTCACAAAGAGAAGTCACGCTGATCCAGGTAGCTGTTGGGTCTGGGGACGCAACGGTTATATCGTGCAGCCCTGCCTACGGTCAAGGACAAGAATATCAGAACTGGGTCCATGAAGAGACAGCAATGTTTAAGTTGGGCATCAAAATTTCTTTGTATTCCGTTCCCTATGACCGACCGTTGACATGAAAACAAAACTTCCAGCCAACACATGTTCCCCCGTGAAGCAGGTCAAGCTTGCACCATCTAGCTTCTACTTCGTTTTTTTATAAACAAACCGTACCGATTCTCCCTATCGCTTGAATCCTCCTACTGTGTACGGTATGATGCAAATCAAAAAAGACCTAACTCCAGAAATACTCCACGATCACACCGAGGTGTTTGTTGTTATCGTTGCTAGACTATCTCGCTCAACGAGAGCCTGATGGGAAAGTGATTTTTTGGCGGGAGATGAGGAGAATAAGAGGATTAATCAGAGATTGGTGAGAGTCCCCATCTGGTTCCCGAGAGGCGAGGTGAGATATTCCGTGGCGAGAGCATGGGTTGACTGAAAAACGCAAAGAAACACGCTTAGAGACCCAGGCGGGTCTTTCTCCAGTGTCTGCGCTTAGAGTTGTAGCTATAGAGAGGACGACATGTTAGCATGTTGTTTTTGGGTTTCTGTAGCAGTAATAGCTGGCCAGTTTCATGGTGATGGACTGGGCTGGATCCCGGAGGGATGAGGGATCCCCGCATCGCATGACCAGCTTCCATCGCCATCCGCGGCTCGCCATACGCTCGCGCTAGATGATGAATTCAACGTACCGGACGGTGTTGTTGGTGCGGAGGCGAATCCATTGGGGAAGGGGACGGTTCTGCTTCTGGGCCTTGGCAAGCTTCTGCTTGATACGGAAAGTCTTGTTGGACTAAAATGACGTCTACGTTAGCAAATGGGCGTTCATTCGGCAGGGGGATTCGGGTCTCGAAAATTTCGACAGCATCTCTGCGGTAAATCGACAGTCCTTCCACGGCGCTTGCAGGGTCTCGTCTCTCGTGCGGGCTATATTTCTATCTCAAGTCGTTCGGTAGGTGCTTCGAGGCGGGCTGGACGGTCGCAGAGACGGGCGGTGCAAGGCATGGAAAGGCTGGGATCGTGCAGAGATGCGTTGAATGTAATTCGGGAACCATTATAGGGAGTGCGTACAGGCATCTTGACGGATATCGTTTGCTGTTGACGATTTGGTCGAGTGACTGGATGGACAGGAAGATTGTATGGCGCTACAGGATTTTCGGCTCGGGTCACCCACTTGAGGGCGTGAAAGCCCTAGCACGCTGGGTTTTTGGTGGAAAATTGGGTGCAAAAATTAGTGGGCTGTGGCTGTGGCGAGCAAAGTGTGGCTGGAGAAGGAATGTGCTGTGGCCTGAGGCAGAAAGATTTCCTGCCACTCCACTGCTTGGTGCTCGACTTGTGGGCTCCACAGCGCAGACTTAGACCCAGCTGGACAGAGTTGTACCTTGAAGAGCGGCAGTTGTAGTATGGCTGTTGCGTGTCATAAACAGTACTAGTAACAAATGATTTATAAATTTGGGCAAAATACTGCTAGGTAACAAGATTTAGTTTAAAGAACAATCAATACAATCAAATACCTCCTTCTTTGGAAACTTAGCAGAGGCAGTTGTGCAGCGTTTGCTCACCTGCCACTGGCACATGCTCACAGAAAGCCAAGGCACCGGAAGCTCAGTAGCCCGCCCAGCAGACCCCTAAAAAGCACCAGCTAAGACCACCAACAGCGACCCAGCCCGCTAAGAAAAACAGCGCTAAAATTTAGGCGTGGGCGAGCTGCGGAATAGGGGACGATTTCTAATCGATCTGTCTCCCTTACAGTTGGTAATAGACAATGTCCTCGTTTAGTTTGTGAGTGTTTGGTGTATGTATCCCTTGCTATGTTGTAATTTTTCAAGGCTTGAGTAAACAATATACACAGCTTGAGAATCATCTTTTATTTTCTACTTCAAACCCGTTTCGTACAAAACCCATACAACTTCTGCTACTCATCCCATCCCATTGCATTCCCCCGCGACCACTACAGGAGGCCCTATCACCCCCTGCTACTACAGCGCTGCTACGCATCGGACACCGCCCGTCACCTATTTCGCCCCCCTTCCCCTCCGTCGCGCGCCGCTCCACCACGTTGGATCGACGACGAACGCCCCCCGCGACTCCGAACAAAGGACAAAAAAAAATACCATCATTCCGCCAGTCTGCTCTCCTTGCCCCCGACACATACACAGGAACACACTCGATACCACATCACCACCACTTCACAATGGGCGCTAGCGTATCATGGCTCTCCAGCATGCTCTGGGCCAAGAAGGAGATCCGCATCCTCATCCTCGGCTTGGTAAATGCGAAGTCCTTCCCCCTTATGTATTCGCCCGCCCGTCTAACCGTCATCGCGCTCTAGGATAACGCTGGAAAGACGACTCTTCTCTACAGACTCAAGGTTTGTTTTTGAATATGCTCCAGGTCCCGCAGGCAGAAGGCTAACCGACCCGTCGCGCAGGTTGGCGAAGTCGTGACGACGACACCGACTATTGGCTTCAATGTCGAATCCGTAACTTATAAGAACCTCAACTTCAACGTCTGGGTATGTAGCAATACTCGTAAACCCGTATTCTACCTGTCTAACATGTAAAACCCTGCACAGGATCTCGGTGGCCAGACAAGTATCCGCCCCTACTGGCGCTGTTACTACGCCAACACCGCGGCCGTCATCTTCGTCGTCGACTCCACGGATATCGAGCGTCTGCAGACCGCGGCAGAGGAGCTGTCGGCCATGCTCAACGAGGAGGAGATCAAGGACGCCGCGCTGCTTGTGTTTGCCAACAAGCAGGACCAGCCGGGCGCCAAGGGTGCCGGCGAGATCTCAGAGGCCCTGCGCCTCGGCGAGCTGCGCGACCGCAACTGGAGCATCATGGCCTGCTCGGCTGTCGACGGCAGCGGTGTCAACGAGGGCATGGACTGGCTTGTTGTAAGTACTGGTGCCTACTAACACACAGCAGAGAAAGCTAACGCGGCAAACAGCAAACCGTTTCACAGGAGTAAAAGAGCTTTCCCTCGAGATTCACACGCACACATAGGCGGCGATGCACACATTTTTTTATAATCTGTACTAACAACCAAAGACGACTTGAAACGATACTAGCAAACCCTCACCTTACGGTTATTTTGATTTTTTTTTACATTGCATTTGAGCCGGCTGCTGCGGCAGTGGTTCTTTAGGCAGGAAGAGAAAGGGGGAACGGGTCTCAAGAGAAAGAGAATAGAGGCAGAGTAATAGGGAGACGCGGAGGATAGGAGTTGAAATATGTTTTTTGGCGTCTTTGCGGATGGAAAACAAGACGAAGACGGGGGCAGGGACACGGCGACCATAACTATTATCACATACTTTTGGGACACTACATCATTATATATCTCTTTTAATAGTCATTTCTGTTTTCATCTCGTCTTCATGTCGGCTGTTTTCTTCTGGCTCGACTGCTTAGGGTTACTAAACAAGTGACTTGGCGACTACGAGGAGCATTTAATGTTTGTGTCATGTTTTGTATTTGCTATGACTGTTATGAAATAACTAAGGCAAGGAGAAACAAACGAGCAGGGATCCTGAAAATTTGTCCTTCCGAGGCAGGGTTCCCAGGCATCATCCCATCAGGCTAGCTAGCTATTACCGTGCGTGATGTACCAAAAGGTTCCCAGCCATCAGCGGCTAGTTGTTCCTTCTTCTATGCAGCATGAGCTGGCATTGCTCGCGGTCATGCTAAGTCTATGCAACCAGTGCAAAAGACTATGACAGGAGGTTTGCGTGGCCCAGTTCCGGATCTCAGTTAAGAGATTGCCGCACCCAACAAACTCAATTTGTTGTTATATAATATCCAGCATCTCTAAAGAGTGCCGTGTTTCTTTGGCTCGACAGGTTGCCCGCCAGAGACAAAGCCGAGCTTTATTACTGAGCTCCAAGCTCTGCATAGCAAGCAGGACTGTCGAAGAAACACTTCACTCCGCCTCATTGTTCTTCCAGCTATGAACCAGCAAACAGATCTGGCTGCTTGCCAGCGTGGAAAAACGTTGCGGCTTGTAGGGAGATGACCTACACAAGTAATGCTTATCAAGTTCTATAGAGCAGATGCTTCTGCGGTGGCCGAGGCAACATGTCAAGAAGCTAGGCTGGTAAGCACCCTAGGATGTCCTACACCAAGCACTGCGCAGCAGCTGGTGGGTGGGGAGCCAGCCCCAGTAGGTCGGGAGACCAAGGACATGTAGCATGAGCATTAAGCTTGTAGTAACTGTCCATATCCAGATGGATGTTGTAAAGCTTTGCTATCAACAGGTTTCTTCGTTGGCGGCGATATTCCTGATATCGCGGCGTTAAAGCATGATATTCGTGTCATGACGGCCGTAAAAGGAAGCGTGTGAGCGGGAAGTCCAGTTCCGTGGCTCAAAACGCGTCGACGATGCTTGTGAGTGTGCCAGTGCTTTGAGCAAAAGGTGTTTTTTGTCTTGGAGTTCGTCGTCGTCATAATTCGTTTGTTGATAGTGGTTTGGGATTGCGTGTATGAATGATGTTGTTGAGCTTCCAGTGAGAAAATATCAAACGCTCAGGGGGTATCATCAATCATCCAAATCCGTGTAGCGCCATGCTTGTACCCAAAATAAAGAGCAAAGAAAGGAAATAGAAGGAAGTAATAAAGAAGATAATGAAAAAAAAGACGCAAATGTAGAAAATGAGGTCTCGGGCCATGCCGAGAGAGCGCATTGCTGCATGTTCCTCTTATATCTTTAACCCAAGATGAAAACAGACAATAAGGAAAAACGAAAAAAAAAGGAAAACAACCGAGGGAAAGCCGCTCGTGAAGTTTGTCAAAATCCCTGCCCGATTTGTAAATGCACTTTGAGGATCCAGTCCGTCTTTGATATAAAGAAAAGACAGAACCGGGCTAGCGGTTCTTGAGGGAAACTGTGTCCTGGGTATATGCGTACCAAGTTTCCCCTTGGCCTTGAGCAAATCGCCCAAAAGGCCGTAGCCAAAAGATAAAATAACACGCTGGCTGATTGAGTGGATATTGTTCCGAAAATGAAAAAGTAAAAACTCCGGTCCCGATGCAAAAGAAAAAAGATGAAGAAGACGCCAGTATGCCCAAGATGTGATCTATGCCGCTGCAAAAGAAGATGTCAACGCTATTGTACGCACGGTGTCTCTGCGTAAAGAGAGAAGCCCGTGATGCAGTATTATTCCTTCGGAGCCGCACGGAACCCGCCATGCGGTGAGCTGGTGGGTTGTGGTTGTCACATTATGATGGGAGTTCCGTAGTCTTGATAGCGTTGCCAGTCGAAGCCAGCCGACATGCCAACACTGACGCCACACTGGCTGGGAGCGTACATGCTGGGCAGAGGAATCGCAGGGATAGGAGCGGTAACCTGAGCAGCGCTGTAGTAGAACCCAGCGGTGGTGTGTGGGACAATGATGGAGTCGGGAGGCGACGGCAGCTGCATCTCGTTCATGCTGAGTTGTGCCCACACAGGAGAGGTAGACGTCTCGGCGCAAGTAGATGCGACGCTGGGGCTAGATGGCAAGACGTGCCAGGCATCGACCGTGGGAAGGTTAGGAGCCTGGGACCACATGTTTGCGTTGTTGATGGGCGAGCTGGGCAGCAGCTGGGGCTGGCGGATGACCTCGACGCGAGGAGGAGGGGGAGGAGGAGGAGCGACAAGAGGCTTCATGAGGTTCATGAGGTTGTTCTTGACTTCCTCGCTTCGGCCGCACAGCAGCTCGCCTGCACCCTCTTCCTCGAGGCCCTCGAGGGCCGAGACGTGTGTTCGAAAGACAAACTTGTTGATGGCCTGGACAAAGTCTTCGTGAAGCTTCTTGGCCTGCTGCTCTTTGCCGGACCACTCGGTGGTGTTGGCCTTTGCGTCGACGCAGTGAATCTCCTTGTGGTACTCGACCATGGTTTCAATGGTATCCTTTGTGAGCTTGTAGGCAACCTCATTGCGGAGGACCATGTCGACATGGACGATGTAGGCTTCGAGGTGGATCATCTGGTGGGCGAAAAGGTGCTCGACGGGATCGACAGGCATCTCAGATTGAGGAAGCTTGGGAAGCAGGACAGAGGCAAGGGTCCAGATGGCGTTTGTGGAAGAAAGTGTCTCGGTGAGGCATCGCTGGTGCTGGCTGACGTTGTTGAGCGGGCGCTTTGTTCGGTTGACACGCTTGAGAGTCTGTGTAAGCCAAGGCTCAACCTTGGATCCTAGGACGACGTTGACCGAGGAAGCTCTGGGCGCAAAGGCGGCAGCCGACGCAGGAAGTAGTTGCACGGGCATCTTTGAATCGTGGGGCTGGTCGAAGAGGCGGGGGAGCCAGCCAAGTGTGTATCGGGAGATCGGAGAGGAGGATTTTCGGAGGGAGTTGGCAAAATCGGGAGGTGGATTAAAAAAAAAAAAAGAAGGGCAAAAGGACGACGGGAGATTAGCAGTTGGGAGAAATTATTGACGATGCTGCTGAGCCGCCTTTTGGGGGGGAGAGGGGGGAGAGAAGTGAAGAGGATTGAGGCGAAAAAGCCGTGGAGAGAGGAGAGAAGGAAGTTGAAGGTGCGGTGGGGGGGAAATGCCTTATAATCGAAAGCGGCAGTGGGCGGGAGCTGCGCTGGGGTGGACGGGATCTAGTACCAAGAGGGGCGTGTGGGCGGTACCGGTAGTGCACTTGTAGCGTAGTGGCGGGGGGAAAAGAGTGGTGTAGGTTGTAGTAGTGTGGCGGGGAGCGCTGTAGTGTAGCAGATAGTGTAGCGAGATGGCGGGAATTGTGTCTTATAGAAGTTGAAGCCTTGCGAATAAAAAGATCTTGTTGGACTTTGGCTTGTCGATGTCATCACAAGCTCTGCTTCTATTTTGGAAGCATCATTATCCGCGCGCTGCGGTCTTTCGGACAACAGCGAAGCCGCCCCTACTGCAGACTAACCAACCCAAGGCAGACTGCCACTAACAAGAAAAAAAAAAGAGGGCGCTGTGCCGCTGCAGGCTGCTGGGGCTGCGGTATGCTGGGTGCTGCTGCTAAACAAAGAAGAGGGGGGCGCATGCAATGCATGTCTTGGGGGCGTGGTTAGTGGGTCGACAGTCACTGTACAGTGCTGCAGCACAGTGAGGCAGCCCAGCCCACGGTGGTGGTTAACCGAACCCGCGCAAGTTTTTTTTCTCGTTTTTTTCTTTTTCCTTCTGTTCCTACGCTACCAAAGCCCACTGTGCCCACTGTGCACCAGCCTAGGACCCCCCCTGGTCTTCTCGCCTTAGCGCTCCCTCACAGCGCCCATCAGGCGGGCCCACCACCCTCACGCCCCAAAAGAATTCTTTGTCGAACGGCGCGGTGCCTCCTCCACATTGGGCTTGCTCCTCCGCTGCATGCAACGTGCTCTTCAGCAGCACAGCCATGATGCCAGTGCACATCACGCTGCCTCTCCCAAGAGACACTGGGCTTGTGATGCAGGTCTGCCTCCATCAATACCACCACGGCTTTGCCTAGCTGCAGGCTCTGCGCCACACGGCCAAAGCCAGCCCGTTGTACTGGGACGGCCAACCCAGGTTCAGGTAAGCAAGCAGGCAAAGCTGCTGATGCAGAGAGACGCCTCATTCTCAGGTGATTAAATCTCCCAAAGCTGTAGTGCTTTTTTCTACTTTTGTGAGACAGGTTCGTCTGATATGCGGGCCCCTACAAACCGACCGAGATGCTGCGACAATACAGACACACAGGCGGTCAACAGTCTTCCTTTGAAAACCTGTCTTGGATCCGAGGTGTGGCTCCTCTGTGCAAGAGAGGTCACGCTCTCTCTGTGCCTGCTGCTCGTTGCCCTTCTGGTAGAGAGGCTCTTGTCACGGCGCTTGCTCAAACATGCAACGCAGGCCAGGTTATCTCAATCTATTCCACTGTCGCTCACTGCAGGAGAAAAGCCCCGGCCTCGGACAATTTTCTGTTTAAATTAATCGCTTTTTTGCGCGTGTTGCTCCAGGCGCCTCCAGCTGGTCGCCCTACACGCCCTCTGTAACGCCAACCACCCCCCCTCAGGTCAACGCCTCCTAGAACCAAAAATCTGGCTATTGTTCGGACAGCGTGTCCTGAAAATCACCATCATCATTAGTATTACAATCTACAGACAGACCCCGGATACAGTGTGGCAAAGATGCCGACCAGGCTAGTGGTACAAGATAACATGATGAACCGAGACGGGCCGGGGGACAGACGCTTCCCGCCTGGATGGCAAATAGTTACGACGCTTATGCAGGCAACTGGAGCCGTGGACGAGGAAGCTAGAGCCCGTTCAAACAGTTCCTAGGCGCCGATTCGTACATGGCAAATGAAGGCCTGCAGGCTGTCTGTCCATGAGCTGCGACTGGGACAAGGCGGGCGGCGCCTTTAGTGACGGAAACGGTCATATCAGTACGAAATGAAGGCAGCGGAGATGAGACCCGGCATCTGCAGCAGACAAGTCAGATCATGAAGGTCTGCATAATCGGTCGAGGCAAGGAGACAACAAGAGAGCGCGGAGTGTCTCCTCTACTACATACAGTTCGTGCCACGGAGTCCCCCCTCATGACTTGCATATTCTCGCAGCGTACGCCATGCGCGTGGCCTGGAATTGCATACTCGCCTACGCAGGACCGACCGTTTTCCTGGGGCTGACGCCTTGTGTCACTGCTTGGAGCGGGCGCCTAGCAAAACCAGCGATATATTGATGTGACCTGTAGTTCTCAACGGGCAAGCCTGGGCGTCCGTAACTTTCTGGAGGGTGGGAAAACCTCCAAGCCAGGCTCTCGTATCCCCGAATCTTGAGCCAGCAAGGGAGCAGCCGCAGCTAAGAGCGGGAAGACTCCTCTTCTTTCTTCTGTTGGAAGAGTGCCGAGCATCCCGCCGTGGGTCGGGGTGTCCCAAAGAGCTGAAGCTTGTTTGGCGGAGGAGCCACCAGGTTTCCTAACTGGGGAAATCCCCTGAATCTTGTGGTGATGGCGAAGAGAGAGAAAAGCGCGCCTGCGAGCCTTGGTTGGCCAGATGAAGAGCAAAGGGGTGCGAAAGAGCGACAAGATCCAAAAAGCCCGAAAAAAGCTGCTGCTTGTGTGTAAATGGGCGTAGAGGAGTGTGGGTGTGTTTGGTGTAAGATGGCTGCTGGGCGTTGTGATTGGTCAGATGGGCTGGTAGGAGGTGGTTGTCCAGGTGGGGACGGGGGTAAAGAGGCCGAGACGGTTTACGCTGATTGGCTGATCGGCGGCCAATCATGATGCAGAACAGGGGTGGCCTGACGTTTTGGTGCTCTTCTCGCAGAGACAGATGGGACTATTGAAGGGTGCTATTTAATGGGTTCTCGCTCTTATTTTTTCGTTTTGGTGGTGGGTTCACGGTGCTGGTGAATATCAAGCCTGCTAGTTCGATCCCATCCTTTGTGCCAAAGCTTCACTTATAGAAAAACGGGCTGGATCGGGAGAGGCTATGCGCTTGCTTCGTCGACTAGCTCCTACACAACCCGTCTCGTTAGCCGCTGTGGCAGAAGACTGACGCAGCACAAGTGTCAAGAGAATGCTGCCATTGCCTGCATACACCACATGCAAGATTAGACCGATCCGGATGCACCAGTTTGTAGGCCGAGTCATTCACGTCAAACAGCGGTAGTATCAGGGACGGAACGGCCAATCAACTAGGCCCAGGTTCCCCGTTAACGCATAGTATTCATGTTGGTACGCAAGTACTTTGAAAAAGAGGGGTGGCATGAAGCAGGACGATGGGCAATTCCTGCACACTGTCATGATCAGTCGTCGTCTTTTTTGTGACGGAGCAGTTAGTGCCCCCGAAGTATGCATGAGATTGCGGCCCGTCTTCAACAGCAGCCCTTGCACACAGTACGTTACGGCAGACGCCGAAGACACTACTTACCATGTTTCTTGCCCCCCTTGCCTTTCAGTCGGCACTGTACTTGGTACTCTAGCAGAAACCAGGCTCGCTGGAACTAAAGAGGGTTGCGCCATCCCGGCGGCCCATCTGCGACGCTCGAGCCGTTGTGTGCTCTTGGTAGCTCGCTGTTCCAGCACTCTGGTTGGGCGCGGCCCCCGCTGGCATGGGATGGGATGGTAGGGCTGGGTTGAGATAAGCAGTCGGAGGAAATAGACAGAAAAGGACAGAATTAATTACCAGGGGCCTGGTCATAGAAAGTGGAAAAAGAAGAAGAAGAGGCAGACGAAGCTGGCGTTGCTGCGACGTGTATAATACAAACTGGGCGTCTTAGTCCCCTGTAAGCTGGAACCCCTGCGCCTGTACAGTACTTACAGGTGCTGTCCCGCGCTGCACAGTGTGTGCGAGAAAGGGAATTCCCATGATCTGATACTCCGCGGGCAAGTACCGAAAACCACTACCCCTTTCGGCACCGTGAAGAAAGGAAAAAGAAGTGGGAAATCCAGGAGAATAGAATCCTGATTTTTCCTGATTTTACCTTATTCCCCCGATGCTTTCAGGCTCTGCTAGGCCCCCATGTGCCGACCTCAGACACACAGCGTAGCACCCGGCTTTCCCCCTCTCCCCGCAGAACCATTCATTTTTGCAGAGCACTTGAAGAGGCAAAATTTTCTGCTGTTGATTTTTAACACATGGCAGCAAGTACACATGGCACCTGCAAATGTCTCAGTCTGCGCCGTAAATGTAGTGTTGGCAGCGGTGCTGAAAGGCGGTGGCTTACACCAAGCACATGTTTATACCGTCCGTATTCATCTATCTGCATACAACACAATAACGCACACAGTTTTGCAATTCCTTTTTCCACTTTGACATTTAAAATCTTGATTTGGAAACATCTCGCAAGGCAGATTCCCCAATCTATCCTGTCTTCTGCAGCCGCCACTGCAGCCAGCAATAGGACCCTTGAACAGCTGGACAGGATGCATCTGCGGCATATGCACCCACGGAAGAGATCTACACTTGCGAATCGATGCCCGAGGATGCCGAACCCGGAAAAAAAGAACAATAATAGAAAAAAGTGTAAAAATTTAAAAATATGCACTTTCAACGGCAGCCCCGAAAAGCGCGGCTAAAAAACATCATCATCATGCAGCGAGTCTCCAGCACCGCGCAGCATAACGTGGCTGTGCAACCTGTTTCGCTGGCGTAGTGGCGGCCTCCCGCTCCTGCACCCGCGCCACCGACTCGTTTCCTAATCGGGCAATCCCACATGCGCTTTTGCCGCGCTCCAGCCTCACTATCGCTTGTAAAGCTTGCTTCTTTTGCTGCGTTGTTTGTAAGAAAAGAAAACAAAGTGATAGTCTAGAAACAAGGCTATCGGTCTGACAAAACGGGAGAAAAAAGAAATCAGGCTCTCGCGCGATCTCCCGGCCCGAAAGCCTCACTCCCCTCACCTAGCCGCCACCCTCCTCCTTTGTTCTGCTGGAGCGGTGAGACATGGGCCATGTGGTGAGGCGGGCAAGCAGCGACGAGGACCCTTGCCGATGACGAGATGCGACTCGTGCTGTCTATCTGAGTCTTCTTTGTCTTGCGATGTCGGTCGCCCCCCAAACCCAGAAGGCCGCTGGTACAGGCCGGGCAACAGTAAAGCCAGCCAGCCAGTAGGTCATATGACTCTTCTTGATGCTTTGCGCAAGGCTCGCAGGCTGCGAGTTGCAGACTAGCTGCAGCAGCTCGGCGGCCAGTCGTAATCGTGTTGCGGACCAGAGTATCGAGTCTACGGCCTGCACTGTACAACACCGACGACTGTGACTGGTGGTGGCCAGTGGCGAATCAAGACGGCGATCTGGGGCTCGCAGATTACATCCCATACGCGGCTTATAGTAGAGGGAGGCGACGTTACCAACTCGAGGGGTATGTCTATGTACGCGGCAGTAGTGGCTAGTTGGGCAGCAATAGCCCTTTACTACACTTTGCCTCACTGGAACGAAGCTGCAGCCGACTTGACAGTCTGAGCCTCGCTGCCTCTTTGTCCTTTGTTAACCAAGAAAGCCTTTGCGGTTGCTTTCTTCTTTTGGACGACAGTCTGGTGCGACTGTACGAATCCATACCGCGGCCGAGAACCCCTTCCACCAAGAACGACGAACTATGGTCTGTCGCATCGCTACGACACTCATTTCAAATTTCGAAGCTATTCAAACACTAATTCAGTAGGACTGTCCCAACTTGCCAGATAAAAACTTGGTCCAAAATAGCTGCTCTATGGATCCCGACGTTCTGCCCTAATCCGCGATGTAACACGGCACCGCCATCGCCGTAGACCCCGTCTCCATCTTGGACCCAGTACTATAATAGATCAGCAAAAATTACGAGTACACTCGTTTTTAGTCAATATTTCAAGTATTCTTTGATAAATATTTTAGAATTACCATTTTTATCAATCTTTGTAGAAGATTATGTATGGTATAAATACGTTATATGTATCGAGGTTTCAGATGAGAATTACATATAAAGTTTGTGTAAATATATACTTGGAATGCGTTTGTTGAAACATGGACTACTTGTAACTTTTGCTTACCCACTGTAGTGTCCCCATCTATCAAAGATTTCTATCTAGACCATTTGCGCCCGCTGATTTGCGCTTTGGTGCCTTTTGAGGTCGCCTTTGCTGCTGCAACGCCCGATGTTTGCCGATGCGCAAACCGGAGATCGGGCAGCTCGTCAGCAAGCGAAACAGGTTACATATATTGAATGTTCACCATGAAAGAATAGAGTGAAAACGCGAAATTAGATACGAATAGAGTATAATATAGAATAGAAGAGAGTTTTAAAGCGCCCATATCAAACTAAAGTACCAGAAATGTTACATCGTCATCTAAAACTTGCTCGCCCACACCAACGCCGCTCCCCTATGCAACAACACGACAACTAGACATTGTTCTACTTCTTCTCCGACTTAGCACCGGCTAACAGTTCCGCCGAAATGCCCCGCGAGATGTAATCCGCAATAGACATGACAGTGACCATGGGATTGACACCGCTGGCGCTAGGGAATACACTAGCATCCGCCAGATAGAGGTTTTTGTGGCCCCAGACTTTACCCTTGGGGTCGACAACGCCATCCGCAGCCTTTGCGCTCATGCGGCACGAGCCCATCTGATGGGCCGAGTTGAAGGATGCCACGGGCGGCTTGTTGCCCACCTTGCGCATCTTCTTGAGCCACTTGGCAAACTTGGGGTCCGTAAACTCGGGGTCCTTGCCGTCCGGGTGCGCCGCCTGCAGCTTCGGGTCGCCGTCGACCTCGACAATAAACGGCGGCACGCCCATCAGCAGCGGCCGGATCTCCGAGGCGCCCTCGACATACAGCAGCTTGGCCAGCGCCTCCATGCCGTCGAGTGCGTGCTCGCAGTCAAACGCGGACGCCGTGTAGGCGATGCGCGGCTTGCCTGTCTTCTTGTCAAGGTACACATGGCCGGTATCGCGGTCGCGCGTGATGGAAATCAGCGAGCGCTGGTGGCGGTAGCGCGGTGTCACCATGCGTGCGTCGACGCCGGAGTCCCAGTTTGAGCCGGACAGGGCAACGTACGGCTATTGTGCAATCAGGGTTAGCAGTGTATTCATCTCTGCAAACTAGGTGAGGTAATACGTACCACGAGGCACAGAGGCTCCAGCTTCACGCCGTGGCCCTTGTTGTCAAGGTTCTCGAATTCGCAGCTTACAGATGTGATAATGCCGCCTTCCCAGGGGCGCTCGTCATCCTTGACAACGGCTGCCATCAGGTTGGCAGGGTGCATGTGCAAGTTTTTGCCGACTTGCGGGTTCTATTGGGACGAGTGTTAGTTCTAATGCTGAGTCTTGTTGTTCGGCGGATTCAACTTACCTTGACGCCGCTCTTCATCAAGAGCGCAGGTGTCTGGAGACAACCGCTCGACACGATGACCTTGGACGCCTTGATTCGGACCTTGCGCGTCGTCACCTTGGTCTTGTCGTGGTTGACATGGCCGTCCGCATCGCGCGATGTCCAGGCGCCCTCGACACCAATCGCCGTGACGCCATCAGCCGCAAACAGAATCTTGTCGACTTGCAGACCCTCCATACACTCAGCACCAGCATCCGCAGCCTTGGGCAACCATGCCACAGCAGGGCCCTTCTTCTCGTTCATGCCGCATCCAAGATGGCACTGGCCGCAGTAGTGCTCCTTGCTGGAGGTGTTTTGGTCCACAGGCTTGCTGTGCCAGCCGAGCTTCTTGGCTCCGTCAAGGATGATGCGATTGTTGTGGTTGTGGCGAATGGCATCGGAACTTGCGCCAATGCCCTCCCACACTCTGTCCTGAGACTCGTCGTACTCGGAGGACGTGAAGAGCGGCAGTCCGCCAGCAGCCCACTCCTCTCGGACGTACTTTTGCAGCTTCAAACACACGCTCCAGTTGATGCTGCCGCCGCCGCCCCATGTGCTTCCGGCAACGACACTCATGCCTGAATCGTCACTGAGGTAGATACCGCTGTTGTCAAAGAGCAAGCCGGCGTCGGACTGCTTGACCGGTAGTGATTCAGGCTTGAAGTAGTAGCCCTTGTCCACGACGAGCACCTTGTGGCCAGCCTCTGCGAGGTTTTTGGCAGATACACCGCCGCCGGGACCCGAACCGACAATGACAACCTCGGTGGTAATCTCGTGCACACTGTTGCCCGCTTCCAGCTGGATAAACTTGAACGGGTAGCCTTCTTGGGCGGTCCAGTTGCGAGGGACATCGCTGTACTTTGTAATCGTCTTGAACCACGGGTTCGAGGTGGCGTTTGCCTTTTGGCCAATGACGCTCATGGATTTGCACATTAACTTGAGCTGCTCGAGTCTGGATGTGGCCCAATTGCGAAGGATCTTTTCTCGGATGCGAACGGGCTGCAGATGGGGGCTTTTCCAGTATCCCGTGAGCAAGAGACTACCAATGTGAGAGCTGCAGTCGCGCGTTAGCACCAAGTTGTGTGATGAATCCTCTTTGGGGCAGGTTGCCATCGAGGTTTCGGTATGACTTACTTTAGCAGGGTCATGGCGCTGGCGATATCAGCTCGCGCAGCAGCGCCAAAGAGTGTCTTTTCGCAGTCCATTCGGAAGGCTGGGTTCTCCGAGACTCTGTATTCCAGGAATGCAATGAGGTCCTCCTCCGAGGGCGGGTCGTGCAGCCGCGATCTCGTCTGCTTGATCAGCTTGTCGAACTCGTCGTCTGAGAGGACCAGCTGGTTGTGGTGGTCTGTCGCGCGCGACGTCGACGTGACGGAGGGGAGCGCGGCATCAATCAAAGAGTAAAAGGTCGTCCAGCAGCTCTTGGACATGTACGACGTCGACTGAGCGCCGGAGGAGAGCGCCGGCTTGTATTCATCGGGAGCCTGCTCCGTCGTGGCGGGAACAGCTTGCATAGTGCAAGTTGATCTGTTTTATCAGCGCTGAGAGATGCGACAGTTAGCTATGCCAGTCAGTAGCCGGTATGGTTATGTTAGAAGCGTACCCAAAAAGCGTTAATGGCTGTTGGTTATTCTTGTTGTTTAATTGGAGCTTCTCCCGTTGCTATGGGCGGCGATGGTCCGAGTGCTAGCGCGGGAATCAAAGTCAAAAAGTATGCGTAGCGCTCTGTCGCAAACAAGATAATTCAAAAAGCAACAGCTCGCAAACGACAGAAAAGCGTGTGATGGGATTCGCAAGTAGACAAGCAAGGATGAAATGAAGCACGTCGTGAGAGGAGGTGGCATATAACCAGAGCAGAGTCGGATCGGCATTTCCCGTTGCTCCGACCTCCCCCAGGCGCTGTGGTCCCCCGCAAACGCCACTAAAAGGATGCCCTGGCGACACGGGAAGCGGAACTGCGGGCCAACTGTGAAGGAAGGAAGGAAGGAAGAAATACAGCGCTGTCAATTTGCTGTGGTTGGAAAGAGAAACAAAAAAATAGATTGGTTATGAGATGAAACGATATATTGTTTGCCATTCAATATGAAACTTGTATACACTCGCCTCTTCTACCCAAAATTTGCATCAGCCCATTTTCAATTCGTCTATCCCCCAACTTCCCCCGCTCCCCGCTAACAAAAAAACCTAAGATTGAGAAACAATACAGCCAGCCCATTCAATTCCTGTACCACAAATCAGTCAGGCCACAATCAGTTGTGATCCAATTCGCTGATGCTCCCAATTTACCGGAGCCTGCCCTATCTTGAGACCCTCCAGTGTAGTAAAAGCCCTCGCTTAGGCTATTACCACTGGGCGTCCCCCGCATCAAACATCGAAGTCGGCACAGATTATGCGGGGAATCACGCCTGGATCCAGCCGCCCGTGCTATTTTAGCTTCTGACTCCGAGGCAAGCTCCCCCAAGGAAACCCAGTATTATTTCAAGCCACAGGGGTCATCCAGTGTGCCATTGGCGGTTGTCTGTACGCTATGTATTTTGCTTGAGTTAGTGGGAGTGACAATGTCAGTCGACCGACTCAATACAGGCTGCAATTACTACAGCAAATGCACGAAAGAAAAAAAGAGCACACATTATTGAGAATAAATGACATCTGGTCAATTCATATAACCGTAAAACTCCGCTAAATCCTGCTTGCAAAATGCAATCAGCCTCCATAGACCTATCCGTATATCCCAGTCCGTGAGGCTTTACAGGCCGTTCTAGTTTCCCTTCCCACCTGTAAAAACAAGAAAAATGGCATGTCAAATGAAACACATGGAAAACACCACCTTGTTCATCCTGACTCAATCGCCTTGGAACAAAAATGCCTTCCGTTTTTCCCTGTTTTTCCGTTTGCCCCTCCGTCTTTTTGATTTCCATCCCATCCCATCCCATCCCCCAAAGTGTAGATATAAAAAAAAATGACATAAGCTGCCCTATGCAGTTTTCCCCCAATAGTCTGGATTCGTGTTCTTCCAGGCCAAGGGGAAAACGCAGAGCGGCATGATAAAAAAAAAGCCGACAAACCCCGTACCCAGTCCAGACGTTAGAGCAATGTTTCTGGCCAGTGCAAGCCATGATGCTCTGCTATCTGCACAGTTCATGCCAATGTCGCCGTCTTCTCCTTCGTTCTTCGTAAAAGCGTACAAGACTGAAAAGAATAGTGCACAGTGATATACCGTACACATGTGAATATATATATATACAGGCGAAAATAGTTCAACGCCAATGGATCCGTGTGTTTTCGAACCGCATTCTAGTGCGTCACATCTGCGGCTGGAAATGGCGGGCTGGTTCCCTTGCTTCTCCTAAAAAACGGGAACTCTTTGATGCGGAATCGACTGGGGCGCTTCTTGAGCGTCTTGCCCTCCGCCTTGCCAATGCTACCAGTTCCGGAGCTCATATCTTCGGAGGTTGTTGGCTCAAGGTATGAGCCAGGCAATAGGCCGCTCTTGGTGCTAGGCGGCGACATCTCCAACGGTGACACACCCGCAGTTCGATCCATTTCATCGTTGCTGACGACGCTGGTTCCCTGGGTGCTGGGTGATTGAGCCACCTTCCCGGTGCCGCTGGTCGCTTGCGAGGCCCAGTCTCCGCCATACGCTCCAGAAATACTGCCGTCGGTGGTTTCGCTACGCCGTTGGTGGCCGCCAGGCATCGACTTGTCTGTCGTGCTGTCTCCTCGCCCTCGCGTGTTGAACGGGTCGCTGTCGGCCAGCTCGCGGACTGCATCAAATGAGGAGTTTGAACCCCGAATAAAATAAATTTCTTTACGGTCGGCGCTGAGGAGATGCGAGGGTTCGGTAGGTGACTGTACCACTGTCGAGGCTGATTCGGCATTTGTCAACGTCTCCGAGTCAGGTATCGATTCCTTGACGGTATCTGGCGTCGAACGAACACCGTCGCTGTCGGAGCCATTCGTCGAGTGGCCGTTGAGCTGTGCATCGACCTCTGCCGTCGGTGTGCTTGTTGCTGTCTTGTCAGCAATAAAGCTGGTCGTTCTAGGCGACATGGTGCCTTCTCTCATTCCCCTCTGCAGTCCCAAGATCTCTGGGCCTAGTGATGCCTTTGCGTCTCGAACCTTCATCTCAAAGAGGCTCTTATTAATCTCCAGTTCCTCAACCACATACTTCATGCCAGGCATAATGTCGGCTACGCCCTGAAACAGCGGAATGGCAAACATGTTCATAAACCCGAGCTGTCCTGTTCCTAGCGACAGAATGTCCTTCTTAGGCGGCATCATAAGGGACGTCTTGATGTCGAGCTCCTCCTCCATGGTGGCTTGGCGCATAAATTCGTCCGAAAGAATATGCATCCACTTCAAAGCCGTATCGTGTTGTCTAGCCACGTTGGAGATGTCTGCGCATTTGATAATCAGGGAGCAGGCAAGTGTTCGGTAATCCTCGAGTTGGCGGCCGTTCCATCCCTCTGATGTGTTGTTGTGCTGCAACTTTTCCTGCAAGTCGCCGAGCTTCTTCATGTAATCAAAATGGAGGCCCATGTCGGTGGCCAAGATCGAGCTGATCATTAGATTGCGCATCTGCCTATCCTCAAACGCGGCCGGCCAGTATCGTCGAAGGATTTGTGAGTACGCGGCGCAGTGGAAAGCCTCGAGAACGGATCGGTCGTTATATAGTTGCGCGAGGGGTGCGTTAAGGGTGGTGAGAAAGCCGTTGTTGACGCCAGGGTGTCCGACGTCATGTCCGATGGCTGTGATGAGAAGCGTCAAGGCATCAAAGGGAGACAGGAGAGAGGCAACGGGGGATTTATCGGTGGGGAGGCTCTGATGCGCCTGTGAGTACGGGGGAAGCGCCCGAATATGAACAAGGAAGTTAAAGGTGGCTTGCAAGACATCGACGACATGGCGGAAGTTATGATAGGGGACAAAACTGTTATACGCAGTGCGGCATGCAACGAGAAAGCGGATAAGTTGGTCTGTAATAGTCTATATGTTAGCACATGAAAAACAGGTTGGTTTGAGGCAATGAGTGAACTGAGAGCCAGTTAACACGAAGAGAGATTCTTACCAGTAGAGATATTCCAGGGCGCAAGCTCAGGCATCTGTAGAGCATGTTGGAACATGAGCATGGCGGCCACTAATAATTCGTCGTCGCCAAATGAATGCGCGCAAAAATGCCAGCGGCCGACGGCGATGGCTATTTGCTCCTGTCGCTCCGAAGACACGGAAATGTGAGCAGTTGATATTTGCTCATCATCTTGCTCCCCCCGACAGATGCCGCTCATCAAGCCTGAGACCATGGCCTCGCGCAGGTAGGAATACGGCTTTTGCTCCTTGGCTACGGTAACACCAACCCAGGACCGCTTACGTCCGGCGGTGATTTCGCGGAGGGCTTGCTGGTCGCGGGCGGCATCACGCATTGCCTTGTAAGCGCAAATTTCGAGCGTCGCCGTGCACTTGTTGTTGACGGGGCTGATGATGACTTCGACGGCGCCGAGGTCGAGGCAGCGTCTTATCAGCGAGCGATGGCCCATGAAGGGGGAGCGCGACGATCGGTCAGCAGCGCCATCAGTGGAGGCGGCGACAGGGGCGGCGGCTGGGGACGGTGTGCCGCTGATGACGGGAACGGGGATGACAAGTTTTGTGACGCCGCGCAGGTTGGATTCCGTGATGACTTTTTGGAGAAGAGCCAGGCCGTAGAGGTTGTCGTCTGGTGTGTGGATGCCGAAGGCTTCGGCTGTCGGAGCGGTGCCCGCCACGCCAGTGGTCGACGGGGTTTCGGGAATCTTTGCGTCAAAGGGTGTGTCTATTAATACAATGGTGGGCTGTATGTTGTAGAGAGCCGCCTCATGCGAATCGAAGACGGCAGTGAGGCAGGCAGCCCCGGTAGAAACAACGTGAACTGCAAAAAAAAAGTCAGAGTTTAGCGATTGGGGGATCCACGGGCACAGCGAACGCGGGCAGCCTCTGATAGACGGCCGGCGGGGACGAGCGACTTACCTTGATCGAAAATATTGAGCAGCGGTTGGACATCATCGGCAACAGTCCTGACAGTTGGCGTAGTAGGAGAGGGCGTCGAGGGTGGTTCTGCAGCAGCGGTCGATATGTCGTGGTCTTGTTTGCGCACGAGTCCGTCCTTGTCCACGTTGCGGTTGACCCAGACGACCCGGCAGGATAGTTTGTCCATTGTGGCAACGAAAGGCTACCAGTCTCGCGACCGGAGCACGTTCACCACAGGAAAAAGAGGCACCTTTTGTCAGTGTGGTTGCTCAATCAGAGGGCGAGCGGTCGACCACGGTTGGCGAGGGTTGCAAGGACCAGCGACTGACTCCAGCGTGGCGAAGAGAGCGAGTGTGTGTGCGTGTGTGGCTGTGTGTATTTTTTTATCCGCTTGGTGAATGGGAATTCGACAAGAGCATATGGTCGAAGGCGAATCCGTCGATGCTAGCGGCGAGAGAATTGCACAAGTTGTATTATGGCGAGGGGATGGGCGAGTCGACGAGAAAGAGAGAGGAAGAAACGAGCAAGCTGGCGATTCAGGTAATTTGGGCGGTGGTGTGCGCGCTGAGTGGTGCTTGCTGGTGCGGTGCACTGGCGAATGGGCGCAACGGTGTCGCAGCTCTGCCGGATCAGGATTGGGGGTGTGGCCTGGAATTTTGGAACTCTGAGGGGGGGGACCAGCTGTTCTGGAAGGCGTGACGAAGGCTGCTGCTGCTGGATTCTGGCAGGGAGGGGGGGGCGCTGCCGCGGTCGGGTAATGCGCGTACGTGCCTGGCAACGAACGTGATTCAAAAGGCGAGCAGAGGCCCAAAAACGAAGCAAAGAAACAAAGATGGGCTACGATGGAAAACAAAACATATTAATTAAACACCACTACACAGGATGGAACACCCCATTTGCATGCTACAAGAAAAAAAACATAATAATAAAGGTCGCATCCGCAGCGGACGTTCAGTGAGGGCGAGCCCCCTATGATACCTGCTCTGGGGGCAGCGTGCTACAGGGCCTGGGGCGGGCTGGGCGGGGGCAAAGAGAAAAAGTGGTGAGCTCAGGCCCGAAAGTAAGGGTTGGCCTATACAGGTAAAGTCAAAAAAAGAGAAAGATGGGGAAAGAAGGGACGGAAGAAGCCTGAGAGAAGGCGAGGGCCTGCGGTGATTGGCTACGGCAGATCCACGAGACCCCAATTTTTCTTTTTTTGGGGGCCCTGCATGCAGTGGGCAGCGTGCAGTGGGTTGCTTGTTGGTGGTGGTGGTGGTCCTACGGGTGCATGAGCCTGCGTGGGTGGGTAGTGGCTTGTAGCAGTGCTGCAGCACGCTGTAAATAACCCACGAGCAGGGCCTAGCCTCCTGCTGACAGCCGAAAGCCAAGCTAGGTTTAGAGGGGGGGGGGGCTTGGGTGGATTCGGCGCTGCAACCACCTGCAGCCGGCCAGCGTAGCGCGTCCCAGAAGAGGGTAATACAGGGCCCTTCGCGTTGCCACCTTTGCGCTCCAGAGATGGCGCTAGCAGCTTGGGCGACAGGCGGATCCCTGTGCCAGCGCCGAGCCGCTCGAGTTTCAGCAACTTGGGCTCCAGCATGGGATGTGCGCTAAGCTCATGCACTGCTACCGTCCTGAGTGCTGCTCATTTTGGGCTGCTGCTGCTGCTGTTGTCGCTGGGATCGACTTGCTGGCTGCTACTACTAAGTTACTGTGCGGCGTTGCGAGCGGGGAACCACCCCCCAAAAGAAGAGGCCAGAGGTCAGACATTGCAATATGCTGATGCGGCGGGCGTCGGCGAATCAACGAGCCTCCAGCGGTTGCAAGCTATGCAGGTGTGAAATTGCGGCCGGTAAGAGAAGATACAAGAGAGATGCAATATTAATACAAGGAAAGCACGGACAATAAACCATCGCTTGGGGCGGCCAGTCACTCACTCACTCACTGCGAGCAGCAGCTCAAAGAGGGCGAATACAATGACAAACATCAGCTCTGACGAGATGACGGTAGTGAGTGGTGTGGGCATCGCCTAAAGCTTGTTCTTGGGGCTGGGCCACTAGCGATCGACACGGGCTGGACCCAAGAACAGCGCCTCAAACAACCCATCTTTCCTTTTATCCTTCTGTGCTGCTTCTTTTTATCCTTTGCCAGTGGCCCCGGATCGAACGGGGAATAGTCATCCTTTGTGGGAGTAACGCCTCGCCCGCGCAGCACAATGTAAGCAAAGCACCAGCAAAAAAAAAAGAAAATAATAAGACTACGGGAAAGTATTGCGCATGTCGCTTAACAATCCCGCCCCCATGCATGTAATGCTGGACCATGTTCTCCCAAACATGGCGCGGGATGCTAAGACACACGCCTTGCATGTTGTTTTTCTGATATGAAATAACACAATTTGTTTAATACAATGCGTGCAGCATATCTCGGTGGATCATGGCACCTTGCATCCGTCTGCCGATACCACAGCATGCATCTGGCCGGGCTTACACAGCACAGCGATGGAATGACAATCGCCCTGAGCGCTGCAACCCTCGCGATGCCAAATGGCAGCCAACGGTGCTGCCTCGAGCTGCCAATCTTGTCAATGTAAAGGCGCAGGCGTGCGCGGAGGCGAAAACAGGTAACTTTAAATCACACCACCTGCCTGGTGCCCGAGAGACGACGGGCAAACGCCACGCGCCCCCCGATGCTCTGGCGTGTCTGTCGTCGTCAACCATCGCCATCGTGTGTGTGGTGGTGGTGACTTGATAGCAGCAACCCCGGCATTTGTCAGGGGGCACATGCTGCTGCTGATGCCACTGACGTTGTGGATGCTTGTTTTCTTTTTTTTGTATCTTTTTAATCAATATACGAATGCACTCGGTGCAGCAGCATTCACCTGGGCTTCTCCTGCGCAATGCCTGCTCGTTTCCAATCGGCATCACAAGCACCATGGCAACAATGACGGCATATCACGCGCTATCAAGCACACGCGGTGCACATCTACACTCGAATCGGACACCACCACCACCACCACCCGTCATCTGCGCACACAGCTGTCATTTATTCTAGATTAACTTTTGTCGCCACCGTAGACATAAGCCCATGCTATGTACAGTACATTCATTATGATACGGTCTGTCCCCTGGGCAGTTGCACCGCAAGAGTTTCTTGGCTTATAGGAGAAGTATGTACCTTAGCGGAGAGACGCTGATTTTTCGAACGTCCAAAGATAAAAAGAACGTGTATTTGTATAAACAAAAACATTGTTATATTCTAGAATATTAGAGATATTCACATGTACTCTACAAATTTTTACGTTTATTTATGTAACAAGCAACGTATCTTAATAAATAAATACGCTTGTATGAGTGCGTTTTGGCCGTATTTGGGGCACGACCACCAGCAAAGCAGGCAACTTGGCGCCAGCACCAAAACGTCACAGGGCTTCCCCCTCCCCAAACTAAAGACTCTAGTGCCTCGCTTGCGCCTAAACAGCGCTCCCCCCGTGGAGATGGGTTGGCTGCACAGGGGGCCTGACTGCACCAGCACAATCCCAGCCCATAAGCTGCACTTGCAGCACAGCAGCCTTTCCCCATCTTACGGGCGCCAGCCTCTTTCTTTTGCTTTGGCAGCACCCGGACGGACTCTGCCACCGCCTTCGAATTCCTTTCTTCTTCTGCATCTCTTCTCCGCCCCCTCATTTCACCCATCCATCAAATAGCCTGCAACACCGATAACCGGCACACACACTCACATACACACGCGTACCGTACCCCTCTTTTTCATTATAGCCTTCATGACAAGCAACGGCAAAATAGCTCTTTTCTTAGCTTGTGCGCCATTGCCTCTTTTAGGACACAGCACCCAGTCAGTGCCTGACCCGCTCCCCTCTTAGCGCCCTGTTTAGCATTGTTAGTTCTTCGGCATCCCCGTCCCGCCTGTTTGGAACTTGAGCCCAGAAGGGCAGGCTGACAGGGCTTCGGAGCTCCATTACAGATTGGATCTCTGCCCTGTGGCAGCAGCCTAGGTTGGTTCCTCGGCTCCAGTTCTCCTAGCAAGCATGGCCCTCGTTGCTCTCGCTTGCGCAGACAGACACGCTGCCTGTGTCTCGGTGCATGTCCATGGTTCCTCAGGCATTGGCCATCCGGTCAGGCACTGCGATACGTAACCTACAACTAGGCGTCCAATTTGCCTCCCAGGCCAACCATCGAATGTCTATATCGGGATCTGACCAGAGTACAGCGTCGTCTCAAGGACCCTCAGCTGAAACGCATCTCTTGACGGCGCTTAGAAGCCAAGGGGTTGTGGTAACCTGAAGATCCAGCCCAATACTACGGCGCCCTCGGTGAGTTGAAATGAATTGAGTAAAAAACAGATGATGCCATGCTCTCAGATGCGACCGAACCTGTCTCGCCCTCTGAATGGTCAACAGATGGGGACCTGAGGTTGTAGTGGCCCCAGATGCTCTCACCTCGGGCCCCAACAGCGCTCTGCTACGAACCCTGCTTGCTTCCCACAGCCGGCTCCCCGTCAGCACACTTCCAGACGCCAAGCCAAAAGGCACCTTCCTGAATCTGAATAAGACGGCGGATATAGCTATAATACAAATTGTGCCGCGATCCCCAGGACAGCAGGGCACCCGGCGCACGGACAACAGAACTGGTTTAGCTGACGAAGATCACAAATTGTGCCCTAATCAGCGACAGACAGCTCGGCAGAAGCAAGCTCGTGAGCCGCAAGGCCAGGCAAAGCTTTCCCAGCGCCTGGGTGCCTCATCATCTAGAACGTGTTCAAAGGCGCACCTATGTGGACGCCACACCCATGTCTTGGAAGCCTTCTGGAAGTCTCGCTCCGAAAACCGGGCTCCAGAACCAAGAGCAACCATATCGACCACATGTGCTCATAGACATAGCCCTATACTCACGCGCCCTTTTGGGCCTCTTTACACATGTTGTTGCCTTGACCGGCAAGCCACCGACAAGACACCCGTCGTTGGGCATGACGGCGCCTTACAGCATCCTGTAACTCGCTATAGCCCTCCAAGTGAGAGACGCCACCTCCAAGCAACCCCATGCAACAACGGAGCAGGCTTGAACCACCCCGATGCACAGTCGTAGCCATGTCAATGCTTCAGCTATTAAATCATCCATAAGCTAACAGCCATGAGTATGCAGATGCGCGTATCATCCGGGCTTTTTTTTACGTCTGATAGAGCGGCGATCGGTACTGCTGTTGCGCCGCCTCTGGGACGCACGTTGTTTTGCTGCATCTGCCTGCATGCATGAATGGGCCCAAGACTAGGACTAACTGGGCAAGCAGTGCGTTTCGGTTAGAGCCGACTCCGCCGCCGAGCACCTGTATGTCTGATATCATAGACATGAGAACATGCACATAGTCTCGTTTTCCTTGGTTGTCTCGAAAAGAGTCTTATCTGGTTTATATTTATCATAATCATGCTACCAAGCAGCAACATAAGCTACATCTACTCTATAGCATCTAATATGGGGCTATCAAGGCAGTCCTATTTCAAATCCTGCCGCCGTTTCTAAATACGTAAGTGCCTTCACTCATTGCAAGTCTATCAACGCCAAAGCAAGCCGGAAAGAATTCAAAAATCACAATGACCAATCTCAAGGCTTTCGGCTGGGCTGCAGCTTATTATTGTTATTGCCAATGAGATTGGGCGAGCCTTGTAGGCTACCTGTAGCGGCGCCCTTGGTTGCCGTCGACAAGATGAAGTCGGTGATGGCCTTGGGACCGTGGATGTTGTAAATGGACATGGCGTAGAGGGCGAGACCGACAATATGAGGTGTAGCCATGGAAGTGCCACTGATAACGCGGGACATACCATCACCGTCGTTCCAAGCAGAGAGGACGTCGGTGCCAGGGCCCAGGATATCCAGAGCCTTGCCGTAGTTGGAGTACTCCTCCGCAAAGATCCAGTCTCGGTCGACGGCACCCACAGTAAATGCGTATGGTGAGCTTGCTGGCGATACGTTGGAAGCATCTTTAGCTTTCTGTACTACATGTTAGTTTGTGCAAAACAATGGAGCTGTTTGGCGGTGCTTACGTTTCCAGCTGCCACCACACTCAGAATTCCCGCCTTGTACGCCTTTTCCAAAGCATCATTGTACGCCTGGGACTCTTCTCCCTCCAAGCTCATGTTGATGACGGAGCTATTTTGTCTGTTGTTGGCAATAATGTCGTTGACGGCCCAGTTGTAGCCACCGAGAATAGTCGATGTAGGCGAGTCCTCGCCCTCAAAGACCTTGACGGACAGTGCCGTGGCATTCTTGGCCACGCCAAACTCGTTGCCGATAATGGTGCCCGAGACGTGTGTGCCATGGCCGTGTGTATCGTTCCACTGGCCCGGGAAGGCAGTATATACGTTCTTTGCGCGGCCTTGGAACTCGTTGTGTGTGATGCGGATACCGGTGTCAAGTACATAGGCATATGTATCGTGGCCAGCCGTAGCATCGTAGATGTATTCCCAAATATCGGCTGTGCGGTGAGAAACGGACCCTAGGCCGTACGGGGCGCGCTTTTGGTTGACTAGGCCTGCGCGGCGGATAGGCTGCTGCGAAGGCTTCTGGTACGCAAGATGCCACATCTTGTCCTGTTCAACGTTGACAACCTGATGGTTTGATTAGCTTTCATATACCAAAGTAGACTGAGTTGTGGTACATACGTCTGGATGGTCGCGAATCTGCGCAATCGTGTCCTCGTCAAAGCTACCTGCGTAGCCCTTGAAGGTACCGGCATACTCAATAGCCACGCCAGTGGTATCTCTCTTCTTGATGCTGCGCTTGTGCACCGCACCAACCCAATTGATGTGTGCTTGCATTGCTCGTGCCTCGACATTTTCCTTCAGTGTAATGATGTAGCTACCAGGAATGATTCTGCTAGAAGTGGCGCTCTGTGAGGCCGGTGCAGCAAGCGCAGAGCTTGTTAGGGCCGCGAGGGCGAGAATGTTACCGAGTATCATGGTGATGTAAGTCGTTGGCGGTGTGTAGTCGGGTGTTAACAAGAAAGACTAGGGCAGAATTTCTGCGGAGGATACAGGTCCCTTGTTACATAGTTGGATTAAATTTTATCTCGTCATCTTCCGCCTACACAGCGCAAGAATATGAACCGGAAGCGTTGTTCGATGACAGCAGCAGGGGACGGGCCGGAGACCAGGGGAAAATCCTGTTGGTGGTGGATAGAGGCAGCCGCGGCGATTCCGGGATGAGCAGAACGCCGATGATGTGCAACACCCGGCGCCCGATATCCGTTGACATATGCGAATCGTTACAAAACAAAACAATACTTTACTTTTAATACTTACCTCGCAAGCAAAGTATACAAAATCACAAGATACACACGACAAAACAAGCCGCGGATCAACTGAGAGCCCCCATTGTTTTGTTGTGTTGGTGGCTTACACGGCAAGGCTGGACGAACCAGACTCGCAGTTAGCAGTCCGTGCTGCTTTGAATTATGGCTCGCGCGGCCGGTACTATAGGTGCGAGCTTTTTTTCGTTTAACTTGCAGTTTAAATGAAAAATAGCCCTGGTCAACGTCCCGCTTGGCGATGGGATGTTGCAGCAATAGTGGTGCGTTTTCACATGATAGGGGTGATGTTGTGAGTGCACGAGCCTGGGTGGATTTTTCGCATCGATAGTAAATCGTGAGCGGATAAATTAATAGACATATGGTATGCTTGGTGAATCAGTGTTCTTTATTTTTGAAGTACGATTTAAAAATAGAAGGAAAGGGGAAAGATATCCTTACTGAGAAGAGAAGAAGTGGTGTAAAGATGGGGAGCACTGCGAGACAAGACGAAAGCCACGAAAACAACAACGATTCAGGGCTTCCGAGGTAGATCTCCAGCATCTTGTACCTTTTTAGCAGCTTCCGTGTATACTGTTCCGTGATTTTCAGCCACGGCGTCGGAGATTTGCAAATCGTCTGTCTTTGTGCAGGGCTAGCAAGGCATCATCATCATCACATGCTAGTGCAAGGTGTGGATGCAGCATGCACCTTCAAACGGCTACAAAGCGGGACAAGCTTGTAATTCAGGGTGGCATATATTTGGCGCTTGTAGTGTGCGATAGCGAGGGCGAGACCATAAGAGTAATTAACATTTACGCGCTGCAGCATGTGATGATACTAACGGTGACGAAATACACGTTTGTAGATCTATGGTGGTTTATTGGGCCATGTATTGTTGGTATTAGATATCATGTAAATCGTCCTTCTGAGAGCTCAGCGGGTTGCTACATGAAAGACTATTCGATCCGGGAAGTAATGCCAAAAAGGGAAAGAAAACAAAGGTCGTTACTATAGAACAGAAAGACAAGCAGCTACAGAGAACCACGGCAGGTACACTCTGGTATATTGGTTACATTGATGTGCTGGACACGCGTTTACAAGAGACCAGCTCTGGCTTCCTCGCCTCGAAGCTGCGACTCCTCCTCGGCCTGCTTGCCCTTGACAGGGCCGCCCTCACCAACGCCCATACGGCGAGCAACGTAGCGCTGGGCCACGACGCCCACAGACAGGTTGAGAGTCTCCTCGATCCATTCGGCAATCCACTCTCTAGGGTCGACGGCGCCGCTCTCAATGATGTCGCGGATCTCATCAGGCAGGTTGACTTCGGTGCGAGGGGCGTCGCCAGACAACGGATCTGTAGCAATGGTGGCATCAAGCCAGCGCACCCAGCGCGCAGGCACTGCCTGACTGACAGTGGCATACTCAATCTCATGGACAGGGTCCAGGATGAAGATGGCAAAGCACACCGTGTTCTCCTCCTCCGAGGCAACCTGGATGGCGGCGGATTCCTTCTCCTTTTCAGCAGAAGCAGTGCGTGCAAACAGCGTCTGCTCTGGCCCCGTCTCAATGGCCTGCACGGCCAAGAACAAGTCCGATGTGCGAACAGGGTTGGTTTCGCTTAGAGGCTCAGTCGCGCGAATCTTGGCCTGCTCGATGCCTCCTGTGCTGCTGTAGAACTCGTGTGCATATGCCTCCGCGCCAGCACGGCATAGCTTGGTACCCTCAACCAAGCCCTTGATTGTGCCGAGCTGCCTCGTAGACTCAACGTGCCTCCACCAAGGTCCATCTCGCCAGCCAGCCGAGCTATCGTAGGTTTTGCGAGAGCCGCTTTCGTGACCGCGCTGGACCACGAGCAAGTCACCGCCTTCTACCTGTGCCATGACGCGGGCAAAGACGGCGTGGATGAGAGGATCCAGAGCAGGATATCCGACAAGGTCGTGGGTGATGTGAATGGAGAGTCGTTCGTGAGAGCTGATAGGTGGTGCAATGGTGTTGAGGAAGTCGGTAAAGGTGGGCATAGCACGGGCTCGAAGCTCGTCGCCTGTGACACACATGCTTGGTTAGCGGACAATGTAGGGTTGCCGGTGCAATACTAATTTCAACGTACCGTAGTTCTTGAGGGCTCCGACATCCAGGCCACCAAAACCGCGGACCTGGTCGGTCCACTTCTTAGCCTCCTCGTTTTGCTGAATCTCTTTGTAGGCGGCACCAGCACGCTCCATGGCGGCATTGGCAGTTGCACTGGCTGTCGACAGAATACCTCCCCACCAACCGCCACCGGCAGCGGCCGGTTCAGCAGGCGCCTTTCTGTCGGAATCCTGGTGCTCAGAGCTGGTAGCACTGGGCGTGAATGCTGGGCGGCCGCTTCCTGTGCTGTCGGTGGACTTTCGCTTGTCGTCCACAACAGGGGATGCCGCAGCCGGGCGCTTGGCTACAGTCTCCTTCAGACGAGGTGTGTGAGGACGCGAGGTACCTTCGCCAAGCTGTGATTCAAGATCAGCGAGGATGTCGTCCTTTGCAGAGCCTCCCGTTGTCTTTGTCGGTCTGGCGGCAGCTCCTTTCTTGGTGTCGCCAATGCCAGAGAAGAGCTCGTCGAGATTGTCGTCGGCGGCAGGCTTTGCCGTCTTTTTGGAAGCCATGGTGAAGGAAATTGTGTGTTGCTCTCTTTTTGTTGGATACTGGAACGAAATGGAATCACGGGGTGATGGCAGGTCGTTGGAGTATGAGGAGGGGGGGAAGGGAAAGCTAGCCAAAGGGAAGCTTGAGGTGGTGCCGCTGTGGCGTCAACAGCACCAGCGGCAAGCAACCAGCAGCAGGTGGGGTGGCGGTGCGTGGGCGGGCAGAGTTGGGGCGAAAGCGTGATCTAAGATTGGAGTGGGCGGGCTGGGTGCTGGTTGCTGCTGTTTACAGCATGCTTTAGACGCTAAGACTGCCGCAGTAGTGACAGAGCAGCTAGCTGTAATAGTGTAAATTGGGGCTAGCGGCGGGTGGGATTGCCTTGTAAGTGGACTGTGGGCTACCAGAAACAAAGGCTATAGGAAGAGAATGGAGGAGGGAATACCAGCAGCTACAGAGGGGAAATTGGTAAATAAAAATCATTTTCCACTTTACCATGTATATAAGATGCCGAATATCACGTCAATTTATTTTTTACCATCCAACACGGACCGCTGATAATATGCGCTTGGACCAGCCCATGGTGTAAGTGCTGCCCTGCCTGCTTTCGTCTGGCTGCGCACGTGATTCGCAGCCTCTGGCTCGCACTGGCGGAGGAACCCCGGAGGCTGGCTGGATCCCCCTTTGGCAGCAAGAGCCGCGCTGTGATTGGCTGCTGACGCCTGCTCCAGGCTTATTGGCCACTTGCAACAGACACTTGACGGCTGCGACTGTAAACTGGCCCATCATCACTTTTGCCTCAGAAAAACATCCCCCTTCCATTGTTGCACCGCTTTTCATCGCTGCCCGTTTAATACCCAAAGGTGCCTTGCTTGCTCTTTGTTTCCTTCCCTCCTGTGTTTTTTTATTTTGCCGCTCGTCGCCTGGGCCGCTCGCGTTTTTTCAGCAAAAAGACCCTTTATCCCCATCCAGGCTCATCTCAGTTGGCTCACACTAAAAGCCTGACTGTGTTTTTGCCAACTCTGTTTCCCATCCCCCACGCCCTCTTCACCACTCGTATCATACAGAATCTTGCTCCCCTCTCCCTCCTCTACTCTTCCCTACTTGATTTTTTCTTCCATCCTGCGTGCGTCGGATGAAGCGGTGCGTCGCCATCCCCGGCCCCTTCACTTGCTGAGCCGCGCATCTACATCACGCCAGCCATGGATCGCGATCAAAACTCGTCCACCACGGCTTCTCCCAGGATGCAGGCTGCTGATTATCCTTCAAATTCCCCTTCACAAGATCCTCAAGCAGCGGTAGAGCCGATATCCCACGCCTCTGCCTCTCCGGCTCCTCTTACATCTGACCCCGATGTTGCCTCAGGCCCGATTGACCCGGCCCTGTTTGACACCGTCGCAACGCAAGATGATGCCAAAGAAGATGTTTCTCGTGATCAAACCGCCCAGGACATTCCCAAGGCGGTTGAAAAATCAAAAGAAGAGGTGGTTGCCACAAGCGACCCCGTACCCTCGCCGCCTAGCACGGGGCGAAGTGGCCACACATTGCGCCGGCGTGCCCGCGTCGACTATAATGTCGAACACGGTGACAGCGGCAGCGATTCTCAGTCCAGTCCGGCCTCAAGAATAAAAAAGAGAAGATCGGACAATTCCATTGATCAGGACGCGACCTACAAGTCAGATGCTGCCGGTCGTCGCGCCTCCCTTGATGGCGACCACCCGTCAACCACTCGAAGGCGCAACCCCTCGCGCAAATCGTCTGGTATGCTCTCGTACACGGAGCCCGATGATGAGGTAGAGGAAGATATCCAGGTCAAGAGCGCTTTGGAAACTGATGCTCCGGCACCTGATGTCGATGCCGATGAGGCCGCTGCCACCCGCTCGACCTACTCTGACCCCGGTTCAGGGAAAGTCGACTTTTCCAAATCCATTGAAGACGCCTCAAATGATCACAACTCATCTGCTTCCAAGAGCGACGACGGAATGGTGCGCTTGATTGATGATGGTGAGGTACACCTTATCGACGAAGCTTCTTCTGACTCCGTGGCTGGAGACGCATCAGTTGGCGAGCCCGCCGATGATACCTCCAATGACGCGGCTGAGCAGCTCCAAATGGAAGCCAACGTTGCTACTGCTGATAGTGCTGGAGACCTGGACCCTGCAGCGCACGCCGCAAATGAAAACATGGACGTTGAAATGGAGGATGCTGACGGTGACGACGAACCAGCCGTTGGTCATGCAAGCCCAGAACCTACAGACCAAGGGCCTAAAAAGGAAGAATCTGCCCCGTTGGAGATGGAAGATATTCAGAACACACCTCTTGATGCCAACGAAGAAGACAAGACCATGGCTCAGGTCCCTGAACTTACCTTGTCAAAAGCATCGCCATCCACGGATCGTCTCTCAGCCGATATCAAGACGGATGCTGAGCCGAAAAAAGAGGCCGATCTGGCACCGCCCAAGGCTGTCACCAAGCAAAGCCTTGCACCATCACCCATTGTGTTTAAAGCCCAGCCTGTACCAGAAGGCCGCTGGGCGCACCTAACACCATATCTCGAAGGTGAATTTGTAACATATCCTGAGAAGAAGGAGGCTACGCCTGAAGAAGAGGGTACCCCCGAGGACGGCACGCCAGCAGAAGGCGATACCAACGATGCAGAGCAAGGCGAAGAGAACGATGACGCTACCGATGCTGCTGCTGCAGAATTTGCGACTCCTGCTCTCAACACTCCTACCAGAGGCTCGCCTGTTCCAGATTCCGTCGATCCGACAGCAACAAACTCGCCCGCCCCAGGACTTGACGATGCCGATGATGACGTCTCTGATTCCCAAGAAGACTTGGAGCGAATTCGGTACTATCGGTATCGAAAGCTCCGCGATCCTGAGGAATATATATCTGCTATCGAAAACTACGAGGACATGCCTACTGCTGAGCTCTATGAGCTCCTAGAGGCCATTAACCTGTCCCTTGGAGAATGGCAGTCGGAGTGGTCCGATTTGGGCAAGGTTGTTGACGACTATGAAAACGCTCTCCGCCGACGTCTCGCCGACTCCAAGTATGAGTCGCGTACACGAAACCTTGGTCAGCATGGCGTCAACTGGGAAGAGCCAGAATTTGTCGTCAAGGGCTACCGCGCCAAGGACCGAGACACCATAACCGAGACCCGATATCTCCAGAGCCAAGACCGCATCATGGCAGCCACCTACGGCTTCGAATATGATCCTCATCCTTCCAAGATTGGCCGCCAAAATCCAGAGGGCCAGCAATTTGGTGTCGTCACCCGTGGACGTTCCCTCCGAAACCAGCCCCGACAGAGCGCCAAGGCCACCGAGGCTGACGAAGTTACGGGCAAGCGATTAAGAAAGCCTGTTCAACTCTTTGACCCAGCTCAGGAGATTAGCCGCAGCTCGACACCAGTCCCAGCTAGAGCTCGCCGAAGACGCGGTGGTGATGACGACAACGTCACCTCAAGCTTCAACAGTGAGTTGCCCTCGGATGTGGAAGAGACGCCATCTAGAACCAGACGTCGCCGCACTGCTGCCCGCCCCAAGACCTCCATGCCAGGCGCCGCCGATGATGAAGGGCCCTACCAGGACACCTCGGCTGCAGACGATGCCAACCGTTTGGGACGCCGAGCACGTGCACGCCCTGCTATCCGCTACGATGAAGGCTATGACGATGCCGATGAGGACTCTCAGCCTGAGACCAAGCACCCTCGACGACACCTACTCACTCTCAAGCTCCCTCGCAACAAGAGTGGACCTGGATCTGCCATCTCTGACAATGGAGACTCTCGACCCTCCACTGCCGACTCTGATTCGTCGTCACATACTGCGGAATCGTCGTACTCATTTAGACCAAAGCGACAGAAGCGCTTCCGCGAGGAAATGGAAGACGCCGAAGGCAGCACTGGCCAGGCTCCTCCTAAGAAGAGAGGCAAGCGAGTTGGCGAGGAACCCGTCGCTGTTGGCGGCTACGTCTCTGTCGACTCCTCGCAGCCTAACAGCGCGCGCAAGCCGCAGAAGATCAAAGTGGTCCGCAACAACAATAGCAACAACAACAATAATAATACTAGTACTACTGCCGCTAATAGCAACGCTGCGACAACTCCTGTCAGCCGCAACGGCACCCCATCCTCAACCGGTAATGCCGACGGAGAGGAGCCACGCAAGGATTACAAGCTTATGACCAAGTCCGAAAAGATGTCGGCATCAATGAAGAGTAAGTCTAGCCTGGTCACTGTACGCTACACATTCAACCCGCTAACATGCATACTCAAGGTCGTTGGGCAAATGGTAACATGGCTGGCGCCGTTGAGAAGCGCAAGGCTACCCTTGCTGCTAAGAAGGCTGCTCAGGCTGCTGCTGAGCAGAAGGCGGGATCGGTTACACCCAAGCCTAATGCTGGTGGTAACAATGCCACTCCTGCTGCGGCCAACGCCAACAAGGCGAAGCCAGTCAAGAAGGATACACCCACGAAACAAGAGGCTCCTCCTTTCCCTCCTAATCCTGCCCCGATGATGGGCAATTTCTCTTTCCACGCTCAGTAAAGGGCATGGAAGTCTGCACATTGCTTTTTTTGTACAAGAAACCGTCCATATGTTATTCATGGGTTTGTGTTTTGAGTTTGTCCGGCTGCATCTAGGCTGTCTTTTATCATGCCTTATCTTGGGTCGGTGTCTCTTTTTTTTTTTATCCATTCGCAGGCTGTTATTACACACGAGGCGTCTGACCATGGAGGATATCCGTTTTCATTTTTTCGTCGCGTCGTTTTCTTCTATAAAACTGGGTAGACGGGGCGATATACGCGTTGTCCCCGTTTCATGTGGCATATCGATATGGGAGCTTGCAAAACTGGCTCCTTTATCACACGGCGTTTTCTTCAATTTTAGGTTCTTCCATAGTCGCGTTTAATGCTGAATTTTGTGTTCTTTCTTAAATGCCTTTCTAACCTTGACGCGTTGTTAACATGTCTCGTGATGCCAGGGTGTGTACCTACCCTTTCGCTCAAATTTATTCTTAAAAAATTGAATCTTACATGTTTGATACTGTGAGAATTGTGTAAATTGTAATTTGTGCATTATTTTAGACTTGGTGGTCGACTCGCTCTATAAAGGTGGCTGATAGATACTGAAGTCGTTTAAGTTGTGTAGTGATTTGAAGCACCAGAGGAGCAAATGGAAGGATAAACGCTGATGGTGAATAGATCATAGCATGAACGAATCATAATTAAACCCAGGTATATATTAGAACGAAAGGATAATAAGTCGGACTTGGATACCACTAATTCAAGAGATAACTTTCAACGAAATGGTATAGGGTAGCGTGGCTCGAAAGGAGCGCGGGGCTGTCAAATCTGCGCCATGGCGCCGTTGTCGAAGCAAGAGTAGACCAAATTACTTGATTTGACATTGACAAAAACACTATCACCGAAAGAACGTTTATGCGTATTTTTTTTGTGTTCATCATTGATGCGATAACCTGGTATGAATCATCCTAACACGCCGCAACCGAAATGCAGTGCTGGCCCATCCAGCCACCAACATCGTAATATGGCGCCGTATTCCCCGAAAAGAGTCTAATAAAATAGGAACGAGGTTCTTCCTGCGTTCTCTAACTTTGCTTTGATCGTGCGTTTTGGGAACACGTGCTATGCTCAAAAATTTTTCCCATTCCGACTTTTCATCCACAAGATAACCACTTTACATGACGACACCAGAGTTGGAAGCAACACGCTGTGAAGGGTCTGTTAGTAAAGGTGTTCGTTGCCATCATAATACATAAAAGTTCGACTTACGGGCCACAGCTCAGCAGCCTCCTTACCGACGGGGCCGGTAATGGCAGAGCCCTTCATCTCACCCTTGGGGTTGACGATCTGTAATGTAATGTTAGCAAAACTGGCAAACTAGGTAATGAGGTGGGTCCTGTATTCGCGAGAGGTTCGGTAGTAACGGTAGACGGCTGAACAGCCATGGCTAGCCCTCGCTTGTTCAACCGTACACTGAATCTCGAAACCGGTTTCGCGAATATTCGGATACGATCGAGGGGTAAAACGTACGACACCGGCGTTGTCCTCGAAGTAGAGGAAGACACCGTCGAAGCGCTTCCAGGGCTTGGATTGGCGGACAATGACGGCGGGGTGGACCTTCTTTCGCAGCTCAGGCTTTCCCTTCTTGACGGTAGCGACAACCATGTCACCGACACCACCAGCGGGCAGACGGTTCAGGCGGGCACCGATACCCTTGACGGCGATGATGTAGAGGTTACGGGCACCGGAGTTGTCAGCGCAGTTCATGACGGCACCGCTATTGTACATGTTAGCTTGAGTTCGGCGTGGATTCGTGGCGATAGAGCAGCGGTTCGTTGTCGAATGCTTCGTGTTCGGCGCCGGGGGTGATTGAAAAAAAACGTACACAGGGAGACCGAGGGTCATCTTGAGCTTGCCACCGGGGGCACCACGTCTGTAAATCCAGGGTCAGTCGGGTCTGATGCCTTTCGATATGCAAATTTCATCGATAATGTCGAAACTTGAATTACGAGTTCCAATGACGCCTTGTTTGCCCTCAAATTTTTTCCATTATGCCGGTAGTTCAAAATTTCGACATGCCAGAGGGAAAGTTCTGTCGTAGGTATCGAGTTTGACGCAGTTTGCAATTTTTTGCATAGTGTAATGGCCGATTAGGTGGTTGTGACGGCGGTCTTGAATGTCGACCCCAACAGCTTCAACGTACATCCTCCTCTTGCGCGTTCATTTGTCGTCGTTGTCGAATTTGTCATTATCGAATTAGTAGACTTACGAGAGCTTGGCCATTGTGAAGGATTGTTGTGCGGCGTTGCGACGTTAATTCGTTACGAGTATACCGAGTATCTAGAAGCCGTCGATGAGCCTTAGCTTTTGCTGCGAAAATTTCCCAGAGGGTCTGTGGGGTGAGAAACCCTATGAGAAGCGAGTGACCCATCACGTGATTCTTTTGTGTGTGAATTTTTACCAGTTTCGTGTGCACTTGGTCAAATGTGGGGTCGTTGAAGGTGGAAAGGAGACCAAGTAGAAGTACAGTGAAGATACTGCGGTTTCGAGGTGCGTTGTGATAAGAATGGGAATTTCAAAGCAAAAAAATTGGTATGAGTCTTCTAGTATTATTTGATACTGTGAAAATTTTAAAATTATTTATACTGGCATGGGCGATCTTGGGGATCCCATAAGGTGCATTTCCCACAAAGTAGGCAAGTGAGTTCCGTTTTAGGTACATATAGTCTAATAAGTACGGTGGCACTTCAACGAGCGCTTACAGCGTTAGCTACTGGTTATTGCCCGGTTAGCTCAATCGGTAGAGCGTGAGACTCTTACTTTCGGAGTTCACTATCTCAAGGTTGCGGGTTCGACCCCCGCATTGGGCTTTTCCTATCCATTCTACGATTGGTTGTTTTTTTGTCTTTTTTTGCTCTAATGTTATTCAGTTTATAGCTTGATAGATAGGAACAAATGGAATTTTTTTTTTGGAGGATTGAATAAGACGCAGATTTATTTTATCTATACTACTCTTTTAAACACTTATTCCCAAGATGGCAACTGACATACAGTCGACATTAAGATCTGTTGTTTAACCATGGATAATTGCGGTCCCTTGTCTTAAATGCAACGCTATTGAACCAGATCGATGGACAAGACAGATCAATATACTGTCCTGCTCATCACGCCAGTATACAATCGAATGATTCTATATTTATCGACTAGTCGAAAAACACTCTCTTTTACGAGCTTGGCCGGCAAGCCCGAGCTTGGTGTAAGGCGAAAAAGTGAAGGCCCCCCTTTTTTTTTCCGGCGCTGCCAACCTGCAAGGCTCCCGCTGATTGGCTGCCCTGCCTCTACTGGCCAGCTACATGCATGAATTTTAGGGGCGTCCCCTTTTGGACAGCCCAGCGAAATTTGCCTGTCTCCTTAAGCCGGCTTTTCTCCTTTACTACGTGTCGCGTCCTACGGAACCTTCTCTCAACCACGCCCGTTCACCACCACGCAATCTTCATCACGCTTCCATCCTTCTGGATAAGCTTTTTCCGTTTTGCATTTCAAGCGGAGACTAGGAATTGATTCTCTTGTCTCTTTTATTCTACACGACAGACCGAAGCAGGCTCTTTATCGCGTTGCTCGTATTCCATTCACCACACTCGTTTCATCTCACTTAATTTCATCTTCTTTTTCATCACTTCATCATGTCTGATAAGCGCAACGATGACGCCTTCTCGCCAAATGGCAGCAAGGAGCAGTACGAGGCCGAGAGAGAGCGCTTCATCCCCTCCTCCAGCGGCCAGTCCTCTGCCCGCCGTGGTGCTGCCAGTCTTGGTCTTGGCGACTCCTTTTCCAAGATTGATAACAACCCCATGGTTTCCGTTATTGCCTACTGCCTGGCTTCCATTAGTATGACTGTTGTCAACAAATACGTTGTTTCCGGCAGCGGGTGGAACATGACCTTCCTGTACCTCGCTATCCAGGTATGAAGAACCCCCAACGTGTGATATCCTCAACTTTACAGGTTCAATATATTGACCCAACTGTTGTCTAGAACGTTGTCTGCATTGCTGCCATTATGGCTGGTAAGAGCCTCGGCATGATCACCAACTTGGCCCCCTTTGATATCGAGAAGGCTAAGCGATGTAAGTAGACTGATATCGCCGCTGTCACCCAATGTACACTAATATCTCTAGGGTTCCCGGTTTCCCTCCTTCTTGCTGGTATGATCTACACCACCGGCAAGGCCCTCCAGTTCCTCTCTGTCCCTGTCTTCACCATTTTCAAGAACCTTACCATCGTCGTCATTGCCTACGGTGAAGTCCTGTGGTTCGGTGGCAGAGTTACCCCCATTGTCCTTCTCTCCTTCGGTTTGATGGTCTTCAGCTCCATCGTCGCTGCTTGGGCTGATGTGCAGGCTGCCATGGGAGGCGCCACCACTGAGAGCAACAAGGCTATGTCTACGCTCAACGCTGGTTACGCCTGGATGTTCGCCAACGTCATCTGCACCTCTGCTTTTGCTCTTAGCATGCGCAAGGTCATCAAGAAGATGAACTTTAAGGACTGGGATAGTAAGTATCCGTCTTTACTTCGCTTGTTTTACCAACGCAACAATTGCTAACACATACCGCAGCCATGTTCTACAACAACGCTCTCACCATCCCCGTCTTGATTGTTGGCTCTCTCCTTCTCGAGGACTGGTCCAGCGAGAACCTTGCCCGCAACTTCCCCGCGGAGAGCCGTAACAGCCTTTTCCTCGGCATGATCTACTCTGGTTTCGGTGCCATCTTCATCTCTTACTGCACTGCCTGGTGTGTTCGCTGCACGTCTTCTACCACCTACTCCATGGTCGGCGCCCTCAACAAGCTCCCTCTCGCCATCAGCGGCCTCATCTTCTTCGACGCCCCTGTCACCTTTGGCAGTGTTTCTGCCATTCTTATTGGTACCGTCAGTGGTCTCGTGTACGCCTGGGGCAAGATCCAGCAGTCTGAGGCTGCCAAGATGAGCCTGCCTACGTCTAACCGCACCGTTGTCAGCGCCAGCTCCAAGAGCAACAACGACGCTGCCAACTCATAGATGCTTCGACGAACCTGACTTAGCTTCTCCGTTTCATCGTAGAATGCTGGCCAGGAACGGAGGTACCTTTGGGGTGCTACCAAAATGAACGTATGCTTAGGCAAATAGAACGAAAAAAACACGGCGGGCTCGAGCGGCTTGCAAATAGAGTCAGGCTAGCTATATTGCATTTTCACCGGAGGGGGCGCACTATTTTAACGGTAATTTTCTTTTTTTTCTTCCTTCACCCAATCCCTTTTCATCCTTCTATAATTTGATATATTTATTGTGTTTTCAACTTCTTCTTTTATTGGAAATGCATCATCATAGAACTGTTAGGATAGTTAATGTCATGACAAAACAAAATACAAAACAAATCCATAAGACCAAATAAGCACCCGCTTTTCAGCTTTCAGCGCTGGTGGAGCGAGTCTCTGGGCAGCCTCCAACGGTGCGGCTACCGAGATTAGGCTCGCTGATGGTAGCGCTAAACCCACTGTAGAAACCCCGCGGTCACCGCATGCGGGCCACGGCTTCAAGCGGCGCATGTGCAGGTGCAGCCTGCTTTTTCACGTCATGATTTCCCCGAGTAGCGGCAAAACTTGCTGGTTCGCACCACAGCCGTTTTATCGCAAGCACACGACGGAATTAAGACGGATCTCATTCTCCGATATCGCGACCACCTGTATCATATACTTCTTCTAGCTTCAGTTGCTCAGACTCGCTGCTGTTGCTACCCGGCGATGCCATAACTTACCCCCTCATTCGTTAACTCCGAGCCTCATCTCCCACGAATATTTCCCAACATATCACTTTCCATACCCTCGCCATTCGAATCAAATACCATGGATCCCTATCAGCCTCAATCCCCCGTCGATGCGGAACTACCGCCATCAAAGCCTGGGCGACAAACTGGGAACGCGACAATCTATCAGACCACCGGGCCAGATGCACACACTGACCCTATCTTCTCACCCGTAACCGGAGGCCCGGCGTTGAATCCACGGTCGTGTGTGACATGTCGCCGTCGCAAAGTACGATGCGACAAACAGATGCCGTGCTCCAACTGTCGCAGAGCGTTAATTCCGTGTATCTTTCCGGCTCCTGGACGCGCGCCGCGACAGCAGAAACCAAAGGATCCTAATGCGCCTCCAAAGAGTTCCTCACAGCGCGAAGCCGAGCTTGTTAAGCGGTTACGGAAGTTGGAAGGCATTGTCGAAGAGTTGAGCGGCCAAATCGATGTCGATGGCTTTGAGAAGAATGAAGCGCCGGACTTGCAACGGGCTGCGACGTTCCCCAACGCTGGCCATCCTGGATCTGCAGGAGATAATGTGAAACTATCAGGCCTAGGCGATGTTGAAAATCCTCTCGGAGTAAATGAAGTCGCTCCTACCACTACCAGTCTCCAGCGCAATAGTCGTCCTGGCAGAATGGTCCTCTCAGACCAACGCGGCGCTGGTCGCTACGTTAGCAGTGGCTTCTGGTCCAAGATGAACGACGAGGTATGTATGATGGAGAGACTTATGGATCTTCTTGTTACTAACAATTTCCAGATTAATGCTATCCGAGCCGAATCATATAGCCTAACTGACGACGACGACGAAGCCTCAGATTGGGAGGAGTCTACGACTGGCACACCTGGTACGGGGCTAGTCTCGGTTACTGACCATCATGGTTTCATCCTTGGCTATCGATCGTTAGACGTTGATCTAGCGAAGTGTCACCCAGTACCGGCGCATGCTACGTACCTCTGGTCCGTCTTCCAAGAAAACGTGGAGCCGCTCCTGAAGATCGTTCACATGCCAACAATGGAGAACATATTGCGCGATGCTAGGAGGAGCGCAGATAAGCTCAGTCCTGGGAATGAGGCACTTGTATTTGCAATTTACTTCAGTGCCATCACTGCTCTCGAAGCAGACGAGGTATGCTATCCTGGGTTATTGTGCAAGTTGAATTACAAATACTAACAACTTTACTAATTAGATTGAAACGAATTTGGGCGTTGACAAAGAAGAACTTCTCGCCCAATACCGCTTTGCTACGGAGCAAGCTCTGGCAAAGGCGAATTATCTTACTACATCAGACTTTGCAATCGTCCAAGCCCTGACCTTATTCTTGATTGTGGTCAGACGACACGACGACAGCCGATTTTGCTGGACATTAACAAGTTTGGCTGTTAGAATTGCTCAAGGAATGGGAATCCATCGCGACGGAACAGAATTTGGCCTGTCGCCTTTCGACACTGAGATGCGCCGACGAGTTTGGTGGGCGATCATGGCACTCGACTTACGCTCGGCCGAAGAGCATGGAACAGACTTGGCTATTAATGACAAGTCTTTTGATGCGCATATGCCATCCAATATTAACGACGCCGACCTCAGTATTGAAATCCAAGAGCTACCTCCTAATAGAGACGGCTGGACTGACAGCTCAGTGGCGCGGGTAAGACATGAAATTTGCTTCATGGCGAGAAAAATTCATATTACATCATCAGCTCTAGCCTCTGGGAGCCATAAAACAGACCTTCCAACTCTCTATGCGAAAGAACAAATGTTGGTCGATATTTATGAAATGGTTAACGAGAAGTTCCTGCTACCCGCCAAAAACGAGGATGATTCTCTGGTATGGGTTACGGCACGGATTGTCCGCATAATTATGGCGAAGAACGCTCTTATTATTTATCATCCATTGTTGTTCCCGGGTGCTGAACAACAGCTATCCTCTGATATACGACAACGACTTTTCATCTCTGCTATTGAGGTGCTCGAGTGCAGTTATCTCCTAATTTCTGATCCTCGCAGCAAACAGTATCGATGGCTATTCAAGACTTATTCTTCATTACATGCTCTTGCTTATACTCTTATTGAGATTTGCAGACGCCCCTGGACCCCTCTAGTCGAGCGTGGATGGTTAGCCGCTGAAGAATTTGAACCGAACCCGCTTCATTACACCACCAAAGTTGACCAAGCAGCAGTGTTTTTGCCTCTGAAACGGTTGTTCACGAGAGCACGGAAACATCGTCAGGCGGAGCTGAAGCGCCTGCAAGGTGATCTGGAAGAAGCTCGCAGGCTGGACTTTGCGGAGCGTATGAATCCTGCGCAAGTCAGATTTGGCCCTATTCCTGGAACAGAAGACAGAATGGATCAAATCCGTGATGACTGGAGAAGGCTGATGCGACCATCGGAGGGAACCCCAGCTCCATTCCCATCATCCAGAGGAACCCCAGCGGCAACCTCAGAGGCAATGGGATCGTCCGACGATGGAGTATTTACACGGACACCAGCAGATTCGCTCTCGACAAGTGACAGACCGGCCATGCCTATGGGGACTGCAATGGAATATGTTGGCGAGCTTCTGACACAACCTAATATTGTTGTATCCGACTTTTGGCAATTCTCCGAGGTTGAAGGAATGGACCCCAAGGCAGTAACCAGCGCGCAAAACCTACAAATGACGGCACAGGCAGATCAGATGAATCCCGCCATGCTGTCATTGTCTGGGAAAGACGATGCTGCTATGTTGTGGCCAGATAACTTTGGCACGATGGACGTGAAATTCGACGATATTATGGCTGATGATACTGAAATGCTAGGGGAAGGATTCAACTGGCAGGATTGGGGCCACACCATTCGTGGTATGGAAATACAGAGTATGCCGATTCTAGGTGGAGAACCGAACCCGAATCAACAACAGCCATGGGCTCAATAGAGACGAAATAGACTATAACGACTATGATGATGACGACGCCGTTCTATGGCTGTACTAGTACGTAGCCTTTGCTGTTTTGGTCTGAGCTTCCCGCCCACACTAGTGTTAGACTATTATTAGGATATCCCGCTTAAGTTTAATGTGTACCATAAATGATGTACCTTTGTCAATTTCTGCTCCCTGTAAAGCGTTTCGCCGTGTAAGTTGCGTGGTTGTTGCCTGCGTAGGCAGGTGGAGTTCACCTAGCCGCCGCGGCGCTCCAGTCAGGTGACAAGATTTTCGAGGTGTAGCACTAGCATCTTTCAACTTCATCCTCCTTCTCTTTTATTAACAACTTTATTTATCCACGCCATTAAAATTCCATACTATCTAAAGATGGGATCAAGCAGACATGGAGATTCTGGCAGACGCCATGAATCATCACGCCACCATGCAAGCGGGCCACGCCATGATTCTAGCAACCGCGTCTCCAAGTCATCGTCATCACGGGCAGACGACAGCAAGAGCCGCAGCAGATATATGACTGAAGAAGAGCAATCTAGACAGTTTATTGCTGGTGAAGATAAATTTGTCTTGACGCAGTCGAAAAAGAAGGCTGATATCCGCGTCCGAGAGGACAGAGCAGAGCCTATCGATTTCATTGCATTTAGCCTACGATATATTGACGACGAGCGCGACCTCTTAGATGAGCAACAATCAGACAAGCTCATTAAGGTGCCGGCTCCTGAGTCAGTCATAGAGTCCTTGGACTTGGATGGCATACAGAAGTTGCTGAAGGAGCTCGAGTCATATCGTACTCTGGAAACCAATAAGAGAAACCGCCAGTACTGGGATGCCATCAAGACGCTTTCTAAAGATACAGAGTCAAAGCTGGATTCTCGAAAATATGGACATAGAATGACCGCAAATGTCGAAGAAGATATTGACCGTCTTCTAAAGCCCAAGAACTTGGCACAGCTTGAAGAGCTTGAGAAGGTTGTCAAGGATAAGCTGGATAACGACGATTCTATTGATTACGACTATTGGACCGACCTTTTGAAGCGATTGAGAGTTTGGAAAGCCAAGGGAGTTTTGGGCCAAGTACAAGCTGCTGTTGATAAGCTTCGACAAGAACAAGCTGCAGCGGCACCCTCAGGACAGCAGCCAAGTGTGCAACAGCATATCAGCGCAGAGTCTAGCAGATTCGCAGCTGCTTCAGGATCAGGGGCACCTCATCAAGACGCTTCTCACGCTACTAACGCTCTGTACGACCGTGAAGCTGCCCGTGGCATCGCCGAAAACGAAGAGGTCTTTGCAGCGGAAGAAGAGGTTGGGGATAGTTCGAAACCACAATGGGGAGAGAAGTATGAAGCTCGCAAACCTCGTTATTTCAACAGGGTCCAGATGGGCTACGATTGGAACAAATACAACCAAACGCATTACGACCAGGACAACCCTCCACCAAAGGTGGTACAGGGGTACAAGTTTAACATCTTCTATCCGGATTTGGTCGATGTAACAAAAGCACCGACCTACAAAATCATCCGGGAGCATGGGAGACGCCGCGGAGAATCACACGCGGCTGCCGGTGAGGATGACACGTGCCTCATCAGATTCATTGCCGGCCCTCCGTATCAAGATATTGCCTTTCGCATTGTAGATCGCGAATGGGATTATAGTGCAAAGAGAGACCGAGGGTTTAAGAGCTCATTCGACAAGGTATGTGCTCCTGCTTGCTGTCTTTTCTTCAGGACCTGTCGCAAAGTTAACTAACACCAATGTCTTTAGGGAATTCTTCAGCTTCATTTCCAATTCAAAAAGGTACGTCGATGCATAGTCTCTTGCAACAACAAACGATGCACTAACATGTCTGCCACCAGGTCTACTACAGAAAGTAAACGGCTAATATGGTATACAATAACACAATCGGTTTACATCCAACATGGCGGCGGAGAATATACCCAGTGCAAAACCAACAATACAAACGAGGAATTCACATACCACATAGATCTAGGAGCGCTTTGAGCCTGCACCTGTCGTAGCCAAGTTTGTTGATTGCGCTAAAGCTCGTCGTTGCCCCAACCAAACTCCAAATAACGGCTACGGGATTTGTCGATTCGAACCTCTACAACCAAAACGCTGCATCAGTGAAACCAGGTGTCAAAGAAGGGGCGATAGAAGAGAATGAATTCTGGAATGTTACACGAGTTTAGCAATCAGTTACTCCAACGCGTGGCAACAGTGACACCGCCCACTTCAAGTCTCGACCTCGTCCTCCTAGATCCCGATTCCCCTTCGTGACGGGGTACAGCCACAGACAGAGGTCTCGTGGCATGATTCGCTTCACGCAGAGTTTGTGTTGCGAGGATGCAGGCAGCAGGAGATGGTCGTCGTCGTCGTCCGTCGGTTAGAGTACGCGTACTGTCGAACCGGTCGAGCTTCATGTTTATTCGACCGCTTTTGGTGTTTTATCACATCCATCATGAGCATCCGTTTCAACCGAATAACAGGTGGAGCTCTTAATTTAAACCTACGGAAAGTACAAAGTGCAAAGTGCAAAGTGCAAAGTGCAAAGTACCTCTGCTGCTCAAATAGTGGTGAAGAGGTCCGGGCGCACTTCCAGCCATACCGCTGCGTCTTCCCGTTGAGCTTCCTTGCCGGCAGCTTGCTTGAAGCAGGCCACTTCTTACATGTCTGGCATGAAGAGAACCAGGTGCATTATTGTGATGACTAGATTCATAGGTGATGAGGAAGCTCCTTGGACCAAGGCTGTTGGCCGACGCTGCTCGAGTTGCTCTTGGGTTGCCACCAAGAAGCGTGGCCCTGTTTCGGACCGAAGCTGGTCAGGTATGGGCGCAGCAGGCGACACCAGAGGGACCTCAAGTGCTTTGCACAGTGTCGCACGCGTACATGCCGGGCTGCTGTCGCTGGAAGCGCCAAGTTTCCGTCCCGTCGTCCGTCCTGAAAATGGCCTGCGGGTAACTGTGGAGGGTACCTACAGGCAGCACGGCGCCGCGGGGGTTCTCCTGATGCTGAAGAGGAAAAGGGGAGGGATTTTACAAGCTTCTGCTACGCTCTTGGATCTTTGTCTGTGATAAGCAAGCTGGCTGTGTACCGGGACTGCGAACGTGCCGGGGCAGGCAGTGAGTGACTCGCAACGGTTGGAGTGTCCCTGGTGTGTATGACTCTCCCATACATCGTGGTATGGACGATGCGACCACACACCCTAGCAAGCTAGAAGGACAAGAGGGCGTGCCACGGGAAGTGAAGTGCGTGGGCCCGCATGAAGGCGAAAAGAGAATGAGACGGAGACAGAGAGAGCAGGAGAGGGAGGAGGGGGGCGTAGGGGCGTGTGAAGGCGTAAAACATCCTCCAGGGTTCCCCCCCCCCCTCCTTGCTCGCCTCCACTTGGACAACGGTGCGAGGATGAGATGCTGTGCAGGTTGACCTAAAGTTCAACTTTTTCTTTTGGGCTGCCATCGACCCACCTGGACTCTATAGCCCAGAGGCGTGGTTCTTGCTCATGATAGATCTGAGCTGCGGGCATCGCTTGCCCAGCCGATGCACCCCTTGTGCAATGGATTGTGCCCTGGCCCACTGCTGGCGGCTCTGGATGTGCTGCTGATTCCCGTTTCTTGTCTTCTTTGTGGAAAGATTCAGTGTAATGACAAGCCTAATCTCCCCGCTTTACTATCTCGACATTTCCGCAGTCTTATAATACCCGGGTCTGTCCGCTGCCACACGCCTTTTGTTTGATGCAAGGCCTGTTCTCTCTGGCTTGACATCTTCTTTTGCACTTTTCAACTAATACGACAACAATAACTCTTGCATCATTATCTGTTTAAAAGCATCTCGTTTTCTTATTCTTCGTCGTCACTATCGTTCTGTTGCTACTACTACCACTGCTACCCGTCCCCCTGGTTGTGTAGTTACTGCTTCTCTCTTCCTCCCCTCCAAACGTTGCCCATTGAAACACGGCAAACTCTTTTCTTTGCTGCTCGGCCCGTCCAAATCTCCCCTTCCCGGCTTTGCTTTTATCTCCCTCCCATGGAATCTTCCTTGATAGGTGGAAACCAGGTCTCCCGGCACGGCTATTATTCTGACGCTGCTTCTATACGTGCTGGAAGCGAATCTGAGACGCTCTGCCCCAGATCTCTTGAATTGCAAGGCATGGCCGGCGTGGCCGAGATGGCCAGGTCCTTATCCAAATACCCATTCTCCTCCCCCAAGACAATAGCCACTGCAAATCATATATATGGCAGGCAGGAATCCTTTCTTTGCCCTTCCCCCCCACCGGACCATCTGGATGTGGACAATAGCAGCACCAACAGCAGCCTGACCGACCCCCCTTCATCGACGCCCGCTGCCGCCTCTTACACCTGCGTTCCCAATTCGCCTCCACTCGACCCTGGCGACATTATGATTCAAAACGGCAGCATGGCCGCCTCTTTTGGCACTCCATCAACGCACTTTGCTCCTACGCCGCTACTTCTTGCATCACAGACACCTTCTTCTAGCAGTTGCAGCAGCAACAGCAGCAACAGCAGCAGCAGTAGTACGCATTATTGTGCCCCAATAATGGATACCTGCCGCGCCTCCTACCACACCCAACACTCCCATCACTCTCACCACCAACTCCTATCATCCTCCACCATGGACCAACAATTCCATAGCCCCTCCCCTTTCTCTCAGAGCAGCATGATGGATGATGGTTATGCCTCATCTGATCTACCTTCTGATCAACAAAGCTCCTCTGGTTCACAGAAAAACGAGGAGCCCTACGCACAACTCATATACAAGGCCTTTATGAGCCGCCCTGGGCACTGCATGTCCCTCCAAGACATCTACCAATGGTTCCGCGACAATACAAAAAAGGCCACGAGCGAGAAAGGAGGCTGGCAAAACAGCATCCGCCACAACCTATCTATGAACGCAGTATGTACAAAGGCCCCCGCCGCCACCTGCCATTCAACATCGTGGCTCTTTGACTAACCCATTTTAGGCATTCACAAAGCGAGAAAAGCAGCCCCTCGACGGCTGCAGCCCTAGGTCAGAGGCCAAAAGATCGACTGAGTGGGTGTTGGAGGCATGGGCAGTGGCCGATGGAGTGCAGAGCACGACGAGATATCGCAAGGGCACAGCTGCCCGGCGATGCGGCTCTACGCAGCAGTCTGACGACCATTTGGAATATGGTCGGCGATCTTCAAGGTCCATCCTCAATGCCTCACGAGCACAATCAGGCCGAAAGGGCGGGCGTGCCGCTTCAAGGCTGAGCCGGCGTGGGAACCAAAAATATGGAGAGCATCTTGACTTGACGCCACCAACACATCCCACGCTAGAGCAACACCGAGGAGCAGCCCCATCGAGCCTCCACGACTACGCAGACCACCAAGCCCAAATGGGCGGATTCCACGCCGGAGCAGGGTTGCCAACAAATGCAACCGCCAGCATGACTCCACGCAAGTACGAAGACCACCACATGAGGGGCGGTCCGGACAGCATTGGCTTCCCGGCCACAAGCGGCGCTGGTGCTGCTGCGGCGGCGGCGTGGGACGTCTATCCGTCGGCAGCAACAGCCTACTACAGCCACAACCAACACCAACACCACCACCAAGCGGTGCCCTATCCCTACCACGGCGGCCGGGTCGACATGCAGCATGTACTCTACTCGGATACCGGGCATCACCCGGCTGGACCGCCTTTTGCAACAGAGCCTCTCTTTTCCAACATGCAAGACGCAATGTGCGATTTGAGTCGCACCGGGGTCTAGGCGTTGGACGGGGTGCTGCCGTTGGTTGGGTCTGCTTTTCCTTGCTGTGGGCGCACTTACACCACAACAGCCACCTAAAAAAGTGGAGGGTGGGCCGGGGGAAGAGAATCAGTGTGGCTCAAAGAAGAGCGCCGCTTCCCCTTCCGCTTCTGGTGGCTGCCAGCTTTTTTTCTTGCATTCTAAATTAGGGTGCTGACGGTGTGTGTCAGTACTGTACGCAGGCACACAGGTGGCAGAGGAAGAAGGGGGGAATGGGGGCACAGCCCGTCCGCCGCGGCGTCAAGGTTTGAATGGGCAGAACGGCGATCTCCTGCCTGGCGTCTGGCGTGTGCGGTGACGAGCAGGGGCAAGAGGCTTGCGCGCGATCGATGACGAAGGGCCAGGAGATGCTGCACAGCCAAGACAGTTTTGATTGGAAGACGAACAGAGCCGAGAACTCCACGGACCGTTGCCAACTTCATTTATGGTGGCATGGCATGGCCTAGGGAAGCAAGAAGGAGGGTGTGGGCAGGGGTGCAGGGCGAACGGAAGGGTAAGTGGCCGGAGCGTGGGTACTGCGGTTGGTTGTGTGTGTTGTGTTGGATTACTTGACAAGCTCAGTTGGGGCACTTCCGCCGGCAAGGAGGTCCTTGCTGTTTATTGATTACAAACATGGCGTTGGGACGAAGATCTGGAGAGTCTGAGCATCAGCTGCTTTGCCAGTTTGCTGCCTGCTCTACCGCGGCTTGCTGCCGTGTCCCAGAGACTTTGGGCGTTTTTTTCTTTCTTGTCCCGTCGGTTTGCAACTGTACCGGATACTGAACGGCATTCTGCTTTTTTTTTTGGCCAGTTGGGTTTATTATTCTCCGTGTGTTGTTTTTTTCCTTGGTGGTGGCGTTTCATTATCCTGGTGGTCCATGTTCCTGTTGAACATGCCTGTTTTCTGTCCCTGTTCGAGTTTGGGTTTGGTAACACACTACTTTGAAAGTCTACGTTTGATTCCCGCATTTAGAATTTTGTTCTTTCGTCATTGCTCGCTTGGGATACTCTCCGCAAGGGGCCTTTTACAGCTTCAATCTATAACCGATTTGCAACCCGTATAATAACTACCGTGCTTGGCGTAAAGGTGAATCCAATTTGTAAAATAACCGATCCCGCGGCGATGCTCGAAACGTGCCAATCATTGCTGCAATAGAACGAACGAACCGGCAGTCGCTTTTGCCGTGGTGAGATGGCATCGTGTACGATAAATTGAGACGCAGAGGAACAACCACGCTGGCCATTGAATGGCCAATTTCTGCCAAACCGCCTAATTAAGCGGGAAAGACATGCAGGTCGACACTTACCATAGGCATGCTTGACGTGCCCACGACGGTTGGATACCCAGGCACTTGGAACCCAAAAGCATGCAGACTGCCTCAACTATCAGCCAGGGGATGCTATAGTGGCCCCAGGCCAGGGGCAACACTCTATATTCGGAGAAAGGTAAGTGCAGCATCGGAACACAGGCTGCAGCACATGGGGTCACTGATTTACAGGGGGATGTGCCAGTTTACAGCGCACCTCTCTGTCTATGGCGCTGAGCCCGGAAATGAATCGGCGTTGACCGTAGCGGCGAGACATCCGGAAGCGACAACGGTAGGGGGGTAGACCCTTTTCGACAATAGAGCATAAAAAAGACTAGGGACCAGTAATAGCAAGCCGAAAGGAGAATGGTCCCTGTGTGCATGTGACGCACACGGTTCCCAGGACATGAAGACCAGAGACAGAGATCGACGGCGACGGCGTCCTTGTTTGAATGAGCAGTTCGTGGATTGTAAAACTGGCGGCCGTTGAGGCGCTATTGTCCAGCAGGGAGCGGGGTGATGATTCCCATCGCATGAATACCTTGGCTATTGGCGTAACAAGGCTTAGTATTGTTGCCTCTTAATCTAGACGAACTGGCGGGCGTACTGGTGCAGCAGCCAGAAAGCCTACCCACGCCCAACACACACCACACCACAGGGCCGCGTAGGGCGGGGAGCATCGCTTGATGCAGCCTGTATAGCATAGGCGAGCCACCCGACTAATTCCCACGGCTGTCGGGCACCTGACGGACAGCTGCCCGGCCCGGGGTGTGGGGGTTGCCGATCAGGTAGGGCAAAGCTGCCAATTTGACTGGTGCCTGTGCGTCTATAGTGTCCAGTAAATCGGCAATGGGCTCCAAAGTGCAAGTAGAAAAGGAGTTTCGGTTGCATTGAACCGTCGCAATGTAACTACATAGCATAGTCCATGTAAACGCGGGAGGAGGGGTGGCGGCCTGGGCACTAAAGGCTAATGTCAAAAAGGTTTCGCAAAGTAGTCCGCAGGCGTAGCGAGGATAAAGCATACGCGTCGATGAAGGCAGGCTAGGATTTACACGCCGCAGAGGCTAGACGTGGAGGTGCACGCCGCCAAAGGCCTCTTGATACTTAGAGGGACCTCCGTATACGGAGAAGCGGCGAGAGGATGGGCAATGGCAATGACACACCTGCTGCAACCTGGCTGTGCAGGGCGCTCTTGTATTGTCGTCGTCGTCGTGGCGTTGCGGTGTGGGTAGGAACCGTTGCGCTGGGCCTATTCATACAGCATTCAACACGCCACACCACTCCTATTGTCGTTTTGGTCATTCGGCGCGCAGAGTTTTCGTAAAACTTCCTCTTTCTGCTTCTTTTCTCTCTTATCGCCGCAGCCAAGGGTCTTTTGTCAAGCAGCGGGCTTTGCGCGCTTGGGGTTGTATTGTCCCAGCAGACTGGTTTCTATTGTCGTATACAGTGGCCCGGGCGTCATTGGCTCCTGGACTGACGCGTTGCGCGCGCAGAAAAAGAGACTTTTGCCCCCTGTCCTCTCCCACTATCCCGTCATCGACGGTGCCTGCCGGGGCTCCTAACCGGCCTAATTTACATTGCGGACAAAAATTATCTTGCTGCCTGGCTTCAGGTGTAAGACACCTGAGAAAGCACGCTACAGCCAGACCGGGGATGCTAGTTCGCGTTACGCTAAAAACGCCGGACGCCAACGGTTATCGTACTGTACAGTGCCGATACCCACCTGCCACCAGGGGTCTTGACGGTACAGTGCTGACTGCACGTAGGCTGCATCACCAAGAGGGCCTGCCGAGCGTTCTGCCCCCTCCCCTGCTCGCCGTCTCATTCTCGCTTCCGTCAGAGACAACCTGCTGTAGGTGACCGCCTAGCAGCCAGCAGTCGCCCACCGTAATCAACCGCGCAGGCACCAAGCATGGATGGGTCTGTCGTCGACATGCCTACCCTTGCAAAGTAGAGCCACTATCCCCTGCGTCCTTGAGTTTCCTCCGCGTAGTCTCTCCATTATGGAGTCTCGCTGCACCTGGTGGCTTGCTGAGTGGCACTATGTGGCGGATAGATGGATAAAAATTATAAGCGTGAAGCCGTATCCAACGGTTAATCTATGTCCGACAGTTCGATTCTCCTGGGTCATGCTGTATACCGGCAATCTCGGCTGTTAGAAACGGTGCTTCATCGGCAACCAAATTCAAACTGCCTTTACCTAAACCGTGACCCGCAGACTGTAACCGTAAGTCTGTTCTTGGCTGTAAACATAAATTGATGTACTATAGGCGCTTGCCCCTCCCTACCGTCCAGTTTGCTGGGACTTTCGATACGGGTAAGCGGAAACCCGGACGGGCCATACCACTTCTTAGGCCTCCCAGCATTGACCATGCGCCCAAGACATGGGAGAAAACAACACAAGAAGCCACCTGAAGCTGAGAAATGGTCGCCAAAAGGTGCATATCGACGCCCAAGTCCACCGGCTTTGCAGCTTTCTCCAGCTGGGTGACTGGTTGGCTGGCTGAGTACATCTCGATTGCATGTCATACCAATCACAAGCATTCTTGAACCTCCTCTAGAACAGAGCGCAGGCCGCGGATCGAAGCCGTGGTCTCCGAATGGGCCATGCTGCGGACACCTGCACTGTATGCAGCATATTTTCACCTTTGGGTGGGAAAACGCTGTGTCCACCCAGTGTGACGAGCACTCCCGTCAGCGGATGGAGGAGAATACTATGCAGCCGCATGCCAAAACGGAAAGAGGCGTTCAAGACATGGCAGCGAAAATTTTCGCTGCTATTATCGGACGATGATTTGCTCACACATGCAGCATCTGCATCGTCTTGGGGTTTTGCTGGCCCGCCACTTTTAGAGACACCCTCTCTGGACCAGGCAGCCGGATTCCCGTTTTCAGATGGGGCGTAAATTTTGCGAAGAAGCAATCATTCCCCATTTCTTGATTTTTTTTTGAACAAATACGGAAATTTTGTACGTAGGGCGTGATCCTTCGAACGCTAATGCCAGAATAGGTCAGTGCTCTGAGACGCGGCTCAACTTGACAGGCGGGATAACTTACGCCGGATCTCGAGGCGGCTTACCTAGACATACAGACGCCACCGCACGAACCAGTCTGAGATGTAAACCAAAGGATCATTTAGAACGGCTCGGAACATGCCAGCCAATGCCATTTGTTTTGATCTGATACTGTCATGTACAGTCAGGGTCATTGTTCCGTCCAAAGTCCGCGCAAACAGCCGCTCTTGCAGGTGAACACCAAACAATGTTCAAGTCTATCTTGTCCCTGAAAATGTTTCAAAGAATGTTTAGAACTTGCAGCCGGTGAGAAGCACTTCTGCAGAGGATCATTCAGCCGTGCCTTTGGCCTAATCTCCGCCTAATTATTCCGAATTTATACGGTGAGTAATCACGCTCGGTGTCAAATCAGATGAAGCCAAGAGCGGCACCACCGTCGTTATCAGTGGCTTTGGATAGATATGGAAAAAAGTTTTCCATGCAGCGTCACAACCAAGTATGCTCCTTACGGTGCTGACATGCTCGACCGATCCCAGGCTATGAATCTAGAACCAAAAAATCCTGTCGCTAAACGCACGTCTTTTACTGCTGCAGTTGGCGCAAGGTGTGCTGGTGTGTTGCGAAACCCAAAATTTGTCACATGTAAGAGAACAACTTTTTGTCTTCAGATCACTGAGGTGCCGATAAAGTATTATCCAACGCGGGCCACAACCAGAAGCCTCTTGCCGATGCTCTAGCAACACAATGCGGCGTGTTGCCGTGTATTGCCCCGAGGTTCGCCTTCCCAGACGTGGTTTAACCTTTGGCGATGCACTCTGCCACAACCAACCAAGACATTCACCCCCGGAGATCCTAAGACAAGAGGTGCATAATGGCAGTATTCCCACCCCCCTCACACTGCATTTGTCATAGCTTGGAGGACCCTGACCTTTTGGTTCTGAGTATGTCGTACGACCGTGCCTCACGTCCCCAGAAGTAGGACCATAACGCGGCAGCATTGATCCGCTGCGAAGAACCCAAAAGGGTCGACTGTAGACCCATGGGGCCTGTTTCAATGGTTGAGTGATTGTTGCACTAAGTTGACGTTGTCCGAAGTTGTGATCGAGTATAATCGCAAAGGGAGCTATGTTGTTGAGCTAGGTAACGTCTGTTTTGTGATATGTTCGTTTGTTATATACATTCACTAGTTATATTACACATAATGGGTTCATACCTAGCATCCTGAGATAATTGTGTACCCAATTCATCATGTGTTCTATCACAATTGTCCTATATTCAGTGGCGTGTTTTTGGTATAAGGTCATGCCGTGATTTTAAAAGCGGCGCTTCTTTTTGCTCGGTCCTGCGGCGGCCTGTTTCTCTAGATCCCGCTTGAGCTGTTCACGTTTCTTGTCCGCGCGTTCTTGAGATGTTTCCCTCGGGGTTTCAGCATTTGCAATAGCTTCATCATTGTGGTCCGTCCGTGATACAGCAGGACGTCCTCGCAGTTGTGTATCTCCATCCGCAGTGTTGGTTACCACTCCGCCAATTGTACCAATGCGACGCGGGGCAGGAGCAGTTGACGATGCGACATCCACCGATGGTGCTACGACTTCGGTTTCTTTTGGTTTTGAGACGCCTCCAATACGACCCAACCCACCTGACTTCCTTGGTATAGGTTTTGGAGATGGTAGAAGTCGAGATTGTGCCGGCTCGTCGGGCAGAGATGCTGTTTCATCAGCTTCGCTGGCTGTTTCTGAAGCCGTATCCTCTTCTGCACCAAGAGTAGTGGACATTTCATTGGAGGATTGTGGTAGAGGAATGGGATCTGCGGCCCGTTTTGCTCCGCCAATGGCACAAAGTCGATTAACAGGTTTCTTTTCCACCACCGGCGGGCTGTTGAGGACTGGAGGTGGCGATTCAAGTTTGGGCGGCGGACTACTAACATTGATATCGGTGCGCGACTTGAGGTGAGGAGGAGTAGACTGGACTTGAAATTCGTCGTCCGAGTCGCCAGCCTTGCTAATCTGCGGAGCTGGCGATGGTGTCCCTGTCACTGGCTTTGAGTTGTCTGGTTTCTTTCGCACAGCTAGTGACGTTGCTGGTTCGAAGTTCTGCCACCAGGAACTAAGGGACTGTGTGGTGTCACACGTCATAGAGTCTGTGAACAGGAGCGTATGCCCACCAAACACGGAATTTGTGACATCAGATAGGGATTGTTGCTCTTGCAACTCATTGTTCAAATCAGTCTTCCACTTGCTCTCTTTGAATGGGCCAAGGCCCTTGATTTTGTCCTCAGCTGCTTGTCGTGAGATGGATTTGCGAGCAGCCAGAGCTGTAAACACTTGGTCCAAGCCCGTCCCTGTTGCTTCCAGCTTATCAGCAAGTTTCGAAATAACGGAATCTTTCTGATTGAGCAGTTGTATCAGGGATGCTGCCTCGTGTTGGCGTGCCTGTTGAGCCTGAATGAGGGGGATAACGAGCAAACGAGCTATGGCATCTGGCTCTTCTTGCTTCAAATGGAATGGCCATTTCAGATCTGGGAAACCTGGCAACTTGCATTCAACTGTCAAAGTCAGTCTCTTGCCGCCAGCTTCGTTTGATGAGGCGCGGGCTAGCTGGACTGAAGTACCCTCATGACCAGGCACGGATGAGTCCACGGCCGAGTGCAGGCTCTTGAGAAAGGTTGACATGTTCTCCGCCGTATCACTGGGATCAATGCTGGTGTCCTGGTTCCACGCTCTAATGCAAATGGATTTCCGATCCAGACTTTCGACCCAGACATTGGCGAGATCTGTCACTTGAATCGTATATTCTGACGATCCTTTGGAGAAGGAGACTAGCAACGGGAGAACTTCGTTAGACGCCAGCAGAGGCAACGGTCTCCAAATTGTTGGGCTAGCCATTTTTCAATCAGGCGGCTATTGCTGTATATATTGAGAAAACATAGAGCGAAGGGCAGTCACAGCGTTGCCAATCAGAGCACGCTGATCAGGAAGCGTGACGGGTTGTTGCTGATGAAGCGTGGTAAGCCGCAGTGCTAGAAGGAAAGATGTGCCACAGTTATAGTTTATTTGGGATTGTCGTAAGGCGCCACAGCTAAGGGGTACTGGCCTCCTCGTTGTTTTTCTTCCAGACAAAGTTGTTGATGTCGGCGGCAAGTTAGGCATCCGCGTCCTTGTTTTGGCAGCTGGCAAGGGGAAGTGCCTACGTCTGGGACAGCTGGTGGCCAATCAGGCTGCGGCAACGAACATTTGCCTGGCCAAGTTGTCTGCTGGACGGTATAACAGTATAACGACAAAAAAGAGAATTAAATATACAGTAACTATCTACAAAGAGAATTAATATCCTATATAAATATATCAAAACTATTTCGTCTTGTTTAAAAATTTGTACATGAAAATGGCAGTCTCGGCCCGGGTCTCTGGGATGGCTTTGTATAAGTGTTTATCATAGCCGCCAAACACAAAACCAGCCTTTTTATATAAGCGACAGGCTGCTACATTGTTTGACTGACACTCTGTACGTATAGAAGTATATCCTACCTCTTTGGCCCAGTCTGCAACTGCCTCAAGTAGTAGGATGGCGTTTCCATGTCCACGGACGGTTCTATCCAAGGCAATATACTCCAGATGGACCATGTTATTCCAGCCTTTCGTAGCAATGGCGTACGCCCATACTTTACTGTCGCTCTCCAACACGACAATAACTTTTTGCAAGCCATCCGCGTCAGAAGCGTCCTGAGCGTCAAAACCAAAGTCCTTCGTCAGCTCCGGCAGAGGCGCTGTAGCTATAGGTTGATCAAGCTCGAGTTGGCTATATGGTTTCGCTACTTGAATATTTGTTTTGAAGGAAAAGTCGCAATGTAGAACTTGGTCTCGCGTCAGATTAGAGACGCGTCGTAGAGTGAGATTGCTCATCGTTGCTGGTCTGTGTTGGAAGCTATAAGAGACGACACAAGGCAGGGCGGTATGAAGCTGCGCGGGCAGTATATTCCGACTTTAATGTATCGCTATAGGATTTCTGTAAGCAGAATATTTGTTGCGGCCTATGTTCTTATATATGTAAACTACCAGCTAATGACAACAGAAAGTGTTGTCGGCGAGCTGAATTGGGCGACTGGTTTTGACGGCTGAACGAAGCTTCTGGAATGGCATACACTAGGCCTCCAACAGAGCTGACAATTCAAACAAGTTTAAAAATAAATTAAAATTTCCATGGTTTTCTACTCATATACCTATTATTATAGAGGATAATATCTGCACAGCATCACCAATAAAAGAAAACATTGCAGCAGCATAAGGTAGGGCGTCCCTAAAACCGCCATTGTCGGTAGTGTACTTTAGCGAACCACTGCACTAAAATCCACTGCGTCACAGCGCTACCCCGATCTGAGCAACCCCAATCTGGCAGCGGCAATCGTGATGCCAAAGTCGCGATCGACGAGTTTCCATGACGCACCGCGTTCATCGTCGTTTCCTAGCAAGTCGCGTTAGGACAAAAAAGGAGATATGGAGGCCGGATCTTTCCTTTCACATCACAAAATGCAATGATACGATCATAATTGAATATTCAATCACTACACATTCGATCCAATTCGTCTCAATAGCGAATCACTTACAAGCATCAGCGCCAGTGACCTTTGCGGCTCCAAACATTTTCCGGTTCATGTTCGCTGCGCGACTGCGACAACAATCATTAGTGCTACGACCACTGACAAGATCTTACTCCAGCATTCAGAAGATGGCTCCGAAAGCTGCCAAACGCAAGGCCGAATCGGCACCCAAAACTTCCACCAAGGAGGTCAAACGCCGCAAGAGCACCGGTTCCTATGAAGATGAATTGCGCAAACCACACCCCTGGGCAAAGCTCGCCGAAGAGAATGGGATTGTACAGCGCAAATACTACCCACCTGAGATGAGCACTGACAGAGCTCGTGCTTACATCGAAGAGGGCCTGCTCCGACCCATGGAAGAGCTTGTCCGCATGCAGCGCGAATACAGCGAAGCTATCAACAAAGTACCGGATGGTGATGCCATGGTTCATTGGTTCAAGTCGGATCTTCGGTGCAGCGATAATAAAGCGCTATCTCTCGCAAGCGCCAGAGCCCAGGAGGCTGGGGTTCCGCTCATTGCTGTCTATCTTGTCAGCCCTCAAGATTTTGAGGCACACATTACGGCACCCATTCGGGTCGATTTCATTCTTCGAACTCTCAAGGTTCTGCAAGATGATCTCTCCAAGCTTGATATCCCCCTATATATTGAAACTGTCGACAAGCGCAAGCAACTACCTAACAGACTGATGGAACTCATGGACGAATGGGGAGCCAATCACCTCTTCGCAAATTTAGAATATGAAGTTGACGAGTTGAGAAGAGAGCGTGGTATTATTAAGAGCCTAGCTGATAAAGGAAAATCCTTTCAAGTCGTCCACGACACCTGTGTGGTTGCCCCAGGAGAGCTTAAGAGCGGCTCTGGTAACCAATATGCTGTTTACACTCCTTGGTACAGGAGTTGGGTTGCACATATACACAACAATCTTGACCTTCTTGAGCTTTTTGACTCTCCAGCCAAAAACCCAGCCAAGACTCGGGCCACTCTTAAGCACCTGTTCGGCTGCGATATCCCCAGCGCTCCTAAGGGCAAGACCTTGACCGCGGAGGAGACAAAGCGCTTCCACGCCATGTGGCCCTGCGGCGAGCATGAAGCTAGAAAGAGGCTAGACAAGTTCTGTGACGAAAGAATTGGAGAATATGATGACAAGAGAAATATCCCGTCGCACGCGGGCACATCGAACATATCCGTCCACCTAGCTGCTGGCACGATTAGCGCGCGTACTTGTGTGCGCGTTGCTAGAGACCGAAACAAGTCTAAGAAGCTTGATGGTGGTTTACAAGGCATTCAAACATGGGTCAGTGAAGTGGCCTGGCGCGACTTTTACCGCCATGTTATGGTCCGTTGGCCTCAGGTGTGGTAAGTGGACAGTATTAGCTCGGAACTTAACGTGCGCCACTAACTTTCGGTCAGTATGAACAAACCGTTTAAACCAGAGTTTGCCAATGTGGAATGGGTTTACAATGAAGATCACTTCAAGGCCTGGTGCGAAGGCAAAACTGGCTATCCTATTGTTGATGCTGCCATGCGCCAGCTGAACCACACAGGATACATGCACAATCGATGCCGCATGGTTGTGGCCTCATTTCTTTCCAAAGATCTCCTCTTGGATTGGCGCAAAGGTGAACGATACTTTATGGAGAATCTGATTGACGGCGACGTTCCGAGTAACAGCGGTGGATGGGGGTGGAGTGCTGGAGTTGGTGTAGATCCCCAACCGTACTTTCGCATCTTCAATCCTTTGCGACAGAGCGAGCGATTTGATCCAGATGGCGACTACATTCGGAAATGGGTCCCGGAACTCAAAGGCCTCACTAACAAAGAGATTCATGAGCCGTATGGTAGAGGCGCTGGGGACAAGGCCAAGAAGAATGGATATCCAAAGCCTGTTGTCGAGCATGCCGCTGCGCGAAACCGCGCCTTGGCCGCCTACAAGGCTGCAACGACAAGTGACATGTAAATGGGATGTCACTTTGTTGTTATGTATTCACTACAAATGGAAGCTGGTTTGCGATTTTTTACACATTGCACAATCACGTAAAAGCATGTCTGACCCGTATCTGTACCATGGCGAGAAAGCTTAACCGCCACGGCTTTTTAAAAGGCCAAGAGTTCATCTGCGGCTTGAAGGCTATCAGAGCAGCCTCAGACTCCTTGCAAAAGAAGTAGATGGATCAGCAAATCTGATCCCATGCAGAGGAGCTTTGCTAGCCGGGGACGCATTATTGCTGTACGTCAAAAGTTTCATAGAAAAACAACTGGTATATCACATCGGATCCTGTGAGAACAGAGTTTTTGGAAGTATTTGGTTTCGAAATCGAGCCAAGACGCCTCGAATTGGGTGAATTGCTATAATGCATGCCAACTCTCTAGTTCCGTTAATGCTATCCTTCCCGAACCAATCCCTGTACATCATTATAAAAAAGGCCAGTCATTGCTGAGCTCATGGTTGACTTCGGCTTATGTCGCATAAAAAGACGGTCGTCCGGCGTCGCAAATCGTAAAACCCTTTCAACTTTTTTTGACTTTCGATTTTTCGGTCGTGGTCGTTTGGTATATCAACCTCGTCAACTTTTTGTTTATCATTTCATCCGCTGCTCACTCAACCCCTCTCGCCTCTCCATTTATCGCTGGGCGCTCCAGACGCTCTTGAGGAGACCGTCACGCTGAGCAAGGCGGTTCATGGCATCGTCGGACTCGCCCATGGCGCGGACGAAGCCGCAAAGGGCGTAGACGTGGTTCTCGCCGGTGACAGCGCGGCCGTTCTCGTCGACCTTGGCGATGTTGATCTGGACAGAGCCGTGGTCCTTGGCCTTGATGATGCGGTTGGTGGCGCTGCACTTGCGGGGGACGTAACTGTTAAAAGACAAAACCTGGTTAGCATGTCCATTGTTCGGGTTGCCGGTCTCGAGGTCTCGATTTTTCGGTATTTTCGGGGTCTCTGCTTACAGGTCGACAATCTCTCCGCGGTCGTTCTCCATTTTGGCGGTATGTGGTGGGTTGTTGTGGGAAAAGGTGAAGAGTAAATTTGGTTGCAGTCGTGATGTTCCGCAAAATGGGTGTAGCGAGCCCTGCCTTCAAAATTTGGCCCAGACCCAGGCAATTTCGTGGGGCGGAGGAGGGCTTTTGTGCGCCACGTGACACATCATGTGATGACGTGCCAGAATCGTGCATTAGACAATGGGCGGCGCGCCCCACCTTGCTTAAGTGTTAGGCGGGTGTTCGCGGTGGAGTCGGCGTGCTGAGACGTGAACGCTCCAGACTGCCCATCGCGTGCTGCAGGCTATCTCGATGGGATAGCTCTGTGCAGCCAACGTGCCAACGTGCGTAAAATACAGGCACTGAGATGCGCTCTGCGCACTCAGAACCAAGGCTCCGGCATCATGACGTCTTCCGCCGCCTTCCTCTCGTCCCCTGCCGCCGGCACGTCGCCTCGCAAGCCCCTCATGCTCTCGTCGTCACCAGATCTGCCCTCGGTTGATGAGATTGCATCGCAGTCAGCGGCCCGAACCTCGCTTTTTTTCAAGTCGCCTTCTCAGAAGGCTTCTATAACAGATCTTACAGGCCGACAACATGGTTCCCCATCACCACAGAGTACCATGCGACGACGATCGCCGCCGAAATTCAAGAATGCTTCCACTACACTACCACCTGTTCCAAACCCCGCCACCTCACAGAATACCACTACTCATCAATCCAACAGCATTGGGAGTGTTCCCCTTGCCGAACCAGCCTTGCCCGTATCAGACGAAGTCGCGCCGAGCAAACCCAAACCTATAACCAACGCCAAAAGGGCGCCAAAGGATAAACAGAAAAGTACGGAACCGCTCAATTTGGAAATGGCATCAGCACGGCGCACCGACTGGACTCCTCCTGCACAAGGGAATCAAGTCATCATTGATCTTGAACCATCTGCATCCCAAGATGGACAACCTATTCAGAACTTTGGACAGCTCCTCGAGACGTTTCGGTTAAAGGATACGACAACAAAACAGGACGAAGAAGGCATTCGAAAGCGCAAATTGACTGAATGCACCTCGCTCCCAGTTTCGGTTACCAAGAACGATGAAAAGTCACCAGTCAAGAAAAAGGCGACAAAGCCGAAAAAGAAGCCTCTTACTATCACGGAGCTGGCAGTTGCCGCTTATAGAGAACCAGACCCCACCGAAGCCGTGAATCCAGCAATACCTGATATGTTACCTGGTGTAACTGTATCAGAAGCTGATTCAAATCCAGCCGCTTTACCAGTCAAGCAGACAAAACCGAGGAAAAGAACAGCCAAGGCGCCAAAGAAGAAGAAGCTTGTGCCTCCCAAACAAATCCTACTTTCCCCTGGTGCGGCGAGAGAACAAATGTCACGCCAAGACTTGATTTTCGGAACCTCGAGCCAGCTTGCAGGAGAGCATTCTCCCACATTTCTCCGTGACCTCGCTGCCGCTATGCGCGAGTCTAATGTGATTGATGTTGACGATGTGACGCCGATAAATAGCGATGCTATCGAGCCGCCTCCAGAGCGCCGCTCCTTATGGGAGGCGGCGGCTCGCGACGAAGAGGGTGATCTTTTCGATGTTGAAATTATTGACATGGTAAACGCACCGTCGCTACCCCCAAGCTCAGCCAAGGCAGACGACCCATTTGGCTACGGCGTCGCGATCTCAAACGGAGATGATTCCTTTGTTAACCTGTCGGATATACTGGAAGCATCATCGCCACCACGGTCTCAAAACACGATAAATACAAAGACCACACCTGGAAGACAGCCTGAAATAACGAGTGACGCTTCCAAAGCAGTAACCTCGGACGCGCCAGCAACCACCAACATCACCAAACCTAACTACAACCTTTATACCGATACACAACTCGGGGTCGCCATTGCATCATATGGATTCAAGGAAGTTAAGAAGCGAAGCGCGCAAATTGCGTTATTAGAGAAATGCTGGCAGAGTAAAAACAGTTCGGTACCGAGCAGCCGTCTGTTTTCTTGTAGCTCCGGGTCTCAGCAACCGTCCACGCCGCAACGATCAGCGCCTTTACCAGCCTCGCAGGCCAGCGATGTTAGTCTGGAATTTCCAGAACCACCACCGTCTGCCCAACCCGTTGAATCACCAAAACGCGGTCGCGGTCACCTGAGGAAAACCCCTCTGGGGCTAGCGACGCCTATGCCAACGCCATCGACGGCTGGCTCCAAACCAAAGACACTCTCCACCCAGACGCAGAGTGCACAGGCAGTTATTGAGATTCCAGATTCTGAGTCGGAATCAGAACAGCTGGTTCAGGCTTCACGCTCCTCTTCACCAGAGGAAGCGCTTTCACCCGCTAACGGCGCTGACTTGTCCATTGGTCCGGATAGTGACATACAAACACCGCTTTCCGCTTCGCAAGCGAATCAAGAGCTCGCCGTTTTCGACTATATTACAAAGGCAATACAATCTCTTCCACGTAGCAAAGATGAAAATAATCCGTCTTGGCATGAGAAGATTCTCATGTACGATCCGATCATTATTGAAGAGCTGGCTGCATGGCTCAACACTGGCACCCTGACTAAGATGGGCTACGATGACGAGGTTAATGGATCTGACGTAAAGCGCTGGTGTGAATCAAAGAGCATTTGCTGCGTCTGGAAGATCAATCTGCGTGGCAACGAAAGAAAACGGCTCTAACGAAGTCGCGAGTGGCGTACATGATTCTGTATATTCAATATTTTTTTGGGAAGGAGGTAGTGGTCTGGGACTGCACACATGAACGACTACATAACGAAAGTAACGACTATTATACATGAAGCAAATAATATTTTCTCTTCATTTTTAGTTCTATATTCACATAATAATTGTGTAATGTTTCTTATATATGACAATTCTTCAAGTAGCCGACTGGCTCCATCGGGGATGTTGAACCGAGATGGAAGCGGCCGTACTACCTGCGGGACCCGCCACGCGAACCTCGGCAAACGTCACCCCGCGAACCCGCTTCGGCGCCGGCTCCTTCAACAACCACTACCCTTCCCCAGGTTTCTCCGTGGCGGCTACACGGTCCGCCTTTGCAGTGTCCATGCTCCCATCAATATCCTTTGCTGCAAAAAGACTCACTGCCAGATCTGTAGTGCAGCCTGTCGCAGCGCAATTCTCCCGCAGCAACCACTTCAACAGCCTATCCTCGCTCTTTGCCGCCCGCCCATCAATCACTTCTGCTACGTCCTTTGGTCCGCGCATCATGTCGGTTCCCGCCTCTCACTATGCGGCCAAAGGCCAAGACGGTCCTGCACCTGCTCGCCCCAGCTCGTCAGTTGTTCTACTGTCGCCTTCCAACGACGTCCTCCTCCTCCACCGCGTCCAGACATCGTCGTCGTTTGCTTCCGCGCACGTCTTCCCTGGCGGCAACGTCGACCCTTTCCACGATGGCGAAGCACCACCAATTGGAGACCCGAAGAGACACGAAGACAGCGAGGTGTACAGAATGTGTGCCATCCGCGAAACATTTGAAGAAACGGGTATCCTGCTCGCCAAGAAGGATGGCAAGCTCATCGATGTGCCGGAGAAGGTCCGCGAGGAGACACGCAAGCTGGTGCATGGAAACAAGATTAAGTTTGGGGATTGGGTCAAGTCTCTAGGTGCTGAGCCTGATACAGGTACGTTTGATTGGTTGATTTTGGTTTTATGGTGAAACTAACAAAGAATCACTGCAGCTGGCCTCTTGCCTTTCACCCGATGGATTACGCCGTTGCCCATGCCGAAACGATTTACGACACAAATGTACCTCTACATGCTCCCGCTCACTCGCGGCTCCAACGTACCATCCAAGATGCTTATCCCCACGGCGGATGGCGGCGTCGAACACACTGCGGCGCTCTTTGGGTCGCCAGCCGAGTTCCTTAGGCAAAGCTTGAACAAGAGCATCGTGTTGTTCCCGCCACAAGTCTACCTGCTCGATATCGTGGCCAAGTTTACCGGTGGCAAGATGGGCGCGCTGGAAGAAGAGACACGCCGCTTCATGAACCAGCGCCGCAAGCTTACAGCATACCTGAAAAAGACTCCTACGGTAGATACAGAGAAGGGCAAGGAGCACCCGACGGCAAACATTAGCTGGGGCGATAAGGTAATGAGCCCGGTACATCTGTTGGTCCGCGAGAGCGACAAACGCGTGGTGTTGGCGCTGGAAAAGCCCGGACTGGAGCTGAAGGGTACAGACAGAGGAGGCGATTATGAAAGAGTCGTGCTTGTCAACTTTGGCAAGGGCGGTCCGACAAACGTGGAGGTGAGGCTGCGGGAGGATGTGTTGGAGGAGGAGAGAAAAAATGGCGGCGATAAGTCTAAGCTGTAGAGCAGGGTGCTGTACTGTAGAATAAGTTGTAATGAAATATTCCTCAAGAGGATGTATATATTTTATTTAAGAGTCCAAAAGTGTTATATTTTGCCCGATTTTATCGGATTGCTGGGTAAAAGGAATAAGTGATGCTTCAATGTAGGGTATGGCGTTATATGCGGCTGCCAGCTGGCGCGACTGTCAAAGAACGACCGGTTCTTGGAGAGTCAAAGCGTAAAACCTATTTAATTCATGAATATTCGCGTAATTTTAAAATCGCTGTTTTATAAACCCCCCTAGTATATTGGAAACTCTCTAGAATGCTCCTTACGAGAATTAATCACTATCTTGAGACACCGTATTCGCTAGTTGGCCCCAGCCAGTCCGTAACACTGGAAACTTTGCTACCGCTAACCTCTCTAATAGTAGTATCGTATTAATAATAACAACTATACTCTTTAATTGACTTTCCGAGAGAAATATAGCCTCCGGATATTTCGTCTTATTTGTTTCTAGACTTCTTCAATAAGTTCGCAATACGGCAACTTCAACTCTAAGCTTGCCATGGATGCCAGCATCCCTTTACTCGATATGGACTCCAAGTAGAGTGTACCAAAGTCAACGTCCGTCGCGCCCTGCCAGCGTTTCATGATTAGAGCTGCTTGCGAATTTTGTGAGGAAAAGGACCCGACGTATAGTTGTCTATCCTTGAGCATGCTTCGGCTTGGGGCGTGACTTGCTGCCTCATCCGTCCACAAAAAACATGGCAACTTCGCCGCTTGAGGGAGAGGAACCATTGCCGCAAATCCCAGTCAATAATACTGCGATTGTTTTAGCGTATACCTATGGAACAGTGTGGCGGAGTGGCGAAGTATTAAATGAAACTTTCCCTTACTATTTTACATGATACTCTTCGTCAACAATGATGTTCGCTGGCTTCATATCGCCATGATCCATGGCAAAGAGTCTGCTGTTTCCATCATCGCCAATAACCTTTGGGAGCAGTGCTAGCTGGTCGAGACAGTCCTTCTCGGTAATACCAGGGAGTTTACCATCGCGTGCGATTAAGCTGATTTCTGATCCGTCGTTGGAAGAAGGCCGAAGCAGTTATAGATCCTAGAACGCTTGGATTAGCAATGTCTTAAATTTATCATCCTTTCGGCTTGATCGATATCCATACGCTCTTCTAAAGTGCTCGATATCAATGAAAGTTGAATCTGAGCTATTTGGGCAAGCAAGGTACCACGAATAGGTTGCGAAGAGGAGCCTTCAATCCATTCTAGCACCAAGAATGGATACTTGATTGGGTTGTCAAATGTGAGGCTGGCACCGCGGTAGTGAGAGAACCAGGTGAAGCCTTTTGCTTCCAGCGTCTGGAAAATGTGCCTTTCCATCTCAACACTATCAAGAATGTCTTGTCTATTCCCTTGGGCATGATGGCTTACACGCACTGATAGGCTTAGATGGTCCTTGAAACTCACCTTGAAGATACGACACTCACCTCCTTGGAATTCACCATCCAGAAAGGGTTCACTGCCAACTAGTTGGAGGTGAGAGATTGCGGCACAAATAGTCTCTGGACTAAGATTTTGAGTTTCATTAGAGGCTATACTTGTAGTGTTTGGTAGAGGACTGGTGGTCAGATCTATGGAGCTGAGAGGGAGTACTCTAGTGGTATGAAGAGGCAACAACGCTACTAACAAGCCTTCTGCATGCACAATGCAGCTCTATAGACTGCAACTGTACGAAACCCATATATCAACGTTTATGCCTATCTTAGTAGACTAAAAGGATAAGGCTACACAGCTACAGTCATTATTAAAGAAAGGTTCCAGTAGATGGTGATTCGAGGCTTCCACGATATTCCAATGCTGCTCGAACCTACCTTTTACCGCCTAAAATGGGGAGGAAACCGCCTCATTCGGAGGCATTAGCAAGTCCGCCAGGGTTAATTGAGTAATATTGATTTATTTTCATTTTTAATATTTATTACTTTTTGTTTTTGCTTGCCTAATTTGTCTGCGTCGCACAAGCCAGCGGTGTCGCTGCGGCAGTTTGAGCAAGTTTTCCTATTTGGGTAATCAGCTCTACCAAATTGAGGTGTGCCATTCCCCCGCATGTAGCGAGACCCGAGAGCAGGCTGACATTCAAAATAGCCAAAAGGAGTGAGAATAAAATACAAATAAAATAATTAACAATGAAAAAGCAGTGTATAAATATGAAATAGTTTGAGAATCTTGTTTAGGATAAGCATTGATGCCAATGGTTGGCCACCAAAGCATCGCAAGCCACGGTGTAAATGCGCTCTGGTGTCGACTTTTTGACTCTAAAGAACGCAAACCGGCTGTTTTCAGCCGCGGCGCTAAAATCAACCTAAATTAACCGTTTTGTGCTTAAATTTAAATTTAATTGTTTTATGGCTTGCGTACCTGGCACTATATCTACTCCAGCTCGCCCTCACTACCACCACGCTCTTCCATTCAACTCTCCCTTTCCAACTTGTCTTCAGACGAAACATCCCTTCTATCCCTGCATTAAACACGCTGCCAATCACAATGGTTTCTTGGAAGTCAATCACTCTTCTTGCCGCCGCTCAGAGCGTCACCGCCCACTTTGGCCTCACATATCCAGCATGGCGCGCCGACACTCTTTCTTCTGCTGGTGAAGCAAAGTACAGCCAATGGACGTATCCATGTAAGTTTTCACTCAACATATTTAAATTATGGTATCCAATTGCTCACCATTCTTCTACTATAGGCGCTGGAGTCCCATACAAGGCTGGCAATGTCACCGAGTGGCCTCTCGAGGGCGGCCAGCTCCAGGTCGAACTTCACCACCCGTGGACCTATCTCTTTGTCAACCTCGGTCTCGGCGAGAATGCCACCAACTTCAACATCTCCCTCACTCCCCAGCTCACAAATACAACTGGTAAGGGCACGCTGTGTCTCGACAAGCTGCCCGTTCCTGCCAACATCCAGGACGGAACCGTGGGCTCCATCCAGGTCGTCACATCTGGCTCTAGTGGATCTGCACTCTACAACTGCGCCGATATCAAGTTCTCCAAGAATGCCAAGAAGCTTGATGTCTGCAACTCTACCGGCGTGACTGCGTCTGTTGTCCAGGCTGGTGCCAGCACGGGCAACTCTAGCACCGGAGGAGCTGCTAAACCTGAAACAGGCAAGGGCGCTGCTACAGCTCTTGGCACCAACACCGTTGCTCTGGGATCTGTTGTTGGCCTGGCGGCCGCTTTTGCTCTTGGCCTTGGGCTGTAGAGTACAGTTGGAGGTATATAACAAGCAAATGGAAGGAGGATTCGGCATGGTGCTGCTATTGATGGATAAGACACACGCTACGAACGAGGTAATGATACCAATGGAAACGGATATTATGCAGAGGAAGCGGGCCATCGGGGGCCTACTCTGCTCTTGTGCAATGCAGGCTGAGCAGGCACCTAAGAGAGACAAAGTCCGCCATGCAGCCATGGAGCCTTGTACTACAAGACAGGGAGGGGTTTTGGTCCGTTGAGCTAATACAAGGTCAAAGATGTAAGGCAAGGAGTTGTGAGTGCTGTATTTTCATATCAGACAGTTGTACCAGACCTACACTCAGCAATTAAGCATTAGGAATTGTCTAAATTCACGATAAAGTTCCAAACACATATACATTGTAAAAGTTGATTCAAGTATCAAGAATTGCAACATGCGCGTGACACTCTACTTAAACAAGGCTCAGCACTTCTGGCATCCACAAGATGCACAGTTGCCGACACCACAAGCCATGGACCTGTTACACTGACTATCCGTCTTGCACGTAATCCAAGGCCCTGATCCATTATCCTCCGCGACCCAGCAAAACGAGTTATAGTCGTCGCAAACCTTCCAACAGTATCCCTTGGAGCATCCCGAGTACTTGTCAAACCAGCACTGGGCTTTCCTCTTGCTCAGTGCCGGGCTTTCTAACCCAAGTGGATGATTCAGACAGGTCCTGGCCTTTGTAAGATCTGTACCAGGAGGCATGTTGTCAGCAGTAACAACGCCGAGCTCGCCGCACTCAGCCTGTGCTTCAGAGAGAATCACATGAGCCGAGACTTTGGCAATGAGTGGTAGGGTAAGAGTATTGAACTTCATAATGTGTGATGTAGATGGTAATCTCAGAATTGTAGAGTTGATGGAACTAGGTGGAGGAAAGTGGGAAGTAGACTAGGGATCAAGAGCAGTTCTTTATAGTTGAGTTCAGAGCCTCGTTTTAATCAATGCATGTAGACGACGAGGCTAGTTAACCATCTATAATGGGCAATGATATCCGGTGCAGGTGCTACGATGCAAGCCAAGTCATCAGGCAGAGCGAGGTGCCGAGAGGTACTATGCAGGCTGTGGTTCGCAAATGCAGTTATAGTCCGAGGCTTGGCTGACGCGTAATGTATGTACTGAGGATGTATAGTTGAAAAATGTGTATTAAGAAACGAAAAAAAGTAAAACAGAAACCCCAACTCAAGTTATATGCAACTGTATGTGTATGCTCGACACGCGCTCCAAATGCATCCTACCCATGACGCCGGGCAGCAATCGTAAAAGAAAGATGCTAGATGCAAATAATGCACAAACCATATAATATGTACGATATAAAGACAATAATGGGTATCAAGACATTATGCTAATGCCATCAAATAATGCGTTGTCTGAATATCATGTTAGTTCATTGTGCTTCTTCCATCTAGTCAGTGGCTGGCCCTGGGGGGCGCCGACGACATACCTCGCAAGTCATGCTCTCATGAAAATAAACAATCGGTCAACGAAGAAAAAGAGTCTCACAGAAAAGACTTATGCGCAAGGAAAAAGAAAAGAAAAATGCTAAAAGTCCAAAACAAGTGCCATCATGCTATCCATTATAAACCTTCACAAAAGGGCGATAGATGATACTGGCGTTTAGTTGGCCGTCAGTAACGCTGCATCCACGGCCTGAAGCTGACGCATAACGTCTGCCATGGTGATGCGGTGCAGCGGATTAGGCATGAGCATGTTCCAGACCAGGCGCTCAAGAAGGTCCTGCTTGTTCAGGCTCTCGCGGACCTGGGTGATTTCGCTCAGCCACTCGCGCATCTGATCTGCAGCAGGCTGGCCGTTGCCTTGATGTGCGTGTGGTGCCTTGGGGTTGTTCACCCCGGCGATTTGCCAGTAGAGGCGGCGTGGGTGTGTGGCTCTGCCTCGGCTTTCTGGGAGAGGAATCTTGCCCAGTGTGTAGAGGAGAGTCACGCCGAGGGCCCAGACGTCAGACGGGGGTCCTCGGCTCTTTAACCCGATAAACTCAGGAGGGATGTAGTATGGCGTGCCGCCGCCAGTGGGGGGTTTGCTAGTCGCTGTTGACATGCCAAAGTCGCAGAGCACAGCGCCACGCTCGGGGTCGTAGAGAATGTTGGCGGGCTTGATGTCATTGTGCACCTTTTCGCGCCCGTGGAGGTAGCTGAGGGCACCCGCAATGTCTTTGACAATGCGCAGGGTGTCCTTCCTAGAACCGGAGAATTCGTCATTGGCTCTGTTTCTCCATCGGCCGGGAATAGTCAAGTCCTTGGCGTCGACATGCTCCATGTAGAGCGAGAGAAAGCGAGCATCGCCGCCGTAGTAGCGGACAATGGAATCGTGAGCGAGGCCTTCTTGCGTCCTCGTCTCGCGAAGCCACATGTCTGCTTGGCGGATGACGTCCCGCTCGTGGACGTATTGCTTGTCGTTGATGTTGGGTACTCGAGTCTTGAGCACCTTGACCGTGACTATGTCGTGCCGCGAATGCTTGGCCGTGTAGACGGCAGACATGGCATTGGCAGCAATGGGGTCGCGCTTGGTCAGCTCGTACTGGTCCACCTCATAGAAGCCAGGAACAGACACTGTGTCGCCAGTGTTCTTGTCGAGGACCTCAAGCAGGGCGTTGGAGGTGGCGGTGACGAGTTCCCTACTGCGCGGGCCTTCGCCGCTGTTGGGCAAGGAAAAGACGACGGGCTCGACAGAAGGGGGCATGAAGACGACAGCATTGTCATCTGTGGCTGGTGGCCGGCGGGCATCAAGCTCGGACAAGCGACGCTTGGCTCTAGGGTTATCGTCTTCTGTCTCCAGCGAGCGCTTGGTCGAGCTAACGATTTGCTGGGAGCTGTCGACGGACGACGGCGGCGGGGATCGCATTGGTGGCGGAGAGTCATAAATGTAAATGGGACGCTTTTCAAGGATGCGGAAATCCATCACGGTAACGTCTCTGACCTTGATTCGCCATGTTCCGGGCGCAAGGGACTTGGCTAGGCGAGGGTAGACTGTGTGGTAGTCATCAATTCTGGGGCTCGCAGCCTGCTTTGCGACAGGCGAGAGAGCGACAGGAACCTCGGAGCAGTTTAAAAGAACGACCTTGTCGCTGGCGGGATCGTAGTAGAGCTCGAGGGAGAGCGAAGGACGCGGGGCGTGGTCTTCGTAGTGTTCGCCGGGGATGTTGACGGAAAACTTGATGTCGCGACAGGTCTGAGTCACAGCGAGGACCTTGTGCTCTGGCTGGTCCGACGAGGCAATCTCAGCGCGCAAGGCAAGCCAGCGGCAATTGTCGGCGCCGGGGCTGACGGCGCGATTATTTTCAAGGTCAGCGTAGGGGCGGACGATGATTCGGACGCCTTCCTGGCGATGTCGGTCTTCGACGTGGAGGACGTCGAGCGAGGGCACGGGTTCGCCGCGCGGCGGTGTCGATGGGGGTTCAGCAGGCGCAAGCTTCTTGAGACGGTCTTCCATCTGCGAGTGGGAGAAGGGCTCGGTGCGCTCCTCGGTGGCCTCTTCGGGGGGCCGTACCTTTGATTCGCCCATGATGCCTAAGAAAAAAGAAAAAAGACAAAGCGTTAGTGCCCGAACAGGCCCATTTGTGGTGATTTTGGAGAAGAGTGGAAAAAAAAAGAATAGGGAAGAGGATTATGTACTGGACAAGTGCAGGTAAAGAAGGCGAGCAAAGGAATCCACGGTGGAGGCGGGGCGCACACGTTGGTGCAGTGGTGCGGGTAGGCAGCTGGAAAAAAAGGTTTATGGTGTACCGTTGCAACAGTTGGCGGCGTGGTTCGCTGGAAATGGAAGGTTCCAGGGTGGGTTTAGGCGTTTTTTGGGATGCACAGCGGGTGCTGTAGGGGCTGGAAACGGGAACTGCTGAGGTTATGTCTGGGGGAACGGGGGTGTGGTGGTGGGGAGGGTGCTGAAGCTGGGGGGTTATTATGGACACATATATATCCACGAACAAAGAGTAAACAACGACAATGATGATGATGATGAAGATGGTAAAAGCAGAGAAAAGAAGCACGAGAGAAAATATTCAACAGCGTAAGACACTCTAAACAAGCCACCTGCTCCAAATAGAAACGTCCAATTCACCAAAACGGGCAGCGTAAACCCAGTTGGTGAGGGTGTCCAATGCAGGAACCGGCGAGCGTCAGATGCGCAGGGCCATCCGAACAACCCGTCACTGCACACGCGTGTCCTGCTGACGCTGCGTGCGCCTCACCAGCTCTGCCCGGGTGCCTCTTTTGGGCAGATTGCCAGAGTCTATAGAGCAATCATCCCCCTGTAAATGATGTTGTTTGACTGTCTTTGTTGTTATTCTGTAGGCTGCTAATTACTATGCTCTCGGGGCTCCCGCAGGCAGACTTGTAGGCTGATGCGCCTCGTCTCTTTAGCGCTATAATTCCCATTACAGCGCCTCTACACGGGGGTTGGTGGTTCGTTGGTTACCTGCCAGGTTCCAGGGAGCCATCGCTCCAGCGGTGCCTTGCAGGGTTCGCTGCACGTCATTTCACAACCCCCATGAACATCACAGAGTTGCAACGGTATCCTCACGGGCTGTTTATTTACCTAGACATACTCGTCACTCTTGACAGGACCCTGACCGGCTTCTAGCCGTCATCAATAACGAGTATCGCCGGTCCTTCTGCCTCGTGCGTGGGCTACCGTAGCATTGCGCCGGCTGTGCTGTGGCCCTACGATCAGGGCAGGCAGCTATCAGCGCGATTGCCCGTATTTCCCAGACGTCATATTTGTAGAGGCAGCCTGTGGCGAGTAAGGCCTGGTGACAGATTTACAGCAAGAGACACTGCGCTCTTGCGCATTACTGGTTGCTTGACGGTGGCCTGTATGGCCAAGTGACTTGCGCAGTTGCGCCGCTCACGTGGCAGCAGAGCTTCCATTGCTATTTGAGCAGTACGTTCCCCCCCGGCCGGAAACATAGAACGAGACTTTTGCATGAGAATCCTTTTTGTACCTTGTACAAAGATGTAGGATACGAGATGTGACAGATGGACAAGAAGTTGTGCGGCCGTGTGCTGGGATATAGCGACGCAGGGACGCTTACACGGGGGACTGCCTCTGGCGTGTAAGTGCCCTAACTGAGTTTCACGTCCGTTTGAAGCACTGGTTGCGGTGCTGCAGGCTCATGCAGTTTCTGCCATTTATTTTTATTTTTAAAAACCAAAAATATTATCGTCTATTTCAGATAATATTCATGTCATTTTTCTTTGGCCAGCCAGACACCAGGCCGCTGACTGAGCAGAATGCTGCTCGTATTCTGTTCTGTGGTTCTGGGTCACCGATTCGCCGGGCACCACGGCAGCGACCGCTTCCTCCCGCTCCGTCCGCTGCGCAGTGCACACACAGTGGCCACAAGCGCCACAACAGCCACTGTAAAATGCGGTACAGTATGATACAAGACAGTACGGGACAAGTACAGCACGGTGCCAATAATTACTTCCCACAAACCACGGGGGGGAAAATGGCGGCGCGTGCCATACTCGGGAAAACACCAGCCTGGCGTAGCTGAAAAAACCTGGCGCAGCGTGTGCTTCAACACAGCCTGGTGGCGTCCGAAAATGGAAATTTTGGGGGCTGCCCATCGGGGCGACGAAACCGTCTGCGCGTCGCTTTGGTTGGTCAAAAGTGTCCAGCTGGGCCCACATTGCTGACAGCCGTCCAATAACAGGACTGCACCTGTGCATGGACCCGCAGGGCTTGCATAGATTGCGTTAGCGCCGGACCCATTATTTGCTTGACCTGTCCAATGGCAGTGCATTCCGCCTTCGGCCTCAGGCATCCATGCTCCCTGACCTGCTTGTTTGTGTGTGGGACCTGAAATTCCAGTAGTCCAGCGTGCCCACTACGAGAACGGCTCCGCTGGCCAACTTCTCTCACGCATCGACGAAATCCAGATACAACGAAATAATACGCAGTCAACGACCAAAAAGCACCTCGATTGACCCCGTATTATCCTCTCGACTCTATTTCGCTATGGCCACTACCGGTTCCCAGATGCTCTAAATGAGCCAGACGCACTACATGCCTGCGTTTATCACCACAGCCTCTAAGATTTTTTCACCACACTTGACTTCACCAGACCCGCGTTAGGGTCTACCACGATTACAACCACCACCTGAACATGGACGACCCGGCGAGGGCATGGCCCGCCTGGAAGTTTGACATGAAGGGGGATGATCTCACAACCACCCTTCACCAGAAATATAACACCCTCACCCTCACCTTACAAGATCCCGAAGCCTTTCACCACGATGTTTACGAGTTGTCCCAGCAGGCCACCACTGCCACGGAGTTCCATAAGCTCATGGCCGACCGACAGCAGCAGCGAATTACAGAACTGACACAGTCCATGGAATCGCTTGCCGTCGAGATTATCGCCAACCCCGCGCTTATGGGCACCGAGCAGTGGAAGCATGCTGTCCAACTCTTCCGCACCAAATCATATGACTCTATTGTTCGCTACTTCGCGAGCTACCTCCCCGAAGATTATCTGGATAGCCAGCACGGCTCCAGCACCCCATCTACCGCCTCTAACACTACTTCTTTTACCGATGTTTCATCCGTCGAGTCCAGCGAACCCTGTATTATTACCAAGGCTGATGCAGCCACCGATATCCCCGCGTACTTGGACGACGATGACTTCTTCCCCCACGGCCCCGTCATGGCTGTCAAGCACGATGCTCCTGCTGATGAGCACGCTCCTTTATCTCCTCCTCATTCCGAAGGCTCGCCGTCTGAGATTTCCGACAGCGCCAGCTACTCGACTGGACCGCCATCACGATCCATGTCCTTTTCAGGCTCCGAGTCTGGTCATCTCCCCTCCGGCTTCATGCTGCGAGACTTGTCCAAGGACAGTGATGATACCATCTCTCAGTCTGACGATGGCGAGACTATCGCCACGTCTCTGTGTGACTCTGTCGAGAGCGTTTCGTCTTTCGACTCTGTCGACAACTTGACGGAGCACTCCTATACTTATTCGGATGATCTCGATGACGATCTTCCTTCCACCCAATATCCCGAAGACTACTTTGACATGGTCGAAGAGTATGAAAGCAAAGATACCCCTGATTCTGATACACCTACCCCCCGAGCCGTGGAGGAGAATTTCTCCTACATGGACTGCAAGTCAGCTAGCGCGCAAAGCGTAGCTGCATCTATAAGGCGAACAACATCGCTGAAATCATATGTACGAAGTCGCGCTGACGGCCTCGACGGCGCCAAGCTGCGTCGCGGGCCTGACCTAGCATCCAATAAGATTCACAAGTTCCCTGCCGACCTTCTCAGAAGAAGGTCGATGGCTGGGCGAAGAAGAGTGGACTAGCACAGGAAGACAAGCGGACTGTATATATGTGGACTATACTGTACATATTCTACCTACCTTATGACTAATGAACACCATTACCATCACAAGAAAAACCAGGCAAGAATGTAATACGTAGTAGACGATGATTTATTGAGTGAGCATGTAAATGCACGCGATGTCCAAGTAAGTGAGTGATTTCACCGACAACGCGTGTCTACGACATGTCTCTTGCAGTTTCACGACCATCTGTTTACACCATCTACGATCTGTACACACGAGGTAAGATTTTTTTTCTTTTCGTTTCTTGCTAATGTCTTGATGAGCATCTCACGTCTCAGAACCAGCCCAAGGCATGATGATGACCACGACTGGTGAGTAGCCCATGATGGTGACCCGGCCACACACATGTCACATGGCCACGCGTGGCTCGACCAGCACGCCGCGCCGCATGTATGTTGCCTTTTTTTCTGTGCATGAGATTCGATACAACCAAAGTGTATTCCACTGACTGATTCAATTTCTCTTGATTTCCATTCGCCAAGATGGCGCCATCTACAACGTTGCAAAGAAAACGGTGAGTCCCAACTGACACTAACACACGCTGTATCTGATGCAAAACACGATGATATCCCACCCAGCTGTCAAATACGAGCCACAAGAAGAAAACGACCGTAAAGTAAGTTTTAGACTTATTTTGTACTCTGAAACCACGTTAAGAAACGCTTCCCATGCTCGTGGCCAAGAGATGCATGAGGCACGCAGTCGGCATTGCGCAAGGCGGGCCAAGACCACAAATCCGGCTGACGAAAATGAAACAAACTGAAATATAAAAAAAAGAATTGAAAGCTGTCACTTGAGCTTCTCCCATCGTCATATTCCATTTTGTTGGTGTTTCTGGTTCTGCGACTCTTAGGGGGGCTGCCATGCGTATCAGTTATACCACGGTTCTGATACACGCAAGGCCCACTAGACTGTCACCACACTTAGAGCGGCTGCTGAAACCAACGACCAAAAAGGCCCCCTGCACGAACAATAAGCTGAACCAAAAATAAAGTAGACGGCCAAATGGATGTCCCGGTGCCTGGAGCCGGAATGGTTTCACGATGATCCTGATGGTCTTTGTTAACCAACCGCTGTCGATCACTGTGAAACGCTTCCTAAGGCCGACTTCGACAGCCCCCTCCTCGGTTGCTGACGAGCATGAGCTGCAACGCCACGATGCATTAGTGTAAAACGATCTGTGGAATCTTTCTTCTGTATACTTGGAACCCAGACTCAGCCCACGGCCCTGTTGCTACCCACTGCTACTGCTGGCGAGGCCCCCTTGCTAAGGAGCGGTCACTTACACGAGCCCTGGCCTGACTGCCCATGCATAATGACGGCCTCGCAAAATGGCTAGCTTCGAGTTTCTCAATGAGTGCTTGGTTTCATGCTTCTGGAGCCTTGCTCGCCGCCGTCTTGAGCCAGCAAAGGAATCCCTGCGTGCTTCGTGTAGAAGCCTTACTCGCCCGTCCCGAGATCGTTGCTGGCGGCCCCCCCCGCGATTCGAGCTCCCATGCGTCCTGCGATATGCAAAGCCGAGCGGCTCCGGGAATTCCAAATTTAGCGGAAATATCTCGCCCTCGGATTTCTCTATAAGTACCATTGGCATCCTCTGCCCTTACCTCGATATCCCTCTCATCATCACCAGCACTCAACAACTCTTCTTCTCTACTCTCTTCAAGGCACCGGATTTGCCCTTTTCTATCTCACCTGCCGGCCAGGAAACTAATACACACCGACTAATATCTTTCAACTCTTTTTTCTCTTCCCATTTACAACCTCATTTCAAAAATGGCTCCTATCAAGTCTATTCTCCTTGCCTCCGCCTTGTGCGCTGCCCAGCTCGTTGCTGGCCACAGTGTCATTATTAACGCTGTTGGTGATGCCGGCGGCCAGGGCACTGCTCTCGGAGTCGTCGCATCTACTCCCCGTGATGGCACGCGCCGCAACCCCTTCCAGCAGGATGCCACTCGCTTCCGTGGTGCTTCCAAGGCCACCGTTGGCGAGACAGTCGGTGCTGGCACCAACAACGTCGAGGACGGCACTACCAAGATCCTCGCCGAGAACGGCGGTACTCTGCCTCAGGTCACTCCTGGTGGTGAGGTCACCATGACTCTGCACCAGGTCAACGGTGACGGTGCTGGTCCTTACACCTGCATGATCAACTCTGACGGCACTGGTACCAAGTGGGCGAACATCCAGGTCACCCAGAACGTCGACGGCCGCAACGGCAACAACCGCCAGGGTGCCAAGACTGATCACCCTCTCGCTGCTGCTATTCCTGCTGACCAGAAGTGCACTGGCTCTGTTGCCGGCGAGGACAATGTCTGCCTTGTTCGCTGCCAGAACACTGCTAGAGCTGGTCCTTTCGGCGGTGTCGTTCCCGTCCAGCTTAGCAACGGCAACGCCGGTAACGGCACCGCTGATGCTGGTGCTGATAAGGCCAACAAGAACGCCAACGCTGGTGCCGCTAAGGGTGGTGCCGCTAAGGGAGCCAAGGGAGCCGCTGCTGATAAGGGCGCCAAGGCTGCTGGCAACAAGAACAACAACAACAACAACAACAACAACAAGAGAGACCTCACTGTCGAGAAGCTCCAGCCTTTCGAGGAGGAGGAGGAGGAGATTGAGGCTGGTGAGGAGAGTGAAGTTGAGCGCCGCCGCGCCATCGAGTTCTCCGCCTGAACAGATGCTCCAATCTCGCTCTTACACTCTTAATCGGCCAACCCGCTTGCTCTTGTCTTGTTTGATTTCGTGAGCTTTAGATGCAATTAGACATATCGACAGATCTATAGTTTCAATTCACTGCTTGTTTGTTGAAATCAATCGAGTATAATGATGGCTTAAATCAGAGAAAACTAAATATTCAAAAGTGACGCTTCAAATGCTATACAGTGAGATGTGCTCCCATTCTTGATGCTGCCCGGCTTTCTCGCCATACATGTACGGCTTTTCATCGGCGAAGCAAGCCGTCTCTGGTTCATCGGGTAGAACGCCGTTCATAATAAAGTCACGGGCAATCTTTTCGGTGCATGCAGATGTGTCGCGCGAGGAGTGTCCGTAGCCATGGTGGGCAATTAAGCGAGCGTTGCTGCCCATCTCCGCTAGCAGACGGCGGCCGTTTCGCAATGGTGTCGCAGGGTCATATGTCTCTCCAATCAACAGCACGGGGTGTTTCAGCGTGTTGTTCAGGTTGCCCCGGTACACTTCGGCTGGCTCCGGCCAGTATTTCGTGAAGTGGCGGCAGGGGAAGACGTTGAAGAAACGGCTGTTGCCCGAAACCCATGTGGTTTCAGTCATATTAGTCCATAGTGATTCCCACCAGTCCAAGCCAGTATCAGGAAGAGGAGCATCGTAGCTGTCGGCACAGATAACCAAAGATCCCAACTCCTCCGACAAGCCTGCTGGAATAGGCGCTGGTGGGACTGTCGGATCAAAAGACCATGTCTTGTCGACAAGATGCGCAGCACGGGTAGTATTACCCTTCTCCAACTCGGCCAGCATCAGTGCTACTTCGGGCCATCGCTGTGGTGTATATAGAGAACCATAAACAGCTTGTGTCAGGGCAGAGTACGTGATTAGTGATGGACCGTACTTGTCCGTATAAGCGGTGGCTGGGCGCCTAATGAGCGAATGAAGCAAGGTTTGCATACGCTTGTCTAGGTCCTCCAATTGAACTGGTCCTTCGTTTTCAAGAGGGTTGGCGAGTGCACAATGCTCTGGTCCGGCGTTTAGGCACTCGCCTAACAAGCCGTCGTGCCAAGCCGCCGTCGCATTGTCCAGAGCTGTCCATCCAAAGCCGCCCAAGAGACGGTGGTCACGAACATATTCGGTTCCGTCAAGAATCATACGACCAACAGAGTCTGGAAACATGTTTGCGTAGGTCTGGCCGATGCCAGTTCCGTAGCTGACCAGATAACCAGTCAGCTCGTCTTCTCCAAGCGCAATGCGGATTTCCTCCAGGTCTCGAGAAACGAGGGCGGTGGAAACGAAGCGAGGGAAATCATCGTGGACTTCTTTGCATGCGTTAAAGATTGCATCATTCATAGCATCGAGAACCTCAAGTTGCGGGCGTGGACTGCTACCTTGTGACTGCTCAATGTATTGGTTGGTTAGGAGCAGCCATCGGTCTCGGTTAGCATTATGAGGGAAGCACTTGATGCTGGGGAGTGACGCGTTGACGCCGCGAGGATCCCAACCGAGTACGTCGAATGCACCGTCGGTAAAGCGCTTTGATAGAGCCTCAGCATTGTGCCATGCCATTGATGTTCCACTGCCACCAGGGCCACCTGGCTCGACGACCAAAGTTCGTGCACTCTTCTTCCCGGCACGGCTGTTAGATTTGCTCTTGCGATGCTTCAGACCAGATACTTGGTATTTCGTCACGGCAAGACGAACAATGCGGTCATCAGATTTGTTGCCATAGTCCATGGGAACATCTAGATAACCACACAGGTAGATGCCTCGACCACTAAAAGGGTCTTTAAGATTGACTGACGATTTGGACTCCGTAACATTTCCCCAGCTCCAGTTCTCAGGATTAGGGTCGTATAGCTTTGCCCAGGTCTTCTGGTGGTGTTTATCATCGAGAGCCGGGAGTAAGCTGCCCTGTGTACATGGGATGAAGTGAAACGCGTCGTCCTTCTGAGGAAATTTGCCGTATGAATACTTGCTTGTTAGTGCATGAGGACAGATTCGAGGTACTGAATGATGAGAATCAGTAGCAACGAAAAGCAGGCAGATCAGACCGAGCAATGCCGCTGCTTTTGTAAACCTTGAGGGCCTTTGAGCGCGTTTCTGATGCATGTCGGCTGAAGGCATAGGCACCTCCACAAGGGGTTGCTTCTCCATTATGAATTGAACTATGCGCAGGAATTGCACGTTAATGAACACAGCTAGTTGAATTGCGCGGCGTTTAAAACGGCTCGCGTTCTTGTTGTGTGTTGGAGGAGGTCACTCCTCATTGCGTAATGAGGCGTCGTCACCGTGGCTCACTCTGGTCCACTAAGCGTAGCTGTCGCTGGCAGTCACGAGTGGCCCAGTTTGATTAGTGGGCAATAGTATGCTATTTTGAGACGATAGATTCCGATATATTGTATCATGCATATAATGGAGCTGATTTTCCATCTGGTAAATTTCAGTAACTTGCCCTGATGTATTTTCTCTTTTCCATCTTTCCCTCGCCGTAGCTTGTTGACAGTTGGCGCACCTGGTAGCCGGCAACTGGCACTTGGCAGCCGGCCACTGGCACCTGGCAATGGGACACCATTCGGCTTAACCACTGGCGTTTACTGGGCGCTTCGCTGCGGAATAGGCGGAGCCGGCAATCCGCACTTGGTTTACAGTGGTGCACGGCATCGTTTCAGCGCTCTTCGCCCCCACAAAGTCCCCGCATCAATGCTGTGCCGTCGATTTCCAGCAGTTGCCGTTTTGGGGTATCGCTCACAGGAACCTGGCCTCTTCCTGTGCCCACGCTACTCCAACAGTTTCTGTTCGTCTGCACCATCATCACTTAATCTGCTACACGCGACCCAGTGTCTCGTCCTTTGAAAAGCACAAGATGACGATTAAACGTATTGAGCCTCATGGCGAATGGACGTCTGAAATCACTATAGAAACACTAACACAGGCCCTCCGAGAACCCAGCTCTGCAAGAGCATGTGTACGTCAAATCAAAGCACTATTCCCGGTCTCCTTCTTTCGCTAACCCGGCAATCACTAGCCAAGAACTGGGAGAGCCTACTTTCGTGAGACAGCTGCTGGGCGTTCAACCATCATCCAAGTCAACAAGGACAACAGCGTCAAGGACGTGCTTCCAAAGCCTTACAGCGTGGGAAACACCGTATATGAATACAGTGTACAGGCCTACAATATTCTACGAGACGGTAGAATCATCTTTTCTACCCTAAAGGGTACCTTTGTATTGGACCCTGATGCCGGACAAGTTAGGCCTCTCATCCAGAACCCTGTCCTGCGACACGGCGCCTACAACGCTGACCCCAACTCCGACTGGGTTATCGCCATTGAAGAGGATCATACGATTGATGAGCCTGACCACATTAAGAACTATCTCGTGGCTATCAACACTAAAACATCCGAAATTAAGAGGATTGTATCAGGAGCAGACTTTTACTACAATCCTTCCTTCAGCGCCGACGGATCGAAAGTGTCATGGATGCAATGGGATCGCCCGCAGATGATGTTTGAACACAGTGAAATCTACTATGCTGCATGGAACAAGGACGCTTCTGTCAGTGACATCAGATTTGTCACCGGCAAGAACGAAGAAAGCGCTGCAGAGCCTCGCTGGGCATCTGACGGATCCCTATTCTTCGCACAAGAAGTCAATGGATACAGACAGTTGTTCAGGATACCAGCGGGTAGCGATAAGGTGGAACATATTGCACTCAAAGGACTTGAAAAGGCAGACCTGGGTGAAGTCATGCTGATGGAAGGAAGGTAAGGTTTAACACTATCTGTCGAGAACCCAGAAACACCTGTACTAATTGCAGCAGTGCAACATATGAGATCTTATCAGAACGCCATGTCATCGCGAAAGCTCATATGCTTGCTGTTTCGAAGTTGGTTGTTATCGATCTACAGACGTCTCAGTGGCGACAGGTCGGCCAAGAATTTGACCTGTCTCATGTTTACTCCAGCGCTATTGCACGACTTGACGACTCGACCGCTATAGTCATCGGATCAACGCCCGCAACATCGCGCTCGGTGTATAAAATTGACATCACCGATTCTACGCGCAGCACAATGCTTCGCTCAGCTTCTGATGATCCTCTTGCAGAGAAGTGGATTTCTACTGGAAAGCCCATCTGCTGCAAATCTAAAAGCTCGCCAAGTCGGGACATTCATGGATTTTTATTCATGCCAAAGAACCCAAACTTTGCAGCCCCAGATGGAGAGCTACCGCCCCTCATCATCGATGCACACGGAGGTCCAACTGGTATCCACGGAAATGGACTACTTGCTACAACGCAGTACTTCACATCGCGAGGCTATGCTATGCTTCTCTTGAACTACTCGGGCTCCATTGGCTTTGGTGGAGAATACCGAAGGCGTTTGCTCGGAAACTGGGGCCCGCTTGATGCCAGCGATGCTGTAGAATTCGCTGAGTTGCTGGTTGATGCTGGTAAGATCCGCAAGGGTAGTGTTGGCATCACTGGCCACAGTGCTGGTGGCTTCAACACTCTACAGTGCATCACCCGTCACCCGAAGGCGTTTGCAGGTGCAGTTTGTGCTGCGGGAGTCAGTGAATTGGTTACCTTTGAGTCCCAGACGCACAAGCTCGAAGCCGACTACACTAGGCACCTGATAATAGCCAAAGGAACATCTGAGAAGGAGATTCCAGAGTTGTATCGCAGCCGAAGCGCGCAATACTTCGCTGATGAAATCGTTGCACCCCTTCTTCTTATCCATGGCATTGAGGATACCGTGGTGCCAATCAGCCAGGCCAGTGGTATCTATGAAACTTTAAAGGCTAAGGGCAACGATGTTGAGCTCATTGCTCTTGAAGGCGAGGATCATATGTTGTCCGCCCCTACAACCAGGAAGGCATGGATCGAGGCAGCTGAACGCTGGTGGCGTAAGACGCTTTTGAAGCAGTAAGTTGCGAATCTGTTATGCACAGATTTGCACCGAACTTCGCCTCAACTCAAAAAAGACTACTATATCACCACATGAATAAAAAACCTATCACCGTGAATGCCCTGACACGTTTTTTTAAGCTCTAACCGCGCTTGGACTCCTTAGCCCCAGCACGACTCGCGAGCTTTGCCCAGAAGGGTATAGGGGACAGGGATTCGCAGCAACTATCGCTTCGTTTGCAATGCTCCCCACTAAGCCTGACTAGCCGATAATTTAAATTTATTTAACTCGGCCGGGTCCTCGCTACCGTGAGGAAGAGTCTTCATTAGGTTGGTGCAATACGTTGGCAAGGCCAAAGCAATGGACGCCGAAAGCAAGGTAGCTCATGAGAAGCACGACGCTGGATCGCAGGATCCAGTGGCGCCACCATCCTATACGGCGGCGATCAATCAGGCCCATCCTGAACTCTATCGGGAAGCTTTGGAACGATACCCGACCGACGATAGCATTGATCCGCAGGAGTCCAAGAAGCTTGCTAGAAAGCTCGATTGGCGCATCATCCCCTTGTTGACCGTCTGCTATTTCTTCTACTTTCTCGACAAGACCACTCTGTATGCAACCCCACAGCAAAACGTGGATGATGAGTCGCATCTGCTAACCCTCACTGTCTAGCTCTTACGCCGCTCTTTTCGGAATCGACAAAAGCCTCCAGCTAAAAAAGACAGAGTACTCATGGCTGTCTAGTTCCTTTTACTTTGGTTGGCTGTTTTGGACCATCCCATCGAACCTACTCATGCAGCGCAGCCCTGTTGCGTACTACCTGGCGTTCAACATCTTCCTCTGGGGGGTTTTCCTCATGGCACAAGCTGCTGTGCATGACTTTTCCTCGCTTATCGTCTTGCGAGTTATTTCTGGTGCGTTCGAGTCCATCGCCGACCCAGCCTTCATGCTCATTACGTCCATGTACTATACACGAGAGGAGCAGCCGTCAAGAATCTCCGCTTGGTATACTGGCAACGGCTGGGCTGTTGCAGCGGGTGGTCTCATTGGTGAGGTTCTACGTACCCTCACTACCATGGCAATATACTAATGAAAGTGAACAGGCTACGGTATCGGCCAAATTAAGGGCGCTCTCGAACCGTGGAAATACGAATTCGTTATTGTTGGCGCTTGCTGCTCGTTCTTCGCCTTCGTTCTCGCTTTCATCCTGCCCAACTCACCAGCAACAATTTGGGGCTTTACCCATGAAGAAAAGCTCCTCATGATCGCGCGCGTACGAGGTAACCAAACTGGTGTCGAACAACGCAAAATCAAGTGGAGACAGGTCCGTGAAGCGTTTCTTGACCAGAACACTTGGTTGTACTTCCTTGTGGGTGTAATTGGTAACGTCCCCAATGGTGGCCTGTCGAACTTCTCAACACTGGTCATTAGAGGACTTGGATTCAATACCAAGCAAACAGCCCTGCTAGGCATACCACAAGGTGTTATTATTGGACTTTGGATCGTCCTGGGCGCAGTGGTCAACAACCACATGCCTAAGAACAGCAGAATGCTTGTCTGTATCATGTTCATGGCACCTTGCATTGCTGGAGGGTTTGGTTTCCTTCTGGCTCCCCAAACTGCCTATGTTGGGCGATTGATCTGCTTGTGAGTACTTACGACGCTGCGACTGGCGCTCCTAACTAACAATCACCAGCTACCTGTTGAACTCGTACCAAGCCACCGCCGTGTTGGCCATTTCCACCATTACCTCAAACACAGCTGGCCAGTCCAAGAAGATGGTCGTCTCGGGTATGCTCTTTTTCGGAGGATGCATTGGCAATATTGCCGGCCCCTTCTTCTACAAGACGGAGCAGGCTCCCTCATATCCCCTAGGTATTGGCTCACTCTTGGGTAGCTACTTCATCTCAACTCTTCTGTTTGTGGCTATCCGCTACTCGTTCATCTGGGAGAACAAGAAGAAGGAGCAGCAACGAGCCAGGCTACGAGAGCAGGGTGATGATCGACTGGGCAAGGACAACGCAACTGCGTTTACCGACATGACGGACAGGGAGAATCCCAATTTCGTTTACGTGTACTAGATATAGCGTCATAATTGCACGTGTAGTACTTGAGAAATAACTTCATAGCCCCCTTTCTTAAGAATAAAAATATTAGAATCGGCAGTGTAGGGTTCGGCACTACGCTGATGCTGCTATAGCATGCGCTGCAACGATTCACGGATCAGATATGCAATTGAAGTGGGAAGGCAACTGTACCAACTCACAAAAGCAACGCCGAACTATCTCCGCAAAGCGGCTAAGTTCTGAGGCTGCAGAAGTGCGGCTCGGAAGAAAGACATGCGAGGCTAATAGTTTGTTTGCTTACGGCGTCAAATCATGCACCGATGGAGGTGCGCCATACGCCAGCCATTGGCGTCGACGGACACTCGCCGACGAATGAGGTTTGGCCAGTTTTCATTTTCCCTTATTGGCATCAATATAATTGAATAGAGTATATGCTACTCTACTGAACCGGTTTAATGCATATTATAGCACTTGTACTGTAGCTGGGAATTTAGTCGCGGATTCGTTGATACTAGTTGAGTTATACTGTCCACATATTCTGCAGTAGTTGAAACGAAGTAAGCTGTTGCAATAGTAAAAAGCTCAAAGCACATGAGAGAACAATAGAGGGCGTAATATCCCTTAAACATCATCGATGATCTTCTCTTTCATAATATCACTTCGTGCTTCCCGTTCGCTTCGAAGCAGCGCGTACTCGAGTGAGGCGCACACCAAGTCGGCCTCCTCTGTTCTTTGCTCCCCCTCAGAGGCGAACTTCCAGCCAGCCCGGTCAAATCGTTCTCTGACTGGCTTAGCCATGTTGACAAATCGAAACTGTAAGCCCAGTCCGATATATCGCCGAAGTTCAGCTTTCAATTCCACCAATGATACCAAGCCCGTGGTGTCGATGAACCCAACCATGGCGAAGTCTAGAACAACGAACCGTAGGGGCGATTCGTCCCCCATGAACGGAATAATGTGCTTCCTTTTGCGAATGCGCTGGATCCTTTTTGTTGAAAACTGGTTCCACGTTCTCTCTTTCGTGTTCACATCTGTGACAATATTTGTGCCAGGCTCGAAGTTGATTTTGACTGACTCGATGATGGAGTTCTTCACTCTTTCGGCGTTGGGGAAGAGCACATCTTCAGTAAAGCGAACCAAATACGCCTCTTCAGGAACATCAATATCTGTTGAAGAAAAGTACATTCTGTTCATAGACCAATGTACATTTTCGGTCTCGTGATGAGATAGGCCGACCCAACGCGGGAACGCTAGTCGCAATAGCGTATATAAAATGCTGAAGCCAACGGCCACAGCAAGTCCAATTTCGGTGGAAGTGAACAGTGTAACCCAAAGGCCAAGCATCGATGCAACAAAGTCGACGAAAGAGATTCTCCAGTATCGATAAAACACCCGTGGCGATGACACCAAATGCACCACAGCCATGATCTGGCGGTGTTAGTCAATAGTCTTTTGTTCTGGAATCTAAGTAAGATGAGACTTACGATGATGGCTGATAGAGTTGCCTTTGGAATCCAATAGAGTGCAGGCGCCAGCTCATAAAGGGTCAAAATAATAAAGCCAGCCGTAAGAAGAAAGTTGAGGGGGCTCTTGACGTTGCACTCTGAGTTGACAGCTGTGCGAGACATGGCACCACCGCAAGCCTGAGCACCAAAGAGACTGTTGACCATGTTTGCTGCACCTAAGAATACAAGTTCTTGGCTCTTGTCGATGTTGTAGTTGTTTCGGAGACCGAAGGCCTTACCTACACCCAGGTGTTCCACTGCCATGGCGATAAACGGGGCAAAGGCACGGGGGACAACCTTTTGTAGGAGAGAGGACTTGTGGGTAGTAGGAGTAAGAAGACCGTGGGTGTTGACTTCCGTGACCTGCCATACATACTTGGTACGATTTCGGTTAACCAAGTAGGAGATGATGGTGAAGACAGCCAACACGATAACAGCCCGACTTGTGCTGGCAAACTTGAGCCATTTGTTCTTTTTTCCCCAGGTCTTTCCCATCAACTCAAGAGCATATAGCATTGCAATACTCGTAAACCCAATACACAGTGTCAGTGGTTTGATGCTGTTCAGGTGGCCAAGGACGTCACGGATGATGGATGCAGTCCCACTGCCTGTCGTGAGTCCAACAAGTGAACCAACCTGGCCTAGGCCAATGACAATAGCAACAGCGGAAATCCAACCACTCAACACAGGTGCAGAGACGAAGTCAAGTAGAAATCCCAGCTTGAGTAGGCCGATGGCGAGGGAGTATACTCCAACCATGAATGCAATAGCAGATGCGATTTCAGCAGCGCCGTATCCATCTTTTACAAGGTCGGCAACTGCCTCGGCCGTGAGAAGTCCAAGGATGGAAGTTGGACCTGATGAGACCTCTTTTCAGAGGTTAGCTAGTCGTTCAAGGAAGGAAAAATATATACTAGCCTTTGGATGTTCCAAGAAAGAAGTACATGGCTGATGGGATCCAGCTTGAATACAGGCCATGTTCAACTGGGATAGTGGCTATTTTTGCATAGGCCAGTCCCTGTGGAATAAGCATTACGCCTATAGTAATTCCAGCTATGACATCTTGAATAAGCCATTTATAATCATAGTGAGGTAGCCAGTGTGCGACGGGCAGCTTCTCAGTGATGTAGTCGAGTGTTGCGGATGGGAGCCGCTGCTGTATGGGATGGACCCAGCTTCGCAGCCTGTTGAGATTCGGGTCTGTTTCATAGGCAGAAACAACCTTGGCCTTTGATTTAGTTAAGAAATTCATGCTCAAAGCAGTTAGAGAACTTTGTAGTTATAAATGATGTTTGATACGGCCCTGAATAACACGACGCAAGAGGAGAAGAGCCATGTTTTATAAACGGGCTGTTCAGCACAGCCAGAATCAGACGTCTAGAATTAGCCAGACCCGTGTGATCATCTAAGTAGAAAGTGATATTCGAATCAATGACAAAGGCAACACACCCTCTAGGAGTAGGGGAGGGTGGCCGTCTGCCCATGAGCCGCACAGCCGTGCGGATGGACTGCATCCCATTGGTGGTCCTTTCGCCAAAGGATACCTCTTTGACTATGCCGTACGATGTGCAAAAGTATCCAAAATGGTAAAATACAGTTGGTGGCAGCCGCCACCAGCCTCTCACAACAGGTAGGGTCGGTCATGGCTGTTCCATCGCCCGCTGAGCGAGCCACAGAGCCGCATCCACAGTACTAATACAGTCCTATAGCCTGATAATCACATCGGGCTTTTTGATTTTAGGTGTGATCACTTTTGCCTTATACAATCGGAAAACAATAGGACAAGATTGGATGCTCCTAGCCCCAACGGTTTGCTGTTTAATTAGAACCCATGTTGACAAAGATATGATGTGTCCTGCGAAGTTTTCGATGTTGCGATCCGCTGAGGCTCAAATCATATTTTCCATAAAACCTATTAGCGACACTGTGTTGCTCTACCGGCGGGCACTATTCCCGTTTATATTAGTAAGTATCTTATACAGCAATCGTTCTTATGGTTGCCCGCAGGGCTTCTGAACACTCCATTGTAACCCAGGCGAATACCAAAACCAGTGTACACTTACTGCAAGTTTCCGAGCTTGGCATCTTGAATCAGTGCGAATTGGCTCGTTTATTCCCTCTTGTGCACCAACCAACTACAAACCCATAGTTTATAGGCGCGGCTCTCCAAGCCACCACCACCACCAAAGTGTTGGCTGCGGAATGGCCGGAGAGGCTACAGAGCCATCTCAAGAACAGGCTCCAATTCCCCCAAAAATGAAAGTTGTTGGCTGTACACGTCTATAGTGCTTGATCTGCATCCTCTGGGCGTCCACCTGCAGACTCTCGGTTGAATGTGTGCTTGGTTGTTTGCAAGCGCTGGTGCACTACCTGGAGTTGTAGGTGGGGATTGGTGCTAACACCGGTATTGTCGAGAAGCCTTGTGCCGGATAACCGACTGCAGTGCGACGCCAGCATCAGGCCCCATTCTCCAGCGTGCGTCTGAGCGTGGCGCTATTGGAGTTGTATCTCAACTCCAGGTGGTCCTTTGCACGCATTGTTGCATCAAGGAACGAATGCGACGGGGAATTTCCCATGGAAAAAAAGACCGAGGAAGCTGAAGACGTAGCGTGGCAAAAAGCACTGGAGTTACATTATTTTGAAATGTGACGTCTCCAATCTGGTTTGTTTGCGCATGCTTCGCGTTCGTCTAGGTGTTGTGTATTGGGCGAAGGCAAGCAAGCCACCAGCCTAGCCAGCGTAAAAAAGAGCCCGCCAGCTGCGAGTGTGTTTGCTTGCCAGCTGGTGACGGCTGGCAGTTATTTGTTCTGTTAAGTCCATAGATCCTGTAACTAAATATCCTCTCCGAACGAACCGAGATAAAGAACATTCCCTTTCTCGAACCATCACGATACGACATTTCGTCGTTTCAAACGCAATCGACGCATCGCTCGCGCAACGCAGCTCGCTTGCTGAACCAGTCTTGGCGATAGGCTAGACCCCGCCAAACTGGTCTCTGAATGCTTGGGAGGGGAGCACACTTGTTCGCCCCTGGTAGAGCTGCAGAGCCACTGTTTGGTGTGGAGGGGGCGTGTTTGCCGCGATAGGCCTGCAAAAACAATCGAGCGTTGTCTAGCGCACTTGTGCAGCGGGCCACGAAGCAGTCATGAGGGCCGTGCCATTCAGTAGCGCCATCGACTCCTTGGGATTGCAGGTCTTGGCGGTCGATATTTGCCTGCTTGACTGTAGCCCTTTTGAGGCTCTGCAACTAGGCTCTATAGGTTTCAATGCCAAGACGGTGCTTACGAACCCTAACGGTTGTGTTGTTTTGCGTCTCTCAGGTCAGCCTCATTTTAATAGGCTGCTTTATGGTTAAGTTGATACGGGAATCGGCGTTCGAAGATCATTTTCATTCTAACGCAAGCTTAGTTTCAAAATGGAGAAAATAGCGAGTGCATTGACCAGCACATGCCATCCGGCAGAAAGCAGAGCCCAACGCAAGAATGTGGTCTGGGTGAGGAAGATGTCCAAACGTGCGGCTCACAATTGTAGTCACCGCCATGCTGAACGCCAGGCGCCTCCCCCGCAAAGGGCGCCCTGTTGTTCCAGCCCCATGCCGCCACCGACCGAGCATCATCACTTAATCGCCCTTCCCCTCTTTTCATCAGTGCCTTTTTTGGGACACAGCGCCGTGATGGGCGTCTGCGGTGGCTTGCACAGGACATTCTAATTCATATTAGGCTCGTATCTAACACCGATTTATGTCCGTAGTTTACTGGAAGGGAGCAATCCCTCAAGTGGAAGTCGCCGACAGTACGAGACCTGTCAACTGAGAAGCTAACGAGCGAGCAGCAGAGCCGCATACTGCCTGATACCGCATTCTGCATACTACTACGCGTCATGAAGCAAGGATACCGGAAACCGGGATTTCAGGATTCATCCAGTTCGTTAGTCCCGCATTTCTAGCGGCAACACACATAATGGATACCATGCAGCGGCACAGAAGAGCCGCACTACTAGATGCACTGTAGCTGCATGTTACGCTCAGAGTGGGCCTAACAATCGCCGCTAAATTGAACAGTGGAGGCATTGCACGTCGATAAGACACTGCCTAATTGGGCAAGTATAGTATCGACTGTCATGTGCTCACCACTGGCGACAAATAGCAAAACAAAATACTACGAGTAATGACCCTGTCTATTGCAAGGAAATAATGAATATTTACAATAATTAAGAGTATCCCTAACGAGTAAACGAAAATGAAGCAAAAACTAGGCGCTTTCAAATTGAATCATGGAAAAGAAAGGGAACAAAACAGGAAGAAAAAAAACAAGCAAGCCGTGGTTCGATCAACGCCTTCCCGCCCCAAAGTCAAAGTCTTATGTCATTTAAAGCTCCACACTGGGGTCAGTGACCTCATCCTTCTTAGGATCCTTAATCTTTTGCAAGAATAACTCAGCATTGGCCTTGTCATCTCCGAAAATTGTGTCTGCAACCAACCGCTGCGGGGTCTCGCCCATCCACTGGAACAGGGAGAAGTCACGGAAGACATCAGTTCGGAAGATCTCAAGCATCTCAAGAGGCTCATCACCAATGTTCTCAACAAAGTGACCCATGTTAGCGGGGACAATGCCAACATCGCCAGCCTGGTAGTTGAAGGTACGGGCGTTGCCTTGAGCAGCGAAAACAGTCACGCGAGCGCGACCTTTGAGGAAGTAGGACCACTCATCAGCAAGAGGATGCCAGTGCATTTCTCGCATAGCACCAGGCTGAATGGTGACATGAGCAGAGGCGATGGTCTTGGAAACGTCAAAGTTTGTAGAGTCGGCGATGCGTACTTCGCCACCGGTCGTCTTCTTGGGTGTCTGGTCGAGCATTCGGTGGGTAAAGTTGAACTTGGATTTCTTGACATTCTTGCCCGAAGGAGCCTCCTGTTCAATTGATCCGGGCATAGATCCCTGGAAGATATATTTATCGCTCTTGGGAAGATGAGCGAAGACTTCCGGGGCAAGGTGGAAGTTGTCGGCCAGGACGGACTTCGGGGTGTGTGCTATGCTGGCGTCAGTGATGCGATCCTCAATAGTCGACGCTAGGGAAGAATCACGGGCAACTTACCAAGCCAGTCTGTCAAGACGAAAGTAGATTCCTCAGAAAATTTGCCGCTGTCGAAGATGAGCAAGAACTCAGTGCCGTTCTCGCCCAAGCCCTGGAGGGAGTGGGGAACACCACTGGGGAAGTACCACAAGTCGCCCTCCTTGAGGTCATCGATAAAGTTGCCTCCGTCATAGTCAAGAGCGGTGACTCGAACCTCACCAGAAATAACATAGGCCCATTCGGCCTCTTTGTGCCAGTGAAGCTCGCGGATAACACCCTTATCCAGACGCATGTTCACGCCAGCAAGCTCAACACTGCTTGGGAGTTCACGAAGGGTCGTTTGTCTTGTCCAGCCACCTTCCTGTAAGAATGTCAGCAAGCTGCCCTCCGACACATTGGGAGTCAATTGCTACGGGAGGCATACCTCAATGCGAGTATGAGAATCGGTAAAGCTCCAGCGCATGTTTTCAACGTCACCATGATCTGTGCTTGGTGGGCGGATCATGTCTGGGCTCTGACGGGAGCGCTCTGGGTTGTAAGGGCCAAGAATGCTAGCTCCCTTACCATTGCGCCAGGGCTTGGGATCAAGCTTAGACTGGATAGGATCAACAGCATTGTCATAAGGATCCCGAAAGCCAGGGGTGTAAGGCTTTTGGCTACCCCAATGCTCGGGGATCTGGAGGCCCTTTTGCATGCGTCGAACGACGCTGTCTTGATGAGGCAGAGCAGCTGTAAGCGCCGCGCCTGCAACGAGGAGATGTGTCGAGAACTTCATGGTGTGCGCAAGTCGTCTTTTACTCTGCAAATGGTAGAAGAAGATGAGATTTGAAGAAAGAAGAGAGGAGTTGAATTGCAGATCAGGGCGTCGGATCAATGGCAGCAACGAGGGCGCCGCCACCTCTTATAGAGTTTGCGCCTATGTGCCCTCGGGCAACACATGGCGAGCAGGCCAGGCACTAGAGGAGCCGCTTGATCCGGCCAAGTTCTGGAGGCCGAAGCACCACACAAACAAAAGATGCCGCAGCGGAATTTGTACCCTACAGTGTAGCGTGTGCTTTACACCGTGGGGGTATGAGGCGGCATGCGCCAGAGGTGATGTCTTTTCGGCGCAATGACGCTGTTGGCCTAGCGCCAGTGTGCCATGTTGAAGTTGCGTCAATGTCGGGGCGCGGCCGTTGTTGCACCAGGGGGTGTGCCGCAGCTACGGAGCTATCTCGCAGCACGCCTTCTTGCATAAACCACGGCGATTACAGCGGACACACCCTATTTCCCTCCCACGATGAATGCAACAGCACCAAGGCTGTCTCGGTTCAGACTACAAGTTGGCGCTTCTGGGCAGCCGTGTTGCCCGCAAAAACTGGCTCTGTCCCAGTAGCGGCGTTCTAGGGCCGACCGGGAGGCTCTAAGAGCCTTCCTTCAGTGCTTCTATCACGAGTTGGATGGCGCGCTGTCTACACAGAGGTACAACACGCCGAACCAACTCCGGGAGGATGTTGAGGCGGGTGTGAGTGCGAATGCGGCTCTGCAGATGACGACCTGTCTGTTGAGCCGCATTAGCAAAGAGATATGCTTCGCTGGCCAATTCCCATCAACTACCGTGTATACCTCTAAAAGACGAATGAGATAGATCACGTCGGACACGCATCAAATGCAAAACGTCGGTCAAGCGGGATGCAGCACGCCAGAGGTCTAGAGCTTCACACAGCCATACATCACAGGTGCATACAGCAGCGAGATTAGCGTCAACGGTAGCAACAGCAAATCAATTCGGATGTCCGGCACGAATTCAATGAACCCCAATCGAGGCTGTGCAAAGACACGGACTCTACAGTTTGCAGCATGCAAAAAATGAAAAATGTCACTGTAGCTGCGAGCTGCAAAGCTGGGCTGCTTAACTGAGCAGCTTGCCATTTCTCTTTTTTAATAAAATCCACTACGCCGTGTTTTCCGCCTGAAAAAGGCGAACCCACAGCGGCCGCGTGGCGCCCCAGCACAGTCTACAGGGTGTTGGGCTGGGGGAGGGCATGGTCCCCTTTCACAGAGGGGACAAGGCGGCGCGTGCCCCCCAAAAACTTGGTCAGAGGGCGGGTCCAGCGCTATTTTACACGCTATTTGGCGCATGTACAGTGGCTTTATTGGCCTTTGGTGGTATTTTTCCTGGCGCATGCTTGGGGGCAGTTTGCTCGTTTACCGCCCAGTCACCCGTAGCGGGCTGCGCCGAACCTTATAACCTGACAGGCGACTGCCTGTATTTTACTGTTCGGGCTTGGCTTCAACACAGAACTTGGACAAACAAACGAAGCTGTCATAGCCATTAACTCAATTACACGACCCAGCCGCTAAATACTTTACCGAGAAACAAAAAAACGTAGTGTCATCAGAAACGCCGCATCTCCAATTCGCTAAGTTTCTGCTTGCTCTCCACTGTCCCGCACCGCTGTAACTCCAGCACGCACGGCAGCGCAGTGCCGGCCAGTGACCCACTGAAGCACGCCGCTCTCCCGCCCCAGGTGCCCGCTGAGATCCACTGCAGCGCAACCCGGCCAAAGCTTCCTTTCTCTCGACAGGTTCGCTTCTCTTTTAATTTTTTTATTCTTGTTCACACCCTCCACGAAACCCTGATTTCGTACGTGCTCCGAGAGCCCTAGCGTTTCAATATACAGAGACAAGGCTCCTCTACTCTCACCGCATCAATCAATCCCGGTCCATCTCCGCCTCGGGCCTCGCCTCGCCTTTTACAATGGCAAATTACGGCACAGCTTCTCCGGCTACGTCTCCCACGCATCGCTCCGAAGACACCGAGAACGAGACATCGCCACTTCTATGGCGTCCCAAGGAGCGGTCTCTTGCAGCAAGGCTGCGGAGGTCAATGGGTGCCGATATATCCCGGTCATGGGCGGACCTTGTCCTGTTGTTGTGCTATGTCGTCACCGGTCTATTGGATAGCGCGTCAACTCAGGTCTGGGGTGCCTTTGTCTCTATGCAAACAGGTAAAGCCAGTTTCTTATCAGAACGAACAGGGCGCCCAACTGACAAGTTGTGAACAATAGGAAACACCGTCTACGTCGGTCTCGGCCTCGCATCGCTCGTCTATCCTCCAGTCAGCGTCCGCCTCTACCGATCAGGCATCTCGTTGCTTTCGTTCTGCATAGGATCCTTCTTCTTCGCACGCTTTCATCGATTCTTTTCACCAAAGCGGCGTTGGGTGCTCTGCGCATCGTTTGGTGCGCAAGCACTGCTGACCATTGCCGCTGCGACGATTGTCACGGTCAAACCAGCGCCGGTAGACAGCAACGCTCACGACTGGACCGTCCTGCTGCCGCTGGCTCTCGTTGCTTTCCAGAGCTGCGGCCAGGCTGTGACTAGCCGTGCGCTCAAGTATAATGCACTGACAAGCGTTGTCCTGACAAGCATCTACTGCGACTTGTTCTCCGACCAAGATCTGTTTGCCGTGCGCAATGTTGAGCGCAACCGCCGAGCCGCTGCGCCAACACTGCTCCTCATTGGCGCCGTTGCTGGAGGCCTATTCTCCCATTCACCTCTTGGTATTCAGGGCGCTTTGTGGACAGCAGCTGCGCTGAAGCTTTCCATGGTTGTTATGTGGTTCTTTTGGCCTGCTGAGCCAGAGGCAGAGCACGACGAGTCGTAGGCTCCGAGCCGCCGCCCGTCAATCTGTGTATATTAAATCAATTGAATATATTTGTCCTTCGAGGTCAATTTTGTACTTTGTTAATCGGAAATCACTTCGACCACTTGCTCACGCGACAATTCTGCGCTGTGGATAGCATGAGGGAGACTTGGCAGCATGATGATTGTACTGATTGTCTATGCCGTTTTATTTCCAGTACTACGCTCTGTAGATAGCCACTAAAACGGATCTCTCGACGCCCAACTCTGGGGAAATTTGAGCCCTTGCGGAGGCGTAACTCCATTGCGGCGCCACGCGGGCTTCGTCGCGCGCGCGTCTCCGGAGCCGGGCCTCCCCTCTTAATTACCGTTTTTTTCTTAATCAAGGGCGACTCCGCATTCTTCCCCAAAACCCAACATCTTCACCGCTAAACAACGTTTCGTTCTGCGCAGTTAACTGTGCTCCATTTGCCATGGATTCCAAAGATGAAAAAAACGTTGGCATGGACGCCGCGGTCCTCCAAGCGGTAAGCTAAAAACCAGCCTTACGAAATGTTGGGCATCAACCGGGATATCACAACTAACGCGGCCTCCCTTGATAGGACACGGCGTCGGCAGACGAGCCGCAAGTGGTGTCCAAAGAAGAGCGCACGTTGCTCTGGAAGCAGGATGTTCGCATCATCACCATTTGCGCCGGTATCTACTTCCTGTGCTTTCTGGATAGAGCCAACATTGGCAATGCAAAGATCCTCAACAGCTCGACGCATAATGACATGCAGACTGCCACCAACCTATCGGATCATGACTTTGCGGTTGGTCTCATGATTTTCTGTCTTGCCTACACCTTGTTTGAAGTCCCGTCCAATATCCTGCTCAAGAAGCTGCGTCCGAGCAGGTGGCTGGCGTTCCTCATGTTTGGCTGGGGTGTCGTGAGCATGACTACCGCCGCCGTACGCAATGCTCCAAGCATTATTGCCATTCGATTCCTGCTTGGCATGTTTGAGGCTGGTCTCTTCCCTGGTCTGATCTATTACTTGACATTCTGGTATCGACACAACGAGCGAAGTGTCCGGTAAGTCAAATAGTCACACATAGGCAATGGACCTCGTGACAAGGCTAACATAATGGTACACTAGCGTTGCGTTTATTCTCGCTTCGGCTACGCTTGCTGGTGCAGTACGTACTATTTCGAATTTATTTGCGTGGACAAATATGGAAAATGCTAACTGGTGCAGTTTGGCGGTGCCATTGCGTATGGTATCGGCCACATGAACGGTGTCGCAGGCCTCGCCGGATGGCGTTGGCTGTTCATTCTCGAGGGTATTCCATCCTGTCTTGCTGCTATTCTTGTCTTTTTCTTCCTCCCTGATTTTCCCGAAACGTCAAAATGGCTAAGTGACAGCGAACGTGAAATGGCAAAGCAGCGTCTGCTCAACGAGGGCAGCAAGGGCGATGCCCCATCATTGACATGGGCCGATGCCAAAGCGACGCTTACTGACTGGCGCTTGTATGGACATTATCTCATTTATTTTTGCCTCAGCCCTGCTTTTGCCAGTCTGGGCTTCTTTGCGCCGTCCATCGTCGCGGGCCTCGACTTCAAGGATCTGACCGCTCAGCTAATGACGGTTCCGCCATGGGGAGTCGCATATGGTAAGTTTCTATTCGCAGTATGATGTGGTACAAGCGCTTATAATATGTAGTGTGCCAGGTTCTTGTAGCCATTTCAGCAGACCATTTCAACGAGCGTGGCTTACACGCAGCCATCTGCTCCTTTGTTGGCGCCATAGGCTTTGCTCTGTCTGGAGCCTCCGCACCAACAGCATACCACGCGAGATATGCTGGCCTCATTCTGGCGACGGCTGGATCATTCTCTGCAATCCCGCCTCTTCTAGGCTGGCTCACGTCCAATGTGGTCACCACCGCCTCCATCGGACTCGCCATTGCCATCAACGTCAGCTTTGGCGCTGGTGTCGGCCAAATGCCAGGTAACTGGATTTACAAGGGTGATGAAAAGACCAGGGGATACCCTACCGGTCACTGGACCAACTTTGCCTTTACGTTGCTTGTGGCTACAGGGTCTTTGCTGCTTCGAGTGTATTACGTCGCTCAAAATCGCAAGATTGCCAGCGCAGCCAAGGAGCAAGGGGTTAAGCCAAGACTGTACAAGCTTTAATCTTTATAAGCAGCATAATTCAACAGTCTAATAACGAACATGGAATGTATACTGAGGATCTCCTTTGTGCAGTAAAGGCAGTTGGTATCATAGTCAACTGTTAGTCGTCGTCGTTAACATGAAGCTTTGCGCCGTGGCCAACCGAAGCGGGATCGTGGATCCATTACTTTGTGCATATGCCGGGCACAAACTAAGGAATAGCCTTCCAACCAGATGGTGCACCCGATTTCCAGGGTCTAACCAAGCGAGCAAGGCAGAGCTTGTCAGCAGCGATGAAGCTTCCTTGGCTTGAGGGGAGTTATCCGTTTTGGGAAATACTGAAACGGTTTCTGGATCAAGGCTGGGTACACTGCTGTCCTTGGAAGAGTTTAAATGAGCAGCCTAATAGGGATAGATACCAGACGATCAGCGCGTGTCGACTTTGGCAAAAGGTCAAGCGACAGAACGTCATCGAGAGAGTGGCAAAGGCGCGGCCAAGTTACCCAAATATATTGAAGATATAGACCACTGGGCCGAGTTTCTCAAATGTATTTCCATGTATATCACGTCATTGTAGCTATTTCAGCGCCTATCATTCAGATGATATCCGCAGATTGTTTGTCTGTCAACGTGCTGATGGAGTCGAGAGCGCATTTTGGAGGGTAAGGCAGAGTGGGGAACAACAAGAGGCTGCGGAGGATATGACGTCGTGTGGGTGTCATTCCAGGGATTCTAGCGTACTTGCGTTTGCCAAGAAGCTCCTCATTTGCCCCCCCTCTTGTCCCAGGGCGTTGTTGTGATGAATGCAGAAAATCAGAGGAGAAAGAAAAAAGCAGCCAAGCGAAGGGAAGTCGTCTTGAAAAGCTGCCAGCTGCCACAGGTGCAGAAGCGATTCTGCCAAGTGTCAATATAAACCAGGCACCAACGGCGCAGGCTCGCACAAGAGTAATGACGACACTAAAAAACAATTCAGGGTCCAAACAGCAGCGCTGACGTAGTGGCAGCACAGCGCAGGGGTGGGGCTGCCAGAACAAATAGCGCGTTGGCAGCGGCGGCTGGTGGTGCGTGCCCCCCTCTCGCAGAAATATTGAAAGTGAGCTACGTTTCCAAAAACGAAACTTTTGTAGGGCTCTGTGCAGATACGAGGTCCAATTAGAGTGGTCTCTGCTCGTGGAAAACACAATACAATCTGTACTCTTTATGTTAAAGACTGGCGAGAAGAGAGCAAAGCCAGAACTGTAGCATTATTTCACTGGCGTTTTCTTCCTTTCTTTTTACCATACTGCAAGGCACCCTACCTAGCTGCAGGGCCTAGACAACGCCCGCCATGACACCACTTACAGCGGCCGCCCCCACTGTTGAGCCCACTGTAATGCAAATACACTGGCTTGGGATGATGCGGATGACGATGTTAAGGAGAGGCACCTGGTGCGAGGCGCCGGTAGGTACCAGGCAAGGGTTTCCAGATGCCGAGATTATGCTGCCTCGTGAGATAAACGTCCTCTGCACAAGCTCAACGCCGCACAATACATCCCTTGCCCGTGTTTTCTTCCTGTCTTGGAGCGTTTGTAAGCGTCACGGCCAGCTCCCAAGATCCACCACCGTCCACTCCAGCAACCCACCCCACCCTCGCTGCACCCTCGCTGCCTTCTCTTCTCCTCTTGCATCATCGCTGCTCCAACGCATAGACCTTCTTCTTATTTCTTGCACTTTCACCCGCTCTGCCACGCAACACCAACATATAGACATCGCCAGTTACAAACCAGCATTGCAGTCGTCTAATAAACCTTGTTTTGCTTACCGATCCGCCAACTCGCCATCCCGTCTTCCCGCCGTCACTTCGCCTTACTCCGCTCATCCCGAAAACAAGGCCCCCCAGACCCTGTTTTTGCACCCCGCGCGCCGCCAGCAACGAAGCCCACGAACATCTTGACTGCTCCAAAAAATTACAAAGACGCTGGAAGCTTCGTGAACAAGACACGAGCCGCCTCGTCGTTTGTTATTCGCATTTGCGTCACGCGGCAAAGCATCGTGCAGATCTTTACGTTTTGCTGCGTTTGAATCTGTGGCACTGCACATATTTCTCTAGCACCGTGTTTTGGTGCGCTGCCTCTTCGCACTTTGGGCGCCACCTCATATCGACCTAACCATGTCGACGATACAACAGATTAAAAACTTTATCCGCCATGGTACGCCCCTGTTCGAGAAGACACTATATAAACCCCGGCAATGCTAATATCTACCCTTCATTTTATAGGCAAGCATGCCCGCGCTACTCCCGATGACGATGCCGTGCGCAAAATCGACTCGGCCTCTTCTGCCCGCCAAGTGAAGCTCGCCTCGCATTCTGACCCCGCCATGGCACGCTCTGCTGGCTTTGCCGGTGCCGACGCTGACGCCAAAGTCCCCAATAAGAACCGTGAAAGCCGCAAGGTCGATGAGGCTAGCTTGGCTAAGCTCGTCGCCGAAGAGAATGCCAACAAATCAAAGTTCCCCCACTATCCCGGCCTCGAACGATGGCAATTGATTGAGAAGATGGGCGATGGTGCTTTCAGCAACGTATACAGAGCCCGAGATACTCAAGGCCAGTATGGAGAGGTCGCTATCAAGGTTGTGCGCAAGTATGAAATGAACAATATGCAGGTAAGTTGTTTGGCGCTCTTTCACTACGTTCGCCAAACTGGCTGTTGCTTTTCGCTTGATTTTGCAATCATCTTCCTGTTTTGCCTTGTTCCACACTCTCTTTCCATCTGCATCAACCTGACTGGTTCTTCGCCTATCTAGGGCAACCATTTACACCCGGACTTCAAAAAGCGGCCGAAAGCTGCAGAGGTGCGCTTTTTCATTTCTCTGGCGTGCTGCTGTTTTGTATCCTTATCCTTCATCAAACTGCAGAATGCGCCACGTTGTTTTCACACAGATGGAGTACTAACTGATGCTATAGCGATCAAATATCCTCAAAGAGGTTCAGATTATGCGACAACTCGATCACCCCAATATCATCAAGCTCATTGATTTTGCCGAGGCCAAACCTTACTATTACATTATTCTAGAGCTAGCCCCCGGCGGTGAGCTCTTCCACCAGATTGTCCGCCTTACCTACTTCAGCGAGGAACTCTCAAGACACGTTATTGTCAAGGTTGCTACTGCGCTTGAGTATTTACATGAGGAAAGAGGTGTCGTCCATCGGTAAGCTTGCTCATATTGCATGTATAAATCAAGACAGATCTAACAGGTTCAGTGATATTAAACCCGAAAACATCCTCTTCAGCCCAATCCCCATTGTTCCCTCCAAAATTCAAAAGCCGAAGCAACCTGGAGACGAGGACAAGGTGGATGAGGGTGAATTTGTCCGCGGCCGAGGTGCGGGTGGCATTGGTGAGATCAAGATTGCCGACTTTGGCCTCTCCAAGATTGTCTGGGATAAGCAGACTATGACGCCTTGTGGTACCGTGGGCTACACTGCGCCGGAGATTGTCAAGGATGAGCGTTACTCAAAGTCAGTCGACATGTGGGCTCTTGGATGTGTCCTGTACACTCTTCTCAGTGGCTTCCCTCCCTTTTACGACGAAAGCATCGAAGTTCTTACCGAAAAGGTAGCCAAGGGTCAGTACACGTTCCTGTCACCATGGTGGGACGATATTTCTGCCTCCGCCAAGGACCTCATCACACATCTCCTTGATGTCGATCCCGATAAGCGATACACCATTAAAGAATTCCTCGCCCATCCTTGGATCCGCGAAAGCGGCCCTACCCCTCGCGACGAGAAGCGCAAAACCGAGGTGCCTGCTCGCGCCTTTGACGCTGCCAAGCTCGAAGAGCCCAACCGACGCATGGACTTCCGATCTCCTGGCGCCGTTAACCTCCGTGAGGTCTTTGATGTCAGTTATGCTGTTCATCGCCAGGAGGAGGAGAGCAAGCGCAGAGCTCAGGTTGGCGCACGCGGCGGCCCGGCACAGTTCCTCGGTGGCCTTAACGAGGAAGACGAGGAGGACGAAGAAATGGCCAATCCCCAAAACCCCCAGAGCCTTGAGCAAGTCATGCGCCAGACCAGTCTACAAGATAAAGATGTGGAGCGTGGTCGTGAAGCCACACGAGCAGCACCTGCTCCTCGCGCTGGAGAAAAGGGCTACGGTCAGCATTCGGCCGCCGTCACTGCGGCTGCTCGAGCGCAGGTTCGCGACAGCAACCGAGGCAAGGGGCCATTTGAGCTTAACCTTGACAATGCCACTTTGCTCGGCAAGCGTGGCAAGAAGGTTCCGGCTATGGGCGCGTAGGAGCATCCCAGCCTACCGAATAGAAAGATGGGCATGGTTCGATCTGGTGGTCTAGACCGGGCGAGAACATGCTAAAAGTTCAACTTTCAAATCGTTCACAAAGCCTACTTTTACAAAGCATGCGAGGCATCTTGGCCTGAGTTTGCAGAACGGCATTGAAGAAGCATTTCATGAATACGGCGTCTGGTGTGATTTCGAACGCGTGAGCCCACTGTTTGGTTTCATCATGTGGCTCAATGATTCTTTTTAATTTTTCGTTTCGTTTCGTATATTGTTGTTATTTTCCCGTTTTATATTTGAATCTTGAATTCCTCCGCTTCTTCTGTTCTCAGTTGTGTCCATGCGTGGTGCAGGACTTTGATTCAAATGCTAGCGTTATGTGACGGTGATTGGTTTTAGGGAGTACAAGATACCTTATTTTCAATAACAATCAATCATTTCTTATCAACTGTATTTTAAAGCTACAAATCAGTAACTATTTTACTATCATCTTCTACGACACCAGCATACGCGATAGGCATGTCTTAGGCCGCGAGTTTACCAACGCTCAGCGCGAGCTACCCGGCACGCGATCCATGCAACATTCACGACTGTTATTTTCAACACATCAAATGTAATCAATTGTAGTAAAAATCTAAATCGCATCTATCTTGACATACCTTTTGGTTTTTTCAGGGTATAACCCGGTGAAATGATTGACTTACCTTGTGATCCCTGGTATTTCTTCCAGTGTTTGAGAGATCACAGGGACTCTATCTTGAGCAGGAGCCCAGCATCAATGACCTCTAGATTCGCTCAGGGCTAACATCACGTATCTCATTAGGATCATGAAAACTCTCAACGCTGACTCGACGCCCATGCTGTGATATGACGCTGTCACGATACTCTGTTGTCAGAGGCGACGACGGCCAAGCAAACGGAGTAGCTTGGCGGCGAAAGGGCCTGTTTAAGTGTAGACCCAGCATCTGGAACAGAACAACCATGTCCGGGAAAGTAGCGCTGAAAGGCGCCCAAAACTCAGGATCATTGATGTAGCGTGGTGGAGCGTCTCGCGGAAATTGATGCTCAACCATGTCCAATTCGATGATGCGGCACAGCGTCCACGCCATGTCCTGGCGGAGAGCCTCCTGGTGACAACGGCCACATCCCTTCTTGACAATGCCGATGTACGTCTTGGCAATGCGGTTGGCCAGCGATGCAAGCGTGACGACGTAAACACCGTGTTCGGTGTCCATGATTGGTGCCATCTGGTAAAAGTTCTCGGAAGTCCCGCGGACATACACCACTGCACTAGGCTGATCGTCGCCCGTGGGCATGATAAATCCGGTAGGTTGATTAGGAACAATCGCAAGGCCGTTGGCGCGAACCCAGGTAAGAATTACCCTTGCCGTGGGGAACGGGCACATGATGCTAATGTGTGGCACGTTGATGCTGTCGTAGCCATAGTATGCAAGTGCCGAGCGGCCAGCCACAGCATAGGGGATATCACGAAACGTCTCTCCAAGTTTGCCCATGACGGCACAGATGTGCTCACGGGAAAGACGCTTGTGCGTCAAGGGAAGTGCCGTATCATGGTGAGGTTCGGTTTTGGCACTAGAGGTTGTGCTGTCGGGGTTGGTAGGAGGTCCGCTCATGTTGGTGGCTTTGATGTGAAAGTGTTTGAGTGTTGTTTTTCGTTTTGAAGAAAACGCAACTTGCGGACGCGATACAGATATATATAATCGAGCCTGGATCAGTTTCATGTTATCTACCATACAGTATCATGTCTTTGCTTGCCATTGTGTGGAAGTGAACAGTGGCCGTTGGTTGTGCCCAAGTGAGCGTACTATGGTGTTCTGTTTTGTCCAAATAAGACAGGCAATCCAAGGCTAACGAAATATTAGCACAGTACATTAACAATGGACGGACAGCACAGCAAACGATGTAGGTTGCCTTAGAATGTTTGTACTGAAAGGTCCCGAAACGGCTCTTTGCCCCGCCACTATACACCAGCTGTACGCTTTGCTGTACGTTTGCCACGCTTTCTTTCTTCCAAGAAAGCACTGCGATAGACGAAATAATACAGAGAGATCGTCCACGTGATGTATTGTTCTATTCATTTCTTCAAGCAATAGTTATATTTTCAATATCCTGGAAGAGTGACGATACCAGCAGATTCCACTGAAGGATACATCGCCATGGCTGCCTCGCTGCCCTATCACGAACCCAGCATCGTAACGATCCTAACCCAAGCGTCCTTTCTTCTACTGCTTAACGTGGGAAATTCTATCCTCGACCATGCTATTTACTGCGGACTCCTGGGCCAAGTCTTTCTAGGCGTCGCTTGGGGCACGCCAGGTGCCAAATGGTTAGGCGCTGAGGCCGAGCGCATTATTGTCCACTTGGGGTATCTTGGATTACTGCTCCTAGTCTATGAAGGTTTGAAAGTATGTCTTATATTTCAGGAGATTCTTTACTAACTGCTACTTATCACAGGTGGTCTCGCAACCTCTTTTCGCTCTTTACAAGCCAACTTTTGGATGTCGTTAGGTATTGCAGCGACCGGAATCGCCCTACCGATGGCACTCTCCTTCACATTACAAGGCATCACAGGCGCAACGCATTTGCAGTCATTCGCAGCGGGAGCTGCGCTATGCTCAACAAGTTTGGGCACTACCTTCACGGTCCTTGGCTCAAGTGGGCTTATGAATAGTAGGCTTGCTGTGGTTCTAACTAGTGCCGCGATGATGGATGACGTTGTCGGCCTTGTTATGGTCCAGATTATTTCCAACATGGGACGGTCTGATTCAAGCATCAGTGCAATAACTGTCATTAGACCATTGTTGGTGTCATTTGCATTCGCTGTGGGCGCTCCGATAGTCAGCTTGTTTATTGTACGACCTGTGACTCTACAGCTCAACGAGCATCGTATCGCGGCTCCTACAAGCGTGGTTAACAGGCTTCTCACGAAAAGCAACACGGCTTGGCTGATCCATACGCTTATCATGCTCAGTCTAATTGCGGGATCGACGTATGCTGGCACTTCTAATTTGTTCGCATCCTATATCGCAGGCGCTTGCATTAGCTGGTGGGATACCGAAGTGCCTCATCCAGTCGTTGAGGATTCTCCGCCCAGCTCACAGCCAATTCAAACAGGAGACTCATGTCCTGATGGGCCATGCAATGCTCCCAAGGGAAAATCTTACAATACACGGGAGACTTCTTTCACAGGTTCTTATACCTTCCAAAAGTACTACAAACAGCCCTTGGAAAGGATATTACGGCCGTTTTTCTTTGTAAGTATAACCTGGCGCTCACCGGTTTCTGTCTATTAACTTGCCTAGGCATCCATTGGTTTCTCTATCCCCATCACCGAGATGTTCAAAGGGTCCATAATCTGGAAGGGGGTCGTATATGCCATTCTCATGGCTTTTGGTAAAATCGCATGCGGTCTGTGGCTCTTTCCCATTCCAAAGGTTACAGTAGGCCTAATCCGTTTACTTACCTCGCTGAAACGCCGAGTTGTACAACTTATTAAGACTACTGGAACTAAACCTACACCGTGTTCCAGCAGGACTACTGTGGCAGAACGTCCTGCCACCTCCAAGGTTACAACATCAACGCCGTCAGAGCGAAATCCTTCCGAACGAGGCACCACCACATCCACCAATACTGCAGAAGTCAAGCCTCGTTCGTTGTACCCTGCTTCAATCTTGGGCTGTGCCATGACCGCTCGCGGCGAAATTGGGTTTCTGATCTCCTCGATTGCTGAAAGTAATGGCATTTTCTCCACGTCCCAGGACACAAGCAATAGCTCAGACAACTTCCTTGTCGTGACATGGGCAATTATGATATGTACAATCCTAGGACCACTTGCCGTAGGAGTTCTTGTAAGAAGAGTAAGACGGCTACAGCAGGGTGTTGTGAGCCAGGGTCAGCTGATTCGCCGCGACGTTCTTGGAGACTGGGTTTTGTCATAGAGACAAGTTTGGTGCAAGACAAAGGCGCAGCGTTTTGGTAGAATAGCCTTAGCGGCACGCTATCTTGTTAGTTGCTCTAGTTGGTATGTACATATATAACCAAACATATAGATTGCATCGAGTTTGCGTTGGAATGATGTTTATATTTAGCAAAGGTGCTTTTTATACCATGTGGCATCTTGCAGAAGAAAAGTCATTATTCCATTTATTTCTTGGTGTCATCTATGTCTTTAAAGTTCCTCCTCGGTATCCATTTGGTCGCCGCCCTGCGCCTCCTTGGAACAAGACTGGCCGTCTTTTCGTGGCATGGTCGCCTCCTTGTCGATCATCTGCCTTGATACTGAAACAATGTTGTCCTCAATGAGCTCTTGTCCAACGTCTTCCAAATGTTTCTTCGGGTCGACCTTGCCAACGTATCGCGTCTTCAGCTGCTCCTTTGTGAGCTCTGTCTCTTCCTTTACGCGCTTCTCGTAGCCATCGGCCAGAGTGACTAGTCTCTGTAATCTATCCTTGTTCTTTTCGCCCTCGGCCTTGAAGTCGTCCATCTCCAGGGCTTCTGTCCACACGTGCTTGTGTAGGTTCATTAGCATGTTCTCTTCCAGCGCTGTCTTGCGGTAGTTGATGCCGATAGAGTAGTAGTGTCTGTTGAGGCCGTGGATAAGAGCTTGGATTGAGGGCTTGTTGAGGTGACCCAAGTTGCTAGTACTCTGACGAGGCTCCTGGCCCATCATGAGAAGCTGAGGGTTGATCAAACGGAAGGCGTCGATAACGACCTTGCCCTTGACTGATTGAATCGGATCGATGACGACGGCAACGGCGCGCGGGTTAAGCTGCTCGAAAGATTGCTGGGTGTTGATATCAACCGACGATAGCCAGCAGCCGAATCCAGGATGCGAGTGGTACCAACCGACGACGGATTCGGGACTATGAGGGGTTAGCTTTCTCAGTCGCAGGTTTGAGCGGATCGTCATAGCACCTACCGTCCAGTTTGACGGAGCATGTCCATCATCTTGGTCTGGAATACGGGATCAACTGCTTCGACACTGACGCCAGTACCGCTCTGAGGCATGGCAAAGACATCCATGACCTTGACTGTAAAGTCGTCGACGAATTCGCCCAGCATCAGACCCATGACTTCCATTGGGACACCAGCTCGGCCGTGACGAAGCATTTTGAGCAACGCCAATGATGAAATATAAACTGTTTCGGAGTTGTCGATAAGACTTGTGTTATCCTGAATGGAAAGAACAGTTAGTTTGCCAATCCTTCGAGCCCGATGCGTCTGCTTGCGCATCACCACGACCATCTATCCAACTTACCGTGCCGTGAGCAGCTCCGCCCATACCAAGGCCGCCGCCTCCAAGAAGGCTTCTAAATCTGTCCATATTTTCGAGTGTTTATGTAGCTAGTGAGACAGAAAATTGTCGAGGGTTCAGCAAGATGGCAAGCTTGCGGAGGACAAAACAAGCAAGCTTCGCGGGTGGCAATCGTGAGGGTAGGTTGTCAATTGCGGCGGGTAAGCTGGCACCAGTTGACGCCAGCGCCGGCAGCCTACACTGCGCACGCGAATCTGAGCTTACCACGGCGGGTCACGTGGCGATAGGCGGGCAATCTGTCGCCGTCGCCGCCGCCCTTGCTCCTGCCCCCCGACGTCCCCCCAGTGGGATTTAGCGCCTGCCCGCCCTCGCCGCCTTTACTTTAATCCGCCCTGCCGTGGCATTGCATGCAGCCCAGCCGCGCTACCTTCGATCGCATCCCCCGACTTAGCGTAAAAGCTTCAGTCTCTATCCACCACCCTTTTTTCGACATCGTGGGGAGGGAATGATCCCGTGTTTTTGATAAAATCAGCATCGAAGTTTGATACATTTCCCGGATATACAGTTACTGCCTGTGCCAGAGCGCGACAGCTTCTCCTCCAGCTTCCTCGCCCCAACTTTGCGACATGGGCGACACAACGACTGCCCAGTCCCAACTTGGGTCTATAGCCCTCAATGGCTCTTCACCCAAGAAGGTTGCCTACTTTTACGACTCCGACATTGGTAACTATGCCTATGTTACTGGGCATCCCATGAAGCCCCATCGTATTCGTCTGGCACACAGCTTGATCATGCAGTACAACCTGTACCAGAAGATGGAGATTTACGTACGCGATTCAATTCTCAACACACGGTGATATCTGAGAACTAACTTTTTCCAGCGCGCAAAACCAGCCACGCGAGGCGAGATGACACAATTCCATACCGATGATTACATTGATTTCCTGCAAAAAGTCACACCCGACAACATGGACAGCTACATGCGCGAACAAGGCAAATACAACGTCGGAGATGACTGCCCTGTGTTTGATGGCCTCTTTGAGTTCTGTGGTATTAGCGCTGGTGGCAGTATGGAAGGTGCTGCTCGTCTCAACAGACAAAAGTGTGATGTTGCCGTCAACTGGGCTGGTGGTTTGCACCACGCCAAAAAGTGCGAAGCCAGTGGCTTCTGCTACGTCAATGGTAGGTGTACCGGATACCGTGGAGCATACAGCCGCTAACTTTCTATTTTATAGACATTGTTCTCGGTATTCTCGAACTCTTGCGTTTCATGAAGCGCGTCCTCTACATCGACATTGACGTCCACCACGGTGACGGCGTCGAAGAGGCCTTCTACACTACCGACCGTGTCATGACTGTCTCCTTCCACAAGTACGGTGAATACTTTCCCGGCACTGGTGAATTGAGAGATGTCGGTATTGGTGGTGGCAAATATTACTCGGTCAACTACCCTCTTCGCGACGGTATCACGGACGAATCCTACAAGTCGATCTTCGAGCCTGTCATCGAGAACGTCATGAAGTACTATCAACCAGAGGCTGTTGTATTGCAGTGCGGTGGTGACAGTTTATCAGGGGATCGTCTTGGTTGCTTCAACCTGAGTATGGATGGCCACGCCAACTGTGTTAGTTACGTGAAGAGTTTTGGCCTGCCTACTCTGGTTCTTGGTGGTGGTGGCTACACTATGCGCAACGTTGCCCGTACGTGGGCTTACGAGACTGGTGTTCTTGTCGGCCAGGAAATGGACCGAACGCTCCCCTACAATGAATATTATGAAGTGAGTGCGATACATCCCGTCGCTTCTGACGGCATACTGACACCACTTAGTACTATGCTCCCGATTTCGAACTGAACGTCCGCTCCTCGAACATGGAGAACTCCAACAGCCGAGAGTACCTCGAGAAGATCACTGCCTCTGTCATTGACAACCTCCGTAATACAGGCCCTGCGCCGTCTGTCCAAATGCAGGATGTGCCCCGCAAGCCGTTTGGTGGTATGACTGACGAGGAAGAGGCTGAGCTGGACGATCTCGACGAAGACGAAAACAAGGATGTTCGCATGACTGAGCATCGCTGGGACAAGCAGATTCAGCACGATGCTGATCTCGAAGCGAGTGATGATGAGGACATGGCAGCTGCCAATGGTATCACGCGACGTGGCAACAACAGAAGAAACTTGACCGACTTTAGCAAAGCGGATGCCGATGCCGATAGCAGTAAGAAGGCCTCCACAAATGGCGCCGACGAGGCTGCTGCCGATGAGACTGAGGTTGGAGATGAGACCATAGAAGACGTTGCTGTTGCAACTGACGAAGCCAAGGAAAAGACAGCTGACAAGGGTGCCGTTGACAACGATGGCGATGTCGGTATGGAAGACTCCACAGTAGCAGAAGAAGGCACCAAGATTAAGGAAGAGGAAGGCGATGATGCTGCTGCCGCTGCTCCCAAGGAGGATACCGCAGCCCCTTTAGAAGAGCCGAAAGCAGATGCTGAAGCAGCCACCAAGGGTGACGCCAGCACCGACGAAGCACCAAAGGCGGAGGCTGAGTCGAAAGAGAAAACCGAAGCCAAGGATAAGGAGCCTGAGGCCGCTGATGCCATGGAAGTGGACGATGACAAGGAGAAAGACAAGGAAGCAGACGGAAAGGATACCTCCAGCTAGTGTTGCCGAGGTTCGTTTTTTGAGATCTGATCAATATTTCTCCTTTCTCACCATGACAGTGTCTTGATTGTCATTCTCTCTAGGCAAGGACAGATCATGGTATGACAATTCACGGCTTCGATATAGGCGTTTTGGGCGTAGCGATGGCTCAGCGATCACGGAGAAGACAAGAGGGGAGCAGAAGAGGCGCTCATGGAGTGCCATTGTGTACTAGTTTTTCCATATGTTTGCTGTGCTTGTTTTTTAATCCTCCTTTTTTGGTTTCCAAAAATTGTGATTTTAGAGCTACTGGATGTTTTTCTTTTTGTTTTGGAGCTGAGTTTCTATATAGCCAACCTCCTGTTTATATGCTTTATGTGACTCTATGCTTTTTGGTGATGTACTGTAGGCAGGCAGGCAGTGCTAAAATTACAGCACGTACGCCGAATGACTGGTGCTGAGCCGTAACCGGCAGCCCAGCCCAGTGTAGCCCTGCATAGCGCTGTACGGCTGCACTGTAATGCACAGTGTCTTGTTGGTACGCTAGGCGGCTTAGCGCCCGCATCGTCACCCACCACGCTACATGCCGCCCAGTGGGGGCACGGTTGGAGCTCGCCCGCCACGGAAATTTTGCAAAGGCAACTAAACTTTTCCTCCTCTGCAGACCTGAGCAATCCATCTCCCCCCCTCGACAATGTTGTAACTATTGGCAGACTTGGACGTTCCAATCCATATCCAGAAATATATTGCGACTTTTTCAAGAGCCTCCCCTTGAGGCGTTGTCCTCGCCATAACGACTCCCAGCAGCCGGGCAACGCAAAAAAATTACCACATAGGCGCAAAAGACGACCGACCAGGCTTGATTCACAGCGACGACAAGACATCATGGCCGCCACAGCCAGCACCACAAACGGCAACGATGCCGATGCCGCCAAGATGGCGGTTTGGAAGGATGCCCTCTACGAACGATGCAAGGAAGTTGCTGCCGAAAACGACCTCTTCTCCCAGGACGACTTGATGAAGCTCGACGTCATTCCCAACCGGGACCTGGCGCTTCTCGCGCGAGTCCTGCAGTCTCTCAGCGATGACAAGCTGTTTGTGACTATGCGCGAGGCTTCGGGCCAGGTTCTTTGGAAGTGGCGAGATGCCCAAGAAGCACACAAGTAAGCACATACACTACCCCGCCTCGTCTTTCTCTGCGTTTGCTAACACAGGCCATTCAGGTACAAGCTCTGCTCGACCGATGAACAAGTCATGGTGTACTCCATGATTGACGATGCTGGTGGCGATGGTATCTGGTCCCAGACGCTGCAGAAGCGTCTCAACATGCACGATTCGGTCATGAAGAATGCGCTGAAGCAGCTCCAGGCCAAGGGCCTCATTGCGCCATTCAAGAACGTCGAGCACCCCAACAAGAAGATGTACATCAAGGCGTCTATCCGGCCTAGTGACAGAGCCACTGGTGGACCATGGTACACGGACCAGAACTTTGACGATGCCTTTATCGAGGAGCTACAGCGTGTCGTCTTCGACTTTATCAAGCGCCAGGGCAGCTACCACAGCAAGCATACCAACGGCGTCAGCCGTACACAGACACCTAAGAAAGGCGTAATCAAGGGCGGCATTGAGAAGGGCAAGAAGCGCGACGCTGCGGAAATGAATAAGCCTGCCTCGAAGCCCGTCAAGCTGACCAATGGCTCGGGACCATCCAAGGACGGCCAACTGCTGCCCCTTCCCGCGGGATACACCCAGTATCCGACAGTACGCGAGATTGCTCGCCTTCTATCTGCAAGCGGTATCACCAATAACACTATCCTGTCGGAAGAAGACGTCCGAAAGCTCATTGACGTTTTGGTCTGGGACAACCTGATCGAGCCTGTCAAGGTTGCCGGCCGTCTGGGCTACCGCGTGTGCCGGATTTCGAAGCAGTCTACTGAGCCGTGGGCCGGCCGCGAAGATTCTATCGGACCGGGGTCGTACGTGAGTGCATACACAGAGGCACCGTGCGGACGATGCCCGGTCTTTGACATCTGTGAGGAGGGCGGCCCAGTCGGGCCCAGCAATTGTGAATATTTTCAGACTTGGCTTGGCTTGGACTCATAGCATTGGTGGGAATCTTAAGGGTTTGGAATATAAAAAAATATGGCGGAAATTACAATCGACGAATATACGGGAACAGCCGGCTAGGCTCAATCGGCCAGCCATCTATTTGCATGAAACTGGAGTTATACGGGACTAATCACAGAGATTAGATACATGGGCTTGCTTAGAAGGGATACCCCTCAATCTACACTTTTTCATTTTTTTCCTTCATCCAATTCAGGTAGAGCGGAGATGATAAAAAAGATAAAAGAATTTCTTACGATAACAGATTGCTTTCGCATGTTGAGTAAACAATCTACAATCACTATCGGTGTGGCGCTGTTAGAGGTCACAGACATTGACTTTTACTATTTCAGGTATATGCTGTATAGCTATGGCAAACTGGTTCGCACTGAACGCTGGCTACCCCTGGAGTGTCCATCACCCGTGTCATTTTTTTTGTTCTTTTTTGGTACCCATATCCCGTCAAATGTGTTATTAGAGATACATAGTGACAAAGTCTGGTTCTTTACAGAGCACCGCAGTCAACGATGGTAGGGCGCTGCTCGTACTTGGGGTTACCGCTGCCGGAGCCAACAGCCTCGAGGGCCTTGACAACGTCCATGGACTCCTGGTCGGCAACCTCGCCGAAAACGACGTGGCGGCCGTTGAGCCAAGAGGTGACAACGGTGGTGATGAAGAACTGAGAGCCGTTGCTGTGAGATGCGTTAGTATTGCTGTTCAATCATGACAAATTAGAGAGTGAAGAAACATACGTGTTGGCACCAGCGTTGGCCATGGACAACAGTCCAGGCTTGTCGTGCTTCAGCTGGAAGTTCTCATCAGCGAACTTGTCGCCGTAGATGGACTTGCCACCAGTGCCCTGTTTCAATGTTAGCATGTGGGGGACAGACAATATATCGAGCGCCGGGTTGCCGTACGTTACCGCGGGTGAAGTCACCGCCCTGAAGCATGAAGTCAGGGATGATGCGGTGGAAGGAAGAGCCCTTGTAGCCGAAGCCCTTCTCGCCGGTGCAGAGAGCGCGGAAGTTCTCAGCGGTCTTGGGGACGACGTCATCAAAGAGGTTGAAGTTGATGCGGCCCTTCTGGTCTGCAAAGGGGGCAATCAGGTTAGCAGAGCTCTTTATATCAACAGTTAAGATGGAAATTTGGAGTGGTTGGTGGTAGCCGGGCCAGCGGGCGTTCGAATTAGCTCAAAGAGCGCAGTGCTGACGTAGGTGGTGTCGGCGGCGTCGGAGCTTCAAGAGCTCTTCAACGGCAGCAACGGTCGAGCCAATGGCATTGTGACAGTAGGGAGAGTGATGGATTTGATGATGGATAAGGGAAAACGGATGGATTCTTACTCTGAACGTTGGTGGTGGCCTTGCCGTTCTGGAAGACGGGGCCCTGCCACTCGATGTCGAAGAAACTGCAGCAAGGCACGGTTAGCTTTGAAAAGCTACAAAAGAGCTATGCAGCAAGCTCAATTCGAGATGCGAATGTCGCTTGAGGCGGGAATAAAAAGTACTTACACCTTAGTGTTACCCATTGTTGCGGTTGCTGAGAAAAGTCTAGCTGCTTGGAAGGTGAAAGAAGAAGAAGCAAGTTGAGGAAGAGAGAAAGTTCTCGGGCTAGAAGAGCAGAAAGCCTGGCGGGGTAGGAGGGGTTTGAAGAGGGCTGATCTCATTTTGCCTGCGCTGGAGGGGTAAACAGTTAGCGGGCCCTGTTGTGGCCAATAGCGGCGGGGGCAGCGAGAGGTGCAGTGGCCAAGGGGGGACTGTGCAGGTCACGTGATGATCAATAGCGGGGCCTGTGTGACAGCTAGACCTTGGAACGGTACCGCGCTGAGCCGGCCAGGTTACAGCGGTGGTGAGGCGCTGACGGTCGCTGGAGACGACGCCTGGAGGGAGCTCTGCAGCAAGGCGCAGCAGTAGCAGGGGGGAGGGGCAGAACGTGCAGCTGTGACTGACAGCGCAATATCAGTGAGTGAGGTGAGTGTGAAGGACTGCAACAGCAGATGCAAAGCAAAGACTTCAACCAACAATGTCTTTGGTTTGCATCATTGCTCGTCACTTGTCGCTTTTTCCCGCCTCCTTCTGGTCCAGCCTGTTGTTGCGGGCGAGGGAATCGTTCATGCATTGGCCCGAGTCCACTGTGGTGCAGATGGCGGATGGCTGCGAGGCTTCTCATTCGCCGCGTTTCCAGCTAACGACTTCGTTGCCGTGGCGTATCCGCCTATCAAGTAGACCATGTTGTCTCGCGCTGCGACATCAGAAAGTCGCTACTTGTAGCATGTACCTTTTCTTCGTGTTGTTCCCAGCGCATCGGCAGAGCAACTGGCCGAAGCCTTGGCTGCACCGTAGGCTTTGCGCTGGCCATTACGGTTCCCGCTGCCAAAGGGGCGCGCGCTCAAACAGGCTTTCGGTACTGTCTGCCAGCGAAATCGCGCGCTGTTCGGCAGCCATTGACGTGCCGCGGCGTGGAATAGAGGGCTGTGACAAATGAAAAGTGGGAGGACTAACCTATTGGTACACGGTTGCTTCAAAAGATTGATGCTTTTTGGGATTGGAACGAGCGAATAGCCAGAGTAGGGGCGATGCAAACAAAGGAGAGCTGTAGGTGGGTTTTTCAGTGAACGTAGTGCACGCCTTAAGTCTCAGGACGCCGTCCAAGCTTGCCAGTGGTTGCTTCTTCGGCTACGGCGGCCGCATGCATTATACGCAGCAGCTCGTGAACATGATGGATTATTTATTTAAAGTTATCTTCTTTATTCCCAGCTCCCAGCAACACGTAAAGTAAAATTGTACAGCATTTCTCGTAGAGCCTTCAATGTCACCATCACGTGATTGGGCTGACCTTGCTCAAACCCCCCATAGTCGGCGTCACTGTGTCCAGAGGGGGTCGGACCCCGTGTCGGCATGTTGCCAGTTGACGTCTGAGGACTTGCGGCCAACAGGAACCATAACACAACCGAGTACCATTCGCAGCGGCTGCGATACACATACGCAATGGATTTCAACGATCTTAAGAATACGGTCTCGAACCTGACCCTATATGATCTCAAGGCGGGATTCCGCAAGGCCCAGAATGGTTGGTATCGCGGCTCGTCCTGATATAGCACCTATGCTAACTATTCTAGCCGTCATGAACTTTACAGAGATGGAGGCCAAGGTTTGTTTTATGCGCTAGATAAGTCTGAAAAGATATATATTTTAACTCAAGATGCAGGTTCGAGAAGCCACCAACAACGAACCTTGGGGTGCTTCCTCCAGCACCATGCAGGAAATCGCCAACGGTACCTTTAGCTAGTGCGTCTTATCTGGTTCGCAGAGCTCCATTGTCACGACCCCTGAACTAACATGTAATAGCCAAACATTAAACGAGATCATGCCCATGATCTATCGACGATTTACGGAAAAGGCTGCGGATGAATGGCGACAGATTTACAAGGCTCTCCAGCTGCTCGAGTTTCTTATCAAGCACGGCTCTGAAAGAGTGATTGACGATGCTCGCGGTCATATCACATTGCTCAAGATGCTTCGTCAATTCCACTATATCGACCAGAACGGCAAGGACCAGGGCCTTAACGTTAGAAACAGAGCCAAGGAGCTGACAGAGCTTCTTGGTGACGTTGACCGAATCAGAGCAGAGCGCAAGAAGGCTCGCGCGACCAAGAATAAATATACCGGTGTTGAGGGTGGTACCGGCCGTTTTGGCGGCTTTGGAAACGAATCTTCGGGCTATGGTGGCGGCAGCTCATCCAACTTTGGCGGCTTCTCCGGCGGCGTCTACGGAGACGGTGGTGGCTTTGGTGGACAATCGGCCGAATATGACGAACCCGCTGCACGAGCCGACAAGTTTGAAGAATACGACGAGTTTGATGAGGGCGAGCGACCATCGGGAAGCTCTCGTCCTAAGCGAACCGAGCGAGCAGCAGCTAAGGCGCCGGCCGAGCCACCCAAGAAGAAAGAGCCTGAGGTTGACCTGTTCTCCTTTGACGAGCCTGTACAGAGCTCAGCTCCTGTTGCTGCGCCCATGCAGAGTTCTGGATTAGCCGACTTGGCCGGTAGAAGCGCTGCCCCAGCCAACGATGACGACGACGAGTTTGATGACTTCCAATCTGCTGCTGAGCCTACATCCAACGCCCAATTCGCCGCCCCTCAACCAGTATCTGCTCCCCAACAGGCCAACCTCAGCAACATGGTTGGCATGTCTTCCATCTCCCCTGCGCCAAGCTCCAACTCGAACGCGACCCCCGGCGTCAACTACTCAGCCTTTAGCACACCCATGACAGCGACACCAAGCGCGGCACTGGCCCAGACACAGGCACAGCCGTCCGCTGGCTTTCAGTCATCCGGCCCCAACTACTTTGGCAATGTTCAATCCAAGCCAGCTACGAGCACAATATCGAGCATCCCAACGACGACCCAGTCTGGCCCTACCACCATGGCCAACATGAGACCCGTTGCCAGTGCCAACAAGCCCGCTGCGCCAGCTGCCGGCGGCGATGCCTTCGGTGCTCTCTGGGGCAAGGCCAGTTCCGGTATCAAGAAGACGAGTGCACCAGCCGGCCCAGCCATGGGCCAGCTCGCCAAGGAGAAGAGCAGTGCCGGTATCTGGGGCACGCCAGCATCGTCCACGCCTGCCTCTGGCGGCGCTGGTTCCGGCTCTGCGTCCGGCGACCTTCTTGGTTAATCGAAACACCTAAACAAGCATCTATATTTAGAATGAAAGCAGTCCTATTTACGTATAGCGTTTATCTGATGTGGTTGGTAGAAGGGAGGGCACATGAGGAAGACGAATAGCAAAAAGCATGTCATGTTCAGTCAAAAAATGTTTAGACGGGGCGTAGGGCGCTTCACGAATGCAAGCCAATCAAGATCCACCCCAAGCCGTGCTGATTCTACTGTGATACCATTCTCTCGTGTTCTATTTTTGTATCAACGATTGCAGCCACTAGCTGCCTAGGTGTGCCGTCGACAATCGGTTCTAGATGTGCGCCACGAGGCCGGAAGTTGCATCCGTGGCCATGTAAAACAGTGACAAGGAAACGAGGTACGACGACATCTAAGCCACCACAGTTGCAAAACATTGTATTTTCCTTGTATATCTCTCCGATCCGAATCGCTGCAGGCCAACCAATGGACCTGCAGCCACGGCACTTGCTACGAGACCCCTGTTGTTTGGTTCGCCCAGGCGCCTACACGGCCATGCGGCGGGGCGGACCCCAGCGGGCCGGGATTGGCTACGGATGACGGGCGGCTACTGCAACGGCGGCTAAAGGAGACGGCAAAGGAGAGCCAGTGAGTGCTGTGCGATGAGTTCTTGGGTGTTGTTTGGGATTTATTTATGGTAAAATTAAAGGAGAAAAATGTGGGTGGTAGGCGAAGGGCTGGCGCGTGGTGAGACGAGAGAACTCGCGATTGATGGAGGAAACTTGATAGCTTGGTAAGCATTGAGCTGCCTGGTTATAAAGAGACAGGAGGATGTCCCGTGGTATGCTCATTCATGGCCTCTCGTTAGTTCACTTTTATTTTGGACATTTTTTTCTTTTCCTTTGTCTTTTTCCTTTGTCAGATTTCCTTTGTCAGGCTTGTTATAAACGATAGACGGTTTTCTGTTTAAAGCCGTCACTCTTCTTTACATCAACAGCATTCCAATTTGTTCCTTCAAGAAATTTCGCACTTCCCTACCATTTTTAAAAGAGAAGATATATCTACGAGACGCTCAGATCAACTCAACATGGCTGCAGGTCCTGCCAACGGTGCCCTTGGGCTCACCTTCACCGTCATGCGAGGCATGCAGTTCCTCGCACTCATCATCATAATTGGTCTGAGTGCCGCGTTCGCCTCGGACATTGTTGGCTCGCATTATGATGCTCCCTCAGCTCTCATCGGCACGCTGGTCGTGGTAAGTGATCCTAGAATCTGTGCTGTGCTGTGCTGGCGTCCATTCCACTAACATAGAGAGGGTAGGCCTGCTTGACGGTCGTCTACATCATCATCAGCTACATCCTGTACTGGGACTCGATGCTCCCACTGCTCATTGCCACAGCAGCCGACTGCATGTGTCTGATTGCTGGCATCGTCGTGGCCTCTGTGGTAGGAAAGCCCGTCAGCTATCTCAGCTGCAGCTCATTCCCTGCCCAAGGCAACACGGCCAACTTTCTACACTCGCTGTTTGTGAATGTGCAGCGCCTCAGTGACAACACCTACGCCTGGGTCGACCCAAGCAAGGGCTCATGCCTACAGCTCAAGGTCATCTGGGGCCTCAGCATCTGCCTCTGTGTCTTGTTCACCCTGTCAGCGGCCACAACGGCTTTTCTGTGGAGAAGCATCAAGATCGTCAACGCCCCTCGCCCCGGCAAGGATCTCGAGTGAGGGTGCGCCCGTGGGGGGACAAAGGAGGTAGTGAGCCGGGGATATTCTGGCGGTGCTGTCGCTGCTACTACTCAACGAAGCTGGCCAGGAGCTGGTGAGAAGGATTACGCGAACAGGGCAGCACCGCCGCCCATGAGGCCGAGCCGTGGTGTGAGATCCAAGCACGCACCCAGTTTAGGCACGACAGCCATATCACAGACAACACTCAACTCCAAGGCGTCGTCAGACAGCGGTCTGTCCATGTCTGAAGCTGGCGACGGGCTGGGCATCACCATGAATATCCCACAGCCAATTCTCCGGCATCACAAGCATACTCCTCCCCCCACGACCCCGATCCGCGAAGCCAGAGCGACACGGCTTATAAGGCTCAAGGCGAAGCCGGTGGAGCGGCTGCCGCCTCTGCCCACAACGACGCTTTCCGTACCGCCGCCACCTCCCGAGATGCCATCGCCAACGGTCTCTCCAACCAGCACGTGCAGCACACGCCGCAAGACAATTCTACAGCGCATTGAAGGATGGTGGGATTTGGGGCTGCTTGAACGGCGACAGACGGTTGTAGGGAGGAAAGCCAGCAGCAGGATTGATGTTTTGGAAAAAGAGAAGGCAATGGGAACAAAGAGCCTCCGGAACAGGCGATAGATCACAGAACTTGCTTTCTAAGCGGGATTGTAATTTGTGTTTTTGGGAAAGCGTTTTTTCTTGTCGCTACTCGTTTATGGGAAATAGATTGCACTAATATCACCCTATTATTATTTTTTATTCTTCAGCTGTGTCGTTCGGTGTTTGCAGCCCTGGACCGGCGGATATCTCGCAGTGCTACCCCCGAATGGCGATCTGAATCCAGCCACGGAAATCCGCCTCAAATGCATGTAAGACGCTAGTGGCGACGCCTTGAAACTTGTAACTTGCACAATAGACGGGAATTTCCTCCTTTCGCTTTGTGAAGCTGCTGCTGTGTGTTGTATGCCCTGAAGGCTCAACTCTATAAGACGCCCACCCCCTGTAAATTCAGCATTAGCGCCAGCGTCCCCTGAACGAGGCCCCGTCTTCAGCGCCCTCCGCACGCTATCAAGCCCTGTAAGCCCTCCGCAGTCCAGGACCCTCAGAGCATCCACCCACATTCCGGGGCCTCCATCGAATCGCCAACTCGCCTCCCGCTTGCTTCGGCAAGTCAGATATCGGGTGCGCCACCTGTCCGCCGCTTCTTCACCTAGTCTTCATCTTCATCATCTTTTTTTCCTTTTCTGTTTTGTTTGACAGACGGAATCAACACAGCCTTCTTGTCGTTTTCTATTTTCAAGAGTGAAATCAGACGACATATATTAACGACGACATTCTCTTTGTCACCATTGGCGCTGCGACATACCAGCTGGAGGAGGCTCTCGTCCATCTGATCTTCTTCCCCCCTCATTCATCCACTACAATTACTCGTCGCTACCCTCGTCGGCTTGATAGCGCATCCTCATACACGCAATGGCGTCTCTTCGCAACCTGCTTTCGGGCAAGGTTCGCTCACAATCGGGCTGCTACACATGTCGCCTTCGCCGCAAGAAGTGCGATGAAAACCGACCTCAATGTGAAGCTTGTCAGGTCCTCGAAATCACCTGTCACTTTGGCGATGACAAGCCAGAATGGATGGACGGTGGTGCAAAACAAAAGGCCATGGCAGAGACAATCAAAGCCCAAGTCAAGAAGCAGGCTAGCCAGCGACGAGATCGCAAGTACATCGACATGCTAGAAAAGGGCACCAAGATGGTGACCCTCGACGATCCTAGCGATAAGAGGCCATCCGTGGCCAAAGTAAATGGCATCAGCCCGGGAACTCAAAATGGCCACAAGACATTTGAGCTCTCGCCAGGGTCCAGTACCGCAACAGGGACAACAGGCCCCTCACCTGAAGCCCCGTGGCATAGCCAGCTCTTTGGCGCATCGCCTGGTAACGCCAGCGGCAAGTCGGGCATGGAGGGCGATTACGACGCCGGCCAGGATACACATCTCATCATGGTTTATCTCGACTTTGTGTTCCCATATCTCTTCCCACACTACCGCCCACCGCTGCTGGTAGGTGGTCGAGGTTGGGTGCTAGATGTTCTACTCCATGGGACGCGGTCCATCTTCTACACAGCCATTTCGTTATCGTCGTACTTTTTCGGCGTCATGTTGGCCAATGGTGAAAGTAATCACGAGGAATGCACAAACCGAATGGTGCACCAGCTGCAACGCCAGATGGAGCGCGGATTGAAGGAGTTGCAAAAGGATATCATGGAAATCAACGCCAAGAAGCCCAACTTCAACATCCGCGAGGGTCTCAAGGTGATGCAGAGCGTTCTACAGATGCTCATCTTCGAGGTATCCACCAACAACAACGACAACTGGAGAATGCATCTCGATGCCGCTGTCGCCCTCTTCATGCAAATCCTACCCGATCCCCATAACTGGACCGAGAACCTACACACGCTCTGGACGCCGCGCTGGCCACCCCCCGAGATGGGCATCCGACGCCCCTGGAGTACTGACCAAGCCTCGATACGCTTCTTTGGCGTTAACTTGCTGTATCTCGACGTCATGGCCAGCATCACCATGTCCACTGAGCCGCGCCTGCGAAGCTACCAGCCCTGCGTCATCCCCAGTACCCCTCCCGACCGCTGGAGTTTAGACCCCCAAGCTGCCAAGCCTCTGCGCACCGAAGAGTTCTTTGGCATGTACAACTGGGTCCTGCAATTGCTAGGCGACATTGCCGCTCTCGACGCCTACAAGAAGCAGCAACGCAAGGACGGCAGCTTGTCCATGGGCGACTTGATGGCGCGCGGCCAGCCCATCTCTGAAACCATCACCCTCAATCTGGACCTCTTGGAAAGCCAGGCATCCGGTATGGATATGATCACAAAGAACTTGAGTCTCATCCAGGATCCCCTGCTCAGCTTGAACCCCTTGTCCGCCTGCGCGCCAAACTTTGTCATTCACAATCTCATCTGGGTCCATGCCGCAAAGATTTACTTCAATGTTGTTCTTTCAGGCTGGCAGCCATCGAATCCCGAGATACGGACCTCCGTCGACCGCCTCACACAGCTACTGTTCGACCTCCCCCACGGCAAGACTATGCAGACGCTTGCATGGCCGTTTTGCGTCGGTGGATGTCTTGCGCCCGCAGAGTATGAGGGACAGTATCGCGAAATGGTGTCTCGCCTAGGCCCGTTGCAGGTCTTTGGCACTATTCGCGAAGCTCTCGCCATTAACGAGATGGTCTGGGCCAGTCGCGGTCAGCTCGACGAAACGTGGGATATTGCAAAATGTCTCAACGTCCTTGGCCATTCTGTCCTGTTGATGTAAATGATAGTAGCCGTGTGGGGACGATTTATCCATTTTTACAATAATTTTTTTTTCTTGGAAATGGCAGGGAGTTTGGAAGCCACTCACACTGCTGTTCAGACCATTTCTTTTCTTTGTCCATGTAGTTAGCGATTTCGATGCCATATCCTGCAGAAAAAAATGTCACTGTTATTTACTGTCTTCTGAATTTCTCGTGATATTCACTGTATCGAAAACAGTGTTGAAACTCGTTTGTCGAGTTTTCAAACAGTGCGCTTGTTTTGTTCTTTAGCCGTTCTCCATCTATCTCAAACTCTTGGTCGAAGTGACATGCCACACTCTTGGCGTCGCCTGACTGGCCAGTTGCGGAACCAATCTTTTGGCTGATATTACGGGCTGGTTATATAGTAGATCCAGTACCAAGATATTATATTATGTTGTGCTATAGGGAAAACCTCGGACTGTCGCGCGTGGAAACTTGCTCAATCGCACGCCGCCACAGGGTACGGATAAAGTTTCTTCGTGTGCGCCTTGACGCGTAAAGACATTTTACGTTGAAAGAGAGAATAATTTAAATAGGGTTTATTGTCAGGTTTGTTTTTGTAAATAGAATTCTCACAGCATCATCCCTACTCACAATAGCACTTCGCGCCGCCATTCAACTAGTCAACCATGGATCACAGCAATATGGATATGGGCGGCATGGATCATGGATCCTCCTCCAATAACTCAGCAGTTTCTGCCCCTTCGTCCATGGGAGGTATGGGCGGTATGGGAGGCGGTCGCAAATGCAAGATTTCCGTAAGTCTTGTAGAACGCAGCCATGTCAAGAGCTAACCTGTTGTCCTTCGGCATAGATGCTCTTCAATGTTAATACGATTGGAAGCTGCTTCTTGACGGATCAATGGTACATTGAAACTGCTGGCCAGTTTGCAGGTGCCTGTATCGCCACGTTTATCCTCGTGGCTTGTCTCGAGTTTCTGCGTCGCTCGGCGCGCGAGTACGACCGCTTCATTGTCCGACAACATCTACAACAGTTCCAGTCTACCACAAGCACCAGTGCAAAGACGACTGGTTCGGTTGGTAGTGGCGAGGCGGCTGTTGGCAATGCCTGCGCTGTGCCTCCACTAAGACCGTCTGTTTTGCAGCAGGCAATCCGCGCCTTTTTGCATATGTTGCAATTTAGTCTGGCCTACATTGTCATGCTGTAAGTCATCATTGCTCATAAGATATCAATTCCATGCTAATGTAGGGTTCTGAAGGTTGGCCATGTACTACAATGGCTATTTGTTCCTTTGCATTGTGCTCGGATCCTTTTTCGGCTTCTACGCGTTCAACTGGGAGTCGATTCCTGTTGGGTAAGGACAAAATCGGAATTTATAATATTTACAGACACTGACCAACAAACAGAGGCTCACAGTCCCAGAGTGGTAAACAGGAAGCCACAGTTTGCTGTGGTTAGTCAACACAAAGAGTAAATAGCTCGCGAAGAGTGTACAGAGAATGCGTTTAGGGGAAGAATAATATGATGGGAATAATAGGCTTTGTTTGAGCTGCAATTACAATTACATGAATCCAGAAAAGACGCAGGAAATCGAGTCGTTTAAACATCAGCTATACATGGTCTAATCTATACATTGCTATTCGGTCTTTGTAGCTGGAAATTCGTACACAAACAACTCTTTTGGCTGGCCCTCGGCATTGCAGCTCGAAAACTTCCAGTAGTTGCCATAATAAGCGCCAACAATATTGGTCATTGCCCAGCGAATGGGCTTTGGCATGGGTGGCCACGAAGCCCAGCGTCCGTCCTCGTATGTTGCGTCCAAGTTGAGCAGGAAGAACGGCAGCACATCCGCCATGCCCGCCTTGGTGATGGTCTTTTTGCCCCAGGTCTTGAATGTCTGCGTGGCCACCTCGGCCTCTGCAGAACCCTCCTTTGGCGCGTTACGGTGCTTTGCAAGGGCAGCAATGGTTTTGACTTCGCTATGCATATGGTTTTCAAAGTCCTTGCTAAACTTATCGAGTAGGGCCACGACCCGAGATCCAGACACGTCTTTTGCATCCTTGAGGTTGTTCAGGTAGGCCTGGAAGACTCTGACACCATCAACAAAGGACTCATGCTCCTTTTGAGTATCAGCCCAGATGGTCTTGTCGTCGAGAATTTCAGAGACAGCAACGAACAAGTTGTCCTCTTCGTCGTGGTGATGCGACATGACAAACTTGGCCCAGACCTTGGAGTAGCTGACAAAGTCTGCCTTGTGCTTCTCTTCAACAAGGGGAGCTTGGTGGTGGATAGAATTGAAGCCGCGAATCATGGCATTGTGAACGAGAGCCATGTGCGTGGCTCCATTAGTAAAGAGGTCCGTCTAGAGCAGGAGTTAGTCAGTTTAGCAGCCGAGGAAAGTTTGCTTTTTTTGGATGGCGTCATTACCTGATTCGTCTCATAGGCCGGTGTATGAACCAGCTGCAGCGGCGTGTTTGCCCATTGGTTTCCTGGAGCTATCGTCTTGACCATATATGGGGAGTAGTTGATGAAGGAGGATGCGAAGAGCGATCCCAGCGCCAGCAAGCCGGTGACGAATGTGGATGACATGATGAACTATTTCCTGCCTCCCAGTTAATCTGATGATGAAAATGAGAAGCCAATGCGAGTTTAACTGCCGTTGATGGAGTGAGAAATGCGCCTCGGCAATGTGATTTGCAGAGTCCGGGGTTCTCGACAATGCGATTTCCCGCCTCCGTGGTTGGCCAGTGGCGCGACCCCACCACGCCATGGGTGACACGCCCAGGCGTCAGGCACACGCAAGACGGTCTAGTCTAAGCTAGTTGTAAAATGCTGGTAATAATGAAAGTAGCAAAATACGGTGAATAACTGATTTAGGCAATTAAACTTATTTTATGATGTACGATAAAGAGTCTTCTACGGTGCATGTTAATATAACCCAACTTGTGTTTTCTGAAGCTGCTGACTGCTATATGGCAACGGGGTCGTCGTACCTTGTCCTCCCTCCTCCTACAGAGCTGCACGGTCCACGCAACGCATCAACAAACCCAGCCTTGCAACTACAACTGCAACTGCCTCTACATCCGGAGATGAATATGGGTTAATCTACGCATTAACCAAAAAAAACATAGAGGAATATCGCCGTTGGAAGATGCAGAGCACCATATGTGAAAGTACTGTAAAGGATAAGCCACCTGTCGGACACTGTTGCGCATCCAACAAGAATGGATGGTAATCAGCTACCTTTCAAAGCCTGGGCGGAAACATCCGCAAATGTACATGTTTTGCAGGCCAGGCAAGTACAATTCACTCGCAGTTTGCCCAGTTACAGCACTAGACAAGGCTCGAACTAACCACCCACTACTCTAGTGCACTTGTGCCTGTCCCTCGCTCGTAAATACCCCTCTTCTCCACTACTACGCTATAGCCTTACCTCGAATATTCTCGGTATATTGCTTTCCCGTGCCCATAGCTGACGGGCGTTTTAATTTCTTTATCCAACAAACAAAACCGATACAGAACTCTCGACTTAATCGCGTGTCATATCTTACCCCTACCGTGGCCTGTCCAGGCTTAATCTCGTCCGTCACCGCTCTCCACAGCCTCGTCATCAGTCGCCGCCATAGTAAATCAACATGGCTGAATTGCCGGGCCGCAAGGTCTTCAAGGTGTTCAACCAAGACTTCATTGTCGAAGAACACTATACTGTGACAAAGGAGCTTGGCCAGGGAGCATATGGTATCGTTTGGTACGTCCAACACCAGCGCCCGCAAAGCCTTCTAAGCTGGGCACATGCTGATATTTGTAGCGCCGCCGTTCATAATGCGACCAACGAGGGCGTTGCTGTGAAAAAGATTACCAACATCTTTAGCAAAAAGATTCTAGCCAAGCGTGCCTTGCGCGAGATTAAGCTGCTCGAACATTTCCGAGGTCACCGCAACGTAAGCCCGCCTTACATTGCATGGCATCCCTGGGAATAGACTATGCTGATTAACGATTTCATTGTACCACAGATCACTTGCCTATATGACATGGATATTCCCCGACCAAACAACTTCAACGAAGCCTATCTCTACGAAGGTACCTATAGCCGCCCAAATCGTCTGGCATTGCTTTCCCATTCTTCACAGGCTAACATAATCTCGACACAGAGTTGATGGAGACGGATCTAGCTGCCATTATTCGATCTGGTCAGCCCCTCACTGATTCGCATTTCCAATCCTTCATCTACCAGATCTTATGCGGTTTGAAATATATCCACTCTGCCAACGTGCTGCACCGAGACTTGAAGCCTGGAAACTTGCTCGTCAACGCAGACTGCGAGCTCAAGATTGCGGACTTTGGCCTGGCACGAGGCTTTTCAATCGACCCCGACGAGAACGCTGGCTATATGACGGAGTACGTCGCGACGAGATGGTACCGTGCGCCAGAGATTATGCTCAGTTTCCAGAGCTACACCAAAGCCAGTAAGTTACCACTTATAGTGCACTGTCTGTTTTAGTTTATTGGTTAACGTATGTGAAACAGTCGACGTTTGGTCTGTCGGGTGCATTCTTGCTGAGCTTCTCGGAGGTCGACCATTCTTCAAGGGTAGGGACTATGTCGACCAGCTCAACCAGATTCTACACATTCTTGGAACCCCCAACGAGGAGACTCTGAGCCGCATTGGCTCGCCACGAGCCCAGGAATACGTCCGAAACCTGCCATTCATGCCCAAGAAGCCATTCGCTTCTCTCTTCCCTAATGCCAACCCCGCTGCCAACGACTTACTAGAGCGTCTGCTGGCATTCGACCCCGCCAGCAGAATCACGGTGGAGGCAGCGCTAGAGCACCCCTACCTCCAGGTCTGGCACGACCCATCCGACGAGCCCAACTGCCCGACGCCGTTTGACTTTGCGTTCGAAGTTGTCGATGAGATTGCCGATATGCGCCATATGATTCTCGACGAGGTCTCACGCTTCCGCCAACAGGTTCGAAGCGGTCAGAACGCGCAAAACCAAGACAACTGGGCCCGACAGGATCAAGCAGGCCAAGTCCCCATGCCACCCAGCGGGATGCCGGACCAGTGGAAGGCGGAAGAGCCTCGCCCGGAGGAGTACTCGCACGGCACCGGAGTCTTGGAGGCCGAGCTCGGTGGAACATGATTCTTTTGTTTATCATGCACAAGAAAAGACTACGGACACTCTGACCCGAACTAATTATAAGTAAATAAAATAATGATCAATATTTAAGTGATTCTATATGATGTATATAACAGCTAAGTGAAAGTAAAAGTAGTACAATGGCTCAATCAACCTGTTTAGAAGCAAGCGGTAGCCTTGGAGTCAGGAGCAACACCGGCAGCGTTGCCAGCGCACTCGGCAACAATATCAACGGCAATGCAGTCAGCGGGGAGAGGCTTGGTCTGTCCACCGCGGACGTTGAAGAGGTAGAGGGCCTTTTGCTGGCCGATAGGAGCGACCTGCTTGTCGCAGATGGCCCAGAGAGCGCCTTCAAGCTTGCCGTCGCTGGTGGCAAGGCCGTCCTTGCCAGCGCCGGCATTGAGGGTAGCAGCAGTACCGTCAACGGTGTAAGCAGGGACATCGAGGCCAAAGGGAGTAGGAGGGGTGCCCAGATCGGCAGAGATGGAGGCGTGGCCGTCCTTGCCGTGGTTGTAGAAGGTAGGGGCGCGAGACTTGTCGTCCGTGGTGCCGACGACGTTAAGGCCAGCGCCGGTGTGGAAGGCAGTCAGGTAGTGGCCGTTGACGGGGCCAGAGGCGAAGTCCTTGCCATTGAGAGTCTGGATCTTGAGGTGCACCTGGGTGGCCTGAGATAAGGCGGGAGCGGCGGTGGCGGCACCAGCGAGGGCGGCGATGAGGGCAGTCTTGGCGTACATTGTTGGAGAAGAGAGGGTTGGTTTGGGTTTGTGGAGTGAGGAAGGTGAGTGTTTGCTAAGTAGTAGTAGCGATGAGATTGTTGATGATTACAATTGAGAATCTGGAGCAGGATTTCTATTGTCTTTTATACTACTTGCTGTCTCGTGTTGTAGATGCATCACCGCCGCAAGCTTGCGCTGCTTTCAACAATGATATCATAGGCTCGTATTAGCTACCAGCTAGACCAATTCTAGAATTCCGACGCGATCGAGTAAGATCCGAAATCCTGATCTGCAGCCTTGGGCGCTCATCGCCTTGTTTTACTTTGATGGAATACGACGGCTTCCTACATCGTCAGCGTCGGATTGCCGAATTAGGAAAGGTAGTGCGAGGCGTCGATTTGTTCCGTGGCGCCCCAGTGGGCCTTACGGGGGAGATGGGCGGGTAGGGCCGCTGTAACGTCACTGGAATGGGATGGGGGATACGAAGATTTACCACGATGCAGGCGGAGTAGCTTACAACAAGGCACGGGTTTCGTACCATCGTCTATCAATAGGGGAAGCCAACGTTTTTGAACATAGTAAAACAGCTCTTAGCATTAGTCCTCTGTCTAAGAGGGTCGAAAGAAAAACACAGCAGTCTAAAATGCAACACATAGCCCATCCTGGTAAAAACGCCGCATTATATACAAATACAAAGATGCAAAAGCAAAGACAAATCCTACCCGGTGCATCAGGTTTCTAGGCAAAGGCTCCCACGAGAGCCATCAAGACAGCGCCGGCCACGACACATAGGTACGCATGGAAGCGCTTCTTGCCCTTGAGGGTGCGGTAGCTCTTCTCGGACAAGAAGTCTTCAGCAAGGAGCTGCACCAAGCCTGCATAGAGAAGCAGACCTGCCGAGATGGCATTCATGATACCCACTACAATGAGGCCGCCCATGGATGCCGGGTCGTATATCTTATGAACCACAAGGCCAATCGCCTGGCCGATTGGCGTCGTCACACCGTACGCAAGCACCATGAGCCATGGGCGCAGCGAGTTGCGCGGGAACTGGATCGCAGCAATGCGGCTGCCCAGCGCCATGCCCTCAAATGACTGGTGGAAGCTGACGGCGATTAAGAAGATAAGAAACATGGGGCCCGTCGCCACAGACAGGGCCATGCCGATAAAGACGCTATGGAAGAGAATGCCGGCCTCGAGAAGCAAGCACTGCAGAAGCTGGCGCTGCTGCTGCTCGGGTGTAAGTTCGTAGGCATCTGACGCCGCTCGGGGACGCGTCTTGCCAGCAGCGCCGCCATTGTGCTTGAGTGACGCGTATTGGCCATTGCTTCTATCTGCGAGAGGGGCGGGGTCGAGTTCTGCAAGATCGAGGTCGAGATCCGAGTCGCCATCGTGGAATTCGTCGTCGTGGTCTTCCGACTTGCGCTGACGCTTGGCAGCCACCGGCGTGGACTCGGGCATGGGCGCTTCGCCGGCAACAAGGCCCTCGGAAGCATCGTCTTCGAAGCGGACCGCGCCTCCGCTGGCGCTGCCGTTGCGGCGGTGCTCGAAGCCGTCCATTTCGTGCGAGGCGCCATTAGCATCGGCCTCGTCCCAAGTAGCATGGCTATGTGAGTGAGAGTGGCCGGCACCGCGGGCCGTTAGGTACGACTCGACGCCGACAACTACAATCGCAGACACGAGGCCGATCAGGCCGGGCAGCGGCTTGTATCCCTTGCTGAAGAAGTATGGCAGACACGGGTCGGTAAGAGATTCAAAGGCAGTCGGAAGCAGATGCACAAATGCTGTAGCGAGTAGCACACCCGTTCCAATGTGCTGACAGTAAAAAATGAGTTGGCTTTGCTGGCGGCCAGAGGTTGCGCGTCGGCCGAGGAGAGGGAATCCGCAAGCTAGACAAAATATGTCAGTGTACAATATTCATACCAGAGACAGTATATAGCTCGTCACTTTGAGCAGCGAGCGAGCGTATAAAACATGCCGAAATGCAAACTTACCTAGCGTGCTCAGTACGAGAATCAGCAGCAGGGCACAGACGTGCGCAGCCATATCGTACCATCCCTGGCCCTTGCCACCACAGGTTGGTCTATCACCATTTTCGGCTCGTCGTTTCAATTCAATAAGGAGATCGCTCGTTGCAATGGCAGCCCATGACGCATCTACGGTTGCATCAAAAAGTCATTATGTTAGCGTTACGTCTGGGCCCCCCTCCATCTCAAGGTGGTGCTGGGTTGGGACGGGTTCGTACCTGGTGTCGCGGATGCGGCGTCCATCTTTGCTTCAGCGGAAATTATGCTGTCCGCACGGCTGCTTGTTTTATAATAATTCCTTGTGATGTTACGCTCAAGAAAGGAGCGATCGGACCGATGGCATGGTGCGTCGAAAGACGATGAAGAAGGAGATTTGCTAGTTAAGGGGCCTTTGCGAGGGAATTCGTCCAAGGGCCAGGGTGGTGGTGTACGTACGGCTCAGGCGGATTTTCCCACTAGCGGGGGCCCCATATTGGGCTAAGCCTCGTTTGCTGTTCTGGATTCGCGGCGTGTCAAAAAAACGTTTGGCGCCAAGTTCGCTAGTCAAGCCAAGCCAACGAGGTTATTTTTGGGGGGTCCACGAGTACGAGTAGGTCATTGCACAGGCAAATAATGGTCTTAGTAGGCGTATTCAAAAAGAAAAAGTAATAATAACAAGTTTCATTTTCATCATTATGTATCAAAAATCCTACTTCCTTTTCTCTCGTTCGCCCGTTAACAATATAAAATTACAAGCTGTGGCCCTTTATCGGCCGACGCGGATGACACCAGCGGCCATCAGCTTCTGGATCTTGGAGCGGATGCCGGGGTTCTTCATGTGCTCGTTAAGCGCCATAGGGTCGGTCTGAGCCTGCTGGAGAATTGACTGCATCACGGGGTCTTGCATAATGCTCATAATCTAGAGGGACAATGTGTTAGCAAAAGAGTATTTGTCAGTCAGGGGTGATACAAATAGTTTACCTCAGGGTCCTTCTGGAGTCTGTCACGAGTCTGCTCCTCAGTCTCGTTGTCACGGGCAGAGTACATGGCGCTGAAAGCCTTTTGCTGCTGCTGCTCAATCTCGCGGGCATTCGCACCAGCGTGGTGCTCGTTGTCAACCTGCTGTGCGAGGGTACAGGCATCCACGCAGTCAGAGTACTTGCGCATGCCAAAGTAGGCCTGGGCCTTACGGATGTAAGCGCGGATAAAGGCAGGGTCCTTCTTGATGGCCATGTCGCAGTCATCGAGGGCACTGGGGAACTCAAAGAGCTTGATAAAGGCAGCGGCACGGTTGCTGTAGCCGCGGGGATCCTCGGGGGCACGCTTAACCATCTCCGAGTAGGCGGCAACGGCGCCAGGGAAATCGCTCTCCTTGAACTTCTTGTTACCGTCCTCACGAGCCTCGTCGGCCTTGGCAGGGTCAATGTAGGCAGTCTTGGCAGCCTCAGTCTTGGTCTTCTCAGCAGCACGGAGCTTGTTCAAAACATCGGGTGTGCGGTGCTCGGTCAACGACTTGTTGTAGTTCTCAATAGCCTTGTCGAAGTCACCCTTGCGCTCGTAGGCGGTACCAATGCGGGCATAAGACTTGGCCATGATCTTGAAGTCGGCGTAGATAGAACGTCCCTCCTCAATAGCCTGGTTGCAAGACTCGATACACTTGTCAAAGTCACCCTTCTCAAAGTAGGCGGCGCCCAAGTTGTTGAGGTATGTGATATCCTTAAACGTCTCCCAAGCCTTGGTGTAGTGCTTAATGGCCTCGTCAAAGTTGCGCTTCTTGTAGTTCTCAGTTCCGAGGGCCTTTTCCTTGTCGGCCTCTTCCTTAGCCTTCTTCTTCTCGAGGGCCTCCTCGTCCAACTCTTCAGGTTCGGGGGCGGGCTCGGGAGCCTTCTGGGTAGGAGGGGGCTTGGGGACCTCAATCTCATCAGCCATCTTGACGTCGGGGTCGCCACGGGGGTCGCTGTCGCGCATCTCCATGTCGACGCCCATCATAACACCAAGAACCTGGATCATTCTGGGGTCGCTGAACATGTCAGGAGACATCTGAGGGTTCTGCTGGAGCTGTTGGAGCTTGGCCATAAAGGTGGGGTCGGAGAGGTAGGCGCTGGTCTTGGGGTTGTTGGCGATCTTCTGGAGCAGGTTGGGGTCGTTGAACATCTTGCCGAGGCCGCCGGTAGGGTCACCGCCGAATCCGTTGCCAGCTTCCTGCTGCATCGCCTTTTCGACGGAGGCAAGACCGCTCTTGAGCTGGGCATTGTTGGCATCGTGCTTCAAGCCAGCCTCGTACGCATCGTTGGCGCCGAGGAGGTCACCCTGGCCGTGGAGGGCAGCACCCTTGCGGCCGTAGCCCTTGGGCCAGTCGGGCTTAATCTCAATTGTCTTGTCGGCATCCTTCAAAGCGTTGTCCCAATCTTTCTTGGAGGCATGGGCGGCAGATCTGTTGGAGTAGAGAATGTGGTTGTCGGGCTGGATGGCGATGGCCTTTGTAAAGTGTTCACTGCAGATCCAATTGTTAGTTCAAGTTCCATATAACTATATACTTTTTGTTTTCAAGGGGAGAGCTGTCAACGTACATGGCGCCGTCAAAGTCCTTGTCGGCAATGGCCTTGTTGCCCAGAGCTTTGAGCTCGTCTGCGGAGGCCATGGTGTAAGAGGAGTAATGTGATGATTCGGAATGTGATACGGTGGTGTTGATTCAAGGGTCTATGAGGTTACAATTAACCACAATGATACAACTGTAGACTGAAAGTGCAGCGTTGCTATCGCAATGTTAAGATGCGTTTGAGGTTTGCCAGTGGGGAAGAAAAGAAGCTACCAGCCAAAATTAGAGGGCTGCTTCTAGCTCCTTCGACGAGCTGCTGCGCCCCACATCCCCCAGCCATGCTGCACAGCGGTAGGCACACAACGCCCTGTGGCTGGTGCACTAGCAATCATACCAAGTAAAATAGGCGTGATCCACCTGTATGGATGGCTTGTTCTACACTGCTGGGACGAGGCTAGCAGTGTTAGTCGTAGCACGATCGGCAAGGCTGACAAGAAATAAGCAGCTGGTGATGTAAATTCCGGGGAATATATGCAGTAAGGTTAAATCAAAGGAAAATTAATGAATACGGCATATTTACAGCGTGGACGAGCATTGCCAAACAGAGATGGTGCAAAGTCACGGTTTGGCCATGATCTCGAATCAACCTCAAGGCGACGAACGACGCGCGGACACTGCGCATGACCTTCAATATGTACTATCCAATAATACCTTATGCAACTTCCCAGCCCAGTTTAACTTTTCGTCTCATATACCTTTTCCACAAACACGGAGCAAGCTGTTCAAGACCCGCCGACTCCGGGCCACACACTCCGCCAAAACTGACGTTTACAGCGCCCGTGAAGCCCCTGGCCAAGCCCACTGCAACTCCGCCGTTAGGACGAGTCGGGAAGCTCCCCCGCGTCCCCCTAATGGAGGGGCAAATAGTTGGGTTTACGGCTAGATACAGTGCCTAGCGGATATTGCAATGCCTATATTCCACCAAATAATACCGTACCCGCAATCTACAGCACGCTACGCACTACCCAGAGCGCCCTGATCGGCAACGTACCTCGGCCTGTAGAGCAGGGGTAGGAGTAGAGCAGGTGGGACGGATTCAATGAAAACAGAACACCATCCCCGTGGCTGGCATTTTCTCCTTAACTTTCTTTTCAGCTTCTCAACGTGGCTTGCCTTATAGATTTCTTTTCATCTCCGCCTGTTCGCCTCTAGACTTCTCGAATTTCTATAGGCCATCATACATTTCCAACATCGAAAGCAACATTTACCATGGCGCGCGTCGAGCATCATGATGTGATCATCATTGGCGCCGGCCTATCGGGTATCAACACGGCACACACCATGAAGACGGACATGCCCCATCGCAAGGTCGTCATTCTGGAGGCACGCGATGTTTGCGCTGGCACCTGGAGCTTCTTCAAGTATCCCGGTTTCCGCTCCGACTCCAGTCTCACCACCTTTGGCTTCAAGTGGTATCCCTGGAACAGAGATAACCTGATTGCTCAAGGGCCCGATATCGCAAAATACATTGAGGAAGCTTCCAAGCTTGACGGCTCCTGGGAGAAGATCCGCTTCAACCACAAGGTCGTTGCTTGCGATTGGACCACAGAGGACGCCAAATGGACTCTGGCAGTCGAGCACAACGGCGAAGTCACCCACTACACTGCCAACTTTGTTCTGTCATGCGCCGGCTACTACTCATACACACAGGCACTCGATTCTCCCATCGAGGGCCTCGACAGGTTCCAGGGCAAGGTTATCCATCCTCAGTGGTGGGACGAGTCTTACGACTACACCAACAAGCGTGTCGTCGTCATTGGCTCTGGAGCCACTGCCATCACCATTGTCCCAGCGCTGGCAGAAAAGGCCGCCAACGTCATCCAACTTCAACGCAGTCCGTCCTACGTGATCCCAAGACCCAACCGATCCAGACTCCTCACTGTCTTGCGCTGGTTCGTCCCCATCTCGTGGGCTCACACCGTCGCCTGGTGGATGCACACTGTTAGCGAGAGTATCCAGACACAGACCTTTATTCGCAACCCGCGCTTCGCCAGATGGGTTATCCGCTTCATTATGAAGCTGAAGATCCCCAAGAAAATCGACGCCAATGTCCACTTCAACCCGCGATACAACCCCTTTGAGCAGCGCCTTTGCATTTGCCCCGACAATGAGTACTTTGACGCCCTAGCCCGAGACAACTGCCAGGTCGTGACGGATACAATCAAGACTGTAACCGAAGACGGTATTCTGCTTAACTCTGGCGAAAAGCTCGACGCCGACCTAATTGTTACTGCTACCGGCCTCCACTTCCAGGTTTTCAACGGTCTCTACCCTGTGGTAGACGGCAAGAAGATCGTCCCTGGCGAAAACTACGCCTGGAGAGGCTGTATGCTGGAGCACCTGCCCAACATGGCCTTCATCATGGGCTATGTCGGTCAGTCCTGGACTCCAGGCTCCATGATTACTGGCATGACTGCCGTCCACATCATGAAGACCATGGAGAAGAAACATGCCAAGATTGCCACCCCAACTCTTGAGCACTTCGAGGGTATGCCTGAGGGCATGGCTCTTGACAGTACTGCCAACTACTTCCTCAAGGCCATTCCCCGTATTCCCAAGTCTCTTGGCCAGGGCGTGTGGTACGGACGAACACATCTTATCAAGGACGTCTGGGAGTACTTCCTCACAAAGGTTGACCGAGACATCGTCTACAGCGGCATCTCGGACAAGAAGACGGTATAAAATGAGAGCCGGACGCTAGCAATGAACGAACACAATATCTCCTTATAGTACTTGACATATATTCCCCATATCTCTTTTGCTGTACACTACTAGATTTGCTATTAAATCAAACCATCTTCTTGAAATTTGATCTCGTCCACCGTAAATAAATCGTGTTGGGTATTCAACATATAATTCGCCTTCTTAAGTAATCATACAACACGCCTATTCGTCTTCATCCATAGACCGGCTGGGCGTCGCGCCAAGGCTCTCCAAGCCTCTACCTTCAGCAACCTGCAATGCTGCAATGCCATGAGACGGAACCCCTAGACGGTCGACCTGTGCACCAGCATCCTTCGTGCGGTTCATTGCCTCTTGGTACTTTTTGCCTGTTTCGTCAAGAAGTGTCTGAACCTCTGCTTCGCGTCTCGTGATGGAGTCGCGCTCTGCTTCTAATTGTGTCACCTCAGCCTGCTTCGTTGTGATTTGTTGCCTCATGCTGGCTACAGAAGTCTGTAGACGAGACAAGCACTCTGTTAAATTCGGCAGAGGAGTGATCTTCTGCGGTACTTGAAGCAAGTCTTGCGTAGCATCCTTCTTTGGACGCTTGAGACCATCCATACCAGCTCTCGTTTGCGCTGATTCGTACGCTATTCGTCGAGCGGCATCGCTGTCGGATGAATCATCCGATGTGTTTCCTTCCGCTGCTGTAATCATTTCAGCAATCTTTTGCCTGTCGCGACGCTTCCGTTCCTTGACAGCACGTTTGCCTAGTGACAGCCCGCCATCTTCAACGTAGTCGTCAAACCCTTCTCCTAGATTCTCCTCATCTGCTTTGAGGCGTGTGTCGCCCTTTTCCTTCTTCCTCTCTTCTTCATCGTCATCAGATTCGACAGAGAGAAAGCCTTGCTCCTGCGCGAGTCTGGCTCTGCGTGCCTTCTTTTCTTGTATTTGAGCCTCTGATAAAATTTCTGTCTTGGGGACTGCTGCTGGGGGCATCGTCGGTGAGTCTACAATCATGGCACCTTCAAGCTCTGAAGGATCCAAGATCATCGGATCATCGTCGGTAGATTGGTTGGGTGGTGTGTCTCGCGGTGTTGTAGGTGTAGAGGACTGAAGTTCTTCCAAGTATGCCTTGCTGTATTTTGGTCTGTCGTCGTCATCATTGAATGTTCTCATCGGAAGACCGCGAAGACCAGTCTTCGCTTTCAAGCCTCCCGATGCTGGTTTTGCCGATGCCGATGCCTTGATCCCGGCTTCAGATGTCCCATCGTCTTCCTCTTCACCGTCCAATTTGTCACCACCAAAGGAGAGTCGAGACTTGGGCGCCTTCTTCTTAAGCTTAGAGCCAAACTTGGGTCGAACCACAATAGGCCCGTCATCATCCTGTCCTGCTGCCGAGCCGGAATTTAGATTTGGATCGTCTAAATCCTCGGGTTGAAAGGTTTTGCGGAGACCAGACTGACGAATTGGCTTCTTTGTGAATTTTGGCGTGAATTTAGGCTGTGAATCGTCTGAAATGCGTCTCATGTTAGCCTCAATGACCTTCGCATGGTGAATTGCTAGAGCTGTCGGAAACATACCCGAAGTCGACGCGTCAGCAGCGCCCTTATCTGTATTTGTTATTCCATTGCCGTCATCATCATCAACATTAATAAGCCTGGCCTTTCTACGACCAGAAAATGAACTCATTATGGTTGTTAATGAACATTGATGCTGGCGACAACGCTGCCTGTTTGGGCTGTTGCAAGTTGTATCTTATCAGCACGTGACCACCACCGCCGCCTGTATCTTCGACTTTGGCGATGAACAAAGCTATCGCGATCGCATTTCTACATCACAGCACCCTCCCTCCAATTATTCAAAAATGGCACCTGCACAACCTGAACTCAAGAAGGTAGGACATTCCGGGTTATATGCCACTATCAACGTGGCCGCTACACTCGTACTCGTGAAGAAAAGTCTCTAACCAGCTCCCAGTACCTCGACAAGCAGCTCTTTGTCCAGCTCAACGGCAGCCGCAAAGTCATTGGTGTCCTTCGAGGCTACGATGTAATTATAATATCCGATTCTACAATACAATAATGCCCGGCTAACGTTATCAGGTCTACCTAAACATTGTTCTGGATGATGCTGTGGAGGAGAAGGAAGGCGGAGAGAAGATCAAGCTTGGTATGGTGGTAAGTTTACGAAGCAGCGCACCAGTGCTTCCCAGAGATAAGCTAATTGTTTCATCATGCAGGTTATCCGCGGTAACTCGGTCGTGATGCTCGAGGCGCTGGAACGCATTGGCGGCGACGACAGACAACACCGATAGACGAAGCGGAACAGGGACGACTGCGATTTGAATTTCTTGTGATAAATTGTTTGGCGTTTATGGGACAATACAGCATACAAAGAGGACATGTGAAAAATTTGACGTTGTGTTAATTTGTGTGGATTTATTTTTGCGCTCGCCGTTGGACAAACGATTGGCGTTTATAGGACGTGTTCAATACCACTACTGAGCTTTGTCTTTCCAGACCCTTTCCTCGTAGCCTTCGATCATTTTGGCCCCAAAGGACTTTTGCCACCCTTTGATGCCGCCTCTGACAATGGCCGCCTTCATCTTGGTGTCGCCAACTTCGTTGATGTAGTCTTGCATCCATCGAGCACATCGCGTGCCTCGCCCGGTAGAGCTGCCTTTTACGACAACAGTGCCATTAGCCATGTATTATACGAATGTAATTCTAAAAGAATATACTTACCGCAGTAGAATAATACCTGTTCAATTCCAGCTTGCTGGCAAAGTTGGTAGATAATTGGTCGTGTCTGATACAGTGACTGGGCAGGCAAATTGATCGATGTCGCAATGGTTCCTCCCTCCCAGTCGTTCCGTCGGACATCAACCAAAAGATACTTTCTAGCGGCTTTTTGATCTCCTGATGTAGTCGCCTCAAGCATCTTCATCACCTCTACATTATCCAAAGCACCGCACTCAGCCTTGGGTTCCGGCAGACTGGCATACCAAGGACGGGCAGTATCGGTTTGCGGGGTTGCTGCCATGTTGTTTCGGGGTTTTGAAACGAATCTTATGCTAGTAGGGGCTTCTGTAATTTGCGAACCGTGTTATAATATAGAACGACTGTCTAAGACGAGACGGGAGGTGAGTGCCGAGCTGGATGCAGTGTGTGGTAGAGACTAGGTGCGTTTACAAAGGTACACGTGAGCGATATGAAGCCATCTCCACAGCACTTGTAAGTCGCATAGCACCCCAGTTGACGAAATTTCCGAAATTGGTTCTTTTTTGGTTTATTACCGGGTCAATCATATTCGTTATTTATCTAATGATCCTGCTTGTCCAATCGTATATGTTTCGGCTCTGAAGTGCCATTGGCTTCCTTGGCGGTTACATCAATCTGGACACTCTATTTTGAACATTTTGTGACAACATCAGAGTCAAAATCACGTAACATATAACCGAGAATGTGAAATTATAATTTCTTTTTCTTTGGGAAAAAATGATGATCGTATCATCTTTCCTTTCGGATCACGACGGCATGACCGATCCTATAAACTGTAATCAACGCGCTGCGACTAGCAATATCAAGCTCAGGAAGTCATTGTCAAGATGGGCATATCCTGGTTGATCACAACATTGCCTTTAATAGGGTATGCTCAAGTTGCTGCCTTGCCATCGACTAGACATCTTGAACCAGCCCCGGCGCAGCTCCCGTTCCAACCTCTCGATCCTCAACGATGGGTTAACCCAGACAATATGACATGGGAAGACTACAAGAAGCCACCAGGAACTAGCTGGAATGACCCTAATCGCAAGGGCTCCGTCCGAAATTTCAAAATTGCTCTCGTTGCGATCGACTATTCGGATACGTCTTTCGTTATATCAATGAAGCCAGGAGCCACTGTATTTGGTAACCCGCAGCCAGCGGCCAATAATATTCCACGAAGCGACGTGCCTGCATTTTACCGCGACTTTCTTAACAAGCCTGGCGATTTGAACAGAGGGCACACATTGCATGAATATTGGATGGAAGACTCTGCTGGACGGTTCGGTGTAGAGCTGACGGCGTTTGGGCCATATAAGCTACCAGCGCGGTCCTGGGAATACGGTATTGGTGATGGCGGATCTTGCCCAAGCAAAGGAAAATGTGGTCAAGATGCTCACAGAGTCGCTATCAATGCATTCAAGAAAGAAACGGGCAATGAGTCTGGAAAATATGAGCTCATTTTTGTTGTGGCAGCTGGGCATGACGAATCATCGACATGGCAAGAATTTGGAGAGATGAAGTTCAACAGCAAGGACGAGATTCCCGACGCGTTTGGGCCGCCTCCCGATAGCGGATCAAAAGCCATGAAGAACGCTGCCACCACTCGTTACGTCGCCTGGACTAGTTGGCAAGCCGGTGCCACCATCTGGCCTCACGCTTTTCCAAGTTCCTCAATCCAGGGCGAGAGTTCGGGTATGGGCGTGTATGCTCACGAGCTCAGCCATCTTCTGAAGATCTGGGATAACTATAACAATCCTTTCGGCAACCCTATGAGGCGATCATTCACTGGTCCATGGTCCATGATGTCGAGAGGAACCTTTAATGGGCCAGGAGGCCCGCACACACGGTGGCATATTCCTCCAACCCAGGGTGGCGCCTTGGGATCCCCACACACCATGCGAGATAAGATTCAACTGAAGCTAGTAGATGAGAGTAGAGTCATAAAAGCCACGCGAGATGGGTTGGCCAAGTCGGGGCTCATCACGGCACAGATTACTGCCCGTGTTATTGCGGGAAAGACGATGGGAATTCGCATCGACATTGGCAAGGATAGGGCTCCAAAATGTGACACTAGGTCCGATCCCTTATGTGACGGCGGTGGCTACAACGCTTATGATATTGAGGTTGTTGACCGGCTAGGCTCCGATTCCTTCCAGGCAGATTCAGGCGTTCTTATCACGAAAGTCAAGTACAGTGATAGCTCCATGCCTTTCCAATGGGTAATCGACGCGAATCCGAAAGATCTTGGCCTCGTTGACTTTATTCGTCCCAACAGTAAAGAAGCAAAGATCACACTAGGTGATTTTCGTCAGCTTCTTGACGCCCTGTTCCACGCTGGTGGTAAATCCGGAAGCCAGTTTGAGCATATCGACAAAGATAACGGCTTACATATATATGTGGTTGACCGTCATCGATCTCCTGAAGGAGAACTATCATACACTGTCGCAGTAAGATCTCTCGACGGTAAAGGCCCTCATACCCAGGCAGTTGAGGTTGCCCAAGGCGAGCCGGTGAAGCTGGATAAGCAAACACCAACGACTACCGGAGTATTTTGTTCTTTCACGATAACCAATAAGGGCAGCCCAAAGTTTAGCGAGTTGGACTCTGCTAACACCAAGAGAGAAGTATATCGACTAAATGCTGCTGTTGAAGGGTCGGGTTGGAAGACTGAGCTGCCCAATTCTCTAGTAGCAGCTGAATTTGGCAAGTCTTCGACTGTTTTTGTATCCATGGGCGTCTCACCCGACGGTGCTGATAGTGGTATTATTACCCTCACAGCCACGTCTGAGTCGGATCCAAGTGTCAAGCATGCCGCCAAGTGTACTGTAGCTAAGAAGTTTAATGAGGCGATACGATAGAGTTAAATATCAACTATGCAGAGTGAACCAGTGCGTCTATGGGTCATGAGAATGTGAGAATGAAAGGCTACGTTCAAGGTCTTTCATAGCCCAGTTAAGAATCCAATCGGATCTCAACACCTCATCTGCCGTTGGCCTATCTTTGGGATCAAAGGCCAACATTTGACGCAACATTTGACGCAACAGTCTCAGAAATGACGTCTTCTCCGTCGGTGAGAAGACACTGACATTTTGTTTTTGTCGATATTTTTGAACCCAAGCGTCAAAGGCATCGTCAAGGGGTGGTGATGCGTTTTCGCCTTGAGTAGAATTCCCTGCGCTGTCGAAGAACTGATCTTTTTGTTCCCATTGCTCCCACCACTTGGGTGGCAGAGCACCTAACACATCGACTTGCTGCGCAAGAACACCGACAGGTGTAATAAATTATTCACTAAAAAGAGCCTTCATCCCAACAATTTTCCACATTGCAAGCGCGAGAGTCCAAATATCTGCCCCAAATGAGAATGGCGATGAAGGCTCAAAGCGTGCTTCCGGTGGCCAAGTACCAAGAGGAGATCGACAGTCTTCACTGTGAATAGCCGGCTCAAAGGCTTCGCCAAAGTCAGTAAGAAGTAGATGTGTGTCCGCCAAAGTGACATCGTCCGCAGTTTTACCAAGATACAGTGGCAAACTGCTTTTTCGGGTACATTTGGTGGCAGTGAACGATTGTCAACCCGAGAAATACGGACTGCATCAGGTTTCCCACACGTCTCATAAAGCTGGTCAATGGATAAATTATTCAAGTCAGAAGAAAGCTTGAGCATCACATTACCGAGATGAATATCTATACATTTGGAACGTTAGAACCAGCTTAGAACAATAGTTAAGAGCAACGAACCTCCATGTGCATAGCCACGCCTGTGCATGTATGCGACAGCTGATATAAGCTTCACGCACAAAACTCTAGCCACATATAGATTGAACAAATGAAAAAACGACGCGTCCTAGAGATCACGCTCTGCTGGTATAGTTGTATAGCAAGGGTGAGCTCCGTTGGGACCTTGTACAGTGAATTGGTCTAGAACTGGAGGGATTACTTCTTATCCAGATATAGTCAAGGGAGTTGAAAGCGCGTGTGACCTTTTATCCGAGAGAACTTGCAGTACTGTAGCCTCTTGTAGCCGAGAGTCAGATATACCAACTTTCAGGGCGACATACCGATGCTGCTGGGTATCGCGTGCAAGCCATACAGTTGAGTATCCCCCATACCCTAGTTTATCGACAATTTGGTGGCGTTTGTTAAGGATATCTCCTATTATTATAGGATGGTAGCCACCGGGCTTGTATTTTTCGAGAGATTCAACTCTGTCAATCCAGCGATATTGGAAGCGATGTACTGGTGGTGCAGATGAATTTGCCGTTGAGTACAAGGATCGACACGAATGTGACGCTATTCGACTGATTCTAGAATGACAATTGAATAAGATATTTTTTGGATGCATTTCGATGCATCAAACGATTTCATCCCTCATTTGACGTGTGCAAGTTCATGAGCTGATTTCCATGCAGGAGCAGTGTTAACAATTCTGCCTTGGAGCCTCAGCGACACTTCCAAGACGCTGTGGGCCAACATCCTTCCGCCAAGAAAGTTCCACACATGCACCCTTTCACATCAACACCACAACCGACCGTCGTCATGATTCGCTCAAGGGGCATTGCCCGTGGCGCTGTTAGAACGCTTCATAGAGCGCCATGGGTTTGTCCGCAATGTACTCCGCGCCGCGCATACTCCAAACAACCCCCGCCGCGCGAACCTCCTGACCATCGCAAGCTCGGTCACCAGCAGGAACTATTCATCCAGTCAAAATACAGCCCCGGATCGCCAATCTTTCTTCCCAATGGCGCGCGAGTCTTCAACCGCCTAGTCGACTTCCTACGCAAGCAGTACGTGCGATACGGATTCGAGGAGGTCATCACGCCGACCATCTACAAGAAGTCGCTCTGGGCCAAGTCGGGCCACCTCGAGAACTATGCCGATGACATGTACACGGTGACGGGGAACATCAATCCAGCTGCTACAGCATCAAGTACATGTTGTAGCAGCTCAGACGGCAAACAACCGGCGGAAGGCGAAGAAGACGACTCCGAATTCGGCCTCAAGCCCATGAACTGCCCCGGCCACTGCCTCATCTTTGCATCGAAGCTACACAGCTACCGCGACCTTCCTGTTCGATACGCCGACTTTAGCCCATTGCATCGCAACGAGATTTCAGGGGCTCTCTCTGGCCTTACACGCGTGCGCCGCTTCCACCAAGACGACGGCCACATCTTCTGCAGACCGTGCCAAGTCGAAGACGAGATCAAGAAAACACTGGACTTTGTCAAAGTCGTATATACCGTGCTTCAGCTAGGCGTGAGCTACCGCCTTGCTCTATCGACACGGCCCAAGGAACACTATATTGGCACCGCCGAGGAATGGGACAGAGCAGAAGATGGTCTGCGTCGCGCGCTGGATGCCTCCGGCATGCCATGGACAGTCAACGAAGGAGACGGCGCGTTCTACGGCCCGAAGATTGACATTGTACTCAAAGATTCTGATGGAAAGGAGCACCAGACAGCAACGGTTCAGCTGGACTTTCAGCTACCGAAGCGATTCGAGCTTGAGTACCAAGCACCGGCTCCCGAGTTTGAAGCCCGCGGCGAGACGACAACCGACCCTGCACTCCTTGCCGAATATGGTCCTGTTCGCCCCGTTATGATTCACCGTGCTGTTCTCGGATCGGTAGAGCGCTTGTTGGCCCTCCTCATTGAAAACTACAACGGAAAGTGGCCCTTTTGGCTCAACCCGCGCCAAGCCATTATCCTCACCGTCAACACGACCGATCCCGTATTAGAATGGGCCGATACAGTCAGAAGTGTTCTTGTTGGCAACATTCCCCGCTCCTATGATGGCAAGGAAGCCGAGCCCTTACCACAAGGCGTTGCTCTTTCTGGTCAAACCGGCCTGGCAGTGGATATGGATACAACAGCACGGTCTCTCGGATTGAAGATCCGTGAGGCTCGCAACAGTGGTTACAGCCAGATCCTGATTGTCGGTGAAGAGGATGTTAAAAACCGGCAGGTCAGCCTGGGCAAGGAGCGCTTCGCGCCTGGACAGCTCCGTGACAAGATGCTCGAAATGGTAGACACCTTTCAGTAATCAGCACGATTGTAATATATTTGTAATTTGTACTATAATAAAAGTCTATACCAGTTAACGCCGCGCCGCCAACAATTAGGGGAATAATCTAAACCACTTTGTAAATTCGTCTGACAATCGCCACGATGGCAGAGCCGAGGTTCCTCGCTGAGCTCGCCGCATTGGCGTAGGTCACCACTCCAACAGTCCAATAATCGTATCATTAGGTAGTGTCTCAATTCTTAAGCAGCCATACGCTTAGAATTGCGTTTCGGAGAGTCGTCATCGACGTTGCGACGGGTGCTTAAAGCCTTGACTACAGAAGTACTCGTGGTTAGCATCAAGGCGGGCAGAGCATTTGCCATACATATGCTTACTCTTTCAGTTTCGGATCAACCTGGCCACCAGCGCCTTCTATTTGCCCAATCATTGCCTCCCTCTCGTCAAGCTGTTGGCGCATGTAATCGACGGTGCGCTTGAGCACCAGACCTTCAGATCGGCCCTGGCCCTCTAGGCCGGGGACAAGTTCCGTAAGTCGGTCAAATCCTTCACGGATAGCCTGTCGTCTCTTTTGTTCTGCAATGATACGGCAATTAGCCTATGTGTCGGGATGTCGCTTGCTGTGCGCAAACAGCCGACCTACCAGATGCAATGTGGTTCTGCTTCTTCTCTTCCTCGGTAAGACGAGGTTTCTCGTCAGCGTTGCCGCCGGCTCCATCTCCAGTGTTATTCGGTGATGCTGACATTTTGGATGTATTTACTTTAGACTGTTACTGGTATGTATGCAATTCGCAGCCTTGGGGAGCAGTTTGGTGTTTATGTGGAAGGAAGAAAGTGGCATGGCAGCCAAATTGGCACGATCACATGCCCCTCCCACTGGAAAGCCAAGTGACAGGCGGCCAAAATTGGCAAGGGTGGTGCCCCGGATTTTCGCTACAATGGCGCGACGCCTGCAACTTTTAGCGCGGTTCCAGCAGATGCAGGCGCATCTGCAGCGCTGAGCAAAGCCACTGGCATGATATTTGCATGCTGGTGGCGGATTTATGCAGAAATGACGCTATAATTTCACATTTGAGGTGGCATTGGTACGCCTCGTCACTACACATGGCAGACTGCTTCAAGGCAAGTCATAAATGCATTTGATCGCTTTTATCTACCATCATCTAGACTGTCTATTCCTCGCCAGAATCTTGATCATCCTCATCGACATCCTGCTTGAAAATAACCCTCTCGGCCAGCTCCAAGCATTTTCTTACTGGTAAGCCAATGACGTTGTCAAAGCTGCCTTCAATCTTTTCGACCAGGATCAGCCCTGCCATTCCCTGGATTCCGTAGCCGCCGGCCTTATCAACACCCTCTCGGGTCTTAACGTATGCTTCAATAACATCATCGGGCAGACCGTTCTCCTCAGAGCAAAAGAAAACCTTAGTTTCTTCTGTATGATGCGCGATCTCGTAGCCGGGGTGTCGAGCATCTTCGCGGGGAGCAATAGCCGTGATGGATGTCAGCACTCGATGCACACGGGTGTCTCGTAGATGCTTCAGCATGCGAATATGCTCAACTTCGCTACGAGGCTTCTCTAGAACTCGTCCATCGCGGGTCACAATAACGGTGTCGGCGGCAATGACCAGATCAGGATCTGGAATCGATGCGAGGTGTGTTTCCAGTGCAGTTTGGTAAACATCGAGACATTTCTTTCTAGCTGTCTCGGATACGTATGCGAATGGATCATATGCAGATTTGTCGAGATCTTCGGGCTTGTCCGATGGTAGGATTTCGAGATTGGTTAAGCCAATCTGCACAGCCACACGGCTTTTGTTAGCTTTAGGACTTGAGCTAACATTCAAGACCAAAACACCATTACCTGTTGGAGAAGCATCTTACGGCGAGGAGAGGCCGATGCTAGAATAACTCTCTTCGAATTGAGGTGCTTGATAATCGGGATATCTAACGGCAGAGGTCGGCGAGGGCCGTTGGGACGCGGAGGGGCCGGCCCGCTGGAGGGAGCAGCGCCATGCTCAGCGGCAGCTTCTGAATATTCAGGCGGGGGGCCTTGCGGAGTCTTTTTCTCTGACATGTCTGTTGACCAAACTATATTGTTGTCGGCTAGTGGCAATGTAGATGACGACGGTGTCGAAGGAAAGATGCTGTGCGCAAGCTAGACCTCAAATTTGGAGTGTAGCAGTGACGACAGTGGAGTTTTTGGAGGGGAAAGGCGGCCGAGCGCAGCGGTACAGGTACAGGCCAGTCCACATACTGTAGTGCACCTGGCTGTCTTTGGAATTGCACCGCGACGATAAATTGCCAGATATTGACAAATAAGATGAAATAATAAGAATGATATATTTGCCTTAATATATATGAGTTGCCTCATTTTTATTTTTATTTTATACTCCCATTCTGTCCCTTTGTCAGCGGACTACGTCTTCTACTGCTTGCGACAAAAGCCGTTCCGCTTCCAGGGAGCTCCTCCCACCTCTCACGCTAGTCCCGATTAGGCCTGTCGCCAAAATCCCAGCCAGCTTCCTTTGTCTTCCCCTGCCAAAAGCCGCTTCCCTCTTGCACCTTTTGTCCACCCAGTAGCCGTGCCGCAACATCGCGAGCCTATGCATCACGATAAAATCCGGATTCGTCTGGCTTACATCTGATACGCCTCTTCTGCACAATAATAAATCGTTTTTTCTTCCAATTTACCGCCTCGGCTACCTGCTATCCGCCACGCGACTACAATTGGCGCCATCGAACGCGTCTCGCATCTGTACAAGCTTGCGTCCCCCATCGCCCTAGCCCCGAGGCTGCTTTGCGCCATCGAAGAAATCCGCAGTCAACGCTAGGGTTCAACTATTTTATACTCAATTGCGTCAGGGCACAATCCTCGCCGGCGCCAACATGGACTCCAAACGAAAGGCCGACGGCAGCGGAGCTGCCGACTCTGACGACCGGTCTTCCAAGCGTCGCAGAACCTCTGTAAGTCTTTGCTTCCTCGCTCTAGATACCCCGATGATGATGTCGCATACCGCGGTTGCTGCATTGAATGTTTGCACAGCGTTCACCATGTCCCTATCGCCCCCGGCACCTACCCAATTGCGATTTACCGCGTTTGCGCATCCCCTTGCTAACTGAGTCTCAGTTCTACGACCTCTCTAGAGGAGAATCGAAGGATTCTACAACTGCATATGGTTTAGCATTTGTTGAACAGCTACGACGAACAGCAGACAAAAGGTATGCGACGCGTATTTCGATTCCTCCGTGGCAATCAGACTAAGCAGTGACGGTACAGTGGTCGACTAATTGCGACGTCGTTCGAAACCCTCATCCCCAGAGAAGGCAACTCTGCCTACTACAAGAAAACCCGACTCCCCGTGTCTCTTGAAATCATCGAAGAAAAACTCAACAACGGCGACTTCAAAAATCTTGCCGAACTAGAGAGCTTCTTCAAGCGAATGATTTCAAACGCCAAGGAATTCTACCCGCGATCCTCATCCATCTTCGACGATGCAGAGCGAATTCGCAAGACGTTGAGCAACTATATGACCAAGAACAACCCTGCTTACAACAGACGCGGATACCAAGCAGCCCCGACACCGTTGCCTCCCCGTAATCCCGACGAGGAAAACGACGATGAGGATGACGAGGACGACGAAGACGACCAGGAGGAGGCTGAGGACGAAGATGATGATGAAGAAGAGGAAGAAGAAGAGGAACCCACATCTCGTCGACGATCAATTGTAGTAAAACGCGGCCGTGGCCGTCCCCGCAAGTCGGACGTCATGAATAGCCCCAAGCCAGCCGCGCCCGCCCAATCGGAGAACGACCAGGAATATCTCAATGTTCCTTACAAGAGCCTGAACTTCCAACGTGCTCAGGAGAAGGTCGTTGAAGAGGTGCTGCGCCACCAAGAGCCCGAATACGAAGGCCCGTACTTTGAACCATTCATCAACTTGCCCCCTCGAGCTCTGAAGGACTACTACCGTATTGTTGCGGACCCTCTTTCCCTTCGAAAGCTGCAAAAGATTGTCAAGGGAACCCAAAGTCGACATGATACGCCCGGAGTGTCTGAATTCAAAAACTGGGCTGCCTTTGAAGAACGATCTCAACTCCTTTGGGACAATGCTTACTTTTATAATGAGGAGGGCAGTGAGATTTACGAGCTTGCTAGAGAGCTCGAGGTACGTTTAACCTGAGTGTTTGAGGAGTTCCCCGCTAACCTATCTTCAGAAAATCTTCCGCGCACAGTTGAAGAAAGCACAAGCTGCTGTGCCGGATCCCGCGCCGTCAAGAATTCGACTTCGAACCGGTGACAGCTCAAGAAGAGCAACACTCAGTGCAGCTCCTGGCACTGAGTCTCCTGGAGAAACACCGGCGCCAACAAACGGACATGCAGAGGGGGAATCACCAGCCGACTCTGCTAAGCAGGCGGAAGAAGCAACTGCGACACCAGTTCCTCTACCTCCCCCTGTGCCCAAGATCCCTCTCGAGTACCGCAGACAGCGTGAGGGTGGCAAAGGTACGTTTTAACGATGACTAACCAACTTCTCCAAGCACATAGCTAACAAGATATTTCAGGTGTCCACGATGCTCTTCTAACCAGACTACACCTGCGTGCCCATCAAAGCATCTATGCTGACCAACCTATCGTTGGTTCTGTATTCCCAGACGCCCAGTACATGCAGCAAGCGGCCACAATCAACCTGCCTTCCCATGTAAACCGCGTGTTCATTGCGCCCGGTATCCCTGACGCTCTCATGGAGCGCCACTTTGCCCTATGGGTTCTCATCGACAAACAGCTTCTTAAGCAAGTACCGCACGCCTTCCCTGACCATACCCAACAGGATCGCGTGTTTGAAGTTATGCTACGCCCAGGTGTCAACGTAATTGAGACACACGTCATCGCTGCGATCCCCGCAGAGGAGAGAGTTGAAGGCGGTCCTGAGGCCGAGCTGGAGGTCTTTACCGCCTACGTGAACTTGGCGAAAAACTGAAGAGTGTTGGGCAACAAGATTGATTTCGGGCGCAATTGGCGTTTAGGTAAGGGCTGAGGAAGGCCCGCGTTCTTTGTGGCATGAAGACTAAAGACGTAATGATTGGAATCCAATACATATATATCATCAGCTTGTAAAACATCAACTGACTTTTTTTTAATTCGGTAGAGAAAGGAGAGACTAGGACTTTTTAACAAACTTTTGGATTATTTGGAATATTGAATACAAGCTTTGGTATCTAAAAGTGACTATGTATGTGCCCGGTCCATGATAACGCCGGTAGAATGATGACTAGTATACAAGAACAAAAATAGAGATGTTAAAAGGGGAGTTCGGTTCGTTAGTTTCGTGCTGGGCGCTGCACTCTTGGGATAAGATGTTTGAGGCGGGTATGTAGGCTGATGTACTTGCGTTGCTTGGGATCGTACCAGCCGAGAACCCAAACAGACATGATGGCTGAAGGTCCTTTGACTTCGACGATGCCATCGACGCGGATGCACCCGCGGGTAGGGGGGTGCATTGTATGTGACCAGTTCTTCTGAAGGGCAGCCATTGTCTGAAATGTAGTGTGTAGAACAACATTATCAACAACCTCCGATGCTGATTTCCAGACACCTTCTCGCTTGGCCTTGAAGGCGTCAAACCGGCGCTGCTCGTTGGGCGACATAGCGCGCTCATCTTCTGGGGAAGACATTCCCAGGGCGTGGCTAATACCAGCGACTGTTTGTTTCGTCAGGACGCTAATCAGTGTCCATGCTGCGACGGCAACGGCCTTTGGGTAGAACACCTTGTCCAGGCTTTCCGCAGCCATGGCATCCATCGGTTGCGGTCCCCAGAACAGTCCGTCTTCCATCAGCATCAGCCCGGAGACATGGTAAATAGGAGGCGGTCGAACAGGGTAAATAATGTCGAGCCAGTATTTGTTTATCGAAATTTTATTGCTGCCGAGAATTCGGTGATATGTGCTGTTCTTCTCAATGTTGCGGCGGATCAGCTCGGCAAGTTGGGCTGTGAGATGGACGGTTAGCCTGAATTTGGTCTACCAGGGCGATCAATCCTTACCCTTCATGCGATCTTGTAGCTCGGCATCTTTGTTGACAGAGAGAAATTCTTTCCATTCGGGATCGGAGCCCTTATACGGAGGTTGCGCAATGGCCTCCGTGGTGAATGGACACGGGAGAAACAGCAGCGGCGCTCGTTCGTCGGCTTCTCGCTCCATCTCCTCCTTTTCCTTATCGGACATTTCGCTCCATTCTACTTCGACCCAGTCGAGCAACGGGTCAATGACTACTGATAAGAATACCTGTAGACACATGTAATATATGAAGATCGTAACTGCAGTTCGTCTGTAGACAGCCTAGGTTAGCAAACAGCCGGGTAGACGGGCGTCACAACACATACCCGAGGCGTCGGCCGAATGAGCCATTCTTTGCTTTTGGGGATGGCTTTGCAAAGTATACTGGTATCGGTTGAACTGGTGGCTTCCGTCGCCAGGGAAGGATCGAGAGGTTCCGGCTATGAATAATATTGTACTGCTGTCGAACGACGCTACTTTGCTGCGCTCGAAGAAGTGCCAGCGCGCTACGAGGCGGCGCGCGGGGAGCTCGCATCATCTTGGCGACTGAAGTAAGAAAAGACGTTATCTTTCTTAGCAGCAGCACCAAAATTATGTATGCAGCAGCAAGGCTGAATGTCGACTTTTCAATGTGATAAATCGAAAAAGTACAAGAAGTCGGACGTCTATCATCGCTAGTGGGCCTTGGAGCACTTGGTTCAACGACTGGCGTACCGCCTGTGCCTGGGCTGTAGCCCCGGAGTAACTAGTGGCCGCGTTCCGAATGCGCCCAAGCTCCCCCAATCTGGCCATCTACTGTGCATGACGTTGCCACGACACTCCAACCCGACTTGAGTAAATTCATCGCGGCGTATCGAACAAAGCACGATGAAGCTTACTTTGGGACTACTTGCAGCTTTTGCTGGCTGCTCAGCGGCCGCACATCCCGCCGGCCAGGTCTTCACCTTTCCTTCGCGTGGCTCGTCATCGACTCCCGCCCTTGGTCGCGGTGCAGCTCACCTCATCTTCCTCCAGCGCCTAGCCAGCTCGACAAGCGAGCCGTCGATTCACGATATCCCTACCGAGATTGATGCCGATACGGCCGTCAGCCTGATCAACACGTATGGCCGCGAAATCCCATCGCTATTTGATGACAAGAAGGACGGGCCTCGACGACTACTCGTTATGCTCGAGGGCATGACGCAGAAGCAGATGCAAACTACAGAGCGAACTCTCCAGGCCAAGCCTGTATTTTCTATTATGGACCCTCCTTCGACATCAGCCAACGAGGAGCTCTTTGAGGACGACTTCTACTCCGTCAAGGCTGCGCCTAAGGAAAAGTGCAAGCTGGGCGACATTTTAAACCAGAAGCGTCCTGGATGTTGGAATGACCGCGTTGCTGCTGTCAAATATAACGTGGAATCGGTAAGTAATTCAAATTGCACGATGTGCGCAGCTGGACTAACACCAATCTTCAGACTCCTGCCATCCTCGACGAGCTAGCGAGCGACTTGAAAACCCTCGGGAAGCTTGCCAAGAAGGGCGAGATTGAATCGACTGTTGTATTTATCCCTACTGCTGGCGAAGTTTCCCATGCGGCCTACTGGTCTGATGCTTCTGGAGAGCTGCGCCGACGACAATCTGAGCAGGTCATCTCTACACCTGCAAGCGACAAGGACGCGTCGGCAGCCGACAAGGTCAAGGTTGCCAAGGCTAAGGCGAACGTAGTCGTCTGCTACGATACGAAAGCAGCCTGTGAAGAGGCTACAGATAGCTGCTCTTCCCACGGAACCTGCTTTGACCGATATAACCCACCAAGGGATGAGGACGAGGATGAAGAGGGACTGCAAAGCCGTGCTCCCTCTGGTCCCTCATGCTTCATCTGCAAGTGTGGCCAGACGAGAGACAAGAAGACCGACAGCTTGACAAGCTGGGGAGGTGCTACATGCGCCAAGCAGGACATTAGCACACCTTTCTGGCTGCTTGTTAGCATCTCTGTTGTACTTGTGCTTGCTGTAACTATGTCCATTGGCTTGTTATTCAGCGTTGGCGAGGAGAAGCTGCCTGGTGTGATTGGTGCAGGCGTGTCCAAAAAATAGACGGGAGTAGTAGTAGCACACCTATGAGGGGGGGCGAGCAATGCGCGTTGTAGAAAGACAAGGACTATACTTTTTTGTTTTAGCTGTGGGCATACTATGTTTTCTTTGGCTTTATTATACGCGCGGGTTTTCACTACTGGACTGAGAAAGGGAAGAAGAAACTCAGCTGTATCATACAATCACAAATGGGTATTTTTTACATTCGTTCTTTGATCTTTGGCCAGCCTTCGTGTATGTCACTAATCATGCAGCCTTTCGGCTAAAGTATGGACCAACTATCGGACAATCCACCCCTCAGGGCTTGTCTTTATTTCTATTTCTATTTTTTTCTGTTGAGCAACCGAGAATCTCCGTACAGGATCGACGTGGGCCGGGGGATCTAGACCAGAGTGACATGTGTCCTAGGGCGTGGGTTGGGTGCGTTACACAAGTACCGTTGAACGCCTGGGTTTGGTAACGATCGGAAAAGAATACCGAGCAAACCACGAGCAGGGAAGTTAGTGGACGCACCGGGTGCCGCTGAATGCACCCCAATAGTTCAATTCCGCCGCAAGCTTCTACTTTGGTTTCCACCGCCCTTCTGCGCGGCTCCAGAGCGCGCTGACGGGCCCCGTTGTGCCCCTGTAATGCCCCTGTAAAGACCACTAAAAGTTGGTTCAGACGCCAAGTTATAGCGCCGTTGTCACCCTACAATCAACGTTGGCGGTGTTGTTTCAGTGGTGGTAAGCCTCAGGTCTCCGTTTTTTTTCGAAGTCTTCATGAGCCGGCGCCACCGGTTGCCAGCTGCTGGCAGTGCCCAGAGCGGTATCCTCGGAGGTGCAATCCACCAATAGGAGGCCGCCCCATGTCGCTGCCAGCCGCGGCAGAATCGACCACGGCCCCACTCTTTTTATCTTGAAGCAGCAGCAGGAGCAATACAGCGCAAGTGCAGGACGTCAGCGGAGAATTTGTCTCGTCTAACACCGAACCCTCGCCGCCTTAGCCTACCAATTCAACAAGGGCACCCAGATTGTTGCGGCTTCGCTTGCTGGCTTTATACACCTTTCATTGGGTCGCAGATCGCGGTGGCCAAATAACAGGATTCGCTTTGATTACCAAGTGCCGTCTCGCCCCTACTCGATTTATCAGCCTCGCGCTAGACTCCAATCGCCCACCACCCCCCGCCTCGTGTGTGCAACTCGTTTTTTTGCCAAACCCCAAACACATCTTATCTACCACCAGCGCGCCCTATCTTTGTTTCCTTCCTCACCTACTCCGAAATCCGTTCCTTCTGCAGGGCCACTGTCGATTGATCTTATACATTGCCCATCATGCCGCCAAAACCTCCCGACGAGAGACTCAAACTCCCGACGGCGAAATGGGGAGCTGCCTGTGCCGCTTGCGCCACGGCAAAGGCAAAGTGCATCCGCTCCAACGAGTCTTTGGGGTCAAAGTGCGATCGGTAAGCTACTCTCCTGCCCGGCGAGTCTCCGTGATGTCCGACGGGCACGCTGCCAAAACTCCTGTACTGCCGGTCGTTGCTAACAGAGCCCTTACCCAGCTGCGAGAGACTGCTCAAGGAGTGTACCGACCAGATTCATCGCCCTCGAAAGAAGAGACAACCTAAGCCTTCGTAAGTACTTGACGATGGATGTTTCCCTTACTCGATAAGATCACAATCAATTAACTTGATGGCGTTTACCAGGCGAACCGCGCAGATCGAAGAACGACTCAATGGCCTCGTCAGCTTACTCCAGGCGTCTGGTGAGCTGCCCCAGAATGGCCAGTCTCAAACCACACCTGGCAGCGGCGACAGCTACGACGCTGAGGGATCCGAGCCGACACCATCTTCGCCTATAGCTGTGGCAAATAGCCCTCAGGTGAAGAGCTGGTCGATCCCGGCTACTTACAACTCATATGCTCAACAAAACTGTATCTGCCGCCCGGATCCTGGCCCAGCCCCTCCCCCTCCAGCTTCAGACGATGCTCTCCTAGAGATTTACAGGACTCAGCTACAGCCGCTACATCCATTCGTCATTGTACCTCCGACAGTGACGGCAGCAGAGCTCAATGCAGAGCGACCATTCCTCATGTCCGCCATTCGCATGGTCTCCTCATTTCAGAGTCTGCGTTCAATGCGCGCGCAAATGTACAACTTGATGAAGCACATTTCCGACCACATGCTTATCCGCTCTGAGCGCTCGCTGGACTTGCTGCTCGGGCTTGTTGTTATTTCTGGCTGGTACCAGTATCACTGCTTCGCTCACGCCCAGCTACATAACCTTCTTGCGCTCGCCATCTCCTTGGCTGGTGAGATGGGCCTCAACAGACACCCACTCATTCACGAGGGCACTCGCATGATGGCCGCTCAACCCCCCGTCTCGAACCTTCGCAGCAACGAAGAGCGCAGAGCGTTCCTTGGCGTCTGGTATCTAGCTTCATCGTAAGTCGCATAAGCATCACTCGACTAATAAGTCCCGCTAACACAATATCACAGCAAATCTATTGTCTTTGGAAGAATTGAGCCCATGCGCTATACCTCCTATGTCCAGGAGTGCCTCAAGACCCTCGAAGCTGCGTCCGAGTACGAAAGCGACTTGACGCTCGTCTTCCTTGTGAAGATCCAGTACTTGACACAGCGAATTGCCGAGCTCAACCCTACCGATACCACCGTTGAAGAATTCACCTCGATACCCAAGGCCCCGCTGTCTGCATATGTTGCTGCTTTTCTAAGCGAGCTTGATAAGCTACGTGACGGTCTTCCGGAGCGTCTCAAGGAGTCTAGTAAGTAAAAGCAAGGTAGCCTTCAACTCGTCCGTAACTCTAACACGTCTGCCAGAAATTGTCCAACTTTATTTCAACACAGCCAAACTCCGCCTCTACGAGCCTCCAGTCGTTGACAAGGCGCTCATTTCGTCTCTCACCGAAGCCTTCACATCTAACACCCACGGCGCCGGCACTCCTCTCGATCGCCTGTACAATACTAGTGCAGCCGTGACCGCATGGTTCGACACCTGGCTGGCAGTTCCTGTCTCTTCATATTATTGCCAGACGACGAGTGTGGCTGCGCAGATCGTCTACGCTCTCACTATGCTCGGCCGCTGGGCTCAGCTCTCGACACCAAGACCCAAGCACGAAACGGATCCCAGGCCACAAAAGCCTACAGAGGGTCTCTACTCATTTGAGTTGGACCGCCGTAGCGCCAGCCGAGCTAGCCTGGCAGGCCTCTCACCTGAAGATAAAGCACACGCTGTTCGCCCAGCTTTCAAGAGCGGCCAGACTTTGCCACCCTGTGAAGTCGACCCCGATCTGACAGCAGCCGTCGCCTCTCTGCAGACACAGTTGCAGTCTCACCCCGGACTGGTAGTCAACATCCCTGATATCCTGTCGACAATCTGCAACCGCTTCGAGCAGGCCAACGCGACGTTCCAAATCTCGTCCACCGACACAGGCAACAAGGACAACAACATGTGGAGCATGACAGCACTCAAGGTGCGCATCACACGAGCCAAGCTGGAGCGCTGGGCTGAGATGGTGTCCAAGGAGGGCGAGAACCACTCGCCTAGCCAGCAGCTCAAGGCCGATATGGACACAAGCATGACAGACTGGGCATTCCCACAGCAAGCTGCCACCGGACCGCTGCCCGATGGCGTCTGGAACATGAGCGCACCTACAATGGAGCCTGACCAGATGCAGATGCCCAACAGCTACGGCAGCACCCCGTGGCGTAGCGACCTGTTGACGGGCGTAGATCCCACGGTCTGGTTTGATGGTTATCTCGACTGGGGAGCTGTCATTATGAACTCTATGGGTACGGTGCAGGAGAACGAGGTCTATCCGCAGGCTGCGGCTGGTGTGAATTAAATTGCCTAACGGAAGCGAATGTATATGAAGTTGCTATTTTGGTGTTTTGCTATATTGGTCTGTTTTTTAGGTGCTTGGGATAACGGGCTGGGAAATGGGATAGCGGTCCCAGAAAAAGCTATTTAATAATGAAGTATAGCTTATGTAGCGTACAAAAGATGCTTGTTTGTGTTTCAAAGTCAGGTTCAAAAAGCAAGGGCATGTTTTAAAGACTGCGTGTATCATCGTGGTTCCCATTAATAATATCGTTGTGTATCATCTAGCCCATTCAACCCATCCTACAAGCGTGCTTTTCATCTAAATCAATCCGGCATGCTTTCTATCTATTGTGCTCCTGATATAGATTGAAACTTTGCAATAACATCTGCATCAACATTGACAGCCCATTGCTCCTGGAATGGGCCCTCGCCTCCGACACGCGCAACAACATCTTGCAAACGCTCTTTGACGAATTGTACAGCATTGACTGTGTGTATAGGGTCAGCTGCCTTCATATGGCGCTCAGTAATCATCTTGGGGGTATCATATTCGGTAGGCTCCTCCTGGCCGCCGCCGAGCAGCATGTCGACGCCGGCAGGGTTACCCTCTTGAATTTCCATCACGACTGTGATCCACATGTCGAAGAAATCTTGTAGTCGGCCGAGGAGAATCTCCTGTATGGGCGATGGAAGTTCCAACAGGCGCGTGAGACCAAGCAGATACAGCTTCTGGCGCTCTGGGTGATCCATGCAGACAAGGTAAGAGAACCACTCGCTGAGGAGCCAGCTCATGACTTGGTCAATAGGTCCAAAGGACGACAACATCTCAACAAAGAGTGTTGGTTCGGCAAGGGCCAGCCTTCCCAGGATAGCAAAGTAGTCGCCTTCGGTAACGGTGTTGAGCTTGCTTGTCTTCTTGTTCGGGCCGGTCGTCTGGTGGGCTTCCCAGGCGTTGTGTAAGTTCTCCATAATCTTGTTTAGGAAGCCCGTGCTCATCATGTCTTTGATAATGGCGGATACGCCTTCCGCACCTCCAAGCTGCGCACCAGCTCGAATCAGGTATTCTATGCAAACAGTGCCAAGACGAACCTGCTCTCGACTCTTTGAATCCAACGCTGCGGACAGCGCCAGTAGTGTCTTCTGTCGCATCTGGGGTTCAAGCATAGCTTCCGGGGCTAAGAGCACATAAGACTCAACTGCAGTCATGGCTTGTACTGCAGTCTCTGAGTTGTGTTCCAGTAGCGGTAGTGCCGCATCTGCCAGGTTGATCACCTCTGGGGACAATGGAGACTTGCTCTGCATCAATACAGAGTTCCATAGTTCGATTGTTTCTTCAATGAGGTGTATGTGCAGATCTGAGCCTGGTCTGACAGCTTCCGAGAGCAAAGGCATCATCAGGCCTTGGTAACGTTGAGAGTCATTGCCCAGACTCATGACAAGGGCAGTGAAGATGGCAATGATGGCTTGCTTAATCATGTATTCTTCGGGGCCAGATCCTTGCCAAACCTTGGGGAGCGTGGACATGAGAAGATCTCCAAACTGTGAGACTTGTTGCTCCAATCTCTGGACTAAAATACGAATAGACTCGAGAATCGCAAGCTTGGTCTCGTCCACGTCCACGTTTTGTACCAAGTCGATGAGTTGCGCAAGCACATCGGATGTATATGGCAAGAAGGCGTCAACGTTGAAATCGAGATCGTCCGCAATCCAACGAAGCTGTCTAGCAGCTGTTATGCGTACAACTAGATCATTTGTTTCATCGGTGGGAGTTAAAAAGTGGCGAAAGACTTGATACACAATCGGTCTGCTCGTGTCGGACATCTTGACGGGTGCCCATTGGCTAATTAGAATGGCGATTCTTCGTCGAAGTACTTTGAATAAGCCGCCTTGCTGTTGTGCATCATTTACTAGGGTAGATGCTAGGACAGCATCAAAGTCGAACACGGTGTAGACATGGGCCGCAGCCAGACCCATTGCGGTGTACACTGCTTCTTTGGTAGCAATATCTGCTTCAGGAGCTTGGCCTGTTTGAAAGTACTGCAGCAGAGGGGGGATAATTAGCTCCTTGTAGTTGGTAAGAAGATCAAGGAACAACTTCTCAGCACAAGGTCGAACCTCCCACTCGTATGCAAGGCCTTCACTCTGTTCTTGTTGCTCCCATTCTTCTGGGTCCTCTTCCCACGCCTCAAGATCTGCTCGGCGGAAGACAAACAAGTGTGTGATGATGGTGTTTACGATTTGAACAATCAGCTCGTCTTTTAGCAGCTCCTGCTTAATGAGGTTTCGGGCCTGATCTTGTTCGGCTTTTGTCTCGGGAGTTTTGTACTTGAAAGTCTGGGCTGGTCTAAAGGCTACCTTGACGCAAGCTCGGAGAAGCAGAAGACCCTTAACAGAGAGACGCTCCAGCAGTGGTCCCTCAGCCTTGGCTTTCGTAGAGTCTTGGCCAGATCCTTGCCGAATACCGCCAGACTTGTCGTATACATCAGCAAACTGTGCAATCAGATCCCAATACGCGCGAACCAGCGACAGCGAGCTGGGGAGAAAGACGAAGCTTGCGGCGTGCTGCTCGGACATGTCGATATGGAGCTTTGTAAACTGCAGTAGATGCTTGCCGACGATAGTTCCAACCTCTTCAGGCAGTTGAGATTCTCCATTGACAAAGCCCAGCAACTGTCCAAACTGATTTTGAGAGACAGTCCAGAACTGCTCAACAGTTGAGTCACCATGAGGGCGTTCATAGCCAACGATAACCAGGCGACGTAGTGTCTTAAGCGCCGCCAAGCTGTTCATCATAGCTAATTGGGCCTCTCCTTGGCTACCCTGGCCGTTTGAAAGGTATTGTATCCAGAGGTTCGATTTTTCAGTGTAGATTTCGGTGAGGACGTAAACGATCTCGGGCGTGACGGACTGGAGGGCTGTCTGTGATTTACGCATGCGAGCAGTTCCCAGCTCCTTGACCACACGAAGGAGAACCTCGAGGACTCCACGCAGCTGCTGCTGGTTGGTGTCTTTCGTTGATCGCAGAAGGTTGATGATGCTGGGGAGGGCCTCTGGCCAGTCGGTGGGGTAATCGATTCTAACAATCTTTGCTATGACTAGGGCATTATGCAGGGCGAGGTTAGCTTCTGGCTCGTCAACACTGCCCTGAAAGAGGCGTGAGCGAATGGCCGCCTTCTCATCAGCCTTGATTCCGTTCTTTGTCTGTGCATATATCCTCCAATATCGGTCGATGCCATTCTTAAGCTGGATGATGGCGAGGAAGCGGACTTGGGGCGGCAGCGAGCGGTCGAGGAAGGCGGTCTGTAGCGAAGAGTAGTACCCCGGCTGTTGTTCCCAGGACGAGAGTTGCTGGCCAGCAGCCTGGCGTTGTGAATGATCGGTCGAGGTCGCGGCGTGGAGGGCACGACCCAGCGTCTCAAAGGACAGTGGGTTTGCTTCGCCGGGAACCTCGATGGAGAAGCTCATGGTGGGCGACTAGTTTGAGGCGGCAGAAATACAGGGACACCGCAGATGTCACAGAATCTGCACGCTGAAGAGCTTCTGACGCAGTGCAGAAAGCAGCAAAAGGTGGTGAAGAAGCAGTGGAATGGGGAAAAAAAGAAGCTGGTGATGCTGCTTCAAGGTGGGGTGGCTGCTGTTTCAGTGGCGGTGGTGGCGGGGCAGCGGTTGAAATTCCGCACTAAAATTACAGAGGGGTCACAGCGCTTAATTAGGCAGTCTTAAGAACAGAAAATGCAGGTTGTATTGTTGTAGAGAAAAGCGAAAATAAGAAGAAAATACAGTCGAAAAGTCTATAGAATATACAAAGAATGGGTTCAAAAGAGAGCTCCTCGAAGCGAAGAGAAAGAAAGAAAATGAAAGATAAAAGAACACCAAACACAGCTCCCCGTCGCCTTACTTCTTCTTCTTGTTCATAAACGCGTCACTCAGAATACAGCGAGCACCATCGACACTGCCTCCCTTGGGACCAACAGTGACCTTATTGGGAGCTCCTCCATCAATGGGAAATCTCCAAATCTCGCCACTGTCGTTCTCGGAAGCAAAGATCTCATCATCGGGGCCAGGATAGATGGCGCCCCATTGCGATGAGCCAGCGAGTTCACCGTGCTCGGCAAGGCTGAACCAACGCATGTTTTGCGTGTCAAATTTCATGAGAACGGTGCCTTGGTCGTTTCTGCTGACCGAGTACATGGCGTTACCACCGCCAGGAACGTAGGACCAATCAAGGGGAAGACCAGGGGAATCCGTGTAGACGCCGTGGCCAACCGTCTTGAATAGAGTCTTGGATCCGGGTCGAAGATCAACCTTGATCCACTCCGAACCAGTGCCAGCAGCCCAGAAGAAGCCGTCAGCATCAACATCACCAGCAACATAGCGACTAGGTGAAATGGAAGGAATCTCAAAGACACCACCGTTTGTTCCGTTGGATTGCAAGCGGACCAGGTGGGGAGGATCCTCAGCCTCGCTAATGCCGTAAATCATGTTATCAAGAGAGTTGTATCCAATGGAGTTCATTCTGGCGGTGGCATTGTTTCCGTTGGCATGTACAAACTGAGGCTGGCCATCTTCGAGGTTCATCTTGTATAGAGAATCATCAGACATGAGGAAACCATTGTCGTCGCAAACATAAGCTGCTGGCTTTGGTGGTGGTGGAAGGCTCTCAATCAAGACGCTAAAGGGTTGACCGGCGGATGTTGGTGTGACGGTAACCGTGATAGGCTCAGTAATGATTGCTGTTCCAGTGTATGGAACCGTCATGGTCACAGTGCTGTTGGGCTTGATGGTGATGGGCTTCTCAACAATGACGGTAGTGGCATGCTCTTCGGGCTTGATGACAGTCTTTGTTTGAGGCTCGGTGGACTTTGTCACCGTGACGTCCTTGGTGATAGTTGTCACTTGAGGGGGCGTCTCGACAATGACAGTCGCAGCCTTGCCACCCTCTGCTGTGACAGTTCTGGTAATTGGCGCTGTCACAACCGAGGTACCAGTATACTGCTTGGTGAGGAAGACAGTGTTGGGGGCTGGGGTTTGCGTGACAACAGACACGATGGTGTGGTCCTTGGTGACCGTTTGAACAAGGGGCAAAACGGGCTCAAAAACAATAATAGTTCCTGAACGGTCATGGACGGGAACAATTGTCGACACGGTGACTCTCTCTGTCACAGTAGCCGTCCCAGTGGGATACATAACAATAGTGGTCCAGGGAGCTGGGATTTCGACAACAACAGTGCCGCGGCCAGTGCCAGTCGCTTCAGCCTTGGTGAAGGTGGTAGGAGATGCTAGGAACGGGTCTGCAGCTAGCATTGTCACAGTCTCGTATGGGCACTTGGACATGGGGACCAAGTATGTGCGCACATAGGTTCGGCACTCTTGCGGGGGGACAACCAACGCATCAGGCAAATGCACTGTGTTGTTTGTGAATGCCGCTGCTTGTGCTGTAGCCAATGCCCCAGCGGCCAAAAAGAGACGAGAGGACTTCATGATACAAAGGACGAAGGGAAAGAAAAAAAGAGAGTGTAAGAGAAGTCACAGGCGATGTAGTGTGTCTGTGTATGTTGCCTGTAAGTAACCAAAACGAAGGAAGGAATAAGCGTGGAAGCTAGCCAAGTGTTGGTGATGATGATGATGATCAAAACGGAACAAGCCGGTTTACAATGAAGGATATATATAGAAAACTGAGCACGACGATTCAAGACGTTGACCAGCCACCGGCATCGTCAAGTTACTTGGGGCCGATTGCAAGGCAACGCAAAACAAACAAACAGTGATAACAAAACAAGGCATCATACAGGCTTGGAAGACGGTGTAGGCCACTGCAGGTCTAATCATAGAATTCCTCAGCCCAACACCACCAAAGCAGTGCGAATCAGCACTAGCCGAGCAAGCGAGCCAATAGCATTGGTCCCAGTACCAAACTCATACCTTTGCGGGCAACGGATGAGGCTGCGTACCGAGAGACATTGTCCTCATGATACTTTCCCAGAGTCAAACCTGGGCACCCTTATTTCCCGGTAGTGTGGTCCACAGCCCTGTTTTTGCCTTTGCAAAGGTGACTGTTTATTGATCGTCTGACCACAACCACCCAACACTGCGGCTCTGGGTAGCCCCCCTCCTCCTCCTGCTGATGCAATCATCGAGAAAACCTTCGATGTAAGCTAATGATGCTATCTATATCGGATCCGATGACCACGATGCACTAAATCCTGGAGGCTGGCGAAACCGCCGAGCATCCGTCGTTCTTTAATTGACTGCCGTTGTTGGCGATCTATTTAGAAGCCATCTTCTGTGTTATGGTTTGTACCTACTATGACCCATTTCGCTTTTACTTTTTTTCCTCTTCTCTTTGTCATCATCATTTTGGTCTATCTTTCGTCTTCATTGTTTTTGTTTACTCCAGAGTGTCCCAGTGTCCGAAATGCTTCGCTGTGACCATCACCACGACAAACGGTGGGACGGCTTGGGACAAAAACACTACAGACCTCAGTGCCTGGAATGGCCTCGGCATCCTCTTTCTGCATCTTGGTTCTCGAACCGAAGACCCCTATTCCCAGCAGTAGGTAAGCATGCTTACCTACTGCTGCTGCTGCTCAAAATAGTCACACGTGGCTGCCCTCCCCTGCTTGGAGGCGCACTTATTCTCCGATTTGCTGGGGGATGGGCAACGCCCCCCCTGCGTAATCTCGATTGGCGGGCAATTAAACCTTGATGGGCGCTAACGTATCTAAATTGGTCTAGAGTGTTTCTTCCTACACTCAAATGTTTTATTGGGCTTTTACTCTGCTGTTGGGATGCATCATCCCGCCCTCGACTAACACGGGAACGATTGATAAACGACGGGCGACAAAGGCAAACAACCTTCGCTGCGAATGCATCTGACGTTTTCTTCTATAGAGAACAAGCCGTCTTTAGTTCCAGAACAACAAAACAGAAGCATCGCCAGCCTCTGCAACAAGGATCCCCCGCCGCCTCCCGCTATCCCCTGCACCACCCACACACGCCTCCTTCACACCCCTTTTTACAGAGCACATCCGCATTGCTGTCTAATAAAATCCCGCCAGTTCACAGTCCAAAGCTGTTTCAGGGCTTCTTTTTCGGGGTTAGCGAGCTTCGTTGCATTCCTCCGCAAGGCTTGCCCACCCTACTCCTCGCTTCCGCTTTGGTGCTTAGCGGCGATATTCCAAGACATGGCGCTGCCCGCCCCGGAGTTTATACCCACCCTAGGGTCGCCGACGAGGAATGTTCTTCATGATTCTTCAGGGCTGCCCGTCTATTACGCCAGCCAAGCCACCCAGAGGCACACTTGGTGGTCGTCTCCCCGTCACAACCAAGCACAGCCAGACCAGCATTGCATAGCTCTGCAGGGCATCACAGAGCATACACAGCAACACCTTGGATACACTGGTGTTTACCTTGCCAAGTAAGATATATAGCCTTGTTTAGATCCCACCTTTTGCATATTCTCTTCTTTCTTTTCCGTCATCGAGCTTCACTTTCTCTCCAGTTTTACCACATCCTTCTCCATTCTCTCTCTACTACTACTTTGCCCTGCCATTCTTTTTGATATACTTCCAGCCTCTTTTGCGCTATACCAACCCCTCCTTTACCAATTACATCATACGTCATGGCTGCCTTTGCTTCTCTCCTCGTTCTCCTGCCCATCGTGGCCCATCCTCTGGTTCAGGCTCAGCAGTGCTTCGCTTACAGCGTTGCCACTATCACCGACTGCGCTCCCGCCACCACTACCGTCGTTCAGCCTACGCCTACCCCCAGCGATGGCGTTGTCACCGTCACCATGCCTGAGTGCCCTCACTGCCACTGTGACTGCGCTCACACCAAGACCTACACCACCGTCTACGAGGCCTTCTGCCCTACTGGTGTCGCCCAGGTCACTTACACCGTCAACGAGATCTACAGCGGCATGTCCACCGCTCCTGTTCTAGCCACACCCACCGAGATCCCCCACGGCTTCACTACTACCGTTGCTACCTGCCACGAGTGCGGAGAGGCCCCCATCACCAAGACCCTCACCTACCCCGTTGGCGGCAGCTGCACCGTCACCGATGCTCCTCAGGTTCCCTCCGGCAAGCCCGGTGCCCAGAAGCCTGCTGGCGATGCTCCTTCCAGCAACTCCCAGAACCCTTCCAACGAAGTCTACGTTGCCAAGGCTCCTCAAGTAACACCCATTGGTGCTTCTATCGCAGCTCTGCTGTCGCTCGTCTTCCTACTCTAGATGAACTGGATCGCAACGTTTGCTTTTTCTGCCAACCAATGATTCCCCTCATTTTAACGACTATTTCCTTTGTTCAAAAATATCCGGCGTTTGGGATTTGTTTACTTTTCACCCATTTTCGGGCTCTTCTTCTCCGGTTCATACTTTTGATTTATACCATTATCCCTGTCCATTACTCTACACATCAGCATTTCACCCAAATAATCAAAACAATGAAAAATTTTATAATAATCTTCTATTTGAGCATGCAATAAGTGACTAAATATGTTCATTTCGTACAAGTCATAATAAGCTGTTGTATAATGTGCCAAACTTCTTTTTTACAGACGGCTGTTGCCCTCCTCGGGAACCTTGATAACAACCTTGCCCCATGTACCGCGGCCGCCCAGAGCAACAAGCGCATCCTTGACTCTATCCAGGCCAACAAACTCCTCATCTGTGTACTCGGTGCCTCGCAGCTTGCCCTCAGCAACTAGCTTCATGATACCGTTCCAGACCACGGGGACCATCTCCTTCTCGTTCTTGGCGTAGGGGCCCCAGTGGATGCCAACAAGAGAAATGTTCTTCAGGAGGACCTTGTTCATGGCGACCTTTTCGATGCTGCCGGCAGCAAAGCCAACAATCAAGATGCGGCCGTTCCACGCCGTGCACTTGGTAGACTTGTCGACGAGGCCAACGGGGTCGTAGACAATGTCCACGCCACGGCCCTTGGGGGTCAGGGCCTTGACCTTATTAGGCCACTCGGGATCGTTGTATGATACGACGTGGTCGGCGCCAAACGACTTGGCAATCTCGAGCTTGCGGGGGGTAGACGCGGTGGCGATGACAATGGCACCGAATGCCTTGGCGACTGTAGTGTATTAGCCTATGTATATACAGAGTCTGCTTGTTTTGGTCCACTACATACCTTGGACAGCGGCGAGACCTACACCGCCAGCAGCAGCGTGAACGAGGACATAGTCGCCCTCCTTAATCTCAGCGCGGACCACGAGGGCACAGTAGCTAGTAGGGGCAGTCACGAAGAGACCGGCGGCATCCTGGAAAGACCAGCCCTTGGGGACAGGCAGCAGGACATTCTCCGCAGTGCAGATCTGTGTAGCAAAGGCACCCTGGCCGGCACCAAAGACGCGTGAGCCGACGGGATATCTGGGCGACTTGGAGTTCTTGGGGGTGGCGACGACTTCGCCGGCAAACTCGGCGCCGGCTACCCAAGGGAAGGCTACAAGAGACACATAATGTCAGTATACCGTGCTAACACTTTAAGAAGAAGAAATAGTGAGGGATGCGTACGAGGCTGGTTCTGGTATTTTCCTTGCACCTGGAGAATGTCGAAGAAGTTGGCGGCGGCCGAGTGCACCTTGATGACATACTCGTTGTCCTTGGGGGTAGGATCGGGCAGCTCAGTTACCTTGAGCTCGCCAGGGCCCTGTGAAGGATATCAGTCAGTTACGATGCTCTTCCACCCACAGAACAAGAATCAAGACGATGCGTCCCCGGCGGTCGGCGTAACTGCCTGCTTACCTTGACGTATTGCTTAATCTCGATGCCCTTCATGGTTGTAGAATGGTTGTGTTGTTTAGACAGAAAGAAGGAAAAGGAATTCAATTGAGCACAAAAACAACAAGTTTGAGAAGATGCGGGATGAAAGAGGGATGAAGAAACGGAGTTTGCAATTGCGGCAAGCTGTCTGGTTCCATTGCCATCCGGGCCGGTGGCCGGGGGGAAATCTGGGGTGTGCGGGGAACCAGCCGAGGCACCGGCCGTCAGTGGCTGCTGCGAAATGGCCGACGGAGTTTCTAGTGGACCACGATCAGATCACGTCAGGCGGGGGAAGATTGCACGGAAAAGATATATATATAGTTGTTGGTGTGGTTGTTTTTTATTCTTCTTCTTTTTTGCCAATAGTTGGTAATACTTTGTAATAGATACAGATTTCTGGCCAGGTTATGTTTGAGTTTCGTTGGTTGGTTATGTCTCGCTCTCCTCCGTCTGCAGTGCTGCTCGTCAATGCAATGCTTGAATCGAACCATGCAAAGCGCTCCATCCTTGTGTCTTTCTAAAAGTTCCAGCAGTCTCCATCTCGAAATTCACATATATACACTAGGTTAGTCCGTTGCGCTGAGTAGGTACTCAATAGCACCTTGTACGCTTCCTCCGCTTCGGCGCAACGCAGCGACGTTGCGGTCAAAGTCAAAGAATCCCATATCGTTGAGCTGGCGCAGCTGGTCCGCATATCGCTCCTCAGGGGGTCTGTTGTCGGGGGGAGTGTTGGTAGCAGCGCCACCACCGCCAAACATGGTCATCATCTGCTGCATCATCTCTGGTGTTACGCCAAATGGATTGGCCTGGCCAGTAGCACCGCCTTGACCTTGAGGGAACAGTGCTGCAAAAGGGTTGGCAGCAGCACTGCCAGCGCCAGCGCCAGTCTGTGCATTAGACGTTGTTGTCGAGTCGCCAGTAGCTCCTGTGGTGTTGGCAGGCGTCTCGCCCGTAGCGCCAGGCGTCGTCGCGGCGCGCGCGGCTGGGGGTGCAAATGGGTTGCCAGCACCTTGGAGAGCCTGCATCATCTGCGCAAAGTTGGGGGCACCGTTTCCATCCATCATGCCCGACATGAACGGGTTCATAAAAGGGTTGGGCGCGGCAGCGTTGGCACCAGCAGCAGGGTTGGCACCAGTGTTGGCATCGCTTGAGGCAGCATTGCCAGGCGTTGTGTCAGTAGCTCCAGGAGCTGGAAAGGCAGCACCACCGCCTCCCATTCCGCGCTGGGCACGCATGGCCTGACTAATGAGCTGCGGGTTGCTCATCATCTGTCTCATGAATGGCGAAGTGATGATTTCTCTAGCATTGGGCATGTTGCGAAGCATGGGGTTCGACTCAATCATCATGTTGACGAAATCGGGGTTGTTGAGAGCTTCGTTCATGGTCTGCTGAACGTTGGGGTCAGAGAGCATGCGCTGCATGTTCTCCTCGTCGAGGGGAGGGCCCATCTACAAGCAATTGGTTAGCACGTGCCACGGTAATAGGCGTCCAGCCAAACAGAAACGTTTTGCAATCATGTCACTTACACCACCGTCGGGACCAAACATATCCATGCCAGGCAAGTTGACTTGGTGGCCAGCATATCGGGCTCCGGTAAGGCCAGCCAGCGGGTTGTTGGCTGTGCCGGCCGCCATGTTGGTTGGTACTGCGGGAGCCGTCGCTGGGGCAGAAGTCGCAGCTGGCTGGCCTGGGTTGCTGGCGGCGCTCTTGACCATGTGAATAGTATTGTTGGGCTTAATCTTGTATGTAGCCAGGGTATCGTCGTTCTTCATGACACGGCCCGAGTAGATGAGACGCTGTCGCTGTACTGGAATGTTCTCATAGTCTTCGCCAGCAAGCTTAGTCTTGAGGTCAAGGACGCTGGCAGACTCGGCCATTGTTATCGTGTGCGAACCATCGCCAGAGGTCTTGACCTTGAAGGTGATTTGGGCATCAGCACCCGCGTCGGCGCTGTCGGCCATGGCTGTTGGCTGGGGTGACGTTGTGGTTTGGTCGGGTATGCGGGGGAACTGTTCGCGAGAATGCGAAACTGGCGCTTGGAGGCAGCGGAAGGCGAGAGTCAGAATGAAGCAGAATAGGAATCCCCAGATGACTTGATTTGTAAAAAGGGCGAGAGAGTCGCTTCGCTAAATGGAATCAACAGAAGAGCAAAGTAGACAGCCTGGCGATGGAGTTGCAGAGGCAAACGAACGTGCGGCGTTGCCTTGCGCTGGAGAAAGACGTGGGGCAGAGGCGGCGCTGGCAGGCGGAAGTGGAGGGGTTGATAGCCGGCGATTGCAGTGGGCTGGTTTTTAATATATAGTAAATTGTAAGTAAATATTTTACATGGATAAGGCGGTAATATATTATCTATAGAATACTATTTGTATTTTTATATATTAAATATTTGGCGGTGATACTTTCATTCTGGCCATAGTGAACGCGCCATACTGCCATTCCATCATAATCCACCGCCTTCTCCGCTGCCAAGTGGTGCAAATCCGCAGCCACGCCACCAGCAACCAACAATGAGTTTGGTGCAAACTGATTGGGCAGATTAGAAACGCTCACGCCATGATAATGATAATTAAAAATAAATTAGGACAAAATATTGTCTGCGAGAAAAATTAAAGAGAAAATAATAATTTTAAATCGTAATTCCAACTACCATAAAACATTAGCGCCAATACTCGCATTTGACACCACGAACCACCACAGGGTAGCATCCACTGAGACAGCACCTGTTCGTCCCCTGTGGGCTGCCCACTGCACCTCTGCTAGCGTCCAATTTCGGTTGCATCTACAACTTACCCCACCATTCCTCTCACAGGTACTCGTTCTTGGAGCTGCAAAGCTTCATCACCACATCACTTCCTCATTCAAAACACGCCCATTTCACACAAGCATATATCCGAATTCACACCAAACACAACCAAAAACACAGAAACAGACTCGTGAAATACGCTACACTCTTACCACTCTCAACTCGAAGCCTGCCACCACCACACAAAACACACGCACACGCATCATGCTGCAGACATCATGATACAGGGCATATTCTACGCTAGATTCTTCCCCCAAGAAGGTATTCATCTCCTATAGCGCCCCATAGGCTGACTCTTTCTCTAATGCTCTTCTTTAGGACCAAAAATCGTCGCACAGTCACCGCCAGGCTGCGTCACATCTACAGACCCCACGGCACGCTCGCCGCTCATCGACTTTGACGTCCTTCAAGAATACATCATTCCCCGGCAAGCATTCTGCAACCGCTATGTCACAATAAACTCACCAGATGGCAAGTACGCCATCCTGGGCTACCCCGTCGTCATCGGCCACACAAAGTATCAGCGCAACGAGTTCATCTTCAACTTTGGTCTGCTCGTCGAGACTGATGTGCCGCTAACGGCTTATGAACGCGTTGTTCGCTGTCTCGCGTCCACTTTTGCCGAAATGGAAAAGCAAAACGAATATCTCAGCCTCAGCGAAGACAAACATGTAGACGATGGCCTGACGCGGCGATCAATCGAGGGCCTTCTCGAGATCATCAAGGAGGATCTCAACAACTATGGTGAATGCATGATTCCTGTTGGTACGTTCTGCCGCTTCTGCTCTGATAATCAACTTTGTCGTTATACTAACACGCATTCAAAGACGAGGCTAATACCCTCAACATGAAGCTCTTCCCGTACCACCCCATACCGCCACCCGTTCGCGGATGGCACGTCCCTGTCGCCAAGACCAAATTCTCAGACATCATCGATCCGACATGGGATCTCACGTTACAAAAGATCATCTCCAAAATTGACGGCGTCTCAGACGTCCGCCGCATCGCCCATTCTGCCGCCGTATCCATCGACCTTGCCAAGACCGCCCTCCGCCATCTCCTCTACTACGATACCATCCTGCTTGTCGACATTTTCTTCTTCAGCTCCTGCTACGCGCCGCGGCCCGCCATCCACGACTTCATTAGCAACAAGGACGGCATGGTGGACGAATGTGCCGGTTATGTGTCCCACGGCTCTGCGCGCGTTAGCAATTTCATGCTGATCAAACTCATGATGGGCTTTGCACCAGGCAAGAGCATCAAGGAATGGATTATGAACCAGCAAGACGCAGGTTTCGATGTGATGCACTACGTTGATATCAGGCGACTCGTCCAGTTTGGCGTCATCAAGGGCTGTCTCTACCGCGTGCACAAGTACGTCGTCTCGAAACAGTACCTTGCTGGCCTGGCGACGGGCCAAAGTCGACCAGTTGAAGGCGGCGACCCTATGCAAAAGTACACCGACGGATGCCACCACTTTGACCAGATCATCACGGAACAGAATCTCACAAACGACGAAATCATGGACAAGTTGAAGAGTCTACCTGTTCCGCGGGGCGACCTGGCCGTCTTTCACAAGTAAACACACAGCCCAATCTACTCAATGTTTCTCTTTAGCGTGTGATGGGGGATACCAAATAGGGAGTTAAATTGTCTTTTTAATAACACCATCTGCGCCTATGCCAGGCGTGTCTATTGTACATATAATATTACAGGAATTTTTAATACAAGATTGCCGCACTCACCATAGTGCAGCCGACTTAGTTGTTATCCTTGTTACCGCTCTTCTGGTCCTTGCCCTGTCCACGCTGGCGCTCACGGCGCTCCAAGCTACTAGGGAACTCGATGTCGGGGTTATTGACGACGCGTGTGCGCTTAATATCGTCCACCTTCTTAGTCAAGACCTTGTTGACCTCTGCCGTGGACACATGGACGCCCGCCTCAGTTTCGGCCTCCTTGCGCAGCTGCTCCTTCAACGTGCGCACGGCGCCAGTATACGGCTGACCTGGGTACGTCTTGCCGCTTGCCGCCCATTCCGCATCACTGACAAGCTCGACAATACGCACATTGTGCTTGCCCTTGCGCAAGATGAGGATCTTGTCGTCAATCAAGAACTTGGATGTCTCCTCAGGGAACCACATCTTGATGGGCGTCCACGACAAGTTGCCAGGGACCAGGCCGCGCTTCTGGCCGGGCTGTGCGGCAACATACGCACCTTGCTGCTTAACAAGGCGCTGGCCCTCAGCAGCACTTGGCGCCAGGCCAGCAGCCAGCAGCAGCTTAGCAGGCGAGAGCTGCATGACAGACTGGGGCAGCTGGATGTCGCTTCGTGGGGCATTGTTGGGCGTGATGATGCCGGACTCGGCGCTGGGCACGTTCATGACCTTGGGCAGCTCGCCGCCAAAGCGGAACTTGTGCTGCTGGGCCTCCTGCAGGGCCTTTTGCGAGCCGTGCACGAGCGAGACGAATTCAAACGCCAGCGTGTGCTGGGCTACGCGCTTCGATGGGTCTTGGTTGTGCTCGGCCATGACAGCCTGGATGGTCTTCATGGGCATAAAGGTGAAGAGCTTGAGCAGCTTCTCGATCTCGTCATCGGAGCGGCGCATAAAGTATCCGTAGAGCTCGAACGAGGATGTCTTGAATTCGTCGATCCAGACTGCGTTTCCGGCAGACTTGCCGAGCTTGTTGCCCGCGGCGTCTGTCAGGAGGGGCACGGTGAAGCCCATGGGCTCGTGCTGCCACTCGGAGGGCATCTTGAGGTGTGGTGCTTCTTCGCTTTCGCGGATCGTCTTGAGGGCCTCGATGCCGGATACAATGTTGCCGTATTGGTCGGAGCCGCCGATTTGCATCTGCACGCCGAGTTTGTTGTACAGGTGCCAGAAATCCCAGCCCTGGAAGAGAGGGTACATGAGCTCGGCAAAGGACATGCCGTCGCCTTCCTCCATCTTTCGCTTGACACTGTGGTCGACATGTTAGTAGCTAGAACATTATTGAGAGTTTGGGCGGAACGTACGTATCGCGAGAGAGCATCGGGCCTAGTCTCGTGTCGCGGGCTAGTCGCTTCATAAAGTCGTATATCGTCAGGCCCTGCAGCCACATGCTGTTGTTGAGGAGATGGTGGCGCGCTGCCCAGTCGTCGGCATAGCCGTACTTGTCGCGCAGATGGACCACGTTGTGCCAGAGTCGGGTGAGCTGGTAGTGGATCTTTGTGATGTTCTTGGAGACTTCCGAGTTGCTCATGTTCTCGCGGCTCTGGAGGCGGCCGGTGGGATCGCCAATGCGAGCAGTCGCGCCACCAATCAGCGTAACGGCCGGGTAGCCGTGGAACCACATCCAGAATAGCGGCATGAGCGGGATAATGTGTCCAACGTGCATCGAGTCGGCAGTAGGGTCGATGCCCACGTAGGCCCCTATTCTCTTTGTTCGCATGATCTCCTTGATTCGTTCGGGGTTTCTGCACCCGTACAAAGCCAGCGGTTAGCATTTGAGCGACGAGAGTTACTCGTCAAGTTACGTACCCAGCTACATCTTTCAAGTAGCCTCTCTCTTCGAGGATATCCCACATGTGGCGCTCCTCTCCTTTTTGAATGCGCTCAGCTCTAGCAGCCCATCGTTCCTCTCCCGCAGCTACCTTTGCCAAATGTGTTTGCGCAATATGACGCTTTTGTTGTATCCATGAAATATTGATGCATTGCGCACGTCCTAGCGTGTTTATTCTCGTCGCTGTTCGCATCGGCGCGATCGAGGATGTCGATAGCCTCGAAGCCATGATTGCTCGGCCGGCGCACAAGCTTGCACAGCCGCCGGAAGGAAAGTTTGACGGGTTGATGACTAAAAGTTGTCGATTATATCTTCATGTGACCAGCTTGTGGCTCAAGTCAACGCCAAAAAATATAATGTTGTCAAGAAAAGGCCCAATGGCGCAAATTGCCTTGGTCGTGTTTGATGCTGTCCCAAAAAAAATTCCCTGCATCAGTCGGCCAGTGGAGGCCGATACGCTGTAATCGGATAAACGTTGTTGAACCCCGCCCGTACCACTTACACCACCAATGCTTGCAACTGGCAGTCACGATAAGGCATTTCATTAGAGACTTTTTTTTGGTAGATTTCTTATATTTCTTTTCTACATAAACTAGGGGGTTTACAATTTTGTTTCTTCGTTCCTCGTAACTCTTACTATTAAAGAGGGGAAAACTCGTAAGTGATGCCGGCATCACCGTCCACTACCGCCTAGAGCCACTGTTAAGCAGCTCATAGGCTGGTACGGTGTTGAACGGTACCACAATAACGAATGGAATTAGCATTCGCATTGATTGTTTTTTCTCCTTATGTTCTTCGAAGCTCGCTTAGATGGTCAAGCTGGGCATGTCGACAGAGTTGTTGCGCTCGAACTCGGGGGTAGGGGGAGGAAGGTTCTCAACCTTGGTGCAGATCCAGCAACTGGCGTACATGTTGACGCGGTCGATGCAGGCTCCGTCCAGTCTGGCGCCGGAGCGCTTGGCAGAGAAACCGTGGCTCTCAAAGACCTTGATGTACCAGGGAGAAAGAGCCGACGAACGGAGCATGACGCGGCCGCCCATAGCCAGAGCTCTGTTAAGCTTGGTAACCTGGGTGGCAGCGGCCTGTGAGCCGTTGTCGAACCAATCCATGCTGTCCATGACGACAGCAATGGTCAAAGTGCCAGGCATGATGCGAGCAATGACCTCCTCGACCTCGTCGGTGTGGATGCGAAGGCCGTCAAGGGCGTTGGGGCGAGAGAGCTTGGCGTGGACCTCAGGGTCAAGGTAGTGAGGGTGGCACTTCTTGGAGAAGGAGCCGTTCAAGCAGACATAGTAGTAAGGGTTATCCTCGGAAAGAAGGGTCTCTTCGGCAACAGGGTCGAGGGTGTTGACCATGTAGTGCCAGATGGCATGGGAGCGGGTGTTCTTGGCCTTGGGCTTGGGACCCTTGACGATGTCCGAGTTGGCGTGGTCGTTCTCAATCATGGCCAATTGATTCTTGGGGACACCAAGAGCGCTCCAGAGGAAGCTCTCCTGAGCGACAACCAAGTTGCAGACAAGCTGAGACATAAGAGCAGGGCGGATCTTGTTTCTCCAAATCTCGCGCTGCTCGTTGAGGGTCTTGGTGTTGAGCATCTGCTTGACGGCGGAACGGAGACCAAAGAGGCGGCTAACCCAGCGCATGGCGCGGATGGCGTGGCGGGAGCCACCAGTGTCGTAGAGACCAAGACCACTCTTGCTCTCAAAGATCTGAGTGTTCTTGAGCCAGTACTGGAAAGCACGGCCAGAAAGATGGGGAGAGAGCTTGGTGACAAGGAGGTGGCGGAACTCAGGGTGTTTACCATCACCAAAGATCTTCCAGAAGTCTTCGTAAGGAAGAGCAGTGTAGGCGGCGGCCTTGAGTTCGAGGAGATGGTTCTGGGTAGGGTTCAGATCGACAGCGTGGACGCGGGCGGGGCTCTGGGCGAGGTAGGAAAGGATGTTGTCACCAGCGGAAGTAATGGCGAGAATCTTGTCATCAGGGCCAATCTTGAGGATGCGCTCGTCGACGCGGGCATCCTCCCAGGTGAAAGCATAGATATACTCATCGTTGAACTGGGTGTGCTTCTGGAGCTGGTCATCGTAGTAGATTCTCCAGTGGTGGTTCTGGTAGAAGAATGAGGGAAGGGGCAGGTTGGCAGACAGGTTCTGGACAGCAGTGATGAAGGCCTTGGAGCGGATCTCAGGAGCAGAGCGCTCAATGGCACGGGACAGGGCATCGCCTTGGTTGACAGCGGTGAGGTAAGGAGACTCAGTAGCCATGGCATCGATACGCTCAATGATCTCGTGGGGCAAGCTGGAGGTGGCAAAGGGCTTCTTCTGGCAACCAACCCAGACGTAGTAAGGGATGTAGCCAAGGGTGCGGTTGCGGCCGTTGAGGTTGAGGATAGTACCAAACTTGTATTCCAGGTAGTCACGACGGCTAGGCTCAAGACCGACGCGGTCAAAGTCGAACCAAGCTCTCCAGAAGAGGCGAGACCAGGCGTTGACGTGACGATCCAGGAAGCCAGCAGTGTAGTTGCGGAAAGAGAAGTCGATCTGGTTCTGAACGTAGAAATCGACGACACCGAAAACACCACCGGAGGACAAGAGGGAAGTGACAGAGTCGACAACAGAGTAGTAGTCGGGCTAGTAAAAGTTAGTTATGAGTCGCGTATGAAATTGGGATGGTACGCTTACAATCATGGACAGACTGTAGGACATGGTGACGAGGTCGGCACCACCGTGCTCGGGTCTCTGCTGCTTCAGGTAGCTGAGAGCAGGGGAGCGGATGGGGTTGGTGCGGGGGGACATGCCGTTCTCGTAGTCCTCAAGGCGAAACTTGCGCGCGTCTTCACAAACGACGACGACATTTTTCCAGCCGAGACGCTCGAAGCGCTTGCGGGCAACTTCACACAGAGAGGGGGAGAAATCAACGAGGTAGACACGGGAGAAGTAGGTGGGGACATCAACATGGCGAGCCATGGACTCGATGTTGTATCCGGTGCCACCACCAACCTAGAAAAGGGAGAAAAGAATCTTGGTTAGCTGGGAATTGATGCTGAAACAATGTGCGGAAGCTGCTTACATCGACCCAAATGCGCTTGTTGGGGTTGACCTTGCCAGAATCAACATCGAGCTGGGTCTTGGCGTCGAGCTGAGCGACGACAAGAGCCAGCATGTCCTCGCGACCACGGAGGAGGATTTTACGAGTCGCATCATACGCTCCAGCTTGGTTGGAGTAGAAGCTTTCAAGGGCATCTTGCTGGGAGGCCTTAGAATCGCCTTGATGGGGCTTCAGGAAGGACGAGTAAAAGAAGAGGATGAATGAGCGAAGAACGCCGGGGGCGTCATCGTTCTTGGACTTGCGGCCGAGAGACAGCAAGCAGGCACCGCCGAGAACAGCGACAGCTATTCCAGCATAGAGAGGTTTGATTTCTAGATCCGTGCCAAAAGGCAATTTGTTACCACCCTATTACGGGGGGAAGCGAATTGGTTAGCATGGTGTTGCAAGACAAGAGAGTGCCAGGCTGGAGCTTACAAGAAAATCCATGGTATTCTCTCATGTTATGGGGGAGAGAATAGAGTTGAGTTGATCAAGCAGCAAGAGCTGTGTTGAAACGAGGCAAAAATTGCAAGGAAAACCGAAGCAATTGAGATGATTTGGTATAAGAAGAGGAAGAGATCAAGAAGACAAGAGGAGAGAGGAGAGGGAGGAGGGGTGAGCATGCGAGCGCCCCTCCAAGGGTGTTATATACAAGAGGCGCGGGAACGTGTCGTGCGGGCAGTTTCCACTCTGGAGCTGGCGAGGCAGGCCAGGCAAGGCACATGCCTTGAGAGGGACCCTGAGCCCGACTGCAGAGGCGCATAGCGACGGTGGATATCGGAATTGCGTCTAGCAGAGTCGTGTTCAGGGATTAGAAGCTCTGGGATTGGTTGCGAGAGGGGTACCAGTACCAGCGGCGGCTGTGCGATGACGAGGCGGCCGCAGGTAGAGCGTCGTACAGTGGTTTGTTAGGTACCCGCAGCGGATTCAGTTGCTGGAGACTGGAGAGCCTCCCTTCCCTGTGCGTCTGCCCAGTTTGGAGGGTGGTGGGTGGCGGGAGGTTGTATCGTAGCAGCGGCCGTTGGACCAATAGCTGAGCCACATGGGCTGGGAACGTGCTGGGAGAGAGCCGCAGCGCAGTTGTTTGGGAGGGTCCCGCCCTGTAGAGACATGCCGAGCACCATTAGTCGGTGATCGGCTGAGGTGCTGTGATGCGGCAGACATCCCCAAGCGTGGAAAAAAAGGTGGAGGGTGTGGGGTGCAACAGGACAGATTTGGTGGGCGAGACGCTTCGAGGTGGGGTTTTAGTGAACGATGGGCCTGGCAAAAACGTTTCGGGGCGATTGGCTGGCGTGGTGTTCAGAGCAATCTTGCACTATTAGTAGCACCACTTACTAACAACAGAGAGTCGTTGCCAGAGAAGACTGCCAAGAGTAACTAAATACAAAATAAATATCACAGCACAGTCTATCAAATAACAAATCGAATTGGCTTCTCTATAAACACTAATTCCTGTCACAGACTGCCCAAACCCAAGTTGCTGCTTCTCTAATTCACCGCTTTGCAACCCAATCCCAATTTTACAGAAGGGGCAGCACCATCCCCCAGACAGGAAAGCAAGCAAAAAACAGATTGGCGTCTTTAGCTTTCGTCTATCGGCGGAGCCAAATGCACGCCTACAGCGCCAATGAGAAGCGTTGACCCACGCACATGTGGTCCCCAGACGCGGCAGATGGAGTACCTGGGAAACGCCGCTAAGGAATTTCACCAAACAAAAGAGAGTGGTGACGGAGAGTCAATACCATCACGGGTTGCATTCTGTAATAAGAATAGCCAAGTCATGGAATCCAATAGAATGCCCCGTCGGGATTTTGTGCACACGAGCAGAGTAAAAAAGGGAACAATAAGATAAACCTGGTTGCGTGACCTCGTCTCAAAGGAGCAGGTGTATGTGTGATCTCGGCGGCTCATATATGCCGCTGTAAATTGCCCGCCCTAAACCGGTGAGAGAAGAAGAACGAAGAGCTGAATGGCTAGTTACCCATAGTTCTAATAAGGTATGGTACTGCTGAAACCTCCCTACACCACTAGTAATAAACACCTACTACCAGGCCTGCTGTTGAATACATTACAGCGCAGTTGCTCCCCTTGCTGCCCACTGTGGCGGCGCTGAACTTCTCGTCCCCAACAGATTTTCGCCCCCCTTCCCCTGTGCTTCCAGGCCGCCTGTACCCCGTCTTTGCGAGGCTGCCCGCAGGCTGCGACAGGGCCTTAATGCCGCAGAGACGCGATACAGCCCATGTCACCCCTGCTGTAGGAAACCAGCTGTAAAACACATGGATAATCATGGTTTTTGGCAGACCAGGACAGGCTGGCAGCGTTATCATTCCTATTATTCCCGGATGCATGCACACACACACATACATGTATATATTAACCTCGTATATACGCACATATAGCCACAATGCCGGCTTTTTTCCTTCCTTCCTGGCACCATCCGCATGACACCAACGTTTGACACACTTGCCTGCCTCTGCCGCCCAAGATCTCGTCCCACCTCTGTCCCAACAGATCTTTGCTCCCTGTCGCTCAGTGGGCCGTTTAATACAAAAATCGTGGCCTCTTGCTACGAATTTGACATGTGAAAGCCAATTTCTTGCTTGATTCACGACGGACCAATTGCTTTCACCATTCTTGCACGCCGCCTTCTGCCGTCACTACTCTGCCGGCATCTGCGTCTCGTTTGCCGTCGAGCACATCCCGAACAAGCTCCCCGCCTAATGCCGGGTCCTTTGCCCCAAACTTCTTCTTGGACTCCGCCGATGCTCCTCCGAGCTCCGTAGCTAAAAACCCAGGCGAGACAGCCCAAACCTTTACGCCGTCGTTGCTCAGCATGCGATGCCATTCCCTGCCAACTACCATGTCAGCAAGCATGTCACCCTATTAGAGCATGCTTCACGTCGGTTCCATGTTGATAACGCACCTCATCATCATGTTTAGGCCCGACTTGGACGCTCGATAGGCTGGTGTGTCACCGTTTGCCTTGATTGGCTTAGGCCATCCTGGCGGCGGTGAGGTGTTTCCAGGTGACGCGGTCTCTGTCCCACCAAGCGAAGAAGTGCCGCTAGATACGAACAATAGTCGAGGATTCGAAGATCGCAGCAGTAGCGGTACAAATACCGTCGTCATGACCTGCGCTCCCACAACGTTGACGTCCCACGAGCCAGCCCATGCTTCGCGCATCGTGACCTGTCCAGCATCTCGAGCAAAATCGAGCAGAACGCCTATACACTGTATAAGAATCATGAAACGAATGTAGAGTCAATGTTGCAAATCAGGCCTAGAACTGACCTGCGTTGTTGATAAGGGTATCTATCCGCCCATGGGTCCTCTCGATTGCCAGAGCAGCAGCGTGTATGGAATCATCGCTCGTGACGTCAATTTCATACGGAATAATTCTGTCATTTGCTGCCGGGAATTCCTCCTGAACATCCCTTGCTGCTTGGGCTGCATCAGGAAAGCTCTTAGCTGAGAGCAACAGTGTATATTCGTTCGTCGAGCTGCTAAGTGCTTTGACCATGGCCAAGCCCAGGCCGCGATCCGCTCCAGTGATGAGGACAATGGTCATCTTGGCAGAACCGAGTCAATAGATCACGAAATAACAGGCTAAATCAACTCGACACCTGTAGCATCACGAACTAATCCCATTTACAAAGTGGACAGAATCTGCAAGGCTCATACAAGCTACAAGCTGTGCGGGGAGCTGCAGGGCTGTCGGCCGAAGAGCGTTCATCTAATGTTGGCCGGAACCCCGCATCGTGACTTACACAAATACCCCACCATGAGCTTCGACACCTGCTTAGCCTGGATTGTTCAACACCACATCGATCAACTTCTTGTTAGAGATGAGAGTCCGGGTATCGATTTTAGTACCTTCAATCATGAAATTATACCTCAATTGTTGCTTGTAAATAGTTTTCTATAGATACATCCCACCCAATTGTCCCCTTGAAGTACTAAACATGTAGTACTGACATTACTCGCACTCAAAGCACTATAAAGAAATATTAGCAGCAATACAGCAACAATGAATCACACAATAATGTAGTCAACGTACACGACCGCAGTGGGAAGGGCAGTTGGCGGGAGAACCGCAGCAGACCTCAGCAGAGGGCAGAGCCTGGACGGCGCTGGCGGCAAGGAAGACAGCAAGGACAACGTTGCGGATGATAGACATTATGTACTATTCTTGCAGATATACAGGAGATAGACGTAGGTTCAAGTTTTCATGGAGGACGAACCCAGCTTTATAAACCTTTCTGTGACAGGGGAGTAGAGAACTCGCCGACCCAACAGCAGCATGCAGCCAACGGCCGTGCAACAGCAACCAACCAACAATCCGCTGCCGCTATTACTTCTGCTGCATAGCGGGACCAAGCCTCGTCCAGGATATTCGGCACGTCGGAGACATTATTTCGGGCGAGAGAGCTCTGCATACACAGAAGACGAACTATATCTGCGTGTGCACCGTCAGCACTAGCAAACGCAAACTGGGATCCTTGCCGCCGCAAGGCACAACGGCCGCGTCTATTGTTACAAGGCTATCACCAGAACAAAAATATTTGGAATTAATTGTGCCTGGATTTCTTCATCCTTTCTTGTTTTCTCTTTTTTTTTTCTCAAGGAATTTAATTTGTATTAAAAGGAAACAACATTCGTCGTGGTTATTCATGGTGGTGTTGGCTGTTGGTTCCTGGTTAGCGTTGCCAGCTCCTCCACCCGCCGCCGTGGCGTTTAGTGGGGGCTGATCTTCACCTCACAGAAGCAAGCGCGGAATATTGATAATCCAGCAACGTCAAGCCGAAGCTCCTGACGCGCGCGCCGCCTGCGTGCTAACATCATCGCATCGTCGCATCTCCACGCCCACGCATCTCATCGGCTTTTATCGCAGCGCAAGCTGATTCCATCTGTGCATCGCCCTCCGCGCCGGGGCTAATCATTACAGATGCCCATTCATCGCATGGTTCAACAATAAAACCAAGTGCGCGCCATGCCGAAACCAAGCAGAACCTCGACGCCCACCCCGGGTTCGTCGCTCCCTCCGCAAGAATTCTACGACCCGGACTTTTTAAATACCAGAGTCATTTTATTTCCCAACCTATCATACGAAGATCTCGTCGACCATGGAGCGTCCAATGCCACCGTGCCGGACTCCAAGACGGTCGATTCGATGCTGGAGAAGCTCAAGAGTCTTCTCAGCGTCATGGAGAAGCGCTCCACATTCTATGACCGTGGTATGCGATATCTCGCCGACGAACGAAAGAAACGTGGTGGCGACTATGACCAGGTCATGACAGATGAGCCAGAGGTCAAAAAGTCAAAGAATAAGAAAAAGAAGAGCGATGACGGTAGGCACCACTCCCCACTCTTGCAACCCATGATCCTGTTCTTTGTTTTGCTAACTTCCCTGTTCTTCTTATAGATAAATCATCACCCGTTAAAGATTCGAAAGCGAAGCGGCGCGATTCGGCCAGCTCTGCTGGCGACAGTGACGGCGCATCAGCGAATGGTGACGCCGATGGCAAGTCCAAAAAGAAAGACGGCTCCGAGTCCGACTCAGATTCTGAATCCAGCTCAGAAGATGAAGGCGCACCTAAGAAGCGAGAAATGCCACAAGCCATGACATTTGGCGAAGACCCCTCGACCTTCCCTGACCCAACTATATACGAGATCCTACCCGTGAACGACGATATGACGGAAGATGAAAAGAAGAAGATATACTCAGTCGCAGTGTATCCGAAGAGCGACCTACTCGATAAGATTGCCGGAGAGCCCCCAGACAAGGACTTCACCAACGCGAAGCCATCCAGTCAAATCAACTTCACAACGTTTGCTACCTACATCGAGCCATACTTCCGCGGGTTCACGGAAGAGGATCTTGGCTTCCTACGAGAACGTGGAGACAGATCAACTCCGTTTGTGATGCCGAAACGAGGAAAGAGAGGCTACGCTGAGATATGGGCAGAAGAAGACGGTGCAATGTCAATTGATTCACCTCAGCAAGGACGTGAGAAGATGGCACCGAATGCACCCCGCGGCAACATCGAGTTGATGTCAGATTCCATTGGCGAGACTGATAGCCTGTCAATCGGGCCACTAGCGTCTCGTCTTCTTCAAGCTTTACGACCAACAACCCGAGTAGCTGCTGCTGCCGCTGCTGCTAGCGAAGAGAAGGCAACGAATGGCACAACGAATGGTGACGTCAGCATGAATGGCGACGATGAGCAAAATGGCGAAGAGAAACCTAACCCTCTGCAGCCAGCTACTGCCATGCCCGACTCGTCAAGCGACGCGTGGAAGAAAGCAATCCATCCGCGCTTGGAGTATGCGCAGGTTGACGAACGTCTTCGGCAGGAGCTCCGACACATTGGTTTCCTACCTGATGAAGGATTCGACCTCGAGTATGATGGCCACTATGACGATGAGGTGGCCGGCCGCCTGCGCCACCTGCAGGCTCGCTTAAAAGAACAAATACTCATCAATGGTGCGCGCAAGGCCCGTCTGACAGAGCTCGTCAAGGAGCGTATGGCAAACCAGGAGTACCAAACCATCCTTGAAGACTTGGATTCGCAGGTCCAGGCTGCCTACTTGAAGCGCACACGAACCCTGGGCAAGAGCAAGAAGGCCAAGCGCCCTGGTGGCGCCGGTGGCGGTAGCCATCCTGTGGGTGGCACGGCTCGCCCTGGCATTGGCGACCTTACCCGAACGCTCATGGAGCGACGACGCCGATGGATTGATACAATTGGCTCCGTCTTTGAAGACGAGAATGTGTGCAAGGTGCCGCGGCAATCAGACCCCAACAGCTCCATCTTCAAGGCTGCCGACATGGCAGATCTACTTAAGAGGGAGAAGGAACAGTGGGACGAAGAGGCGGAGGAAGAGTAGAGGAAATACATGTTCTCTGACCCAATTTTGGTCCATATTGAGCGCTGCAATAGCATATGCTTGTTTTGCGACTAGAACGTTTATGCCAGTGCTACAGCTAGCTGACTGTCTAGCTGCTTTGTTTTCCAATGTTTACTGTATGGCGTTTTGGCGGGATATGGGCTGCAGGGAATAGGGCCCATACAACTTTGTTTATAGTCGGATACAAACGAATCAGCGTAATGAAAATTCATATTACCGGAGCCATATTGACCTTAATTCTGTCTTCCTGTGGTTCTCCGGTATACGCTTCATAGGGCGCCCCCCGAATACGATTACGGTGGACCGCTGAATGAGGCTATACGCCGTGACGAACACGCCCCCGATGACCTCTTCTCGCAAGAAATATAAAATAATATGCATGGTTTCAGTGCCCCTGTTTAAAAAAGTGAGAATTATAAAAGCTGGCAAGTTCCTACATTTGAGGTTTGTTGGGTTTTGAGAATTATATCTCTGTCTTCTCCTTTACAACACCAATTGCCTTATCAAAGTTATCATGCTGTTAGTCACGGAGCTTCTGAACCCATCTGGTGTCCTACGACTGGTGGCCTATGGATTTAGTGCTCTGGTAGCATTGGTTGTCCTCAATATCTGCCGCCAAGTTCTGCTTCCTCGCAGGGAATCCGAGCCGCCTACTGTCTTCCATTGGATCCCGTACATTGGCAATGCTGTCTCGTATGGTATGGACCCTGTTGCATTCTTCGTCAAGTATCGTGCCAAGGTATGTTCCTGTTACCATGTTAACTCCTCATCTTGTTTGAGAGAAGTCATTCAATAGATCTGTGGATAACCTAACTCTACCATTGGATAGTATGGCGACGTCTTCACTTTTACACTCTTTGGCAGAAGCATCACTTGTTGCTTGGGCATTCAGGGCAATGAATTTGTTCTTAACGGCAAGCTCCAAGACGTCAATGCGGAAGAAATCTATGGTCCACTCACGATCCCCGTCTTTGGTAGCGACGTCGTCTATGATTGCCCCAACTCAAAGCTCATGGAACAGAAGAAGTTTGTCAAATTTGGATTGACTCAAAAGGCTCTTGAGGCACATGTTCCATTGATTGAAAAGGAAGTACAAGATTATATCAAAGCGACTCCTGCCTGGAAGGGCTCGTCCGGCGTTGTCGACATCTCTGCCGCCATGTCTGAGATTACCTTGTTCACGGCGGCGAGATCGTTACAAGGCATGGAAGTCCGGCACAAACTGACGGCCGATTTTGCTAAACTTTATCATGATTTGGACATGGTAAGTTTGGGTGGGCAATACGGATTACCGTTAAGCCCTGTTGTTTCAATCTTGGGTTTTTCGCTAACATACACATCAAACAGGGCTTTTCTCCGATCAACTTCCTCTTCCCTGGATTACCCTTACCTCGAAATCGCCGCCGAGACGCCGCCCACGTCAAGATGCGTGAAGTATACATGGAGATTATCAATCAGCGCCGTGAACACCCTGACGATGCCGAATCCGAGCAGGACATGATCTGGAACCTCATGAACTCGGTGTACAAGGATGGAACACCTGTCCCAGATAAAGAGATTGCGCACATGATGATTACTCTCCTGATGGGTGGTCAACATTCATCCTCATCTGCTAGCTCATGGATCATGCTCCGTCTAGCGGCACACCCAGACATTGCCGAGGAGTTATTCCAAGAGCAAGTACAAAATCTCGGACAAGGTAGCACAGACCTCCCGCCTTTGCAGTACTCCGACCTCGATAAACTTCCCCTATTGCACAACGTCGTCAAGGAGACACTCCGCTTACACGGCTCAATCCACTCGATCCTGCGCAAAGTCAAGAACGTGCTTCCTGTGACCGGTACTCCTTATGTCGTTGGCACGGACAAGGTTCTGTTATCGTCGCCAATGGTGACAGCCATGAGTGATGAGTTCTTCATCGATGCTAAAAGCTGGAACCCACACCGCTGGGACGAGGCAAGGAATGGAGACGATGAGAAAGGTGAAGTCGTCGACTATGGCTATGGCGCCGTCATGACGGGGACAAAGAGCCCTTACCTTCCCTTTGGTGCTGGCCGCCACCGCTGCATTGGTGAAAAGTTTGCATATTTAAACCTCGGTGTCATTGTAGCCGTCATTATTCGCAACTATAAGCTTTCGACACTGGACGGACGCGTCGGCATTGTTCCTCCGACTGACAATACCTCCATGTTCGCGCGCCCTCAGCAACCTGCAATGATCCGCTGGAGCCGACGGGAATATGACTGAGTTCTGCATTGCTCTTCGAAATGGAGATTAGATGGCAAAAAGAAAGCTCACCTATAGAATAACATCCTTCTTTCATTCTCCTAGTTCTTCTGCATTGAGCGGAGGAAAATGTCCTTCTACCATCCCGCTCTTTGAAGGGCGGCGCTCCCCGCCTAACAAATATGCTGCGTGCCTGGCTCAAGCAGCGGCAGCCGCTCAGTTATTTCAGTGGACACCACCGCGGCATGCAATGTACTTGCACGATGCGGCCAGAAGTAGAAGGTGTTTCAGCGCGTGCATCCTGGACAACGGCGGGATGCGATGGACCCTTGACTCTGCGTAGAGTGGGACGGGGCAATGCATGTAGCTATATGTACTTTGTGTAAGGAAGAACGCCTTCGGGATCGATTGATTAAATTGCTCCGGACGAAAACGTATGTGGCGTGTCGGGTTTCCTTGGGATGGCGCCGAGCCTCCTTTGTGGCGCTAGGCGGCTCTTATCTTTTCTGGTAGCCCCCAAAGACAGCCAAAGCAAGCCCAGTTGTCGCCGTGGTCTGCGATGTAGCCGTGTCTTATCTACCCCGGTACCCTCCCGCAGCAAAAAGTATGGCCAAGTTAGCGCAGCATCACAGGCCAGCAGGGGCGTGGAGCTGTGCCGATAGCCTGGAACGTTCCTGTCAACGGGCTGGGCTCTCTTTTACCGGCGGCCGATGGGGGTGCCCATCCCCCCAAAGGCTAGCTATCGAGCCGTTTCTGCCGCCCCCGACTGTCTTTCGTCGTGCCGCTTCCGAGCTCATCTCTTCGTTCTTTTCTTCTCTTTTTTGTGGTTGTGCTCATTTTACGTTACTTCTTGTCCAGCTTTGATTCCACCTTCTTCCACCAAGTGCCCGCCAGCTGCCCGCCAGCTGCCAGCTGTAGATAAGCATGCACCTGGCTCCCAAAGAGGTAATTGCCAAGCCCTCCCACTGCGTCCCCCAGACTCACTGCTCCAAATCCACCACCACCACCCCCGCTGGGGAAAACTCGTGCAAGTCGTTCACCATCCTGCACCGGCAATCCTCTATAGCAACCATTATTTTTGTTTCAATATTTGATTAATTAAAGAGTTTCTGGCTGACAAGATAATTTTTTACACATTTTTAGCTTGACAAGCTCGTCATTTCACAGCTTGGTCTTCTCGCTCAGCGCCGTCTAGCACGCGGTGTCGCCCTCAATCATGCCGAAGCAACGGTATGCGCCCACCGGACTCCCACTCTGCCGTAGCATCCCTTGTGGGCATGCGATCGGCACTCCAACTTACAATAGCTGACAGTGACGTTCTGTAGGCCCTTATTTCGAATAATATTCACGAATTGATACGCGATGGACGACATACTGTTGCCGACCTGATGGACCTTGGCTCGACCATGCTCGGTCGCCGCCATGTGTTGCCCTCTGTCTGTCACACCTTACAGGAAATCCAAGTTGAAGGCACATTTACGACTGGTACTTATCTTGTTACTGTCCACAACCCAATTAGCACCGACGATGGCGATCTAAGACGCGCACTATATGGCAGCTTCCTACCCGTGCCCGACAACGACGTTTTTCCACTTCCAGACGCGGATGCCTATCTCCCTATAAGTAAACCAGGTGCAGTGATTCCGGTAAAGGGCAATGTCACTTTAAACGAAAACCGCAAAAGGATTCGTCTTCGCGTGACTAGCAAAGGAGATCGGCCTATCCAAATAGGCTCCCACTACCACTTTATCGAAACCAACCCACAGCTTGATTTTGACCGAGCCAAAGCCTATGGCTTCCGCCTTGATATTCCTGCCGGTACATCCGTACGATTCGAGCCTGGTGATACCAAAACCGTAAACATGGTCGAGATTGGCGGTCACAAGGTTATTCGTGGTGGCAATTCGCTCGCATCTGGTGGTGTTGAAATGTGGCGAGTAGAAAGCATTGTCAAGAATTTACAACAAGCTGGCTTTGCGCATACTCCCGACCCAACCGTTGATACCAAGGCTCTGCGCCCCTTCACTATGGAGAGAGCTGCATACATTACCATGTTTGGTCCTACAACTGGTGATCTGGTTCGACTCAGCAATACAGACCTCTGGGTAAAAGTGGAAAAGGATTACACAGTATACGGAGACGAATGCAAGTTCGGTGGTGGCAAAACGCTACGCGAAGGAATGGGCCAGGCAAGTGGACGCCCAGATGCAGACAGCCTAGACATGGTCATCACAAACGCCCTTGTCATCGACTGGACAGGAATCTTCAAAGCAGATATTGGCATAAAACATGGTATGATTGTTGCCATAGGCAAAGCTGGTAACCCAGATGTCATGGATGGCGTAACACCAAACATGATTGTCGGCAGCTGCACAGACGTGGTAGCAGGCGAAGGCAAAATTATTACAGCAGGTGGTCTCGACACACATATCCATCTTATATGCCCTCAGCAAGCGCAAGAGAGTCTCGCGTCTGGTGTCACCACCATGCTTGGTGGAGGAACTGGGCCTAGGTCAGTATATCAATTCCCGTTTGCTATAAACTATCCGGCTAACGTGAGACAGCGCCGGGTCAAACGCGACTACTTGCACGCCCGGTAAGCATTATATGAAACAGATCCTTCAAGCTTGTGACCACCTGCCGGTCAATGTTGGTGTTACTTGCAAAGGAAACGATAGCTCACCTGTTGCCTTGCGGGAGCAGGTTACAGCTGGCGCGTGTGGACTGAAGCTTCACGAAGACTGGGGTTCGACCCCGGCGGCAATTGACTCCTGTTTGACCGTATGTGACGAGATGGATGTACAATGCCTCATCCACACCGATACCCTGAATGAATCTGGCTTTGTAGAATCAACAATTGGTGCATTCAAAGGTCGCACCATTCATACTTACCACACTGAAGGTGCTGGCGGCGGCCACGCCCCGGATATTATCTCCGTGGTTGAGCATCCAAACGTGCTCCCGTCATCGACCAACCCAACACGACCATTTACACTCAATACCTTGGACGAGCATCTAGATATGCTCATGGTCTGCCATCACCTGTCCAAGAATATCCCAGAGGATGTTGCGTTTGCAGAGAGTCGTATCAGAGCCGAAACAATTGCAGCCGAGGACGTTCTACACGACTTGGGTGCTATTAGCATGATGAGCTCCGACTCCCAGGCCATGGGCCGCTGTGGTGAAGTCATCCTCCGAACGTGGAACACAGCGCACAAGAATAAGATTCAACGCGGGCGGCTCAAGGAGGACGAGGGCACTGACGCCGACAACTTCCGCGTGAAGCGATACGTGAGCAAGTACACCATTAACCCAGCGCTCGCCCAGGGCTTCAGCCACCTCGTCGGCAGCGTCGAAGTAGGCAAACTTGCCGACCTGGTTGTCTGGGACCCAGCCTGGTTTGGAACCAAGCCGTACCTTGTCCTCAAGAGCGGTCTGATTGCATGGGCACAGATGGTAAGTTGTATAGAGGTTATCAACGCACGCGTATGGCGGCCCACTAACACAGTAGATAGGGCGATCCTAACGGCTCGATTCCAACAGTACAACCTGTGATAGGCCGCCCCATGTTCGCAGCACATGTCCCCGAGACAAGTGTACTCTTTGTTTCTGCCGACTCAATTGCATCGGGCACAATTGCCAGCTATGGCCTAAAGAAACGCGTTGAGGCAGTCCGTGGCTGCCGCTCAGTGAGCAAGCGTGATATGCGATTCAACGACGTGATGCCCAAGATGCGTGTCGATCCAGAAAGCTACGTTGTTGAAGCAGACGGCAAAGTATGTGCTGCAGCACCAGCAGAGTCGCTACCGTTGTCGCAGCCTTGGTTCGTGTACTAGTTACTGGAGATGAACATATCATGGTGGCCGAATGAGTTAGTTAGCAAAGCAGTAAGAGCGTAGTCTTACATTTTACATTAGCATACGATATTAGCATTATCAATATACCACATTCAAGTCATTATCATCACAAAACGAAAATAGGATTCAAGGTTCAAAAGGATAAACTCATTGCTTTCATTACTTTGCAAAGCGGGCTTCCGTCCAGAGCCAAAACACTTTGCTTAAATACAACCATCATGACGGAACATTTCACAGCCGTGACCCAAAAAACCCAATCGTTCCCCTCATGCCCAAAGGAACCAACGCAGGATAACATAAAATAAGGAATAAAACAAAACCAGATCACTCCAAGAAAAACGGATTTTCGCTATTCGGGTGCGATCACAAAAGGGCAACGAGCCTCAACTTTTCCCACCGTCTTCCCAACAACCAATAGTCATACAAAGTTCAAACGATGGTGGTATGAGCGCATGGTCAAGCAAAGAGGAGATGCACCAAGTAGACAAGGCAAATCGCTCTAAAGGAGACAACAGGGCTGAAAGCTTGGCATCAGAGCCTTTTTGGCACCCTGGTATATAGTGACAAAAAGCAGGCGACAAAGGGAACAAAAAAGAGCTGAGAGAGGTAAACCGACTCAACGCTTAAGCGTTCTTAGCAGCCTTCTTGCGGGGAGCGGCCTTCTTAGGCTCCTCCTTGTCATCGCCCTTGGTGGAGCGTCTGCGCTTCTTGTCAGGGCTGGCGGCCTTGGAGGTGTCGGCATCAGCAGCAGGAGCCTCGCTCTTGCGCTTGCGGGGGGCGGCAGCCTTCTTGGGGGTCTTGGAGGAGTCATCGCCCTGCTGGAGCTGCTGGGCAATGGCATCCTGGACAGAGCCACCGGCGGAAGAGTCCTTCAGGTCAGGCATGGGGATGCTGAACTCCTCAGCGTACTTGAGGGCCTCCTCATCGGACATACCCTTGGCAGCAGCGTTGCCAGCCTTGTAAGAGTGGACACGAGCGTTGTAGAGGCGGAGGTTGTACTGATAAGCGTTGTTCCAGCCCTGCTTCTCGCTGGGGCCCATGTTGGCCCAGCGGCGCTGGCCCTCCTCCTGGACGGCACCCTTGGGGGCTTCCTGACCGAGGTCATTGGCAATGATGCTGCGGGCATGCTGCATGTAGAGGAAGTAGGGGGTGAGGGGACGCTTGGGAGCGTTGGGGTCGTGGGTGCGCTTCTTGCGCTCCTTCTTCTCGTCACCACCAGCGGCATCGCCGGGGAGGATGGCATTCTCAAAGAGGTTGGTAGGGGCCTCACCGACCTGCTCGCCAAGAAGAAGGCTGGTCTGGTGAGCATAGTCGTTGGTGAGAGAGTTAAGCAACTGAAGAACAGTCGAGAGACGGCTGAGAGTCTGTCGAGGTAGTCATGTTAGCGTGCGGTTCATGTAAACAAGTGAAATATTGGGAGAATGTGCAAGTGGCGTCGCCTGCACGCGAGCCACCAAAAAAATATTTAGTGATGCTAATTACACTAGCAGCGCTGAAAGCTACCCCTGTCGGCTGAGCTCAAGCTTCTAGCGGGGCGCTGGAGGTCAACGCGGGGTCCACGTAAACAAAGCCTGCAGGCGGCGCGTCTCAGCGAGGCGCGGCAGCCAAAACAGACTGGCAGCTATGCCCAGCACGAAAAAAAGCGATTTTAATTCTTGCGTAAAGATATGTGTGCTTTTGGTGTAAATTGAAGTCTTTTGCAGGCAACAAATTATATCATTACCGCTTGGACTCTGGAGGTCGTTGCAGGCGACAGCGCATCAACATTTGCAACACTGGGCGCGCACCAGCTAGCAAGGCGACGACTCAAGCTTTATATCGAAGCATTGAGCTGCCTATACCACTGATAACGGGCACTCTGTGAGGCGAAGACGAAACGAGAGATGAGATGAGAAGAAGAAAGGGTTGAAACTTACAGAATCGCGAAGGCGCGCGAGACCCTCGTGGTCAACAACGCGGGCGACGGGAGGCATACCAGCCATGACGGGAGGAGCAATCATAGTGGGAGCAGGAACGGGAACCTTGGAGTCGACAGACTTCTTAGGAGGGCGAGCCATTGCGAGAAATGTGTGGTGTTTTGGTGAAGAGCTGCGACGCGTGTTAAAAATCAGGCGGCGCGATGAGAGCAAAAGTGAGTGAGAATGTGGTGATCGCGAGTGTGAATGGACTCTGGTGCAGCGACGGCGGTGATGTGTACAGCGCGTGGAGCAGTAGTGTTTGGTGGTTGTGGTTGTAGGTAGGGGATTTACAGCGCGGGCTGTTCTAACGTACCAACTTTTGGAGTTTTGTGGATGATAGCGAACCACTGTGGTGATGGTGGATTCAGTGAAGAAGGAGAGTTTGTAGCGGATGCGAACAGTGGGCGGGGAGGGAAGAGTTCAGGAGGGAAAAATATTCGGGGGCTGGTGGATGGGTGGTGGGTGGTGCCCCCAATATGTACGTTTTGGGCAGGGGCTTGGGCATGGCGCGCAATCACCCAGCGACACTTTCAGCGGCCACCTGTCAGCACGCTCCGAGAGCCCCAGAAGCAGTACCAGCAGCTCAGCCCAGCCCAGCCCAGCCCGAGGACTGCTCCCCCAGGTGCCACACTCAGCGCACGACACGAAAAATTTTCTCGTCCAGAAGCTTACCGCCCCCTTTGGAGAGCATGCTACGGGGCATTCTTAGGCAGCCTCTGCTTTCTGCTGCTTTGCGCCCCGCTCGCTCACCATAATCGTCTCTAAGCGCCTGAGCTTCGCTGAACACGGCAGCGCCCTTCTGGTGCCCTTCTGTGATCCCCCCCTCTGCCTCTTCAGCGTCCTTCCCAAGAACATGGCCTGCCGCTTTGGGCACGCTGTGCGGCGTCTCCCCTCCAGAAGAAGCCACTCACCACCCACGCCGCTGCAGAAGCCCTACAGGGGCAACCTTAGCAAGAGGACAGAGAGGACCCAACCCCAGCACCCACCGAGAAGAGCAGAGCAGGCGGCAGCAACATTAGCCCATTGTGTCCCACTGGCAGCAGCGCACACACACTGCCCCAGAAGGCAGGAGAGCAGGAGAGCACGCCCAGACAGCGCCTTTGAGGCTGATGGCGACATGCAGGTATATAGTGTGTAGATTGCTATCACGGAACAATTTTGAATACCAGCTGTATTAATTCGCTAAGACGCAAAATACCCCTTATGTACCGAAATTTAACATTGTGGTACCATTACCAATGATATACTCGCTCTTCGGGGGCCTATCCCACGCGGTGGTCCTGCTAGATGGCCCTGATCTACGCAAGTTCCAGGTATTCTGGTGTTGCGATACCTTCTAAAGACTTTTGGCGTAGCGATCATACCAGTGATGCCTCAGGGCAGATGTTTTAGCGGCCCGCTGGAGGGTGCTGGTTTCGGAGCTTTTCGCCGCTGGGGAGAAAACAGGTGGGCGGTGTCCCAGAACGCGCCTAGTCCACCATGCCCCGTTCCAGCACCTGCACCCTGGTGCTCAGTGTGTAGATTTGGGCACGGCGTCAACAGCGAGCGCGTGGGCGGGCTGGGGCACTCTCTCTGTCTTGCCATGGTAGCACAGAGAAGACCTGAAGCAGCGGCTCTCCCCATGACCCATGACCCGAGGCTGTGCTGTCCGATGCTGTAGGAGCCGGCCAGACTGTGCTAAGGCCGCCTGGAATCCGACGAGGAGGTGGCCAGTGGGCTTTATCACTGTCAACCAAGACACCTCGTGGCTTTCACGCTGTGCGGCACAGTACCAGCTTCGACTCTGCGCGATTTTCAGCGGTCTTCGACCTCCCAGCGAGCCCTTCGTAGGCGGCCACTGTACGACCTGGACCAGGCTGTAGAAGATGTCCTATACTTAGCAGTCTGTTGTGTTTGCTACCCCCTCGTTTCACGCTTCGGTATATCGCATGGTCTCACACGTTTTATGCTCTGTAACTGTAGATGCCACTGAACAGCACCATTTGTCTGCACTCTTGGACATCTATCTAGCCTCGAGATTACGGAAGCTATTAGACACCGTTTATATTGTTCTCAACTTTACCTATATAACCTTTTGGGGCTTCATTGACTACCGGTATTGAAGAACGTATATTTTAATATATGTTTTATATCCACGTATCGCTATGTTGTATATTCTGTAGGAGAACACGCACAGTACTGGGCAGTCGGCTTATTGGCAAATGTGAGGCAACAGTAAGCAACACAACGGCACTAACTGGCGCAGTACTGTAGGGCGTCAGCATGCCAGTGACAGAGGATTCTACACTGATTACAACTACGCTAACCGCCTGGAGCCCTCACTGTTACTGGAAGGATGAAGAATGCAGCAAGAGACAAACTTACAAGGCGTACGATAAAAACGCATTGCATGCTATAGTCTCCATCTAAATAGCAAACTCTCGCAGTTCATCTGCAGAAACTGGCCTTTTCACTATAACATATCTTCAGCAGCTTGCGCAATGCCCTTCTCGACGCGTCAGAGCATGTAAACAATGTGCTTCGTCAGGCGCCAACACGACTGCCGGAGAACCCATGCACCTGCAATCTCCAGCGGGCCCCTTAGCCCAATCATTTTAGCGCCTGGACTGCTGCAAACCCGCTTCGCTCTCCAGTCGGTGGGGCACAGTGCTGCAAGCCGGTGCGCGTGGCGTGAGCCTCACTGACACATGCCTGAAAATCTCCCCTGCCATTTCCAGAGAGAGAGCTAGAGGGGCACCCACCCACCGACCACAAGCTGGGATAACCCGCTCGCCACACACACTGCAGATAGGAATCAAGGTTAGCGGCAAGCTTCAGCGGGATGGACGGCTGTCAGGGAGGCGTCCTCTTGATTGGGGCATTTCCCAGCGCATCTCCACCGGCCGCTTGCCCAAGTAGGGCAGGACACCACCACCAACAGATTCCTCTTCCTCTGTTGCAGATCTCAGCTCCACGCTAAGTTTCAGCACGCCTACCACAAGGAGCTTCGTTTGCTTAGCGCTGCTGTAGCGGGGACTGTGAAGAGGCACTGTGAGGCGGTAAAGGCCCCCTTTCGCAGGTGTTGCTTGCGAGAAATTTCAGAAGCTAATCAGCAGATCAAGGCTCTTGGCGCCGAAATCATTCGCCTATCCCTTCCCGGAACACTGGAACTGCGGTGCCACAAGGGCTCTTTCCCGTTCTAGCCAGCTCACTGTAGCTTTTACTTCCACCGCCAACACACCCGTTACCCCTCACTCTAACCTTAAAAACTCTAATCTGCTTCACCTGCCTCCTTTTTCGTCATTGTACTAAACTTTGGAGCTTTACTCTTTCTAAGCCGCATCGGCAATCGATCTTAGATACATACAAGATCGGAACCCAAATCAGAATCGACAAACCCTGAACTTGTACACAATGATCGAGACTCGTCTGAACGTGGTCCTCATCGGCCTCATCGCGCTGGTGCTCCTTGCACGACCAGTTGCTGCTTTCGGCGCTGGTAACATTGCTTCCGTTTCAAAGGTTGAGGGCCAGAACTGTACGAAATAATTCCCATGTCTATTGGCTATTCGTATCACACAATACTAACCAGGTTTAATACAGGGCGCCACGGTGACATTGAGGATGCATTGCTCTCCCTCGTTATGGCTCGTGCGCTTAACGGCAAGAAATTCAACAAAATCAACGTCTCTCGTGTCTACTTTGGTAACTGGCTCCGTGATTACTCCCAGGCAATTGATGTCGGTACGGTCAAGGCCGTGTCTGCTGAGGCCATTCGACTCCTCCTCTGCGTTCTTGGCTTCCTTACCTTTGGCTACGGTTCTGGCGAATTCGAAGTCACTGCTGAGCGATTGGGCTGCTACCGCCCCGAAGACCACATCGATAACCCCAAAGACTACGCTGACAACAAAGATGCGCGCGACTACGACCCTCGACTTCGTGGCCCCATCGACGAGGGCGTCGAACTGGCCATTGACGAGCGAACCGGTATGAAGAACTACATTGCCAACGAAAATGCCAACATCATGACCTCTGCTCAGCACGTTCGAAACCTCTTTAACCGCTGCATTGATCTGGGGAGACGCTACAAGAACAGCGGCAACAAAGCTGAGAAGTACGAGGCTCTTCGTCTCATGGGCACTGGACTGCATTGCTTGGAAGGTATATTGCAAACATGGTACCTCAAATGAGATGTGCCTGCTAACATTTTATACTAGACTTTTTCGCCCACAGCAACTACTGTGAATTGGCGTTGATTGAAATGGGTGAGCGAGATGTCTTTCCCCACGTTGGTTCCGACACTCGCATTCGCCTCGAAGGTGCTAACGACGATGTTTATCCCGTTGTCACTGGCACCTTTGGTGGTGTGGATTTCCTCCACTCCGTTACTGGTGAAGGTATGGGCTATTTTTAATCTTTTGGGGTGGAAGTTTATGCTAATTCATTTCACAGTTTCTGATAAGCTAACGCAAAACGAAATCGACGAGCTTGAAGGCACCCTTAAGCAGAGCAAGGCTTCTGATACCAGCTTCCTTCGTGAGCTTCTCGACAAAATTCCTAGCAGCCTTCTGGGCAGAAACCATGCCGAAGAAATCGATCAGATTCAGTCCAACGCGCAAGCAGCCCAGCTAGAAAACGTGGCTGTCTCTCCCCGAAACGAGGAGGAGTTTACCCTCTACATCAAGAACATCTACGCACAGATCATGCCAGTTATTCGCTTCCATGACGATATTATGAAGACCGTCGGTGGCGCTATAGACCATATCCCTGTTCTTCCCAAGATTGTGGACCAGCTAGAGGAGCAGTTGTCCATCTTTGTCTTCTCTATCATGGCTCCGTTCATTGTCCCATTGATTCGACAGATTCGCAACGAGCTTCGCACTGGCTCTGAGGAGATTATCCAGAGCAGTGATGATCAACAGCATATCGTCTTCAACGACTCCCGAAGCAGTGACCCAACCCACTCTATGTTGTCCAAGGATCACTTTTCCAACGTAAGTTACCTTCCGAGCACCATTGTATTTTAGGTGTGTTTACTGATTACATCTCTCTGTTTTAGATTTTAAACGAAGTTGCTGGTAGAACTGCAGCAAAAACTCTTCACTGGGTAGTTCCGCAGCTGATGGAGGCCATGGACGACGACAACGTCGACGTCAACCGCCTGTGTGACCGAATCATTACCGGAGTCATGCATCACCCCGCCCAGCGCAACATGGGTGAAGATGGCGCTAGAGAAGCTCGTGGTCAAATTTTCGAGTCTGTCGTTGACTGGTGGCGCCAGATGGACAATGGCCAGCGCGAGGACTATAAGCGTAAGCTCTCACGCGACGGTGTCTTCCGGGGCGAGAACCACAAGGAAGGCGTTCATGATACTGGTCACGGCCACGGTTGCAGTGGAAAGCTAGAGATGCGTCGTCTTTATGGCGAACCCGAGACGGTTGAGACCAAGATTGCTGGTGCTGCTGCTCAGGCCATCTTCCAGGGCGCTTCCAACGCCCTTGGTAACGTTGTAGAGCAGCAGACTGGCTACAGAATTCCCAACACCCAAAACAATACCAACAGCGAGGAGGGAGGCTTCAGTGGCTTCTTGCACTCTGCCGGTCAGATCATCAAAGACGCATTGGGCAAGGAGCAACGAGACAATCGTCACAACGAGGACAATGACAGCCGTCGCAACGAGTACAATGACAATCGTCGCAATGAAGACAATGACAGCCGTCGCAATGAAGACAATAACAATCGTCGCAATGAGTACAATGAGAACCAGCGCAACGAGTACGATGACAACCGGCGCAATGAGTACAACGACAATCGTCGCAACGAGCACAATAACAACCTGCGCAACGAGTATGATGATAATCGTCATAACGACTACAATGATAATCGTCGCAACGAGCACAATAACAACCGTCGCAATGAGTATGATGATAGTCGTCGCAATGAGTATGATGACAATCGTCGCAATGAGTATGATGACAATCGTCGCAACGAGTATGGTGGCAACCGTCGCAACGAGTACGATGACAGCCGTCGCAATGAGTATGATGGAAATCGTCGCAACGAGTATGATGACAACCGGCGCAATGAGTATGATGACAACCGTCGCAACGAGTACCGCTAAGCTCTTAGCGTCTCGACGGGACGCTATCTTGTCAGAAAACGGTGTGCATTTTGTGTTGTTTATGGGGTGATGAGTTAGCGTTGGAGTACAGGTGTGGCATAACTGGGGGCTGGTGATGAGATATGAAGATGAGTTACTGACAATTGCATGTCACTTGATAGTAAATATAAAATGAAGTTGACGTTGAATTTGGACACGCGAGGCTTGCTGTGGCGGTGGCTGAAATGTCCATCGTGGCTGTTACCCTACACATTTTAGTGATGATGTGTTGTTCTGCCAAATGGACCCTATATTGATTCTACATGGTTTTCTGGTAGTATGTCAGGTATTGTTATATTGTATATCCACTTCTGTGGCCTACTTAGTTCTAAGGTTGGCATGAGCCTTGAATCTTCATTGGTTTTGATAGTGATACAGAGAGGACGTTCGCAGTGATAATCAGAGCGGGGCTACAGTAGGCTGTGCTATATTGGGTATAACAAGCCTCCCAAATCCTAGGAATACCTACAATAAATCTCGATAGATTGTTTGAAGAAACAGAAGCCATACAAATAAAGTTGAGCCAATCATCAACAGTGCCGTTTTTTATATTGCACACAGCCGAGACGTGAGTAGAGCGCCGACGTGGACAGGCGGGGTGCTTAGGCGAAATGGAGACGACGTCACTTTTGCGCACATCGCTGTGCTGCCGCCGCGGGTTTACAACTTGGGTAAGATCTGCTCCGAGTTGGCATCCGGTCGGCCCGAAGCCTACAAGAAATTTCGCGTGAGCATATTTTGAGGGTCAGTGAGAGAAGGGCATACAGGGCCATCGAAGGAGAAAACAGGCCATAGGCGAGCAAATCCACTCTGGACCAGGAGACAGGAACGTGTGGACAACGCGCCGCCTGACGCCGAATTAAACTTCCTGGGGCCGACGCCATCGCACGTTTGTGCACGCGAGCTGCGGAAGCGACGACGTTGAGGCACGAAAGGGCATGGAAGCAAAGTTAAACTGGCAAGGAGGTAAGCCGTGCATTGAATCAGCATGCTTATACAGTACGTGGTTCAGAAATTGTAATCGACGATTCACTGTGTGCTGTTTCACTGCGGCCACACGCCACGCGTCAATCGTAGACACCCCTGCCAATGTGCAGATAAATATTGGCGCGTCGTGGATATCCCAAGAGAAGGAATCGATTCGAACGTTTGGCGATGCAGGCGAGGGGTAGGGCCTCGATCCAACCTGGACTCCGATGTACTAAATACAAAAAGAAACAAGGCACGAAGGGTTCTTGTGCAGCAGGCGACTTGCTTCGATTTTTATCCTCTTCTGGAGATGATCTGCGCTGCCACCAGATAATGTTCGTTCTAGAGGAGGGCCGCTCGGGGATCTGTTTTTAGCCGGTATAGCGACTAACGACATGTCTCCTTTTCCCTTGGACGACGGCTGATCTGCATCTTACGCTTGCCAGCCTATATTGTCTCGCGTGGTGAGCGATAAGCAGTAGGGAATGGACGAGGGATCGGAGTAAGGCGAAAAGAAAGCCGCTATTGAGGCGTCTCGCTACGTCAGCCCACCCACTAAGAGATATAGCCAAGACCTGGAGAGCAGCGGATGGGCTTTACAGGGCGTTCAGAAGCGAGGGTAACTGTAGCTTCTAGAGTCTCGTTTGGGTCAGTGGCTTTCTTTTTGGATTTTCAACGCAGCCATAGTGGTTTCTATGCATGAATGACGCGCACGCGGACTTGTGCTGCCGTGCCGTATGCAGCACTGCTGGTAGGAAGGTCTACAAAGGTAATCGTGGCTGGTTTGATGCAAATCACGCGTATACTGTGACTGACTGTTTCGATGAATGACCCGGACAGAGATATTGATTGCCGCAGCCTGGTTTCTGCTACGGTTAACGGCGAGTAAGGCTTAAAGAGGGGAGACTCTCCGCTTAAAGCTTCTTGGTGCGTACTCTGTTACAAACGTTCTGGCCGGTACTGGGCACTAGGCAACTGCATCCGTTTTCAAGCATCATTTGAAAAGTAAAATCAAAGACGTGCCCTATCGAGCGCACAACGTCCCGATAGTCCGGCGGAAATGGGGCGGGACAAGAGACATATCGATCCTCTGCGTGTAGTATTCAATAGCGTGCAATATGAGAGAAATGGTGAGTGGAGAGTGAACGAGCCTGACTTAGCGCAGAGGCCCCAAGCTTGCTGTGTACTGTGTACTTTGGTGGCAAGCAGCACGAACATGGGGAAAGCTTTAATACGAGGCAGGAATGGCAGTGGGCGCAAAGGATCAGAAAGCGGGTGATGGTAAACGGGACTCTTTGTATCAGGAGGGTTTAAGGGTATTGCGATCTTCTGTAAGATCGCTGAAACCTCCATCATAATTTTTTTATTAATTTATCCTTTTTTTCTATTTTCCCAATTTGGTTGAGGACGATCGGCAACGTGCATCTGTGCCGAAACGACGGCCACTTGGGCAGATGGGCGAAATGCCCTGTTGATGCCGCCGACGGGTGACGCTGCTGGGCCAGGCTAAAGTACCAGGTACCTGTTCTCAGGTGAGAGGACCCGGGACGCCCCGAAAAGGAGAAGAGCGCACGCCACTAGCAAGGGAACCCACCGTAAGCGTTGAATACAGTGGCCTTTTTAGCGGGTAGCCACACCCACAGCATGCAGAGTTATAGCGGACCATGACGCCTGGGGGGAGGACAACAGGGCACCACCACCCAACGCGACCACCAACCCACCACTTTAGCAGTTAGCTGGGCTGACTAGCGTGCCGCTGTTACCTCCTCTGCACAGGGCGGCCAACCCCCGTCGCCCGCCCGAGTCGCAGCGTCTCGCTGGTTGGCTTTGTTCCATTTCCCGCCTTTCCACTTTCGCTTCTCCTCCACCACGTCGATTCTCTTCCGCCCTCTTTGCCCATTTGATTTGATTCACCAGCAGCATCACCAGAATATCCTCATCGCCTACACTTTCACTCGCATTCACGACTTGTTGCATTATTCTCGTTATTCAGCAGCTCTCCGATAAGCAGCACGCCTCGTCTTCCATCGCATCCTTTCCCGCGACTCGCCCTCACCAAAGTCTCTCTCGCCCCCCGCCCACGCTGCGCCTCTCGCTGCTCTTGAATCAACGCTGTGCTCTCCCCTGACGCTTGGCGAATTCCGATCCTCTTGGACGCCGCAAAAACAACAAAGAAATTATACAGAAATAATCGCGATCTCGAATATCTACGAATCTCTTTAATTTCCACCTCTTATATCATTGCGACCGCTATAGCACAACACCCGCTAGCGCTCTCCGAAGAGCCCGCCCCCGTCGGCCGTCGCTCAACCTCTTTCGAAGCCGGTACCCCATTGCCACACCTCCCATAACGTATAGCTCTATCATGACTGTCCACTCTTGAAGAGGGCGACCCTACAACATGTGTAAGTTTGCGCCCGGTTAGCTTGACGTTCAGTGCGGTTAGACACCAACGGCAACCACGTCTCTTTCTATGCCTCGCGGATCGTCAGCACCTTTTGGTCGTTAGGCGAATCTTGATTGCCATGGCTCTGTATCGTCCGTCCTTGTGCTAACTCATTTCTCTATAGCTTTAAGTGACATTGTCAACGTCGTGTATGTCTTGCCTGATGCTGCTGGCGCATTCGGCGTCGTCCCGGGTCGCCGTTGGACGCCCTCTGGGGTATGTGATTTGCTGACGATTTCGCAGGCTCCTCTTCAGTAACCCGGTATGGAATGGCGCGAATACGATTCCGTCAACAATCATTCGAAACATTACCAATGGCCCGGTATGTATACGACATTTCGGCCGGACCTCTGCCAGACTAACCAATCCACATAGACAAGTAGCTTAGCCTACCAAGAGGATCTCAAGACGAATATTACAACACTAAGCACATCAAACGCACAAACACTCAACGGCGTCATACAAGGGTTTATGTATGTACCGGATATTACCAACACACCCTCCTGCAACGTGCAGCAGTACGACTACATACCGCACAATGTCACTCGAGCGCCTCAACTCCCACCGTCAAATTTCAACCGAATTGGACTTGCGCCGTGGTTTAGCGTAGACTGCACGCAAGCATATCTAAACGCCGCTCGTTTTGACCCCATACGAGCTTTTATATTTTACAAACCCGATAACTCAACCGATAAACCTCCAGGGCCTTCCGACGATGCTTGGGATCTTGAAGATCGCGGCGCTTGGCGCGACAGCAACTTTCCCATCTTTGCCATTCCTGGACTGGCAGGCGAGAGAATGATGGAGCAGCTAAGTCTCTACTCAGGCTCTGTTCTGGAAGTCCCGAACGGCAAAGAGCTCATACATTACGCGCAAAGCCCCCAGGACTACGTCCGCATCTGGACCACTCTCAACATACACCCCCCAAAGAGCAGCTATCCGATTTGGGTATACTTCCTCATTGTGATCGGCGCTTTGATAGGAGTCTTCGCTATTGTCTGTCTGTTTCTACACTTTAGTCAGAGACGACGACGAGCGTCGCTCCGTCGCCGCGTTGAATCTGGCGAAGTTGATCTTGAGGCGATGGGTATTAAGCGACTCGCTGTTCCCGCTGCCCACGTCAAAAATTTCCCATTATTTACTTATACAAGCACACCGATACACCTACCAAGAACACCGACTGCCGAGAGCGTTGTGGCATCCTCCAGATCTACACGATCGTCGTCACGGCGTGGCCTTAGCCATGACCACCGCGTTGATTCATTAGACACTGGACACACTGGCAAGACTCTGCGCAGTCAGCGATCCGCTATTAATGGAGAAATCGATACAATCGCGAGCAACTATCAACCACACTGCCATATCTGCCTCGAAGCGTACGACAACAGGATCACTATTATTCGCGAGCTTTCATGCCACCATATATTCCACCCAGTCTGCATTGACGAATTTCTTACTCGGAACAGCTCGCTGTGCCCCATCTGCAAGCAGTCCATGCTACCTCGAGGATTCTGCCCCAAGATTACAAATAGCATGGTTCGACGCGAGCGAGCATTGCGCAAGCTGAGACAACAGGTTGAAATCGATGAAGAGTCTATAGCCTCGGAAAGCATCAAGCAGAGGTTATGGAGCCGTCTGCGCTTCCGCCGCCACCCAAAGAGCGATGCTATGAACGATTACCAAATGTCCAGCATGGAGGACGACAGCGTCAAGGCGCCTTCACCTGACAGCTCAAGCAACGAGCCTCATTCACCTTCCGAACCTTCATCTCCGGATGCCCCAGCCACAGCTGAGCCAGTGCTGCCTCAGAAGCCAAGCGCTACAAAGAAGAAGGCCAAGACCAAGGGCTTACGACCGCGTCCTATTAGCGTTATGCCAACACAACCGGAAGAAGCCGTCTTGAAGACAACAGGCACTGTAGGCCGACATAGCCCATCGTCATTTGCACGAGAGCGTATGCGAGAGATTGCTGATAAGAACGCGCCGTTTGAAGATCCAGACCTTTCCAGACCCGCATGTAAGTTTCACATTCTTTGGTGTAGGTACATTGGAATCTCGAAACTAATCTAGATTACAGGGCGTCGTGTAGTAACGAAAGTACTCCCCGGGCTGCTCTAATGGGCGAACCAGGAGGGAGTGATGGAGGTTGTTTTTATTTTTTGGGACCCTGTATGATTTTATAAGCGCGGCGTCGGCGTTTTTTTCTTTTCTTTTTCTACTTTTGGATTGACATCCGGGACCAAACCGATGGAACGACGCGATACTGCATATATATACGATGCGAGTCATGATGAGACACACGGCCCTGGCGTTTATTTTATGGTGCCGATTGATTGGCAGGAATTCTGATATTTTGGCATTTTTTTTTTCAGTATAGGGTGCATGTAGTAGACTAAGCCTTGGGGCATGATAAAGAGACTACGTGGTTGATTGTACGTACACTTTGACACTCCTGTATCACATAGATTGCTTGTGCGGCTCCGTGCCAGTCTTAACTACACGGTAAATTTGAAGTAATTGCTTCAGAGGAAAAGAAACAACTATCAATAATAATTCGATTGGCATCATCTATTCATAACGATATATACCTAAAAACCCTGTAACAATCCATGTATTCATTTGCGCCACATTTCGAGTGTTTGTAGGTGAAAAATAAAAGTTGTCAGTAGGCAGGAAAGAGAAAAAGCGAAGGACAATGAAAGGAAAAGAATCATCGGATAACGTTCATAAACAGTCTCAGTCTCTCTGAGAGTCAATTAGGCGCTCGTCACCTCTAATACCGCTCTTGACAAGCGCTTCTCGCACTCTGTCGTCTTCGGCTGCGCGGATTCGAATTCTAGCGGCTTCAAGACGCTCAATACCACGGTCTATGGTTTCAATGTGAATGCTCAGAGGGAGAGGTGTGCTAGACCCAAGGGATGCTTGAAGTAGCTTTGGTGCTGCAACTCGCTCCCGCAAGTCTCCCAGGCCGGCCTGGATCGCTTCAAGTTCAACAACAAGAGCACTAACTTGCGCGACGGCTGAGGTGCGTTGCGAATCGACCTGGCGCAAGAGCGAGAGCTGCTCAGAGAGATGATGCAAGCGGCCGCTGTTGGCGCCGACGAGGGTCCAAATGTTCCACAAGATTTGGTCGCGGCGGGACGAGGTCGCGGCTGTAGATCGAGAGGTAACGTCGTATATAAGAGAAAGGTGATCTTCAGCTTTGGTGAGGAGGCGGAGGACGGCTTGCGCTTCGATAATGAGAGCAGCAATGCGGTCAGATATCAGCGCAGTGTGCTCGATATACTTCTCGCGTAGAATTTGCTCGCTGAATTGCATTTCGGTAGGCTGGAAAGGATAGAATATCCAGCCTGTCCAAACGGCAAGAGCCGAGGAGGGCACAAGGCCTGTTTTGTCGTCCTCGACTGGCGCCATGGAGTCAATGTAGCGTGACGTCCAGCGGTTAATGCTGATAACTGCATCAACAGCAGAGCCGACATGGGTATTGAATCGCTGCAGATCAGATGCTGTCTGTCTTGACGTCTCGATGTAACCGTCGAGTTCAAAGATTAGCTCGTCCTTTGCAAGGACCTCGCTTTGTCGAAGAAGTGTTCGAAGATCGCGGAGGGTCGTTTCCGAGCGCTTCATCTCGAACGGCAGAGAAACACCATCGGAACTCTTTTCCAGCACATCCTCGAACTTTGATTGAACCGTCACTAGATCCTCAAATTCCACCGGAGAAGCCTGTGAGTTGGGGCTGTCGGATGGGAAAGTTGGGCAGAAGGGCAGGTTGAGGTATGAGGTTCCTGGTATGCGACATATCGGCGATAGAGACGTGAAGATGGATCGTTGCACCATATTCTGGGTGATAATAACTGCACCGAATGAGAGATAGATAGCCAGGAAGAAGGCAAGAGGGCGTTTTGCGTACAGGAAGGCTAGACCAACGACGCTTAGTGCCCAATGAATTGTGTTTTGCGCCCAAGTTGAGAAGTGCGACGATAGACCGGTCGTTTCTGCTTTTGAAGCTGCTTCCTTTGCGCTTGGCCGTCTCTTTCCCCTGCGCTTGACAGGGCTGCCAGTGGCAAAGACGCCGCGCTGGCGTAGGTGCACGTCACTGATGTAAGAGGTTTCGCGGGAACCGGAGCTGATAAGCGCTCTGGCAGTGCGCGAGCTTCTGCCACTGCTGCGCCTGTCATTTTCTATGTCAATCAAGGGCATCCTAAACTCAGGATCAGGCGTTCGATATTGCGACTTGTGTGGCGTCCCAACAAGACTGGGCACACTTGGGCGGAATGGCTGGCGCAAGATGACCTGGTCATCTTCCTGGTGTTTAACAAAGTCGCGAATACTGTCTGTTGAGCGCTGACTAAATTGACTCTGATTCTGGGATGAGAATTGCGAAGGAAAGCCATCTGACGGCTGCTCGCTCGACAGTGGAAGCAGCACATCATCGTCAGAGACAGATGGGAGAATGCTGGTGTCGAAGCTGTCATTTTCACCGTCGACGACTCGCCAGGAGTCCTCGACGCGCATTGATTGTCGCTTAGACGGCATGGCTATGCGCAGTTGCTTGCGCTGCGAGGGGCTGTTTCTGTATTGTGCGTGTGCAAGTGTGTGTAAGAGTGCGACAGCGGCTTCAAGCTCGGATGCGAATGATGCAAGGTCATGCACGGCCGACAGACTTGAGGGATATAGTGCGCCTATGAAGCAGCGGTCAAGTAATGGGCCGGCCGCAAACAGACAAGATCCTTTTTGGAAAAAGAAAGCAACGGGTTCGAGGCGGTCGTTCAAAGCGGCCGGCGCTTAGAAGAGCTGGCGAAGCAAAGTGAGACAGGACTACTTTTTAGGAGCTGGTTTAAATAGAGCGTCGCGAACAAAGAAAAGAAAGACCCAGGTAGATGAGTCATGCGACCATATGACGCTGGAAATCTATGCCTGAATGCGCGAGGCAAGGAGCGATGAAGGATGATGAGAAAGCGAGAAGCGTATCAGGCAGAAGCTGCAATGCAGGCGGTGATGTCGATATTCGCTTGGTGCAGCGGCTGCAGGGGCCTTTACAGGGGTTGGACGGCGGGTGGCGGGGGTGTTTTAGTGCTGAACAGCGGGAGCGGTGGCGACTCGTGAGGGGCGGGCTTCAGGCGGCCACCCGGGTCGTGTCGTGTTCTGGAAAAGGAAAACGAGGCTGCTGCTTTAGGAAATGGGAGACAAGTTTCAGGCGTTGTTTGTTTTTATTGGGCCGCGTTTCTTTTTTTCGTGAAATAAATAAATACTATTGACTGGATGTGCTTGATGCGAGGCTGAAGTGCGGCGGACGGGTACTTGATAGGATGACAAGAGATGCTTTACGCGTGAGAGGAGCGGACGCGTTGAGCTGGCCGATACTGTACTAAAAAGTGTCTCTTCAATTTCGATGACCGTCTTCCTAATACTGGCGAATTGCAGCCGTGCATTGCTTCACGCTGAACTTGTCGTCATCACCAACTGCCGCCCAAGTCACGGTATACTCGTGGCTGGTGACCAGGTCCCGTGATGCGGCCACAGCAGAGTGACGATAGGACCGGGCGGCGTGCCGCAAGAGCCTTCAGAAGAATTTTGTAAAGAAGAACGTTTTAGAAGGAGTTCATAGAACTAGAACAAAATATATGACCGTTTGATGTTAAATCTCAGGTGGCCTACGGGTGATGAGTACTGTATCTCTGTCGAGCCGAGTAGATGCACTAGTGTGGGTAGCTCTCAGTGCCGGCTGTCACAGCTGCCACAGCTGTTAAGTGTCGTCAGCTGCATTTTTCATCTACACCAAATCAACACCCTCCGTCAAAGGCCCTTCACCCACGGCCATCTGCGCCTCCAAATGAATTTAACGCACTGATGGTAAATGTGCCCGGTAGAAGCAAAGGCTGTGCTACCTGTCGACGCCGGAAAATAAAGGTTCGCCCGCGTTAGTTGCGCTTTGAGTTGCCGCACATTTGTCTAACAGACACACATAGTGCGACCAGACGTTTCCCCAGTGCGTAAAATGCACTAGAATAGGAGAAATATGTCCTGGACCAAGGACTGAGGCGTTCTTTGTCCACACCACAGCCTCAAAAGAGAACAGCCAGGCGAATAGCTCGCAGCTTATCACAAAGCGTGATGCTGGCCAATATTTAGCGCTGCCAGATGCGCGGACGGTGCATGCATGTCGCGCGGATGCATTTGATCAGCTCTTTCTATGTCATTTCATCGAGTCCTTTGGCAATTTCAAGTCAAAAAACGGCCCAGACGCGGACTGGCTCGCCTTGCTTCCCGTTATATTTCGCCAGTCCTCCGACGGTTTATCAAAACATGCTATTCGATCTACGACAATGGTGACATACGGTACTTGGGCACGCGATGCTTCGATTCGTTCTGATGCGTACCAGTGGTATGGAAAGGCCCTTGCGTCATTCTCTAACCTTCTCTCGCTGAAGCAAACCAATCGACAGCTCCGCTTGGAAAGTGCTATTTGCTCCGCTGTAATGATGATACACTTCGAAACTTGGGCCAATACTACAGAAAAGAGCTGGCACCAACATGTTCAAGGGGCGGCATCTCTGTTAGAAGAAATGGGTGCTAAAAATTGCCAGGTTGGATTCCTTCATGGCGTGTTTAGGCATCTACGAATGCAAGTGGTAGGTTATCGACTCGCTCTAGACGGGCATGCTGTGACTAACATTGGCGACCTAGTTCATTGTAGCGATGGAATGTGAATTAAGGCTCCTACTTGCATCTCCAGAGTGGATGACCGTTCCATTCCAGCACCACCCAAAAGAGGCCTTTGATGAACTTATAGATGTGCTATTCTCGACACAAAAGAACTTGAAAGCGGCAGATGGGTTGCGACAAGTTGCAGACGATAGTTCATATACAACCACCCGTCTAGAATTAATAGACGATGTAGCTGAGACTCATCATCTATTAGAGCAGTGGCGAAAGCGACACTACACGACCACGGGTTTGGAGACCGTTCGGAGCATCGTACGCCAATACGACGCCCCTCTGCCTTTTGATTGCCAGAATGTTCTCAGTCATGAGCAAACATGGCTAGTTCCTGCGGCTGCACTAATGGCGCTAGAAGATGTGGCTACCATGATCAATGTCACGCTTTTACGGGCGACCAGCGGTAGCGATATCATTGAGAAAGACGACCTTGCACTAGGCTGGGACATCTTACGCGCAAGTTACTTTGTAAGAGCCGTTCCAGGAGCATCCAAAGACATGGGTCCAATGATGCTTCTGCCACCTCTCAAAATTGCGAGCATCTGGTCAACAGACGACAACGTCCGCAAACTGGCACAGGCTGAGCTTGAACATGACCCTACCACGAAAGGTGCCTTGGGCAACCTGGCCCAACAGGATGCTGGCTTCTTTGCTTCGCTTGCAACACATCTTCGACGCTCGGGGCATTAGAAGTGGCTTTGATGAAAAACGTCATCAGCATACGCAACCTTGTGTAAATATTTCCAAATGACGCTTTTGAGTCATTGACGGCATTTTCAATAAAATAGCAGCTTACGACAACGGCCGATTTTCCTCCAAGCTGGACGGTATTACGCTGAAAATCGACTTCCGAAAGCGGTTAGCTTTGCGATTAGCGTCGGGGCTGCTCCGACCACCCCCACAAAACCCGGAGCGCGAATCCGGCCTCACCGCGCATGTCGACTTTCTCCTTTCTATAAGAAGCTGCCGTTTCTGCTGCTCATATTTTTTTCGGATCACCCTACTCATGTGGAACACCAAGAAAATATCTTTGACAAATCACATTAACATCATGTCTAAACACGTCATCATTGTCGGCGCTGGCACCGCCGGTCTTGCCCTCGGCCATGCCCTCCAGAAAGCCAATGCCGACATATCTTTTGCCGTGTATGAGCGTGATCGCACTCGCTCCGATGGTCTCTTTGGATACAGAGTTGGAATATCACCCGAAGGCGCACGGTGCTTGGCCGCCTGCATACCACCAGAGTTGTTCAAAATCTTTCAGCAAACAACAGCACTTCCACCTGACAACCTCAACATGCTTACAGAACAGCTACAGGAGCTTCTATCCGTCAGCGGGCTTAGCAAGGTAGCTGATGACAAAATAGGAGCTGAATATTCCGTCAGCAGAATGACTCTTCACCAAGTTCTATTGACCGGCTTAGAAGATAAGGTTCACTTTGACAAGAATTTTGAACGATACACGAACAACGCAGACGGTACTATCACAGCATACTTCAAGGATGGCACCTTGGCTACCGGTGATTTGCTGGTTGCGGCCGACGGTACAAATTCAAAGATTCGAAAGCAATATCTGCCACAGGCTACGCTGAGGGACTCTGGAATTTACGGTCTTACCGCGAAGGTGCCGCTAAACGACGAGACGAGGAAACTACTCACGCCGAAGATGATACGAGGCGTCAATTTGATTAATGCCCAACACGGTGATAGCTGTATTATTCACGTGATGGAATTTCCCTGGGATCACGATGGCGAGCTGAAGAACAATATTGGCGGAAACGACCGAGAGCTACTGAAGATGTGGCCAGGCGCAAACTTTGACAATACTAACGACTACATCCTCTTAGGATTTGGAGGACACAATGCCTATCTCCCAAAGGATATCATGTCGTTGGATGGGCCGACTATTCATGCTTTATTGCTCGAGCGAACTAAAACCTGGCACCCAAACCTCAAGAAGCTTTACGAGCTCTCGGATCCGACGACCTGTTTCCCGATAAATATTCGAACAACAGATAGACTGGCGCCTTGGAAGAGTACCAATATTGCTCTGCTTGGTGATGCTATCCATACTATGACGCCTGGACTGGGTGTTGGTGCCAACACGGCGCTGCTAGATGCAAAGATTCTAGCCGAAAATCTTACTCGTGTTGGTAAAGGCGAGATGGAGCTTGTTGCTGCCGTTGCTGAGTATGAGAAGCAAATGCACACATATGCCTGGACCCGTGTCGAAAAATCGCTAGAGAGATTCAACGCCGACGATGCTATTTATAAGCCGGGCTGGACGGGATCGCTAGCCTTGATGGGCATGAGGCTTGGGATGAGATTTGCGAATGCGCTGCCGCCAGTGAAGCGCATGATGTCGGAGCAATTTACTAAAGAAAGAGGCAACATTGATGAGCGGGCGAATTGAAAGAGGCTCATTTGCTCTTGATATAATCAGAAACACTCCTGTACTTTTATAATAATAAAAATTTCATGTATGAGTTACCGAAATACACAGCCTTTTCCTCTCTACGATGCACTTAGACCGTGGTTCCCACATGACAACACCCCCCAAAAGCGGCACGGCCCACCTGCAGCACTGTCTTGTAGGCCCCCACCAACCGAAAGCACTAAAAAGTCCGATGCAGACCTGCCACCAGCTGCCAGCCGGTGAGCCTCGGCTCGCCGGATTCCGCCCCAGAAGAAGGAGCCCAGTTTTTAGCCGTCGCCAATTACCACGGAGGCTCAACAGCGAACGTCATGTGCTTTGCCTTCTTCCGTTGCTATTGCGCTTTCAATCCAACAACCGATTATCACACCGAAATCCCATCGAATTAATACTCAACTAGATACAGAAACTTCTTCGATGCCGACCAGATGACAGATTCGAGCTTCGTACAAGCCCAGCGCCGCGTCGCCATGCGCAGGCAGGCACGCGAGACGCAAGCCGCCGCTCGTCTTGCTGCACAGCGTGAAGCTTCACGAACGAGTATACAGATGCAGCGACTGCCATTCCCTTTCAATGGCATGTTGCCTGTATGGGAGGCCATCTCGTCACGAGAGGGCACCCGTCCCGCGTTCCGCGTTTCGCAAGTGGACGCCGAGCTGCTTGACGAGGAACTGCTAGATCTACTCAAGGGTCAGGTCGGCGAAGGGCTCAAGTACTTTTCGGGCGGCCATTTGCAGGACGACTGGTCGTCAGAGATCCAGCTTGCACTGCGAGCCGTCCTATTCAAGCTTACAGTCTGGGACAATGACGCCACCTATGGCGCCGCTCTGCAAAACCTCAAATTTACCGATTCGCGCAAGAGCGGACCTGGCTTATCGCCACCAACAAGGATACAGAAATCATTATACGGACTGGTCAGTGTGTTTGGAAAATACGCCTGGGACAAGTGGGAGGATTATCTGGTTGAGCAGGATGACGGCTACGACGAACCGAGCCCGAGAATGCGTCTTCTCTCACAATGGACGTCACGAATATCGACAATGCACTCCGCCGCAGCGTGTGTGTCATTTTTAGTCTTTTTACTACACGGAAAATACCGAACCCTACTAGACAGAGTCTTGAGGATGCGTCTGGCGCCGCCAACGAGCCAGGTCGCTAGGGAGGTGTCCTTCGAGTATCTCAACAGACAGCTGGTGTGGCACGCATTCACCGAGTTCCTACTCTTCGTTCTACCGCTGATTGGCATTAACCGATGGCGACGCTGGATAAGCAAGACATGGCGAAAAACAAAAGAAATCATTAAGACGTCACCGGACGAGCCTGGGCAAGGCGGCGAGTATGGCTTTTTGCCAGAGCGAACATGTGCAATCTGCTATCAAGATCAAAACGACTCAGCAACTACCGAGAACGAGATCATGGCTGCGGCAGCCTCGAGCGGGGTTATAGGCTCCGCGCAAACCGATATTACAAACCCTTACGAAGCGATCCCCTGCGGCTGTCTCTACTGCTTTGTGTGCATTGCGACAAGGCTGGAGCGCGAAGAGGGCGAGGGAATGACGTGTCTACGCTGCGGCGAACATGTTAAAGAATGCAAACCGTGGAATGGCGATGTTCTAGAGCCGACCGAGCGTAGGGCTTCAGGCAAGACCGTCGCCTTTACAGAAGATGTCACGGGTGGTGATGAGGAGTCTGTTATTATAGAAGAAGAGAGAGTATCGTCGGAGTGAATTTCGTCCTTGGAATGTGCGAAAAGAGGTGACGAGAGATGAATGAGCGACGAATGAAAAACAAAAAGCAACGTAGCGGAGAGGAGCGAGCATAGTGCTTGATTTGTTTTGTCCACGTGTAGCAGCTGCAAGCATGTCTCGTGATGCTTTTGCCATTCTATGAGATGGACGCTGTCTGCTACTTTGACTGTATTATATGCTATCTACATAGTGCTTTCTTTTTCTTCGTTTTATCTCGGCACATATATTTTCAAAAGAGAAAGCCGACTTGTTCATTTTCATCTTTTTTTCTACTGTGGTCAATTCAGTTATTAGGCACCCCCGCACACATTTGGCTGTCACCTCATTATGCGCATCGAATGTGCTTTTTATATCGTAGAGTTGCAGTGCAGCGAGCAACATGCCCGCTAAACGGTGGCTTTCGTCCGCTATCGCACACCGCCGTCCCTGGCCGCTACAGTGGGTAAGCAAAAGTTACAGGTAAACTCGATTATCGTCAATCTTTCAAGCATTCTTTAATATATGCTATAAAATTAGCTTCTCTATCAATCTTTGTAGAATATCATGTGTGATATAAATACTTTATATGTATCAAGTTTTTAGATGCCTATTGCATATAAAGTTTGTGTAAATATATATTTAGAACACGTTTGTTGAAATCTGGACTACTTGTAACCTTTGCCTACCCACTGTACAGCGAACCAGCGCCACCTGTAGCGGCCTGAACAGGTACCCGTCCTTCCAGCTGCCAGGCCTTCGCCAGGTGCCTGACACCTGGCCACGCGCCGTGTAGCTGCAGGGGTGTCCCTGTGTCGTCACTCCGCCTCTCTCGCGTCCTGAACGCCCTTTTTTTCTCAACTTTTTTCCTTTTTCACGGCGTCTTCTTGCGTTATTGTCTTTTATTTTGCGCCGTGTCTTCTGCCATTTTATTTACGCCAGCATTACCGAATACACCGGTCGGCATTCTACAGCTAACAACATCAATATCGTCCACCTCCTTTGTCGGTTATCTCGTACTGGCCTCGGTGGCCGACTTCGCCGCCTGCTCCGCTCGGCGCTTGTGTCTCATGGGTTCTGATCTGGCTGGGAGATAAAGGACCATCTTGTAGATAGTCCACCATGTCGAGCTTCTTCCAGTTTACCCAGGGCACAGAGTCTCGCTTCCGGCCTACCGATACCTCGCCGCTACTCGGTCGATTCAGAGCAGTCCCTCCGCGGCCAGAGCTGGGACACCGACGTAGCCAACTTGGGCTGCTTGCCGATAGATATGGGATTGGTAATGGCAGTCTACATGTTGGATATGGAGCTGTGCTTGCGGCAGGCTTGGCAGATGAAGACGACGAAGATGACTCGGTTAACCCCCGAGCTGCTGGCGGAGAGGACGACGAGATCAGTCGTTGGCAGAGGCTGTGGAAGCGTTGGATTATAGATCTCTGGGTTGAACCCAGGCAAGGTGCTGTGAAGAGGGTTGTTGATAGGTGGTGGAGCCGATATGGCTTGCTGGTGTTTCTACCGGCTTTATTGGTAAGACTGCTGCTGGTGGAATATTCGTCACTGGTATGTTTGCAGGCTAACAGATGGATGCATAGACAATTGGCTGGTGCGCCATTCCATTCCCTCAATATCCTCTTCCTCGTGATGGCGGTGATCGGGGCGACGACGCTGATGATCATCCCACGCGTGGCTACGGCGACGTCCGAGTACAAACGAACTTCTGGTTCTTCTTGTTCGTCTATTATGGATTCTATAATCTGGTTGCTCTCGTCTGGATCACGAAAATATTCAATTTATACAGCCTCAACTGGTGGCCCAAATCGCTGGGCTTTCCCATTACGATATCACTCATTGCCATTATTGGCATCTCTGTCCCGATTCCGATATATTACAGTGAAGCCTCTCGCTTTCTTACAATCCACAACACCTCTTGGATTACTTGGACGTTTATCATTATGGCGATGCCGGTCACCATTGCGTTTTTGATTCTCATGACTAACGAGCGACACATTGGGCTGCGGCATTCGCTTTCTGAAACACAACGCATCTTTACAACATCATGGTGGACTGGCGAGCCTGATACGCTCCCACGACCGGATAGGCGCCGGCGTAACATGGGTCCTGACCAGTGGGAACATCAGGTTTTGCATTCGTCTCCCAACATGAGACGCCAGGGAGTGGCTGTGCGCCGTAGGTGGTTACCTGCCAGCTTTGTACGCTTCTTGTGGTTCTGCGTGGCCCTGTTTATCGGACTTCTCGCCTACTTGATTGGAGAAGCGTATGCTGAAATTTATGTCGGCACTTTGCCACATAACAACTTGGAGACTGTTGTATACGTTTACGGCTGGGTTGTAACTGTCCACCTTCTTGACGCTTTGACGGCCTGGGTGCTGGGCATCCGAGAAGGTGAGAGAGTTGGCAGCTATCCACTAAGCTGGGTCTTTAAGCTGTAAGTACACTGTCGATATGCTAGGACCGAAAATTTTGGACTAATTCCCTCGTTAGATACTTCATGTTGACATATCAGACATATGTCCGAACCTTGTACGCCAGATTGCGATCGCCGACTCAGTTCATTATCTTGCAGCTTTTATCCTCGACCAGTCTCGTGGTTCTCACGCCCATAATGATGACGGAGACGTTCCACAAGATGATGGTCGTGCTGGGAATGAATGAACAGAGCTATGGCTCATACCAAAAGTTACAGACCCGAAATGTCTTTATTCGCTTCTTGGCGGAGAACGCTTCCATGGCAGCGTTCTTGGGAAGCATCCTGGTGTTGCACTATGGTGCAAACAAGGACATGTATCCTTACTTTCTGTTTGACGGTGACGATGAGCCATACACTCTGGATCTGACTGTCTATGCCTCGCTCGTGACTTGGGCATGCGAGATCATCGCCAGTGTTGCCGTGCGCGGGCTGATCCGCGTCTTATTCAAGGTGGACGTAGGTCTTGAGGGCAAACTCGATCTTGCCGTGTGGCCGGAGCTTCTCCCGACTTGTGTGGCGGTGATGCTGCATGTTCTACAGAATATGCTGTTTTCTATTATCCGGTTAAAGTTCCGGTGATGCTAGGATTTGATTGTGCTGATGACCGCTTCCTCTTCCTCTTTTTGTCTTTGCAAGTATAAAACGTTTGCTGCACATTGTGATACCCGCCACGATAGAGTGGTGAGCTTTTGTTTATTAGTTTAAAACGTATGCGTATAGAAGCCTCACACAATAGATCATAATTTAGACATTCATTTTAATGCATTCACTTTTTGGTGTCTTTTTTGGGTTGGATGGCCAAAATGGCTCACTTACACGAGCCAATACCGCCGAGGCGTACTGCGCCTCCGCAGAGTAGACGTGATTTATCAAATATGAGCAATATTGTAACTTTTCACTGTAAAAACAAGAACCTGGAAAGTTTCATGTTGTATGACACACGCATCATGACGGAAACAGTGAGGCCATGGCGTCCATAAGTGAGGTGCACGTTGTCGCCATCGCGGCGAATGAAGACGTTTGCTCGCTGCAGTATGACTAGCGATATTTGTGGGAACATAGCCACGGATGCGACACCCCGGAAGCCGTGCGAGACGTACTATAGGAGAATTTTGTTTGCCGCGTCTTTTGCATTTGACCGGTTTCTCAACACAAGCTGTTTTGCTTCTGGAAAGCGTTATGAGAGCTAGACGGGTTTGCAGCCCACAAAGGTTCACCCACGCATCAGTCGATATTTGCTCTAACCGATGCGATAAGAGGAATACACGGCTCACCGACGCGGGCCAGGCAACAAAAGAACCCAGGCTATGCAGGTAGGCCGATGGTACTCTGCAGCTGGTGGTATTTACCGTCTGGCACAGCCAAATCGTGGGATATGTCGCACCCCTGTGGCCAGCGATGAGCCGGCTCTTGCTAAAACATTCAGTTGGGGCTGACGAGGTGTGGCACACTGATGCAACGTCTCTCTGAATGCGTCCTTGTCTAGCCGTTTCCTTCCCGTTTCGCTATACGGCTTCTGCGGTGGCGTCCCTAGGCGCCGCGTCGTTTCCACGGCTGCTGTAGACTGGCTGCGTTCCTATTAGTGATTGAGCTTGACTCACGCCGCTAGAGCGGTGAAGCGTTACTTGATGAAGGAGTCCGTCTTTTTGAAGTCTCAACAATCCGGCAGACGGTGTACTTGGAATAAAGATCCCGTCAGTTTATATGTAATGAAGAAGAATCATGAGCACAAGGAAGTCAAAACAACAACAGCAAAACATCAACAGAGGAATAAGCCAATGCCACGTGCGGGCGACAGAGGACACGATACCATCAAGGGCGTGATTGCAGTGCATTGCGGCTCACACCGACTGTGCTCCCCCATCAAGCCGCCTGTAACCCACTGTACTTACGGGGCCCGGCCTTGTGCACTCAAACAACAGAGGTAGATAGCGATGACAGCGAGCGACATTGCGCGTCCGCCAGATAATGTTTTGTAGAGGCAAGGAGGAAAAAAATTGCTACCACATGTTCTGAGTCACTGTAAATAGCGGTATTGCCAGCTGCCAGCCAAGTCACCAGCTGTCAGTCCCGCCGCCAGCCCAGCCTGCCAGCTGCGCTGCCAGTGTCAGTGCCAGCGCAGCAGCCGGTGTTTGTTGATTGCGCTACGCCGTGCCTCGTCGCCGCGCGCTGCTTCACCAACTTTTTTTTCCCAACCTGTTTGGCCAGGCTACAGTACTGCCCTCTTTTTTTCTCTTCTTCCCTCTTATCTGTTCTGAGCCGTGCTGCTCTTCATCCTCCTCCACTGTTTCTTAGCCCCCATCATTTTTGCTCAACTTATCGTTTGCCTCTGGCTGCCGGAACTCTGTCGCTTCCACTCAGAATTTCCAGAACAGACAATATTGTCATTCATACAGTTCCCAACAAGGACTTGAAGCATCTCTCCATACTGCTACCTTCAGTCTCCAACCTCAGCCGGGCTGCTGAACAACTACCCACTTTGCGCGATAACAAGGCCGGGAGTGCTGTGCGGCAAGAGCCAACTTCACGTTATTGAAGGGTGAGTTGTTTTCGATTATTTTTTGCCCCAGCTGTGTTATCAGCCGGGTTTCTACAGTATCAAGGTCAATTGATATCGCTGTTCATATCCTTGATACACAATCAACCGGTCTCCGTCACAGCACATCGTCTATCTTTTTGAGAACCATACCCGTCCTCTCTTGGCCTCTGCCGGTGCCCCTTCCCGCCTCTCCACTTGGGGCGCCGGGAAGATCGCAAACCAAAAAGAGGCGAGTAAAAATTTTTTTAGTCTGGTGCCTATTTTTCACACAATCCCACCCACTACTGCTGTTTAAAAAAAAAAAGGGCGGTATAACAATTGGAGCTTAGTGGCTCCTCTCCGCTACACCCGCCGCCCCGCCAGAACACCCAGAGCCGCTGTTGAAAGCACAAATCGGCATCGGAGAAGACCAACACGTTTTTTTTATCCCGCGTCACAGCGTCTGCCACCCCGCCATTGCGACATCCATTTTTTTTTCTCATTATTTTTTTTTCACTGGGGAATCCTGCCTCCTACCTACGCGGCGTCGTTCCATACAACCCCTGTCAATTGTTTTCACTTCTTGCCCAGCTTTGCCTCGCCGCTGCCCCTCTTCAGCTACCCCTCCATACCATCCTTCTTTCGCCGACTTCCGCCTTTTCTCTCTTTTACACCATTCTGAACATCAGAAACTAATCACCATGAGCGCCTCTGCAGACAACACCGCCAACACGACTTCTCACGATGCCTCGGGAAGACAGTCCACCACCACCACCTCCACCGCCGCCCAACTCGCCGGTGCTAAGGTAACTCTGCGCAACAACTTGCGCTCTTTCCAGGACTTTCCCATCCCCGGAATCGTCTTTGTCGATATCATGCCCCTCTTCGCCAACCCCGAAGCCCATGCTACTCTCGTTTCTGCTCTCGAGCTTCAGATCAAGGAAACCTTCGGCAACAACAAGCCTGACGTGATCGTCGGCCTTGACGCCCGTGGCTTCCTGTTCGGACCTGGCCTGGCCCTGCGTCTCGGCGTTCCTTTCGCCGCCGTTCGCAAGCAGGGCAAACTGCCTGGCCCTTGTGTCACTGCTGAATACGTCAAGGAGTACGGCAAAGATTTCTTCCAGATGCAGGAGGGTGCCATCCGTGAGGGCCAGAAGGTCCTCGTTGTTGATGACATCATTGCTACTGGTATGTACTTCTCCCAACGACTTCTTTTAAACAATGTTACTAACTCTGTATTCAGGTGGTTCTGCTGCAGCCGCTGCCGACCTCGTCAAACAGCTCAAGGGCGACATCATGGGTTACATGTTCATTCTTGAGATTCCTGGCCTCAATGGCCGCGACAAGCTTGGCGGTGTTCCCACCACCATCCTCCTTGAGGACGAGTAATTGAGTCGTCGAATTCTCGATCGAGCGCGCAAAAGTGTTCAACACCACCAGTCACCTAATCGACCGATATAATAAAGACATACCGACAAGACTTTGGCTACAAGCCAGTCTTACAAAGAAAGCATATAGAGCATTTATTCAACGTCTTGTTCTAGTAAGGCCACACCAGGAGCGTGGGCCAGCTGTTGCATTTTGAAGCACACTGTTTAGTTTTTTGCCATTCTTCTTTTTTTTTTTTTCACTGAGGTTAGGCGTTGTTTGGAAACACCCCAAAAGAACAATTTAAGAAGACAAGGGTGAAAATTGTTCAAATAATACGAAAATAAATATCGTTTTGAGAGTTAAAAATGTCTTTGTTATGTAGGACAGTGAAAGAGGGACCTATTGTATGCTGTCGACTACCATAGACGACTTTACGGCTTGCAGCGCCGCTAATCTATATTGCATGCAATGTACAGACAGAATTATATATACACGTATAATTTACAGGCACAGTTTGCCACTTAATGATACCATAGATTCGCCAGTTAAATCACCATAGCATTATCAACCATGAGCCCTTGGCTGCGGATCTTGTATCGTCGTCGCATACCGACACCAGCAGATGCACGGAACAGGTCGTAATCGCCTATTTCGCCTTGCATGAGCACCATTGGGATACCATGGTGCCGCTTGACACCGCTTGGAGTGAACTGCTCCGAGTCCAATAACGGCCGTGGCAAGGTTTCGGTGTTTGTCGGGTCGCGTTCGTCCAGAATGAGAACAAGCTGCAGCGCCTGGGGCCCGGGTGCAAAGGAAGGAATATTGTCAAGCTTCTTATTGAAGGAGCAGCCGCCCCTTCGCATAAGGATGACTTGATGTTTGCGAGAGGCCCGAGGTTCCAGCGGAGCGTCACAGGCATAATCTGCAAAGTAGATGGACTTCCAGGGAAAGTGCTCTTCAGGGTTGCGAGCGTCGAATCCAGGGCGGTTATTGACAAGAGTATCGGCAGTCGATGGGAGAGGGAACGACCCAGGGCCGGTTGGAAGGTTTGCCGTCCAGGTGATGATGTTTGGCTGGTTATCTACTAAATCGTCAAAGGCGGGAGCATCTGTGGCGGTAGGGTCGAAGACGGATGTCATGGCTCGGAGAAGATTCTTTAACAGAGGTACCGAATCGTACTTGGCGTTGCTCTCCTCGGTCGGGGCAGCAGGCTCGTCAGTCGCATCTGGGTTGGGTTGGGTTGCTTCATGGGGATCGGGCTCTGGGTCTTCAACAAGCATGACAATGTCTACAATGTCGGTACGGCGAAGACAGGTGAATGCGTCATCCTTGAAATGTCGAACATGCTCAGAGTAAAAGTTGACGACGTCGTGGCGGCCGAGGGCAGTGTTTCCGACACCAGTGATTCTCCAGACATTTTCATCCATCATCTCATTATATTCCCTTTCTAATTGTAGCTTGACGCCTTCCAAGTTTTGGATAGTCGGACCGGTATCATCCAGCCAAGTCAAAGGGGATGTAAGCTGCGAAATAAAAGATGAGGCGCCGTCAGCCGTGGGAAACTCGACCCACGACATGATTCGCTCCTTTGGCGCAATGCAGATACCGTCCGAGGGAAGCATGGTTGGAGGTAGCGTCCACGGAAAGATAGTGTGATTGGAAGTTGCTCTATACTTGAAGACTGGGCCGTCTTTGCCTTTGTCGTCTTGAAGTAATTTCTCAATCGGGCCATGTATGTTTGGCGTGTTGTAGAGCTTCGTGAAACGTGATACATCGAACAAGTCAATGCGAGATGCCGTGACAGAACCAGCCAGTGGGTGTGAGGGCTGTTTTGGAGCAGGGCAAGAGTTGGTAAAGTTTTGGTCATAATATGTGTAGAGAGACACGCTTGTGTTTGTGCTCACGCTCTTCTTTGGCGATCGGCTTGGTCGGCTGTAAGACTTCTTGGGGATGATGAGCGGATGGCCTTCTGTTGTGAAGACATAAGCTGCATCAAAGTTGTTTAGCTTATGATCCGGATCAAACAACAGATACATGTACTTTGTAGTTTCTCCCAGAAAGAAGCTCTCCATACGATCCTGCTTTTCGCCTGTGCGAACGTCTTGCAAGCCAGCCCAGCCGCACGGCTCGTAGCATCTGCGCTGGATGTCTTGGAGGACCATCTCACCAACACGCAAATACCAGGGATCCTTCGTTGCTCGAAAGATGTGATAAGTAGACTCGATGAATTCTGGTCGACCGGGCCACCAGCCTAAGCCCTGCTCGACGTTGTTTTCGCGAATAGACCATCGCTCCGGAATAGCTGCGTATCGCGTCCACAGCGCCGTGTAAACTAGGTTTGCTTCTACAGCCTCGTCAACTTCGCCAGCCAAAGCTAATAGTCCGGGGTAAAATGCACCAAGACTGTCTATCCACATAGTGTAGGGTTGGCCAGTCGCGCGGTGGTTGTTGGAGTAATACGGAAACGAGTTTCGGTCAGTGTAGAGGTAGCGCTTGACTGAAGCATGAGCTTGATGCCACGCTTGCAGAAACGCATCGGACGAATGTAGCTCAGGTGAAAGCGGGGGATGTAGCGTATTAGGGTCCAACCAACCGGTGCGGCTCTGAGCAGTCGAGGCAGAGGTGTTTGGCATGCCATGGCCCGATAAGAGAATATGGCTCTTCAGAGCGTATTCAAAGAAGCTGTCCATTCCTGCACCAATACCGGCGTGAGGGCCAATCCAGCTACCACGTTCGGCATCGATGCCATTGCCAATTAGACCAATATCGCTCCTGCGGTCCCAAACCTCCCAAAATGCGCGTTTGGCAGCTTGTTCAAAGCGTGGGTCACCAGTCAGCCGACTGAGAACTGTGAATTCTAATGTCAAGCTTCCTGCACCAGCGCTGCAGGTTTCTGTTATTTCTGGCTGGCCGGAAGGGCGCGCTGGCGCTGTTTTGGAGCTGCTATGTAGTGGAGAGTTAACGTAAAACGGGATACCAGACCGAAGATTAACTCGGGGGTAAGGTATGCCGGTTGGTGTATAGAATGCTGGGAGGAGTCTCTCTGCAAGATCAAGGGCTAACCGAAGCAGCTGACCATCATAACGGAAGCCACCAGGCCACGGTATCGGTGCCAGCTCTAGAGGATCGTCGGAGCGGTATTCAGGTAACGGTGTTGCATCGTATCCGGGTATCGGTAGGTCGCCAACTGCGAAGAGGTGGGCGCTAAGCAAGCCGCCAACGCCACGGATAACAGTCTCAAAGACTTGCACTTTAGAATCGAGATCGAATCCGCGGGCTCGCTTGCCTTGTCCACTGGGGCCGCTCCTCCCGTCGCCATAGTGGGCAACAAAGTCAGATATGCCTTGTTGGAAATCGCTTAATGCTTGCTTTCCGGTATATGTGCCCTCGTCTGGTCCTCCGGCTAGGATCGCAAGAGTCGACAAACTATCGATAAGGGTCAGGGAGTAGTTGCCCAGGGCATCGTTTAGTCCTATTTGGCTTGGGTCGTTTCGATCGCGAGTTAATGGACCACAAGAGAGTGGGCGCAGCTATAAGTATTGTTGGTCAATGGGCTTTGTCTTTGCATTATATTGCTCGGTTCGTACCTCGTCTTCGGGAAACGCATGCTTCATATAATTGCTATAGCCGTGATAGAAGACATCGACAGTTTCTTGTCGTAAATGCCGTAAATGATCATCGCGCATAGCGAGAGACGGACAGACTATGAGAATACATAGCGCAAGTAGCGAGAAGAGCAACATTGCGAAGGCTTATATAGCGGCGCTATGCCAGTCGGGATTCGATATTCCCCCGTGGGAGGATGGTGGCTAAGGCCGGGAGCCGATGGCGTTGTGCAGTGCGGATTCGGGCCAACTCTACATGGGGTATCAAGGCTGTGTTTTTAATTGGTAGGAATAGCTCTATGATATCCCGCCCCGCGTTACGGACGCTGGCTGGCGGATTGATATCTGAATGCCGACAACGTGTCGTCGAAATTGAAGGTGGCATCTTTGGGCGCCACAAGCACGAGACTCAATGTGTGGCTGACATAATTGTGGCTAGTGAGTCTTTGGAGGTGGCATGCAATTGACGACATGTAGAAACAAGTGGAAAGGTGTGATGCTTACAACAATTTGACGCTACAAAATAGTTATCTCGAAACTAGATTTCTCAAAATTTTCCATAATAATTTAAGAGATAATATACTGATGGTGGCCGCATCTTTACTCACGCTCAATACTGGCTGTTGCTGGTGCACGAACATGTCACTCAATTTACTTCCATAAGTAAAATTGCGTACAATTGCATGAATAAAAGATTTAAAACTTCTTTCATATTTAACATGATTTTCTTTTCGATTATTTATTAGTTACTACATATCTTGCTGGAGAGCTCTCATCGCGGCCAAGTTGCGGTTAAACGATATGTAGTGACAGTCCCCAGCCCATTGAGAGCTTCATAGGTTTTCAAATGAAAAACAAAGCGCATAGCTCCAAAGGCTGCGACATGACTGTTATTTTACTACAATTTTATTTTTTAAATCTTTCCATGTTAATCCGAGGGTATCTTATAAATGCCATGTGCTGGATCTTGCAGCATGCACACATTTACACTGCAACTACACAATGCACCCACGGATGAGGCGGCTCACCTATATGCAAGGGTTGCACTGACAGTGGCCCTCTCGCCTCATCCCCAGCGCTGTAGGGCAGCCTGAAGTTTGCGGTGGGAATAGCAGGCTGATCGCAACCCGCTGGCGTCAAAACTTTGGCGCCACGCTTAACTTCAGCCCTAGGTTCAGAAAGCGATTTGTCGCAAGATCTGCCCAGTTGGTGGCCTCTAGGCATTTTGGACCCTTTACAGAACGGCATGAACCTTCTTTTTCAAAACTCTGCTGGATAGCTCGGCAGCTGTGCAATGGAGAAGAACCTTGCCGAAGAGGAACATTTGCTCTTCGGGGGAATGGGGGCAGCAGTAATTAGCGTCCCGCCGGCCAAGTCCAAACTTGGAACACACCCCCTTTGATCCTGTTCTGTTGTTCTTGCACGGTGTAACCCGGAGCAACAGCGGCTGCTGCAGCAGCTTACGCGGCTTTTTCGTATTGGGGAAAATTTGGAGTTTTCACGGCGTTCTTCTCAGATAGATAGGTCCCATGTTTCGTCGTTGAGGCTCAAGTGACATTTCTCTCCGATCTATTGTTCTGATCCGGGGCGCAGAAAGCAAGCGGAAAACCCCCCAAAAGAAGCAACCTTCAGCGCCTTCAGGGGGTGCAATTGCAGCGGTCTTCATGAGGCTTGCACGCCTCATGGGCCTTCGTCAGTTCTCGGTCTGCACTGTGAATTAGCGCTGTCAAAAACGGTAAGGGCGAGGACACCGGAGGTAGCTTAGCGTTTGGACAGACGAGCTAATGAGGGTCCTTTTGGAGGGGCAACTTGGCCCTGGACGGTCCGAAAAAAGCCCACCTGCGATAGCGGCTTGTTTAGTTCAAGCTCAGCGCCAGTCGGGTGTAGCTTCGTTGACGAGGCGGAGCCGGATCCTGCTGATCAGGTAATCCAGTGAAGCTCGAGTCGCCGATGTGCTCGATGCAACAGCAAGCTAAGTCATTAGCGTCCTCTGTACTGTACGAAGACGGGAGGGGTCCAGGTTGTTCAGTTTGCTTTGCTCGTCAACTTGCTGGAGTCATGGGTCAGTCACCAAGTCAGCTGGCAAAGAGGCTGGGATGAGATAATCGACGTCGATCTACCGACTAGGAATGGCCCACCCTCTCTGATGTGATACATGATGGCCCCGGCTGAGGCGCTGTTGAAGGCAAAGACGGACCTGTAATGTGCCTCGGGTGGTGGTCTCTTTTGGATCCTTTAAGCGAAGGGTGGTGCTCGACCCAGCAGTTTGCTAGATGGCGGCTCGTTTGTTGCATATTGCAATCTATTACACTGCCATCTGGCTGCTATTCTTCCTCAGATTAATAGTAAAGAACGCGCAGCAGGGGGGGGGGGGTGGTTTACATTCTGGACAGGCATAGACGCGCTTGACAGGCTGCAGTGCAGCATTGCCATGCTCATCACGTCAACCATCCCAACGTTGCTAATAGCAGTAGCCTGAGCTACCCACCCCGCAGGGATACATCGCAAGCAGCAAGCCAAAGCCCGCTCCCCCCTTTCAGTTAGCAAGTAACTGCGAGCGAGCCAATGGGCGACTACCCGCGATATGCTGCTGATGTGGATGCGGCCTCGAGTTAGCGCTGTGGGCTTGCCTGGAGCTAGTACTGGTGGCGTATAGCAACTGGGAATGGACGGGACGGCAAGGACCTTTTGGGATGGGGCTTGAGGATGGGCCGAGATGAGCGGCGCCCTCTCGAACAGACACAATACTGCAATAGGGCTTACCATGGGGGTTTGGGTTTTTTTTACACTTTGCTCCGGCCTGGCGCTTCCGATGTCTCGTTGCAACGTTGATGGACACCTGGCGTGGGTTTGAACGGTGGGCGCTGAGCGGGGCTATTCCTATCCGTCTTTGTAGTTACTGTTCAGTAGCCCTGGTGTACTGTACTGCACTACACCGCACTATACCTGCTGTAGGCACTGGAGCTGTAGCACCTGTAACTGCTGCAGACGCCAAAAACGCGTACTGCAGCCCTTTCAGGCCCTTCCCCCTGCACCCACGCTGCGGCTTCAAGCCTCCAAAAGGACCGCTAATAGTTTCTGTTTTTAGCATCTCGGCCCCCGAGCGGAGGCGTTTTCGAAGAGGAAGCAAAAGACGAAACGAAAAAAAAAAGTGACAATGTACAATACAAGTAGCCGACCAGGCCTTGGGGTCGGCCGATTAGAGCATGCAGCCGTTGGAGGTACATTCCAGGGCGGGCAGTTAGTACCAGGTACCAGCTGCGTCTGAAGCGCTACAAGTACCTAATGCTGCGCTGCACTCCATCGCGCGCCAACACCAGCAACCACCAGTACTGGACAGCAATAGGCAAGGTACAACAGCCTGTAGGGCCCAGCATAGTCCTGCACAGTACAAAGTACAGCACTACAATGCGCTGTGGGGACCGCCGCACCCCCGCCTTGGACAAGCGGTGCCTCCATGCAGGGCCGTTTCCTTGCTCGCAGCGCATCGCCCGCAGAAAACTCGGCGATCCAATTTCTAACTGCGGCGCCTCCACACTTGCAAATCACCCCCCTCGGCGATTGTGACGAACTTGATGTGCTAACCTCACCCTCCATGCCCCATCAGCCTCAACGACAAAATAACCCTTGTCTTCGAGAGGTGAGCCACTCTTCTGTCTCCAGGTACCGCCGTGATTGGGCATCACCGAGCAAAATTTTTCTCTCCTTCTCCTCCTTCTCCATGGTGTCCATCGAATACAAGTCGGGACGCGACGGACACGGACACGGAACGAGTCCGCCATCACTCGGGACGGATGAGATTTGGGTCCAAGCCACTAGACACCACTCGGACTAGCCCAAGTATTCTTGCTTTGAGATGACCAATCGTCCTGTGTTTGCCAATGTCCCTCCCATGGGATGCTGGTACATCCCCTCATACTGTGCTCAAAACCGTAAACGCTCTCTGCCTTGGTCTCAATGACCTTGGCTAGCCTCGGTCTGCTCGGAATGCTACGCTCCCCCCGCCGTTGTCAACCCCAAAGCAAAACGCCTCATCCTTTGGCCACTGCGTAACTTCCCGTCGCGCTCATTAGCGCAGCCGAGCACACAAACTCTAAAGACGATGTGCGGGACAGGGCTACGCTCTGGGGGCCATGAAGCTCCTCAAGTGGACATTCGCCACTACGGGCCAAATGAAAATGTTGTTTGCTCGACGTGCTTCTTGGGGGGCCAAGTCCCGGGGCGCTTTAACACTCCGTTGTAAGGTTTACTGGTCAGTGGCTCTCACTGTGGCCCGCCTGGCATCGTAAGGCTACATCAGCCCCAGCAGCTTATCGCCGACAGAGCGGGCTAGTATTTTCTATTGACGAATTGTTGTTTGCCAGCGGTATATGTCATTCGTATGTACGATCAGAGAAAGCTAGTTTCAATAAACAAGACACTCCATGTTCGGGCAATTAGGAAGTAGCCAGTTCAAAGCCAGAGAGAATCGAATTGAAAAGTATATGTACGGAAGGAATGAAGTATGTAAAGTTTTCTTCGTTGAGAAGATAGGCAATCTAAGTAAAAAAAAAAAAGAAATGGTAGTCCTGAAAGGTAGTAGAAAAGTAGCAAAACAGAAGTCTGCCTGCGCAGACCCTGTGCTGAGAACGATAAGGCTGGTAGGCTAGCTCTTATCTTCGGCGTCGGTGGTAGAGGGTCTTTGTCGTAGCAGAGGGGTGTGGTAGTTTGGGTGTGCTCTTCTTGACGCTCCTTTCAGTCGTTTGTTCCGAAATGTCGCTTGAATCGGACGACTCATCCTCCCAGTTTCTGCGCTGAATGATTTGGTTCAAAACCATGTCTCCATTCACTGGTAGCTCTGATTTGGACACTGGGACTCTTCCCATGGTGGCTTTCTTTGGAACCCTGAATCGTCGGCGGACGTCAATTTCGCCCATCTTGTCGACAAGAATATCGTCCTCTAGCTTTAGCTCGGTGACCGCCATATATTCGATGTCTGTTGGGCTTAGAAGCATGTTCTTGGAACCGCCAAATTCGATGAATTTATCCAGCATGGTCTTGTATCGATCTTTTTCTGTTGCGACCCAAGCTTCATGAAGTATATCCAACTGTATAATATGTTAGCAACACGGTGACCACGCCTTGGACGACCAAAATGGAACTCACGTCTTTCGACTCCCATTGGATGTACTTGGATCTACCCCTCTTGAACTTCATCTGCAGCACCTCTTTTCCATTCGCCTTCTCAAACTCTTCAAGGAAGTCGTTCTGGATGCTGTCCCACATATCCTGGCCTCGCTTATATCTATGGCGCCAGCGAGACTCGAAGATACAGCGCACTTCATCTGGGCAGTTTTCCTTAAGCGTGGGGGGGACCTCTTGGCCATGGCAGTTTGTGTGCTCGTCATTTGCATCTTCTGATCCGCATTTGGACTTGGGAGTTCCTGTATATGCCTTAGACTTTCTGTTTTTCTTAACGCCATGTGTGCTGTGATGAGGGGAGCCCGGAAGTGATCGGACTTTTTCAGTAGTTTTCTTTGGCAGATGGTCCGTGGCACTAGAATGGCGGCGCTCTTGGCTTGGAAGAGGCGAAGGTACCGGCAAGAATGAACTGTCGACTTGGAACATGGGCTCTTCCTGGCTTTCAGGCTGGTTATATTGGGCATTCATATGCCCCATGTTGTAGAAAGGCGAAGCATTGGACTGGATAGGATCCGGTAGATTTGCGGCAGACACTGCAAAAGCTCCCATATATGGTTCAGGAGGGATGGGGGAGCGGCGATCAGAGGTGATGTAGAACTCAGCCGGGATTGGATGATGGTTGACCATGGGAGATGGTGCTTGACTGCATTGACCCATCATATCGTACTGTGTAGTCCAGGCTGGGTACATACCCGCAGAGGGAGGAGGGCTAGGCTGTTGGGACAGTTGACGGTTTGTAAAGGAGGTAGAATAGTCCTCCTCAATCTTACACTGAATGGGAGGGGATGAAAGTGAAGAGCATGGAGTAAGAAGGGAAGGGTCACAGTGTTGGGGGAGGCTAAAAGAAGAAGCCTGTGATATAGTTAGTAAATAAAAGGGTTTTTTAAAAGTAATGAATGGACAAGGCATATATACCGTCGAGTAGGGAGTAAGTTCTGGAAACTCGCTCTGGGTAGGGCTGGCAGAGGATATGGAAGCGTCTGACAACCCCATTTGAGTGGAAAGCTCGTCTGAGTGTGGCGGCCTCTGGGGCATATATTCCATAACGATGGACATGGTGTGGTGAACAAGGGAAGAAATCGGACCAACAAGTGGCGTCAAGGTAGTGTCTGAAAGAAGCACTGGACCAACAAATGGCTGGGTTGGCTTGTAATAGAACTCCGATGCGCACGTCCCGCCCGGTTATATATGTCAAGCATGTAATTTCTTTCGAATTATGAAATAGAAGGTTCGAGGTTGAAATGGAAAGACAAATCTGCCTTCCTGGGTCTTGACCTGGCGTAGTAGTAGGCCGCAGATTGAACGGCCTGGTGGGGAGAGATTTGATAGCAAGGCAGATTGAAAGACGACACACAGGTGAACATGTGGCATGGCGATTAACTCAATATAAACGTCACAAATGGACCCCGGCCAAATCAGCGTTCCTTAGAGCCCTCCTCCTCTCTACTCCGCGCGACAAAGCTGCGTTGCATGTTGCGTACATACTTTCGAAGCCGTACGCCCCCCCTGTTCCGCTTTCTTTTGCACCTCAGTATGCGTTCCCCCGGTTAGCACGTTGCCCCACGGGCGTCAGTGCAGGGCAAACCCCCAAAGGACGCCAGGCTGCACCATCGTCCAGAATAGGTGTACTAAACCGCCTCTAGGTAGGTTAGAGACCTGCGAGGTACACAATAGCCGCCGACATGGCCCACCCGCTCTTCAGACAAGGTAGCACACTTTACATTCTGGACCGGGGTTGTCATTGGCGGGCTCCAAGCCGATGTGATGGAGTCACTGGGCTCGCTGCGAAGTGGACTCGGATCAGGAAAAAGACACTAGTCGTGGAGCCATTACAGTTGGAGTGTTGTTTCTAGGCAGAAGCGCTCGGCAACGGTAACAATAGCCTGTCTCGATGTGTACTACCAAGGCTGCTAACCAGTCCCTTGCTGGAGTTGCCCGCAACATGGTCGGCGATCCCAGGTAGGCCCAATCACCGCATGCACATTGACACGGCTGATCCGTTCCTCTGGGAAGACTGTCGACGTGGTTCCCTGGATGCAAGCTACTCACTGTTGCCCCCATTAATCCATAATGGATGCTCCCCTTTTGGGAGCCTGGTCAAGCAAAATGGCACATCCTTCGCCCAGCCCACTTTCACAAGTGCCCCAACTGGCAGCTACACCTACCCACTAACCAAGTAGGGTAAAGACTTATGGCCGGCCAGGTTTCTGCCCAAGCGAAGCAGTTGTGAAAATATTAGAGTAAGCTGTAAAAAAAGACGAAACTGGGAATGGCACTTGGCTTGCGTTAGGTGGAAGGCAATACAGAGAGGCACTCGGGCCGAACCTGTGATCGACAAGTTTTCCAGCTCTGTTCGAAGAAGGGAAACCGTTCAACGTGATCGCGCAGAGTGCTAGACGCGATTAAGCCCGAGCACACTAAGGCGAGGTGGCACCCAGACAAGTAGCGTGATGCCTGATTTTTGAGCGCTACCATTGGCGACTAATCGAGGCTTGGTGATTGGATCGGGCCCAAACGGCGCCGAAGTCCTAACGCCGGTGGTGTAGAGTAACATTAGCAGACAACAAGCGCTTGCGTGGGTACAAGGTTACTGCATTATCTCCCCGGCCGGGCCTGCTTATCGGCTTTTTCTTCTTTTGATACTGCGGAACTTCAACTAGTATCCATAGATGGATACTTTCCTTGAGAAGTAATGGCCGAAACAGAGCACGATGGCAGACTTGTGTGGCGCCTTGGTGGGCGATGGCCAAGCACGAGGACCATCTCGTGGGGGCGGTGATCCCAAACCACGCAGTATGCCATGGCGGGGGTGAAAGAGCGATGAGCTTCATGGTGGTTAGCGCACAATCCTGTAATCAGCGAGGCATAGTGCTGACCGTCATGGACCTCAGAAGACCCTACGAGTAGACTAGTAGCGAAGCCTTGAGACTTTCTGCCTTGCGTGCACTTGGGTCGAGTTTTCAGGCCGTAATTTGCCAGATGCGAGCCAGGCGCCAGCTGGCGCAAGTGAAGTGTGCTACCACCTGGCAAGCACTAGCAATGGGGCGCGGGGAGGGGGCGACAACCTGTGGCCCACTGGCGTCGACGGCCCCAGCACAGCCCCCATTTCCAGGCACATTTGTGCTTTGGCTTTTCATGAGATGCAGCAGCAGTCAAGGTCTTTGGTCTCCCCCACCAGCGATCACCGGGCAGCCAGCCTCTTTGGCCCCTACCTGTGTTTATTTTAGCGTCTCTCGCGTCCAACTGCTTGTGCGTTAGGGGCGAAGCACGCTGGTACCTGGTACCGCTGTCTAGAGCAGCTCACGGTACGTCACTTGTCAATACTCGCCGTACCACTAGTGGCCAGTGCAGCGTGTCTAATGCAAGGCAGCTCACGCATTTCGGCAGACGTCCCCCGAACATAAACGGAAATCTCTGACAGCTGCTGTTGCCAAAAATAAAAGAGCCGGCCTCGCTGCTGTCCGTCATGCTGCGACCGGGTGTGTGTCCGAGGCTCACGAAGCTGCAGCTTTCATCTCTCCACCAAGCCCTGTTGAAATTTCCTCCAGCACCACCTCGACTTCAACCTCCCCTCTGCTGCTCGCTTACACCATGCTTAACCGCCAGGCGCTCGTGGTCCTTGCCTGAATCAATAGCGCTCCCACCCACCTCAGGCGGATATTTTCAAATCCTGTGGACTAGTGAGGGATTAAATGCGCTCTGACGACGTTTGCGTTGCCAATCGCGGCTGTGATGAGCGCGGGCGGTTAGTTGCTTCATCTGGTTCGTCAAAGGTCTTCACGACGGCCCCCGTACGACCCAGCTTAGCGCCAGTCGATATGGTTTTCTTCCCCCAAAGGCCCGTGCTTGTCCATCGGCAAATATACTAGACGCCGGTTCTTCTTAGCTGTGTTTGATCATCCGACAAAACATTTGCCGCATTCGACGGCTGAGATTGCGCTCACGGTCATACGGATACCACCAGACGACCAGTCGTTTCCTCCAGGAGCGCCAACGAGCCAACCCTCTTTATAGGCGAGTATGAGTTCTCGTGGGCAATTGATCATAGAAGAGAGAGCGCGAATGGGCTTCTGGCCCTAGTTGAAAACGCTGTGGATAAGAAGTGGCTCTGATCGTCTTTTCATGAATGGATGGTTCTACGGTATGGCCTAAAACGGAGATTCCGTCTGGTCCTGGTTGCTAAGAATAATCACCCAAGTAGTAACAACAGCCATGGCCAGCCAGCAAGCAACACCAAGACTCGAAAGGGGCGGGGAGAGAAGCGCAGCGAGTGTCCGTCAGCCGCATCACACCTCTGCTGGCGACGCCTGCACTAGTCCCACTTAACTCTGTTAGCTTGACCAGATTGCCGGGAAGCGCTAGTAGGGATTAAAAATTGGGCCCGAGGAATCACCGGTCACGCCTGGGCACCTTTGTACAGCGCTATTCCCACTCCCTGTACCATCTCTGCACAGTCCCACGCACTGCGCTCCTGGTCCCCGTTGCACTGAACCACAGCCAATGGGCGCACAACCCGAGACCGGGGAAGAGGCCTGAGAGGGTGACCGCCTACACGCGCGCCTGAACGCTATTACCGTTTTGACCAGAACAAACGAGGGCCTCACGCCACACTGCAACCTTGTCACCCAAAGGTTAGCCAACCAGAACCTGCTGGCCCTGCTAGTACTCGCACCTGCAGGACGAAAGTCTTCCTCTAGTGCTCAGCACGCTTCTTCTAGGGGTGTGATCGGGAGGTCACCAAGTCGCAAAACAGTGGACTCGCTGCAGTCTCTAGAGGTGGCAGGGATCGTAGCGCTTTCCTCTTGCCCTATCTAATCAGCCTTAGAAAAGTTGTTTGGGGCGACAGCGTTAGTCCTTTGGCACATTCCAATCTGATTTTGGACTTTCGTGGCCTGCCTCTGATTCCTGAGCTACAAGTTCTTGGTCGGCAGCTGACGCTACATTGCTTCCATTCACTCTCTCCTGCCTTTCTCAGAACAGCCACAATCGATTCCATTAGTCGTCATTTCTCCAGTTATGCTAGGAGCGGCGCATTGCCGTGGAGCCTACTATGTGGGACTTGGCCCTGGGAAGCGCCATCCAAAATGAAAACCAGTCTACCCTAGCTCGCCTCGCCTTTCCAGCAGACAGTCTGGCTTTGCCAAGTCCTTTTGGAAATGACGACGGAGGTTCACCGAATAATCCTTAATCCCGGAACAATTGCTATGGTCGAGAGCGTCGTATCCATCGGGCCGTTGTAACCCTCCCTGTATCCTCAGCTCGCTGTAAGCGCCCTGCCCGCATAAGAGAAAGCTCTTTTGCTTCTGGCAGCCGCGGGATCGGCACTTAACGATAGCGATTGTGTTTCTGAGCTCATTGAAGAGGGTGTACATCAAATTCACCTTCGTGAGCTTGTTTGTGGTTCCTGCAGAGCTGTGTACGAGTCTGGTTCGGGTCAGTACATTTGCTGGAATAGAGACTCTCATAGTAACTGCTGCAAGATTGCGAGAGCCACGGTAGGTAGTCGGATCCAAGCCAAACGATTAATTTCTCCGTTGCGACAGCTCATAACGCTGCGCACATCGCGGATCACTCCGTCCGCTTCTCCTTTAATCCGTCACAAAAAAATGATCAAGCGCCGCCTTTCCCGCTATCGCCGCCCCCAATCTGTCCAAGGGACAGCCACTACAAACCAGAGGCGTGCAGAGGGGGCCAACACCGAGCCCACCGAGCACACTGGCCAGCCGCCGCGGAGTCCCTGACACCGAGAGGGTAACTTGGAAATGCTAGTAGTGACATACATTGTGCCCTGGGTCGAATACCGTGGAATGTCACCCAGGAGCAAGAGCGGGATGAAAACTCTTTCCACCAACAGAACGGTAGACCAAGCTCGTTAGCGCCGAGAGTAGTCTCTCAAACTGTTCCCAGCATCTCACTGGTACTAGTAAAAAGACCACTCTATTGGAGGAATGCGTACTGGTAGCCGCTGTCACACTCATGTCTGCCTCCACAGCACTCTGGGCTCGCTTTACATACCATTTTGAGATGCGCTCTCCGTCGCCTTGTGAGAATCGTCACGCAGTTTCCCTAACCGGCCAGTTTTTAGTTTAGCCGTTGTTCCGCTATGCAACCTCCACCAAGAGCAATATTGTTGCTGTTTCTCTTTTTGAAGACAACTATCCAGCTCTGCCAGGCGAAGTAAGGAATCGTTCGACCTGGGGTGAAACTTCCTCAGGTAATCCAAACAATCGCTGCTGTACTGTTTTGATTATGTTCTTGCTACGATGAGCTTGTGAATGCTGAATGGCACCATTAATACCAGACAAGCAGCTCGTGCCATATGCTGAAGGATAATGGTGCCATAGATCCACAGTTCGTCACAATGCCGACGACGCAAACTAAACTCCTGCGGTAATGGCGCAACGGTGGTCGGTACCTAGAATCTACCTCCTTATTCTGGACCATTCTTACCGATTGAACATTTCTTTCGATCCTACAACAAGGTCACAGACCGCTCATGTTCACAACGGAGCTTCTATGCGGGTCATCCGGCCAGCCACAACAGCACGCACACGCCATCTTCGCCAAGATCAAATTTGGTAGGGTATTCAGAAGCAGAGTGGTTTTCACTTTGACCTAGAATTGGGGCTAGTTCTGGATGCATTAGCGGCAAGCCCTCTGAACAAGCGGTGTCTTGCGGACAGTCCGCCGATGTGCACACATCAGAGCACAGTCTGTAGCGGATATCAACGCTTACGATTACCTGGCTGGAATCTGGGTCTGTTAAAACCCATAAACACCACCCTTGTATTGAGGCCCGTAAATGAGCGGACTCAGGACGCAGAGTGTGAGGCAAACGCCGCGCCACGTCCGCTCAGCTAGACACTAGACTCCTGCGGCCCTGGACGCTTTCATCGGCGTCAATCGTCACACCTGTTCAGATCAATATAACCCCAGAAGACTTTATGAGCTGATTATAGGCTTATTGGAGTGTTAAGCGCCGGCCAAGACGTTGGACGTTGGTTCTAAGCGGAGCCATATGCGGCCAGTTACGGTGGCCGGGCACAACGGCGACCCAGCTGCGCATAACTTCGCCCTTTTGCGGCAATTTGAACTGAGCGAGAGATTTTCCAGTTAGACATTAGTAGTCCCGGTCTTTGCTGTTCAGGCAATTTACATCAGCGTTGCGGCTCGTGCGCCCCAGCATGTGGCAACCACTACACACTTCCCTGCCGTATGATACACTTTGCCACCAGACATGGTTCATGGGACAAATTTGTCATGCAGAGCATACAGGTTCTTTGTCCAAGGTCATACGCCTTTCTGCCCGACAATTGAGTGCCGCCGTCTTAGACTATGCCACCATCACACGGTCCAACACGAAATAGTTGGGTTGGCATGGCGCACTCCATGACAGTTTGCGGAATGGGCGGCTAATGAAAAGATACACCTCTGATATTCTTCATATAGCTTTCAAGGAGCTACAACAAGAACCCGCCAGACCCTTTGGAGGGGGCGCCGCCAGCCTGCCAGTTCGCACAGACAACCCGATGTGGCGTGTGAAGCAGGCGGATTCAAAGTACCTCGATAAATGGCGCTCTCCTATTCTTTAGCGAAAGTAGCTGATTTGTAATGTGACCTCAGCTGTAGTGATTTCCTGCTAGTCTATATTTGGCCGCCAAACGTGGCTGCTGGCAGCCGCCGTGGCTCCCTGCAAGACAGAAGAAGGTGTGGCATGCCCAAGATTGCCTAATTCCCAACAGGGTAGTCTTACCTGTAGGTCTCGGTTGTCCTTGTATGTTATTCGCTTCATGGGGGCGGTGGAGGTTTGTGCAGCTCATTCTGCAAGACTTGTGGCGAGCTGGTGGTGATCCCCCCAGAAGAAGCATCACCAGGATGAACAGCGAGCATTTCGATGAAAGACGATGTATATTTCATTCCATTATATATAGTACGCGAATAGTTGAAAAAGTCTTCCTGGAATTCCTCCTTAATTATTGGCAACATAGAAAAACACAAAGTAATACCAAAAGCAAACAGCGTAGACTTTTCGGCCTAGGCCCTTACCAGCAAGCAACAACCCGAAACCAACATTCAAAATGAAGAGTAAAACACCAACAAAGCAAAAAGAATATAGAACAAAAACCATCAGACTTGGTATAAGAACATCATTGAACGGTCATCGCAAAGGGTGGAGTTGAGAAGGAAAACGACGACAACCCGCTCGGGGGCATCACAAATGTTGAAAAAAGGGTGCTTCAGTAAGCACAGATGATGCGAACCACAAGGATGTGGTGGAGACAAACATCAAAAACAGTAAATGCATCAAAATCATTGTAGAAACAGCGGAATTGTATCGCTGATTTGACCAGTTCATCATTTTCGAGGAACACGCAGTCTAGCTGCGCGCTTACGGTCAGTGGGAGAGGTCTTGCCTTGTGTCTTGGTTTCGCTCAACAGAGGGAGCTGCTGATCGGCATTCTATGCGCTTTCCAGCGGCGCAGGGAAATTGAGGTTGAAGTCGACAAGGCCGTCGAGCATCCAATTCTGGGGGTCGAAGAAGTCAAAGTTGGTATCGCCATAGTTAACGCCTCCAATCATGGCAGTGGCAGCTGGTGCTGCGGTCGTTAGAGCCGGTGCAATGCCCATGGGGGCTCCGTTGACATTAAGGAGCGCTGCCGTTGCGAGGGTGTTGGAGGGCATAAGCGTCGCATCGAGTTGCGATGACGTGGACGATTCGGTCGCGGATTCTGGGTTCGTTGGATTCTTGATGGCTGCTGCGGGGGTGAGATTAATTAGTACAGGACTTGTTGCGTAGTAGGACTTCTGGGATTGGTACTTACATTCTATGGTTCGGCCATGAGCTTGATACTCCTCACGCCAGCGCCAGACTGAGTCGAAAACGAGACTCATGCTGTGACGACAACGGACCTTGAGCTGCAGCGAGTCGTCCATTTGAATGGGAGACTCGTCCTCGCGGTTAAACGATGGATGGTTGTTGTCAAGGCGCGCTCCGTTCCACATTTGGACCATCAGTTCGGCCAGTCGCCATTGCAAGTCATTGTCAACAACGCTCGTAGCGCGGATGGCTTGGATAGATTTGTGGAATAACGAGCGGCCACGGTGGAAGTCGATAGTCTTTGCAAAGAAGGATCGCATCAACTTGAGCAGAGTGAATGCTGCGGCAACAAGCATCTGCTGGATGTAGTTTGTCGCATAGAGGAGAATAGTGTCTCCAAAGTTATCGCGTGGTGTCTTGACCTTGTCAATCTCGAGAAGATCGTCCAAGAAGCTCGTTGTCGCTCTCCAGAGACCCATCAGGTCGTCCATATAGCCAGGAGTCTTGCTTGAGTCGAAGAAGCCAGCAAGCCTCATGTGCAGACCAGCAGCACGGAGGTGAAGGCTAACCACAGGCCCTAAACCTTGGGACAGGATAGATGCGTGTAGTTCACCGTAATCTCGGCGATATACGCGCATCAGCATGGCACGATGCTCGTCACCCGCTACCCCACGAGGGTCACTGGCATTGCTGTACATTTCCTTGGAAACCTTGTCACAGAAGCGTTCGATCTGCAGTCGCGCCTCAAGCTCGGGTGATAAGCGTATAGTGGCATCGTCACCGGGTCGAGATGCCAAGGTCCAGTCGTACAAGGTGGATGCTGGCTGACCGTAGCCAGTTCCTATGTTTTGCGCTACAATGTTGCAAACCGCCCAAGTCGTAACTCGATCCGCTAGCTGTTCCCGGTTAAGTTCAACGGATACACGGGAGAAATCTTGGATGTTGTTGGGTCTGTGCAGACCAATGCCAGTCGCCGTCTTCATCATAACACCGCACAGGATGTGCGTGGGGTCGGATGTCGTGGTGCTCGTCGGCAGCGACCAGGCACAAAGCAAGCACATTGCCTTGACGACATGGTAGCTGCTGGGGACTTCCCCAATCGTTGTCCACAAGAATCGCGTCAGGGGTGCCGATAAGTTGGAGATGAGGTTTGGCGAGTTGGCGGGGCTAAATCGGCGGGCCGCGACAGCAATAATAGACCAGAAGAGCAAAGGGTGCTGTTGGAGATACTGATCCGGTGTCTGTCTGGGGTTGAGGAACGGCAAGAAGGAGTGGTAAAAGGTAAAGTACTCGTTGAACAGACGGGAAACGTTCTCGGTAGTGAGTCGGACATCTTCTAGCTGGTAAGGGTAATGGGTAAGCGGATACGCAGCGGCGCCTCCACGCTTCAGATTGAGCAGCGAGGAGACAGCTTCGTCGGATCCCATGAGCGACGGGTTGCGGGTGTGGGTGTAGGTTCCAGTATGGGCAACGGGCGAGTCAATATCGTCACCATCATCCATAGTATACCCTTGAGCTTGCGCTTGCGACAAGTTTCGGCGCAAGCGTTCGATTTCCTTTTCCATCTCTGCATGCTTGGATCGCTTGCCGACGCGCTTGAAATTGGACTCGATCTTGCATTCTAATTTGAGTCGGATACATCGCGAGCACGGGTTGAAGGGATCTTGTGTGACATTGCATCGGAGCTATTTAGTAAAGAGAGTATTGTTAGCTTCGTTTCGATCTTGCCTTGGGAGAGGGGGGGGGGGTTGGGGGGTGGCCAAGCTCGAACCTTTTGTTGACGGCATTCATTGCACGCTCTCTTAACGCCTGGTTGACGCTTCTTGTCGTGATCACCATCGCCGTCCTCATGACCGCTTCCGGGACTGCTGGGATGCGAGGGGATGCCGGCGCTTCTCTTTCGCTTCGCACCGCCGTTGCCGTGTCTGGAGCTGGCAGGGCTCGTCGGGCTGAGGGACGACGCCCCGCGTGCGACCATCGATGAGCCGTCCATACGGCAGCTTGGGCGGACCAGCGACCGCGGCGCAGCAGTGAATTGGAGAAATGGGCGTCAAGATCGCGGCGATTGGAGAAGAAGGCTGCAAGACGGGCCGGGCGACTCGAGGAAGCGAAGTCGGGGGGCCGGTGCGACGAGGCGTGAACTGCCGAGTGACAACAGACTATTTTGGAAATACAGCGAGATGCAACTGTTGTTTCCAATTGTGCTTGTCCAACGAAAAATGGCAGGGCGAATAATAGAAAATAGTCTGATCAAAAACAGAAGAAAAAAAATAAAAGTCGTCAGACGATGGGGAAACAGAGGCCGACTACGGAACAAGAGCGTGGTGGGATGGCGGAGAAAAAAGGTTTGGAAGGAATTAGGAAAGACTCATCGGGCCAGGTCCGATTGTGCAGCGTGGTTGGCAGGCTGAATCCAATACTGGGCCCGCAGAGCAGAAGCGTCAACTGGATTGTCTTGGCTTCTATTGGCTTTTGCGCCCTTAGCTTCGTCTGCTTGTTGGTCTTTTGTGCTGCAAGTTGCGGCCGTTGAATGGTCAAGCGGGGGAGACTTGTGAAAATTATTATGGAGGTGGTGGAGAGGCGGTCGGTGTGATTGGCCAATCATCTTTGGCAGGTCACGTGTACGACGCGAATTGCAGCGCCTGGGGGGCTCCACCGGGCGGTGGTCTGCTGAAGCGACAGCTGACGGAGTTGCCCGTTTCTGCAGCACCCAGGATGGCGGATAAAAAGAAAAAGAAAAGAAACCCATTGATTATTTTATTTATTGTTTTTTTAAAACCAATAGTAGAGGTCAATAGATTCTGAATTTACATGAAGATGAAGAAAATACTGCCAACGCTGGGACTACTCTTCCCTCTCTCACTTCCCCCAATTCGCTTTCGCTTCACCGTCTCTGTACAACAGCCACCACCCTTCGAGGGCTGCTGCAGTGCAACCACCACCTGCAGGCCCCCGGCAGGCACCTGCTAAGTTAATTCCCCGCCCGGGGACGCCTACAACAGATGCACCGCCTTGCCCCTCCAACCCGCCTATCGCCCGCTGCCGCCCTGTAAGCCCACTGTAACTTGACTCGTCACCCGCTGTTAATACGGGAACAGCTGCCGCAAAACCAATTCCCGGGCGCGGCCAGTAGTCCGTCCCTCTATCCACCAAGTCGTGCGACTATCGACTAAACTCCCTCGAGCAGCACAGAACCGTTGGGGACTGACTCATTCCCTATTATTTGGCACCTGAAGCCAATTCAATACTATTCTCCCCATCTAGAGGGCAGCCTCTCATCCCAGTGAGATTGTGATTCGCAGCTGGTGATCTCGCCTTCACATTTCTTCCAGACTCTTCTGCCCCAAATGCCAGAAGCATCTCGGCCGCCTACAAAGCGCAGTCTGTGCCAGACTCGGCAAAACCCAAAGCAAAGCAGCACACATCGGCCAAGTATTAAGAATGAAGTGCAGTTTGTCCTGCCGGGCTCTGGTGCCAATGACTTTGGTAAGACCTCAACTACTCCAGGTAGCAAAGTTGGTTCGAGACTAACCAGGGTGAAATAAACAGCAGAGCCCATCGAGATCAACACGAATGCTGTTGCGCAACCCTTCCTGAACCCAGAAACTCTGGAAAATCAAGTGCCTTGACCAATTACATGCTATATACCTTCAGTAATTTTCTCTTGGAGCGCATGTGCTCCTCACAGCGAGACCGCTCATCCAGCATGTCATGGAAAGGGCGCACAGCAGTCACCATCCAGTATCAGTAAGCTACGACGTTCTTGACTTGTGACCAAGCTATGGCGATTCTCTACCAACCATTTGAGACCATGAAGCTATAATGGGAACGGGCCGCTTTGGACACAGCCCGCCGAGCTTTCATTTGCCCATACATACGGAGAGCGTCTGCCTTTTGGTGTGTCAGAGTTTCAAGCAGGCGCATCTGACGCCTGCGCGATCAACTTTGATGGCATCCACGCTGGACAGATGGCGTTTGCAGGCAATAGGACAATTTTATACTTTGGGATAAGCGACGTCTAGACGCATGTGACCAGATACAGGATAACGCGGTCAGATGATCTCATAGAATGTGTGAAACCCAACTATGCTATCAAACAACTTGTCATGTTGAAATCTGTGCCTCTTGCGACGTCTCTGCGTTCAAACTAAGCAACATTTCCACCTCGGATTTGTAGCCAAGTTGAAGCAAGATGTCTACCAGCTCGGCTAGCTTCTGTTTCGAAAGGTAAGTTGCTGTATGCTGCAAATCAGCCCCTGCGTCGAGGAGCAACTTGACGAGATCAGACTTGGCTGCCATAGAGTGCGGCAACTCAGCAATAAGTAGCAGTGGCGTGATACATTTTTCTTTGTGAGGAGGACGACGAGGCCAACCCTTGGCATTAACATTTGCGCCAGCCTCGAGCAAAAGTCGGGCTTTAGCAATATCTCCTCCGTTAGCACACACATACATGAGTGGCGTCCATTGGACGTCGCCTGGCTTGTCGACCTCCGCTCCATACGCTAAAAGAACCTTCAAAACCGCTGTTGTTCCATTCCGGATAGCAAGATAAACCGGCGAGCTCTCTAGCCTGCCTATAGTGTTGGGGCTAGCCCCCAGCTGGAGAAGTAGCTCCATGATGGGCAAGTCCTTGTCTTGAAGCCCATTTCGGCCAGCCAAAGCATGCAGTCGCGTGAACACAAATGTTGACATGCGACAGTCAACTGCTGCCCCGTGGGATACAAGCAGCCGTATCATTGCTTCTGTTGAAGCAAGGAGAAATGGAGTACCCCTCCTCCCGGATCGCACATTGACGTCTGCGCCAAGTGAGAGTAAAACTTCTGCCATGGCCACGTCCCCGAGTGATGCTGCGCGATGCAGAGCTGACCACCGCCATTTCCAGTCTAGTCCGTTGATGTCTAGTCCCCGGTCAAGCACAGCCTTGAGAACATCCACCATGCCAGCACAAGCAGCAGAGTGCACCAGAGTGAAACCTCCTTTATTCTGTACATGAATGTTGGCGCCTTGCTCGATCAAAAACATGGCAACCTCCGAAATGCCACGCTCACAGGCTCTCATCAACGGCGTCACCTCAATGGCAGGCCGCCCAACTTTAGGAGGAGCATGCCGAATAGCCTCCATAGGCACACCTTTTTCCAACGCTACTTTGGTCACAGCAACAGACTTGGTCATATGTAGTGCGTTGCTGCCTGCATCAGTGAGGAAGTGCCAATCGGCACCATGGGCTGTTAAAAGCTGAATCATGGGCCATGAATCGATCCAAATAGCTACACTTAACGGTGTATACCCGTTGATTGCCTTGAAATTGACGTCTGCACCATGCTTAATAAGAAGACTGGCCATCCCCTCGTCTTCAGCATCGACAGCAAGATGAAGGGGATGAGATGGTGACCCGGGCGGCGTATTTGCAGGGTAACCGGCTTGAAGGAGGGCCGATACAATCTGGGGGGAGATTTGGCCAGGGAGGTATGATGCAAGGAGGAATTCTTGAAGTGAAGCTTCGGAGAGTTGGTTACTTGCTCGGTACAGGACTCTTGGTGTTTTTGAATCCTTGTGCACAGCGCAGGCAGCCACGAGTGGGCTACAATCCGTGTAGTCCCAGGTAACCCCAGACGATGATTGCATTTCCAATAGTCGAAGGACAATGTCTAGATTATTTCGTAGACAGGCTTCCAGCAGCAAAATCTGGCTATCGTGGCCGGACCGCCGCCATATCTCGACTATAATTGGCGTGTTGAGCATCGCCTCTGCAAACTTGGTGCGGCCGTAGCGGATGGCGCTCCGGAGCTCAGAGAGCCGCGAGATGTAGCCCGGAGTCAACTGGGTCCACTCTACAATTGCAGGGGCATTCTTTTCTTCCAAAGCAAGCTTCATCGCACGGCGCTCCTGTTTCGCGTCTAGCAAGTATAGAGCACGGATAGCCGGCCCGTACCATGCCTGACACACTTGCGTGCAAACGTATACTTCATTGATTCGGGTTAGATACTGAAAGAGATGAACGAGAATATCTCGTGGAATGGTGGTCGTCATGATGGTCGTAAGCTAGGCGGGCATGTTGTGCGCGGATCTCAGCTAGCCTGATAATTTAATATGCGATTACAACGGACATTGTAGGCGGTGAGTCACTCCGTTTGCTGATGGTAATAGTCATCTTGAAGTTTTAACAAATTCCAATATTTGTAGACGAGGCTGTAGACTAGATCCACTTCCAATGGTGAGGTCAGTTAGCTAGCCAAAGGCAGGTCAAGATAATATTGGGATTTATCGTGGTGTTTTATGAGGGATCATTGTCAATAGTAAAAAGCGGCAAAATAGCCACTAGAAGAGGGGGGAATTTCCATTTGTGTTTGATTCTCGGTATCGAGTGAAAAGAATCGAGAACGCTATACTAGTTTATATCATTCATAGGGAGAAGATAAAAGGGATATCGTAGAGGAACGTGACTGTACTTAGATGGATACTACATATACTTGGAGTTACGAAGTTGTTGCGCCCGCCAGCCACGACCCCAGCCACCTGTTTCGTACATCTGGATTAGTTTTTCTTTCATTTTAGCATATTCCACTTCTCTCGCTTTTCGAGCCGGCAAAATCCACAGCTGCTCCTCTTCATAGATATCCGCTGCTGTCTTGCCCTCATTGTCCGCTGTCGCAACATCCACGCCACTAGAAATAAGTATTTGCTGCATCGCTTCTAGAATCTTGTCGGCAATTTCCCATCTGTATGGTACATTATGAGGGTCTCCAGCAGTGTGCAGACTGATTGGGCGAACCATTGCAAATCTAGGTGCTTTAACCCAGGTCCATCAACTTGGCCATACATATACCCCTTCCACCTTGGAGATACCATGGCATCCTTCAAAGGGATGAGCCCCCGCGCCGTCATAAAGTCCCAAAATGTTAGGCTGCCCTGGGCCACTATGTCAAACAAGACGTCGGCTATTCCGTCATCGTCCAGAGCACCATTATTAATCTTTAGATCCAGTAGGAAAATAAACGACTTTGGTGCATTATTGCGAATCGCTGATGCTAAGTCATCAGACCATGGGTTCCTAATATCTGTATAATTCGACGTCGCCCCAGCACGCATTAGGAGCTCAAGAATTTCTGGTGAGTCTTGAATCTCGGTAATGGAGGCAAGGCATCTATGTTGCCACTCATCTCTTTCATAAGTTCTCGTTTGCAATAACATTCGAGAAAAGTTGGCGTCGAGGTCGACCATTGCTGTCGTGATGGCAATGCTATCGGCAGATGCTGGTTTTCGAGGTTCTGGGTATGTAACATTGGGAATTATCTGGGCCACGAGACTAGGATGCTGCCTACGACAACCAATCGTGGCCGCATAGTATAGTAGGGGCTGCTCTTCGTCGATCTTTTTACTGCTTGGATCATGCTCTGGCAATATAATGGCATTGACGAGAGCAGGCTGCTCTTTAAAAAGACGCACAGCGGACTCTACATCTTGGTCATATAGAGCTTGGATAATTTCCGGTGAGGCGTAGCGTTTCTTCAATTCGGTAGGAGGACCACTCATGGCGAAGGCCTAAAAGGTTTAGACAGACTAACTTATAATACAGTTGTTCAAATGGGGTTAACGGCGTTGTCCGAGGCTCCCTGATACCAATTGAATATTCTTAAAAAGTGGTACAAGTACCAACACCCTCTTCCTATAATAATACACAAATAATATAATAATTAAATCAAAATTATATCGTTACCTATTTAAATTAGATAATACCACATTATTTATATGCTAAGCCCTGTTCATCGTTGAGTGTTGATTCCGGGTAGCACACGCTTATCGATAGCCGCCATCACGTAATCATCGCAGCGATCTCTGGAAATTTCATCAGCAGCTCCCTATTGCCAACACATCATCACACGACACAGACTCACCACCGTCGCAAATCGCATCCCTTTCAATTTCCATCTCCAATTACCAACAAACACAACCGCAAACATGTCTTTCCTCGGAATGGGTCGCGCTCAGCCTACCTCAGAGCAGAAGATTGCTGCTGTCGAAGGCGAGATGCGCATGATGGCCGACACCTACAACCGGTATGTCGCTACCGAAACGGTTGATTTCCTCCCCCTTTATAGATACCATAAGCTAACATGCAATCGCAACAGCCTCCAGAAGACCTGCCAGAAGAAGTGCATCCCCACTGACTACCGTGAGGGTGAGCTGAACAAGGGCGAATCCGTCTGCATCGACCGCTGCACCGCCAAGTTCCTCGACACATCCATGAAAGTCAGCGAGATCATGCAGCAGCAGGGCCAGGCCATGGGCTCCGGCGGCTCCGGCGGCGGTCTTTTCTAAACGAATCACAAAACGATGGTCGGTATAGCCCGCAATGCGGCCCGACATAAACCTCGAGCGATGTAAAAGAAAAGGGGGCAATCAGTCTCCGCCCTTTTGTCGACGTGTACGATAGCAGAAAGCATGCATTTTGGACTCTGTAAAAACATAGAATTTTTGGATGGGAGATATTATATGACGAGAACCTGTTGGTTGAATGGCAATAGGAGAAAGAAAGACTACACGAAAATGATGGAACTGGTCAAAGCAATGTTGGATGCATCGCCAGCTAGTATAATACATCTCAACTACGCCTCTAAGCTGTACTACAAATGTGCTTATTGTGAAAATGACGTAGAATTACAAAGTAAATACCAAGTATATGCCGCTCAATGGCTGGCGCCCAGACTCCAAGTATGCTAAGAAGGAAGGCTATGTGCGTTGTTATGTATCTACCCAGATCTAGTGATATTAGGCCCGGTGCCTATGCCAGTCAGTGTCCTTACCATCCAGTGCAGCCAGCTTTCTGTCTCAAGCTGCAGTTTCAACTCCTCGGCTCGCTTCTCGACGTCCTCGACTTGCAGCTCAAAGTTGCGAATGCCATCCTCGACGTCGTTCACTTTGGCAACCAGTGCATTCATTTCGTAGTCCAATCGTGCTATCAAAAGCTCGATGCCCTTGATGCTCTCTGTTATACCCATTCTCTCGTCTTCAAGCATGTCGTCGGAGCTGGCACGCACCTGCTCGCAGGCATCACGAAGCTGTTGGGCTAGGGTTTGCAGCTCGTTGGCTTCGCCAGAGTACACCTGATCCAGCCGCACGACTTGCTTAATCTTCTTCTCGACCCATGGCTCTACAGCGTAGATGATGTTTTCTATCTTTCCAGTGAGGCGAGCGTACATGGCAATTCGTGCAGCGGCATTTTCTGGATCGTGATCGTCAATGTCTGCGATTTCGGTCCAATCAAGGATTGCCTCCTCTGCGTCGCTAAACGACATTCTTCGCGCCCATCGAGTTTCGTTGACAGACTGGGTTTCATAGAGCTCGGTCAGATCACAGCTGCGTCTCCTAGAGAAGAGAAGCTTTGAGGAAGACTGGGGCACTTCGCGTCGTGGAGCAGACCAGGTCAACTTTCCTGGGTCAGTATCTGCTTCTGATCGACTAACAGAAGGAGTCCTCGAATAGGGATCTATATCATGTGTTGCATGTTTATAGTCATCAGCGTCCCGAGACTGGAATGGCTTTCCAAGGACAGCATCGCCTCTGAATTCGTATTGCGGGAAGGTCTTTGTTGCATGCCCCTCAGCGATTTCACCCATGTGAGCGGGCTGGTCGGGTTGACTCCGATTTATGGCCTCGAGATACTCTTCAGGCTTATTCTTCCACGTAAACGTTCGCCCAATAGCCGCAGGGCCGGTATTGACAGATTGAATCTGAGGAGATTCTGTCAGCTGTCCCCCAGAGTCTCCTAATCCTTCTCGGGCAGACCATGATGGACCCCTATAATGCCTACGAGATCCTCCTATTGTGTCTTTAATCCTACCCAGACCAGACTTTGCGTCGCTCATCCTTCCGGCTACGCTTCTGAACACGGCCCGTCGGGTCCCGTCCTTGTCGATATAGTATGTAGTGCTTGGCTGGTAGGTCCCGTGCTCCGGATGCTCGTCCCCTGATTGCGATATTGTCCGTCTTCTAGACTGGGCCGTAGTTTCCACTGGTTTTGCCGACACCGGGGTCTCTTCATGGTCCAAGTCTAGGTAGTCAAAGGGTGTACGCCGAGGTTTACCTTGCCATAGCCATCGTGGGATGTCACCGTAGGCAAGGCCAGCAAACTGGTCTATATCCAACGTTTCAATATCCGCTAAGCCGGCTTTATCCTTGCCAGAGACCATGTCTAGGACAATTTCTCCTCGTTTACCGCCAATTTCAGTAACTGTGGACTTGACTGCTTTTTGTACTCCCCAACCTTCGCCGGCTGCAGCCTTTGCTGTAGCAGTATGAAGCCTAAATAGAGTCTGACGGTCCAAGCGGCGGGTCTTTTCGAGCTTTTGAGCCTTTTGAAAGTACCAAATACCACGCTTTGTACTTTCAATGTCGAAAACGTCTTTAGACACGGGAGCACCATGCCAATTAAGCCGATTGCGCGCACCCATGAACATTCCCAGCAATGCCGCAACGGTAGTTGGGCCTAAGATACCGTCAGATGGCTCAAAGTTGTAATGCTCAGCTCCCACTTCAGCCCACCAGCTATTGATAGCCGCTTCTGTCACATCGCATAGAAGCCCATCAATGTATTCTTGCCCAAGTTTGTCGAACATATATAGCGCGACTTGACATAGTTTGACAAGCTCCGTTACTGATTGAGCAAACGGTATTCTATCCGAGGTCTTGTACAGTTGATAAAACTTTGCTCGAGTGGCTTCAGTTGGGTCGGTAAGCGTCAGTCCTGACCGACCCGAGCAGCCTAATCTTTTTAAATCCTCATTGAGGAAAAAGGATGGTCGATGTTTTCTAACATCGCCATCAGGTAAAGCAATGACGGTTAGAGCGGATGGGAAACTGCTCAGGTTTGTAACCATCAATTCACCAAGCTCGGTCTCTTTGGGCCTGGCATGGAATTGTTCTGTCGCATGAAAGTATAGGCGCAATTTCGGAGACCAGAGGGACTCGTCGGTGGGTAGCGCCAATACGCCGACCACTATCGTGTGCTTTTCGTTTCCGGTATGAGTAACAACCACCAGTGTTGGGGATTTTCGAGAGCATGCCCATTGCTCGATGAGGTAGGATTCGTAGCCTCGGAGTATGCCTCTGTGCTCTATAACTGTAACGTATGGTTCGTCCTCCAAGTAACTAATTCGGGTGACTGTTAGCTTCTCTGCGTTTGCCGTAGACAATGTCTGGCTTAGCGGTTGGTTACCTGAATGCTATGAGGTCCGCAAAGACGACATGGCGCCGAGCTATCGATGCGCCAGACAAGGCCTGGGCCGCTGAGTTGAGTATCGTAGCATCTTCGCTATCGCTCGTAATATCGCGCGTTATCAGACGAGACAGCTTTCTCTCGTGGCTGCGCGGCGGCCTCGAGGCATCGTCCTCTCTCGTTCTCCCTTCGTGAGGGAAAGCTGGCATAAACATGGCTGCAGTGCCGTATATCGGAAGGAGACTAAAGCATGTCTAGCATGATTTATAGATACACAGGCGAGTCGTGAGCGAACAGGTGCTTTTACTCGCGGCACAAGCTTTGAATCGAGGTCAAAGTTGCTGGCAGAGGGCCGAGCTCGAGCGGCATGTGATGTAATGGTGCCAACACTACCAGGAGAGCATCCGCCACTCTTTGTCCACTGAATTACAGCGCCATCTGCAAGAAAAGCGGGGGCCTCGATTTGGGGGGGAACTCTCCAGCTTTGATGTAGGACGACAAGGTTAAGAATGGCGAGCAGTGAAGTTTTCCAAGTATGAAATTAATCATTTAAAATAAGGGAGAAATTTAGACACCATTTCTTAGCTTGATAATAATTTGCATTACATTTCCATTGCATGTAGCTTGTTGTCGAGGGAGACACCTCTCCATCAGCATCGGCCGGCTGCGGCGTGACATCCACTTATCGATTGGCTGGCCCATGACAGGCGTGACCTCTCTCCAACTTCATGTCAACTCCAAACCTTACGTACTTCCCCTCATCAGCGCCCAACCCGACATCCGTGGGCTCTTATCACTGGGCGATCCAATAGAAGACACCCCAAGTCGCAAATCATCCTTATATTATATATACCAGCCCTCCTGGACCGCCCGCATGAGCCATGGCCACTGCGAATGAGGGCCATCCATCCCCGTTTGGGCCGCTCCAAGTTGAGCTTGCTCGTATGAGAAAATCCAACCTTACGGCAGCTATCGACGATGTTGATAAGATTATTTATCTCCTGACCAATGCCAGAGAACAAATAGCCTCAGGTGTGTTAGTCGGCCTCAATACGGGATTCTGCTAACCGCTTCGGCAGACGATGATGCTCACAAGATTGGCATGACAATGACGACATTACAAAATCCAGTAAAAGCTTGCATGGAGTCGATAACGGACGATTTGAAAAATGTTACAAAAACACAGCGAGGATTTGCCAAGATTTTAGATAGGGTATGACTTAAGGGCAATCGAAGCTACGACGCCATGCTAACAGACACAATAGGCATTACCCCTCCGCGAATTGCCCATGGAAGCCGACGCCATGGCCGACCATCCGACTTTAATTAACCGAGCGATCGCCATGCATTTATTACGAGAAGGGCAGTTTGATGTTGCATCGACATTTCTCAAAGAAGCTAAAGACGACCCTTTGGAACCGGACGTTGACCGCGACGGCGATGATGATATGCAGCGTGAAGAGTTCGACACGATGATTGCAGCGCAGCATGAAAGCCTACAGGAGAAGTTTTCAGAAATGTACAGCGTTCTTTCCGAGCTCAAAAACAAGAATCTCGGCCCCGCCATAGGCTGGGCAAGGTTGCATAATACTGAGCTAGAGGAGAAGGGAAGCAATCTTGAATTTGAGCTGAGCAAGTTGCAGTTTGTCTGGCTCTTCAAAGGTCACGAAGTAAACGGATTACCGGACGACCAGTATAATGGGCAAGCTGGAGCGCTTAAATACGCCAGACAGCATTTTGCACCATTCCAAGCCCGCCATCTTCGAGAAATCCAACAGCTATGCTGTGCCATGGTCTATGCGAGCAATTTACAATCCTCTCCCTACAGACAAATATTTGAAATTGAGTCTGCGTTTGAGGATGTGGCCGCATCCTTTACTCGCGAATTCTGCTCGCTTCTCGGCCTATCTGCCGAATCTCCGCTCTACATTGCAGTCACAGCTGGATCCATCGCACTGCCGCGGTTGATCAAGTACACGACCTATATGAAGGAGAAGAAGACAGAATGGACAACAGAGAACGAGCTTGCGTTTGAAACCCCTCTTCCCGAGTCGATGATCTACCACCCCATCTTTGTCTGTCCAGTCAGCAAAGAGCAAACCACTGCTACAAATCCGGCTGTGATGTTGCCATGCGGCCATGTTCTTTGCAAGGAGTCCTTGCAGAATATAGCAAAGGGAACGCGATATAAATGCCCTTACTGCCCTACCGAAGGACAACTTAAAGACGCTGTTAAAATTACGCTATGAAGATTGCGGGCAAGGCGGTGCCTACTTGGCATTTTCTGTTTTCGTTGGCGTATTTGGTTTAACAGCACGGCGGTTGCTCAGTCTGGTTTATCACAGTTATTCGGCGTTTCATAGCACCTAGTCCGAAAGGGACATTCTTGTTCACAATGATCATAGCAGCTCTGGAGCTGGTCCTGGTTTTACTCACTCTTACTTATTATTCATATTACAGAAAAAGAGATTCAATTCAGTTGACAAGAGAGTGTGTTCTAAATATGGAAGCTACACGGCTCCTAAGCTAAACGCTCGCGCACGGCCAAAGGTCATCGACAATTCCGACTGCTATCCAGGCTTTTTCTATCATTAAATTCATTCGTCAAATTTGTACATGTGTATACCAGCAACTGTATTCAACGGCTAGCTGCTTGCTGCATGCTCTCGGAGCAGCTTAATCGATAATCATGCGACTGCCAAGCTGGGGCTTGGAATCCTGCATGCTGTACGAGTTTTGATCGGTGTTCTCCTTCGTTTGTCGCTTTGCCTCAAGATGAGGCTTGAGTCCCTTGTCGAAATTGCTCAAGCAAATGAGACCATTGGTAATGGTCAAAATAATGAGAAGAATGGTGATGACGGCAAAGGCTGTCATAGACTTGCGGACAGGCATGTACAGCCTGTCGTATCCAGGTTGGTAGATACGGTGAAGTTTGAAGATGAAGTAGCTCAGGCCACCTAGGTAGAGAATTAGGACAGAAACCATGCCCACCTTGTTTTCCTTCTTGGTAAACCATGCAGCGACTAGTAGGATGACGATTGTAACGGGGATTGTGGCAACCGTCAGGGCGAATTCGGGGTCGGTGGTTGCGGCGACGACAACGACGAATTGGATGATGAAACCCAAGAAGAAGAAGAAGTCGAACTTGAGCAACGCAATGTAGATCTGATAATGCAGGAATCGCTTCTTCATGCGGTAGTCGGCGCCAATAGTCTTGAGAATATCCCAAGCGAATTCCTGATATAATTTCCAAGCAATGAAGGCCATGCCAATGGTAGCAACGGCGATCACGCAAGGAATGGTGAACAAGAAAGCTCTGATGTTGGCCCAAAGCATTTGTGATGTAACCGTCGGAGCCAGGGCATAACCCCCGCTAATTTTGTCAACAGCACCTTTGATCTGGTCGATTTGAAGTCCGGTATAGATCAGCAATGCGACGTTTGCAATGCAAACACCAATGATCTGAATGGTGTTTTTCATTCGTACAGCGTCCCAAGCAATTACCAGCTCATACAAATAGCCGAAAATGATAAGAGTTGAAAACGTAGGAATGGTCTTGACTTGAGCATTCACGTCTAGCGAACTTTGGTCACCGGGATTGGGAGGTGGAATCCGCCCTAGACTATTTTGGAACTTTGCAAAAATGTAGCTGTAAAGATGTATTAGCGGAGAGAGTCAAAAGCGTAGAATTTCAGTCAACCTACGCTTCGAAAGCAATGCAGATGGCTGCTTGCAGCAGCGTGACGCCCATGAAAGCAGCCGGCCACTTTGACTTCATGAATGTGAAGGCACCATGGTGGGAAGAGGCAGGGGTTTTGCCGCGAGAGGAAAGTCCTTCTCGCCCAGCATAGCCCTGCCCATAGTCATCGCCCATATAACCGTTTTCTGCATAGGCTGGCTGTTGTAAGCTCGGCTGCGCATAAGGATCGGGAGCTCCGCCCTGGTAGTTTGGAGCGTAGTTGTTTCCATAGGTCTGGGTACTGTAGTTGTGGTTGTCATAGTTCTGAGCTTGATCGTATGACGAGGTCTGCTGGTGCTGGTACTGCTGCCCTTGCTGAGAGAAGCCCGGGTCGGCACCCAGCAAGGACTTGCGAGATTCTAGTCTTGAGTGGTTGGCCACGATGGCGAGTCTTTGACTCCAAGCCGGGAGTCAACGGGAGACGAGGTAACTGGGAAGACTTGTGAAGGCGACGAGATGGCAATCGACGGCGCTGTTTGTTGTTTTCGAGGCGGTCGCGATGTGAACGTTCGTAGCGCGGGCGCAGAGTTGGGTGCGAGCACGCTTGCGTTGCAGCCGGGAAATTGTAGGTAAGCAAAGTGCTGCGAGAATAAAATAGTTACGCGGACACGGAGAAAGGAGACGCGGCTGAAAGAGGCCAAAAGGCAATGTAAGGGAATCGAAGATGTCGACGGTGAATGTCGTGGGAAAAGAGCAGATGGAAGAAGGAAAAGACAGAAGAAAAGGAGAAAGAAGGCTCTGAACGGTTGATGCAGGAGTTAAAGAGAGCAACGCAGCCGTGAACTCGGACCTGAAAAACAACACAAGGAAGAGAGCCTGGATCCTGGAGGCAGTGCGGCGGTGGCCTGAAGACAGACTGGGGGCAGAGTTACAGGGCTCGCTGACTGCTAACTAGTCCCATTCCCCTCCCCCTTGAGGTTACAGTGGGCGTCTGGAAAAGGTGGGTGGGTTCCTGGTACAAGTGGCTTGAGCGGCGGGTACCCAGCACTGCCATTGTCATTTGGTGTGATGGGCGGGTCCATCATTGTCCTGGCGCGTGTACCTGCGTTCCACACAGTGGCCGCAGGTACTCTGCCAATGCCAGCCACTGGTTGCACTGCAAAACACTCGGCGAAGCAAGGAGTGGCCTGTTTTTTCTTTCCACCACTCACTGCAGTAACAACGCGACCGCAAGAGAATGTCGTACAGTATCAGACTACTCCTACAACAACGATGATTTTGTTTTCCAGGATCAAGTAAACCCATGGGCCTGAATTTCGTGCAAAAAGAACCAATCAAATCTCCCCACGCGACTTCTTGTAGCCACGGCCCTCGTCCAAGCAAACAAGCACCCAAGCGGGCGGCTAAGCCTCGCTGCAACCTTGCGCAAAGGCCTCCCACTAGAGAGCATCACGAGCCTAATTCATATCGCAGGGCAATTGCACAGCCATTAGCTGTCGATCGCTATACATAGCAACAGGCTGCTCGTCATGTCGGCTCTCTTGATTAGCCTCAGCCGTGTCACGCTTTTTTGCTAAAGTGCTTTTTTTTCAATAGGGTCCAGCTGGCGTTTGGCCCAGTGTGGGATGTCTCAAGGAGATGAAACACGCCTCTAACATACTGCTGGATTATGTCCAAGGGGTGATTGTCCACTGTGCTTCCGTCTTGGGATACTCCACTGTGTTTGCTTGCTGACACTGTTTTGGGCCTCTATAGAGTCCTTGGCCGTAACACCTGCTGTCTCGCTCCTCGAACATATCGAGCCCCTAAAAACTGGATAAGATGGATCAATCTTTCATCATCGTAACTGCATTGCCGCCGATGACGGCTCCGCTCATGACGCGATCCCAGAGGTCCCACCTCACGCACTAGGACAACTCAGTCAGTGGTCGTCGGAACATGCAACCTGGGTTTCGAAAGAGGTAACTAGCATAATGCAGTAGGCGATAGAGTATACCTTGACTTTATATCTATGTACATTTAGCTCTGCAATGGGACCTGCTGTACGAACTATCGCCATTATTGGCGCCGGCCCGTCCGGTCTCGCAGCGGCCAGGTACGAATGCGCATTCCTAACCACTGAGGATACAACGCTAATCGTTGTTTGATAGACAACTGGCTGCTGAAAAGATCTTCACCAAAATTGACATATTCGAGCAGAGATCCGCCACGGGAGGAGTATGGAATCACAGCGACCTCGATGCCGAGCCAGGCTTTTCGATCCCGCGCCAAACCCCCATCAATCAGCCGGACAGCTACACCACCGATACGGCTGGTGTGCAGTTTGTATCCCCAGTATACGACAATCTGGAAACGAACCTCACGCATGGTATCATGAGCTTTAGTGACCATTCCTTCCCCAGTGGTACAATTCTGTTCCCACGCCACGAGGAAGTGCTCAAGTATTTACGACTGTATGGCAAAGAACTGGAAGACCAAATATTGTTCCAGAAACAAGTCATTCGTGTAGAGAAGATACACACGGCAGAAAAGCCTAAATGGGACGTAAAAGTCAAAGATTTACTGACGGATGAGGTTTTGATTTTTGAATATGACGCCGTCATGGTCGCGAGCGGTCACTACAGCGAACCTTTTTTGCCAGCTATCGAAGGCATTGAGGGATTCAACCAACAGTTTCCCGCAATTATATCACATGCCAAGTATTATAGAAGACCAGAGAAGCATAAGGGCAAGGTATGTTGAAACAACTCCCAAGAGACTGTATGTGGCTAATCAAAGGGTTCGTATAACGTTGCATAGAAAGTCATTGTTGTTGGAAACTCTGCCTCCGCCATCGACATAAGCAACCAAATATCAGAGCATGCAGCACTGCCTGTGATTATTTCAATCAAAGATGATGAATATGCGTTCAATTCAGAATCTAGCAATAGCTGGTCTACACGCTTCCCCCAAATCGAAGAGTTTCTCCCCGCTCACCGCGGAGTTCGCTTTTCCAACGGCCACGTTGAACATGACATTGACTCAGTCATATTCTGCACTGGTTACCACTATATATTTCCGTTTCTAAAGCAATCTGTTAACCCGGTCTTCGTACCGTCCGGCGCATACGCCGATCATCTGTGGCACCACATGATATATACAAAAGACCCAACATTGGCATTTCTCTGTATACCACAGCAGATTGCCCCTTTTCCTTTTGGAGAAGGCCAAGCTGCAGTTATAGCAAGGATTTGGTCAGGACGATTGGAAACTCCATCTACAGATGAAATGGATCAATGGGTGAATAATCTGCGCGCCGCGAAGGGTGACGCAAAAGCCCGACACTTGCTGGGAACACCAGGGAACATAGCGTATACTAACATGTTTTACGACATGTGTAGTAAGGCGACACCTCGGTCTGAATTGGGTCTCGAGAATAATGGTATGGGGAAATTGCCGATCTACTGGGATGAGGAAATGTCATGGATACGGCTAATGACACTGAACATAAAACTGGCCATGAGGGCTCTTGGTGAGAGGAGGCGCGAAGTCACAACGTTGAAACAACTGGGATTTGATTTTGAAACCTGGAAAGTACAACAGCGGTAACGCGGAGAAACGGTGTCTTGGTAGTTTCTTTTTGTTAAAAAGCGATCTTTAACATCTACAGCCACTAGGCTCTAATCATATCATGACTGGCATGCTCCTTTCTCATAAGCTTTTCTTTTTCCTTTACATTCTGCTCAAAGTTAGCCATCTGGATGTTTGTGAATATGATGATGTTATATAAACTTACCGTTCCACAGGGGATAGACCAAGTAGCGACATGCCGTTGTGCAGGACCACGCGGGCGGCAGAGTAGAGGGCCATACGGGCCTTCATGACTTCAGCTTCGCTACCGACAATACGGAGGTGGTTGTAGCTGGTGCTTAGGGTGTGAGTAAGCTTGAAGAGATATCTATAACAGTCTTAGAAAACGTCTACAGTAATATGTGAAAGCAGTCTTACGTCAGGACGGTGGTAGGCTCGAGCGTCTTGAGGACGTTCTGAACCACGTCAGGCCACTGGCTGATGACACGGACAAGGTTGATGGCCATGTCCTCGGTAAGCAGCGAGAGATCAGCGCCGGCAATCTCCTCGTCGGTCAAGCCAGCCTTGCGGGTGATGGAGCACAGACGAGCGTGGGCATACTGGAGGTACTGCATATTGTTAGCGGGGTGTGGGGAGTAGGGAGTAGGGATACAGATGGTCTTACAGGTCCGGTGTCGCCCTCAAAAGAAGTCATGCGAGCCAAATCGAAAGTGTAGTTGTTGATACGCTTGCCAGTCATATCCTGGACCATGACAGATGAAATACCCAAGAGATCGGAGACCTTGGCGGGATCTTCAACTTGGCTGTACTTATCTTCGTTTGTCTTCATGACATCGTGCATGTGGTCGCCGACATCACGGAGAATATCGTCAAGGAACTTGACAGTTCCCTTTCGGGTGCTCATACCAAGGATAAGACCGAAGTTGACGTGCTGGCACTTGTCGGCAATCTCCTTCTGGCCCATGAGGCTAACAATTTTGAAAAACTGCTTGACATGAAGGTCTTGCTCAGAAGCAATCACATATACCATCTTGTCAAACTTGTACTTCTCGTGACGAGCGAGGAGTTCAGAAATATCACGGGTCAGGTACCTAGTAAAGAGACATGTTAGTATGTTCGACTCTCAAAATCAATAGAGTTGCAAAAACTTACAAAGCGGTACCGTCGCGCTTACGGAGGATGGCCTTGCCAAGGGACTTGCCTTCCTTGCCAGGAACAGCCTGCGTGAAATCAATAAGGAGGGCGCCCTTGTCGTCATGAGCAAGACCCATCTCCTTGAGCTTGGCGGCAGCCTCCTGCATTTCATCCTCGGAAACCTTGCTCTCGCCAGAGTATTCATCGAAGTGGATGTTGAGACGAGCGTATGTCTTCTTGTAACGCTCGATACTGTAGTCACGGAAACGCTTCCACAGAGCGAGGGCTTCCTCGTCGCCTTCAGTCATCTTCTTGAAATAGCTACGAGCCTTCTCATCGGTGCCTTCATCAAGGAGTTTCTGGGCTTCCTCTTCCTTACCCTCAGCCTTGAGCTTTTCGGCCTGCTCCTTTTCTTCGGCGACGTCCTTGCTGACCTTGACGTAGACATGGAAAAGATGGTTAATGGGATCCTTGACGAGTTCTTCCTCACTACCGTATTTTCCAAAGCCATACGCTAGGACACCGTACTGCTTACCCCAATCACCGAGGTAGTTAATGGAGATGACATCCCAGCCAACAGCGCGGTAGAGGTTGGCGAGGAAACCACCAATGATTGTGCTTCGCAAGTGACCGGCGTGGAAGGGCTTGGCAATATTGGGGCTCGAGAACTCGACAATGATGCGCTGCTGACCCTTGGAAGGATCGTTCATATCACGAAGGCCAAGAGACTTGTTCTCGCCAAAGGTATCTTTTCGGTCGAGCACCATGGGGATAACAGTCTTGGAGAGAGGACCAGCCTTGAAGAAGAAAGGCAGGAAGGGACCGCTCTGGATGGGCTTTTCGACGAGGGGGGATTCGGGCCACTATTTACAACAGGAATCATATCAAGTTAGTCACCGAACAATGTGAAGCAAAAGTTTTTTTCATAACGCACCTTTTCGAGCCATTGCTTGCCCAGCTCATCAGGCTTACCCTTAACACGAAGAGCAGGAATGGCGAGCATAAGATCGCCCTTGTCGAGCGTTGCAGTCCATTGCAGAGCCGGGTAGATGATGCTGGGGTCTACACCGGTGATATCATGGAGGATTGATGTAATGTGACTTCGGTAGACGTCGACCGGGTTGATGTCGGGGAAGCTGTTGGGGTATCGGTCGAGCAGAGGCAGGTGCTGGAACTGCTGGGCCAGGTTATCGAACGACGCTTGTGTAGCCATGGCGATGTGTGATTTGTCCGTCGTCGTCGGCTGTGGTTGTGTGCGGGAGAAGGAATTTGTTGTGTGCAGGTGTCGATGGCGGGGTTGAAGTAGGCGGGGTGGTTGTGAAGAAAATAGTTTGCTGGTGGAACGGGCGCAAGCAGCCGGTGCTTTGCTGGGCGCAGAGAAGAGAAAATGGTAGGAACAATGACGCGTAGCGAGCCTGTGCATGAGGGCGACGCGGGGGCGTTGCGGGCTATTAAAAGAGGGAAATTAAAAAGACAAAATAGGGCTGACCATAAAAAATAAAAGCAATTGCACTCAGAGAGCTTTGCGCGGGTGACTCAATGGACTTGCAACAGCGCTCCTGATGACTGCTGATGACTGGAAGGGGGGCCGACGTCGCTACAGGTCTAGCTTGAGCGCTGCATATTTTGGCAGTACAGGTGATTTTGAGTTTTGACAGTGGATGACTCAGTGGAGCAGCCCAGCCGGTGCCAAAAGATTTATTGATGCAGCTGCGTTAAGGATGGATGGCACGACCTGAGGCCACAAGGGTATCAGTGGGTGGCGCATTGTACGGTACAGAACAGTACTGCACCGTAGCCACGGGGGAACTCACCCGAAGAATGCTACGCCGGCAGAGCTCCACCCCGCAAATCAGGCCGTTGCAGCGCCAACTACAAGCAGCCGCTGCCCCTGCAGCCGAGGCTGTTGTCAACAACATCTGGGCTTACAATATATATTGCTTTACAAGCGACCCCCGCCGCCCAATCCAATTCAAACTGTACACTGTCGATATCTACGGTTCCCTAACACCATGAATCCCCCTGAAAACTTTGCGCACTACCCTGCGCCCAAGGAACGCATCTCTGAGCCCTATGTGCCGAAGAAGGGCGATAACCCCGTGCTCTCCGGGTTTCCTCTTGTGGTGGCCTCATCGCTGTAAGTATCTAGCCACTCTGTCACCGTGACATTTTGGGGACTCACCACCTCTACAGCGTAGCCAATGTCGGTTTTGTAGCCAGACATCTATGGCATAATACTGGCTTCGGCACAACCAAGGACCTTGCTGTCTTGAGAGACATCCCCAGCACATACCACGTACGTAAAGTCAACTCATTGCTCATCACACAATTCCATCCTGCTAAACAATGATTTTACTCTATTTTGTAGCCATGTGTTACTCCACTAGGCAAGACTGAGCCTATGCTGGAGGTTGATCCCAAGCTTCTGTCTCTGAAGCATGGCAAGGCTGACACACGCTACTATTCTGCTGCAGACTACCATGAGATGTACCGCTCTGGCAAAGTCACCCCCCTCCAAGTTGCAGAGATGCTACTGGGATTAACCAGCAATGACTCGGATAAAGATTCTATTTATAAAGATGCTTGGGCCCCAACGCACGGTTCCGATCACCTCGCCCTCGAAGCTGCCAAGGCGTCAACCGAACGATATGCTTCGGGCAAGCCTCTCAGTGTTCTGGACGGCGTTCCCATCGGTGTTAAGGACGATGTTCCCGTTACAGGATACACGTGCCACAATGGTATGGCATTCAAAGCAGGAGAAAAGTACTTCGAGCCCAAGACGACCACTGCTTGGCCGGTGCAGAAGCTTCAAGAGGCCGGTGCTATCGTGATTGGCAAAAACCGCATGCACGAACTTGGTTCAGGTAAGTCCATCCTCATATATTAGCGCCTTTCGAAAGTGCTAACGATAATGTCATGTAGATACTACTGGTTTGAATGTAGGCTATCACAGAATGTACGTGAATTGACACGGCTAACTTTGTATGTAGGCTTCTCAGGGAACCCCTACCAACCATCTCAACACAAAGTACTATCCAGGTGGTTCTAGCTCTGGAGGTGGATCGTCTCTCGGCGCAGGTATTGTACCTATTGCTGTTGGTACCGATGCTGGAGGTAGTCTTCGCCTGCCATCTGCTTTCAACGGCGTGTACACCCTGAAGCCCTCTCAGCACCGTACTACGTTCATGGACAGCACCATGTGCGTTATGGGCCCCATGGCAGCCAATGCAGCGGATCTTATTGTTTCGTACCGCCTGATGTCTCAGCCTAATCCTACCTGCTCAATTCAGAGCAAGTTTGCACTCTCGATCCCGCCATCTCCCTCAGCAAAACGAACCATTGGTATTTACAAGGATTGGTGGAATGCCGCCGATCCGCGTGTTGCGGACCTCTGCAACAAAGCAGTGTCGTGGTTCCAAAAGGAAAAAGGATATGAGGTCGTCGATATCTCTCTCCCGTACCTAGCGGAGTGTCAATTGGCCCATGGCCCAACCTGTCTCGCTGAGATGGCAAAAGCGGCACGACGCCGAGTGGACAAGCCTGATGAATTCCTCAAGTTGGTTGGCTATGTCAACAAGATCATGCTTACGGTTGGCAGCCAAGCGAGCGCTCTGGACTTTACTGCCTACAACTCTTTGAGAACTTTGCTTATGCAGCACTGCGCTTTTCTTTGGCAAAAGTACCCAGGCATGCTCATTGTGACACCCACCACTCCTTTGATTGGCTGGGCCCGTCAGCCTGGTCACGATGCTTATGGTTCTACGGATGGCAATACCTCCATTAGAAATATGTCATATGTATTTGTCGCCAATATGACCGGTACTCCCGCCGCAAGTGCCCCGGTTGGCTATGTTGACCCTGAGCAGGGCGAAGGCAAGCTTCCTATCGGACTGATGGCCCAAGGCGAATGGGGTAGCGAGGAGCAGCTGCTGCAATGGACATTAGAGGCTGAGGATTATCTGAACAACGTGTACGAGGACGGACGCCGACGTCCTCCCACTTGGCTTGATGTCTTGAAGGACGCTCAGGAGACCAAAACCGCTTAACTGAGGTGACCGTAGAAGGCCAAGAGGTATTTCTTTTAATATATATCCTGTAGTATAAGTGTGACTACTTTTGTGTCTGCTGCTTCATCCTTTGTCAAGTGTCGGTAGCATTTATTTGTTGAGGAACTTGGAGGCGAGGTTCATGAGGTTTCCAGCGCTGCCGCCGCTACCGCCAGCGTCCATCTGGCTCTTGAAGTACATCTTCATGGCCATCTCGCCGGCCTTCTGAAGAACATTCTCCTTGCTGGTGCCGCTGGGAACCTGACCATTGGCGCTCTTGTCATCGAAGAGCTATAAACCGTTTAATTAGTATCACATAACAAGTCGGGGCTGTTGCTCGACGCGTACCTTGCTGGCCTCGGAGAGGGCAGTACCAATGAAGGCACCCTGGCTCTGGTTCTGGTCGCCGCCACGCTGGTTGAACATCTTGAGAGCCTGCATGGCAGCAGCGGTACCAAGGCTGTTAGCATCGTGGGAAGCGTTGTTGTTGTCGTTGTTGTAAGCGGCCTCATGCTTCTCAACGGCGTCTGCAACATATGTTAGCTGAAGCTCTCTTGATGGCCATCAGTGAAAGAATTTGCCCTGCTCGTCGACATGGGGAGCCTCAGCGATCTGGCTCTGCTGCTGAGAAAGAGAGCCGAGCACGTTGGCAAAGAGATCGGAGTTGCCAGAGGCGCCAGCCTGGGAGTTGGCCTCTTGGTGAGCATCCTTCATATCGCCATCAAGGTTGACGTTTTGGCCTGTTGCAGGTTAGCATGTAGAGCACACATGTATATTGAAATGCCCATTTTCTTGTCCTCCAAACTGCCAACAGAGCTATACTACCACTGCCATAAATGAATGGTGTTTGGTATTATTTTAACACACCCCAAGTTGATGGCGGGGTGAGGGAGGGGAAGCTCTGTTTACAATGGTGGGGTGAAGGTATATGACGTACTTTTGGCGAGGATTTCCTTGCCGACGCTCATGAGCTTGTTCATATCCATGGTTGCTGATTTGTGCTGAATGGGTATCTTGTTGATGCTAAAGGAGAAATGACGAGAAGAGGGGTAAACAAGCTAGACAAGATTAAAGCCAAGCTAAGTGACAGGATTTCGGATTCTGTTGCCGGCCAGCCAGCTGCCCCTTGCCAGCTGGTGCCGGCTGGTGGGGTAGCGAGCCCACCTTGGCTTTGTGTTGTTCGGGCCGTCGTCAGTAGTGGGCGGGGGGCGGGGTCCCTACAGCGCCGAGGTGGCATGATAATACGCTCAGCTCAGCATGATGCAACTTCGCTTAAGGAAATCAGCTGCTAGAAGTATCTAAGTGAGGGAGCCAATGGGGTTGCGGATGGCAGATCACTAGCTCTTTTATCCTTCTTGGAAGAATTAGAGGTACGAATCAAGGACCAAGGAGCATCAGCTCAACTACGATCTTACATGCCTGCATTCTAGATTCTAGGGCAGACCATCTCACTTGCCAAAAAAGCCACTGATGTTGATAAATTTGTAAATTTTTCTTAATCGTCTCTTTCGTCGTATACTGAATAGAAACCGTGTTACGCCATGCAAAATCTTGTTCGTCAACCCCCAAGGTATATCGTGTATCGTCAGTCAAGCTAAAACAAACCGCGAAAAGTAAACAAAAAGAAAACACTATGGAAAAGCAGAAAAGTGAATATAAACAATAAAGAAGGCATCGAGAAGCAGCCACCCGTTTGTCCCCAAGTCTTCTCATCTGCCTAGCCTTCAGTTGCGAGGTGCCCTACGCTGGGCCTCGTCTCTATTAAGAGAGCTGAGGGAGCAGCCAAGCATTTCTGTGCCAGCCGAAGCCGTCCAAACGCCAAGTAGTTATGAGTGAAATTCAAGTCGATCTCTGCATGCAAACAAACAAAAAAAGATTGACAAATGACTGATGCATTCTCCCAACTGCGTCAGCCCATGGTAAACTCATTAGGGGGCGATTCGTTGGGCCTTGTAATGCTTTGTCGCTTCTTTTCTTTCTTGGCCCATCGTAAACCACAGGCATTGCAGAGTGTCTTGGGTCCACTAGGGCCTTTTCGCCATTCTGGGGAATCCATGGTTCCTGTGGTACGGGTGAGCATATTCCGTTATGGACCATAGTATAAGATAAGAGAAACATACCACAATCAGTACACACATATTCGTCTACGGCTTTCAGTCTCCGCTTCTTCTTGTCAGCAGCACGGCCATCTGGATCCTTTGGCATAGCTATGCCTGCATCGCCAGTCACAAGGGAAGGACTTGTGTTACCAGTAGTGATACCGCGACTGCGCTCGCCTTTCGCATAACGCAAACCAGTCAACATCTCGATAGTCTCGTCGTGGGATGGGCCTTCGAAGCGGGCCATTTTATCTCGCAAAGAGTCCTGGCGGACACTGTTACCAGAGCCCTCCAAGTTCTCCCTTGTCAAAGTCCCTGAGACGGTCGATCGGGGTGCGGTACCGAAGCTAGTGGTTTGGAACGAGGGAGTTGATGTACCGTTGCGCTCCGACACGCTGCCATCAGATCGAGCACTGGAGCTCATAGTCCGCTGTCGGCTCGCTTCGTATGCATCCGTTTCCTCTTCGCGCCTCAGTTCCGATATGCGACGTTTCAATCTCTCATTTTCAATTTTGTGTTCCAGAAAGGAGTCCAGTAAACTGGCATTTTTGGTCGGATAGGGGCGGGCCATCATGAAAACAGCCTGGCAAAATGGCGATTGATTGCTTGGATTCGGCGCAAACTTGGCCGCTGCGACGTGGGCGTGCCCAATAGCCTCAAAGATTGTGTAGCTACCATCCTTTTTGCGCAGGCGATAAAATAATCGCATAGGGTTTCCGGAAGCAATCGACTCATTCAATTCCGCAACAAATAAACCTTGGTCATCGGGGTGTAGCAAATCTTTGAGGAAGACTTCTCTGACATCGTCCGAGTCGTATCCAGCTACTTCTGTGATGCTGCGTGAGGTGTACTTTATTCTGCCGCTTGCATCAAGGATCTGTAAAAAGTCTCGCAGCTCTTCCACAACCTTGGCAGGCCAGTTTCTGCGTTTCGTGAATTCCGTAAGCCCGTTGCTCGCAGAAACAGCCGCTTGAGAAGCTGCCGTCACTTGCGGGGGGCCATCAGTCGGCGCCGGCCCGCCACCAGGGACGTTGGCTGCAATGTGAGTATCGGCTGCCGGAGCAGCTGGAGTTGCCGGAACGGAATTTTCAAGCGGAATCGGCGGGAACATCTGGTCTAGCGTTGCATTGTTCATTGTATCAATATTCATCGCCATATCGTCGGCGAGTGTGCTTAGCATGTCGGTATCGAACATGGACATCATGCTTTCGTCGGCCGTCTGCTGCGCGCCGGGGTTGAACCCCATGGCGAGCTGTTGCGTCGGAGTGCCATCGTCTATAACATCAAAGTCGAAAACATTGGTAAAGGCTTGCTGCTGCTGCTGGGAGCCGTTCTGCCAGCCGGACATGTTGACCGGGTGTTGCATATGGCGGGCAATGCACCTGCTGATGCACCACTGGTTGTATCAGGCGCCTGGGCGTTCTAGCAACGTGTTCTGGCTGAGCACCAAGCTCCCGGATCGGAGAGAGTGTAGCCAAGCGCGAAGACAGCTTGGAATGTGAAATGAGATGCGGTTGAAGAAGTGCGCAGGGTCCAGCGGAGGAGAAGTAAAAGAAGTGGACACCCAGCTCTGAGAACGCTTTGGGGCGCCACCAGCCCTCCAGTTGAAGGAAGAGTTTCTGTTTGGGATCCGCAGCTGTATGGAGCGAAGGACTCGACTTTTGTGGAAAAGCAGCCGTGTTTGGAATTAGGTTAGGGAAAAAAATAGAAGACACCCCCGCCATAGTGCATCATTTCAGCGCACCCATTGACGGGGGACAGGCTTAAAACGCCCACTAAGGCAGCGCTAGCCAGCGGTTGGCAGGATGTATTCTAGCGTGACGCTGCTTCTCCCAGAGCGAGAGGGGATGGCATTTTGCGGACCTGCATGCAAAAGTTTACACAATCGCATTCGCAAAGAGCGGATCGCCGATGGGGGGCTCAGCCCAGCAATCTTGCCAGCGTACTTTAGACGACGCTACTGGACTAATTAGGTCGCGATATGCTCTACGGCGCCCATCTTAGATTGCAGCATAGCAAGCTGCCGCCAGGTGGGTGGTGCTTTGATTTATTATTGCCATGCGCTGGGCAGTTTGTGCCACAGTTGCTGGGCTGCAAGCCGTCTGTCGGTTTTAGCGCCAGACAGGGTGATGCTCAGTGGCCGCTGCGGGAGGAAGGCAGTGGATGTTTAGGGGGCTTTTCGGCCCCGTCTGATCACTAAACTGCGCTGTAGGCGGCCCACTCCCAGCAAATTGCACCATGCTTTCGGGCGCTTGTGGCAAACCAGCATATGCACTAAGCGAGTTCGCTGCCAGCACGTTTAGCAGCCGTGTGCACGTGAGAGCGCATCTCAGCTGCAGGCGCCCCTACGCGTTAATTGACCAGCACTGCGCGTGTAGTGGAGTTTCTGCCTAGCTGAGCGACGTCAAGCGAGTGAAGGCTGCTGCTTTCTGGCCGTGAATTTGCATGCCCAGCATCTTTAATCATCTTCAACTTGCTCTTCCATCCCTCATGCACCGAGCTGCGGGTGACGGCAATTATTCACCATGTCTAGAATTGACAAGCTCTCCATCTCGGGCGTTCGGTCCTTCAGCCCCTCCGTGCGAGAAGCTATCCAATTCAACACACCATTGACTTTGATTGTTGGATACAACGGTTCCGGAAAAACAACCATCATCGAGTGTCTAAAGTATGCCACAACTGGCGAGCTGCCTCCCAACAGCAAGGGCGGTGCGTTCATCCACGATCCAAAGGCAAGCTCGAGACAGTTCCAGTGGTACCCGTGCGGCGCATCATACTAACTAGTCCATCATGTAGCTCTGCGGCGAGAAGGAAGTGATGGCCCAAGTCAAGCTCCAATTTCGATCGATAGATGATAGACAGCATGTTGCTACTCGGAGTCTGCAACTCACTGTGAAAAAGGCAACGCGAGCTCAAAAGATTCTCGACTGCTCTCTCGTTGTGGTCAACAATGGCGAACGGACGACAACATCTACACGACAGGCACAGCTGAATGAGGTGATTCCTGCAAGACTCGGTGTTTCTCCTGCGATCCTTGATGCTGTCATTTTCTGCCACCAAGACGAATCACTCTGGCCGCTGAGCGAACCGTCTGTTCTGAAGAAACGATTCGATGAGATTTTCGAGGCTCTGAAATATACCAAGGCGATTGAAAACTTCAAGATTTTACGCAAGAAGCAAGTTGAGGAGCTTGGCAAGCTTCAAAACGACGAGGCGCACAACAAAGTAAACAAGGATCGGGGCGAGCGAGCAGAGAAGAGAATGACTGGATTGCAAACTGAAATTGAAGGCGCGCGTGAGAAGTGCGAGGCTATCACTACTGAAATGCAAGAGACACAGGACAAGATCCGCCAGAAGCACGAGCAAGCCAACAGTTTCCTCCAAATTGTCCAAAATCTCACCAACAAACGAGAGCAACTAGAATACAGACAGGATGCAGTCAAGGAACTGCGCGAAACAATTGACGAGCTCAATGATGACGACTCAGCTCTGGAGAGAGCATTAGCCCAATACGAAGAAGTCATGCAGCGCCAGCAGGAAGAGGCAGACGACCAGAAGACTCAATACACAGCTCTGACAAACGAACTGTCAGAGTCGCGCAAAACGCTCTCTGCCAAGCTGGCAGAGCAGGGCAAACATCAGTCAGATAAAGAAAAACATGACCGCCAACTCACGCTTCGACTGGAAATGATTCAAGATGCCGCCCGCCAGCACAACATGAGAGGTTTTGACGAAGATTTAACCGAGAGTCACATCAAGTCATTCAACGAGAAGATCCAAAAATTATTATCGGACAAGAAGAAAGAGTTGGAGCGTCTTCAAAAGGAAAATTCGTCAGAGCTTGATAATGCCACTGCTGTCATTACCGACCTGGAAGGCCGCAAAGCGGCCAGAACGCAAGATCGTGTGTCTGCAAAACAGAGGATGGCAGCTATTGAGAAACGAACATCTGTCTTACAGACTGAGTCCTCCAACATCCAAGTGGATGAGGGTGCAAAAGCTATTCTAGACAGCCAGTTGGAGGATGTCGAGAAGCGTATATCGCAAGTGAAGCGCGAATTTGAAGCAACGAACTGGGACCAACAAATCGAGGAAGAGAACAGCAAGTTGTGGAAGGCCGAAACAGAGAATGATAAGCTCAGCCGCGAGTTGGTTGAGTGTACGCGTCTGGCCTCAGAAAGGGCACAGTTGGATTTCAGAAAGAAAGAAGTGGCAGACCGCAAACGAAAGCTTGAAACTCTCTCTGATACATGGCGCCCAAAGCTGTCTGCAGCGCTAGGTGACGATTGGCAACCGGACACTATCGAATCCAAGTTCCAAGCTGTCACAACAGTACATCAGAAAAGTGTCAATGAAGCCCGACAACGGTGCGAACAGACTCGCCAGAAGCTAGCAAAGGTAGAGTTTAGAGCGAAGAGCGCCCGAGAAGATCACGAAAAGAAGTCAAAAGAACTCTCAACCTCACAGGAGAAAGTTGTAGCCGTCTTGCGTGAAGTACGAGAAGGTGCTGTCATTGACGACTACACAGAAGAGGTCGCCGGTGTTGAGCAACAGGCTGAAGACCTCCGAAATGACTTGAGTCTCTTCGATGCGCTGGTAGACTACTATAACAAGTGTAAGCGGATGCTTGATGCCAAGAAGAAGTGTCTGCTTTGCGAGCGCCACTTTGACGACAGCCAAAGCGCAAGTTTGGAACGATTAAGCAAGAAGATTGATAAAAGTCTTGACCCCAAAGGCAAGGTTGATGTGGAAAGGGATTTGAAAGATGTGGCTGGAACCTTGGAGGCTCTGCGTGATGTGCGCCAGTTTTACGACACATATGAGCGTCTCCGGCTAGAGCTGCCAAGTGTCAAGGACGACTGGAAAGCAGCAGAAGCTGAGTTTGAAACCCTAGAACGCCAACTCGAGGAGCATGAGGCTCAAGTCACACAGCAGGATGAGAAACAGCGAGATGTCGAAGACTTGGCCAAGACAGTTGCTACCATCACACAAACAGTCAAGGATATCAAGGAGGCTGAACTTCAAGTGGAACGCATTACATCGCAACAGATGGCGGGTTCGGCAGGACGCAGTGCCGACGAGATCCATGAGTTGCAGGCAGGTCTAGCAGAGCAGATGCGCGGCTTCAAATCGCGCATTTCGAATTTGACGGCTGATAGGCAACGGGGCCGTGACCAAGCTAATGTTCTAGAGCTTGAGAAGAGTGAGCTTCGGAACAAGATCAATGTCAGCGCTGGCCAACTGGACAAGAAGAAGGACTTGCTATCGCAAATTCAGTCGCTGAAAGAAGAGCAAACACATCAACGCGAATCGATTCAGCGGTCTGACGAGGAATTGGAAAAGATAGAGCCGAGTATAAGGGAAGCGCGCTCTATCCGTGATGAAACCTTGCGCAAGGGTCGTGCTAAGGAGCAGGCGGCTACCGAGGACCGCGATGCAATCTCTAAATCGGTCAACGAGATCAAGCTGATAGATTTGGATATACAAGACTACATTGACCGTGGTGGACCAGCCAATATAGCTTCGAACCAACGACAGATTTCGAATCTAGAGAAGACGATTGATTCTACCGAGAAGGAAATGAACACAATTGCGCAGCGAACCAACAAATTGAAGCAAGATATTGACAATGGCGATCGCAAAAAGAAGAATATCACTGACAATATCAATTATCGAAAGAACCTGCGTACTCTTGAAACGCTCAAGCAAGATATCGAGGAATTGGAAGACCGCAACGCGCATGAAGATTACGAACGTCTTCAGGCCGAGGCGCGAACTCTAGAGAACCATGCCAACAGATTAGTAGCAGAGCGAGGCTCCGTCATGGGTACGATGAAGACCAAAGATGAGGAGCTAGACAGGCTACTACAGGAGTGGGAGATGGACTATAAGGATGCCAAGCAAAAGTATCGTGAGTCTCACATCCGAGTGGAAACAACAAAGGCTGCCATTGAAGACCTGGCACAATGCGGCGCTGCCGTCGACAAGGCAGTGATGCAGTTCCACACAATGAAGATGGCCGAGGTGAACCGTATTGCCGGCGAGCTGTGGCAAAGTACATACCAAGGCACCGACATTGACACGATCTTGATTCGCTCCGACAACGAAGGCACCACTGGCAAGCGCAACTACAACTACCGTCTCTGCATGGTGAAGCAAGATACGGAGATGGACATGCGCGGTCGATGCTCAGCTGGCCAAAAGGTACTGGCAAGTATCATTATCCGCTTGGCTCTGGCCGAGTCGTTTGGCGTAAACTGTGGCCTAATTGCGCTGGATGAGCCGACGACCAACTTGGATCGCGACAACATCAAGAGTCTGGCAGAGAGTTTGCACATGATTATTAAGACGAGACAGGCGCAGAGCAACTTCCAGCTCATTGTCATCACTCACGACGAGGACTTTTTGCGCCACATGCGCTGCAGCGACTTCTGTGATAGCTTCTTCAGAGTCCGCCGCGATGAGAGGCAGAATAGTGTGATTACGCGAGAGAGCATTACCAAGATCTTTTAAAGGTGTAAGTGGGATGACGGGATGCTGTGTATTTATAGCGATGCATGTGTTTGTACAATAATAAAGCATTTGAATGAATCTCATAAAGCTCCATCTATGTGATATCTCTTGGACAGGCATAGTCGACACAATCAACTACAAGTAAGAAAGACGGATATGGCTAGATTCAGACACGCTGTTGTATTTAAAATCAAATAAAAGTAAAATGTACAAGTGGACTCCCAAACACCTCCCATAATACGAGACCGTTAAAAGTCTATGCGTCGTCCTTCTTGGCCGCTTCTTCTGGCGCTTTAGCCTCGTCTGAGGCCTCTTTCTCCTCTACCTTGTCGGTAGTTTCCGGCTTATCCAAGGAAGCATCATCTATTTCGCGAGCTTTCCTGGGCGGTTCACCCTCCAGATCACCCTCGGCCTCCCGCTTCGTACCCGTGCTCTCTGCAGGGCTCGGAGCATCTTGGACAGCCGCTTCAGCAGCTTCCTCATCGCCCTCTTTGGGCTTGCTAGGCTCTGGGTGCAGCTCTTCGTCACGGCTTCGGCCAACAGCAGCAGCCACATCAATACTTTGCATCTCCACGCCACCTTCGCCAACTACCGATGCCGTTGTACGCTGTGGGCCTGTGTCGTTGACACCAATCTCCTCTGGACCTCTGGCATGCGGCACCTCCTCTTCATCTTCTTCAGTAGAAGCCTTCTCACCATCTTCATGGATCTTCTCATCTTCACGCTCCTCGTCGTCATCATGTGCAGGTGGCCGGGCCAGCTGGCTCACGGGGACTACACCCGCTCGCTGTTCTTGGCGGAGCAGCTCGCCCTGTGTGACACCGCGCGCATGCCCTGTAGAAACAATGCCGTTGATGCTCACCGAGACGGTCTCGATACTACCGACACCGTTCGGCCCATCTATCGTTTCTGTGCCCTCGCTGTGAATCTGTGCGCCGAGGCCGTCCTCATCGCTTCCTGGGCTGCGTCGCGTCAACCACGGAATCGGCGTCAACAGGGCGCCGCCTAGTGCTTCGTCGGAGCCCACGGCCGCATTGGTCGAGTTGCCCCAGCTGACGCCGTCGGCAGGATCCTTCGACTCGTCATCCGTGGTGCCGTTGATGTTCATGCTGGACATGTCGGGGATGGCTGGTGGCAGGGGGTACACGTCGGTGCCTGATGTGACGAGGACTACTCTATCCACGGCGTGCAGGTAGGCAGCCAGTGCTTTGTAATGGGCTCGAGGGGAGATTATGAGTTCAGCAAGGCGCTGGATCGTGTGCGGAGGGTAGTTTTCGAAGCTTTGGATGTAGGCGCGGATGTCGTCGAGCATGTCTTGAATCTGGCGCGGCAGCTCGCCGGGCGCAAGCTCTTGCACTTGGACGACAGGAGCAGGGGCCGGGGCATTTTCTTTGTCTGCATCTTCGGCGGAGCTGTCTGGCGCTGGTGAGGATGACTTGCGAGGCTGGACGCGGGGATCGATTGGTCTTGGGTTCTGAGGAGGCGGAGGAAGCTTGGGGATGGGGAATTCATCGTGGGCAATCTGCAAACAGGCACCATGGTTAGCCGATGCTGTATACAATTGGGTAGGGAGTCCATATATCGTGGCCTATCTACATACCTTGTCTAGTCGCGTGAGAATGTGGGATCGCAAAGTAGCCCATTCGGTGCTGTGAGTCGTGTGCTGCGCGTCAGTCTTTTGGTCTTCTCGGGCATTGTGCATCGCTGGCAGGGATGCCATCCACATACCGATCAATCAAGTCGCCTGCCGCGACCTTGGAAAGAAGCTCATTCGCTCCGTCGACTTCCATGGCGGGCTGTTGGGTGCGGTTGCGAAGCAAAAAGGACAAAAGGCTGGCGATGCTATGCTCGGGTAGGAAATGTGGCCGCGCGACGATGGCAACGCAGGCGCTTAGTGGTGGTGGGGGAGGCGACAGTGGTGGATCGTCTGTCAGTGGGCCAGTGCGTGTGTGCTGTGCCGATTAGCGGGCTTTTCACTGTAAGTTGGGCTGCTATTAGGCGGGCTATTCACGGGCAATGCAAGATGGAATCACCAGAAGTACAAAAAATAGGGATTGAATTGGATTTTATATTGACAAAAGAAAAAAAGACAACTTCTGGTTTCATTACAGAACAAGCTACATTAACCTGCATCCTACATGGTGTGCTTAGCCCAAGTCCATCACCATCATCCCCACTTGATTTAGATGCCCTCTGGCCTAAACAGCCATCGGCTCGGCTCAAAGTACACCTCAAAGCTGACGCCATCATACGTTCCAATAGCACAGCACAGATCATGGAATCCCTCAAGACCCGTCACGGGCCTGTCCTGTTCCGCATCCCTCTCTTCATCAAGATCCCATCCGCCCACCATGGCACCGCTCCTCGTAAAGAAGATGCGCACATGCGGCTTATGTGTCCCCGTAGGCGACAGCGTCATACCAATACCATACACCTCGCCCTTGTTGAAGCTCTGTGTAAAGTCCTTACCACCCCACAAATCATTGATATACTTGTGGCCATCGTCACCATGCACAGCCAAGCTGCCACGGTGCCAGCCCGGCATGCGGAACGACGGGTACGGCAGCGCCGTGAATCCCACTGCAAGGTTATTCGTTCGGCTGTCCGGGCGCAGACGGAACTCATAGTAGATAGTCCTGGGGCGGCCAAACTTTGTCGGGTCGTGCTGGTTCACACTATACAGCGGCGGGTAGCTAATGATGCAGCGGTCCGGGGTGCCCTTGGCAGTAGATGCCTCCCAGACACCCGGGCCAAGCCAGTTAAGCTTGCCATTAAACCCGGCAGGCTCCATGAGGCGTACATTGTATGAGGAGAGCGCATTCAGACCGGCCTGGTCCAGCGTGATGGGCTGCGAGAGCGGGTTCTCGTCGCACCACTTCACACCGGCTTGAGCCTGCGCTTCGTCGGCATTGCTCGTCGGCGACAAATAGTGGCCGTTGAAGAGAGGTGGGGGTGGTGGGAACAGCGAAGTATCAGGCACAGCTACTTCCCAGTCATGCTTGGAGGAAGCCGTGGGCTGCGAATCAGAAGGCGGCTTGGCCCAGTCGTGAGACGGTGGTGGCCCGGGAGGAGGAGCATAGTCGGTCTGCGAAGCGTGTCCTGGAGGGGGCCCCGATGGGGGAGCATATTGTTCCTGTCGACCTGGAGGCGGGCCTGGAGGAGGAGCATAGTCTCCATGAGACTGGCGGCCAGGAGGAGGCCCAGGCGGAGGTGCGTAGTCGGATTTGCCGTAGTTCATGACTGCTGGTGCTGTTGACGATGGGCGTAGCTGGTTGGCTGCTGGTCTCGGTGCAGGATCTTGCTCAGAGTGATCTTTGCTGCTTCCAAAACACATCTATCCTGATATGAAAAGACGAAGTGGAAGAAGGAAGAAGGAAAGGCTGTGGCTGAAAGAAAGAAATGTGACGCAGAGGTCTGGCAGGCTATGCTGGGGCAGGTTAAAAGGCGGTTTTTGGTGGTGGCGCGGGGAGGATCCTGGAGCAGTGATGTCAGCGGGGCTGTGGACAGCTAAAAACAATGAGCTATGGTACCTGTACTGACTGTAAAGTTAGCGGGCGAGGCTGAGTGTGGAGGGATGGCGGTGATAGGTGATGATGGCCGACGGATTTTATAATAGTGGGCAAAAGGAGAGAGAGCCTCGTGGGCAATTTGGTAGGCTGACTTGATAGAGTCCAAAAATGCAAGAATAAAGATTGCAAGAGAAAAACAAAACTCAAATTACAATGTGATGTGATCTGGTGGAATTCTTATGAATTTCAAATACGCTGCTTGGCGCCGCCATATAAGCTCACCAAGCTAATGTGAAGGTGGCTGTGCTGGCCACCGCACGCCCCGCAGCGACGCCCGCTCGCGCTGCAACTTTAATGGGGATAGCACGGGTTGGGGGCGTCATCAGCCTTGGATATTGTTTAGAGGCGGATACCGTACTGTACGGCGGCCTCTTTGGCCACTGACCCCGGGAGACAGGGCAGTAGTGGAGGACATACTGTAGCTACACAACAATCTATAGTTTACAGGTGACTCTACTTAGTACACATGTGATGGAACAAAATGTTTCAAGATAATAAAAAGCATGTTAAAAAAAGATATGTAGTATTGATAAGTCTCAAGTGAGGCAGATAGCATGATCAGATGGTGAGCAAGTCGCCCGTAGAACGAAAGGTAGGTAGGTATGTAAAATAAGGATTCATGTTGGATGTCACCTTGATATCGCTGTTGTATCCATTTACTGGCCCCAAGCACTGGCATCGGCGCCTTCAGGATAGAAAAAGGCAACCACTGCAATAATCAAATACACGGCGCACAAAAGAGCGCCTTCCAGGTAGTTACTGCGGCCGTCCAATACCAAGAAGTTGACGATAAAGGCAGACACGAACAAGCACACCGTCTCAAACAGCGTAAAGTACAGCGTCATGTCCTTGCCGATGATCCAGCCCAGAATGACAATAAAGGGTGTCACAAACAGCGCAATCTGGATCGAGCTACCAAGCGCGACACCAATAGCCAGATCCATCTTGTTCTTCATAGCAACGGTAATGGCTGTGACGTGTTCGGCGGCGTTGCCAACAATGGGAAGGATGATGAGACCGATGAAGATTTCGCGAAGGTGAGACGTCTTGACGACCTCGTCAATTGAGCCAACCAGGAACTCAGCACAGGCGGCGACAAGACCAGTCGTGATGAGCAGGAGGATGATGGCCGAAGTCTGGGTCAAGTGCTGTTCCTCATCTTCTGCATCGCCAGCAGCAACAGTAGTAACATTGGTAAACGGTGCGACGGGAAGGTGAGCAGGGAACATGCCACCTGGTGCACGAAAAGAGCTGGATGCGTTGAGACGGTCAGGGAGAGAGTTGGTGCGGCGAATACCGTAGCGGACACGGGGAACAGGGCCGGCAGGAACAAGGCTGGCGACAGCGTCGTCTTCCGGCTTCTGAACAAAGACGGTAGGGGCGAGGTTTCGGACAGACATGTGGCGGAAAGCAGAAAAGCCCGGACGCTTGTTGTTCTGGTTATCCTCACCTTCGTCATCTGCGTCACCATCGGCGGCAGGAATCTCCGTATTGTTCTGCATAGCAAAGTCAACACGGCGAGGTGCATTTTCATCCTCAGGGTCAGGCAGGGCTGGATCGCCAAGAGACATGGCGCCAAGACGGCGAGCCTTGGCCTTCTCCTTCTTGCGACGATGGCGGCTCATCTTCTTCTTGCGCTTTTCCGACTTGCCATCCTCCACAGCAACCTCGTTGGTATCGACAGAGTTCATGCGTGGCGTGAGCCAGGGGCGAGTGGGTGAACCGCCCTCAGCCATGTCATCGCGGGGGTTGGTGCTAGCAGTGGCAAACGACGGCGAGCGAGTTGCATTTTCGTCAACCGAACCAATCGAGGTCTTGCGCTTACGACCGGCACGCAGGACCTTCTTCATCCTCTTGCGGACAGTGTCGTGAGAGGTGTCCGAGTCAGTGCTGGAATCAGAGCTGGAGTCGGAGCTAGACGTGTCAAGCCAGCCAGCAGCTGGGCCAGGAAGGGCTTCCGCATCAACAATGTGCTGAGGAGTGGATTCATAGAGGTAGGCGTGGGACTTGAGCTGGAACAGCAGGTAAATACCGTAGACAAGCAAAAGGATCACACTGGTACCACGGCTAATCTTGAGGGACTCTCTATCGGCATCTTGGGAGTTTTTAAACGAGGCATGGAAGGCCGTGGGCAGCACAAGACTAATCACACTGAGAGAGAGAAGACAGGCGCTCATCTGCGTGACGGTGCTGTTGTACACCTGTTCACGGAAGCGCAGACCGCCGAGGAAAAAGCCCATACCGAGAATCAACAAAAGGTTAGCAAGGATGGAGCCGAGGAGAGATGCCTGGACAATGCGGATTTCTCCCTTGACCAAGGCAATGATGAAGATGATGAGCTCGACGGCATTGCCAAACGTGACGTTGAGCAGAGCGCCGAGGGCATCGCCCATTTCTCGTGCGACAGACTCGGTAGCATGGCTAAGCAGTCCGGCGAGGGGGATGATGGCGATGGCGTTGACACCAAAGATGGCGCCAGGGTGGATGCCCGGCACGTTAGCAATGGCAATACCAACGGGCACAAAGACAAGGAGAACATTGACCCAGCTATGGGTAATGGTGAGCCAGAAGCTGCGGCGAGTCTCGGTGGCGACTCGCTGGAACCAGCTTCCCTTGTGCTGGTCCTTGCCAGCTTCGGCTTCATTTGTAGTGTCGGTGACAATGGAGTTGGACTCATCATTAGCGGCGCTTTTGCCGTCTATGACAGACCCTTGCTTCTCGTCAGACGATGATGCGTGTTTACCGCCAGGGAAAGCGGCATGGTCATTGCCGCCATGGTAAGAAGAGCGGTTGGCATGTGTAGCAGCAGGTTCAGTAGCCGTCTGCTTTAGTTCATACGAGTCGTGGCTGTTGGAAGCAGAAGTAGCAGCAGCGGACGCGTCAAAGTAGCCATGCGTTTTGGATGATTTTGGATCAGACCCTTGACGAACTATATCGGGGGGCACGGTTTCCGTCATCGAAGTGTGGTGAGGAATGCTTGTGTTCGCTTTGGTACGAAGATGGGGTTGCCGAGCGTATCGGGTCTGGTGGTGTTTGTTGGATGTAAGGAGGGAAACCCAATTACAATGGTAGAAGGAACCCCGTGAAAAGAGAAGAAAAGACCAGATGCAAGATCAACGGTCAGAAGAGAAGAAACCTGTAAAAGAGGTAATGAAACAGAGATCACAAGAGAAAGAGCCAAGAGAAGGAGAGACAAGATCGGGGGAAGGTGAGTGGGGGACACGCCAAAACCTAAATACTTGCCCGGGTCAAACAAAATTAAGAAAGCAAGGTGCAGCACCGTACAAGGCAACTTGGACAAGCCACAGCAAAGGCACGGGGGATTTGCGCAGTGGGAAGTGGGCCGCTAAACAGTCAGAGTGGGCCAGTGGGAGTGGCGACCTGCAGCACAACGCTAAAACAGGTCCTTGTCGGGGTTCCGCCTGGCGCGCTAAAAGAGTCAAAGTTGCAGTTGTGTGTGTTGCGGCGTTGCCAGAAAGCTGTCAAAAAGCACTTTTTGTTAGGCAATGGTATATATTGAATAGAAAAACAAGCAGGGTAATTTTTATTCAATTTAATAAAAATAGAATCGGGAACGATAAAAAACAAAAACAAAATAATGCTGCAGAAAAAGGAGGAGAAGAAGAAGAAAAAGCAGCATGGGCTGTGAGTGAGTGCCATACTTATACAAACCACGAAAGGCATGCAACTCTCTCAACTCCCCAATCCTTCCCTTTTCCTTCTTCATACTGTGCTCATCAAGTACTCGCAAACCAATTAACAAGCTACCAAGTACATCCATCGCCCTCGTTTTTTCTGGCACCGTAGACGCAGCCCCGTGTTGTCTACAGTAACCGCCATCTCATCAGAGTCACAAAAGTGCCGTAAAGCCGATATATACATTCCTCAACCCCCAGTCTGCCAGCATCGCCCTCTTTCGTCCCGTTTCACTTCTCGTCTCTTATCCCCCATCTTTTCATCTGGTCGCGTGCCTCGTCACCGTTCTCGTCCAATTCCATAAACAGGGTCCCTTAGTGGAAGCGTCTAGACACCACATCATAAACTAAACCAAACCAAACCCAAAAAAAACCGGCCCGCTTTCTGACTCTTAGCGCCAGCCCAGCAAGTCCAGTTCGCTTAACCCCAAAGAAGAAAAGCCAGATAGGAAAAAAAAAGCATGGCTGCTTATTTCCTTTTGGGATCGCGACTCATCGTCGTCATAGGCCAGCAGTAGTCGTCATAGTAGCTGGCTCTGTACGCCGCCCCTGACGCCCACTACGCACCAACTCAGGCTATTGTGCGGCCTCCCCAGCCTTGTTGTCGTCACAACATGCTCTCAGCCACACTGCACACAAGCTGCATGATGGAGTCACCGTGCAGCTGCAGTGGTTCGCTCTGTTTGGGGGCCGTCCGTCGCATGGGTAGTCTGCGTGGTGCCCAGCAATATTCCCGGTTGCAATTCCCTATTCTTCCGAGTTGTAACCCCCCAATGTTGCACTGCACTCTTGCTGGAGATAGCATGTGCGTCTTCTGCAACAGCCCGTGCGCAACTCTTGCTTTTAATCTGCGACAATCATACGAAAGAGGCCCAAAAAAAGGATTATGGAATATTTACCATACACAAGTAGGGTGACGTCAGGTGTTTGTTTGGGCGTGTTTGATCATGCTCCGACCAGCGCTTCACTGATCGCATTATCATTCTCGTAAACTGGCTATACTGCATCGCTAATGTACTCTTTCCTAACAAGACACCATCGCCGACTGCTGTGGAAGACAGACGCCAAAAAGGGCATTAGCTGACACTTCCATTTATCAGCGGCGACCGCGCCTCGTTCGATACGTATGTCCTTCGTGACGCTGATGGCATCAAGACGCATAAATCCTATTGACAATGACAAGATGAAACGATATGAAATAACAAAAAAGGAAAACAACAAGAAAAAAATCAACCAAATGCAACGGTAATGATAAAAACACCTTGTAATCCCGCAATGGCAAAAGTTGTAGTGCTGGCGTCGCTTGTCTACGCGTTCGCTCAGCGTGCTTTATGTAATAGATCGTCAGAGTTTGTACAAACCCGCCCTCTCGACGTTTGTGTGTATTTGGTCTATCGACCATGTCAACGCTCTTGCGATGAGATTATCGTCTAATGAACCAAATTGAAGTTGATCAGAAGTTCTTTATCGCTGTTCGTCGCCAGTTCTGGCCTTGCCACGGCGACGGAAAAAGTCCATCACTCGCTTCGCTGCGCCGGTGCTGCCCTCGTGGCCACGAACGTCACCCTGTTCATAAGCATCGGTGAATCGCTTGTGGTTCTTGTGCAAAACACCACGGCCAGACCCGCTCGTGTCTACCCGTCGAGCTTCGTAGCCATCAAAGCCAGCAGTGTACGTGCCATGATGACGGCCGAGCTGGGGCTCCGTAGGAGGACGTCTTCGGTCTAGAGAGGCGTCCGATCCGCTGCGAAGGTGGCCAACAGGTTGTGACATGTAGCTAGGAATCGCGGTTGGCAGTCGCCCGTCACCCTGAACCGATTGGAAGCGTTGGTGATGTGCTGGGCTAGAGCTTGCTGTATCGCGCTGACGGCTAGGGTCTGGAAGCTCCCCAAACGGAGCAGGACCCCTAGCGTCTCCAGGAGCTGTGAAATTGCGTGCTGGCTCTCTTCTCGGATCGTATTGTGAGTCGTTCTGGGAATCAACATCGGATCCGTCGCCGTGGTCCTTTCCGAGGCCAATGGCTTTGAGGGAGAACGAGGCAGGGAGCAGAGAGAATCGGCGTCTGTCCTTCTTCTCGCCAGAGTTTTGTGATTCGGCAATGCTGCCGCTGCGCTTCTTGCCCAATCCCAAGGAAAATGACCGGCGTCCAGCTGACATTCGAGAATCAATAGATGCACGGCCAGATTCTTCTCCAGGAGCAGCACCCTGTGCAAGACTGACAGGAGGATACTTCTTAGTGGTCGACTTCTCATCCGCCGCCTCAGATCGCTTGCTTTTCCTTCCAAACACGGACCCGCTACGTCCAAGAAGTTTGGAAGAAAGGTCACCAATCGTATTGGATCGCTTGTGCCCGCGAGCCTCCGCAGGTGGCCCACCCTCATGAAAACCAGATACCCGAGCAAACTTGGGAGGTACGCTAACACTAGCTCTACCCATGTAGCTATCTTCGTCACCAGACGCCGGTTGCTGAATGCGGCCCTGTGCGTTGGTGTCGGCGAGCGATGGTGGTGCCGCTGGTTGGCCGTAGTTGGCACGATTCTGGAGTCCCATGGAGCCGGTAGACTGCATAGAGCCACCAGTCTGGGGGCGAGCATTATAGTTGTTCGGATCGGAGCCAGATCGTACGTCGCGAGAGGGTCGTGTAGTGTTGTGGGAGACGGGTGGCGCGCGCTGGTGGGCAGATCTGGCGTAGGGATCTCTAGCGACGGCTGTGGAATCAGAAGGCACAGACGATTGCTTCTCGCCCGTTGCCCCAGAGCGTCCTTCGCGGTGTTGTCTCTCTGGAGCAGGGTCCGATCCTCGCTGTGTCTGAGTTGTTGGGGGTACATATTCGACTTGCACTGTACGACGCTTCGAATCCTTGGTAGGTCGGCTGGACGATTCTGTCGTGGGTGAATCGATCTTGGCGTTGGTTTTCGCCAGTCCTCCCACCTGAATCGGCTGTGGTGATTTTTGCTTGGTAGATTCACGAACAGACGCGCTCCGTGTGACCATGGGAGCGTCGGTGAAGGAAAAGTCCTGGTGGCCTGCAGCATTCTGAATATCGGCAGGCAACGTCGTCGAGCTGGTGATGAATTCCACAACGTGGGAGTATTCGCTGAGCCAACTGTGACGGGCGACTTCGAATAGATCGGCACGTTTTCTTGGGTTTGGTACTAAGATGCGTCGCAGCAAATCTCTCGCGTGCGGCGTAACGTATTCTGGGAACGTAAGAGGTGTGCTTACGATGTATTTGTAAAGAAGGTTGATGTTGTCTCCTTCGGGGTTCGCTGGGTCGTCGTCGAAGGGAAGATAGCCGGCAAGCATGGCATAAAGAATAACACCACAGCTCCATACGTCCACTTTGCGTCCAGTGTAGAGGGAGTCGCTGACAACCAGTTCGGGGGCTGCATAGCACGGACTACCGCAGCTAGTTTGCATAAGATCACCTCGGCGCATGCCATTAGCCTTGACCTTGTCCAATCCCATGCGCTTGACCTGATCCTTATCTTGTAGATGCAACTCCTCTTCCTCGGTAAGCTCTTCACGGGCATCAAAGGTGTTGGCAAAGCCAAAGTCGGTAATGATGATGTTTCGGTTGCGATCCAAGAGCAAATTTTCCAACTTAAGATCACGATGGACAATGCCGCGTTTGTGTAGATAGCCAACACCAGATATGAGCTGCGAAAACAGTCGACGAGCCGAGTTGTCCTTCAGGTAACGATGGTTGAGAATGTAATCGAAAAGTTCGCCACCGGATGCATACTCCAATACAATGCCAATGTAACGGTCCGTCTCAACCATATCAAACAAGCGCACAATGTTGGGGTGATCGAGGCCTCGTAAAATAGACACCTCACGACGGATCTTTGCCAAGCGGAACGGGTTGCTACCAACCGTTTCGCGCTTGATGAGCTTGATAGCAACCTGGAGGGCAACTGATTAGCTTATTCAACGGTATTATGCTTGCATGGATTAGCTTACCTGTGCATTGCTGTCCTGCTTCCAGCCTAATTTAACTTTACCAAACTCGCCCTCGCCAATTGTGTTACCGAGGATAAAGTCACCAAATTTCGACGTCTTTTGGTGGCTTTTGCTGTGATCCTGTCGGCTACGCTGGCCACGCTTCTCATCTGGGCTTGCAGAGGTGGGGGGCGCAGGAGCAGGAGCACCATTGTCATGATGCGAAGGAGAGGCTGCATAATTGCGGTCGTCCCTAGGTCGAGCGTCACGCGTTGCCGAGTCAGCAGGGGCGCGAGCATCCCGGTTCGGTTCGTTAGGATGCGAACGGATGGGAATCGTCGCGTCCACTAGGCGCACATCTGGAGCGTGTCGAGAATAGGCAGCAGATTCTTGCGTGTGAGGGCGGGCTCTGGCGTGGGATTCGGCAGAGCCATTCGTACCAGATCGAGCATCGGCGCGCTCGTACTCAGGCTGATACTGTCTTGGAGACGAAGTAGGCTTTTCGGTAGTATAGTTGGCTCGTCGAGAGCTCGAAGAGTGTTGATGGGACGACGTTCGCGGCGGAGCGACGGGAGGCATGGCGGCGTGATCCGAGCGAGGGGAGCTGGGAGACGGTGACGCGTTGGCGACGGCGGAGCGCGCTGCGATGGTCGCAGCAAACTCGTGGGGATGGGAAGTGCCAGAGCCGTCTGTTTTGCGAGAAGGAGGCCGACGAGAGGACGAAGAAGAGCCTATGTTTTGATGACCATGGTAGGTCTCCCTTGTTGGAGAGGACTGCGCTGCAGGGAACTGGTGGGCGGATGAGGGAAGTGAGGTGGCGGCGGCCAATGCAGCAGCTTGATGGGGAACCGTCTGAACGCTGGCCGACATGTCGCTCTCGATTGCACGGACAGATTGCAAGTCTCGGGTTCGAGGCAAGACTCCCACCTGATTATAATAATCAGACAGTTGACTGCGGAGAGGCAACTCGTGTCTGTCGAGTGTCTTTTTTTTTCCTCGCTTGTGTTGATAGAGACGCTTGCTGAGCCAAAGGAAGAGGCAGCGACGGCAGTAGATTAGGGCCCCAAGGGTGTGTCTTTGGTTTTGGCGCTTTCAGGGGGGCGGCTACTTGTCCTGCAGGTCGGAGATGGAGTGGGAATCCACAGGCAGGTAGAGTCGCAAGCGGGTAGTACTAATGAAGCTAATTTGCGACCTGAAATCTCATGATTCGGCCAAATGGATCGGGGTGGGATTGAAGGTGTGTGCGAATGGCGTGGAAGCAGTTGCTTCAATCGGCTTGTTCGTCTTCTTTTTGTTATGTTATTTCGAACTGAAGTGGTTTGAAAAGGGTCAAGAGCGGCCAGCCTGGACGAGGGAGCAGCGCGACAGGAAATGAAGCGTGTGGCAGAGAGCGGGTAAGCGCCGAGCTCAAGGCGGTGTCTACTCCCAAAGCGTACTGAGTGAGCGGCCGTATGTGGAGAAAGGGAATCTGGTGGTGTGGGCGTTATAGGCGCTGAGCATTCGCTGTAGGTTTTGCTCTGGGGCACTGTACAGGAAAGAGAGTACTATCCGTTTACCGTACGAGGTACAGTAGTAAGCCTGACCAAACCGAATGGCAAAAGTTGGGGTGTACCAGTGGCTAACGTAACGTGCAATCGAGCCAGGTAGACAAGATGGTAATGGCGTTACTCCTTAGCGTTGGAGTGAGCTGAGTTGGCAGGTGTGCAAAGACGACGGCAGATTTCTTGTTTTCGTAGAGGAACACGTATAGTATTTGGTATGGAACTAGGAATCGTGCCCTTTTACTTGATGATGAGACAGCGTAGACGTGAAGCACAACAGACGCGACTAGAGAAGAAGAGGGAGAGAGAATGGCACTCAACGCAAGGACGAGGGAGGCGGCCAGCTGGCAGCACAAAGGGACAGCGGCGGTACAGTACAGCGAGAAGCCTGTCAGTACAGGGCAGCTACAGGCACAAGGGAACGGCCACCAGCAAATCAAACTGGAAAAGAGCAAGGAGCCTCGTTACAGGCGAGCCAGTGGATGGCCCAGCAGGTACAGTACAAAATCAAACTGCAGGGCAGCCCATGCCATCCAGGCTAGCGCGGGCCTGGAGGTAGCATTGGCCTGTGAAGGGAGAATATTGGAGGAGGTTCCAGCGGCCGGGGGGCTTGCGAGGTATGTGCCTTGCTAAAACCTTAGTGGAGAGATGCTGATTTTCCGGACGTTCGAAGATAAAACAACATTTATCTGTATAGACAAAAACATTGTTATATAAATAAATACGTTTTTAAGAGTGTGTTTGGACTGTATTTGGAGCGTCGGGAAAATCAGACACTTTCCGCCACGGTAGCTGCGTACAGTACAGGGAACTGTTACAGCGCGTTGCTGACCATAGCTAAGCGAGTGGACAGAAACGATGACGACAGAGCGAAACGAACTGCGGATCGGGCAAAACGTGAACGACCAGGATTACCGTCTAAGCAGAAAAGAAAAGCAAATGAACAAAAAAACACTGTAGCAACAGTGCGGCAGCAAGGACGCAGGCGGAGCTCCCCCCTTTGGCTATTAATGGAAACAAAAGAAGGCATTTTGCGCCGAAGGCATGTGCTGTGCTGCTGCAAGCCGCCGAATAGTGAAGAAGCAATGGCATTAATTGGCGTCACTAGGCAAATAGATGAATACGAAGCATCTGGTATGGAGGACGGCAATACCGTAGTGGGCTATAGACACAAGCATGGGGCAGCACAATGGAACAATTCAAAGAACAATGCGTGGAATAATTACACCACTAAAACATGAGCCGCAGTCTGAACAATGCGCGCAAAAAATAGAAACAACACGCACGAATTAGGAAAGTATTAAAGTGCTTTTTTATTGTTTTTGTTTTTGTCTGCTCCTTGTTCATAATTAACTTTTTCTTCCTTTTGCCGTTTTCTTTCTTTTTTTCCCTTCTTGGCAGGACCGCCCACTCTGGAAACCAATGGTTGAACCCGCATTAGCACCATCTCGTCCTTGCATACCGCGTTTGTTGATGTTTCCACGCGACTTCTGGCATCCCGTCTGGTGATGGACGCGTCAAATCCCTTGTACAACATGGCGTCAGGGTCGCATTGTTCGTTTCAATCGACTGCGTTAGGTGTTTTCAAACCTAACCCTAGGCGCAATGGTCAACCACACCACGCGGCGCAGCGTTGATATCGTCAGATGGCTAGGCACAACATGTCACAAAAGGGCCTTCTTTGGGCGGAGATGTGGGCTCTACAAAATTAGATTTTTCCCTTCTCGAGTAAATTGGCGGACGCCAGCTACCCAATCTGGCGTCGGCGCGGGGCGTGGCTTTGCAACCTGATGCCGCTAAGACCAGGCCGTAGGATTTCCACTTTCAGCGCAATCCAACGGAGGACGGGTACTCTTATAGCGCACTACAGCACCCATCGTACAAGGGAGTATTTGTTTCATCATGCCTGCTCTGGCTTGGGCCCTAGCCTGCTTGGAAAAGCCACTGCTCAACGCGCCAGTCGCTGCTGACCACCCGATCATGGCAAAAAGAAGAAAATCCTCCGAACCAATAATGAGTCGGCATGTGAGGCATTGATCGACACGGGCAAAGTGTAGCCGAGCAAAAGGGACAGGCACCACTGAGACATTCATCTGATCTGAAAGTTATCTTCTTATATTACAATATTCTACTTCACAGCTTTATAGATACGTTAAACGCATCGAGAGCGAGAGCTACAGCTGTGACTGTACCCGTGTAGGCCACCAGAACAGCCATTGCGATGGGTGGTGTGACGTCAAGCGTCGGGACGGTGAGGTTTACCAGACCCGTCAATAGATTAGCGATGAGAAAGATGAAAAGCCCGTTTCTGTTATACGCACGGAACACATGGCTTATGGCAAAGTTGTATGCCTCTTTCTCTTGCTTCTCGTCAGCAGCGTTGTAAAACGCAGGGAAAAAGACGGTATCAACAATGGCAAATGCCAAAAGTTGTAACGAGTTGAAAGCTGCGACGCCGAGGACGTAGGGAAGGTTGGCCATGCGACGTGAGACGTTGAGTCCAAGACCGTATGAATGGTGCGTAGTGGCAACAAAGAGAATTGTCCAGATTGCTGACCAAACGCCCATTGTCATGAGCAGCGTGTTTCTTTGTACGCCCGCTCGCTCCTTGCTGCGAGGGTTGACCGTGCGTGGGATGACAAACATGCCAAGATCTTGGCCCGCCAAGAAGATGGCGAGATATCCAATGAAGCTGAAGATTCCTTCACGGTTCTTGGACAGCAAATCTACTCGTGGAGCAGTCAAGACGTATGCCTTCAGCGATGTGTTATCTAAAACAGCTTCGTATATGCCTGAGACAATCAGAGCCAAGACCGCATGGGATGGAACTAGGCGCAGCACTTCTCTGAAGATGGCGACAAATGGTGGCAAAAAACCGAGTGTAAAGAAAAAGTTCCAGTGCACACCGTATTCGGTAACATGCTCGGCATAATCGAGTCCCTTGACGCTCAGGAAGCGGATAAAACCTAGTACCAGCAGTGGGATCGAATGCCTGAAAGATTCCAAAAGGCGTTTTCCGAGTGGCTTTACACGACCAGCAGCCTTTTCCTTCAGCACGGGGCGTGCTCCAACGATACCAGCAGCAAAGACAAACGATCCAACGCCGAGGTCCATCAACGACGTACCCCAGGTTTCAACCTTGGCAAAGCGACGGGGGAAGATACGGAAGTCGACGGCAAGGATAGCAACAACCGTAGCAATCATCATGCATGCTCGGTACGTCGTAAGAAACGGCTTGATAGACAGCGGGTTGTTCGCTGCTTGGCCGTCGCTTTTCGATGCCGCGGTTGGCGGGACCTTCGGCTTCTTTCGCGATCCGCTAGTTCCGGGAAGCATATATACCAGGACAATGGGGGTCGAGAGGAGAATGATCAAGAGTACCGGCGACTTGGCGTAGAGTGTGAAGGAGAGGAGAATCGCGCCGACGTTGAGGAGGTAGTCGATAATGAGGCCGAGGGGTGACGACGGTTGGAAGAAGCTGTGTCGCGCTTGGAGGGCGGACCAGAGCATGACGGCGACCTGTTTACATCGCCATGTTAGCTTCGTTAGGTTACATCAACGTTATATGCAAGCCGACTTACGGGTGCAACGGCCGTAACCAGAAGCATCTCTTCCACTGAGCCGCCTGAGAGGTTGGACACAAAGTCCTCCTTGCGTTGCTTGTAGCTCGACGAATTAGACATTATGAAGAATTGGTGATGCGACAACGAGGGAAATGGAAAGAGAGAGTCGATAAATCCGAGTTGTTTGATTTTCAAAGTACCGCCTCTTGCAGATGCAACATGCAACGTCGCCGGTTCTTGCTGGGCGGCGCAGGCAGAAACGGGATTCACAGCAATGACGGGATGAAGAAGAGGACAGCGAAACGCGTGCATGACGATCGTGGTGTCTTTAATTTTTGGTGGGGCGCGCGTTAGGCTGCAAGTGATGTGGGGGTGGAAAGCGCCGACTACCCGGAACGATCTATTTACAAAATAACAAGCATGATCACCAATAAAAATTTTAGCAATCACATAGAAACTAGAGGTTCTTGGTTTATTCAGCACCGGATCGTCCATCCTTTGGAATATTTCAACAACCCTTAGCTGAGTGCTGTGCAGGTGGAGTCCTTCGATCATCATCTTTGATTCGAGATCAATAAGTTAAGTTAGATACAGAATACTTACTACCTCTAATGGTAATACAAGTGGTGTTATTATTACTCTACACCTAGAGATGACGCACTGATTCAGTTTATGACTATCTTTAACTTCACCGGCCGAGATCCGAACCAGGATTAGACCTGTCATGCTACACCTAGTGCAGCCCATGTAAAGGCTTCGAGTGCCTTCGTCCGGATTTCCAGTACAAAAATGGCAATTCTAATACACATCCATGGACGCTATTGTAGGAACGTGTATTATAGGACCGGTAGTCGGTACTCTCATCCTCAATCTATATTCATTTGACAAAGACAACACGGTAGCCGCCCGATCTAGGTTGAATCTTCCTAGTAACTGAAGCTGGCCAGTACCAAACTACAAGTTTCCATTTTTCTCGACCACAAAAACACCACCTTATACAAGTCAATATGTACCTACGGCACTTTCCGTAAAACAGCATTAATATCTCTTTGTTCCACGCCACAACTGAGCGCTACGCCCGCACTGCGACGCAGTGGTGTCCAGCGGCTGATGTCGTTTAGGCCAGCCAATCCGAAACTAGTTTCTTCAGTAGACTTTAGGTGCAAAATAGTATTGTAGCAGCCGAAATAAACGATCACTGTAAGCAAGTATAGTGCTGTTCTCCACCTGTAGGGCTGTGGCTAAGCACAGTGTGGTTTATTGCAAACAGCCAGAACGCGATGTACCTTTCCATTGCTAACCCAGTCTTCGTGGTCTGGCAGAGTGGCTATCGTACTGTAACAACCCACGCAAAGATAATAGAGCACGCCCTGATCGAAGGTCGCTCTTAGCCACCAACGAACACTTAGTACCTCTGCTTAGCCGCCGCAAGCGACAGTGTTGCCATTAGTTGGTACTCATCAGGCAAGAATACACTATTAAGCACAGGCAAAATACAGCAACGATACAGTTTACATTTGCAACAGGACGCTTCGACAATAGACGTGCAAACTAACTCAGCTTTTCTGAGAAATGCAGGGAAGCTCGACGTTCAACTACGCGACAGAACCAACATCGACGGCAAATATGACTGGTGTTGCTTCGGTCGCTAAAGACAGGACTCCGAACACTTGAGGAATAGCCCTTAAGCTAGCTAGTTATCGATAATAAACGATGCTGGATGTGGACAGTTAGTGGGGAAAGGCGGCCGAGAACCGATCAACAAGACACGAGCAAGGAAGATGAAGACAACCAAAATTGTACTTAAAGCACAGCTAGTGAGCCTACTGGCTGGAAGCCACTGGACGTAACGAACTATTTAGGTTGCACTTGTGGTCTAGATCAAACAGTATTTGCGGTTCACCTCTAATGTAGTATTATAGTAGGTCGAAGCCTTTGCTGGTAATAGTATGTGTACTTGTCTTATTGCCGTATTTATCCTTATTTGGGAAGGAGGTAAGATACAGTTACATAGGGAGGAGGTATTGTAATACTCTTCAATATTGAATAAAAAATCTGCTGAAGATATCTCGGCAGTTGCACTTAGACTAATGACGAAAAAACTATAAAGTCAGGCTGCTACTACCATCTACTACCTACTATAACCACGCTACTACTATCTTATTGTTTACAAACATATTATTCAAAATGAAGCTTCTTACTACAAATCTGAGCTTAATTGGATTACTTGTCCCACAGGCCTTTGCTTATGATGGCCATCTCATCTATCAAGACTTCAAATTTTCGAAAGCTAATCCAGGCGGCATCAGTGACGTCACTTTTCCAATTCAAATGAATGGAACAGCTCATAAGAATGGGTATTTCTTCGCACAGAGTGTCTATTTTAATATTACGACCGATACTCTGCGAAAAGTTGCCTATATTGGCATGGAGCCCAGTCGCGACGAAGGTAGCAAGACAGTTCTCTACGGAAGGTTTACGTCCTTCATTACTGGGACGAATTCATCTCATCCGAACAGCTCTAACGGCGCCGACGGCGATCCTGGTGCCACCTGCGTGATTGACCTTCATGGGGTATCATATGATAATGTCTGGAATTTTCGTATTGCAGCCATAGGGCAGAATACGTGGAAAGGTACAATGACAGACACAACTACGAAGAAATCATACGAGATTGGCAGATGGACGCTCCCAACAGCAGGATTGATCCGACAAGATGTAGAAATGGGCAGTTTCGTTGAGTATTATCCGTTCAATTCCGCGGAGAAACCCGATTGCCGAACTATTCCCAAGGTTGGGGTTACATTCTATCCAGCAACTTCTGAATCGGCCTCTGGACTTTGAACTAAAAACTCCATACGAAACAGGAAGCTGCGAAAAGCACGCAAATGCTTCGTGGAAGAAGTTGCCCAATAATGCTTGGTATCAGAGCGCTGGATTTGTATAAGCTAAATATATTGTCACTTAATTCGTTATCTATAATCTGCTACAGCTATGCCAGCCCGCCTCAATAAGTTTTACTATAAGCTCATAGCAAGACTGTCAGATAAGGCTAGCTACAATCCTAAATAGGAAGTGCGTACTGCGCACGGGCTACAACGATTATTAAGTTAAGCGCCGTAGCCACGTCCCGGATTTGATCCGTTTCAACTTTTGTTTCCAGGTAATTGCTATTCTTCTCATTCTACCTGGGGGAACCGGGCCTAATAAGCTTATGCGTGTCTCGTTGTTTGCTGTACATACAGCACAGTACGTATTCGTACGGTACCAGCCACACCTCTCGTAACTCGGAACGGAGTTACAGAGTTCAAGTGATTAATTTTTTCGACCGCTACAATGTATATGTGCCAAGTCATGATTTGGAACAAAGAAAGCGACTTGTTTGCTCTCGTCACGGGGTGCAACCTTCGGCAAGATTGCCACCAACCATGGAGTCGGGACCGGGGGCCGCGCCCGTTGTTTTGCAGAACAGGGATTTACCTTCTTTGTCGGACCCGATGATTATATTTTCATGGGATGCCTATCAACAACAAGACTACTATTCGCAGTGTTCGCCCCAGGATGCTAGCCGGGGGCAACAAAGACGCTCCTTGACTTGCATCAGAACAGTTCAACCCAGCCATGTATATAACGCTGCCAACATGCTTCGGCGCTACATGCTCTTAACTTGGAGGAAAGTCCGTAACAGTACCATTCTCCATTCACTAGCTGGAATCGTGGTACACGAACGAACCACAACAAGCATGGATAACAACGCAGGAGCTTTGAATAAGAAGCCCAAGATCGCCCGAATACAGACAGGTGACCAGACACAAAGGCTACCCAACATAGAGACTATCTCAATTAGCGAAGGTTATGAAAATGAACCACCTTCGACCGAACTTGGCTCAGCAGTGACGGAAGATATATCACCAAAGACAATTCCGGGGCGAGGCAGACAAGGAATACGCCTAAGGTCCATATCAGAGTCGCCTATTTCGAGAAGAAAAAACGCTGCCGTGGACAACAAAACTTGGCTCAATAGATTAAGATCTAGGCAGGCCAGCGTTGCGTTCTACGCAAACCGACAGTTACCTACACAACTTACCCTTGGTGACAGGGCCGAACTCCGGCGATCGTCCTTCCAGCGCTTCAGAGCCGAGTTGTGGAAGAAAGGCGAGCATCGGTTCAGGAATGACTTGGATACTGATGCCATCATTATCCCAGTGCCACTGGAAGAGGACAAAGACAATATAGATTTGACGCCTGGGACGAAATTGGTACGAGTCGTGGTCCACTCTGCCGGACGGGAATCCATTGTTCTAAAGAGGAGTTTCGATATCGAAAAGCTCATGGCGACTGTCCCGGAGCCCGCTATGGCCCCATGCTCCCCGGTATTCAACAAGGACGCAATGATGGCGAGTCTCTATGTTGGCAGACGACAATCCCAGCAGGGAATGGCTATACGACACTCAGTATCCCCGGAATCTGCTCAAAGCAATGGTCCTCGGACAATCCCCGACACGACGGATGGGTGGCCGATTCGTAAGTATACATCTTTAAAACGGACACTTCACAACAAATGGCTAACCACGTCTATAGATCTTCAATACGCCCGAGCCCAGGTTCCGATTCTGGCCTCGTTTTTGATGTCACCTCTTGTAAAACGGCACGACATCATCGAGCTCCCCGTTCCTTACCCGGAGTCGTGGTCAGAGACAGTCGCCTTTCTCTATACTGGCGAGGACTCGCTCGTTTCGGCCGAAGTCAGATCGAATGTGAGGCATCTCGGGGGAAAGATTTAGCATAATTCGCCTTTATTGAAATTAGCAGACGGGTCTTGTTCTCCGCCGACTAAATTGGCCGTATTCATTCGAAACGCAGGTTGGGGCCAGCGAAGATACTCGCGCTAGTGATGTAGGACTCTGGAGGGTTGTGACACGTCAGATATGCTCTCTACACTAGATTCTAGTAAAAGGATTAGAACCTGCGGCTACCGGTATAGCGCCTTGTTCGTTAAAGAAGCCATGAACTTTTCTTTCACACGTGAAATGTGGCATTATCTGGCCTTGAAGATATAGCCAAAATTGCCGAGGATGTTGGAGATCGAACGAGTGCGGGCGGTCGCCGCCCTGATTCTCAGACCCGTGTATGCGTGACATGTTGCATTCAGTTGACAGGTCGTGGCCAAAAGATACGCCACAGCCACTGAAATTGATTGTGGCTGGCTTCCAGCGGGATCTGAAGGGTTGACTCGTCAAATGGCGTTCGCAATGAAGAGACCCTGCCCCATATTCCACTGCAACGAGGCTCTCCTGCCTGTGGTGGATATACGGCGAGTCGCGCGCCATAGACTGAAGCCTCCGTACGGATGAAGCATCATTTTCCGGTGCTTTGCAAACCTGCCCCGCTTTCCATTGTTATAGCGGGAGAGGCCCGTCCCAGCGAACTTCTTGGTTTGCCAACGAGGCTGTGAGAGGGGCTGGAGAATCCAGAAGCTCGCCGACCTGGGCTGCTTTGCTACAGCATGCCGCCGCCTTCTCTTTCCAGACGGGCAGATGTCCGGATACTCGCATTGCCGGATGCCAAAGCAGACAAAGCAGCTCGTTTGTTTGATAATGACAATCGAGCTTCTCAATAGCGAAAGATTGACCGTTGCTGCTGCAGGTGGCTACAGCAGCATCATGCAGTAGTAATCTGCGCTGCAGCAGCCACACCAGTATTGGCCAGAGGGGCCCCCATCTGTTCTTGTAAATACACGCATGTAGCTGGCAAAGTACCTTGGAAGTACCTCTTGTTTTGCTCCTCAGTTGAGCCGCCCGGGCCCCAGAATAAGGACCACCTTTTTTTGCTATGGTGGTCTGGCTGATCGCTATCGGGAAAGGGAGGGGCGGAAGGGAGGGGACCTGCGCCATCCATTCTCGTCATGGCGTGTAAGTGAGGGGTTCGCTGTCCATCATGCTCCGGGGTTCCCTGGAAACAATGACAAAGGGCAAGATTCGGGGGGGGGGGTCGCAATCGCCGGACCGGGGTTTGGATTGGTCTTGCCCTTTGCCGCATCAAATTGGCCAACGGCTGCCTCCTCTGCGCAAGTATTCGCGGCGAACTCTGCGTCGGCTCAAGACTGCCCGGGCTCTGCGATGGAGTATCCGTTTCTACCTTCTTTGCTTGCTCGGTCGCTATAGCGGCGGTCTTCGGAGCCGGGAAACCCGCATCATAGCAAACGAGACATCTTCTCTCACTCCTGCAACAATGCATTTCAAACCTGGCTTGCATAGACTGTGCTGGAAACCATATGCAACCACCCTCCTCAAAGCCAGAGGCGTAGAAAAGTATAATGACGCGCCTCTAACACCCTTATCAGCAAACACCAAAGGGACCATCAAGCAGCTTGGGCGCCACCACAACGCTTCCGCACTGTCATGTAGCTGCAGCGGCATGTCAGAGTGATGTATGTCTTAATTTCGGCAGCAATGCACAACTCTCAAGGTTCGACGCATTCAGCAAACGGCCGTGTAAATCTGTCCATCCGATGTCGAGCTCTCGCTTACGAGCCTACCTGCCTGTGATGGGGTTTCAGGCAAGGGTTGATGCGCTGAAGAGGCTGTGGTCCGTGTTCGGCACGGCCCCCATTACAGGCACTGTATTTGCTTTTGCGAGTCAACGGCCCGGCACTTTAACTCTTGTGGTGGTGTGCAGGCGCGGCTCTTGTTGCAAGAAAAAAGAAATACTGGCGTTTAAACCCAGCGACCAGGCTAGCTACTGCGCGCACATCGGTGTTATTTTGTCGTCTTACCAAGGTCAAGCGATAGGCTCGCGCTTGAAGCTAAACACTTTTGTTCCTGGCTCGTTTATTTCCATGCCGGCCTCTCTCCACATCTTTAGGCAAAACAAACGCCCGCTCCTCAGCAGACTAGTAGAGTAGAAGAGGGGGATCATACGTATGCCACGGTGGAGTGCCCTGTTCGCTGGTTCCATGCTACCGTACCCAGTCGTGTTCGCGACCCTGCTAAAAAGCCGTTTACTCATTGACCCTTGCAGTCTTCACTGATCGCTCACATCAATGAAAGTTAGTGCCGAGCGGCGTTACCATTGCCGAAGGGCCAGGTGGATGGCGCCTTTTGCAAGCCTTTTCAGTCGCTGCTGTTCAATCTGGCATCAGAGGGCACAAAAACCCAGTGCTGCAAATGCAATGCACGAGTAAGCCAAGTCAAACAAGCAGCGACAGCATCCAGACCAACCCTCCGCCGCACTGAGATCCACTACTCTTCACTTCTGCCAGAAGCTACCCACAGTGCATATGCACATTGAAAACCTTTCGCGTTAGTGGGCCCAGCCAACGCTTGGAAATGCGACGCTAGTAAGTCATCGCTCGCTTCTCGCTGTCCATCGAATGTATCCTTGCCTCGAGATCGTGCATGTATGGCGTCTGCATGGTGGCCGGTTTGAAGTATGCTGTCACACCATGCATCTTGACACCAAGTATGGGCGCCGCTGCATGTATCCAGCAAGGTGCTCGGGGCACACGTATATTATGACTGGGATTGTAATTGTCACCAATTGATTAGGTAGAGAATGGCAAGCTGCTTGTAATGTGTCTGTATTATGAGTGAATCCGATATTTCCCTGTTAAACCTTGACCGTTGATGACCGAATGAGAGAATACAATACAATGGAATTTCCTAACAAAAAACTTTTTGTGGCATCTTCTATGCGCCATTCCAATTGGGCGATGCCACAGATGCAAAGTGTTAAAATTCAAATCCAAACGCCAGTAGATGCTAATGCCATGAGCCTTACATGGCATCTTTTTTTCATGCTTCGTAAATGTTCTGTATGACCGATTGTTGAGCCAATGGTGTACTCAGCAGCAACAAACAAAAAACGAAGAAAGCGTCAATAACAACAACCATCACCAGGTGTTGATATGATAGCTCAGGGTGGTTGACGAACAGCTGCGAATGCGCAAGCTCGAATCGGCTTCGAAGACACTGCCTGAGGCTGCTGTTCAATTTTGCTCCATGGAGTCTGCCAGGAGAAGCATAGGAGAATGACCACCATAGTCGTGAGCGGCTAGGGCATGCTTCTCCAACACGCTTTCGGCTGCCTCTCTCCACTGCGTCTGTCTTCCCTGCTGACGGACGTTGAAGCGAATGAGAGAGCCGGATCCAGGAGGAGTTTTGAGAACAACAGAGGGTCGAGGAGCGGGGGCCAGACGTTGCTCATCGTTGGCATCACCATCAGCGCGGCTACCCCAAGACGTCATGTTAAGAGTAACGAGAGCGTACAGCTTGATGAGGCCATGGAAATAACCAAACACAATGGAAAGGGGAAGATATACAATGTCGGATGGGTTGCGTCGAAACAGACCCATCAGCTTGACAACCTTAGTGAAGGCGAACATGAAGAGGAATTGGGACCCTACAGCCCAAAGTCTTTGTTCCGTAGCCCAGTTACCGGTGGACCACCAGCAGGTGAGCAGAAGAAGGGGGTCAAAGAGGAAGGCCAGAGAGGTAAAAGTTGCAATGTGAAGGGCATATGTGCACCATGGCTGTTGGCTCCAGACATGTCTTTCTCTAACAAGGCTGGTCCAATTGCTACGCCAGTTGCTGCGAGCCCAGCGCGTGCATTGGTACAGGAACTTGGAACTATTCTCCAAAGTGGTTTCGATTTCGCATTCAGCGTTGTACTGAATCCAAGTCTTCCACTGGTGGCTGACGAGCCAACGGGTGACAAAGTTGTCATCATCAGCATTGAGGATCCATTTGCGCCACTTCTCATTCTTGAAACCGTGCAAAAAGTCGTGGCTTTGCAAGATCTCGGAACGGTAAGCACCGGTTCGCCCAGACATGCACGAGGTTCCTCCGTCCATGTTGTGCGTTGCGGAAATCTCAAAGTTTCTTCGCTCAATGTATGCGGCTCCAAGCCAATTCCACAAGCGAGCAGCCAAGGGCGAATCCCATTCTCGGCGGACTCTTTGGCAAGTGCCAACACCACCAATCTTGGGGTCCTCGAAGGGTGCTAGGATCCAGGGCATGAGAGTAGATGGCCAAGTAACATCATCATCCGCCATGATAGTAATCGCGGTCTGAACCTTTGGCAGAGCCTCGCAAACCTGCAGCCTCTTGTTCGCAATTGGGGTGTCGAAGACGCGAATAGAGGGATAGTTAAGAGTCTTTGCCAGCTTATCAAGGGCCTTTCGCTTGTCATGGGTAGTAACAAGAAGCAACTCGGCAGGTTTACAAGCCAAGATGCTCTCAAGGGACGGGCGAAGCTCCTCGAACTCGGTATGAATCGTGGGGATAACGACAGTAACATCTTCGGGGGTGAATTTCGGCTTCGCTGGGATAGGTTTCGACTTGTAAGACCAATGGCTCACACAGTGAACCAAGAGACGAAGATAGCGATGGATCCTTATGACATGTTAGTATGCTGTTGTCAACGGCCGAAGTCATTGACCTTACCAGAGGGTCCAGAACACGACTGCCCAAAATGCAGGAGAGGTCCAAAAATCCGACGAGGGCAAGATATAAGCGCCAATGCCAAAGAGTGACCCCGCCATTGTAGGGGTTGTTTGAGAATTCATTGAGGTAAGCAAGTGTGTTGATTTAGTAGATCATATAAGAATGCCGTAGTGAAGTTTGGACGAGAGCAAGGATACCGATGCTCCAGCAGGTGTAAGCAAAAACTTGATTTCAGGTTCAGCCAATATATAGATTTCTGGATTGAGAGAAAACTTTTCTCGGTTAAGTGAAGCGAGCTGGCAAGCTGTCAGAATGTTGAGTGCCAGCTGGCAAAATGTCCAGTATTGGTGAGCGGGCCGTCAACTGCGGGTGAGACGCAACTCTTGGAACTTCAAACAAGAGTTTACCGGAAACGATATCCAGCAAAGTTCAACGACGAGCACGAACGAAACCAACTCTCATTGAAGAGGTCAGGAAATAGGCGCCGAGCCGATAAAATGGAATATAGAAACCGGAATAATATACACTGGGCGGGCGTCAAGTTGGAGAGGTAGGGAGATGGTGGTGGTGGTGGGGTGTCAAGTGCTCGAACCAAGAGTAGGAAAAGGACGTCGAGTTTGAGCTGGGATGAGGACGGAGAAGGAGAAAAAGGAAGGAAGGAAAGACTGTATGGGAAAAGGCGTGGATAAAACGACGAATATGGAAGATTTCCTCGAGGCAAGCTAGACAGGCACCATCGGGATATATAGTCTGATTTGGCTGGGCGGCAAAGACATGCTGCGTTCGATTCTCTGAACCGCCATCCGGCGGCCCTTGTCATGCATGGCAATGGAGCATGGAGGGTCCTCTTCCGAGACAAAAAACTTGCACGTCTCGTCACGAAGACACCACCCTACGGCAAGATTGGGGCCACAGCACCCACACATGTCGTCTGGATCTGGACTCTGGGTCGTTGGCGCGCAGCGAGGGTGCAGGGATTTTCGTTAGTTGGAGGGCCGTATGTAAGAAGATATGGGGCGGCGCCACAAAGCTGGCGGTTGCAGATGATGTAGCCGTCAATGTACCTCGATGGTACTCGCCTGGCCTCGACGGTTGAACCTGCGGGTACAGCTCATGCTTGTGAATTCTGGCTGGCTTGTCTAGCCCTCGCTGGACTTGCGTGGGGGGAACGAACGCCTGTTTTGGCGCCTGCAGTTTGATGCCAGGCTGTTTCCACGCAAAATTCGGGAACCTCATCACGAACCGTCCAACAGCACGAGGATCGCGATAGAGCCGCTGTGTTACCTGAAGGCCTTGCGGCCAAGGAAGAATCTCACGCACCAATCAACCACTGTCGGACTTTTTACCTAGTCCATGTCTACGAATCTCGGAGGTCAGCGGCTGACAGGCGCCGAATCAGGACAGCATCTCAACTATGGGCGTATGGGGTCATTGCGGGCACCCTGCAGTACATCAGCACACTGCGCACACCTCTCAGCAGCGCAAGAATTATTCCAGCATGCTCCATTTTCGGTGGTAGGTTGATCGAGCGAGCGGGGTGGTCGAACCTCTGAGCGGACGCTAGGGTATAGTGGCTCAAGTACCCACAAGCCGTCGTCGTAACTAAACACTGACACCTTGCACCGTTCCAAATAGCAACGGGCAATCAATTGGTTTAGAGCTCCTCATGGCCGCTGGAGCCCCTTGAGAACCCAATCTCTGTAGCCGCCTCCGATGTCGAGCCCAGCGAGGCCAAGAACGTGGTGCAAGCCTACTGCGATGAAAGACGACACACATCTGCATATTCATTAACAGTACTCGCATCATGCACGCAGGTACAGCATGTGCTGTTTCGTCGGCAGTCCGTGATTGTGTTGCCGAAGTACATTATGCACTCCACCCACAACACAGGCCGCGAGTCTTCTCCTCACTCTGGATGCACAATAGCGGAGGTGCAAGAGGCATAAGCCTCCCACAATCTGTACTTCACCTTGCCGCAAGGTCCATTTGGCCACCTGCCCAATTAGCACCCTAATAGTTTTTTTTTAGTGGCGTTGGCAGAACGACTACATCATGCAGGTCGCTGTCGCTGTCGTCGTGCAATCTTGCCCTGCATCTTAACGAGAACAATGCCTCGCAATAATATACACGAAAATTTTGCGTATCGGCTATTGAAAATCACCCCGCTGGTTCAGACTGCCAGCATTGGGATCCCGTACATGTCTCTTCTGCCGATTGCAGCCGCCGAGCTTGCGCAGGCCAGCGCTAGGAGAACGAGGCTGGAGGGTGTGATGTTGTTCCTACTAGTGGATATTCGCTTTCAACGAGCCCCCGCAGGGGTTGCGGCCAGTGGTGTCTAGCAGTCCATACCTATCTCGGCATGCCCCATGAGCTGCAACTAGCTCCTCTTCATCCAACGACGGCCATTGGCTCGCGTGCTGAACTGGAGCAACTTCAAATGCTAGCGTCCGGTGCGGAGCCCATGGCTATCACTGGCTCAGGTGGCCCGTGAGCAACGATTGCCGCCCGTCGACATGAAATTCAATATGCTTGTAAGCGCTGTGATTGACAAGTCATTTCGCAGAATGCTAAGGGAATCAGCAAAGAGCAGTGCTGTTCCAGACACTTGCGGTAATGGATAAGTCAATTGCTACATTAACCTGACTAAAACACCGCCAACAAATGAAGAAGTCAGTCACCTGCACTTGGTCGCGATTTCGGTACGGGAAGTTTGTGGATCTTACAGGCACAGGTCGTATGCTAAGACTAGCCCTCGCTGAGACAATACAGGGGCTCCACGATAGTCACCAACAGTTAGTGAGGAAGGAGATTTACCCTTTTGCCAGCGACTTAGCGGGAAATATATCGCGCAGAGTTCGTGTAGTACATCTACGATTGTACATGGATCCTTTTGGGCTGCCTAAGATTTATACCATAGGGCCAATCGAGTGTCCACGCTGTTCGAATCTGCGTGGAATAACAGCACGAGACTCTTTGGTGAGCTGGACATGAACTTCTTAGCATCTGTGTGTTTCAGCCAGCTCTCTAGTGGCACCCTGTTTGGGCCCGTGGTTCGATGATAACCTACGTCCAACGTCGCCCAGATGTATCACATGCCCTGTATGGAATGCCCTCTGTCGCCCTCCCGCAGCCATTCCCGGGCCGGTCGGCAATGCCTCATAATTTTCGGATCGACCCTGCTGTGCCGCATTTAGAATCAAACAGAGGGCCTTTTACATTCGTAAGGGATCTGCATATTTAGTTTCGCATTCTCATGGCCAGGGCATATTTTTACCCCTCTTGCCTTCTATGGCCACTCCACTATCAAGGGACTGAGAGGTTAGGACGTGGAGACCGCAGAGCGGATAACGTCTGCAATGCGCTGCTTTTGTTATGAGTTTGCAACGGAGCGCAAGGGATTAAGAGAAAAGAGGAAACTTGGCACGCCTGCGCTAGCATGGGTTTCATTGCCATTCAACCTGCAGCTGCAACCACATCTTGCACTAATGGAAGACTAAAAGGCATACGCTAGGGGGGTGCATGGATCACGCTATAGCTCAGGATCGGTACACGATTAGCTATGTCTCGTACTTGTACTGTGGCCACCTCATCCAACGACATATCCTAACACACCCGGAGGATTCACCGGCATTTTGATACACAAACGGCCGTACTCGTGCTTGCGTGTGGCTGGTTATGTCTGAGGCCAGTGACGGGGTTCGTTGTGGTACTTTGGAACAACAGACTTGTTACCGGACGTTAGGGTTTGGCACATATTCGAAAAGCTAAGTACTTTGCACGGGGATAGTGACTGGTTTGTGAAATTGAAATCGAGAACAAACTGCCACTGAAGCTGAAATTGAGCTTTTGTTAGTGGTCAACGTGGACGTTTGATAGCAACCTATGCTATTAAGCTTGCTGATTTATATTGAAAGGCAAATTAGATGTGGGACTCTTAGTATGGATATTGTTTTGAGTTGTTATCAGTTGCCAGAGCAAGGATGAAAATCAATAGGTGTTGACCGTGGTCACTGGGCGTCGAACGTTATTAGACACAAAGTATGACGCACTGAAAGGTACAAGAAGATAACTATTACTCTATGAGTTCCTTCGAAATGGTGCTGCAGGAATTGTGAACGGAATACATTTGGTGTCGGCGGCTCCGCAAAACACCTGAATGCTCCCTGCGAGCGTCGCTTACATCATCTGATATTGCAGAATTTGCTGACCGTCTGACAGCTTCGCATATAGTTTGACCGAACAAGTGCGATGGTAGGTTACATTCCATGTATCTTAGCATTGACTGTATCTAGATTCTAAAATTGTCTTCCAGTGAAGGAGCGATATAGACGGGGTTGCATATGACTACCCCTTTAAACATGGCCAGAAAGGATGACGATTCAAAGTCGAAGTGACAGCAACGCATACGAGTTGATAATAACGAGAAGAAGCAATTCTATTTGACTTAGAACTATACCTACCTCTTCTTTAGTAGCTATTAGACCCATGAGCAAACTGTTGGCTTTTGCAGCATTTCGGGTCTGCATGCCATCTTAGGACTTCAGTATGCAATCTAGCCCGATGCGGACCATGATCTACGATTGTATGTATTCATTTTGAGAACTTGTATATATTTATGGATAGATACCGCTAAGTTTTGTATCATAGTGGGTTATCGTCGCGTGGCATGAATTTGAGGCGCAAGTTGAGGCGTTCGCTAAGGGAGCTGAGAGAAATAGCCGATGGCGTAGCCATCGGATGGTTGTAGAGCCGCAGCCATGATGCGCCGCTGCAAGTTGGGATTCGTTGTCGGCTAAAGGCAGCATGCAGCCGGTTAATGCAATTAGCGTAACACAAGAAGAATGGCTTTGCTAATCTTTGATTTTTAGTTTCTCGTGAATCACGCAGTTGAGACGATGGTATATAGTTGTTGGTCACTCTGTAATGTCGGTTACAGCAACTCACGATATGGCCGTGTTGACGACACTTGGTACTAGGCACAAACAATACGTCTAATTGCCAGAAGATGAAAAGAAGAGCTGACCACATCTCCAAGATTTGAATACAATATTCAGCATTGCATCGTATCAAGTTCGTCCTAACCACACTAATAAAGAAAGGCCGTATCGTGCAAGTGAAGCTGCAATCTGCCGTAGCGACGACGAACTAGGGGGGAGCATATGTGGGGTTTGTCGAAAAGATTATCACGACTTCCAAGTTTGGCAATCGTGGATTATGGACCTGAGAAATAGAAAGACGATAGAGTTAGAGTTAGGTTACATGTAGCGTGAGACACATGTTGCCCTTCGCGTCTTATTTTCAACAAAAAAAAGCAAGATGTTGGTCATTTCCACCAAATTAGCCTTTTACAGCAAGAAGCGAGACAATGGAACACGATGCACCCAAGGTTCACTGAATGTCAATTGGATATAAGGTTTTGTGTTGAAGCAAAAGAATATGCTCTGCAGCCGCAGGACAGCCAATTCTTTCACTGGAAATGCCTCATATCTTCTTCCAACTTTGGACTCGCATAAGAAATTTCATCCGGACTTTGTTTGCGAGTGCCTCCGGTCGGATACACGGAGCCGCTGTCATCCATCGGGGATAATCTATCAGCTTAGAATCTATAAATTAATTACCGTGTATTACTTTGCCATATGATGCAATGGCCGTTTCCGTCGAATTAGCATGCACGTAATTTACCGCGTCTATTAAATTGACAGCGCGCAGCCAGACGCGTACAAGACGCGCGAGCGCTGTAATTGGCGTGTGTCCACTGTGACGATGAGCCTTGTAAAGGTAGCATGGGCGCTGAAATTACAGCGCTCATGTTTGCTTGTTTAGTGCCAGGCGGCAGAGGACCCCGAAGCTTCCGGGGCGGGGCAGCCGGAATTTTGGGTAATTTGGAATGGGCTCTGTTCTGGCCAAGGGGCTCACTCGCTAAGCAGTTGATCCGCTGCAGCCGGGCAGCACGCAGCAGCAGCAGCAGCATGCATCAGCATGAGGAGGGCCAAGGAAAAATGACGACAAGCGCCTAATTAGTATTATTATTTTGCTAAATATTCCCCCCTAACTTAGTACAAAGTATTCTTTTAGAGCCCTTTTCATTTTATACTTTGCCACTGGCGCTGCCGCTCATAATAAGTACAGTGGGCAGCGGTTTGCTCAGCTTAGCAGCAGCGTCAGCCTGTGATGAAGAGGGGGCCCCCCGTTGCCAAGCCGTAGCTCATTATTTCGCAGACCCCGCTAAACGCGTAATGCGATGTCTAGCAAATCTCCTAGGCGCAGTGCAGCACCACCAACACAGCCCGCTGTAGGACCTCTTCAGCCGCTGTCATCGCCCCGGTCCTGCGCATACAGCACGGTACCCTGATCAACCCCGTCGTGGGAGAAGGACAGGCTTCTGGAAGCTGCAATTTATTTTACTTTGTAGGATTAAAAAAAATTTGAAATAACTTTTGTGCAGTTGTAGCAAATTGCAACCATTAACTCTAAATCGCACGGCATTACATAGTATTATTTTTTATTTATGATATTTTCATAGGCGGGACAGCAATCTTTCGGCAATAGTACACTGGAATCTTACAAGTGCATGGTCGCTGGACAACGGGCGTTTGTGTACAAGGGCATTCACTAACAACAGCTAGCGCTTCCCGCCCCTCCCGGAGCCTGGTCCTTAGTTAGTGTCTACGACGTACCTAGCTGGGTAATGGACAACGCCCGAACAAGTAACGTAGTCCTGTGGACAATAGGCCCTAGAAAGTATGATTTCCCCCTTAGCAATGCCACCAAATGCCCATAGTAAAACTCCGCCCCTCTCCAATCTCCCTTTCGTCTCGACTTACGGGGATCCGTTTCCTTGACGCTAGCTTCATTCCCATTGCCCCCTCTCTGGGCGCTGCCAATACAACGCATCCGCTGTGGTGGCTTGGCTCCATGCGCCGTATCTTGCAGCAAGGTAACTCAACTGAACCGGTGGCCCAGGCTCCCTGTCCGCCCGACCAGCACGCGGCTACGCCTCGTTTGACTCGGTCACCTTTTATCTCTCCGCCCGCTCCGCTTCGACTGCTTCATTTCGCAAGGCCCTTTTTATCCTCGCGACGGCCCAGCTCCTTTATTCACGCCTTTCTTCCACTTTCTCGATATTCGCTGTGGTTGAGCTGTGCTGCGGTCCGAAATCACACTGTCTCACCCAGACCCTTTCTCCAACCCGACCGCTCCAGTTCTTTGGCTGGTGTTTTTGTTTTCTCCGCACCGCCTGCAGCAGACGATCCCACCCTACCGATCTAGGTTGACCGTTTGTCTGCTCTTCGCCGCCTCTTTGCTCTGGCCACTTTGCTCGACCGGGTTTGTTCTCCTTTCTAGAGAGCGTCATTTTTCTGCGCTTTTTTTTTCAAACTTTGCCAATCAGCCCAGAGTCTAACCATGGTGACCCTCTAGCTTTTCGACGCACTGCCACTCAAACCTAAGCAAACGCCGACTACTTATCATCCGGCGCCACCGAAGTGCTAAGCCTCTGCCTCTCTCTCTACCAACAGACACAGTTGCGATGGATGCCACCTCATCCTGCGTTGCATAAAATACTACCAAGGACGAGATCGGCTTCTTTGGCTCAACCTCATCTGGTTCAGCCTTGCATTGCGAATTTCTCCTTTCCATTTGCTACTTTACCACCGCCATCATGGCCTCTATGCCGCTACAAGTCGCCAGCCTCGACTATGACGACGGCTCAGGCATTGCTCCTAACAAGTTGCGAAGTAGAGCAATGGTCAAGCCCATCCTAAAGAAGCTCAACTCCCATACCAACTCGGATCGCGGCTCTCTCGACTATGACCGCTCCTGGGACGACCAGATCTCCCCCCTGGGCTTCCCTTCTCTCGACTACTCCTACATCACCACCGGCCAACCAGCGCCGTATAACAGCAGCGGCGGCGGTTCAGGCAGCGAACCGTCTCGTTCTCGCGACGTTAGCTTCTCATTTTCTTCCAACGAGTATCCCACCGTTCGGAGCCGCAATAAGTATGCTCATCAGCGGTCACCCAGCGGCAACTCGCACGCCTCTGCCGCCACCTCCAGCACCAATGGCCGCAATGGATCCTTTGTGCATCCGTTCCAGCAAACGCCCAGAACGGCTACTCCTCCGTTGTCGTATGCCAACTCTGTTGCCTCACTCGATACTGGCAACGTGACACGCGAATACGCGTCGTTGGATGAGGAGCGTGGTACAGAGCGCAGAGTCTATTCCTCCGCCTCTACCAGCAAACCCATGTATGCTACATCATCCTTGGGCAGATCATCACTCTCAGAACAGCGCTCAGCGTCAGTGAGTGAGGGACCACAAACCATGAAGCATCCCCTCGCACTCCGCTCCAGTTCAACATGTGTTCCGCGCCGCACTCACAGTATACACTCCGCCGGCCGCAGCCGTACTGACCTACAACCCGGCTCGACACCATCATCCAACGAGTCGCATCTCTCCTCCACAGCTCCTCTCTCTTCAGCATCACCCATCGTGAGTGCTTCAACTCCGCCCTCATCGGCCTCGCCCATGTCGCCTCTCCGCACCTCCCTGGATCTCAGTGGATTCCGTCTTCGCTCCAGAAGTGAACTGGATGCCGCCACGCAGCAAGAACAAGTTCGTGAAGCGCGCAGAAAGTTTGAAGCGAAGGAAAGGGCAAAGGAAGAGAAGTATGCTCGCCAACAGCTTCGCAAGAAGGAGCGTGCGAGCAACAAAGATTCTCGGCGTCATTCTCGTCTTAGAAAGGACAGCGCTGGCGGTGCCAGCGTTTCCAGCAACGGCGATATTGTACCCGCTGTTTCGCGCAAGAGTACGAGCAGCAACGTCATTCGGCGCAGTGGCTCCAGAGAGAAAATGCAGTTTGCCAGCCATGATTACGACGCAGTAGTCACCGATGACGAACCCACAAACGCCATTGAAGACGTCCAGTTCCAAACACCTAAGCGGCGAAAGACTGCGAAAAGAGCCACTACAGGCGCCTGGACTGCATTTATGCTCTGGTTCAGAGTGCGCATGCTCAAGGTGGGACGTCGATGAGCCGACCTCAGTATATGAGCGGTGTAAATAGCCGAAATCATGCCCATCGTTTGTTTTAGCAACAAACGGCGGATGCATCGGTCTTTTTTTACTTGTTTTTCTTTTTCTTTTGGGCAGCGTTGATTGTTTGCTCTTTATCCTCTTGGCGTCATACAGTACACGCACGGCGTTTGAAGCACTTGCATTTCAGGACATCTGTTGTCCGCCGGCTACACAGAACATGAGTACCGCTACTTGCAAAGAGCGGGAAATGATCCCACCAAACAACACTGGTGCACAGAAAGCACTCGTTGCTTTTCTGTGTGCTCAACTTCACTGTTATTTATTGATTTCAGGCCTCCTTAGAAGACGGCCTTGATTTGTATGGATTGAACGGCATTTTATTCGGATCACGTTATAGCGAGCATTTACAGGGAGATACTTTTGTTTTTTGGACACTTGGGACGCGTTTCAGCGTCATTGATTCTCATGAATTAGGCTTATCATAGAGTAGAGACGCCATGTCTTTTGAATGAGATAACATGCCATCTTGATGACACAACCTGGTCCTCTCGTTACAATACAGTGAACAATTGATTAACTATCGTAAGTGCAATATGAATTACAATGTAGAATATTTCATTAGAGCTTCGCCTTGACGTCCAAGGGCGACCACCACGGGTAGAACTGCGGTGCGTTCTGCTGAATGGTGTCAGTGAACTTTGGCGGACGCTTCTCAAGGAAGCTCTGGACACCTTCCTTGGCATCTTGACTTCTGTACAGAGTGTAGAACATTTTGCTCTCCAACAAATGGGCTTCTTCAGCCGATGTAGGGCCCTGGTTAATCATAGCCTTCATGATTTGCAAGGAGACAAGGCTGACATTGTCTGCGATTTCCTGCGCAAGCCTCAACGCTGTAGGCACAACCTCGTGAGCCTCGACAACCTCACTAAACAAGCCATCGAGCAGCTTGTGTGAAGCTGGGTACACAGCAGCTGTGCTAACCAGGTGCATGGCACGGCTCGTACCAATCAAGCGAGGCAGGTAGAAGGAGCTGCAGGCCTCCATGCAGAATCCGCGGCGGCCAAAGACGAAGCCAATCTTTGCGTCCTTGTTAGCCACGCGGATGGTAGCAGGGAGGGTCTGTGTGATACCCACGCCCACAGCAGAGCCGCGGATCGCCGCAACAATGGGCTTTGTGCAGCGGTGCATGGCAAGACTGACGGTGCCGCCACCGTCACGGTGCGAAGTGACGGTCTCTTCGACAACGGGCTCGTGCTGGGCAGCGTTGAAGTCCATGCCGGCGCAGAAGAAGCGGTTGGACTCGTCCGAGGACGTCAGCACAATGGCTCTCACGCGGTCATCTGCAGATAGGGTGTCGTAGGCGGTGATGAGCGATCTGGCCATCTCATCGGTGAACGCATGGCGAGCTTCGGGGCGGTCGAGCTTGAGAACGATGACGGGCGTGACTGTGGGGGAGCTTGCCGGGTGATGGGCGAAGCTGAGGGTCGGCAGCTTAAAATGTGTGTATGTATCGGGGATTTTGATGGACATTGTGTGAATGAATGCAGCGAGCAAGCTGTGAGGTACGAAGCAAAAATTGGAAGTATTCAGAAATCAATGGATGCGGAGAGTTGGGTTGAAGATAAAGGCCGATTGAGGGAAAGCAGATAGCCGGGCGGCTGCCGAGGCTCCGTAGGGTTGGCCAATAGGAGCAGAGGGGATTGAGTTGATGGTTGGGTAAAGGCGGTGCAGAGGATGATGTAAGCTGGGAATGATTAGAGAGACGAAAATTGGTATGGTGTTTCTAGTGATAAACATACAATGTTTCTTTATTTCGATGAGAATTTATTTCTTGTTACAACTTTGTCAGACGGCATTTTGCGGTTTGTGCATCTGCTAAGCTCTGACCTGCCGTACTCCCCCAGGGCTAGATCTGGCCACTTAGCTAAGCTCCGTTGAGATTGCCTGCCCCGCTAACTACGCCAGGCGATTTCCACCAACGCAACATTTCGAGCCTTGGGCAATCTATTTGCACACAAAGTGCACTCCTCACCAAACCACCATACTACTCACCATGGGATATCGATGGGGACAACACCAAGAGCTCCTACGCAAATTATATGTCGAAGATGGCCAGTCCTTAGATTCGGTGATGCACTACATGAAGGAGACGTATGACTTTGTACCATGGTAAGATCTCAAAACAGGACACGCGCTTTGGTCTGACTTACACGCATATCTGCAGCAAACGCCGCTATCAGACCCAATTTCGAACCTGGGGCTTTATCAAGAATAGTCCAGCAGCAAAGAATGAACAGCTCGTCAGTCGAATCAAAGAGCTCTGGGATGCCAATGTTCGCCAGTCGATAATGTTGGACACGTTACACGCCGAAGGCTTTCGCGTATCAGCCCTCGATATTTCCCGTGTCCGTCGGAAGAATAAGTGGTATCTCCGCGCACCTCCTCCAGAACTAACGACAGCTACTTCAAATGATCGCGTTGGCATGAATACAACAAAAACTAGTCGTGGTATTGGCACACTTCAAAAAGGCGGTGCTCAAGGGGCATCAATCCCACCCTTTGAACGAAAAAAGCCGACCAAGCTGTCCAAAAGCTTGCGTTTTCCATCTCAGGTATCGACATCAATCGCTCAAGAAAGGATAGGCATTGATAAGCCAACATATAAAACCATGCGTGTTGTCTTCAAGCGCATTTGCAACGACGATGGCATTATTCGAAAGGCGGAGCCGGGGATTTCTGTATGGGAGGCGGCCAAGGTTAAGCTGTGTTCTGAAATACCTCAACTTCATATCGCAATGGCACCATCAGCAGACGAGGAAGAGATCAGGCTAAAGCAAATATCCCTCGACGTAATTTGCATGGATGTAGCAAAGGGTATGCGAGTCTCCCAGGCGACGGACACTGTCACAGAGGTCAGAAATACATTGGAAATAAATCCGGAGGAATCCAGGCAGATTCGTTCGATATTTATGGAGATTTTGGAAGAAGCCAACTTTGGATGGAAGTCAAATGCATCGCCAGAACAGTGGGCAGAGTTGAACAAGCTGTGGGCATCGCGCTCCCCTCTTGTTGCCAGGAGTGTGGCATCTCGTGAAGGCGGCCCAGCAGGAGTATCGGCTAGAACTGCTGCCTTGGAGTCGATTGCGATGAACGGACTCAGAAGATATCAAGACAGCAAAACTAAACAAACTACGCGAGGTGCTAACGAGGCGCCCTCTTCCTCAGCTACCAATGCGCCACAGCTGTCGACTACAGTTACGCTTGACACAGAGATGCCCAGCTTTGGAGAAGATGCCGGCGATCTATCCTTCCCAGATGTTGTTGCTTCACAGGATCCGCCAAGACAGACTCGTCGTTCAACGAGAGCCACCACCAACATGGCGGTATCACAGCCACTGGCACAACCCAGTCAGCGGCGAAATCCCCCCAAGCCAGCTAAGCCCACCAGAAGCAATGTGCCGGCTGCAATGACTCTGGCATCTCATGTCCACCATACTATGCAGTCAACCATGTCGGCAACAAACGAGCAGACATTCTTCATGGCCGCGCCTGCGTTCCCGTCTACAGTGTATCAGCAGACTGACCCTACATCAACGCTCTTTTACCAGACTCCGGCAGCATTTGCGGTTTATTTCCGTCTACATCCATCGTCAAGTTTTGCGTCCGCTGCAAGCCTCTGGATATCTACGCTGAGATCCTCATCTGTTCATGATCTACGTGTGGCTGCTGCCGCCAAGTTCCCGGGGACAATGTGTCTGCGGGTCGAGGGTATCGTCAAGGACGGGAACGGGGGCGAGATCCCGCTTCAAATCAACCAGGACGATGAGATGATGGCGTACATGGAGCACCTGCAGGGTTCAACGCCTACTTTCAGTGTCCAGCTTGTGTGGAAAACATCGTAGATGGCGTGGTGCAGGCTGCCCGCAGTGTGTTGGCGGAATAGCGCCCCGAGGCTAGATAGCGCTAGCGACGCTTGTACAAACCTGTGTCAAGCAATCTGTATAATAAAGACGCGCTAATTAATGTACCATCGCCTGCCAGCACAGTAATTCCTGCTGTAGGTCAGCTGGTAGAGCCTCCGTTGTGCGGAGGTGGACTTCCGTGGGTGGGGCCGAGCTCCCAGTGGTAGTGGTTGTGCCTGACACTCAACACCAGGCGAAAAAAAAACTAGGGCGCCAGTGTCCGCTACAATCCGCATACAACACCACGCTTCCCCCGTTCCGCCGGCCGACGAATAGCTTAAAGGCGCAGCGCTGCGACGTCTTTTCAGTTGCGGATAGCGGTTCTCCCATCACTAAACAATTCCATCACATCAGCAGCATTGAACCAAGCCGCCAGAGAACCACACAATCGCTATCAGCCATGTTGCGATCGCAGAAGCTGCTTCAACGCAGCAGCATGGCCGCTCGCCATCTTGCGCGCGGTCCATCGACAAGCCGACTATACAGCATGCAGATTGAGCCTGAAAACTCCAACAAGCCGGCTGTCAGACAGGGCAACGAGGCCAAGCTGGGCAGATCGTTCCAGGGCCAGGTCATGGGCAGTATTGGCGCCCGTTTAAGGAGAGAGCGCGAGCAAAGAGCGCACTACGAGAAATGGAGAGACATGACAGATCCTTCAAGGAATTGGATGCTTACATTTTGTAAGTGAAGCTCAGTTTTTAATGTGTCATTTGCTGGCCAAGCTACTAACCAATTCCCCCGCGCGCAGTGTTCATGTCCAGTATCGGAATTGCGTACTGGCTAGGAACATACTGGCCTAGCCCCGAGCCGACAAAGTCTACCCTTCCCCTATCTGATTCGAGAGAACCCAAGCATAACACAAAGCTGGAGAACATGCAGGCCGCTTGGGCCGACTTCATCAAGATCCTCGGCAAGGAAAATGTCAGCACCGTCGACGCGGACCGTGCATCCCACTCTACATCCGACTGGTCTTCCCACAAGGCCGGTGACGACGAGAAGCCTTTTTGCATTGTATACCCCTCCACTACGGCAGAGGTTTCGGAGATTATGAAGGTCTGCCATCTGCGCAGAATCCCCGTGGTCGGATACAGCGGCGGCACCAGCCTCGAGGGCCACTTCACACCGACGCGAAAGGGCATCTCCATTGACTTTGGCCGCATGGACAAGATTGTCAACCTGCACAAGGACGATCTCGACGTAGTGGTGCAGCCCGCTGTTGGCTGGGAGAATCTCAATGAGGAGCTGGCCAAGGATGGACTCTTCTTCCCTCCTGACCCTGGCCCTGGTGCCATGATTGGCGGCATGGTCGGCACTGGCTGCAGCGGCACAAACGCCTACCGATACGGCACGATGCGCGAGTGGGTTCTCAACCTCACTGTCGTACTGGCCGACGGCACCATTATCAAGACTCGCCAGCGCCCCCGCAAGAGCTCTGCCGGCTACGATCTGACCAAGCTCTTCATCGGCTCCGAAGGCACCCTCGGTCTTGTCACTGAGGCTACGCTCAAGCTGGCTGTCAAGCCCGAGTCCACTAGCGTTGCTGTCTGCTCGTTCCCGTCGATCCGTCACGCTGCCAGCTGCGTTAGCAAGGTCGTCGGCAAGGGCATCCCCGTCGCTGCTGTCGAGATTCTCGACGACAACCAGATGAAGTGCATCAACGATGCCGGCATGACATCGCGCACATGGAACGAAGCCCCTACGCTGTTCTTCAAGTTTGCCGGCACACCAAGCTACGTCAAGGAGCAGATCTCACAGGTCCAGGGCCTTGCTAAGCAGGCCGGTTCCAAGACATTCGAGTTTGCCAAGAGCGCGCAGGAGCAGGACGAGCTGTGGAGCGCCCGCAAAGAGGCGCTTTGGAGCGCCATGGCTGTCAAGAAGGAGGGTGACCGCGTGTGGACTGGCGATGTCGCCGTGCCCATGACCCGTCTGCCCGATCTGATTGAGGAGACCAAGGAGGATATCCGCAAGAGCGGCATCTTTGGAACCATTGTCGGCCACGTCGGCGACGGCAACTTCCACTCTATCCTCATCTACAACGACGCCCAGCGCCACAAGGCCGAGACGATCGTCAAGCGCATGGTCAAGCGCGCCGTCGAGATGGAGGGCACGGTGACTGGTGAGCACGGCGTTGGTCTCGTCAAGCGCGACTACCTGCCCCACGAGCTGGGAGAGTCTACAGTCGATGCTATGCGCCAAGTGAAGAAGGCATTTGATCCCCTCTGCCTGCTCAACACCGACAAGGTCGTCCGCGTGCAACGGCCTAACAAGACCGATCCTCTCGAGAAGTGGTAGTTGTTCTGCTGTATACGCCACGCCCACATCCATTTGTACTATAGAATGAACCTTTAGAGCCAGTGTAGGATTTTATCTGTGTAAAAGAAGATTAAAATTTGAATTCAAATAATTTTATACATTTCTTTCGCCGTCTCTTGCCCTGTTGTATACGAAGCCAAATTTGCATGGCCCACGTTTGTTAGGCCGTCTCTGCCACAGACCCGCCAACCCCTAACAGGCGCCATAATTTCAGCGACCACCCCAACGACAAACCAAGCATTTTAAACATCGACACACAAGTGCATCACCAGCCATGCTCGACATTCACGTCTGGGGCCCTGCCTTTGGGCTCCCATCAATCGATCCTGAATGTCTTGCCCTCATCCTATATTTACAGAACGCATCCCCGTCGGGAGACTGGCGCTTAGTCGCAAGCAACAATCCGTCAGTGAGCCCATCAAGTGAGTTTTTATATCACCCGCACAGCCATCCACATTGCATCTTACTAAATCTGCTCCGTCAGATCTTCTACCAGGACTTCACCAAAATGGAGTCTGGATCAACGGCTTCAGCGCCATCATCAAGCATCTCGTCTCCACGTCTGTATGCACAGACCTCGACGCCAACCTCACATCGCTGCAACGCGCAGACGCCGCCGCATACAGCTCCTATCTCAGCATCCATGCATCCTCTCTTCTCGATCTTTCTCTCTACGTCTCCGCTGCTAATTGGGCCGCCACCACACGTCCAGCGTACAGCTCACTGCTGCCGTTCCCGCTAACGTGGACGCAGCCGCTCCTGATCCGCGCCGAAGCCATTGCGCGCACGGCGCATTTAGGTCTGGCTGAGCTGGATGCAGATCTGGATCCTAATAGTGGTCTCCACATCACAGCGGGAAGCGTGGCCATTCCAGAGTCGTTTCGCAAGCATCTGCCGCTGCAGCAGGCCAAGAAGACGGTGCAGGACGAGATGACGCCAGAGCAAGCGGCTGCAATCCGCCTGTACAGTATATCAGAGAATTGCCTAGGATTACTCGAGGAGGCTCTTGCTACTGGTAAACAAGAAACTGGCCATCCCAGCTTCTTTGGCGCGTCTGGTGGCCTGTCATCCCTGGACTGTCTTGCTTTTGGATATCTTGCGCTGCTGCTCCGCGCTCCAGTCCCTCGCTCTTTTGCGCGAGATTGGATGGAGGATAATGCGCCTCAGCTCTGTGGGTTTGTTAATAGCGTTCAGTCGAAGAATTTGCCCACGCTTGGTGCGGTATCGTTGTCACCTGCGGACAAACAGACATTTGCGGCAGCCACCAGCCGGTTTGCTGATTCTGTCATCCGTCATATTCCAGGCGTTGGAGATCACTACTCTAGTGAGATGCGCAGGCGCACGGAAGAAAAGATCTCTGGTGTTGACTCGAGGACCTTCTTTGCTGCTTTTGGACTACTGGCGACTGGATGTGCCGCTAGCTTCGGAGTGTATTACTACCGACAAATGCCACCGTTTGGGCTTGCAACGCAAACTTGGAGGCAGTTTCATGGGGGAAGCAGGCTAAGTGACTTTGGCCAGCTTGGTTCCATGCTGAATAGTGCCATGGGACCTATGGCCTCACCTGCCTTTAGCCCGCGAGCCTCAGACTTGGATTAGGTCAAGAAACTACATGTACACTACACATTTGTATCAGTATCTTTGTACGATTTAGTTCTTTTAATGACACATTATAATCACTCTCATCTTCATTCTCATGTAATGATTAAAGATCATTTTCATTACGCCTAATATACATCTTGCGTTTGATGGTTCGTAAAACTTGGCAAGCCGGGAGGTGTCCTCGCCAGAGCATGTTTCTATCTCTATAGCTTTTTAAATCTGCTTGATCTCTTTTCCGACCAATTCTGGTCTCTCAATATCGAGCTCATCCCTCAGCACGGCGAAAGCCAAGTCGGACACCAGCAGACTCTGGCCCAGACTCCAGACCAGGGTGATGGCGTAGAAGAAGTTGGCGTTGCCGCTACCGGCATAAACCCAAAGGTGATAGAATGCTGGTCCCAGGAAGGTTGAGTATAGCACAGTCGATGAAGCAACAAATGTGTATCGCATAAGTGGAAACAGATGGCGGAATAAAGGCAGGACAGCAAGGAACAGTCCAGCATCCGAAACCGACGGATACGGCTTGAAGATGGAGAAGATGCCCAACAATATCGAAATGGCTGCCAGCGGCTGCGAACGGAGACGAATCGACAAGGCGCCAACATATCCGAGCAGGAACAGCCAGAAGACAGCAAGGAAGAATCCACGGAACGAGTCGAAGATTTCGATGAAGAAGTACCACCAGAGGCCAACATTCGGTGTCAGATCGGAAAGGGTAAGCTGGATACCGTATGTGCGAGCCAAAAACTCCCAAGAATTATCGGTAATGATGTAAGACATGCCGAAGAGGATGCTCATAATGACTGAGACGCTGAGAACGTTTTTGGCGGCGAACAGAGGAGCGTAGTCGATCTTTTTCCTTGAAGATTGACGATCATAGGCGAGGAGGATAACTGGTGGCAGCAGCAGAATCGGGTACAAGGAGAGATATGATGCGAACGACAGAGCAACCATGGCGCTGAACGGGGCGCCGTTGATGGCAGCAGAGACTGCCTGCAGGATAGCACAAGTCGAAAAAGAGCTCGTCGATCGACCAAGACACGTAGCGATCGTGTATGGGTTGAATAGGAACCTATTGAAACGTTAGTAACCTCGCATTGCTCGGATTAAACGCGCGCTGAAGACATACGACGCGGCAACAAGTAGGCCACTGGAGCGCTTGGACCGGCGAGGGGACGTGTATTGCTTCGATTGGCCGGCCTCTCCAGACTCTGAGATGTTCCAAAGCGCCGAGGCACTGATTAGGTCGACAGCGATGAAGAGAGCCGCAGTGAAGAGTGGCCAGGCCTTGACGTCGGGAAGAAAGGAAAAGAGAGGCAGAAGGAGGGGAGCCTGGTGAAAGACACCACCGTCGTAAGGGTTGACATTATTGTTGTAGAGAAATAAGCCTTCTTGGACTGTAAATTGAGACCGGAGGTTAGCATAAGAGACAGAAAAATGCCCCAAAAGAAAGGCGGCGCAAGGCGATACGCATCAAGACTCACGTCGCTTAAAGCTTGTCACAGGGGTCGAGATCTCGACGCGGCCCGTCAGGAGGTCGGGCAAGGCCGGAAAGAGAATAAATAATAGAAAGCGAAGCAATGCAGCTCCGGCAAAGACGCCGAGCTTCTGTTGCAATGGCATGACGAGATGAGGTGGCGCGAGATGGCAGGGTTCAGACCATGTCACGGAAGGGATGCTTGGTGATAACGGGAGGCCAGTTGGCGTTTGGCGGTTTGGAAAGCTTGCTGGAGCTGCTGCCCGCGTTTACGGCTGGCGGGCGGGTGGAGGGGCTTGCGCTCACTAAAGCGGACAGTAGAAAATGCCCTGTAGCCCCCTGTGGAAAAGACACTGCACAGCGCTAACAAAAGGCCCCTGGGCCCACAAAGCCCAGCGCCGCCAGCCAGCTCCACTGCGTCGCTGTCCGCGCCCCCGCCAAATCAGACAGGCGGTCAGCTCCGGCATTAAATTTTCCAGAGGAAAAAAGTTGAAACCATCTACACTGGGCCATCGCCAGATGCAAGGACTTTTCCTTCCTGCCCCGCCACCGCTTTCTTCCTTCACCACCTCCAACCAATCCAATTCGTCTGCAAAATGCCGCGTCTCAAGCGCAAGGGCGAGTCTGGTGCTGCCAAAAACTTTGTCACCAGAAACCAGGCCATCCGAAAGCTCCAGATCAGCCTTCCCGACTTCCGAAAACTATGCATCTGGAAGGGCATCTATCCTCGTGAGCCTCGCAGCAAGAAGAAGGTCTCCAAGTCTTCCACTGCTTCTACAACTTTCTACTATGCCAAGGACATCCAGTACCTCCTGCACGAGCCTCTTCTGGCCAAGTTCCGCGACCAAAAGGCCCTTGAAAAGAAAATCTCCAAGGCTCTCGGCCGTGGTGATATCGGCGATGCTGCCCGTCTTGAAGGCAACGCTGTCCGCCCCGAGAAGACTGGAAAGCCCAGCTACACTCTTGACCATGTCATCAGAGAGCGCTATCCTACCTTTGTCGATGCTCTGAGAGACTTGGACGACTGCTTGTCCATGCTCTTCCTCTTCGCCAACCTCCCCTCCACCTCCACTGTCCCGGCCAAGATGATTGCCAGATGCGAAAAACTTTGCCTCGAGTTCCAGCACTACATTATCATGTCCCGCAGTCTTACAAAGTCTTTCCTTTCCATCAAGGGTATCTACTACCAAGCTAACATCCAAGGCGAGGAAGTTCTCTGGCTTGTGCCGTACAAGTTCACCCAGCGAGTCGTTGGCGATGTCGACTTCCGTATCATGGGTACTTTTATCGAGTTCTACATGACCCTTCTTGGCTTCATCAACTTTAAGCTCTACACCTCCATCGGCCTCAAATACCCTCCCAAGTTTGACGTCACCAAAGATGCCAACGCTGCTGAGCTCGGCGCCTTTACCCTCGAGGGCAAGACCCTCGTCGGCGATGAGCAGGCGCAGAAGAAGCTTGAGGATGCCACCCACCGTCCTGACCCCAAGACGCAGGCCGCTGTCAACAAGGTTCTCAAGACCATCGAGGCCGCCAAGGAACCCGAATCGACCGAGGAAGCCAACGCCACCGAAGACCAGGACAATGCCGAAAACATAATCGACAAGTTCGAGCCCGCTGTCGCCGGCGGCGACGTCTTTGCCCAGCCTGCCGCCACTGGCACTAACGGTGGTGCCCTCTTCTCCAACTTCACATTCTACTTGTCCAGAGAGACACCCCGTCAGCCTCTCGAGTTCATCCTCAAGGCGTTCGGGTGTAAGCGTGTCGGCTGGGACTCTGTTCTCGGCGATGGCTCTTTCACTACAGATGAGATGGATCCTTCCATTACCCACCAGATTGTCGATCGTCCTGTCATCCAAGCCGCCAACGACGAGTCCGGCGACGGCGAAGATAACCAAACCTCTCAGAAGCTCGCTGCTAACCAGCGTGTTCCTGGCCGCACCTACATTCAGCCCCAATGGGTTTGGGACTGCATCAATGATGGTGAGCTGAAGGAGCCTCACATGTACGGCCCTGGTGTCTCGCTGCCCCCTCATCTGAGCCCCTTCGTTAAGAACGTCCGCGGAGCTTATGATCCTACGATATCCCTGGAGGAACAGGAGCCTGAAAACGAAGCCCTGGAAGCTCAGGACGATGACGAAGACAATGATGAGGAGATCACCGCCGACGGCATGGATGTTGCCGACGATGACGAGGAGGACGATGAGGACATGGGTTCTGAAGACGAAGATGAAAACGAGGATGAGGATGAAGATGAAGATGAGGACGAGGACGAGGATGATCGTCAAAATGAGCTCGAGGCTGAACTGACAGGCGCTGCTGTCAAGGGCAAGAAGATGAACCCCAAGACCAAGGCCAAGGAAGAAGCCCTTAAGGCTCTATCCAAGAAATCTCGCCAAGAAGCTGATGACCTGGAGCGTGCCAAGGGTATGCTTTCCAAGAAGAAGCGCAAGTTGTATGACCAGATGATGTACACCAACAACAAGAAGAGCGCTGAGGACGAAAAGCTCAGAGCCAAGAGAAGAAAGTACGAAAAGGAGCAGGCAAAGGCCAAGGCTGCCAAGAGCAACGGCAAGGCGTAAAGTTTTATATAGCATGTAACTTGGGTGTTTTTTGTTATTGGTATGGTGATTGTTGCTTTGCAAGAAGAAAAATGACTCGTACATAGATTCAATGTTAATTTCATGATATTCTACCGTTTTCAATTCCAATTGTATTTTTTTTATCGATTTTGTTTTGCGTATGTGATGAGTTGCCACACGTTGTAGTGCCGTGCCTAGTCTTTGCCTAAAGCGGCGTGGGGCGAAACTTTGATCATCAACATCACCACCACTGCTCCTTCAAGGGCTCCAACTTTTCACCCTTCAACACACAACGCCAACTTTGATAATATGCTTTGTGTGGAAATTTCAGTTCAATAATACGCTATATATAAAGCCGTGGATAAAATGGTTATCCACCCTCCACAATCAAGATGACAGAACAAGATGCCGTCGCGTCCTGGGACTTTGACACAGATGAGATTGCTTCCATCGACTCAGACGACCTTCATCAAAGCCGTCCCAATCGGTGGACTGGAGAACTTTCAACATGGAGACACTACACAAGAGAAGAGCGGATGCTCTGGCGCTCATTAAAGCAGCTGGGGAATGAGGATCTCGCCAAACATCTCTACAACGCGGTTGAGCTGGCCAAGCGTCAACCAGATCCAGAACAAGCACAGGATGAAACCAATGCACAGTCTAATAACAAAGGAGAAGCCTGGAAGATGCCTAGGGCATGGGCAGCATGGCCAGTGGCGCCAAAACATCTACCACCACATGGGCTCTTCAACCAAACAGAACAAGAGGATGAGGACGAAACATACAGACGCACCACCAATAATATGCCAAGCACGGATTTGGAGGAAGAAATAACCGCCTTGATTTTGCGTTTTTCAAAACAACGCTTTGATAAGGCCAAATCCAAGGAAAATAAAGACGCAGATGACGATGTAGTCATCGAATCTATCGAAACAGAAGTAGCAAATGCGTTTGCTAGCAAAACCTCTGACTTTTCAAGATCACGACAGTCTTCAATAGGAAGTTCTCCGCCGGTAACACCTAGCAATATGCACATTGACGAACTTCAATCCGAACCCGAGCTGGAGATGATGAGCGACGACGAACAGACCAGTATCAAACACGATTCAAGTTCGGGATGGGAGACGGAGGAAGCAGACGCCTTGCAGGCAGAATTTCTTGCAGATGACGACCAAGCCCGTGAGCTTCTTAGGCCATCAGCACGGCACATTATTTCTAAACTTGAAGAGCTGCTGCTCGTGCTGCAGGCGGCGCGGCTCGCATGCCTACCCCGAAACGCATTTGCAGCAAACATCGACGATGGCGACGCAGATGATGAGGGTGACTATAAGCCGCGTCGAAGGAAAGCCAAGGATAAAATTCAAGCTGCCGCCCAGTCAAATGAATTTGAACTAGAAGATGTCGAAATGGGCGACGTTGTGGAATCATCTCATCCGGGTGAAGCAACTGAAGACGCTGGGTTTGTTCGCTGGATGCTGGGACAGGAGAGCACACCCTCTGAAACACCAGGCGAAGAGCTCAAGACGACTGATGAGACAACTGATGAGAAGGCTGATGAGACGACTGAAGATCCTGCGTTTAAAGCATGGGAGAGTGGAAAGCCGGTAGATGCTGCGCCTGAGGTTGAATCCGACAGCGAGTCCGACGATATTGACGGCCCAGCCAATTTCGATGAACAACAGAGGAAATGGCGGCTACGAGATTGGAGTGACGTTATTGGAGCAGCAGCACTTGCAGATCTACCACCTACCGTAGTTCACAGAACCGCACAGCGATGCGCCAACCTGTTTGAGCAGAGCATGATCCTGAACCGAATCCCCGAGACGACAGCGGCCAAGGGCACGCTTGTCGATGGCATGCTCATCTCACCCCAGTCGCCCAGGCCCGAATCCATGAAATCTAGCGGCAGTGACAGCGACCATTTAGAGCCCAGCATGCTACAGCGCCGCATCAGATCCAGTCAAGCGTCTCGCCAGACGTCTCGTCAGACATCCTTGGCGCGCGACATCAGCGAAGAGCGTGGCCGCGGCCGCAACGCAGATCCTGCTTTACCAGAATTGCACAACAGAACAAGATCGAACTCAGAGCACTCAGCCGGCATTTTCCTCTGTCCCGTGCCATCATGCCCCCGCGCAGCACGGCGATTCGATCGCAAGCGCAATCTCAAACGCCACATGAAGCTCGTCCACCCCGACGTCGACGACTCCGCTGAGGAAGTCGACAGCGGTGACGAGATGCAAGGTGCCGTCCACGTTGACGGCTTCCTACGACCAATCAACGCACAGCGAGGATGGCGCGGACGAGGTGCTAATCCGCGAAAGAGAGCGAGAAGCTCCAGTTCAACGCCTGCAACGCCCGCTCGAGCAGACCAGTTTAGCAGCGCCAATAGTAGCAGCGATGAGTCTGTGTCCGACTCGGAGGATAACATGTACGAATAGTAAGAAAAGCAATACCTAGAACTTGATAATAGAAACGCCGACATGATCACCATATACAGAGCAACTAGACTGTGAAATGTGCCAGCTTGATATATGTATTTAATATCTACACCAGCAGAATCATAAAGCCCCCAACAGGAGGGGACATCAAAAGTAACAACAACATGGAACCGCTCATTCAATGCCGTGAATAAGAGCAAATGCACCCCTTTTGTCTAGTCGGAGTAGATGGAAACCAAAAAAGATGTAAAGAACGCAGCAGCGACGAAATGCAAAAAGAAAATATCAAATGTAGGCTTGCGGTTTCTATGGGCATGTAGAAACAAAGAAAGTGAAGAAGAGTAGCAGTTAAAAAAACGATCCTTTGGCTCCATCCTTGAACAAAACTCCTCATTGCCGTCCACCTGAAAGAGAAAAGAAGAAAACACCAAACCAAACCAAAATAGTCCACCGGCATATTCCCAGTTGTATCCAAAGGGGGGTATCCAACCAACATCAAGAAGTAAACGAAAAATGCCAAATCAAAAGGCTAAAGAAAAGAGAAAACAGGAAAATAGGGTTATAGTCCACGACATCCGCTCTTAGGTAGAAATCACAGTGTGCTGTGTCAGTTTATAGCAAGCATTAATGCTCCAGATCTGACTCTCAAGCCAGTCGCGCACTCTTCCTCTTCGTTCCAGTTGGATAGGAGGATGTCAGGGGCACATTCTCTCGCCCTTCGCTGACAGCTTGCTTCTTGATACCGCGTGCGAGACCAAGCCTGCTGCTTCGCTTAAAGAGGGGGCCAGTTGTCTCGGCGGGCGTGGATATCGTGCTGGCTCGCGGGTCAAAGCCAATCGCACCCGTCGTCAGGTTGGACGTCACATTGGGGTTGACTTCTCTGAGGCTCATGCTAAGCTGGCTCTTATCCAGGATGCTTGTCGTGAGCGAATCAGACGACTCCTTGGGGCGAAGGGTCGGGAGATCAGCGAATACCATGGTCTCATCGACGGGTGCTTCGTTGCCTTGCGACACGGGTGAGGGCGGCTCTTCGTCGATTCTAGAGATGGACGTCTCCGATCCGGTACGGGGAAGCGTTGTGGGATACTGGTAGGGCACCTTCTGTGGCGTATCACCGGTTGGCTGGTACTCTTGCAGCGAGGTTGCGGTAACGACGTCGCGCAAATTTGTAAGAGGCTGGCACAGTTGGGAATCGAGAGGCTCCAGTCCATCCTGCATGTCCTTTACATCGACGGCCATCTCTTCGCCCATGTTCTTGACGCGATCAAAGGTGGTCTTGAAATGTGTCGAAATGTTGACAAACGATTGGTCGACGGTACCAGAGAGAGCCTGCATCGACTTGGCATGTGTGTCGTGGTGAGCGTTGTTCTCTTGTCTAGCTCTGGTAACAAAGTCATCTAGAGCTTGCATCTGGTTGCCAAACTCTTCCACCTGCTCTTCAACAACTCGAGAAGTGTCACCATGCACAGCCCTGGCGGTATTTTGGATAGCAGTGCTTTGCTCGCTTGCTGCCGTCCAGTCATCCTTGAGCTTCGTCTTGAGAGTCTCGCGTGACTTCTTAACATCTTCAAGCAGCTGCGCTTCCTTCTCATCCCAGGTGTCCATGCCAGTGCCGTACTGCGACATGGCATTCTCCAGAGATGTGTTGGCATCTGCAATCGTCGTCTGAATAGTCTTGGTCTTTTCGGCCATACGCGAATCTTGAGTGTCTGCCTGGCTGTTGATCAAAGCGGTGATTTGAGAGAGTAACTTTTGTCTGTCGTCGGCGACATGTCGTCGTTCTTCATCGAGAGCTTCTTGAACACGCACAGACATGCTGGCATTCTGAGAGACGGCGGCATTGGTAGCATTTTGAAGCTGTCGTCGAAGGCTGTCGCATTCGCTTCGCTGAGTTGTGATGTGGCGTACGAGATCCTCGAACAGAGACTTGAAATCTTTGCCCAAGGCACTGTATGAGTTGTGAAGCTAGTTGCTGTTAGTTGTTGTCATTCTCCAAGAAACCTTTTTGGCTTACATTTTCATGAAAGTCGGCCATCTCATTTATGACGTCTCCAGCAATCTTCTCCGTGGCCTGAGAGATTACCTGTAGACTTTCGCCCACTCTTGATTTGAGAGTATCGCGAATGATCTTGATATCGTCTAATACCTCATCCATGTCTTCCTTAGACTTTTGCTTCTGCTCCACCAAAGACCTTTTCGAATCGGTAAACGAGCCAAGGTTCTCATCTAGGAAAGTCTGTGTTGCGGATAGCTTCTTGAGCTCCTCGGCGACAAACTCGTCCATTCGCTTCGAAACATTGGCAATGTGTTCGCGTTGCTCTTCCTGGAACTCCAAGATTCGGCGCTCAACCATAATTGTCACGTCAGCAACCTGAGTTTGGGATGTGCTCCACGTTGCACGGTTGATGATTTGCAGGTCTGACTTTCGCTTATTCTTAGCGTGAAGCCCGCCAACATCAACAACAGTCTTATGAAGCTTGTTGATGAGCTCGCTACCAATGACAGTCAGCTTCTCTTCAGTCTGTTCATGGGCCTTGCGAAGCCTGGTTTCTTCTTCAAGCGAGCGTCGGGTGGTCGCAAGAACAAGCTCAGTATGGTCCAGGAGCCCCTTCTTTTGATCAAGCTCTGCCTTGGCTCCATCGCTGTCCTTCTTTAATCCCATAAATGAAGTGGTCAGCGAAAGGAGCTCTTGCACCTTGTTCTTGAGATTTGTTTCCAGAGTCTCAATCTTTGCCTCCTGTTCTTCGGTGACAATGCGTCGAGACTCGCTTTGGGCAGTCATCTCTTCATACATATCGTTGGAGAGGTAGACACCATTGCGCTGCCTCGTGGCAATAAGCTCGCCCTTGAGCTTCTCAATCTCCACCGTAAACTCCTTCAATAGCGTCTTCTTAGGAATAGCATTGAGTTGCGGCTTGTTGCGGATATCCTTGGCGCGGAAAGCATAGTCCAGGGTCGATATCGTCTCTTCGAGGTTGCTTTTTGATGGGGAGAGAGTGGCAATGATGCACGTTTTGGTTCTACCACCAAGCGAATCTTGCAGTAGTCGGGTCAGTTTCGATTCACGGTATGGGATATGAGAGCTTCTGTCGACAAGCGCGTTGATGACTCGGCCAAGAGTCAGCAGAGATTTGTTGATAAGACCAGCCTCCGCCGCACGCTTGTTCTCAGCACCGGATCGCTGAATGTTTTCGCTGCCTGCCAGATCGACAAGGTTTAGCTTTCCTGCACTAACGAGGTCTTCGACGCCGGCCTCGTTGGTTTTCTTAACATATGCGGTAATGGTGAAGACGGTGTGACTGCGCGAACTCAAGTCGTTGCACTTGGTAGCAGCAACTTGACGCTTCAAGCTGCCATCTTGCAGCACCTTGATTCCTTCAGTCGCGTTTTTAATATGCTTCTCCTCCATGCCTTGAACCATGGTTGTCGCGTGACCGCGACGCGATACATCGTCGTAAATTCTTAGCTTGGCGGTTTCTTCAACAGACAGCAAATCGCGCAGCTCTTCATTATACAGCTCAATAAAGGACACCTTAACACAGTGCTCCGCATCGTCTAGTTCAAGCTTAGTGAAAAGGCGCTGCAGCACGCGTGGGATGATGCCGGCATTGTCGGATAGCAGACCCATAGTCTCTGTCATATCGCCAGACATTGTGTAGGTTTTTCCGGTTCCTGTTTGACCGTACGCGAAGATTGTGCAGTTGAATCCGGAGAGCATCTACCATTTTTGTTAGCTGATGTCGACATACCACACCTACACCAGCGCGCACACTTACCTCGTCTAAGATGGGTTTCACGGTATCGTCAAAAATCATGCTCTGGTCCGCAGCCGGCGAATATACGCGGTCAAAGGTATATGTCTTGTTGCTGAGCGCGTTGGGGCCCATCGAGAGGTCGACTTGTGTGCCTTTGACGCCATTGGCTTTTACTACAACGGTGCTGTTCTCTTTGACTTCGCGTTGGCTTCGCCCGCGGCAACGGACGACGACATTGATATTTGTTTCCTCGCCGCCCATGACACTTTCTGTGTCAAAGTCGCGTTCTTTGCGCTTCATGCCGGCGTTGACGGTCGAAGCCAGGGATTCCGCCGGGGATACCGCGCCGCCGCGGTCAAGGCCGAGTCGCGATGCATGTCGAACGGTAGAAGATCGAACGCCAGGTCTAACACTGGTTCGGCTTGACGAGCCGGAGCGAATGCTAGACGACATGGCGGACCGGGTTAGCTCCCGATCGGAGCGTTGTCGTAGATGCGCCAGCTTGGCGGCTTTTTGTGATGGTGGGATGCGGTGTGAGGAGTTGTTGTCGTTGTCGATGTCGAGTATCAAAGTCGCGTCGTAGTAGTGGTGATGTATTGCGCGTTGAGACGGGATGCAGGTCGACAGAGCCTACACCAAAGGTCTATTATAGCCACAAGCACAATGTATGGTGCTTCTGCTATAGCGGCAGAAAAAGATCACGACGCCGCAAGATGGTTCATGTGCACAAATTATGGGCGGGGGATTGGCTGTGCAAGGCTGCATGCCGTGTTTCTCTATCGAGACCAGGTAAATAATGAATTGTGGGTCTCCCGCGGTAGTTGGCCAATCAGGTGCGGACCAGGGACCTACCGAATCAACAAGGCGCCACTGTGTTTCCACAGCAACGCTACCCGGCACGCCAAAACGCTTGGACAATAACGGAAAGAAAGTTGTATTTTTTAATTTCCAACATGGCGATTCACGTTGTCTGTATTCCCAAAGTAGTTATATCGTCTTCTGCAATGGGAAATACGTGCTAGATTGGGTGAAGGCTAGGCTTAAACGGGACATGCACAATACATGGTAGTAACCCAACTCTACATCTACATGTGCTAATCCTTCCATCAACATGACGCGAACATTATTCAGTGCTACAGTTTTTTTGTCTCTCTGATGTATTTTATCATATAAGAACTACAAATAGAAACACGTATTACACAATGCAAAGGAGGATCTTTTCAAAATATATATGCTTTTATTGTAAATTACACACTATCCATTTGTTATGTAAAAATCATAAAAACTCCAACAGCACTCATATATGCCGAAAAGATGAGGTATCTGACGCCAGCCGCGATATGCAAATCATGTACAATGAATCAAATAAAGTCATTCCAATCCAGCCAAAACGTGGTCAGTTATTTTTGACTGTTGGAATCCTTCTCGGAAACCGTCTGGGCCTGCTCAGGACGCTCCTCGTCGGGCGCATTCTTCTTGACGCGCTCCTCCTTCTTCAGCGTCTGCAGGCCAGTCTTGTGCTCTGTGTGGTTCTTGGATAGCGTTGCCTGTCGGATCAAAGAGCTGATGAGGAGGCCGATAAAGCAGACACAAGTAAAGAAGATGTACATGGTCTGCAGAGCGTTCCAGTACGCGTTCTTGACAGTCTGAATTTGGTCGCGGTCGTTGGGCAGCGTGTCGATGATGGTGATGCTAGCGGCAGCGTGATCTCCAGTGAACAGGCTAGCCTGCTCTGGGGTCAGTGCCGCCTTGAGCATATCCTGTTGCTTGTTCATAACGTTGTTGAAAATGGCGCCGCCGACAGTGACGGCGACAGAGGTGCCAATCTGGCGAGCAAACTGAAAGCTCGACGTAGCTGCACCAATATCACGGGGCTCGATATTAGCTTGAATGGCGATAAGAGGCGCCTGGAAGTTGGGACCAACACCAAAACCGGCAATCATCTGGAAAGGGATGATTTTGCCCCAGTTTGGCACAGACCCCAGGTCAATAAACAGGCCAAGGCCAATGGTCATGACGAAAAGACCCGTGACAATGGGGATTTGGAAGTTGCCCGTCTTTTTGATCAACATTCCCGAAAAGAAGGACACAATAGACAGAGTGAGAACAAAAGGCAGCAAATAGACACCGGACATGAGCGAGTTGGCTCCCAGGACGGCCTGGAAGTAGAGCGGGAGATAGTAGTTTGTGCCCATAAACGCCATTGCATGCATAATGCTGAGCAAGTAGGCAGGAGCGCAGTTTTGGTACTGGAAGACGCGAAGCGGTACGACGGGGAATTTGGCAATCTTGGCAATGTAGAATCCAAAAATCGCAAGCGTGACAATACCAAAGACGATGAGGCAAATGACTGTCGCCGAGTTCCACGCAAACTGGACGCCGCCAAACTCGAGGCCAATCAACACCATGAGCGTACCTCCAATAACGAGAAGATTGCCGGTCCAGTCAATAGCCAAGAGACCCTCCTTTAGGGGTGTACGCGGGTTATGCAGCTTGAGGAAGAAGACAAGGATGAGAAAGGCAACGCCGCCAGTAGGCAAGTTGATCCAAAAGCACCAACGCCATGAGACCTTGCTTGTAAACAGACCACCGATGATGGGGCCAAGAGCGCCGGCAATAGCCCAGACCATGCCAAAGATGCCAAAGTACATGCCGCGCTTGCGCACCGAGAAGAGATCCGACACGCAGATGTTGGGGAGCAGAATGGTGCCACCACCGCCAACACCCTGGATGGCTCTAGCAGCAATCAGCATGCCCATGCTCTGGCTGAGGGCACAGAGCAGTGAGCCTATGAGGAAGACACCAACGGCAACAAGCAGCGTAGTCTTGCGCCCAAAGATATCCGACACCTTGCCCCATGTGGCCACAAAGGCAGCGTTTCCAAGAAGATAGGCACTGCCCACCCATACGTAGCCGGTGCTGGATTGGAAGTGCGCAACAATGGTCGGGACGGCCGTAGTGATGATGGACATGTCGAGAGCGGCTAAGAAGAGAGCAATACACAGAGCGAGCACGATGATGGTCGACTCGAGCGCTGTGCGGCCATCCTCAGGTGCCTCGAGGGCTTTGGGAGCTTCTTTTTCGCTGGTCTGGCTGGCGCTGGCATCGGTATCGGACGTCAAGACGCCTTGTTCGGGGGCCACTCGGCCAGTGGCATCTGCTTCTGTTTTGCTGCATTGTTCAGTTTGTGTTGTGTTGATGTTGGCTGTGGTGGTCTCTGGTGCTTGTGCTTGTGCTTGTGCTAGTGAAGCAGCGGCGGCCGCCGAAGGGTGCTGGGCCGCGGAATCTGCCATTGTTGGCTCGACTGAGAACCGACGAAATAATCGAGTTGTATTCTATTTGTTTATTTGTCGAGAATGGCAGCACTGGCCATAGAAGAACAGAGCAACAAACAATGAATCAATAGAATATTGCCGAATTCGTACCGTGTTTGAGTTCGATGTCTCGCTTTTTTTTCCGTCTTGGGGTGGTGCTGGCTGCAGGTCCCTCGCCTATTTGCTGTACGATGGAACGGTGACGTTGGAGCTGGATGCAGAGAAAGGAGGTTCCAGTGGTTGAGATTAAAAGGACGACTATACACACCAAAGGAAGAGCAGAAGAAAGAAAAGTTCACGTCAGGCTCCAACAAGTAAAAAAAAGAAGGCCCTTGGGATAAAATACCAACGCCTGTCAGCGAGCGCGCTTCGGCTTTTAATCAGTGTTTGCTCCGGGGCCGAGCACAGGAGGGGCGGCTTCAGTGCGCCACCACTGAAAGAGTGGGCTTTGGGAATTTTTACGGGGGGTTCCGCAACCAAGTTTTAGCGGCCGCGGAGAGAAAGGGAGTAAGTCGTCGTGTGTGTAGTTACATTCGTCTTATTGCAATGGGGAGCTCGTGAATATTGTAATCGTCTGCGGTCTGTGTGTACATGTACTTCTACAAGTATATAATTTGCCCTTTTTTCTACTACTCAAGTATTCATGCATCACATTCCATTCACATCATTGGGCTCGGCACTTTAGCGCTAAGAGTATTAGCTTACCAATCCTTCGCTACTGCAGCAGTTTTAGCGGGCAGGCAGTGACTGACTGGTTGTACTTGGTAGCGAAAGGCGCGGACGGAACTGCGGCCGATGACCGCTACCGGTGAGCGATCCACTGCACAATGTGCTGCGACTCACAATCCGGCACCGGCACGATTCAGCCGGGGTCGTCAGACGGCGCCGCCTCCCTGTGCTGTGCTGTAATTTGCTTTACTGTGCTGTAGCAGTCTTTCTTGGCCTTTTCGCCGAATAGGGTCATTGCCGCTCAAGACATGCCGCTGATAGCTGCGCCCTCCGTTAAACATATCCAAACTGAAGCTACCCTTGCGATGCGGCTTTCACTTCCGCTCGGTTTCCGAAGCGATTGTTACTTGTTTCACACGACCCTGCATGCTGCCCGTTACGAGAACCCGTCTTGTCTTATCAGATGGGATCTTTCTCACCGTCTCGCATAAACATTCGCATCGCATCGCAGCGACGCCGAAGCCGAAGCCGAGTGTTCTGCGCTCAGGGCAACAACAAACACATCCTATTGTCGGAATCTGATGTTCCTGCTGCATCAGAGCGTAGACAGCATCACGATTGCTGTAAAAAAAAGGATAAAAATTCAGATGCACTGTATCGCAAAGCAGGCATCGCAGCTGACAAGTCAACTGACTATACGCCAGCCTTGACTTTTTACAGGGAATGAATAGCCCCGATCATCATGCATCACAGTGACATACATCCATTGTGGGGGGAGGCAGCCACCTTCACCATCAACAGCACGCTAGCGCAAACGGCTTTATCTATCTACAACGCATGATAAGACAATCATGCTAACCAGAGCGTCCACTATTTATTCCCAATTACACAAAAGTGCGCTTCATAACCCCAGACTGGCTTGCTGCCTCGCGGTTGTGGCTGCAGCCCTGATTATTTCCGTACATTAAGTCCTATTTCCGATCTCAACGGGGTTTCCGCCGCTAAGAATCCTTACCTCCACACTTTTACAGCGATCTTTTCTTGTTAATTAACCCCAACATCCCGCCAACCTGTTGCACTATTTGGTAAACTGTATAAATACCAACTCAAATAGGGACATAGCAATATGTCCGAAATTACCTTCAAACCCTGGAATCCCGCCAAATTAGCCTGGTTTATTACAGGTGCATCCTCTGGCTTCGCCTTGGAAATTGCCCGCATTGCCCTCTCCAACGGCCATGATGTCATTGCAACATCTCGCAACCCCGGCAGCAAGCCCGGAATTAAGAAGGAGATTGAAGACCTCGGAGGACGCTGGGTACCGCTGGAGCTGGACGACTTGAACTCGGCGTCAACCATTCACAACCTTGAGAAGGAGGGCACGCACATTGATGTGCTCTTCAACTGTGCGGGCTATGCGTTCCTAGGCCCTGCCGAGATTGCGTCAGAAGAGGAGCTGCGCAAGCAAATGGACACCAACTTTTTCGGACCTAGCAGATTGGTCCGAGCCTGTGTCAAGTACATGCGTGAGAGACGCCGGGGTATGATTGTCAATATCAGCAGCGGCGCAGGCGTAGAAGGGCGCGACAGCATGAGCGCCTATGGAGCATCCAAAGCGGCCATGGATAGTAAGTTCCACTTCTTTTTCTTTCAAATAAACACAACGAAAGCTAATGTATGAAATACACAGGATTAATACATGTCCTTTCTAAAGAAGTTGCGCCGTTCAACGTTCGCACCCTCACCGTCAGTCTGGGCACATTCAACACCAACTTTTCCAATACCTTGGTAGCACCAGCCGCCGCGTTGCCCCAAGACTACGTCGGGTCTGCCGCGGATAAAGTCATGCAGACAGTCAACAACATGCACGGCTTCAACCCCAACTTTGGAGATGCCAAAAAGGCCAGCCAGGCCATGTACGACGTTATTGTAGGACAAGGTATTGGGCAAGGCAGGGAGGCAGAGAAGCTGCTGCCACTCGGCCGAGATCTCTATGCTGCTACCAAAATGGCATTGGATAGACAGACACATGCGCTTGAAATCTTTGGCGACGTGTGTAACAATGTATACCCAGACACAGATGAGGGCAAGTAAACGCGGAATCAGAGTATAGTATATAAAAAAATGCTAGATAATAACGCCGACCCTGTCATAAACGCCAAATATACATTATGTGCAAAAAATCAAAAGACTGTGACTGTGTTGATGTATCCATTCCTCAAAACCTCAAACACCAACCCAGGGAACCCGTATAGCGTTGTCGTCGAGTCGATACTCGCCTCAGCCTTTCTGGCCGCGCTGTCTTCCCACCCACCGAGCAGCTCGCAGCTGTTTCCAGGACTATCCCCCCAACCGCGGTTCAAGACCATACCTCTCTGCCGCGCTTGTGGGTTGTTTGGTTCGGCAGGGCCCCATTTCGTATGAAGCTGATCCTCCACGTCTTTAAACACTGCCTCCGAGTTGGCACTGGTTGCTCCAGTTCCGTCGCCAAGGTACGCGATTTCCCATCTGCACCGGCGGTGTCGATTGAACTCGTATGAACCGGGAATATTGCCGTGAAGAACAATCTTTGTAGCGACAAGCCGGTCTGGCTGGTGCATCTTAATACCATTTTCAAGAGGCATATCTGCACCAGGAGGGGCCTGTGACGGAGAGACGGGAGTCGACAGCAAGATATCAAAGCCCAAATAAAAGTAGTTGTAAAAGCACTCTCCAGAAGGAGACGATGCGCTGGGCTCATCGTCATCATCATCGGACTGGTCCGAAACATCATTCATAGATGAGTGGTCCGTGTCAATCGCCTCATCCTTTCGTGCCAGATCGCCCATGTTGGGCCGTGTAGCCGTGCCGCTGGTCGTCCTCATCTTATGCACAATCATTTTCTGGTCATTCTTTCGATACATGGCACTAGGTGGGCCGAGCTCCAACACCAAGTCCTGCGGCGTCGTCTCGCCCAGCTGTATCCAGAAACTCTCGTTTGTCCACTTGCGGAACAGCTGCACTCTTCCGCCACCATGGATACGCACCAACGACACCTCGTCCGCATGTACGTCCTTTGTCCGCGGCAACGCTGGCGACGAGTTGATACTAGGCAGGATCTCTGTCCACAGCGTTTCCCGAGCATCAGCCCAAGACTCGCCGCTAAACACAGCCATCGATGTCGCCGATTGGTTGGCCGAAGGCGAGAGCAGCGTGACTACATCCTTGGTAGGCGAATACTCGGCCTCCGCCATGGGAAAGTTGAACGCTACACCAGGATACGACAGGACATATGTTCCATCCTCTTGATCTGCCGCAGGGGGTATAAATTCTCCAGCATATGTTGGGCCCAGTAGCCGCTGGTATATGTGGCGGAATGTCGGCCCGGCTGGCGGTGTTGGTGCATCGGCACTCGGCCGCACCAGGTCCTTTTCCTTAAAGGTGATGTGATTCTTTGCAAAGTCCACGACTTCCACTAGCCTGAGGCGTTGCTCGGGGGCGTCGAAGCGCAGACGGATGCCATTGTGCGGTAGCGCAACGCAGACGGGCTCGGCGAGGGGTGTGTCGGGCGAATACAAGACGTCAATGTTGGGAAACCGCTGCGGCTCGGCCTTGAGCCTGCTGAGGATGTCGTGGAGTGAAGCACCGAGAACTATCGACCCCGTGCCGGGGAGAGTATTAGTCTCACCGCTCGTCAAGTAACAGTTGTATCAGCTATGTTGGGGGATCTAGCTAGCTAGCTGCAAGACGTACCGAGAAAGCCCAACGCCCGTCCAGGGTGCAGCTGGGCTGTAAACAACTCCATGGGAAGCTATTATTGGCCTGTTGTGTAAATGATTTCAGTTCCAGATCCGCCCGAGGCGCGGGTTTGCGCTATCGAGATGAGGGGTTCGTGACGCAGGCTGCCGGACGAGCCTGTGCGGATGGAGCTTTGGCGGGGTACTGGGACGTCACTGTTGCATAGCGGGAAAGCTTAAAGGCGTGTTTTGGCGGCAGACGCGAACCACTGGGCTGTTGACGCGTCGAGGGGGAGGGGTTCTTGTTTCAGTTTATAAAAATTTAAAAATATATGATATGCAAAAAAAGAGAAGCCGTTTTGGAGAGTCCGTCGTTTCGAAAGCTAGAATAGTAGGCTCTCCTTTGGCCAGTGCCTGTCCAAGTCACGAGCCGATGACGGCACCGGCGACCTTGTGACGCAGCCTCAGCGCATCTCTCTGTAGGCTTCAAGGCCATAGCGGGGGATGGACACAGGACCCCGTGGCTCAGCTGGTTAGTTAATTTAGTGGCTCAGCTGATGTGGCGCGGCAATACATAACTGCTTATTAGGTGCCGCACTACTCCTACAGCCTACAGTAACTAATTACGGTACTGCTGCCATTACCAACACCACTACGAAACACACGGCAACACACCCCATCCCCGCCAAGGACTAGTTTAGTTAGTTGAATTAGCAGAAAAGAATCCTAAGTGGAGGCAGGTTAACCAGATTTGTTCCAAGCTAAACTCATTGCCATGACCCTTTTTGCCTAGCGAGCCTTGTTTGCTTTTTTCGCCCCTCTCAGTCTTCGTCTACTGCGACTCTGTTAGCCGCCGAGCATTCACGGTTCCCACAGTGCCGATGTACCCCGTGTTGAGGCCGTCGCCTCTAATAGGAACGACCGGAGTGGAATGCGCTCCCAATTCGGGCATACCTTGCACGCTAACGTTAGACCAACCGAGCGTTCTCAAAGGATTCTTGTTACAAGTCACTTCTCGCTGAGAGAAAAATGATACGATTAACTAGGAGGAGCTGAAACTTTAAAGTGTGTGGGTTGGTAGTGAAGCGCAAATACCAAGGTGATGCATTGCTAATGTAGAGTAACAAATAGAAATAATAAATAAAAATCAGAGTATCTATATGTGATGCAAGCGCCCCTTTCCAAGCGTCCTATGCCGAGCGATCGGCGGACTGGTGATCAAACACCTTGCTGGAGTTCAGTTCTATAATGCCAAATGCTTTCGTAATGTCTTCTGTGAATCTTCATCGTAGCCGCCCATGGCCCGCATCCAAGACGGCAACTGGGTATAATCCATCTTGGAGCTCCAGGGAGTCGTAATAGTACAAGTATCCTCCGCTAGACCAATCCGCTATCCTCAACGGGGGTCTCGATTAAAAAGTAGATATGATAATGCAGTGGGAAAAGAAAGAAGAAAGGCGAGTGAACGCAAAGAGGAAAGGTTGCAAGACTTCGAGCCGGCGAAGCAAAGCAAAATTAACCGACTGGTGTTGATACAGTAGTTGTTGACCAACACCGCGGCGGCAGCATCGCCAACTGTAATGTAGCGATGCTTGTCCTCATAGACAGCTCATACGATTAGAGCCATCCATGAAGCCGGCCCATCGGAGGTGTAGTTGAGGTGCGGCGCGCATCGAAGGGCGCGCTGGCTGGCGGCGAGTCTGTTAAGAACAGTGCCTGTTGGCGTCATGTGTGTCCATGCCTTTAATGGCTCTTGGGCAGAGGAGGCAGAGGGCGACTGGGAGGGGGCCCAGGGCAAGGAGGAAGATGAGAAGGTCGCTGAGCGGGCATCTTGGATATGCGGTTGGTTGGTGTTTAGCGGTAGTAGGCGCTGATGCGAGTTGCAGAGAGCAGTTGCTTGGAGTGGTTGCAGTAGTAGGAAGTGTTGATGGTTGCAAGGCAAGATGTTTATATCTTGGATAGAGTTGTCTTGATTTGTAGTGTCTGTGTTTGGTTTGGTATTAAAATAGATCCGAGTCGAGCAGTCGTGGGGTGACGGGACGGACGTGCCTTATGTATTCCGTGATTTGTGTCTGGGAGGCAGCAGGCAAGGAAACAGGCATGGCAGACAAGGCAAAGCGTGGCAGGGCGCTGAGTAGCAGGGGTAGGGGGCGTGTGGGTGTACGAGGCACCACCAGGAAAAAAAAAAAGAAAGAGATGACGGCGGTGTGTGTGGTGCTTGGGTAGCGAGCAGGCACAAGGTACGAGGTACCTGCGACCACAGCGCAGTACACCGGGCACAAGTACCCGTTGCTTTTGTGCAGCCAGCCAGCAGCCAGCAGCCTGGGGGGCGTGTGGGGTGGTGTGTGCCTGACTAGGCACCGCAGTGAGAAGAGTCATCATTCCCTTGCTCAGCTCCATTGGTTTGCACGGCTGTGGAGCCTCGCGCCCCTATGGGAAATTGAAACAGGTCGCCAAGCCCCACTGGCAGGACCTGTCCTTTAGGTGCCCCTGGCGAGCTTGACGCTGGCAGGTCGCTGTGCTAGCACCCTGCTATAGCGCCCAAACTTGCAGGTTACAGCAGGCTATGTGGCTGCTGCAGCGATAACGTGGTGCTGATGGCTTTGGACAGCGTGTAAAGTGGCATTTCCGGCCGCCAACGAGACGACGCTGCAATAAAAAATGCCAGCGTCTTGGAAATCATGAGTTGCGCAATGCCAGCGCCGTGTAAATGAAGCAATCACCACGCAATCAAATTTGCATTGCAAAGACCTGTCCTCTTTCATTTTGCTGGGCTCAAGATAATCCTAGGCATCGCATCGCCAATTTACAGCGAGGCGCCGAAACAAACAATTAAGCCGTACGGAATATGCCTAAAAAAAGAAAGCAAGAGAGAGAGAGACCTGGCAGCCAGCAAATCAGAGCGCTGTCCTTTGCCAGGCACGTCATCACCGTCGTTGAACAAAAAAGAAAACAGGCCATAAAAAGCAAAAAAAAAAAAAAACGCTTGCACATCTTTCTCGCTTCATCTGCCAGGTACGGGATAGCTACTCTGTTACTTTACATGTTTTCTTTTTTGAATTGGCACCACCGAACCGTAGTGGTGGTCGTGCCACTTCGCCTGGGCTGCCACCACAGCGCCCAATCACCAGCTCCAGGCGCCCCTTGGCCTGTTACAGGTGCTGTAACAAAAAGGAAAACAGTCGTTTCGGCGCCTCCTCCTCCTCTGCCATCCCGCCCGTCTGGCGCGGCCCGGATGGCACGACGCCATGGCTTGGGTAACATATGTTCAAGTATTTTCTTTTTTATTTATTTGTTTTTGTAATCTCTGTGAAAATGAAGGAAAATGGGTAATTCGGTTCTCCTTTTGCTTGCTTGTTTAGCTCGTCATGCATATCCAATCGCATTTACAGTCCAGTTACTTGGCGATGGCCGCCACAGGCTCGGTTCACCTCGTGTAGTGAAGCGCACTGTTCGTCCTGGGCCCTCACTCTTACTGTCTTGGGCGTATGACGAGCCAAGGCGCCTCACATTGCTTCTCGCGAAACATTACAAAGCACAATACGGGTAAAATAACTGCTCGTCGTTTCAGCTGTGTTGTGCTCTGCCGTAAGCTCTCAACATTGTCATTAAACTCAGGTCTACCGTTTCCATACCTCCGTCCCCGCCGTCCAACAAAATATTCCCCCAACTGCATTGCAAACACACCGCATCAATTCGTAATACCAGGGACTGCACCGCTGTGGAATAAAAAAAGGAGCCTCATCTCGCGTGCTGCTAATCGGACATTGTGTTGAGCTCCGAGGACACACGCCCACACGCCCCTGAAAACAAGCCCCCATTGGGGCCCGCTTTGCAGAAGCTTTTTGGAAGCTTTTTTCTTCACTCGACGGCCCTACAGCGCTATTCAGGGTCTTTGTCTGTGGGGAGCCACCTGATCATCTGGCCTGGATATTTTTTTTTCTCCTTCACGCGCAGGGTTTTCTTAATTAATGACGCCCATAAACCCGCTTTTGGCTCTTGCAGCTGGGCCATTTACAGGGAAATATCGGCATGATTTTCATTATGTCGCGTGCTATTCGGCCACCGCATATTCGTAACCGAGGCCCGATAGTCCAGACGGAATATTTTCTCACGACTTGGCGGCTCTGAGAGGCCATCAAAAATCTATCAATGCCACGAGGTCGGCTTATTTGGGTGGGGAAGCTTCAGAACCACTTTAGGAAATTGGATATCCAAACTTTGATGTCATGCTTTTTGCGCAGCCCCGAATTTCCTGCTCGGAAAAAATACGTCTTGCGTTTTCGTATGCGGTTCGTGATTCCAAAACTCCGTCGCATTCAGCCCTTTCGTGAGACATGCTATGCGAGGACCTCTCGCTATGCTTGGGCCACCACTTGGTCCAACACTACAACGGCGCAAGCTTTCCAAGACTTCCGCCCGTTCCGAAGTGTAAAAATGCGTCGAAGCGCGGAGAGTTGTTCACCGTAATTCTGGCACATGTTCGTGACAATATGTTCGTTCAATCCATCTACCGACAGCAGAGATATCCAATTTTACGTACCACTGCATTGGTTCTCGGACGGTGTCACTCTAGATAACAACTGCATGTCTTGGACAAACCACTGGCCCTCTGTGATATCGGGTCCAATCTGATATATCTGGGTTTTATTTTTCCCAACAGCGGTATTTGCGCAGAATACTACCCTCATCGCTGCCTGTCACTGGCTTAAATGGGACATGCTACCGAAAAACTGGACGAAAGCAGCATCTGAAGAATGTCATGCTACGCTGTAGGCCTGGATGGCGTTGCATCCGCTTGCTAGCAATACTACCTCATCGCACTGAACTGGACACTACGGGCGGTCATGTGCTGGTGCTAGCTGCGACTGATCAAACCGCCCACTGGCACTGATGAGTGTCTGCTTCTCAACTGTGATTGGCGATTAGCAACCTGCGCATCCTCAAAAGCGTCTTTCCCTGGCGCACATGCGACGCTGGTGGCCGTTCATTGTCGGGCAAGCATTTCGTGTTGGGTTGCCTTGAGGAACGGATGGCGCAGTCTAGGCCATCATGTTGCAGTGTAGCTTAATAAAGTTTACCCGCGCACCGCGAAACATCTGTCTCATAGTTTTGACAGGTTTGCGCAGTCTGCTTGTTGGATGTGGTGATGGTGACGAACCACTGCTAGCGCTGTACTGTACCTGCATGGCTCTGGCTTCTGCACGCTCACTGTGCACCACTTACCTGCGCCGGGCTTCTAGACTCCCGCGCTGAGTTTATTTTTTATTTTGCTTTTTTGCATCCCGCTAAACCAATACTTTCTCAGCTGCTTATATCATAACCGTGCATCATCGGGCGCTATTATCAAAAGCCTCCGTATGTTGTAAGACATGGCGGCCTGTCACGCCTCCTTACGATGCGGTTCCAGCAGCTTGGGACAGCGCAGATGCGCCCCCAACTGTGGGCTCAATCGCTGACAATAAGACAATGGGCGGGCTTTGTCGACTCTTTTCTCAGGTACCCAGTGCCCCCTGGGCGCAGAGGCGTGCCATGTACCCAGTACCTAGCATACCGTACCTGGGCCCAGCACAACAACACTGGCTAGCCGACAATAGCGGGCTGCTTCCAGTGCCCGTCCTCGCTTCGCCGCGCTGCTTCTGGCTTCTGACTGGCTGAGATCCTTGCTCGCTGCTAAAACAGGATGTGCCAGCATGACTCGATGACTCAGGCACCATTACGAAGCACACTCGCGAGCCAAGTCTCTTTTTTGACACTTGCAAGTTGCTTCTGGCTGTTGATCCTCGCCATTCCCAAATGTGCCAACTTGAAAATCATGGCGCTGTGTGGGCGACTCGTGGATCCAGAAACAAGGTTTCCTTCCTCCACGCCCCTTGGATTTGTTTACCTTTTTTATTATAAGTCTTCAAACACTAATCCTGCGGGCGCCGTCAGACCACCACCAAACATGATGACACCGCCATCTTCGGCGAGTTTTGGATGAGGTCATCATCTCAACTGGTCCTGGTTGCGAGGCTCTACCCCCATGCTGCTGAAGCCTCACACCGCACAGGGATGTACCTTGCAACTCTATTTCGCCTGCGCCTCTTAATTTTCACCGTTTACCTGGAGTGCGTAATCGTGGCCGTGGTGACAGCTTTAACCCCAGCTCAACACAATCGGCTGTTCTCCTTGGAGATGTGGGCGGTGCTTTGTTTCTCCAGACGCCAGCTTTTCATCCAGTGATGATCTTTACAAATTCCATGGTGATCATTCTGCAGCTGAAAACAGGCTCTTTACCACAGAGGCGTTTAAACTGTCCGTGGGCGTTCGCTGTGCAGCACCTCCACGCCAGTCAACGCCTTAGAATCCTTCGCTCGCGTCTTGGCAAATCCGCGCCAACGGTTCCCGTCAACGGCGAGGAGAAAGCTAATCCAAACCTGCAGCTCGTTCACCTGCGATTCATGCTCCCAGTTACCCCAACAAGCTGAGCAAACGGCCGGCAGTTCGTGTCAGGAAATTGCCCTCGCAAACAATAGTCCAGAGTGTGGCACCCCTTTCGAACCCGGCTTCTCCGATGCCATCGGCCCCCTGAGCTTGGATCGCCTCCACTTTTGCCATGTGTTCTGCCCTGACTAATTTCTTCCGGAAGCCTTGCCGAAGAAAGAATGGAGGCCCCCCTATGTTTTGAAACGAAGCGCTGCAAAGAGACGAACGTCTGCAGTCAACAATATTAGATGCATGCCCCTTAATGCGGTCTGGTCTGTAGGCGGGGAGTGGTGCTTGCAGATACAGCGGCTCCCACGTTTCAAATATCGGTTGGTCTAGGTACTCCGATGTAGACCGTCCATTCCGGAGATGTGAAATCGCGGATTGGATGAATTGGGACGGCCTGCAGATGAGTGTTCTGCACTCTGCTACTAGGCCGCGCCCGGGCCGCCGTTTGTTAAGCACTCTGTTTCCGAGGAAGTAACAAGGCTGGAAGCAGAGCGCAATCTGGTGCCGAGGCTGCCCTCCACAAAGGTCTGACTTCAGCTGAGCGTTGTCAAGCCAGATACTAAGGGAGAATAAACTTGCGCTAGCAGGGCGTTGAGAGAACTAAGAGATTCGGTTGCGACACGCGAATCTCGTCGGCCAAAAGCAACTTCTGTGCGCGGCGCCGATTGCCCTTGGTCGGCGTACCCGTATTGGCTGCTTTTGTTTCTAAGAATCAGGATACGCCGTTCAGCTAACATGACAATTATTTGTCAACATCCTTTCAAGCCCAATCCAACAAAAAGCAAGGGCCAAGAAGAAGAGCAACAGTCTAGACCTCATCGTCTCGCCTAATCTACCATCCGAGAGGGCGTCAGTGCGATACCTAGCATTGTGGCGCACGGCTGAGAATGCTACTATTATGCATGCGACTACCATTGCAGTTAAATGCAAATGCCCTGCCACGTTCGCATCCGGCTAAAGCGACCTAATGCGAAAACGCTAGCAGGTGGGAGCTTCTCCGGAGCGATCGCGCATCTAGATGGGTTCAGCACCTCAATTATCCTCCAGGCATCTGGAACGATGCCTGGAGGGTGGGTGTTTGCATAAGCCCCTTGCCTACAGCAGGCGCTATTTCTGGACCTGGCTCCCGTCAAATACTGCGCCCTGTACATAGTAATAGAGCGCCTCATGGATATGCTCCGTCGCCAATTTGTCCTGTTCTAGCTGGGATACGGGACGCAACTGAGACATCCGGCCGTTGCCAATGCTCTCCGCTCGGCAATCCTTCGCCAGCATCTCCGCTTGGTGATGTTTGTCGATGCTTGTTGTCTTACTCTACCCAGCGGCGGTGCGCCTGCCTGCAAGCCTCTGTCTACAGGTAAGCTCCATCCACGGCCAGCCGCATTCTCATTCAATACCCGTGGCGCAGCGTTTGATTCTTTGTGGTTGCCTGTCTTGCGCCAAATGGCCGTCGCCAAGCGGAGACAGCTCGGCAATACAATAACGTTATTTGCTTAACCGTCCGGTATGCGGACCTTCCGCAGTTCCCGTGGTGTTTCTATTTGCTCTGTAGGCAATGCTGACACGACATTTGGACTCAGCCCTGGTAGAATGTCTGCATTGTGAGGATTTCCATCCGATGCATCCGCTAACCTAGCCAGTCACTGAGTGTGACCATGTCATACGATTCCCTTCCGCTGATCACTATCTGACCCCAGTAAATCCTTCGTACTTTTTTGGCAAACAAAGCAAGAGCGAAAATAACAAAGAACCAACCATCAGTGCCGAGGCAGCGTGGTGCTGTGGTTACCGTCATTGCGACAGCGAGGTCAGCATGACAGGCGACGAGGGTTATCGGCAGGCGGAGATATGCATGCATGGCCGTGTCCTCATGACCACCTACCTGCGTGTTGACGGACTGAAGCCAAGGTACACTTGGGCTGGTACCTTGCTCTGGTGTACCTCACCTCGCAGCCTCGTTCGGCCTCATACACCCCCTCAACCTGCATGTGTTATTTTTGGGTTGGGCAGCGGTACTGGGTAAACGTCAACAACGCGCGCCAAATCACGGAGCTAAGCCTCGTGTAGGGCTCAGACTATCAGGTATTGAGGCCATAATCATACAGCCTTATGCTACGTGGAGCTAATTGTAGAGCGGCTTGCGAGCATCCTCCCGCCCCAGAGCAACCCACGTTTCTCGGGTGGCTTCTAATGACGTGTACTGTTGTGGATAACGGGCCGCATCACGTCCGTGTTGAAAGGCAATACGGTGTGCGGCGCTTTCGCTTCCTGTCTCAAGGGCGCAGCATTGAACAGCGGCGCATGCGGTTTACCGCCACGGTTCTCAACAGAAAGAGGAGTGGATATAGAAACGCCAAAGACGGGATATCATTCATTTACTATGGTTTCAATTAAAACAGCCGTCATGTGAGACGCTGATGTCACTGTTTGCTTTCCAAATCGCCCGTTTTCGTGGCGATCGTCCTATATTGCAGACGCCATAGCTAGGTATTGGTTCCACCAGCGACCTATTGGCCGCATATGCCGTGACTGCACAGCCGTGCTGTAATACTTGCTCGGGATATGCGGGGGTTGAATGAATCTGGCAACATGGTATAAACGGATTTTTCATTATTGCCAAAGCATATTTTTAATGCCAGCTTTGTGTCTATGAATCTTCTTGGCCCACTGGGACTTGCGTCGACGTGATCCAATTCTCCATCTTGGCTTGTCCTTGGGCGCTGTTGACGCTGGCTGGAGCCTTCGCCTGCCGTCTCTTTACAACCAAGCAGAGTACACGGCCGTAAATAGCAAAACCTTCATATGAAACGTCCATAGCCAGCTTTTTCTTGTCCTCGCTGGCGTCTTCTGAATCTGAATCGGATCCTAGTCCTCTCGGTCTCAGTCGCTTCGCTGGTGGTGCATCGAGTTCATCCTCTAGGTCAATGGCGTCGTCAATATCAAGCCCAGAGTGGGCAGCGTCGCCTAATTCACTTCTGTCCCGTTTGCTTAATCTTGCATCCTCTATTGATGGGATATCGTCCAGGTTCAGTCCCGTTTCACCATCACTATCATCTTCAATGCGGATCGGTTGATATGCCACCTCATCCAAGTTTGGCGGGGGGCTGTTCTCTCCAACTAGTCGTGAGGCATTGGACTGTATTCTAGCCGGTAGCTTTTCTCTAAAATGCTTTTTCTTAGTCAACAGCGAGTGCCGCGTCGACGTCTCCATCAGAAACATTGATACTTCAAAATCGTCTACGCCCGGTTAGCAAAAGAACCCCATGGTAAGAGTTGCGCAACTGACCTTTGACAACGACATCCTTTACTTTGGCCTTTTTGGTTGACTTCTTCTTCATTCGTTCTCTCTCCTTCTCTTCTAACAGCTTCGGAAGCACCAGAGGCTTTATGCTCTCAATAACCTGGGGCAAGATATCGTATCGCGGATTGAGGAGCCATGATTGTGCCAGCGACGGATTGTCCAAGTAGATGCGGCATTCTAATACTGAATATTTTGTGATTCGCAGATATCTTCTTATAGGCGCCATTGTGTTTGTATTTTTAATTAATTACCTTGTGTTTTCGCCAGGATAGAAATAAAAGTCAGAGAGACGTTGATGCATCTTCACGCTGTCATGCGCTACCAGCGCCGGGCCGGCGTGACTTTGACCCACTGTTAAATTCGGCACCGCGCTGGGCGACGGCGCTGAGGCGCAAAACGATGAACCCTTAATTTTCCACTGCCACTGACAAGCTTAGGATATCGGCCATTGAGGTGCTGAAAGCTGCTAAATCTTGCTGCTGCTGGCACCAACTGTCGCAGCCATGTCTAAATCATGGAAAGCGACGCTGAAGCTGCCAAAATCTAGCTTCCCGTACGTCTCGGAGTGATCCCTTTTTGAACTCGCGATACTAATCTTCCCCAGTGCCCGGCCGAACCCGAAGTTGCAAAAGCAGTATTTGAATGAATGCACGGAAAACCTATACAACTGGCAAACGAAACACCGAGCGAACGAAGAACCCTTCATCTTGCACGATGGCCCTCCCTACGCCAATGGACCGCTCCATACCGGCCATGCCATCAACAAGATTCTTAAAGACATGGTGCTACGAGTTCAGGTACAAAATGGACGCAGAGTCATGTACAGACCTGGATGGGACTGCCACGGTCTGCCTATCGAGATGAAGGCTCTGGGAAGCGCAGGTACAAAAGGGCTTGGACCGGTCGAGATTCGCAAACATGCCCGGCGGCTTGCCACCAAGACCGTTGCCGATCAGATGAAGGAATTCCGATCCTTCGCTATAATGTCAGAATGGGGCAATAAATGGACGACAATGGATCGAGAGTTCGAAACGAGGCAGTTGCGCGTCTTCCAGAAGATGGTCCGTCGTGGTCTCATCTATCGCAAACATAAACCCGTGTACTGGTCGCCTTCTTCACGTACCGCTCTTGCAGAGGCTGAGCTCGAGTATCGAGACGATCATGTATCGACAACAGCCTATGTTCGATTTCCTATCACGAGCGATATAACGGGTATCGACGGCCTCAAGTCAGTTCAGGGCAAGCTGTACGCTGCCATTTGGACAACCACTCCCTGGACGCTGCCAGCCAATCGAGCCATTGCCGTACACGATGATATAATGTACAGCGTGCTACAAGTGGACGGGTATAACGTTTTAGTTGCTTCTAGCCGTGTGGAGGAATTGCTTAAATATCTCCCTTCCAGCAAAGTTGTTGCTGAGAATATCCCAGGTCAACAACTTGTCGGCCTCAAGTACCAGAATAAGCTCCGAGGACAGAATGCACCAGTACAGGAAATCATCCATGCTGATTTCGTCACCGCGGATTCGGGTACTGGCTTGGTCCATCTTGCCCCAGGTCATGGCCAGGACGATTACGAAGTGTGTGCGAAGATGGGCATTGACGCATTTGCACCCATCACGGATAATGGACATTTCACCAATGAGGCGCTACCAGATGACTCTGAAAAGTTGGTAAATGCACCTTCAATTCTTGACGGTGGCAGCCAAGCAGTTCTGGATATCGTCGGAGAGGACGTCATCGGGGTATTCAAACTGACACACAAGTATCCTTATGATTGGAGAACTAAACAGCCAGTTGTCATACGTGCTACGGCCCAATGGTTTGCAGATGTTGCCAGCATCAAGGACGATGCGCTTAACTCGCTGAAAGCAGTCAAGTTCATCCCGGAGTCAGGTCGAGTTCGCTTAGAGAGCTTCGTCAAGGGCCGCTCAGAATGGTGCATTTCGCGTCAACGGTCGTGGGGTGTGCCAATTCCTGTGCTCTTCGACTCTAAAGGCGAAGCTATAATGACAGACGAGTCGATTGATCACATCATATCAGTCATGCAGGAGAGAACCTCTGATGCTTGGTTCTCAGACCCTCCAAACGACCCGGCCTGGGTAGCGCCCTCGCTACAGGGAGAGTTCCGCCGAGGTACAGATACCATGGATGTCTGGTTTGACAGTGGCAGCAGTTGGACCGAGATCCAGAAACCGGTTGATGTGTACTTAGAGGGCTCCGATCAGCACCGTGGATGGTTCCAGTCCAGTTTATTGTCATACATTGCTGCACAAAGAGCCGATGGCAAACTAGGGGGCGAGATATTTGCTCCCTTTCGAACTCTCATGACCCACGGATTCACCTTGGATACAGACGGCAAAAAAATGTCTAAATCACTGGGAAACACTATTTCGCCTCAGGAAGTCATTGATGGAAAGCTGCTACCAAATCTGAAGCGCAAGGGCAAGGATACTGGACAACCGGATGCCCTTGGACCAGATGCTCTAAGATTATGGGCTGGTAGCTGTGATGCCACATCGGATATTCTGATTGGATCTACTGTGCTCCAGCCCATCCATAACGGCCTCATTCGCTATCGTACAATCCTTAAAATGCTGTTGGGCTCTTTGCACGAGTCCAGCCGAACTGCGCCTCTGACAAATTTGGACCAACTTGCTCTTGTTCAGCTTTCCGACGTTATGAAGTCAGTGTGGGAGGCTTACAACAACTACGAATTTCACAAAGGCGTTGGGCATATTAACCGCTGGGTCTCGACAGAGCTGTCGGCATTCTATCTCGAGGCACTGAAAGACCGCCTCTACTGCGGCGACGGTGGCGGCGCTCTAGAGCCCATCATGATAGGGATGCTCCGAATGTTGGCGCCAGTGACGCCAATGCTTGTTGAGGAGGCATGGGCGAACCGCCCTGAGTGGCTTCAAAAGGATACAGGCTTGCTAAGCCCAGCTCGCCATCAATTCGATTCGCCTTTAGTCGACCCCAGCCGGCTCACACTTGATGCCTCTGAGATAAGACGGGATATCCCTGTTTTGAATGCGATCCACACAGCTATCAAGGCAGGCTTGGAACAGGCCAGAGAAGCCAAATCTGTTGGTAGTTCACTACAATGCTCAGTTGTCATTGCTTCGTCTGATAGTCGGATCTTGGAGTGCGCCAAGAGATACATTGACGAGATGGAAGCCATGTTTGTTGTCTCGTCAGTGAAGCTCAATGATGCACTCCCCGAAACCCCAGATTGGCAATACCACAGTGAGCTGAACTTTGGTGGTGCCGTTGGTACAGTTCACGTACTGCCTCCTACACAACACAAATGCTCACGATGCTGGAGATTCATGGCAGAAGAGGAGGATGGGCTCTGCAGCCGCTGTGAAGATGTTACATCGGCACTCCCAGCCGTGGAAGCATGCGGAGACAAGGAACAGTAAAAATGTATTAATTTGTGTATTATTACCGTGTATATTAAGTTAGATGATGGGGAGTGGGCGGTCGATCATTCATCTCGTTGGACAATCGCACCACAGCAAAGAACTCCTGTACAATCTCCAAATAATTAAGAATTCCCAAATTTTCAACTTTATTCTCCGACATCTGCACGTCCTCCCCCTTGCATTCGGCTGATGCAGCATGTGCTTGCAGTCGCATCAGCGCTCGGTTGCATGTGCTTATGCATCGAGGCGCACACCCGCTGAGCCGAAGAGCGTCACAGTGGCGCCACGGCTTTGTTGTAGTGATTGGGTTTAGGCGCCGGTCGGCTGTTGGCTGCGGGAAGATCCACTGAGTAGGCCGCTAATCAGAGCTTCGCACAGTGGGGTGGCCAGCACGCATCAGGCGACCCCTCCGCCACTGTGGCGCGACGCTCTGGGCTACTTTTCCTTTGATGGCACATGCGTACCAACGCAGGGTGACTCCGCTTTGCTCCCTTCTTCTTTAACAAACACTCTCAATTCCCCCATCAAGGGTTTGTTCCCAGCATAGACTGTCCTGCAAATACGCTGTGATATGAGACGTCTTCCAGCTTGTAGGCGTAGCATGCCTTAACTCCATTTCATCACCAGCAGCTTCCACCGCGCAGCTCTCTCGCTTGAGGTCTGCCACGATGACGGACCTACGACAACAGAATCAGCATGGGCTGCCTACGACGCCGGACACTAACGACCAGCAGCCAGGCCATGGATTAAGTCGATGGAGCAATTCCGAAAGCCAACGCTCCAATAACCGCCGCCTCACGCCGTCATCACACGAAACGAGAGACAGCACCAGCCCAGCCACCAGCGTTGACGACCCCGATGCCGCTGCCGATGACCTCGCTAGACGCAAGAAGAAGAATCGAGGCTCGGGAGCGTTCTTGCTCCAGCCATCTAGCAGCCAGCGGAGATCTCGAAGCCAACGACCTCCGGTCCGTATGGCAATCCTGGCGTCCAAAAAGGCGGCAGACGCTGGACGGCCCAACACTGCGGAGGAGGGCAGCAAGTCTAGAATCAGTTACGACAACAACAGATTTGTAAACTTCTCCGGCTCCTCTCAAGGTTCATTGGACCAGGACAATACTACAAATGCACATGGTCTGGGTCTTGAAGATTCCAGACAGAGCATAGATGCAGATTCGGCTCAAATTGTGCACATGGCTCTAAACTTGAGCGAATCAAGACGAATCGCCTCGAGGAGAGTCGTCTCCCGAGCTACACCGCCTCGTCTAGCACCGATGCCAGATTCTTCTACAGGCAGTGATCTTCGGCAACAACTCAAACAGCAACGTAGAGCTTCTCACACCATCTCGCCCAAGCCACAGATGCCGTCACCTCGAATCAGTTCTGGCCTACGCCTAACAAGCCCCCTCCAAGCAGCCTTCGACCTGGGCCACGAAACCTCATATAATTACCACTTTTCCGCATCAACCTTGGCTAGAGCTCAAAAGGCCAAAGAGCAACTGGAGCTCCTAGCCCAGTACCGTCGCTTGCTCGAAGTTCTTCCACCTCTTGCACCGCGATATAACCGCCCAATTACAAGTAGCCCTCCCGGGTCGCCCCCTGCAGCCGGGAAAGTATTCTCGTGGACCGCAGCAGCCAATCGCAATACTGTAGGCCGAAAGTATAATCCTCTACAATACATCAGAAATCGCAAGGTCCGCGCTAGAGAGCGAAGGGTTATCGATGGCGGGCGCCAAGGTTTCGGCGACGTTGACGAGGTTCGAACATGGGTTGACCGGTTCTATCAAGATAACGCCTTATCGACAAACCCATTTGAAGAGCCCAGCATGCCTGAGTTCCCAGGTGCTGACGCAGCACTGGCTCAAATGTCCGGGGATGGTACCGTAAAAGCTGCACCTCGGACTCGTCGTGCAAGAGTCGATTGGTTTATTGAGCCATGCGACATCATTGCAGACGCCTACTGGCTTGAACAGGATGATAACCGGTCTTTGATTGAGGATCGTCAGTGGCGAAAGATCTTTCCTCATAGATGGGATCTCTCTCGTCCAATGTCTCGCCAAGTTGACGATACAGGCAATGTGCCTGTTTCCTTTCAACCACTGTCTGCTGAGCACCCTTTGAGCTCCTCAGAGGGTCTGGCATCACGAATCAGACCAGAATCGCACGCTCATTCGGGCACTGTCGAACGCCCCAAGGATTCGAGACAAAATATCAAGGATACCAACCCTTGGTTGAGTCAAGACGATGAAGACTTTAGCAAGCCATGGGCCAAAAAGGATTCGGCATCTGAATTTTCTGATAGCGAACATGAGCCAGCCGAGAAACGCAATAAAGCGTCACATCAACGAGCCGACACATCAATGACCAACAACAACGACATTCTACAAAAGCAAATGTTGGAAATGATTGCGCAAGAAAACCGAGACCGAGCTCCTGGCGATATCCCTGTTTCCGATATTGGCCAGCTGGTCCCAACAAGCATGATGACTCCAGAAAGGAATGTTTCATCCAAATCGAATAGTCGCCTTCAAAGCAGGCGCGCATCGTTGATCGAGTTCAGTGACTCGGAACTCCATCGGTCAACATTGGAAAAGATTCGGGCCGCATCACCACCAAGATTCCGCTTTGGTCAACACAAAGAAACTACTCCTCATAACTACTCGGGCTCCCTGGATCCTGATTCATCTTTGCCCACATCGCCAGAAATGAAGCCTTTTAAATCCTACTCAGAGGGTCCAGCAGACATGGAGCTCTCGCCCAGACTCCGGCCTTCGTCTCCGTCAAGGAATCCCATTAGCAAAATCAAGCACCTGATTCAGGACAAATCTCCAGAGTCAAACTCGGATTCGCCAGAGAGACCGGAGCTTTTAACAGTACCTCGTCAGGATAATAGCCAGTCTCCAGAGAGTGTCAACCACAGTGACGAGGGCAATGGCACTCTCAAGAGACCAGCAAACGGAGCAACCCATGATGGCGCAAAGGGTCATCGTCGAGCTACAAGTTTACGTCATCGTCAGGATGAGAACATTGGTATCAGAGGCATTTTCAAAGGTCATACTATCCGTGGAAGCGTCTCTAAGATAGGCGATATTCTTAGAAAGAAGGATGGCTCTGGTGAACCGCACGGCGAGTTTGATGTTACAGATGAATCCGACAGTGACCGCGGGCGGGCTCGCTCAAAGACGTCTACAAGCGTATCTGATCTAACTGGTACGCAACATCGCCAGTACGAACCAAAACAGCCGAAGCATTTCCTTGACAAAATGCCGGAATTCCAGCACACGCCGGCTGCTCTGGAACGTGCTGGTGCAAGCGAAGGTCAGAAGACGTCACCACCTACTGCTCAGTCAACTTCAAAATCCAAGCTCCTTAGCCCACCTCAAGTTGGACCCCGAAGCTCTTCCTCGTCACTCTCTCCACAGCGAGGGGCGAAGCGTGGTTCTGGCGATGCAGATATTTCGGAGGCTGAGTCGGTGCAGAGTCGAATGCTCGAAGGCATCCGCGATGCAAACAAGCGACTGAACTCGGCTATTGCTCTACCTCCCTACAATGTCTCGCATCGAAAGAGCCGACAATGGTCTATTGCTGATGAGCAAAATAGAGTCTCTCAAAAGACTCAACTTTCGCGTCGCGAGATTGCACGACTCAAAACATTGGTGCTCAGCTCCGGTATTAAGGCAATGGAAATTGATCGCCGAGCCCAGGAAAAGCATAAACCATTTGTATCGAATGGCTCTTGCGATTCCGCGCAAATCCCATGGGCAGATATTCAGCGTCTCTGCCCAGAACAAGCAAAACAAGTGGACCGACTGGTTCCCTTCTACGAACTATACCCCATCGCAGCACAATCGCTAAGCATTGCTATTCAAATGTCTGGCCAAAGATGGCAGACGTCCGCCGACCGATTTACCAGTATCACCAGCCCTGAGCTACACAAGCGCATTGGCGGCGTACGCTCTAGACTCGGCGATGATTTGTCTGAGTTGACTAGGAGAGCCGCGGATGACGCCGACGCAACCAGCAAGAACCTCGCGCTGGATCAACCCCTCAAAGTCAAGCATGTCGTTGACATTATTGAGAAGATGCTCCGCAAACGACGCCGCAGACTGCGCTGGGTCCGTCGCGCGCTATGGCTCAGCGTTGAATGGCTCGTCGTCGGTTTCATGTGGTATGTATGGTTTGTCGTCATGATCCTGCGTATCTTCCTTGGTATCGGAAACGGCATATGGACAGGTATCAAATGGATGTTCTGGCTTGAATAGCCTCCTCCTGTCTTTCTCTCACCTTTTTCAAAGTTTTACTTTCCTTGCGTTTTCTTTCTGTATCCTCATCTTGCATTAAACCATTGGGTTGGAGTCCTTTACAGCATTTGATACCCCAGTGTTTTCGACACGGCCCTCGTCGCTTTGACGCCGTTGCTAAGTCTTAAACAAAATAGATGTAATCATTAATTTAGCATGTATAAATAAAGAGCGCACCATGTACAGATTGTCAAAAATGTGAAGCAATATTATTATTAGTGACAAACGAAACTGTAAGACAGCAACTATAGGTTCTACTAAACGAGCGCCTCCGCAAACAGTAACAACCCTTCTTTCTCCGCTTTTACTCAATTCTCTTTTTCCCTTCCTCAGCATTAAGATAGTGCGCAGTGCTTAGACCACGCTCATGCTTAGCCACAAAGGATCCAATGATAGCCGCTTTTCTGGCCTTGGAGAAGTGCTCGTTGTAGCCTTCGGTAGCGAAAGGGCGGGGCTTGAGGCGAGGCCAGTTGACCTAGATATCAGGTTAGTATATGTATTGCAATAAGGAGGTAGATTGTCTGCGCAGAGTACTTACATAGAGCATGCCGTGGCCGTAGATGAAGTGCAAACACCACGCCGCAACACCGGTCCAGACGAGAATAAAGATGCGCATGGGGAGCAACTGAGCATCGGGATCCCGTTTGGTGAAGATGCCAACCATGGTAATGAAGATGGCAAAGGCCAAAACATAGGGGATCGACTGGATCAACAGTGGTCGTCTATCAGCAAAGACGGGTCCTGACCCGATACTCGACTGGCCAGCCTGGTATTCACCAAGGAACAGGTCGAAAGAGTCTTGACGGGGTCCATCAAGGAAGTTGTTACGGAAGTAACGGGTGAGACCGATACGGCCATCCTGGAGAGCACCAAGCTTGGTTCTCTTGCCTGTGCGGGTGACATCAGTCTTCATGGCACCGGTGCCAGAGTACGAGTTGGAAACGGTATCGGCATTGTCGGCCCAGAGGTTGCGGAAGAGGAATTCAAAGGCAGGATCCTCATCCCGGAATGAAGAGCCACGGCTCATGAGGCCGACATCAACAAAGATGCGGTCTAGCATGTAGCGGGCAAAGTTGCTCTGCACAACGTTGGTTCGGTCGAGGCAGTCCATGCAGTTGGTTCGCATAACGCTCGTCTGCATGCTGCGAGCATCGACCTTGTCGTCAATGCCGGCGGGCATGTCGACACCACGGAAGTAGGACTGCACCTCTAGCTGGTGAGCCATTCTGTCTACCAGGTTGTATGCCTTGTGCATCTTCATTCCTTTGGTTTCGGTGTGGAAATCAAAGTAGACGTAGTGAACGCGGTCGAATTCGCGTTGTCCAGACCCAGAGTTGGGTGCGAGCATCTGGCACATGTTTTCATATGACTCCTTGACGCCCTTTTCACGGCCCTTGGAGTTGACAAGGTTGATCAAGTAGTTATCGCCGTAGATGTTGATCTGCTCGTCAAAGTGCAGCTGCGCAGCAGATAGAGCAGCGTCAGTACCGCGGACCTGCAGCTTGGGAGTGTAACGCAAGCTGTTGATCTCGGCCCAGTATGTGGGCACACTGCCTCTCGTTTGAACGTAGGACATAACCTGACGCTCACTGCCGGATGAGCCAAGCTTACCGCTCTGCATGTCAGAGCTGCCTTCATAGCCGCCCATGCTGCCAACAGAATCATTGAGAATGACAATTTGTTCAGTCTCGTTGTAGTTTGCAACATGACCCTTCTCGTCGACACCACGAGTGAAGTAGCGAGTTCCACCACGGAAACGAGAGCGGCGAGAGATGAGGGTCAAGTTGAGAGGCGTGCCCTTGAACTTGGTTTCCTTCATTTCAAACATGCCAAACATGCAAGGAAGAATATAAGGGTCGATGCCAATCTGTGCTCCTGGCTGGCTGCGACTGCCGGTCATGCGGAAGTTGATGAGGTCCGACTGCAGGTAGCGGTTGTAAAAGAAGCGATCGTCGGCTCTCATCCAGAGAGGCTTGGAGCTGTCAGACTGTGCCTGTCGTTGGAATGAGTTTGTGAGATCGAGCGAATATGAGAAATACAACGGGGCGCTTCGCAGAAAGTCCTCAAGAAGGCGGACAAATGTATCCTCATCGGGGTCGTGGATTCGGCGCTCTCGCATGGGCAGAATCTCAGTAGCGATAACCTTGTATACCATGTCGCCCTTGAGTCGGCCAACGGGCTTGGCCTTGCTGATCACGATAACATACTTGTCTGAAAGATCGGTTAGCCCAAGCGGGGAGAGGGAGGGGATTGGGATTGGTTGTACTGACCAAGACGAAGCTGGATCATGCCCAAGATTCCAGAGATGCTGGAGACGCGAGTGGCTCTGCGGCCAGCAGGCAATGCTCCCTGGCTAACTCGGATATCGCCAGTAGGGCGGTCGATGAGGAGAGCCGGCGCATCGGGAGATGACGGGGAGGTGAAGACGTAGGCCTCGTTGGTGACTTTGAGGTTGATGTCGCGAAACGGGAGGAGGGGGCCGGTGATGGGCGCCATGCTGGACGACGTTAGGGGGATCGGCCAGGAGTTGGTTAGAGCCTGAATAGAATTGGCAAACACGCCGCGATGGTCTCTGCAGCGGAGGGGCGATGCAATGGCGAGAACCCGATGGCCGATGCAGTTGGATTTAAAAGGCGGTAGTGATGGCGGAGCAACAACGCCAGCTGTACTGTAAAACCACCGCCACAGCAACTTTGGGCCGAGGACAGCACCTGTTGCCCCCTCTAACGTCACTGTTGGGGAGCTCGAGCACTAAGCCACTTTGGGCGATGGCTGCGGAACGTGCTCTGCCAGGTACGAGCTTGTGATTGCGAGGGATTACATAAGGTGGCTGATGCAACCTACAGCGGCAGGGCAGTGCTGTAGAAGCACTGTAACTGATTCACTAATTCGCGGGTTGAAGAGTCCCATGACTTTGGCATTACTTGGATACAATGTTGAGATTTCTCCTCTATTCAGAATCAAATAAATTATTTGGAAAATATGATTGCATAATAGTGGTCATAAAAAGCATACTGATCTACTAAATTTATTTTTATCTGCCAATAACCTCCGTGTAATTGCATAACCAATTACCCCCAAAGTCAGTCGCCTGCCCATCTCCCTACAGTACGCTGCCCACAGCGCTAAACCATTTTCGCCCTCGTGACTGCAGACTGTCCCAGCCCGCCACCAATAAGCCTCCCAACGCCTGACGTGTGCGGCCGCCTCATCTCAGACTCTCGATTTTGCTCATCCACGATCCATCTGCCGCCCTCACCCGAATCACCAACGCAGTTTTCCAGTCGACTTCAAGCTGTCTCTTCCATCGCAAGTCCTCTTCTAGCCCCTCGCAAATTCCTACTGCCCGCCCGGTCCGCGTCAACAGTTGCCGGTGAACCACAGGCTCTGCCATCCATCCCCCCCAACGCTCGACTCTCCGGTTACGCCGATACCTTCCAAACCCAACCCCAAATCTCACAACAAAGATGGCATCTCGCGGTCCCCAAGCAGGCCGTGGTGGTCTCAACTCCCGCTTTGCTCAGTTCAAGCTGGTTCTCCTCGGTGGGTGCTACTTCTCAACGTCCTGGTGAAAGATCATGCCACTAACCAAACACTCGCAGGTGAATCCGCCGTCGGGAAGGTAAACAACAGTCTTTCGAATTCACCGTTCGTTCCTTATACATTGCTAACTCTCTAAACAATAGAGCTCCATAGTTCTACGATTCGTCAAGGTTAGTATTGTCTGCTGTGATAGCTCTCAGGGCATGGCTAACTTGAGCAGGACCAATTCGACTCTTTCAGAGAATCTACTATCGGCGCTGCCTTTTTGACTCAGACAATCTCTCTCGATGACAGCACCACAGTCAAGTTTGAAATCTGGGATACCGCTGGCCAAGAACGCTACAAGTCCCTCGCTCCCATGTATTACCGCAACGCCAACTGCGCCGTCGTTGTTTATGACATCACCCAATCCGTGCGTCTACAGAATCCATACTGGCTCTCAACATAGTGCTAACCAATTCATAGGCATCGTTGGACAAGGCGAAAGCATGGGTCAAGGAACTACAACGTCAGGCGAACGAAAACATCATCATCGCCCTTGCCGGCAACAAGCTCGATTTAGTCACTGAGCAGCCTGATAAGAGAGCCATCCAGACTGCGGAGGCGGAAGCATATGCAAAGGAGGCCGGTCTCCTTTTCTTTGAGACTTCTGCCAAGACTGCCGAAAACGTTCGCGAGCTATTCACAGCCATCGCCAAGAAGCTGCCTCTCGACCAAGGTGGCCCTCGTCACGCCAGACCGGGCCAGCGCCCTGGTGTAAGCCTTGCACCCGAGAGCTCTACGACAAACATCAACGGCCCTTGCGCCTGCTAAAGGAAGAATTGTTTCTTTATAATTACTTGTGGCGATCTTTGATCGCGGATTGCTTAGCTGCCTCTCGGCCGAAACGATTCCGATGCGAGACAGGAACCGAGAACCACACCTTACGGATAACGATCGAGCGCGAGTTTCAACGCAGCAGTGTATTTCCTGGAGTCCTGGACATGGATGGATTATTGTAGTCTTCTTCATACGTTTGTGCCTATTTTTGGTTTATTTTAATACTCGATGCCACACCAGCCCGTCCTTGGGAGAAGCTCTCGCGCACAGTCGCCAACCTCAACCTGCGGCACGACCACTGGATATGCTTGGTATGGCATGCAATGCATATTTCTTCATTAGATTTCGATAATGTACTTCCGCTTCTGTAGCAGTAAATTATAGTATAGAGAAAGCAGCTACATCTCGGAGTGCTTATGCTCAACTAATCTACCACATTGATGCAAAATGGACGTGACGGCAAGGTCTTTTCAAATAATAAAGTGATTTCCAAACCATTTCATGATTATAGAACTCTCTATTTCCATATATTGGTATTTATTTTAGTTTTATCATCAATTTTTCTGCTGTCAAATCTCTTACCCTTTGCATGTGGTTGCGTCACTCTTCCCGAGTCCCCCCGGGGCCAAAGCTTGGCTGGGCCAGCTAGCGCGGTTAGCCGAATTTTTGCCCTGAGCGTTTTTGTCCGCAAGCAACTCCACGCCAATCACGTTGCCACTCCCCAGCATCGCACCCTTCGATATTCGGTGCCAATTGCATTTTCCAATGTTGCGATCATCGCTTCGGTCAGCAAGGGTACTCGGCAGCCAGCCCGTATCGGCTGCTACCGCGCGCCAATTGCCAATTGCTGCGCCGCGCCGAGCTAACAGCGTGCGTTCCCTCCCCTTCGCTGGCAACCTCATCTCTCTTGCCGCCTTCTGCTTTCCGACAATTGCAATGTATACTAACAGGACCAAATAGCGTTTCTATTCCGACAAGAAGAACGATGCCGATCCCTCGAAACCTGCCGTTCTGCCGACGTCCGAGACTCTTACTTCCGAGAAAAGCCCTCTCCCTAGTGCGAAGGAGGCCATCGAAGAGGTTGTCAAAAACACCCAGATCCCATTGACTCCCCCAGAGCCTACTGCAAAGATTGCTGAGATTGCTGCCCAAGCCAAGGAGAAGGCTGCCGAGGTCGCCTCCAAGGTTGCTCCCGAGGAGAGCCAGGCCCCTCCTCCCGCACCTCCCAAGAAGCTCGGCTTCTTTGGCCGTCTTCGCCGTCTTGTAATGACCCTTTTGGTCCTTGGTGTTGTTGGCTTCAGCGGTGGCGTTTGGTACTCTCGCATTAACGACACTTTCCACGACTTCTTCACCGAGTACATTCCTTACGGCGAGCAGGTTGTCCTCTACCTTGAGGAGCTCGAGTTCCGCAAGAAGTTCTCCCAGGGCGGCCAGCTTCCTCGCGAGATTGGCGAGCAGGTCCGTGTTCCCGCCCACAGCGGTGCTTCATGGCGTGTCGCTGATAGTGGAGAGCCTGTCTCTCGTCGCGCCAGCTCTGCTGCTTCCAACACCAAGAAGGGCCCCGTCAACCCCGTAACCGATGCCAGCAATGCCTCCACCACGGAATCCCTCGCTGCCCAGGCCCCGGGCGCTGTCAAGGAGAAGGTTTCCGCTGCTGCTTCTGCTGTTGCTTCTGCTGTTACTTCCGCCACCAAGCCTGCGGCCGCCGCCCAGAAGGCCCCTGAAGTTAACGAGCCTTCGCGATTCCTCCCTCTCGAGCCAATTGACCTCCTCTCTCTTCCCGATGCTAAGGAGCCCATCGTTCAGGATGTTGTTCGCATGTTGAATGACCTCATTCTCGTCATCAACGCCGATGGTGCCCACAGCAAGTACTCGACAACCATCGACAAGGCTAAGAGCGAGGTTGTCGCCGTTGGCAACAAGCTCAAGGAGATGAAGGGTGCTGTTGAGAAGAAGGCCGCCACCGAAGTCCGCTCCACCATCACTGAGTTCGACAAGTCTGCCACCGAGCTTATCAAGAGAGTTGAGAACACCATGGCTCAGCAGGAGGTTGCTTGGCGCCAGGAGTTCGAGGAGGAGATGAACAACGTACGCAAGAGCTACGACGAGCGTGTCGCTCTTTTGATGGAGCGCGAGAAGGAGCTCAACGAGGAGAAACTTCGCAACCAGCTTCTCGAGCAGGCCGTTGCTTTGAAGAAGGACTTTGTTGCTGAGGTTCAGAGCGCTGTTGAGAAGGAGCGTGAGGGCAGACTTAGCAAGCTCGACGAGCTTTCTGCCACCGTTGCCGATCTGCAGAAGCTTACTGTTGGCTGGAACAACGTTGTCGATGCCAACTTGAAGACTCAGCAGATGCACGTCGCCGTCGAGGCCGTCCGCACCAGCATTGAGGAGGCTATTCACCCTCGCCCCTTCATCAAGGAGCTTGTCGCTCTCAAGGAGATTGCCACCGACGACGAGGTTGTGGATGCCGCCATTGCCTCCGTCAACCCTACTGCCTACCAGAAGGGTGTTCCATCTACATCTCACCTCATTGACAGATTCCGCCGTGTTGCTAACGAGGTTCGCAAGGCTTCTCTGCTCCCCGACGATGCCGGTGTGGCCAGCCACGCTTCCAGCTGGGTTCTTAGCCACCTGATGTTCAAGAAGCAGGGACTTGCTGATGGCAACGATGTTGAGAGCATTCTTACGCGCACGCAAACGCTTTTGGAGGAGGGAGACCTGGACTCTGCCGCTAGAGAGATGAACGGCCTTCAGGGATGGGCCAAGACACTGAGCAGAGACTGGCTCGGCGAGGTCCGCAAGGTTTTGGAAGTACAACAAGCCCTTGATGTGAGTTATACCCGTTTAAATTCCATTACAAGCAGCATTTACTAACCATGTTATCTTCTAGGTTATTGCCACCGAGGCTCGCCTGCAGAGCTTACGAGTTGACTAAAAGCTGAAAAAATCTCATTTGTCGTGTATATTGGTCAGGTGGAGATGGTTCTAGAGGGGTGCTTTTTTAAGCCTATGTATTAGATATTTCGATAGACCATCGAACAATGGCGTCTTATTCTGCTAAGCTGTATCATGGCCTAATGAGCTGCCGTGCCGCCTCTGTTAGGGTTACTGCAAACTAATGCTCGTCCATCTCAAACTGCGTAATCATGTGATGATATTTGTAGTCACTGTTCATAGATTTAGTTTGTTCGTATTCGTTATTTTTAACATCGCCAGACTCATCGCTTGGTGTTGTAACCTCAGTTTTGCTCGGCTCAAGCAACCTGAAGCGCTGGGTAACGTCAGGCACGCGAACACTTTCCCCACAGCTGACCTGCATCACTCCGCACGATACATCTACATCAACAACTTGTAAGCGCAGGCCAAGAAGAAAAATCATCATGGCGACTTCACTTCAGCTTCAGTCTGTACGCTGTCGGTATGCGTCAAGATCAATATTATCAATTCTGGCAAGTACGACAAGCCGCTCCATAGGCAGCCATCATCATGGTCGTCGACGTGCCCTCCACACAGGTTCTCGCTCTTACGCAGATGCTCTGGAGTGTCTTAATCTACTCGCTTCAAATCGCAAGATGACCATTCTCTTTGAGACACAAAACAGCTCCAATCTTTCAACGCTCAACTCGAGATCAATTCCCGAAACTATCGACGCTCTCAAACGCGCAGGCTACTCTACACAAGATCTGGCACGCATGCGCCACATCCACGTCGCAGGCACCAAAGGAAAAGGCTCTGTATGCGCGTTTGCAACCTCTATTCTGAAAAGATACACTGATGTTGGAACCTTTACGAGCCCGCATCTCACCAGTCCAAGAGAGCGAATTGCGCTAAATGGGGAGCCCATCAGCCAGGAGCTCTTTACGGCGTCCTTCTTCAACCTCTGGGACAGATACACACAATCGTCCTTGGCCGAGGGCAAGAGCCAAGACTTTGCTCATGGGCCTGATTCAAAGCCCTTCTACTTCCGCTTCCTCGCCATATTAGCATGGCATATTTTTCTTCAGCAGGGCATAAAGAGCGTCGTGATGGAATGCGGTATTGGTGGCGAGCATGATGCCACAAACATCTTGCCAGCAGATGCTGTCTCTGCTGCTGTCGTCGCACAGCTTGGAATTGATCACGTCGCCATGCTGGGAGAAACGGTGGAGGAGATTGCCTGGCACAAAGCTGGCGTGTTTAAGAAAGGTGTCAAGGGCTTCACAGTTGCTTCGCCTTCACAACCGGGGGTGATGCGCGTCTTAAGGTCGAGAGCAGAAGAGAAGGGCGCAGAGTTAATTGAACTTGAAGAAGACGTATTGTCAGCCTGGGATGGGGTGCGCGGTATTCTGCAAGGAGACTTCCAGAAAAGCAACCAAGCATTGGCATTGCTGGCTGTCAAGGCACATCTCGGCATGGACACTGAGCCCGTTTCCTCCTTGAAGAGCATCCCAGACACAATGGTCACTGGGTTAAAGGAGGCTCGCATCCGTGGACGATGTGAAGTTCTGCAGCAAGACAATATCAGATGGTTGCTTGATGGAGCTCATACCAAAGAATCGCTTCAGCAAGTCGCAAAATGGCTCGCTCAAACTATTCGTCCTAATGAGTCGCTCAGCCTGATATTCAACGTTCAGGAACGCAACATCACCGAGCTGCTCACTGTGCTGATGGAGGCTATCCAAGTGGAAACCCAACGACCAGACGTCGTCAGCCGAGCCATCTTCACGCCAAATGAACAACTCGCCGCAACGGCTGAAGAAGGCGATCGCGACTTGAGTCTGCAGCAGATGGGAGCTGACGCTATGCAAAGACTATCACCAAGCTGTGCCGTCGAAGTATGCGAGAGCTTATCACAGGCCATCGCCAGTGCTAGAGAATCGACGACAAAAGATTCTTCGGTTTTGGTCACTGGAAGTATGCGCCTTGTCGGTACCACACTTTTAGAAATTGAGCCAGACGCTTTGGTTTGAGGGCTGATTTATGTACATATATTTTAACAGTTAAATTACAAAGCGCTGACATTTTCCAATATGCCCAGAGCGCCTCCCACCAAGTGTATACTTCCCGTGACGTAAGCTTGGACTTTGTGGCCAGGCTCAAGATCTTGCCCAACACTTCTGGCAAAGGCCAGCGCTTCTTCAATGCTGCGGATGACGCGCACATCAGCCGTTGGATCTAGCGAGGACCACTTCTCTGCAAAGCGATGCTGCACGGTCATCTGCTCAACTTCTTTTGCGTCGACCTGCTTGTCCACAAAGTCTCGCTTGTATCCTACGTCAGCGTAGGTCAAATTGGTACAAAACACAACATGATCGAAGGCAAGCGGTCGCTTTTCAGTTCCATCAGACGGTCTTTTGCTGGCGTTGAATAGTGGTTCGAGGAAATCAACCGCTTCAGAGCGGCCTTGTTGGTTGAAGATGAGAACTCTGGGCCCCGGACTATCATCACAAATTAGTACAGGTGTCAGATATACGCTATGGTTGCAATACCATACCTTTTATTTGCCTCCGTCGCAAACCACTCTGACGAAACTCGAAGGCTATCAGAGGTATGCGCGCCGTCAATGTACCATGTGACCGCGCGCTCCGTCTTGACTTCACAGCGGCCTCGGAACACCGTCTGCTCAATGCCGTCCACAAACTCAGTAGGTAGAGGATCTGCGGAAAATCCAAGAGCATGGGTCTTTTTCAGAGCCTCTTCTGCCAGCGCAATAGCTAGCGACGCGTTCATCTTTTGAAATTCGGCATCAGGTTGCACTTTTACACCTGCCAGCCGCGTGTCCAGTTCAAGCTTCTTCATGTCAACTCCTCTCTCGGCAGCGACCTTGTCCAAAACTCCCATGGCAGCCGGTAGCTGTGGGACTGTATATGCCGGGCTGCCTGTCTTCATGATACCAGCCTTGTGCCAAGCAATCTCTTCAATAGTGTGTCCCAACACCTGAACATGATCAATTCCGAGCGTCGTGATACCTGTTGCGAGCGGCTTTGACACGAGATTTGTCGCGTCAAATTGCCCTCCTAGGCCTGTCTCATAGACTGCCACGTCTACGCCCTCTTGTATAAAGACATGCCAACTCATCAGAGTAAGATACCGCCCATAGAGAGGCCGCGTTCCTAGCGGGACGGCGCTGGCGTCCACCGTGGAGTTTCCGAGTCGATCCCAGACTTCAAAGAAGTATTTTGCGAACAAAGACTCTGATATCGGCTTTGAGTTGATTCGTATGCGTTCGCGCACTGATATAAGATGCGGCGATATGAAGAGACCCGACTTGCGCAGCGACAATTGCTTTTCTCGACACTGGCCCAGAATAGAATCAATAAAGGCGCACGTGCTGCCTTTGCCCTTTGTCCCAGCTACGTGCACAATATTGATACTATTTAAATCATCAGGCTGTTTAATTGTTAGCAAACATGTCCAAGCGCCGGTAACGGACCATGCTCACTGAGTAGCCGATGCGTTTGAGATATGTCTGCATTTCCGCCATGGCAGCTTCATCGTGGCGAATGCCGGCCTTTCGCCTGGCCTCAATCAAGGCAAAAGGCGTTTGTAAAGAATTTAACGCGTCAACAGCGTCCTGAAAATATTGGTTAGATCCTAAACATCCTGGCCATGATGGCAACGAGATCGCTACTCACATTGTAAGACCGGCCGGCGATGGTGGCTACCGTGCGTCGCGGCGCGAGGCATATAAACTTGGCCGTGCGAGTCGCTATACGACATCGTAAAATGCTTATCCTCATGGCAAAGGACTTTTTGGCTGTTTGTGGTGTAAACGAGCCGCGATATCGCAGCAATCCTGTCGGAGAGGTGTTCTTGAAGAAACTTGTATTCGTGGTGGAGGAGTCTCTGCGCAACTTGTGCTGTTATAGCTTGGCGCGATGGTTTGGCCATTACAACGAAAATCATATCTTGAAAAAATATGGTAAATTTATAGTATATATAATGAAAGTGTTTTTGGTTGAATATCTCTACATTTTTAATTTGGCGCCACATATCCCCAACAACCAGCAATATTCGAGTCACTGTCAGTCACTGTCACAGCAACTAACCAAGGCAGACTCTGTTTGTGAACATATAAATAATATTGTTTTAGAATTTTGCAAAATTGCATCAATTATAAAAATTATTCTCTTAATAGTCAATTTCAAAACAGCAATTATCACACCGCAACACCGTACCTGTCCTCCGTCCACTTTGTCATACCAGTAACAACAGCATTCGTGAATGCCTCATCGTATTGGCGCCCATTGTCTGCATGGGCCACCTTATTTCTCCAAGTGAGCCAATTATCGGCCATAGGACCTTCGGGAGCCCGAAGTATGCCGACAGCAATGTCCACGACATTGGTCTTTCTGGGATCAACTACATCATAGTAGAAGATCGTGGCGCCACAGTCACCGCAGAAACTCCGAAGAACGTCCTCAGAAGATTTATACGTCTTCATCGTCCCAAATTGAAAATCCAATGGCATTTTGGGTTCAATCCTGTTAATGCAAACAAATGTCCACGCCACAACTGTCGTACCAGTTGTTAGACGACAGTCATCGCAGACATCAAGACTAGCCATCCATTTCAAAGGGTTTGTCGCTGAGACAACATGTTGTTTGACGAATGGGTTCTCTGAATCTTCAGCTTGAGGTCTTGCAATGGTGAAAGATACGCCACCACAGCGACACTTGGCTCGCAATCGCTCTTGTCCATCTGGCCCAACTCCAGGCTCGTTCTCCGTCGGCTTAGAACTTGGGTCGTCATCGGGTGGATTCCAGGACGGTACATCTTTACCGGAAATTCTGGTAATAACATCTGAGACTCCTCCATCTTTCGCTGATTTGCTGAAGACGTGTGAGCTGTAGTTGACCACGTCTGCATTCGACATGTTAAGAACTGAGGTGGACACTGTCCAGCTTCCGTCATCCAAACCAATGGCAGTTATGTGGCAGCCGCATGTGGAACAAAAGTTCAATGTATATCCGCAATTTTCCATCCTAAAACTCTTCATGTTCTTCTCACTGGATGGAGCGATGAAGACAGGTCTCAGAGTTTCGGGAAGAGCAGCATGGAAGATGCAAGGGCCGCCAGTTGCATATCGACATGTGCTACAGTGGCACATGTAAGTCTTAAGAGGAAGCACAGATGTAGGAATCTGTAGAGTAAAGTGAACAGAGCCACAAAGGCATTTGCCTTCTAGCGTCTTGGTATCAGCCATTGAGAGCCGGGCCGGATTGGTTGAGTTTGTCTGAGAATGTACGTTTGTATGAGAGTGGAAGGTTTTTAATCCATTAAAAGAAATAACAAGGTGGGTAGGAAATTGGCCCCTTTATGTAACCGTCGCCTTAGATTGTAAACGAGAAATTATGTGGGGGAAGCGTGAACGGATAGACAGAGTTCTAAGTGCAAGTTCACGACAGTGCCGATCTCCTTCAGCCTCACCTGTCATTGGTGCTACTCCTCCCCGTATTGCGCGGTTCGGCCAACAGCCGGTGGCAGCTTTTGTTTAATTAAATCTTAGTCATTGTTTCAATTCCGAACACATAATACTTTCCAAAAGAGAAAAATATTCCGGATATTTATTTGACTATGTAGTTAGCATGCGCCTAACGTTGTTGCGGAGCATCGTCATAGTGGGGTGGGGATAACCGTTCGTTCGCAACGCTTCCTAATTTTTTTCCTTCCTTCACCGTGGCGAATCTTCTCTTCAACAACGCGCATTCTCCCGTCTCCAGTGACGTTTGTACAAAAGACCACGGTCTACGGCGCCTGAAACCATGGCTTCCGGCAGCGACAGTCTTCTCGATCTCGAAAAACACTGCAAGCAACTCGAAGAAAATGTCAAGCAGCTGCAAACAGCCCTCCAGCACTGGAGGACGTGGGATGCCGAGTATGAGTCCCTTAAAGAAGAAATCGAAGCGTTACCATCATCAGCAAGCTCAGAACAGCTGAGGAATATCAGAAACGCCTTCGATGCCGAGCTCGTGGTGGGCAAGGAGCTAGACGAGATCTTCGGCCAGCAGCAGACAAAGACACGCGATCAAATTGTCAACCTTCTTGAGCGACGAATCGACTATGTTACAAAGAATATTGAGAGCCTTTCTCAGCAGCTCGAGAAGGCAGAGAACAAATTCGCAGCGGCTTCCGTCATCAGCGCTCCTGATGCCGTTGACGAGGATGGACAGCCCATCACCGAAATTGTCGAAGAGCTGGATGACGACGACAACGTTGTTTCGTACAAATTAAATAAGCCGGGCGACTCTATACCTCATGTACAAGACGCTCTCAAGAAGGCTGGCGTCAGGGACATTGAAGAACTACAGAACTCCCTCCAAAACACCAAAATAGCGTCGAACAAAGAGGAAACCTCGTCCAAAAAACAAACGGTAGCGCCTCCCAAAAAGACTGTCGCTTTCGCCGAAGACGCCAAGGATTCTGATGAGCCGAAACCGCAAATATCAAATCGCGCCATGCGCATTGAGCAGATAATGAAAACAGCGAGAGATCAGGAACAAGAAGGTGTCAAGGATCCCGTGATCCCCGACGATGAAGATCCCGAGGATGCACTTCTAAGACAACAAATGCTCAAATATGGCATGGGAGAGGTTGGTGCTGTGGTCGCAGAACTGGAATTGGAAGAAAACGGCGGTGAATTTGACGACGACGACGACGAAGACTGGCTGGAAGGCGACGAAATGGACGACGATGATGACGATGACGATGACAACTTTGGCCGTTACAAAGGCCGCATGATCACAGATGCCTATCGACAGCGTATGCTAGAATTGGAGCAGAAATTAGGTATCCAGTCACGCTTTACTGCTGCTGCAGCGGCTAAGACTACGCAAGAGGATGACGATGAAGGCTTCGATGAGCGCGTGGGTAAAATTGTTGTCAAGGGGCAAGAATCTACCGCGCCTGTACCAAAATCGGCTGCTACTCCTGCGAAATCCAGCATAAAGCAGAACACGAGCGACTCTGAAGGTAAGAAAGGCGTCAAGTTTGCACCAGCGCTCGACATTGCCGAGGCGTCCCAGCCTGTATCCTCAGCAGCCCAGTACGTCGTAGAACCTCTCAGCGACATTGTCGAACGGCCAGCTCGACCAACAACTACACCGAAAGCGAGTTCCTCTCAGCGCCCTTCGCGCTTCAAATCGGCAAAGACGGCATCAAATGCTGCTCCATCTGTCACCATGGGTCAAAACGCTATCAGGAGCGATTTCCTGCCGCAGAGTGAAGCTCAGCCAACGCCTACGGGTCCTCCAGGTATTACCATCGCAGACAAGCTCGTCGAAAAGCAAGTGACCGCTGCCCCGGTCGAGCCTGAATTGGTAGACGATTCCATGATTCACTTTGAAGTCGCCGATGAACATCACCGTCTTCGTAAAAAGTTCATCCAGAGAGAGGGTGGGTTTCTACAAGAGGAGGAGACGACCACTCAACACGTCGACGATGATGATGACGGAACTCCACGGATGAGCCGATTCAAGGCAGCGCGATTATCCCGCCAGTAACTTAAAATAAGTATTCGTACAAAAGCAACGAGAAAAACAACTAAGAAATTATGATATCCAATTCAATAGCGTGCGTTGTGACAAACTGTGCCTTTAGCAACGGAACGCGTTTTTCAAGATCGTCTCTCCGGAGACTGGTCAAAGTGCTGGGTAGTCAATTCCATCTGCTCCAGTACGGCTACGCTGTTCCAAGATTAACTGAATTTAATTTCATGACCGGCTCTCTGACGGCTTGACTGATTCCGGGTTTATCGGCTTCTGCGTAGTCTCGACGTTCTTTACACTGGCCACAACTTTCGCGATACCCGTAGCACTGCGTTAGATATGCTATAGGGTAGTCAGCGTAATTGTGTAATTTTGCGCAAAATTATGTATTCACGTCTATATACAATCTTTGAGATGTCTCGAAAACATAATATAATATCTTTTCATAGTAAATTTGTGATTTCTGCGGGTGAAAGTGCTAATAATAAAGATGTTCGTGTAAATGACATTTGCCGTTCATTATACTTCAAGTTGACAAGCGGCTGATTTGGAACTTCAACAGAACTTCAAATACAAAAACAAATGGATATTCATATAAAAGAAAGACTAACAAATAAAGAGAGCAACTTAAATATTTTTACCCCCCAAAAAATATTTTCTACGACATTGAAGAAAAAGGCAAAAAGAAATGATTCCGCCCGGGCTCGAACCGGGGACCTTCTGTGTGTTAGACAGATGCCATAAACCGACTAGACTACGGAATCAGCTTCTTATACAAGGAGAGGTCTTAATTATAATTATAAGCTACTGACATTAGCACCACCTAGATGCAAAACCAAGATTCATAAAATTGCACATCGCGCACATAGAAACCATATTTGACATCATTCAGTTATTATTATTAATAGTACAATTTACATTTTATAATCGTCAGTTGCACGGATACTCATGATCTTCCCTTTCCGCTCAGCAGCGCAGAAATGGTATCTGAAAACGTAGCTTGACCAGCCGCCTGCCGTGCATCTCGCTCGTCTTGCTTTTGCTGATAAATGCCCTTGACACGCTCTGCAACGTCAGAGCTGGCTTGTAAATCTGCCCTCAAGGCAGCCTCTTCCGCCTCTCTCTCATCCTCAGGCAGCTTCTCAAGCTTATCCTTCCACTTCTTTTGGAGTTCATCATTGGGGTTAACCGCTGCCGCTGCAGTTTTAGGCACCCCAGATTCGAAAATAGGAATAGGGGTACCATCCTTCTTGGCCTGCTCGACAGCCTCCTCATGTTTCAACATGCGCTGGAACAGAGTATCAGCGTGCATTTGGATATCATCTTCGATCTGCGGCGAGCGTCCCAAAACAGATCCGTAGCCCAATGCTTTTAGGAAACGCTACAAGTATTGGAGTTAGTCAAAAAGGAAAACGAATAGTGCCTCTTGATGGGACAATAACGTACTGCTTGCATAGTGTAGCACCGCTCGTACCGCCGAACTTGATGTCGGCACATTTGCAATTGATCCTTCCAGCTGCCGTTTTTCATGCAGTTTACCCATTCTTCTTGTTGAATAGCGCAGTTCTCCATGGCAGCCTTGCTAATCGCATTCTTCCGCTCCTTAAAACCCTCCAGGACGTTCATTAATTTGTCATGATCTGTTGCTCCTTCGTCCTCGATCTGGGCCAGAGGCTTGTAGTTTTTCCAAAGGTGCGCATATCTGCCATCTTTATATAGACTGCCCTCAGGCGAGCTTTGATTGTCTGTAGGCTGGCTCTGGTTTGTGGTGTCGCGTTTCGGCGCGGGTGCTGTTGGACTCTCCTTTACGGGATATTTGACAGGCGATTCTTTCTGCAAGAATTCTCGCAGCTTCGGATCGAGATTTTCGAGGGGGTCATTGGAATTCTGACCCCCAAAAATTGAAGGTATCCAGCCCATGGCGAATGTCGGAGCTTACTATGGAAATTATTAGTCAAACGAAGTTTTGTCAGAGGTCCTGTCGCGATAGTTCGACTACAGTGTGGGACATACGAACACTGTGTAATTGACACTGTAGTCTACAACTGTTGCCTCGGACGTCCTCTAATCTAGATTGGATATATAAATTCATGCTACGAATTGGTGCAATCGCATTAGTTGCAGTCAGTAGTGAAAGATGGCTAGTTAACTTAAAGTATCCCGGACGGAAAGGGCTATACGGTCTAGAAATCTTGCATTGGACGTTTTTACTTGCGTTTCAAGCAGATAGGTCATTCATTCTGTAAACAACCATGTCGAGTATCGAGCAGGTGGTTGGAACATACTCTTTTAAAAGGTATACTCCATTATGTATGTCAAATCTTCGTCTGTTCATAAATCCTTTTTTATTTCGATTGTATCATACTGCAACACAACCATCGAAAACAAGTAGCTTCCGGTGCCCAACCCTACAGAAGGAATGACCTATTCCAATCTGTTGTTTATCACGCCAAAAAATGCCACATTAGCCCCATTTAGAACTTGCTGAACTTCTTAACAGCCTTGCCAGTTCGTGGCAACACACGCAGAACGTTGAAACGGACCTATCAACGACATTAGTTTTGTTCGTGGAGAATTTTCACCCTGTGTGAAATCATAACGCCAACTTACGGTCTTAGACAAAGGACGGCACTGGCCAACGGTGACCTGGTCACCCTCCTCAACACGGAAAGCGGGGGAGACGTGGGCGGCCAGGTTCTTGTGGCGCTTCTCGTAACGGGAGTACTTGGGGATGAAGTGAAGGTACTCTCTGCGGATAATGAGGGTACGGTGCATCTTGGTGGAAACGACGGTACCGGTCAGGATACGGCCACGGATAGAGACGAGGCCGGTGAAGGGGCACTTCTTGTCTGTCGTCATATGTTAGCAATATTTCGGCATGGGTTCGCAAATTTTCGACCGGTTCGTCTCGCTCGGTATGATGCTAGGCGATAGATTGCTGTTCTCAACGTGCTTGTGGTGCGAGTCGCGCGTTGCTATCACCATCGTCTCGGAACTTCGACTCGATCTTCAATTCGCTTTGCGATGCCACATACCAATGTAGCTGCCCTCGATGGCAGTCTTGGGGGTACGGAAACCAAGACCAACATCCTTGTACCATCTGCGGCCGGACTTGCCAGGTCTGGCGCTCTTGGCCTTGACCTTGGAGTTTTGGAAGATGTGAGGCTGCTTCTGGAAAGCGCGCTCGGACTGGACGGTCAGCTCGGTAGCCCTGTTAAATATTAATTAGCATTTATGATTCAATTAGTCTGAACCATCAGCATCTTCGGATACTCACATCTTGAAATATCCTTTCTCCGTAGAGGTGTCGTTACAAGAAGGGTGTCGGTGATGCGTGTGAACAAAGATCCGCAAAATTGCACAGATGGTAGAGGTAGGGCAACATGGCGCACCAAAATTTGCGCCCACTTTTCCAGCTTAGGGCTTGCAAAATTGCTGCGTACGCGAGCCTGTTGAATGGGTCTCCATCATGGCACGTGATCTATAAAAGACCCCAAGTCCTCTGTCCCCCAGCGAGATCATGTGACTGCGCGGGACCCTCTGCAAAGTCAAGTGGGGTATGGAGACACGCCGGTACGTACCGTTTAGGTGGGTGACAGCCAAAGTAAACAAACGCGGTCATCGCGACTAGCTAAATTAAACGTTGCGCAAAGTTCACCATTCGTGGATGCGCTGCATGTGCTTTGTAGCAACGTCCCTATTATGTCTTCTTTCGCAGATCCAACCGTGCCTGCAACACGGAGACCGCGGAAATCTTTAAATTCGAATACACATTTTAAAACAGCCATGGACCAAGAGAACGCTACCGTCGATGTCACCAGCCAATCGACCTTTCGAGCCAGCCGCAACAAGTCAAGAAGCAAAAGTGTCGGGCCGGGGGGATTTGACACCCTCCGTCAAAGTGCCGGAAACCGTCGAGCTGTATGTATTGTGCCCGAAATCACTTCTATTAGGAACATCTAAACTGACTATTGTCGTAGTCGCTGGCGGCCCCTCGTTCTATATTGAAGCCTCGCCTTTCCGATGCACCAAGCCCGCAGAGGCACAAGCGACAATCCGATGTCTATCGAAGGAGTGATGGCAGAGAGAACCGAACACAAACGTTGGATGAGCCAACCATTTCCAAGATTGCGCTACGCACAGAAGAAGAACAACAGGCCGCTGCCCGCGAACGGGAGGAACTTGAACGCAGGGACGCACGCCGCAAATCTCTTGCCAATCGCAGGGTGTCTTTCGCTGCAGAGGCTACTCTGCACACTTTTCACGAACTCGATTCTTTGCAAGAATTAACGACATCGACCGATTCGTCTAGACGAGCATCATCTACGGCTGGTTTACCAGCAGCTTCTGCATTTGAAAACAATACGGCACACACGCAACCAGGCGATACGTCTGACCTGATCTTTTTCCAGAATGATGCTGGACCATCCAACTTCAATCCGACTCCCAACAGCAGAGATGACACTATAACCTCCGCCATGTACAGCTCTGATTCAGAGCCCGCTGATGCAGTAGAAGACGTGATTGACGAGGAGGAGGACGATGACGACGAATCCTCCAATAGTGACTCGGAAGATGGAACAATGATGACTATTGACACCGAAGATATCACAGGCGTATCCATGGCTTCGGACGGCTTTGACGAAGAGGATGAGGGCGAGGGTTCATCGACTCTCGACCAGGCTCTTCGCCTTGCAGCACAACGTGCCAACACACAACGCCTTGATGACGACGATGAAGAGGAAGAAATTATCCCGTCATTTGGTTGGGTAAAAAACGCAGGACAAGGAAATGCTGCGTCATCACAACGGTCTACTCCCCAACAGTGCGAAGTAACCGCGATCGGCATGGATATGGACTTGACGACTGCAATGGGTGGTATTGTCAATACGCAGTTCACCGAAGAAATTGAAGCAGACGAAGATATGTCAATGGATGTTACCAAGGTATTGGGTGGTATACTTGCCCAAAAAACAGTAGCATTGTCAGACGACGTGCAGTCAAACTCAGGCGAAGCAACGATGGAATTTACAACTGCCATTGGAGCTATCCAAGATGACAGCGAAAACGACAGTGTCGCTGATGATGAAGGAATGTCAATGGAACTTACGACTGTGTTAGGTGGAGTGGTTTCTCAAGAAAAGCGCAAGAGCATTGCAGTAGCCAGACGACAGACCCTCAGTCAAATGTCTGATGCAGATGATGCTATGGATATGACTGTTGGATTTGGTCATATTCTTCCAACAGAAACGGATGGACCAGTGATTCAGGATGGAGATGACGAGACCATGGGTATGGATATGACTAGGGCATTGGGTGGGATCATACAGAGTCCTGCACTGAATGATGCGAAATCATCTGCTAAACGGCTATCGAGATCACATGCCAACTTCTTCGTGCCCGATTCATCACCTATTATCATGTCCCCAAAGAGGAACTCTCCGACACGCAACTTATCCAATTCTCAACAACAGAGTTCACCAGGCGTTTCGAGTCCAGGTTTGCTATCCGCGCGAAGCAACCCTCGCCGAGGTTCCGAAACTCCAACAGCTCCCCGAATAACTAGATCTCGATCACGGACGCCATCGCCGATGAAATCAAACTCCACATTAGAAACTACAGCGGTCCCTAATCTGCGCCGTGTTAGCCAGGAGGCTAAGCCAATCACGCCCACGAAACTCATGAAACCTCAATCAACTACCTCGACCCCGTCGCGCTCGTCTCAGCGTTTGACGAACAAGACAGCCAATCAGTCTACAGGGGCGCCTCAAACAGGGAACCGTCGACTTTCAGGTTTAGGCGTTGATAGGGATGGCTTGGGGTCTCCATCTGTTGCCAAAATCATCGACCGTCGAGCATCCATTGGCGACTCAGCTGCCGATTTTGTGGCAGGCAAAAATCTCATTTCATTCGAAAGTCCCCGACAATTGGCCGAACAGCTACGAAAAGAAGAACTCCAAAATGCTCAGGAGAACGAGCAGCGAAATGGTCGGCATGTACAAGTCTTGGCACCTGGGAAAGAAGACAGAGAGGCGACAGTCACCCTCATGGATCTTATAGATACCCTCAGCCCAGCGAAGAAGCCTCTCAATGGTCGCAAAAGTTTGCATGTTGGCAGCGCGCGGGGTGTTCTTGGAAAGCGACCTGCCGAGCTGGACGACGAGGAAGCCGAGGAGCTGGACGGTGTCGATAAGTTGATTGGACTGCAGGCGAGCCCCGTGAAGAAAATACGCTTGCAAAAGCCAACCATTGTTGCAGATATGGGGAAATTGACGCTTCATAATACCGTCCCATTGGATTACCTTGGAACACCTCACGCATTGTCACCAACAAAGGCTGCTCCATCGACAACACCACGGAAACTCGGAGGCTTTAAGGACTTGAAACAACATCATACGATTCATAACTTGAACCTTCAACCAGAAGGCCCGTCAAGCAGAGATGATGTTGATGATCAACGTGAACCCGACCAGATTCATCTCCAGGACTTCTTGGATATGACGTCCATTCGCTTCATGGAGCTGAATACTACGAAACGCCGACATACCACTGCTCCCACTGAGTCCATGAATGGAAGGCGAGCTAGTGATAGTGATGACATGTCGCTTGAACGATGTGTTGTTGCGAGCGCTTGCACGGTGCCAAAACTTGAGCTTTACCAGCATTCATGCCGGGAGCTGAAGAAGTACATCTCGGAGGGCCGACGAATGGTGAAAGAAATCGAGGCAGATACCTTTGAAGATAACCCGCCTTTATTCAAAGAATATCTCTCCGCGACACCGGACGTCAGGGCTTTGATGGACAATCAGTTCAAGAATGTACGAACTCATGCTCGCTTGCTCAGCAAGGCTATGTGGTACGAATGGCGTATGAAGTTACAGGACGGGCTTAAAGAAGGTCTTGTTACTATCAACAACGACATGGAGCAAGACTATAGAACATTAAAGCAACAAGAACATCTGCTGGCATCGGCATTGCCTGATCTCGAAGCCCAGTTTGACCAGTTGGATTCTCAGCGACAGGATCTTCAGAGTGCAGCTCAGGAAATCGCTGATTGCGATCCCGAGACGCTGAGCAGCACGCGCGATGAACTTGTCTCTCTTAAAGAACAGATTGATCAGAAGACTCGTCTTTTGGAAGAACTCCGAAGCGAATACCAAACCTCCGAGAGCTATGTGGATGAGCTGTCCTCTAAGAAATCAGACATTTTAGCAGATATTGCGCAGTCAGAAAAAACTCGAGAAGACTGCCGCGGTTGGAGTAGCTCCGAAGTTCGAGCCCTTCAAGGTATGAACCTCCACATTGTGTTTGTCGAATGAATACTGACGATAACACGTTTCTAGACCGAGTTGATGGCCTTGAAAAGGATTATGGTTGGGCCGTCACTGGCATTTCTGGCGCAAATATATCCTTGTCATATAAACGAGAGATTGAACTTGTCTTAGACATATCATCTTTTCAGCCTAACGGAAAACGGTCACAAATCGACTTGTGGTACATTGCCGATAGCAGAGAAGCACACCCTTTGCCTCGTACAACCGAAAAGGAATTTTTCCTGCAGTGTATCCGAGAAAACATCCGATCTGTGCTCCAAGCGTCAACCAGTGTTGGATCCATTCTGGAGATGGTCCAAAGAGACTGGGACAAGGCAATGTTTGTATCAGAGCAGCTTCGAAAGATCAATTCAACTTTCCCTACGACTGTTACGAAAACTTCTGATACCAGTATCGAAGTCAATATTAGCATGCTTCTTCGTCAGCTGGAAACCAGAGTTGACCTTATCTTGGAATTCCAAGGCCGAACTGGAAAGGGTGACGTCGAAATCGACATCACAAGCTCTGCTACGGTGCCGTATGGCCAACACTTCAACGTTGCAAAGATTAAGGACTTTTTAAGTGCACGAATAGGCGGAGGTCTAAAGTCTACGGGAGAGACCTGGGTTGACGGATTGGTGGAGCTTCAGGGCAAGCTTATTGCGCGTGGACGAAAGTGATGAGACTACTGCTATATGCAGCACAGTACATATTTTAACGAGGCGGATGCAAAGGATGGGGAACATGCTAGTCACAGGCGTTAAACGGTACCGGTTGCATCATTTATGATTGGATTGATTTCACGGACAATATAATTACTGCGAGGCGTTCATCTTTTTGCCAAAGAAAACAATCAGTTCCTTTTGCACGCGAGACTGTGCTGAAACGACTTTTTGATACTCAGTGATGTAACAAGGCCATGTCTGATTACTTTGTTCGTTACCCACAAAGCCGAACAGTACACCTTTGTTGACCTGAACACAACAAAGAAGCAAACAAAGGGAGCACCAGCAATCTGGTACCTGTACCTGGGTTCGGCTATTTGCGCGGGGTAGAACAGTCGCGTGGCTTACAGAAACGAACAGTAAATGTTACAGACTCAGGTCGATATTACTAGTATAAAGTTCCATATATCATGTAAATGGACCATGGTCCAGAGATGTCAATAACTACGTTGCAAATCGACATATCGCGAATGAGCTTGCAAAGGCATCATTAATCCGACAAATACTGCCTTCAAGACGATACATACGTGTAATACCAACTACTTGACGACTATTACGCTCGAAACGTCTGCAAGATGAAATACTCATGCGATATATACGGCGACAACAACGAAGACGACGGCCAGCCTTGCTTTATTCAATAGGTCGAAGATAGCACAACGGTCAGAATCGTCTCTGGGTTGGTCATTCTTTACAATGCGCCGCTAACCGTGGCCATAGTTGCGATTATTGCGCCCATTGTCGGGTTAGCTCCTTCAGTACGAGAACTTCTTGTTACCACCGCATCGCGCCGGCAAACACTGGAACCACAGCTCGAAACAGGCGCGCCACCAAAGACACCGCAACCCGAGCCTGAGAAGGAGTATAGGCCCTTGAGTTTTAGCTCTATTCGCCCCATCTACTTGAAGCCCGTTGCACCGCAGGTGGTTCAGTTGGTTTTGAAGAGGAGTAGCACGCAGGCTAAACCTCAAGGTATCAAGCCCAACGGCAATATACTCAAACCATCTGTTCCTGCAACAAGGCACTCGCCAACTCCGACGGAACCCGTTACGCAGCGTTTTGACAAATCAGTCAGTAGATGGCCAAGAGACTGGGGAGACAAGCAATTTCCATGGGCAAATTTGTCCAAGATCGAGGACGGAACTCAGCGAGGAAGAACGGAGAAACCCGCCCGGGACCTTTTAAGCCTATCCAACGCAATGGAGCGGCTATCAAGCGCGCTGGAGAGAACGAAAACATCCATCGACTCACAGGCTTACAAGAACAACGAGATGACTACAGTGCTTCAGGCGACCGTTGATGAGATGAACCAAGCCCGAAAGAGGTTTGAGGCGCTCCAGGCTCTATATGCATACCAGCATTTCCCCTGGCAGCCGAACGACTTGGATATAAGCGGATCGTTAGTCTCAGATGGGAGCCGTCTTGAGCCGATGGATCTTGATAGTCCGGTTCTTCAGGCTGTCACTACTCTTCATGAGAACCCGCGACTAATACCCTCAGACCTTCTGGAACCGCTGCCTTCCCTGGTGGTGACAGATACGACAGGTACCTCGGAAGAGATACAGATGGATTTCACCACCGCTAATAGAGATGGGTCTATTGATGAATGGGCGGTTGTATTTGACCGTCTCCGTCGCTATAAAGAGTATAAACCCACGATGCCTGCCTACTAGCAGATGAGCTCTCTGACGCAAGATGTGGTTTTGCTGGTTGGGTCGGACTGACAGTGTTGGAGTTACGGCCCTGACGAAGAACTGATTGACAAGTGGGCACTAAAAGTTTCCTATAGATTCGACGCAGCAGTTACTGTTTGAAAAGATATAGACGATAGCAGACAAGGTAGACAGACTTGCAATGCCAAACATACTGTCATTTGTGTATAACGCGGAGAAGTAAATTAGTCATTAAATGTTCATTATGGAATGCTACTGATCGTAGCCATGTTATGTCCTGCTTTTAACCTTCATCCAGCCTTTTGAATCCCGCCGTGGTGAACCAAGAAGGCTAGGCTTTACAGCCGCCGAGTCAGCTTCTGCCGCCGCGGCGTCTTCAACCTTCCACTCATCGTCATCCAGAACCTCCCAATCGGCTACGGGAATTTCAGGTAGAAGTCGTTTCCTTAGTTGATCGGCAAGTTTCATTGGGCTTGGCAGTTTGAAGCTTTTAATCAGCTCGCCTCCGTCAGCTCCGCCCAAGAAGTAGAACATTGTTCCGTGCGAAAACCGGCCAACCCAGTTGTACGTATTTTGGTCTCCCTGATAATCTCGCGGTCGATCCTGGGGAGGGGCAGGACCCGAAGTCTGAAGAGAAAAGCTAACAAACAGGTTATAGAGATTCCTGCCGATGTTGAAGATGTCATCAAGCGAGCCCTTTTCGCCAGTTGAGGACCCTTGTGTTCGGCAAAGCCATGCAACGTCGTATGCTAGAAGCGCAATGGCTTCCAGGAAGAATGAGTAAGTTGATGGATCGTCCTTTAACAGCTGATTGACAGTCTTTTCAATGTACAGCGGACGAGGCCTGGGGATGTTCTGATGGTCAAATCCCTTGGGATCAAGAGTTCCTGAACTGGACCCTTTGGCAATTGGAAAGGACAAGTTGCCTTGCTGGTAGGAGCCAACCAAGTTGAAGATGGTTGGTCTTGGGTAGTCTCGATGAGGTAGAGTGATTTCTGCGGGTAGGCGGATGGCGAGGTAGTGAGCAATAAGCACAACGATGTGGGCAATGTGAGCGAGAGAGGTTGATATTGCCTCTGGAGAGAGGGCTATAAAGAAGCATTAGTACATCATTTGAAAGAGTGGAAATTGTAATAACACATACCGTCCATAGTTGTTATGTCGAGAATAGGCAGGCGTCCAAGGAAATACTCGTAGCGTCCCGGACCACCGCTTTTTTTGATTCTGCGCAGTCCATAGAGCTTGATGGCTTCTTTACAGAGAAAAGCCCGTGTGCCTGCCAACTCTTCGGCATTCTGAGACCAGCGGAGGCTCAGCATCTGAGCTGACTTTTCGATATCCTTGTGCTGCTTCGCGCGCCTTTCTGCCAAACCATGCGATATTGAGGTCAAGTCCGACTTACGCTTGGCCAGTCCCGCCTTTCTCGCTTGGAGTTCATCCTTGGCTGATTGAATTTCGGCACGTAGCTTATCGGCAGCTGCGAGGATGTGATCAGTCTTGAGCTTCACATCACGAAGCATGGAAGCGGCCTGTTCGGGATCATGAGGCGGAAGGCCACCACTCAGTCCGTCAATCTGTTTCCGCAGGACATCGTTTTCCAAGAGCAGCTCAACGTGTTTCATCCGCCGTTCGTAAAGCTGGTTGCGGGCATCAACAGCGCACAGAAATGGGCGACTGTGTGCGTCAAAGGCACGGGTACAAGCACAACAATCCATCGCCACAGGTGTTCATCTAGGTTGAATCATGATTGTGCGGGCGTAGCAGCGAACAGGTGTGTCAAGAAGCGGCGAGCGTGGAACAAGATGATGCCTGAAGCGTAGTTTGGTGAAGATGGTAAAACTCTCAAGATGGTGATGACACTGGTCTCGCGTCAAGTCTGCAGCGTCTGCACCGATCCGGTGACCGTTTTAATCAATGGAGTCGCTTGCAGTCACGAGGATCCGCCGCGAAGCTGGGCCGCCTGAAAGCTGCCTAGCGCGGGGCACGTATCAGCCCCAGGGGCGGGCGATGCGGGCGCCACAGCGGACGTTTTGGGGACCTTGCGGGCTGCATCAGATCCATTGTACCAATTTTAGCATGCGCTGTAGCTGCGTCGCTTTGTTCACTGAACCACTGCTAGAGCGAAACCCTCAGTAGCTCAAATTTGAAACTCGCCAACCTGCACCATTTCACAGCAGAGTTTAAGCCGCCGCAGAAACATTTTCGCAGCAACCGAGTGCATCACAGTGCTCTCATTTCCACATGTCGACGACTCCTGATTCTATCGGGCCCGACGGCCAACTCCCTCTATCGCCAGACTTTGAGCCTCTTGACCATCATAGCAACGGCAGCAGCAGCAACACGACACCGACAAGCCAAAAGATGGAGAGCGATGGTCAACAGCAGCATCAAGACGCCCCTGAGGCCTCCACTCTCTTCCGTGAAGACTCTGCTCCTCCATCAGCATTGGAGCCGTTTGACTGGGCCGAGTTCACTGCTCGATATGAGGCTGCTCTGAAGGACGCCACGGAAGAGGAAAAGGCCATTCTCAAGGACGCTGAATCCTTATCAAGAGTACCTAACACCCTCTGACGTGTCATTCACTCACTCGACATTGCTAACAACGTTTGCTTCACCAGTACTTTAGTGCATGGGCCTCAGCAGCCTCCGTCCATGACGACGAACGCGCTACCAAGAGGCTCCAGACGCGCCAGCGCTTTGTCAACCTTTCCGAAGAGAAGATGGCACAAAAACAAAAGCACTGTAAGTATTATTTATTTGAAGGATTAATTCAGCTCGATATTCCACGATTTTACTTTTTGCGATATTATTCCAAGCTGTGCAGCTGTTGGAGAGCGTATTCGCTGACACAGGCGTTCTAGACGAGGAGGTCGTTCGCGCGTTTGAAAGTGCTCTCGCACTGCTCCGTTCATCGTAGCGCCTTCACCACCCACCTGCACGCGCCGCATCCAGCATCTTTTCATCCAACACCTTGAACTCGACGCTGCATTTCCTCCACCATTTAGCTGCCAGTAGTACACATCCTATTATTTTTAAAGTCAGCATTCAGTTCTTGTCACCATTTATTGGCCGTATGCATTCGCTAGGCGCCTAGTTTCGCCGTAGCGGTAGTGCAGTCGCAGCAGGCGCAAAGATGGCATCAGAGGCATCGAAGCCCTTCGCTCAAGTGACAAAGATTCCTGCCATCTCTTCCGTAAGTAAAATCATAGTCTTGAACATATAGGTTTTGGATATCTCTTCCTAACACTCTTACTAGGACGAGCTCACAGACTTCCACGAAGCGCATTTCTCCGCTGGCGCAACAGCACAGTTTACCGATGTCTTTGTACGACCGGCGATGGATGCCGAAGCAGAAGAAGGCAACTCTTACAACGAATATACAGAATACGACGAAGACGATGGACTCGGCTACTATGATGATGGTGTCAAAAGGACATTAACGGACGAACAAATCGAAATTTTCCGGCATTCAGAGCTTCACGAACTGGAAAAAGCACAAGAACGGGCATTATTAAAGAAGCAGAAGCGACCATCAGAAGAAGATGCCTCCGAATCTGATGCTAAAGACGCGCTGAAAACGAAGCAATCTGATGGCAGTAAAAAGAAGGGGAAGCGGAAAGCAAAACAGCAGCTGCGGCGAGAGCCAAAGCCCGATTTACGCAAACGAACTTGGGACGTTGTCGACACTGGTCTCGATTCGCTCGATTACGATTAATGACTGTATATATGACGAATTTCTTTTAAAGCTACCAGCTCATATGAGCTAGTCTCATCCAAGAGGTAAGGCTTCATATCACCAGGTCTCAAGCGTTGCGGCATGCCCGGGGTTTATGATGAAACTCTTGTATCGTCATCCTTAGTCGGATTCATGTGCTGGGAGCATATGAACTATTGGCCCCCTGGCAAATAGGGATGCGTCCTGCAGCCATGACATGACGAGATATATAATCTTCTCTCTGAGGCAGCCTCGTTTGCCAACATCCGGACATGCCGTTTGACCCTGGAAAAAAACACCTGCCCCCGGTTTCAACAGCTTTGGATACACGTTCTAACAGAAATCATGTGTACAGATGAGGATAATGATAACAATATATCCAATGAAATTTAAATCTTTAAAAGAGGAGGCTGTTGGGGAGGCGCATCTCATAGCAACACGGCTGTATGTGGCGGGATGGAATGCTGTCTGTACCATGGCTTGTTTATATTGTACTCTGGTGAATAATACCAATAATCTTCAGCTTCGCCTACTTGATTAAGCGCCCAACAGGTCTTTCTCTTCTTTCTTGTCCTTGTATTGTAACTGCCTGTAGTCTAGACCTCGCTCCTCTGTGGAGCTTCTACCCAGCTTTGTAGGCGCTATCTGGGGTTCGCTCTAGCGCGCTACAGTGGCTGACTCTAGTGCCTGTCAGGCGGGCCACAGGGTTGTCCTGTCTCTGTTTTTCAGCTTTTGCATTGCCGCCCGCCCGCACGCACCCCCGCCAAATCCCTCCACTGGGCTGCCCGCTTTTGCTTTTTGCGACTCTCACCACCTTCGCCCTCTGCGGAAAAAAACACCAACCCGCTTTGTCTGCACGCGATCGCTCCCTCCAGACAAACCACACCTATCGATTCCATTGCAGTCGCGCGACGCTGCCAACACCCGTCATCATGGCTCGCGTCTACGCCGACGTCAACCAGAGCATGCCTCGCAGCTACTGGGACTACGACAGCGTCAACATCAGTACGTAGCCGCCCTGCAGCTTCCCCTCCCCCTCCTCCCACCCTCCTCTGCCTAGGTAATCGCTAACCACCACGCTTCCACAGGCTGGGGTGTCCTGGAAAACTACGAAGTCGTGCGCAAGATTGGTAAGTCGTCCCCCTGCATGCTTTTGATAGATGCAAAATAGCTTGCTGCCTGCTGTAGAGCTGCGTGATTAACATAATGGGCGTCGTGCCCGCCTCGTTGTCTACAGGTCGCGGAAAATACTCCGAAGTCTTTGAAGGCATCAACGTCGTCAATTATCAGAAATGCGTCATCAAGGTCCTCAAGCCCGTCAAGAAGAAGAAGATCAAGAGAGAAATCAAGATTCTCCAGAACCTGGCTGGCGGCCCCAACGTCGTCGCCCTGCTTGATGTGGTTCGCGATGCCCAGGTATGCTTCGATCTGGCCCCATGTTATGCTTGCTAGACCTGGCATATGACGAAAGAAATATCATTTGGACTGACATATATCCCTTTTCAAACTTGCAGAGCAAGACGCCTTCTTTAATATTCGAGCACGTCAACAACACAGACTTCCGCAGCCTCTACCCCAAATTCAACGATCTTGATGTTCGCTACTATATCCTCGAGCTTCTCAAGGCTCTCGACTTTTGCCACAGCAAGGGCATCATGCATCGCGATGTCAAGCCTCACAATGTTATGATTGACCACGAAAACAGAAAGGTAGAGCACCTCTTATGCTGCTGTTGATGATATGGACTGTTGGTAGCTAATGCAAGCTGTTGTAGCTTCGCCTGATCGATTGGGGTTTGGCCGAGTTTTACCACCCCGCAACGGAATACAACGTCCGTGTAGCATCCAGATACTTCAAGGGTCCCGAGCTGCTCGTCGACTTCCAGGAATACGACTACAGTCTCGACATGTGGAGTCTCGGAGCCATGTTTGCCTCCATGATCTTCCGCAAGGAGCCCTTCTTCCACGGACAGAGCAACACCGACCAGCTTGTCAAGATCGCCAAGGTTTTAGGAACCGACGAGCTCTTCGAGTACCTCGACAAGTACGAGATTGAGCTCGACCCCCAGTACGATGATATCCTCGGTCGTTTCAGCAAGAAGCCCTGGCACTCCTTTGTCAGCGCTGAGAACCAGCGTTTTGTCTCTAACGAAGCCATCGATTTCCTTGACAAGCTGCTGAGATATGACCACCAGGTAAGTTCTAGCCCCATTCTGTAGGCTATAATCGAAACACACACTAACAAGACTCTTGCAGGATCGTTTAACCGCCAAGGAAGCCCAGGGCCACGCATACTTTGACCCTGTTCGCGACCCCGAGATTTTTAAGCAGAACCTCGCAAACGGTGGCACTGGCCCTTATAAGACATAGGCCAAGTCGCCGTGTCGTTTTTGAATAGGAATAAATGCTTGCCATGCCGATTCTGACAAGCCTCGCCTTTATACCCTCCTCTCATATCGCTTCCTGACGCCTCGCAATCTCCTGGGCCGCTGGTCTAGTGCCTCCATTAGTCGCTCGCGGCTGGTCATTGTGCAGCGTTTCCTCTTTCTCGGAATATCCCGAATCATCTCATCCGATGCATATCTGGTATATAGCCCAGCATGCATCTTATCAACGCGGCCAGGTTGTTGGTGACAATCACGGCCAACCCCTCTTGGTTTCCCCATCTTCTTGTGTAGCCATAGTTGTGTTGAAACAACTTAGTCTATAGTGTGATGATGCGAGAGCGAGTAGGACATCTTCGTTTTCCAGGTTTATGTTTTTGTTTCCTTTGGTGTAGCGGTCAATAAACAACTTATTTATCAAATGTCGATGTTGCTCTACAGTGAATATCTTGCTTGTCGTGATAATGTTCTTTTGATTCCATATACAACAAAACATACTCTTGACTATTGTGTCACTACAAATTGCGCCATGCCATGCCATGCTATGAAGAAAATATACAAATACAGTCCATTCCTTCCAAGTTGCACCCAAAATCAAATATCCATCCAGACATGCTCCTTATAAGCATGTAAAGCAGAAGTCTTTACCACAGCTATAGCCATTCGTTCCACAAGTCTGCGCCGCTGAAAGCGACTTCCGAGCCGATGGTCGAGATTCCTTCCTGATAGACTCCTTTCGTGACCTCTCACTTCGCTCATACTTCTCTATACCAGCCTTGGCCGGTCTGTTTGAGCTACGCCTAGCATCCTGTTCACGATGCCTGTGGGACTTCGCAGCCTTGCTCTTATGTTGTGATACGGGCCGACCCCAGTCATCATCGTCGTCATCTTCGTCAAGGAGTGATAGAAGAGAATTTCGTTTTGACGATGTTGGCTGCAGCGATCTCCTTCTTGAAATTTTAGACGCTGATGAACTGGGCGTCTTTGTCCGAGACGGGAGCTGGGGGGACAAGACATAACTTGTAGGCCGCTGTTTTTGGGGTGTAGGGAGTTCTGGGAGTTCTGCGTCTTCTTCCCAGTGCGTTGGGGGCTCCCTATTAGCCACTTGGGGTCGTGAAACAGGGGGTATAGAGCCTGAAGATCTCTTGATAGAGGGGCTTGTCTTGATGTCTGCATTCTTCGCTGTTGCCAAGGAAATGCCAGCGTCTTTCAGTGGTGACGATCTATATAATGGAGACCGAATCTTGACTGCTGAAGAAGACGCATCGGGAGCACGATGTTGAAATCGCAGGGGCGATGATGGTAGAGGGCGCCGAGCACTACGAGGGGTGCCATTTTCTCGCTTACTATGAGATGCCCTTTTTAAATCAAGAGATGTGGCTGCAGTTGAAGTGTTGCTTGCTGTTGTTGGAGTGGAAGCTGTTTCAAATCGTTGGGGCTCGCTTCCATCAGTAACCTCGCTGTCATTTCGGGAGGTCTGCTCTGCTGCACTCAAATCATCCGACGGCGCCCAGTTGCCACCATCTCCGGGAACAAATGGTTCAGAATCTTCAGCCTGGAGGTCCATATTCGATGTATGATCGCTTCCCTGTATATCGAAAGTGTGACTCTCATCCAACGTAACTACCGCAAGCTTTTCCATGGAGGTATTATCGCCTATGATTTCATTGCGAAGGTTCGTTTTCTTCGCATCTTTTGGCGTATTGATAGGTGGTTGACTCGAAAGAGTAGCCACTGGGCTACCTGTGACGCTGACATGTTTACTATTCCCCGGCGACTGTGTTAGCGGCTCGTCCATGCTATCAGGACAAGTACTGTCAGGAAGAGCAGCGCGAGCTTCGTGCTCCTGGGTGGGTTTCGCAATCTGCGCATCGAGGCTAACGGTTGGCAGTACTTCTATGGATTTGGGGGTAGTTGCAGCTGCGGTAGTTGCAGTCTGCGGTCTCTTTACAGGCCGTGTTGTACGTTTGAGAGGTGCTGGTGCTTCGTCATCGGAGAGTGCAAACGTTGCTTCATATTCTTCTCGCATAGCCTGTAGCTTAGCCTGTTGCTGCATCGTTGCAAGCCGTTGGGCTGTCTCTAGTGCGGGGTCCGTTTCATTTTCCTTCAAACAATGTCGGGGAACTGGCTTCGGTAGACGATCGTCCGATATATTCGGCTTTTCAGTGTCATCAGCTTCTGGGCTCTCCCCCGTGGTATCCTCTTCTTGAACTGCGAGGTCATCTGCCTTCGTAACGTTCGTCTTGTCATTACGGCACCTCGAGCCAGTGAGCTCTTCCTCGAATTCGTCAGTATCTTCATCAGCAAAGAATGCTGCCATAAGCTCGCCTTCCTGTAGATTCGCTTGTTTCACAGATTCGTCTTCCGCGGGTTTTACTGATGCGCGTTGACTGTGAATCTCATTAGATGACGCTTGTGTATCATCCCCTGGAGCAGCTTCCTCTGCTACTTGTGCCACCACAGCTGTTTTCGACTTTGAATTCTTTGTTTTCTTTGGCGGCTGAGCTGAGTCGTCATCATCTCGTCTCTTTTTTGTTTTGCTGCCACGCGGCCTGCCGCGCTTTCGCTTTACAGGCTCTTCCGAAAAGCCATCCTCGTGATACAGATGATTGGCTTCAGTCGGTATGTGCATGGCAGGTATAAACACACTCGGATGGTAAACTGGCCCCATACTGCCGTCCGCAGGCGGCTTTGGAAGGATTGCTCGATAGCGATCATTGTGCGTCCGTCGCGGTAGATATGGTTCTTCTGTAGGCACTTCTGATTCAGTGTCTAATTCTTCCAAGGAATCATTGAGTCCGCTCTCGTCCATATCCAATGCAGATGTCGACTGCTCATCCAGAACAGGCGCTCTGTTTCGTTTTTTATTCGCAAAGAGACTGGCTTTAGGAGGTTTTGTTCTCAACGAAGGTGCGCCATCTCTACGCTTGTCGTGGTTCGCCCAAGACGAATGTCGTCCACTCGTTTCGTTTCGATTTGTCGATTCAACTGTTTGAAGAGGGTGCGGGTGTGGCATTGGAAATCCACCGGCATACATACCCATGGCAGCGTTTTGCGGCATGATCCATGGACCTTGCCCATTCATCTGGGCTATTTGCATATGACTAAATCCATTGTAAGCAGCCTGGGTCATGTGCGAAGGCTGCACGGGTTGACCGTTCATAGTAAATGGCATACTGGCGCCAGGCCAGAACATCTGAATCCGCGGGTCCTGCGGGTCAAGTCCGTAGCCGTAGGTAGCAAACATAGGATGGAACTTTTGTACAGTTCTTCTAGGGGCATGCTTTCTATCAGACTGATTGCTGTCACTGTCGCTGGAGGCTTCATCTTGGGCATCCTCGTCATGTTCGTTGCGTGTACCGTCCCGGGGTCGACTCCTATCAGTCTCGCGGATACTCCCAGGTCCATCTGTATGGCGGCGCTGTTTGGGCCGTCCCATCTGAGAACGTCGTGTTTGGCTACTAGGAAGCCGATCGCCGTGGGATTCTCTCCGCTTCTGAAGGGTTCGGCGCATACTTGGCGAAGTTCGAGACTGGGGAATGTACTGTTCGTCATCCTGGTTATCGCTGCTATATGAAGTATGATTTGTCGAGATCTGGGCTAGAGGGTGGCTATCGTGTGCTTGTCGTACGGTACTGGATTGATATGATCGTGAGCCTTTGTGAGGCGAGCGCCTGGTTCCATCTACAGCGTCGTGAGATGGAGGATCCTGCGTCACTGATGCTGCCGGATAGGGATTACGCCCGTAGGATGGATATGCACTTGTCGAGAATTCGGTATCATCGTCGAGGGGAGGGTAATCTGAAGTCAGGGCTGGGTCGATCTGCAGCATTGGGTCGACAGGCAACTCGTCATTGTGGTCGAACGGCGATGGGCCTCGTCGACGGCGCTTTACAGAAGGCGGCGTGGCCATGTTTGCAAAGCTCGTCCATCGACATGCCCTTTCCGAGCATGTATCGTATAGTAAAGAATGGGCACGCGGCCAGGCCAGAGGGCTGCGGAACGGCGGGCTGCGTTGTGTAGTCCTGGCTGTTGACACTGCAATGTTTCTACAACGACGTCAGGGAAACGCGTTTTGGCGCTACGCGTACAGTGGTTCTGATGTTTAGTGGCTGCAGCGGGCCTTCACTGTACTACGCAGTAAATTTAGTGGACGTCGCCCTACGTAATGAATCGCGCCGCGCTGGTGGGCCGCCACGCCAATTGCGTTCCTTGTTGCCTGTAGTGCCAAAAAAAAGTTAGCGGGGCAACCTCGCCTGAGCTACCGCAAAGAGGTCACTCGCCATTAACCACCACGTGCTGCAATCGTCACTGACCTGCTTCACTTTGCTCCAACCCGTCAAGCACAAAAGACTCTCCAATGTGCTGCACCGGCGCACCGGCTCTTTGAACAGTAACGACCAGCAAGGTGCAAAATGTTTTGCCAGAAGTGCCGCCAGCCGCTCAAGCTGGATGGCTCGCTCCAAGATCTAAATCCAGCCGCCTACGATCTCCTAGTTTGTACGCAGCTCTTCCTTGCGGCGATAACTGTATGCAGTGGTGCTGATACCATAGTCTCTAGCTACATCCTCTCCTCTACTCACCCAAGGGCCCTCGGCATCGCGGCAGCACCTTGCACGACCCAAAGAACAAGCCAAGCAGGCACTCTATGATGCCGTGTCGAGGTCCAAGCCCACGCCAACCTTCAAACGACACCATGGAGGTAACCCGAAAGACGCAGCAATGTCATTTATATATTTGACCGAGTCGCAAGTCGGTCAACCGGGTGGCCGCCCAACCTCACCTCCACAGTCACCACAAAAACCTATTCGACCGTTGCAAGCCGGCGCTAAGGATGTGCCAACGTCACCACGACCCGATGGTTCCCGTACAGATGGCATAGACCGAGCGAATCGTCTCTTTGAGATTTTATCATCAAGATCCGATATAGACCACCCTATATGCATAGAGTGTACCGATATGCTAGTCGACGGCCTACAGAAGAAGCTAGATGCAGCGACCAAGGAGCGAGATACGTATGCACTTTACTTAAAAGAAGCTCGAGCCAATCAGCCAACGGAGGGTGAGAAAAAGAGGTGGCGTGAAGCTCAAAAGCAAGCCGAACAAGCCAAGGCACAAGCTATGGAACAGCTAAAGAAGCTTGAAACAGAAAAGGATAATCTAGATTTGGAGATACTGGCACTGGAGGACGAGGCCAGAGCGCTGGATAAGGAAGAGGAGGAGTTTTGGGCACAACGCAACGACTTCACCGCCAAAATGGCCGACTTCCAATCCGAGCGAGACAGTATCAACACAAAGTATAATAATGATTCGCAGCTACTGCAGAAGTTGCAACGGTCCAATGTCTATAACGACACATTCTGCATTAGCCATGACGGTAGCTTTGCAACAATCAACGGTCTCCGATTAGGGCGTCTGTCAAACAAACCTGTTGACTGGCCAGAAATCAACGCCGCTTGGGGCCACGCTCTTCTGCTACTCGTCACTGTTGCTGAAAAGTTGGACTTTAAATTCCAAGGATATGACCCTCAGCCCATGGGTAGTACTTCAAAGATTCTCAGGTTTGAAAATACAAGCCCATCATCAAGCCGCCTAGGCTCTCGTACAACGGCACAAGGTCCACCCAAGAAGCAGGTACTAGAGCTGTATAGCTCTGGAGACATGCCTCTTGGCCTCACATTTATGCACCGCAAGTTCGACAACGCCATGGTCGCATTTCTCGAGCTGGTACGGCAGTTAGGTGTTCACGTCTATCGACAGACTGAACGCGGAGACCGGCCGCTCAGCCTTCCATACAAGATTGAAGGCGACAGAATAGGAGACACCAGCATCAAACTCGGTATTGCGCAAGACGATGGCTGGACTAAGGCTTGCAAGCTTACATTAACATGCTGCAAGTTTTTGTTAGCCCATGCCAGTAATATTAGTAGCCCTGCTCAGGATCAGGATTAACCTGTCCATGAGTGAACGTACATACATACATATTCGTCACCGTCTCATGCACATATCAGCTACATTCTTCACTATTTGTCCTCAGAATTCACGAAACACTCAGTCACCATGTATAAACAGTTTGTAAGGTCGATTTGTATAAGTTATAGATAAAACAACAGTGATAATTTAGTCTGGCGTCTAAAATCCAAACAATCTCTCTGCATATACGGTCTGTGCAATGCAGGAAAACAAACACCTAGCGAATTTTTGAAAAAGAACAAGCAATAAAACATCAAATAGATACAAGATGAAGCAAAATGCAAAAAGAAAAAAACAGACTATTTACCGGACAGAACAGTCTTCTCCAACTCTTTCCTCTCACCACTGCTCTCACACATATCGCGGAAGATACTGCCTTCGGTATTCCAAAGTTCTTTGGGTGTACCAAACTCCGCCACCTGGCCCTCGCTGAGAACCAAGATGCGGTCGAAATCAGCAATGGTGCTAAGACGATGAGCAATGACAATCATGGTTGTGTCAGTGAACTCTTCACGGATACTGCGCTGAATCAGCGTATCGGTAGACATGTCCACAGCGGACGTGGCCTCATCCAGAACCATAATCTTGGGTCGCGCGACAATGGCGCGGGCAATGCAAAGAAGCTGGCGTTGGCCCTGCGAGAGGTTACCACCGCCCTCTGAGATGCCGCTCATAAGGTCATGGAAAATGTTGGCGTTCTTGGGCGTAGCGGACGAGTTGCCAGCGGCTGATTCATTTGCTGGTGTTCCGGGAACAGAGTCAAGCAAGTGGACACGGTTCAGACAGTCACGAAGCTGATCATCCGTGTGCTCATCAAATGGATCGAGGTTGGTGCGAATCGAGCCAGAGAAGAGCACCGGATCTTGAGGAATAATGGCGAGTCTGGATCTCAAGCTATGCAGATCCATCTCAGAGATGTCAAGGCCATCAATGAAGATTTTACCGGATCTCGCTTCGAGGAAACGGAAGATAGCAAGAGTCAAGGATGACTTGCCCGCACCGGTGCGTCCAATAACACCGATTCTTTCGTTGTCCTTAACGTTGAAGGACACACCCTTGAGCACGGCAGGAAGGCCGTCGGCATATCCAACAACAAGATCTTTCACTTCCATGGCTCCAGAGGTAGGCCAAGCAGCAGGAGGCTGCTTGCCACCTTGGTTTTCCGTCTTCAAGTCGCAGTACTCGATCACACGCTCCGTAGCATTCATGTCAAGCTCAAGCTGAGCATAGGCACGAATACCAAAGAGAAGACTAGTAGAGAAATCGACAACAAAGGCAAGTGCGAAACCAGCAGCACCAGCGCTGACAGAAGGACTAGTGACCAAAAGGAAACCGGCAATGATAGTGAAAGTTGAGCCAACAAGGGACATTCGGAAACCCATCCAACGGTTAAGGATCCAGTAATGGACCTTGTTCGTGCTCCAGGTATCAATGCTGTAATGCATGCGGCCCTTGTAAGTATCAGACTTCTGGTAGGCACGAAGGGTTGTGATGCCACCGAGCGTGGCGTTGAAAAGTTCGAAAATGGGAGATTTGCAGCTGCTTTCGAGACGCTTCATGGGACGGGCAGCATCCATATACTTCTTGGCAACGTAGGCACCAACAAAGACGAGAACAATAGCAGGTGGGAGGATAACTGGGGTGACGACAGTTGCAGCAATGCAGATACCGGTGAGGCCAATGGCCTGGCCCATGGTCCAGCTGAGAGTCCAAGCCAAACGGCTGTCGATGGTATCGAAATCAGAGGTCATTCTGTTCAAGATGCGGCCAACTGGCACAGTGTCGAGCCAGCGCAGAGGAGTTCGCAGAACGACATGCAAGATTCTCTCAAAGAGCACCTTGGCCGCCCTAAGGCCAGTCAAGAACACAAACAGAATTCGAAGACACTGAAGAATGGCTGTACCGAACGAAAGAGCACCGTAGACCCAGATGTAATAGTAAAGATCGCTGTCGTCCTTGGGCTTGCTTGTCGATACAAAGGCATTCTTAGGTGCATAGCGCATACCGTTGCTAAGTGAGAAAATGTTCCAGCTGCTTTCAGTGTCGATAGAGGCAACAGAGAGATCGCTAGAGTGTTTCTGGGTTGCGTCAGACCAGACATTCAACCACCAGGCCTTGGCCAAGTCACCACCCTCACAAAAGATGAAGAATGTGAAAAGGATAAGCCAAAGCACAACACCACCGCTGGCGGCAATGTAGGTTGAGTACACATGTCCCTTCACTGAGCCCTTGGCGTGTGTCTCGGCTTCAATGAACTTCTTTGCATCCTTGGATTTGACCTTTTGCAGAGGCACGGTCTCCTCTTCGTCGCCCTCGGAGGCAATTTCGGAATTAACGGCTGTTGACTCTTCGGTTGCAAGGGTAGGGTTCGCCTGCGCTTCGTGGCTCTTGATCAATTCCAGAGTACCGTCCTCAGCGAGATCAGACGTCAATCCAGCGTTGAGCACACCGCCTTCGCCAAGCTCTACTACATACTTGGTGTGGGATTGTACCAAGCCAACGTGGTGAGTTACCAAGATTCGAGTTCGGCCCTCGCAAATAGAACCAGCGATACACTTATCAAAGATCTGGCGACCGACGTGGGCATCTACAGCACTGAAAATATCGTCCATGACAAGAATTTCGGCACGGGAGTAGATGGCACGCGCCAAGGTGACTCGCCATTTCTGTCCACCGCTAAGGTTGATGCCGTTAGCTCCAAGCTCAGTGCTGTCACCGTCCTCCAGAATCTCCAAATCCTTCTTTAGCGCACAGACAGTAATGACCTCATTGTAGCGAGTTTCGTCATAGGGAAGACCGAAAAGAATGTTTTCACGCAAAGTAGCACTCTCAAGCCAGGGTGTTTGACTGACATAGGCGACAGAACCGGACAAAATCCAGTTCCCGGCATGCGCTTTAGCATCATGGCGATCAAGGGGTGAGGCAGTGGTGGGCATGTAGATAGAGCCGCTAAGCAGATCGGCTTCGCCGAGAAGGGCCGAGAGCAAGAGACTCTTTCCGGTTCCAGTTCGTCCAGAGATAACAGAGAGCTCGCCTTGTGGGAAGGAAAGATCAACATTTCGCAAGACAAAGCGATCCTCGTCCGACACTTCACCGTCGACTGGCCAAGCGATTGCAGCATTTTCGATAGCCACATCCGGTCCTACGGAGACAACCTGTTCCATTTCGGACATTCCAAGGTAGGCACCGATTCTTCTGACCGAAACAAGTGTGTCCAATCCGAATGTAAGAAGCTCAGGGATGACGGACAGCGCAACCTCCAAGCTCTTGAAGATACCGATGGCAGTGAAAGCGATGGAGGGGGTTAGGTCATTGGTGAGGGCGAAAACGGTGAGAGCAACGACGGAGAGGAGAACAGGGCTGAAAATCCAGCAAGCGATGACAATGGAGTCATACGCAAAGGCAATTTTGATAGTGGAAAGTTCCTTTTGTCGGCGTGCAAGAATGCGGTCCTGCCACTGTCGTTCGAGTGCAGCAAACTTGATTTGGCGGATACCTTGGAGGGCTTCGTTGATGACAGATACCTTGGTGTCTCGGATTTTCATGATCTTATCCTGCGTCCTGACGTACTTTCCGGATGCCCAGTAGTTAAATGGTAGCACGACGGCCCATGAAATTAAACCAGCAAGGAAGGGGACCCAACCAATCAGCTTAACAATGTAGATGGAGTACATTACCAGCTTCATGACGCTCTGGATGATTTGGAATTGCCAGGAGAGGAAGTCAGCAATGCGTCGGGCGTCTACACCAATGAGATTGACGATTGCCTGTTTAGAGTTGAGAGTTGCCGCAGGATCTTCATCGTCGTCATGTTCCTCATCAACGTTGGCTTCTGTTTTCTCGGCAGTTTTGACATTCTTTCGTCGAAGCGACTTTTCGTAGACCAGGGTTGACAGTTGCGCGGAAATCGGGATCGACAAGCCAGTGATGGTGTACCAGTTGAGCAAACCTTCGAGCCACTACAAATGAGTTAGCATGAGACAAACTGTTTCTTAGCGGTGTATATGGGTGAAGTAGCATACCTGTTGCAACAAAGACACGGCACCCATACCGATTACAAGAGGTGCTAGGGTGCGTAAACTGCGTTCTTCGTATCTTTCCGTTTCGAGGATATGCAGGAGTGTCTGCATGAGGGCAAAAGGGGCGAGCGACAGAGCGACCTTGAGCAAGGCAAGGCCATACTGGAAAGCCATCTCGAAGGAGTAAGCGCGGAGAATGCGCCAGAGCAAAGTGCCTTCATAGGTGAGCGAGTTCCACATCTCAACAAGGCGGGCAGAACGGGCATAGGCGGCAGGACGGGGAATGTCCTTTTGCTCCAAGTCACCCTTCTTACTGCCGAGCTGGATAAGATCCCAGCTCCAGGCCCATGTATAACGACTTAGCAGAGTAGCTCCGTACTCGTTGTCGACTCTCTCCCCATTGTATTCTACACGAGGGCGTCGGGGAATGCAAAGCGCGGCAATGGTGAGAAGACCTCCGGCAACAGCGGCGATTGTGAGAAGCGTGAAAGCAACATCGTGGCGGAATGCCTTGGCATCAGACAGATGGTATACTTGGAATGTCGTGACGATGGTGTTGATGAACGAAGCGCCGGCTGCCCAACCTCCAAGGGTATGGGACTCAATAGAGTTGTGGTGAGCGGCTAAGCAGAGAACCTGGATGAAGATAATAGCCTGGATTGAAAGTCAAATTAGTTACAGATTCAAACATCTACCCCATCAACTTCGGGGAGTGTTGTAAGACATCATAAGAACGTACCCAAGCGGCAGCGGTTAGCCAGAGCTGGAGAAAGTGGTCGCCTTTGGCAGCGTGGTGGCTGGTCGCGATGATGGCTGAAGCTAAGTAGGTAGCAAAGGCTGTCACGGAGAAGACGACATTGACAACTTTTGATGTTTTGTTGGAGAAGTTGGCAATGTTTTCAGGAGTGCTGACGCCATCATGGTCCTCGTAGAAGTTGTCTTTTGGGGTACGATTGCGGATCTGGGCGCCAATGGAAAAGAGAGCTGGCACGGCAGTGATGGCAGCGACGCCAACGGTCGTGATGGACGCGATGCGGAGATTGTTCTCGTCCATTTTCGCAGCTTTGTTCACAGATATACTGCGCAATTGGCCGAGCCAGCGATGGAATTGATAGTGAGCGCAGGCTCGGTGGCGGTGATGGTGTGTGGTGGTTGTCTCCGGCGTGCGGAGCTGCTTTCGGTTTTTGGGGTCGGCGCACTACAGAAAGAAACAGCCGTGGCCTGAGAGAAAAGGGCGATGTCGTCTGGGCCCTCTCCTGTACTCGTTTACAGGATCCTGTCTCCCTTCCCTAAACAAACTGGCTGTGGGACACTAGAGAATCCAAACAGCAGATGACGAGAGGGAAGAGGAAGAGAAGCGGCAGGCCAGGATGCAGCTGGGTCTTAAGCACAGGAAAAGCGGGTTTGGCTGGTGAAATGATGGAGAGAGGAGGGCACCATTGCGGGCGGGGAGGCCAAGAACGCAGCGCAAAAAAAAAAAACAAAGGTGCAATGGCTTGCCCCCATCCCTAGTGGGGAAGGTGTCTGGGGGAGCAGGCGGCGTGCTGCACTAGCAGACTTACGTAGACCATGGGAAATCAGATTAGTGTGAATCCGACGCCTTGTGCAAGGTTGTCTAATTATCGGTGAGAGTAGAACGATGCCGTATTTCGGGTTTAATGTTTCAGGCAATACGGCAAACGCAGCGGGCTTTTCCTCGTTCAGATGTTCATACTCGTGCTCATCCATTCCCCCCATCTAATCTACAGTGGGATGGGAAACAGACATCACGGTACCATCTCCAATACCGAACTCGATAGTATAGAAGCCCGGCATCATATTCGATCCCCTCGTTCTTCTGTCCTTCATCTTCAGCCGAGGAGGAGTCATTTGGACAACAGCAACGGACGCCTTCCCTCGCGCACTGCGGCAGATGATTCGACGCTGCACGACATGAGCAATTGCCCGCTGTCATAGAATCCTATGGGGTAGCGAGGCTGCGCGCTAAGCCGGTCTAGGTCTGTCTGCACGGCGGGTGACTCTTTCGGCGGCATGCATGCTGCACAACCTCACATCTCGGGGGGTTTCCTGCGTACAGTCAATTGCTCATTATTTTTGCAATATTTTCTACTATGTGATGATCGCCTTTTTTAAATAAGCTCTCGGCTATTTTGTACTTGCAAGGAGCCCTGCTTTCGATTCCTGGGAATACCTGTCTGGTTTATTGGCGCAAATCTCGGTAGGCTCGAAAAATGGCCCGATGGCAGTGAACCGAAGACCGAGCAAGGCGGTGGCGCCAGTGCTGCATGGGCTATCAATCAAGCACCCTGTGGGTTTAGAAACACCTCCTGCAGCAAACTCGGGTTCACGCCTGCAGTCCATGGTTTGTATAAGACCGAGTCCATTGCTAAGAGCATCTCAACAAGTACGGTTTTTGGTTGTAACCCGATTGGTCCGTTCTTCACCTTCACATACAGTGGCTTAACGTGCTGGAAATAACTACTATGAATAACCACCAGATTTTAACTTGATGCCTAGGAGCGTGATTTCGCACTGGCAATCACACATTAGTGAACATGGCTTGCTCCTTGATCAACGATTTTGTATTTTTGTCGCAGCTGGTTTGTGTAGGAGTCTCGAAGCGACTTCCCCAATGTCGTCGCTGTGAATGTTGAGTTGCCGTCTGGGTGGTCAGAAGTCACAGCGGTGACTCGCAGCGCGTCGATCCGATCATTCGTAGTCGTCGCTGCAAAGATGCCTCAGCCGCAAAAAAACGCTGCGTTGTCAACAAGAAAATGATCGCCGTGGCTTTCTGTAGTGAATCAGAGGCGGCCATTTTCAATCACAAAGATGATTCTAGCAATGGGTCATTACGATTAGCCTCTAGCATAACTGCAAACTGGATGCGACTTTTCTTATTTAACAAACTAAGTAACTCAGGCTTTTTGCCAGGGTGGTCATCCTGGGAGTATACAAGAATATTCAGCTTCGCAGAGGCAGGCCCAGCACCTACAGCCTGTTATGCAGAGCCCAAGTCACATGCTATAGCGGTTGATAGCTCTTCTCTCTCCTCTGTATTCGTATTACAAGGCACAAAACAGGCTTCCCGTCTGCAGCGGCGCAGATTAACGCCCCGTTTTAGGCCCAGTCGTTCACGTCGGTGGTGGGCGCAGGGGTTCTCATCCACGTACAGTACAGCGGGTGGCCACCCAAGAACCTAGAGTACTTTTGGGCGCCGCCAGCCCCCCACCAGCACCACTAAACCGTTTTTCTGGGCGTGTTCCTGCGCGACTCGAACACGGCGCGGTTGGACGCATGCGAAGCGGAAAATAGCGAGCGACGTGTAAAGGCAGCGGCAAAACTAATGGCATAGCTCTTAAATAAAATAGGTATTTATTTGTTTTGTGTCTTTTGTGCTATAGGCGGATCTGTCGGGTTTATATTTTCCCTTGCTTTAGCTCGTCTCTCTTTAATACTTTTCCCTTGCTTTTTTTGCTTTTGGGCTCAAAGTTAGTTCTTGTTCCCCTCTGTAACGCGCTGGCAAAGGAACCAGTGGGCGGGCCCGGGGGCTTGTATCGTGACATACAGTACGCTCTCTCCATCTCACCCCCATCACGATACCCACGCGTCAGCCAATCCCGTTCGACCTTTTCCCACAGCCATAATCTGCGTCTTTGGCTTGTCACCACACTCTTCCCCTCTCGCAACTGCCATCATCATCGATTCTCTGCCACGTTGCATCAATCATCTTCCGCCATCCTGTGCCAGCTCTCCCGGCTCCGGAAATTAGCACATCCCTTCAACATCCTCTCTTTATCCCCAAACTATCGACCTCCCCTCATATGGTCCGACCTAGGGACCTCTTCCAACAAGCTTCACGATGAAAGCCACGCCTCTCATCATCAATTGGCACGAGCAGAACGCGCCTGTCTACTCGGTTCACTTTGAACCAGGAGGTAAAGGACGTCTGGCCACTGCTGGAGGAGACAACCACGTTCGCATCTGGAAGGTGGACTCTGACGGGCCTGAACGCAAGGTGGAATATCTCTCTACTTTGTCAAAACACAACCAAGCAGTCAACGTCGTCCGATGGGCTCCTAAAGGTATGTAAACATCCTGCGAAGCTCTGCTTCATCCTTCAAGCATAGCTTAAGCCGATCTAACACACATGACAGGCGAGACACTAGCTTCTGCTGGTGACGATGGCAATGTCATCCTCTGGGTGCCAAGTGATGCGCCTGTGTCCAACTTCGGCTCCGATGGCCTCGATGATAAAGAATCATGGCGTGCAAAGCATATGTGTCGGTCTAGCGGCGCCGAGATTTATGACCTTGCGTGGTCTCCTGATGCGGTTCACTTTATCATTGGCAGCATGGACAACATTGCCCGCATCTATAATGCCAACACAGGTTAGTGCCGGATAGTCTTGCTAATCATACCAGTCTCTAACAACGCTTTAGGTATTCTCGTCCGACAAATTGCCGAACATAGCCATTATGTCCAAGGCGTGACCTGGGATCCCCTCAACGAGTATATCGCGACACAATCCTCCGATCGATCCGTTCATATATATTCTCTCAAGACCAAGGATGGTCAATACACTTTAAGTCATGACGATAAGCCTAACAAATTGGCCAGTCATAATAAAGCCGATCTACCTCCACGAAGGATATCGTCGAGCAGCCCCGCTCCTCCGGACTTTGGCCATCGAGCCCAGCTCGCTATGATTGACTCTAGCACCTCTGTTGGCTCACCTGTACCTTCCACTCCTGGTACACCAACCTCATTTCCACTACCAATGAATCCGCCAAGTGTTGTTAGTCACAGTCGGCGATCGTCGTTTTCTTCTAGGCGATCGGCTTCCCCTGCGCCTTCACTTCCTCTTCCTGCGGTAATGCCGATGGAGGCCTCGCCCAAACCGCACTCTGGTTCGGCGGGATTAGGTCTTGGATTAGGCATGAAGAATGCTAGCCTCTACGCGAACGAAACCCTTACGTCGTTCTTCCGCAGACTCACCTTCACCCCTGATGGAAGCTTGCTTCTCACTCCTTCGGGCCAATACCAGAACCAGCATCAGGCAGACAAAGATGCGAAACCTACATACGAGGTCATCAACACAGTTTACATTTATACCCGCGGTGGTATCAATAAGCCACCAGTCGCGCATCTTCCGGGGCACAAGAAGCCATCAGTTGTCGTCAAATGCTCGCCGATATACTACAGTCTTAGGGCCACTCCCTCGGAAACAAAGACGATCGCAATCGATACGTCGGTTGCCACAGAAGAAATTCCATCTCTTCCTGAGCCGTTATCGAATCCACCTTCTCCTGCTCCAGTTATGGAACCGCCGCCTATACCTACACCATCTAGCGAGGTAGCAGCCGCCAAACGGCTAACAGTGGAAACGAGCGCGACAACTGCTGGTCCCAAACCAGCGTTTTCCTTGCCGTACAGGATGGTGTATGCTGTTGCCACTCAAGACTCAGTCCTGTTATATGATACGCAGCAGAAGACACCGATTTGCGTAGTGAGCAACCTTCACTGCGCTACATTCACAGACCTTGCGTGGTCCAGCGATGGCTTGACCCTCTTCATCTCCTCTTCAGACGGCTTCTGTTCCACCTTGTCATTCCTACCCGGCGAGCTTGGTGAGATTTTCAAAGGCGAAGTAGCTTCTTTAGCAAAACCACCTCAGTCAGCTACTAGCAATTCCGTTCAAACTACACCTACGCCAACGCCAACGACGTCTTTTGCTCCGCCGTCGCCTTTCCCCAGTGGGCCGCATCACCAACATCGCAATTCAGCCTCATCATTTACAGCACCCTCGCCGCCAGCATCCGCATCGATGCAGCGACCCGCCTCTCCCACGCGATCGAACTCGACCTCGTCAGTGGCGACGCAATCTACCATAGCTGGAGTTGTTAGCAACCCCACGCTGATTAGCGGCACAATACCAGCTGTCACGGCATCTCCTGCCTCTGCTAAAATGGGTGGTGTGCCTATTACTACGCCGCCTGAGACGCCTCGCACTAGCTCTTCTGGCTCAAAGCGAGAGGCTAGCGAGAGTGAAAAGGAGGAAAGCAAGCCCAAGAAAAGACGAATTGCGCCAACTGTTGTTAATACGAATTCCATTTAAGGTTGTAGCAATATGTTTTTTTGTAAAAGATTGGCAGACGATTAGGTTTGTTCGTTGGTAACGGAAGGGATTTATTACTTATAACTTTATGAATACAGGGCTGGCGTTCAACATTGTATATATACATTGGGCTAGGTAATTAGCTAGCAATTTGAAAAACAGAAAGAAGGATTTATCTAAAATGCACATCACGCATCACATGTATAATGATTCGGCATAACTCTCACTCTAGCACTGCAGACCAGCCCATACGCGGAACAAATCCTTGGACGCCTTCGTCACGTAAGATATCCGCACCAAGACGGCCGGTGATGATGCTGCACTCCTTGTCCCGGCCATGGACGTAAAATGGAAGGGATGCACGTGGGTTTGATGTCACGCCGGTTTCTTTCGAAGTTTTCGGTAAATGCCAAGGCACGCGGCGGCCATCTCTTCTATCGATGAGGCCACAAGCGATACGCTCCATCGAGAGGTACCATCGCCTTTGGTGGATGCTGCCAATTGAGTTTATAGCACCAGGATACGCGTTTGTCAGGCGAACTTGCTGGTCCTCAAGCTCACGAAGCTCACGATCATCAGCCGATACCTCAGTCATAGATTCAGAAGCTTCGTTCTGATCGGTTGTGACGATGTCACCGTCATCATCGTCGTCATCATCGGTGCCGTCTTCTTGATCATCTGAACTCAAGTCTGTCTCTACGATGGGGGTTTCAGACGGCTTACGGCGGCGGCGTCGTTTGCCTGGTGGACGATTCGCCTTTTGTCTGCCCTCTACATCCTCGGATTTGGTCAGCCGCAAATATAATACATATGGTTCTGGAAGCCTTGTCCCATGCAACTGTAACCGGATCTTGCGATTCTGAAATGCATCATGGAGCAATTGCTGTTGGGTTTCGGGTTCGTGGTGTGACGATTGAGAGGACTGCTGCGAGGATGGGTCTATAGCCGGAGCGTATTTACTTCGACGGGGTAGGATCTGATAGGTGCCGGTATCCCATATCAAAAGCGACCCTGTTTCTCTCGAAGCCGTCTCAATTAAATGATTCTATTTATCGGTTAATAAACGTATATAATGTATCATTCGGTCAATCTACGTACCCACAATGAATGAATTCGCGTCTCGGTGGCGTTTCTATTCAGTCTTGTGCTATTGGGATTCCCAGGGACACCGTACATGATAGCCCAAGATACACTACTCGTTTCATTTATCTGCAACCGCAGATCGTAGTGTGTGCCAGCGACGGGATGGTCGTGCTGGTGAATGACAAAGTGGGCGCCATGTTTGGAGCCAGCATTCGATTCATACAGCCGTTTATAGTCTGGTATGGATAGTCGAGGAATGTCTGGTGTTTCTAAATGCGGTATCGAAGCTTTTTGAAGCAGCTCGCTAAACCGCAAGGCGTGGTCTTCAACAATTATGGCGCCGCTCTCAATCGCTGCCGTTGAAGCTTCAGTGGGCCTCGGCTCGGATGCCGGGGCGGAGCGGCCGCCCTGGGGCTTGATGCCGTCGGGGTTTATAGGTGCATGCGGAGGGCTGCCAGTCGCGTCGTTAGTGCTTGCAGGCGTCGCTGGGAGTGCCTGAAGAGACCAATTGAGGTTTCGCTTCTTGATGAACGGGTTAGGTATGAAGTCTGGTGGTCTCTTACGCGAAGCCATCAATGGGAGAGACGCGTGAATGCGTGATGGCGACACTAGGCTGTGATGGGAGCTGTGATGGAGATAGTAACTAAAGCGCGTGTTACATGTTTCTGTTGAGTTTGGTAATTACTCTAAAACACACTTGGAGAGTTTGTGTACGCGGTTGGCTTGGCTAGAGCAGTCGTGGTATGCCTATGCTGAAGCTTGAGCATCACGGGGAATCTTTAGTTAGTGAATCTACAGCGGGGGGCGGGGAAAACTTGGTGGCACGATTCAAGATAGAGGATTGATCATTCAACGCTAGCCACCAAGTCTTCTGTAAATCAAAATATATATTTTAAAATACTAACACGTAAATGAAATATATAATTTATATTTAAATAATTTCAAAATATAAATATCTTGTAAACAAAGGGCATATTGATCACTCATATAAACTACCCTACATACCCGTTCGAAAACCCCGGCGAAACCGATGATGCCGAGGCATACTGCCACACACCAGCAAAATGCCCCACTTTTACCTCACAACAGCAGCGTCCCAACCTACGCCATGTGCCAATCGCTCCTTCCCCCAGCTTTTCCTGTTTTCCTTTTCATTTTCGCCGTCTCCGGTCTCTCAGCCTCTCTTCCATCCACCAAAACAACTCCATCCCGCACGGCATCTGCCCCCTCCTTCGCTTCTCTGTTCTTGCATACATTGATAGCAGGATCGGTATTATTTGCGCAGCAATCTCCAATCTGCTGCGAATTTTGGTTCTTCATGAATTAAGCCCGTCGCCACCTGCTCGGACATCGCAAAAACTCAGCGCGGGCCCCGCCGCTTGTGATCGCGCGCATCTCCCCGACCTCAGTCACTGGCTCACCATCCTCATCGAATAATCGCCTCCCTTATCGAACACTTATACACCACATCATCACATTAATTCACAGCCATGGCATCACCGCCTAAACCATGGGAACGGCCCGGTGCCAGCACCGGCGCTGCTGGTACGTACAAAACGCGAGGTCCTCGGGACTCCCTTCACATGCTAACTCATTTGAAACAGCTTCTCTCCCAGTTTCTGCCACCTCAACCGCATCGACACAAGCATCGAATCCTCTTTCCACAGCACCCCCCGTCCCAGAACGTCCATCCTCCCTGGCCTCGACAGTAAACCAGAACGCTGCTGCCTATAGCCGAACAGGCGTCGCCGGTGGCATGGGAGCCGTCCCCGGCGTCGGCGCCTCACCATACAGCGCCTACGGAACCGGTTACGGCAGCGCCTACTCGTCGCCATACTCCAGCCCGTACTCTAGATTTGGAAGCTACGGAGGAGGTTATGGTGGTGGTATGTATGGCGGATATGGCGGTTATGGTGGCGGTATGTATGGCGGCATGGGTATGGGTATGGGCATGGGCGGTATGCCAAATGACCCTAACAGCCTTACCAACCGATTTAGCCATGGCACCGCTGCTACTTTCCAGATGCTGGAGGGTATTGTCACGGCGTTTGGCGGCTTTGCTCAAATGCTTGAGAGCACATATATGGCTACACACTCAAGCTTCTTCGGTACGGACAGCATCTCCTATCACAATCTTTTCATTCCTAACACCTGCTAACCATTGTAATAGCTATGGTTTCTGTTGCCGAACAATTTGGAAACTTGCGCGATACCCTAGGCTCTGTTTTGGGCATCTTCACAATCCTCCGATGGATTCGAACTCTGCTCGCAAAGATCACGGGCCGACCTCCACCTGCTGACGCCACAGCTTTGACACCAGCTGCTTTTGCTAGATTTGAAGGTCGCAACCCTGGACCCGATGGAGCTGGTGGCCCCCCTCGCGCCAGCCGAAAGCCGTTGCTGTTCTTCCTGGTCGCAGCCTTCGGTCTTCCATATCTCATGTCCAAGATGATCCGAACGCTAGCTGCGTCTCATGAAGAAGAAGAGCGCCGCCTCCAGCAGCAAGCTCTTGACGCTCAGCAGCCTGTTGACCCGTCCAAGCTCGAGTTTTGCCGCTTGCTCTACGACTTTGCCTCCCAAGGTGGAAACGCTGGTATGGAGCTTGAATCTAAGAAGGGCGATCTCGTTGCTGTCCTTAACAAGAACGACCCAGCGGGCCAGCCCAGTGAATGGTGGCAGTGCCGTTCGCGCGATGGCCGCACCGGGTACCTTCCATCGACTTACCTTGAGGTCTTGCAGCGCCCTGGCCAGGACGTGAAGAAGATCAAGGCTGTTGCTGACGACAGCCGCACAAGCACCATGACGACAGGATCGGGCGGTATGGATTCCTTCAGTGCTGACGGAATGCAGCGCAGCCAGTTCTACTCGTAAAACGAATATTTTGCATCTACAGTGTCTTTTCAGTGCAATGACGAGCCGAATTTGGAGTAAATACTCACGGCCGTTGTTGGATAGTTGGCGTTTTCGGGAGTCTGATGGACTATCATTTTGTACAAAAACATACACCAGGTCTATCACAGGCCACTGAAGCTAGTCATATGACATTTCTAGTTTATTTTGTATCTCATAATCTATTCAAACAATTTCATGACTACAACCCCACCACGCCCGCCCCCTTATGCTTTTATATGTGATTTTCGCTCCCCTTATTAAAAAATGTGTTTTGTTTCGAATTTATGCCCATTGCCTGGTGCTTTAACCTTCAGCTTCGTAGGCGTTTGACTTGTGCTTGGGCTTGAATTGAAAGCCGGGATGCACAGGGCCGAGATACATTTCACTAAAAGTCAAGTTAGCTTTATAATTCTCCATCGATATGCAGTGTGTCTGTGTACTTACGAAAGCTTGATCCAGTCCTTGTAATCATCGGATGCCATGAGTGTCTCCAGGTCGTTACGGCCGTGGTAGGCAGGAGGACGCTCGTTGAGCTTGGGTGGCAGATGCTCCAACATAGCTACAGGAACATAGCGATGGGCGAAGCTGAGCCACTCGAGCAAGAAACGGCGGGTGAAGCCGACACCGAGCTCATCGGAGCCCCAAGCCTCAAGACCGTACTTGACAAACTTTTCAATGTACGCAAGACGCTCCGAGGCAGACTTGTCGAGGTACTGTCCTCTCTCAATCTCCTCAAAGAGCCAAGGCTTGATGAGGGCACCGCGACCAATCATGACGGAATCGACGCGGGCGTTTTCAATGGCATTGTAGTAGTCGGTATGCGAGTAGCAGTCGCCATTGCCGAGGAAGTACATGTGGCTGTCCTTGGAGTTGGGCAAGGTGCTGGCATCCGGCTCGCCAATGGTGTCGGTCAAGGCATCCTTCTTCTCGTTGTAAGACTTGATGAGTGCCGCACACTCGCCAATGTATCCCCAGTCAGCAAGCTTTGTGTATCGCTGCTCTCTGCTACGGCCGTGGAGCGTGATGGCCGCACAGCCAGGGGCACCTAGGCGCTCGCGGTGTTCCTTGGCGCCAAAGGCAAGGCGCTCAATGACTGTTGGCGCCGTGGGGCGGTTGTTTCTGACACCGGTGCGGATCTTGGCGGTAATGGGGATCTCGCCCGAGACGGCGTTCATGCCGCGGATCATGCGCTCCAGCTTGCCGTGGGCATCGAGCAGCGCGGAACCGCCACCCTGCTTGAAGACCATATCGATGGGGCAGCCGCAGTTGAGGTCGATGACTCGCAGCTTGGGGCACTCGCGGCTGAGAATGTTGGCCGCCTTGGTGACGACCCAGTGGGCGCTGCCGGAGATTTGGGCACCAAACTTCAAGTCGTTGGCGTTGCTGTAGTTGTCAAAAACAAAGGTTTTGCCGGGGGTGAACTTGGGCGGCGACAGCTCCGAGTCGTGTGTCTTCATGAGTGTCCAGTCGGCCTTGGTGCCCTGGAGCAGAGGCATGCCAAAGGCCATTTCGGAGTATGTGAGCTGCGCACCGAGCTCGACGCAGAGACGGCGGAAAGGTAGATTGCCCTGTGTGGTGAGGGGGGCGAGCGTTGGGGTCTCGGGGCCGAAGTACAGTCTGCGCTTCTCGGAGGCCTTGAAGGGCGGGTCGACGAACTGAGCGCGGATCTCCTGTGCGGCGTCGTCAGAAGCATCTTTGCGCATGTGGTGTAGGTCGTTGTTGCGGCTGGACTCGCTGTCGAGCCACTTGATGTACGTCTCGGCCTGGGAGAAGTCGACGCGCTTGCGGTTGAGTTCGATCTTGACGTCCATGGAGACGATGTTGTGGACGCCCAGACGGACTTCTTCGGCGTCTCTGGATCGCTCGGTGGCCTTGTCGGCGTCGCCGTTTGCTGCGGGAGCGCTGTTGTCGATGAGAACGAGCTCCTTGCGGCCGTCCTCTCGCTCAATCTCGTCCATGTGGCTGCGGACGAAGCGGCATTTCCATCCAGATGGGCAGTAGCCATGCTTGCCGAAGACTGGGCATTTGCCCCCAAACGTCTCGGAGTCGGCGCGGCGGCCTTCGCTCAGGTACTTGCGCACGTCGTGGCAGAGACGGCAGCCGTCGCCGAAGCGGCATTCGCGGGGCGAGAATTCGGGGTAGAAAGCACGGCTGTTGCAGAGAGGCAGGGCATCGTCGAATTTGCCAAAGGTGCGCTCGATGTTCTGGCCACCCTTGCCCTTCTTCTTTCCTTTAAACTTGTTAGGACGATCTCTGTCGTCGCCACGGTCGTTTCCTCCACGGCCTTCGGCTTCGTCGTCGTCCATGGCAGCAGGAGCTGCAGCCTCAGATTTGCGCTCGGAGATGTCAACGAGGAATTCTTTCTTGATCGCAACAAGACCTGAACGGCGATCACGGGCATCAACGGGGGCAGCGTTGCCATTCTGGTGGCCGTTCGTGTCGGTGGTGGTTTTGGTGGTGTTTCCCTTGGGCTGTGCTTCTGAAACAGCGGACGAGTCCTCTATTCTAACACGCTTGGTGGCACGCTCGTCCTCTCCCTGCTCCAAGGCTCTAGCACCATCCTTGGCGACAGGCACAGCGGCTTGCTCGTGCTCCGACATGATTGATAGGTAGTGTTGGCTGAGATCGGTGCGATGAGTCGTTAATTGCTGCTGTCTAGCAGCGGTCCGTAGTCAAGTTGACAAAAGTACAGAAACCTATCGGTAGCGCTCGTCTTTTTGGGCAAGAAATCTATGTCTCCTCCCTCCGAATCGACTTGCCGATGTGATTGGTGCAGAGGCGCGACGGTGACAATGTGGAAAAGTGAAGTTTTGAAAATTTCCACCAACCGTCCGAAAAGGGAAGTTCTAGCAGGCTAGCCAATCGGCTTACACTAAAGACATGCAGCTAGACACCTGATGCGGGTATAATAAAATAGCCAATAATTGCGAAATAATTGAATGAAAAGGCTATACTTCTATTGAAGCAAATTGTTTGTAAATATGTATGAATATTTGTTTGGCTGTTCTGAGTTTGCAGAGTTACATAGCGTCTACAGCGCCTCAAAATGCCGGTGCTGGGAGTTGGTCTAGGCTGGATTATGGAAAAGGTTTCATATAAAGAAATGTAAACTGCAAGCCATATCAAATTTTCCTCCATTTTCCCTTTTATTAAATCTTGTATTCTTTTTTGCCCGCGGTGCGTCGCGTGGCTATGCCGCGCTGTAGCGTAGTACCAAAACCCGCTGACCCCTCCCAGTATATAAACTACATACAGCGCACGTCCGCAAACCAACCCCGCCAATATCCAACGCCACTGTTGTCTGTGTGCTGTTGCCGCTGCAACTGCAAACACGTGCGGCTAAATTCAATTCAAAGACAGAAATACGAACAAATAGAAGAAGAGGCTACTAATTTTTATTACTAAATACCAGCTCGAGGCAATGCCCGCTGCCTAAGCAACCATGGCGGACGCGAGCAAGTCGAAGCGCGCATCTATGAAACCCCCCGCTATCAAGACAAAGGTCTCATCCAAGTCAACCCGCATTGGTTCTCCCCGCGACAAGCCCGACATCTACCAGGACTCGGACGAAACAGACGATGAACCCCCCGTCCCGCTACCACGAAGCCATACGCCAGGCCAACTGGCTGGCAAGAGCCCCAAAGACCGCCGCAGGCCGGCCGAGATTCCCATCCGCAACCGATCCCAGTCCGCTACTCAGGCGCCGCCGTCTCGACCGTCGACATCGTCGGGTGCAAAGATACCCCCGCCTCTTACAGAATCGCCTGAGCGCATGGAGGACAAGGAGAATCGTAGCAGGCCTCTGCCTCGGACCACGTCGGTCATCACAAACCGAGCTATGGCCGTGGCTACAATCTCGGCTTCACGAAAGAGCTCAGTCATAGAGCAAGCATCGGCAAGCGGCGAACATAGGCCATTCCCCCTTCTACCGGATCCCAAAAAGGCTCCTCAAGTGGCACACGCACCAGCGTCTGGCATGTACTGGTCGAAAGCTCCCACCTCTGGAGCGCCGCATTCTTGCTTACGAGCACATACCACCACGCTGATCGGTTCGAACGTGTATATATTTGGCGGCTGCGACTCGAATGCGTGCTTCAATACTCTATACGTCCTGGATGCAGACGCCTTCTACTGGTCAGTGCCGCTGGTGGTGGGCGAAGTGCCAGCGCCGCTCAGAGCCATGACCTGCACTGCCGTGGGTAAGAAGCTGGTAGTCTTTGGAGGAGGCGATGGCCCGGCTTACTATAACGACATTTATGTTCTCGATACAATCAACTTTCGCTGGTCGAAACCCAAGATTCTCGGCGACAAATTCCCCTCGAAACGACGCGCGCACACAGCATGCCTATACAAGAACGGGATATATGTGTTTGGCGGCGGTGACGGCATCCGCGCTCTTAACGATATATGGCGCCTTGATGTGAGCGATATTAACAGAATGTCATGGAAGCTGGTCTATGACCCTTCCGGAGACGCAGATGAGGACGAGCCGAAAGCTCGCGGCTACCACACGGCCAATATGGTGGGTAGCAAGCTGATTATTTACGGAGGGTCCGATGGAGGAGAATGCTTTGATGATGTTTGGGTATACGATGTCGACACCCATGTCTGGAAGGAGGTTGATCTTCCCGTCACCTTTAGACGCCTTTCACACACGGCCACCATTGTGGGCTCATATCTCTTCGTCATTGGTGGCCACGATGGCAATGATTACTGCAACGACCTGCTGCTCCTCAATCTTGTTACAATGACGTGGGATAAGCGCAAAGTATACGGCCAGCCCCCATCGGGTAGAGGATACCACGGCACGGTGCTGCACGACAGCAGAGTGCTGATGATTGGAGGCTTTGACGGGAACCAGGTCTTTGGAGATGTCACGATTCTCGAATTGGCAGTCCATGCTTACTATTCCCAGATCAGCCACTTTACGATTGAAGTGTAAATAGAGCATTAGTTAGCCAGCATATACCATTTGTTAATGTCATTATATCATTGTATTGAGAGATGGTTTGCTATTGTACAGATGTTTGGCGTGGCCAACAAGTTAAAAAAAATAGGAAAGAGAAAACCATAATCAAATGTCTATCACGAATAACCAAGACCAGGAAACTCCAAGACTGTCTATGCTTTTGTGTGCTACAGGTCCACCTAATTCTGGCGAGCCGCAAGATGCCGAGTGCATTCTAAAAGGGGGTATCGATGAGGGCAGGGGAAGGAATCAAGCCTTTTGAGCAGCGGTGTTGGGGGTCGCCTTCTCAACCGCCTTGGAAGCTTGCTTCTTGGCGGATTCGTCATTGGGCTCTTCGGTAGCCTTGTCGGCGGCGGCGGCCTCGGCCTCCTCCTTCTTTTGCTTGGCACGTTCAGCGAGACGGCGCTCTTCAGCCTCAACCATATCTAAACGACGAAGTTAGTAAATAAGCTATTGTTTACGATGGAACTCGTTGACCCACCCATCCAAAGGTCCTGGCCTTCGTATTCCTCCTTGTGAATTCTCTTTTCAATCATGTGCTTATGCTCGGGGTCATTGGGGTCGACGACCATGACAGTCTCCCATCTGCCATTACCCTTCTTGGCATCATTGACCTCGAAAGCAGCCGTGATGACGAGGACAGCGAGGGTCAAGCCCTGGGCATAGACACGAGCCTGGACCAGCTTCTGCGTGGCGCTCATGGGGGCGCGGCCGACAAGGGCCAGGGCAATGCCCATACTGGCGAGCCATGATGTGAAGACAATGCTGTATCTGTTCTCGCGGCCCCAGTCGAGGAAGCGCTGGTAGGTGGATTCGTTCTCACGGGCAAGCTCCATGGCGCGCTTGCTGCTGTCCTGATATGTGCTCATGGGGTCACGGCTGCGCTGGTACTTGACGGAGTAGCGGTCGGCATTGACAATGGCGCAGAAGGTACCGGTAGATGTGACAAGGAACGTTCTAAAGGGAAGTGTGAGGTTGCGGAAAGCCGGATAGCGTCTGGAGGCAGCGAGGACACCTCCCATGCCAACAGCGAGACCAAGCGTGCCACCGATGACGCCGCCCTTGAGGACCTCGTTGTAGTGGGCTTCCTCCTCTTCCTTGCTGAGAATCTTCATGGTTGCGTAGATTCGATATCAATTGTGATGAAATCGGTGTTTGTTCAAAGACAATCTCTCAATGAAAGGCGAAGGTGTGTTGTCAAAGCTTCCTCGAGAAAAAGACGGGTTGGATGACGAGAGTTGACCCACTTTATTTTGCTGGCTGAGTGCTCAAAGTGGCCTGATGTTTGGTGAAGCGTGCCGTGCAGGATTAATTGGAGAATTGTGAAAGAATTAGTAATTGCAGTGTGTATATTAAGTTGCGACGAAGCTGAAAAAATATAGATGACTGGTTTATGTTCATATATATGACGGTGCCTCTTCCGCTGCACCCGTTCCGTCCGGCGCGCCGAGTAAATCCCGGCGATGCGGCCGTTGAATTATCGTGCTTGCGAGGGGCTTACCGAGCTACCTCCGACAAATCTCCAGGGCGAAAACACCACGACGGAGATATCTTGCTATTGCTCTGAACACGCTTTTCACGGCAAGGCCGGAGGAGTAGATCTAGGTGTATCCAATCTGATGCGTTTCTATGGAATATACTTTTGCGTTAAATTTGGAATTATTACACTGCAATCTTCTGCCTTGCTGTATAGGGCACCTGCTTCACGAGCAAGAAGCAAGCATTATGAAAGAAACAGACAGGAATGAATGGCTACTGTGTGAGGAGATCCAATAGTAAACATGATTGCAGGAATACGTTTTCTCTCCATCAGTGGTAGCATCTTTGTAACTAATCCCGTTTGCACGGCTACTGATGTTGGCTACATCTGTACGACGGTTAGATGGGATCGAGCGATTGGGTTGGCAAACGCAGTTCGAAAAAGCTTCTTTGGAAGCTGACTAGGCACACCCCGCTGATCAGTCTGCAGTACAAATTTGATAGTCGCCTTGCATCGGCTCACTTTCCAAGAATAGAAGCAGGCGTGGAGTAGTTGCAGATGCCACGCTGTTGTTTCAAATACCGAAAGGGCTCGAACACGGTAGGCGAACAATGCATCTGCAGCTCTGACAGGCGGCGAACTATTTGGTAGAGTCGCAAACTGCGGGGGAACTGCCTAACCGCGTCTTCCGCCGTCGTATCACCGGACATGAGAGATTGTCACAATGGAGAGTACGACCCAAGCGGCCACTAGTAAGCAAAAGCAAAGTCTAACCATCCCAAGAACGGTTCTCATAACCTTTGAGCAAGTAATGAAGCGTAGCAATCAGAACCTGATACAGCAATTGGTCCGAATAAAGAGAGGACCTGCCAAAGGTGGAAGAGGACGAACACGATCGGCAGCTCCTCATAGCCGATCCCTTTCAGTCGCTTAAGACACACACTGGTGGAGAGGGTACTAGCAGATTCGGGGTGGCAAGTACTGCATGTGGCCTAAATCCAAGGCTAGAGATGATCTGCTCTTTTTTGGGACGAGACAATAGGGGCCCTAATCCACAATACAAACGGACAGACTGGCGCACTTGGCGAGCCCGCAGAATCGATGGCTATGCTTTGGAGGATCCGTCGTTACGGCTACGCTGCAAGCTCACAAGACTTGCATGGGCCTGGCTGCTCGAGTCTGGCCTTCTAGAACAAGAACATTTTTTAGCACGCCAAGCGCTGCTTAATGCCAGACAGTAACATGACAAGAATGCCTAGCGTCTGGAGCGAAAGGGATCGTGCGCAATGGCCCTACGCATCTGGAGTTCGCCGATGACCTTTGTCAAAGCTGTTGCGGGTAGCTTAAAATTGCTGGCCCCCAACAGAGAAGTGTCCCAAAGAAGAAATTCTCCTCGCGACACTGGCATACTATTCTTGCCATTGTCAAAGAGGATCCAGTGCCTGTGGCCGAGTCAGGTGGATAGAGAGCTAGTCATGCGTTACGAACACCCTAGCCCTAGAGTATAATTATTCAAGTAAAGTTTTAAATAACTTAAATGTATTAATTGCAGTATTAAAAAAAGTGTTTAACTTGCTTATAAATTATACTAGTATTTAGTGGTCAGTCCGTAACATTCCCTACAAAGTAGGATATTAGTAGAGGTACTTTAGCAATTTATTTGGGGATAATAGTATAGTAGTTGTTATAACTTACACATTGAGTTTGGCCTCCGATTTCCTGTAGGTAGTCTTCCCCGTTTCTAAAACAAACGCAACGCCTGTCGTTATCGACAGTTTTGCAGCCCCCGTCGTCACAATAAGCCTTCACACATTGATCCCTGCATAGATTGGGTGCGGCAGCTTTTCCGCATCTAGCCTCATCGTCATCTACATCTCCAGGACCATCGGCGATTACTAGAGAGGTAAAGATAAGTAATAGAAGAACTTTCATGGTGATAAGATAATTTAACTAATATAATATGTTGTTAGAGGAGAAGAATATGGTTGGCCTAGCGTATAGTAGTGGTAGCCTGTGCATTACGAGATATATGAACAAATATAAGACTAGGGGATAGGGTCTAATAAATAGCTATGTTATATACTATGTTTCCTCTAGCTATTTACCCTTATGTCTTGCTTTTTTACAGCTGGTATGTGAACTTGTAGATCGTGATCTTCGCCATAAGACAGTGGTTTTTGGGGGCAGAGCCAAGTGACAGGCAAACTCAAGAAGTCCATCCATAATAAAAACAGGGGCCCGCCATGTGGCAGCAGTTGGTCGAAGCCGATTCCCTGAACGAGCTCAGATCCCCAAGGCACAAGGCGGCGCATTGTTCTGCAGGGAGCCGTTGGAGACAAATAGCGCAGAACTAGGGGCTTATGCTGGAGGTCGTCAGTGGCTGAACAGGAGGGTCCGGCATGTGCCGCTGCAGCAGAAGTGTACCTGACAGTGTCTCCATTTTGCTTTAACCTGTCACCTGCTGGTGGTGCAGTGGGTTTGTTGCAGGGGACTTGAAGCTTGTTTTTTACAAGTCTTACTCGGCAAAAAGGGTTTGAGACAAGAATGTCTATGACTGCCGAGGATGAATTGAAACCCGGGCCAAGTGAAGTGAACCGGGTTGCTGGCTGACAGAGCTTTTGTCTTTGTAGTAATATTAGTAGTTGAACCGTATAGCGTGAGATGGATGAGACACGCAGGTGAGCGAGAACTTCCGTATGATTCCAGTGGCCGGCCTGCCGGTCAAAAGTCCGTAGCAGAGACGGGAGAAGACTCCGTCCAGCAAGACTAATCACGAGTACGAGAGCCGAGAAGAATCGAATTCCCAGACGGCGTTCTAAATTAGCATCACCTAAATAAGGTTGGCTTGTCCTTTGTCCTTTTTTTGCCACTTGACATAGCTACTTACAGTTGCTACAGCACTGCCTCCAACAGCAAAAGTATCTTTTTTAGCGTAGGCTAACTTACCTCTTGGCCCAGTATTGCGCCCTGAATCGCTCCGTCCAGCGAGCAGCCCCCGCCAAGCCTGTCATGGCTATTGGCAGAAGGAGAAAAGCCTACAGGCGGAGTCTCCGCTATATTATCAAACGAAAGCGTAAAAAATCCAGGCAGCGCAGGGACTATCAACGGACTTCTGTGGCATAACTAATTACAGACAGGCATAGCGCAACAAAGACAGCGCCTTTTAGGCGTACCGGCGCAGCGCCCATTCCGGCTAGCTGGATAGTGGTGGGTCGCGTACACACACGGAGGCCCTATTTCAGAGCGCAAGGCCACTGTCTTGGGCGTAGTGGTTGCTGGATGTAGTGGGTGGAGCGGGTTTTTGGCTGCATTCGGGCTGCGTTCGGCATCGCCCAGGGCGCGGCTAAAGGGGGGAAAAACGGCATGGCAGAGAGTTGGTGTGTGTAGCGATGAGAGCTACTTTGCGCGGAGGATTTCCAGCTATGCCAGTTACTGTATACAGGAATTTCAAAGAGCAGCACTCTCCTCGGGAACCCATACTCCCGCAAAATCCCACTTTCCTCTTCCTCTGCCCTGGCTACTCGTTCCTCGTTACATCTTCACCTCTCGCTCTTGGCGCATTGGTTGGTGGATGTTCTGGAAGCCCGCCCGTGGAACAACTGGAGCAGGGCCCCACTGCGCCCTCATCGGCAGCGCTGCACGGCGGCCGGCTCCACTAAAAAGTTGCCTGGCAAACGAACCGGCAGCTTCAACCAAAGAAGCCCATAATGCTCTTTGCGCCGGGCTTTTTGGGGCAGCAGCCAATGAAACAAATTGCGGTTACGGGAAATGACAACAGAGGGAAGCAAGGATAAACAATCCATCTTGGCTTATGTCCTCTAAACTGCATGATGCCCTGGCTCTGAGCTTTGGCGCATGCTGCTGCTGCTTGGCGGGACTCGCTGCTTTCGGAAACCCGCTACGGAACAGGGCCCTGTGTTTGCAGTGAGCATGAGACATTGTTGTCAATTACGGCAGGATGATATGAATTCTTGCATATAATTTGGTTTTCCACAAACAAGTTGGTTAGATAAACGAGAATATGGAATCATTGCTTTTTTTCTGTCTTGTTGAATAAGACGGGCTGGTGCTAATTGCAAGCTGCAGGGAAGTCAGCGCGCCGCGCGCGACGGCATCTGCTTACCCGTCTGTGCTGGGCGCTGTACTGTACCTGAACCAGCGACATGGTTTGGGCAGTGCACTGACCACACATTAAAAGCCCAACAAAAGTTCGACGACAGCCGGTAAGCAGTGCGCAAGGATGTCTTTTCTGAAAAAGCATCTGAGGCACCATAATTGGCAAACTCTGCGAATGTCGTATAAACTCTGAACAAAGCGCAAAGCTACTTGCAGGCTGCTCGTATGCTGGGTGCTTGGCAACTGATGCGCGGGCTGCTGGGCTGCTGGCTATAGTGGCTAGATGTCCCAGGGGCGTCCTGGAACGCCTCCATACAATTGCCTGATAGATGGAGATGCCCAGGCGCACGCCCCAAGAAACGCACTGTCTAACCAGCAATGCTTGGCAAAAAGCCGCGAGAGCCGGACACGCAATGTATTAGGTTTCAAGCAGACTAAGCCCCCCTCTCTTTCTTTTCCACTCGCTGTAGCACCATACGAGACGGCCTATAGCCGCGATGTATTTGCTTGGCCAGACCGTTGTTTGAGCCACCGTTCATCACGGTCAGCCACCCAATGGCACCACACAACTTCAACTTGGCGTGAGATGGCCTGCTGCAGGGGCCACCGCCTGGCAGCGCTGAGTGCGCCGCCGACGCCATCAGCGCTGGCTGTCAACTGCTGTAAAGTACAGAGAGGCCCAGCGCAAGGCTCGCCTCACCGGCTATTGCTTTCTTCCATCAGGCCACCACCCGGGTATAGCCCACAGGGCGCGGCTTTTAACCTGCTCCGTGCGATCCAAGTCGATAGTATACTGTCTTTTATATTGCTCGTTGCTATATTCAGACATGCGTTTACAGTTCTTATATGGAGACGAGCGGTATACGTCCGTGTTGCCTCACCCCTCCCGGCCTCGAGCCTGTCAGCAGCAAACAGCCCGCTGCCCTGCACCGGCTGTCGCTCTTCCAAAAGGCCCCTCTCTGTCTTATTCTGCTCGTCATTTTATTGAATTTCGCAAGATGGGGCGTCATCAGGGGCCATGTCTTTTTGCTGTATGAATGTCAAATGTCGCTGCATCTCGATGTCATCGCTAGCCTGGGGCTGTTGGCTGGTGCAGCAAAACCCCCAACTCTGGGCAGCTCTCGCTTTGAGGCGGAACAAGGCACCGCACACAAGCTTTTGGGCAAGGGATAAACATTTCAGCTAGGCTCAGCATTTGTCGTACAGGATGACTCCTTCGTCACCACACCCTGGCTTGGGGAGCGTTGACTCACCGCCCGTGGCAAGCCTGTTGCGTCTTTGCCACGCTCTCCCAGCCAACCACCACCCACCCATCGCGATGCATGGTGCACTTACACCGACGCAGCCATCGAAGTGCGTCAAGAAGACCGCGCTGTTTTGCGCCGAACTGGGCCCTCTAAAAATACAAATTGGCAAATCAGTTTTAGGACTAGCTCTAGCAGTAAAAGGCAATAGTCTGGCTGCAGCCAGTAGAATTAGCGTAAGGCGCCAGCAGACTGAGAACAAGTTGGCCGATTCCTCTTTAGGCTAGGTTCACTACATCTGTTACGACGCTCGATCGAACGCAAAAGAGTAGAGAATAGCCAGGCTGCACGGCACAGATATATTGGACAATTATAGCCTAGGCTTTTGCTCCAAAGCCCCTCTTTTTGGCATGTTGGGCTGAGCATAGCGCGGGTGTCATCAGCGTCATCACATCATTTATCATTAGCAACAGCAAAGTAGGCAGGTCTAAGCTAGACTGCGGAGGTACTAATCCCACTTCTGCTAAGCTGTTTTGAGACGCTATTCCCATCGCATCTTCGCAGTCTACAGCAAGGTTTCCAGACGGTGAGGGACCAGCTTAGTACCTGGCGCGTTGGTCATTCTTAGCATCTGACTGGAGGATTATCATGTCTTTTGGGGCGGAGGTCTCCATCCACTAGGCGGCGCCGCCCACCCCTCACTCCCCCCCAAGAAATCGATATCGAGTTGATGCTGCTTGGGTCGCCACGCTCACGCATCGCTTGGAAGGGGGTACATTCTGGCTGTATGTATCAAGGGAGGTTGGAGTCGTCGTAACAGTAGCGCTGTAGCTATCCGTAGAAAGTGACAGTTCACCGAGCACCAGGCAACACCCCCCAGGCGAGCTGCCCCAGGGCATTTATTAGTGACTGGGAGCCCATCCCACCTCTATCCTTGTTAGTCCTGGGGTTTTTTGTTCATGGCGTCCTGTCCCTTGTTGAAGTAATTCGTCTCTCTCTCTTTATCTTTTTGTCTCTCCCCATCTATTTCCCTAGGGTTTCCTTTTTTCTTTTATTTAATTCTTTTTTGTTTGTTGCCGCGCCGCGAATTACCGCCTCACTCACCCCCAGCTCAGCTTCCTTTCGCTTGCAGACGTCACTCGCGTCAACTGAGCAGACGTTTCCGGCGCACCCGCACCCAGACCAAGCCGCCCGCAGTAGCAGCAAGCACCAACAGTACAGTACATACCAGGCACCACCACAGCACATCATACCTCCTACAGGAACAGAGTACAGGAGGGTCCCGCCCGCCAGAGCCAAATTCTGTGCCCAGCCAAAAGTATACCGACCATCACCAGCGCTACAAAGAGTTTTTGACTCGCTAGGTGGGCAAGGTGCCTCCGCCTGTGCTCGGCGAATCGAACCCAAAAAGCCAGGGCTCGGAAAGCGCGCGGAGATATTCCCTTTCTGTACGCTGCAGACTTAAAACCCTCTGGTGCACTGCTTTACGGTTCTTCTCTGCTTTTATTTTTTGTCTCTGTTTCTCTCTCCTCTGCACTCCATCACACACACAGAAACACACACACCATGCAGAGCGGCCTCAGCACCCTGTTTCAAAAAGACAGGTCGTTCCCACAGGCTGCTACGGCTGCCAGTGTTAGCGCTGCGACGGTGGCGCCCACCGCCGCTAAAGGTGTCAGCAGCACGACCAGCAGCAGGCCCACCGGAAGCGCAAGGCCGCCCCACGTCTGGAACAGCGCTTGCAGCAGCACCTCAGCAGGTTCGACTAGCGCTGTTGGTAGCGGTGCTCGCAGTGCTGGTACCAGTGCTGCTGCTAGCGGTCGTACACCCGACGCCTGTTCGTCCTCGTCGCCCGCCACCGCCACTGCCACTGCCTCCGCTTCCTCTTCAGGCTCCTCCTCTTCGCACGCTCCGTCGCCCGCATCTCTCCTCTCCACCTCGCTCACCCTGTCACCAACTTCCACTCCCGCAACACCACCCGCCCAACTATTCGCAAAACACGCCGTCGCTGACACCACAAACACCGTCTCCCTCCTCTCCACATCGCACAGCAAACTTCGTCTCGATCCGGCCGACCTCGAGTTCCATCTCGATCACCACCAGGCCCAAGACCCCGTGCACGACGCCTGCAACGACCACTATAACGAGCAGTTCGACATTGCTATGACCGCTGGAGCCATGGATCGCTCACGGCAAGATTCCTTCGTCAGCGCGGGCCCTAAGCCTATTTCTATGAATAATGCCACCCGTCGCGAAAGCATCAACAGAAACCGCCGTGAAAGCTTGGCTGGAAGTCTCATGGGCGGCATGAGCTGGGGAGGCATGTCCTTTGGTAGTTTTGTTAGAGACGAGTAAGTTTCCCACCCCCCATCTTTGCGCAAGCGGTTTTACCTGCTTCGCCCCGATCGTACCTTCACCATGCCCTTTTTTCTCAGTTAAACTACTCTGTTTAACTTTTTTATGCTTCTACTTTATTTTTTCTACCGTTTTTATTTTGGGTTTCGCCCTTCAGCGACACATCGCACGGTGCTCTTACTCTGCGTGTTGACGCATGCGCGGGGCAACTCCCAACTTTTTTTTTTTCTACAATCGTCATTTTTCGTGCAAGGCTAACAACGGATCGCTAACATGTCTTTCTTTCTCTAGCATTATGATGCAAGGAAATTCCCCATTTGGCGTGCAGCAGTCACCTTCGTTTCACTCGTCTTCATACCTCCCAAAGTTGGAGGCGAGCTTCATGCGGGATTTCACATGCTGTGGCAAGGTCCTGCCCAACCTTCACGACCTTCTCCAACACTACGAAGAAGCGCATACCCAACCTAGCCCAAACAATGCGCGCAATAATGCATTCGGCCCCTTTGGTCAAATGAACAATGACCATATGCCCAGCTCTCGCACCACGCCGACTCCTGGTCAGGGCAACGGCCAACTCGGCCAGCAGCCTATGCCTGGACAGATGGGCATGCCCCAAGGCGTTGGTCTTGATGCGCTGCAGATGAACGCTCTCAGCGGTGGCATGCACGATGACATGGATGCTGTCGCTGATATGGAAATGGATGATGCTATTGGCAACATGGAGTTGGATGACAGCCAACGAATGACGCAAACTCGCCAGATGTTCGGCCAGCAGCAACGCCCCCAGCTCAACATGAACACATCAGGATTCCCTCAGGGCCTTCGCACCTCGCAGCCAACAACCCCTGCTGCCGCATCATTTGGTATCCAACACAACCCGACCGTCTCCTCCGTTAACACCCCTACCCTCACCACCCAGCAACAGCAGCAAATGACCCAAGGCGGCCAGCAGGGCATGGATGATATGGATGACGACATTCCTGGTATGCCCATGGGTGGTGGTAATGCTGCCGACATGAACGACGGCTTCGACGGCAACGCCGAAAACAACTTTTGCATCGACGACCCCGGCAAGCACCTGTTCAGCCCCAACGGTACATTTAACGCTGCTCCCGGAAACCGAACCATCCAAGCACAGCTCGCTCAGCTTGGCCTCACCCAGGGCCAGTTTGCCGATCCTGAGACGAACAAGATCCTGCTCCAGCGCCTGCAGACAATGATGATGCCTGAAGAGCACAAGCCTTTCAAGTGCCCTGTTATCGGTTGCGAGAAGGCGTACAAGAACCAGAATGGTCTCAAGTAAGTAGCACCATGGTTGCTGTAACACAGCACAACAAAAAGTTCGTAGTCAATAATAGCTAACCACGTGCGATTTAGGTACCACAAGGCTCACGGTCATCAGACCCAGCAGCTGCACGAAAACGGCGACGGAACATTCTCCATTGTAAATCCCGAGACGAGCGCACCGTACCCCGGAACAATGGGCATGGAGAAGGAGAAGCCCTTCAACTGCGAGACGTGCGGAAAGCGCTACAAGAACTTGAACGGTTTGAAATACGTAAGTGCTTACAGCCCGTTCTGAACCGGATCCAACATTGTTTGCTAACGGGACCGGAAATACAGCACAAGTCGCACTCCCTGCCTTGCAACCCCGAGTTCAAGATGCAAGCAATGGCCGCTGGTCTGAGCTTGCCTGGTATCACAGAAGATGCCATGCCTCAGACTCAATGAGCTGGTCTCCCATCAAAGTCACCTCCTTCTCAATGGAGTGACGACGATACAACATTCACGTATATGATCAGACTTGTTGCCAGACTCTTGCAAAAGGCGTGTTGTTCACCCCAGGACACCACCACCTTGAGAGGGCCTGGCAACATGGCCCTGAGCAGGCTCTCAGCGGACTTGTGAATAATTGCTTGCAACTCACTTCTTGGTTTACACAAAAGTTTTTGGCTCTACAGGATTTCGGTTACCGTTTTGGTACATTGCTATGGCGTTGATTCCCACCCCTTCCCCACAACACTTTGTTGCAGTTTCTCCATTGGATTTCCAATGGCGACTGCCCAAAGTTTATCATTCATTGACTTGACAGGGTATTCTCATTGCAGTGTGTTCGCTCCTCCGTCAGCTGCGTGCTTGACACCTTTGGTTCTGGACTACTGCACTGGTTTCCCTACAGCGTTTTGCGTCTCGGCAATAGCGCGCACGTCGGTGCCTGCGCGCCTCGTCTCTTCAGGAGGCCAGCGTTAATACCTCTTTGTTTTTGTATTTCTTTTTTTGCCCAGTTTGACTTTCTATGTTTGGTTTCAGGTCTCTGGTTTTCATTTGCTTTTTTTTGTCGTTTTGGTGGGTAGGAGTTTCTGTACTTGATCTGCACTTGATAGAGTTCACCACGACATCATTGCACACACGTGCCCCGCATTCTCTACATCCCAAGATGCAAGCATCTGCTTCATTTTGAGTGGAAGCAGAACGTTTATAGGAGTCTTAAAAAAAGAAAGTTTGGTTTTAGGGGATGAGGAAAAGCATGCGCTCCATTGGTCGTTATATATGGCCGTTGTGTAGGCAGTAATACAAAATGTTTTCATATAACCCTGTGCTCGGTACTTTTCATGATGACTCTTCTTTTGAAATGTAAAGGATTGCTATAAAGGAGACTCTAGCGCCTAAACTATGCTATTTACCAAAGCAGTATCGTAAATAAACTCGTATAATCTCATGATACAAAGAAAACATGCGACTTGCATGAAACTGCCCTTCCTTGAGAGTAGTATTTCACCAGGCCAAAACTGTATTTGCTCAAGTCATTTCCATGCCTTCGTCATCATCGTCAGCCTCAGATTCCAGCTGGGCCTGACTGTCAATACTTTCCTTGCGCCCAAACCGGCCACTACCCATAGATCCCCATTCCAATTCGTCGCCGGCAATGACACGGCCTTCCATGTCGATTTCCTGAGAAAGTTCGACAAGCGCGCTGCGAGGAAGGGAAAGAAAGCCCTTTGTGCGGACTATACGGCCCCAATGCGTCATGCAGAACCCAGCAGCCCGCTTCCGCAGCCATTCTTCATCCGCAAGACCGGCGCAGTACCAAATAACACAGGCGTGCTCCACGTCAAGCTCTTTAGAGAGACGGTTAACGCAGAGCAAACGGAGGCGTGGTAGGTTGTATAGATTTGATAGGACCAAGAGACCAGCAATATCCGCCAAATCAGTGACAGCGTCGCTGTTGGGAACTGTTGTTCCACTGATGCTATCAGTGTATAGGTATAGGAGGAATGCCTTGACCACTGGGTATGGTTCCGGAATGTGCATCTTCTTGGTATGGAACTCAGCCATCTGCGCATTGTACAATCTTGCGAAGTGTGGCCAACGTGCCTGCAGAATAAGTTTGTGGACATGTATGGGTTGCGATGTAGGTGCGTCCTCTGCAAGCCAACTACGTTCATCTGAGCCGCCATTGCCCGTGATCAGCCCTGAACTCAAGAGGTTATCTTCTTCAGTGCCATCTGCAAGAGCGGTGATGATGAAGTCGGCACCGCTACCCGACTCTGGCGGCTGGTTGAAAAGGCCAGCCAAGTCTGCACCGAGTCCTCGAACAGGTTGATCTACTACACGTGCCATGCTGGATGATGTGAGATCCAGATTTGGCTCCGGAGCTAGGTTATTGCCTAGTAGTCCATATCGGCGTAAATCTACTTCCATAACATCACTGGCGGGTTGTTAGCCGAGTCGATCTATGTTTGGGTCTCTGACATGACTTACCTCAAGTACAATTCATAACCACCTGGTTCCATTTCCGCCGCGGTGGGATCCAAGGGGCAGCCAAGTAGCCAAGCTTTAGTACCATCCTCATTCATGGTGCAGTAATGCCACCTGTAACCAGACTTGAACATTTCTCGGCCATCGGCTAGCTTTTCCCAGCGCATGGACGTTAAGTCAAGAGCAGACAATGAACACTCTCTGTGGCTGATTGTAGCAGAAGGCGATACAAAGTCCAAAAGTGTGCCGGACGAAAATGCGTGGTAGTGGATGCCCGAGCCCTGGGACGGAATGTGAGGGCCACCTACAAACTTCATAGCAGCGATCGCACCAGGGGCCATTGGCGCGTATGCTTTAAGTTGAACGGACGGCGGATTGACCTGGGCTGTGCGAGAATTGGCTGCATAGCCTGAAGCGCCAACGACTGGTGATCCGGACAGACTGTATGGTGGTCGGGGCGATCCACGAGAGAGCGCAACCTGCCGATCGTACATGCCGCTTTGCGGGCGAGAGTCGAATTCTGGACTGCCCTTGAGATCAAGCCACCACAAGTCGCTAACTTTATCCATGTCTTCGCTCAGGCCACCAAAAACCCAGACACGATCACCCCAGATGTATGCAGAGTGGTCGAAGCGGCTAACGAAGCGCCAAGTCTTGGACCACGTAAAGGTCTTCAAATCAAGGTAGCAGATATCATCGAGCACATAGTTATTTTGGCCAGTGATGCCGCCAATGATAAAAAGTTTGTCTTCATGCAAGGTCGCAGCATGCCTGGCTCGTCCTTTTGGTATTGGGCCCGAGACAGTTGGTTGTGTCCAATGGGCTGTCTTGAGGTCGAAGATTATGAGGTCAGAGAGGTACGTCCGGTGCTCGTTTTCGCCTCCAAAAATAAGAAGTTTATCGCCTTTGTAGAGAGTTGCGGTATGCCCTGTATCGAATTGGTTAGTTTGGTCTTGCAAGTGTCGGCTGGTGCAGTGTTTTGCTTACCCATGCGTACGCCGGGAATGTCACCGTAGTTATCCACCAGATTCCACTGGTGCGTCGTCAGATCCAAGCGCAGAACGTGGTTGTACACCTCGTCTGTAAATTGGTCAAATCCTCCGAATGCGTAAATCTGATTATTGCCACAGTAAGTCATGGTGGCATTGACAAGACAGGCAGGCCGCTGGCCAATCGTTCGCGTGACCCTTGGTCGATAGCGTTCAGCCACAGGCATGGTCTTGACTGGGGAGTTGGACATGATGAAGGTGTTATTGGTCGAGGAGACGGCAGACGGGGGCGTCTGACCGGCTGCTATGGACGGGGCATTGGACGATTGGTGACTGAGGGCACCTGGCGTGTTATCAGGATCGGTTATGCCAAAGATGGACGCAATGCTCTGGCCCTGGGTTGGAGTAGCGGCCATTGTGACAACGACTGGGTCCTGTAGACGGCGTGCCTAGAGCATAGCGTAGCGGACGGTGTCGGTCAAGAAGAAGGTAAAGATTCAGCGGGTGAGTGAATGGGAAACGAATAATGCGGACGTTGATGTTGATGGCGGGCGTCTGTTTGCAAGGCAGGCCGGGAGTGACGTACAACCAGGAGATTAAACTTGCATGGTTTGTCTCCAAGAGAACCCCCAAACCTGTCTTTGGCGGCGGGCTTTGGCTGGGGCCAGAAAAGTTGAGGTGTGACTTCCCCAGCAGCCAAAAGCTAGCAGGGGTTCAGGTCCCGCGCTAACGGGGGAAAAGGCGCTAGGCCCAAAGTGGACACGACGCATGCCCGGTCGCGGAAGCGGGGCATCAATCTTCCAGGTGGCATGGCCCGTTGCCTGGACAAGAACCAATGTGGGCCACCAAGTAAATAAAAGGTATCAATGGCGAATAGAGGCAGGTGTGTGACGGTTCTCTTGGACTCTCTCTTTATACAACCACCAAACTCGACAACCAAACACCAAAAAAAATTACTTGTTTCTTCATCTGCTACTCCTACATTGACCTTGTTGTTTGTCTTTAACTTCGTGCCGTCTTATTGCTTTCTCGTTTGATGCAAGTCTTTGGAATTATTCGTCTTATACACGTCCTTCACTCGCACACCTCATCCTAAAACACTATCTCGACCGTTGCTGATTTTATTCTGCTGCGTAGAAGATATTCGTTGGAGAGATTTACAGATTTTACTATACCCCTTCCGACAAAACTAGATCACAGTCTTACTTGGTACGATTGCAACATTCACAATGGCCTCCGCCACGATTACAACACCCATCAAAACCCACAAGGGCCTGTTCTCTACCCGCACTGCTGGTGGACGCATGCCCTTGACTCCCTCTCCCCGATCTTCCCTCAACGCCAACCTCCAATCTTCTCCCTTCACCCCCGACCAAGGCAGCAAAGATGCTCGCCCGAGCTCCAAGTCTACCTACGGCGGTAACCTCATGTCACACCTTGCCCGCTCTACCTCCATCTCTTCTTCTAGCCGCCCTTCTCCGAAATCCAACATTGCCAAGTGTGCCCAGACCCCCCGCAAAGTCCTCGAGTTGGGAGTGTCAGACTTCACCTTGATGGGAACTGGCCATAAGACTCCCTCAAGTGCCAAGTCGAAAAAGGCACCTCTTCGTCAAAAGACCAGCAAGACCACAGTCAGCTACGCTGGAGATAGATTTATCCCCAACCGTGCTTCTAGCTCCGCTCTCAACCACGCCGGTTCCAGCAAACTGTCCATTTCGGAGAGACAGCGCCCCAAGACTAGTGGCGGAGATGCCTCATCCACGCTGTCTACTGCTGCTGACGATGCCGTTGCCGCTCTTGAGCGACTAGACATCAATGATGAGGAGACCGGTGACTACTCTCGTCCTTCTCCCAACACTGTGGCTTACCAAGATTCTCTTGCCAGCGCTTGCGGTGTTAAGCTCAACACCAGAATTCTCGAGTTCAAACCTGCGCCACCAGAGTCGTCTAAGCCTATCGACCTTCGCCAGCAGTACAACAGACCTCTCCGCAACAACGCTGCCAGCTCCGCTCAGATCCGCCGTCGCATTGCTACTGCTCCTGAGCGTGTTTTGGATGCCCCCGGGTTGATTGATGACTACTACTTGAACTTGCTCGACTGGAGCTCCGGCAACCAAGTCGCTATTGGCCTAGAGCGTAACGTATACGTTTGGTCCGCTGACGAAGGTAGTGTCAGCTGTCTCCTTGAGACCAACCCCGACACATATGTTAGCAGCGTTAAGTGGTCGGATGATGGTGCCTACGTTGGTGTTGGCCTTGGCACGGGCGAAGTCCAGATCTGGGACGTCGGCGAGGGACAGAAGATCCGCAGCATGTTTGGCCACGACACACGTGTTGGTGTTATGGGCTGGAGCAAGCATCTTCTTTCTACTGGCGCCCGAAGTGGCCTCGTCTTCAACCACGATGTCCGAGTTGCTGAGCACAAGGTTGCCGAGCTCGTTTCCCACACCTCTGAAGTATGTGGTTTGGAGTGGCGATCTGATGGTGCCCAACTTGCTACTGGTGGCAACGACAACTTGGTCTCCATCTGGGACGCTCGCTCCCTCTCTGTGCCCAAGTTCACCAAGACAAATCACAAGGCTGCAGTCAAGGCTCTATCCTGGTGCCCGTGGAACATGAACCTTTTGGCCACTGGTGGAGGTTCTTACGATCGTCACATTCACTTCTGGAACTCTACTTCCGGTGCCCGCGTCAACAGTATCGACACTGGCTCTCAGGTAACCTCCCTGCGCTGGAGCCCTCACTACCGTGAGATCGTAAGCTCCAGTGGCTTCCCTGACAACTCTCTGAGCGTCTGGAGCTATCCCACGCTAGTTCGCAACGTTGAGATCCCTGCCCACGAGAGCCGTGTGCTGCACAGCTGCTTGAGCCCGGATGGTCAGATGCTGGCTACTGCCGCTGCTGATGAAAGCTTGAAGTTCTGGAAGATCTTCGAGAAGAAGGCCGGCACTACTGCTGGCATTGGCAGCTCTGGATCCTCTGCTAAAGCCGATTTGGTAAAGCAGATGACCATTCGATAAAGGCAACGGATGCATATCCCATGTTGCGGTAAGTATGCTCTTATCTTTCGACAGACAGCAATGTTTCGTGGATTGGATTTGGTCTTTTTCAACGGTGTTATGGAGTTATATGCTCTGCACGTGGCACGAAAGCGCTTCTCCACGATGAATGATTTTTGGTGGTCTTGGAACATGAGCTACGCAAGAACAATGATATACTTGAACATGGTACTCCACGGAGAACATGTACTTCACTGAATATAGTTGATAGAAGCTAGACTTGAATTGGAATTGTGAGGCTTCTATGCCGAGGATTATAATTATACCAAATGTGCTACGCTACCCTTGACATGGCGTTCTGTGTAAAGAACACGCTATGTGACCGTATCAGTGTACATGGAATAGGTAGGGCATCATAAAAGATGGTATGATTTGGTCGGTTTACAAATCATCAACTTTTGTAAAGTAACTATGGATTTCTAATGGGATCGTTCCTAGCGTTGATGTATCGCCACCACTGGCGCCAGATGTGGGCTCTGGTTGGCTGCTCCGTCGCATGACTAAGCAATTCTGCCTGGTGTCAAATGCGAGAAGCGGGCGGGCAACTTCACCATTGCATCACCAACTTCAGTGCCCACGACCTCGCCACCAATCGATCCAAAGCTGTATCGGATTGCGTGTAAAATTGCAGGAGTTAGGAACAGAATATTCTACATCAGATACAAGCCCATCGACTCTGGCAGGAGCAACACGCTGCTCTCGATTGGGGATCGTTGACGAAGTCGATTAATCCAATTGCGGCGAAGAGTCATCTATCGTACAGGCTCTATTTCTCGACGCTTATTTTACAGAACGAAAAACAAGAAAAATAAGAACCGTAGACGATTTATTCGACTTAGAAGCAATTCAAGAGAAGCAGAGAATCTCTTCAGCCGCATCGGCCCCGTGTACCGCCTCGCCACCGCAAGCGTAGCCCGTCGGAACACGAACCATGTCCAACACGGGCGTCGGCAGCGTCTACCAGACGATTATCAACGAAGTTATTAACAGCTCGCGCGTTGACTTCGAAGAAAATGGCATCGAAGAGTCGGCTTTGGAGGAATTACGAAAGGTGAGCTTGGAATATGCGCAGGCTCTGGCGTTGGATTGCAACACTACAGGACAGTCTCTGCCCAACATTGCTTGCCTTGCCTTGCCGTACTTGCCTTGCCGCCATAAGATCCAAGGAAACTTGATAGCTAACAGATAACCTCTTACGTTTAGGGATGGCAACAAAAACTGACACAACTCGACGTTGCCAGCTTCCCATGGGACCCGGTTCCCGAACCAGCAGCTGCTCCTGTACCCAACGCAGGCGTGGCTGCGACACAAGCCTACGTCCCGTCACCGACGGCTGGTACACCTATTAATGGTGGCGCCACTGATATTGCTGGTGTCAAAATGGAGGCTGGCATCAAAGCAGAGCCAACCACACAGACCGCTGGTATTCCCAACTACCCGCCATACAACGGGGTAGACAACAAGAACAGTGTTGCTGCAAGCCGCGCCGCCCAACAGCTTCAGGCCCAGTATGGTGTCCGCGCAGCCGGATCCATCAATGCCATCCAAGATCGCATGGGTCAGCAGCAGCGACCGCCGCACAGCCAAACTGATGGCGCAGCGGACCTCGATGATGAGACATATGAAGGCGTCATCATGCAGCGAAGCAAAGCTGGCACTTTGCAAGAGCTCGGCCGTGTTGACATCGACCGCATTCTGCACGCGAAAATCGCCGCCAATTCTCGGGCAATGGAGGGCGGCGGCCTGATGCTTTCTCTAAAGGAAGCAACGGGTAGCGGCAGCGCTGCTGGCACGTCACGCAAGGGCAAGGGTGTTGCCGCCTTTGACGGCGGTGATGACGATGATGACGACGATGATGAGGAAGAGGATGAGGATGCTATTAACTCGGATCTTGATGACCCCGAGGACGAAGACGGTGAAGATGAAGTTGATGAAGACGGACTGGGCCACATTATGCTTTGCACGTATGACAAAGTACAGCGCGTCAAGAACAAGTGGTATGTATTATTGGGTCTATCGTATGTGCAAAAAAGAAGTGCTAACAATCATTACAGGAAGTGTGTTCTCAAGGACGGTGTGCTTACTGTCAACGGCAAGGAGTACGTTTTCCACAAGGCATCTGGTGAATACGAATGGTAAAAGACCACGACGATGCCTCCAAGCCAATGAGCTGGATACAAGTGGCGGTGAATAGCGGATGCTGTCACTCGCCTCTGTTTGCTTTTCTTCTTCCTTTTTTTCGGGACCAATCTGTCGTTTGCAGCAGACACAGTGAAGTGGTTTGTTCAAAGAGCCCATTATCGTGGCTCATCTGCCCAACACAATCTAAGTTGAAATCGTGGCACGTATCGAACGCCTGCATTATTTTCACACCCCTCCCGGAGCACTTGCAGCAGCAAACAGAAAAACAAATAAAAAAAAGAGACAAGAGTGGCTTGTTTGTTTACTCTTCTATATGGCGTTTATTCTCCTTTACCTTTGGTGCTGTCTTTCTGTACACAAAACTAGTGGCAGAATATCGATGGATAACCTGAAAATCAAGCTGACTTTATTCATTTTCCATCATTCATCCTGTGTATGTCCTGTGATTGTAAGCAGTCTTTCGATCTATTTTTAATCCCGGGGCGTAGTCATAGACTCCGTCTTTCATCCGTCTCCGTCTGGACAAAGGTCCCTGATGACAGACGGACAGCACAGCACATACTGCTGCTACTACCGTAGCCTATGACCTGTAACGCTTGACTTCTTTTGGGTGACCGATTCTACTCGGAGATGTGTTCCCAAATGGAGCAAAACAAAGGAACCTAAGAGTAGACAGCGTCATCACAGGGTGTGATGCGGCCTCCTCCTAGCCATGTTACATCCCACTACATGCTTACAAGGCCAGACAAGGGCGGCGCCTGTGTAGCGGATAGAAGACCAGCGGGATGCGCTTGTCGCGCGGTTCTCGAGGTAAATGATACTCCCCGCCCCGAGTTGCTGGCCTGTCTGGACAAAGACGGCTCGCCGTGACCCAATCCCTGCGGCCATCTTTTGCCTAGGCCGTATGCACCGCCTGCTGTGCTGTAACACTGGCATGGGCTTGTACACCCGATTCAGGCTTTTGGGTGTATGAATAGTGTGCCACCGGACAGAAACTCGGCCGTCCGCTGTTGGCCTGCGCAACCCCCCCTGCTTGACCCGACAGTTTGGTTCGCGCGCAAAGGCTGGCTGGCCTAGCGTTCAGGTCAATGCCCAATGCCAACCCCCGAAACGCCTTTTTGTACGAAGCCTGCTTTTTCTTCTCCCTGGGGCGGGAAACGCTCAACCAAATCCTTTCGGATAGAATACGAACTGCAAACTCCCTGTCATGTCACATTGTAATAGCCTGCGGAAACGTCGACCCGGGGTATACAGAGGTAGCCTTGGACAACTGCCGTATGCCCGAAAGCTCGGCGAACACACACACACACACACACACACACACACACACACGTAGAGCCCATCCATGGTCGCTTGCGGCCAAAGCGATTTGTGTTTGCGATAAGGCTGTCTTCGCAACACCCTTGTCACTGCGACAACAAACTGGCGGTGAGATGCATCATAGTCAACCATTCATTGTGACCGGTTTGAAGTGAGGCATTGGCCCCCAAATTGCAAGTAGTCACTGGTTTATTTTGTTTCCAGCCTACACAGAGCAGCTCCAGGCCAAAGCCTGTTATACTTGGTACGCTGTGCTCAGTGTGCAGTTCTTTACATCCAATATCACGTCGCAACAGACCAACTGCTTGGTTTTGCAGGCCATGCACGTCGAATGTGGAGGTAGCAACGAACCTTGACACGGTTCGGCCTAAGTTGCGACATACAGTAGCGCTTTCCCAAGTCCCAACGCTGGTCCGCTGTAAATGTAACGCTAGAGTATATCCATGCATGCCAATACACAAGCTAGGCCGGGTGACTATCCGCAATATCGAACTAGCACTAGCAAGTCGTGCTCGGCCCCGCATCAAAATGCGTTCGTCTCATTGTTACGGGGCGAATGGCTGTTGGACGGCCATTTAAATGACCAAGAGTATTGTCTTACTTTAGATACAGGGATCAGCTAAATGTGGCTAAATGCGCGTGACGGCTGTGATCGAATGTTGCGTGCAAGTACGTTCAAAAAAGCCACAGAGGGGCACCGACGATTATATCTCAAAAGTTTCGTCAGATCTTTGAAACATGTTTCAGGTGACAGAAAGCCCGATGCATGGCTTGAAGAAAACCAGTAAAGAATAATACTTGTTTGTCATTGGTGAATGCGGAAAATAGCAGAAGTAGTAGGTGGTGTGCGTGTATTTTGATGCTTGGTGATAGTCGGAGCCGAGGCTCGCCGCCCCGCAAGACAATTTCCTTTGCAGAGTAAACGGTAAATGGCCTATAGAATCAAAGGTAGCTTGATTGCCACAATGGGGCCGTTTTTTCGATGCATGAAAGGGCGGCTAATGCGGGATCTAATCGGACGGCATCAGAGTGCGTGCGCTTGGGCCTTGCGACGGCTTGCAGTTTAGGTCAAGATACTGTTCGGGTTTATAATATCCAAACGAAAAACCCAGACCGTAGTGAAGAAGATAGATATGCTTTCAAAATCATGCACACTTGGTACCAGTTATACGGGGCACTGTTAAAATGTCTCTCTAGTCGATGGGCGCGATGATGGGGGAGACCATGGCAACGCTAGCACGTGATGGCTCTGACTTCGTCACATTCGGTTCTTTCATTGATTGGCGCATCACACCACTCGTTTCATATTGACTGGAACCATAACCCGATTCTTCTGCAATTGCCAGCCATATTCTGCACGTATGTAGCACGGTTGAACCGAAGGCCTCGACCGGCGTCGCCGACAACGCCCCCAACATAGTATAACCACAGTTGGGTCGAATGGTCGTTTAGGCCGTAAGTTGGTGTTATCTCTGCAAAATTTGTAGTTGCTATGACCCCGATCAACCCTGCAGATATCATGAATACTTGGCGTTAGCAGTGTCGTACTCTACTACTGACCATTGGCGGGGCCTGGACGTTGTGCACATCTGTAGATCCAGGCCGATTGCCTAGGTAGCCCATACACGACGGTTTCCAAGTCATCGTTGCAAAAGTCTCAATTTGCTTTGAACACTCGACCTGTTGGCTAGTAGTATTTCGCTTTTTCACACGAATGACTTCTCGGCGTCTTTTCGAAGAGAGGAGGCGGAGCAGCACGACTTTGATGTGGCCATCCGTGAAGGGAAGCAGACACAGATACACTTGCCCAATTGGGGGGTGAATCGGCGAGCCTTTGTCTGCGGGGCGTCTTTGGTGGCTTGGCTAGGCGTTTCACAAAAGTCATAGCAGGCTTTGTTGTGAAAGGCTATACGCTGCTCTGGGTAGACTAGCGGGCAGGCCATGGATTCACACCTCGCCATCCAACCTGCCCAGCCCGGTGCAATTAGTGGAATATGACAAAAGCAAAAGTGGAATGAACGACGCCTCCTCGGCTCCGTTGACGAATCGGGGTGTCGCTGATATGGACTAGACAGACTTTTTTTAGGCTTACTGTGGCGGAATGGACCACGCTAAAACAAGATGAAACATAGTCAAATGGGCCACCCAACACGCCAGGGCCGCATTGAGCCTAGAGCAAGCGAGCAGATCTTGCTTGGCCCTCTGTTCTCTTTTGGCAACCCATGGTCCGGCTTGCCGCCGCGGTATGCTCTGTGGCTTGAGTGACCACTTGTATAGTGCTCTCAGGCGATGCGCCGGGTCCTTATAGCAGGGATTCAGGCGGCACGGCGGGGTAACTAAAATTTAGCACAGCTTGTTGGCGCATTGCAGGTCCTAATACGCACATCAGTGTGCTGGCGGGGGTGCGGGCCAGCAATCAACATCCCATCACATCATGAGAGAAGTGAAGCCTAGCCTGATTACTTTCTCCAACCACCACCAAGCCAGCCCAGAATAAAATCCAGTATGCGGAGGTGTGCACTAACTTGGTTTCCGCGCCGCCTGAAACACAGCCTAGCCTCCACCGCTAGCGGGTCTGCGGCCGTTGGAGTGTGCTGCCCCTCTCCGAAGAAGCCACACGATGGGCTCAAGGTGCTAGAAGAGGGTGTCGAGGTTGATATCGGACACCTGTATGACCAGTCTAGGAGGGATCCTACTAATCAGACCTATACGCTTTAGACTTGTCGAAGTCAAATGCGAGCATTTTTAGAACATACAGAGTCATCTCTTGTCAACGGGTCTGCTTGCTTCACATTGTTGCGTGCTGGGGGGCTTAAAGTTTGCTTGTAACCGCCGCTTTGCCGCCTGTTTGCGAGATGAAAAAACAAAATAAAATAAACGGCCGCTCCCGCTTTCCTATGCGGCGCTGGCTAGTGGTTGCTTGGAGAGCTCCATCGCAAGCCACCGGAGCTGCTGCATAGTGCATGAAATGAAGTTTCTTTGCCCGCCGGCTGGCCCTGTAGAAGAGCCACCCATGACCTCCGGGGCCGTTCCATTGTGCCTATAATAGCGCCGGTGTGGTTATGTGCTATTGGCTGTCTTGTTTGTTGGGCGCGGGACGGTGTGGACGAATGTACAGCGACAATGGACGGGAATTAGCGAGGGCCAAAAATACGGCGGAACCATTCGCTTGTGACGTGATGGTCGTTCTCGGGAACACCAGGGTATCTTGTTGGATCCGGGCTGTGGCGGAGTGAGAGAGTAAAAGAAAGAGAGAGTTTGTGTTGGCGCCCAGCCATACAAACAGCATTCAGGAACTGTCCCCCCTGCCCACATTACGCTGTGTGAGTGGCCGCCACCCCGCCGCCGCCCGTGTTGATGGTGGTCATCCGATATGGCTACAGTGGGAAGCGGGCCACCGTTTAACCCAAGACCTTGGTGAAGGCCAGAGAATGGGCGACCTAGAGTTCCGCGGAGCAATAATGATGACGAAGAAAAAAAAGGGCTGTGGACGGGAATTGGGTATCAAAGGATGACCGTAGAGTAAGGGCTAGCAATGCAGCAGACCAGCACCTCGCTGTAAATGTGTCAACACAGCCTGTAGCTCATCGCCCAGCACTGACCAAGACGAGACGAAAGATCGTAGACCAACGCTGGCCCTTGCTCTTCAGCCGTCTTCCAGCGTCTTCCGGTGCGGGACGCCCGCATCACGCAGCAGGCAGCTTTTTTTTTTTTCTCCCTCATCTTCTTGGCCGCCGCTGGCTTGCATCAAAGGCTGAACGGAAAAGAGCCCACTAACTAGCGGGCCACCGGTAGTCCAGGGAGGATGACTAGCCTGGTTGATGCGCGCCGCTGTGGACAGTGGTTCCACTTGGTTCAAACTCTGCTTGGTGGCTCTCGCTATGCTACGTTGTTCTTCGGCGAGGTCTAGAAGATTTCGGGGATCTACTTTTGAGTTCCTGTCGCTTGATTGTTCACGCTTGCTGGAGTATCGCACGGCAGGGATTTAATACGGAAAATTTCCAATTCAAGCTTAGGCAAGTGAAAATCCAGCGGTGGAATTTTTGCTGGGAAATGCTTTGGTGCAGCCACGTGAAAATCAAACCTGCTCGGGCCGTTGAGCGTTGGACGGGCGGTTCCATCGTCATCGCCAGCCAGATCCTGCTTGGGCTCTTACCGGCCACCTGCACATGCCGCTGCCCTTTCCACAGCGGGTACCCCCCCCCCCAAAGAAAAAGAATGCACGCCAGAAAAAGAAAGAGTAGAGTTCAGGATTGGTAGCATTGGATCAGCCGGGCTTTGCCTATTCAGTGCAAGCTTGTAGCGGCAACCCGCCTTTTTCGTTACCTATTATTTTTTTCGTCAGGCGACGACGCTTGGCTGGCTCGGTGATTCTTCCGTTTCTTACTTTTTCTGGTAGCCTGTGGTGCAAAAAGGGCCGGGCTATCTCTTTTTTCTCTCCGTTCGCTTCATAAACTCTATTGTTTGCTTTCTTTTCCCCCTTCTTGCACCTTTTCTTTTTCTTCCATATCCTTTTATTTGCTTGCATCCTTTTCTCCTCTGCGGCTATCTCCTACATCGGCCGCGGCAGCAACAACGCGGCCAGTTGCAACGACCCTAGGGCTGCATCTTTTGCTACGCCAGCAAACTTACAAGTCCTCCACCACCACCACCTTGCGCATCTCGCCAGGGCCTGACACCTGGCCCTGTCCGCTGGCACTGACGCACCAGCACCGCCAAAAACCACCAGCAACGCAGCCTGACCCGGCCTAAAATCTTTACCACCACCTCTCTGCAGCCCTTTCCACCCTCCAGGCTTCCCTGCCCCTCGCGCTGGCGCGTTCTCCCCCCTAACCCTTGCCCATTACAACATCCTGCATGGGCCAAGGGGGCGTGAGTGTTTCGTTAGACGCTGAGCCTCTCGACTTAGCTCCCCTTCTCAGCACGGAACGCTCTCTTGTAATTGCGGCCTCCTTAGCCGCCTGGTCACGGCCTCCTGCTGCTCCTACTTCTGCTAGTCTTCTTCTCACCTCTTCTCTGGCCGTTATTTGTTATGAATCGGGCTTGGTCGAGCTGCAGATAATGCGCCATTCGTTTCACTTTGCAGCCTATCCGCTTATAATAGTGTCCCTAACCCCCTCCTAAACTCGCCTTCTGTTACTACTACTACTACCAAACTCCCAATCTCGTCGTCATCACATCTCACATTCTTACATTTCTTCAGAATTTGTTCTGCCCTCAGCATTTGGGACTACTTACTACAGAATCTCAGTCGATACACACCGCAATCTTTGTGCCCTTGCACCCGCCACGCCTTGTTATTACCCGAGGCTGCAGCTATATCATCACGAGCACACCCCAGCTGTCTCCAGTGCAAAGCATCCCGTCGGGAATGCAACGCGCGTGCTCACTCACCTGAGCCTTTCTTCAGCACGATACACCAGCCTTCTTGCTGTAGAGTACAGCCCTGCTATCAGCCCACCGGAACCCTGCTACCGTTCGACGCTTTTATTGCTACCACTCTGCATCAACTACAACGCCTGGAAAGCCCCAAAGAAGATCGCCCTCCTACTCCTCGGCAACTGCACGCACCCTCCGTGCTGCCCCAAAGACTCACCACCCGTTGTGCCCTTGTCCGCCTTGCTCTCAAGCCCCACGACAGGTAACAGACCAACCAACGGCGTCTCGGATCAGGTACACACCATTGCCTTTTTCTCTTGTCAGAGCCCCCACCTCGCCCCTCAAATCCAGCGCCTGCCGTGCTGGTGGACAGCCTGCTCTAGCATTTTGTAAGTAAAACAATCCTTATGCGGTCCTCTGTTTGCCTCTCCACCCGTCTTTTGTCTTGTTTTGTCTCGCCCTCAGCCACACTTGGGCTTTCCATCTCGGTACTTGAACCGTCCTTGTGCGGCTTGGTCTGCCTTATACCCTTCCGCCCCCACCACCTCTTTAACATGCGCGCCGCTGCCCTTGCACACTCCCCTCGCTCGTAATTGCTCAGCTTCCAAGAGGATGGAGCGGCTCGCTCGTGCCACATCACTTCTATTCCCTCCAGACTTCATTGGGCCAATCTGAAGCTGTTTTCGAAGAAACATTTTTCAAAAATTTCACATATGCGACCATCTCGGCATATTCCCCTCTATGCCACGGATCTTTTCCTCCGCAAAGATAGAGACTTTTGTACCGGTTGCTAGCTCACACCTTCGCTGATCGGTCCAATCAGTCTTCCGCCACCTCTCCAGTAACGCGCCTGCCTAATGATATGGAAGGCTTTTGCCTTGCTTGTGCTCAGGCTCGCCTCGTCGTCTCCTCTTGTTTCCTCACACAACCTCATCTGCCGCCACACACATTCTCACCGACACAAATTTGCCCCCAAAGACACAGCACTTGAACTGCATTTCACTGGAAACTCTTTACCAGCGCAGCTCCTTCTACTCCCCTACTATAGTTGTTTTGTGTACATCTTCTGTTGTACCAAGCAATAGTATTTACACTTTCCCCGTTGCACTGGATTGTCTGCTATATCCAAACCACCACCAACAGTACCTGTATTGACCGCGTTACGCAGTTTAGAACCACTCGCCAAGCTGTCGACTTCGACTGGAACCCGGCCCTGGTTGACTCTTAAAGTCGCCGGGCCGTCAATTCTGCACCACCCCAACACTGACAGTGGGGGCGACAACCAACGATTTAGAAACAACTCAGGGAAGCAGTTATCGACTCTTGCCCCAATGGCGGATTCAGATACAATAGATCCCAATCCAGCGTATGTTTTGCTCTTTCACTTGTAGGTTGATGTCTTTTTCGAACAATACTAAGAAGACTTGCAGTACTGGCTCTCAGGTGCTCAGTCAGGGATTTTGGGAGTTCAATCGCTTTTATGGCTCATGGAGACCGGGAAAGTATATGTTTCCGATTGACGAGGTAAGTATCAGAGGATGTGTAAGTTCTAGAATGGAATGTAAGCCTAACCACTGTATTACAGGAGGAAACTAACCGCATGGATATATTCCATAAGGTTTTTATGGTGGTGCGAAACGATAGACTATATACATATCCTCCTCATCCGACTGCTCAAGCTCCGCGTATTATGGATTTGGGAACTGGAACCGGAATCTGGGCAATAAATGTCGCTGAAGAGTAAGTTTGACCATATGACTGTTCATTGGCACTTTGCTAACTCGCAATCTTATTTAGCTTTCTACCGAATTCCCATATCATGGCAATCGACCTGAATCAAATACAACCCCCCATGTAGGTGTTACGACGCTGATATTCAATGGCCGTTAGCTAACGCAAGAAAACCTGCTAGGATCCCTAGGAACGTCATTATAAAGCAATACGATCTTGAGGATGCAATTTGGGAGGGTCTTCTCAAAGACTGCCACATTATACACATGAGGATGCTTCTCGGCTCCATTCAAACAGATCTCTGGAGCCAAGTATACAAAAACATTTTACAGTAAGCTATTATGGTACCTTATAACAAACAAAGCTAATGATGGGTTGCGATAGGCATTTGGTACCTCTTGAGGGGTACTTTGAGCAAGTTGAACTGGACTGGGTCCCGCGTTGGGATGGGCAGGATATACCTCAGAACTCTGCTTTGGCTCGCTGGTCAGATTGTTTCCTTCAAGGTCTGGATAACGCCAATCGCAGTGCTCGGATATCATCGGACGATCGCAAACGCCTTCTAGAGGACGCAGGGTTTGTGGATGTGCGAGAGCAGGTAATACGGTGTAACATCAGTCCGTGGACTACAATCCCTCATGAAAACGAGAAGGCCCAATGGCTGAATCTTGGATTTGGGCTTGCTATGAACGCCCTGTCATTTGGACCTATGATCAAACAGCTGGGTATGAGAATGGATCAGGTAATAGAGCTCAACACTGCCGCTATCACCGAAAGCCGCCAGCTTCGGTACCATGCATACTATAACATGTATGTCAATAACGTTTGTATTCCTTTCTTGTGTGCCTTTTGCTGACAACTCTTTTCCTCCAGACACATATGGACAGCTCGTCGTCCACCTTCATAGTACGAACGTACTCGGCTCCCGGAATAACAGTATCAGGGGCATGTAGCCTATTACAATGGAAGAGGCAATTATTAATAAAAGCATATGATTACGATGAAGCATGGCAATAGTTTTGTCAAGCATACGACATAATAGAAGCAAGCAATTGGGAACGGAGTTTGATGCTGGGTACTCTTTCAGCTTTTTTTACGCCATGACCCACGATACTCTACTATAGAACTTACGATTAAATGTTTTCTTTATCCGTTTTCGTATGTCCCTAAGCCGATTGTGCGTGCCCAACTGTGAGTGGTGCTGACAATGGCTGCAGCAGCCAACGAGCAAGGCTGAGACCGCGGCAAAGACTTTGGCACCGTATGGCAGAGCAACCAGCAGGAAGGTTTGGGACCCTGTGGAATCCAGATTCATCCCTTGTCCAGGTTTGATTACAAGCTAGCAAAAACTTGAAACAGACGCTTGCGGAGTGGATGCAGGAGCTAGTCTACCATTGGGTGGTTGGTGCCAACAGGAGGCATGCGTGGCCTGTAATTGGCTGGACTGGAATCGGGCGAACCAAACTGTCGGGTCCGCGTTGGCTGGCTGCAAACTACACATCACATGGGGCGCCAAAACGGCACAAAACGTGGAGAGAAGAAATCGGAAGAAATCCTGTATAAATGGAGGGTGATTAAATATGTAGAAATAACCATTTAAATTGGTTATAAATACCGATTTTGTCATGTTCAAGGTGCAGATGGGCTCATACCCTCGGAGCAACTCTCCGAACAGGCGCAAACTCTGAGTTGGGCGACCCAAACCTACGGCCTTTTCATCTCAAATGACATAAAAAGACACCAAAGATGTGTTTTTAGGATATGTGTAATTAATTTCGGACATTAGGATTATGTCGACCCGCTCAAGGCACCTCAACCAACGCCGATTCCTCTGCAGCTGGTTGTGGCAAACTGGGCGTCGTCGGGAAGGCCGTATCTCTTGGGGGCGATAGCGCGCCCAAGCATTTCCAATTGGCATTACTGTTATTTTAAGCATATAACAACCTTTCTCATCATTATACGATGCTATTGAGCTTTGAGTTCCAACGTTTGAGCCGTCGGTAGCCTCGTGGCCAGCGGCTCCAAGAACGCCGCTTATCGTTTGATTTTACTGGTAGTAACAAGACGACCACTGCAGAAGATTTATATTGCAAATAAGGCTAGTGGCAAGTGTCTAACGGGGTATAGCTACCGATTCAAGGCCGACACTGGTGTTCGTCGTTGAGGTGATGGCTAATGGCCAACACACGGTAGTAGGTTCAGATACTTAAATAGAGGCGTTTGGTGCCGCGATATGCGAATGTTGGTTTTTTCCATCAAGCTTTTTAACTCTTCTAGATAACGTTTACGACAATTCTTTCGTCCAGTGGCGAGGGAGGTGGCGTTAATGTATCGAGATTCATGGGAGTAGATCGCGCGTAAGTTGTGGCAGCGTAGTGTTATGGAAACTTATTACCATTAATATTTTATATCGCGGTACGCGATGGTACGCTTAAAGTTTATTAAATTTAAATTTTGTACATATTGGTTGGTCGGCTGCCGGTTGCGGCGCGGTTGTTTGCCCAGTCAACACTGTTATACTTCCGTGTCTAGCGGGATCATGTAGTCTTTCCATTTTCCGCGATCGGCGTCTCTGAATGTGTCCATACTACCCTCTACACCATCGTCTCCGACAGTCCAGATGCCTTCTTCAATTAGATGCCGCCACCAGTCAAACAGCCGTTCCATACGCTGAGCGCGCGCCATACCGCCTAATGGAAAATCCCCGTGCTGGAATAGATCAGCCACTGATCCAACTGGCAACAGCGCCCCATCGCTAAGCCGGGCGCCTGTATAGCTGCTATCAAATTGGAAGGGCATTAGAAGTCTGAATCCTTCCTCTGCCATGTCTGAGGAGTTGAGGACGACAGATTCGCTATAGAGGCCCGCCAGTGTAGATTGGTCTGATGGATCAAGATGCATCTCTTTGGGGAACGGGTTCGGGCTGTAGCCTTTATATCCGCCAGAGAAATCAACGGTACCGCCGTCTTTATCTGCAAATATGAGTAGCGGTGGGATTATGATGTGGCCGGTTTCAGGGTATTGTTCATAGGCAAGCCTTGTAAATCGTTGTTGGGAAATAAAGGCCCAACGATCATGAGGAACGACCAGGCCTGGGGCAATGCATTTAAACCGCGGGACTGGTGCACCAGTTAGAAACTCTCTGACGAAGCACTTTCCAGGAGCGCCCGCTGCGTCAAGGTCGTCATCGTTGAGTAGGTATTTTTTGCGGACTGTTGGCGATCTGGGTTCTGACGGCAAGCGAGAGTCTATCGCCATAACCAACCGCTCGAATGCCCCTATCGTATTTTCGACCTGAAATGAGCTATATGGTTGTATTCTCCATACATCGTGTATTCTGTGACGGAGCGATTTCGGCGGACCGACGGTAATCTTTTCATATACATGTAGCTTGATCCAGTGCGTGAGTAGGAATTCCAAAGGGAACCATCGTTCCGGATGCTCGGACGCCGGCGTCACGAGATCGCTGTGGAATATGGTTGGTACAAAGGCAACCTTGCGTATGTTTCGATTATAGACGATGCCAACACCTTCTCTACTCATGTCGAGTGTCATTGTGTAAAGTAACGTTATAGCAGACTTGTCCTGTTTTGTATAGTCGTCAAAGTGTTGTATGATGTAATGGTCGTGAATCTCGGAGGGTGTAGGCATGCCTGCTGCCCAATGGAAGAAGAATGGATGGTCTCGGCCTACGGGAACAATAATGGCTTCGAGAAAGTCGACAAGCTGACGGTCCATGCTGCTATGGTCCCAGTAGGCGTTGGACCACATGTTTTCGCGGTGATGCACCTGGAACCAGTTGAACTTGTCCGGCTGCATCAGTTCGTCCAAATCCCCAGTTTGTTTTCCCATGGCTGCCATCCAGCCCACTGCCACTAAGAAGTTGTGCAGCTTGGCGCATCGCTCCCAGTCCAGGTTGCCGTCATCGCGTGGTGGGTTGCCCGGCACGACAAGGGAGTCCCCGATATCCATCAGCGGATGGGATGGATACCCCGATGTGCTCATTTCTAACAGCTGACCGATCCTTTTATCTGCTGTGAATGACGGGGTGCCCGTTGGTAAAGGTTGATGTTTGTATGAATAGAGTTGGTTTGAGTTTCAGCGCTTGCTGTAAGTCTTAGCGCCTGTATCACCTGAGGAGGCGTCGTCGTCGCCGCTGCTGGGATCACTCACCACCCCAAAACCAGCCGGGTTCACAAAATAGAGTTTGAGCTGCTGGCCTAGCGGGAATGGAATATGAACACGATGAAACTATTGAAAGAAAATAGGAATTCTGTTCATAAATTAAATGATTAACATTTATTTGCTCCGTTCGTATGTTTACTGCGTTTGTCATAACAAATAATGTCAACATAGCACAACGTTGTTTTAAAAACGTTAAGGCGCTTGAAACCGTTCAAAATTCTCCATTCGACTTGCTATAACGGTGACAGGATAGTAGATGATCTAGCCCTCTTCCCGACTATGCAACTGATGTACATGTGTGACAAAAGAAAAAAAAGTAAAAGATGGCGATGCCGACAGATGCAGACGGCCATCTTGCTCAGCACCACCAAGTCTATCATTGTCCTGATTCCATACGCCGGGCAGAGCGTCCGTCGTTTCCTTTTTCTGCCCAATATCCACTTCCGCATATATTTATTCCTTCAATCCAACGCTTACGCATTCCCGATTTTTGCACCTCCTCTTGTAAGTCAACTTCGAGGGAAAAGAAGCCACTTCAGTTCGACAAAAAACAAGCCATCTCTCCTTTTGCGCGCCGTTTTATATGATCATTGGCTTAGTGGTGGCTGGCAGTCTCGCCGTGGTAACCGACGAGCTTGAAGCGGCCGAGCATCTCACCAACGGTGAAGAAGCCGAGGCACTCGGCGACGACAACACCGCCAGCAACGAGCTGGGGAGTGCCAACGTTGCGGATCTGCTGGAGGAGCTGCTGGGGAGAAGCGAAGAGGGTGCCGGAGCGGAGAGAAGACCACAGAGACTGGTAGTAAGTCTGGAAAGTAGCGACGGAACTGCCATTCTAATGTTAGCTAAGGGGCCGCCAGATTCGGGGTATTTCAGAGGGTTTATCCGTACGGGAGAGACATCTTCTGGCCCTGGAAGACGAGCTTGCTGAGCTCAAGACCAACGCGGGAGTAGTAGATGACGAAGGGGGTTTGGCCTGTCAGAGAACATGTCATTATGATGGCACCATTGCGGTTGCGGGAATTGCGACTCGAGGACGCCAGCTCAGAAACGGGCGGCGCTCAAGTGGCGCATTGAATAGAATACTCACGCTCAATCATGGCGAACAGACGGCCAGTACGGCCACCAGCCTTGCTCAAGGCGTTACCGAGACCCTTGGCGGCACCAGCAGCAGCGCCGGAGACACGGGAAAGGCCCTGCTGGGCCTTGGTAGCAGCCTCAGCGGCCTTGCCGGTAGCAGTGCTCTCGAAGCGGCGGCCAGCGAGGCGCAGGACCGGGGAGCGGAGCATAGGGCGAACAAGCGTGGAAGGCATTGTGTCGGTATTTCTGTGTGCGTTCGAGGTAAGGAGGTTGGTTGAACGAGGCGTCGGATTGCGGTCGGATTCGGGGCGGGAAAGAAAATTCTTTGCCGGAGAGTAGTCGAATCGAGGACGTATTAGACGACAGAGAAATAATCCAAGGTCAATTGATGCCGACGGGGACGCTGGTCGATGGGTGTTAGAGAGGAAAGCAGGCGAGATCTGGCGCTGGAAAAGGTGAGGGAGAAAAAAAGCTCGGGAAGAATCGTTAAGCCGGTTCCTGGTTGGCTGGCGGCTGGGCCTGTGCCTTGCTGGCTTGGTGTGTGGTGTTGTGGCGCTAAACCGTTTTGGGAAGACGTGGTGTCGGGGACAAACGGGTGCGCACTGCCAGTTAACAAACTTGCCAGCTGCAACATATACATTTCCCCTCACTGAGAAGCAAAGTTTGGTATTGTCTCTGTTGACGTTGAAATGAAAAACAAATGGGGATATAGGCGGTTGGTGATGAAGGCGGTATAGCTGTCGGCTTGACAGCGCTTTCTCGTCAACCATTACGATGGACAACAGATGTAACAGCACAGGCGGTTTATACAACAGCTTTATTTGACTTGACTACTACTACAACTATCGGTGACGCTACATCCCAACGAATACAAGAGGTTCGATCAAGCTATGATCTATTCCAAGCTCTGAATCTGCACCTTGATCGCACCGCTCTTGGGATCAGCCGACGTCTCAAACGCTTTGATGGCATCTTCCAAAGGGAATCGGTGGGTCACAAGCTTGGATAAGTCAATCAACCCACTTTCAACCAGACGGATAGCCCGAGGCCAGGTGTTGGAGTAGCGGTATTGCAGCTGAATATCAATCTCGCGAACGCTGGCACGCATAAAGGGGAACTTGATTTCGTCTTTACCAACGCCAATGATAAAGACCTTGCCGCCAAACTTGGACGCCCAGACAGCAGAGGCGATGCTGCTTTCAACACCGGTGCATTCCATAGTAACTACTGGCTCGATACCGCCAAATGCAGCAACAATAGCCTTGCCGCCTTCTTCAGGGCTCAGTCTCTCAACCTTGTGTGTAATGACACGAGGGCAGAGCTCCTTAGCAAATGCCAATCGACTCTCTGAGATATCAGTGATGACAAGGGGAGCAGCACCTGCGGCAGCAACACAAAGCATGGTAATTAGTCCAATTGGGCCAGCACCACAAACAAGAACCGGGTCGCCCAACTGCATTTTAGCCCGTTGCATACCTGCCAGCGCAACGCTCAATGGCTCGAGCATAGCTCCGTGCTCGTAGGACATGTCGCCAATCTTGTGACACCAGACGGCAGGATGGTTCACATAACGGCGGAGTAGACCGTGATCTGGTGGCGTCGACAGGAACTTATCGTTCTGGCAGCCGTTGTAGCGGCCGTAACGGCAAGGCTCGCAAGTAAAGCATGGGACATTTGGTTCAATGGCAACCCGGTCACCAATCTTGAGAGAAGTTACCGAGGGGTGTGCGGCGATGATTTCACCAGCGGACTCGTGGCCAAGGATGTGGTCGCCACGAACGATCAATGGGCCAATGCAGCCTTGGTGCCAGAAGTGGACATCGGAACTATCAAGGGTTTTGTCAGTTGGGTTCATCAGTGAGCAAGTAGCTGCTGATATGGCGATTACATACCCGCAAATGCCAGTGCTGCGAATAGCAATGGTAACCTCACCTTCCTTCAGGTCCTGACCAGACGGAATCGTCGCAGCGTTAGGACCAGCCTCACTGATCCAAAGGTCATGGTTTGGGTTCGTGTACACACCAATGTTAGGCTTAAGATTCATTTGAGCAGCGCTCTGAGCTGTTGCCGATGGGCTCATGGTTCTAAGACCAACTTTAACGTAGTAAAGTAGCGTGTGTGCGGGGTGGTAATGGAGGGTACGCGTGTAGCGACGAGAAGAACAGTCGCACTTGTCAGATGCGTCGAAGAACTTGTTCTTTGGAATAAAGGGAATCTCCTGAGGCATTACTTATACGAATTTTTAAATCCAAAGGGTCCTGTTCCCCCTCACGTCTATTGTCATCTGATGCGCGGACTACCTAAAAGCGACAGCGAGTGTGGGGAACGACACTCCGATTTAGGCGTCTCATAGCCGCACCAATCAGAGGGACAGAATCTCTGTAAGGAGAACCAGACCGGTAATGATCATGTCGATATCGGCAGCGAGGCAGGGCATGTCGGAATATTGTTTTTCATGCTAGATTCTAATAGCGCCCTGCTAGATTCGACTGCAATTCTCGCAGCGTGGGCCGCAGCGTACCATTGGCGGTGCGGGATGCCAACTCGCTTAACGCTGCACTTACATTAGAAATACTCCCCAACGAGCACACGTACCGTGTAGCTGTGACATCGTCCCGTTCCGCTAGCGAATGCTTTCCTAATTACCCCAGACCATTCCTACCCAGTAGATCTTATGTCATCCATAAGACAGAGATATGCGGTTACACTGGTTGGCTGGTTGGAGTCTGGAGCACGGCTTAATCGAAGTTTGGCTGTGCTTGGCAGGCGACGTCATAATCTGAAACCCAATAGATGCGACTACGACATATACCGAGCGTGCATGAAATAGAATGATTTTCGTTGAGTGACAGATTGATGAATGGTATCACGTCTCCCATGGTGTGGTTACCTTTTTCATTATCAGTCCTGAAGCAGTGCGCCCCGGGAGGGCTAGCTTCGTATTGGCAGCGCCACAGCTTCAGTTTGACCGTCATTTTTTGTTTGCGTCGGCGAGAACTAATACTGAAACAGGCGCGAAAATGGGAGAGCGACCATGGCTCTAGTCGTGGAATATTTGTCGAGCTCTATCACCTGATACTGTAACACCGTTTACAGAGTACGGGATCCACTACGTTGTATCATACCGGCAAACTTTCGGGGCAAATTTTAGTTTTTTATATAATCATTTTTACATTTTATTTGTCATGTTGTATGTTGATGGAGTCGGCTCGGGTACATGAGGCACCCGTACAACTATGATGCAATAGAAGAAGAATAGCAAGATGCGTGCCAACAGAAAATGAAATAAAGCCAACAGAGTAATTGTTACAAGTTTCCATCCTGAGTCCAAAGCCTTGAAACGCCGGTGCTTGTCATGTCGTCGTAAATAAAAACAAGGAAGAAAAAGAGTCAGACCAAGAAAGTGACCGGACTAGTGTGTAGCCAGTATGGCGCTCTAGTAGTGTACAGAGAGTATCGTAGAGGGCGCGGCTGGCAAAACGAAGGTGCCATAATGTCGGTGTATGGAGGAGGCACAACGATATGCGTGTGCGTTTGTTCGTGTGTATGCGTCTCATGTGATGCGGAAAACGTGGTAGTTGAGGTGAAAGAAGGCTATGCCAGCATCGTAGAGTCGCTCAGCAGCCTTTACTCGCCGACGGCTATGACAACATGACCCTTGCATTTGCCGTACGAGCAGCACTCTTCCGGTTGCATGTTACCGTTGAGAATAGCATCGACCTTAGCCTACATATATATTAGCATTGAGTTTGTTAAGGATGGTTGGGGCATGGGACAGCATCTCTTACCTGTGCACATGGGCCGTCAGGGCCCATTGGAGCAGCCATAGCCAGAGAAACAAGGCTGGCGATTAAGAAGAGAGCAGACTTCATATTGAAAAGTTTATGAAAAGCGTATGTAGTCGAAAGGAAAATCAAAGACAGGACGGAGGCGGCTCGTGTGATATTTGAGGACGAAGTGGTAGAGTCGTACTGCAAGCGCTGAAGACAAAGTGATGCGGGTAGCGAGTGACGCCGTTGCAAAACGGTGTTGCAAAGGACGCAAGGTGAAACGAAAGACTGTTGTATCGCGGGGAAGAATGTGGGAGCCGAGCAGCGGGAGGGATTTAAGTATGGCAGAGGGTGACTTTTACAAAACAAGAAAACTAGACAGCGAGAGAGAGGAAGTTTCCCAGTCGACAGGCGGGATGGGCAAACGTACAGTGCGGGAAGTCTGCTATGCGAAAGAGGGGACGGGGGACCCAGCGCCCCGTATAATGGCACTGGGCTGGCCGCAAGGCGAAGCAGCAGCAGCCCCTCGCATTCGCGATTGGATTCGGATAGCGGTAAGTAAATAGGGGCCAATTGTATATTTTGCCATTTTTCAGTGTTTTACAGCTTGGAAACGTGTTGATAAATGGTAATTTTGTTTCCCATGTCTTCTATCCGACGCACGCAGCAGCACATGCGATACAGCACGCAGCACTGTGTCCTCGGTTTGCATCTCAGTCAGTCAGCACCCACTGGCCACAGCGATGGACGCTGCAGGATTCTTCGCGGGTGGGCTGGCGACGTGTGCCAAGGGCCGTTTTCCCACTACGCTGGAGCCGTACAGTGGAGTGTTGTCCAGCGTTGGGCGGGCCACCATCCCCTTCCCGGCAGCCCTAGCGTCGACGACACCTAGCAGTGGCACTGTGTGAAGCAGGGGAATACGAAATCCGATGGACACAGTCTTTTTTTTAGAGCCTGATTATGACGTTGTTGTGGTGAGAGGCAGGGCTGGCGCCTCTTTTACGATACGACGGCCACATTGATGCCTTTGCTTCTATGTTTCTTCAGATTTGTGCTTTTTTTTTCCTTCGCTTAACCGAGGCAAAATAAAAATAGAAAGAAAGAAACACACTCACTGCGCCCGCAGGACTAGTACAAAAAAACGAGGGGATCGGTCAAGCCCGTGCAGCAGAATCGTTTCATGACTGCATCTTCTCCGCGCAAACGAGTGGCATGCAGTAAATGCACTGTGTCCGCTAACCAGGCTGCCAAACCAGCGCCCCAAACTGCTGAGTGTGTGCCCCCGTAGTGCATGCTCGGGCGGCCTACAGTGGTGCAGGGGGGACGAGGGGGACCTATCACATTTCGTCACCGGCTCGGGATTCCCGTTTTTCTGGGCTACACCTACAAACAAGCCGTCCCCCCATGTTTGTGATTCGACGAGCCTCGTGGTGCATGCACACGGCCTCGTAATTACTTTTCCGGAGATTCAACAGACTTCCTTTTGTCCATGAAATGAAAAATAACAAAAGAAAAGATAAGAAAACTGGCACTAGCACAAAGTACCACGCACTGTGAGCACCAGCGCCATTCTCCATCGGGCTAACGTGAAAAACCCAAAGGATGGCCTTTTTTCTCTAATCTACAGTGGGTTTCTATCAGAGCTAATGGGACCAAATGAGATGAGCATCCCCATTATGGCTAACTTAGCGCCAGTTCGTCTCTCGCCACCAACCATTCTACACAGCCCGTCCACGCCTCGTTGCCCACCCAAGAGATCCCCGTCAGCACGCACGTTTCGAGCAGCCTATCATGTAATGCGGACCACTGAATCCCCAGTCAACCTTGCGAGCTGAACAATAAGAAGACGAGAGAGAAAAATCACCACATTTTCCACACAAACCTTGCCAGAATGCTATCCACTCTCACTGTGGCTGGTGTCCCTTTCTCTTTGACTATAGCCCGCTAACAAACAACCTGCAATCACGCCACGCACTAGACTCTGAGCGAATTAGTGGCTGTCCTCGGGCCTCCCAGGACGTCATTACCCCTGGATCACAGCCTCGTGGTGCCTAGCGGATAATGCTTCCGCTCAGCTTTCCCATCCGTGCGCAAGCGGTTCAGAGGCAGCCTCACGTGTGTGTGGTCAACAACAACTCCTTATTCCATGGAGAGTGACAATTCTGGCGACATGGGGGTTCCCATGGCGGGCCCAATTGCCAAAAGTAGTGCCATGAAAGGTCACTTTGAAAAGCTTGGAGTGCGCCTAGGGTCACAGCGTATCGGCATTTGACAGTCCCGTCATCGCGATGGTACGCTGTTTAATTTCCAACGGCTGCCACTTTAGTGACGTTTGCCAAGCACAGGAAATTCTACAAGGCCAGAGTTGCCAGATTCTACTTTGCACAGCGTCGGTCACGAGAAAGGACACAGCGATTAGCTTCGTGGGGATTCTCAGGCCAAAGACGCCCGAAATATTGGTTCTGCATTTAATGGGCTGCTTCTGCAAGATCGAGCCTGCGCACGCTGTGGCTGCAGTCATCTAATTTCCACCACATCCCCCAACCCTCCACACCTCCAGCCCAACACCACCAACCACAACCTCCCCTCGGCCGTCTTCGAGCACAGTAAAGTCCCCCGCATCCGCTACGCCACTATACCGCTCAGACAATAGTCGCAGCCTTGTATCGTGCTCTTCACCGACAGACCAGGTCTTGAGTTGCTGGTCGTTGCTGGCGCTCACGGCAAGCACTGTGCCCGAAGCCTCGTTCTTGACTAGCACAGCACCATTGATGGCTGCTGCGTGAGCTGAGCGCGTCATCCTTGGATAGCCTGCTCTGACAGTCAGTGATGACATGTCAGACACGTCTAACAGGGTGTATGCGAGTGCATTATCGTCGCCGCCTGTAAGCACTCCATAGGTAACATCATTGAGTAGACACAAGTCTAAACTCTTGATGCTGTTCTGGTGAATCTTTATAGACCACTGTAGCTCAAACGGTGTTCCGTTAGTAGCAGTGCTGCGCCAGAAACACAAATGACCGTCTGTCGAAGCTGTCAAGATGGCTCTGCCTCCATTCTGGGTGCCAACATGGCGAACTTGTGTTAAACAGGCTCCGGTGTACGCTGCCTCGCCTAGTAGTGAAAAGCTGCCTCTCCCGGTCTCCAAGTCTACAGTGTATAGATAGGACTTGAGCTTGGAGTTTGAAAACGCCATTGTAATGATGGCACCCTGTTGCCTTGCTTCTGGATCTATCCACGAAACATCAAAGTCCATAATACGTAAGTCCCCAATAGGGCTTTTGTCGTCAAAGACACCTTCACACATGACGGCGATGCCCGTGTAAGCCGAGTCCATCTGTCGCACTCGCCAGGCAAAGAACTCCTCATTGCCAGCACTTGTAAACAGATATTCGTCTCCGAGCCAGTTGATGCGCTGGATGCCTGTGATATGTAACTTCATGCACGCCAGGTGCTTCAGGCTGCCTTGCTCGCGGCTATATCCCCATAGGCGAATCGAAGTGTCTTCAGCACCAGTAGCAATGCACTGGCCATTGGAGCTGATGGCTCGAATCTCTCGCCCGTGAATACCCAGCTTCAGCGGTTTCTGTGGCACTCCATCCTGTGAGTGAATGCATAGTTTGGACGTGCGTGTAAACGCAAAGCGATACCTCCCGTTGGTGTGTGTAAGTCGGAACGTGCGGTGTGCACCTCCGCAATCCATGCTGACTACCTCTTCTCTTCTCGATTCGTTCCATACGATAAAATCTTTGCTTCGGAACCCGTAAAGCATCAGCTCAGGAGAGTCTCCCTCTGTAAACCAGGCGCCCTCAATCATAGGGCCGAATGGTGGCGATGTTTCGTGAACCAGCTCCAGCTCAAGTGTATCTCCTTTGTCTTGTACATTATATATTCTATACATTCCATCTCTGGTAGTTGCAAGCAAATACAGCGTTTTAGATGCCGTATAGCTACTGCTAGGTAGAGCAACTATCGCGGTAATGGCATCGCGACTGCGTGTGGCCATGGTCAGGGCGCGTTGGAAACCAGAAGCAGTCTGTCTCAAAATGGTTAACCAGCCATGGCGTGAGCCTAGTGCAAGAAAGTCGCCAATTCTAGACGCCGAAACGGCTACAAAGCGCTCGTCTAGACCTTGTAGCTTCTCGTGGCTGACTGCCGTGCCTGTGTTTCTATCCACTGTGACGACGTGAGAGCCAGAACTACCAAACAAATGGGCTACAAACTCGATAACGCCTTCAGCAGTCTTATCGTCCACAATATTCATCTCTACTATTCGTCCACCAAGCTTCATAATGTGCATAATCTGCTGTGAGTCGGTAAATAGATAGAGATCGCCTGTTGTGGCTCCAAGAATAGCTGTTCCGTTGCCGGTGGCTCGAAGCACGTAGCAATTCTTCAGATTTGCTGTAATTTCGTCCGAAGTTATAATTTCTGTCCATGTTATCTGCCCTGTTTGTATAGAGGCAACAGATAGTCGCCCCATGTTGGTAATGGCGAGCAGTTGATTTGGCGTTAAAAAGTCGTACCGTCCAACAACCTCGGCATTCCGTTTGCTAGCTGATGCCACGACTCCAGGTAGAATATCTTTAGTTTCCATTACCATTAAATTATTTTCGATGAGGTCTGCATTTGTCCCGTCGGCTGCGTGGTGTGACCTCACGACATCCTCAATTATTGTAATGCGGCTATCTGCACCGCCAGTGACAATGATAGTCTTATCATTTTCCAGTTGGAGTGCTCGAGACCAAAGATGTTTGCCATTATGCAAATCAAACGTCTTTTCATGTGATAAATTCAGGCCGGGCTTGGTTAAAGCAGAGCGAATATCCAGACTCCAGCGCTGACATGTTGCATCTTCGCCAAAGGAGTATATGGGTAGCAGCCCAGATTCGGGAACGCTATTTGTCGCAATACCAAACTTTACACCCCAGATGCGTGAGGCATGCCCCATAGCAAGCGCTATCGGTTTCACGTCCGCTCTTCCTTGGTCTTGGTTCCCATCCTCGTAGGTTGGGGCGCATCGGAAGCCTGTGTCTGATGACGCGGTTGTCTGGCTTGGCGGTAGCGACTCAGCCCTCGCCTCGTCTCCGGTTTCGCTGATGTCCCAGATACGTATTGTTCTATCGTCGCTACAGCTAGCAAGCAAGCGGATTTTGTTGCCATCTGTTAGTGTCAGAATGGGCGAGATTTCCACGCCAAAGATGGACCCTTCGTGCCCCGAGAGAGAGAAGAGCATTCTGTCGCTGGGAACGCCATTCCACTTGCAGCTCCATACTAGGACGTCACCAAAGACTGTACCAGCAGCTACTAGGACTTCATCTTCTGCAATCCATTTGACATTGGCTGTGTACAGCATGGGGCGTGAGGGGGAAGCAACATCCTCGCCGAGTGAGGCTGTCTTAGTATCCCAGTTGACTTTTAGCGTCACAATTTCATTGTGTGCCGTTACCAGTGCTGCTGTGGTTGAATCGCTTTCCGAAAATGCTCCATCGAAGATCCAATCCGGCGCAGTGATATGGATCACCGGCGGCCTCTTGCTGACCTCGCAATTCTCGGTTGAGAACACAGCCACGGATGCTGAGCCCCAGACGAGCACTTTAGCCGCTTCAGTTGACACTTGCTGGACTTGTACCCCGTGTATAGATTGCCTCGTAAAAATAGGTATGCGCTGTATCAGCTGAGAAGACGCAGAGCTGTAAATTACCAAGTCGCCATCTTCGCCAGCAAGCACGAGACTCTCCCCAGAAGGTGATCTGTAGATGGCTAAGGCTGTAATTGGTACATTGCAGAGCGTCTTTTTCAGACTTCCATAAAATTCCTTCTCATGGTTAGCCAACTAGGACGGGCAAATTGAAAGATGGCTTTGGTGTACGACATCTGCTGGTACATACGGTTTCCATTATGATGTTGTGGTCGTGACGACCCTTCACTCGGTTCATACAATCATGGGCAATCGGTAATTAAATATAATATAAGAATTGGTCTGCACACGCAACGTAACCGAAACGATGAGGCGACTTTGCTTGGTCCAAGTCAGAGGCGGGGTGCATTGCGACAGCCAGTCAAAAATTTTGCTCCATCCGCACCATTTTGTGGTGGTGAAGCTGAGCGTAGCCCACTTACTTGAAGTCCAAGCGCATCCCAATGTTGTCAATTAAGCACGTACAAAATTAGGTTAAAAATGTATGACATTGTTTGTTAAAATAAAAAAAAGTTTATAAAACAAGGCTATGCTTCCGTTATAATCATGAAATAAAAGCAGTCTATATACCAATAACTCCAACACACGCCGTCTTCACTCGCGAACCATTTTAGGCGCGGTGAGAGTAAGGCTCATAAGCCAGGTCGGTACGGCCAGCTCCGCTGGGGTAGCGAGGGTTGGCGTTGTAAGTAGGGGCGCTCTGTCGCTGCGGTGCCTGGTTGTTGTAGAAGCCATTGTGCTCGTGGTCGTTGTTGAGAGGAGCATAGCCTCTCTGGGGCATCAGCTTCTCGCTGTCACCGTAAGAATCACGGGCATACTTGTTGCGGCGGTGCTCAGGCTTGCAGCAGCAGATGGTGAAGATCCAGAAAAGGTTGGCACCAAGGGTAAAGGCAGCGCCAATCCAAATGACGGCCAGGAAGTTGGAATAGAAGTTGGCGCGGACACCATAGAACTTGGCCGTCGCCTCGACAGCGCCAATGACGGCAGTAGCGAGGGCAGTAGCCATACCACAGGCAACGAAGACAAGTAGAGTAGCGAACGAGGCCCAGAGGTAGACCAGGCAGGAAACGGCACGGGACATGGTAGCAAAGATACCAATGACAAGCTCGATGCCGAGAGCAACAAGGGCAACGATGAAAGCAATCTCAGTGAACTTGTTGACGGTGTTGTAGGTGTGGATGGCACCGGCAACCTCCTTGGGCAGGGCAACATTCTTGATGCCGACGTCGTGGCCAAGGTCGTTCAGATATGTGTCGTTCAAGACATGGGAAGCCCAGTCAAACTGAGACGATGTGCAGGTTCTGTCCTTACCGACAGTGCGGCAGTAACCCCAAAGGCTGACATCATAGGCATCGGCGAGACCAAACTTCTTAGCAGTGATGTTTTCGGTTCTGATCTCGATATCGGCGAATCTTCCGTTGAGGGCATGGTTGATGGTGTTGCCAATGTTGTTGGCGCCGTTGGAGATGTCCTTGCCAATCTGGTCCGCACCGTTTTTCACATCGCCAGCAACCTTGCCAGCCTGACTGCCAAAGGCGTTGGCGGCATTCTGGCCACCGTTCTTGATATCGTTACCGGCGTTGTTGATGATGTTACCAAAGTCGACGGTGCCCAGACCAGCTTTATTGGCCAAATTTTGTAGATCGAGTGGGCTGATGCTAGCCTCAGTCATGTTGATGTGGAAGAGGAAGAGGCGCTGGTGAGCGACACCGGCGAGAGTGGCGGCGAGCAAGCTGCCAATGGCGCCAATGATCATTATGATCGGGAGGGCCACGCAAAATGCACGTCCGACATTACCCATTGTGACTGTGGTGTGGTGTGGTGTTTGTAGGACTCGCGCTGTGGTGGGTTGGGTATAGGTGGTGACGACGCAGCAGCAGCAGTAGCAGCTATAAGCTTCGTAGTACGTAGTAATAGACTGTTTCGTTTTGTAGGGTCGGGAAAGCGAAAGCCGGATTGGAAGAGAAAAAAGAGAACAAAAGATGAGATGAGATACGAAATACCAAAGATGACTCGGACAGCTGATGGTCGGGAGAAGCGAGGTGTTTATAACAACGACAAGAGGGAAAAGATGTGCAAAGCTAGCAGCAGCCACCAGCCGCGAGCAAGGCATAAACACAGGCCCTCCACCCGACGCACAGGCTTAGCACAGCGCCTCATCCCGCTTATCCCAGAGGCGCAGCTTGTTTTACTGTGAATGGGAGGGGAGGGTCCTTGGGGCCAGCCGCGCCATGCTGTGCACACCAGCGCATGAAGGTCCCTGGAAAAGCCGCTAAAATACAGTGGGTGGCGGGGGCCTCGTGCTAGCGTTGCTCTGCGTGCTGTGGCCGCCTTTAACGCGGCCCTATTTTAGGCAACTCGCATGTGCTGGCAGAGAGCCCTGTAGTGGGGATGCAAACGTGCGCAGCAGGGGACAATGGCGCAGCCAGCGACATGCGCACCAGCACCAACATCACTAGAACTGAGCGAGCATCAGGCTGTGGCTGCGCGTTGGCTTGCGTCCCAGCCGCGTCCATTTCCTTTTTTCTTTTGATTCAAGAAAAATGCCCAGCGGTCAGATTTGTGCCGAGTTATAACAGTCTATTGCGTATCACATTGACTTTTTTGGTGTAGCACGTTTTCTTTCCAGGCTTTGGTGCAGCCAACCCAGTAAACGAGTCTCCGCCTCTTTCGTGTAATAAAGCCAACCACCACAAGCCAGCGTAGCGTCGCCTCTCGCCACAGACAAACAAACAACGCAATGGACATGGTCTTGAATCGTTGGACCATGTCTTTACTCAACTAGGTAGGCCCGACTCATATGCCCCAATTGGGGTTAGTGACGGAAATTCATGCTGGGTCGCGTTATTGCCAGCCTTGTTTGAGAGCTACTGCACCGCACGTTGCTTGGGCTTGAATTTTGGTTGCTTTTTTTAACAAAAGAAGGCTTGCCATACAGCAGGGTTAGTGTGCTGTGTCTGCCACTCTAATTGGATATGCGATGAAAGAGGCGCGAGGCCCGTGCGAAGAGCTGCAAAGGACCAGCCAGCTTGCTACCAACAACAAGCTTGACAGTTGCAGTCACGCTGGATCCCGTTGTCCCGTCTATTACCTCCTGAGGACGATAATGGACTGTGGTCCGGTTATCGCTCAACGAGGCGGGTTTCGCGGTGATCGACAACACCCAAGCCCATCCTCATTCCGCTTGATGACGACGAATTTACGCGGCATTGTCATCCCGCCTGAGATGACAAAGCTGGGCAGCAAAAACGCCAACAATGTTTGTCGAAATTAACTATTCGTCATATAATAGGCCTCCACAGCACAAATGATCATCCGATTTTCATTTCATAGTCGTTCCTTAAATTTCTCGTCACGTCTGTGCACAGCCATCTACTAGTGAGAGGCTTTGGGCAGATTCCTCTATTATTAGAAACACCAGCTGCTGAGCCACCTCCCCAGTTTTACAGCCTACCACAGGATCACGTTACCCTGCACGTGCCTGGATCGTCACCAAAAGCCATCGAAATCTATCGAAATCGCTATAGGGTAAAGGGTGTAAAATGATATTGGTTGGGTAAATGCTGGTTTGAGATATCTTATATTGTGTCCGCTCCTTGCGTGGTGTAAAATATCGGATCTGATACTCTAGGCTGACATTTTCTGGCATGAGAAGCAGCTTGAAAGTCCCGACGGTCACCAACTCCTCCTAAGATCGTATTGCACCTCACAGGCTAAAGAATAGAATACTTCCAGAAACCACATAGATTACCTCTTGACTCTACAACAGATGCGGATAAATTGATGTCGATAGGCGTGGCTCGGTTGGACGCGTGTCTTGCTTACCATCGCCTCAACGATACGAGCTTGTTTCGCCTCCTGTCTCCGCACGGAACCATCCCAGCTTCATCGTGAGGGAACCTAGCTATGATGGGCGATAATGTATTACCAGCTGGGGAAACACAAGACCGCCATTTTCCAACCTAAAATAGACGAGTCTTCGTTCGGTCACCACTGAAAAGACGGCGGGCGCTGCCTTTCGTTGTAGCACAAGGCAAGGGCCCTTGTTATTCTGGTTAAAAACCTGTACAATGAATCCCCCGGATAATAAGGCTATGGTGACTGCATGAGTTGCTTCCTGGCTTTAACATGCAACAGCCAAGCCGTCAGTTGGCAGACGACAAGGTCTATTTGGCTGACCGCCTGCAGAGGGCAGTGCCGCAGGTAATTATGCTCGTGTCGGAGCTTTCCTCCCGCCAGTTCACAATGGTTGGCGTACTCCTTTATTATCTTAATTGAGTGATGGCTTCGAAAGGGCAATGAAGTGGAAGCTATCCTAGAAGCATAGTATAGAATTTGGACTGACGCTATGTTAACAGTGTCATCAAACGTAGGTCACACGGGCTGGCCACGAGTTACTGTAGCTGATGGGCCGGAGTGGACACCCTAGCGTGAGCCGACTCCGTCCACGGCGGAGCGCCAGGGTGGTGACTGCAACTGTAGATCTGGACGATGTGCATCGTCGCCCGCATCTGGAAGACGTGTGTATTGGCAACTGACTTCCATTTTGAAAAGAGAGTTTTGGTTGTTTGCCGGATGATCAGGAAGCGCAGACATGCCACGCTAGTGGTGAGCAGACAAGCTACTGTCACCGCCCACTAGCAGGCGATGCCCGTTGACTAGCGCAACTCCGGCGCCGGGCACACTAGGCGCCGCTAGGCTGGTGGCGGCGCGGACTGGAGGCTGTAGCCAAGACCGCGTTCCTTGGGACGTGGGGAAAATTGGGTGTTCTGGACTCTTTGGAAGGCGATATTCCAGAATGGCCAGCCGAGATGCACCAGAGATTAGTGTTGCTGAAACCGGTTCTGACGGAAGCTGTGGCAGGCCAAGGTCTTTGGCTGTTGCGGCGGCACAACTGTATATTCACGGAGTCTTGATTGACAACTCTTTCTCTTTATGTTGCTTCTATGCAAGACTTGGCTGGATAAATGGACCTACACTTTTGGTTACACAAGCTTAACATGACGGGGACAAGGGCAGAAACACGTTACGTGTTTGCATGCAAAGTTTGGTTGTTTGGCGTGGCCGCCGCAAGTTGTAATGGCTGCGGTCGTGGGGTGACGTTCGTTTTTAGCGGGCTGTCACCGTCTGCCAGTGGAGCAAGGGTGCCATAGTACGGTGCATCTGCCCAGGGCTGAGCACGCCATTCTGTCTGAGAAGACTTCCAAGGGGTCTATTTCCGTTACTGAAATGTTTCAAGATGAAATAAATAAAAATGGTTAGAATACAATATAACAAATTCCAGCTTCACTATTGTATTTACAAACTAGCTGCTTTCCCTCTTTCAGCGCTGTCCACGGGTTGTACGGTGGCGTCCACCCCCAAAGCTTCGCGGGTGCCCCCCAAACCAAGCTAGCATTCTTAGCGCTGCAACTACCACCCACGACTCGCTGGGTCAACTGTGGCCCCCCCAAAAAGTTAAACCCAAACTTGGGCTTGCCTGCAAAAGCAACAGCTTCTTTCGACTTCTCAAACTGTCGCCTCTTTTCTCTTCCTTCATCCCCGCGAAAGCTTCCTTTTCGGTCTCCGCCTATCAATCACGTTTGCTTTACCGTCAGCGAATTTTATTCCGACTTTGCTCTCTATAAACGCTGCGCCCATCTCTAGCTTTTGCTTTGGTACCGTTGCTGCTATCAGCCAAGTAAGTAAACCGTTCTTTCGTTGTCATGTTGTGTCGTGGCACCAGCGTCACTGCAAGCGCTTTTGTCACTCTGCCGCGTCACAGAGCCGCACCAGATTCCTCTCTTCGATCAGCATTCTCTGCACATCCTTTTCCAGAAAAGTCAGCAATAGCGAATCACGACCACCGAAATTACCCCAGCCGTTCGTCCCTCTGTCTCGCTTCGCCTTGTCCAACCGGCGATGTCTAATCCGCCGTAACGTCTTGGCAGGCGCAAACCGTTGCAATGTCTCTCCCTACGCAGCGCCCGCCCGCTGGTGTTTCTCCCTTTGGTGCTATCATTGCTGCAGGTACACCGCGGACTACCAAACATTGGACCACATGTCAGACAGCGTCCATGCTGCTGGAGACAACGGGTAGGGGTACGGCTGCTAGGGCATGTCGTTGGGCATGGCTGCAGACAAGGAGTCGATAGTGCGGCCGCAACACATTCAAGTTATTGCTTGGTTGCAGGAGCAGAAGGGCATGTCGTCGCGCTCTTTGTCAAACTCATGCTACGCTTTGCTGCCGTGCTACTGCAAATCTCTGCCCTCGACCTACGCTTTTGGTCTGCTCCACGCCGATCACGCCGTCCTCACAGCGGCTGCTGCGCCTGCTTGATGCATGTTGCAACACCAGACCCCCAGTCCAGGTCCCAGCTCCCGCTGGCGCATGGGAGTCATGCATCTGCAAAACTCTGATCGCTGTCTCTCCCTGGCCCCCGGCCCGGCCGCTATCTCCGCGCTGGTGCCGCTACCCTCTTTTGTTAGCATGGCATCCGGCCACGTTGATCGATGATCATTGTCCTGATTTTATTTTATTTCATTGGAAGAATAAAGCTAACCGATCCTCCCGCCAGCAAAATCCGCGAACTAGGTCGGCATCTCGGCGTAATCGCACGTACCTCCATTTATCCCCGCCGCGCCTACCGTAGTTGCACACCAAATCCGGCCCTTCTTCGCAGGATCCGCTCTCCTCCGAGTCGCCCCACGACGTCATCCTCCTGCGTAAAGCCACCTTCCGCTTGCCGTTGTCAAACACAATTCGCGCTTCTCGCACTCAGAGCAGTGTCCTGTTCGCTGTTATTTCTGATACTGAACATTATTCACCATTCGCTGAGAATCACGCCGTGACGAGAGACACACAATCACGCGACGCGAAAACAACTGCGAAATATTCAACTAACGCCCAGACGACCTCGCCCTTGTGACGAAGCTGTGACCAGACACCACAGTTCGCAGCACATGCAGGGTTTTCCATTGTATCGTCCGAAGTGATACTGCATCAAATACTTCGGTACATTCGCTTCTTTAGACCATTTTTTACACGCTTGCGCACACTCCGTAAAGGGACTCTTGTTTGAGCCCGTCGGCAGGTCCAGCAAGAACCAAAAATTTCTCATCAGCTGTCCATAGCCTTCCAAGATGGGTAACCAAGGCTCCAAGCCTGACAGTGGCTCGGGAGATGGCCCCTTGCAGTCATATCCCTCTTTCAGCCGATCCGATACCAAAGACTCTTCTCGATCATTCCGAGCACTACGATCAAAGATCCCCGGTGCCTCTGGCAAATCAGACAGCCCAGTCAACGGAAGCTCCGATTCTGCCCTCGACAGCCCGAGCCGCCCCAAAGGCCACCACCGATCCAGCAGCTCTAAGGGCAGTCGCGATATCCAAGGCCTTAAACAAACGCCAACAGATTTGTCGAACTTGTCCAACGGACCCGACTCGCCGTTTACCGAAGACCTTCCGCCTCCTTCCCCAGTTCAGTCGAGCTCCCTCAAAAATGGAATTCACGATGTGAGCGCCGCACAGGCTTCAGGAGAGGTTGATCATGTTTCTGATCAGCCGCCATCAGCTGCGGCAGCCAGTGCCAACACACACTTGATGGCACCAGGCGACTCTATTCTGGTCAAGCGCGAAACCACCATCAACCCCGTTCAAAAGGTCCCGTCAGCAGAGGCAGCCAAAGCAGAAGCCACTGCCAACATGGCAATGGCCGAAATCAAGGAGATGGATTTGGACGACTACATCACCAGGTTGCTCGATGCAGGATACGCCGGCAAAGTCACCAAGAGCGTGTGCCTGAAGAATGCGGAGATTGTTGCTATTTGTCAGAGAGCCAGAGAGGTATTTCTATCTCAACCTGCACTTCTTGAGCTCGATGCACCTGTCAAGATTGTTGGTGACGTTCACGGCCAGTACACCGACTTGATTCGCATGTTTGAGATGTGTGGCTTCCCTCCCAAGGCCAATTATCTCTTCCTAGGAGATTATGTCGACCGTGGCAAGCAGTCTCTCGAAACCATCTTGCTCCTGCTGTGCTACAAGCTCAAATTCCCGGAAAACTTCTTTCTCTTGCGAGGCAATCACGAGTGTGCCAATGTCACACGAGTCTACGGCTTTTACGACGAATGCAAGCGTCGCTGCAATGTCAAAATTTGGAAGACTTTTATCGACTGCTTCAACACTCTTCCGATTTCTGCAATTGTCGCCGGAAAGATCTTCTGCGTTCATGGAGGACTCTCACCAGCTCTCCGCCACATGGACGACATTCGCAACATTGCCCGACCAACCGATGTTCCCGACTACGGCCTCTTGAACGATCTTCTTTGGTCTGACCCGGCTGACATGGAACAAGACTGGGAACCAAATGAAAGAGGCGTAAGCTACTGCTTTGGTAAAAATGTCATTACAGATTTCTTGGCCGTACACGACTTTGATCTGATTTGCCGAGCCCATATGGTTGTCGAAGACGGCTACGAGTTTTTCAACGACCGAGTTTTGGTTACCGTCTTCAGCGCGCCAAATGTAAGCGTCTATCTTTCATCGAACCAACTCTGCAAATATTAACATAATTCATAGTACTGCGGCGAGTTTGACAACTGGGGAGCTGTCATGTCAGTATCTTCGGCGCTACTCTGCAGCTTTGAGCTATTGAAGCCCCTGGACTCGAGTGCTTTGAAGAGCCATATCAAGAAGGGAAGAAATAAACGACAGCACATGCTGAACAGTCCGGTAAGTGGTGACTACTTGGAACAATGCCTTTAGGTAACCTGCTGACTCTCTATATAGCCTGCGAGTGTGCTGCCACAAAGTGTTTAATACTACGATCGAGCGACATGATTTTATCTTGATTTTATTTTGAGCCTTGCGAAAAGGAACTGTTGAAGGATTCGATTGCCAAGCGATGATACGAATAGGCTAATAAGATGTACGAGCTGCAATGCCTTTCGCCGATGATAAAGGTCTTTTGGATGCGGGAAGTTTATGAGCCATGCGGGCATGGATCGGATGGGGCAACTAAGGGGAGGCTTACCTGAGCCGAAAAGCTTGGATTATTAACCGCTTTTGCTTTTCACTTTCAAAACTGCTTGCTGCTGTTGTTCCATAACGCAGCAGTGTTATCATACGATTGGAAAGATGTAGCTGTACAGTAGAGCGTGGGCTGGTGTATATTCGCGTTCAAATCTTTACAAGGCCGTTTACGCACATGACGAGGATATTGCCTTAGCATTCAAGTATTTATGATATAGGATACCACACAAAAATAAAAAAATATCGCATCATTGTCTTTACGTTCAGATGTACGAATACAGTGGGTAAGCAACAGTTACAGGTAGACTCATTTTTAGTCACTCTTTCAAGTATTCTTTGATATATATTATAAATTACCTTTTCTATCAATCTTTGTACAAGATTGTGTGTATTGTAAATACTTTATATATATCGAATTTTTTTAAGGTGACTATTACATATAAAGTTTGTGTAAATATATATTTGGAATGCGTTTGTTCTACCTACTGTAGCTGGGCAGGGCGACTTTGGCGATGAAGACTGCTTAGTCACGAGGAACCCCCATTCAAAAAATTGGCCGCCCTGGATCGTGTGCGCATCACCGCAACGACTTACCAGGCCAATTGTCTGCCAAATCAAAATGCATCGGCAAGCGTTCCGCTCAGTCTGCTTGAGGGCAAGAAAAAACGATTCACTAAACGTCAACACCACGATAAACTCCATCCGAGCGTTTGCTACGTCCCAATCGCTACTCGAAGGCAAGGCACCGAGCCCCCGTCCGTCAAACTCGACACCATCTAGCGCACGACAGCGCGGCCAAGCGGCGGCTTCCGAAGTCCAATCCGTCGTTAAAAACAGCTCAAAGTCTCCCAAAGCATCTGGGCGTCCCGATGGCGCTTATTTCCAGAAGACTGCTGCGTCAGGCGACGCGGCGCCCAAGATCTTGAGCGTCCGCAGCTTGCCCAGGGGCGGGCTCACCCGAGGACGCGGTGGTCTTCGGGGACGTGGTGGATTCCAAGGACAATCCGGCCGACCTGCTTCCCCGACAGGCACCAACAGATTCGCAGGTGCGACGAGAGGGCGTGGCGGCGCCTTGAACAGAGGCAAGCCCCGTGGCGGCATGCGCACTCGCAAGCCAGGAGACAGAAAGTTTGGTGAGAAGGAGCAGAGAGGAGACGGCTTCTTCGGAGAGGTGCTGGATGAGGAGCTTGCTGCCCTGGACCATGTTAACCGTTTCGGCGCCGTAGCTGAATTCCAGCCCAAGATTGACCAGTCGCTCATCGACTTGGTCCCTGTAGGCCCGTCTACACCGGCTTCTCGCCGCGCGGCCGTTCTGAAAGTTTTGGACACGATTGGATCGACCGATAGCACATCCTTGACCTCCAACATCCAGGTCTCGGGCTACATTGCCGAGCTTGAGAAGTATGGTCTTCAGTACTTTGCTGATCCCGCCGACAAGGAGGCCGTCAAGCAGCGTCTGGAAGAGCTGGCTGAGGCAGTTGGAGAGGGTGATGCCCCTGCCAACCCGGTGAAGCTCGCTGAGGTACAGGAGTCTTTGAAGCAGCTCATCTTGGACCAGGCTGTCATGGGCAAGCACGAGGCTCCTCAGTACGCTGAGGACACAGCGGGCACCATCAAGTCGCAGTTCCTGCGCTCCAGCTCTTACCGCCAGCGCGAGATTACACAATTCGAAGCCAAGCTCAACTCTATCCTCGGCAATATTAAGGCTGCGCCTAAGAAGGCCGAACAAGCTGCTGCTGCACCTGCAAAGAAGGGCAAAGCAGCCAAAGCCAAATCAACATAAAGTCACCACCTCATGAATCAATCAGCACAGCGAGAAATATAGGGAAGAGGAGGACAGTGTAATATGTAAAAGTCTAGAGTGGGGGAAAATCACCCAGTGTATACAGCCGCCCATTTCATGATTAGAATACATGTGTAATATAGTGTTACAAAAGTTTTGCATCAAAGAAGCCCGTTTCTCTCCAAGTGCTTGTCTTTTTAGTTCCTGTCAAGTGCGCGGACAGTCTGTGTCTCTTCGCCATCAATCTCTTTAATCTTCTTATCCTGCAGCTTCTGCAGCTCCTTGTCTGCGCGCTTCGCCACGTCCGGCAGGATAGTGCCAGCCTTCTTCCAATCCTTAATTTGCTTGTCGTGCTTCGCTCTGGCCTGTCGAACGCGGTCGCGCCACGCCTGTGCCGTCTCCTTGATGCGGCGAAGCACCTCGTCCTTGCGCTGCATCTCCACGCGCAGCAGGAGCTCCAGGTCGTTGTCCTCGGAGCGCTGCGGCTGCTGGTTAAAGTCGGGGCTCGACTGCACCGCCGACATGATGGGCTTGATATATTCGCGGTCGTTTACCAGCAGGGAGATGGTGCGTCCCGAGCGAGGTACCACTTGCGCAAGCTCACGAAGAGGGAAGCTGCCCATGTCTTCACCGTCGACTTTGACAGGGACGTTGAGTGAGCCCAGGTGGTCGGGGTTGAAGCGGCCGCCGTGCGCAATGGTCGAGAGCTGTGCGCGGAAGTGTGTATCAATGGGTGCGTATGCGCTTATAAGGCTGGAGAAGTCGAGGGGATCTTCGGGTGCGCTGTCTGCTGCGGAGGAGCTTTTCGATGTCGGCTGCTCGTCTTCGGGGTCATTGCGTCGCTTTCTCAGTGTCGGGAGAGATTGGCTAAGGAGACGACTTTTAGGCGCTGATATGGATGGTGCTGTGAATCTTGTGCATCGTAATCTAATGTGACGGCGTTAGTGGTAGAGCTCATGGCATGTCGACCTCGAATTTCAGCGACGGCAGAATTGAGCATGTGCAGCTGAACGAACCTGGTTACAATATGTTGGGGGCGCACCTGGTGGCCAATTCGGATAAGGGCTCGTGACGAAATCATGATGAAGAGTCTGTAAGAGCGACAGACGCTGGTAGACTCTGTCTGGGTTGTAGAGGATGGATGGCCGTGGAGAGCTCTGCGGAAACGTCGCAGGAGGTGGGATAAAAGTTACATAGGTCGTTTGCAGGGTAGGAAAGCTAGGAATGAACTAGGGAATATATAGCCAGATATGGAGAACTTTAGTGCTGACCGTGTGGCCTAGTGGTTATGGCGTGTGTCTTACAGGTGCTTTACAGCATACACCAATCACACAAGATCGCAGGTTCGAACCCTGCTACGGTCATATCTCTTCCGTTTTTTTTAAAAATGGAAAGAATTATCATTTTTTTTATCAAATAGCAGTATTGAAGAAGTGAAAGGCGTAATTTATTTTTATAGTTTCTTTTTTCAATATGATGATACGTGGTAATTGTCACAAACAGTTCGGACATTGACAGAAAGCACAACGGAACACACTAGCATTACTATAAACATCTCGGTACACCGATTTTGCATTTTTATCTTTAGACCATTTTTTCATACAATATTTAGCTCTGTAGAGGGTTTCCCATGCCGCCAAAGGTGACCATCTTGGTGGTCTGGTATTCGGCAACACCGTACTTGGAGCCCTCCCGGCCAAAGCCACTCTCCTTAACACCACCGAAGGGAGAGGCGACGTCGGAAATGATACCGGTGTTGACACCAACCATACCAGTCTCGAGAGCCTCAGCAACACGGTACACGCGCTGCAGATCTCTCGAGAAGAAGTATCCAGCCAAGCCAACCTCGGACTTGTTAGCCATGCTGACAACATCGGCCTCGGTCTTGAAGGGGAAGAGACCAGCAACGGGGCCGAAGGTCTCCTCAGTGGCAATGGCCATATCAACAGTCATGTCGCGAAGCACAGTAGGCTGGAAGAAGTACTCTCCAAGCTCAGGCATCTTTTGACCACCGACAAGAAGGTTAGCGCCCTTGGCAACGGCGTCCTTGACATGAGCTTCAACCTTGGTGACGGCACGGTCGTGGATGAGGGGACCATGGGTAACACCCTCATCAAAGCCGTGTCCGACCTTGAAGGCCTTGACCTTCTCCACAAATTTGGTAGCGAACTCGTCGTAGATACCCTCCTGGACGTAGATGCGGTTGGCGCAAACACAGGTCTGACCAGACGAGCGGAACTTGGAAGCAATGGCACCAGCAACGGCGGCATCAATGTCGGCGTCGTCGAACACGATGAAGGGAGCGTTGCCACCAAGCTCCATGGAGAGCTTCTTGAGAGTGGAAGAAGACTGCTTCATGAGAAGCTTACCGACTCCAGTGGATCCAGTGAAGGAAACCTTCTTGACCTTGGGGGAGGTCGTCAGGACCTCGCCGACCTCGGGGGTGTTCTTCAGAGTAGTGATGATGTTGACGACACCCTTGGGGATACCGGCACGGTGGGCAAGTTCAGCCAAGGCCAAAGCGGTAAAGGGAGTCTCGCCGGGGGCCTTGCAAACGATGGTACAACCGGCAGCAAGGGCAGGACCAATCTTACGGGTAATCATGGCAGCAGGGAAGTTCCAGCTATGTCGTGTTAGTTGGTCAACAGCTTAAAGTAACGATGCAGGGACGAAAACGTACGGAGTAATAAGACCGCAGACACCAACGGGCTCCTTAATTGTCCAAACGCGGTTGCCCGGAACAGTGGCTGGGATGGTGTCGCCGTAAACGCGGGGAGCCTCCTCGCTGAACCACTCGAAGAAGCTGGCGGCATAGGCAGCCTCGCCCTTGGCATCAGCCAGAGGCTTACCGTTCTCCCAAGTAATGAGAGTGGCAATATCAGCAGAGTTCTCGACCATCAAGTCATACCACTTTCGCAGGAGCTTAGCTCTCTCGCGTCCGGTCAAGGTGCGGAAGGTGGCAAAGGCGTCGGAGGCGGCCTGGATAGCCAGGTTTGTGTCGTCGGTGTTACATTCGGCACTGGTTCCGATGAGTTCGCCGCTGGAAGGATCTATAACATATTAGAATCTGGAGAATGAATTGCAGAGCGACTGTGCCGGAAAGCTACATACCCTTGACCTCGAAGCTCTGGCCAGACTTGGCAGGGAGCCATTCGCCGTTGATGTAAACGACGTTTTGCTTAAGCAAAGAGGGATCGTTGAGCTTCATTGGGAGTTAGATAAAAGAATTGTCAAGTATGGTCGAAGGCGAGGTGCACATACCTTGGGAGCCATGTTGGAAGCGTATCTGACGAAAGAGAGGGCGACGGCGGGGGCCAATCGGAGTCGTGATGTAGACGCTAGGCGTTGCAGCAAGGCCATAAGGGTTGGAGAGGATGCCAATGGGAAGATGAAGACGATGCTGCAGCAAAATCAATCGAATGCTGCGCAATGGGGAGTTTGGGGCGTAAAAGTCTATTTGCCTCAACGGTGATGCACTAGCTCGGTTTGGATGATTTGGGGTTATGAAGAAGGAAAAGAACCAAGCTGGCTAGTACAGCTTGGGGCTTTTATTTGGGGCGGGGCAATGTCTACGCGAGATCGGACTTGGTTGGGGGAGTGGCCCGTTGGTATCCGGGGAGGGGCCTGCGTCGGGGCTCATAGCGGGCGCGTGGGGGGCTTTCGGCGCTGTATTGGGCAGTTGGCTAACGATGGACTCTTTACAAGATGCGTACACTACTGGGTTATCGATCGAGTGGGATGGATTGAAAATTCATGCTGTGTAGGAAATGTAATATATACCTGTTCATTTCAACCAAAGCTAATCACAAGGAAACCTCCTGAAAAAAATCATGACAATGAGAGAAGTAAAAACACATTTGTTAACGCCCCCAATTCTTAGCCGCTGGCCGGTCCCCGCGGGCAGCGGAGTGCGATGTAGCTTTCAGCCAGCCGTTTCAACCTGAAAAAATGTACATTTGAGCTCCGATAGCATGGAGTTAATATTTTGGCGCACTTGATGCCTGCAGAGGAAGCTTTCTGTCGAGTGTGTGGAAAGCTTGTGTGCGGGGAGTGAATGGTGAGTCCTGAAGTCTGATTGGAGACGACATGCCATATTCCGGGCTGTACTGGCTGGCGTTTGACGGCATGGCATACATGTCATCCTCTTCCTCTTCGTCGACAATGTCGTTGATCTTGTTGGGATACATGGCGTAGCACGTGAACCCTAGGTTGAGCAAGTAGAGCGTGCTATTGGAAATTGTTAGCTGAAGCGTCAATCAGACCCCATCCAAGATCGGTGCACATACAGCATGTAGAGAGTGATGACGAGCGATCCCTGTGCAATTTTGCACGATGTGAAGGCATTGTATGGCTTTGCCAAATCACAGCCAAATCGGAAGTACCAAGCTGCCGGCGCTGGGTATCGGGGATCCGCGTAGTCCGGACCAACCTGTCCATAGGTGCTAGCTGCGTAGAGTGCTGTCAAGGCAAGGCTGAAGAAGAGCGAGAAGATAGGATACCACAGCTTCATGATGTAGGCAATCAGCCTAGCCAAAAGGAAAAACAGAGAGATGACGGAAATAGCCACGTTGAGGTCAGTCAAGCTGCGAGATTCGGATTAGCAAGACGGATACTCGTCCAGAGCCGGCGCTTCTACTTACACGACAGACCAAATGAGTGGCACCGAGGGAGGCGATTTGAAGTTGGCAATGGCGTAAATGATCATGTCTGGGTTCGAGTTGAGTCTGTTGTCCCAGCCGATGCGCCACATTTTCGTGCGGTAGAGATCGGGCTGCGCAATGCCAAAGATGACGAGGGCAGGAATGAGGCCGATGAGCTCGAGCGGCATCAGCCAGAGAATGGCTTTGCGCGACACATCTGGCCACTTCCTCTTGAGGAACTTGTAGGTTGGCTTTGGCATGTGTGCTTCCTTGCGAGGGCTGTAGTCGGGTGATTCGGTCATATCAGAGACGGGGATTTTGCTGGCGGCTCGGTGGGAAAATGTCGAGGGACCTTTTTGCCGTCAAAATAGTTGCGAAGTTTTGCTTTGCTCGTTTCCTAAGCAGGTACTCTACTGGTCATGCGGCACCGAGTAAGTAGTTCCTGAGGACTCCTGAGGATGAGAGATGGACGAGCGGCGCTGGCGAAGAGACTCTCAGGACGACGCCAACGGATTAGCGGTTGTCGATGTCCAAGATGCAAGGCCGGGAAGAGTTGGTCGCTGGTTCAGGCCATCGGAAAGGCGATGAGGGACGAGAGGGGGTGAGCATGATTAAAAGTCGGCAGCGAAAGAGCCGGGCGCGTAAAATGGCACCAAAACGGGACGCACCCTGCAACAGCGATGCTGGAGCTGATGGGCACTAAGAGCTGCGGGAGGGGTTTGCAGGTGGTAGTGCCATTGTGATGGCCAATCACAGACCAATGGTGATGTATCTCTAAGCGCCCGTTTGCCAGGCTCGACAGGATTGGTCGGGCCGTTGGAAGGTGTGGGCGGGAGCGGCCAATCAGCGCTGTTGGGGGCTCTTGAACCCCGTTTTGGGGGAGGCAAGCGCCCAGCACCACCACTGGGAGGGTCCACTAAGAGGGTTTTCTTGGGGTCGTCGTGCTACGGTATTACAGCTTTCTGTGTACGATTTTAATATGCTGCGGAGAAGCTTGTGGTGAACAATTTGTTCCTAGGTGGGAAGCAGAGCTAATCCATAAGGTTGAACAAACATTAAATAAGAAAAACCAAGCGCAGCTACCAGGATGGATAAATGGTGCCAGCATATAAAGAGTTGCAGAGGCAAACAACGCAGTAGGGGTGGTGAGACCGTGCACAGCGCCGATCTTGTGGAAAGCCCATCTCGGTGTAGAAGGGTCATCGTGAGAAGCGCGCTATTTCCAGAGCTAGCATTTTACTACCGCATCCAACTCTAGTCTGCGGCTCAGAACATCGCAACGTAAGCACCAAATTCATATCAGTGGATCGACGGCGGAGCGGAGCGCCGCGTAAAGGTCACTGCCCGCTACTTACAAAGCCACATCCAGATCGCCTGAACCTGATGCTTGTTGTGAGTTGGATGAGTCAGACACCTACCTATGTCTCCATATACAGGCGCTGAAGTTCTCTTTGAGTACAAAACAATGGACCTGCTGCTGAGATGTTGAAGCCTGCCATGGGCGAGCCGTGAATCGGCATCTATGCCGGAATAATACAAATGAAGAATTACGGTTGGTGGTAGCACACTACTGTCCTTGCAGAAGCTATATTGCATGAGCGCAAAAGAAGATAAAGGCAGAGAGTAGCCAGAAGATGTGCTTCCTACAGTCCTTCAAGATGCACACAATGCTGCCGCAAGCAAAGCCGGAGGCAGCGGCGGGCTTGAGATGGGCGATAACGGCGGACGCGGAACTGTACTATAAGGAACATGAGATCGCGCCCAGATTTGATTCGCCATTGCGCAACCTGTCAAAATCACTAGCGTGTAGTAATCAAACAATAAACAATCCTGCTGGGGCTGCCGCCTCTGCGGAAGCAGCTTCCATCAAGAGGCATTGAGAGACATTTGTGGCAAAAGAAGGCATTCACCGATGGCCAGAATACATCACGATCGCTGGAGCTTCGGTAACAGCACAAATCAAAGAGAAAAAAGTTTATCTGCGCAGCGGCGCAAGCGGGATGCCACGACGGGCGGGCCCAAGTGCCCAGAAGCTCAATATTAGCAACGGTCCAGACCATGGTCTACGAAATGCAGCGACCTCGCCGGCATGTGGCCCCCCCCCCATGTGCACTTCTACAGCACACACAGTGGGCTCACAGCACTGTTGTGCAGCGCCCAACACACCAAGAATGTGCAATTGCAGCCGAAACCTGGTGCTGCCCCCCTGCTGCGAGTGGCTTTAAGCTGTCATTTGGGCGTTTTGCTCTGCCTGCAGGTTCCACGGCGGCCGAGAACGTTTGGAGGTGGCACGTCCAAGAAAAACGAGGCGGGTGTAGGCCGGGAATTTGGCGTCAGTCCCAGCGAAGAAGCAAACATGCAGACGCTACCACTTCGGCAGCTGCTGCCATAGCAAAAATTAGAGCCATGAACTAACAAGCGCTCGCTTTTGTGCACATGGCGATTACAACTCTAAAACATGGGAATCCCTTGCGCGAGACGGCAAAGCGACGATCAGCACTGGACATATTCTAGCGGATGCCCATACAAGTCCGCACGTTCTGGGCGTTACAAGAGCACAGTGGGGGGTGGTCGGCAACGCAAAGGTGCGCTAGGGAGGTTCTAGCCTGGGGCCTCGTCCGCATGGCCCTTGTAGCTGGATGTCTTGTAGCATATGCTGTATGAGTCGAAACTGGGGGCTTGTCGTTGCGTTTCTTTTTTTCTTTTGTCGCGAGATCCTTCACAACTTGACTTGACGCAAAAGTCCATAGACTAACACACTTTACTTCTGTTCTCCATCTATCGGCATCTGATCAAACGTCGTCTTCTTTCACTAACCTTCTCCAACGGTGCCTCTCTTCCCCCGGCCGCGCTTCCCGAACCCACTGTCCGCCGCTGACTTTCCGAAAACTATAGCGCCTTTAGTGCTCAACACCAGCTATTGTTCCACTACAGGTCCCTCTTCCCAACTGTCTCGAGTCGCTACACCACAGCCTGTGTCTCCCAGGCTCCATCCTACTCTTTCTTGCTCGCCCCATCTCCACTCCGTGGCTTTCAGTAGTCTCTTTCTTTGCTGCTCGGCTTCCCTGCTTTTGATTCAATTTCTCTGCTCTTACTCTTTTCCCTATGCGCCTCTGCCCTGTAGCCGACCTGCTGCTCCTTGCCTGCCAGCTGCTGCTTCCCACTGCAGGTCGACAGACGCCAGCTTAGAAATTCGGACAGGTTGTTCCGGCTGCCTCTGAAGCCGTCGCCTTTCCTGCAGCACGCTGCTGACTCTCTCACTTCTCTCGACGCCATCTAGCCAATATTGATCGACTTCCAACGATAATTCGATGCATAGCGGAGGTAGCCCGTCTCCGAATCGCCCGCCTCTTCGCCCTTCCCACCAGACTCTACCACTCCCGACGCCGTCGTCTTCCTCCTCCTCCGTCTCGCCTCACAATACCTCTACACCAAACTCTACGCCGTCGGTTCCCAGTTCAGATACCTCAGCGGCGGCGTCCAATCCTCCCACCGCAGCTTGCTCGCCAACCCCAAACACCGACAGCGCCTCACCATGGCCTGCTGGTAATCAACCCCAGCCCGGTGCTCAAAACATCCCGGGCCCAGCACATATCGCAGCTCTCGATCGATCCAGTAGTACTGCAAAGAAGAGACATTCACAAATGCGGCCCTCAGCAAACCCCCGGGCGCCACCAGCGCCGTCCAAGAAAGCCCGTACTGGCACATCTCCTCCCCGTGGATTCGAGATTCCCAGTAGCATCACTGGCCCTCTCTCGCCCGCTGGTTTCAAAGCAGCTCGCGAGGCTATGCAATCTCCTCTCTTCTTCTCAAATAGCCCAGGTCGACATTATAGCCGCCCATCCGTCGATTCAGTGCCCGACGCAAGCATCGCCGCGACGCTAGCCCATGCCAAGGATAATATGGCTTCTGCATCAGTAACCACAGTCAAGATTCCCAGCGGCAACGTTCGTACAGTCAGCCCAGCAGTATCAACCAGCACACCGGGTAGTCTAACGTCATCCGCGGAATTTTCGATTTCGACAACGGCAAGTCCCGATTTCAGAACATTACCACCAAATCTACAAATGCTCCGCGGCATCGGTGTCATCGAGTTATTAGAGAACGATGACAGACCAACATTCATGGTAGATGTCAGTGCCTCTACGCCATCACCGCCGCGCCCGAATCTTCCCATATTATATTACAATGCTTCGCTTCGCAACTTTCACGAAATCCACAACATGTTAGCTGTTGAGATGGATGGCTCCCAAACAGCCCATGAATTTGAAGTCTTCAGATCTTGGGTCATGTGCCCTATCCTCGAGCGAGAACGATTAGATCTTACTGCTCCGTCTATGGAATATCAAGGTATTATCTGGACAAAATCCACAATTAGACAAAGGTATAGATTTATCAGCGGCAATATCAACGTCATGTCTTCGTACCCGAGACGAACATCAGGGCCCATGGCGCAAGAGCCGCAAGATGTTTCCCAGTGCGCGTCCATGCCAGGTAGTCCCGTTACCGATGCCCCGGATACGACTGATTATTTTGGTGATGCTGCGACTCAGCTAGTGACTGCGGAGCCCATGGACGTTGAAGCACAGAACGAGCAACCTGCCTTCGATACTGGTGCCTTACAACAGCACCCCGATGCATTTACAAATGAAGTCCTACAATCACAGCCCTTGAAGGCGTCCTTTGATTGGACAAGGATCCCTCTTAGTGACGACCTTCCGGAACACTTAAAGTTTGCCAAAACTTTCGACTGGTCTTCGACACTGCTTGGCCCTATGGACGAATGGTCATATGAATTGCGTGTGACATCGAACCTAATCATGGGTAGTCCTCATCCTGCGTGCTTGTTTTGGGGCCCTGACTTTGTCTGTATCTACAACGAAGCATACGTCGAGTTGGCAGGCCAGAAGCATCCAAAGCTTATGGGTCAGCGATACGAAGACGGTTGGGCAGAAGTGGCCCCAAGCATTCTCCCAACCTTTCGAAGCGCAATGAATTGTGGCCAAGCCACCATGAAACACGACAATAGGCTCTTCCTCAACCGCAATGGCTTCCTAGAAGAAACAGTCTTCTCGTGGTCTGTTGTTCCTATAATCGGTCGAGAAGGTGATGTCGTTGGTCTTTACAACGCTGCCTTTGAGAGTACCCTACGCTCCGTGACGGAACGTCGCATGCGGACTTTACGTGAAATCGGACAGCAGATCTCAGTGGCACCGTCAGTCCAAAGCTTTTGGCAGCTGGTTACAAAAGCGCTCGAATACAACGAAATCGACATTCCTTTCAGCCTGATCTACTCAATAAAGAACGACTGCAGTGAGAGTGATGTCGCTTCTACTCAGTCCTCGACGACCGGACAGCCACTCGTACTGTCCCTTGTTCATTCGGCTGGTGTCCCTGAGGGTCATAGATTGGCGCCTGCTACTTTGGACGTCAAGCTTACCGACTATGCTTTCGCTCCTTATATGCTAGACCTACTAAACAACGGGGCTGCTGAGACTGTTTTATCTGCCGCAAACGGCACATTGCCGACTCATCTTCTTGATGGAATACAATATCGCGGTTATGGCGACCCCAGCACCACAGTTATTATCAGCCCCATCGCACCGATCAACGGAGATACAGTAACAGGCTTCATGATCATGGGCACAAATCCTCGTCGCCCATATGATGATGACTACAAATTATTCACAAACCTTCTTTCCCGTCAGATGGCTACGACCCTTGCCTCTGTCATGTTATTTGAAGAAGAAATCAGGCGCGGTCAAAGAGCAGCTCAGCTTGCTGCACTCGATCGCCAGGAACTCTCGTTACAGCTACTTCAACGCACACAAGAAGCGAGCGAGAGTGAGCACCGATTCGCCCGCATGGCGCAATTTGCTCCTGTAGGGATGTTCATCGCTGATTCAGAAGGCGAAATCACTTATTGCAACGACATGTGGGCCCAGATTTCTCGTCACTCTCTTTCCATGGAGTCCCTTGGCGCATGGATGGATAAAGTCAAGGAGGAAGACAGACCTGGGCTTGAAGCTGGCTGGACGAAGCTAGTGGAAGACAAGACTTCAGTCTCACTTGAGTTCCGTTTCAAAGACTTCAAAGATGAAAACGATACTGGAACTGATACATGGGTACTGCTAAGTGCGTATCCAGAAAAGAATATTGACGGCAGCTTGAAGTCCATCTTTGGATGTATCACCGATATCTCGTCCCAAAAACTGGCCGAAAAGGTACAGAGCGAAAGACGCGAAGAAGCTGTCGAACTCAAACGCCAGCAAGAAAACTTCATCGATATCACCAGTCACGAAATGCGAAATCCTCTTTCGGCCGTCCTGCAATGTGCTGACCAAATAGTTCAAAACATTGCCGCCTTTACTTCCTACTCTGCACAGAAGGAAGTAGAGAACTTGTTGGAGAGCTGCGCCGATGCTGCACATACCATCAACCTCTGCGCTAGTCATCAAAAGAGAATTGTCGACGATATCCTGACGCTGTCAAAGTTGGACTCAAATCTCTTGACCGTGACTCCAATTGATGAAAAGCCGGTCAATGTGGTGCAAAGCACACTAAAGATGTTTGAATCGGAATTGCTGGCTCACAGTATTGACCTCGAATTAAATGTCGATGACAGCTTCGACAACCACGACGTTAAATACGCTCGCCTTGACCCATCTAGGTTGAGCCAGGTATTGATTAACCTAATGACAAACGCCATCAAATTCACTCAAAGTCGAGAAAAGCGTAGCATTATTGTCAGCCTTGGCATGTCACGAGATATTTCGGAAACTTCCATCTCCTATCTACCGCGCAATACCGACCAGAGGATGCCCTTGGTCGACATACACACAAAGGAATGGGGCGCGGGTGATGTGATTAACATTCACTGTTCTGTGGAAGATACTGGCCGTGGTCTCTCAGAAGAAGAATTAAAGATTCTCTTCCAGCGATTCCAGCAAGCCACTCCACGCACCCATGTCCAGTACGGCGGCTCCGGCCTGGGACTCTTCATTTCTAGAATCCTGACGGAGATGCAAGGCGGCCAGATCGGAGTGTCTTCCAGCCACGGCCAGGGCAGCAAGTTCAGCTTCTACATCCAATGTAGGAAAAGTGACCGCGAGCCCAACTGCGAGCCAGTTACCGCCTTTAAGCTCGAGCGCAAATACAACCAGCAAACACCTCCGCCATCAAACAACCTAGCCATCTCCGCCGCCGCGTCCCCCGCAAGCGCTGCTCGCAACGTAACTCCTTCCACAGCAGAACGACCTCTCTACGACGTTCTCATTGTCGAAGACAACCTCGTCAACCAAAAGGTCCTACAGCGCCAACTGCGCAACTGCGGTAACAACATCTTTGTAGCCAACCATGGCCAGGAGGCTCTCCAGACCCTTGAACGATCTCGCTTCTGGTCCGGCCAGGAATCCAACGGCGTCGACATCTCTGTCGTACTGATGGATCTCGAAATGCCCGTCATGGATGGCATGACGTGCGCAAAGCGCATTAGAGAACTACAGCGCGAGGGAACTATTGTGAAGCACATTCCCATCATTGCCGTCACTGCGTACGCCAGACCAGAACAAATCGCGGCAGCGAAAGAAGCAGGCATCGTAAGTCAACCCACATTCTTTGTCAACGTAGGACAGTTTTCACAGCTAACACTCTCTCTCTTCTTTACAGGACGACGTTATTTCCAAACCCTTTCGAATCCCCGAACTACTACCCAAAATCGACGAGCTTGTCACCAAATATCAAGGTTTGTCTGTCGAACCATAACCGGCAAACGCCGAATACCTCCCCCCCCCAACAATATGGAAGGAAGAACTCGTGCCTATATGGACTCTTGAATACATCCGGAAACTATTTTGTACACGATTAAAAGTATATGCTGTTTTTTGTCATGGTAGATCTAGCGAGCGTTGATTTTTCATCTTCATTCTCTTGACTTTTACGGGTTATCAAACTTGGATTTTACTTGCAGAGGAGTTTTTAGGCGCGAGCGAGCCTTTGGTCAGCCTTTGGTCAGCACACGGAGACCAGGCTTTAGTACAAAATACATCATAATTCATCTTATTCGTTTTGAAAACAAGAACAACAGTCTTAACAAAATGGTACATAAAGGGCTCTACAGGTAACGTAACGAACCAGAGCTAGCCGTCCAAGGACGATACACTACAGATGGTATTCATGGGTTCACAGAACAAGCATTCAAGACAGACAATGTAAATAACTCTCAACAGTTGTATTAGGTATTAACTATAACTTCTCCCACCGGGTATCGAACAAAACAGACCAGTGCATGTGACTACCACTATATCTTCCATACTGGCGAACCAATAGTGGGGGTTTTCTCTTTTTTTTCTTGCAGTTTTCGGGGTATAATATTTTGTAAAAGCAATGTAGAAAATTGGTATCAATGAAAGCAGCCTTGACAGGGTATCTTTAGTTTCTTGAGAGGCAGTGCAGAACAATCCGTCCGTTAATGACCATCTTATATGTATAGTCGTGGGGCATTTGAGTTCAAGCATTGCTTCAAAGTCGTGACGGTTCACAGAGCTGACGCCTTCTAAGCGGCGGCGGTGACAGCGGGGGTGGTGGTGTTGACGGCCTCGGGGGCATTCTCAACAGCCTCCTCAGCGGCAGCGACCTCGTCAGCCTTGGGAGCCTCCTCGACAGCGGCGGCGACGGTCTCTTCGGCGGCCTCAGCCTCCTCCTTGACAGCCTCCTCAGCAGCGACGGCCTCGGTCTTGGCAGCCTTGGGCTTGATGATGGAGGCACGGATCTTGGAGAAAGCGCTCTTGGAAGCGGGCTTCTCCTCACCCTCAGCAGCGGGCTCAGCCTTGTCGCGCTTGCCGAAAGCGAAGGGGAGAGAAGACTTGCGCTTCTCCTTGATCTCCTTCTTGACATCGGCAATAGCCTCATTGGCCTGGTTCTCGACATCCTTGACGGCGTCAGCAAGAGGGGTGGAGGTCTCAACGGGAGGGATGACGGGGGCCTCCTCGGTGGTGGCCTCAGCATCAGCAGCAGCCTCCTCAGCGGCAGGGGCAGCGGCCTTCTTCTCCTTCTTGGCGAGGAGACCACCGAAGAAGCTGTTGCGCTTGTTAGCAACGGGCTTCTCCTTGACCTCGGTGGCGGCCTCAGTAGCCTCCTCAGCAGCGGGAGCGGCCTCCTCAGTGGCGGCGGCCTCAGCAGCATCTTCGGCAGCAGCCTCCTCAGCAAGAGGGGCGGCGGCAACGACAGCCTCATCAGCGATGGGCTCCTCCTCCTTGGGGAGGACATCCTTCTTGCCGAAGCCGAAGAAAGAGGCACGCTTGCGGCTAGCAGAGCGGCGCTTGGGCTCCTCCTTGGCGGCATCACCCTCCTCCTTGGGGGCCTCCTCGGTAGCAGCGGCCTCTTCGGCAGCAGGGGCGGCCTCCTCAGCGGCCTTCTCCTCCTTAGGAGCAGGCTTGAAGGACTCAATGGTGTTCTTGTAGGTCTCAGACTCGGTGACAGAGGCGGCGAGCTCCTTGGCCTCAGCAATCTTGGCCTTGATCTGGCTGACCCAGTTGTCACGCTCGGCAGCGGTGGCGGCCTTGAAGCTGTGCTTGCTGCCGTGAGCAGTCAGGAAGAACTTGTTAGAACCCTCAGTCTCGGGCTCAGTGGCGTGAGCAAGGTTGATGATGTGGGAAGGAGCAGCCTTGTCACCAGCGAAAAGGAGACCCTTGCCGGTGTGAGCAGCCCAGGCAATGTTGTTGATGGCGTTCTCGGCAGCCTTCTGAGACTTCTTGTAGGCCTCAAGAGCCTTGGCCTCAACGGCATCAGAGCCGAAGAAGAAGAACTCCTTGCTGGCAATCAGGTTCCTAGCGCAGAGCTGTTAGCATTTACAACGTCTTGTATAAGCGTATAGCTGCAAAAATTAAAAACTCACTTGGGGAAGCTGGCGCCCTGGGCTTTGTGGCCAAGGTGGCCCTCCTCAATAGGCTTAACCTCCTCCTTCTTCTCCTCGACGACGGCAGCGGCATCGGCGACGGCCTCCTCAGCAGGCTTGGTCTCCTCGACGGCAGCGGTCTCAACGGCAGGAGCCTCAGTGGTAACGGCAGCAGTGACCTGCTCAACGGCCTCCTGGGCGACTTCGACGGGCTTCTGTTCCTCGGCCATTGTGTTGTGTATTAAAAAAGGTAGAGGGGTATCTTAAAATGAGTTGGGTATCACAAAAACGAAGAAAGACGATGGGTATAATAGAAAAGGAAACAGAATCCAGAAATACCGATGGAGAAGAAAGTGATGAAGATGAGCACTTGAAAGCGTGTGGAAGGAAAGAAAGAAGAGACAAGCCAGCGGAAAGGGGGTGTTGGGGGTACTTATTTGCTTTGAAGCGGGAGAGGGACGAGGAGGCAAGCAGAGGTAGGTAGGGGGGTGTGGGTGTGGGAGCTTGGGGGTGGGAGCGCAACGAGATTTTCCAGGCGTGGCCACCTGAAGAATATGGCATCGACAATCAAGAGCAGGCAAAAGCCCAGCATTCTAATAATACCAAATCCTGGCCAACAGGCAGGGCAGAAAAAAAAAAGGGGGGGGTGTCAGTCTCTGGTTGCACGCATCTGGCACCCGGTACCCATCTGGCCGTCGCCAGTGGGTGGTGGTGGTCCTGGGATAGCACCTGGGATACCACTAGCTGCCGCGCCGCAGGACCTCGTTTTGCTGCAGCAGGTATTAGCTGCGTGTGCCTGAGCTCCCCTCATTACAGGCGCTAATACGCTATCACTCAGTGGAGGAGAGAAGGGGGGGAGGGGACCCGGCCACCCATTTCCATTCCCAGTCTCAATGTGACCACTGCCAAATTAGACGTGTTGCTCCTCATACACCAACACCCCTCCACCCCTCCAGGCCGTGAATGAGGCACTGTTATTCCAGCAGTTGGGTGGGTAACACACCCCCAAGGGGAATTAATTGAATACAATGAATGCCGTTTTAGCCCTGGAATCTTGGGGCTGGGATAGGAAACCATTTCTTCCGATGCCAGGCCTTTTTGCCTTTGCTTTTTTATACGGCCCCGAAGCCCTCAAGCTAAGTATATGCATGCACGATGCAAATGCGATTTGTCCGGTTAGCCTCCTTCTAGTTAGGGATAGCTGCCATCGGGAGTAGCCTGCCCGCTACGCACAACTGCCGACGCCGCAGCGCCGCGCCTTTGGGGCTTTATGCTCACTGTGCTTTCAACCTAGCGTACTTACTGTACAGCACTGTATTGTACAGGTGCTTGCTCTGTGTGTGTTGGAGGTGGTGCATAACTGCCACCAGCCTGGTGCCAATAATAAACACTGGCCCCATTCACTTTTGATCGTTCGTCTACAACAACCAATCACTCAGTGCTCAACCGCCATATAATTCAGGATTTTTTATTATTATCCGGGCTTGTAAACCCTGATTTCTTTGGGCTGTCTTTTTTCTTGTATTTTTTCTCCTCCTCTCGCCAAGCAAAAGCACCGAAACCTGCCCGCCGCCCTGAGAAAGATGAGAGGAGGTCTCAATTATTTCTTGGGTTGCCGGGGTCCATGTGGGCTTTGCATGGCCCGTGCTGGATTAAGCGAGTGGGGCCTGAAATTACAGAGGGGACCCTCCCAAAAAGGCACTGCAGATACTCAGCGGCAAAACTGGCGGACAAAAAGAAGCAACCACTGCTCGCCACGGTAACCAGAGCCCACGCCGCCTCGTCGCACCAATGCTAACCTACAGCTTTCCATTCCTTTGCCATGAACATCGTCCAGTCTTTAAACACGCCGATTATAGTAATGGTTTCTAATTATAAATTCATCTCATTCTGGTGCATTCTCTCGGGTTTCTTTTTAGTTCCTCCTTTTAATTTCTCCTCGTTGCGTGGCTTGCGTAGTAGGTACCAACTCGTTGTACAAGTAGCTCACGCCTTTTTGATAATGCCAGCGTAAGTTTCCGATGGGGAAGAGCTAGTACCACTATCTGGCAATGCGAGTTGTAATGCAACGTCGTAACATGCTTCCACATAAGATCTGACTCTGCAGTGAGAATAGAAGTTACTACAAGTTTCTATTTCAAATCATCACCAAAACAACTCCCGTTGCGCCAAAATAGCGACAATAACCCGATTGACTCCTACTGGCATCGATCATCGTAGCCAAGACTCACACTTTGTCGCCAGCTCCCTCTGTAGGATGAGTTCGGAGCCGCATCGCACACCCCTCTACTCCTGAGCTTGAATCCTGAGCCCACATCGCCTATAAACTAAAAACACGAAAAGAACATGGCGCTATCTGCACTGATAGCTTGCTTTGCTCCTGCTTTCTCTAGTCTGCATGCTGAAGGCCCGGACGAAGCAGCATTCGGCCCATGTGGCCATCAAGGAGACGACCCAGGTTGGCCTGAAACACCGTTTTGCTGGCAGTGGCATTTTACGACCTGTGGCCTGCAAGGTTATAATCACGATTGTCATTGAATTCGAGGGGCCCTTGCGGTCAGCGCGCCGATTCTCCCTCGTGGTTGGGGCAAATTAGTGGTTTTGGGGGAAATGAAACCCCTCCAGCCGCGCTTCCTGAGCCGTATCCGTCCAGCCAGTCGACGCCTCACGAGCTCTTGTTCGTCTCACGTCGTATTAGGGTATCCAGCAGTCCAATTTCGCATGTACAGCTAGTCCACAAGGAGGGACCGGCGCCGTTCGGTGCCGTTCGGTGCCGTCCTTTGACTCACTATGGACTGTAACTGTACGGTAGCCAGTGTACCTGCAAATTGTGCATTTGTGCATCTCCCTCATCGACAATGAGAAACCTATGTATTAGAAGCATTCCAGTAATGGTGAACCTTGCGGACCTCTGCTCAGAAAGGTACTCAAGTTTACCAAACCCCGACTCTACGCAGCAGACACTGGCTGAACATCTTTTACCTTCCCTTTCTTTTTTTCCTTGCAAGGCGGCGCACATGTTCGATTATTTTTGTCTGCCAAGAAGGCATCTCGTGCTAGCGGCCGTGGACGCCACCCCGGTCGCTTTCCCGATAACCCACCAGAGCGAGCGAAATGGGTATCCGTCGGCGGCGCCTGCTAATAGCTAGTTGCTTGATAGTGGATCGGCGAGCTACCATTGATATGGACAAAGCCAGGGATAAGAAAGGAGGGCAAGATACAGCACACAACAGTGCCGCGATGACCTGAACCAGGGCTTGGGTTTTGGTGCAATTTCGGCCGGTCTCAAATACTGGAGAACAAGTTCGTCAGGGTCGCTCGGCCCCCTTGCCCACCGGCTTTATACACTGGCCCTGCATAGTATCGTATCTCCCAAGTGGTGCCAGCGGTGACGTTTGTTCACTGGTCCAAGATGCAAGATGGAGCAAAGGGGGAGGCGGACGAGGGGGGACGCTGTCTGCAAAAGGTTATTGCAGCAGCCGGGTCTAAGATTTGCAATATCGCTTGTTCGGCTTCTCATCTATCTCCAGCAGGTTTTTTTTGGTCTTTAGCGGCTGGTGTTTGCCTGATGAGGAGATCCGAAGGCGCTATGACAATGCATGTCGTTGCTAAACCAGCGCGTGAGCTTCGAGGTTTGCAGGCAGGTGGGGTTGGTTGGTTAACGTCGTGCAGCCGTGGACGCGCCATTCAGACCGCCTACGCCACCATGCAAAGTTTCCACAACGCCTTGCAGCACCGATCGCCTCAGCGGGCTCCTCTAAACGTGCGCCATAGCTTGGCTTATTCGTCATGCGTGCACTTTCTTCTAAGGCCGGTGCAGCCGCTGGCGGTGCAAATGGCGGAACATGGCGACAGGATTGTTGCGGTTGCGACATTTGCCGCCGGGCCATGTGTTAGTTGAAAAGCAAACCACCCAGCTTGGTGGCCTGACATGCAAGACATTGGAAGCTAACAAGCAACGGGCATACCTATCGCCATGCAACTGAAACAACAGGCGCATCCGCCGGCCAATACGAGCCCTACAACCGCAACCAACCCACGCCCCCCATCTCGATGTCTGTGTCTCAACCACCACAAAGACGGGCGCTAAGTCGCCAACCATGACCTAGAACAGCGACATGTATGGCAGCCACGCATGAATTTATTGAGTCACCCTCCCCCGCGATTTTTATATGGCAAAGCCACGCACTGGTCCAGGCTTCCACCGGCCACAGGCGTTTCGTAGTGCCTCAAGCCCGCTATGCGTGCGATACCTCACCTACAGCGACCACCATCTTGTTGTCAAACTATGGGGTCTCATGTGACGGGTGCCTCGCTGCGCTAGCCTGCTATCCCGTCCATGGTGGCGATTCGCTTCTGCGGCCAGCGGATGGCTATTGGATGGATAGCGCCACCACCTACCGTTTTCCATTACGCTGGGCGGTGTCAGAACGTTACCACGTTAATCAAGCTTTGCCAGCCCTGCCGCAGCTTTAAACATGATTACAATGCCCGATCTATTGTGACATAACTGTCTAAGTGAATATAACCTAAAACTAACAAGGCGGCCGTCACTACTACGCCGTGACGCTATACTCGCTGGTATAAGTCAATGTAACTCCCTCTCTCTTAAACAGAGAAGCCAATATACCTCCGTCCTGCTCCTCGCTACTTTGAAGGGTAACGGTATGGAGCGACGGGAAGCTTGTAGCAGCGACTGAAGCGAGGCTTTGAAGGTTCCATTTTGGCCTCCCTCCAAATCGCAGGCATACTCTTTGGATGTTAGGTGGAAGCAGGCGCCGATAGAAATCGCCATTTATCCGGTCTATGCCAGCCAGTCCGTCTCCCCCAATACATAACGTTTCTAATGCAGTAAAATCTGCAAAGCTGCTGATGTAGTACTGTCCAGCATCGTCGTCGGGTTCGAGATCAGAAGTAGACCAATCAAGTGAGAGGCTCTTCAAAGTTTTGTAACAAGGTTCCAAGAGGTTGACTACCTGGGCAGGAGTGGTTTCATCACCTAGAAGGACTGAAGCTCCTCCCGCTTCGAACTGGAGGCTGTGTAAACTGGGAAAGTTTTGGGCAATGCACTGCCAGGCTTGGGGCTCCAATTCTGACATTGATAGATCAATGGTCTGCAGGCCCGCGTGGGTGATATTGGGGCTGATCCTCCCTACCATGATGCCAGTCAACTTTTTCAAGTTTGGTGCTGATTCAAAGATCCATCGAAAGCTGCCCTTTATCATGGCATTAAACTCTGTATCCCAATGACGAAATTCTAGCTCTGTCAGGCATGAAAGCGTGATGGGATGTTTGACTTGGAGAGGTGGAGAGTTTATTTCCATACTGATCCTTGTGGCATTGGGACAGCTCAGAATAGCCAATAGTTTGGCCCCTTCGCATAAGGCACGGGCCAGTTCCTCTTCGAACTCTTCGCCGTTGCCGTCATCACTCCCATAGTCGTCGTCGTCTTCGTCTCCGTCCTCGCCTGCATCTTCGCCCTCGCCTGCATCTTCGCCCTCGCCTGCATCTTCGCCCTCGCCTGCATCTTCGCCCTCGCCTTTCATTTCCATGTCAGCTAGATCCGTCACGTCTGGGACTATTTTCAAGAGTTTTAATTGTTGATGTGTAATGCCATACTGTTTGAATTTTTCATTGAACAGTGCTGCCACACCGTGCGGTTTAAGCTTGTCGAGCTGATCCTCATTCCACATGGGCAAATCGAGATTTTTGACCAAAGCAGCAAACTCAGGTATCTCAAGAAAACTCCTAACTGCTGTAAAAAGGTTTGGAGAGCAAGAATCTCCACCCACACAGAGTTTAGCACGAAGTACCGGCTGCACAATATGGTTCAATGCCTTGCACGTTGAGCACAGCGCTGAAAGCCAATTCGTACAAGACACGAATTTTTCGCTAAACGAGGGATCATCTGTTCCTACATATTCGACAATTTCCAGCAGTGTCTCTTGTGGGAGATTCAGGAGGCTCATTGCAGCGAATAGTTTATATTTGAGGAACTTGTTAACCAACATGTGGCTCGCTCGAAAACAAGGCTGGGATGGAGCCAACAATATATCACGTGATGGTTACGAACGCCGCTAGACAGTTATATTAAGATGATTATGTAGTAGTAAAGGTAAAATAGTGTACGTATAGGACAATTGTATTGGAATGATAAGATGTGGTCCTATTATCAATCTTGGTGTTAGTTTGGCTGGGATGGTTGCATATGCACCTCCACCAAGCCACATCTGCGCGCCCTGCGCTTTCATAAATACAGCCAAAACACACTCGTAAACCGTATTCATTTGTTAAGACTTGTTTTGTGCTAAAACGTATAATCTTGTAGACTACTGTGATTATATCAAACATTCTACAACATAACAATGTGTTCGTCTATGCAAACAAACTTTGTCTCATCTTTGAACGTCTGGATAATTTTCCAGACACATAAACACAGCCAAAACACACTCGGAAAAAATGTATAAACTTGTAGAGTACGTGTAATTATCCCAAATATTCTAAAATACAACAATATCTTCGTAGATACAAACAAACGTTGTTTCATCTTTGAACATCCAGAAAATTTGCATCTCTCTGCTCAGGTAATACAAAGCATTGCCAGCACTGCTTAACAATTGGTATAAGCTCATCGAATCACATGGAATAGCTACGAAACAGCAGCATAAGGCACATGTGTTCATAACCAAGACGCGTTCACCGCTGCCACGCGGCGAGGGACTGGCTGCCACTTGCCACAAGCTGCCAGCAGTTCAAGCTGCTACCCGAATAATCATTGTAGAACCTCTATGACTCATTATAACAAACATTATCTCTATTGCTATCGTTAGTATAACTACCACTGTATCCTGCGGTACAATCTCTCATTGGGTACATCTGCATTGTCCAATACTTGGCTGTGCAACACAAACTAGTTTACGAGAGAATCTTCCGTAAAGAAGGGAACAGAAAACGAATTCATTTTAAAAATCTGCAACAAAAGTGTGCCCAGCATGGTAGGCAAGAAGAGTAATCGTCGCCTCTCGGCGCATATCAGTCGTGCTGTTGAAGTCCACCAGCGGAATCGGTATAATAATGACCCCGCCAAACGTTCAACAGCAAGTACAGAGTCCAAGAACTTAATTCCTGGAAATGAGACCAACTATATTGAGCCATATGGAATGGCTATATCCAAGGAGAAGTTGTATAGAGAAGGATTCGATGTTCGAATCTCTAATCTAACGCCTCAGGAAATGCTTGCCAAGTGGAAGCGAGTTGCTAAAAGACACATAACCAAACCGAGCAAGGAAGAATTTTACCAGCTCATGTCGTCTCTTCCTCTACAAGCACACTTGCTGCGGGTAGTGAGTTCTTTTATAGCACAGAGAACCAACAGTGTACAGTATCTAACTACGAGATCAGGGATTCATACTTTCACCATACGATCATAACCAAGAACCTCGTGCTGTGTCTTGCGGTGTCCTTAGACCGTATGAGTTTCAGAAAGACGGTGGAGTATTAACTAGCCTCTTTGCAATGGGTGATCTCGCCGCTATTCTCACAGAGCATCTGTTTCATCAAGGATATGGCTCAGTCCGACAGCTTTGCTTGTCATCAAAGGATGTCTGGCAATCTCTGAGTTCTTTTACGGTAAGACTGCTTTTTGTTCATTTTTAAGTAAGCAGGTTTAACTCGAAACAGTCTACTTGGAATGTTCTAACAGGAGAATTTGACAATCGCGGAATGTCACCCGTATTTGTGGCGTACACTGCGGCCTACACGATCGGACAGCTTACAGCACCCCTTCAGAGTGGCAGACAAGGGCTCTTTGCAGACAAGGGCTCCGAGAAAAACTGGTATCTCAAAGTACGAGAGACGGAGCGAGACATCGCTGATGAGGTCTTCCGACTCCGAAAGGCAGCGTTTAAACACATGGCCGAATACGACGACAATGACTGGACAGCCTTCGGACGGGACATCAAGCCTATACAAATTGATTCGTACGATGAATCAGACATGTTAACATCTCTCAAGACCGTTGCCAGGATCAATCAGTTTGCCTCAGAGCAACCCTGGGAGACCTATCAAATGCCGCTCTCATTGGTTGCTGGGCGATTAAAGCTATTGTGTAAATTGAATCTGATTTCACCAAGGAGCTGCCAGTTAACGTTTCCCCTTAGTGACACAAATAGCACTCCAGAGAGATGCCATTACCGTTTTGCATTTACATGAAACGAGTTTGGTAGATCGTCGTGTCGCTGCCGTTCTGTTACGAGGGTGCAGCAATGTCACCGCATTGGGCATTTTCAACTGTCCTTTGCTGCATTTTGGTGACTTGATAGCCTTACTAGATCTAATCTATGAGGTTAATCAACAACGGGGAAAGCAGCTAAAAGCGAGGGTTCAATCGTTTGACTTCTTCCCGCAATATCACGCCAGGTTACCCTTCAAGATTGGAAATTCGAGTGACTTTGGGCTTACCTCGGGCCCACTGAAGCGTGATATTATCCAAAGGGGCTTTTATAACATTCTTTTGAAAGGGTTCTTAAAAGCAATGGCGATGAAGTTGCGCTTACTTTTCGAACCAGGACAGGCTCTCCAAACATTCTTGTTCGAAGTCCCCAACCCACCACTGCAGGTTTCATGCTTTCTCGATGCGGTGCTGCGGCTCATGAAAGTTAAAGATGAGATGATGGAGTCAAATAAAGGACTTCAAGCCCTCTATGACGTTTTGAAACCTGTGAGGTTAGGTCTTGATAGTGGGATGGACAGCGATTGGCCGGGCTGGTACAAGTCAATGACATCTCGTGGGCTCTGGTTTTGCTCCTCTTGCGGATATTCACTCCGGGAAGAGTTTTTCCCTGTTGCAGAAGGGCAAACTAGTCGCCATCGCCGGATCTGTGCTGGGTGCAGTTTTCAGAGGTGGTTAGATGCTGAGCATTATGAAGCCCATCAAGAGTCAGTCACCGCCCTGGATAGCCTCTTTCCTGACTGGGAGCGTTATGAATTCAATTTGGATGCACCGATTCCCCAAGAGATTCGCAACTTGGTTTTTCTGCAATCTCAGCAAGCAATCGCGCCTCACACGCCCTCAGCAATTCTGAACTCTGAGGGAAACATTGTCGCTAACCCGACACCAGCTCCCTTGGTAAGAGACAATAAAATCAAATTTGATTCCATGCAGGGTTTACCAACGTTGGGTAAGCTGATAGGCGAGGAATATGAAGATTATTGGTCCGATTTCGTCGAAGAATGCAGAAAAGTTGATGTGTACAGCCGCATCGTCACAGCCTGGAGAGCTGAAATGGCAGAATCAGGGATATATGTTGATCCAAAAGACCTGATACGATTGAATTTCCATCACTTTTCGGCCTTCCCATTTCCCAGAGATGAATCCAAGCACCCACAGAGCTTCAATTTCTATTATGCTGCTGTCTTTCAACGTGACGTGGTGGACAAGAATAATTGGTGATGCAGATCGAGAGATAACGGCCAAGGAATATTGATAGAAAGAATATCGTTTAACAAGTATTTTGTACTCTTGAAGATTTTTATTTTAATTTTATCATTGCCCCCAAGGTATAAAAATGAAAAAAGGTGTCCGTTCTTAGCGCTTGACATGCGACTTTATAGACGCCCCACGTGACCGTAAATTTAGTATCGCCAAACGTCGACCCAGGAGAATTTGGGCTTCGATTGCGACACTGCGCTTTGTAAACGTCACCAATCCACGTACAACATCACAATGGCGTCATTATTTCGCGCATTTGCCTTAACAACACGGACATGGGCTCGCCCAGCTGTTGTCGGCACCGCATTCACAAAGGCTGCCGCCCCCGGCACTCCGCTGTTTGCCAACGCCGTCAACTCGATTGTACGCACATCGTCAATAGTACAGCAAACGAGAGGTATGAAGGTGCACAGCTCGGTCAAGAAGAGATGCGAACACTGCAAGGTATGTTCACGTCGCGCATGCGTGCGTGTGCAAGACAAATCGTTCGCCAGCTAACAGGCAATTTCAACGCAGGTCGTTCGACGAAAGGCCGGCAAGAGACACAACGGCTACCTATACATTATCTGCAAAGCCAACCCGCGACACAAGCAGCGACAGGGCTAATGCACGACTGATACAGTAGTCGCCGACTACGAAAAAAGAACGATTCATTGTACGATTATTCGGTGCATATTTGGGACATGCAACAAAACCGTCACTTCTCGACGTCTTCCATTTCTTTACAGGATTAGCAGGGAGGAGCAATGCCTTAGGTCCATATTGGATTGATATTGGCGAGGATATAAAGGACTGAACCCACTGAGGATATATAAACTTAGAACTAAGCGATTCCGCGCAAGAGCGGCCTGCCGTCTCATCCATAGGGGGATGGATGTGCAGCCGATTCGCGGTGTGTATATTACAAAATAAAGAAAACCAAACCCCTTTTCTATCATGCTGAAGAACCATATACCCGTGTAATGCTACAAATGTTTGTTTAATTTACATGCCGTCAATGTATCGCTCCATGCTTTCCCATTCCGTTTTGCCCGTGGACAGGAGATAGCGAATATGAGACTGGGCACAGAGGTTAGCAAGATCCCAATGGAAATAGTAGAGTAAAGATTGGGAATATACAATATCGGTAACTTGTCTGTGTCTTTCAAATTCATCGCGAGCATAGCGTCGAGATTCGGCTCGCGTGACAGGGTCTGCTATGCGCCGAGTGCCGCGCAAGATGGTCCGGTAGAAGGAGACGACCTTTGTGCGCTGTAGGAACTATGACCACATTTCCATTAGTATCTGTAATGGACGAGCAACGGAGGATTTATAAACTCACATGGTCTAGGCTGAGCGCACCCTCGAGGCGCTTGCCTCGTAGAGATGTCGCAAAGGCCCGGCTCGCACTTAGCGACTGGCGCGTCAGTGTGAAGGGCATTGTGGAAGTATATGCAAGGGCCGCTTAAAGCCGTTTCAAGGGAAGCTATGATGACATTGGGGGTTTGTTTTGTTGCTCTGCTGTGCGTTGGGGAAATTCCACTACTATGAAGGGTGGAATAGAAATCTAGCCGGTGGAACTTCGGGTTCCTAGTAGGCCGTGGTGATGTCAGGTACCAGACGCTTAGAGGCGACACATAACTAGCGAATAAACTATTGATGGAAAATTGTTTTTAGGTTGATATGAAATATAAATCTTGAAGTTCACTTTGTTTACTTAAATACAGGCGACAATGTTGGCCGGTGTCACAGGTGGTCCTACTGGCCTTATCATGCCGCGTTATGACTGCGCGTCTCTCCTCCTACATATAACCGCGCCGTATTGACTACCCACGAATAACTCGTAAATATTGCAAAACTATTCACGAAGATCATCGAAGGCTTCCATAATAACAACAATATATATCTCCTACGCTGTAAATACCCCATAGCCGTGACGACCAAGGGTAGAGCATGGCGCCTCTTTTAACGCCGATTGAGGCAATGGTAGATAGCGCCAATCAATTGAGCGACGAAGACTTTATATCAACGTATTTGAAACCGGAGTAAGTCATGTTGAGTCTCTACTTCAGCTGATTGTAGTTTACTCTAACACGGTATAGGGTTGGTTGGACGTCATGGACCCATCCAAACACCAACGATGTCTATGAGATCTCATTTCATAGAGCCGGAAATACAAGTAAACCGGATCTTCAAGCATGTTTAAATCTCATAGATGTTACGAGTGGAGAAGATTACAGAAACTCATCCATTGGCTGGAACGCGTCCAGAAAGCTGCGAGAGATGAAATCGCCAGACCTGCGATACACAGTGGTTAAGGGCAAAGATGGCCAGGTCAAGGGCTTCACATCGTTGATGCCTACATTTGAGGATGGCTATCCCGTAGTATACTGCTATGAGATCCATCTACTACCAGAATTGCAAAGGTATGTGCTTTCTAAAGACATGAATGTCCATCCACTAACATAGACGATAGGACGGGTCTCGGGAAGAAGTTGATGGACGACATGATGAGAACTGCTAAGAATATCCCGTGTATGGAGAAAGTTATGCTCACGTGTTTTGTAAGCAACAAGAACGCGAGGGCATTCTATGATAAACTTGGATTTGAAGTCGATCCCTTCTCGCCACAGCCAAGGAAGCTGCGTGGCGGGAAGGTGGTTGTTCCTGACATTACTATTATGAGCAAACCGGTTGCTCGATAAAGTTGTCACGAGGTATGGTAGAGTGCAACGACATTATGAGGTAACTTAATTAGGTGGCCTGGCCGTAGAGAAAGTCAAAAGTTGCAGCGGCAAGAGTTCGCCTGGTAGTTTATACAATATATTTAAGTAGTTTACAGTGTCATGACTCCTCATAATCTAAAAGAACGCCAGAACAGGTATCGAGAACGTTGTGTTCAGTACGTAGTATACGCTTTCAAAATCAAATATATATCCCATCCCATCTCCCATCCCAAACCTTTTATATTTTCGTTCCCTTTTCATCCGTAGCATAATTTCGTCGTCGGTGTTTAAGCGTAGAGCTTCTTCTCGTAGGATTCCATGTTGACGTTGCCCTCAAGCTGAGCACTGGCAGTGCGGATCTCGAAGCGGAGAGTACCGTTCTCGGCGCAGGCGTGAAGCTCCTCAAGGCTCTGCATGCCACAGTCCTGCATGGAGTGCTTCAGGCCGGCAGCGAGGTAAGGAATGAACTTGTTGATAGATCTGTTCCCAAATGTTAGTAAATGCGTTCAACTTCATCAAATAGTTATGAACGAAAACATACCCTCTGTGAGCTACAGCACCAGAGACACCCTGGGCGACGAGGACGCTGTCACCTTCAGAGAAGTAGCGAGCAGTTCCAGCGTTGCTCTTCTGGCTGTCAGCACCACCGCCACCAGCCTTCTTGTCTTGCATGGCGTCAATGCTGCCCATGCCACGGTAAGCCTTGACAAGCTTGCCTTCGCGAGAGACGAAAGAAGTACCGGGGGACTCAGTAGTACCGGCAAGAAGGCCGCCCATCATGACAGTGGAGGCGCCAAGAGCAAGACCCTTGACAATGTGGCCGACGTTCTGGACACCACCATCGGCAATGCAAGGAACGCCAAAGCGAGCAGCGAAGCTGCTGACAGCGTGAACGGCAGCAGCTTGGGGACGACCGACAGCCATAACCTCCTGGGTAATGCAAGCAGAGCCACTGCCCATACCAATACGGAGACCGTCGGCGCCAGCAGCAATGAGAGCGGCGGCCTGCTCACGAGTAACGACGTTACCACCAATGACATCGAGGTTGGGGAACTCAGCCTTGCACCACTTGATCATCTCAATCTGGTACATGCTGTTACCCTGCGAGCTGTCCAAGATGACAACATCAAGACCAGCATCAACAAGTCCTTGCAGACGGACCTTGTCCTCAGGGCGAGTACCAATGGCAGCAGCGCAGAGGAGCTGCTTGCTCTGAGGAAGCTTAGAAGCAAGGGGGAAGTGCAGGTTCTTTGTCAAATCGGATCGAGAAATCATGGACACAAGGTTGAAGTCCTTGTCGACAATGGGGAGCTTGCCCTTCTTGGACTTGGCGAGAATCTTGTTAGCCTCAGCGAGGGTGACACCATCCTGAGCAGTAATGAGATCGGTAGACATGACATCGCCGACGGTGGCGTTGGAGTCTTCTTCGAACTGGATGTCACGGTTGGTGATCATACCAAGAAGCTTGGAGCCGAGCATTCCGTTCTCTATTGTAACACCGAGTTAGCATTCTTTTCGCAAAAATTGGCAAGAGAGCAAAAAGGGTTAGGATTGTGCTTGAGGGTTCATAGTATTGGTGGTCCCCATGACAGAAGTCTATACGGTGGAACGAAAGTTATGATATAAATGGTATATAATCATGTGGAAGCAGGAAGAGGGTTGAGGCAGTGATGGATGCAAAAACTGAACAAGTGCGCAACTTACCAGTGACAGGGAAACCACCGAAACCCCACTTGTCCTTGAGGGCAATAGCCTCAGCAACAGTGGTAGAACGGCTAACAACAATAGGGTCGGCGATGAAGCCGTTCTCGTAACGCTTGACCTTGCGGACCATGTCGGCCTGGGCATCAGGAGAGCAGTTGTGGTGAATAACACCAAGACCACCCTGGAGAGCCATGTGGATAGCCATCTCGTGCTCAGTAACAGTGTCCATGGGGGAAGACACGAAAGGAGTCTTGAGGGTGATGCGCTTGGTGATCTTGGAGTCGAGGGCAACGGCAGAGGCAGGGAAGCCAATGTAGCCAGGGAGGAGGAGGAAATCGTTGTAGGTAAGACCGCCATGCTTGGCAGTGTCCATGAGCTCATGGATGTCAAGACCATCGAGAGTCTTGTACTCCTTGAGGACCTCGAGGGCCTTGGTGTGATCGAGGACCTGGACGGAACCGTTGGAGGCCATTGTGATTGTATGGAGAAGATGAAATGAAAGGAGGAAAAAAGAAGTGACGCGGAGAGTGTCAAGAAAAAAGCTGTCGATATAGAAGAAGAGACGAATCGGGTATTATAGAAAAGATCGACTGGCTGAGGATGATACGGAGGTTCTTCCCGTACGAAAAAAGAAGGAAGAAAGAAGAAAAAAAGTTGACCGCCCGAAATTTTTTTTCTATGGGTGCCGCTTAGCGGACCCTGGTGGGTGGTGGGGTAGTCCACCTACTGTACTGTTGGGAGCTTGGGTGGACTGACGAAAAAAAGTGGCGGGGCTTTCTGGGTAGGCGGGTATAAAAGTTAAATAGCGGGAGATGTGGTGTAAGTGCAATGAATGGATTAATTCTTTATTTAATTTTCAATAATATTCTGCCTATGAAATCGTTTGAAATTTAGCTGGGGAATATTATCTTGACACGTAAGTCACTGCCCCAGCCGCGTGAGCCCTCCGGTATAGCCGCCCATGCTGCGTCAGTATCAATCTCCACCACCCGTGTATTATCGTTAGAAATAGAGACAGTCTCAATGGGCACGGGTTCCTCTAATATCATTACCATAAAATCATCCAATAGGTTCATACTCGGTAAATCTGAAATGTAGAGCCCTAGAAAGCCGTGATTAGCTCTTGTCCGCTGTAGACACAAGTGTATATGGATAACTCACCTAGCGTTCCTAGTACCCTAAGTTGTGTTTCAATTAAAACGTTGCCGTTTGTCAAAAGTCGAATCGAATTTGAGACAATAGCTGCGCAGCCAGTCATCTTACCGAGAACACCCATGTTGGCTATTGTTAAATGCTGAAAATGCCGGCCGGTGAAAGTCGTTACAGGAAATGCAGAGAGGATATCGTAACCATGCCCGTCGAGTGAAATGGTAATCAATGGGTCACTATCAGTGATGCTTAGTGGTGAAGTGACGCGGCTGCTTTGATGAGACCGGACGATGTAGGATGTTCCAGGAACGACTCCAGAAAACGCTGACAATGGCACAAGCTCAACAAGGGGCTCAGTCACCATATTGAAAATCCCCAGTAGTGGACTGCCGGTTCCCCATTTGCCTAAATTGTTATTAGCAGGTCTCCAAAGCATATCGATAAGAATGGCCTGTACCGTGATAGCTGCCGACTTTAAGAGCAGATTTGCCCTGATAGGTCGCATACGCTGAAATAGATTTACCGGCAACATCTGGCCGTAAGATGATCGATCCACCCAACGGCTTCTTCCCAGTTATTTCATTTATCAGTTTGAGATTATGGTGCCCTGGCTTATCTGTAATGTAAATCGGCCCACCGCTAATGCATCTGGCAGCGGCATGGAAGCCACCGAATGGGTGCTGTGTCTGGAACATGTCCCAATCTGGAACAACATTTAAATACTGGGTAAAAATGGCATTGTGCGCATTCGCCCAAACATGCCATGTATGTGATGCTGGGATATCTGGGAAATAATCGTCTGAGTTCCGGACAACCATCGATGATCTGTTTAGGGGCATTTGTGAAGCGAACAAGGCATGCGGGAATTGTGACATGCATGAAATGGTTTTCAAACCCATATAACGTAAAGAAGATACCGTCCAGGCACTCAGATATGTATCAGTGAGCTGACGTCGAGCTGAGGAACTTGTCCACTGGTCCATCATTACTTGAGCATCTGTCTTCGTACCATCGACACCTGATTGTACTAGAAAGCGGTAAAAGTCGTCATAAAATCGGGATACATCTTCGCCTGAAATGACCGTAATACGACTGCCATCGTCTTGTTCAAGCTCCACTGTGTTGTACGATTGGGCTAAACTCCCATGCGGCGATATTCCTCCCCAATATCCCAGTATGGTATGCCATACCATAATGTCTTTAATATCAGGGCAAAGTTTTCGTATCTTGCTGGTAGTTTGTGAGAGACCGCCAGGGAAATTTCGTTCATCTGCTTCAAACTTCATCCAACCCGGCTGCGAGGATTGTTGCTGATAGTCGATTGACTGCCAGTTGTCATCAATAATCAGCGTCGAGACCGGAACCCCGTCGTCCTTAAGCATTTTTAGTGCGGTTAAAATCTTCGACTCTGACAAATGTTGTCCCAATGAATTCCATGTGCCTTATAGTTAATTAGTTAGTTATTCCACGATGCAACCGAGGGCTGCGGCAGACGACTCACAGTACCCCAAAGAATCATACCATTTCTCCATGGAAAGGTGGGAAACATTGTCGTCCAACGGACTCTCAATCGCTAGCTCAGAGCTCTCCGTGAAGTATGGCTGTATTAAACGTCGCGCATGGTACATGACTGAGGCTATGCATCCTTCAAAGCTAGAGCCTTCGGATATAAGTATCACGACTTTGCCGTTTGATAATCCGTCGTTTTGGCCCTTTGAAAGTTAGCACTGTATGCTTGTTTAAATGTGTGAAGCTCACTTGGGCCGATAATATATTTCCACCTGAAGATCTCAGAACAGAATTGACATGGTTGAGCCCAGAAACTGCAAGAAATACTAAGTGCCGGCCTGATGGGCCAATGAATGACCCCACGATGGCGTCTTTATCCAGATGGAAGTCAGACGAACCTTGCCGCGGACCTAACCACATCGCAGATTGGCGGACTATGGCAAACCATCTATATAATGGTTAGAACATACATGACCTGATCATTTGAGTACAGAACAAGAAGCACTTGCCGAACGAAGGAGCCCCACGGGGTGCCAATCTTGATAGCCTGAGTTGATGGCTTGTCATTTCTTGCCGCTCCGATGTCGTGCTCGATTGACCATAGCCGAGTTCGTGGTGCTTGGCTCAGTAGAGAAGTTGGCTTCCATGATGATTCCAGGTCGGGAATTACATCTTTAATACTATCAGACATGTGGTCCATTGTCAACTCTATCAACTGGCCATCCTCGTGACCAAGTGCCTCCTTTGCCCAAACCCAGGTTCCTTGGATCCCATGGCGAAACTTGACAGTGAATTGGAATTTTGAGTGCAAGTAGATATCAGCACCAAAGTGCAATCTCGTGGTGGCCGGATCCGAGTTATGTATGGATAGGGGACTGGTGATGTCGTCCAGTTGGCTCAGAGGTGTTCCATGCCAATCTTGACCTCCAGTTGAATGCCACAGGACAGCCTCCCAAGGTTCATCTCTCCAGCGATACGGAACATCTAAAATGATTCGAAAAGGGATTTTATTACGGTTAACTATCGTAATGTCGCCAAGCGGCGGATAAGTCTGTAATCGGATCCTCATACTGAGTGATTCGATGACTATGTTCTGGAATGAGTTGCCTGGGCACGCTGAAAGTCGGAATTGGCCCTGGTCAACCCCCCTGTTCACACAAGAGAGGCCGACCAGATCGCTCCACGCGACCTGTTAAAATATATGCAAAATCTCAGTGAAAGTAGAAATATATATTCTCAACTTTTATACTGCAAATAATTACCTTATCGCATAATTACGCAGTATAACAGTGGGTTACTGCCTCGCTTGGTCTGCTTGTTAGTAATGGTGCCCCCTGATTGGTTGAGATTTCGGAGCTGGTCGGAATGACTAAGCTTTTCACCTCAAACCTAAGGCCACAAACTAAGCAGCGCAAAGCTTCTTACCGAGCCAAGTGGAAAGATTTCATCAAACCACTCAATCTACCGTCCACCTCCCAAATCACCCGCCATGGCGTCTCGCAGACTAGCTTTGAACGTCACACAGGGCCTGAGAAGCCGCGCTGGTCTGTCGGCTGTCCCTGCCTTCCGACGCGGCCTCGCTACCCCTTCCAGCGTTGGCAAAACTCAGACCACAACCCTGAAGAACGGCTTGACCGTGAGTATCATCGCCAGGGGGGCCCAATTGGGCGCCAATTGCACCAATGTTTATCCAACTAATCTCTCTAAATAGGTTGCCACCGAGCACTCGCCATGGGCTCAGACCTCGACCGTCGGCATGTGGATTGACGCCGGTTCTCGCGCTGAGACTGACGAGACCAACGGTACCGCTCATTTCCTCGAGCATCTTGCCTTCAAGGTATGTCAACAATGCTATCAAAACATACGCAGGGGCTAACAGGCAATTAGGGCACTGCCAAGCGCTCTCAGCAGCAATTGGAGCTCGAGATTGAGAACATGGGCGGCCACCTCAACGCGTACACTTCGGTAAGTTTGGCCTCGGGCAACCCTTTTCACAACCTCACTAACATCTGGCAAGCGTGAAAACACCGTCTACTTCGCCAAGGCCTTCAACTCCGATGTTCCCCAGTGTGTCGACATTCTTTCCGATATCCTCCAGAACTCCAAGCTCGAGGAGTCTGCCATCGAGCGAGAGCGCGACGTGATCCTCCGCGAGTCCGAGGAGGTTGAGAAGCAGGTTGAGGAGGTTGTTTTCGACCACCTCCACGCCACTGCCTTCCAGGGCCAGCCCCTTGGACGCACCATTCTCGGCCCCCGCCAGAACATCCGCGATATTTCCCGCACCGAGCTCACCAACTACATCAAGAAGAACTACACTGCTGACCGCATGGTCCTCGTCGGCTCCGGTGGCGTTCCTCACGAGAAGCTTGTCGAGCTTGCTGAGAAGCATTTCTCTGGCCTCCCCAGCACTGCTGGCCCCGAGACTTTGTCCAAGCAGAAGGCTGACTTCATCGGCTCTGACGTTCGCGTCCGTGACGATACCCTCGGCACTGCCAACATTGCTCTCGCTGTTGAGGGTGTTAGCTGGAACTCCCCTGACTACTTCACTGCTCTCGTTACCCAGGCTATCGTCGGCAACTACGACAAGGCTTTGGGCAACGCTCCTCACCAGGGCAGCAAGCTCAGCGGCTTCGTCCACAAGCACGAGCTTGCCAACAGCTTCATGTCGTTCTCTACCAGCTACAGCGACACTGGGTAAGAAAGAAAATCGATCCACGTATACAAATTAGTATTTCTAACATTCTATAGTCTCTGGGGTATCTACCTTGTTTCCGACAACTTCACCCGCGTCGACGACCTTGTTCACTTCGCCATCCGCGAGTGGATGCGTCTCTGCACCAACGTCAGCGAGGCTGAGGTCGAGCGTGCCAAGGCTCAGCTGAAGGCTTCTATCCTTCTTTCTCTCGACGGCACCACTGCTGTTGCTGAGGATATTGGTCGCCAGATCATCACCACCGGCCGTCGCATGATGCCTGGCGAGATTGAGCGCCAGATCGATGCCATTGACTCCAAGAGCGTTATGGACTTCGCCAACCGCCACCTCTGGGACAAGGACCTCGCCATCAGCGCCGTCGGAAACATCGAGGGTCTGTTTGATTACCAGCGTCTCAGAAACACCATGAAGCCTTTCCACTAAAAGAAGCGCGTTCGTGATTGTTCGAATAAAGGGGTAAAGAAGAAGTATTGGTTAAAGTTGGCGGGATGCAGGGTATAGAATGTATGAGATACCGGTTTACAGACGCCTAGTGTACCATAAAGTTCCCATGTTCATACTAGGTACTTCCCTTTGTAATTGTGAATTATAGCGCGGCAACGCATCTCTAAAACTTTCAAACTCTAAAACTTAAATCCACCACCACCCGAGTCTACATGGAAAGACGCTATTGGCGACGGGACAAGACAATCCAAACAACAGCTACGATCAGAGCAGCTATGATGAATAGTACACCAAGCATAAGCCAAACGCATGTGCGGTTGGGAAAAGAGCATCGCGTGTCGCGGTCCATTATGCAGCACCATGGCACAATTTCAGGCTCAACGTCGTTCGTCGTGCCCCAGGAATCTTCGTGCCCATTGGTAGTACTTTCCTCATGGCGGGAAAGCATTGGCAGTGTACTAGACTAAATTAGTATAGTATCATTTACTAGTTAAAATAACTTACGTAGTATATGGAGGCGGTGGCGCTGGCGGCAATCCGTGGAGTGGACAGCCCATCATTTCTTTGATGCTGCTCGGGGGAATAAGAGACTTGGACAAAAGAGGGAGCGAAGCAGGCAGCAGACTGGTTAAATATAATGCTAAGATTATAAGAGAAGAAATAAAATTAGAGTTTCAGGACTAAAAGCTTGAGTAGAGTAGATGCATTGCATGGGACTTTATGCTCTACATCTACTCATCTAGCTTTTTCTCCTTGTTTGTACACTCAGCGAAGTGCCCAAAACCTATGAATATACATAGTAGCGAGAATATCACAGCAACCAACATCGGTGTGACAAATATGCCCAAGATTGTATACAGTTAACTAGTTGTTTTATCTAGTAGTGAGGTTCATCGTAGCCATGACTCCAGTAACGCCAGCCCAAATTTGCCCATGAAATCAAATTTACAATGCGCTTCCCATCAATGGGGCGTATGCATCAAGCTTTATTCTTCCGCCATTTCCTCATCAATGTCATCTCCAAAAACATCGTCTACTGTACCGCCCTCAACACCATCGCCACCTTCTTCAACTGGGACTGGGCCTTCAATGCCTTCCATTGCATCCCCATTGGTGCCCACAGCCTCATGCTCTCCCATTTCATTCCATAGATCTTGCAAGCCCCAGCTAGTTCCACTGAGCACGAAGCGTTCGCTTGGGAGACGGACTCCCCATTCGTTTGGCGTAATCTTGGGTAAGGCGACCTTATTGCGATCCCGAGCAAGCTCCTGCATATACTCCTTGCTAATACCACCGCCGCTACTGCCACCGCGGAACTGGAATCCTAATCTCGCGGCAATGGCTAGTCTCACCGCATTTGCGCTAACAGCGGCATCTCCTGCTGCAGCTGCAACGGCGCCTGACGAGGCCGATGGCTTTGAGCCTGCATGTGTGACGTACGGGTCGGCCGCGAGGTGAATGGCGTCATTGAGAATCGCCGATGTATGTCGATAAGCAAAGTCGAGGAGTAGTAACGGGACTCGTTGTTCGTATGCCGTGACTCCCTGAGACGTGAGAAGTAGCTCAATGAGTCGAGCATCGCGCGGTCGAGGAGCAGCGGCTGAAGCAGGCCCGGAGGCAGGGCCAGGCTGGCTTGCCGCAGACGCAGTAGGAACGGGTGCAGGTGCTGCAGGCGCAGATGGTGCAGCTGTTCCGTTCGGTTGCGGTGCTGCTGTTGCCATGATTGCTACTTTGTCGTGTGGCGAAGGGCTAGATGACTATTGTAGGAGGTCGCGAGGGCGCATGCGCCAATGAGGAATGTTGCGTATTCCTTGGAGAGAGTATCAATTGAGAAGTATCAATTGAGAATAAGTCGTAGCAGGAGCTCGGTCTGGGATCGTGATATCCAATAGAAGAATATTAATGGTGGTGGTATAGTTTGCCGGGTGGGATGATGCGCTCGTTCTCATGAAGCTTCACAACGTGGGCGCGATGGCTGGTGTTGGAGCAAGTAACATTGTTAATCCGAACCCCGTGACTCGCCAGAAGGCGCCATTTTATAGTGGTGTAAGCACCTGCCGGTTGCGCTGAATGCAGCTGGTCGCCCAAATTTTTTGGCGGGGCTTTCAGAGGTGTCCCACCAAAAAAGACGGCCGATTCAGGAACCTCAGCAGTGGCTAATGACTCTTGGCCACCGTTCTTCTTTCGTCTTCTTCATTTTGTGAAGCATTTGATTTTGTTGCTCCTCAATCTATACAGCAGCTTCATCCGCGACCGATACATACATCACCACTTTCCTGAAGCCCCTTCAACGAACAACCGGCTTCGAAAACAGTACCCCACCATGGAGACTGTTCTGCCGCTGCCATTCTTGGTCAGCGTCGCTGTCCCCCCAGGACTTGCTAATCTTGACGGTCTCACTCGTGAAGAGGTGTCCGTTCTCGCTTGTCCCTTCATTGAAGCCCAGCCCCAGATTCTAGAGAAGCTTGGCCGCTTCTTTGGCCGCCATAACTACGAGTTCCAAGCGCACTTGGACGTCACCAGCTTCGAATCCACCGACGACGTTATTTCCCTCCTCGACCGTGGCGCACGAAGAGTATTTGTCAAACCTGAACAACTTTCTGAGTATACAGAGCTTGGTGTTCGTGTCTTACCTGCTGTTTCTCAGCTGGATCTATCCGCTGCCTCAGAGCACGGCTTACTGGTGAAGGAGATCGATCTTAAGGCTGCTGGTATTGATAAGTTTGCGGAAGATGCACAGGCCAAAAAGATACAAAATCTTTACTTGAAGGCTGTTGATGGTACTTCATTAGAGGAATTTATCACTTTTGCTCAGAAGTGTGGCGGAATCCCTATCTTGCCATCCACTGGTCTCACCACTGACAAGGCCGACTCGTCTAAGCTACTTCTCTCCCAGGCCATTTCCAAGAACTGGAAATCCGATCGACCCGATGGCCTGCTGCCGACAGTTGTAACAGATGAAAGTGGTATTGCCATGGGCTTGGCCTACTCTAGCGCAGAAAGCATTCTCGAAGCGCTTCGAACCCAAACTGGAGTCTACCAGAGCCGCAAGCGTGGCCTTTGGGTCAAGGGTGCCACCTCTGGAGATACACAAGAGCTCATTCGTATCGCTCTTGATTGCGATAACGATACACTCAAGTTTGTCGTTCGTCAAAATGGTCGCTTCTGCCACTTGGAGCAGCCTGGTTGCTTCGGTGGACTTGGTGGCATTGCCGCCCTCGAACAGACTCTCATCTCCCGCAAGCAATCTGCACCAGAGGGCTCCTACACCGCCAGACTTTTCTCTGACGAGAAGCTGTTACGTGCTAAGATTATGGAGGAAGCCGAAGAGCTATGCGACGCCAAGACCAAGGATGAAATCGCTTTTGAGGCTGCAGACTTGATCTACTTTGCTCTCACTAGAGCTGTCGGTGCTGGAGTCACTCTGGCTGATATTGAGGCTAACCTCGACGCCAAAGCCTTTAAGGTCAAGAGACGTACTGGTGATGCCAAGGGCAAGTGGGCTGAAAAGGAAGGCATCAAGCCTACTACCCCCGCGCCTGCGGTGGCCCAGCAGCCTGCTGCGGACCAGACAAAGAACGAAGAGCGTATCTTGATGCAAAGAATCGACGCCACGGCCATTTCCGAAGAAGAACTTTCTAAACAGCTCCAACGCCCCTCGCAAAAGTCATCTGACGCTATCCTTAAGATTGTTCTCCCCATCGTCGACGAAGTTCGCAAAGGTGGTGACAAGGCCCTCCTCTCTTACACCCACAAGTTTGAAAAGGCTACTTCTTTGACGTCGCCGGTTCTCAAGGCGCCATTCCCCAAGGAGCTGATGGATCTTTCTGAGGAAACCATCCGTGCCATCGACACCTCCTTCAACAACATCAAGACCTTCCATGCTGCTCAGCGTGAGGAGAAGCCCCTCTCAGTTGAGACCATGCCTGGTGTCGTCTGCGGTCGCTTCACCCGTCCTATTGAACGTGTCGGTCTCTATGTCCCCGGTGGCACTGCTGTCCTCCCTAGCACCGCTCTCATGCTTGGTGTTCCTGCTATGGTTGCCGGCTGCGAAAAGATTGTTCTGGCTTCACCTCCCCGCGCCGATGGCAGTATCTCTCCTGAAATTGTGTATGCTGCTCACAAGGTTGGCGCTGAAAGCATTGTGCTTGCTGGAGGCGCCCAGGCCGTAGCCGCTATGGCTTACGGTACTGAGAGCGTCACCAAGGTTGATAAGATTCTTGGCCCCGGTAACCAATTTGTTACTGCTGCCAAGATGCATGTCAGCAACGACACAAACGCCGGTGTTAGCATTGATATGCCCGCTGGGCCTTCTGAGGTTCTCGTCATTGCCGACGAAGACTCCAACCCTGCCTTTGTTGCGTCTGACTTGCTTTCTCAGGCCGAGCACGGTGTTGACAGTCAGGTGATTCTCCTGGCTGTTGGCCTGACTGAGGAGAAGCTCCAGGCAATTGAGACTCAGGTTCACGAGCAGGCCCTTCGCTTGCCCCGTGTAGACATTGTCCGTGGCTGCATCAAGCACTCCGTCACTGTGCAAGTCAAGTCGCTCGACGACGCCATGCGCATCAGCAACGAATACGCCCCTGAACACTTGATCCTTCAGATTAAGGATGCCGACAAGGTTGTGGACAAGGTCATGAACGCTGGCAGCGTCTTCATTGGCGAGTGGACTCCCGAAAGTGTTGGCGACTACTCTGCTGGTGTCAACCATTCGCTTCGTATGTAAACCCCATTACACCTCCTTTTCAATCAGATACTAATATTGTTCATAGCTACCTACGGCTTTGCCAAGCAATACTCTGGTGTTAACCTCGGCTCGTTTGTCAAGCACATTACCTGCTCGAACCTTACCAGCGATGGCCTCCGCAATGTAGGCTCCGCCGTTATGCAGCTGGCAAAGGTAGAACAGCTCGAAGCTCACAGACGTGCTGTCGAGATCCGTCTCAACTACCTGGATATGAAGTGATGGGTTCGAATGAATAATAAAAAGTCTTGTTAATGGCGTTCTTTTTGATGGATTAAACTGCACACTCACAGGCAAACCCCGCTATCGGGTTTACCTGCCATATACTTTATTTTGATTGAATACATCTACATACAACCACTCATAGCAGCAACCGTGTTGACATGTCATTTGTAACAAGTTATTGATGATTGCAGTCTATTTCTAGATAATATACAGGCTCTGCCCAACTCCCAACAAAATATAATGGTTCAAACCAGGGTTTGGTACTATGCTTCATGCTATGCCTCGCAGGATGTAAAGTAATCAAAATTGCAACAAGAAAAGAAAACGAACACAAACTAGAAACCACCCCATGCGCTGTCCGCGTTCCGAGGAGCCATAACGCCTTGAACCCATAACCATTTAAGAGGACTTGCGCTCCATAGACAGGTTGCCAATACCCGTAATTAGTTCGGCATTGACGTCCTCGGAAGCATTGGCCATGGTTGAGAGCTTGGCGGTCATCTTGGCTGCGATTTCCTCCGCCTCGCCTCGCTCGTCATATTCGTCATCATCTTCGCCTTCATCCTCATCCTCTAGGTCTCCATCCACGTCTTCGTCAGCATCGTCCTCGAAGCTATTGGCCATGGAATCCGTCATGCGGTTGTGTCCTTCGTCCATGGATCCGTGCGAGATATAGCTGTCACCTAGACGCTCGTTGTTTTCATCGTCGTCTTCCTCGTCATCGGTGTATTCGCTTCCGTCGTCGGCAATGGGCTCGTCGTCGTCTTCGTCTTCGCTGGCGGAAAATTCGTCCAGCTCGAGGGGCTCGTCTCTCCAGTACTTGAAATCAGTGTAGTCTTCGCCACCACCCTTCACCAGCGTAGCTACAGAAGGGAAGTAGTGGTCTACTACTTCATTGATATGGACGTAGCTCATCTTGAGCTTGTTAAGACTGAGAAGATCGAGTGAGACTTCGGAGTTGGAGTTGATTGTGAAAATGCGGTTTCTCGGCACGTCAACTGTGCGGTAGGAAATCTGATCCGTCAAACGGTTGCCGAAACCAGCGTAGAATGGGCCGTTATCGGCAGGATACAAATTGGCAATGTCACGAAGAGTAGCCATCTTGAAAACGTGGGGCTTTCGCAGGTACACTTCGCGACGGAGCGCCGCCATTGTCCGGTCAGGGGAGAGAATGGTTGGCCCATGAGGCATTCTGCAGCCCTCTTGAACGATGCCGTTGAGATAAGCGCGGGTTGTATCAGCCTGGCCGACGGATCTACTGGTCAGATACATGATGTTGTATCCATTGAGAGCAATATCGCTGTAAAGCTTGGCAATGCCAGGGTGAGTCCAATCTCTGCCAATAATGTTCAGCACATGGCCAAGGGCATCGGATTTCGTCACGGTTCCATCAATATCGGAGATGACCACTGGTGTATCATGCTTCCACAGATACATGTTGGCGGTACAGGTAGCTCGGTTTACCGAGAAGCTCATGCTGTTCTCTCCGGGTTTCAACTCTAGGCTCTTGAGCTGGTCGCTAGTAAGACGAAGTGACTTGGCATAGTTTCTTGCTGGCGCTCCTGTAGTCAATGAATCAGTTGGAGTTCTCGGCGGCGTCTGTAAGCCAGGTGGCCCAGCATCAGACTCTGATCGACGATGTGTGGGGATTCGAGCCGAGTTTGTTACGTCGCTGCCATCGCTCTGGTAGCCAGGATCGGACACAGCATCAGCAGCAACGTTGCGGCGATGAGATTGCAAGGATGACTCGATGGTCTTGTCCATGGCTTCCTTCTTGGCCCTCTCACTGCTGTAAATCCAGAGGTTGCCTTCCTCGTCGAAACCGAACAGCGCACCAATGTCGTAATTGCCATCAAGTTCTTCTGATAGAATCTTGCGCGCTTGTAATTCTGCATTGAGCATCTCTTCTTCGCTGCTACGGAAGCCAGACATGTCAAGCATGATGTCGCCCGTTTCTGTAACCTGGCTAGGGATGTTGACAGCCGAAAGTCCCTTGGAGAGTGCGATGGCGCGGTCCATAGCCTCCTTGGGAGCAAGAGGAGGGGGGCTCTGTGAGCGCTCAGAGTTTTCGTCGTAAAAGTCTTCTCCGAGTGGTTCACTAGCACGGGCTGTCGATCTCAAAACGTCGTCACTGCGTGGCCGCGCCAGCGCCGCTGACCAGTCACCCGAGGCTGGGCGTACAGGGACTAGATTTGATGATTCCGAGAGAGGCGTAATGATACCTGCAAAGTATATACAGTGAGAAATTGTCAGACAGGTTTGGACATAGTATTACATACCGTCGTCATTATGCTCAGTGCCGATGTCAAGGTCAAGCAGATCCGGGTCGAGCTGGGAAGTAGAACCAGTGGGGGAGAGCGGCGGGCTGCTGGCTGGGGAAACCAGCGGAGAGGTCTGCATAGACTCTGGAATAGTCTCTGATGTCTGGAAGACAAAAAACGCCTCACCACCCTCGGCCAGCTTCATTGCATACGACTGCTTTACGCCGTTGACCTGAAACTCGACCTTTTTCTCGTAGGGTCGTAGCAGCGAGAACTTGCCGAAGCGAACATGGAAGGGAGAGCAGGCAAGGCTGCCATCCGCATGTTCTACGACAATGACATCAATAGCACCGGACAAGGTGGAGGGGTTGATTGAGTTCCATGCCGTGGAAACGGAATCACTGATGTTGCGCACGTACTGCATGGTGCAGCGCGGGGTGCTTGCAGAAGCAGCAAGCGACTTGAGCAGCGGGGTAGAATGTAGAAGCTTGTTTTTATGTCACAATTGAGTTATGGGTGCTAGAAGCAGGCAAATGTGTGACGAACTCGAGCGCAGCCAGCCGTTGGAGCGCTGGTAGCTGTTTGCTGGTTTAGGTGGGAGACGGTGTTTGTTGGGGAGCTCGGGCGATGACCGTTTGCGACAGTGGACGCGACAGGTGACGAGGAGGAGGAGTAGTAGGAGAAGTTAACAGTGTACGTTTTGTCGTGAACGTAAGGGAAAGTCTATTCGGGGGGTGGAAAGAGAGATGGCAGGAAAAGGAAAGCAGGTGAAGAGACCGAGAGAGTTGAGACGGAGGCGAGGGTTAGGTTTCGTGACGATTGCCCGTCTATTTTTTTTCCGTGGCCGGAAACAAGAAAGCGTCACTGGGCGTCAGACAAGAAGCACATGATGAGCCTGCTTGGCAGAGCAAAACGCCCATTTTGGTGCATTGGACCCGAAGCTACTGCGCCGCAGGCCCCGCTTTGGCGCCGAATGTTGGGCACGGCTTACAGCGCTACGACGGCGGCCAGAGGGTAATTTACAGTGGGAAAGGCCGCCTGCGAGCAAATTTGCTGGGGGTTGAGTGGGAGGATACGAACCCGTTGCAGCGGGTGCCCCAGAGACAGGGTGCCCCAGAGGCAGGGTGCCATTGCGCTGCGACAGAGGGATGCAAGTGATTTAACTGTTGCCCTTGTCTACGTAGTCGGAAGCGAGATATGTGTACAACTGTGTTGTAGGGGCGAAGCTGTAGCCATTTAAGCATATTCTTTTCTCAGTACAACATCGAATTAGTAGCGTTGGTTTGCTACAACTACTACTACTAATTCCTAGGACATCTCTCTTTTTGTCTCTTTTGATTCCTGCTGGGGCGGCATCGCCGGCCGGAGCGCGCTACCGAAAACGCGCCAGGCTCTCTCCACTGTACAGTAAGAGCCCACCAAGTTTAATCTCTAGGCATCCTCGAACCGCGGCTCCAGCCTGCCCAACAGAACCAAAATGAGAATCTGACTAGAGATGATGCCGCGCTTACTGCTGAGAGCTAGGGATCACAGTCAATAGCGCATGGAATGCTCCAAGGCCATTAAGTTATTACAGTAGCCAAGGAATCCTGGTATATTGGCTATAATCCCTGAAACCGCACTAAAGCAGGGCATTCTTATTCGTCCTGTTTCGGTTCCATTTACCTGGGCAGCCTCTCAGCCCATCTCCAGGCCTGGGCATGCACATGACAGTCCCGTGCATCGCCGCCTGTGACAGGCACATGCTAAAAAATGATGCGTCTGTGGTGCCAGGCTTTGAGGCTCGGTCATATTTTTATTTATATATTGTAAAAAAAAAACAATACAAATAGAGGATACATGTAATCGGAGTGAGAAATCTCTATGTATTGAATGACATCTAATTAAACAATACACATAACAATGAATTTTATGCGCTTGCTATTAAAACGTCGCCTTACATATTGCATGTCTCTACTTTTCAAGGTCACTCAAAACTGCCCTCACGCCGCCGCTGTGACGCCATCTGCGACAGCATCGCCTTAGCGCTGTAGCCGTGCGGCCTACCTAAGGGGGTTGCCTTGTCGCTCTTGGCAGGTGCTAGAGGCTCTTTCAGGCACGCTACAGCGGGCCGGCCTTTACTACTGTAGCAGGCGGGCGGGAGAGCGCTAGCACCAGGCGCAGACAGCATTCCCACGAATCACGTTGCGTGCTGGGCGGAGTATGTCGGGTTACAAAACCCGAGCTGGCTTTGCAGATGAACGCAAAGTGTCTACGTTAGCTTACGCTGCGGAAGTTGGTTCGTAAAATCTCACAAAGTTTGAAGATTCGAGAAACAGTCGGTGTACGGCACGAGGCGTGAATCATTGGTGGTTTTATGATCCAGTCAGGCAAATGCATACACTAGTTCGTAAGTAGCGAGGCAGCCACAAAATGGAATACCTCCCTCTGTGCTCAGGCAACAACAACATGTTGTCCTGGCTATAGTAAGCTATTAAACAAAACCTGATTGTAAAACTTTGCATAGAATTTCATCACAATTTTGGAAGATTAAGTTTCTAATACTAGACTGACATATTACTCTTTGGCGTCGTTGAAGTCGTAGCCCAACACACACACACAAACTGTAGGCTAGCCCAGCCACTCACTAAAGCCTCCCCGATCGCCGCCCGACCGATTTGATTTGCCAGGGCCACCACACAAACCACAGCGCCAGAGACACCACCACCGCACGCACAGGCTGATGCTTGCGTGGAGACCTCAGGCTTCTTTTCCTCCGCTTCAACCGCACCGCATCTCCAAGGCCTTCCTGCCATCTTAACCTCCATCCGCTCCCAACCCCATCGTGAGCGCACCGGAATCATGGCTTGGGAAACCCCCGCCTGGGTTGCTTCCATCCTAAGCGTAATTGGCTACCTTTGGATCCGCCCAGAGTCCTTTGCCGACAACTCTCTCTACTCGGTCGTCTGCGCGATCATCTTCATCATCGACCCTCCGCGCCAGGTGCACAAGGCATTCCTTGCCTGGTATGCGTCCTTGGCCGATTTTCAAATGTCGGATCTAGTTACAAAGCATTTTACCGTCGTTCTTCTTGTTCTGGCGGTCACTTGGTAAGCGCTTTCCACGCCGTTCGATTTTTTTTTCGGGCTTCCCCCTTCTGCTATCTCGCAGCCTCGGACCAGACGCTGACCGCTCATCTCCTCTAGGTTGCTCAAGCGATCGCTGCAAACAATATGGAAGCCAGTACCAGAGCTGGTTAATATCTTAGGCGTTGATATTCCGCAGACGCCAGACGTATCTCTAGCTGGCATACGATCTGACGCGGCAACTCTTACTTGGACTAAACCTCCCCCGAACCGGCCTGTGGCTAAATATACAATTCAAGTTAATGGAGTCCATGGTATGGCTATATTCTATCACCCGAAAAAAACTACTACCGAGCATACTCTGCCTTTAGTCGGACGAATACAGATGCTAACTGAATTTTTCTCTTTAGTCGGTGAATCCCCCGGAAACGAAGTAGCCATCACAGTTACTGGCCTAAAACCGGATCATTTTTATAATATACGTGTCGTTGCTGTCGGGCCGAATTACTTTCAAGCTGGCAGCCCTGTTATTCGACTTCGAACGTTCGATAAAGATGGCCGACCCCGTCAGGGGACCATCGGATCGCCGCCCGGCTCGATTAACAACGACCAACATATCAATTCCCTAAACCAGGTAGATGGCTCAGCAGCAACTCTACCTACCGTTGAAGCGGCAACTGCAATTGAAGCCCTCTCCAGTGGAGCGCGCGATGGTAGCCAAACAAGCGCATCACAAAGGAAAAACCGGCGCCATTCACCGTCGATCACCAACTCGGAGCAAGGGAGTTCGAAAAAGTTCGCTGTAGAGGATCAAGATATATCGCTAGACGAACTCAATGAACGCTTCGAGGCAATCCGCAAGGAGATTGATGAGACGCTTGCACAGTATGCGAAAGACGAAGCCGATGCAGCTCAACAAGAAGCCGACCTGAAGGAGGAGCGCGATAAGAAACGGCAAGCTGTCCGCGAAAAAGAAGAACAGACAGCTCAACTGAAAGCCCAAGGCCGAACTACCATGGAACAAATGCGCGCCACCGAGAAGGAACGCAACAAACTGATGGCCCAACTTCGAGAGAAGGAAGCTAAAAAGGACAAAGTCAAAGATAATATTACAGATCTTGGTGGCGAAAGCGACAAAATGAAAGCGGATCGCCAAAAGTTCGACAAACAGAAATCTGAACTGTCCAAGAAACGCGATTCGACAGTCAAAGCTCTTAATAAGGCGAATGCGGAATTGCAGGACAAGTGCGCTCAGCTAGAAGCAGAGCTAAAGGACAAGGGCAAGCAGCTGCAGGATCTCAAGGCTACTCGTGAAAAGCTACCTGGCGCGGATGATGAGCAAGTGAAAGAGCACGACGCGAAGCTCTCTCGCGACTGGGAAGTCAAACGCAAGGATATCCATACTCGTCTCGTAACGGAACTGAAGCAAGCACATCAATTGGAGCAGCAAACCCGCAGCTTGGAAGAGGAGCTTGCCTACCTCCAGCAGCAAGCGAGTGCAGCTTTCATGGCAGCGTCTGTACGCCCACCAAGTGTCGACTTCCTGGCCAACAACCAACCCGCCGCCAGAAGGTCCAGCCTTGGCGCTGTTGCGTCAACAATAGTCAGCAGGCCCTCTCCGACACAGGTTATGCCAATTGATCCCAGCTATCCGTCCCCTCCGCCGTTTAGTCACGCGCCATTTGCGCCAGGTTTGTTTACAGATACTGTAGATGATGATGATGATTCAGCACAAGCGGAAGTCGACTTGAGGATAGCTGCTGGGCCGTTGAGCCCAACGGCACAAGACTACTTGCCTTCTAACATTTTCGACGACATGGATGACTCTGAGCCTGGGGAAGACGACTATATTGGTGGCATTGATCATGGAGGAGCTACACCTGACCCTCAATCGCCAGCATCATCTAGTCTGTCTATCAATGCTTTCTCTAGCCCGCACGGATCATCGCACAATCTGCCATACCAACAACCCATTGGATTACCACCCACGGCGTCTCCAGCATCTGGCCATCGCTTTACGAATTTGCTGTCGACCTTTCAACGAAACCGAGGCGCAAGACATTCGACAGACCAAGGCCCACCAATCGGTAGCTTGAAGTCTGGTCAGAGCCAGTCGTTTCCAAGAGTAAGCGAGGTTGATGAACCCGTCGAAAGCAAGAAGAAGATCAATTTTCCCTGGATGGGTCGCGCTTCTGCTGGCCCGGATGGATCCATTGGCTCCTCCTCCAAATTTTCTAGCCGACGTGTGAACCCGCTTCGTCATTCTACGGGAGCCCCTTTTCCTGATGCAGATCCTGATTCAAGACCATCCTCCATCACTTCCATGGATCTCCCAAGACCTTCAACGGATAGCGGATCTATCTGGGGTAACCCTGGTGATAGCGGTGGGCCAAAGAATCGTCTCTGGCTTGGGGATGGCCGTTGGCCATCTCGCAATGGTTCCAGACGTCCTTCAGTTCATGGCTCCACGTCTGCCTTAACAACGACCTTGGCATCCGCTGATGACGAAATTCTAGATGAGCGCGATCTCCTCGATCCCCAAACTTCACCAAGCCAGGTTGGCGTCATTGGGTCTAGAGTGCCTGGACCTAGCAGATCGCTCAGTCAACGCCTTAATCCGAATGCGCCGACCTTTATGGGACAGATCTTCCGTCGCGATAAGGATGGAGACAGGAGTTTTGGACGTAAAGATAAAGATCGCAGCAAAGATAAGAAGCGCGATGAACGCGCTCCTGATGGCAGCGCTCCGAGCATCGAATTTACGCCGAGCCTGGACGAGTCACCAGCCGATTCGCGTATCTCAAGAGATGCCTACTCCGTTCACACGCAGACCTCTGTGTCGGAGTCTCATGATTCCTTTATCCTAGATCCCAACACTCCGTCCGACTTGCAGTCCAACGCTGGCTCTGCCACCAAGGACCAGGAGAACGTTGTTCGAAAGCTGTTTCGTAAGGGGAGCTCAAGCAAATTCAGCCTGTCATCCAGACTTGGAAAGGATTCTGGCCTGTTTAAGAAAGGACCAGGAAGCACTACCAACTCGGATCGGAACCTCTCAGCAGATCAGCGATCAAGCATTGGCGACATTGACGACCTCGGTGAGGACGTTCAGTTTGGGCGCAGCTATGATAGCATGACCAGCAGCCCTGTTCTAGTACCCGCGAAGTCGAAGGACAGTAAGGAATCGCGTATGAGCAGCTGGCGGTTTTCTATGAGAAAGAAGGGCCGTGATGGCATGCTGAAGGAGAAGGAGAGCATTGAACTGGATAGACCAACAGACGAGGAGTAGCAAGAGCCGTGACAACGGCAGTACTAGCATCAGTACCAGCAACAGCCTTTTATAACCAGCTGTGAAGCGACGCCTGAAGCGCAATTAGCATTGAAATATTACCAGGCCTTATATTTGTTCATAAGCATGTCCAACTTGTTTTCCTCTCGTTTTTTAGCATCCAGTGAATTCAATCTTGGTATCCGTGCCCCGTGCCGTTCAAGTGACATCAGCGCTCAGACAATCGTGGTTGATGCCAAAGACCCGCTTTTCTGGTGATGGCTTGGGGAGAGCTTAACATGTGGTCGTGGCTTCATCTGCCAGCATCTCGCATCAACTAAGCGCCAGTGTTTCATAGGAAAAGGAGTGGCGTAGAGTGACATTTATTTGTTAATTTTATTTCAATTGTACCAGCAAGATGAATGGCTCACTAGGTGACCCGTCATCGCTAGATACTGGTAAGCAACCTTTACGAAGATGTTGAGCAAGGAGGCAAGCTAACGGGGTACATGCGCAGCCGACTACGATCCCATAGACCACATCAATCTCCTCTTCTCCCACCCTTCCGCCGTCTCTTCGATAAATAGAGTCTCCAAGACTCTCAAGCAACAGCAGAATGACGTCTCAAAGGACATCAGCGCCCTCGAACAAACACAGGCTTACCAACCCGACTCCAGCCTCGAGCGGATGCAGTCCGCGCAAACAGAGTTGGCGCAGCTCTTCCGAAAGATTGAAACCGTGCGATCGCGTGCTGTAGAGACCGAACAAAACATTACGACTATGACGGCCGATATCAAGCGCCTCGATGGCACCAAGAAGAACCTGACGCTGAGCATGACTGCTCTGAAGCGACTGCAGATGCTGACGACTGCCTACGAACAGCTGAGAGGCTTGGCACGAACACGACAGTATAGAGACTGCGCTGGCTTGCTACAGGCTGTTTTGCAACTTATGAAGCATTTCAATAGCTACCGCAGCATCGAGCAGATTGCCACCCTGAGCAGAGAAGTCGCCGAGCTGCAACGGGAACTGCTGGAGCAGGTCTGCGAAGATTTTGAGATGTCGTTTGCTAAGGGGGAGGTTGGTACAAAACGAAATGTCCTTGTTGAAGCGTGTCTGGTTATGGATGCGCTCGGAGATGCTGCAAAATCGCGGATTGTGACGTGGTACGTCAACACGGAGCTGCGAGAATACCGCCAAGTATTCCGAGGCAACGATGAGGCAGGCAATCTGGACAATATTGGAAGACGGTATGCGTGGTTCAAGCGCATGATAAAGACTCATGAAGACGACCATGCAGTTATCTTCCCACCTCACTGGCGCGTTAATGAAGTCCTGGCAACAGCGTTTTGCGAGGGTACACGCGACGATTTCAAAGGCATCTTGGAGCGCAGCATGCGTCGTGCGGATGGCGCCAAGATTGATGTCAACCTGCTTTTGAGCTGTCTGCAAGAAACGCTAGACTTTGAACAGAGCATTGAGAAACGCTTCGCTAACGAACCAAGAGCAAGCATCGATACTCTGAGCTCAGCTGAGGAAAAGACACAAAATTTCAACGGACTCATTTCTGTTGCGTTTGAGCCGTACCTAAGCCTGTGGGTAGAGTCCCAAGACAAGCAGCTTGCTACGATGATACCAAAGTACCGCACTCAGCCTCTCATTTCCGAAGATGACGAATTCTCACCTCAAGCCGTCATCCCATCTGCCATTGAACTCTTCCACTTCTACAAACTCACACTCTCGCAATGCGCAAAGCTCTCAACTAGCGAAAGGCTGCTTGACTTATCCAAAACCCTGGCTAGATATTTGGACGAGTATGCCCAACAAGTGCTGCTCAGTATACTTCAGTCAACAGGAACTAGTAGTCCCACGATACAAGATGCTGTGCTAGTGCTCAACACGGCAGACTTTTGGCATGCCAACACCACACAACTAGAAGAGAATATCAAGAAGCGTATCGATGCGGACCTTGTTTCCAAGGTGGACATGTCGTCACAGTCGGACGCCTTTCTCGGAGTTGCCAGCGCTGCTGTTCTTTCACTAGTACAAATCATTCAATCTGACTGCGAAGGAACGTGGCGGGAGATGAAGAATACAAACTGGAGCACAATGGAGACGGCCGGTGACCAGAATCTCTATGTTGGTGAGCTGATCCGCCATGTTAATGCTAAAACGGAGGAGATTCTAGCTGTGGTGGCGAAGCAACAGTATGCCAGAGCCTTTTGTGATAATCTGGTGGAAAATATTGCAACTACATTTATTGCCAACATTGTGGCATGTAAACCAATTTCGGAAGTTGGAGCACAACAGGTACGTTTTATGATAATCCCGGCAATGACATTATCACTAATAGCAACGTGTAGATGCTCGTCGACAAGTATGCCCTTAGCAAGGCATTTATCAACTTAATGTCGTACCACAACCCGAGCGCAGTGCCGCAAACACCATCTGGTCCGTTTACTCGCCGTGTCGAGCAGTCGATGAACCGAATGGATCCGCTGCTCAAGACGCTACAAGTACGGTCGTCACCGCCAGAGGGCCTGGTTCAAGCATACCTTATACATATAGGCGACCGTTCGGATACCAACTTCAAGAAGATCCTGGAGCTCAAGGGCGTGCGCAAATCAGACCAGCCGCATCTTGTCGAGCTCTTTGGTATCCATCGGGACAGCAACGCCAACGGCAAGCTCATACAGAACTCGCCATTGCTAACACCACTTATGGATGCATCTGGCATGGGAGGCGGTATCACGGCAAGCACATCCGGGTCGCTCACCGGAGCATCGGCGGCTGGTCGGTTCGACGCAGGCTCCTTTGGTGAAAAGCTGCTGAGTGCCGCGCGAGACATTAGCGCAACGAGTGCCATTACATCGCCGAACGGTATGACCGACAAGGCCACGATCAACGAGAACCTGCGCAACTTTGGCAAATTCTTCCGACGTGATATTGGTGGGCTCGGCGCTCGCTTTGGCAAACGGGATGGTAGCATTGGCGCCGAGGAGGGCCAGCGATAGAATAGATACTACAAACTCCATAGCAGGATGCTACTTGCTCTACCGGTCCGATGACCGATGGGCCGAGCGGCGCCGCGTTTTGCATATATACTATATATTATATACACAACTTCTCCCCACCATGTGTCACTGTACATCTACACACTTAGCAGTGTAGCCCGATAGACCGAAGACCAATTGGCAATGCAACAGCACTTATTACTGTATCTAGTCTGCTTACAAACGCAGTTTGTTTCATAAACCCAGTAATGCGAGTTTCTCCGATTTGATTTGAATTGAATTCAAATTCATCATGTGTATGGCTTCCAAATCCCATAAACTCCGACGGATAGCGTCATGGCGCTGTTATTTGGAATTGCAGAGTCTGCTGAATAATGTACCGGGATGGCGTGCGAGTCGCTGTAATTCCCTCCCGCTAAAGGCGTGTGCTGGGCACCCGGAGCGCCTGAAAGTTCGGGCGCCCACCACCGCTACAGCACTACCGACACTCCGGGGCGACCAGCGGTGGTGCCCCTTCTGGAAACCTCCAACCACCTGCCTACTTGCCCAGATACCCAAAAAACCAAACGCATTGATAACCCCACCATCCCACCACCCTCTCTTCTCTCGGCCCTCCCTTTCGATTTCCTGCTTTCTTAGCACATCGCCCCCTTGAACACCGCCAAGCTGTTCGCCTCAAGCTTTAAAAGAACCCTCCGCTCCAGCGCCGGGCTCTCCATTGCCGCATTAGCAACTGCTTCCGTGAAAAACAACACCGCAAACACACATCCCAGCGTCCGCAAGATGCACAGCAAGGTCGTCAGTACGTTGTCGTGCTCCTCCTCCTCCCTCACGAGAACACAGCCGTGCTAACTCATCTGCCTCTATAGTCATTGGCTCGGGCCCTGCTGCCCACACTGCCGCCGTCTACCTCTCCCGTGCCGAATTGAAGCGTACGTCTTGCTCCCCTTGGCTCCTCTTGTCTTGTCCACCGACTAACCGCGCATCTCGTTCTGCAGCTGTCCTCTACGAAGGCTTCATGGCCAACGGCACCGCCGCTGGTGGCCAGCTCACGACCACGACCGAGGTTGAAAACTACCCTGGCTTCCCCAAGGGCATCATGGGCCAGGAGCTCATGGACAACATGCGCGCACAGTCGGAGCGCTTCGGCACCGAGATCATCACCGACACCGTCACCAAGCTCGACCTGTCGTCCCGCCCCTTCAAGTACAGCACCGAGTTCAGCCCCGACGAGACACACACTGCCGATGCCGTCATCATTGCTACCGGCGCCTCGGCCCGCCGCATGAACCTCCCCGGTGAGGACAAGTACTGGCAAAACGGTATCTCCGCCTGCGCCGTCTGCGACGGTGCTGTGCCCATCTTCCGCAACAAGCCCCTCTACGTTATTGGTGGTGGTGACTCTGCTGCCGAAGAGGCCACTTTCCTCACAAAGTACGGTAGCCACGTTACTGTGCTTGTCCGCCGTGACCAGCTCCGTGCCAGCAAGACCATGGCTACGCGTCTGCTCGCGCACCCCAAGGTCACTGTGCGCTTCAACTCTGCTGCCAGCGAGGTCCGCGGCGGTGACGATGGCCTGATGTCCCACATTGTCGTCAAGGACACCGTCACTGGTGCCGAGGAGGTTGTCGAGGCCAACGGTCTCTTCTACGCCATTGGCCACGACCCCGCCACCAAGCTTGTCAAGGGCCAGCTCGACATGGATGAGGAGGGCTACATTATCACCAAGCCCGGCACTACCTTCACCAGCGTCGAGGGTGTCTTCGCCGCTGGTGACGTCCAGGACAAGAAGTACCGCCAGGCTATCACCAGTGCCGGTACTGGCTGCATGGCTGCCCTTGAGGCTGAGCACTTCATTGCTGAGCAGGAGTCTGCTTAAATAAAGAACTAGAAGGGGGGAGAAGAAAGAAGATGTCAGCAAAATCTGTTAGAATGACAAGCATGGGATACACTTTGGGAGCGAAAAGCATAGACGGGAATCTATACTCTCCATAGAATTATGAATTTACAAGTAATGTGTTGGGTAAAAAGTAAAATGAACAATCAGTTTCAAGAGAAATCAATCATTATGGCATTGAATGTATGTATGCTGCATCTGCAACCGCTAAAACTGTAGGCCAAAAATATAACACGCCTATTCACCCTAACAAGGGTCCTCAAAGACGAGTATTCCCAATGCATCCTCCTTTTGTGTAGAACCCCTCACACTATCTCTGGGGGAGTTTATCCTCGATTCCAATTATTCCAAACAATATGTAATGTAAACTTCACAACGGCATAGCATGATGCGTGTATGCATGCAAAAAGTATAAAAAGAAAAACACATGACAAAGCATTATATGAAAGAGTCGTGTCATTCAATCATGGTCGGTTCTCGCACGAGTCGTCTATTCGCGCTCAAGAACAGCGGGAGCAGTCAATGTCTTGCCGCTGAGGTTCTCAAGACCCTCGCCACCCTATCATATAAATGTTAGCTCGAGGTTGTACTGTTTAAAGGTCACTAGGGGAAATAGACTTACGTAGCTGATGAGAGGAGAGACTTCAACACCGCCATCAGCAACAACAGTAGCGCCAGCAGCCTGAGCCCACTTCTGGCCCTGCTCCATGACGGCCGCCTTGCTGGTATCGGGGTCGTCCTGGCCAGTGCCGCGGGCGTTCTTGAGGGGAGAGAATTCGTCCTCACGGCGGACCTCCATGCAGGCAAACTTGTTCAGAGGAAGCATGGGGAACACGTCAAAGACGAACTGCTCAAGCTTGATGCCGTTGGGCTTCTCGGGCTTGACGGTCTCGCCAGTCTGGACGTCGGCAAAGGGGATCTTCTTGCGAGCAACATGGTGAGGCAGCTTGTGGGCCCACTGGGGGATGCTCTCGAGGAACTCAAAGGAGTAGTAGTGGTTGACAATGTTGGCGGCACGGTACTTGAGAACACCGGGCTGCTTGGGGTCTTCGGCCTCGGCAGTGGCCTTGTCGATCTCGGAGTACTCGACAACGTCGGGCTTGCCGTTGCGGGAGAGGATGAGACCGACGGACTCGGTAGCGTTGCGCTTGCGGACAACCTTGGTAGCAATGTCAACCTTGAGGGCGGCAGCAAAGCCGACAAAAACGGGATCGGCGACCTTGACAAGGCAGTTATCGACACAGTAAGCGTGGATGTGCTTGATACCGCGCTTGCGCATGTCGTCAATGACACCGTAGACAATGAGAGCCTGGTAGATACCACCGTTGCCGTCGGGGGCAACAGCAACACGGCCCTTGTTCTCGAGAAGGATCTTGCCCTCGTTGGAGATGCAAGGCAAAACACCCTGCTCAAAGATCATGACGTTCTCTTTGGCGAGGCCAAAGTACTTGTTCTCCTCAAAGAATGCCTGAGTTGGCTGGCGCGTGGGACCGCTGGTCATGACATACCAGGGAACAACGACGTCGGCACCAGACTTCTTGGCAGCGAGCTCCTGCACCTTTCGAATGCGCTCAGCCTGGATCTGGAAGAGGGACTTCTTGGAGGGGAGGCCAATGTCGTAGCAACCCTTGGGGGCGGAGCTGCCGAGTCTGGTTCCCTGGCCACCAGCCATGAGGACGACGGCAACCTGGTTCTGGGCAATGAGGTCGAGACCAGCAGCGTTCCACTTGTTGACGTCCTCAGCGCTTGAGTCGAGAATGCTAGCAGTGGCAGAGTCGGGGAGGGGTTCGAGGACGGCGGCGGCTTCATCATGGGCGGGGGCGAGAGCTCGCTCTGTGATTTCGTTGATGTACTTGGGGTCGAAGCCGGAGAGCTGCTCAAAGAGGGCAGCCTTCTCCTCGGCGTTCAGAGAGTCGTAAAAGGTGAAGACGTGCTCCTGGCCAGCCTGGGCGTACTTGGCCTTGAGCTCAGAAACAGCTTCAGTGCTGGGCTCGGCCTTGGAGGCGCCATTGGAGCCAATGTGGAGGGCTTGCTTGATAGCTTCCATTGTGACTAGAGGAGAGGAAGGAAGAAGAGAGGTGGGATGTATGAGTTCGGGAGGGGTATAGAGGCAATCAGAAGAGACGAGAGGAAGGATTCGTCTGCGGTGGTAGGGCAGCAGGGACTCTTAAATGCGAACAAAAACGATTTGGTTCGTTGCTGCGAGTACGAAGGCGTGGCTATCTAATCGATGAATGGTGGTAGCCGGAGTGGGGCAGTGGTAGTTCTGGACCGATGCGCGTCGGAGAGTCTAGGACGATCTTTTTTTTCACTTCGGTGGACAAGCAGGGCCAATGCAGCTGACTGACTGAATTTACCCGGCGATAGTAGAAGAATAGAGTGGTGTGGGAATCTAGTGATGATGAAAGGGTTTGAAAAGAAGGAGCTGGTTTTGGCAAGCAGGTATGTGACAGGTGGCGGGTGGCACCACGGTGTTTATACCTTTGTAAGTGGGCAGTGTCCAAGCAACGACGATCACAGGGGAGGGGTTGGTCACTGAAGCAGCCGCTGAAGTAGGCCAAGCCACTGCTGGGAAGCAGAGCAAAGCAACATGAGACTTTTTGCAAACAGAAGCAGAACGGGTTCTTTGTTTGTAGCCAGCTTGCAGTAGTAACAGGCTGTGGAGGACGGGTCCAATTGCAGTGCAATGAAGAATATTACCCAAAAGAAATCACCGCAAGCCTTGTGTAAACAGCGCAGTCACAGCCGTAGGCATGTCAGTGCACCACCTCAGACGCAGTACTGCACAGGAGGGGCAAGGCAGAACAGTTTACAGGCGGCACAGCTGTACCCAGGACCCTGTCTTTTGGTGGTGCTTGCTGGCAGCGGTGGTGGTGGCGGCGGCTTAACCGCAGGCTTGTGCAGGGGCGGGCTTCAGGAGGGGAGGGGGGGAGGGGTAGCTGCGTGGTTCTGGCGGGCGCTAAGCTCCAAACAGGGTGTCAAGACGAGCGTAAAAAAAATTTACAGGGAGCGGAGAAGGCGATGGAGGGGGAGATACGGGACAGAGAGGAGTGGGCATGGGGGGATTACGGTGGATGTTTACGAAGACGAACAATGTTTGCCACTTTGCTTTTCTTTTCAAATTGTATTTTTATAAATGGATAAAAAAAGGAAAAAGAAAAGAAGAGCCAGGATGACAGGGACAAAGCGTCTTCAGACGAGGCTGTCTACCAAACCACCCTGCCCAAGTTTACAGTACCGCCAGCGCCAATTACAGCCGCCCAGCAAGCCCTGAAAGCCCGCCTGAACCCGTGGCGGCCCATCCCCTGTGCCACGGGGCCCAGCGCAGCCCTGAGATTGCCCCCTTTGACAAAGAGCCGCTGCTGAGATGGCGATTGCCTGCTGGTTTATCGGGCAAGCTAGCGGGCATTGCCGGTTGGTCTACAAAGTATGTGCATTTTGCATTATTGCACCCCTCCAGAGCCAATTGTAATGCGTCCATTGCGCACCTTTTCTCTCTCGCCCTCCATATTCACTGCATAGCTGCTAAATTGCCTCTGCCCCTACGCTACAGTACATACAGCAGACACCTCCTGCCCCCGTTGCAACGCTCTCTCGTTTCGTTCCGCCGCTACGTCATGGCGCTCGCTCGGCTACCACCGTAACACGCTCGCACGATAATCATAAGCGAAGCTCACCGTCTTAGGCCTGGTCGTTGCTGGGGCGGTGGCCTGACAGAGGGTCGCTGTTCTGTTCCCACACTCTTTGGTGAATCGGATTCACCCTATACGAGTCAGCCTAGTTAGGAGAACCCGGCAGCAGCAATGGAGACGGTGTCGTCATTTACATCGTCACTGCATCTATTTGCATCTATTAAAAGAATCCCCGTTAAAATTAAAACAATCGGAAGAAGCTGATGTGATTGCACTGCCTTGGTTGGTTGGTGCTTTAGTGGAGATGCCCAGGCTGGAGGGGCCAATACGGTGCTGCGCCTCTGGCTCTGGTTCTCGAAATAGAAGCACTGGACAATGGGATTGAAGATCCACGATCTCGGAGCCTGGCTTCAATCCAAACCGACGTCATTGTTTTACAATGATATTGAAGAGATGATTTGATAATCAGACGTTTTATTCTCGAGCAAAATTAACATCAACGCTCCTGCAGGTAAGCAAACGTTACAAGTGGTCACCACCCAATACTGTTATTTCAAACTTGTATCGTACACAAACTTTACACTTAGCATCCATCTAAGAGTCGATACGTGTAAAATATTTATACAAAACATCGTATACTAAGATATAGACAAATGGGATTAATTTCTTTTTTTAAGATTTTTAAACTAAATAGGTAGACTGGAAAGAATATCTGTATGTCACGCCGCCAGCTCATCAACCCTGCCTCACGGAATACCGTAGAATCCCAAATTCACGCTCACGCGCTTCCACGCCGCCATCTCCTGCACGAACCAATTGATCACCAGACATAGCTTGGATTATAAAATAGGCCATCCAGGATGCCCTCTGACGCCGAACTTTCTGATAATGAAGCTATCCTAGACTCTTCAGCTACATCCTCCTTTGCAGGCTCTCTGAATCTCCAAGCCTTCATGCACGCTCCATCAGACAAACAGCCCGTTCGACGAAGCTCGCGGCAGCAATCCGTGCTTGCTAGTGGACAATCGAGCCCTAAGAAACGAGCTTCTTCAGACACAACCTCGCCTTCAAAGCGCAGCAAGCGTAAAAATGTGCCCTCTAGCTACGCACCCCCCTCGACATACGCGCACCTCGCCCATCTCCCAGATTCGATCTTGGAGAACCTCATTGTTCTGTTTGTAGGCCTCAACCCCGGCGTGCAGACTGCTAGAAGTGGTCATGCATACGCACACCCGTCCAACCTCTTCTGGAAGCTCTTGTACTCTAGCGGAGTCACACCAAGGCAATGCCGTCCCGAAGAGGACCGTGACTTGCCGCAACTGTACAAGCTTGGCTTTACCAACATTGTCAGCCGGCCGAGCCGTAATGGTGCTGAGCTAAGCAAGCAGGAGATGGATGATGGAGTAGAAGCCTTGCACGAAAAAGCACGCAAATGGCGCCCAGAGTCCATGTGCATTGTCGGCAAGAGTATTTGGGAGAGCATATGGCGTGTAAGACACGGCCGCGCCATCGGGAAGGCCTTCAAGTACGGTTGGCAGGATGAATCCGAGAATATGGGCATCATAGCCGGTGAAGATGGATGGAAAGGCGCCAGAGTCTTTGTCGCGTCCAGCACAAGCGGCCTGGCTGCGACACTCTCACCAGCGCAAAAGCAAGAGATATGGGACGAATTGGGGACATGGGTTAAGAAGAGACGAGAAGAGCAGCAGCAAGAACAACAGCTTGTTGATGAGCCTTGAGTTATTTTAGAAAGGTGAATATCATGTAATATAGTTTTTATTTCATCGCGCAGCCTGTTCCTAAATAAGAAGCAAAGGTTACTAAATGTAGCCTCCGCTCAACTCCATACGCCAATACAAGTATCCTTTTCTCCCAAAGCCTGCTGGCGTTCTAATTTTACTTGCAGCGCTTCTCAACGATGCCAGCACCATTCTCCTCGTATTCCTTCCTCGAAATCCACATCTGGTGGAACGTGCCCAAGCTGGCGAGAATGCTGCCACCGATCCAGGAGCCGAAGCGGCGCTCACTGCTGAGACCGGCAGCGTGAATCTTGATCTTTTGGCCGGGATACATCGTCGCCAGCTCATTGTTCAAGCGGTCGTTGAAGCCATTAATCAGCGTCGTGCTGCCAGTGACGACAATGTTGCTCAGCAAGTTGCCGCGCAGATCGACATCCACAGCACTCAGCGATGCGCGGATCAGCTCAGGGATAGTCTGTGCCTTGGTCAGGCGCTCGCTCTCGGCGACGGGGAGTCCGGCGTTCTCATCCCACATGCCTTCCGAGACCTTGAAGCGCTGCTCGCGCCACATCTGGTTCCAGCCGTCAGGCATCTCAAAGACGCGGCCGGGCTGCGTCTTGACGTAATCCTCGTTTCCGGGAGCGCTCAGGCGGCCGGGACCGCGCCAGACCTCGACGACAGATTCTTTGAACTCGGTCAGGACGCGCTCTTCTTCATAGGCCTTGAAGGAATCGCTGATCTCGAAGGGGAACTTGCGCAGGCGCACTTGAGCGGCGGTAAGCGCATCAACAGGGGTCTTGTTCTCCACCATGTATGTAGGAACGAGGTTGACCTTGGGCTCAGATGTCTCCCAAAGGTTGCGGATCTGGGACGACAGCCAAACACCACCAGCAGGCGAGCGCTGGATCGATCGCTTGAGGACCATGCCGTCGTGGATAGCGGTGACGGATGTGTTTGCGCCACCGACGTCGAGGACAAGAGCAGTAGCCTTGCCAGCAGCAAAAGCAGCCAGAACAGAAGTCTTGCTGAGCCAGAAGGCGGGGCAACCCCAGCTCTCCATGACCAGCTCGATGGCCTTCTCGCGATCCTTAGGCGTGTTCCAGGGAGACTCGGTAATGAGTAACGGGTTCTCCTGCAGGGGCTTTTCTGTGTTTTCGACTTCATCCATGGCGACATCGCCCTCGCCGTCCTTGTCCTTGGCCTCGTCGTTGAGGCCGTTCTTGGAGGCTGGGGTCTGGCGCTCGGGCTGCAGACGCTTGATGAGCATGTGTTCCCAGACCTTGGACGCGGTCTCCCAGTCTTCCACCACGCTGTCGCGGCTCATGTAGTTGCGTATCTCGCAATTGGCGCGTGGGATTATGCACTCGTCGCCAAACACGTCCTTGGGAGGGTCGCTTGTGATGTGGCTGTAGAAGGAGGGGAGGACGGACTTGGGGACATCTTCGCCAGCGAAGCCTGCACGGGTCGTGCAGTATCCAGGGTCCAGAACGAGAGCAGAAACTTCGTCTGTTCAGATGAGCATGGTTAGCAGCGATGATCGAGCTTTGGAGCTTGATGAAGCAAGCAGCCAGGGAGAAACGTACCTCCACCGTAGATGTCGGTGGGCTGTGCCGTCGCGGGCAAAGGCTGCTGCGACATTGTGGATGATATTAGCGATGCGATCAGCTTCGGAAGATGGCAATTGTTCGATTCGGGCGCGGGCTGATTCGCTGGTAACTATGCGCTGGCTTGTCGCGACGGATCAAAATTCGGCCAGATGCGTCTTGGTGGAGGTTGGTCATGCACCCACCAACTGTCGAGCGGGCATTTTGGCGGGTGGGTATTTTTCCTGACTAAGCACGCTACCACCACATAAAATCCCGTGCAAGCGCAATTTTCCTTTTTTATCTTGCTTCTCGTCAAGCTCACAGGCAGGTTTGGTGCTTCAGGAATTTCTTGGAGCGCGCTTGCTTGTGCGCCTGTAATCAAGGTAAGCAATTGTGCTACTCTCTTTCTTTTACCCCAATACATCATGATGAACTTGCATTCTCGCTTCAGAACCGCTGCGATTGACACAGCTTGCTGTGCGTGATTACACATTGCCTATGTCTGATCAGATGTTATTACAATACTCTATTCATTGTCACCAAAAGCCTTTGATGTGCTTCTGCTAACATGGATTTGTCAATTAGTTGCAATGATACGTTCTGCTTGCATCCGACTCCCTCGTGTCAGCCAAGCCGTCGGTTTCGCTGCCGCGAGACCGCAGACGCTCTGCCTGGCGACAAGCAAGAGGTTCTCAACTTCTGCTTACTGCTATAACAGCGCGTCAAGGTGGGCGGATGCACCAAAGGAGGAGGAAGTGTCGCCGTTTAGGAGACAGCGATTAGAACAGCTTCAGGAGAACCAGACTAGCGAGGCGCCCCTATATTCCGAGGCTTACCCTCGGTTGCCAGCGGACGACGCGCGCAAATCAGTTCCCGAGTTCATTGAAGAATGCCAAGATGCCCTGCCGACCGAACCGGTATCCCTATCCGGACGAGTGCGCTCGAAGCGAGTCGTTGGCAAATCCTTAATATTTGTTGACATCGTAAACGAGTTTCAAAAGGCACAAGTCATGATCAACAAGAAGAATTGCCAATTAGGCGAGACAAATAAACATCAATTCCGTCTTTTCAAAAACATGATCCAAGTTGGAGACCACATATGTATGCCCCTCGTAAGCCTATCCATTTAAACTTGTTCCCGAAGCTGACGCCGCCTTCGCAGCTGTAACGGGCACCGCAACACGTACAACCGCCGGCGAGTTGACGCTGGATGCTATCGGCCTGCCCACCCTTTTATCTCCAACAATGGAGCAGATCCCCGAGAAACTCCTCGACCAGAGAACGAAGAGCCAGGAGCGCCATGTCGACATGCTGGTGAACAAAGAGGTTGTCGATGTCCTTCGCCTACGTGCTGAAATCACCAAACACATGCGCGACCACTTCCATTCAAAGCGCTTCTTGGAATTCCAGACACCTATTCTCGCCGAGAATGCAGGCGGAGCTGTCGCTCGACCCTTCGTCACCAGAGCCACCGAGTTTAAAGACAAGGATCTTGCTCTCCGCATCGCCCCCGAACTCTGGCTCAAGCGTTTGGTCGTCGGCGGTGTCGATAAAGTATTCGAAATCGGCCCTGCGTTCCGAAACGAAGGCATTGACGGCACACATAATCCCGAGTTCACAATGTGTGAATTCTACAGCGCCTACACAAACCTGGAAGATCTCATCAAGGAGACCGAGGAGCTGTTGTCCAGCCTCGCTACACACACACAACAACTCATCGCCACCCAGCTCACATCGCTCCCCCAGATCGACGTGAACAAGTTCAAGCGGCCATATATACAAATCGAGTTTGTCCCTGGCCTCGAAGAGGCCATGGGTATCCGCTTCCCGAAGCTATCAGGAGAAGACGCACTGCCAGAAGTCTTAGCTATCTTGAAGCTTGCTGGTATTGTGGTCCCAGGAGAAGTCCCTTCAACCCTGCCCAAGCTGCTAGACCGCCTCGCTGCTATCCATCTTGAGCCGCGTTCCTTTGAAGAGCCAGTCTTCATCACCAGCCATCCTGCATGCATGTCGCCTCTGGCAAAGAGCTTCATTTGCCCCAAGACATACCAGCTAGTATCAGCACGAGCCGAGCTGTTTGTCGGCGGCCGCGAGCTTGCCAACATGTACGAAGAGGAGAATGATCCTGAAGAGCAGCGCCGCAAACTCGCCACTCATCGTAATCTTGCCAATAAACCTAATGGTGAGATTGGTATCTCTGAGCCTGCTGCCCAAGCAGCCGCCACACCGGAAGCAACCGAAGAGCCCGATGAGTGGGAAGCATCTCCTCTAGACTCAAGCTATATCAAGGCTCTAAACTACGGTCTTCCTCCAACAGGAGGCTGGGGCTGCGGCGTCGAACGGTTGGTGATGCTCTTTTCTGGTGCCAGCCGTATCAGCGATTGTCTCAGCTTCGGCACCTTACAAAATGTCGTCGGCCTATCATCCTCAGGAAATTCCTCCAATGACGAGCCTCAGTAATTACCATTATACCCCCATGTACCACCATTCTTGTACTTTAAATAGCTTTTGTATAGTAGCGTCGTCATTCAATATCATTAATACACAAGTGCCATAGAAGCATTGGAAATGAATTATCAAGGAATTTATTATTCAAGTATCAAAAGACTGCTAAGAAGAAACCTGTTTTCCAAAACCAAAAGCAGAAACAAAGGAGCTGACCCAACGAATGGAGGTACAGCAAAATAGTAGTGTTAATACAAGGGAGAGCCCAGTGTAGCTTGCAGAACAAGTCACACGCAGCTATTTACAAGGGAAAGGTATTATCTCAACCTCATTTTGCCAACTCAACTTACAAGAGGCCGCCAGCAACCTGGAACAGACTGCTGATCAAGCCAGGGTGGGAAACTCTGTCACCACGAATCCACTTCTGGATGGTGGCATCGTCGAGACCCTCGGAGAAGTCAACGCTGTCGGGCAGCATCTTAATGGAGACGGAGGCAGAGTCCTCGTCAAAGACAACAGCAGCCTTGACAAACTTGTCAATGGGGCGGTCAAAGTAGTCAGAAGAACCAGCGCCGTTGGCAAGGTGGAAAGTGCTCTTGGCCTTGGTGTCACCACTGGAGAGAACCTCGAACATGTCGACCTCACCACATCCGGTCTCCCAGCAGCTACAGCTGTTGTACTGGGCAGTTCGGGGAATGCGAGCGTTGAGAGCCCAGATAGCGGGCATATCACCGTTGAAGCCACGGTTACCGTCAAGAGGCATCTTGAAGTGGAAGAGGAAGACCTTGTTGCCGCCCTTGAAGCCCTCTGTAAAGAACGTGTTAGCCACTGTGAGAAGAAAAATCGAGAAAGCGAAAACGTACTGTAAGCGACCTCATCGGAACGAGCGTAGCCGCAATCGCCATTGCACTTCTCGCCACTGAAAATGGCGAATTCCTTGTTGGAGGGAATGTAGACATCCTTCAGGATCTCGGGGTTGGCAGAGCCACCATTGCCATCAGCGTTAAGGAAAGCGAGAGAGTTGCCCCAGGTACTAGATATAAGTTAGAAGAGTTGCAGATGCGGAACACTATGGTACTTACGAATCCCAAACACCGGATCCCTGGCCACCGTAGTTGCCCATGAAGACGACATTATCAGCTTGCTGCTTTTCGGAGTTGTAGTAGGCGACACGGTCCCAATCTTGACCAGAATGATGGTTGACAGTGGCCTTCATGTTGGCAGCGGCCTTGGGGGCATTGGGAGCTGTGGGTGCGTGAGGCGCATTGGGGGCAGAAGGAGCGTTAGGTGCAGATGGTGCCTTGGGAGCAGAGGGAGCATTAGGTGCAGCAGGCGCATTGGGAGCATTAGGTGCGTTAGGAGCGCTGGGGGCTTTGGGAGCAGAGGGAGCGTTAGGCGCACTCGGGGCGTTGGGTGCATTAGGTGCAGTAGGCGCGTTAGGAGCGCTAGGGGCGTTTGGCGCATTGGGGGCAGAGGGAGCGTTGGGGGCACTGGGAGCATTCGGGGCGTTAGGAGCGTTGGGAGCATTGGGAGCATTAGGCGCAGACGGTGCCTTGGGAGCGTTAGGGGCGCTGGGTGCGTTGGGGGCACTAGGAGCATTGGGAGCGCTTGGTGCGTTGGGGGCACTAGGAGCATTGGGAGCGTTGGGAGCGCTTGGTGCGTTAGGCGCGCTAGGGGCCTTGGGGGCGTTAGGAGCGTTTGGCGCATTTGGTGCGTTTGGCGCAGAGGGAGCCTTGGGGGCATTGGGAGCCGATGGCGCGGTAGGAGCAGAGGGTGCAGTAGGAGCAGTAGGAGCAGTAGGGGCTACCGGTGCAATGGTCTTGGGGCCGTAGTAGACCTTCTCCCAAGAAACGACATCGCCGTTGATGGTGGCAGTGATCCACTCAGCTCGCTTCTCGTGGAAGGGGTTTTCCATGTGCTTGTGGCCATGGGGGTTTTCGAGGACACGCTTCTGGGCCTGGTGGATCTCACGCTTCTTGGAGTTGTCCTTGGACAGGTTGTAGACGGCGACCTCCTTGATGTAGATGGGACCGCGGATGTGGATGGAGAGCTGTATGGTTTGTTAGCGTCTATGGAGAAACCATCTACCAATGTACTTACATCCTCATCGAGGGGAGCAAGAGGGCCAGAGAAGGCCTTTTCCTCGTACTTGCACTCGCCTCCAGATCCCATACCAGTAACGGCCTTGAAGGAACCCTTGCCACCGAGGCCCTGGTAGAGGATGTGGTTGACAGCACCACAGTACCAGTTGCCTCCTTCATCGACAGCCTTGCCGTTGCACTGCTGGATGAGGGCATTAGAGACACCCACCGAAGCGAGCAGAGCGAGAGCTGCGGTCTTCATTTTGTTGAGTCGCAAATTGTAAAAACAATGTGTAAGCGGTGGGACTGTGTGGTGTAAGTCGCCGTGGCGTAGTCCGCTGTGTCGAAGAAGAGCTGTCGATTGAAAGAGAAGTGGTTGAAAAGAACGGATGAATAGAAAGTCTACAAGGAGCGTTGGGTTATAATTAAATAAAATATTCTCCTAGCGGTCCAGCTGAGGACGTTTATATCTTTTCAATTAAGGAATGACTGAGGTGAACAATTGGATGGTTGGGTGGCTGTCGCGCGCCCACGTAAGGAATGTTGGAAAAAAAAGGTGGTGAGGAAGTCGAAGAATGCATCGTTGGCGACCGATTGACGCGTCTCTTTTACATGAAATCAGACCTATACAGTAGAATAGTATTGTGAGTGATATAACTTTAAACCACATCTTGGCTTCTTGGTAGCAATTTCGTAGTTCAAGAGAAATATATGAGGATTTACTAAATGTTGTAAGATTGAAAGCGAGGGGACGCTGTTGTGGCAGTGCTCGGTAGCCGAGTCGTCCACTGTAAGAGGTGCTGTTAGTGGACGGTCCCCACTGCAGTTACAGGAGGTCCTGCGTACCGCCAAGGGAGGCGCTCCTGCCAAGTGGTGGTGCCCTGGCTTAGCACTGCTAGGCACTTCTCGGCGGACCGTCACGCTGGCTGCCAGGTGGTGCAGCTGGCAATTGATTGTTGCTTCACCTGTCCCCATGCACTCCTATACTCAAATTTAGCTACCAGTAAGTACTTCCCTCCCCTGTTTTGTCGTTCAAGCACCGAACCCTTCTCAACGCGATACCACTTACACCAACGCGCTGGGTTCCATGCCATAACATGTGAGTCGTCACTCAACCACAGATCAAGAGATCAACAGGGGCACGGTGCCGCTATACTACTGCGCGTTTCAACACCACGAGCAAATTCCAGGGGTTCCGCCACCTGAGCCTTTAATTGGACCCTGTGTTAAGGTTACGGCGCCGTCCCGGTTTCTGGCTTCGCCTCTGCGAGACATGAGACTCAGAACACCAGCGCGACGCCACACCTCGCCCAAGCCCGCTCGGACGGGCTCTTGTGGCCGTGACCTGAGACATTGATCCAGCGTAAGCGTGTTCTGTGAAGCGGTAACTTCAGTGCTGTGCCTCTTATGATAAGACTAGGGATCAATATGCTCTTTAGTGTGCTTTTCTGCGGGGAGCCAAGTCTCGCCTTGTTTCCACATGATATTATACCAACGAGCATCATTGAACAATACATAGGGTAAAGATCCAAACATTATATTTTTAAACGCCATCGTGATATATGAAGAAGATGTATACATGCTCAAAACCCAGCTCTTTTAATCGTCAATGCCACCCCATTCATCACCATCCTCATCACCGGAGCCATCTGCCTCGGCCTGCTTTCTCCTCTTGCTCCCCTCGATAGCTCCCCTGCGGTTATTCTCCTTGCGTCTCTCATAGCCACTCTTGGACGTAATCTTGGCCTTGCTGCCGCTGCGTCTTGATTCGACGCCACGTTCCCTGAGCTTCTTTCGGTCCGCTTTGCCAACGTTGGGCAGCGCATCCAGCAGCCACTTTTGCACGGTTGCCTCGTCGCCCGTCTTACCCGCCTGTTTCTCGCTCACAGCAATGACATTGGCGACGGTCTTCACAAAGGGGATATCCTCCTTGGTGTAGAATGTAACAGCAATGCCACCTTGTCGACCAGCACGACCTGTTCGGCCGGCACGGTGGACGTATACAGCGCTGGAGCCAGGCACATCGTAGTTGACAACGCCATTGACTCCAGCAAAGTCAACACCGCGAGCTAGCACATCAGTAGTGATGAGGACCCAAATGTCACCGGCACGGAACTTGCGCATGATGGCAGCACGCGCAGATTCTGCCAGTCCACTGTGCAGAGCCGCAATTCTTGAAGGGCCGCCCGCTTCCAGAGGGATATCGTATTTGAGTTCCTCGTGAAGTGCTGTCGCGCGATCAATCGTCTGTGTAAAAACCAAGAACGGGGGTCTCAAAGGAGGGCCAGAGTCATCAGCTCGCGAGGGGTGCAGCAGCTGACGGAGAGCGAGCAGTTTACCCTGTTCGCTAGCTGTATACACCAGCTTGTGAATAATGTTAGGGACAGCAGTGTCCTTGAGACCGACAACGAGGCGGAGCAAAGGCTTGACGGGGAGACCCAGAGCCTCCGCTCTTCCTTCAAGCTTCTCATTGATCATTGTCTCGATGTTAGATCCCATGGTGGCAGACCACAGAGACACACGCAGATCGGTATTTGTGCATGCCGTCCAAATGCTCAATGTGTGCTCGCGGAACAAGGGATCGAGGAGGACATCCGCCTCGTCGAGAATCAGATCACGTACACCAGGCAGGACGCGCTGTGTTCCAGAAGGACCCGAAGTCAAAAAGTTGATCAGGAGTCGTGGTGTGGTAACCAGGATATCGGTTTGCGTGGCCGGTCGTACCTTTTGGGTGCGCTTAGGCTTGCCCTCATCCGCAGACTCTTCGTCCTCGTCATCGGATCCTTCGTCCGAACTGTCCTCTGCAATTTCCTGCTGCTCTACTGAAATATTTGTCGTCTTCTTCATTCCGACGATCTTGATACCTGTGCCTTGAAGAAGCTTTAGACCCTCGTTGACAATCTGATGTGACAGCTCTCGAGTAGGCGCCACAATAATGGCCTCCAGTTCTCGAGAACCCTCGCTCTTTTCAAGCGCCCTTCGTCGCATAATCTTGTTGATTGCTGGGATCAAAAAGCTGACTGTTTTGCCGCTACCTGTAGGCGCAACAGCCAAGAAGTTGATACCATTGTCCAAGCCGTCTGTGTCGGGCAGCGCGAGCTCTGGTCGAAGTAGCAGGGGCAAGCAACCGAGCTGCACCTCAGTAGGCACGCGGTAGCCTTGCGCAATCAAATTCTCTGCCACTCGCCTGGAGATTCCATATGTGTTTCGTAGGTCGGCAAACGACTCCAATGGCTGAGGGAACAGTTGTGCCTTGCTGTCGTTCTTGGTGTCCTCTTCAGCGACGGCTTTCTTCTGCTTCTTCTTGCTTGACTTCTTGGGCTTTTTCAATTCTTGATCCTTGGAGAGGATTGTCAATTTCAGTCTGTGTGAACGGAATATTTGTCGGCATTCGTCTTCGGGGAGTCTTTTTGTCGGCTTCCGCGGGGGGCTGGCTGCTCGTTGCGGCTTCTTCGCAGACTCTTGTTCGCGTGCCGATGTGGCATCGGGAGCGGGGAAGAAATTCACCTCAGGCAATTCATCTTCAACTTTGTCGTCGGTTTGATTGGCTTGTCGCTTTCGCTTCTGCCCTCGGACAGAGTCGTTGTAGAGCTGCGGGTTGACCTTTGCTCCAGACGACGGGAGGTCGCCAGTCGCAGTGGCGCTCGTACTAGCGGTATTCGTTTTCTTTGTGCCTCTTGAGAGGATCTTAAGGATATCCATGATTGCGTTTGAATATCGGTATTATCTGCCGCCAACTATGTCACGGTTGCCGGAGACAGTGGTATTCGTTGTTGAGATGCTCAGGCGACCTCACTTTTTTTTGGGTTAACTTTTTTTTTCTGCCCAGTCGCGAGGCTGTGGGGAAGACACGGCATTTTAGTGGGTGGTGGCGGCAAGGCTGAGGCACTCTGTAGCAGGATAGCAGCTAAATTCCGAGATAAATCATTTGAAAATAGAAAACAGAAAAATAAATAATTAAGATTATAATATAACATGCTTTAAGTGTTCTTTATATATTTTTAATGCCCCGTTGAGCTTGTAGCACCAACAGAAAACGGCATTTCGCCATGCAAAAAGTCCATTTCGTCCAATTCCCTTGTCTTCCATGCATTTATTTCGTAGACCATAAGAGCTCGTCATCCTCTGCATCTCCTCTTCCTTCTCCATATAGTACCTCACATACGCCCGCCAATGGGATATCCATCACTGCATCCGTACCTTCACTCCAAACCTCGCGCCAACGAAGCTTGCCATTGCTGTCGCACTTCCTTTCTCTGTTAACGCTTCCCTTCAATCGGCCCTTGGAATCAATCACTGCCATCTGACCAGCTCCATCAACTATAGTCTCCACATTGTTCAACGGCACCGTCAAGATCTCGAGGTTGTACAATGCCAAGGCGACGTAGATGTAGCAGAGGGTCATGACAAGGAACGCGGGGACGGCCAGCGCCCACCAGCGGTTGGGGTAGTAATAAATGCCAAAAACATGGAGAAAAGGAGCTGGTAAGAAGCTCCAGAGTAGCCATATGAGAAATGTAAAACTGCTGAACAGGTACAGCACAAAGCCGTAGTACTCGTACGTCGGCACCTTTGGCGCTGCGCGAGGCACCGGGGCTATGTTATCGTCGTCCGAAGCATCGGGTGTCGTTGGTCTTGAAGGTCGTAGGAGGGATGTTAGCGAGGGTGAGGGAGGTAAAGGGGTCGGCGGACGGCCGTAGAAGGGCGGCGCAAAGAAGTTTTGCGATAGCGGCCGAGGGGGGGATTCGTGGCCTGAAGAGTCGGAGGCCTGGTTGTCGGACGCGTAGTCGTCTTCATCAGACGATGATGCAGCCATTTTGAGGCGATCAGCAGCGTGTCAACTGCTTTATTCGTGATGCGCAACGCGAATAAGCTGGTGTGGTAATCGGAGAATAAATGTTTGACGGCGTCGATCAGGTGTGGCGTAGAGTATGGAGCTGGGCCGCCCCTGTTTACTACGCCGTGGGGGCTGGCCCGCCTGGAGATTTGGTGACAGCACGCACTAAGGTGATGGATACTCGCAGTACGTGTAAAAAAAAGACAGAAGTTTAACATTTATGGCCTCAATTAAAGATTTCATTTCTTCATAAATTAGTCTTCGTTATATATGCACGTTGTGATGTCCACACGCTAGAGATACAAGAAAATACACCCCATAGGCTGTCCATGTCTATCCGTCTATCGGACAACGGTACTCGCGTTCCCTCCCAGCGGCGCTTAGATTTGCCTGCTTTTGTTGTAGAGAATTTAAGCAGCTTTGGTGATAGATATGGCGACATGCCAACAATACCAATGGCTCCAAAGTCTGTTCCTTTGCGCCAGGCTGCGCTACAGGTTCAACATCCGGCCGAGGAACTGATGTGTCGAGGCCCTTGCCCTTATTCTTGCCATCTGGGTCTGGACGAGGGCTTCGCGACTGCTCTGCTCTCTGACCCTTCTTTTCCAGCTTTATAGACTCTTCAAGAGCTTGTTTAGCCTCCCATGCATCAAAGACAGCGCTTCCAGCAACACCAGGGCCCCAGACACGGCGACCACATGCTTCGCAAGTCGACCCACGGGGACGCCATCCTCTCTGTCTTAACTCTACTGCTTTCTTGACGTTGACAAACAAGTTTTGTCCCAAAAGTCTATTTGACAAACGTAAGATTGACTCTTCATAGGCATATGCCGAGAAAATGGAGGCTAAGACACCTCTGAGTTCAGCCAGGTTTGGTGATGACGCGGCTGCATCAGCCAAGAAGGCACGGAGGATTCGTAAGAATGACAAGTTGTTGCTGACGTTTGTGATACGTTTGTTTCCAGTTTTGGCGCCCATATGGCTCGATGTAGAAGTTAACAAGGATGTAAAAGTATGCTGTACCAGAGATCGAAGCATTGCGAGAAGCTTCTCTTCGTCAACATCTACCACCGCTGCCGCAGCTTGAATCGCTGGCGCCAGATTGCGGATTAGCCGAACAGCCGCCTTGATGACACCTAACCAGAGTTCTTCGCTGGATGATAATCTTTGCTCGTCGCCTTTTTGTTTCTTTTGCACAAGGGTTGTTCGGGTTGAAGATTCGCTTTGGTCCTTGCAGAGCCAGATTCCGACGTAAATGTACTTTTGTAATGCCCCGAGAATCTCCTCGGCCGATTCTTGGAGGTCAACGGCTCCATCACTCTGAGATTCAAGACCGTTGAGAAGACCATTTAGAGCCGATTCTAACGTATCCAAATGTTTGAGGAGACGCGTCATTGCTTCCTCGACTTGCCCATTGCGGGTCATCAAAACCACAGCAGCGTCGATGACACCAGTGGTTTCCATCGTGGGTAGGACCTGGTCCAGTCTGAGACCAACTGGCTGTGCCTTCTCAATGTAATCCGTAACGTGGAAAGGGTTGAAGCGACACATTAACTGAACATATTGCTCAACAAGTTGGCGCTCCGGCGTTGGCATGTCTTCTCTGTCTTTTTCGGGTTCTAGGAGAGCCCTGAGATAGACAAACTGCAGATCAGCAGTAGTTTCGACGCTCTGAAGTACATATTCGTGGAACTCAAGATCGTGGCTGGCGAATATATTCGCAAGTCTCGCTGCATCCAAAGCTAGTAATTCTATAGCGTGTCTGCGGACAGCATTATGAACGTCCTGGGTTTGAGAAGCATTCAGCTGGCTGCCGGATCGGAGACAATCATCGATGCAATCAAGAACCTGCTCCTGGTCTTTCGGATCCTCAAAGTAGACATCTATGAGTTGACCCCACTGCTTGTCGACTTGGAAGATGCGTTTCAAGATGCGGAAGAATCCCGCTTGCCGGAATAGACCCATGAACGTCGACATATCCGATGGTTGATAGACTGACAGTAGATATTCTGCACTAAGTTCCGCATCTTCGCGCAGATCCTCTCCTGGGTAGTTACAGAGTCCGGTCAATACCTTTGACAAAGTTGAACCAGAGAATAACAGGTATTGGGGAAATTTAGGCAAGTTGCGAGCGATAAACATGTCCAAGTAGATTGTATCGGAAGGTGCAAACTCTTCAGGATTCATGACGTCTAATAAGATAGACACAACATATTGCCTGTTGATAGACTGTCCAAATATTTGCTCTTCAGGCAGATCCACTGTTGATGCGTTGTTTTCCAGCTTATCTGCTGAGTCGTTTAAGAAGGGATCTTCGAATGCTTCATTCAGAGCGCTTAAAAAGCTAGGCGCATCATACTTGAGAATCAGTCGCAAGTAGGGAAAGGCCGGCTCGGAGTCTTCACCTGGCCTGGTTATAAACTCGTGGCCAGTTTCCTTTGGCCAAGTAATTGTCTGACCAGAGAAGAAGAACCAGTAAATTTCAGCCATTGCCTTGTTCGCCATGTCCACACTCAAGAGCTCGCCATTAGGGTATACGCGCCCAGTAAGAGTATATGAAATATAAGGGAATATTTTCACCGCATTGATGCTGTAGTAGTCATCACCAGCACTCTCTGCAGTGTATTCACCATCAGTCGTCATGGGGACCACCAGGTTGAGCAGGTCAATCAGCGGCGTAACATAGTCGTGAATTGCTCTGTTCCACACATAGATCAAAGCATCATACAGACTATGCTGCTTGCAGAGCGTGGTAATCTGATCAAGATCCAGTGTCGCGGTTTCCATATGGCAGATCATTTCTTCTAAACGGCTCTCCCATCCTTTAGAGACGTAATGAGAAACAAGACTCTTGACCACAATTGGTGGAACGATTGATATCTCGCCACTCAGGATATAAGGCTCCAAGGTCTCTAAGAAGATGCCGCGAAAATCTGCCTCCTCATACCATTCAAACATATCGTCTAGCAGAAAATCAGTGTTTCCAATGCTGAGACAAGCAGTAAAACAAGTTTCAGCAAGCTGCTTTAAATGGTCATTATCTGCAGATCTTGGTTGCTTTTGGCGTTGTGAGAAGGCATATTTGAGAGAGGCTCTAACAATTTCCATGACTTTATCTTGGACCATTGTATGTCGTGCACTCTGCTCCTCGGGTAGCCCAACCGTGAGCTTATCAGCATCTCCAGTATAATATGACGTTACCAATTGAATAGCCCCAAGATAGTCGCCGTGTTCCATCATAGCAATTAGACGATCAGCCCAGTTAGATAAAGCACCAAGAGACACCTCTTGGAATCCAAGGAGGAAGATTCGGCCTTTATATGCTTTAAAGCTCATGTGGAAAGCGTCAGCTACCACCCCGTGCATAGATTGATCCTCTTCGTCTAGTTGCTCGACCAAGTTATGAAGTTGCTTTGAATATAAATCGGCGTGGTAGATGTGTTTTTGTAGAAGATCAAAAGCCTCAGTCATACGCATGCTGCGGTCTTCCAATACTATTAGTCGCTGTGATATTGTCAAGACCGTTATGACGGATCGACTAATCCATTGAACGGCGGCAATGGGTTCTTCACATTGCCATCGGCTGCGGGCTTTGAATTTCAGTATAGGAGGCAGCTCTTGATCCTCCTCGGTGATTTCATCCACGTCTAAAACCGTGAGCACGTTCGACCAGCAGTAGACCAGCTTTGCTCTGGATACCTCGCCACCGGTCACGAAGTCGGCAACCTTGAGCTTTACAGCTGGGAACCAAGCTAAGCAACCGGTCATCGCGGTGTGGGCTGGGACATCCTTAGGCCGAGCAGACTTATGTTGTGTCTGAGCGACTGGGGTAGTAGAGACAATAACGAGTAAGTAAGGTGTCAGCATGGCCGTCAGTCCCATGCTATCCGTAGCTCGCTCTACGTTGCCGAGAGGTAGCGGCGCAAAGGCTAGTACGGTGCTGGGCTTGACAGACTTGCCGACAGGTTTGGGGGCGCCGGGATATCGTCCTAGAATTCTAGTCGTTTTGACTGTTCGCCCCAATGGCCCAGTACCTCTGGTTGCAAGGTGCGAAAAGGCCATGCCACGATCGTCCGCAGAAACGAGGGCCGTATGTCGTGTTCCCAAGAATCCCAAATGAACAACGGAAACATTGGGAACATGTCCATCAGACGTCCTACTATTTGCATCCACAGTTTCCAAAGGAGGGATGCTTAAAAACGGTCGAGCAGGTCTGGCAGTGTCCCACGTGAAAATGGCACCACTCTCATGACCGCCCGCAATGGTTGTATGATCAGCCGACACCGCGATAGACGTAACAGCACCAGATTCAACAGCTATTTCGAGTTAGTAAGAGTACATATGCGGGTCAAGTGGGAGGTTCTTACCTTTGGTGCCCGGCCCGATGATAATTTTGAGGTTCTGGCTGTAATCGAATACTAAGATAATGCCTTTCGATGTTCCCAAGACGATGGAAGCTGCTACAGCTAGACATGTTGGTGTTCCAAAGTTTCGTTTGCCTGCTTCAGAGAACGCTTGGCCATTGAGCTTTATCAGTCGAGTCCACCGGACCACCTCCCACGGAGGAGTTGACGATTCGCTGTCAGCCTGGTCAAATTGAATGTTCGAGCTAAGAGAAACATTTCGACTATGGCTAGGTCGTAAAACGGGTGATGAAGCTCGCAAGCTAGGTGTGCTTGAGGAGGAAGATATACGGGACTGAAATCGGCGATCGAATGGGCGGAAGGACGGAGTCGGGCTATTGAGGAAAGGTCGGGAAGCTACAGAGGGCAATACGCTGCTCCCGGGAGAAGATATACGAGATCCCTAGCATATGTTAGTCGAAATAATGGACCTTCCCTGGGCACCGAAGCTTACAATTATTGAAGGTGTCAAGTTGGCATCCGAATGAAGCGACCCAGCCGGGCTTGCCGTTCTGTCTGGTAGATCGTCTACCGAATTAATGTCGACAGACTCACTATCTGAGCTTTTCCGACCTCCTTCAGCTTCTGCATGGCCACGTATAGTAGGAACCACAGGGGCAAGCTCTGTGGCTGTTTCAGTGCCGTCCTGATCCTCCGTCACGATTTGCGGGACGTCGGTATCGGCAGCAGCCCTGTCTTCCAAGCTAGGGGAGGCAGGCGGGTGGCTAGGCTCGGCCGCCGCCGAGGTGTCTTCTGAATCTTTCATCGTCCGCTATGGTCCATGTCGTTCTATATGTGTATGTGCGATTGAATAGGTGTCGAGCTCGGTGGTTGGAACTTGGAAACGATGACGCAAGTGCGCCGAGAGTTGAGTGCTGCGTGAAGGAGAGAAACGAGCTAACAAAGGGTCTTTAGACTGAAAGAAACTTGTAAACAATCAATTCTAAACCAAAGGCCGCTGCAAAGTCGCTGCCTCCGAGACCGCTGTCTTCAAATAAGATGCTGTTGTGATGAGGCTGCGGGAGCAAGTGTGGCCAACGGTTTCGCGGCTGAAGTGTGTCGATCGCGCTGGCAGAAGCTCCCAGCTTACCCAGGTGCTACAGTACCTGCCCGAGGATTCTCCGCGTAGCGCCTCAATCCACTATAAACTACCCCCGCTAAATGCGCAAGTTGTGTCACTGGAGTTAGCAGACTCCCAGTCGGAACAAAGGATGCTGAAGCCGGTGCCGCTAGTAATGGTACAAATACTCATTTAACTATAAAAATTAATTCAAAATTTTATACTACAAAAGTTTTTAACTCCAACGCATCGTCGTTACACCACAACATGCCGCACCGCCCACTACTGACAAGTGACGTTAGCGGCCGATCCACCCGCTTTCCCCTGCACATTGTCGCATGCCGCTTTTCGCAACTTCACTCTGCAAAGCTCAACACACACACCACAGCCATTCAGCCCGCCATGTCCTCAATAGGGCCACAGATGCCGTCGCAGGCCACAAAGCGCAAACACACACCTGATATAGAAGAATACACCTCAGAAGCAGCACCCGTAGCATCGCCGAACAAGCAGGCGCGACACCACGGACCGACATTGCCTCCATCCACCACGAACAAGGACGAGATCGATCTTGACGACGATTCTTCAGACGATGGTTTTGGCCCTAGCGCACCGATAGGCACAGCGACAGTAGGACCCAGCCAGCCAGTTTCGGGCCCAACCTTACCACCCCAATCAAATAAAGACGAAATAGATCTAGACGATTCGGACTCAGATACTGGTCCTGCACCACAAGTCGCAGCCGTTGAACCGACTGCTGAAGACCCAGCCTCCTCTTCTGACTCTGATGACGATTACGGACCTGCGCTTCCCGGCGCCGGGCCACGCAGAGGACCAATTGGCCCTACTCTCCCATCGGCAGCCAACGACTCGACAGCGCCAACCCGCGATACATGGATGCTGGAACCACCCACTTCGTCCGGCTACTCGGAGCGAGATACCACCAAGATGCGTGCTAGAAAGTTCACATCGAAGCCCGGTCCCTCAGAAGGTGGTGTGAGCGCTATCTGGACAGAAACACCAGAAGAAAAGCTCAAGAGACTTCAAGACTCTGTGCTTGGCCGATCCAGCGAGCAGGCCAGCGGGTCGACCGTGTCCAAAAAGAGTAAAGACGAAGAAGTGAGAAATCGACGAATTGCAAAAAGCATTGAATCACAACGGGGCCAGAGTCTGTATCAAGAACATCAAGATAAAAACAAGGCCAGTGGGAAAGCCACCGACGAAGAAGATGATCCAAGCAAACGCGCATTTGATAGGGAAAAAGACATGGCGTTGGGTTCCAAGATTGGCTCATCCCAGCGTCAAGAGCTCATTAACAAGTCTGCCAATTTTGGAGGTAGATTCCAGAAAGGCTCGTACTTGTAAGAAGTGTCTGTACATTTATAGCACATGGGCGGTTATATCAGTAATATGGGTTCATCAAAACCAGGTAGTTTTATAAGGCTCCAAAGCTACGCAATAGTTGAGGATAGAACAAGCAGGATAGTGTAACAGTTGTCAAAAATATAGTCCAAACTCCATCGCTCCCAAAATAAATAAATAAACAGTAATCCCATATGCCGTTCCAAACCATTTATGATAACTTGTATTTCCTCCAAATACAACTAAGCATTGGTGGCGGTAGCGCGTGTTCCAGCCTCTAGCTGTGAAGGCGTTACCTGTTCTGTAGCAGGAGCAGCTGTGGAATCTTGCTGAGACTCAGCCGCTCTATTTCTTCTAAATACTCCACGAATACCAGAGAGCATTCCGCCCCGTTGGTGAGTCGGTTCGGGCGCTGCCACGGTAGTATCATCTGCCGTCTCGCCTGTAGCCTGTCTACGGCGCGACTGGCGAGCCAGAGGATTTGAGAGTTGGTGTCGGCTGCTATTGGAGCGGAACCAAGGGCTGTTTGCGAGAGTCATCCGCGAAGCATATCGAGGCTCCATGCCCGCGGTAGGAACAGTCTCGGCAGCAGGACGAGGCTTTGGGGTGTAGTAGTCAGCCTTGCAAAGAGGGCAGCAGGCTCGTCGACTAGTCAACCACGGGTCGACACAGCCAGCGTGGAATGCATGTCCACAAGTAAGGCCGCGGACATCATCGTCGTCTTCCAGAGTATCGATGCAGATGGCGCAGGTATCTCCAGGGGTTGCGAGCATCTCAGGTGGGAGGGCTGCATCAATATGTTCATCGTCTTCATCGTCATGGGCGGCATCAAATCGATTTTCGTGTACCTTAGATTCTTGAGAAGCAGATGTCTGGCCAACCTCGTCAGTAGCATCAGTCTTCTTCTCATCCGCCTTGGCCGCAGCCTGGGCTACAGTCGTAGTGGTATTTGCTTCAGCTGTTTCTTTCGCGGCAACAAGATCAACAATGCCTTCCTCATTGTGCAAACTGTTAGCGCGACTGTTGGGAACAGAGACACCACCAGATGTGGGAAGGCCTTCACGGGCGCGTTCAAGAACCCAGGTTTTGTACTTCATCATGGGGAACTTTTCGTTCACTTCGTCCATGCTCATCAGCTTCTTCTCACGTCGTCTTCGTGGTCTAGGCATATTCTCGAGAGGTAAAGGCTCGCCGTCTTCGCCAGCAAGACGGGCTCGGTTACGAGCATTATATCGGAAGCAGTACTTTACACCGACAATAATCCTACCAGCAAAGTCAGTTAAAAAATTCCATGAGATTCTTGCTTTGAGGGAATACGAACCAAAGATTGGTAAAGACGACGCCGAAACCCAGAGCGACGAAGAAAAGTAGCGGCGAGTTACCACTGCCAGGATTGCTGCTAGGATCGGTTGGTGTTGTCGATGGCGCGGTTGAGACGTTAGATGGTACAACAGCAGGGACGGAACTCGACGGCGGTACAGTTGTCGATGCTGGCGCTGATGATGCCGGAGCAGGAGCAGATCCCGAGGGACTAATAGAGGCTGGAGGAGCAGGCGCGCTCGCACCAGGAACCGACGTTTGGGCCCAGGCTTGAAGTGCCACGGCGGCCATCAGGCCCCATCTCTTACAAGAGACCATATTGTGTATATATCAGAGAAGCCTGATTAGGAAACCAATAGACTTCCTTATTGTATGGTCGAAGATATCAAATCGATGTCACGCAGAGCAGCAAAGCTGACAGCATGGAGCGAGGATTGGACCGGGGGGTAAGGCAACGCTGGTGTAATGCCTAGGGATTACTACAATAAAATGTGTAATCGAGTCGTCTTCACGACGATAATTTAGTCGCAGCTACCGTCGAATCGCAGTGCTGAACAAGACTGGCAAGATTGAACAGCGTCGGTACGGTCGGAGATGGGCGACAGAGCAACCAGGAGCCGGGTCGAGGATGAGGCGAGGCTCCAGGGCGAAGAGAGATAAAAAATGACAGCCGTGGGCGCAAAGGAGGAAAATATACAGAACCCGATGGCCCAGGAGATGTTGGAGGCAATAGCACGATTGGGCAGTAGATGCGTGCTGAGCGGTTTTTGGTGCCGTTGTCGTCGTTTGTTGAAGTTGTAAAGGGAAGGAATGCAGATGGCGGAGGGTGGGAAAAGAGGCGGGCGGCAAGGACGGCGGCCGCTGGCTGGCGGGTGTCTGTGACCTGGCACAACTGGAGCAGCCACCCACCTGCGCTGCAGCCCAGAGCCCAGCCCAGCCTAGCCGGGGCCAGCGCTAGACGGCTGCGCACTGTGCTTCTGGGGGGGACGGCGCCCCAGTTTGGCTTAGTGCGCTTGGGAGCATCAGAGACAAGCTGGGCCACCCCTCTCGCCTGTGAACTAGGGGAAGGGCGGGCTGTATGCTACGGGAGGAGTAGTACCAACGACTGAGTACAATGCTAGTCAGTTACAGTGGTAGATGTCAGCCCAGATTTTTGGCATTGTGCTAGCACCAAGCTGCGGCGACGATATGCGTGTCCGCTGCTGCTGGTGCTGCCCCTGTCTGTGCTGCGAGCGCAGGGACACACATCATGAATCCTATGTCTATTGATTGCATTGTTTTCCAATTTTCAAATGCTGACCTCTTTTTCTTTTTTGTTTGTTTCGCTGCCCTTGAGTCCGTCCCGCATCATTTCAAATACACGAGAGACATGTCCCTGGTAGAAAAGAGGATACAAGCGCCAGCCCCAAACGCACAGCGCTTGGCTTGTGCTTTTTTGGCGGCGGAGTTGCACCGTGTCGTGGCCTATTGCACCGTGCATTGCTAATGGTATGGTAGCGTCATGAACAAAGTGGTGACGAGAGAATAAGACGTCCCAGGAAAACCAAACTAGGAGGGTCTGAGAAACTGGAATACATGAAATAGGCATGGATTCATTCGCTACAGAACAGAAAATCAAAAGACAGCACAGCCTGGTACTCCCTGTTTGCCAGCGCCTGATGATTTGAAAGGCGGCGCGTGCAATTAAAGCCCTCCCATTCGCAGGACATGATTGGCGCGCGAATCGTATAGTTGTTTCGTCACGCAAATATCTCATCACTTCGTCTGCTCCAATCGTCCTTACCCATGTAACTGGGTAGCCAACTTGGCTGAAAGGTTGTTCAATTGACTTTTGGTAGCATGTAGTATACACATGCCGCAACAGCACAAAGGCAGACGTCTTGTTTCCTCGGCGCATAATGACAGAGCTATTTTGGTCTGGCGTGCCGAGAGGCAGCCGTTACAGAAGTGAAAGACGTACGATATACACCATTACATGTAAATAGCCGGGACAAGCCTTGCTTGTGCCAAACCAACTGCTAAAGCACAGCCCTCTTGCCTGCTTTGCAAACACCAACGCGTGTCATTAGATGCACTCTTCCGTTGCAAAGGTGGCATGGCTTGATTCACCAGTTGACGCAGGTACCCCGTTGACTGTTGTCGTTGCTGTCTCCCATTAGTTCGTATTTGCCAGCGACCCTAGTACACGGCATCCATCAAAGCGAAACATGTCCGCGGTGATTTGTCAGGTAACGTAGTTAGAAGAAATCCTCTATCTCTCATGGTTCTACTCGTTTGATCTCAGGGAAGATTTTCAGATATCACAGGTTCCAAATATTCACTCGCCGGTAATCGTCGACGGCGGCGGCGCCCAAAAAAAGACGTACTCTTCTTGCGATTTGTCAAGAGTCCTACCGTTGCGCTCACCCACCCGCCACCAGAGCCCCAGAGTGGATACAGCGACATGGGCGACCCGCGTAGAGTGGCAGCTGCTCACGATTCTCCACGCTGCGAGTCGTGGAGGTCCGACGATCGGTACCTAATTCACCTTGACCCGGCTTGAAGATTGACAGGCCAGACAACTTGAAGCGAAAACAAGAAATGCATGTCGTCATGAGATGGGATAGCACATAAACATACGGATCACGGCACAATGCACCTCACTTGCGCTGACAGAGCCCATCAGACGGAGAAATTTGACAAGACGGATATCGCGGCCCCGTACGTTGAGCCTTTTCCTCTTGCCGACGATTCCGCTAGTTCCCTCTAGACCGTGTAATCGCTCAGCAAACTTCTTACACTGCCCCCAACTATTAATACCTACAATGTGGGCAAAAGAGGGAAAAATGGTGATGCGGAGAATCATCCTGCCGGTCTTGGCCACCGGGCTCAGCTGCGAATGCCCCACGAAGACTTTGGAATCCGCGGGGTCAGCCAACGACCAAGTACCTGAACAAAAACTACAGACGTCCTTCCTCCTACGGTAGAATGCAGCAGTTGCGGCGCCTTGCGCCACCACATGCTAACCGGCGCCATGGCTATCCGTCGTTCTTGTTCTTTGGGGCCTCGCATCGAAAAGCGGTGCACCGGCAGCAGAGGCAAAGATAGAACGGCGAGTTCCTTGAATGGCTGCGTCGCAATTTATTACCCGGGCAGGTGTAGACGCGGCTTTGGGTCTTCGGGGGCATAGCATAGTCGAAACTTTGACCTAGCGCAATGCCACGTTTTACGCCAATGGGCCAATGGGCCACTGAGCTACATAGTAACGGTTTGACGGTGTTTGGAGCTCGGATAGATGAGCGCGCGGTGCGGAGACAAAGTCTCTCGGGAGTAGCAGACCAGGCTGTGGTGGTTTGGAGTTGAGGGGGTGGGTGGATGGCAGCCAATGTCTTGCAAGCAGTGGCATCCAGGTGAAACTGATGATGTCCTCCTCCTGCTTCTTCTGCTTCTTTTCTCGGCAGTCGGACGCCATGGGAGTTTGTTGTCACCCTGCTAGCAAAGCAGACTGACCTGGGTGCTGTTCCCGTGGCATGGGCTGTGTCGTGAATCTGTGGCCATCTCGCCCATAATCGTCCGCCTAGTCTGCTTTCGTTCAGGTCATGAATGGCTTGGCTGCTGCTTCTGGGCGCCATGTCGACCGGGGTGTAGGGTCTTGGGCGTCTTAACTGGTGGTGGCTCAGCAAGGGTAAAGCTTGTCATGGGCCAGCGGATGCGACACTGTGCGCCTTCGCTCTCTGCACTGTGGGTTAGCGCCGATGACAGCGCAGGCGACGGGAATGACAGTTTGCTAGCCACACGAATTTAATTTTTGCAATAAAAGATACATTTCATGTTTAATTCCATTGTGCAGTCAAGTATCTTGTTATTTCAATAGACTTCATCTTGTACACCCTCTGTAAGTCACTGTGAGAGGAGAATGGATTACCAATCGCCTCACAAAATGTCTTCTATTTATAAACAACTCTGCACTGTACAACAGGAGTGTCGTGCAATTGTGAAACTTGGTGTGTTTGCCGCTCCAAGACAGGCACATGGGCAAAATTTGAGACACGTAAGGAAACACAATAGAAGCAGGGAGAAAAAATAATTTCCTGGCTTCGTCACCATTCAGAGAAGCATAAAAAATTATGGCACTGGACAAGGGCATATGGGAAATTTCGTTGCCGATATGCGCGATTGCCCAGCCTCCCCGCCTCCCACTTGTAGTGCTACTCTTGCGGGTATATCTACACGCAAAGAGACAACACCCGTGGCCCTATCTCGCCGGTGCGGGGATACCTTCTGCAGAATGAGCTTAGTGCGCTTTGTAATGATACCTGAGCCGGGAGGTACTATCTATGTTAGCCCAGCACTTGATAGCGCAGCCAAGAGAAAGAGGCTTGGGGATTAGAGTTTGTGAAGCTGTCAAGCTAATGGGTTGAGGCGGATGGCGCAACGGGCACGTGTGCCCTATCGTCTGGGTGAATGTGAAAATGTACCCATCATTCGGAAGTGACGGAGAACAGTTACCATTGCTGCAAAAGAGTCAATTCAGTCAGTCTGTCGCAGACGAGTCGATGTTTGTAGCGTTGCAGTCGGGTACCGCAGAGGTAAACGCTAAGCCAGCTTAGTTAGTTCGCATCTGTGGTTGATGGAGGGGGGTCAGTCACTTGTACCGCCATACTTGGCATATACGTATCAGTCTATAGTACTGTGTGCAGTACAATACTGAATGCGGGCGCTGTAAATTCTCCGTTTGCCAAGTGGTTATCAAACCTTCTAGGCTTCGTCCCTTGTCTACTGCGGCCGACTGTCTGCACGCATTACGCAGACATCGCCGCCTGTCCCCCTCATACTATAAACTCATCGTTTCTTTTTTGTCCACTTCCTGTAGTCCGCAGCCATCTCACGAGTGCATTAAATCCCGAGCCGGGCAACACCACATCATGCAATCACACCCTTCCCGCCGCTGCCGCACCACCTTGCAACCGTTTTTAACCTGCTCCGGCGATAGCGTGCCCCCCATCAACATGCCCGTGCTGCACCGATCGACCCCACCTCTACCACGCCAGCCAACCCACCCACCTGCGCCGTAGCCACGGCTGACCTCAACCGCAAAACCGGCACAGCCAGCAACAGAAGCAGTAAGCAGCCGAGCTCTCATCTCAATAGCGCATCATGGCTCCTACAGTACTTCCCGAATCGGGAAATCCTTTGTAAGTCTCTCATTTTTTACCATTGCCATATCTACACAACTGTGCTAATGTGGTTGTAGAACCTTTTTCGACATCACGCTTGGAGGTAGGCACCTATCAACAAAGGCCCATATCAAACACAAAGCATACTAACACACGGCAGGAGAACCTCTTGGCCGCATCACATTTGAACTCTTCAAAGATGTAACACCCAAGACAGCCGAAAATTTCCGCCAGTTCTGCACTGGCGAGACCAAAGACTCAGCTGGCCGTCCTCAGGGCTACAAGGGCTCCAAGTTCCATCGAATTGTACGTCCACACTGCTTCAAGCCACTGCAAACCCTTCGTCTAACGCGCTTATAGATTCCCAATTTTATGTGTCAGGGAGGCGACTTCTTGCAGGGCGATGGCACTGGCTCTACCTGTATCTACGGACTCAAGGCTTTTGAAGATGAAAACTTCAAGCTGAAGCATGAGCAACCTGGATTGCTCTCCATGGCCAACGCCGGCCCCAACACCAACGGCTGCCAGTTCTTCATTACCACAGTTCCCACTCCCTTCTTAGACAACAAACATGTTGTCTTTGGCAAAGTTGTTGACGGTATGGACGTGGTGAAGAAGATGGAGGCAACCAAGACTGGCTACCGTGGCAAGGATGTGCCCAACATGGATGTGGTTATTGCCCAGTGTGGTGAAATGTAAAACAAAAGGGGAGACATGAGACGCAAAATACATATAGTTAACGACAATACTTTAAATGAGAAACTATATACCCCATCCATCGCAGCCACCAAACGAGTGCCGTTGACCTTGTTGGAAGATGAAAAATGGGCACAGTATATACTCTAAAATAACACAAAAGAAGGAGATACTAGACTATAAAACAGGAAATAAATCGTGTATAGTTAAGCATGATAAACAGAACTTAACAGTGGGGTATGCATGCATGTGCTGTTACTTCCAGAGCACCCTTACAATGCACGAGCAATCCTCCAGCGACGGCGACGAACAGCTGTGGGAACCGGAGCAATGTAGACGCCACCTGAAGCAGCAGGAAGTTCGTCATTTACACTTGTAGTGGGTGAAGCTGGTTGGGAGGTTTGGCTTGTCAGCTGCGGAGGTTGATACCCATTGGTAGGCTGTGACTGTATGTGGGACGTGACTGTCTCACGCAGTATGGACGTGTCCGCCGGCATAGAGAGATAAACGGTCTCTGTTTTCGTAACGGCAGGGGGAGCAACGGTGACAGTCTTTGTAACAGTAATAGGGCTTTGTGTGGCGCCAATTGGTGCATCTGTTGGGGCTGTCGAAGCCGACGATTCCACTGGGTTGTTGTCACCGTTCGAGGGATTCTTTGCAGCACCGTTGGCGTCAATGTTGACTTGGTAGTTGCTTTTCATTTGGCTCTCAATAGCCATAGAATATATGTTCTGTTTTGCAACAAATGACTGACCAGCAGCCTTGAGCTTCGAGCCACTAAGAGCAGGCGACGTGATCTTGATGTCGATGGTGCTGGCATAGCTTTCATTGCGTGCAATAGCAGCCATGGTGAACCCGTGAGGATCTTTTTCTCCCCTCATAAAGGTTCCAGCCCATGGGTAAATGCCGTTCTTTGTAGCGTCCATGTTGATTGCCTTTGCGTTGAGATCGGGCCAATCCCAGTACCAGTAGATGGTGTAGATTGATCCAGGTGCGAGGTCCGATGGCAGCTTCACATCTGATTGGCAGATAAGCTCTCGACCATGCTGAGCACCGTCACTAGCAAGCTTCTGGGCACGAGACGTACTAATCTGCCCGCTGTTTGGCTGATAGCAATTGCCGTCATCGTAGTTGCGAGTGGCAAGCAACACGCCCCGTTTGTCGCCGCCGGTGCCATCCCTGTTCCAGCGAAGATGAACATCAAACAGTTTCTCTTGAGCGTTAGGTTTGGATGTACCATAGAAGAAAATGGTACCGCGGTTATGCGGTTTCAGAGGCTGGTTCTGAGGGAGCGAGGTGTGGCCGTTCTCCATGTGAAGGATAGCAATATGATCGCCAGCGCTGGCCTGCAGCATCGGCTGGGAAGGGTTCGCCTGAAATGGATACTTGTTGAGAATCTCATCTCCGCTGTACGCTGATTGGCCTGAGAGAGGTAGCAACCACTGTGGTATCTTGTCGCCCCAGCCAGCCGTGGTTCGAGGAACCCAGCCTCGAGCATAGCCCAAAGGGCCAACCATGGTGCCATTTGGGGCAATCTTTTGTACTTGTTCTACCCATGAATGAGCAGAAGTAGAGCTGGTGAGTGCCAGCACTCCTGCCAGGGTGAAAGTCGATTTCATTGTGGAGAAGAAATGGTGTGGTTGGAGTGTGTCGTCGATTCGTTTGAAAAGATCAGTGTATATTTCGATGTTGAGAAATTCAATTTTAAGCAGTTCTTTGTAGTTTTAGTTTTTTGGAAGAGCTTGTGGTCGCGTATTCAATTAAAGAAGCGCTGTTGAAGTGTAAGTGAAGTGAGGGTGAGTAGTGGATAAGCGTGGATCCAGGTGATGAAAGCTGAGTTGTATTCGAGTTTGTACTATTCGAGTTTAGGATTCGACATAAGAGTAGAGGTGGAAGAGGATTGAAGATTTGGTCCGAAGGAAAAAGGAAGAACCAAGAGTCGACGAACAGGAGTCGAGGCCGAGCCAAGACGGGACACGGCACCAACAGGCACCAGGGAACAGAGTGATGACGAGGATGAAAGAAAGAAAAATTCTCTCAGAGAGACCGTAAGAACTATCTTTGGAATCCTTCGCTAAGAAACACTGGGCGGCTGTACTGTTCTACAGCAGAACATGTGGTCTGTGGCGGCCCATGGCACAGGAGAGGAACTACAGGCGACCGGCAGGCCATCTTGAAACGTCGCCGGCCATGCAAGGTAGTGAAAGAACGAAGAACAATGGCCGAGAACACCCTCGTATTCTGTTCGTCCATTGTTCTTCTGGGCGGCTATTCCCGCACAACCAACCCTTTGTTGTAGGCACCCCTGCTCATACAAACAAAATCGCTGCAGCCAAACGAAGCGTTCAGCGGCTACTGAGGCGTGTCGTGCATAGTGGAGCTACACGGTGGCAGACGCTCTCAGCCAATCAAGACCTGGCACCCGGCCCAAGTAGGACACCCAAAATCAATGGCGGCCATTTCATTTGACATTTTCTCCTTTCTTTTTCCAGGTTATTCAGCAGTGGATTATATTGGGGGCCGCATGGATTGGGCCGGCGATGATATTAATCTGTTACAGAACCGGTCTCGTAGCGGGCGAGTGACTGGTTGGCGATGCTCGCTGAAGCTGGGCTCCTTGCACTGCCCTGTCAGAGGGGCTCGTTGTGGTCGGTGGGTGCTCTGTGAGGCCAGAATTATTGAAAATCTTGGAATTCTCTTGTGTGACTATTGATTTATTTGATTTAATTGCCTGTTTTGATATTTTCCAAGTTTTTATTGTCATGGTGAATAGGTTGTAGCTCCTATTGAGAGCAAACAGACAGAGTCGCCACCTGGCGGCTGGCAGCTGGTAAGCGCTTACACGCAGCTGGCAAAATAAAATGAGGTGCGGCCGGTGTAACCCGCGTTATGATAATGGAAAGCTCCAGAACATATAATTTCAATAGTTATAGATGTTACAAATGAAAATAGATACTTTTCTTTACGAAAACTTTGAACGCTGTGGCTATCACAGGCCATCTGGGCTGCCTTCACACCTGGAACCACTGGGTAAGCATCAGCATACACGTACACAGAGGTCTACCACAGTAACTCTCAAGGTCATGTAATCTAAGCCGATATTATACCATCCCGTTGGATAGCCGCGCAACGGAAAACAGTATCCCAATACCTACCAAATAGGTAACGCTACGGTTCCGTGGTTCGCGGCAGCCTGTCCGCCATCACTCTTACAACCTCTACACCCTCAGCATCAAACTCAATTCAGTACCCATATCGGCAGTTGACGGTGGATGTGTTCCCTTAAACCTCTCACATCTCACTTTTTCTGCAACCCATTTAAGTAGGGAAGCCATACGAAAGCCTCACCCCGCCTCAGCTAAAGTCCGGCTGAAGCACGGGCACCCGGCTGCTACCCACCGGCCGGTACAGATATATCAGGCGGGGTTCGTTGAGATACGAACTGGGACACTAAACTCAACTCGGAACGGTACATTAGATTTTGGCGTTGCTCTCCGTGGAACCTGGTCCGTGGTTGTTGAGGTATAGAGTTTACACACAACCTAATCCGGAAAGCCCCCCATGAAACAGGCATCATCGGCCAAGTTCAACAATTGTAGAGTTTTCGCAAAAGTCTAAAAGCAACTTGAATCTTGGTAAATGGCGCATCGCTACGGATACCACTTGTGTATGGTTCAGTGTCTCACAATTTCTGCTCGCCGGCTTACGCCCTCCCCATCCCTGGTCCCTTCTCGCCACTAGCCTACCCGCCCTTGCGCCGTCCCTCCGTCTGAGGGCAAAAGACTAACTAAAAGTTAGATCCTGCTGAAGAGACACTATCTTAGTTAGTCTCCTGTCGGCGCAATGTCTTAGTCCTCCTATTCGCCAGGGCGTGGGCCCTTGATGTCTCCTTCGTGCATGTAGATGCGCCGCTTGTCTCGCCGCCTTTACGCCATTCGGAGGCAAAGAGTATGCAAGTGTCGATTTTTTACCGTTCTTTTGGTTAGAGCGGTTCGTTCATATGCAGGCAGTTCGCTTAATGATCTCAAAAAAGATTGGAAATGTGATAAGTCATGTGGTATTATTATATCCTCGACGCCAGTGTAAGAGAAGAAAAAAATAGCTACTTTGAAGCTCGCAACCGTAACCTTAGACTCCGAATGCGCCTTCAGGAAGAAAAAACAAGTAAAAATTAAACCCGGATAACAGAGTCATGTCGTATCCCCTCGACAATGGTCCCAAGTCTCTGCTTGAGTCGTCATAAGATAATATCGTGAAAAAGAAAAATATCAATAACTCCAAACACCATTTCATCTATTCCGTACAAATCGTAGATCACGTTGTACTCCGTTTACCATCCGGTAGACACAGGTGCGTGTTCCATGCCTTCGGCTCTTCGTCTCTTCATTGGCCGGGGGCTGCCTCCTCGCTCCGGAGGGATAGATGGCGCAGCCTGGGCTCCAGTGGTGGCGGACATGTTCCACTGGGGTGTAGTCCACATGTTGGTGTGGTCATTGGTTTCAATCTTTGACGGTGCCCCCCATTCGGCAGAGGCACCAGTTGATGCTGCTGGGCCGGTCCAGCCGTCCAGAGCAGACATGTCCCAACCAGTGGGCAAGTTGGCATCGCATGGGGAATTGTCGTAGACATTCGTGTTGGGCATATCAAGCGATGCGGATACAGCGTTGTAAACACCAACAGGTGCGGAGATTGGCTTGACATCAGCAAAGGTGGTTTGGTCAAAGTATGTCTGGCCCGTAGCGGCGCTCATAGAGCTGTGGCGATCCGAAGGGCCGGAAATGCTTCCTGTAGCGGACAAGAAGCTTACTGCACTGTTGGGGCCCATGGCTGAATCAAAGCTTCCATGAGAGTATGGAGTTTGAATAGTAGCTGAGGGTGGTGGAGTGGCCAGGCCGTTTGAAAACGAGTCAAAAAGAAGACTGTTTCCAGGGGTCTGCAGTGTCGGAACATGAGGCATACCGTGGCCAGCCATGCCAGCAGAGTTGTCCCATGCTGAGTTGAATGTCTCATTCATGGCGGCAGTCAAGTGCTGGTTAACAGTGGGGGTAGGAGACATAATAGCATCCCGCGTAACGTTGGTTGGGGGGTAGACCAAAGCCTTCTGCTGGTGGTAGCGAGACATGGGGTCGTTGATAGTCAGCCAGCGCCACGAGGTGCCGGCAGGCTTGAAGACGGGCTCGTACTTGTACCACTGGTTAGTGGTGTTGAAGCGCCAGAAGATAATGGATTGGCGAGTCCATTGAGCAGAGTCAGGTGCCTTAGACCAAAGCTCCTGGTACATGGCAACCTTGCAGATGAGATCGCTACCAGTAGGCTCGCGACGCGCCCAAGAGGCAGCATCACCTTCGTCTTCCGATCGCTTGCGCTTGCTTCCAGCACGGTCCTTGCCATCGCCGTTGGCGTATTTCTGGCGCTTCTCCTTGCAGCGCTGGTGCTCGACATCGGGGTACTGCACAGCCATGCTCAAGATGCTGGCCCATTCCACAGCAGGGAACGGAACATGAATCTCCTGGCGAGGACGCATGTGGCACTCGCAGTCAGGTTTAGAGTCGCTGCAGCCGCGGCGGTGAATGCCACTCTCATTGGTGTAAACCTCATCGTGAGCCTCATCGTTGTGGAGTTCGTTGGGGCGAGTGAGGCGAGTGACACACTTCCACTTGTGGTTCTGAAGGCTGGGGTGGGCAATAGTAACCTCAACGAAGCCAGTGAGCTCGGAACCAGAGGGGAACTTGGCATGCTCGTGCAAGTCCAAAGTAGCGCACATCTCAAGAAGCAGGCACTCCTCATCGCGAGCAGGCAGATCCAGAGTATCGTACATAGCCGGCGCATCCTTCTGCCAGCGGCGAGTAACAGACTTGGCGCAAGCCGAAGTAACGCGGTCAAGCGACCGGGTGTACTCGTGGAGCAAAACGTCCTTGCCAAGAACATTGGGGCTGTCGTCACAGTTGTTGTACTTGTTCAAGTGAGGGAACGAGCTGAGATCAAGAGGCGCGTCGTTAGCATCGTAGGCAATCTCATCGCGGATCTTGATATCTGAAGACGAAACAAAGATTTCGGCGGTCTTGGGGCGGACAGTTATGTACTGCTGGAGAGTAAGGAGCTGGGAGAAGTAAGGGTAGTTGGGCTTGACCTCAGGAACGCGTCCTTCCGCGAGAGCGGTCAAGACGGGGTTTGACTTGAAGGACTCCTGCTCTTCTTCATCGTAGTAGTCTTCTGAGTTTGTAGATCCGGGTTCCTTCTTCTCCTCCGATGGGAAGAGGAAGTGGAAGCAGCGCAAGTCTTCAAAGAACTTCTTGACAACCTGCATATGGCTGGACACCTGCTTGCGACCCATCTGCTCAATACTGTCGTTGGAGTTGTCGATGCGGAAAATTTCCTTGCTGCCAAGAATAGAAACACACAGCGTAAAGATGTACTCGCTGATCAGCATGTTGCGGCCATGAAGCTTGCCGCCCATAGAGAACTTTCTGCGTCCCATATGAGGCATGAGCAGAACAGCTATTGCAAAAAGAAGTCAGCCACGGTACTCACACAACCATAGGCAGCGCATTGGACACTTACAGTCGACGAAGGCATCTTCAAGCTCAGAGCGGCGCCAGACGCCACCCTTGTCCTTTTGTGTATCTTTGTGTGCTTGTCTATTGCGGTATTGGCGGAAAGCAGGCCAAAAGTAGAGAGGGTTAATATCGGCGCGAGGCTTGCGCTGCTGAAATCTGGGCTGTTGACGGGGAGTAGGCACACGGTAAAGGGACTCAAAGGACTGAGAAGGCACCATAGGTGCCTGCATGCTGGTCTGCATAGACGGCGACAAGACTACCTGGTTCTGGTAGCAAGAGACGATGCCGTTGAAGTTTGGGGCCTGGGCATTGCCAGTTGCCTCCCGCAGGGGAGGCCGTGTGCCCTGTACGCTTGATCTTCTGCTATCAACGTAGTCTGGAGCAGGCGAGTATCTTTGGGAGGATAGGACAGGTCTGGGCTGGTAGAGTGACGACATGGTGAGCGGCCGCTAGGCACTGAGCTTACAAAGGAATGTCGGGGTGAGGAAGTGCTCTGCTCACAAAGAACAAGACTGGCTCAGCACAAATGCCGTTGAGCAAGCTTCGGGTCTAGCAAGAGTCAGAGAAGAAAGGTGAGGAAGAAGAGGATGAGAAATGCTGAGAGGAATTTTGGATGTGGAATGGTGGGATAGATGTATGCTTCTCGACAGGCACCAAAATGACTGGAACGCAAGACCCGTAACAAGGAGAAGTTAAAAGGCATATATATCCAAGACTTTGGATGCAGACAAACAGTGGACCATATTGACAAAGGCCCAAGGGTGAAGGAAGCTAGCGTATCCAAGGGCCATCGAGGCTGTCGACACACCCTTGGCGGGCAGCGCGCCCCCCTCCTCGGGGTCGAGACAAGCAGGAGAAAGTATCTGTAGCGATGGGTTCATCGGGTCAGAGACATCTCCAGCAAACCCGGGATGGTCGTCTGCCCCCACCAACCATTGGAGGGGCGGCTAGTCTCTATGGGGGAGAGACGAGGAGGAGGGTGTCTCTGGGCAGCCCAATTGACGCAAACGCCCCGGCCAAAGGCTATCCGTCCCAACGCTCTCGCGGTCGTTTCTGCAAGAAGGGAGGAGCCTTTCCGCGCTGTCGTTTTTGCTGTGGGCCTTGTTCACACCATCGTGCTCTGACAGATTCGCATCGGGTGCCCGCGCTGGTATGCATATGAGATTATCTTCAGACACTGGCTGTTGTTGTCGCCTGCGCATTTTGGCCGAATTGTGCTCATGCGAATGTTTTTTCGGTGCTTAGCCTCTTTTCTCGGCCCATTGTGACGCGTCGTTGGTGTTTCTCCTACACGCGTGGTCAAGCAAAGAATAGTGTTGTAGGCAGAGAGTGTGTGTGGTGTGTGTGCCGCGTGCTGAGGCCGTCGCCACCACCCTTCCCAAGGGAGGCAAATTTCACAGGGAACCAAAATGGCAGCACCACACATACATTACGCTATTCACGCGGGACGATGCAATAATAGTTTGTACAGAGGGCAATCGCAAAAGGGCGATTGGTAAATAATTGAGTTTCAATACCCTCATTCCTCCATCTCCTCGTCTTCGTTGCCAATATTTACTCTCTTTCTCCCTCCTCCAGTTAATTGCTGAAGGGCTACCTTATGTGCCTGACCTCCCACCTTGCGCTGCATCTTCTCAATCTCCTCTTCAGCGTCCAGTGCCTCCGCCTCAGCAAAGTCCAAGACCAGGCGTCGACCCAGTAAGTGGGTGTCTTTAAGTGCATTGAGCGCATTCTCTGCCTCACGCGGCGTTACAAAGTCGGCAAATGCAAAGCCTCTAGAAGTAAAGTCCGCCTTCTTAGGCAGTCTGACAGATCGTAATTGACCATAGGTACTGAACAAAGTTCGAATGTCTTTCTTGGTGGCTTGGAACGGCAGGTTCTTGACCACAATCTTGGTGCGCTGGGCTGCAGCCTTCTTTGCCTGGTCTTCTTTCCGTCGTTCTTCGGCGGCATCCTGGCCTCTGTGCGAAGCCTTTACGGTGAGCGTGTGATTCTCCAAAACGTAGCCATCCATAACTTTAAGCGCAGCCTGAGCCTGGGCCTTGGAGCGAAACTCAGCAAAGCCAAAGCCCATGCTAAGCGTTTGTCCAGGCTTTTTCGGGTCCATCTTCGTCTTAACTCGAGCGGAGAGGAACCCGTCCAGCGACTGAAAAGCTTCGGCTAGCTTACTAGTCGTTGTGGTGAAGTTTAAATTGCGGATAAACAGCGACGTCGTCTCCACCTCTTCTTCCGCCTTATCACCGCTGGACAGCAGGTCGTTCACGTTAAGCTTTTGGTTCGCTGCCTTTTGTTCCGCCGGCAAATTCACCTGCGTGGCATGCTCCCCTATGAACAGGTCCTTAGGTGCCTTTTCCAGAAACAAGACGCTATCCTTGATTCGTCTGTAGGAAAGACTACCAAACGCCGCCTTGGCATGGTTTGCTTGGGCGAATTGCACAATTGCAATAGTACCCGTGGGGGGCATCAGAACCTTGAGCACTTGGCCAAACTCCTCAAACAGTTTGCGGAGTTCCTCCAAGGTGGTGCCATATGGAAAGTTTTTGACAAGGATGGCCGTATCGCCACGCTTAGTAGACTTGAATGCGCCTAGATCCACACCATTGGCTACGAAGAAGGCCTTCGTTTCCTGGATGACTGTTGTTTCCGCAATGGCCTGTTTGACGGCGGCGTCGGCCGACGTGGGGTCCAGCAGCTCGGATTTTGAAACACCTAGTCGGCTGGCCACAGAGGCGTTGACAGCGTCCTGGTTCATAAAGAGAGAATTCCAGTTAAACGTGGTTGACGCAGCCTCCTTCTTCTTTCGAATCAGGTTCTGCTTTTTCAATGGGAGATTTGACATTCCAAATTCATCAATCCCATGGTCCCTTTTAGCATCCGCTGGAATGATATGCAGCAGCCGCCCCTGAAACGTGGTGCCATCCATGGATTGGAATGCGGCAACCGCGTCAGATGAGTCTGTGAATAACACCAAGGCGAAGCCTTTTTTGGTTCCAGCCGCTGTCACTGGTAAATGAACCTATTCTTGTCAGCTAGGAATTCAAGTCGACATTGTATGCAATTGGGACAATGGCATCATAATTAGACAATCAGGCAATCTACTGTCAGAAACTCGAGGCATCTACTAAAATTCTCGCCCAGGGTTCACATCAACTGCTCTAAGGCATAAGCTGTCCCTATCTGGGGTTCATCATGTTGACAATGCCTGACTGTCTTCATCGCGACGCGGGACGCGATGATCTAGGAGGGGTGAAGGAAAGGGAATACACGAAACGTACCTCTTCGACAGTGCCGAACTTTTCAAAACAGTCACGGAGATCATCCTCCGTTGCCGAGTAGGCGAGGTTACGCACAAATAGCCTAGCCGTTCGAGAGATTGCCTCAACAGGAGACTCTTTCTCTTTGCCGGCTGCAGGGGGCTGGGGTGTGTCAGAAGACTCTGCCTCAGCCACGACATGGTGTGTTGGTAGTACATCTGCAGCAGTTCCAGCCTGTTGGGTAAGGCCACCCTTTGCATCGGAGGATGGCTGAGATTTGGGCAAATCGTCGGGATCAACCAGGTCAAGGAGACGGTTCGTCCTCGATCGCAACCAATCATCATCGGTAGCATCCTTGTCGGCCACATTCGGTTCTTCTGCGCTACCAAGGGCGGCGTCGTTCGGAGCATCTCCAGTTTCCATGGTTGCATCCTTCGCCACCACCGGACCGGCCGCAGCAACAAGACGTTGTTGGGCAGCTTCGGCACTGGCGTGTTCAACCTTGCGCTGCTTCTCTTGTCTCTTCGGCACCTCCTCATACTCGTCATCGCTCTCGCCTTCTGGGACACCGCCTTGCCCAGACAGTGTTAGCGGGGCGCCTGTCTCGACAGATGTCTCATCAGCCATCAGCTTTTCCTTGCCGGACCCCATGACGTGAAGGAACTCTTGGAGCTTCGAGTCAGTCTTGCCCGATTCTTCTCGCTTTCTCTTCTTGCTAGCAGAGTCGGACTCCGCAGCAGGCGGCTGGCTCCCAGGACCTTTCACGGTAGAATGGGACGCGGCCGAGCTGGGTTCGCCCTTGGACAAAACACGGTCTGAGATCTAACATTCCTTTAGCAACAATCGTTTGTGACAGATTGTCCGAGAAAACTTACAGGTCGTGCTGGTTCGACAGAAATCTTAGACATACGGATATATGTTTTGTTGTAATACTTGACAGCCTTTGTGGCTTCTTCTGGTGATTTGTAGCCAACATAGCCAATGCGTCGTTGCGGGATGAGTTTGACATCCGTAATTTCGCGGTCTTTGCCAGAAAAGTGTTTGCGAAGTTCAGCCTCTGTTAGGCTAGGCGGTAAGCCTTTGATAAAAATTCTAGACGTTGCCATTGTGGCTATGGCTTTCAGCCAAGAGGATATCAATCAGGCATTTGGTGTTTGTGTTTGGGTTCACCTTTTGTGGTGAGTGGTTGTGAAGAAACGAAAAGAGTAGGAAAAAAAGTTTCTTCGGTGGTTGGCGGGCCTATCGATAGAGGGTGGCCCGTGCACATGGGAAATACCCTGTATATGCATATTCAACCGCGACGCGAAAAATAACACTGCCTGATTGCCTATATTCGCGGTATATTTTATTTTTATTTTAATGATATTGGTATTGTTTAGCCTCTGGTCTAATAGTCTCGGGCTATACTTCGTCTTACGTTTGTAGTGAGTATCTTCCTAGACATGTAACAGTCGTGCCAGAGTCTCAACAGATGCCATATTTATACGAAGACCTGTTAAGCTCTTACCTTGGTACTGGGATAATCACATACTATGCAAATACCGTGAGTCCAGAAAAGATATGACCAAGATATTATAGCAATCACCAAAAACGTAGAATATTTAAGTACAAAATGAGCGTGGCAGCGCGTGGTTATACCACAATGCCATTGTCGTTACGTCCACTGAACAATAAATACTGATGGAGTGCGGAGTTCAACAGCCAGTTGATAGACATATAGGAAGCGGCATCACCGGTTAAAAATATTCAAATCAATAAATGGTGCCTATATTCAACTTAGCAACCTGAATGATCAACATATCGGCCGGAGTGTTAAGAGAATCTACCTCAAAGGTGCTGCTGCTAATACTATAAGAATTTGACGTTCAAAGGAACCCCAACTAGATCATGTTCACTTGGAGGAAGTATGAAGGTTCAGTAAGATGATGATAAATGCATGTGTTTCTACATTGTGGGCTCTAGCAAGGCCCGTTCTATGACGCAAATCTAAAAACCAAGTTCACACACCAGCATATACATATTAAGATCCATTCCATCGATGATGACCGGTAGCCTTTACAGAGGCACTGCAGGGCTACTTGCTGCCACATTTGGTCATATAGAACCATAAAACGCCGTTGTCCGTGCCACCAAACCAGTTATGTGTCGAGTACCAAAATCATAAACAATAAACCTTCGCAAAACCATGCAATTCATGTTTTGAGCCAAGGAAATCCCAAAGAATAAAACAAACAGAGACTAAACAGTCGGATAGCGCATGTAATTTCATCGCTATTACAAGGTGGTGCCAATGAACCAGAAAGTGGCCACGAAGGCGAAGCAGGTGTACAACGTCGTCATAGTATACTCAAGCTCAAACCACACGGCCTGACCACCAAAGGCAATCTTCTTGGCCTTGCGAGTTGGATGAGCAACCTCGGTTTTGTTGTCGCGAACCAAGAGAGCCTCACGATCAGGCATTGAAGGAGGGTCGATAGCGTATGCGATGGGGACCCAGAGACTAGAGCAGAGCGTGAAAGCAGTGCAAGGGGGGTAAAACGCCGACATCATGAGGCACTTGAGAATGTTCTGCCAGCCACCAGGGACCTTGAAGCACCTGTAGGAGCTGTACACAACACCAACCAGTGTCAGATACACGAACGCCATGTGGAACCAGGCCATGTAGTTAAAGAGGATAGCAAACACACGGCGGAACATGCCCTTTCTGGTTCTAGGGTCACGTTCATTCAGGGCCGAGCCCAGAGAACCTGTAGGCTTGAAGGCCTGAGTTTGGCCACCGAGCCACTTGGGCAGGACGAACGAACGAACGATGCAGAGAGCAAGATAAGGAGACATCCAAATCTGGTATCGCGAACCTCGCATGGCGGTATGATAACCTGCAGGAAGCGAAAGTGCAAATTCTGTCACTCTGTTGACAATGACGGAGGCAAAGCAAATACGAATGAGCCACTGCAATTGGGTTTCGTCCGCAAAGGCGACCAGAGGCTTACCCATGGCCAGAATGACGGGGATCGCAAAAATCGAAATGGTCAAAAGAATCGTGTACATGCTGAGGGCTGCGTAGAGGAAGCCTGAGAAGCGTTGTGCGAAGGTCATCTCACGGACCTGCTCTCCCCAGAGACAGAATTTGAGCTTGAACGCCGTATCCACGGTACCAATGGCCCATCGAGTACGCTGCTTGAGATGGCCGCCATAGTCCTCAGGTACAGTACCGAATTGAAGTGGTTCGTGAATATAAGCAGTCTTCCAACCCTTACCAAGGAGGAGGGTAGAGGTAGCAACATCTTCAGCCAGAGATCCAAGAGGAAAGTTGCCAATCTGATCAAGAGCTTCACGACGGACGACATAACCAGAGCCAGTGCACCAGGCGACGCCAAGAGCATCCTTGATAGGCTCGATAACGTGGACGAAGAAGTCGAGACTTTGTGCGAGAGGGTCGGAAGGTGGTGTGTTGTAAAACAGCTGAGGAGGACAGGCAAGGGCCATACGATCGTCAAGCAAGAGGTGAGGTAGGATAGCACGGAGCCAGTCTCTTTCCGGGATCTAAAAGCATAGAGTTAGTGAAATTCAACGCAGCAGAGAAATCTAGAAAGAAATACGTACCATATCTGCATCCAACGCAGCCATGTAGGTACCAGCACCGCCAGGTAAGTTGTGAACAGCATCGAGACCATAGTTGAGGTTACCAGCCTTGAAGTGATGGGGGACACCAGGGAACTTGGGGCGAGCCATGTACACAACGTTGCGATGAATCATGTCAAGGTGGTTAACTGCTTCCTCGAGACTGGCTGATTTGCCATCGTCAAGCACAATGACACGGAAGCGATCCTTGGGGTAGTCGATGTCACAGGCGCCACGAACCGTATCGAGGACGACTTCATCATCTTCACCGCAGCAAGTGACAAAGACATCAACAGTGGGAACGTCATCATTGACGAGTCTCAATCTGGGTCTGCGGCGCTGCTTGATAGCCCACATGGTCCAGATGTTATGCATGAGGGAAGGAATGGCGACGGCAACTTCTACGCCAATGAAGATCCATGCTTGAGCATAGCTCTGCTGCTTCCTGTTCTGAGCGTCGGCGACGCAGTAAATGCGATAGGCAAAGTATCCGAGATACATGAGAGTGTTAAGGATGGTCAGGTAAGGCACTGCAAAGTAGAGGTGTCGTTTCCAGCCCTTCCAAATTTCGCTGTCGTCGCGTTCATGAAGACGGGCAATGTAACCTTCCTTGACCCAGTCCTTGGACATGACGGGTGAATGGCCGCCTGGGAGCAATGCTGCCAGACTGACATTGCTTTGGTGCTGTTAAAAAGAGAAGCCAAGTTAGTTAACCTGTCTTTATAGCGATGATTTGTGTGCTAGAGGGGGCCAATGAGGAAGCTTACCATGGGTGTGTTGGGCCACGAGTCTTGTTGTAGTTTGGTGTGAGGAAGGCGGTTCATAGGAGTGACACGCCCGCTCACCAGAGTTGGCGAGGCCGATCGAGATTGAACCGGCGTCTCAAAGGACTGTTGGCTGAAGCGAGAGACGTGCACCGGTCCCCATTGTGGCGATGGATGCTGTGGAGGAGACATGTAGTCTTCCGAATAGACTTGAGCGGGACGAGCAATTCTGCTGTGGTCGGGCGATGATAAATCTCGGTTGCTACTGCCGTATTGCCTTCCGCGTTCCGGTCTCGTAAAATCGGTACGCGAATACTCGCTGTTTCGCGCAGATTCCGGAACAGAGCGGATCCTGTAATCATCGGAGTATGCCTGCGGATGCGAGAATGACGGAGGTGAGTAATGCTGCTGGGACATGGGCTGAGGAGAAGCATGGAAAACATCCATGTCTACGTGCTCCTCTGATTGCTGGTAGCGCCGCATGTTGGGAGAATTGGCGTAGCCAGCCATGTTGAAGAGAAGTCGGTTCTGATTGTAGCTCAGCCAACAAGAACGAGCGAGTGTTGGCTAGCAGACGGGCGGGTGTTGGTTTGTTTTAGATCGAAAGAAGAATAAGGCTAAAGCAGCCTGATCTTGCTGGCAAACAAATGCAACCCGGGCAAACAACGAGAACAGACAGGATAGAAAACGAATGTGAGACGATTGGCACGGTCAAAACGAAGGTTAGAGAATGGAGAAGAGAAGAAGACGAAGAATGTGAATGGCGACACAGATACACGGGCTGTTCCAGGTAGGGGGGGTGTGGGCACTCGAAAGGTGGGCACTTGTTTTTTTTTCTTTGCTGCGCCTGGATAGCAACTTAGCGCTGATAACAGTGACGGAGCAAGCGCTGCAAGGAAGCGAAGCTAAAAAAAAAAAAGCACGCTGGGAGAAAACCTTGCCGGGGGGCACGGTGGTTAGCACCGAGCTAAAACACCCCCTCTCTGCACAGGCTCGTATGCATGCAAGCCTCGCTGGCTCTCAGTGGACGAACGGTGCTGTGCCCCCCCTAAAAGTACCTAAACCCGCAAAGGTAGGCACACAGTACGGTTCGCACGGCGCTGGTTGATGTGACAGACCAGGGGGTAACAAGCCAGGCTCGTAAAAACGCTGCAAGTACTCTGTATGCGGGCCATCCGGCACACCCGCGCCCACCCCCCGATTAGGAATAGGAGGAGATAGAAAATAGAAGGAAGAAGTTCTTCCGTGAGCGCTTGCGTCACAATTCGCCGCACTAACAAATTATTATGGGACACGCTACCAAATCTGTTAGGCACAATAACCTCGGCCTTGCACGCCGCGAGCTATCTACAGCGCTATACTCGTATGTATCTTTAAGTCAATGTTGGAGTAGATTTGGCTGCAGGGTACAAAGAAAATATTCCATTTTAAATAGTAACATGGCCATGCCAACTGCGTATGGCAACAGTACACGGTGCGTTCGTTCGCCGACGCCTCTATACAGTGAAAAGAAGGTATATCCCGCCCTCAGGTTCTTGACGGCCCAACCATTCCGCAAAGCTTGTTTTCCTCATCTTTGCACCTCCCAAAACGCTCTAGTAATGATTATCGAATGGCCTTTATGCCTTCCAGACGCGCTTGATAGCCTCCGTGACACCAACATCGTTGGTCTCGAACTCATACAGACCAACACCAACAGTGACCGTAGCCAAGTTCAACAACCACCAGAACAGCTTGTGGACACCAGGGTAGGTGCTCTTAGGGAAATAATCGACGATAACAGACTGGAAGCCGAGGTGGGAGTGCAACACCAAAGCACCGCACAGGATGGCGTCCATTGTAGGGTTCAGCGAGCCGGCAGCGAAGGGGGCGATTGTGAGAGGGACGAGACCAGCGGCAAGGGCACGCTCGAAAGCCCAGTGGTAGGAACCATGAGCGGCGTTAGGAGTAGGAACGGGAGCAGGGTCGTTGACTATCAGAAGCTAATTGTTAGCAAAATTGCGCGATGCGGGAGAAATGCGATTGGCGAGTCTATTCGCGCGTTGTCGTCGTACCTGTTCCGTGAACAACCTCTGTGACAAATTGGTTAGCAATTGAAGCTCTAGAGACGTTTTATATCGATCAACGGCGTGCGAATGCGTCGCGGTTGTTCGTTGATTGGATCTTACGGGGACCAGGTGGCAGCAAACCGCATCGCTTGCTGGAGGTGTGAATGGCGGCTCTGGCGAAAGCGGTGCGAGCCACCATAGGGCGGGCAATGCAGCGAGACGCCATGGCAGTCTGCCTTAAGAGCGAGGGGCGGGCAAAGGAAGCCATGATGATGTTTGACGTTGTGGTTTTCTGGGGGTTGCGGAGAGCCTCGGAACTCGACGTGGAAGACTCGTGATTTCGTCGGAACGGCTGGATGACTCAGCAGAATGGACCAATCAGAGCAGCGAATCGGTAAAGAACACATGCCGGTTGGCCAATCAGAGGGCTTCGAATACCAGCTTAGTCAAGCTGGGCCATCAAGACCCGGTTGTACATTCAAATACAGAAGTGTTGGTCGTGTCAAAGGGTAATAAAAATCGAAGAAAATAAAAACAAATAAAATTTTCGCCTAGTAATTCTCTAGGTTGTATTTTCTCATATGCTGGCTAGTGATAATGGCGGGTGGCATGCGATGACACTTGCTCTGACCCAAATTATCAGCTGTCCTGCATGGTGACCTTGGAGACTAAAACGGCCAGCCTTAAGGCGCCAGCCTGCCCAGAGCTACTTACTACTCTATACAGACCTGTTCAGCTACAGTATCGAGCGACCATATATCTAATTGCTTCCTATTACTTGTGATAATTAGAGACTCAGCGTACCTGTGTCTCGTCGGTTCCTGTGTTTCATTTGCCTTTGATTATCTACGTTGCAAGCTTTTGAGCAACTAAGAATAAGGTGAGACCGGCCGTCGTGGCCATTTTATCTATGTTGCGAGTGTTTCTAGTCCCGTACTTTGTGTGTGACAGTGGGAGTGGGTTAGCCGATGCCATGCCAGTCTATAGTCCATCCCGAAATCCCCAACAGGTGAAACTCCTCTTCCGTTCTTGGCGCTTAAACATCGCCTGAGAATCTAAAGTGAGCCATCCTTTGGGGTCTCGCATGAGCTTCTGGATCTACTGCCTGCGGACCTCGTAATTCCACATCCCTATGACGGAGAATAAGCTGCAAAACCACAAAAAAAGAGCAGCTAGAAATATTGCGGGTAGAATGGGTCCCGCACATTCCGCAGCATAACTGTACATATTCGTTACGAGGACAATGCTGGGTTACAGATTTTATGATGTTCGCTCAGCGCGCATGAGTGCTGCTCGTCAATCCCATCAAGGCTCACCTTGTTGGTCGTCCATGGGCGCACGGTGATGCCAATTTCCTGGACCAGGCTCTGTCTGTTGGTTCATCACATCGTCCGTGAAACAGAGATACGCACGCGCTGTTTGAAGAGCCACCATGACGCATCCCCTTGCACGCATCAGAGCGCTGGGTTGATGAGATCGAATCATGGCAGTGTACCTGGCATTAGGGGGCCCCGCCCGTTGTCCAATGCTAGCTGAGCTGGGCCGCTGTAGCGCCGCAATTTGTCTCAGCAACATGTCACCTCTTTCAGAAGGAACCTGTGAGGGGATCCGTCCGCCTACGCGCCAACCCGAACCGAAGAAGGAAATAAAAAGAGAGAAGAAGCAAAATAGCTAAAGACGGCCCGCACCTTGGCGTAAATAGAAAAATAAAAATAAAAGCAAGAAATACGTGTGCACATCATCATTTCAAATTTAAAACAGTGACTGATACCCGCTGACGTTCGCAACCAGAGCGCTTTAGGAACTGGCTCTGGTTTCCCAATACCCACCCACAGCGCCCGTAGCACACGCTGATAGTGGGTGGTTAGGGGCTGGCCGCTAGCAGGTTGCCAGCATCTGCCTGGATTCCCGCACCCCCCGGACCAGCTGTCAGCCTTGCTTTTCCATGGCGCTGCTACAGGCCGCCACGGCTCGCATGATCTCATAGCATGGTGCAATTTCAGTCCGGCGGCGGCTTTTCTGCTGCATTTAGGCAAGGAGCATTACAAAACGGCCTGTATTGATATTAGAAAAGGGGCCTCTTATCTTTTCTCTCGCTTACGTGCTGGATCCCTCTCGCCCCATGTACTGTACTTTAGCTGCTTTTGAAAAAAACTGGTTTTTTTTTTCTCAGTGCTCGACTCGTGGCTTGGCGACTACGTAGCGTCGCTGGCGGCCATCTCCTAAGGAGCTACAAAGACACCCCGCCCCACTGTATCGTACCTTGCCGGGGGACCCGCGCCACCTCACTTAATCGCACTGTGTGAAAGTTCGTGTTGGTCCGTCTGCGCTATTCCGCAAGCGCACATCCACGCGCTGTCTGCGCCTGCAGACACACACGCATACGCACACCTCGGGCTCCGTTTGCCTTTTGCTACAGTGCTTTTGGTTTTTTTTTTGGGGTTTTTTTTTGATTGGTACGCGTGGGGCTTAGCGATAGCAGCGTCTCAGACTGGCTACAGCAAAGTTCCCTCCCCTGCTACGACTACCGCTCAGGTCGCTTCTTTTCATCGGAACACTCGTTACAAACAGACATCAATCGTTGGTCTGCAACATCGCGCAAACGCTCACGCCCGTCACTTCCGCAGTCGGTGCTATTTTCATTCGTTTCCCCGCCAGGCAGAGAGGTGCTTTGCCCTGCTTCCGGGCGTCTGGTCTTTCCAGAATCACCACACCTTGCGTCATCAAAACCAGATTTCCGCATAAAAATCATCTGTTCAACAGCTTGCCAACTTCTGCGCTACCGGCAACTACAACACTACGCTCTGATAGCTTTTCTTCCAAACAAACACCAACATGGGACTCAACGCTAGATGGCTCGTCAGCTTCGCGCTGTGGATGTTCCCAATTGCCATCACCCTCGGCGTTATGTTCAGTATCGACGCCGCGACTGGCGGCAAAGGCATCCCCAAATCAGACGGCGGAGGTTCTCTTGTACCGCCGCTAAACAACGGCACAACGCCAGAACAAAGATGTGATGTATTCGACGGCGTTGAAACACGAGTGCTGAAAGGCCATCAGGCCTGGGTGCTCACTGCCAACCCCTGGGGTGTCAACGGGGCTAACACGGGTGCCATTTGCCTAAACACTAATACCAACAATAACCAAACTTACGGCATCACCTCTGACCCTAAAAGCAAATTCGGTGCCCCGTTCTGGAGCACTACGTGGAACTACCCGCCCAAGGCCGACGGTTCTGTCTGGGCCTATCCCAATATCAAGGCCATTACCGATACACGACAGATCCAACAGTTCAAAGCACTCGACTTGAATTTGGGCTGGGCTTATAACGTAGGCAACGCCAACACGACTGTCATCACAGAAACAAATGAAGCCGTTCTTGCGGATAATGGACCTGGAAACGCCCACGCCAACGTTGCTCTGGACTTTTTCGTCGACCCTGACTCTGGCAGATCAGAACAGCCAGACATCACCAAACAGGGGAAGTTTGCTCGCGCTGAAGTAATGATCTGGTTTGCCGCCTATGGTACGAGCACATTCCCGCTGGGAAAGCCAGATTTGACGACTACGCCACCAGTGACTACCTACACAGACAACCATGGTCGTGTATTGTAAGCCGATTCTTTGCACTAACGTATTCACAACAAAGCTAATGACATATATAGCAACCTCTGGATAGGTTTCAACAAGGACAAATCAACCCAAAAACCAGTGCAGGTCGTCTGCACATGGCTGCCAAACACGGCTATCCACACATTCGACGGCGACATTCTCCCTTTCCTTACCAAATTGACTACGGATCCTAAAGTGGGTGTAGCTTTCGAAGCACTACAGCAAGCGAATGGATATCAAGGAACGCTTCCTCAGCCAACTGACTATGTCGGCTACATTGCGCTGGGAACCGAAGCCTACTCCACCACGGGTGGTCAAAATGTGACATTTTCGGTCCCTAATATGGGTCTCGAGATTTCCACATGATTTAGGTGAGCTCAGAGGGTAGAAAACCAATGAAAGTTCTCCTGGCGTTTTTATGGTTGGTTGGTCATTTGGAGTTTTAAGTGTACATTGCTAGTTTTCGTTTGGCAGACATACTTTCCATCTTGTTATCATATGGTGAGCTTTTAAGTATCATCAGGTTCAGCTTTATAGAATCCGCACAGTAATGCATATCTGTTTTATATTTGCATCGTCTTCTAGGTATATGTTTTGTAGTGCTCTGTGGTCTGCGGAATAGGTTGTGCCGCTGCTTTCTGTACTCGGAATCCTGCTACCAGTCGTCTTGCTTTAATGTGATGCCGAATAAATCATATCCTCGTTAGCAACACAATTGATTCAAGATCACTACTTTCCGTATAATAAATTTCACCAGGTGGAATTGGCACATACTTTAGTGCCTAATCCCGCCTGTCAGCAAAAGTCACCACTAGTGCGTTGGATCCCGCCCGCCACTGAGCCCCGCGCCCCGTGGCTTGTGCTCAGCAACACCCCTTTGGTGAGAAGCACTATATTTACGACCGCGCAACCATCCTTCAAGACGCGACACTACCACGAGCCCGCAAAGAAATCTTCAAAAGATACTGTATTTGGAATAAGAATCAAGCTAAGATCTGATATCTACCCGGGAATTCGCCACGTACGTCGCTGCCATGCTGCCAAAGCCACAGATGTCCCGTCACTCTCGTCCCTCCATCTTCCAACACGCCGGATCTATTAATCCACATGTTATGGGAATCGTGGTCATGGAAAAGACCAGTCACACGGTACAATATGTATGAAAGCCTCTAGCTAACCGAATTCTTCATAGATTCTACCTCACGACACGATCCGAAGCGCGACGCTCGACAAACCATAATGTCGGATTCACATGCTGATACGCCTGTCAAGCAAGAGCGACTTGAAGGTAAGTCATACCATATGAGAAGTACGGCTGGAAACTCCAGCGGTGTTCCAAGAGTTTGTGGCAAATCTGTACTAACATGGCGGCGTATAGCTCAGATCAAGTCTGCTGATATGGTATGCGACAAGCGGTAAAGAACTGGGTAGACTGGAACTAACAGCACTCCAAACCAGACGGACGATATGCAACAAGAGTGCATTGAAGTCGGTATGTTTACAACCGAGGCTGAAATTCAAGCTTCCCATATATGTTCTATCGATGGACGATTGCTCACATCATTTCGCAGCCCAGGAAGCCATGGCAAAGTTTACCATCGAAAAGGTAGGATACCTCGTAGTCCACTACCTGTTACCGCGTGAAACTTTGCTAACGACTTGTTTTCAGGATATCGCCCAGCACATTAAGCGTACCGTTCGTTTCTCCAACATCAACCCACCACCGCTTCAGCAAACCGTAGAGACGCTAACAGATTTCATGATAGTTTGACGACCGAAAGGGTCCTACATGGCACTGCATTGTTGGCCGCAACTTTGGCAGCTTTGTTACACACGGTATGTATCGCTAGACCAGTTCTGTTCCCGTTGATCAATGCACTTTGGAACAGCACGGCCTGCCTTTTCTCACCAGAACCGCAATGGCTAACATGACGCTTAGAAACAAAACACTTCATCTACTTCTACCTCGGCCACTGTGCCATCCTCCTTTTCAAGACACAGTAAAGGAAAAAGGCCACGAGGATGGGAATTCTGGCATTACGACGCCATACGGACGCAGATCGAACCGCAAGCTCTGTGCTGCGGCTACAATATATACCTTGACTGCCGAATAGGCAGCCGCATTTCTTTGATTTGGAAGAGTGAAGACCTAGATCACACCCGTCGAAGAACGTTAGCTTTCAGCAGAGTCTAATAGTACATGTGGGCAACACCCAACATATCTACACCTTTCCTCTCGTATTGCATTCTGAACAGGTATGGCACTAAAGAAGCCCTGCCTCATGAGTGGTCAAAATTTGAATAAGAAAACAGCTGGCGATTCTATTTCAAATGTGCAGAATAGAACCCGCTGCTCATTAGTTGACACTATCAAGTATTTATAGAAACACACAAACGAAGACCTCTGAATTTTCTCTTCGACGAGTTCCCCAGTACCCAATGCCGGAAGAATCTGGCTCGGCTATGGTTATGGTCAATGATTAACAGATGCGCATGTTGAAGAACCTTGCAGAATGCGTGCGGCTACGAAGTTGTTTGCTGTATTCCCAGGCTAACCAACGTCGAAGTCCTTAACCGAGGGTATGATACCTGATCGAAACGTTGGTTTGGGTTGGCAGCTATGTCAACTTTGGTTCAAGATCATCGTTCGCAGCCATATTAATGCTTAGTATTTAGTCGCTTGGCTTTACTTTGTAATTCGCTTTAATAGCCCAAACCTACTAGTTTTGAGCGCCGTCTTGTCCAAATTGGGCAGGTAATAACTCATTGCTAAAGGTTCGGTTAAACCCATTTTGGATGGTGTGGTGGTTTATCCTACCCAATGGAATACCGCTTGGCACCAGGTCAAATGATCATCCAGGCGAACTCTGCATATTTCCAGGCTTTTACCAATTCAGCTTCGCTTGCATCGGACCATCTCATCCATGGTGAGACCCAAAGGTACTTGTTGTGAGCGCTAGTGCGGCCTACGTTACGTTGGAACAAACACACGGCATCTAGCCCCAATTCGTCGCCAGATAGCTCGCTACGCTGGTAGTTCTGGTCAGGTAAGATGATCGACAAACCCCATCTTGGACTGCCGAGCTGCTGGTCTCTCCCACAAAGGCTACCGTGGGGCGGCGGCTTTGCCAACGATTCGTTGTGCGGCTTTATTATTCGGTCAAATGGCTTATTTAGGCGCGACCCAGAGCGTTCTACTTTCTGGTTGGGCGTACCAACAAAAGATAGGCCAGTTCTTTACGCATAGTAGTGTGGCGGGTAAGCGTAAACCTCAGTACCGCTGACCAGTGCATATTTACCCCGGCTCAGATTCTTAACGCTACTTTGTCCCAAGGACAAAAACTTTCCGAGGCTAATCCGCGATGGTGTCGTACCCTCCTGGCACTTCGCCGACTCTCAGCTGTGAGCTACCTGACGAATGGGGCCCCGGGACCGGCAGCCGTCGCAACGTGGCTCGGGTCTGACTTGCACGTTCCACCTGATGTATCGAGGCTCTGAATTAAGTGAGTCCGAAGGACGAGGCAAACCTGGTAGATCCGGGCCTGTTCAAGGGCTGGCCACCTCATAGTAAAGCCATGACTGAAATAACACAAGGATAGCCTTGTTGGTGAGTTTGGACGGTGATAATAGCCCTGGTAGGGGTTATCGAAATAGGTCCAACAAGGATAGGTAAGGCGTCCGTGCGATGAACTGGGTGGCAACCCACCATATCCGCTAGATTCAGGCCGCCACCCCAAAGCCAAGCTCGCCTGTGTGCCTGAGCTGGTGCTGGCACTAGCTGAAACGGCTGTGCAAATTCATAGAGTACAGCGTTGCTAAAATTGTCGTCTCAACCTGCGCATGAGGAGCACGGCTGGATCGCCAGGGGCAGTGGCAAACGCTGTACCTATTTCTGGACGGTTCCCGAATACTAGAATGTGCAACCTCTACTTAGCCGACCTTGGTTATAATGTTACAAAAAGTGTGAAACTCCGCCCAAGTGAATCATGAAATATTGAGCCACATAGTAGGTCCTCGCTATTGCGAGCCCTGAGGCTGACGATGTGGGCTTGTGACGCCGCCACTAGCAATTTGACATGGCATACGGGCATCAGCACTCCGAGGCAGTGAGGCGTATAGATGCCTTTCCGACAGGCAAATTGTAAACACAGCCCTCTCCTACATTTGGAAACTAAAACTTCCTGGAAGTGGCATATATCTGCTGTTTTATTTACCATTGGTGTTCCTGTCTCGCGTGTCCGATGCTCTCCGAGGTGGCATCTTTGAAGCCACGGCTTGCCAGCCGATATTGGGTGGCGCGGTACCAGCCAAGCGACAGCCATAGGCGGAGCTGGTTAATAGATACAGTCGTGCTTGTTGATTCTGGATTCCCTCGACCCAATGCCGCCACTACTGGAAGTGTGTGAATCTACTATGTACTTCCCCAACCTTCCGGGACCAGGGCGACAAGACAGTCTGCTCAGATGGCAGGGTAGATGCAGCCATTATAAATCCAGTTGCATCCTGGGTAGTGACGGTGGGTGACCAATCGCAACGCAAGTGAGACTTTCTGTCATGAACGGCCGCTACTCTTTATCCATGGCAACAGTGAGAAATCTTTTTGCACATTCATCCTACCGAGCAGCAGCGAGCAAGGGTTCTCTGTTGAACTAGTGCAGCGATGAAGAGGTTAGCGCTGCTCAGGCACCAGGCTAGACTAGAAGCTTCTTGTTGCAGACGCACGCGACCAAGTCGGGGAGCAGCGGCCCTGTCCCGAAATATGATCTCAGTTAGCATACCGGTCGCACCTTGGTAGCAGATTGAAGCAAGGGACGGGGAATATTGCTAGGTAGAGGAAAGCTCATATTGCGAGGCAGCCAGTCAACACAGCATATACGCCCTGAGAGCAATTCCGGTGGTCGTGTTAATCCCAAACGCGCAGCACCTCGTCAATTGGAGGGGTGTTTAGAGGGGCTGGCTGGTGGGTATTATGAGGGCCAGTCAAGATGAAAGTGCTAGTTACATTCCGCGATAGATTCGATTGTCTTGGATCAGCCTGGGCGGAAGTGAAAGCGCGGTTGTCAATCACCGATTATTTTCCATTAATTGTAGAATTGGTACGGTTAAAAGCTGTCACCAAAACTCAGCCATAGCTGCAGCAGCTTGGCACGCACCTGGCAATGGCAAACTTGCACCTGGCAAGCTGGCAGAGCGCTGGCAAAGCTGGGGCCGACAGGACGCCCTGTAGTTAGGTGCTGTAGTCAGCGCACGACCACAGCCAGGACGACGGGCGGTTTAGCAGCGATGAATGATTTGTCTCTGTGGTGTCTTATATCGATCCTTTGCCTAAGAATCAGCGAATCCCAGGACAAAGGGCTAAGCTTAGCAACAATACAACGTAACGCCAAACGCAATTTCCACTCCAGCCGTCAACATTACAGCATACTGGCCGTCGCCCTCGGCGAGCGCGTGCATGAAGAAGTTTCTTTTCTTTTCCTTTGGCTGAAGCCAGCCCTCAGATACCCGCAGGGACCGTCGTCACTGTTTCAGGCACTAAAAAAGCAATGTGCGATTCCTAGAGGGCGTATTGTACGAGTGTCGCCGAGCATCTGCAGACACTTAATCAAAACAGAGACGAGCATTAGAAGCGCAAGCTGCTGCAGGAACCCAACCATATGCTCATGAGGAATCGAAACTGGATATAATGGTCCGCATGGTGGTCAGCTGAGCAGCCGGCGATAATAGAAGCGCAGTCTCACGCCTGAGCAGTGTTCGGAGCCCGCGAGGCTAGTCGCCAGCACCCCTGCGCAGACCACTGCAACGAGTTGCTTTTGCATCGCCCTCGCCAGTAGGCCCTAAGTTAGAGAGGGCTGTCTAATTATGAGGGTGGTTCATGCAAATAAACACATGCGCAGTCGTATCGAAGAAATTTATCAAAACATGGGCAAATTGGAGAATGCCTCTAGGGCGATTGGGGTCTGCGTAGTGAAATGGGCCTTTTCAGACCACGGATATGATTGGGCCGTCTTGGAGAAACACATGTTTGTCGTGTCTGCGTCGTGAGTCGCTCTGCCAGCGAACTGGATTTGTCTGGAGCCGGGTTGACAAGCAAGTGTCACGCCACAAGCCATGACAAAACATTGGCGATAAGAAACCGCCTTCGCATTCCCGCATAATATTACGGGCATATTGCACAACCTCATATACTAAATATGTTTCCTGGCCGCGGCTGGGACTGTGCCTTGCAAGCGTTGTGCGGCAGATGTGAAACTGTAAGATCTAGCGCTTCATTTCGCCGTTGTCACTGCCGACCGTGCCCTGCTGAGGCGCGGATAGCAGTGCGCAATGCAATAGCTGGTGTATAGACACACTCGGAGGAGCACCAATAAGCAAAAGCCTCGCACTTCATTTCGATCTGGGAGGCATACATCGCGTAGCTGCGAGGGTAGTAATACAAAATTCCGGTGGGAGTAAGTTACCCAATGCCATAAATGAGGCCTATGGCAGAATCGCTGAGCCGATGTACTCATCGGCAGTTTGCCCGTTGGCGGGAGTGCCCAGCCGAGACGCCGTTGCATCATAGTTACCAAAATGGGTTCGGCGAAGAGCCTGTCATGGCCACTGACGCATACGAGGGACAAAAAAGCCTTGGAGCCATCCATCCGGGGTCTCATCTTGGTAGCAAGGACTCTTGATTTAATTTTTTTGTTTGTATTTTCTCTCAAGGGAAACAGGCTCTATAGACGAGAGCCCAGAGGCCACAGCCTGTTTCGGAAGCGTCACCATCGGCTCAATAGATGCCAGCCCAGCCCATGGCGGACAACCCGTATTAACTCGCGGTAGTCCTTGCGGCCTGCCCATTTCCTTTGAGCACCGTCCCACGGTCTCCCCTCTCTTTCTCTCTAAAACGAATCCGTTCTACCTGTTCCTTGTCACCTTTCAGGTGTGCCCGTGTCTCGGGCAAACCATCCGACACGCTACCTCCGATCCTACAGGCGGTCATCCTACAGGCGGTCGCCGCCTGTCGATACTTGCTTCGGGTTTCTCAGGCGGTGGTTGCGCGTGTGGCTACGAGGCCGCTCCACCCAACTAGCAGCCCCAAGGCTCACACCAGCCCCACATAAATACCCGCCTGAGGGAGCGACCCAGCTTCAGCACGGGTAACAAGGTTTTGGCTAATGTTTTACGGGTGTGGTGCCCTGGACGCTCCCCCTAGAAGCCACATCTCTAGCGAAGCCAACAGGGCACATCTCCACCGCATTATTGGTCTCTTCAGCGCGTCGTCCACCATCGTGGGTGGAACAGAGTTTCCCCTTTGGCATCCCGTGCAACTCGAAACTCTATTGTTCGTGCTGACGAGCCTGTCACAAGCAGTGTCAGCCGGGTGGCACGCAATTAGCTAGTACGAATATTCGCTACGTGAGGCAAACAGGAAGCAAAAGCGTTGAAAGGAAGAAGAGAACAATGACAGCGGGCGCGGATCGAGTGGAATGCACAAGCAACGCTGACAAGTAGGCAGTGCCGGCATTATACAGGCTGTTTTCCAGCGCAGGAGCTCGCTAAACTCAAGCGCTACGGCTGCGCGGGCCTGTTGAAAGGGAGCGGTGCGGGCGGAGGCTAAAATGCCAGACAGTGACACACCACAACGTTGGCCAACACTAAAGGCCCCTAAAGAACTAGTGTGTGCAGCGCACAACGTAACGCTGTTGTCCCCCGTCCCCACGCCCAGTTGGCGGTCCAGCCAGTAGCACACAGCCGCCTGAGAGACCCAGCGACGCAGAGCCACACACACGCCCACACCACACTACCCAACCACACCCTAGGCGACGGTCACATCCGCTTCTGCCCCCCAAAAAACTTTGGGCTGCCAGGCTCGGCCCCATCCCGCCTGCTGGTACTGTTGCTGGCCTCCGCCTTGGCCCGCTCCTCTCTCGTTCTCACTCACTTCGCCCTCTTGCCTGCCTGCCTTGCTCTTTCTCTCCCTCTCTCTTCCCTCAACCACTCACTGCCCGGCATCGTCCACGGAGATTCACTTCTCTGCCACGGCCGCTGGTTTCTCTACCTCTTTCTCTATAGCCACCGTTTATTCAGGCACACGACTTGTAGTTTTTCTCTCCCACTGCCTCGTCACTACTGCGAATCTCCGTCTACCTTCGTGACCCCGTGGGGTCCGCAACATCGAGTTGCGTCTTGGTCACTGCTTGCCAATCAATATTTATCTTGGTTGCCTTTGGCCTCCAATCGACGCGAATATCCCTTCTAGACCGACACTTCTACTCGAACGACCTCAGAAGACACTTTTAAAAACCATACCACCGAAAACCTAACCTTTTTGCCCTTCACCTCACCTGTTCCCATTAGCCTCCCAGCTTTTGGTTACGTTACGCTACGTCCCGTGACATCCGCACTTCACGACCATAACATTCGACATTTACGACACCAACATACCCTCTCACCATGACTTCTCTCAAAATTAAGGACGCCGGCTGGGCTTTGAAGCCACCGGCTGACGATGCGTCCCTACCTCCTCAGGCTTTTGGCCTGACGCTTAGTAGCAACGTTATTGAGGACATGATCAAAGCTGCTCAAAATAACCAGAGTATTGAACTTTCCCTGGGAAAATCTCCGGTATGCTGACTTTGTGCCCAACTTTGTTTCCCATGACTGTGGCTGGGAATCATGGCTACACTCCTTAGCACCAGTACCTTGTTTACTCACACCTCTTCTAGACTCTGCACTATGGATCGAAATCCTATAAAATACAGAACCCTGCCGACGATGCTCCCTGCGAATTCTATCTTTCCCGGCCGTACGAGTCGACGAAGATGGCAATTCGTCTTCCTCATACAGGCTCCCTATTCACAAAGGTGAAGTTGCCTGGCAAGCCTCTGTCAAGTAAAGTAGCAGGGATGTCTGGCAAGTCCTCCGGTCTGGAACACGATATGGAGACATTGCAAAATGGCATGGCAGCTCACGAGGCAGCTCGTGACAAGTAAGAACATCGGTTGGACACGCAATTCACATGCACTGCTAACAAGCACTAGAACACAAGTTGTTGACCGACTCACCTCGACAAAGCGATCTACCAAAACAAAAAACGGTCTGCTGTCTGGATTCACCTCAGGATCCTCTCGATCGAAGCCCACCTCGCCGGGACACAAGCCGAATCCATCGCCATCGGCGACCCCAGTCCTCTCTGCCACGCAGCTGGCAATGGAACGGGCGAAAGAACAACGATTTGTGCTCGTCCATGAACTTGCTGTTAAAGAGCGTTCATCCGATTATCTGAAAAATAAGTGGCAAGGAAAGCCAGAGGAGTTCAGCTCCGCGCTCGAGAAGGTGGCCGATTACAACTCAGATTCCAAGTCGTGGAGTATGAGAAAGGGTCATTGGAAGGAACTCGACGTCTGGAAATACGACTATCAAGACCAAGACGAGCGACAAAAAGCCATCGACAACGCCATTCGGCAATATGATAAACAGAGACTTTCATCCTCTGAACCAGAATGGCAGAAGCTTTTGCCCAAGGAGGAACGCGGTCAAGGCAAATGTCTTAGTCGCCTACAAGCAAATATTGCCAAAGGACCCCCACAGCCTGCACCTAAGATTAAGATTCAAAAGGCAGATGATAGCTCAACGTCACGCGATGACATTGACAGTGTCAGCAGCGAACGAAGCAGAATTGGTGGCGAGCCTATGTCTCGATCCAATTCAAGCTCTCTTTCGGCTAAGGCTAAGAAGCTCAACGATTTTGCAAAGAAGGCCAGCAGCACCACGATCAAAGCACCACTGTCGAAGAAGACGTCCCCCGTCAAGGCTAAGCCTGCAGCTGCCAAAGCCAACGGAGGAAAGTACTTGTCACAGGAGATTATTGTCAACTCAGATTCGTCTGGTGATGAAATACCACTTGCACGTCAAAAGCCCGTGGTATCCAAGGTGACTGCCAGTAGGCCGCCACCACCCTCGCAACCCAAGAGTCAACCAAGCAAACGTCCACGTGATGATGATGACTCCAGCTCCAGCTCCGGCACGCCTCTGTCCAAGCGATTGAAGCAGAAGCAGCCGTTATTGAGCTCCAAACTGAAGGATCGTCCCTCTGACGCTAACCAGCGCGGACGTAACGGAACAACTGCACACTCTTCTACGGCCCCGAGGGCGAAGAACACCTCACCAACGAAATCATCACCACTTGCTTCGTCACCACCAACTAACGCGTCGGACATGGAAGCTGATCGTCCTGCGCCCTCCAAAAAGCGCAAGGCCGAGACCGACACAAAGGCTTCGATGATCAAGCGCCGAGCTGTTGACAGTCTTTCCACTGCTGTGGTTAATAAGGCTAATAAGTTCAAGCTGTATTATTCAAAGTATGAAGCCCTGCACTACGAGGTGGCGTCCCTCGACAACCCACCCGAGGACAAGGTTTCACACCTTTTGTCAATGCGTGGTGCTCTTGAGTCTATGAAGAAGGAGATTTACCGTGAATGTTCGCCGGTATGAGTTGTCGAGACGATGAGAATGGTTTAGGGGCTGACTTTGTTGCTTTAATGACAACACCCACCAACTTGCATTTGATTTTATAACCGGCGCAACACATACAGGATACACCCAGTGGTTTTTGTCTTTTGTCTTTTCGTTTTTTTCGCTTAAAATTACTTATGCATCTGAACCTTGGGGAAAAAATTCTATAGCGGGTACTTTTTGGCGTTTCTTTCATCCCGACAAAGACGGGAAGGGCATCCGTAATTGAGGATAGCTCTACATTTTCTATTTGGCACTGTTGAAAGGATTCTCTGTAGAGTCTATTTACTTGGTATTTCAGAGTTGTTAATGAAACCAATACAATGAAACATTACGAATACTCATGCATCCAAGTCTTGCCGTGCGATAAATCTATCCATGTAACCATGTAACCACAGAGCAATAATAACCGGTCACCGTCCTTTACTCTCAAACGGGATCAAGGCATCCCCCCTTCTGAACTGCGTATGATCACTGCCAGTGCCAGTAAGAAGGCTACTTGGTGCGGCGGCTCGCGGAGCAAACTGTAGGTAAGGCTGCCGCCCACCTGTGTATTAAACTTTCAGCTCGTTGAACTGCCCTTTTCGGTACTTCCGCACCATGTAAGCCCGACCTGATGTGTTGTTGTCTCGTAGTAAGCAGCCATGCACTGCTTAGAGCAAACTAGTGCTAGCTCGTCTGCATGGCTTGGAGCGCAGCAATGCATGCGTGGCAAGGCTGCCACATCTGCACAACCGCATCTCAGTCAGCGGTGTGCAGAGAGGTCATAAGGCTGATTGTAAAAGGTTGGGGAAAAGCTACTGTTGGCGATTGGTCGAGGAGACGAGCCTTCTCGGAATATGCGAACCGGTGTATCTCGGTGCGATGCGGCTGAGAGATGTTCGTGGAGTATGCGAGCTCGGTTCTTCGGAGTTGAACGCGCAATGTTCAAAGTCAATCATTACGTGGAATTACTACGGCATGGGAAGTACTTGGTGTTTGAAAGAGTATTTACCCTTTCAACAAAGGTAATGGGCCATGCGAAGACCTTTGAAGTAGAGTGCCACATTGGCTGTCACAGACAGGTGGCACGTGTAACGCGACTCTGCTTCACAGCTGGCAGTTGGCGGTGGGCAAGACTCCTAGTGATTCATTGCCATGGCAATGAATTTTCAATTTAGACAATACGAGAAGCTCTGAATAATTCCCTCTTAAGCGAATCAGAGTGATGGTAAGTTACCTGAAGCATGGCTAATCATTCATCCTGGTGCTGAATCACGATTGCCACCAAGCGATATCATGTAGCTGCTGAGCATGACCAGAACTGATTTAAACCATCGGCATAAAAAGTATATAAAGCAAACGAACTTCTCGATTACGCTACTATAATATAACCCAGTAACCAAACTCTTATGAGCAACATCCTTTCTTGATTCTTGAGCTGTTCCCCATCTACTAGCGCAATTTCAGCCAGGAACTTTAACACGATACCCAGCTATTAATGCTAATGAAAGCAATCGAATATGGGAAACACCAAGAAATGGAAGGATGAAGACATCATCTTTATATTGACGGCAAATCTAGACGGACTTGTTTTAGAGCACATCGCAGAGGAGTTATCTCGCGTGACCAAGCAAGAGGTCCCCGTAACCGCAGTTCGATATGTGGTGCAAACATACGGCTACAGTGCAGAATACGGGTAAGTATTTTTCTTCGATCACGAGGCAAACATATACTGATAAGTTACTGCAGTGCACCCTGCCTAACGCAGATTCAAGGCCCAGAGCAGCGCCGCAATGGAATCAACCCTGCCGTCTACAACTTTAGCCAATTGCCGACTGAAGAGAATCCTAACCCAAAGGTTGTCCTGCGTATCCCAAGACGATCGACGCCCAAAGGTTGGAAGTTTACGAGCACACATCTGAGCACCTTGAAGAAAGACTCACAGGCGCAGCATGACGAGAAAGAGAAGATGTAGGCGTACCATCTACTATTATCCGCAACAAACGCTAACAAAAGTACACATATAGGCTAAAATCCCATCGCGAATGGGCACATCTAGTCCGAAAACAACGAAAACGACCACGAACGGCGCTGCCTGAATCCCCGCCGATGAAGAAATCGCGACGTGTGTCAATGCCATCGCTTGCAGACATAACTGAAAAAAGGACCCTCCAGAAAGCTGAAACATCGTCTAAGCAAGCCTTTATAGCTATTCCTGACGACCCAGGCGAGGGTCCTTCGAGCGATTGGATTGACCGTCCAGAGCCTCCGGTCAAGATTGAGAGGTCTCCGAGCCTAATCCGTACACCTATTCCACGCCGACAAACAAGCATTATGGATGCATTTACTAAAGCAGCTTCAAGAGAGGAAGCTCAGAAAGCTAAAATGGCGACAGTGTACAACCAAAAGAGAGCTTCATTTCCTTCGGCTGAGGCTCTACGCGCAAGTATCCGCCCTGCGTGCAAGCAAGCGGCACAAACAGTCATCATGAACGACGCTCAGCGGGCTATGCAAACGACATCAAATCACGATGTATTTGGAATTGATGCAATGTTACAGACTAGTCCACTTTTGACAAGACAACCTCAGCTATGGTCGGAGATGCAGCAACTCAAAACGGCGCCATTCAACGGTCTACAATATGCCATGCCAAACGCTCACTTGCCAACTGGGAATATGGGCCAACAGTTCGTCCCAGCAACTCAGAATCCCTACCAGTTCCCATTTACGCCAATGACGCCTTCGATGCAGGGTATGTTTAATACGATGGACCTGCGCTCCATGTTGAATGAACCAAGCAGCTTGCAGGTACCTGACACGCCCATCTCCGAAGTGCGAACCTCAACCACAGCAACAAATGCGGAGAGCGTGGCAGCTAGTGCTTCCATGGGAGAAGATGCTTAGAATGCTTTGTTCCCCGAATGCGATGCAGCCAATGATGCCTTTAACGATTGGCTTTCACAGCAACACTGACCATGTTTCAGGCCCTTTCAAGGAATTCCGAGTTAGGTACGTCGATGAGAATAACGGAAAAAGATCAAGTAGGAAGTGATGGGATAGAGGTTAAGTAACTGGAACGGTTAAAAGGGATATCGGGAATAAAGCGGTCAGGTTAGTTTTGACATGTTTAATGGCACGCGTAGTTTGGTAGCCACGAGTATTTGGGAAACAAGGCAAATCTTTTCGTAGAAGTAGACGGTTTAAGGATGTTTTTACACGAGCCGATTCTTCTAGGCACACAATAGTAGTGATGATGAATAAGGAAAGCAGGCTTGCAGGTTGACAGACAAAACTCGATTGTTTCACGGGATAAAAGTAAGTGAATTGGAAGCTACCAGTAAACAGGTTCGCTATATGACCGTAAAAAGCGTATGTAAGTGATGAAGAATATCAAATCCCAGTCTTGCGTCTGTGATATCTTCTTCTATATGTGCAAATGAGCGAGTTCATGCAATAAAAGGATAAAAATGTTTGACTATCATCCAAAAACCTTCAACAGAAAGATCAATGAAATCTCGAGGATATATGTATGTGCTAAGCGATCGTCTTAGATTTCAATAACGAGTTTCTTCGCCTCGGTCAAGCCATCTTCCAGCGAAAACATAAAGACAAACTTGTATAAGTCTCGAAGGTAGCTGTACCTCGAGCTTGTCGAAGCGAGGGTTTGCACCACACGAGCCATTTCCAGTGCCGTGTACTTCTTAGGTCGGGAGGGAAGGAACTGGCTGCGTGGGACAAAACAATCCTTGAGAACGGCCTCTTTATACTGCAGCAGCAGCGTATCGCTTGCCGCTGAGATGCCGAATTCGCCCTTGGCCATGCCCTTGACGTAGCGCTGGAGGTTGGCAGAGCCGTTCTTGGAGTCTGTCATGTTCTCGCGCTTGAAGCCGGTATTCATGGCAGCACGAAGAATAAGCATCTTCGCACGGGTCACATTAGGATCTTCGGTCGCTGTCGTAGTCGTGGCAGTGCTAGAGGTCCGTTGGCTGCTGTGTGAGTAGCTCGACATGTTAGATGCAGTGCTGGACCATCTGCCTCCGCGGTCGCTGCTGGGCCCAAGTACCATAATATTGGGCATTGTGGGCGAGCGGCTGCCTGGTGATATAGGTGTGTCTTCAAGATCTGTCACTGGAGTCTCCGGCACAGGTGGAGGCTGTCGAATTCTCTCCTCCTGGATAGATCTTGTAGATGTATTGTCTCGTCGAGAGTGCCTCGATGAGCGGTTCGATGTGCGGCTCTCACGGCCGCTCTGGTCAACTTGAGGGGGTGTACCGAAGCTTGTTTGGCTGGGTCGCGGAGTATTACGCTCCGTTTGGACATTGTTTCCGTTGCGCTGGAAAAGTCCGCAGAGATCCCAACAGGCCTGGCATGCTGCTTCAAGAAGTTCAGTTTCATCGTGTCCGCCCTCGCGACGGCATTGTCTTAGGCTAAAGAGAAGTTCAGCCAAACTCCAACATGTTGCGATGAGAGCTTCTGTATCGCCAGTTTGACCTTCTCTAAGCTTCATTGAGCGGTGGCACATGGCGATGTAAAAGTCCAGACTGCGCTCATGGAACTGAACAGGATTAGTCGGTGCCTGGCCGTTCCAGAGACTATAGCCTTGTTAGCTGACAATTACAAGTAAACATGTCGGGTGTAACTTACTGGTTCTGGGCTTCGTAAAGAGCCCTTAAATATGAATCGGATTCTTCGTCTCCTGGTACGCGTACTCTCACGTCAAAGAGTGCTTGTGAAAATTGGCGGATGAGAGTCAGAGTCTCCATGAGATTGATGGCGTCAGTGCCTCCCTTATTTTGGTTGGCATACAGGCGCTGGCATAGCTTCCAGCATGCTTCCCAGGCTCGGCCATACGCACTTGGTGTGCCAGAACGTGTCAAGACGTTGAAGTTATGGTTTGAGGGAGGATGTTTGGCGAGGAATGCACAAGTGTCCCAGTAATGGCGGAGCTTATCCTTGAGCATACCTGCGCTATCAGGTCCTTTGGGTTGTGGGTTTAAAAGAGGAAAATTATCATCGGTTTCGTCATGATCATCATCGCTTTCCGCCTCAGTCTGTTCTTCGATCTCTGTACGAGGGTTAGCAAGGTTGTTTAACATTGCGCAAAGGAAAGGCAGACATACTCTCTAAGCTGCTTGTACTGCTGGATCTAAGACGTGTACCCTCATCAATCATATTTTGAATATTATGTGCTCGAGGAGTTGCGCTATCGAGACTGTAGCGGACGGGCTTAACGTCCGTTGAGATAGGTGGTCGGGGAGGGCGATCCTGTTTAACATTAGACTAGTTCACACTATGACATACGACAAGTATACTTACGGGTTCTGGGGTTCCATTAAGGGCAGCGAGACTTGCGTGATGTAATCTAGGGGAGATTTGACGCTCCTCCGTCTGTTTCGGTCCTTCCGTCGAAGTCTAACTCTGTCAGAAGAAAGTTTATATGAACGGCAGTCAGTGTAAACTTACCCAAGTTGTGAAGCCTTCTGGAGCGTGAATCACTGAGACAGATTCCTCGTTACTCTGTCGTACCTCTTCAGGCAGGTCAGTGGTGAGAGCGAGTGGTTGCTAAGCGCCGGTCAGTATTGGTCGTTCACAGATGCAAACATACAGTGTAACATACCTCAGATCGGCTAAGTGAGCTTGCTTCTGACGTCTGAGGACTAAAGACATCCTCAGACACGTCATCTTCGATTTCTGTAGTTTCCGTGCCGTTCGAAGTTACTGGAGAGGGACCGACAATGTCGCTAGGGCTGAGCATAGAGTTTGCAGGGTGAGAGGGAATACGGTTCGCGGAATTGGGTCGGAGGAAGTCGGTTCCCGTGGGAGGAGCGGGGGAGGATCTATTATTCAATGGGTGATTAGCGAAGTTCAGGATCGCTCTCAGATTGCTCCGAGTACTGACAGGTGCTTGAACGGGGATTTGCCCCGGTCAGACTCAGATTGCATGGACATTTCGTTGAAGTGACCAAATGGATATTGAAGACTGCCTGTTGAGGAGCGCACAGGATCCTCGAGGGCCATGTTGGGGTATCTGGGAGTGCTGGGGACGATTCGTCAAGGCCCCGACAGCGCTGGATTGTATATATAGGTATTGCGGGTGATGATGGCTGCTGTACAGTATTATTGGAATAAGGTTGCCGACATCTACAAGATGGGACAAAAAAAGAACTATCGCGTGCAAACAAGAATGCCTTGCGAAAGCCCACAGGCAAAAAGAAGCAGTAGGTCGCGATGGTAGGTCGGCGGCCACGCCCAAAGTTGCTGCGGTTTGAGAGATTGGCGCACCAGGTCGGCCAAGAGAGACCGAGGCTGAGATGCGGCGAAGCTCTAAGAATAGAAATAAAAGAAGAAGAAGAAGAAGAAGCAAGGCGGTGCAATACCCGTTACAAGCAGGCCGCGACCAGAGCTGCTGTGCTTGAATCCGTAGCGGGCAGCGAGGAAGGGGAAAAGCAGATATCGCCAGCTGGGCAGTGCGAGACGACGGGCGCAAAGACGGACGGAGAAAAAGGTGGGAAGGCTGGCTTAAGAGAGAGCGACGCAGGCCCAGGATTGAGAAAACGTGTGGTGTGGGCGTGGCGGTTACGCCAGGCTGATGCTGCGTTGGGCCCTGCAACTAATCGGTTAGTCTGTGATGGAGAAGAGGGGCCCTTTAGCTGGGGTGTGGTGGGAGGAGCAGGCAGGGTTGCGTTGAAGAAGAAGAGGCGGAAAATGGGGACCAACTGACTTGGGCGCCTTTTGCGTTGGGTGTCTGATGATAGCGGATGATGCAATGGGTTTAGGTCTAGTTGGGTTGGTTGATATTTGATTGGAGGTAGAAAAAAAAGAAAAAGAAAAAAGAAACCAAATCACCTACCAAGTGAGGTTGTACAGAGTTCACTCAGAGGAAGGCGCCGTCTGCTGGCTGGGCTGGGCTGGGCTGGTGATCCCAGTGCATCCCTCCTCAGCTCTCAGTGGGAAATACGCTTCTTCAGTAAAAAGTGCCCTATTTCCTTAGCGGACCACAGTCATGGGTCTTTAGCGCTGGTGGTGCCTTGGGGCTGGGTACAGTAGCTTGCACCACCACTAGCATTTAGCATGATAGCGTTTTTACGGGAACGGGTTAGATCGCTTTGTATCCAAGCTAGACTTTTTTATTTGCCAATCACAATTCGCTTTGTCAAGAGTTCTGATTTTCCTTTGTGTTAAACCATCAAGTTCATTATAAAACAAATGAAGCGACTTGAAAAGCAATGAACTTGCAGCACACGCAGTGCTTGCGGCTGTGGCTTGCCAGGCTACCACTGTATGTCTGCTACTTGTACTGTACTTCCCTCGGCGGTTCGCGCGAACTGCACCGCGGCACCGCACCTGTGGAGGTGGAGCAGACATCAGTTTTCTTTGAACAATTAGCAGCAGATAATGTCAAGCATGTCTTACGTGTATTTCTAATACACCCATTAAGCCATAAAAAAGGCGTTTGTTGCGCCAAGCTATCTGTCTCGACTGTCCTCGGCGAATACCCAGACTTGGCTATGCGCCGTACCAAAACGGCAAATGACGGGCGCCTCCCGGTCCCCGGACAATACATGGGCACATGGACGAGCAAGTAGACAACTGTGTGTAGCCTCTGTGTACGTTTAGCTTTACCGATTATCATTTTCCTTTTTTGCGGTGGCAGCAGCCCGTCTACCTCCCCGGTGGGATTCTTTTTTCTCTCCGACCGCCACGCCAATAAAAGAAGGAGGGGAAGACGTGGAATGAGCCAAACGAAGCTGGCAAACAAGCGCCGTGATGGGGTCGGCGGGGTGGAGACAGACACCCAACTTGTTGCATGACCGCCGCAGCTTTTAGACGATAAGCTGCAGTGGTGCGTGAGCGACGTTGACAAGGCGAGGAAAAAAAGAGAAAAATGGTGGCTCAATTTCCGGCTGCACCTAAAGCCAAGGGCCAGAAAAAAAAATAATAATACACGGAGGATGACGGCGGTGCACATTGGGACCGGCCGAAACAAGGCGACCTTACAAGGTCAGTTTGCTAGAGACAATGGCATTGTGCCCGCAACACTACTACTACCACTAGAGCTGCTGCTACCGCTTTCTCCACGCTCCGACTATTTACAAAATACTGCCAAAAAATACCTACCAAACTGTCTACTGTGCCCAAATCACTAGAAAACGGCACCACCACCAACAACAACACCAATAGCCCAGAAAGGGGGGGCGCAAAGATGAGCGTGGATCCCCGCCAGTCCGGCTCTTCTCTTCTCAGTCGTCCACGCCGCGCTGCAGCCAGTCACAGGCCTTGAAGCTCTCCTCGCCCTGGACGGGATGGGCAGCCAGGGCGTGGGCCTGCATGAAGCGAACAGGCATCGGCGCTTATATTGAGGCGATTGAGTGGTCCAACGTTGGCCCTTGGGGGACCACCCCACCGCCACCACCCCCTCGGGTTCAGCAGCCAGCGCCCACGGGAAGCCATTGCGTCCGTCGTCGTTCGGCACACACCAGTGAGAGTTTGCAGTAGCAGCAGCACCTGCGGCCCTGGTAATGTTTTTGTTTCGTTTCCATTTGTTTGCTTTCTTGCGTTAATGCCATGACAATAGCCGGTCGCCTATTCTATCCGCCTTGCTTCCCCTTCCCGCGGCCCTCATCTCGGCCCTTTGCACCCAAATTCATGCGGTTGCTGGCCGGCCTAAGCGTAGGGTCTTGTGACGCCCGCGGAGCACATCCGCCTTGCCCAACACTGCACATCGCAAGTTGACATGTAGTTTTGGAGGTTTCGTCTTCACGCATGCAGGCTCTTTTCCCAGCGTAGGTAGGTAGGTGATGTGCTACCGTGCGTGCGGCATGCACATCATATCCTGCATGGCCTGTACGTATGGTGTCTCTGGGCGTGAACAGGCAGCCAAGCTCTCGCCTTTCAATCCTACTCTCTGTTTCAGGTTGCTCGCCAGAGCACTCACTACTTTTTTTTGCAAAACCACTTCTATTACACTAACATCATAATGCAATTATTGTATTCCGTCCTGGCATCCTTTGGGGTCGGTGTGTCTACTGTAATTTACCCAGCGCCGCTCTCGCTCACAATGGCCCAACGCACGCTAGCTAAGCCTGTCCCCGCCAACTAGCTTCTTAGTGGCTACAGCGTCCCAGAGATCTGGCACGCGGCGGCTCAGGCGGTCGCCAAAGGTGGCCGCCACTTCTTCTTTCTACAGTGGGTAACCAAAAGTTACAAGTAGTCCATATTTCAACAAACGCATTCCAAATATATATTTACACAAACTTTATATGTAATAGTAATCTAAAAACTCGATACATATAAAGTATCTATACTATACATGATATTATATCAAGGTTGATAGAAAGGTAATTTTATAATATATATTAAAGAATACTTGAAAGATTGACGATAAACGACTCTACTTGTAACCTTTGCTTACCCACTGTAGCAGCCAACACAGTCCCTAGCAAAAATGCCCGCGTCTCTTACTGTGGGGATGAATGCCAGCGCAACTCACATCCTTGTCGACTGGGCTTGCAGAACAGTTGCAAACGCTGCAAGCCCCGGTCGACCTGCAGGCATTACCGTTGTCATTTGCAAAGTAGAAAAATACCGTGCAGAGTATACGTTACGGATCAATTGACACAGTACAGGGCTATGGGCGGCAACACGATCCATGCTTTGATAGACGCCGTATGCTTGTCGTCACAGCTTGATCCACCAACATCATCACTTTTACAAACACATGTATCCATAAGAGATGGGGAACGGTGTGCACAGACGCTCCGAGAGTCCCGTCGTCACACCCACTTTTGTCAAATAAGGCGCAAGTCACCTCCGTCAATATCTGTGTCATCCGTTGGGGTCCCTAGAGGATGCCCCCCAAGCCGACTTTGTGAATTAGCCGCGCAGGAGCGCCACTCATCCTTTGACCTTGGCCCAAACCCAATTCTTATTCCAGTTCCGAACATGTATGATTGCCTTTCAGGCGACAATGTGGGACGCCGGTGCCGCTGCGGCAGATGCCGCCGTCGACTCGTTAGGCGCCGGTCAGCGAAGCAGTCGCACGAGCAAAGTGTAATCAGCCTCGTTCCCATTTCCTAACGTGCAGAATCAAAGTGTTACTGTGAGATTTAGAGTGGTCAGCATAACTGGCCGCCTCACTGCCCTGGAGTTGGAGAGGCACTGCCCCCGACGTTGACTGTGTCGTGCATACCTTTCGACGAGGCTAGGCTGAACACTGAAAAGTCAGATTTGTACTATTGTGCCTTATCTCGTATCTATGTGTATATTATCAGTAGTCTCACAAGCGTGTCTGGTGGGTGGCTCTTCAGTCTGCCTGCATTCGTGTCACTGCCTTCGACTGCCAACGTGGGTGGCTGTGGCCATGTGCTTCATACAGCGATACCAACTCGATCTACCGTGAAACCACACCTTTCTGGGTGATAACATGTGGCACACTACAATAAAATCACCGCAGTTGCTAGCAACTTTAGCGAGTGTACAACCATCGACGGCTGTGATAGATTGGCGAGATTGCAACGTATCAAGAAACGATGGTGTTGTCATATAAAGTTTATCATTCAATGGTAGTATACTGGCTTTTCTGTAGCCGACTTTTCCGTAAACACAAAACAAAGAAGAATTAAAACGCCGTGAAATGATACACGCTCCCGAATTTGCCGTCCGTTGGTCCGTTATGCCAGTTCGTTAAGTCGCTGCTTGATCTCACTTCGTCCGTCAGGGGTATATCTATAGATATGTTAGCACTAAATCGTCCATAGAGCCATCGGTTTTCGCTCTGAGAGTAAAGATTGCACGTACTTCAAGAGCTTTTCAATGAGGTCGACGTGGGTCATGATCATGCGACGGCAGCAGTAACGTTTCAAGCCGAGCTCATCCATAGCATCACTGCAATCAAACATGTTAGGCTTCTGCTTCCTTCATTATCATACGTAATTTGTTCTGTACATACCCATCGTTCTTTCGGGGGTCAGAGATGAGCTGCAGGTAGCGCTCCCAGAGATCGCCAGTGACCTAGCCACAACGTTAGCATCTATGAGTGTCGACCGTAGCGAGATAAGTTTAGAAATACCTTGCCACAAGAAAAGCAACGAATAGGAATAATCATTTTTGCTGATTGGTTATATTTTATTCGGGTTCAAGAAGAGGATTGATGGTTCGGATGGTTGATGCTGGCGGTCGCGGGAATGGCGTCGTGCAGGAAATTATCTTCCTACCGAAGTTTGCCCGCCGCGCCGGGCTTATCTTATCGGGCCTAGGAAAAAGTTCATGGCGGGACCAAAATTTCTGCGGAAGCATTTTTAGCTACTGGCTTGTAGGACAATTGCCGTCACCGGGTTGGACGATTGCTTTTTTATTTCCTCTTCGCAACGACAAAAGTGCGTTATTGCGTTTCGATATGGCACCGTCGAAGACCCCCAAGTCCAAGGACGATAAAACGAAAAAGAGAAAGAGAGATGTCAGCGACGCAGTCGAGGCGTTGAAGCGCCAGCGTGCGCAAGGTGCATCACAGACCAACGGCGAATTGGATTTGACAAACGGTGATTCAGCAAACATCCACAATGCTGTTACCGGTTTGTCCGAAAATGAAGCTGGATGGAGAATCTCGCGGCCAATGGGCGGCAGAATGCTGGACGTTGACCCGATTCTGACAGAGAACGACCAGTACGTTTCTGCTTGTCTCTTTTTTTGTCTGTCAAATGCTAACGGCTACTAGATTCTTAATCCTGACCTATAACACATCGATACAAGTCTATACTGCGGCAGACTCCCTTCTCGTTCGTCGCATACCGATCACCCTCATTGCACCTGACACTCCGAAGGGCGCCAAATCAGCCACCATTGTTTCGACTAAGCAGTCTCGACAATCGCCCAACCTTCTCTGGGTCGCCTGTTCCGATGGTATTATTTATCAAATTGACTGGACAGTTACTGCGAAGGATCATAAGAAATTCCAGACCGCCTCCAAAACTGCTAAGGCTCTTGTGACACTCACGCATGACAAGTCAGAGATTGTGGTTGTTGCCGAATCAGACAAACCCACGCGACTCGAATTGGTTGCATACCAGTGGAATGGCGAAAACGAGCCGTCTTCCAAGAGTCTCGTTACATTTAAGAAGCCCGGAAACGGTCTTCAACTACTGGAAGTCAGCGCCAATGGCCAGATCTTGCTTGGTGCCTTGAACGATCGCGTTTTCCTTGGCAAGCTGAGCCTGGACGGTGGCAACGGCTTTGATGCCTTGCAACACGAGTTCTTTTCTTTTGATGCCCCCGATTTGGTCACAACAGTCGACGTACGAACTTACAAGAGAAGTGCAATTGGCAAGAAGAAGACAGATGCAAGCGAAGTAGTCGATATCCTGGTTGGTGGCGCTCGTGGTGGTATCTACTTGTACCACGATGCTGTTGCGCGTTGCCAGGCTGAAGGTGGCAATGCCTCGAACAAGGAAAGCCTTCACGCTCAGAAGTTCCATTGGCACCGTAAGGCTGTTCATGCCGTTAAGTGGTCTAGGGATGGTAAGTTCTTCTGCACTAGCTTTTATTCCGTCAAGTGCTAACACAGCATCATAGGTGCATATATGATATCTGGTGGCTCAGAGAACTCTTTGGTACTTTGGCAGATGGACACTGCAAAGAGAGAGTATCTGCCTCACTTGGCCGGCAGCGTGGAAAACATCGTCGTTTCTGCTGACGGTGCTTCTTATGTTGTCCACCTTGACGACAACTCCACAATGATCCTTTCCACAGCCGAGATGCGCCCTACAGCATACGTATCAGGTATCCAATCCGCCGTCACCGAATCCGAAACTCCTAAAGATCTCCTCGTCAAGCGTGTATGGGGTGTAGCTGAACAGGTTCAGCGCCCTATCCCTGCTGCTATCCGCGCTACGGACCCCTCACGACTCCATGTCTGTGTTGGCAACGGACGTCAGGCTACAATGTCCGGCGCTCTCTCAGCACCTCTGCTACAGACCGTCGATTTGGAATCGTTTTCGAGCGTGTTAAGACAAGCTCTAGCCCGAACACAGCCCACCGACCTCAACCTCACACACAGAGGCCAGACAATCGACGAGCCGCTCGTTACACATGTCAGCTTCTCCGGCGACGGCAAGTGGTTGGCCAGTGTTGATGACTGGCAGCCACCCTTGCGTGATATTGAACATGTGACTGTTGACCAGCGCGAGCAGTTCATCCGCGAACGACGTGAAATCTATCTCAAGTTCTGGGAAGTGGAAGAAGGAACGGATTCTATCGCTCTCGTTTCAAGAGTGAATGGACCCCATTCCACTGGCACTGCCAACCCCGTCTTAGACCTGGCATCTGATTCCTCCTCGACATGCTTTGCTACTATCGGAGGTGACAGCATTGTGCGTCTGTGGCGCCCCAGAACGAAGCTTCTTAATGGACAGCCGGTCAAGGGAGCTGGAGGCAAGGAAGTGTCAACCTGGGTTTGCACCGACACAATCGCCTTGGGTGAAAGCGTCGGCTCTAGTGCTCTGGTTGAATCTTCATCGACAAAGATGGTTGCTACACAGGGCAAGATTGCTTTCTCGGAAGATGGATCAACCATTCTTGTTGCCTTTGGCTCAGCTGAGACTGGCACCATCTATGTAATCGATGCTTCGGCTGGAATGGTAGTCAAGGTCTTGGAGAATCTGTGGGATGGCCGCCTTCACTCAGTACAAATGCTCTCGCAATACGTTATTGTGCTTTCAAAGGAGCTTCGCGTATACGACATTGTAAGCGACGAGCTCCGCTACGGCATTGCAGTACCGCAGTTGCCCAACGCACAGGAGATGCTACAGTTGGCAGTGGACAAGAACTCCGGTCACTTTGCTGTGACATTACCTACTAGAACCTCGTCGAGCATTGGAATTTTCAATCCTTCCGAGCCGGAACCCGTTCTAGTCCGACACACAACGCAGCGCATTGTTAGCATTTCTGCGACGCCAGATGCTTCTGGTTTCATCGCTCTCGATGATGCTGCGCAAATTTGGACCATCACCGAGGGATCCGATCCTTCATCTATTATCACTGCTCAGTCGCTACAGGACCTCAACTTGGATGCACCTGGTCAGACTGAGAATGGCATCGACCTCAATGGCGATGATGCCATGATGGACGATGAAGATGAGGAAGTCGATGAAGGGCAGGCTGAAGTGGAAGATGACGATGACGAGATGGATGTCGACGATGCATTCCCAGCCAACATCATTAGCCAGCAAAGCTTGTCCGACATTTTTGATGCTACGCCGGCTTTTGCTGCACCGTCCATCGAAGACATGTTTTACAAGGTTACTGGTCTGCTGGCCACGAAGCCACTGTCTGCATCTGATTAAAACAATCCAGAGCAAGGCAGAAAACAATGCATGCCTAGCGCTTAATGTTTGCGAAGTGTGAAGCGGGTTGCATCCCGAACGTCCGGCTTCGGAGAGCGGGGAGATCGAAACGAAAATATGGTGGGGTATCACGCGATTGGCCGGTGGCGCCCTCCTGTGTAATGATGTACAAAACGTCGAGTTACCATTTGAATATAGCATTTGACATAGTTTCTTTTAACAACGGATATCATTTGAGTTTTCAATACATTGCCCACCGTGCTGTCGTAGCCGCAAACCACCACAGAATGTCTTTTACGTCGATCCCCATCCTCGACCTTCACCTGGCGCGGGATCCAGCGACCAAGGCAGAGTTTCTCACGCAGCTTCGTCATGCCCTCATGGAAGTTGGGTTTCTGTACCTCAAAAATGTCGGCATCTCAGATGAGCTTGTCCAAAAGGTCATTGAGCACGGTAAAGCGTTTTTCGATATCCCTCTGGAAGAAAAGCAAGTCATCCATCCAATGGACCCAGAGCAAAGGAACCGCTGCTGACCAATCCGTACGTGAACAGATTGAAGATTGAAATGAAAAACGCACCGTCATTTTTAGGATACTCGCAGCTATCGGCTGAAATTACAGCGGGAGAAGTCGACCACAGAGAACAAATCGATCTCTCTACGGAGCATCCCGTGGCCACCCCGGATCAGCCGAGATACTACAACCTATTCGCCCCAAATCAGTGGCCGGCGGAGAACGCCGCGCCTGGATTCCGCAGCACATACACTGACTATATGAAGCAAATGGGTGCCATATCGCTCTACTTTACGTCCCTTATAGCAGAAGCCATTGAGCTCCCCAGCAACGCCTTTGACAAGTACTTTGATGAGGATCAACAGCACAAGCTCAAGATTGTCAAATACCCGGATCTCTCTGAGCTGGGATTCCCCAAAGATGTTCAAGGACAAGGTGTTGGTCCGCATAAAGACAGTATGCTCACATCCTACCTCCTACAGGCGACTCAGCATCGCGGCCTCCAGGTGCAGAATGTACAGGGCCAGTGGATCGACTGCCCTCCCATTGATGGAACTCTGGTAGTCGCAATTGGCCAAGGTATGGAGGCTTTAACAAAAGGCACATGTGTCTCTACGACACACCGAGTTCTGTCGCCGCCCGCTGGATCAGGAGCACGGTTCTCGATCCCTTTCTTCCAGGGTGTCAAGTTTGATGCTGACTTTGACGAACTGGAGAGTGTTGGTGTGGGAGAGGTCCCCGAGGCGGTTCGGGCTCAGAGGCGAGCTGTGATTGAACGAGCTGGAGGTCGCATAGACGATGTCGAATTCACATTCCGTAAGGGAGATGTAGCCAAGACCCTCGGCGAGGCAACACTACGCAACAGAGTCAAGAGCCATCCAGACGTAGGCGAGCGATGGTATCCAGACATTCTCGCCAAAATCCGAGAAGAGCAGGCTCTCAAGGCCAAAGAGGCTGCTGCTGCGACTCCCGCAACTGTCGAGGCGCATTGAACACCCCAGGCACTGCTGCGAGCCATATAATGTAGTATTAGCGAATGCACAAAGAAACACAGACTGTAATATTGATATTTCAAACATCACCTCCATGAACACAACTTATGAGTAAATTGATCCATTGTATATCCTTCTAAACGCCGCATCTAAATCGCTAGCTCTCCATCTTTCATAATTTCGTCATCACCACAACGCCACTCACCACGCCACTACTAAACAAAAATAGGAAACCGCTTTTAATAAATAATGCAATCGTAACATTTCTTCGTACACCGGTTCAAGATCATACGCTTAAGCGGTGATACCGGGAAAGCAGTCGGCCATGCCCTTGTTGTGCTTGTTCTGAGCGTGCTCGAGCAGTCTAAGAGAGAAGAGTCAGTCTGAGATGTCCCACTACATCGGTATATAATGTCGAAGCCGGGATAGTATCGCACGTACTGTGGGGGCTTGGTGGTCTTGAGGAAAGTCGATCGGCAAACAGTGCAAATGATGTCGCAGGCAGCCTGGTTCTGTAGCAAGGGTTGAACGGGTTAGTCTGTGTCTAGATCCTGGGTAGATGGCATACCAGGTATGCGGCAGGTACATACGACTTTGAGCTGCGACTTGGCACCGCCGGACTTGTCCTTTGCGTTGCGCTCGCGCTTCTGCTGTGCTTTGGCTCCCTGTAGATTAGTTAGCAAAATGAAAAAAAGACCGCTAATGCTTCCGGAATCGACCGTCCATGGCTCCGAAGCCGCACGACCTGCAGGTAGCGGGGCGTGGATGCCAGAGACGGTGTCCGGAATGTCCATAGGGGTTCTCCTTACGTTACCCATGATGCTTGGCTTCTTGCTGTCTGGCTGTAGTGTGGTTCCTGTGATGGTTGTTTTTTTTTCTCGGTGTAAAAAGCGGGGGGTTGTTGAAAAGGTGGCGGTTTGGAGAAGCAGGACCCTATGGTATTGCAGGTGGAGACTCCACTAAAGCAGCGTGCTGCTACAGGTCACGATATTGGCCAAAAAGCCGGCATTCGAATGGCAAACGATAAAGGATGGGATGCTGCCTATTACGGAATTTTCTCAATCAGGTCCGGATTAGGCTTTTTGGGTTACGTCTCTGGTTCTTTATTAGGCATTTTAATTAGTACGGTGGCCTTTAAGTCTTTCGCCCGGGGTGTCGGTTACCCGATCGAGCAACCCGAGCATAAGCAGCTCGCAGACCAACACGTCGTGGGCAATCCGGCACCTGGCAAGACTGCCAGCCAAGGCGCGTTGGGTTTCCTTTTGCCGTCAAAGCTGCAACAGGCATCACCGGCAAAGCGGAATTAACATTTCCCCTTCGATCTCCGTCACCTTATTACGGATACAGACAACCAGGTGTCGTTCCGGCTCCATCTCTTGGCTCTTTCTGTGGAATTGCCTCTTTAGGAAACCCTTGTACTTGCGAGTGGATCGCTAGACGCAGACGGGAGCAACAAACTGCGAGCCGCACGTCAGCCGTGCAGGTATTCCGTCGCCCTGCTAATCATGTCTCCCAGATGAGGAAAGCCCGGCCTTCCAAATAGAGTATCTGTCAATTATCTGGTTACTAGACTGGCTACAACAACGGCGCCTTCTACAAACTCAGCTTGGTATGAGAGGCGCCATCACCGACAGCATCCATATCGACATCTTTTAGAAAGCATCCTCAACAAGTCATTCGTTAGTTTTCTACAACAGTAAACAAGACAATGGTCAAGCTTACAGTTGCCTTTTCCTTCCTTGTCGGAGCGGCTGCGGCTGCCACCGCGCGCAAGCCCATCTCCAACCACACTGCACCTGCCCAAGCCGCTGGCGCTGCAGCAGCTGGAACGAGCTTCTACTACCCCAACATGGATCATGTCAATGGCCCAAGAGGTTACGCCCCTGACCTTGGCGACGACTACGACTATCCCGTCTATAAGACGGTCAACCCGGGCGACGGAAATGCTATTCAAGACGCAATTAGATCTGGCACCAGGGGAGATCGTCACCCTACATGGTTGGCTTCTCAACCTCGAGTCGTCTACCTGCCTCCTGGCACCTACTATGTCAGCAACACAATCGAGATGAATACCGATACCGTCATCATGGGAGACGCGGCCAACCCTCCCATCATCAAGGCCAACGGCGACTTCAACGGCGACACTCTTTTCACTGGCAAAGATCCTGCTGTCGGTGACAGCGGTGAACTCTCCTTTGCTGTGGCCCTCAAGAATGTCGTCCTCGATACAACTGATGTTGATAAGTGGTCTGGTTTCAAGGCTCTCGACTGGAGTGTCGCCCAGGCTGCTCATTTGCAAAACGTCAAGATTGTCATGCCTCCTGCTGGTAGCGACAACAACGGCCACACTGGTATCTTTTTGACCCGTGGCTCTACTCTCGGTCTTGCTGATGTCCATATTGAGGGTGGCTTAAACGGTGTGTGGCATGCTGGCCATCAGCAGGCTGCCTACCGCGGCCTATACATTCGCAACAGCAAGCGTGGCTTCTTCATCAGCGGCGGACATACCATGTCCATCATTGCTCCCACGTTCGACAACTGCAACATTTGTGTGCTGCACGCGGACAGTGCTCCTGGTATCTCCATTGTCGATGCCAAGGCGATCAATAACTCCGGCACCCTCTTCCAGACCAACAACTACCCTTCCGTCACCATCGACAACTTCACTCGAGACAATAATGCCGATACTATGAGCAACGGAGACGGTACTGTTCTTGGATCCCAAAACCACGTTCAGACTTTTACCTACGGCAACACTGTTGGCCGCAACCCCAACTATGGCCCAACTACCACACAGAGCAATCGTCCCCAGGCTCTCGCCCCAGGTGGTCGATTCCCGATCAACAACGCCCCAACATACGCTGACAAGACCGTGGCCGATTTCATCAACGTCAAGGATCCTAAGCAGAACGGTGGCCGACAGGTTTATGGTGATAACAGCCGCGATGAGGCAGGAACCCTCAATGCCATTCTGAAGCTCGCCGCCCAGAGTAACAAGATTGCCTACTTCCCTTTTGGAAAGTACCGTGTTGATTCTACTCTCTACATCCCACCTGGATCGCGTATCGTTGGCGAGGGCTGGGCCACTATTTCTGGTTTCGGTGATTTCTTTGCTCATGAGGACCGCCCTCAGCCAGTTGTCATGGTTGGCCGTGAAGGCGAGACTGGTATCGCTCACATTCAGGATATGCGCTTCACTGTCGGCGATGTTCTTCCCGGTGCTATTATTGTTCAATTCAACATGGCTGGTAACGCACCTGGAGATGTTGCCCTGTGGAACTCTCTGGTCACTGTTGGTGGAACTCTAGGTGCTAGCGGTATCAGCGACCACTGCTGGGATGCCCACAACGAATGTAAGGCTGCCTTCATCGGTATTCATCTTAGCAAGACTTCGTCGGTTTATGTTGACAATGTTTGGAACTGGGTTGCCGATCATTTCACCGAGGGTGGCGGTGGTGTTGCTATTGCTGCCAAGGGAGGTGTCCTCGTGGAATCAACCAAGGGAACTTGGCTGCATGCTCTCGGTAGTGAGCACTGGTGGCTCTATCAGCTTAACCTCCATAACGCCGAAAAGGTTTTCGTTTCGCTTCTTCAGGCTGAAACCAACTATGATCAGGGTGATTTGGTCCAACAGGTACCGCCTGCTCCTTGGCAGCCAGAGGAAGGCAAGGATCCCAACTTCAACTGGTGCGGACCCAACGATACTCGATGCCGCATGGGCTTTTCCAACTACATAAACGGAGGTGCCGATATCTATCACTACGCATCTGCCGCCTGGGTCTTTTTCAAGGGACCTTCCCAGGGCTCACAGGGCCACCCAGGATGTGGTAACAACCAGTGCCAAAGTGAGTTGCTTTGGTCATTATCTTTCGTTCCACTTTTGCATTACTAACTTATCATCTAGACTATATCCATTGGATTGAAAAGGCTCCTCGCAACCTTGAGCTCTTCTCCCTCTGCAACAAGGACGCGTACTATGCCCTGCGCCTGGCTGACGGCACGGGCATCCGAACCAGCGAGGACCACTTCACCGGTTCTTGGGGTGGCCTCGTTGGACGCTACACCAACTAGTGGAATTTCCAAATTCGAGCAGGTGCAAATTATTTCGATTCAAAATAGACACTGTATGTAGTTTTTAATAGAGTCCTGTACTGTCGATAGAGCTGTCTGGTCTTGGTCTTGTGCTCGCCTGTAAGTGGAGAGACGCCTCTAATTACTAAAACGCGTGAGGCGCCCAACGTTACCAAGGTATAATCTTTCACATCATGCCCGCACCAGCCAAACAGTCCGCAATCCATCTTGGGTTGATTTAAATATAATTATACGGTATATCAATATCGTATTATTAGCCCGCAGGAACGCCATCTGTTACCGACTCCCGTTCTTGGCGAACCTCTAAACGCGAAGCAATGGCCATCCCAGACGCCGCCTCCATATCAAAGGAGGACTTTGATACTCTCGTCAACGAATACCCAGTGCTTGTCAAAGAAATTTCCGTCACAAAAGGATGTAAGATGCCTCCCGTCTCAGCCCTTTACTACAAAGCACATGTCTAACACTTCGTCACAGCCAAGCCTGGCCAAAAAAAGCTCTCGCAGCTAGACGTGTATCGCTACGATGAAGCGCCAGCTGCATTCGCTATCAATGGTGCAAAGGGGGAAATGGCATTAGAGGATGTCAAGCGCCTTGTTGAATGGAAGCTGTAAGTCTATTTTGGTTCCTACATCACAACACTCCGAAAACAATCGCGTCTAACTCCCTACATAGACGTCACGGCAAGTTTCGCCCGACGCTGATGAACCTCGTATCTTCCAACACCGATGTTACTGCTACCAGCACAATTGCCAAAGCCATGGCCTCTTATACGCCATCCACTATCCCAGCCGCTCTCACAACGCTTACGGCGCTGCGGGGCATCGGACCTGCCACCGCGTCGCTTCTACTCTCTGTGCACGATGCGGAGAACGTGCTTTTCTTCTCAGACGAGGCGTTTTGGTGGCTCTGCTGTGATGGAAAGAAAGATAGCATTAAGTACAACCCGAAAGAGTATGAGATGCTGCGATCAGTGGCTGCTAAGCTCATGAAGAGGCTGGGAGTGAGTGCTGTAGACGTTGAAAAAGCAGCGTATGTGGTTATGAAGCGAGGCGGTGATGTAGCTGCTCCCCCCAAAGGCAAAGCTGGCCCGGCAAAGGCAAAGGAGACAACACCGACTGTGAAGAAACCTGCGGAGAAGAAACCGCCGGTTGAAAAGCGAAAGCCTGACGTAGCAGACGAAGGATCTACAGCCGTGGCGGGGACACGGCGATCAAAGAGGGTCAAGGGTTGATGCGTCACTGGCAGGCTAATACGTCAATTGAACCAATTCTTCTTTTATATCCATTCTTTTTTTAAAAGCTATCAGTGAAAAGCAACTAGAATTAGACTAACACGCTCACACAGGGGGGAATTTAGCAAGCTACACAAATCGGCAGATGGATTGCGGCTTGCTTCTTTCGGAGTGGTCGCTGGCTACGTGAACCAGGCTAATGGATACCAACGACTTGTTCATTTGCCCTTCTTGGCCTCGGTGGCCTGTGTGGCCTCATACTTGTCGCTCAAGTCGCCGTAGCTCTTGTGCAGCTGCTCGCTCTGCTTCTTGAGCGTCTCGAGGTCGAGGTTCTTCTTCTCGAGCTCCTTCTTGAGGGTAGTGATCTCGGCGTTTCCACCCTTGCCGGGGATGGGCTTGTTGCTCTCGAAAGCGGTCAGGCGGTCCTGAAGACGGATGTTCTCGGTGATGAGGACGTAGGTGCGGTTGAGGATCAGAGACAGGAAGAGGGTGAAGCCGCAAAGGTACATGTTGCGCTGGGAGTAGAACTTGCGGGCCTGGACTTCGAAGCGTTCGTGGCCGAGGACAGAGGCTCTGTAATAAAAAATGTCAGCATACTTCTTTTTCTTTAAGCATAGAGCATAGATTTCGCAGCAACATACCCTCCCTTGGCAATCTTCTCAGTGGCAATGGCGAGTTCAAGCTGGACACGGTAGACGCGCTGGACACTGTCGATGAATAGGACCAGGATGAAGATGAAGGTGATCTTCATGGCGTACATGATGCTGGCGACGACGGGGTTCTCGGAGAGGAAGCTACGCTCTGGGTTAGCAGCGGCAGGGCGGGGAGGGGAGACAACGCACGTAAAGATCTTGCGGCGGATGGTGTTGGGGAAGGGGATTATGAGCATCATGAAGACGCCCATCTCGAAGACGAGGAGCATAAAGACCTGGAGGCGCTTGTTAGCATCGCGGATGTGTTGTTGCGCGAAAGCGTCGCTACGAGGCGGCGATGACGTACGATGGTGTAGTAGAGCGTCATCTTGGCGATTGGACAGCGTAGACTGCTTGAAATGATTAACGTTGAGCACTATAAAGCTTTTGCCGTGGAAAGGAAAAAGCACCTGTGTAAAAGGAAAGGGGAAAAAGGGTGGGAGTGCGCAAGAAGCGAGCGATGCAGGAAATCAAAAACGTGGTCTTAGGGAGCGCGGCGTCAGTTTTTGAATGTTTTTTTTCCTTGCTAGGCGGCAAGCAGGTAGCTGTGCTGTAAACTTGGAGCTACAGGTGCTAGCTTGCGCGGGCAAAGAGGGGGCGGCGGTTCCGTCAACGTCATCCAAGGAACAAGCTTGTCTTAACTGGGCGATGCAAGTCGTGTGTGGCGCAGACCCCGGGCTCCACTGCATCGAACCGCTGAAGGGTCTGCTATAGCGTAGTCACTCAACTAATTATAAGCACATGCAAATGAACACAGAGATTCAGAATATGCTAGAATGACAGGGCGGCTCTCTCAAATAACAATGGCAGTTTTTCTAAAAAAAAATAAAAAATAAAAAAATAAAAAAAAGACAAAAAGAGGCCAGGTATACAGTTTGTGGTTAATTAATTATTAGATTTTATTCATTTGTTTCTACTTTTACATATTCGACCTACGGCGATCGTTGCGTGTGCTGTGTCGCCTGCGTAATGGCACCGCGTCACTCTCTTCATCAGTCCCGGTCAACGGCGACGTCGGGCCATTCGAGATGGGCTCGTCTTCGCTATCTTCAATTCGCGTTGCCGATTCGGTCTGTGCAGCTTGTCGCGGCAATCTTCCTCGTGTTGTTGGCGTGGATCGCTTCGAGCCTTCGCCTTCGTTGGCTTCCAACGTTGTGCGGCGGCGTGAATAGGCAATAGATGGGCTATTTGTCCCAGTAGTTGGTCTGCCCACCACCCGTGGTTGCTTCCTAGGGCGTCCACTGCCGGGACGTGCTCCTCCTCTGTTGTTGCTTCTTGTCTTCCTTGTGTCTTCCCTAGTTGGCGTTGGTGTCTCTTTGGCAAGGCGTGCATGTCGTTGATGTCGTCCGGCTTGAACAGGCGTCGAGCCGTCATCTGTTGCTGCGCTTTGCCAATCATTGCTCGATTCGTAGCCAGAGGCTGCTTCTGGCTGATAGTCCTCTCTTTCACTAATGCTTCCATTTCCTCGCTTTCGTTTTCTTCTCTCTGGCAAAGGTGAAACTTTCCGAGGTGGCGATGTCGAAGCTTGTGCTGGTGCTTGTTCTGTCGCAAGCGCGGCTGGTATGGCCTTCTTCCGTCCACGACGCTTCTTCACAACAACACCGTCGTTTTGTTCGCCGACTTGTGCGGCAAACTTCAAGTCTGTTTTAAGGTGGTCCGGGATGTCAGTTGCATCGGGGTCGAGTAACTTCTTCGTCAAGTTAGGGAAGTGTTTGCCGTAATTGAAGAAGATCTCCTCGCCCACTTTAATATCTCTGAGGGCGGTAAACTTGATGCGCCATTCTCCGTTGACGTAAAGGATGGTTGGTGCAATATTACAGCCTGTTATTCCGCGCTCTGGGGCGTGATTGATGTACCGGCTCAAGTTGCCATAGATGGCGGCATCGATCCATAAACCTTCATTGTCCAGCAAGGTGAAGACGTATGATGTGCTGGATTGGTCTCCGAAATCATCACCGCGTCGTTCCTCACGGCGAACTCCCTCATCTTGAGAGATCAGCTCACCCACATACTCAATCACAAAGTCATCCTGTCGTATATCTTCCATGGCAAAAACACCGTAACCGACGCCTTCAAGTTGACTCTCACCCATTGCAAGCTTCTTGTGTAGTCCGCGTTGAAGGTCGCAGTTTTGACAGCCCTCTCCCTGAAGCGACTCATTCCGTAAATTCTCCGGCTTCGCCTTCTCAACGACACCGCAGGATCCGCATAGATCTGGGTCACATTCCCGGTTGAGTTGACGACATACGCACGGGCGATCCTTTTGCCTATCGGTGCAAGTCTTGCCTTGAGAATGGCACGCACAACCGGTAAACTTGTAAGCGCAGTTTTCTACAGAACATGCGCACAGTTTCTCGCACAAGAGACCAGCATCAACACAAGAACACACTTTCAGCCGGCATGGTCCATCGTGGAAGCAAGGGTCAACAATATCTCGCCGCTGATGCTCATGAGAGTTTGTGTGGTCCTGCCAGTCGCCTAATAACATCTTCTTCCATCGATCATACCACGGTAGACTCTTTGCGGAGGATTGTGTCGTCTTGGTCCACGGGAAATCAATTCGCATTTGCTGCGTCTGTAAAAATACATCGTGACAAGACCGGTCAAGTATGGCGGCAGCTAAGCATATAGGATCGCTAGGTTCCGCCAGACAGATAGACTGTAGCATTGATTTTTCGCGCTCGGAAAACGGCAACGACGGCGATGAGCTTGGCGGGTTTGATTGCTTCTTGTAGCAATCATCGCCGCAAACGTTGGACTTGTCTCCTTTGTCTTGCTTTGCTTCATTCAAGTGACTCCTCTGACGCAGAAGCTTTGAGAAACTGCCGTAGCAGGAGCCAATGGATATGTTTCGCTTCAAGTTGTTGAGGTCATAATCACCATGGTCGCAAGAGTGGCTAAAACACAACAAGCACCCTAGATCGGTGAAACTTGACAAGCTTGCGTCAATTCTGTTGAGATCTGTCTCCGCAGCCTCCGCTGCTTGTGGCTGACTGTCAGTCGGCGCATTGGTCTTACCATCTAAACTGGTGCTAATGGCAGGATCCATAGAGAAAACAGTATGCAGCTTCGTACGCCGCGATGGTTGGCTGTTGCTATCGAATACTGATTGGAAGGCATCCACAAATACTCTAGATGCCAACTCAGCATTGGACATGGTCCCTGTGAGTGCTCTTCCTGGTGACTGTTGAACAAGCGTGGCGCCTTTCTTATGTGTAATGATTGTCGGATCAGGGTACTTGGCCAGATACTTCAACACATTCTCCTTAGTACACCTTGGGATAGCAAGCTCTTTTAACCAAGCATCAATATACGGCAGTAATGCTGCAGCGCGTTCATTTTGTATCATGAGGGCATATTTCTCAATCCCTTTTAGTGGTTGGAATCCAGACTTGCGTTCGGAATCAGACAGCTTATTAAGCCATTTATTGTACGCCGCTTCCTCATTGTCTTCCAGGTCGCGGACATGAGGTGAAAAAGTCAGAGACGTGTTCGCAGTGAGCATATTTCGTTTTATTTCGACATGGTGAAATCGATATGGTGGTACTCGGTCTTGGTTTGTCTTGATAATCGTTACGTCGTAATGCTCCAATCGCTGGTCCTTTTTCTGTTTTAAATGTTGCTATGAACTAGTTAGTATGTAGTACACCGCGTGTGGGATAGATCGGTAGTATTACTTTCGACTTCATTCGTATAGTATCGTCTGTTGCGTCTTTGGAAAGCGTGGTGGACACATTAGCAAACAGATCAGTGCCGGAGTGAACGCGATGATCGAGGGCGATGGTTGAGCTGAGAGCTAGAGATGTCACAGTGGCGTGGTCTCGCTTGACAGCCTTCCTAAATTCGGCCAATTTGATGGCAACACTTTGAACAGAGTGATTTTTGGGGTAAGTGGGATGTTTCGATTCGGATTCGGCTTCCTCCTCCGCTTCAGCCTCCGACTCGGCTGCTGATTCCGACGCTGATGCTGCTTCTGGCTCCAGGGCAGACTCTGGCTCTGGCTCGGGTTCTTGTTCTGGTTCTTGTTCAGTTGGAGACACTGACGGTTCAGCGCTGGGAGAGTAGTCTGCTTGCGGTGGCAGTATTGGAGGGGTCGCGGCGCCGCGGCTGCTGCTGCGCCTGTCTGGTGCATTCAACAGGGACGCAATGGCAAGTTTGAGTGGTCGGAGGGGAAACGAGGATAACGGTGATTTGTCGGGCGTTTCTGAATCTGCTGTAGCCGCCTTCCTGCCGGCGTTGGCAGGAAGTGCTGAATTCCCATTCATAGGACGAGACGCCATGATTCCACATTTAGTGATGTATAGCTTTCACGGCTTGATCAAGCAATGATTAAGAACAAGGGAAAATCCATCGCCATCTAAGGAGACACCTGGCCTTATGAGCGGCGAAATATCAGGACCTTTTGTTGCGAGGTAGTCAGTATCAAAGATACGCCTGCTCCAGATGCCCATGCGTGGCCCGTCGCGTCCGTTGAAAGGACTCTCTCCAGAAGTGGTTAGACGCGTTGACAGCATCATAACAGAACATCGGCAGATGTCTTTAAGTGGTCACGTGATCACATCTACACAATTTGGCCAAACAAAGCGATGCTACTTATATATCCGCCTAAAACTTTGAATAGAAAACTATTGTCTCTATGAAGATCTTGCCATGGGTTCTCTGGGTAGCCTATTATTGACTTGATCTGAGCTGCACCATCCTAAGTTACGCGGGCGTAGTCAGCGTGCCTGGGACCAATGGAACTCTGTGACGTCATGCATTTTTCGACCACCGGTGCGCCTGGACAGCATGAAGGCCGATAGCTGAGTACAGCCATGGCCAGGGATGACGCAAGGGCTTTTGAGCCATGAGATGGATCAATTGGCACCGTCAACGATTCGAAAAGTTCACAACCATTTAGGCGAGCGATCGTAACTCTAAATCTACTATAAGAGCTTCTTTAGATGCTGCAGCCTCCAGAACAAGCTTCGGCCCACTGGGGGGCTCTGCGATGGGATTGATGATCAGGGCAGCTCCAGCAACGCACGAAGAAAGAATAGGTAGATCGTTAGTTGAGTTGTCAAAGCAGTGTCAGTTTAGCAGATACGTCACTACGCCATGTGTATTTGTGGCATTTTCCCAAATATAGGCTCGGGAATAGTAGGCGGCCACAGCGGCCGACCCGAAACGGCGCCCAGCCATTTGCAGAGCAATGACAGCCAATGGTTGGTGGCGTTCGATTGCGGTTGCATATGCGAGATTCGCTGTTGAGTTTTGAATTTCACCAGCGTTGTGAGGCAACTGTCTCGACCGAGAATGGCTCTGAAGCTTCGGGCCTTCAGCCTGAGAACAGAACGGGCATCGTCTACGTCCTCGCAGACGTGCAACATACAGAGGGAAGCTAATGCAAGATGCTGCATCTCGCAAGACGGCTGCTGTGGCAACCAGAAGTCGATCTCCAGATACTGTCGCGGTAGCAAACAAAGAACGCGAACTATGGGTACGGATGGATGCACTATGACAGGCGAACAGGGATTCCAAGCAAGGACAGCCAAGCATTTGGGAAATTTGGCAAAAAGGGCGACTTGGAAACAAGGGCTCCGTGCCAAAACTAGGCCTGCCAGGTTTCAGCCGTGCCACTGGAGCGGAGGCAGAGCTACTCAGCGGAGCGCTAAGTTTCCGTAGGGGCCAACGCTACGGTTGGTTGCCCCGTTGCGTTCAGTGGTGCAGCCCTCTATAAATCGGGGGCAATGGCGGCGCTTAGGCATTGGGCCTGAGGGAGTGAGAGCGACAGCACAGTGTTGAGGACAGAGCGCTAAAATAATGGAGGCAGAGCGCTGCCTGACAGTAAAGTAGACAAGAAGAAACTTACAAACCGTGTGTATATACTGAATTTAGTCGCACTGCCCTTGTTTTGTCAGCCCGGAGTATTGTCTCTCTTGGCGGTGATTCACGGCATCGGCGTCCAGCCATGATGTCCGCTATGCTACAGTAAATAGTTTTTCTGCACTCCACTGAAAGCCTAGTCCAGGTACCTAGCGTGGGGTGTGGCGCCCCAAAAGAGCGCTGAAGCAATTTTTTTGGCGCCGGAAACCACCAGAAACCAGGATTCGGGCACCTGCCCCACTTGCTCTCAGAGGATGACGTAGCCGTAGAAACAAGCAAAAAAGAAGCCAGAAGCATTGCCCAGACACGCAAAACCTACTGTAGACCACCGCTCAAGCACGCTACCACCTGTTCCCGGTGCGCACAGCCTGTTGGCCTTCCCGGTTTCTGGTTCCCCCATATATTCATCACCGCTGCCCCCCCTCCTCTGTCAATCCCTCTTCCTCCATACTTCCTATTCCTCATATACCCCATTTGTTCTGTTTCTTGATTCCCCCAAGACCCAGAATCATCCTAGCTCAACCCTCAGTTACCTTCCAGTTGCCTACTACCTAGCGCAACAACCTTTCTAGCTCAATTGTCTTCTTACGCGTAATCTACCACAAACACCACCGCCAGAATGCATCGCACATACTCTATGCGCCAGAGCCGCGCTCCTACTGCCTCGCAGCTTCAGGTAAGAGACTTCAATGGCTTCGCGGAGCGGCGCTCGTCGTCGCCCGCATCCAGCGGTGCCGCACCAAACTGGAGCTTTCCGGAAAACTAACTTTGGAGCGTCGTAGACCCCTCCTCCCCCTCCCTCCTCTACCAAGTCCGGCATCTTCGGCCGTGGCAGTCTTAGTAAGTTATTTCTTGCGCCAGCGCAGCAATTGAGTTTCCCCTTGTCGCATAGCGCTAACCGCAGTCATTTTTTGCAGGCCATGCTCTCCGCCGCAACGCTGGTGGCGCTTTCGGCCCTGATTTGGCCAAGAAGCTTGCCCAGCTTGTCAAGATGGAGAAGAACGTCATGCGCAGCTTGGAGACTGTTTCCAAGGAGCGCATGGATGTTGCTCAGCAGCTCTCCGTCTGGGGCGAGGCTGCCGACGACGACGTTTCCGACGTCACCGACAAGCTTGGTGTCTTGCTGTACGAGATTGGTGAGCTTGAGGACCAGTACGTCGATCGCTATGACCAGTACCGCATCACCATGAAGAGCATCCGCAACATTGAGGCTTCGGTCCAGCCCAGCCGCGACCGCAAGCAGCGCATCACCGACCAGATTGCCCACCTCAAGTACAAGGAGCCCAACTCTCCCAAGATTGTCGTCCTTGAGCAGGAGCTTGTCCGTGCTGAGGCCGAGTCTCTCGTCGCCGAGGCCCAACTCTCCAACATCACCCGCGAAAAGGTCAAGGCTGCCTACACTTACCAGTTTGACGCTCTCCGTGAGCACTCCGAGAAGGTTGCCATCATTGCCGGTTACGGTAAGCACCTTCTTGAGCTCATTGACGACACCCCCGTCACCCCTGGTGAGACTCGCGCCGCCTACGACGGATACGAGGCTTCCAGAGCCATCATCCAGGACTGCGAGAACGCTTTGACCAACTGGATCACCGCCAACGCCGCTGTTTCCTCTAAGCTCTCGACCCGCTCTCGCAACCTGTCTCAGCGCCGCCGCAACAACATCCGCGCCCGCACTGAGGGCCACGACCTCTCTGGTCAGGATGCTCCTTACGATGACTCTGAGGAGGAAGAGGAGGAAGAGGAAGAGGAAGAGGAGCTCAACGGCGAGACCCGCGGCCGAACCCAGGAGGCTATCGCTGCCTAAACTCGTAACGAATATACGCACCAAAACTAGCAAAAACGAATGAAAAAAATGGGAAACAAAAACAATCGACTGTCTTTTGGATAACAACAAACAGTCAACATGCCGGCGACATAATTGTGGTAATATAGAGCTGGGCGCCGCCGGCTAGGAGTTGCTTGAAAGCGTGGGGGTAGAACGTTCTATTATCATTATGAAAGACTTCTTGGGCTAGTTGAATAGCTTTTGAGCTGTATGCTTATTCTATAATACCATTTCGTATCTAAACAGTATAAACACATGCACATGGTCTCCTTCAGAGTGATTGTAAAATTGTAAAACAAAAAACGCCGCGGGTTCCGTATCTAAGGTGGTATAATATCTATGTACAGTGTCAGGGTAGTTGTCCCAGAAGGTCATCATCTCATGTAAAACCGACGCCACCACTATTTAACGCCAGTTTGCCCTTGTTGTAGATACATTGTGCGCTCTTCTTGCGAAAGCTGACTGGAAAACTTTTCGACCTCGATTTTGACAACATATTTGCCGGGCACGACCACCAAGCCCACATACCGCGAAGTCATGTCTAGCGTCACGGACTCATCGCCCGCCACTTTCGCCATGGCCTCGGCGCGCTGTCGATCTGATGGCGGACGATATTCATATGTGTGGGATAATACTATATTTTGTTCCTGGCGATCGCGTTAGCTGGTTGCAGGGCAGTCGATATACCCCGCGGGGCAGAAACCTACAGGGTCGGTGCATTTGAGCTCTCCCCAAAATAGGCGACCGTCTGTCGTGGTGACGCGCAGATTCTTGTTGATTATCGAAGAGAGATAATCTCTCGCCTCTTCGGTATTCATTTTGCGGACTGTGAGACGGCTGCAGCGCTGCTCTAAATTCACGGTGGTTGCAGATGGCTGGCTTGAAGCTCTGCTTTGCAGAGGCTCCATGGACGTTTTCTGGCAGTCTTCGATCCACCAGCCGCGCTGCGTGCACCTCTCCACCAGACAAGAGTCACCGTGAATTCGCCCTCTGCATTCACAGTGCATCCTCCTCACCAGCGCCCTCGGCATCCACGCTTGTTGGATTTTCGAACAACAAATCAATTGCACTGAGGGACTGTGCAATATTCTTGCCGCCGACATGCAGCGTCTTCTCCGTGATTGAGGCACCATTGTCTATCCTCTTCAGCTTCATTTCATGCCCGACTGCTCAACATGGGTGTTAACGGTCTCTGGAGCGTCATCCAGCCATGCGCCCGACCAACCAATTTGGCGTCGCTAAACCGCAAGAGACTCGCAGTCGATGCCTCAATTTGGATTTACCAGTTTCTTAAGGCTGTACGTGACAAGGAGGGCAATGCGCTGCGCAACTCACACGTCGTTGGCTTCTTCCGGCGCATTTGTAAACTTCTATGGTTTGGTGTGCAGCCTGTTTTCGTGTTTGATGGAGGTGCACCAGCTTTGAAGCGAGCAACTATTCAGAAGAGACAGCGCCGCCGCGAAGGACGAAGAGACGATGCAGTCAAGACTGCCGGCAAGCTGCTTGCTGTGCAGATGCAGCGGCTCGCCGAGGAGGACAAGGAGCGCACGCGTGCTCTCGCCGAAAACCCGGCATTGAATAGGGAGGAGGAAGCGCCAGTATTGTCTGATGCCAGCCAATTTGTCTACGTGGATGAGATTGGCATGTCACAGAAGGAGAGACAGCAAAACCGCAAATTCCACAAACAGGATGCCTATCATTTGCCTGAACTTGACCGCAGCATCGCATCAATGGGCCAGCCGGATGATCCCCGAATCATGAGTGTGGAAGAACTTGAAGAGTATGCACGTCAGTTTAACGATGGCGAGGATATCAACCTCTACGATTTCAGCAAGATTGACTTTGATGGCGATTTCTTCAAGAGTCTCCCACCACCTGACCGATATAATATTCTAAACGCAGCTAGACTTCGAAGTCGACTCAGAATGGGCCTTAGTAAGGAACAGCTTGATGAGATGTTCCCTGATCGCATGGCCTTTTCCCGTTTTCAAATCGAGCGCGTCAAAGAGCGAAACCATTTGACGCAACGGCTAATGTACGAGGTTGGTATGACTGGTACAGACCTTACATTAGGCGTGAATGCTCGAGTAGCCGGGGAGAAAAACAGAGAATATATTCTGGTCAAGAATGACGGCGTCGAAGGAGGCTGGGCATTGGGTGTTGTTAGCAAAGACAAGGAAATTGGAGAAGCCCACAAGCCTATCGACGTTGACGCCATTCAGATTCAGTATCAGGCCAAAGATGATATCGACGAAGACGATGAAGATGAGGACTTTGAAGATGTCCCAATTGCTGGGATAAACCGGCTACCCAAATTGAACGCAATGGACAGCCAGGCTTCTGTAGCCACACATAGCTTCTCAGAACAACGCAAAGAACTATACACTTCCAACAAGGGCAAGGACGCTCAAGTGGATGAAAACGAATCGCTATTTGTTGGAGGATCTGCCGACCTGGAAACAAGCTACCCCGGGACTGAGGCTATGCATCAAGAGGAAGAAGATGACTTGAACTTTGCAATTGCACTGTCTCTCCAGAATCAACACACTCTGGATGATACGGGTGGCCATAGAACCGATCCCGACCAAGATTTAGCAGCGCCAGAATGGAAACAGACAGCCGTAAAGGCTTCTGCTCCTATTGTTGGACGTGGGGGCATGGCTATTGCCCATATGGTTAATAGGCGTGCAAATGCCTCCATGACAAAGCCTGCAAATGATGTCTCTAGCTCTGTGGCCCCTATTACAAAGCCCGAGACAGATATCGAGAAGAACGATGACAGCGATAGTGATGAGGATATGCAGACGCTCCTTAGCAAGGCTCGCATGTCTAAGAAGCCAGCCGCGCCTCTGCCAGTTTTCGAGAAGAAGAAAAATCCTTTTGACGGACCCCTTCCCTTCCCCAAGCTGTCGTGGGGATCCTTCGCTAAGAGTGCAAAACCCGAAGAACCGACAAAAGTCGCAACTGCTACCGATAGCAACACGGACGAGTATGACGGCTTTGCGGGTGGTGGTTTCGAAGCTGAAATCAACATTGACCACGATGTTGCGCCTAAACCTCTCCCTCCCTGGCTCGCTGACGATGGGGATATTCGAGATGCAATCAAAAAGCAGGGTAACTTTGAACGGGAAAAGAATGCAGAAGACAAGGAGGCAGCGGTTGAAGCAGAAAGGCAGCGCCAAAAGGAGAGAATGATCGAGATTGAGTCATCGGACGACGATAGCGACGACATTCAAATAGTCGATGCTCCCAACAAGACGATCATCAGCCCACCTCCTGTGACTATTGCCCCCCAAATAGATGCGGCAGACACTCAGGATGCGCCTACCGACGAGCCATTAGTGACAAGAGATGATAAAGAGAAAGAGGAGTCCCCCGAACCAGAATTTGAGGACGTAAACATTCCAGATTCTGGTCGTGAAGTTGTTACCGCAATGGAAACACCAAGCGACGAAATAGCCCCCGTTGAACAGGCGGCCTCCGTATCTTTCCAGCCTTATAAGACCGTGGCCGATGAAGAGTCTAGTCGCCGCATCGACGACGAAGATCTGTTTGGGGATGCCGAAGACGATGAGTACAGCGATCCTGATGAGGAAGAGCTTCTACAGGCAATGGAATTAGAGGCAGCTGAGCACGCTCGATTTGCCAGTGAATTAAACCAAAAGTCTGCCCAGCAGAACCGCGAAGACTACGAAAGGGAGCTACGAGCTCTGCGAACGCAACAGAAGAAGGATCGCAGAGATGCCGACGAAGTTACTCAAGTTATGATTACAGAATGTCAGGCATTGCTGCGTCTCTTTGGTATACCTTACATCACTGCGCCAATGGAAGCAGAAGCCCAGTGTGCTGAGCTTGTCAAGTTAAACATTGTGGATGGTATTGTCACCGATGACTCTGACACATTCTTATTTGGTGGAACCCGAGTCTATAAAAACATGTTTAACAGCAACAAATTTGTTGAGTGTTACGTCGGTGCTGATTTGGAAAAGGAACTCTCACTCTCCCGCGAGCAGCTGATCTCTTTGGCACAACTCCTCGGCTCTGACTATACAGAAGGCATCCCTGGTGTTGGTCCAGTCACTGCTGTTGAGATCTTATCCGAGTTCCCCGGAGCATCTGGCCTTTCTGACTTCCGAGACTGGTGGAACGACGTACAGTCGCACAAACGACCAAAAGAAGCCGACGTGGCGTCATCCTTCCGCAAAAAGTTCCGCAAGTCACAGGCTGCCAAGCTCTTCCTGCCGACGGGATTCCCCAACCCTGCCGTCTATGATGCCTACTTGAACCCCGACGTAGACCATAGTGCAGAACCCTTCCAATGGGGTGTTCCGGACGTTGAAGGTCTGCGCCGGTTCCTTATGGCCACGATTGGATGGAGCAAGGAGAGGACGGATGAGGTGCTTGTCCCCGTCGTCAAGGACATGAACAAGCGTGAACGAGAAGGTACACAAAGTAACATCACACGATACTTTGACGGCACAGTTGGTGCTGGAGCTAGAGATGCCTCTGCACCGCGTCAAAAGGCACAAAGTAGCAAACGAATGGCGGCGGCAGTTGACAAACTTAGAACCAACACCGCCACTGTGGACAATAGCTCAGCAGGTACAAAACGGAGACGGACTGACAAGGACACTAATTGAACGATTTGAGTTGAATAAATCTAAATACATATTAACCTTTGTTGCCCCGTTTTCTAAATATTTCCTTTGCATGTTACATAAATAGGCATGATTCACTTCGCTGGCGTCGTGTAAGTCGGCTAAATGCCGGATAAGCCGGTCGCGTTTCTCTTCCGGAAGGTGGCGTCGTGCCGACTTGCTCTTTACATTGCCATTGAAAAGCTGTGTGTTTGTTTCGGGTCGCCCAACGTTGTCATTTGCAAAATCATCGACTTGTTTCTTAGACAATAATACCGAGCGGAAAAAACTAATTCGTACACAAATAGTCAGAAAAGATGATGGACCAACGAGAACTTGAGGCTCGCATACGGGCTCTCAGCAAGACTGTCGGCGCAAACGAGCCTCCTGAGAGCGCCTTGCGTTTGCTCGAGACTCTGAAGAAGGATGCTGCTCCTACGGAGGAGATGCTTAGGGTATGTTCTGCTGTTAATGCGCTGGGCTTTGGGGCCAGTTAGTCTGTTCAAGGCGCCTCCTAGTCTGGCGCAAACTTGGCTCACGACTTCTCCGCATACTAACATAATCCTGATTCACTATAGGCTACGAAAGCTGGTGTAGTCGTCGGAAAACTACGATCGAACACAAACAAGGAGATTGCTCGCGCGGCGGCCGAATTGGTCACAAAATGGAAGAAGATGGTGGAGGCGGAGAAGAGCTCCAAGAACAGCAAAAAGCCAGCGACATCGAGCGCAACCGCTTCGCCGGCAGCTTCAGGTTCCAAGGCTGCCTTCACTGGCGACCCTGAGAACCGCAAATTCGAATCCGACGGAGTCGACACGAACCGCACCGAGTCCAAGGTTCGCAACAGCTGTATTGGCTTGATTTACAACGGTCTCGCGTACCGTTCCACTGATGCACCGGCCAACGTCATTGCACGTGCCGTTGCTGTCGAGAGCGCTGCTTTCAAACTGTTCAAGCAGGAGGAGAGCGCTGACTACAAAAAGAAGATCCGTTCCCTGTTCTCCAACTTGAAGAACAAGGCCAACAAGGAGCTGCGCAAGGGTGTCAACAGTGGCGACATTAGCCCTGACCGATTCGTTGCCATGACTGACGAGGACCTAAAGAGTGAGGAGTTGCGCAAGAAGGAAATCGAACTGGAGAAGGAGAACATGAAGAAGGCCCAGGTTCCCATGGGAGAGAAGAGTATTAGTGACAGCTTGGAGTGTGGCAAGTGCAAGAAGAAGAGGGTCAGCTACACACAGGCGCAGACCAGAGCTGCTGATGAACCTATGACGACATTCTGCGAATGCATGAACTGCGGTAATCGCTGGAAGGTAAGAGTCCCTTGGTTTGCCACGTCTTCTTCTGATACTAACATGGCATCGACAGTTCTCATGAGCGAAAGAAGGGAGTTTTTTTTTTGCTTTGCGCTAGACGCAAGCTCTTGTTTAACCTATTTTCTATTTCTTTGTATAATTCATTAGAAAAGTAAGGAGTTGAGTGGATGAGGAGCATTGGGGAGTTTATTTTAAGTTAAAAAACAGTTCACTTTTTTTCTTTCTATTGTAACCAAAATGAATAGTCACTTGGATTATGCCACTGAAAGATATCAGGTTCCATATTTTGATAATGATGCTTCTTTGTTTATATCTTTTTCGATCTATTAAAGTTTTTAATTTCCAGTAACTAAAGCCGTTACACTGGTTTGGGTATCCCTAACTCCGCGAACAAATCGACTGCCTCCCCGTCCTGCTCGGTCATCTCTTTAATTATCTTCCAGAACTTGCTCACATGTCTCGTTCCAGAGTCACAAAGCATTGTAACCACAACACTTCCGGGGGGGAGTGTCATGGCCGTTGCCACCGCCGCTGTGCAGTTGACTGCGCTGCTGCTGCCAACGAAGATCCCATCCTTTTCAACAAGCCAGCGTGCCATCCGGCAAGCCTGTTCATCCGTGACCTTGACGGCATCATGAACTAAATCTCTACCTGCTTCGAAATTCTCCGTCACGCGGTTCACACCGACACCCTCCACGATCGAGTCGACCTGTTGCCGGCGCCGTGTGCCCTCCTTCTCTGTTGACGAGTACATGACGCCGTGCTTCACCTTGTTGTAGAGACCGCTGCCCTGCGGATCAGCAAGAACAATCTGCGTCAAATCTGCCTTCATCTCAAGTTTGATATATCGAGCAACTCCGGAGATTGTGCCGCCGGTGCCTGCGCCTGCAACAAAGGCGTCCAGCTTGCCGTCAGTCTGCTTCCAGATCTCAGGACCCGTAGTTTGGAAGTGCGCATGCCAGTTAGCAGGCGACTCGAATTGGTCTGCAAAGAAGCCCTTGCTTCCGTCGTTATGCTTGGCTGCGTGCTCCTCAGCTCGTCGGCGCGCAAGATTGACAAAGTGGTCGGGGCTGGTGATGGGGGCCACGGTGACTCGTTCGACGGTGGCGCCCAAGTGCAGCAGCAAGTCCGACTTTTCCAAGCTCTGGTCGTCAGGCATACATATGTGAGCTCTGTATCCCATTGATCTGGCCAGAGTTGCAAGGGAGATACCCGTGCTGCCGACTGTGCCTTCGTAAATCGTATCGCCCTGGTTTGGGGTCAAGAGGCCCTCCTTCTCGGCCTCACGGATGATGTTTAGAGCGACGCGGTCTTTGGGACTGTTTCCCGCGCCATTGAGGAACTCTGCCTTTGCAAGAATCGTCCGGCCGGTTGCTTCGGACAACGATTGGATGTTGATGAGCGGCGTGTTGCCGATGCAGCCTGCGATGCCGTCGCCAGCTACTCCGTCGTGTGCTGCTGTCGGGTGGTCTTCGTGGTCTTGGAGCTGTATCGGGGCGCTCCAGAAGAAGCTTCCCTTTCTTTCATGCTGCTTGGAGCCCGTTCGTCGTCGTCTGGTCTGTCGGAATCGGGTTTGGAGATCGGGATAGAAATCTTTGAATCCCAGTGTCAACAGGACGCCAGCACCAAAGGCAGCAGCGACAGCCGCCGTTCCGTAGGCCCTTGGGTGGTCGCTTAACGACATGGCAGCTGCCAGATACTACTGAATACCCAGACTTGGTGTTTCACCAGCTTTTTTATCCGCTGCACTCTGCCCAATTGTCGTTGGAAGCAGGTCGTGCAGGCGCTGATGTCATTCGCAGTAGCGGTTTCCAGGCCTGTTTTTTTAGGCGACGCTAGCGGTCGATTAGCCTCCCTCCCCAAACGGCTGCAGCCCAACGGCCAATCCAGTGCACGGAACATCTGTGGTCCCGACTTCTCCGCCAAAGGAAAAGGATACAAGCAAAGCTCACCATCGTCGCTGTCTTCCTACAACCACCGCGCCACGTCCCAACGCCAATACGCTCGCAATGGATTCGCCAATTGTGGCTAATTTATTCCGGCAGCTGTTTCGCCATCGCCCGGCAGGCTGCCGCGGACGAGTTGCGCAGCTGGGGAACCGTCTGCCGCAGCTTCAGCATTCTCTGTCGCGTGGTCGAGCATATTCTGCACGGCCGTCGATCGATCGAGGCATGAAGACAAATGAGAGCAGATGGCAGCAAAGAACTCAGATTTTGCCAGAAGATCGCAGCGCCGAATTCAAGCAGTATCCCTACATCACAATGGACGAGCTCAAGCTTCGCAAGGAGAGGCCGCGCCGAGTGAAGATGCTCATGCGAGACTTTATCGATGGTACGGATGCAGAAAAAACGGACTGACCCACAAGCGAGTGCTAACGATGTGGTTTCTATAATACAGACAGTTTATACAACCCTCACTACGGCTACTTCTCCAAGGAGGCCGTCATCTTCAGTCCCGGCGAACCCTTTGAATTCAACAGCATGCGAGACGAGATCGAGTTCCAGTCAGAGCTAGGCAGGCGATACATTGAATTTGAAGACTTGCTCGACGATGCTGAAGGCGTTAATCCCACGCGCCAGCTCTGGCACACGCCGACGGAGCTCTTCCGTCCATACTACGGCGAGGCGATTGCGCGGTACCTCGTGTCCAACTACCGCCTGACGACCTACCCGTACCACGACCTCATCATCTACGAAATGGGTGCCGGCCGCGGTACCCTCATGCTCAACATCCTCGACTACATCCGGTCGGTTGACCCGCAAGTCTACGCGCGAACCAAGTACAACATCATTGAGATTTCCCCTGCGCTGGCAGACCTCCAAACCAGACACCTCACCTCCACCGCCGAGTCTCGGGGCCACTTCAACAAGGTCAACATTATCAACAAGTCCGTCTTTGCTTGGGACCAGTACGAGCCGTCGCCCTGCTTCTTCCTGGCCATGGAGGTCTTTGACAACTTCTCCCACGACGGAATCCGCTACGACATGACGACAGAGGCACCGCTGCAAGGCCACGTCTTGATCGACGCTGACGGCGACTTCTACGAGTTCTATACACACGAGCTTGACCCGGTTGCTGCCCGCTTCTTCCGTGTTCGCCATGCTGCCACGGGCGGCCAATATCCCAAGCCGTATGCCGCCAACTCGTTTGTGCGCTATCTGTCCACCAAGATGCCGTTTGCGCCAAACCTTTCCGACGCAGAGTACATCCCTACGCGCCTAATGCAGTTCTTTGATGTCTTGGAAAAGTACTTCCCTGCGCATAGGCTGCTGACTTCGGATTTTCACAGCTTGCCTGAAGCTGTCAAGGGCCTCAATGCGCCTGTCGTCCAGACGCGGTACAAGCGCCGCATGGTGCCCGTCTCTACACCTCTGGTAAGTTGGACAGAGTGTCGCTATCCCGAAAATGTAGATGCTAACTGAAGAAACAAAATAGGTCCATCAGGGATACTTTGATATTCTCTTCCCCACCGACTTTGGCATAACGGAGGCCATGTACCGTGCCATCACCGGCAAGTTGACCCGTGTCATGACCCATGGAGATTTCATGCGACGCTGGGCATATGTCGAAGACACAGAGACGCGAAGCGGCGAAAACCCTCTCCTCTCCCATTACAAAAACGCCAGTGTTCTGGTTACTGTATAAATAGAGCTGTTACATACAATAGTAGGAATTGACGGTGTATGTAATACTTTGTGCGTATCATGCAGAGAGTAATTACAATAAACAGCTATTCAATTTCAATTTTCATTAAAAATGCTACTGGTCGGCATACACCGTAACTATCAACAAAATCACGTTCCTAGTTTGAGTTAATTCATGTTTTACAACTTTAGCTTCTCGTTCAGCCACTGAGTAGCCTTCTCGACACCCTCATCGATGCTCTCAGGCTTTGTTCCCTGGCCCTGGCGAACAGGCTCCTTGCCTCCCGAACGGCCACCGACGATGTCAGAGACGGTCGCCGCCCACTGCTCAGCAGTGACACCCTGGGACGAGAGGTGAGTGCCGACGTAGACAGCGTGGGCAACACCACCTTCCTCCTTGCTTCCACCGACAACGTACACCGACTTCTCCTTGTCCTTGGACTGGAAGTGCTTAATCACATCGCCGAGAGCCTTGGCGTTGGCGCTGATAGGCAAGCGGCCAACGAACCACTTGGCTTCCCTGTTATCCTCAAAGTACTTGAGGACAGCATCGAGAGCAGTCTTAGCCTCCGCCTTTTGCTTCTTCTTCTGTTCGTTGACAACAGAAGTGGTGATCTTGTTGAAGCGCTGGTTGAATTCATCCTTGGTGAGAGTGGAAATAACAAGCTGGCTGAGAGCCTGGGAAACAGCCTTGACCTTGACCTCCTTCTCGGGGCCAAAGGGCATGGCATCGAGCTCGTCGAGGTTCTTCGAAAACTCGACAGCTTCCCGTTGGACCTTGTGAGCAGCCTCGCCAGTGTAGGCGATGATACGGCGAATACCCTTCGCAATACCGCTCTCTTCAACAATAACGAGATCTTTGATGAGACCAGTCTGCTCAACGTGAGTACCACCACAGAATTCGATACTGTACTGGCGCCATTCCTCCTTCTTGGGGTCAGCAAGCATGGTGTCGATATCCATACCAACGGACACGACACGGACAGGGTTGGGGTAAGTCTCGCCAAAGACAGCACGGAGGCCTTCAATCTCACGAGCCTTATCCAAGTCGACATCCTTGTAGTAAACTTTTTGGTTCTTGCGAATGTGTGCGTTGGAGAGCTCTTCAATCTTCTTGAGCTCGTCAATCTTGACACCAGTCTTGTGGGAGAAATCGAATCGAAGCTTTTCGTTATCAACAAGCGAACCCTTCTGGTTCACGTCCTCACCCAAAACTTCTCTGAGCGCATGGTTGAGAATATGGGTACCGGTGTGGTTGTTGCGGATAGGTGAGCGGCGAAGCTCGTCGAATTCACAAATAACCTCGTCGCCAGCAGTCAGAGAACCGTACTCAATGTAACCGTTGTGAAGAACAAAGCCACCGTAGTTTTGTACGTCCATGACCTTGAATTCAGTAACGCCATCAATGACGATACGGCCAGTGTCGGCGACTTGACCACCAGATTCGGCGTAGAAGTTGGTCTTGTCTAACAGAATACCAATAGGAGTCTTTGCAGGGATATCCTTGGTAGAGGTTTGGAAATCCTTTCCATCAAAAATAGTCTGAATCTTGCTCTTGGTGTCGCCGTTCACATACTTGCCCTCATCTTCAGTACGGGGGAACTTGTGCTGTTGTTCCAAATCGGCAATCTGGTGAACGTTGAGTTTGGCATAGGTCTGAGTAGAGTCTTTGACAGCCTTGCTGGCTTCGCGAGCCTTCTGCTTGGCAGCTTCTACCTCTTCTTCGTCAATGTCGAGGCCGCGTTCTTCGGCCATCAGCTTGGTCAAGTCGACGGGGAAACCGAAGGTGTCGTAGAGGCGCCAGACAACATCACCAGTGAGCTTCTTGACGCCTTCTTTCGTGGCCTCAGCAGCGTACTTTTCGAATTGAGCCTCACCACGGTCGAGGGTACGGGAGAAAGCCGCTTCTTCCTCGTTGAGGATCTCAATGATGTCGTCCTGCTTCTTGACAAGATCAGGGAACTGGTCACCTACTTGCTCAACAAGGGCAGGCAGAATCTTGGCAAAGAACGAGCCGATTTCAGCGTTGAGGTACTTGCGAGCGTAGCGCACACCACGGCGAAGAACTCTGCGAACAACGTAGCCGCGGCCATCACTATCAGGCACCGCGCCGTCAGTGATTGAGAAGGACAGGGTTCGGATGTGATCAGCAACAACACGGTAGGCGGTGTCGATGCCATCAACATCGTCCTTGCCGTACTTATCAGTGTAGGTTCTGGCACCAGTGACTTGCTCAATCTGTTTGAAGAGAGGAGTGAAGCAATCGGTAGCATAGTTGGATGTGGTGTCCTGGAGAGCAGACACGAGACGCTCGTAGCCCATACCAGTATCAACATGCTTGGCAGGAAGGGGCTTGAGGCTCTTGTCCTCCTGTCTGTTGTACTGGATGAAAACGAGATTCCAGACCTCAACAACCATAGGGTCGTCCATGTTTACGAGGCTGGCAGCATTGCGCCCACCAATCTTGTCGTAGTGGATCTCACTGCATGGGCCACAAGGACCTTGGTCGCCCATCTCCCAGAAGTTGTCCTTCATGTCTCCGGGAAGGATGTGGTCCTCGGCGACACCAGCGTCGATCCAAAGCTGCTTGGCCTCGAGGTCGGGCTGGAGGTTGAGGTCGGGGTTGCCTTCAAAGTATGTAACATATAATCGTTCGCGGTCAAGGCCGTAGACGTTAGTCAGAAGATCCCAAGCCATGTCGATAGCCTCCTTCTTGAAGTAATCACCGAAAGACCAGTTGCCCAGCATTTCGAAGAAGGTGTGGTGGTAACTGTCCTTGCCAACATCGTCGAGATCGTTGTGTTTGCCACCCGCACGGATAACCTTCTGGGTGTCGGCAGCACGCTTGAGGCTGGCCATGGGATCGGTCTGGCCAACTGTGCCGAGGAAGATTGGCTTGAACTGGTTCATGCCCGCGTTGGTGAAGAGTAAGGTGGGGTCATTGTGAGGGACGACAGACCCGGAGGGAACTGTGGATGGTGCGGTTGGTTAGCAATGTATATTAAGAGAGATATTATTGAAACGGTATGCATAATGCGAGGTTGGCAATGTTCGACGGGAGGTGGTGCTGCGTTGCTGATGCAAAGAAAAAATATTCAACGAAGAGTCATACCAATGGTGTGTCCCTTCTTCTCGAAGAAGTCAAGGAAGGTCTGGCGGACGCGAGCCGCAGGCCACTTAAGATCAGCCATGGTCGAATGCGAATACAATCGACGTTGGAATAGCGATACCAGTGATTGTCTCGTTGTGGCGGTAGTTGACGAGTAAACCGGCCAAGGTGGTGATGTGCGGAGGGAGGAGGGGCTTTGTAGTAAAAGAGGACAAAGAGGACCAAGAGGTGCGGTAACAGAAATGGTGGGGTTGCAGGGTGCATGTGCTGGCGGAGACGCATGGGGGCGGCCAGCAGCAACTGTGGAAAGCGCTGTAGCGTGCGCCAGCCTCCGCGACACGGCACCCGTCGTGCAGCGGTGGAAAGTTCCAGAGTGACTCAATGCGCCTAGTAACAGCACCTGCCGCCCGCTCCCGGCGCGATAGCTTCTCCACGACCACATCGCCGCTTTGCGCTCCAATGACTCAAATCGTCTGTCGCATCTGACTGCTTTAGCGACCTGTTTGATTTGCTCGTTTTGTCGATCTGACCTCGCCGCGGTGATTCATTCCTATCACGAGCGAGTCCAAAGGGGGGGATGTTTTGTTTTCTGAGGAGCTAAGGCTGGCCAGAACCGACTGCGCAATCTCCCGCCGCTCGGCATGGAACAATCCAACGGCGAGGGGCAGCACGACCTCAGGCATAAGAGAAAGGCTGATTCACAAGACAATGAGCGGCTGTCTAAGCGGCTAAGTCTTCTAAACATTGGTAAGCTGCTCTGTTTTTATGTTTGAACAATTGTTTTTACTGGTTCCCCCGTGCGGAAAACTAATTCACTTGTTTTCTCTTTAACAGAGCACGATGGCACCAAGCTATACGTTCCAGTAGAGAAGCCTCGACAACTTAAAACGCCGAGCTCGAAGTTGAGAGAGATCGCCGAAGACGATGACTCAATGCACCTAGACGATACCAAGCACAAGGTGTACATTTACAACATTGACGATGAATTGTCATCCGAGGACGAGGACGACAGCAAGCTCATCTTCATCCCCGACATTGAGAAGCGCCTGAAAGAAACACGCATACCTCCATCCATCTTGGCCAACAAAGATGGAGAGCTCGCAGGCATGCAGGTTGTGCTTTATAGTGACCCCAAGTCTCTGACTGTCCCTGAGGAAAAGGACGGTGTACGCAAGGCCATCCTTGACGCAAGACGACGACTACGTGCCAAGCAAGGCGGCGCAGATGACAACGGCGCCGCAGAAAAAGTCCCTGAGACTAGCAGCGAATCTAGAAACATCGGTGACTCCATGGAGATGGACTAAAGTCGTACCCAGATGATGTATTATACCCCACGGACAAAGAGGCGTTACAGGTTTGATTTATAGAGTTCATTACAATAGTATCTAGTCTAAATTATACAATGCCACATAGCCAGTCGATCATCCAATTTATATAACAACTTGTTTCGAAGAACACATTAAACCAGCACCTCGTGACGCATAAACCTAACCATATCTGACAGGTCCAGGCACCGATCTGGGAGGTGGTCCAACAGGAGGCTGATAATCATTAGGGGGCGCACCAACTTGTTGGTTTGGGTTCAAGTCTGATTTTGTGGCTCCTCCAGGTGCGGCATACTCAGGAGGTCTTGTAGGGTCGTAGACAGGAGGAGGCATCTGGTTCATGGTGTAGCCTTGGGCGCCGTACATGTCGTTGCGTACCGGAGCACCATATGTGGTGTTTGGAGCATAATATCTTCGACCGACGAGACACTGTCGTGAGGAGTCAGTGTTAGAACTGCATCCCAAAGAAGACGATGCGACTTCGCGTGTGAATATCAACTTCACTTACTCGGTGGTAGGCTAGTGGCGGGAGGCCCTTGCGGATGCGGCTGCGAGCATGGAGATAACCTCCAACGGTCCAAAGAAGGACGATGAGTACTAGGGCGCCAGCTAAGCACCACTTGACGATAAATCCGGTCTAGAGGAAAGCAAATGTCAGCGAATGAGGCCGCGCGTTGACTACGGTGGGAGCGCTCGTCCGTACCTGGGAGCACCAGAAACCGTCGCAATAATAATAATAACCATCATAGATAAGTCGTGGTGCCAAAACGTCTCGCTTTTCGATAAACATGGCGATTTGTGTTGTGCTTTTGCGAGCAAAAACGTTGATGTTGGAGACAAGGTTTAATGGGCTTAGCCTGGTCGGGGTGGTGACGGGACAACACAATGCGCAGGGTGGCGGAGTGTGGATAATGCCAAGCCACACTGACGATTTGGAATCCCAGAATAAGAACAGCAGCGAACAGAGTAAGTTGTAGAATAAGAAATGGGCATGTAATGATCTTATAGCATTTAAATCATTTCATAAACAAAGAGAGCAAAATAAAATCGATCAACTCCCAGCTGTAACGTTTCGGAGGCAAGGGAGCACAGGGGCGGCCCTGCGTTTCAACTCTGTTGCAAGACTGCGTACAGCACTAAACAGCGCTTTAAAGACCAAACCGCCTGTCAATGGTTCGCTGACATGCTTCCATATTTACCCGCCGCGTATACACAGCCACTCCCGGGCCCAGCACCTGTCCGACTTGGATAGGCAGGAATAGATAGGGCATTATAGCACTACATAGAACACTCCAAACCGAAAAAGAGGAAAAAGGAATCGTGTACAGAATTATGTATTCTGTTGTATTAACCATGGTTGTCCCCGTACATACGGCAGACTGGTATGCGGGTTTTATATACATTCGCTCCCCCGGTCTCTAAACAAGTAAATCCTCAAACGCCGTCCCCCATCCCCTGGTTAGATCCCAAACCCGCCGGCCGCCCATCCCGGAAACCCATCCACCGGGCCAAGTCCACCAGCAGCGGCCTGTTGCTGCTGCTGCTGCTGACCCTGTTGGTTTGCCTGCCCAGCTTGCTGGTTCTCGGCTGCACGATGCTGCGCTCTCTGTCGCCACCACAGTAGAAACATGAGTGCAGCGGTAACACCAATAATAAGAACACTCTCCACGACGCCTTCTTCGTCGTAGTCTTCGATGTCGGCGGTGTCATCGTCGTAGAGCTCTTCGTCCAAATAGAACCCTTCCTCACTCAAAAAGTTGCTAATCCATTGCGATAATGACCAGTCTTGCCTCACTTTAGGCTCGTCTTGGATAGAATGGACTGACCCTCGAGTCAGAGTATTCCACGCGCTGCGTACGCGCAGCTTCAGAAGGCTTAAAGTCACTGGAAGATACGCTTCCTTGTTGATCTCCAGAGCAGCATCGTAGTAGCGCTTGGCAAGATGGAAATCTTGTTTTAACCCAACGCCATTTTCATGCATCCATCCCAAGTTGAACAAGGCCTGAGCACTTTGAGAGAATTCAGATGCTCCAGTGTAGCACTGGACAGCCTTCTTCACATCCGCATCTGCTCCAATACCATAGTAGTAATAGTCGCCCATCTTCACAGTGGCATCAACGTTGGATTGCCGAGACGACCTCGTCCAGTATACCAGAGCTTGTTCTGAGTTTGTGAGGAGCGGGCTGCGTGTAGGCCCTTGCAGTTTGATCCACCATGATGTGCGGTCTCTCTGAGTGTCGAGCATGTAGGCCAAGTTGTTTTGGGCGGCTTCATATCCCTGCTCTGCAGTGGACAAGTAGTGAAGGTAAGCCAAGTCATATGCTCCAGCTTCATAGGCTTCGTTAGCTTCATGCCAGGACGAGACGAGGGGCTCTGCCTTTTCAACAACTACTTTGTAGTTATGTAGAGCAATCGAGCACATTCGTTCTCTTTCTTGTCCAACACCATGAAATGCCATCTCACCCAGGTAGTAATAGGCTTCGATATTTCCATACGCTGCAGCCAACTCAAAATTGGTGCTGGCTAGCCTGAAGTCCTCTTCCTCGCCTTGATCAAGAAACAGCCTTCCTAGCTGTACTCGGGCTGGGGTCGAGTTCTGGTCGGCCGCGGAACGGAAGAGGGCAATGGCGAGTTTAACGTTTTGCTCAACGCCAAGACCATTCAAGAGCATCAAACCAAGGCCATACTGAGATTGGGCATCACCGTACGTCTTGCCACGGTCAAACCAGGCCTTGGCCTTCTCAAAGTTCTGGTTCACACCCTCGCCCCTCATATACATTCGGCCAATATACCCCGCAACTTTGGCGGCTATTTTGTCGATGGGTTTGATAGGTTCAGCGGATCGTAGTTCTTTCTTCCAATATTTCGCCGATACAGTGAAGAAATACTTGCTTGCAAGCGCGTGATTGGGGGGTAGACCACGTTGGCCCTCGTAATATAACCTGCCGAGATTGAAGGATGCCTTCATGTCGCCTTTTTGAGACATCAGATCCAAGTAATCAATCATGTCTTCGATTGTATCAAGACCTTCAGCTTGAAGACTTGCTCTGTACGCATTCAGACCTGCGCTAGAGGCACTGGCGCCCTCTCCGTAAATACCACCATCTTCATCAGAAACTTGCCATGCTTCTTGTACCCAAGACCTGCCTCCAGGTGGTGCAGTTCGATACCACTCCATAGTTTTATCAGCGACAGACTTATAGTACTTGAGAGCGGTGTCGCAGCTCTTCGCCGCCCCAATGCCAGCATGGTAGCGAAAACCAGTAGCCATCTCGGCCTTGATGTAACCCTGGACGGCAGCGAAGTTATAGTATAGCAGAGCTTTCGCTTGGTCTCTAGGAACCACGTTCCCAACACCTGTAGAATAATACAGTCCCAGCATATACTGTGCTGTAGCGTTGCCGTGGTCAGAGGCTAGAGTTTTGTAAAGGCGAAATGCGTTGTGAAAGTCTCTCGGGTGGTTATAGTAGCCGTAAAAGTTCATTTCAGCTAGAATATAAATCGCATCGAGATTCCCTTTTTGTGCCGCCTCCTGTAGCTGAATAACAGCATCGGCTAACCGGCCGCTCGAAAGGCCATCATAGGCTGGTTTCTGGTCTGGGGCTCGGGCTGGTCCGGCGAATATGTTACCGAAAACGAACTTGATAGTCTTGCTGATAAACCCAGACGACTTATTATTCTTCGCTTGAACCGACCGGGGGAGCTTCTCCAGCTCCAAGAGTGCTGCTTCGACGAGATGAGCACCGGCTATTCGTTCCAGTTAGTTGAGTCTTGTTATAGTTATCGATGCAACGCTTACCCGGAGCGTCTTTCGCCACTACGTCCGTATTGACGGGGTTCAAAATCTTTTGTGCATTTTGCGTATCTTTCACCCCCGCATCCCTCGCCGCAGCGGTTTGAACAAGAACTATCCTTGTGTTAGCCAGTCTTGGCTGATGTAGTCGTCAGGCCAAACCTACACAGTAACAACAGGGCCGTCCCCTTCATCCTGGGTAAATCGAAATCAATATATTTCCTAGTTATCCAATAATAGCATCGTTATAATTCGAATCTGCGTTGGTATAGCTGTCAATTAGAACGCCGGGTTGGGACAGGAGAGGTCGTTTGCGACACCAGTAGCGACGCTAACACCAGCTGGCCACTTCGGCGGGAGCTCTGACGACAACTTTAAAATGACTAAGCAACTTTAGCTGACTGTGAGGTGTGCTCTAGGACAGTCTATATAAAGAATCGACTAGGCGTAAAAAAATAAAGAAAAGACTTAAAAAAAGTTTAAAATCCAGAAATGTCCAAATAATTCTCCTACCCTTTTCCATGCCACTATATTATTAACGTTTTGTGCGTTGTTCCCAATCCCGGCAGAGTTCCTAGTCTACCTGCACTGTTAAAGGCAACGCGTAAAGAGCCCGTGGTCGCGTGTCTACGCGAGTTCCGAGCTGAGCTGTGCTTCTCCTTCGCCTTGCATTTATAAAATCGTGAATTTCAGTTTCGGCCGCACAGCACTTTCGCCCCCTTAACTAGCAGAAAATATACTTCAATTCGCACATTTACTCCATCTTGGAAATTTTGCATTGGTCTTGGTTACCTACTTACCAACACAATCACGGCATTCGTACGCATACCATTCACCAGGAGATTGGCCTTCCACAGAGCCGTCACTCAGATCTGGCCATCATTCACAATGTCGACTCTCAAGCGCAAAGCTAGTTCTACCAGCTTATCATCAGACACCAAAAAGCCCAAGGCCAATGGAAGCATCGCCAGCTTCTTTGGATCATCTCCAAAGCCAGCAGGAAAATCGGACTCGGCCGCGTCCACCCCAACAGTCAAGTTTGACAAGGAGAAATGGGTTGCCAGTCTATCAGCAGAGCAGCGCAAGCTTTTGGAACTAGAGATTAACACCTTAGATGAGAGCTGGCTTGCCCACCTCAAAGATGACGTAACATCGCGCGAGTTTTTGGAGCTCAAGAAATTCCTCGACCGAGAGACAGCAGCCGGCAAGAAATGGTTTCCTCCAAAGGAAGACATCTACTCATGGTCAGTTATTACAGAAGCCTTGCACAAATTGGCGCTAACAGTCCTCTCAGGTCTCGCCATACCAAATTCAACAATGTTAAAGTCGTCATCCTGGGCCAAGATCCGTATCACAATGTCAATCAAGCCCACGGCATGGCCTTCTCAGTCCGACCTCCTACAGTACACCCACCTTCGCTCCGAAATATGTTTATCGCTCTGAAGAAAGACTATCCCAGCTTTGTCACACCACCGAAAAACGACGGGCTGCTTACACCATGGGCTGATAGGGGTGTTCTGATGTTGAACACCTGCTTGACAGTGCGCGCCCATGAGGCGAACTCACATGCCAATCGAGGATGGGAGAAGTTCACGCAAAGAGTCATTGATCTCGTTGCACAAAAGAGAACTAGGGGTGTTGTTTTTATGGCATGGGGTACGCCAGCAGGCAAACGAGTGATGAAGGTGAATAAGCAGGCGCATCTTGTTCTGCAGAGCGTCCACCCAAGTCCTCTTAGTGCATCAAGGGGATACTTTGATTGTGGGCATTATAAAAAATCCAACGAGTGGCTAGTATCTCGTTATGGCAAAGATGCCGAGATCGATTGGGCGTTGGTCAAAGGCAACTCAACGCTGCCTGATCAAGCAGCTGAAGCAAGCGATGATAAGCCCACCACCGGTGAAGGCATCCCCGTGGTGAACCCCGACGTTGCAGAGGCCAAGCCGGCACAAAATGGCGTCAAGGAGATTAAAAAACAAGAAGGGGACGAGTTTGGAGACCTCGATGTTGATTCAGACGAAGAGGCCGCACTACAGGAAGCTATGAAGAAGGCTGACGAGGAAGAGGCGGCCAAAAGATGAGCGTTTCAGGCACATTAGGGAAACAATTGAGTTTAGTGAGATTTGGCCTTGACAACCAAGTAGTAGTTGGAGCAGATCGTCCGTCTAGACAGGTCAATCGACGTGTATAATTGGTCTACAAGCCTTGCATTTATAAACACGGGTACCAGAAGTGCGGCTAACATGAACGATTGAGGCTCGAGCACGTTGGCGCCCAACGTCTTCCGTCCCTGACTAGTGGGCCGTTGAATGGTTGGAGCCAACAGAGCCAGCCGCCGCCAGCGCAGACCTCTGGTCCATTCAAATTTGATAGGACTGCTAGCGACGAAGTTGCGGGCCTCGAAAGGGGGGCCGCCATCTCCACTAGCCACCAGAATTGCCGGGTCCAGCGAGGGCCAGTCGTGGGGCATATCCAGGTACAATCTGAAGCTGCTTCTTGTAAATTACAGGGGGCGTCACCAAACAATCATGCCACGGTGAGAGACGACCGCATGACGCCCGAGTGCGCCGATGAGAAGAATAGGGCCACCGGTGCCACTTGTCATCTTTATGCGTCGTCTGGAAGCATATTCCCAAAGTGGCACACAGTAGCTGACAAGACAATGCCATTGCGGCGGTTGTTGTAAACCAGAACACTCGGTTCGGTACAGGCTCTGCTACCTTATTTTTGGGGGTTTGTTTCTCGTGGTCAGGATCCCCTGGGAGGGGGCCACTCTCAAATTTCCTGGGTGCCCCTGGCGAGAAACTGGTCGATTAGCAATTCGACGCGTCTGAGGCTGTTCTGTGTAGGTTTCCCCCTGAATATGCTACTTGGAGCTAGTTCGATGGGTGCCCACACTGTAGCGCTAACTTTGTATGAGCTGTCCGCCCCCCTCGACCCTGATGTACAGTACCGCGGTGTGCAAGCAGCTGTATTGAGGATGAATTGGTCTGTAGATATGTCATCGCAGAAACGTAGTGTAGAGATTGGATTTGTTCCTGTGATTCTGTCGGTTACAAAATGAGATACTGAATATTTGTTGTTCGGACTATCACCATCTCTCTTTTTTTTTTAAACATTGGGGTGAACTAAACTAACCCCGCCTGTCCTTGCCTCCCTCCTCCAAGCACTATGTGGCCACCTGCAGCAGCGCCCGTAGCGTTGTTCTCATCTCGCCCGCCAATCGCACCCGCAACCAGCACCCACACCCACACCCACACCCACTAACAGCACATTACAGCGGCACCTTAGGCCTAACTCAGACGCAATTGCGACTCTGCCGAGCTGCATTGGGAGGCACGCCCAGTTTCCCCCGAAAAGCAACCTAAACCCCATTGCTGCCCTCCTTTTAGCTTCTCATGCCGCTCAAACAGTATTGCTTTTTCTAATCTCTCGTTTGGGTCCTGTTCCCTCCTTTTTTTGTGCATCCAGCCAGTTATCTTCCTTTCTTTTCTCTATATTCCCTCGTCGTTTACGAACCTTTCTTTTTCTGCAGCTCATCGCTCGCTGCATCCTTTCCTTTCCCCAGCAGCCGTTAGGAAGCAATAGATCTTAGCAACCTGTCCCCCGTCCACAGGCCGAATACTTTCTTTAACGTCGTTCGATCTTGTGCACCCAGTCCAATTATACGGAGCAACGATACAAGCATCAATAGCCCAGCATGCCTGGCATCTTCTCCCGCATCAACAAGGCGCGGGATGCTCGTCTCAAGAAGAAGAACGCTATTAACGACTTGGAGAGCACCTTGCCCGCAAAGCCAAAGTGGGATGATGCCTACACACGATCATATGTAGATGCAGAGGAGGTGCAAGAGCTGTTGAGATGTGCCGTTAACGAAATCAAATCGCGAGGTAAGCAACTTTCAGCATTTACCTAATATCCGCAATGTATCATAGCAAGCAGATCCAACTAACTTGCATTGTCTTCTAGGTCTTGACCAGCCATTTCTGCTACTACCTTTCCGACCTACTTCCGATCCCAGCGCAGTGCGAACATTTATTCGAAACTTCTTTGATAATAACCCTGATCTTCAGGGCGAGGCTTTGGCGCAAGAGCTTCGCATGTACGAGCCCATTGTAAGTGGCTTCTTCCCAAAAGGCTCAGGCCCCAGGGCCGTGGCTAATATTAACTAGGTGATTGCCGGTGTAATCAAGTGGTGCTGGAGCCGTCTTCAAGGCGGTGTCGTAGGATGGGATGCCTATGAACTGTTCAAAATCGGAGAATATGGTACGTCCAAACAGTAGCTCTATTGCCAGCTTACGCTAATCCGTCACAGATTCTAAACTAGCGCGCGATGCGTTCCGAACTTTCATTCCTTTGAGCGTTGATAGCGATGCTCGTCAACATATCATATTTTCTTTCTTTGACCTACTCGCAGCCATTGCCGCCCATGGCAAAACCAACGGTTTCGGAGGTCGCAAGCTATCCCGCATGGCTGCCTGGTGGGCATTTGAACAAAAGGATACCGGAAAGGGATTTGATGGCGGATACCAAGCTTGGCTGAAGTAAGTGTACTGGAATAATTGGAATTGGGGTTTCACTAACACTCTTTCAGGGCCGCCGATGCGACATCTCATCTCTTCTTCGCCTACTTACGATCTATGTCTCCCGAGGGTGGTTTAACTGGAATTGATCTTATCCCAAGAGCCCTTCAAAAGCTGCTAGATGATACCGAGTATCCACCAAAGCCAACAAACCTCTACGTCTCCAAAACGAACAAACTTGTCATGGTTGTTGACAAGGTGTCGCCTACTCCGTTTGCTCTGCTTCGCCGTGCCAGTCATTTCCAATTCCGCGAATCTGACGTCGTCTTGTCAAAGTTTTCCGCATACGATGACCCAGTTGAAGCATTGACGGAGGAATGCCACAGAGTTCTCAAAGCCGTCTCGGCAGCCAACCAGTCTCAGGTTTCAAGCTTACTGCATTCTACCAGCTTGCGCGATGCTTCCTGGTCTCGATTCGAAGATATTGGTTTTTCCAACGCCCTTACAGATGAAGAAGCTGCTCACGAAAGATTACAGCCAATAGAAAAGCCTCAGGGCCTTCGAAGCACGCCCGCTTCAGGAAATGATCTAGGTCGTCCCACGACCCCGTCCTGGGCAGATTTTCTTTCTGCTGGCTTTGTGGACGAAAATTCAAACACTGGTATGCTTTTACCGCCTGACCAGGTGCTTCCACCCATTGAGGTCGGTAATCGACAGCGTAGCTCACAGTCGCACCACCCTCGCCTTGAATCGGACCGCAACCTTGAACCAGGCGAGCTAGCTAGCATAGCCCCTTTGAACCTGGATGATGCATTCTGGTGGGTATGGATGAGCAGCTTAGCGCCCGAGGAAACGGTTGCGCGAAAGTCCGCCTTTGGCCGATGCGCAGTCATCGAAATACACATCAGCAATGGGCAATGGTTGGTCCTCGAAGAAATGGTGGCCGGTTCTGCGCCTGAGCCCAATGAAGGAGCATACATTGCCGAAAAGAAAAGCTTCTTCAGCTGGACGAAACGGTCCCGAACTGTGTCTCGACGAAAGACTGTAACAGGAAAACAAGGTGCCAAACCTGACATGGCGGGTATGGCAGACTATAAGAGCAGTAGCGCTACTGAATCGCAGGCCAAGATACAGGCCAAGGCTCTTCAAATAAGAGCTATTCAAGAGAAGGGAGCAAGGCTAAGCATTGCGGAAGAGGAAGAGAAGCGTCGTCGTGAAAGCGAGGCTGCTGCTCAGGAGACTCGTGCTTCTACCATTCCTGTTCAAATTGCCGGAGACGCCACGTCAGCGATGAAATGGGCTACAACCTACGACAAGGGTGCTGTCAAGGAAACATATCTCAACAATGAAAATGCCGGTCGTGGGACCTCTCTCACTCCAGCCACTTCGATTGCCGCATCCGTTACTCCAAGTGCGACAAGCAATGCTCCTGTTGAGAAGGCTAACCCGCCGCCAACGGTTCCCGCTAAGACGACGCCTTCAGTTGCACCTGTTCCTCCAACTCCAGTTGCCAAAGACGTCAAGACAGCTGTCCAAACACCAGCCCCCGCGGCGGATGCTGACAAGCCATTGCCCGTGAGAAAGCCTGTTCCTTCAAAGGATGACACCAATGAGCCGGCGCAAAATGTATCTGCTTCAGCAGAGGCAAAGCCACCAGCAACCCCTCCCAAGGATGAAAAGCCAAAGGCCGCCGAGAAACTTACTGTTGCAGAGCCTGAGGAGTCCGTAAAGCGAGCCAGTATCGCCTCATCGCAAACGACAACACCATCCCTTCCTTCTGTTTCTTCTGTGCCCCAGTCGAAGCCTCTACCTGCTTCGCAATCCACCCAGACCATTAAAGGCAAAGACAAGGGTGGGCTACGTAAATTATTTACACGCAAAAACAGAAACTCGAAGCTGCCAGGAAGTTATTCTACTGACGCATTGGCTGCCCTAAGCCAGACCAACGAAGAGGCACCTTCTCCGGCAGTACCTGCCAAGCAGGCTGATGTTCCTGTTGCTGCACCGGTGGCTAAGAAAATCGAGGACAAGGCACCCTCTGCTGCCACAGAGGAAAGCCTGGCCAAGTCAGCGACAGAGGTCACTAACAGCGAAGTCACCGATGAGTCGGCCAAGCCTTCTGCTACACCTAATGCTGAGCAATCTAAGGAAGCTGAATCAGCTTCACAGGCTAAGCGTGTTTCACAATTTAACCAAGGCCCCTTGACGGAACAGCCTGCCTTTGCTCCCGACTCCGAAGAGGATAGCACAGCCTCGACTCCCACCCCAGTTGCGAACGAAGCCAAATCCGATGCCACCGACACCCCTAAGAGCAGCTCTGATGTGGCAACTTTGGTTGAGCGTAAGCCCACTGAAGAAAACGCCACTGCTGGCAAGGAAGCTGCTCCAGCCACTACCGAAACCCCTACAACTGGCCTCACCAACACAGCGGGCCCTGGCGTTCAGGATCGATGGGCTCAGATCCGTAAGAATGCTGCTAATAGAGCTGCCCAGCGACAAGCGGACGAGCGCAGCCGCGACGGACGTCCTAAGCAAGCGGAGGCTGACGGCGACACTAGTGGAGAAGAGAGTAAGCTTATGTGAATAGCGTCATCCAAAGTTGTTAGCTAACATGATCGTAGCTATTGAATCCCGTGTGGCCCGTATCAAGGCGCGAGTTGCTGAACTGACTGGCAATATGGAAGGCACTGCCTACCCCAACAACGCCAACGCCGGCGCCAACGCTGCCAAACAGTAAAAAGGTCAGGAGAGATTGTAATCTTGCCTTGTCTTATACCCGGTCATATATGACATTGGTGGTGCTTTCTTGAACACATTGTTGCAACCACCGTATACCATCGTTATCATTCTTTCCTTGCGAAGATACCACCGAGACATCACAGTAAGCCAAGCAGTATATCTGCTTTTTATTGGAGACAGTTGATACTCAGAGATGTCATTTGTTGTTGTTGTTGTTTTTTTTTGCTGCCGCTGAGAGGCTTTACACTCTCCATCTACTCGTCTATCTTTCCTTCCTTGTTTGTACACTCAGCGATAATATCTGAAAGTCATGAAATTACATATCAGCGAGAATATCACAGTTTATTGCAATACCTTTCGGTCCGTAAAAGTGATCAACCCATATGTGAGACGTTTCAAAGTGTTATCAGTATCATTATCGTCATTGTTATTTGTGAATCTTGAGAGTAACCAGAATCATAACATCATATTTGGTTTTATCTACTCTCCATTTGAACTTCGGTTACTTTTAGCCGATGTCTCCTTCACATCGTTGTCCACCATCATGATGCGGTGACCATGTTCCTCATAGTCCTCATGGCCCTCATGAGGCGCATTCTCATCAAGGTCGACAAGATTACCCTTCGCATATTCATCCTTCATTTTAATAACATCATCTTTCTCAATTTCGTGGGAGCTCTTCACACCCACAAAGCCACATTGATCAAGGATCTCACCAATCAAGTCAGGATATCGAAGATGTCCACTGACCTGCGAGCTCAGATCCAGATTCTCAATGCCTTTCACACCTTGAATTGCCTGTAATCCAGCGACACCTCGCTCCAAGCTATGCATACGGTATGCAAAGCCTAGCACCATGTCATTTTCAGAGTATACATTGAAGATTTTGCCCGACACAACGTTACGGAGGGTGCGCCAATGTGCCGCATCAGAAGGAGCAGGTGTACCGACAATGACAACCGTATCTATCAGGCCAAAAGCTTGTCGCTCTGCCAACGACTGCAGACATGCATGGATAGCTACAGCTCCGAGAGAGTAGCCGATAAGTGTTACGGGGCGCTCTCCTTGAACCTTGTTGATCAATGCATCGGCTAGCAGTCTACCTGCTTTCTTGGAGCGGTTGCTAGCTCGGTTGAACGGGTTATCCACATTGGACGCAATGGCAACAACTTGGATCGGCCACAGAGCCGCCCAGAGGGTAGCCAGAACGGTTCGCTTGATGATTTCGGACTTGAAGGCCTGCCAGGCAAACGACGAGACAAGATCCTTAAGAGCGGTTCCTAACGCAAGTAACGCCTCCATTTCGTATCGTAGTGCGAAGACTTCGGTATCCGTGTTGAGAGCTTGCCAGGGCTTAGCAATATCCTTCTCGTCGTTCAGCCAGCCGTTGATTCCGATCGTGACCCTTAGTCTGCGGCAATCGTGAGCCTGGTCCTCTGGTTTACCAGATGCAACGCTAGACGGCTCTTCTTCGAGTGGAATAAATTTAAAATCTTCGACTTCCTTGGCATACTTATCCATCATAGAACCCGTCATTTTAGCACCATACGCTCCAAATAAAGCGCCGACAAGGGCGCCGTTCATCCAGAAGATACCCAGGAAGCTTGCAACACCGCCTAATCCCACACCACCGAGGATTCCACCCATGGCACCAGCAACAAGAGGAGCAGCCAGACCACCCGTGACACCAATGATGGTAGCTCCAGCCACCGATGCGAGGCCGACCTTCCAGTAGCGACTAACTTTATTCTCTTGTTGACGCTTTGCCGTTTCGGCTTCTGCTGACATTCTTTCTTTTTTGGCCTTCTTAGATGTAGATGACTCAATTAGAGACTTCGCTATCTCACTCTCTTCCTGGTTGAGGAAAGTCTGAGATATATTGAGAGACGAGGCCAAGTACATTGCAAGGGCTCGCGAGTGGGCCGAATATTTTCCTGTAGAAAGAAGCAGGAGAAGTATGCATCCTATACATTCCCGTCGATCAGCTTCAGGCAGTGCGGTGAGAGGTGTTTTTGTCGGTTTGTATAACGCTTGTAATGCATTGATATCGTCTTTCAGCTCTGCTTCAGTAACAACCACTTCTACGGTTGGCTTTTCTCCGCTCAGGTCGACTCCTTCTAGGGATTTTGCGATTTCATTCGTAGCGTCGAGTCTAGATTTTCGTTCTTTTAAGATATCTTCGGTATCTTTGACACGGATTATCTCTTCGAATTTCGGCATAAACTCCATTTGCCATGCCACGAGATATTGCAAAGCGCCGAGCTGAATCTCTTCAGCTCGTTTTGTGGTTTTCGAAGGTGCATTGTTATTGTTCTTCCAAGGTATCGGTACTTTGACACTCTTGATATTCTTCATGACACCATCGAACATATTGCCATTGCCTTTTGCAGGCTTCTTGTGTGTGCTATCCGCATCATCCGATACAGGCGGTGTCGTCGTGCCAGACTTTTGACCATCCTGTTTATGCTCTTCGGAGTCTGACTCTGTATCTGGAGTGATTGATCCCAGCTCTTCAGGCTTTGCTTCAACCTGGTTCGTCATATGTAAGAGGATATTGTCAACTAGTCGCAGTAATTCGAGCCGTTTCTGCTGATCGAGAGCAATGACTATTTGCCGAGGATCGGCACATATCGGAGCCATCTTTTCTGCTTTATGTGGTGTATTATGGTTGTAATGATGCCGAATTGAGTAAATGTGTCATTTAGAAAGGCCCGACCGAGCCTTATAACATGGCCATATACAAGATTTCAAAGAGAGTTACGTCATACACGTTATGAATGTGTGGTGGGGCTCATTGTTTCAACGCGTCTTGAAACGCGGGTATCGGGGCCGAAACTATTGTACGAGATGCACTTTGGGTTTAAGAAAATACAATTTTTTATCTGATAAATTGTATATTGCATTTGTCAGTAATTTCAATATGCTCTGTATTGTTGTAGTATAGTAATAAGTCTGGTGTCTATTCGCACTCGAAATAGCCGGTTCGGCTGGATCTAGGGTCTGTTCCTAGCCATACCTGGAATGGCAAAGTGTCCTTCATGCCGTACTGACAACCCAACATAGGGACCAAAAAATTGAGCGAAGTGACCCAAACCCCGACTAACAATATAAATATTTACGATAATACCATATACAGGGGTTTTACGTCGCGTGCTTGGGCGGCCATATCTACAGGGTAGCTTGTCTGATAAGCTTCGATAAGCGATGGCCCGCTAAAAAATTTACAGACACCCCGATCGGGTCAAATTCTCCAGACTGCTTCAGGTTTGTCACAGCGCGGCGAAATCGAGGCGAAAGCAAACCCAGGGCTCTCCTGCCCCTATAATACTCCGAGATTATATATCTGCCGGTAATAACCATATACGAGCAGAAACAATGAATGCGGCAGCACACCTGGCCGCCCAGGGCTGGCGAGGAGCAGGGCATTCTCTGCACAAGACGAGCGACGACATTGGTCTTGCGAAGCCTCTCCTCCTAAACAGAAAAAGCGATAAGAAGGGCATCGGATCTACACAACACTTTACAAGTGATCAGTGGTGGATGAACGCGTTTGACGAACAACTACAAGGTCTCGACACCTCGAAAGACGGCCAAGTCACGCAGACTGTCGAGACTGGCAAAATCAACCAGTTTGAAAAAGGGTCCCTGGCCAAATACTCTATATATGCAACATTTGTTCGAGGTGGATTCTTGGAAGGCACACTTAAAGACGATAAGGAATCATCAACGTCCGGTTCTGAAAGCGAAACCAAGGCAGATGCGACAAAGACTGAGCGCAAAGATAAAAAGAAGGAAACAAAGGAGGAACGCCGAATAAGGAAAGACGACAAAAAGCGCAAGAAGCAACAAGAAGCCCTTCTAGATGCTCTTCGACAGGCGAAAAAGGGCAGGTCGGATGCATCAGACGATGCGAGCGACGCGAAGAAGCAACGGCGAGCAAAGAAAGAAGAGGCTAGACGGAAGAGGAAGGATAAAGGAGATAAAAGCTGATTAGCGTTAAAAGAGAAGAAGTGGTACATTTTTTTGCATACTTTACGAGAACATAACTGCATTGTACGGCGTTTGGATACAGGGTACATATTTATCATTGGGACTGGTTTTACTTCATTTCATCATGATTAATTTTTCATTTATATTTTATACTTCTTTGGGGACCTTTCCTGGCTTGTTGGAAAGGATCCACGGTCTCTTGTCCCAGAATTCGTCTTTTATAATGTCCAGAAACTCTACCACAACGCGTGCCTTGGCCCGACGCTTCTTGTCCTTTTCCGCTTGCGACTTGGACTGCTCTACTGGCATAGAAATGGCATCGATAGATTCAGTCGTTGTATTGTGGCTCTCTGGTTCTACAAGTTCGTACTGATTCGAGTGTTAGACCGGGTTCTTGGTAACTTCTCTTGTACCACTTACATCGCGGAAGACAACGCTACCCTTGCGGAAGATTTCCGGCTCATTGTTGTAGTTGATTTTAAATTTGGAAAATAGAATTTCGTTCTTATCAGCCGCCAAGGTACCCTATTTCGCGCATTGTCAGTCTCATTCTCACACAAACTCTCGTCATACGTACAGCGAGAGTCTTCTCGGCCTCTTTGTTGTCTTGTCCGCCAAGCTTAACAAGAGCCCAAAAAGAGGTATTGTATAGGTTATTGATATGGCCTGGGTTATGTTAGTAAAAGTGGCTTTCTTCACTATCACAGCACACCACTTACAATCAGCTTGTCGCCAGCTCATATAATCTCTGAGGTTCTGCACTGTTGGGTAACAAACAGCACGCCCATCGAATGTTGGTAGCGGCGAGGCTAAAGGCATATCTGGAAAGTAGGTTGACCATTTATGAACGTAGTTTGCTGTGAAGGTTGAGACGATAGTGCTGACAAGTTTACTATGTGGAAGGTTAGTGGCATTCTGCATTTCGAATGGGCGATTCGCATCTGACATACCTCTCTCGTCTCTCAAATAGCGTGCATGTTTTGTGAAATACAAAGCTACGGGATGTAAGCCTTTGGTTACTGAGCAGAGAATCCGGTTGACAAACCTATATTCATCACTGACACCGTACGCTATTACGATTTCGGGCAAATCAGTGACCACAGCTTTCGCGGCAGCGTTCATGACGTCAAGAGCCCTGCGATCGTTGGGCTTTTCGAACCCATAACGGGCACACATCCTAAAACAATGAATAAATGAGGTTAAACCGTAGCTGCTTGTAGCCTACTTTGTGAAGCCTCTGCCATCTATGCGGACAACGATCCATGTGTTTGGCAGAAGGTGGTCTGCCTGCTCGAAATTTCGGACATATTCGAATCTGGAGTCCCGTCAGCATATATATTCTGCAGTTAAGACTAAATAATCTCACTTTGAATTTGCCATTTTCCGTGGATTTAATTGTTTTTGCCCAATAGTTGACTCATGGAAGATTCTGAGTGCTGGAAGCCCCCGTGGTGGGGTGACTGGCCACTAACAGCACTCCACTACGGTCGCACCTGAGACTCGCTCTACCACGCACGCGATTGCCATACTGCGCGTAGCCTCAAAAAAGTTGACGCTATCACCACAACCCTTTGTCGCGGAATAGATTGTTTCTGCAGCAAGGCTCTATTCGTGATCATGAACTTGTTACTTTCAGACGATTATCTCCTGCAGGATTACCCGGAGAGCATCACCAGCACAATCCGATCCGGCCATGCAACACACCTCCGATTCAATCACTATGGCGACTACCTTGCATCCGGACGAGTTGATGGCACAGTTGTAGTGTGGGATCTGGAGACCATGGGAGTGACACAGAAACTGAGAGGTCATAATAAGAGCATTACCTTTTTAAGCTGGTCACACTGTGGCCGCTATCTGCTGTCGGCCTGTCAAGGCTGGAGAGCCATTCTTTGGGATCTCAAAGATGGCAGCAGGTATCGAGAGATTAGGTTTCGCGCTCCGGTATACATTGCAGAAATACACCCTACAAATCCGTTTGTTTACCAACCCGAGCCAGAGCATCCACTTATTGACCGTCATCTAGTTTCCAATTTGTTGCCGCCGTCTTTGAAGACCACCCGGTCTTGGTCGATGCCTCGCAACCGATCGATGTTAAACGAGTACTACCATCCGCACCGAAGCGAAATAATACAGAAGGCGACTCTGCTGCCACAAAAGAGAAACAGGCCAAAGAAGATGCCAAGCAGATGACAACATGCGCCGTCTGGACTCGAGCTGGAGACTACATTATCAGCGGCACCAGCAAAGGCAAAGTAAACATTATCGACACGAAAACACTCGAAATAATATATACAGAAAAAGTATGTACTGGAGCTATAACATCGTTGCGGATCACGGGGTCTGGTCGAGATCTTCTCGTTAATTCCCAGGACCGCATCATCAGAACTCTGCGGATACCCAACCTGACGGTGGAGGATCTTGATGTCGACACCATACAACTTTCCCTGGAGCACAAATTTCAAGATGTTGTTAACAAACTGTCCTGGAATCACGTTGCTTTTGGTGCTACAGGAGAATATGTGGCAGCCTCTACATACAACAATCACGAGCTCTACGTGTGGGAGCGCAACCATGGTAGTCTGGTGTGTATGCTCAAAGACCCGAAGGAAGAACAAGGCGTTATCGACTGGCACCCAACACGTGCGATTCTGGCGGCTTGTGGTCTAGAAACAGGCCGCATCTATATTTGGTCTGTTATAAGTCCACAGAAGTGGTCTGCTTTGGCGCCGGACTTTTCAGAGGTGCAGGAAAATATTGAATACATCGAGCGCGAAGATGAGTTTGATATATATGCACAGGAAGAAATCCATAGGCGTCGTTTGGATGCAGAGGACGAGGACGTAGATGTGCTATCCGATCCGCTAAAGCTGGATGGCGAATTGGATAGCTTTCGGATGCCGATATTGTTTAATCTGGGAGAGAGCGATAGCGAGGACGAGTTTATAGAGGTATCGACAGGTACAATGCGACGGAGGAGCTATGGCGACGACCAGGGTGACTCGAGTGTTGCGGAATCTGGCCCAACCAAGAAGGGCGCAAAAGGAAAGCGACAAAAGAAATAACATGCATTAGCGTTAGTAATAGGAGAAGATACCTTTGGGACCATCGATACAATGAGAAATTTCTAGCCTTAAGAAAAAAACCTCTGCGTGAATCACAGCCAGTGGTTTGCTGGATGAACCAGCACGGTTTCTTATTGCCAGTCAATGGCAGCTAGACGTTGCGCTTTGAGTCACCGGCAAGGGCGCCTTGTTGTGGCAATGTAGAAAGAGCTGTCGTCCATTCACTGTCAAAGGGTCGCGTTACATCTGGGTCTCACCCCTGAGCTATGGCGACGAATTTATATCAACAGTGGTCCTAGTTAAAAAGGTACTGTCTCTGCCCGCTTTTTATTGTCCACTGTATTTTTGCCTGCAAAAAGGTAGACCCACAGCCACCAAAAACCTCTGCCTCAGGCCTCCATAAGCCAGCAAATCAGGGCGGCAAAGCCTAAAGGGGTTTAGCGCGCCTCCCGGGCCTCTGAACAGCAGCACGGCAACTCCAGATTCTTCCTGGCCACGGGCGCCTCTCACCATCACGCCAAAACTTTGTTCACGGCTACAAATCCATCACCACGCGCGTCGGCCATCAAGCGCGACGTCCGCAAGCACGAATTCGAAGACTCCGCGACTCGGTCGTCTCGCGATCCACGCCTCCTTGCGACTTTCCAGGTGGTGGCGACGGGGGTGATAAGCCTGAGGTTCTCCTGGGCCGTTGGCCAGGACAGGCGTGCCTTTTCAGGGCCATCATTTATTCATCGATAAAGGCGTTTGCTATCGGATTCACCGGTCATCGCTATCGATTTTCGTTCGTTCTTTAATACCTGTACCTTTTTTTTTTTCGCGACTCGACGCGGTGCAATCACGTTTTTAGAGCGTGTTCCTCATTGACGCCTTTGCTGGCTTTTCACAAACTTTGCAGCGCAATCGCATTCTCCCGAATTTACCGCAATCATGGCGAACCTTAGCCACTTCGCGTTCTCGAGCGCGCCGCTCAAAATTGTCGAAGAAATTCAGTTCGGTATGCTCTCTCCCGAGGAGATCAAGAGTATGAGTGTCGCGCACATCCTGTACCCCGAAACCATGGAAGAGAACAAGACAAAGCCTCGCGACGGTGGCCTCAACGACCCTCTTCTCGGATCCATCGACCGACAGTTCAAGTGCAAGACTTGCACGGAGCCTATGCACGAATGTCCCGGCCATTTTGGTCACATTGAGCTTGCAAAACCAGTCTATCACCCGGGCTTTATCAAGAAAGTAAAGAAGGTCTTGGAGATTGTCTGTCATAACTGTAGTAAAGTTTTGGCTGATGAAGTTGGTCTACCTTCTCTGAGATGCTTTGTGACTTGCTTGACGCTAACCCTGAATTTTTAGAGCGATCCTGAATTCGTCACAGCTATCAACACCCGTGACCCGAAGCTGCGCTTCAAGCGTGTTTGGGCTGTATGCAAGAAGAAGCGCAGATGTGAGAATGAGGATCGTCAAGATAAGAACAAGGACGAAGAATTCCAACCTGGCATGAAGCCCGCCGCTGTTGAAGGACACGGCGGTTGCGGAAACGTTCAACCACAAGTCCGACAGGCAGCCCTCCAGCTCAAGGCTGCCTATGAGGTCGCGCAAGAAGACGGACCCAAGCGCAAGGAGACGGTCCCAATCACACCTGAAATGGCTCACGGCATCATGCGCCGCATCTCAGAGCGTGATTTGAAGAACATCGGTCTGAACGGTGACTATGCTCGTCCTGAGTGGATGGTGATCACCGTCTTGCCTGTGCCTCCCCCTCCTGTTCGTCCCAGTATTTCCATGGATGGTACTGGTACTGGCATGAGAAACGAAGATGATTTGACATACAAGTTGGGTGATATTATTCGCGCCAATGGTAACGTAAAGCAAGCGATTCGCGAAGGCTCGCCGCAGCACATTGCGCGTGACTTTGAGGACCTGCTACAATACCATGTGGCTACTTATATGGATAACGATATTGCTGGACAGCCTCGTGCTCTGCAAAAGAGTGGTCGTCCTGTCAAGTCTATCCGAGCCCGTCTCAAGGGCAAGGAAGGTCGTCTTCGAGGCAACCTGATGGGTAAGCGTGTGGATTTCTCCGCTCGTACCGTCATTACTGGTGACGCCAACTTGTCTTTGCACGAAGTTGGTGTTCCTCGCAGTATTGCACGAACCCTTACATATCCTGAAACCGTCACCCCATACAACATTGGTAGACTGCACCAGCTTGTCGAGAACGGACCCAATGAGCACCCTGGTGCCAAGTACGTTATTCGATCTGATGGTACGCGTATTGATTTGCGCCACCACCGTCGCGCTGCCCAGATCTCTCTTGAGTATGGCTGGAAGGTTGAGCGTCATTTGATTGACGGTGACTACATCATTTTCAACCGTCAGCCTTCGCTTCACAAGGAATCTATGATGGGTCATCGTGTCCGCGTTATGCCCTACTCTACCTTCCGTCTGAACTTGTCGGTCACTTCTCCTTACAACGCCGATTTCGACGGTGACGAAATGAACTTGCACGTTCCTCAGAGTGAAGAAACTCGCGCTGAAATTAAGGAGCTCTGCTTGGTCCCCAACAACATTGTCTCTCCTCAAAAAAACGGTCCTCTCATGGGTATCGTTCAGGACTCCCTCGCCGGCGTTTACAAGTTGTGCCGTCGTGACACGTTCCTTGACAAAGAGCTTGTGATGAACCTCATGCTCTGGGTTCCCAACTGGGACGGTGTCATCCCACAACCTGCGATCCTTAAGCCCCGCCCTCGCTGGACGGGTAAGCAGATCATTAGCATGGTTATCCCCAAGGAAATCAGTCTTTTTGCACCAGAAGACAAGTCTGATATCCCTCTGAAGGATACTGGTCTGTTGATCCAGAGTGGTGACCTCATGTACGGCTTGATGAAGAAGAAGAGTGTCGGTGCTGCCGCTGGCGGTATCATCCATCTTTGCTACAATGAGCTCGGCCCTGATGGCGCCATGGCTTTCCTCAACGGTGTCCAGCAGGTTGTCACTTACTGGTTGCTTCAGAACGGCCACAGTATCGGTATCGGTGACACTGTTCCCGATAAACAAACTATTGAGAAGGTCCAAGTCCACATTGACACGAAGAAGGCAGAGGTCGCCAAGTTGACTGCACAGGCGACTGCCAACGAGCTCGAAGCTCTTCCTGGTATGAACGTCCGTGCCACATTCGAGAACAAGGTCTCTATGGCCCTGAACCAGGCTCGTGATCTTGCTGGTACAACTACACAGAAGAGTTTGAAGGATTCCAACAACGCCGTCACCATGGCTGAATCTGGTTCAAAGGGTTCCTCAATCAACATTTCACAGATGAGTGCTCTCGTCGGTCAGCAAATTGTCGAAGGAAAGCGTATTCCCTTTGGTTTCAAGTACAGAACTCTTCCCCATTTCACAAAGGATGATTACTCTCCCGAAGCTCGTGGTTTCGTTGAGAACTCGTACCTCCGTGGTCTCACTCCATCCGAGTTCTTCTTCCACGCCATGGCCGGTAGAGAAGGTCTCATTGATACTGCAGTTAAAACTGCAGAAACTGGTTACATCCAGCGTCGACTGGTGAAGGCTCTGGAAGACTTGAGCGCTCGCTACGATGGAACTGTGCGTAACTCTTTGGGAGATATCATTCAGTTCCTTTATGGTGAAGATGGTCTTGATGCTATGTGCATTGAGAAGCAAAAGCTCGGTATTCTCAAGATGTCTGACGCAGCTTTCGAGAAGCAATACCGCCTGGACCTGGCCAACCCTCCTAGTTGGTTTAAGAAGGATTATGAGTATGGCAACGAGCTTACTGGCGACAAGGCATCAATGGATTTGTTGGATAGTGAATGGGATGCACTTGTTACTTGCCGACAAGAAGTGCGGGTTATCAACCGCCCCAAACAGGGCGATGAAATGATGCAACTGCCCCTGAACATTGGCCGCATCATCCAGACAGCAAAGAGGGTCTTCAATATTAAGGAGACAGATCGCAGTAACCTGCGACCTGCTGACGTTATTCCCGTTGTTCAAGGACTTTTGGACAACATGAAGATGGTCCGCGGTGCTGATGACATCTCTTTGGAAGCCGACTTCAACTCTACTATCCTTTTCAAGGCACTTCTTCGCTCTCGTTTGGCCTTTAAAGAGATTGTGAAAGAGCACCGCCTCAACAAGCTTGCTTTTGACTACGTTATTGGCGAGCTCGGAAGCAGATGGGAGCGCTCCTTTGTCAACCCTGGTGAAATGGTTGGTGTCTTGGCTGCCCAGTCTATTGGTGAGCCCGCTACTCAGATGACACTGAACACTTTCCATTTTGCTGGTGTGTCGTCCAAGAACGTTACCCTCGGTGTTCCCCGTCTTAAGGAAATTCTTAACCTAGCCAAGAACATTAAGACTCCTGGTATGGCTGTCTACTTGCAAACACCTCTTGCCAAGCAGGAGCAAGCAAAGAAGCTCAGAAGTATGGTTGAATATACCAACCTGCGTTCCATCACTGCTGTCACTGAGATTTACTACGACCCTGACGTCGAGTCGACCAACATTCAGGACGATCTCGACATGGTGGAGTCATACTTTATGATTCCTGATGACACGCATGATACTCTTAGCCAACAGTCCCGATGGCTCTTGCGTATCACTCTTGATCGCCAAAAGCTTCTCGATAAAGAGATCAAGATTGAAGACGTCGCTCAGCGTATCAAGGAGGAATACCCCACCGACCTGGCTGTCATTTTCAGTGACAACAACGCCGATGAACAGGTTATCCGTATTCGAACCATTCGCCAGGATGATGAGAAGGATGACGATGGCGAGAAGCGCATTGAAGACGATGTTATGCTTAAGCGTCTGGAGGCCCATCTTTTGGACACCCTGACCCTTCGTGGTGTCCCTGGCGTTGAACGAGCTTTCTTGACCAAGGGTACACGCCTTGTCGAGCTCGAAGACGGCTCTGAGCTTGCTCTCAAGGACGATGCCCGCTGCACGGAATGGTACCTGGATACCAGTGGTTCAGCGCTCCGTGATGTGCTGGCTGTCGACGGTGTGGATGCTAGCCGCACCTACACTAACGACCTCTGGCAGATTACTGAAGTCTTTGGTGTTGAAGCAGCTCGATCTGCTCTAGTCAAGGAATTGACCAACGTGTTGGCCTTTGACGGTTCGTACGTCAACCATCGACATATCGCGTTGTTGGTAGATGTTATGACCTACAGAGGCAGCATTTCGGCCGTTACTCGTCACGGTATCAACCGTGCGGATACCGGTGCTCTCATGCGTTGTTCGTTTGAAGAGACTGTGGAAATTCTTCTGGAGGCTGCCGCCACTGGTGAATTGGATGATTGCCGTGGTATCTCTGAAAACGTTATGCTTGGCCAGCTTGCTCCCATGGGTACTGGTAACTTTGACGTCTTCTTGGATCCCAAGATGCTTGAGACTGTTATTTCTGACAACTCACGCATGGGTCTCATGCCTGGTATGCCTGTCAAGGAGGGCGAAGGCGAGGGTGCCATGACACCTTATGACAGCGGCTCCCCTATGGCCGACTCGGGATACCTCAGCCTCAGCTCGCCTACCGCTGGTAACTTCTCTCCTATCCAGGGAGCTGGTTCTGAGACGCCTGCAGGCTTTGGTACAGAGTATGGCGGCGGCGGTTTCGGTGGTATGGGTTCTATGAGCCCTTACTCTCGCGGAGCAGCCAGCCCCTTCAGCACTTCGCCCACGTCGCCATTCAGCTCTGGCATGGGCGGCTACTCTCCCACGTCTCCCAATGCTGGCTACTCGCCAACCTCACCCATGCTGGACGGCGGTGCCCGCTACGCAACATCGCCATCCTTTAGCCCGTCGTCGCCGTCGTTCTCGCCTACTTCGCCCATGCTCCGTCCCACGAGCCCGGCCAGTCCCAGCTACAGCCCGACGTCGCCGAGCTATTCTCCTACGTCTCCCACCTCGCCGAGACACTACAGCCCGACTTCGCCGGCGCAGTTCAACTCCCCCACTTCGCCGAGCTACTCGCCTGCCAGTCCCAACTACAGCCCGGCGTCTCCCAACCTGCACGGCGCTGGAGCGACATCACCCTCGTACTCACCTGCGTCTCCCTCATGGTCGCCAACCTCTCCCGAGGCCTACTCGCCCACGAGCCCAAGCTTCCACCGCAGCCCGAACCAGCAGTCGCCCACAAGCCCCAGCTACTCGCCTACGTCTCCTTCTTTCTCGCCTCAGACGCCTGGCCCCAGCGGTTCTGGTAACCAGTACTCGCCAAGCTCTCCAAAGAATGATTAATACGACTAGGCGGTTTGGGGTGTATCTACCACAATATATCCCGCCCCCTTCTTTCCCCCTCTCGAATGTTTCTATTCCTCCCCAATTCAGTTATAAAAAGAAGAGCCATCAGCCCATGCGGCGCAACGGCATAGTTTTTGATTTTGATTTTTGATATTTGATCTCGTTGGTAACAAAACGGAAGTAGACGTGCTGCCAATTTGCAGAGTCCCCTAGATTATTATTTTTGTTTGGCTGGGTGCAAAGAGAGAACGAGACAAAAAAAGACCCCCCATTTTCTATTATTTTCTTTTCAAGAGAAACAAAGCAAGAAACGAAAACACAAAACAAAACAAAAAACAAAAAAGAGCATTACAAAAAGCATCAGCAGCAGCAGACGGGAGGGGTTTGGACAGGCGTTGTTTAATGACGCTGTCAGCGGAGGCGGAACCATAATTTTGCCTGGTTTTTCTTTTTACTTCTTTGTTTTTTCACTTCTCGATTTTCTTGTTCTTCTTTCTCTTTTAAAGTATGTACAATACAAATACACTAAAAAACAAAGATGACGTCCTAGTTTTGCAAATCTGTCCTTTCTGTTCAACTCTCCCTACACGGGCTAGTCAGTGGTGATGCTGATGCCTGGTATGTTGCTTGTGTGCTTCGTCACACCACCGTATCTTGGCAATAAAGCAAGCCTGTGAATGGAATCTATTACATCACGCCGAGAACGCCGCTGGAACTATAGTACGGGCCGTATACTCTCTATAACCTGAAGCCAATATACTCTCACGTGATAGGAATTCCCTGCAGGATGTCATGCACGGCGCCTAGCGAGCGGGCGAACCCGTCCAGCCCGCGGCGCCATTTTCCCACACAAGCCCCCCCTGTGCTGTGCTTGGAACTAAAACAGAAAAGCAAAAAGACAAAAACGACGGATTAGGCAGATGAGCCGAGTGGACATGTCTTGCGTTTGCCGGCTTTCGTGCCGCCCCGCCCCGGAAAGTGCTTGCAGGGTTTGGTTGGCCTGTTTTTTTTTCGTTCCTGTTTGGGCTTGCTCTTTGCTCGGCGTGCTGCGTTCACGGTGACGGACTCGACTTTGACAGGCTGTGATTACGGTGGGAATCCCCCGTGGGTAGCCATGTGCTGCAGGCTAGCAAACAAGCCTATGCCCGCTAACTTACAGCGCCTGCAGCGGGTAGTGGGGAAACGGGGGAACTTGAAGGCCTGCAGCGCCGCCAACAGCAAAGTGTGACGGAAACCTGCAGTGGATGCCCGCAGAAAACGGGCACTGCCGCCTAAACTGCCTAAATGATGCCCTGCAGAGACCCGCTGGGGCCACTGATGGCGCAGACGCTACAGCAGCCCCAGAAGCCACTGCCCAAAGGGCCCCCAACCGCACAGCTTCCGCGGCAGCCTGCTTCTCTACTGCACTGACAATGCGTCTGCTGCGGGCACTTCGTTCGTCATCGCGCGGGTGCTTGCTGCTCTTTCTTCGTCCTCGCCGGCTCTCTGCTGCAACATTCGTCTTCCCACAGCCTTGGATGAGCGGCCCCGTGACCGACGCGGCAACGTGCAGGCATTCTTCTCACAGCCCTTGCTCCCCTTTCGTATGTCGTAGCGAGCATCGCTAGCCTCTCTGCAGTGCTGTATGGGTACGTGGGATGTGACAACCACGGCAACACTGCCTCCAGCCTAACGTTGTTCGTGGACCTGATCATCCGACTCATGCCCTGCCCCGGAGCCGGTGAGAACCATCAATAATTAGCCTCCAGCGGACCAACCCCGGCAGATGAACCATCCAAGGATCTCTATCACACGTGTGTCTCGGGAGGGGGGGGGGGGCGATTAGGCAAACAGGGCAAAAGTCACTAAAAACATCAGTGGGCATCGTCAACGCTTCTCCCCTTACCACCGTCTACACAAGCAGCTACACCACTCGTAACGACCAAACGTGGTATACATCAACCATAGGTGAATCGGATATAGGCGAATACAAGGCGCATTACAATTAGGGGGGCAATTACAACACAACCATCGACCGAAATGGGATCATCCAGCGAGCTGCTCGACAAAGTGTACAAAGTGCAGACCCGCTGGAATACCACCTTCAACGGACGACTAGTCTTCCCTTTCCTAAACAGGACACTACAGGACAGGAGCAGTCAGTCACCTGGTAATCCTCATCACAGCGCCGTATTTGCGCCTCTCGTGGTACTTGGGCAAAGTTGATTTCATGCGTATATTGATAGATAGAAGTATATATCAGTGAGCATCATAAAAGTAAGGTAGAAAAACAGGAAGAGAAGTGAAAAAGCTGTAAAAGGAAAGGTGCGCCAGGCTGCTGTTGCTCGTCAGTCAGGCCGATGGTGACCCAGCGGGCCACCCATGCTAGTAACCACCAGCGGGCAGGGCGCCGAATGCGGGAGGGGCCAAGAGATTTGGTGACTCTGCAGAAAGAATATGCCAAGCAGAGTATTTTGGCACCATGCTGTGAAAACCGCTAAGAGGGAAAGAGAATTCATCATGTCGTAGTCGCCGTGTGGCTCGCCGTGCATATAGTGTTTACATGGAGCACCTCAAGTGTGATATGGGCAGCTTGAGTCGTTGCTATTTAAGCCAAGGGTTAGCATTCATTCATGTAACAGCTGAGGAGCTCAGTGATCATCGGGGTAAGAAAGAAAAGGCACTGTTCGAGGCTTGCTTCCTTTGGCGCTTACCTCTAAGGAAAATGAGGACAAGGGCTAAGAGGAGGAAGGTTTCGGCTTGGGGCATTCTGACCTGTTGCAATATCCTTCCCACACTTGAGTGCCTTGGTCTACCACCTTGCTGCAGGAGCAGGTTGGCTTCTGCTCCTGGTTCTGGATAGTGCATCCGCACTGAGACCATGTCTGTGTTGTAACCCAAATACACATTTTGAACGGTAAGTTGCTGGGGCTGAGTATAGCTTTGAAGGGATAGCTTTGCTTGATAGTTGTATAAAGAATAGAAGAGTGAATCAAAGTAAAAGGAACCAGGTGCTTTAGTTCTTGATGGCAAGTGGTGGTATTGTCAAGGCAGGCGCGTTTGTGGTTGCTTCTAGACAACACCAAGACAAAGGCGGGTGCTGGCTGGATATATAAGAAAACTTGTGAGTCTGTGAGTCAAAGCTATTTAGTGGTGATAGCTTATGGGAAGAGGTGATCGTGAAGCAGACCTTATATAGAAGAATCAAGACTAGAGACGGCAGGCTGTTGTATTGATCAAGAGTACCGTCCGCCCCAAAACTAGGCAGGGCTGGCCTAATTGTAAAAAGGAGGGTGTGTATAAAGCAGTACAATCTGCAGGAGCAGATTTCCGAGAGGTTCTTGAGGTCCTAGTGGACAATTCGCTGCTATCCCTTGTTTCCGGTGTCCAGGCCGGACCGTTGCAGAGGGGGTGTCTAGAAAACGAGGCAAGAAGCGACTGCAACGGTTGGTGTGCTGCTTATCTGGGGAATCTGCAGCCTTTGGGTTGGAGAGGGAGGGGGGTACGATGACGGGTGCGATGTTGGATTGGAGATTTTAACGCTTTGAACAGCCTGCTTCGCTTCTTTTTAAGACACACGCACGGCATATCCGTGTTGGCCGCCTCCTGGCAGTGAATGGTCCCGTCAACCACGCACCTTTACGTTAGTCTTGTTGGTCCTCGCGCATACATGCTTTGCCTACCCTAGCTCCATGTGCCAGGGTGTGCGTGTGGATGCGCGGTGGAGAGGGAAACGACAGGGAACAGCGCGCTGCCCGCCATTCAACTGCAGCTAGACCTGGGACCAACAACGAGGCGTGAGCCCGTTGGCCCAAAGCATGCGCCCACGCACCGTGCCCAGGCTGAGGGCGTTGGTGGTGTACTAGTTGGTCGTGCGCGCAAGCCATAGTGGGGACGAAGAAGGCCAGCGATGCCCATCTTACAAGATTTGGTGATCCGACTGGCTAGGTAGACATTATTGCCCTTAATAGCAGCGGACGGCTTTGTTGCCGGTGCAGCCCGTCTGATCTATATCCACGCGCTCATTGTGACGAGGTGGTACATCTAGAAGTTCGGCCATCTGGTGATTCTCATTTCAACATGGCTTGAGGCCTGCCCACCGCCGCCAGTCACTGACGATGGCTGCCTTTCAAGGCTCCGCTGCTCCCTCCACCAACACAATGGCACTTCGCCGAGGCCCTTGGGAATCTCAAGAAAGGAATTAGCAGGTGGACTAGCCTGCCCAGTGGGGTAACCGGTTGGTGGCTAACCTGCGACCACCCAACTAGCCCTACTTGTCTCCCAGCTGCCTGCTTTGTAGCCTCGCCTGCACGTCCCCGTCCCTCTTTGAATAAGAAAAGGGTGTGTACATGCATATGCTGGTGCGCGTGCCCGTCCTGCGCACCCAACCGACTGTTCAGATGACGATTTAGAGCGCTTCCCAATAAAATTCTTGTGCGGCTAGCCAACATGCCCCAGCCGCCTCAAACTGTTCCTGGCAACGAGGGGCAAGCTAGGAAAGGTGGGGAGCTCGCCAGCCTGCTTTGTAAGGCCATTGTACGGCGCAACCAACGTTGAACGTGCGCCGGCTGCCCCCAAGCCGTTGGGTTTGTTTGCTACCAAGGTCCTACACACCATTCAACTATAATTTCCCCTTTCCAAAAAAAGAACCAAATAACAAAAATGTGGCAGCTGAAAGCTGGATCTTTTGGGGAACGCGAGCGGTAACTGGCAGCAGACAGTTGGTGGCGTGAGTAGCGCACATCATGCGTATTTTTCGTTACTTGATGACACCCTCCCCGAGGCCCACTAAGAAGAAAACAGCTTGGTGCCATGAACGGACTTCTGTGTGTCGTCTGGATCGAACCTTACAGCATGAAGTGTACAACGGCTGCCAATGAGGGCTGCGGATGCTGGGGGGCTTAATCACCTACTAAGAGAAGCGACTTTTCAGACGCCACTGACGGGGACGGGAGAGAACGATAAACCTTGATTTCTGAAAACTGCGTCATTCCACGTCACACTGAAAAGGGAAACATGTTGATTTCTGATGTAGCAGCCAGCCGTGTGTGTTCTCTATTGCCCACATTGCGTCGCGGCGATGCCGTACACAGTTTGTATGAGAGGCTGCTCAAGTTCCTACTACACTGTACCTGAATCGTACCAAGTAGCCATCTCGCTTGACTGTCCGCCGAACTGGGGGCGGTTGCCTATACGGCACATGGCCCTTTTCCTCCAAGTCCGGGCAGATGCATAGCGTCTGTGAATGGACAGGGCTGCGTGGAGACGCGCGGCGGATGTCCTTTGGGATTGGGCAGATGGCCTTGTGGCGCAGCGCCATTTCTGCATGCAGCAGGATGGGAAGGTGACTGCTGATGATGGTGTAGTGAGATTACTAGCGAGAGGGGGCCAACAGCGAGCAGTGGATGGGATGGTCAGGCCGTGGGGACCGCGCTAGAGCAGGTCAGCAAGCAAGGCGCGGAGGACGAATCAGCGAGGAGCAAACAGAAATCCGGGCGGTGCTGCAGCCAGGAGAGGAAAAGGCGAAGCAAAGTGGACAAAAGGCGGTGGTGAACGAGGCGCTGCCATATCGTGGGCTCCTACGCATAGGGTTTTTACACTTTGGCTAGCTGGTAAAGTGGCCGCCAGCTGCGAGCTGCCATTCGCCGGCCTCCTGCTGCTGCTACCGCGCTCTTGCAGCATCCGAATTCCTAACAAGAACACAACCTTTTGTGTTGATACACATGACCATTTGTGCAATCTCGCCTGCCAGCCATTCGTTTGGCTTTGCTGGATTCACCTTGGTCCCCAAATCGCCCCCAACAAACGATCAGGCTGCTATCCTATCCACGGCGATATACACACCCCTTTGACATTGTTGGCAGCCGGTCCTAAATTTAAATGTACAAAAGGGGGCGGACAACTGGTGCCAGTGGCGCTACAGATGGGTTAGATTGCATCTCCTGTTGGGTCTGTTCTCAAAGTTTGTCAGGTTGTTGGCTGTTGCCACTACGGCTGGGCCTGGTGCACCGAGACGACGAGTCGATTTCATGGCTGTTGTGTGGCGTCTATGCATCAGCCCACCAAGTTTGTTTCAAGCCAACCTTTCAACGGCACCATCCCTTCCCGGCGAGGCTGCTTCCCCCAGTCGGCCGGAATGGGATTGTAAGGTCCACGGCCCAACAGCTGCACGGTCCGCAGGACCTCAACCAACGTGACAAACGTCATCAATATTTGCCGGTGTATTGTTGGTAAGAAAGTGTGATGCGAAAGACAAAGTATACTGTAATTCCTTATTCTTTGTATAGGGCGAAATCACCCAGTTGACTGAAATAGAAGGAGGCGTATTCGGAACTGTCCTCGACGTAGCCGAAGACGAGCTCGAATCGTACATGCGTATATGCGGTGAAGCCCAGCAAAGGACGCCGAAAACTGGCAATCTGACGCCATAATACCGAATTGGTTGCATCAAAATGCAAGAAAACCCATTTATCCGCGCCTCTTACAGCTTCCAAGTCCCCAAAAATACACGCCATTAGCGACGTCGGGTACCGAAACAAGCCCGTCCGTTGTCTCGGTGTAATACCTGGCCAACATCTGGTCTCTGCGCGGAGAAAGTTACGCCGGGTGGCTGCCGCATGCAACGAGGCATATACAACAAAAGTTCTTGAATGACCAACACTTGAATGCAAGTGTGTGATATCTGCAGACGAGCACCAATCGCGGTGAGCTTCTAAGCGCCGGGGCATTGGGAGGCCCACTGACCGCGTGCCACGCTGGAGAAGGCTGCAAATGCCGTCAGTGCTTGGCCGTGAGCGGCGGTGTATTATGACTGGAAAAGTTTTAACTGCGAGAGTGGTGGCACGGACTTGGCCCGGTGCCTCTGCTAAAGATTGTTTTGCAAGTAGTCTGTCTCCGGCAACACCCAGAGCCAAATAGACTCGAGAGGGGAACTGTTCCCTAAGGACCGATCGATATAAAGAAGGAATCAATATTGACAACTGCAATGTAAGTCGAGACAAATGTATCACATTAAGCAGTTATCTCAAATAGGAAGATCATTCGAAAGCTGTTTTGTCCAGCGAGAAGGCTAATCTGTATACCGAACGGCGCGAGCAGGAACGAGCTGCCCTGGATATCTTGAGGCACCTTCGACAGTGGATGGTTACAAAGTGAAAAGAAACATTGCAAACGGTTCTGCAAACAATCAAACGTTGGGTAGAGCCTCATTACAAGAAACATTGTAACACTCTCAGGTATAGCTTCTTCCGCCCTGCAGCTGGCTTCTAAGTGAATGGCTCGTACTAGCAGTAGTTTGATCATCATAACAGAGTCGACCTCTACAATGGTATGAAGCTAATGAGCATGTTGGTAGGAAAATTGACGGTGCTTCCTTTTTCTCTGAGGCTCTCCACTACGGATGCTGCTGGCACAATGCTATTGCCACAACGGCCAAGATTAAAGTACCGAGATTGAGATCTCGCCCCACCGCATCTAGCATGTCTCATAGGCACCAGATCTCACGAAGATTCGCCCCTCTGCCTGACTTGGGCGTCGCATCATGTGAATTAACTGGGGCTTCAAAAATGTGGCGGCTTCTATATCAGAAAACTCTTAATGGCTAGAGCCAATATCGATGCGAAGTTCCCTTTGGCCGGAATGCAGGCTGCAGGCGTTATTGGGACACGGCAAGTTACCCCGGCTCCGCGTCAATATGCTGAAGACAATCTCATGTGAAGTGTGCACTGCCAGCAAAGTGCAGGCATCCAGATAGCCGACCAGCGGATTTTATCGGAAGAGACTTCGCAAGGCGCTGGCACTCGGCTTTCGGTATTGGGCACTGTTGAGGGTGAAACTTTAGGTGACCCCCAAATGCGGCTTGGGGGTTAGCATGGATCACCCGTGTCAATTGCTAAGGGAATTAGCAAACATAGCCTAGACGCGATCGATTTCGTCGTATGCGTGGTCCCATGACGCCTTTTGGCTAGCTAGCTCTGAGCTGGCTGGGTTGACCGGGCTAGCCACAATTTTTTTTCCAACATTCGTCTCGGCATCCGTCGCGCTCACTCGGCAATACCGGCTTAAGACATGAGAGGGAGAGAAGAAGCAGAGTGCAGCGACAAAAACAGAGCACCCCATACTGGGGTAAACTTTCTAGTACATGGTGTGCAGGGGCATTTCCCTGAAGAAACGGGAGATGATGAGCGTCTTACTCTGTTTGCAAAGGCACTACTCGGCGTTCGACTTGGCGCTGGTCTAATAGTCTGAGAGAATGACGAGCCCCGACGACCAAGGGCAATGGAACGTGGAGGGAACAACACAATTGATTCCAGAACACGTGCCAGCATCACCCCTCTTTTCAATGCCATTGCGCAGCATAATATGTTTGACGGGATGCAGCCACTCTGCTCTGGGCGACGCGGCGTTGAGCACCGGCTTAGCATGCCTTGCCCCAAGTCTCTGACCCTGATAGTAAGCCAGCGGGCAATGGGGATGACCTTTGTGGACCAGGGTCTCTCGGCCCCCGTTGTCCCCTGGAGCCAATTATGTCGTCGTGTATCAGCCGAGCCATGGGCTCGCATAGAAAGGGTGTTGTTTAGCAATTCCCTAACTCGGTGCGGGCTTAGCGTTCTTGTGTCATACCCTTTCGGTGGTGCGGAAGACGCCCAGTGCACCATCAAGTGACTTTAGCCTTTCGTCCATAAAAGAGGCGTCGCGGCCCTCGCCTTCCTTGTTTGTGAAAATTATCGTCCTTGGAAATCTTGTTTTATAAATTTTGAAAAGTGTATTTCGCTTTTTTTTTTTTTCACTTCAAACCTACCTACCGCTGTTCTCTCACCAACCTTGATCCTAGAAAGATTGATATACTTGCCCATTCTAGTGCAACTTACACGCATCATCGCCCAATACACTCGACAATAATAACCATCAAGTAAGAAAACAACAACACAAAATCAAACTCATCAAAATGAAGTTCCTCTCTCTCGCCCCCCTCGTCTCCGACTCATACCCCAAGACACAAGCCCCTGTCCGCCCCCGCGGCGACAGCACGAGCAGCGACACATCCTCTCGCCGCTCCTCCGAATCAGCTCCTGACCAGTCTGGCCAACGAGTTCTCAAGCTCGGTCCCGTCCACTGGGGTGAGCATACCGATGACCACAAGGACGACTTCGTCCATGTCCCTACCGCCAAGCAGTAAAAGTGCAACACAACTTGCATACCCTGCGAGGCGGTCAGTGGACCCGGGGATTCGGAGCGTGTACAAGCTTAATTTTCACGCGTCCACCAGGCCCGTGTCTCAGATTAGTACTTGTGTCACTGTCGCATAGGCTAGAATGTAACATTATGGGAAGCAAAAAAACGGTACATGTCAAAGACAAAAAAAAGGGAACTTGGGAATCAGGCTTTGCATTTACGACCCCAGCAATGGGAAGCATCGCCATGTAATTACGAAAGGATTGCGTTTTTCTGTTATACTATTACTGCTCTATAGCCGAGATTTAAAGGGCTATAGCTCAGGTTAAACTAAATTGACACTCACGATGATGACCTCAACAACTTGTCCAATAAAGCCAGCCTAATGTCGTAATGTAAGACTCTGCGACCCTCAGACCAGCACCCAGCCTTCGGTGTTTGCCTGGATTTCCGGCTAGCTTCCCCGGGAGACAAGGTTGCCCGTGCCAAGAATCTAGCGTAAGACCATGATGTGTCAATCTGCAGATTTATGTCTTCTTTGTGCCACGTCTGTGGTGTCTCGAGGTGTCGCATCTTCAGTGTGGACCACCTGAGGCAACACTGTATTAATCCTCGGCAAACAAAACCAATAGAACTATCACAGTGTTGGTTTTGCCAGACTTGGTTCCGACTGCACCTCGTATATGCGTCATTTCGTTTAGATCTGCTATCTTTCCGGGCCTAGGATAACGCTGACCAACCATATGTTGAGGATTACACGGAGAGATCAGCTCACTTATGGTTGGCCACGTAATCTGGGGTAATAGTGCACGGCCTTGATTATGTCTGCTAGGCGTTTAGAATGTCTAAGCCTTTTTCTTAGCATGTCTATAAGCCTATAGACTCTGCATTTAATTCTAGAATACAGCTCCATTTCGCACTTGCACCTCCACAACATCCTCACACTCTAGCATGAGAGGCGGAATCATGGGATTAAACAGGCGCTGGGGCACATGCTCTCCATCCTCCTCCGCAAAGTCTTCACAGTTACCTAGACATCACCACATGCCGCGAGGCTCCATGCGGAGACCATATAAACCATCTGGTACACCAATTATAACTTGACTAATATCTATGCGTCTGATGAGTGGCTCGCCCGGCCTGAGCGTAACAAGATGCTGCAGACTCGGGCGCAGATCGGTCAGCTTGTATTGAAAGAAGCCAGTTGGCCTGTGAGCTGGGCGCACAACAGCACGTGCTTTGATGTCGATGATTTGAATAGTCGATTTCGGCGCTGGTGTTTCTGTGTCGATGATGCGAGGACGAGGATCCAAGGCCACGCAATGCTCCTCTGCATCTGCCGTGTCCATAGGACCATTAGCGGTGAGAAAGCGCTGGCGGTCGCGCGTCTGAACAGTGACATCTTCGTTCGCTGGGTTCAGTACTGTAACTTCAAGCAGCGGAGACTGTTCCTTGCCGTTGTCGTTGTCGTTGGTTTCGCATCGTCGCATGTGGGTTTCAAGCTTGGGCGGCCATGGAAGAGCTGGCACAACGGTAAAGCTGGCATGACCGTTCACTCTACCGGACACCAGTTTGCGTTTTTCGCTGCTGGGGGTGAATGCCAGCCATTGTCGGTTTGCGGATTTATCCTGTTCGCTGTAGCCGTAGTCTGTGAATCCTAGATCCTTGCCGGCTTGATTGCGAATTATGTACTTCTTTCCTGGCTCCAGCAATGACCCCAACTCACTGGCTGGATCGATATCGTATAGATATGTACACATGCATCTTTTCCAGTTTTCCGTCCTGCCTACTGGCGATGGGAGAGTAATGTAGGACTGTTCCTTTCGTTGTGGCTGATTCAGATGTCCCACGTCGATTTCTGTATTGTTGCCTTCCGCATCACGCGAGTGAAGGGTAAGAAGCTTATGTGAAAGAGCGTAAGGAATGTCTAAGATTGAATTTGCTGTATTCAAAATCAAGGGGCGAGGGTCCGTATCTTGTTCCGATTCCTGGCGACAGAGGCCAAAAACAACACTGAATGGGAGACGCCCTGAGCTGTCAAAGACTTGGTATCTGCTCGTGATAGCTAGGTGAACTTTAAGGCTGGTTATGATGGGTAGTATGCGGAAAGAAGATTGAGAATGTAGAACAACAGCCGAAATTCTGGCAGTGTAGCGTTGATCTATGGGAGACGTGTGGCGGAGGTGTCGCGTAAGGCTGTGAGTCACGGCACTACAATATTAGTCAGTGGCCGTTGCGCGGACTCCCATGATCTTGCCAAAAGGTATATTCGTCATTATGACGTGCTGGAAAAAAGACTCTTTTCTGTTTTTTCCAAGACCGAGCCTCGTCACAGAAGTGTGATGCCTTGGGCTACTCTTGTGTTGTTGTGGACAATGCCGTATATACTAGCAAGGCATGTTAACCCCACCGCAGCCTTACTGTAGCTAAGAGGGCCTATGGCGGTGCTCAGGACTATAGAAATGCCTATTTCAGTAAGTGCCGAGCTTAAGAATATGTTAAATTGGTTGGCGCTTGGAAGCTAAGTTGACCCGCCGTGGCCTTTGCCTGGCAATAAGAGCTCGTGATCGGCATCGTTGACGTCAGGATAATGGGAAATGGGAAATGGGAAATGGGAATCGGGACATGCCTGATCTAGGAAATCCCCGAGCCTCAAAATATCTGTAATTAGTTGCGCGACTGATTCCAAGTCCACCTTGTTTGTATTTGCCAAGACGCTTTTCCTTGTCAAAGCTTGAAATATTTGAACGAGGCCCTCAAAGCTTTGTTAAACAAGCCTTCAATGGTTTGTTGATAGACGGAGGGTGAGGCTTTGTTGCGTAGCTCATTCTCAATATTTTCGTGAACAGTTTTGTATAAAGAGTCTGGCAATGCCTCTATCTTTTTTCGTGAATCAACAGAATCAATCACCCAAGTCTCAGAACTACAAACTTTCCAACATTCAACATGTCTTTGTTTAAGTCCTTAGCCGTGGCTTGCACTATAGCGGCCACAAGTGCCACTCCGATCTCCCCGTCTAGAGTTAGAACTGCAGCCGATGAAGCCCAATCCGCCTTTCCCATAGGTGATGCTTGTGCCCATGAGTGGCAATCCCTTCACTTCAACCCTGACGATGAAACGCACAAGGGGCGTCTCCAGAAGCTGCATGATGTGATTTGCAGTGGCGAAATGCGTGCTATTTCGTCTTGGGGAGGAAAGGCTGCCACAGACAAAGCTGAAGTGTTTAAGCTGTCCTTCGACCTCGAAGAAGAGACCCCTGAGAAGGTGAATGACGTTCTGAAGAAGATCTACGGAAACGATAGCAATGACGGCGCTATTGGAGAGATTGTTGGAACAATGATTGTTGATAACAACGGTACGACCTTGACGACTTGGAGCAATGAGTTTTCATGCGCTAACAAACATTCGTTTTTTCTTTTTTTAGATTTTGGCAATGAAGACGACGGTAGTTGCACGGTTAAGGGTACGCAGGGATACACTTTGAAAGATGGAGGAGACGGACTCGAGAAGATTCATTTCGGCGATGGTGTCTTCGACATGCCGCTAGCAGGCAACGTCGATTGCGGTTCTCTCGATAAGTATCCAAGCGAAAAGATGGACACTTTCTCTCGCGTTGTGTTGCACGAGATGTTGCACTACAGTACTGTTGGCCTGCAGTCTCAGCTTGGTGACCAACTTGTTGATCAGAAGAAGAACGATGGAAACTACGCATACGGCCATGCGCGTGCGCATGGCCTCCAGGATCCAGGTCAAGACGACCAACCAGGCAAATCAGAGATCAACGCAGACAACTTCGCATACATGGCGCTCAGCACCTGGGTTGGTTATTTCTGTCTGCCAGAGGATAAGAAGGACCAGTACGGCACCTACTTCCCAGATGCACCCCCGCACTAGGCTTAAGCTACGGTGCATAAAGAGCTACTGCAGTTACAAGTTAACTGTATGATCAAGTCAAGATATAGTTATGCAGAATTTTTTCATATACCACGGCATCTCCCTATTTGAGGATTCACAGATTTTCAACATGAAATATTTTTGAACAAAGTAAACGTAGAAACATCAAGGTATTGAGCACATTTTTCCCTTCCTGGGCTTTTTTTCTTCAAATCCCTGGTCTCCTTCTTTTAAACATTCTCTTTTCCTGCTATGCAGTACTAGGTCGAAATCCAAACACAACCTGCTCCTTTTTCACGCCTGTTTTATATTCCGGGTGACATTACGGGGCGACCCATTTATCGGGAGGTCATGGCCTTGGTGACAAGGCGCTTGATGGTAAGCTCCTGCTTCTTGAGGTCCTCAGCGGAAGCATCGGTGAGCTCGAGAGTGGCCATGGCATCGGAGATGGCGGCCTCAATCTTGTCCTTGTTACCACGCTTCATCTTAAGAGAGAGAGTCTGGTCAGAGACAATCTCCTCAACACGGGAGATGTAGGACTCGAGCTGCTGCTTGGCCTCGAAACGCTTGGCGAAAGCCTCATCGTTGGCCTTGAAAGCTTCAGCATCGTTAACCATCTTCTCAATCTCGGCAGTGGAGAGCTTGCCGACAGAGTTGTTGATGGTGATGTTGGCAGAGCGGCCAGAGGTCTTCTCAGTGGCAGTGACCTTGAGGATACCGTTGACGTCGACCTCGAAGACACACTCAAGGACGGCCTCACCAGCGCGCATGGGAGGGATGGGAGCGAGGTTGAATTCACCGAGAGAGGTGTTGTCCTCGCAGTTGACACGCTCACCCTGGTAGACGGGGAAGGTGACGGTCTGCTGGTTGTCAGCGACAGTGGTGAAGGTTCTCTTCTTGATGCAAGGAACGGTGGAGCCTCTGGGGACGACAGGGGCGAAGACGTTACCCTCCATGGCAACACCGAGGGAGAGAGGGCAGACATCGAGGAGGAGAAGGTCAGCAGCATCAGTGTCAGCGGCCTTGCCGGTCAAGAGACCAGCCTGGACGGCGGCACCGTAAGCAACAGCCTCATCGGGGTTGATGGACTTCTCAAGCTTCTTGCCGTTGAAGAACTCGGTAAGGAGTTTCTGGATCTTGGGAATACGGGTAGAACCACCGACGAGGACGATCTCGTCAACGCCGCTCTTGGGGATGCCAGAGTCCTTGAGGACCTGGGCAACGGGCTCGAGGGTGCCGGCGAAAGCCTTGGCGTTGAGCTCCTCGAAGCGGGCACGGGTGATGGTCATGGTGAAGTCCTCACCATCGAAGAGAGAGTCAATCTCAATGGTGGCCTGGGCACCGCTGGACAGAGTACGCTTGGCACGCTCGCAAGCAGTGCGGAGACGGCGGAGAGCACGGGCATCGCCACCGAGGTCCTAGGGTAAACCTTTTGTTAACAACCCAGATTCACAAACAAAAAAAGTTCACCAACAAACTCACCTTCTTCGTCTTGCGCTTAAAGTCTTTCGCAGCATGATCAAGTAGGTTTGTATCGAAGTCCTGACCACCCAAGTGAGTATCACCAGCAGTAGCCTTGACGGTGAAGACACCACCCTGGATGTGGAGGAGGGAGACATCGAAAGTACCACCACCAAGATCGTAGATGAGGACGTTGCGCTCCTTGTCGGACTTACCGGCACCAAGACCGTAGGCAATGGCGGCAGCGGTAGGCTCGTTGATGATACGGAGGACGTTGAGACCAGCAATGGCACCAGCATCCTTGGTAGCCTGACGCTGGTTGTCGTTGAAGTAGGCGGGGACAGTGATGACAGCCTTCTCAACCTTCTTGCCAAGCTTGGTCTCGGCAATCTCCTTCATCTGTAGTGGTGCATTAGTATATGTGAAAAAATGCGCACAGCTTTGTATTATGAGTGACATACCTTGAGGAGGACCATGGAGGAGATCTCCTGGGCAGAGAAGGTCTTCTTCTCGCCGAGGTAGTCAACCTGGATCTTGGGCTGGCCATCGTCATCGACGATGGTGAAGGGCCAGGACTCAATATCCTTCTTGACGGTGGCATCGTCGAAGCGGCGACCGATAAGACGCCTGGGTGGCTAGTTAGTAGCTGTGGCGAACATCTGACAGGCGACGAGGCGACTCACTTGGCATCGAAGACGGTGTTCTTGGGGTTCATGGCAGCGTTGTTCTTGGCAGCCTCACCAATCAGACGCTCCTTCTCAGTGAAAGAGACGAAAGAAGGGGTGGTGAAAGAACCCTGCTCGTTGGCAATGATTTCGACATTGGCGCCCTCGTAGATGGCAACGCAAGAGTAGGTGGTACCTGAGGAGTGGCATCACTGGTTAGCAAAGATGAAAACGATGAATCAAGTTTGTGTACTGGCTGGAGGGCGGGCGAGGAGAGATATCGCGGGATTCGTTGTTCAGATCAAGAACAAGTCGGTGACGGCGATGTTGTGAAAAACTCCTCGGCGGCACACCCAGGCCAGTTGGATTTCAGGACGACATACCCAAATCAATGCCAATGGCACCGTCGTAGACTTCTTCCGCCATTTTGAATATAGAGATAAAGGGATGACCCGAAAAAAAAAAGTTGTATGGGAATGTAAGAGGATGGAGAAGAAGAGGTGAAAAGAGAGAGGAAGAAGAGCGAAGGGAAAAGGCGGCGGACCAGGTCGGTGGTGGGGTATTTTTTTTTTCTCGTCCTCGCCGGCCTCCACGCCTGGTGGAATAATTTTCAGGGCCTCAGCAATTTTTTTTCCTTTTGGTTTTCGTGGTCGTTGTCTCAGCGAGGGCCTGTGATTGGCTGTCACCGCTATTGCCTGGGTGAGGGTGGAGTCTCCAAGCCCGAGCCTGTGGCAGAAGATGCGCTAGTCCTCTTTGGGACTAGCTATATCCCCACCAATTCAAGGCTTTTGATAAAATACGTGATGGCCTGCTTCTTGGTGAACCGTCTGCTGGCCTCGGCTGAAAGAAATATTATTTTAATCCCTATTTTAATTAATGACCTGAATATTTGGATTGGTGCGAGATGCACTGTACGTGTCTCCATCACCAACAAAGCCTGTCCTGCATAGTTACCTTTGCTCTGTCTGTCCCTAGAATGCAGTGGAAACCGTCCAGTTACCCAGTATAGACACTGTACATCTGCCGGTATCTGGTAAGCAACAAACAAAAAGAACCAAGAGAGACGAGGTGTAGGATGGTTACGAAATTGCATCAAATTTGCTATCAGTCTAGCTTTGCCTACTCGTGCTTGTACTGGGGGGTTAAACCTAGGCCTCTGGCTTCCTCCTCAACCGCTTCTGGGATGGTATCTTTCAATGCCCGGCCAGTTGGCTGCCAACCCAGGAATTGCTTCGCACGAGCTGCTACTCCCCGAGAGTTGAGCCCAAACGACGCGGTAGCTATTCCTTCAAGCTGACCCGCCTCTTCCTGGCTGATCACCTTGGTTCGGCTCTCCGCCAGGTATCCCTGTCGGTGGCATTCATCAGCAATCCACTTCGCTACATCCGCCCACAGATGCGTGCCGTTCTCGACAAGGAAGTAGGCTCGACGGCCAAAAATATCTGGATTGCTGTTTTTGGACGGGTCCTGTGTTGCCTCGACCAACTTGACGTACAAAGCCCCGAGATCATTCACGTTGATATTGTCCCACTCCGTCAGACCCTTGCCGACGATGGGGGCGTAGCCATTTCGAAGCGTCGCCCGAACCATATCTGGTATTTGAATACTGCGCTTGTTGATTGCCCCGGATCCCGTATCGTAAATCGTAGGCGGGGAGAGAATCATAGCTCTCACCGAGTCGCTCATGGCATCTTGAACAAGCATGTCGACGTTTCTATGCAAAGCATCCTCTGGCAAGTTGAATAGCTTCTCAACGCCTTCCACATCATGGTATATCTGGTCAGCAGCAGGTGCATCACCCCCTCTGCCGTTGGCAATATCATACCACATAAGAATACCTGTGCCCGATAGGTGAATCCAGTATCCAGGATTCGCTGCTGAATGTCCCTCTTCAAGGCCCTTGGCTATTGCAACAGCACCAGGAACGTTGTCTGACGAATCGGCGGTGTCTACTAGGCTATTAGCGCAATAGCTAATCAAATTGTAACAATATGCTCACCAACGACTACATCGGCGTCCTTGGCAGCATCCCGGACGCGATCAGAGTCTTCCAGGGTACCATACAGCAACTCTGCGGACGGATATTTCTCTTTCAGCACCTCCCCGTGCTGTTTAGTACGTACCAAAAGAGTGCAATGATACTCTGGGTGCGCCTTGTGAAGATAATCTAGTGCTGTCCCTCCGATATAGCCTGTTTAAACCCGTCAACAAAGATTCGGATGCCCGAATTCTGAGTGTGACAACTCACCTGACGCGCCAGTCCTGAAGTTCCCACCATGTCAGCATATTGATGTCATTGATGTTATTATATAACGTACAAGAATATTTTTACAGTCATTGCCGTTTGCGGGATGTCACAATTGCTGCGATCAGAAGATGATGACGTTTGCAGGAAGCTTGGCTTTCTCCGCACTTGCACCATCGAGACTTTCCCGATTTGGAGTTTGGGTGCTAACACGCAATGCTCGATTTTGTCAACGCCGTAACTTGCAAAGACTTGTTTTATCACAAAGTATTTTTTTAGCTACTCAAATACGCATTATTTCGTTAGAATGCATCACTTTACTCTACTAAGAGCATTTTACAAACCATATATCCGACAATATATCCTAAAGCAATGTAAGCTCACCCATGCTTCATAGTCCGCACCGAAAATTGCAAAGCCTGTTGTTCACAATCCAACAGAAAAGTAGATAGCCAAAGTGACCGCAATTGTTGTGTAAAGAATAACCTGCACAAGTAAAAGACGTTTGAGGTTCGTCCGCTGACCCCTTGTGAACGATTGTATCTCCCCCTTTGTGCGCCAGGCGATTGTGGAATCGAGGACACCGAATAACGCCAGAAGACCGGCTAGTGGACACACTGTTGAAACTGCCATAGTGCACCGGTAAATAGTATTCAGCTGTTGTCTCCCAATGTAGGAGCAGCGGCGCCGGAGTAGGATATCCTCGCGAGCCGATTCGATTAGGTACGATTCAGAGGGACTGAAGATGCCATCGTGTAACGGTCGGGGTGTACGTTCAGTTACTCGTGTAGTGTAGAGCCCATCATACCTAGGGTTTTGGGGAAGAAGAGCGTCTCCTGGCGAGTCATGAGACACTGCTCTGTACCACTGAGAGTGAAACCCTCTGTCTGAAGCATCTATGGTGCTAGCTTGTCCAAGCAACGCCAGAGATGAAATACTGCCATTTTGTGCATGATGAGTCCCTAAATTGTCGGACACTACGTCAGAGCTATTAATGCGTGACATCTGGGAGATGGATTATACTTACATGGTGACTGGGGCGGACCTTGATGGAGGAAGTGCACCGCTCCAGCGGGCGTCAATTTGGTGGCACACTCACCAAAGGCTGCCTCCAAACTGTTGGAGAGGGGAGTACGAGGGCTTGTTGAAGATGAAATTGTACTGATGGTTCTAGATGCCACGCGGCTCATGAATGAGCTCCCATGGTCAGTGTGGTCCTCTTCGCCACGTTCCCGACGAATGTGTTGTAAACGAGCAGCCTGTGGCAGACTGATGAGAGGAAACGGGAGTCGTGGTATATCGACACCACAATTGTTCTGAGCTGACAAACACGTTTGATCGGTAGAGTCAATAGTTGAGTCCCCTCTAGTTTCCGCCAAGTATTCCTGGTGATTGAGGGTTGCCTTAAGACCAGACTGCCTCGGCTTAACAGAATCGAGAGAGATTTCTGAATGCAAACTCTCAAAGCTTCGCCCTTTTGAAGCTCTGTTGCTCCACGCAAGCTTCTGACCGAAATCGTCCACAGAACTGGAAACCTGGCGCAGGGCAGATCTGGCTTTCTGCGGCACGAGTTGCAACGCTGGGGTTCTTCTGTGGTTGGAAGCCGATAGAAGGCGCGGTTGCTGCTGAATGGACACCAAGTGATTAAACCCGGCATTAGTCGACTGCCCATTCAGGTTTGATGATTGAAGCTCAATTTCAGAGCTTGGATTCATCTCAAAACTGGAGGCCATAGAAATATGTGCCATGGAGCTACCATTGTCCGGAGGTCCATGCTGGCCAACAGTACTTGACTCCTCAGCCAATGCATCACTCGTCACCGTTTGCCAATCGCTCTCGGAAGGCTTTTGAAAAGATGACCGAAAGCTCCTCTCATGTAATTCTTGGAGGCGGTCTAACAAAGGAATGTCTTTGGTTAGACGCTTTTCGGCGCGAGGAGCTACCGGTATTTTGACGGCATCATCAACTTTCTAAGTTGACAAAACCGCACCATTGTTGTAAAATGAATCGAGAGGGTTCTTGGAGTAATTCATAGCAACGGCGTTGAAGCGTTCCAGAGTTGGGTTCTTTGGGCGATTATTGTATGACCCTACCGCAGTGTATCGTTTGTTGTCGTACAGAAAATGATCAGTGCTAATGCTGCTGGAAGTCTTGGATTGCGATGGGATCAAGCAAGACTTCGACATGCTGCGGTTGAAAATTGGGGGTGGGTGCGTAACTCCCAATAGTTCATCACGACGATTCTCTGCAGTTGTGATGTGCTGACTAGGTTCGATCCCGCCAACCTCCTCACTATGGCTATATATGCTAGATGAGGAGTAAAAAGAATGAAGTCTTTCAGGACTCTGTGCCCTTAATTCAACAACTGGTGCATCATAAGCGAGTGGCAGCGTTTGTCGGCGACCAGAAGTTGGTTCCATGCCCGCGTAGAGAGATATGTGAGAGTCTGATAATACCAGGTTCACGGTTCTTCGACGAGAGCCTGTTTTCTTGTACGCCCAGCTCTTGTCCGCGCTTAACTCCATCAGCTCATCATCGGGTGCTAGAGTCTCCCAATCAGATTCAGTGTTGGTAGGAAGCATGTTGAATTGTTTGGAACCTGTCTATCGTTAGTCCAAGGATCGGGAACATGGTCAGTGCAACTTCAGGCGTTTTACTAGATCAAGGATGTGTTCCTAGTCTGATCAGACCGATCGAGACAAACACACAAAAACAATAGCTCGACTCGTTGCAATTTTCGTACTATCCAAAATGGAAGAGATTAATACGATCGGGGGCTTACGCGAAATAAATAAACAAAGGCCGACAGCTGGCAAAATGGCGGGTGCCAGCTGGCGCCCGAGACTGGGCTCGACTCGGGACAGCGTCAAATGAATGTCAGGTCACAAGTAGGACAGCGTCAGACCTAGTTCAAAACGCCACAAATGTGTAGTACGTCGTATATCACTATATTGAGAGGCCGTGGTATTTGAAAAATGAAGCCTCGAAGCCTTCTGGGAGACATAGATATTCTTTTTGTGAAGCTGATCTCATCAGCATAACACTATTATGAGCCTGTTGCGGCATGCCCAAATGCTCCCATCAACTTAATTTCATCCGCCTGCTTTTGTAGAGCTTCTCTCATCTGATCTGAATATTCTTCGCGCTTGCGCTCCTCTTCTACTTCATCAGGCTCCATCTCACTGAAGTCGCTGCCCTTGAAAAGCGGCTTTGATGTAAATGAAAGCATGCCGACCCTCTCACCGGTCCAGAATACCACATTATCACTGTTGGGACGATTATTACTCGTTGATTTCGTCGATACAATCTTTCGCGCCAAGTCACCGACGCCATGCGGCCCAACAAAGAGAGACTTGTCTTCCTTAAAACAAGACCCGACTCTATGAGCACATATCTCCGTTACGCCATCTCTTTCAAACCATTTTAGAAGACCTGATCCATCTGAAAAGACAATTTTGGTGCCATGAGTAGTGACTGATAATATGGATGACGACGCGGCCGTATAACGGTTCTTCGTCACTGAGTTTTGAAGCAATGAGTGGCTGTATACGTCAGATGGAAAACTGAGACCGTAAATCTCGAGCGATCCTTTGTTTTTATAGGAACCTGCAGCAATCAAAGTGCAGCCCTCTGTCCCTTGTTTTGATTGCTGGATCTGCTCGACCGACAGCTCACCTTGCTGTCTCAGTTGACTGTCCAACGATGAAAATGGAAAAGGCAACGCTGTCAGACTGGGTATCACTTGAGCACCAGAGTATATAGAGCCCATGATAGCTGGAAATTTCCGTCTATCATAATGTAAGATGTTGGTGAAGCGACCAGAGACGTAAATATCATCCGATACTCCGTTATGCATTCCGGGACGGGGAAGATGTAAAATGCTCAATGGGGTTGGTTGAGAAAGGGAAGCGTAAGGAGGTAGCGGCGTCGGGTCGAAAATGGATTTGAAAAGATTCTGTTCCTCCGGTTCAACCTTCTCTGAAGCGTCCTTGATAATATTGGAACGCATCCGAAAGTCATGAAGATGGATACCGAGCGATGTTCCGACAGTGAGGGGCAGCCCTTCATGAATTTGAGACAGCGTTGTGATTGACCATTCGAATGATTCGCGGGCGACCACTTCAAGTCTATTCAGATCGACTTCTATAAGATCTAGACATGAGGGTTAGAAATTTGACCAGATCGTGGCAAAATAACCTCTCTCAACTTACGACTCTGTACTGCGAAGAAAGCTCGATTGCTTTGCTGGCTGACACTGACACATTCAGTGACGCCAGCATCAATCCGCTTGGATCTGCGACTGTTTTGCTCGCTTGGTCCGTCAATGAAGAGGATGTCAGGTTTGCTTCTTGCCAAGATGCCTCCTTGCTTTCCTCTTGTGCCTCGTATATCCCAAAGGCATATAGAACCATCATCCAAGGGGGAGACTGCCAACATTGTGTCAGCGCCGTCATTCCCGTCGTATGGGTTGAACAACGCCATTCCGCGTGCCTCGATTATGGCCTCCATCTCCCGATCTCGAATATGAGGCATTTGGAACCAGTTAATAGAAGCAGGTCCATTTCTCTGGATATATTCATCATACCAGGATACTCGTTCGTCTGGGAATACTGGATCCCAATTCGCAGTATCTTGGATACGCTGCCATCTTCGTCGCCGAACTTCGTCAAAATCATCTGCTGACGAGTCCGGCTCGGCCGCAGCATCGTCTAATGAACCGAGGGGTGCTGCCTTTCTCAATCTTTCCTCCATTATTTCTGCTTGCTTCCTTCTTAGGTTTAAACTTCTGTACCATGAGGAGTCTTGGAAACAATTCCGCTTCCACATGTCGTCGTCGAGGCAGAACTTCTGTAGTCTCTTAGAGACTAGCTGTAACCGGGTTACATGGTATGGTTCAAGATCTATAGCCATAGAGAGTGCTGAATTAGTGACTGAACGAAGCGATCGGCCCGCCTGTTGCCGTAGATTGCGTGCAAAACTAACAACTGATGATTTGGAGCAGGATCTCATCTGGGAGCTCGTCCCAGTGGGAGGGTCGACTGTCCGGAGCCATGGTGCATGATTGTGACTTTCAATCTGCGTTAAAATCCGTGGCGCTTAGTGTTTGTCGGACAGTGAGTCAAGGGGATACAGGTTGCGGCGCATGCGACAGAGGAAAATGGAAGTTTCGAGAGGTCCGAGGCGCAGGTGCTGCGGCACAGCCAGGGTCTCCAACCAAGTGGAGGTACAGAGGGACGAGGCGCTGTAGTCAGGCTGAAGGATGCGGGGCACCTTGATTCTAGGCCCCGCCATTCCGTGCGCTGGATGTGTGGGCAATCTTGAGCTTTGGGGGCTAGATGGTTATTTAAGTGTCTAGTATTAAGGGTTTGTCTTAGGGATTACCGACTATATATATTCCTGTAAGTACGAGAGAAGGAAGTTGTGGAACGCCAGTTATTTCTACAGTTGAACACGAAGATACACAACAGGCATAGAGTGGATGGTGTTTCATTTATCGCGGGGTGACGGCCGCTGCAATTTATGTTGAGGGCAATGCACAATCATAATTCGTTCCGTTGCCTTTTATGCCGCTCTTTTATTCGAAACTCCTATTCTTCTTGTGTTGCTTAGAGAACTCTTTCCCGAGAAGGCTCTTCGTACGAGTATAACAGGTAGTGTTGTGACCCTTCGAGTGGCCCTATCAGAGACTCGGGGACTTTCCGGCTGCAAATCAAAAGGTCTGCAGTTGCATAAACCAAGTTGATTTCACCAACAAGAACATTTCCACAGCCTCTCATAACGCTACACTATCCAAGCGTATCCTGTGGCCTACCAGGGTTACCTGGCCTGTGCACACAAGACAAGAAGGCACTAACCTGCGCTAAAACGCGGGACCCCTCCCCGCCCCAAAGCCTAGATCTACAGATACCGAACCCACACGTCCAGGTTGTTCCCCTCTCCTCCATCCACATAACCATACTTGCGCATCTCGTTTGGGTCAATTGATTCCCCTTAGTTTATTTCATTTTCTTCCAGTTCGGCCTCTATACCCCAGTCATTCCCTTTCAACACCAAAGAATTAAACCTGCAAATAGAGTTGAGTGCAGCAGTAGCTCTAAGAACGCAGACGAATGGATCAGAGGCTTTTTCCCAACTGACGTTTATCTTGCATTCCAAACAACAGCGATGGCGGCTATTTGATACATCTCTTTTGTTCTTCTCTAGTTCTTTCCCCTTTCCTCGTCCTTCTTCATTTAACGCCTCGTCTCATTTCGATCGCACAAGCCTCGCTCCGTTCCGATCTCGCTGCCCGACACCCGCCCTACCTACACTAGAGGGGCCCTAGACTAGACCCCGGCCACCCAGCTCACCGCAACTGTATTCGCACTATGGGCCGACGCCCAACTTTCTAACCGGCTTGAAAATAGGATTGCTCCTGAAAACCCAAACCTCCGTCTTGCCTTGTGTTTTGTGTTGGGCATGACCAATGGCATTCTGGGTCGTCGGGCCTGGCTCTGCCTCTGGCACTTGGAGCGACAGTCCTCATAGACAGCACGAGTCTGTAGCAATAGCTGGTCTTGCATACCTTGTTATACATGAAGAAAGACCAGATGATCCGATGCCGCAATATCAATCTCGATCCCACGACTATTCTCCTACCGAGCCCGACCAAGACACCACACATTGTTGTGCTTTGATGGAAAGCACTGAATCCGGTGTCCCCATTACATCAGCTCCAGCATCTTCTCTTGCTAGCTACGAAGAACGCGACAAGAGAGAAGGGCGTATAATTGGAGATTTGGAAGCTGCAAGTGTGGTTAGGGACCATGTCATTGCATCCCAGCGGCGAAATGCAAATTCCAAGCATGCCAGAATTCTACGCGCTCTGATTAATCCACGCTATGGGTCGTCCTTAACGGCAGGCATGTCCGGTGGCCAAATTACAAATGATCTTTTCCCTCTCGATGACGATGCGCTCCAAAGTCTATTCTCAGCTGCAAACGAGCTATTCTTTGCAAATAAGCTGTCTCGCCGTGTCAGCTGGGACTGGAGTGATCCGTCAAGTCCGCAATTTGAAAACGAAATCGTCGGCACAACTGCCCTACGCCGGTGTAGAGACTTTAACGGTTGGGAGACGCTAATGGTTTTGTCATCACCAGTGCTCCGTGACCCCCAATACAATCGCCATCTCCTCATCGCCACGTTTTTACACGAAATGATACATAGCTTTCTGTACGTCATGTGTGGTCTCAAGGCCAGCAATGGGGGAGGACACACAGAAGGCTTCCGCCAAATCGCCCAGATTCTTGATGACTGGATTGGGCAACAATACTTGCGACTAGGAGACATGAAGGCCGACTTGGACTACTTTCGTATTGATAATACTCCAGCACGGCAAGTCCACCAACACTCTCAAGAATCACATACACGCAAATATTGGGACTATAACTCACAGCATAGCCCAGATCACGAGTGGCGGCGATGGTAAACTACAGCTCACAAACATCTATTCCTTTGTCAATTACAGGGTTTTAGCAGCGATGCATCACGGCAGTTTAGCCGATAGGTCCCGGAGAATGGACCATCAAGATCATGTAATTTCAAATTCAATGTTAAAACTATGATTTACTAAAATCCATATGCATTTTACATTCTAATCATAAATCATGGTGCGATGTTCAACTTAATCAACGATGACAATGCTCAAACGCCTACTTCATTCATAAAACAAGTGCATGGTATGGCAGTCTACCGACGCCGTCACTTTGAGGTACCACTGATGGCTTGATACTGCGTATTGGGCTGTTTTCTGTTCAGAAGAGGTTTAGTCGAATCATCTTCATCCTCACTCTCCGATGCAACAGCAGATTCGTCTTGCAACAGGGTCGCGCTGTCATCCACAGCATCACTGTCACTTTCATCACTAGCCGTAGCCAGATTGTTCTCATCTTCGATCATAAAGCTGACAAAGGCACCAGTCGCCGCAAACAGAGCAAGATAATAGTACGGGAGGACGACGTAGCCTCTTTTCGCCCCCCAAGTAAAGATGAGACCTGTTGTAGCCGGTCCTAAACCTCGTGCAATGCCACTAAACATTGTAGCATATCCGTTAAGGGTTCCTAGTACCTTAAGGGAGCTGCACGAGTTGGTCAGGAGGATGGTAGTAGACGGGAAGGCGACAATAATGCCAAATGCCTTGAAAACCATGACAACAATGATGGCGGCCACACGACCACGCTCGGTGGGAAATAGGGCTGTGTACGGCGTAATCATGTAAACAAACGGTAGAATCATGCCTATATAATCGTTAGCAGGTATAATCACGAAGACTAGGTTAACTGGTTCTTACAGCAGATACGGAAGCAACGCAACACTCCAAATCGAGCGACCAAAGGAGGATACAGGATAAATTGGATCAGACTGCAGGCAATTCCATAAATTGCAAAGACTGTACCAATTTGACCCGAGTCCATCCCAAATCCGGTGTCAAAGTAGAAGGGCAGCTTGAACTCTGACGGATCTTTGACTTCGTAGTCCATCAGGACATTGACGTTTTGGTCGTAAGCTACGGAATGGAATGCGAGGATTGAATATGAAACGAGGTTAATAACAGTTTGTCGATTAAAGACGTCGGCGTTCGAAGGCATGCCTCCTTTAGCACCGCGGGGAAGTGGGCGTGTCGGCACGAGGGGGGCAGTAGCCTCCCCATCGACAAAGGATCGTCTTCTGTTGGAAGTTCGTTTGCGAGAAAATGCATTTGTAAGTTTTTGTCCAACCAGAAGTCCCCAATCCTTGGCTCCTCTCTTCTCAGCAAGAGTTTCCTATTTCATGTTAGCATGGCCAGCCGCAATAAAGCATTCTTGCCTTACCTTGAGGAAGAGGGTTGCGGAGGTGACAGAAATCGTGAACATAACCATGGCAAGAAGGTTAGGCAAAGCGTATGGGAACGTTTTGAAAAACTGAATATTGCCAAAGATGTCTGGGAACTGTTCAGCTGGCCTGGCAAAGAAGCCGCCAAAGGCAGGGCCGACAACCGAACCAAGAGACCATATTATGGGCATCAAGGAAAAGGCGATAGGCTGAAGCTCTTTCTGCGGCACCATTTCTGCTACCATGGTGCGAATAATACCAACTATAATCGTCAGATATGACCGCCTTAAAGCAAGCAAAAGTAGACCCACCGTTGCCGGCGCTGGCACCTTGAATGCAGCGAACGATAATAGCCATGGTAAGGCTGGTAGCCATACCCCATGCTACAAAACACACCATGTTAATACAAAGGCCTGTAATGAGGATAGGTTTTCGGCCCAAGCGGTCAGAAACGTATCCCCAAGGCACACCAGTGGCACTCTGAGAGAAGGAAAAGGCAGCAGAAATGATTCCCGCCCATTTGCCAACATCGTCCTGGTGGATGCCAAAATCTTTAATCATTTCCGGTAGATATGGAAAGATGGATGTATATGCGAGGGGTTCGGCGAATCGAGCAACAGCTAGCAAAGGAATGGCCGTTAGCGAGACACAACCCGATACTGTGGCAAGTACACCGCGTTTGCATTGTTCTCATCCTTCATTTTCTCACCTAGGATTGCAAGCTGCTTTATAGGCAGCTTGGGGCCATTTGGGTTGGGCTTCGGCATTGTGGCCGCTATGAGGCTCGCTGTGCTTCACACACAGCTGTTCACGTAGGTGGTTTTGTGCAGCAACGGAGGGGTTGTAGACGGGGCAGGTGGGATCTATGCTTGCAGTGTTTAGAAGAGATGAAGACGCTGAATATCGGCAGCAGGTCCTCAAATCCAAAAGTTTTGGACCCAAAAACTATAGAAAGGGGGAGAAGATGGTGTAAAAAGGAAGAGGAAACGAAGGTCGGAAAACAAGGAAAGCTGGTTGGCGTCGTGAAGTCCCCCCCGTGGCAGCTGTCGGGCCAAACGCAAGGAGCCCAGCCCGCCCCACCAAGACCGATGGCCGGCCGGCGGCTGAACGGTGGGTTAGCGTGTTCGGATGGCCTACAGTGGGATGTTTCGCTAAAAACAGCATAAAATTAGTGGTGCCTCTTTTTGGTGGATGCCAACGGCTAAAATTACGACATCCGCCACATCCACAGCGGAGTATAGACCTCATCAGAGTGTAGTTTGGAATACATCGTTTATTAATGGTCGGGCAGTATGTAGCGGTGGGGACAGACGAGCAACCGGCGGATGTGAAAAGTGAATATGCCTGATGACGACTTGCAGGTGCAGAGGGTTATACAAAGTTGCATCAAGTAGAGCGCAAAGAACAGTTAGCGTAGACTGCGGAATGCATACTGCATCGCTGCAAGGGTGCCATTTGCACGCAATAGAGCCTTAACTACTGCACGCTGCATGTCACATCGCCCACACTCGCGATCCTTCAAAGTGGCTGTGGCCATGAGTCAAAGCATCCGAGACATGGCTTCGTCTATTTTTCGAGCCTGACTTCGGTAAAAAGCAAGAGCTGCCAGACACGGGCAGATCGCGATGCACGTCATCGATATTTTCCTTGTGTCTTTTGCGTGACCGCCTCTCAACGCTGTACCATGGGCAGCAACATAAAAGTAATGGTAGCATTGCGCGGCGACGTCCGAGAGCAACTGACACATGGGATGCTGTCGTGCAGCGGTAACACAAGTGATCGTCGCCTAAAATGACCGGTTCGCGTTGGGCTGGTTTCGTCCATGGACAAATATGTGCTTGCTGCGGCGTTGCATCGGCCCGCGGAGGCGCGCATTGCTTGCATCTGCGGTGAGAGGAGGCACTGCCCAGCGCCGCAAGCGCGCCAGTTATATCGGTTTGCTAGCTAGCGTTAGTATCTACAGCTGGGTGGATATTTTATTTACTCGCTAATAAGTCTAGCCCGTGTACTTGGCAGTGATGGCAGCAGTTTATTTGGCGTCCCCCATGAGTAATTCCCCCACTGGAAGAAGTGTCTTACAACGGACATTTGCTGACAACGTCCAGGGCTGAAAGGAGCCGCTTGTGGTCTGTTGGCAGGATCATGATTAAGTTTTCCTAGGTGAAAGGAATGTATAACATGTAATCACCAAATTTAGCCATGTTGATCGTGCATCGTGGTCAGGTTCGCCATTCTCGGTGCTCGGCCTCAGCTTGCAAAGCGCCCTTCAGTGGTGGTATTTGACGAATCCCGGCTCCGAGACGCGGCGCTCCGTACCGACCCAAATGTGGAAGGCGCATATAATTTGGGGGACGCCATGGTTCAGCTCCAGCGTGGTGATCCCTCTGAAGTGTGTCGCTCTATGTATTGCCGAGAGTACAAATTATGGTAAACCATGATAGTTGTTTGAGGTTATTTTATCACTTGATAGCCTGAGTCTCTACTAAATAGTTACCAGCTGGCGGCCACTGCCAGCTGGTAAGCCGCTAATTGGGATGTAACAGCGGTGCAGATGCTCATATGGAAATATTCAGGCGCGAATACTTAGGCCAAACATAGTCAAGACTCGCGAACCGAAAACTACCCAATAAACTGCACGCTCAATAATCCATCGTCCCAATATTCACCCGCAGCGGTGGTTCTTTATCCCTCACGATGCTGCGGTGTCAAATAGCCCGGATGGCTCGTCAGCACCTGGATGGGCCTTCAACAGCCGCTCACAGCGCCCACAGCCCCCGGATTTCAAATCGTTAGTGGCGCTCCACAATTCGCAATCCCCCACCAAGCTTTCGCTCATTTTCCTTCGCGTCACCATCCACGCCTCTGCTTTCTTCAACTTCACCTTTTTTTTAATATCGATGGTGCTATTCTCATCTGTTTAGATGGCCTGTTAATAACCCCATTGGCTTCTTCTAATATCGCGCATACGCCACAATGTCCAACGAACGCACTCCCCTCATCCCGACCATAAGCTTCGGGCCGGTCCGAAGACGGCAAGAACAACAGACGTGCAAGAGATTCTTCACCATCGCCACCACATGCTTAGCCCTTTATGGTATCTTCATCTTCGCCTTTCATCTCATCGCCTGGCCTTTCCATTATCACAGTCCTGACAATGATGGGCGATACTCCTGGCCGCACAAGTACGGCAGAAACTTGTCTCACCAGCAGCTGAGGAAGATATTCATGGATACACCAACAGCCAGCAGCGCTAGAGAATCGAGCCGATACTACGCCTCTGGAGCTCATCTCGCCGGAAAGAACTTCTCCCAGGCCGACTGGACCCGCGAGAAGTGGCAGTCCTGGGGCATCCAAGCCAGCATTGCTGAATATGAAGTCTTACTCAACTACCCCGTTGACCACAGCCTCTCCATGCTTGAGGAAACACACAAGGACAACTGGAAGCTCTCGTTCAAAGCATCTCTCAAAGAGGATGTTCTGAAGGAAGATCCCACTACAGGCTCCAAAGACAGCATCCCAACCTTTCACGGCTACTCTGCCTCGGGCAACGTCACTGGGCAGTTTGTCTACGTCAACTATGGCACTTTCCAGGATTACCAAGACCTTGTTGATGCCAGCATCGATCTCAAGGGCAAGATTGCCATTGCCAAATATGGCGGTATCTTCCGTGGACTAAAAATCAAGCGTGCCGAGGAACTTGGAATGGTTGGTGTGTTGATTTACAGTGATCCTGGTGATGATGGCCTCATCACAGAAGAGAATGGCTACGAGGCATATCCTGCTGGCCCTGCTAGAAACCCCAGCAGTGTTCAGCGCGGCAGTGTAAGCTACCTTAGCAACGCCGTTGGCGACCCGTAAGTCTCGTAAAATGCACATTCTATATGCCAAAAATCAACTAACAGCCCCAGTACAACTCCTGGTTACCCGTCTAAGCCTGGCGTGCCTCGTGTCCCCTTGACAGGGTCAACTCCTGGTATCCCCTCCATTCCCATCTCTTATGCCGATGCTCTTCCTATCCTCAAGGCTCTCAACGGTCATGGCCCAAAGGTCACCGATTTTGGAAAATACTGGCAAAATAATCTAGGCCTGAAGTACAAGGGCGTCAACTACAATATCGGTCCTTCACCTGCGAACGTGGTTCTCAACCTGTATAACGAGCAAGAATATGTCACAACCCCTCTTTGGGACGTTATCGGCGTCGTCAATGGCACAATCCCCAATGAGGTCATCGTCGTCGGTAACCATCGCGATGCCTGGATCGTCGGCGGCGCTGGTGATCCCAACAGTGGCTCGGCTGTCATGAACGAGGTCATCCGCAGCGTTGGCGTGGCCCTGGATGCTGGCTGGCGACCTTTGCGTACCATTGTATTTGGCAGCTGGGACGGCGAGGAGTACGGCCTGATTGGTAGCACTGAATGGGTTGAGGAGTACCTCCCATGGATCAAGGATGCCAATGTCGCCTACGTCAACGTCGATGTCGGCGCTAGCGGACCTCACTTCAAAGCTTCTGCGGCGCCTCTCCTGCACAATATCCTCCGAGAAGCCACTAAGCTTGTGTCATCTCCTAACCAAACAGTTCCTGGTCAGTCCATTTCCGACGTTTGGGATGGCAAGATCACTACCATCGGTAGTGGTAGTGACTTCACCGCTTTCCAGGATTTTGCTGGTGTTCCCTGCCTCGATTTCGGCTTTAACAACGACGGTGCTGCTGGCCCGGTTTACCACTACCACAGCAACTACGACAGCTTCCACTGGATGAACGAGTACGGCGACCCTGGCTATCTTCACCACGAGGCCATGGCTAAGCTGCTTGGCAACATCCTTTTATCCCTCAGCGAGGAAATCGTCATTCCCTTCCAAGCCAAGACTTACGGCGACAGTTTGTTGCAGTATCTTGATCAAGTCGAGGACAGTTTGGAGCACTCTCTGTCTGCGAACCCTAACGAGCTTCCTGACGATGCTTCCCCCGAAGCCGTTGTCGCTCTACGCTCTGGACACAAGAAGGATGGTAAGAACACCAAGAAACATGAGCTACGTGCGTTCCAAACCGGCTTGAAGAGCCTTCGACACTCTTTGGTGCAATTTTCCAAGGCTGCAGCGCGCCTAGATCAAGACGCGGAGTTCCTTCGTCAGAAGCTTGATGAGGGATACCGCTGGTGGAACATTCTTGGCAAGATCCATTTTGCCTGGACATTAGTTCGTGTCAACAGAGAATACAAGAATCTGGAGAGACACTTTTTATTTGAAGAAGGCCTAGACAACCGCACGTGGTTTAAGCACGTCGTCTATGCCCCCGGCTTATGGACCGGTTACGCTGGAGGTAAGACTATCAACGCTGACCTTCACATATGTGAAACAAACATAACTAACTCGATCACAGCGGTGTACCCAGGACTAGTCGAAAGTATTGACTCCCAAGATTACGAAAACGGTTTAAGATGGACCAAGATTGTCAAGAAGTGTGTTGAGGACGGGCTCAAGAGCTTGAAAGGAGAACTTGACAACTAACAAGCACTTGTATATACTGCAATAGGATATAATAGTATGAATAGTAATTATGTCTAACTGAACATGAACCCTAATAAACCCAAAAGGACCCGGAACGCCCCGTTATCCGCTCATCTTTATCACCTTTACTGCTTTCCTAGCTCATGGGACCCAGGTTGAGGGTAACCCTGTGGAGGGGGGGCATAGGGGGATGTGCTCGGTAGTGGAGGAGTAGCTGTATGCTGTACCGCAGTCGCAGGGTGTGCTGGACTTCTGGGTTGAGGCTGGTAGTAACCCTGTTGAGGGTTGTAAGGAGTGTAGGCCGCAGCAGCGGGTGGCTGTTGTTGCTGCTGTTGTTGCATCTGGGGGGCTTGGTAGCTGTACGGCGCTGGTGAATGGTAAGCAGTGCTTTGAGGCTGCTGGTATTGGCCGATAGGCTGCTGTTGGTACGCTCCGGGTTGCTGGTACTGAGAAACAGGCTGCTGCGCGACGGCTTGGTAGGCTGGTGCCGTTTGCGGTTGGGCCACCAAGATAGCATTAGCTCCCTTGATAGGCTTGGCGTGACGTCCTGCCTTGCGATGGCGATGAATGACAACAGAGTCGGTGACGAGGCAAATGAAGAACAAGAGGCTAAAAACAGATATGTGAGCTTTTGTTCGCTGAGGTTCATATCGAAATACTTACAATTCTGCGGCGGCAAGGCCTGCAGCAGCAGCAGTTACTACACCAATATCCTGGTTGTAGTTGTTGTAGTAGTACGAATAGTAGCTGCTACTGCTAGTGCTACTGCTGCTGCTGCTACCACTGCTGCCGCTGCTACCGCTGTAGCTGCTGCCACTGGAGGATTTCGCGCGTTTGTAGTAGGACTTGGAGGTGAGGGCGAGGATGCCGCCGGCCATGACAGCACAGGCGGCCATGGAGCCGAGCCACAGGATGTAGAGGTAGATGTCGAGGACAAGAACGGCCCAGTAATTGAATGCACGGGGTGAGCAAGTGTGTGCTGAAATCTGCCAAATGGTGACAATGAGCGTGCAGACGCTCTGTGAAGCAAGTTAGTCAAGTTTCCGGTAGCATAGCTTAATAGTAGTCCACTTACAGCCCAAACAGTCAGCAATGGACCAGCCCAGGCTCTCTTAGCAGCCGCATACGCGCCGAGACCGATGCATGCTACAGCCAAGATGAGCTGTATAATACGGATAGCAAACCATCCGCGAGGGTATTGGGGGATGTGCTCCCTGCCAGGTCGACTTTCAGCAGCGCCCATGGTGAAAACAAAGGAATAGTAGCGAGTTAGGAGAACTGTAGCTGATTTACAAAGATAGTACAGATGAACGATCGTCGAGAGTTGGAATCAAGATGCAATTCTCTACATATGAAGCCACAGGAGAGGGCTGAAGTGCTCTTTTATGTATTTTTGCCCGAGTAATCCATCTGCCCGCGTTCTTACAAGACTGTCTGCGGCGCTCCTTATTTCCCTTTTCTGCCCAGCGGCTCCCACTTAAAAGCCCTATCTGCCTCGAGGAGGTTGACAGCGCCTTCTAGGCGGACTAGGGTGTGGATCAGCCCTGTTACTTGAGGGCCCTAGATTGGTCAGTTATTGGGTTGCTTGTGGGGTTGGATGTCGTTGCGGCTGAGATTTAGTGTCTTGTAATGTTAAACCCATAGACCAAAGCTACCGGGGTTGATATCCTAGTCAGCAGCAATGCCTCGGACACATGAGGATCGCACAGGTACCAGTAGCCTTGAGACAGCTAAACCATCATACTTTTTTGTTATAGTAACTGCCATTCATCGTAGACGAATACATCTACCCGACTCCTGTTAAAATGAAAGACATTTTGCAGTGCCACTGATGCACGCCACAATGATAGGCGACAACCGCCATAAAACAAAGACTGTACCGCAGTGTTTACCAGATTAAGATAAATGGGCTGCAGATCCGCAATGGATAGGGGGAATGGGAAAGAAAAATAAGATTTTTATTTAACCTCGCACCGCAGCAGCCTAGTAGCCTTGCGGGTTCACGTTGTGGAAACCGTCAGCGCGGCTGACCTTTCCCCTGCGCGAGTGCCGATCCACTGCCCACAGCAAAAACTTACGAGCTGAAGAAGACACAAACTGCACTGAATCGCCTCATCTCGCTTTCTATACGAAACGCCAGTGGCGCCGTACGTGTTTTTTGGCGTCTGTCACAATGATAGTTGGTTGGTGCGTTGTGTAGCACTGGAGCCTCGCTGTCATTTGAGTCGATCTACTACCACGTCTAATGTCTATATATACCTCGCCATCCATGGCCAATCGTACACTTCCTGTTTCTCCAATACCGCAAATTTCTTTAGAACTTGTAAACCTGGTCCTTGTTGTAGCCAAGCTCCTGGAGAGAGCCAGCAAGCTCGCCCTGGTCCTTAGGGCTGACCTTGGGGCCAGAGATGGCCTTCATCAGGCCGGGAGGACCGCAGACAAAGAGCTTAATGTTCTCCTCCTTGGGCTCAGGGAGAACAGTCTTGAGAAGGTCCTTGGTGATGAAGCCAGAGCCACCCTTCCAGCCCTGGGGGGCCTTGTCGAGGACATAGAAGGCGCGGAAGCGCTGGGGGTATGTGTTCTCGAGCTCGTCAAGCTGCTTCTTGAGGAGAATATCCTGCTCGGTGACGTTGCCAAAGACAACGGTAACCTTGGTCTTGTCGTTGGGGTTGTTGAAGATGCTGCGGCACAGCTGGTACATGGGGGTGATGCCAGTGCCGCCAGCAATGAGGCCGATGTGGCTGTGCTTGTTCTCAGTCCAGGCGTACTTGGGGAGAGGGCCCTTGATGGCAAGAGACTGTCCGGGAGTAAGCTCGTGGATGTGAGTGCTCATGGGGCCACCCTCGTACTTCTTGACGAGGAGGTCGACGTAGCCGCGCTCATCTACAAGAAACAACAACAGTTAGCATCACATTTGCAATTGGAAAACAAGCATATATAGAAGATGGACGTACCCTCGTCAGAGACGGGAGTGTAGGGGCGGAGAGTAGCCTTGGCGTCGTTCTCGCCCTTGAACTTGGTCAAGACGGCACTGGCAACGTTGAGACCAGAGACCATGTCCTTCTCGGGGAGCTCGAAGCGGACACGCTTGGTGTTGTGGTTGACATCCTCCACCTCAGAGACCTTGAGCGAGATGAAGCCCTGATCGCCACCAGTAAAGGCAGGCTTAGCAGGGACAACGGGGACCTTGGCGGGTGCGCTGTTCATGTAGTAGTAGCCGCCGCCGAGGACAGCAGCAGCAGCACCGATCAAGACGATGGGGTTAGAGCCGCCGCTCTTGGGGGCGGATTCGGTCGCATAGCGGCGAGCCTGCTGCAAAATTGCATCGTTGGTTAGCTATTTGGCGCACAATGGAGGCGGATGGCGATGCAGTTCTAGTAGTAGAAGCTTGCCCGCGCCATCCGGTGCCAAAAGAAGAGCTGTGCGGGACATACCATTTTCAGCGGCTGGGCCGCGCGGAAAGCTGATCTGGCAAACATCTCGAATAGAAAAATGGCAATGACAGCTGAATACGGCGTCAATTGATTGATTTGTTTGATGATGGAACCGCAAGTTTTATGGGCAGCGCGGCAGAAAGCTCCGTCGATGCTGCGGACTTCCCCCACAAGGTGCGGAAGCGGATGACGCAAAACACGTGATGCTGCTGCAACCGTTGGCAGGGGAAAGCAGACAACCTGCGAATCGATATCTCGTCTGAATGGATAAATGTCGTCATTATTACAGTCATAGTCAAATATGAGAAAGATCTACCGTAGCCAGAAAATACGTGAATATGTCAGCCCGGATATCGTCACAGTCAAGGCCCTCGCGTGCATTATAGTTACAGTCATACATATGTAAATGTTTAAATTTTGGTTATATATTTCAGGCAAGGGACAGAGCCCTGCCATCTCAAATGGCTTTCTTCTTCATACAATCATGGCGTCATCAATTGACCGCGACAAGAATTGAAAAGGACTTTGTACACAAAATAGCTCGCTCCCCCTACCGTTTCTACTGTAATGGTTGGCGCCGCGGGGTTTTTTCTAACATTCCCCACAAGTGCCGTTGACTGCCCCCGGGCTTAAGCTTATCGCTGCGATGTTTTAGGCGCATTCCTTTTTTATGCGTTGTCTTGCTTCTTCTCTTCATCGTCCTTCTTAGCTATCGTCGGCGTAGGGTTTTGGCTTCCACTTCCCCCATGCTGGCCATGATAGTGGACAACCTGTGGAGGTACCTGGCCAGCCTGGATACCCAGTTGTTCTGTTGGGTACGGGTTCAGATCCTTGCTCGACGTAGAGAACGTAGAGACAATAGGTTGGTGGTACCCGTTTGCTGAGCCGCCATTATATGTGACAGGACTCAGAGACATCTCTCCTGCGGGAACTCCTTCCCCATCACTATCGGTCGAAGCATCAACAGATCCTGTCAAGCTATGCATGCCTCCCTCGATGTCCCGCAGTAAACGGACATACTCTTCTGGCACCAGACCACTCTCTCTAGTCTTAGGATCCTCTGCAACGAGCCAACCTTGACCGTGGCGATATGATACCCAAATAATTTGTCCTTCAATGAGCGGTAGCTCATTTTCATTTTCGCGCTCAAAATCAAATAGCGCCACGGCCTTGCCGTGGAATTCTTCGTCCGGTGAGGTGATGGTAAACTGGTAGTCTCGAGAATATCTATTGGTTTCGTTAAAGGTGGCTCCCTCGGGTGAGCTGGGAAGCTCAGAGTCACTCGGGCGATTGTCGTCATCGGGGTGCTGTGAGAAGTGGAAGGCCCGGCTGCGGCGAGCAGGATACTGCGCACCGCCCGCTGCCGCATTAAATCCTCTTTCACCGTCGATTTCATCTGGCAAACTCAACTCCTGATCTGATTTTTTTCCCACCTGCGACGACCTATTTCGTCGATGGCGCGTCGCCACAACAGGGCTTTGTAGGTCGTCATCCTCCCGATATGGCGGGCCGTGGCTCAAGATCATGTGAGGAGGTTCACCACCACGGAACGGCTGCCATGAAGGCATATAATCATCATAACCGGAGAATCCAAGCTCGTTGGTTGGTGTCGTCATGCCTGAAGGTGGTGCAGACGGCTCGGGCGGGGGGCCGTAGTGTAGAGGGTTCGAAATCGGGTAAGCAAAGTCCCGAACAGATGTGTATTGCAGACTCGAGGGATATTGGGGGAACTCCGATTCGCCAATTGCCTGTGATTGAGGACGCGATGAGGACTCCCCAGAGCCCGAGGGCTGCTGCGACGATTTATCTTTGGATTCGCTGGAGGGCGGCTGGGCTGTAGTGGTAGATGCGGAAGGAGAGGTGGTGGTCGTGAGCGGGGGGAGGTCGGCGTGGTGTGACTTTGTGCCCGAGCCGGCGGTTTCGCCAGCAAGGGCACCATCGCTGGCGTTAATCTTAGACATGACGCCGCCGAGACTGGTGTCGGCCTTGATGTCCTCCCAGTCGAGTTACCGATGTCGTGCCTGAAACGGCGCAACCCTGGCACTCTGTAAGTCCGAGGGCGAGATATCGTCGCCAAGCGTCGCAAGGGCTGCCGTGGGCAGAGAGTCCCGCAGAAATAGTGCGCAGTCAGAGCCAGATGCTGCTAGGATATTCGCGAAAGCTTCGTGACGCCCAAGGGGTGATGCGGTGCGTGTTGTGGTGTTGGTCGCTCGGGGCTCCTCAGCGTGTGGGATCCAACCCTTAGGGCCGGTGGGAGGCTGAGGTGTGGCGGCGGCGAGTGATTGTGGTCAGAGTGCACGAGTCGGTCGCCAGAGAGATCGTAGTCGAGTATGTGAGGAGCATCAAGAGGACTGGCGCATAGAGGAGGGGCGCATAGAGGAGGGGCGCGGTCTGCTCGTGGCAGGTGTAGGTAGGGTGAGAGGGGGGCCAGGGAATGAGCAGGTTGAAGATGGTTAAGAAGAAGCGTGGCAGAGGTGGAGGAGGGAAGGTGGAGGGAAAAGAGCCAACGCCGGTTCCAGGGCCCGCTCAGGTCTTCTCTGCCTTGTGCGGCCCCCGCTGTTGAGCTGTGGAGGCGCTGCGTTGGGTGCTCCAGCGGCCTGCTTTCAGGCTACTCAGCGCTCTGCAAGCGCCGGACCTAGCTACTCCTTTCACTGACTGGCTCGGCTGCCCGCCCCTCCTCCGCCCCCTCATCTGTTCTGCTGCATGTTGGGCGGGAGGAAAAAAATTAGAGCGAGAGGGGCATGCGGCGCGTAGGAAATGGGAAAATGGAAAAAGTAAGTGCTTTGCAGTGGTGGCTCCTTTGCAGGATAGCGATGCAGCCTTGGAGCTGTGATGTCTCTCCTACTGCACGCACCAACGAAAACAGCACAACAAGGAGGCGGCGGAATGGCGTGTGACGTGCGTTGTTCTATCCAAACCTTGAGGTACACGACAGCACCGCACTGTTGGCCCCCTCTCTTTGTGTTAGGCAACCGACAAATCCCCTACAGAACACGGGATATGGCGATGGCAGATGCAAATGCTTCATCGTGTTGGCCCGTTGCCTTGACCTGTCAGCCTAGCTACACGCATCGTGCCTGGTATTCTGATAGGCTGCATGTTGCTCTGACACGGGCAGTTGGCTCTAAACTAGGGCCATCTGCAGCATGATTCGAACAGCCATATGGTCGCTGGAAGAATGCATAATTAACCCACAAGACAACTGGCAAACAGAACAAGGCACAGCCGTCATCGGGCCAACAGAAGCCCGCTACTGTGGCTATCTGGACAATCATACAATACCTACCGTGGCCACTACTGCCCTTCATCACCTCCACGGCAAGATGCTAAAGTTCACGGGACGTGGGAGTTAACTCGGATCCGGGTGCGTTAGTGGGCGACAGCCGAGTAGCTTCCAGAGGGTTAAGCCGGATATATTTTAAGCTTTCGCCCATGAAACAGGTGTGGAATGCACCCGCAACCCTCGCTTATTGTATTGAGGATACCACTTGTCGCCTGACTGACTAGATCCTTCCCCCATGTTTTCTTGCGACTCTTCCCCATGATTCTCAACCAGCGCACGGCGGCGATCTGCCCACACGAGTATTTCCACCGAGTTGCTTGATCGTCCAACTGCAGCCACTCGGTTGCGACCGCCTTGCAATTAATACCCCCATCCATATCACCTTTAAATTTTGATGAAAAAGCTTAGCACAGGCGGCAGCTGGCGAGGTGCGCCGCCGTCCACATCCATGCTATCATATTATGTCTATTTTTGGAGGTGGGGTTGCTGCACCTCAGAGGGTCCTTGGAAAGGAACTGCTCTGCTGATTGGACCGCTGAGCTGCATCGAGTGTTTCAGATTGCTGTAGGCGCTTAAGCCAAACACCCTCAAACCCAGCAGGGCGCTGGTGCTGCAGGCTGCCGTTCAACCGGCGAGCACACGATATGTGTGTGCCAGAAAAAAAAACCTACAAGTGGTTTCTATTGGCGGTTTGGTTTTGATGAATGAAATTACCACTACTATTCCCGTTTATTTATATCATTACTCTCGTATTACACAGTACTAGACGCCAGGCTAGCTGTCCGACAGCGGCTAAGTCCTTATTGTTGGAAGCTACAGCAAATAGCGCAGCGCACAATATTATAAAAACAGCTTATGCTACTGGAATAAAAATATATAGATTTTTGGTGTCATGCTTTGGTTCATTTTGGAGGAGTCAGCGCGGCATTTCCTATCCCTGTTTCCGTCCCTTGTCGCTGTCGTTAGGTAGATGGTGACCGTTTATGCGAACCGTATGGTTTCTAATGTGAGCAAAACATATAGCGGAATACATAGCCCAATAGTTGAGACGAACTTTGAACTTAATCAACGCGAGGCCACCAGTAACGTATGATACCCCTTCTGCGATTGACGAGTTGCAATTCAGTAGAGCATTGCCCTTTGAGGGCTCACTCAGTTGGCGTTTTCCGAATCTTCCCTGTCGCCGGTCGATATAATTGGAATGCCTACTATCAAAATACACCTGTTCCTGGCAGTGCTGCACTGCAAACCAGGACAGCAATCTTCCCTGACTTGACAATACTGGCCTATCAGGCTACACTCCGTGCCGCCACTTATCACGCCGGCTGCGCTTAGGCTAATCAACATCGCCGCAATCACACCTGGAGTCTTCATTCTGAGTAGACAGACAGAATCGCGCTCTGTTAAATTGAGTATTTGGAGAAAAGGATGAGTTTGTTAAAAAAAAATAAAAAAAAAAGTAGTGTAGGAAGCTGAAGGTGCAATATATAGTTGACTCGATATTAATGTCTTAAACTCCAGGTTCTTTTCATCATAAGTGCGGTGTCTCGGTTTGCAGTGTCTCGTTGTGCCAGGTCCTGCTCTGTCGATAGCGTTATGGTATTTCCCGTGCGCGGTCGAGCGTAAACATGAAGCATATATCTAGTAACCCTACAGTATACAGAAGAAGCGATATTTAGAAAGAAGAGCTAAAATATATTTGGGTAAGCTGCTCCTCAATGTACCTGGGTGGCACGGTATTATTATGCAGTATTATCTCACCTGTCAAGCGTTTTCAATGAATATAGTGTTGTTTAAGACTCGGATAAAATGCTCTTGCAGCGATTTTTAAGGTAAATCAAATGAGTAAAATCTGTCTCTACATAAGATAGCACGCCTCATAGATTAATCATTACTTCTTCTTCTATTCTGTCGCTCCGTCAGGTGTTCTCTGTCCCATACAATGCAGGAGATCCGCATACAACCGCTTTAACAACAAGGAGAGTAATAATGACAAAAACTATCTTATGGACAAGTACAGCGAACGGGATAACCCAAAGCGATATTATGAACTACTCAAAATCATAGGCTAAACGCTGGCTGACGGCTAACATACGGAGCATAGGGTAGCCCGTCGGAATTACTGCCGGCCCAGCCCACCAACCGCCGAACTTCACCCGATTCCACCACAACCAAATAAAACCGCGGAAACTCTTGCTCTCCTCTCGCGTTTCTAGCACGCGCAAACACACACCCATTGACTAACAAAGGTCCCAGGTGTCGCGCAAGGTGCAGCTATATCAGGTAAGGAAACTCCCTTAAAATAGTATTAACGGATTCTATGATGATTCACTTATTGGAGCTGTCTGAATTTCAATGTGGATAGACACTTTATACGCTTTTTTTTTGTCTGATGGAATCAATCTACCAACTCTTGATCGTTGCACTCTGGAATGCGGACAGCGACTAACAGATGAAAGACTGCAATCTAGGCAATACAAGAATGTGAGGACGTCTGCGATCGGCCCTGTGAGTCCATCTTAAAAGTACCGCCTCTCTACCACACCATGGCGACCAACTCTGCCTCGGCTCCTGCCGCCAACGACGGCCCTGGAGAAGGTCAAGAGCCTTTCAAGCTCAAATTTTGCACAGTATGTGCGTCTAATCAGAACCGGTATGCATATGATACACTACCCTTTGTGCAACAGAGAGAGCTAACAGTCTCAACACAGCTCCATGGAAGCCCATTTACGCCTCTCCCAAGCAAACTACCCCGTGATCTCTTTTGGTACAGGATCTCTGGTTCGCTTACCGGGCCCTACAATTACACAGCCGAACGTTTACCAGTTCAACAAAACCTCATACGACAGCATGTACAAAGAATTAGAAGCAAAGGATCCAAGACTCTACAAGAACAATGGCTTGCTATCCATGCTAGATCGTAATCGAGGAGTGAAATGGGGCCCCGAGCGCTGGCAGGATTGGTCAATTGGTGCTCCCCGACTTCAACACACGAAAGATCGTGGAAGCGCTGGAACTGAAGGGGGTGTTGTGGACGTGGTGTTCACATGCGAAGAACGATGCTGGGACGCTGTTGTTGATGATTTGATGAACAGAGGTTCGCCAATGAATCGACCCGTCCATGTGATTAATGTGGAAATCAAAGATAACCACGAAGAAGCACATATTGGAGGACAAGGCATCCTTGACCTCGCCAACTCTCTTAATGCTGCAGCTGCCGAGGAGCGGCAAGCAACTGATCCCGCCGCATTTGACAGCGGAAGTGCGGCTAGTCGTGCCAACTTTGACGAGAAGGTGCCCGACATCCTTGCCGCTTGGCAAGAACGCTGGCCAAATCTGCCAGCAACCTGGACATTGGCTTGGTTCTGATAGAACCTCTGTTGCCTAGAGATGATTGTTTACGATGTGATGAGAAATGACTTTTTATTAAATATCCGACGGCGTGAGCCCAGATTAGCACGGCGGCAGTTGTAATACGAGAGCGAAATCGGCCGATAATGGTTCGATTTGCGCCATACTGGCAGCTTGGCCCTAATCTCCGCCTGAAAGGGCATCGACTGATACTGCGCGCGATATAATGGGGTCTGTAAGGCTTAGTCGGCCGCGGCATCGCTGCCTCTTGGGCATGTCTACAGGGTCTTTCGCGGACGTAAAGCGCGCCTGATGCCACGATCTTCGCTACAGCGTTGCACTCGCTGACATTGGATATCTTCTCCGTTGCTGGATTTGGGATCGCTAAAAACGTTAGCGCCACAGGGGCAACATGTGGTTCTGAGCGTCAAAAGGGGAGCATGTAGCGCCAGGGCTGGGCGTTGGTTCGTTTGGGTTCAACAGTTACAGTGGCGCACCAAGCTGCATTGATATCCTTCGGGGTATTGCCATTTTTGGCAAACAAAAGCAAACATATTTCTTCGCATACCATAGAATAATGCACCCAGTGCCAACTTTAATGCATAGAGGCTTATTATTGGGAAATTACATTTCTTCATCCTGTAGCTGCCGCCTGGCTTCGTCGGAAAATACTGCCCAATGACGCGAGAGGTTGCTGGAGTCGCGATTGGCTGGTTCTGATATGAGCCGGACGACGCTAAATGGGCATCCCCACTGCCCCAAAGAGTGTGCTTGATCCCTTTGCTTGATCCCTTTGGGCGAGTGGATGCATTTAGCGCCAGGCACACCACCCAAATCAAGCGGGGCATGATCCGTGGCTGGGTCCTAAGGGGGAGCGCTCCCGATTCAGAACGCAGACAGAGCCAAGAGGACCCCGTTCACTCAGTGCTTGTTTCCAGCGTGTAATGCGCTGTATGGCCTTCTATAGCGAGGGGACCGTTCACGTTCACAGCATCCCCCGCATCGGGCCTTTCTAGTGGACTGGCGGGGTGGTTTCAGAGGGGATGTCCCTTGAAAACGCTGCAACAACAAGACACTGTGGAAGGAGCCAGTTTCGCAGGCACTGACTAAAGGACCAACGTGCCAGTTTCATCGTCTGTGTTGTGCTTTGTCCTTCGCTGTCGTCAAAGCGACGTATGATAAAACACCAGCTTTACGAATTTTACTCAGCATCACCGGCATCATCGGAAGAGGAGACGACGCCTTGCCAGGTTAAAAAGCAGACGATATCTCGTCAGCGTCTTCAGCGTCTAGTTGTAGTGCATCGAAGGCAGAAATTACAGCCAGCAGTCGAACGCAGGGGCACACCACAGGCTTTACATAGCAACCTCATTTCCCGACAAACCCATTTTCATCTCGGCACCAATCTCTGCTGGGCCCCTTTTGCAACCACCCAGGGAAACAAGAGCGGTAATTGGTACCTTGCGCTCGCCCTTGTCGCCTGCTTTGGCCGCCGCTTAGTTGGCGTGCCCGTTTCACCCTGCGCTGTGGCCCTTCGCACCACTCCAGTGGCTCTACACCAAAGCAGTGCATGAATACTGCACGGCCTGCTTGCTCTAGCGCCGCCCCCTACATTAAGAAACGCATCCCAGGGGCTTGATTACGCGGGCTCTAAAAAGCCCTGCTGCTAGATTTGACATCTTCATCTAGCCACACCATCCTCTGCGGCAACTTTGCATCCCTGGTCCCCCCCAACCACAGTATACACCAACAACCGCCCATTTACATCAAAGATCAGAAGGCCAACAGATTTGCGAAAATACCAGCGGGGAAAATATTTGGCCTACCGGAGTGGACCAGCGCTTCATTCCTCTCCACGCTGGGTAATAAGGACAGCACGATTTCAGACGCCCCCCCCCTTCCACTCACTGAAAAGGAACCCAGGGGCAGTGCACACAGTGGAGATCCGCTTGAAAGTGACGGAGCCGACTGGCACTAAGCCAACTTTTCCCAGGCTAGGCGCCTCCTTGGGCGACTAAGACATAGCCCAGTGCGTCCAGGCACAGGCCGCTGTTTCTCTACCGGGTCGGCCAATCTTGACTTTTCACCCTAATCATACCTCCGCAGCACGATCATGAATATCGCTGGTCGCAATGCGCCGTTATCCCCAGTATCTGTAGGAGGAAGTGAATGGTCATATTCCAAATTCCAAGGCGCTGACGACGGCTCTTTTCCCAACAATCGTGGCAACCTCGCCTCGCCCCCAAACTCTGGCGGCTCCAACGGCAAGATGAGCATGAACGGCTTCCCATCCGGACCACGAAGCAATGGTGGCCCATCGCCACCGGCATCTATTGGTAGATCCAGCAATGGTGCCAACATGTATGCCAGAAGCGACAGCAGCGGCCCTGCTGGCCGACAAGATCTCGACGAGGGCATTCTCGGCGAACACTACATCACCCTCAAGGCGTTCCTCAACAGCCGCGACTCCATGGCCAAGGGCCAGCCCAACAAGGCGCGCGATAAACTCTTACGCCTGTCATCCGTACAGTTTTTTGAACTCAGTACCGATGTCTACGACGAACTTATTCGACGACAAACCGTCGCACGCACGCCGCCAAATGTACCCAAGCCACCCCCTACTCACCTTCTCCCGGAAAAGATGTTCCACCCCAAGCGAAATCAGGCGCGACAAAGGCTGTCATCACTAGGTCCTCCAAGATTTAGAGATTTGGCTGCTGATGTATTTCACGAACTCGAACGACGATTTCCCCGCTTCCAGGGCGGTGATATTCCCAGGATGGGAAGCTCCGGCTCAAACCGTGGGGGCCCGATGAGAACTGGCACTCCAGTTAATGGTGGCCAGTTCCCCCCGCGTAGCCAGAGCAGGATGCGCCGTCCATCCGATGCTAGCTCTCTGCGCGGACCGGCGCCGCCAGACGTGTACAGCATGCCTCCGTCACCCAGCTTAGCCAATGGCGAGTATGGGCGACCAATGGCTAAGCAGGTTAACCAGAGCAACACCATTGTTCCAAACAAGAGTACGATGCTAGAAGAAGATGACGGCGAAGGGTTAGAGGTATGTTAACCCCCCACCCCCTTTCAACCACCTCCCCAACAGTCACGCTAACATGTATTACTAGCCTGATAAGAAAATGATTGAAGATTATCAGGCTCAAATACGAGAGCTTCGAGAAAAGTTAGAGAGTATGGAAACGACCATGAAGGAAAAGGACGACCAAATAAGCCGTTCATCTGGCGGTGAGAAGGAATGGGCCGACATTCGTCTTGGCCTGGAAGACAAGCTTGCAGAAGCCCAAAGTCTTAATGCTACCATGAAGCAGGAGCTGGAACGAGTTCGTGACGATCATGATCAGCTGAGATCACAAGTGTCAAGCAGTGGTGGAGCCGACACGCAGCTGCAGAGGGAAAACGACGACTTACGACACTCATTGCAACAGCAAAAGCAAGTGACGGAAGAGGTTCGACAAGAAGCCCAAGAATTCCTGAGCGAGATGCGTATGATTTCTCAGCAAAGTGCATCAACGTACGAGAAACAGGTTGACCTGGAGAGGAACGTCGAGCAGCTTGAGAATGAAGTGCGGGAGTGGCGAAATCGCTACGCCCGAACAAAGACACAACTTCGGAGCCTCAAGTCTGCCTCTATGGCTTTAGTTGTGGACCAAGACGTATCCATGTTGCGCGACAAGGGTTTCTTGCAAGATGGCGGCCTCGTCAAGGATGTACACGTGACGAAGTATCAAATCGCTATTGACGAACTGCTTCAGTGTGCCCGTCGAGATTCGCCAGAGAAGGTTACTGACGCTATGAAGTCGGTTGTGTTCAGTGTGCGCCGAATTACAAAGGACGTGGAACAAGGAAAACCCAAGAATGACGAAGACGCTCAGCGACAGGCCAAGCTCAAGGGCAGAGTCTCGTCTACAGCCAACAACCTGATAACAGCATCAAAGAACTTCGCGGCCGGTGCGGGGCTATCGCCAGTATCTCTTCTAGACGCAGCAGCTTCGCACTTGACTGTAGCTCTGGTTGAATTCCTGCGAGTTGCTAAGATCCGAACAACACCAGCCGAGGAGCTCGACGAAGACGACGACGGAACAGTTACGCCTGTAGAATCTGCTGGATTCTTCTCTCCCCATAGCGATGGACAGCGTTCAATGAACCAAGATTCCCTTCCGCCTCCACCAGCTTTCCAGGGCCTCGGCGGCGCCAGAGCCAGCGCCCAGTCATCTGCTTACAGCCCGATTAACTCCCCACGAGAATCCATGGATCCATACGCTACCAACGGCAACCATGGAATGACGAACGGTTATGGACACGGCAATTCTGCAGACTACAAGGTGTCGTACAGCGGATACTAAGTCTGGGCATTTGGATTGGGCTGCAGCATCTCGTTCTATGATACGCACCTACTGACCGACACACATGCATCGAGTATCTCAGAAGACGGTCTAGTGAGCGTAGCCTTTACCTGATTCATATTCTCCACGATGCGTTTACGGCTCACCGACGAAGTTTACACAATTACACTTGACGAAGCACATGGGATAGACAGGGGACATACCCCGCGACGGCGTTTTTAGTTTTTGGAGAGAACCGGGAATATTCTTTACGGCAGGGGGTAGCATACCTTTACCGTGATTCTTTTTGTGCCATTCGAAATTACACGCAAATAATTTTTAAACCAAGGACAAGGAAGCTGCAGTGCTTGAAGAGCGCCATCAGCAAGGGGAGAAGCACGTAGGTTTTGACTTGAGACAAGCAGAGACCGCACCCGGCCGGCCAGGTGCCCTTTGCCTCCCATAACTAGCCACGACTCTATTTTTGTTTTTCTCTGTTTGGATGACTGGCGAAGCGGTTGAATACATAATGATGCCTTCGAGGGCATGGCAGTTGTACAAATACATTGCATGTTAATTTCCTCCACGTGGCCTAATATTGATTGAAACTTTGACCGTACGCTGTGACTGTAAGAGCATACTGTGTGGATAGCGGTTGCATTTTCTGGGGACTAGGAGTGCAGCCAACAGGTTGCATATTGTTTCTTGCACGAGCTGATTTTGCGTAATGTCGCTCACATTCTTTTTGTAGGAGGCGGTATAATTTTCATATGATCTGCACATATTCCAGATAGACTAGGAAGATGGGCCAGTTGGGTGTCCAGAAGCGGCAATGGGGTCTCTCCACCCCCACCCTCCGACGGGTTTGGCTGACTGACAGTCTTCGCCTCGGCTTCACCTACACCTTAAACTTTTTATCTTGACTTTGCTGCCGTGCTCTGAAGTAAGAATTGTCCAGCGACACTGCAGTATTATAAATAACTGTCTATTATCTATTTTCTCACCCTATTTCACTTCTCACCTTGCCAAAGACTGGGCCCCCAACGTCAGCCAGCCTCGTTTTCAGTTTGGCACCAACCACCGGTGTACCATGGCTCGATCTCGAGTTTCGTCGCCCATTTCCCTCGTCTCCGAGGTCTTTGACCAGCCAAAGTCGCCTGCGACCCGACCATGCGACTCCGACTCGGACCTAAGCGACCTTGGGGACGGCGACGAATTCGCCTATGAGTACGAAGGCGAGCCACCACACTGCATCATTCGCATCCTCCCGACAAAGGACCAGTGGGCCGACTTCCCCGCCATCCTTGCCTTTGCTCGTCGCATAGGCGCCGAGGCAGATGGCTGCTTCAAGCTCATCTTGCCCGACGAACTCAGACACGATGCGCCAGTCAAGCCCGCGCGCACACTGACGTCAAACGGCTACAAGGTCACCCAGATCCGCAAGAACAGGTTCTGGCGAGTCAGCACCATCCCCTGCGAAGGCGTCTTCAACGAAGCAGACGACGGAGAAGGCTTTACAGGGTCGACTACAGAAGCCATGAATAAGTTGAAGACGCTGTTCCGCAAAAGCAGCGGCCGCAAATTCCGCAACACTCGATACCGCCCCGACGTTCCAGCGTGGACCGCACAGCAGCGACACCTCGCAGGCGTGCCCGAGACGAGCCCTATACACCCGCTCAAGGGCGATCTTCTTGACCAGACTAAAGTGATTGTACCCGGAATTCACACGCCATATGTGTACGAGTCCGCAGCACACTTTGGCGCCATGTTCCAGATCCACGCCGAAGACTACCGCCTGCTATCGCTGAATCATCTGTACAAGGGCCGCAAGATCTGGATCGTGACACCGTGTACGACAATATCTGCTGTGGAGGCGGCGCTTGGCCGCGGTGACTCGGCGTGCTCGCAGTTCATGAGGCACCGCGCCGAGTTTATATTCCCGGAGAAACTGACACAGCTGGGCATCGACCACCGTGTAGTGGACCAGCGGCCGGGTGAGACGATGGTGATCTTGCCGGATGCGTACCACGAGGGCTTCAGCACGGGGTACACGCTTGCCGAGGCGAAGAACTATGCAGATGATGGGTGGGACAAGGCGCTGTATGCGCCGTGCGAGGAGGCGTGCTCGTGGGCCACGGCGATTCCTGCGGGGCACATGGCGTTTCTGGAGGCGGGCGAGGAGAGGATCGATCTGCGTGCGGCGTATGAGTTGGAAAGGAAGGAATATCTGGATGGTGAGCAGCTGAAGAGGCCTCTGGAAGGTGACGATGACAATGCTGAGGAACAAGGGAGCCCTGAGAAGCGGGCTAGAGTTGAGGCTGACGGTGTAGATGTAGAATGACGTGATGGTTTACGATGTTTGATGTTTGTCAGTGTACGGATTATGGGCGTTGGGGATAGGTTTCCTCTTTCTTTGCTTGACTTTGCGGGGTTTGTACAATGCACAGGGCTCGATATTTGTTACTTGTTGTGGTTTGATTGCTTGTTCTATTAGTTGGGTTTTGTGTTTTACGCAATCCAAAGCTGTAAAATCGAAAGGTAGCCATAATTTTCGTTTTCATCATATACATGAGCATTCTTATTGCAACATACTTCTCCTCCTGCTGCAACGTGTTGGTGCTAATCCAAAACAAACCATAAACCAACCATCTTGCATGAAACTACATTTTACAGGTTGCATTTGCCTCCATCATCATCGGGCAATAGCAGCACTTGGGCCAAATCAAATCCCATGTCATGAATACTCCAACTCCGAAATCAACAAGCGGCCGTTTCGTGCTCAGGTGTTAGGCCCATCTTGTCACTGCAGCTTAGTAGTCGCCGCGGCGCTCGTTGTTCTGGCGGGCAACCTCGTCGCGGAAGGCGTTGCGGCCGCCGGTGGTGCCAGTCTCGTGGAAGTTGTCGCTATCGTGGAGGACATCGCCGGGGGCGTCACGGTAAGCAGGAGTGTCGTTGTTGTGGAGCTGGATGTCGCCGTGGTCGTCGGCGTTGAACATGCGGCGGCGAGTGCCACGTCCCGAGTAGCCGCGTTTGCGGCCAACCAGCTTACCGAGTTCAATGCGGCGAGTCTTGCGGTTCCAGATGCAGCCGCCAATGACAATCAGAACGATGGCACCAAACGCGACAGGGAGGCCAATGTAGAGAGCAGCGCCGCTGGGGAGTGCGCCCTTGGGGGGAGGCGGCAGAGATGCAGCAGTGACCATGAGAGGAACGACAGCACCGACTTGGGCTCCGTCGACAGTGTTCGTACCTCGAAAGGCAGCGAGAACAATGGAGACGTTTAGGCCCTGTTTGTTGGCTTGTTCGAAATCTTTTGAATTGATGAGAGCGAAGCCAGAAGTGACATTAGATTTGGCGTCAGAGGTCGAGACCCTGTCCCAGGCCTTGGTGGTCATATTCCACGATTGGAGGCGGACGCCGATTTTGATATCGTTAATGGTCGGTTTGGCGGTGCTGTTTGTAGCGCTGGTATCATTCGCTGGGAGGTCGGCACCATTCTTGAAGAAGTCGTAGTCAGGGTCCCAAGTCACTATAAGCGGTTAGTAATGGAGTAGCCCAGATGGCCAAGAACTTCAGTCATACCAATATATGTGTGTCCCAGCTCCAAGGCATGGTCGGGAGAAGGCTTGCAGATGGGGCCGGTAAGATTGTGGCATCGCTCAAAGTACGCGCCAGTACCGTCGCCATTGGAGGCCGTGGGATTGGGAGGAGGACCTGTGCTTGTGATGGACTTTGCGTATGAGAGGTATGTATACACAGTGCCAGTCAAGCTGTAGGGAAGAGGGTTTTCGGTGGTGACATTGCCATTGACCGTAGTGACGTGAGGAGTCATTGTGGTGAGCTCTCTGTCGTTGCCACCAACAATGACAGAGACCCAAGTACGATCGTCACCATCACGGCCAACGAGAACGGGAGGAGTTGTTGGCTTTGGGGCATCAGGAGCCGGGACAGCAATGGCAGAGCCGCAGAGGGCAATGGTGCCGGCGGCAATAGAGAAGCGCATGATGTCTTGTTCGGTCGGTCGAGGCAAAAGGGAGACTGCTCAGGAGAGTCTTTTTAGACGCGTCGATGGTAAAGGATGACGAAGGACGCGACGAGACGATGGCAATTGGGAAGCTATGCGGAAGCTTGTCGATGGAAATTGCGCATGCAGAAGAGAGAAAGAAAAGAAGACAAAGAGAAAAAACAGCTCGGGGGAGGAAGAGATGAGACAAGCCAAGAGGATAATTACTGGGACAGCAGGTCGGCTTACTACTGTTTTACAGTGTGCAGGGGCGGTAGGAATTAGGAATTTGGGGGAGATTACTCGCCAAAGGAGGCTTTTTCTCGAAGGAAAAAAAAAATTGTTCTTCCAGTTGTCTTCCGCGCTGTCCGAGGCGCCGAAAGCCCACTGTAAAGCCGGCAGCGTCCACTAAAAACAAGAGAAATCACGCACTGTAAAAAGTAATCCCTCAGTGGCCGCTGACGCCCGGGAACTACGGCCAACGCCCCGGCGGACATTACGGATATGCCGGGTGGATGCCCATACGGGGGCACTAGGGTAGGTACGGAATACGTTCTGTACGGTGGACTGCATCGATTTGGGCGATTTTTACAGTGGAGATACGTTCTGTTTCCATTTGCAAATCGGTGCACTCGCTCAGTTTGGTGGCTTGTATCTTGGCGCAATCCAGTATTGGCTCGTTGCATGGCGACGTCACTGATGGCAGGTTGGCTGACGGGGTCTCCGTCCTACGCCTGCTTTCCATAGTGCTATATACATAGATATATTGCATGTTTTTATAGACAACGCGCAGTTCCCCGCATCTATTTAATATCCATGCACAATCGCGGCCCCAGCTTGCGGAAGCCGTTCTTCTCGTAGAAATCAACGCTGCGGCTCCATGCCGGCTGCGGGGGAGCGCAAACCTCCAACCGCTTCCACCCTTTGTCTCGCGATACCTGCTCGGCGTACTTGACTAGATGCGGTGCTACGCCCTTGGATCGCATCTCGGCCAGCACATATAGCTCACAAATCTCCCCAAACTTGCCTCCTGCGTATACGGCGGTGCATTCGTTGATAGTCACTACGCCTACTGGCTTGCCGTCCACGAGGGCCAGTGCTGCCATCACAGCTTTGTCTGCTAGCACCATGCGGGTTGTTGGTAGCATAGACTCTAGCGTAGGACCTTTTCCTTGCCATAACTCCGTCAAAAGGCCGTGAATAAGTGTTGCAACTGCCTCTGTATCCTCAACAGTTGCTACCCTGATGATAACGTCGGTCATTGTAGCTCGTGCCGTTGTCGGAGAGTTCTTCTTTGGGGATGTCGGTGTTACAAGCGTGCCTGACTTGAATGCTATTGTTGACAGTGTGCCGATTTCGTGAAATTTAATCAAAAGACGTAATTATAAACCTGCTTTTGCACAGTTAAGGAGTGCCAGTGGCTCTGTCTGCATGGTAAGAGAGGTTCCTGCGCGCCCTCTTGTATGCCAAGTTAGTCATTATGAGTGGGACGGGGCCACGGGAGGGACGCCGGATCACGAACCGGTACTCTTGAAAATGGTCACCAAACAGGAGTGAACGTTCAAGCAAAAAGAGAGTGGTTTCCACTGTGATAGAAAAAATTCATATAATATGTGATTCATGATTCATGTCAATGTCGACTACTGCATCTAGAACGGATTCAGATCGCGGACATGTCCTATTGACGGATTCCAGAGCGTTGGCCGCCCATGCATAACCTGGTTCCATACGTCTAATTTTTGTATGTCTTTAGCATACCGCTGCAATGTTTCCGGGATCATATCGACTCGGCCGTTCTCCATTAACCGTAGTATAAACGGTACAACATGGGCATCTAACACCGTAGGCCCATTGAATAACCATACCGAATTGTGAGGCCTGTTTTCGTGAAAATACAATATCGTCTCAAAGAATTTATTCGCCCTTGTCTCGGCTCTTACTATTCTCCGCTCAATCAGCGAGAATTCCAACCTTCCACGATGACTGCGAGTGGTGATTAGCTCTAGACCCTAGCACAACATGGTACCAGAAGGGACTTACAACTCGCGCTTAAATGTCAGGGCAGCTCTATATTCGTTGCTTATATCATTCTTTGCAAGTAAATCATCGACAGCTGGGCAAGGAATCCTTTCGCCATGATCTTCTTTTGGTACTGATAGGCAAATCGCCTTTATGCGATGCAACTCCTTCAGAGCCTCTCGTATTTGCTTTTCGAATGAACTGGGCAACATCTTTGGGTATCTTTCGCAGATCCAATATGAAATTTCAAGACTGTCTGTCAAAGGTGTGTCGAGACTTGCTCCCGTCAGGGCGGGGACCTATTAAGTCAGTACAGGGTTGCCAGTCACACGTTACTCAATTACTGTCTTACCTGGCCCTTGGGATTTATGTGTACCAAATAGTCTTCGCTAATATTTTCGTCATGATGCAGATTTACCAGCTTGTTCTCGAATACTATGTCGTTACCAACCGGTGACTTAGTGCTGCGTGCCAGAACGTATGTGAAGCGCGCCATGATGGAGTAAAGAGAAAAAGGAAACACATGTAGAGTGTATGCCTGTGGCAGCTCTGGAAGAGCGCCCTCTGACTGTGCCATAATAAATATATTGGTGTTGGTATATACCGGTTGCCGTTGTTGATGCCTTCGTTGGACGGAAACTTGTAAACCCGGCCTGGGTTTCAAGAACCCCACTTTTCAGCCAAGCATTTTTTGGGTTTAAATGGATTTGACACGACGAATTTGTCTCTTAAAATAATATTTCAAAGAATTTTTTCTTCATAATGTAATTCTCTATGTGAGAATGGTCATTGTGACTCTGGGCTATAGCGGGTAGAACCTCTGGTGAACTACCGAGTCGTTGTATTGTAGCATTACATCAATGACCATTCCCTTTAAGGTAACAAAAGTGAAGCATACAAACCTGTATGAATAAAGAAGATACATTCAACGTTGATATTTATATACACTACGTGCAGGTCTTGCACTTTATTCTATCAGCTGATGGTCAATATATGCATATCCAAACACCCAAGTTCAACATCCACCCCGCGGAAAAGAGAACGAAACGCAAACGCCTAAAAGTAACAATCATGAGGACGTATCGACAACATCCTCTAAGCAGACTTTTTGCCCTTCTTAGCCTTCTTGGCCTTCTTCTCACCGAATGCCTCCTCGTACACCTCGGCGGCCGTTTGGCCAACCTTTCTCTTTTGCTTGCCTGACTTGACGCTGACAACGCCACCCTTGCCATCCTTGACTTGCTTCTCTGCCTCCTCCCAAGCAGGCTCATCACCATCGATGGCGTACTGATCCAGAGGAAGAGAATCGATAAGCTCGCGTTGCTTCTTGCGAATCTCCTCCATCGCCTCGTCGCCACCCTCTTCAAGTTCATCCTCCAGGGTTGTAGTCAGAGGAACGTAACGGTCGTCGACAATCTCATCATCGTGCGCACCGCTGGCGTCGGCACGGCTGACACCGATGCGTTCCGACTTGGGTAGCTCTGCATCGGCGGCAGCGGTGACCAGAGTACCAAAGTGAGTGGCAACCTTGCGCAGGATCTTGATGAACAGGGCCATAAGCTGAGACGATGTCACGCCTTGTTCCTGAGCCAAGGTATCAAAGTCCTTGCGCTGTAGACCAATGGCAAGCAGCACACACTGCTGATGGGTAGTCAACTGTATGCTGTTTCTGAGTTTGCCATTGAAGTAAAGACCAGCAATGGTGGGGATAAGATCCAGAATGACGTGGTAATCGAGCATGTTGTTTGCATAGGACTCCAGGCGCTTCAGATCAAATGGTGACATCGCCTTGTCAAGTTCCTCCTTGGTGAGAGGCTCAACTGCGACGTCATCAAGCTTGGCTCCCGCGCCAGCAGATTGGTCCAGGCTCATAGCAGTAATGGCAGGGAAGTTGCGGAACTGATACGACAGAAGGGCCATGAATCTCTTGTGGAAATCGCGAGAAAAGGCGCCTAGCCATGTAGTATCGCCACTGTTTTCGAGAGGTCGAATCATCACGCAAGTGTGTTCACCAGTTAGGTCATTGGCGGTCTGACGAAGGTATACGGGCGCAAATGATGATCGCTTCCAGAACTTGTGAAGCTCTGGAGTCAATCCGTAGCTGACGCCGACATAGTCAAGCTTAACCGGACGCTTTTGTGAGATGCTGGTAAACAGTGGAGGCATCTTGCTAGCATCACGTACGACAATCTTGTCATTGAGGAGAGAGTTCTTTGCCTGATCAGAGTCGGCGCGTCGGTCAAACTTGTCAGCCAATGGCATTTCCTCGTCTTCTGAGAGACTAGAAAATTTGCCTTCGTAGTAGTCGACGAGCATCTCAAGCGCCTTGGATCCGTAACCCATACCGACATATTCAGGGTTGGTGGCAATGCGAACCACTCTTGCTCCAGAAAGCGAAGCAAAGTTCTCGTCTTGGAACTGTTGACTGACGAGCCACGGGATCAAGTCACCGTGAGGTCTCTGGCCACGGCTCAAGCTGTTCAGAACGCTCTCGCGGCTAATTTGACCTTCCAATGCAACTTGAATGACACAGAGAGGCTCTGGGAGCTTACCACTCTGGTCAGACTTGGGAGCAGTCAAGACATAGAGCTCATGAGCAGGTGCATCACTCATCAGCTGCAAGTCATCTGGCGAGTTCTTGTAGTGGCTGGCAACATAGAGGGCGACCATTTGCTGCAGGAATGCCTCGGACACGTGGTGGAAAGAGAACAGGGTGTCACGGTTAATCGACCAAAGTTCACACTGGTTAGGGTCGGGACATCCGCTGCTGTTGGCTCTGGCTCTGGGAAGTACAGCATCAAGGCAAAGCAGCTTGTTGAGCCACTTTTCCACGGCATCACCTTGAGCATATCTGATGGGCTCAGAGAGTGTGATTTCGCGAAGCTTTCTGCCGGGCTGATAATCGTCAGTCTTGGAAGTTTTGCCGGTGGAGCGATCGGCAACTTCAGTATCAACACCCGTTGCGGAGGCAGTTCGGGACTGTTCGCGGAGCTGTTTGATTAGCTTGAGCGAGAGAGAGCGGCCAGTTCCTTCGTAGCCGTTAATAGTCGATGCCATAAACACGAGATATGGGCCCATAAGCTTGCGAACCAGGGGCAGAGGAATAGCGGCAGCTTCATCAATAACAACCAGCTCAGCCTGACCGAGGACGTGGGCATCCTGGGGGCGGATGTACTGGATAGTCTGGCGATGTTGGCGGTGGACATTGACACGGACAATTGCCTTGTTGAAATCCGGGTTTGTACTTTGGATAATGGAGTAATCGGCATGGTCGGCGTAACCAAGAGCGTCGAAACCCTTGAAGACAAATTCGAAGAGAGTCTTCAAGTTTTCTGGAGAAGGAGAAGTGATGAAAATGTTGCTGTATCCGTATGCAACGGCAGCGGCAATGGCGACACCCAATGCAGCAGACTTGCCACGACCTCTGGCAGCAGTCAGCGTGACAGTGCTTCGGAGAGTCTTTTCGGCAATGGCTTCAGTGAAAGTGAGCAGGGCATTTGCCTGGTCCACAGTCTTGGCGAGTGAAATGAGAGATCCGACAGGCTGTCTATCTTCATTCTGTTCCTTGATGGCATCCAGCTCGAGCTGCTGTTCCGTCTTGGGCTGATCAAGATCCGGAGGAGGCAAAGACTTCACATCCTTGCCGCCTGAGATGGGCAAGACATTCAATTCGTCGTCAATGACCAAGCAAGAGTCGCATCCTCCAAGGGAGAGCAGGAAACGCTCATTGAATCTAGCCACCACATCCTGATGGGCTTCTGTTCTGTAGCGGCTGTGGACATCCATAGACAGGTTGTACAATTGGCGAAGACTGCTCATGCCCTTCAGAAGCATAACAACTAAGCCACCACCTTCAACTGTTTCTATCGTTCTAGCAAGGATATTGGGTGTCAAGGCCTCGAAATCTTGGAGAATACACATGCCGTATGTGTTACCCAGAATCTTGTCCGTCTCCTTGTAGTAGGTGTATCGAATGTTGTGGAGGGAGATGAACAGCTCGAATGGATCTTCGGAGTTGGCTTCGCGAGTGCCTCGTTTAATTTCTTTCTTAATTTTTGTTTCACGCTTCTTTCGGTGACTGTTGAACGACATTGTTAGTAGGTTCATACGCTCGTAGAGATGTAGTCGACCTACCTGGTGAAGTTTAGTAGCTTGTTCTTATAAGCCCAGAGGACAGATTTGTTTTGTTTAATGTCCACGCGAGACATGATATAATGCAAGTGCACAATGACTTCTTTAGAATGGTCGCCTACCACCACAAAGAAGCTTCGCTTCTTCTCTTGGAGGCCATTGCGGATGAGGGCGCCGATGCGCGGATCACTAGCTACAGTTAGATGCAGTCAAATAAAAATGAAGTTTAAAGAAATAAATACTTACACTTGCTTACGAGACATCTTTGCTGTGGCCAATCTCTTTGGAGGGATTGAGGCAGCGTTGAAGTTGGGACAGAAAAAGATTTATTCTGTCATGGCGATTCCCCAGCAGAGACTGGTGTCAAAAGATTTCCAAAATTTTGGCGGGCCCGCAGTTTCTGCCGGGCGGTGAGAAGGCGCCATATGAGCTCCATACGCTCCTCGTCAGGTCTACACCTACTAGCACACTTGGATTCACGCAAGAAATCAATTTCATTAATTCAAATATCATCAATTTTACGCTGTGCTATGTAAACTTCCTTGGAATGCACTCTAACTTTGTTCATTTAAAAAAAGAGACAGATACGCCGCTATGAATACGGATTGGAAGGTTGACTTCACTTTCCGCCGTCCTTTACACCCGAGCTAGGAACTTCTTGTTGATACGCAGTCGAACAATCAGAAGCAAAATAGCGGAAGCTGCAGCCATGAGACCTGCATATATCATAGCAGGGCGATATGCTTGCAGTCCGGCGTCGGAGCCTCCAAAAGCTTGAAGGAGGTAACCTGCAATAGGAGCACCCTGTGCTGTGTTAAAACGGGTTTCAAACTTAGTTTGACAAAAGACTTACCATGAGGTATCCACCAACCCAGCCAGTCATGATCATGCTCATAACAACGCCAACTCTGGCACTGCCAAATACACTAGTGGCAACAGTCGGCATAGTTGAGAAGTAACCACCGTTGGAGACACCGTTGATAATGACAAAGAGAATCAATGGACCGATGGATGATGAGGCCGGCCAGATAGCCAGCATACTGACAGTGTTGAGAATCAATGAAGCGAATAAGACGTTGATGGCACCAATCTTGTCACACCAAAATCCGCAAAAGATGCGACCCACGGCAGAAGCGAGGGTATAACCAGCGACAAGACCAGCACCAGTGCTGGAGCTCAGACCAAGTGATTTGGAGTAAAGTGGCAAGAAGAATGCAGGGACAAAGTTGGGAAAGTTGCCAATCGCGGCAGCGAGCCAAAGAAGAGTAAAGTTGACGTTCTTGAACATTCGCCTACAACAGCGTTAGAAGAGACATGAGCAAGGGTTGAGTCAGGCACAAACCATTCAACAAACTGGCGACGGGGAACTTCGGTTCGCTCCTTCATCATATATCCTGCTGAAATACCAGTGACGAGTGTTAAAATACCCAGGATGCGGTACGCCCACTCCAGGCCAACCTTGCGAATGAGGACATCGATAATGGCACTGTTGGCAGCGCCACCGAAGCCGCTGCCCGCAAAGATGAGACCATTGGCGAGACCACGTTTCTTGTTGAAGTATTGAGCGGGAATGGCGGTAACGACGACAAATGCAGCACTTCAATGTCGATCATTAGTGACAAACCTCATACCCGCGGGGCAAGTGCTTGGGGACTTACCTGGCACCAGCGCCAGTCAAAAATCCGAATGTGAAGAAGAGACCGCCAACATTATGAGTTGTGAAACTAGCAAGAATCTCGGACAGTCCCATCATAGTCATGCCAATAATTCCGACCCATCTCGCGCCGATGTAGCGCATCAGATGGGCGTGAAACATGGCAGCCACTGAAACCATTGCTGCTTGGAGAGAACCAATGAATGACAGGACGGCGGGACCAGCGAGGTCCTCCTCAACGAGTTTGCGCTGGATAACTCCCCAGGCATATGTTGTGCCAGATGCCCACCACATCATCATGGCTCCGGCGACGACGATGGCCCATCCGTAACCACCGTCAGGCGCTGCTGAGTCCGCAGCGAGTGACGCTTGGAGCACGGCCTTCTCATCATGAATGTCGTATGTGGCGGGGGTAGTTGGTGCATTACGGCGGCGGTTTGTGACCTTACCGTCTTGCGTTTCAGCTTGGACGGTTGTGGAAGATGAATTGTAGTCCATAAGCTGGACACCCGTCGTCGTTGTCGTTGTCGTTGTAGCCATTGTGAGTGTTCTGGAACTCTCTTGAACCCAGAGTAGTGAAGGCTAACGGGGAGGGTGCGAGACTAAAAAAGAAGTAGATGGAGGGAGAGAAATCAGAAGTTTACAAGGCATGCAGGAAGAATAAAAGAACTCCGAACACCCGGAAGTTTTCCCATCCACCCGGAAAAGGCTGGTCTGACAAAAAGTTTCCATCTCAGCACAATGAACCCTCGACTTGCCGGGCCCCGATGACGGGTAACCCAGGGTATGATGAGCAGGGCGTTTTCGACGCCGCAAACTAAGCATTCCTGGTCGGAAAATCACTGAGACTGGACGGGGCCGCTAGCAAAACCAGTGGATTTGGAGGAAGACGCTAATAATACAAGCACGCCACCAGCAAGGAGCATAAACGCGTACACGCCCCTACCCCCCTTGTTCTTACTCGCGGGGGTTGCATGCTGGATTAGCTCACTTGCATTAGGTGTAAGCGAACGCAACATGGCCTCCGACGGCAAAAAGATTGGTGGTAATCCGCCCACACCCTTGTGGCTCATTTAGCACTCCCTTATTCTGTGTTAATTCTCTAATCCTTTTTGCATTTAGTAAAAAAAGGCACTAACTTATTCCTTTCTAGCAGGATCTATGCCACGGCCTCCTGCATCTGAACCACATCCCAGAATAGCCTGGGCATCTGATTTTACTCGGGGTTGGCTGGGCGTACCTGGATGAAATCCTCCGCCAGGGTGCTCGGCAATAACTTCTGTACCTAAAAGGCATTACGGTCGTGAAGGTTTCTCATTGACGGAGTAAGAATGCAATGGCGAGTTATCTCCGACCCGACGCAAGAGAACGTTAACATCAACCATAATAATTGCACGGACCATTCGGCGTACAAGTCTATGTGATTAACTGCTAACTTTGACGTCTTACTTTGATGTAGGGGTGTGTGCTTTCTGGGCCACGTGCATATGTGGGTTCAACTAGGCCGTATTTTAAACAGGCCGACTTACAGACATTAACAAATCTACAGCAAAGAGAAGATGGCGAGACGATGAATAATACAATGCTTGTGTCTCTGGGTATCATCCGGTCAACGCTACCGAACATGAACTCGTAAAAAAGGTCTATAAAAGTATGTGCTACTGCTGGTGGATGAGCATCCAGCTAATGAAGTGATCCCAGCCTCATAAAGGCGATGATTTTACACCCGCTCGTAAAGAAATAAAGAAACGCTAACCATGCAAATCTAAAAATATGTGACAAAAGAAAAAGAAAATAGCAACAGTTGGCTGAAGCCTGTTGGTACTTTTCCACCTTAGACAAGGACACTGTCAGAGAATTCTCTAACAACGCCGAGAATGTGTCGTTCAAAAGCGTCGCGCTTCGCAGTGGGAGCATAGGAGTCGACGATAATTTGGACAATGCTGTCGGCATCGACCAGGCGGATTCCAGATTGCTTGTAGTCCTCAAGCTCTTCCTTAGTCGGAGCCACGACATTAGAAAACTCGGCGTCGTCGACACCAGCCTTATGAAGGGGTTGCTTGCGGGCGACTCTGCCGACCGCCTCGCTAGCCATATCAACGCCGAGGGCATGGACATCGTTCATATGGTTGAGCATAGACTTGGAGAAGTCAATGGGATGCTGACGGCTATCGACTAGGACGCTACCGGCTCCAAGAACATCGGTAACCTCGCGGAGAGTGTATGTGAAGTGGGACTTGTTGTTCTTGATGGCACGAGCAGCAGCAACAACACCACCCTGAGGAGTAGTGAGGTTGAGGAGCTTGCGATCTCCTGAAAAATAGTGTGCAAGTTCCGGCTTGAAAGCTTCGCTAGACTGGATAGAAAGACCGACATCAATGTGATGCTTAGAAAGGCTGCTAATGAACGAAGCGGAATTGATATCAGCAGCTTCCTGAACCAAGATGCCATACTTGGTTTGCATCTGGGAAACAGTCATGTGTGCAGAGTCCTCTGGTGTAGCGTCCTTGAAGTAAGGCAAGACATGTTCCTGCATGAGCTGCTCTTCGAAAAACGCAAGCTCGCGAAGCTCGGGGAGAGTAGACTTGCCGTCAGCCTTGCCCTTGGTCAAGAAAACATATGGGACATGGCCTTGGCGCAACAGCTTAGGGACAAGCTTACTAGCCATGAGGTTGGAGGACAGATCGTTGCCAACAAAGAGAGCAACGTGGAGATGAGCGGCAGCAACCTCACCAACGAGGGAATCAGCGATGCGTGAGGCGTGTGCGGCAACTCTATCAGTAGCACTAACATAGAAGTGAGTGCCGCGAGTGAGAGAACCCATGACATATAAACCAGGTCCAGCCTTGAGGTGCTCAAAGTCGACTACAACGCCACCAGCGGGATGTGCGGTCAGCAAGCCCTTCTTAACAGCCGAGTTGATGAGAGGAGAGTCGATGCGGTCAATGTGGCATTCTTGGCCAGTGGCCTCGATAACATACGGGGCCTCGAGAACACCAGCTGAAGTCTGAGCATTGAAGAGACCATTATCATGGCTGATGGAGCTACCAGAAACGACAGTGAGTTGGCCCTTCTTCAGTAGAGCAAAGATACGGGATGCGTTCTTAACAGGCATGGCATGGCGGTAGCTCATCCATGAACTGTTAAATTTCTCCATGAAGATCTTTTGGCTGTCAGGTGTCAAGCTGTTCCAGTAACGCTCAATGACGGGGGCGGTGCTTGAAAGCACGGATTGCCATCGTACTTGTTGCTTGGAGGCAAGATCAATGTCAATCTCGAGCTGCTCGGTATAGTCATCCTTCTCGAACAACCAGCTCCAGTCACCGTTGGTGGCGCGAGTAATCTCTTCAGTAAGAGCGCTAGCCATACGAAGCAAGCTTTCGTTGGGATTGGCTTCGACCTCTCTGGCCAACTCGTGGAGAACATATTTGCGGGTGAACGGTACAGGGAGGCCCTGAACCTTGGGCAACTTACCACTGCGGGACATGAAGGTGATAGGTCCAGTGTGACCGTTCTCAGAGAGATAGATAGCTGCATCCACAGCTGACAAGCGAGATCCAACGACAATGACGGGAGAGTCAGAGGGAATGTTCTTCAGCTGGGCAGTGGGCCAAGGGTTGGGGAAGTAACCAGCCTTGCCAACAAGGTGAGAGTTGGCAGTACCGACGAAGTTACCAAGTGCAAGAACAACGTCGCGACCAGCAATCTTAGTACCGTCAGCTACGGTGACTGTCATGGTGTTGTCGGCGAGACGCTCAATATCAACAGCATCCTGGTGCACGACTCTGGCTTTGATACCCATACTGGCGGCCTGCTCCATAGCCTGAGACCATCTTGTCTGGAGGTACTGGCCATAGTCCACGCGAGATGGGAAGGGTCCGTCCTCAAGACTTTGACGCCATTGTGTATAATCGTGAGGGTTTTCGTTCATAATACCCATAGTATCGGAGTGCATGTTGAGAATAGTGCCATCGCAGTCAACGGAGAAGGCAAGACCAGGACCGACAACGTCTGTCTTCTCGATAATGACAAGTTCGTCGAGTTTCTTTCCCTTTTTGGCGAGTTCCATGAGATGGAGCGCAACAGCAACACCGCCAGCACCACCGCCGACGATGACAACGTCAGCGATGGGGCTTTCGGAAGCGGAAGCGAGCTTGATACCCATGATGTTGCTTCGTATATATCTATGAATACGAGCTGGTTCGCAATGAAAGAAGCAATGGATAGAAGATGAAGAAGTAATGGGGGGATAGGGAAGAAAGTATTGCTGCAGGAGGGAGTGAGGCGAGGGGAACAGTGGACGGATATATACTGAGAGTGGGAAGCGCGAACAAGTTTTCTTAGAGCTGAGGCCTTGGAGAGCTGGGAATCCTTCGACTAGTCTTCCGCTCTTTATGTCGCCGTTTGAAACCTCTTTCCAAGTCACTAGCCCTGGCTACTAGGAGCAAGGAGCGATACTGTCGTCTAGTGGCGTGTAAGCGGAGCGGCGAACCTACAGCCCAGATACACACCCCTCGGTCCGGATCTTTCTCCACATATGGAAAAAGACACACGCCCGAGATGCCAAAGCGACTACCCTAGTGGCCCCTGTTGGTGGGAAGGGACCCATCTCTGTTGAAGGGGCGTCTTTGAATGAGTCTGCATGCATGGCAGGAGGCGAAGGTTTGGCAGACAGGCAGGATCGACTAGGCTTACGTCTATTGAAATGCCGAGAGGGCTCCGAAATACGTCCAGGATAACGTATGCTGAGAGAGTATTTGTCTATACTCTTATGATACAGTATGTGGAAACAGGCCTTGTCCGCCGGCGGATGCAAGACGCTTTGTCCTCCCTGGCGCCCAACTCCTAACTGCGGAGTAATTGGACCACTTACACTGCACCGACGGAGCATCCTGGCAGCTACGGCCCTGTGAGCGGGACAAACTGGCAGCTCCGGGTTAGTACTATGTTGTTGAGTTGGTAAGAAGACCACAGCCGGGGGGAGGTTGAGACGGGGGGCGTGTGGTTTGCAATATGCTTAAGCGCTAAGTTGAGAGTGGCCCACTGTGCCTGCAACCCAACAAGCCCACCAGCGGCTTAGGGAAGCCTCTGGTTGGAGCCCAGTAAGGAGGCGTTTTGGCATTGTTTTGACGTTTTATGCTTCTGCAGGTAATACTGAAGCGAGAAAAGCAACGGTTCAGGTGGTCTGGGGAACTGACAGCCAGGAGCGGCCATGCAGAGACCTCTATCAACATGACTTACACCGGCCGTGCGCTACGCACAAGGACCGCCCACTCTATGTAAATGGGCTTGTACCACTAGGCCAAATCTACAGGCACTAGATTGATTGTGCTTGGCCGTGATCTGCCATGCCGCGAAGATCACTGCACTCTTGGCTGGGTCGGTTGCACTGCCGAATACGGGCTAATTGGGCGAGGTTGCCGCTGGGGCGGTGGGCTAGTAGGAGGGGCGTCAGCGCGATCGCGCCTTCGAAAATATTACGCCCTCTTCAGCTGCTATTAATAATACTGGATTCGCTTGTTTCTTCTTCTGGAAAATCTCCTTCGAGTCAGACTTTTCAAGCATCTCCACCCACCCGTCGTGAGGCGTCGAACAAGGACCGGGTAGAAACGGACTCGCCTGCTTCAAGCCCATGTAAAGAAAGGTGATAAAGACGCCAAGTATTCTTTGTCATTGGGACGCGTGGTCTATCAGATGCTGCTCATGTTTACAAAGATTTTACACTTCTTTCTTCCCGGATCCTTTGCCCTGTTGGTAATCGGAGACTTGCCAAAGCTGAGTAACAGGCTAAAGAGATGGGATGATTGTCAACCACAGGCCACCATATTAAGCGGTTTCTTTGTTCTAGACTCTGACTCTGGCTCTGGCTCTGGCAGCACTCTGAATGACAGATGAAGATGCCGTTGGATTATCTGTTGTCTCTTACGCCAAGACCAGGCTCGACGTTAAGTAGCAAAGAGGCCTGCAAAACCGTGAGTAGTCCCACGTCTGCACCACGGAGTTGCAATTGGCCCTGGTCTGGCAGCTGTCCTCTCCGGCAGGCTATTGTACCTACCCCCCCACCGAGACACCGTTGGTACTCCGACCCTACTATGAGTAGCCAACTCCGTGGCGAGGCTCAACTTGGCTCCGATGGGTCTTTTGGCCGGAATATTTCCAGTCCGCAATGTCTCGAAAACGGGTCCTTTCCTGTTTGTCTGTTCATTGAATCCTTTCACATGACAAAATCTGCGATGCCGCAGTGCTCAGGGTGCATGACTGTAAGTGCCCCCATCTGAGGTTACTAGTACACTCTGAGATAAACGCACTATTCCTCCGCCCGGTGTCTTCAAACTGTCCGGGGCCCCTAGGTGCAACACTGCCCGGAGTACAAAGAGCCAAGTCACTTGCACCTACCTAGTCAGTTCGGTAGCAATAATGTATCCATCCTTTCTTAAGGTTAGGGTGTCTCAGCGTTCGGCGCCTCGTCAGCCAATCCCAAGCCTAGAACAGACTGGTGGTTGGCTAGCTCCAGGAGCTAGTAAATATGGGCTGGGTCCAAGAGCGAGACCGGTGCCTGCCCGGGACGGCCTCTAGGGCGTCGAGATCTGGCCCGATGGCGCCGCCGTAATACTCTAGTTGGCGTGGCTCCCCTACAGCCACTTTAACGCCACTGCTTACCCCCCTAGACGACTTTCTGGTATGCCACAAGCTAGGCTTACTTGGGAAGCAAAGCTTTGGAGGGAAGCGGCATCGTGATGGGAGAGAAGAATCGATTAATAAAGACAACATAGTTCACACGCCCCTCCCTTGTGCACGCGCACCATAACGCTGCCCACCTGCCATATCGAGCGACTTCTCGAGCCAACACTTTGCTAGACACACAATTGATCTCCTGGTGGGAACGCTGGAATTGGAAACGCAATACGAAAGAAGAGTAAGAGGGGTTTGAGCAACGGTAAATGGGGGCCGGTAACAAACGCAGCCCGTTCGCCAAGAGCTCCTATTGGTAGAACTCACTTGTCGAAAGAGTTTCGACACGCCAAGGCAGATCTTTTTCTGCCCTTGCACCCGTGGCCGCCACGCACAAGTGCCGGCGAAATGCTGATCAATGAACTCTTTCCCGCCCCTTTGGCTGTGATCCTGGGCAGTAATGTGGCACTGCGACTGCCATGCACGCTGGGAAGACTAATATCGGCAACGCTTTCAGCTCTCAGTTGAGGCGTGCAAGTTAAGGTGATGCGGTAAGCCCTGATGTTGCCAAAGCCATGTCTTCAGAAACGCCTCGCGCAGAGCCCCAAAATTGAAAAGTCCTATGCCGCGGGAAGGCGACTGTCAAGAATGATACCATCGCCAGTTGTCGGGGACTTTGCCAAAAGAGGCAACAAACAAGAGCTGATAATGGATAAGGAAATATTTCATGACACCTATTAGCAATGCCAGTCATGCCAATATTGCCTAATTGTACTACGGCATGTAGTCATGGTGAGCTGCCAAGGGACCGGTCCTGAAGACGTCTGATGCTTTGCTATGTTTGGCTTTGCTTGGGCTCGCTAAGCGAAAACCAGTCGAGTATATTCATACTAACTGATGGTATCCTGTAGCCAGCGAATACGGAGATAATATTACCGTATTCCACATGTGTGGTTCATGGTAAACGCTACCGAGCGTTATCTGGAGTCTATCGTTCTTCCAAAGGATCCGGAATAATGCAGTCCCACTAGCAGCTAGGATCTTGAAACTACCGGAAAAATTCTGGATGGCCCATGCAATGGTACTTTGTACTTCTCTTTTGACGCTAAATCTCGATCGCGATGATTCATTTCTGGTAAAATCAGCGAGGTAGTACAATGATCAAATAGCGCATGGCGAGAGATGCTGCTCTGTCGGTGACATCAGGGTACAGAGGCCGATGGAAACCACGTTTTGTCACTTTTATGAGTCGGCATTGCTTCTCTCATCATCTCCGGAGAAAACTCCGACGCTTTGACCGACTCTTTGAGAGATACTCGCTGGGTAACATTGAGAACGCGGTGCGTGCACTCGTGGAGGACTCGACGGGTGAGCCAGACAACTGCTGTGCCTTGAGTTACGATGCGCCGATCAACCTGTGCTCCAGAAAATCAAGTCATCGACCTGCGTTATTGGGGATTCTTCGCTACGTGGTGAGGCTGTCAGTGATACTCGAGACAAAGAACAGGCTACAGACGCCACGATGGGATCTTACCTATAGTAGATCTCGTATGTAATACGATAAAAACAACATCAGACGACTTTAATTTTACTATCAACACGTCCTGCCAGCCACGCGGTCGGTGCGTTGCCGATTCGCTGGAACCTTATCTCGTTCACACCTCTCTTTGGGGGGCCCTCGGATTCGGTATCTAATCATCTATGATATGACGATAAGCCCAGATGAGTCTTCGTAGTTGCACATACGCTCACTATAGTTGCCTCACAGGGTGGGATAACGATGGGATGTATAAACTCAAAAACAAATCGTGATTGTTACTCGCAAAGTCTATGGACTATTAACAGAAATAAACTCAGACCGTTCTAAAGACTGTGTCGGATTCCCCATCACCATATCTGATGGGGGGTGACCAGCAAGCCAAACGCAATGTAAGTACCTCCTCATGAGTGCGGAACGCAGAAATGCCAGTATGACAAAGGAAAGAGACCAAAATAAGTTTGGTAGTAATATACAAGGGGTTAAGCACTTGCGTGTGAACGCCATGCTGCCCGTTTAAGTTCTATCAAGCTTGCGGCGCTCGTTGCGTGTCCTCTTCATAAGCTTCTTGTACTTGTGCTTCTTCATCTTCAACTTTCTCTGGCGCTTGACGCTGATGGCGTGCATGCTGCGGCGGCCGCGGGCATCCTCAACGCGCAGCTGGCGCTGAGCCAGGCGCTCCAAAAAGCTTCGGGGCTGCTCGTCCTGCATGATATGAGGGCTATGCGCGACGATGCGGATCTGACCGTTGGCCTCGGTCGACTCCTCAATGGTGAACATGGCGTTGTAGACGCGGTGTGAAGGCTTGGTCTCGGCGTGCTCAGCAGTCTCAGCAGCGGCTTCGGGCTCGGGCTGGATCTGGGCCTGCGGCGAAGGTGGCGGGCGGAAGGGCAGGAAATCGCCAGACATGGTGTCAACCTGCAGGTAAAGGCTAGATTCGGAGCCGTCAGGGTTCTTGAACTCAACGCGGCGCATGCCATCCCGCATGGCATCTTCCTCCGCAGGGTCGCCAATGGTAACGCTGGCCATGGGGCCATCAAGCTGATCGATCGTATCGGACAGTGTGGACATGGTGTCGTTCATCTTGGCTGCCTTGGAGCGAGCAGCAAAGATGGAAGCAAAGTGTTCATCGCTGACGGTTCGGGGCATCGTTTGCGTGATGGAGATGGGTCGGTGCAGAGAGAAAAAGCTCGACAGGCTCAAAGCTAAAAGGGGGCATTAGCGATAGGCTACAACCACAAATGCAGCAGTGCTGCTCAAAGGATTATATTCAACGAACCTTCTTCAGACATGTGGTACGTGTTAGGGACGCTTGGGAGTCTCTTAAAGGAGGCATCACGATCAGATGTGTCCTTGGACTTGCGTTTGCGCTTGTCGCTGCCAGCCTTGGGGGCAGAGGCGGCCGAGGCGGGAACAGACTGGCCAGCGGCAATATCGTTGGAGCCATTATCCGACCGCGATGGTTTTGAGGATGAGCAGCGACGCTGGTGGCCGCGGAAGGCAACCGGAGCAGAAGCGGCGACCGTCTTGGGGGCGGATGACGCCAGAGCGCGGCCAGTCTGGGGGACGGCCGCGGCGACTACACGCCGCATCGAAGAGGGCAACATTGTCGAAGCCTAGTATCTGTCGCTCTGGGCGGTCGAGAAGCAGGCTATTCGAGCAGGTTGGCTGACGTTGAGGCTGTTGATGCGAACAGAGCAAGGCTAATGGAGATATCAAAAAGGCTGTCGTGCTCACCGCAAAACGGCAAAACGGCGGCTTAGCGGGCGCCAAGGGGAGGGGTTGGCCTTAGGCAGCGAGCGGCCAGCAACGGCGATACGGCGATAAGCGCTGGGTTAACCGCGAGGGCAACCTTGAAATAAAAAGAAAATACGCCCAAACTATATTTTTGGGAACGTTTTTGAGGGCTGGTAGATGGGAAAGATGGCCTTGAAGATCACTCGGTGTACCGAAACTATACCTTGTCTCTACTGAGGGAAACGTGTACACAGCCTGCATTTACTTAGTCACGGGTTCGTCACACGGATGCTACACCGTCAGGTGGTGCATGAGCCGTTGATATCATCTCCAGCAGCATGGCGTGCCTGCGATTGGCCCGAGTCTATGCGCTTGGACACGATGTTGCACCAGGCTTGCAATAGGAACGAGTATGGAATTTTGCCTATATATGCTGATATATTATTGCGAATGGACCAATGCATCTGCCAACCCCCAATAAAGCAAACTAACACGCTTCACAATCAGCTTTTATATATCCAAAATAGCATGTAATTCTGCGACTCAAACGCAACAATAGTCTAGTACGTGTAGAGAAATGCCGTTGATGCTGCCAACATGAAAGAATCAACCAAGCCACGGTCTTGGAAATTCGCGGCTACCAATGACCCCCAAAACCAAGAATATAAGAGTAAGACGCTGTTGTGAAAAAGAAATGCTAAATGGCAAGTTTTGTTTTTACTGGCTGTTGATCCAGCTCAGATAGCAATTCCAGCCGATAGCAACCACATTGGCAAAGAGTAGACGGAACTGAAGCGGCACAACTGCAAAGTTTATCGTTTGAACAGCAGGCCAAACCATCCAGTTGGCCTTGAGTGCCGGCCACCATGTCTTCTCGATACGCTTCTGGGCATCGGTGCCCTCGAGCTTAGCCATGCTGCCAAGGAACACGCCAATCATGACGGGTGCAAAGACGGTCTGGTCGCAGGTGACGCGGGCAATCGTCTCGATCTTCTTGCTTTGGAAGACGACCCTGCGCGCTAGAAAGCCGTACCAGAAGGTGGCAACGGGGCCAAAGACGGCTATCGGAAACGGGTTAGTGAGTTGACATAGTGAGGTATCGAGAAAAAGGGCAAACTTACTGCCACCATAGAGAGTCATGCGGCCTGTACGGGCAAAGTCGTGGTCTTTTGCCCCCTTCTTCTCTACCAACTGCTGCGCTGCGATGTCACCGGTAGCGAATAATGCTGCTGTAGTGATGCTTTGGGTGAGGAAAGGCCGTGAAGCCAGCTTGGCGTTGTACCTATTGCAGAATGTCGGGTTAGCAAGGAGCGTGAGATGATTGGGGTGCTGGGTTGGGCCTACCAGCGAGCAAAGGATGCCATTGTGAAGAGATTTAATGGATTTAGGTGGGAATTGACGTGTGATTATGTGCTGTTGTTGCGCCTAACGGCAGTCTGGCGAGCACCGATAAGCGCAGAGCGGAGTGTAGCCCGCGATATCGGACAGGTTGGGGGATGGTGATGATTGGTGAGGCTAGCAGGTGTGCTGGTCGGCGATCACTGGCTGAGATTGAGGAGTGGCAATTGGGCGATAGTTGGTGGTATACGCAAGTATTAAGAAGAGGGGCGATGGTAAGAGTGAGTTTGAAGACAGAGTGTGGTGTTGGGATAAATGCAAGTTGGGCTTGATAAGAAGGAGAATTTGCGCTGGTAACGCGGGCCGGTCCAGATATTCGCTTGCAGTTGCGGCACTTCGCTTTAGCGCTGTCTTGCCCTGTGGCGGCCAATCGTGGGGCTCCTTCCGGGGATTCTACAGGCGGTAAGATGCGCGCTAGACCTGCCCGGAAGGCTTTGACACAGCGCCCAACCTCCGCTGTTCATGGAGTGGCTTTCATCCAATTTGAAGAAGAAGTACTGAGCTGTAAACTTGCTAAAATTTCAGTGGCTATTCATATCCATTACTATCTGCTAATTCTACATTGGACGCACAAGGAAACCATTCCTTCATACTAAGTAAACATCTCGACTCTCACAGGACAGATCCAGAATACTCAATTAAGAAGACGTCTGCGCCGCAAGATTGAGTGGTGAGACGCAAGAGAAAGAATTAAGCTGTGGGTTCTTAAAGGCTTCAACCATGCTGCAAAAAGAGGCATATTAGTAACATCGTCTAACACAAGTCTCTCATATACTAACCCGTCGACAGCTGCGTACATGCCAAGTACACACATGGCCAAAGATGCCAGGAAGTATATCAAATGCCAAACATTTAGGGCTATTTGCCATATCCCACCAGATAAGAATCCACGCACAAACCGTCGTACTCCAGTGACGTTCCTCGTGACAATACCGGTGTTTCCATCGAAACCTTCGCCCTGGTCAATTTGCATGGCACAGCGCCGGATATCGTAGGCAAGGGCAAACAATGGCGGGAGAGTGTAAGTCAAGTTGAGAAGCGTAGAGGCTGAGATGACTGAGATAAACCCAAAGTAGTCCGGAATGGCAGCCGCAATAACAAAGGCGGTACTCCACCACACTGGCACGAGAGCGGCGTAAAACAGCTTGCCAGGCTTAGCCGTAAGTGGAGGGGCTTTGAACACGTCCATGAGCACGTTGTTGTAGAACACTTTGATACCAATGTTGCCATATAGACCAGCGGCAATCAGACCTGAAATTAGTGATATGCTGTTGCCGACGGTTTGCCAGCCGTAGGTGGATACACCTTGGAAGCTCGGGTTGAAGCTGTACCTAGAATAGCGTTAGTTTTCATATCCAAACATGGAATGAGTGAGGGTTCTAGAACGAATTACGCACTGTCCTTGGAACTACGACTCTTAGTTAGCAATGGGGAAGCGCGATACAAAGCTCAAGGAAGACTTACATGATAGACGTAGCAACCATACACGACATATACTACGTAGATGAAGAGCTGAGCGGTCCAAAGAGCCTAAAATGTCAATCACAAAGTGAATATGGCTGTAGACATTGGGCGTTAATGACTGGGGATACTGACCTTGAGGAAATCCCGGGGTCGTCTCATTTCAGCCATAAACTCTACGAACAGCTGGAGACCAGAATATGCCAGAACGCCGGATAGTAACCCGTTGATGGAACCAACCAGGTTCTCCGCAGGAAGTCCAGCGTAGTGAAAGATGGGCGGATATACTCCATCCTTGTCTGGCGTAATAGAATCGATGTCGACGGCGCCTGGGGTTTGTACGGTTAGCATCTATTTTGGTAAGTGTAATTTTAATAGCTTTGGACGTACTCCCTGCCGATCCTAGCGTTGCAACGGAATAATTGGGTGGAGAATTGGCCATGACTCCCATGGTGATGAAGATGACAAGCAGATTTAGCCAAACAGCGAGAGACGCAAACCAGCCACTAACGAAAGTTTATGTGAGTAAAGATTTAATGAATATTTGAATAAATCCATCGCGGAGTTGTTCAAGACTTACTATGACTTGAGCGTTCGAACTTGGGTCAGAATGAACCCTGCAATAACAAAGAGCAGTGGGCACACCGCGTAGCATAGTTTGAACTTGGACATCTGAGAGATATTTTGACCAAATAGAATCACAACTTGACCAAGGAGCAGAAGCAGGGAGAGGGCCTGGATGAAGTTGGTGATGTGGCGGGTGATGGGGCCGCAAACTCGAAAGGGTATATCACCATAGTTTCTGACAGGAAATTCGAACGAGTCGACGCCGAGGTATACACGCCACAAGAGATAGCCGCTATATCCTGCAAGAAAACCAAAGACGGTAAATAGAGCCACGCCGGGGCCGTAGCCAAGTGTTCCAATGGCGAAGGGGACAGCGTACGGTCCCAGGACGTCGGTTGTGATCTAGTTGAACGATGCAGGTTAGACATGGAAGGTTTGCAAGTTTGCAAGTTTGCAGGTTTGACTGTAAACTATACCAAATAAAAAGAAGCACCCCAGGAGGCGGTACGAAAAGCTCGACTCGCGTTTGTCCACTCCTCATCCGTAACGGTAAGCCTCAGCTTAGGGTCGGCGAGATTGACAGCAGCCTGGTGCAAATCGGGCTCATCGTTGGCGCTCTTCTTTCCACCGAGCAGTCTCAACCACTGCGATTTGGGCGGTATCAAGCCATCTTGTTCTTTTCTGGTCTTTTCAGCATAGAAATGGTATTCCTCAAAGCTCACATCAGGGTCGTGAAGCTTGCGTGCTTGTGGACGAATGTACGTCGTGGTGTTTCCTGGCGTAGGTTCGCCTCCAGACGCTCTCAAAACTTGTTCTGATTTTTCCTCAGCCATGTTGGATCCTTTATCAAAGTATTCGAAGCTTCTTCAATCTTGATAGGCTTGTAACAGCAAAGTGGTGTGCAAGAGCAGTGAGCTCACAGAAGAGCTGGGGGAGTGCGAGCTACCCTGGTTTTAGTGGCTTCCCCACCAGATCGACAGCCTGATCGCGCCTCTTTCCCCGCCCATGTACAATGTGGTGTAAATACCGTTAAAATATACTTGGCATACGTTGTTGGCTTGGTGGCTGCAAAAGAAACGCCACAATGGAAAACGTCCGGTTAGAACGGCAATTTTCCATGGCTTGATGGACTTCCACTGCTTCTCTTACGGGTATTTACAATCCGTGGTATCCGGGTTGAGCTGCGGCGCGGGGAATCGTAGCTCCGATTCCAGAAGTCGTTGTTACACCAGACGCGGCCGCCGCGTGCTGTTGTGCCGGTTATTTTTTGCACACACAAGCTTTTTCTTCTTCAATTTCACACTTGTATTGCATCATAAAGGAAGATTCGCCCTACATTAATAGTGGCTGGATGTAACAACATCTTCACTGACTTGCACGTATGTAGACTTATTCAACTCCTCATCCAACCACGCAGTGCAAAACAATGTAGCCTTGAGCTCTCTGGAAGGTGCATCCCAGCATCCAAATGGCTATGAGTTGTATGACAAACATTTTCCGTGAAGGGAATTTATCTCTTTTCTGCATCATTTCTCGTCGAATATATAATATACTGTCGTTTGAATATAGGAAAACTATTCGGTTCCCTCTCCTCGACAATCATTCATAGCTCCTAATACTCCCCGCGGATTATTACTGCAGTCGCTTCCCTCGAGTCAACCATGAATGCTCTACCATTCCTACTTCGACATCGCGGTATTCTCCGTCTTCTAACGTTTGGCTCTTTCATACCTGCTCTCCCTCTTGGGTTAGCCCATGGCATACTATCTGACGATGCATTTCCAGCCGTTGGGCTAATCCCCATGCTGATTTCGGCTGTCTCAGGGATCTTTCTACATCGTCATGAAAAACAAAAACAAAAGGCTCTGCAGGATGCTGAAGCCGCAGGACAGGACCCGGAGGAGGCAAGCCGAGGATACATAGCGGAGGGCGTACATGAAATCGACACGCTTCGTGGAAAATTGACACATCCATTCACAGTTTTCGTGTTTGATACGCTCATGTCAGCTACTATAATGGCCATTCTGGTGTATACCTGGAGGGCCGGAAGTAGATCTGTCATTTTTAGTATGCTAGCTGCATATGCAACTATCCCTCTCATGGTAGCCTTGTAAGATCATAGTATTCCGCTCGCTGAGACGCAACACTAACACCCAGTCAGCATCTCGCACGCCACTCTCGCCTTTTCCGAATTATATCATGGATTTGCGGTTCACGGCTTTGCAAAATGGGTTGCCTCAAAGGCTGTTGATTCGCATTGCCCAAAGTGTAGCCACCCCATACAACCAGAGATGCCAGAGGTTCCTTGGTTTAAGCTCTTCAAAGGTTGGGGCAAGCGTCCCGGAAGCGGCGTTACAGCTCCTCTTCTTACCGACGGAGCAAGTGATGCAAGCGAAATCTCTAAGATCTTTTTTACTAGCAACGACGCTATTGATGTACGGTCAAAGAAGCTAGGTAAAACAGTCCCTCCATTGGTAATTGGAGAACCGAGTGAAACTACAGCTCTACTTCATTGACAGATCATGATGGACGCACTTCATGTATTAACATCGCATTGCCTATAGCTTTCTCTTTGAAAAGAAATACAAATTCAATATAAATAACGCAAGTCTCGCTATATCTTTAAAGGACACTCTGTGCTCAGGTGTACCAGGTTGGTTCGGGGATTTCCCCGAGAACCTGGTATCTGCCTAGTTCCCGGTTCTTATAAGCAACAGGATCATGCAGTGTGTGAGTTCTTATGTCTCTCCAGAAACGATCCAATCCAACCTTTGCAGCTGTCGACTTGGAACCCGTAACCTCAAAGACGCCAGAAGTCACCCGGAGTCCGACGTCCGTCGCCACTACCTTAACACTGGCAACCCACTCCGCAGTTTCTCCTCGCAACTCAGCCGTCACTTTGCCTCGTGACTCTAGACTGCCACTATTCTCATAGACGCTGTCAATATGTTGAGCTGCCTCTTCAGCCAACGCCGTGGCAGCTCTCAGATGAGCAAGGAAGTTACCATATGTCGAGAGGATGTAGAACTCATCCTGCGGTTTTTCTTTGTTCTTTTCAACATGTTAGAGATGTGAATCCTGTCATCAAATCAATGCCTCTACTTACGTCTCCTCCAAATGGCCAGGCTCGAGTGCCTTTGTTGGTATAGGCTGTGCCTTCGGTGAGAGCGCCCCATGCAATTCCAATGTAGAAGTTGCTAAAAACCAGTTGGATGCTAAGATTTCTTGTCAGTATTTCATCGGGTATATGCTCTGGAAATACTCACGTTGGTAATAGCAAAGTGGCGAAAGGCAGCCCGAGAACGTTCGTGTCAATCTTTCGAGCACTGGCATCCCATCCCAAGGCGTCCGCCCAAGGAGCTCTTACACCATCAATCTTGACACTTCCAGACTCAGTCAATCTCAGTCCAACATTGTCCCAGTCATGGGAAAAGATGATTCCTGGCTGATCGGTCTTTACGAGGGCGAAAATGTGGTCTTCGGTGTCGTCAAAAACACCCTCGAGGACAGTGAGATCCGAGATGACTCCACCAGTGTTGAAGAACTTGAAACCATTGAAAACGATCTCGTCTCCATCTGAAGTAATCTTGAGATCATTGTCACGCGGGTTAACAGCACCACCGATAAAGTAGTTGTTGGAGATGATGAGGTCTTCGAACCGTTCTGCCTGTTCCGGTGAACCAACCACTCTAGCCGTGGTGGACCAGAGCAGATGGTATCCTAGAAGCATTCCCAAGGATCTATATCACAACTGTTAGCTAACGGACCTTCACAGCACTTCAAGCCAAAGTAGCTGGCTTACCCATCTCCTTTGGCAACCTCTTGGATGACCTTGTATCCAACGGACCAAGGCTGGCCACCTCCGCCGTACTTGGTGGCGCCAAGGACTTTCAAAAGTCCAGAATGCTTTAACAGAGCAACTTCAGCTCTTGGAGACTTGTTTTGGCGCTCTCGAAGTGGTGCATCGGTGGCCAGGACTGCAGCCACTTCTTGAGCTCTCTTAACCCAGCCAGGTCTGTCAGTTGGAACGGTAGCCCATTTGGCCTGGTATTCATCATACACAGCAGGATCAGTGGCGGGAACTATAGTAGCGTTTGAGCCCATGGTCAAGTAACTCGTGTGGTTTAATCGGTGTAGATTGTGTTGCCGCGCAAGCGATTTTCTCAACCAGCTGGCCGGGCCATCTCATTATAAAGTATGCAGCAGCCGCAGTAGCGCAAAAGATAGCGACTATTGTGTAAATTGCGACATGATTTTCGTGCTTTGGGCTGTCAAGCTACCCCTCACTGTCAAGCAGATCGAGACACGCACACGGCTTGATCACATCATGTTAGTCGACACTTATTGGTCTATCAGAAATCACGCCATAGCTCTAAGCGACCAATTTTGTCTGTTAATACTTTGACGAGCTGGTTTTGTACCTATTTCCAGACTAACAGCATACTGGAACAACGATATACCATTGTATAGGTGTGGTGGCTGAGAGACAATTTTGGACGTGACTGTAGATGGCTGCACAGATACACAAGTTTTCAATTTTATCACACTATATTTAGATCAATTTGCCAATTACTTCAACAATTGCTTAAACCCTCCAATAAATCATTAAGCAGAGTTTCCTAGCCTCTTTGCGCGCCATTTACGGAAGTAGTGGGAGACGTCCCCTAATGGCAACTCGACCAGGTCATCTTTCAAGAGCAAATGGAAAGTGAGGTACCTTTTTTTAAATGATTAGCGATTTCAGAAATAGAGAGATAATCAATGCACACCTACCATCCAACAAGGCCAGCAAGGAAACAGAAGACACCGCCCGCCTTGTTGAGGCCAGTAGCAGCCGTCGCATGACCATCAGCTTTGGCAAAGTATGCTGCGGCGATGGCGAGGAATCCCAGGTCAACAAAGAAGAAGATGAGGATGTTGACAATATGGGTTGGTATGGAGGCGACCAGAAAAGTAAACACAAAGATGGTCCACACTAAGAGATGTCAGTTAGATGTGTGCCAGTGGTGTTTGGTAGCAGGCTTACAGAGGATGAAGAATCCAAGCGCATTGTTGTATTGGGCAGCATCGTCACCATAGGTAGCCCTGATTCCAAAGGATGGTGTCAGAATAGCTGCATAGCCTGCATAGAAGAATCCTGGCCTTTGTGTTAGTCAATGGATTGTAGTGTTGTCTGTCTTTCAACTTACCAAAAGCACTGTAGACAGTGTACGCAAAGCCGTTACCAACAGAAAGTTCCCATTGAGCAGAAATGACCAAGCCTAGAGCAGCAACAAAGAAGAAGTTTGCAACATAGACATTGGTCGTTGTAACTCCTCGCCATTCCATGAGACTAAGCGAGAGCGTAGTGAGGGTAGTGGCAAAAGCGCCAATGGGAAGCGCCGTCTGTACGCACAAGTTAGATAAACTCGTCAATCTTATTGTATACTCAAATTATGCACTTACAGCAGCTGGAGGTAGGCCTTTGTGCGCGTGTACTTCAGGCGCAACAGCCCGTACCTGGGCTTCGCCGCCGTCAGACTCACTGCGTGATTGCTTTTCAGAGCTCATTTCTGTTTCAACAACGAAACTAGTTAAATCGGATACAAATAGTTCAATAGCTGATTTTTTTGTAGGATTTACAACATTTTATTCAGACTACAGACAGCCACGGCAACGTGTTCCATTCATCAGTACTAGTGGATAAGGCGCCATCGAATCCCCGTCGCCTCATTTCCTAATCGAGGTTCGCCATCGGGCATCTCAATATTATTGACAGGTTTCTCTCTTATCTGGGGTCTCCGGATGATCTGTATCCGAAAAGGTGCAGTTGGTTGAGGTGGTAGATGTGTGGAATGCGTCAACAGATGGTGCCATCACGCCACGGTCGACGCTAGCGGTTTATAGTGTATAGGTTGCCGTGTACCAGAAACAGTTATTACTTGCTGGTTATATACTGTCAACGGAGTAAGAAATATTTCTGGTAATATTTCTTTTTCTTTTCTTTTTACATTAGTGTATCGAAGCCAAGTGTTTGTTGCAATACAGTTTACGGGTACTGTCTCTACTACAGTGGCTGGTCAGTACGTAAACCAGAGAGGCCGTGCGAGGCAGAGAAGAATATTCTAGGGAAAATTCCAAATAAACGAGAGGATCTTCCGCCTCAAAAAGAGACCCAGTAAATTCCCGTCCAGAGCTTTTTTCCATGATGTTTGCTAACAGCGGGCAAATCATACGGCTTGGGGGCGCTGACTGTCAACTAAAACCAAAAGACTGGGAAAAGGAGCGGGAGCGAGCGCGAGCAGCGGGTCCCGTGTTTCGGCAGCACGGTCGATCGTGTGTTCCAAGTTGGGCAAAAAAGGGAGCATTCACAGTGAGTTCTCTGAGAGGGGAGCATTGGCGTTGGCGTGGGTTAGTGGCGGCTGGGCTGTGGTGGTGTATGTAATACTACACAGGAGAGATGGATGTACGTTGGGAGCAGGGTTAACAGACGTAAGTAACAATCTATTTTCTTAGCATGTTTTCTCAAGTCTATTAATTTGGATCTGCTCTTTCACACACAAAACCAACATACTTTGTAATAATCCCATTTTCATGCGCACAACAGGCCTCCGTCCCTCAACCTCAAACGCGCACCCACCAAAAGCCGAGACACTCGTGCGGACAAAGGAGGTCCCGTCACGGCCTGTGGTTGGTTGGCTGGCACTCGTCCTCTAAGCGCCGGGGCCCGCTTCCCTTTTTGTGGCCCCGGCACACGGCAGCCAGTCACAGGCCGGCGTTTGCACTGTCGAGTGTGCCACCTTGTGCATGAAAGGAACGCTTCTACGCCTCTTTTTGGGGTGCTGCCCATGCATTGTAGGTGCGGTGCTCCTTGGCTGAGATGTTCTTTTCTGCTGCTTTTTGCCATTTTTAGCGGGAGAACGGCAGTGTAGCCAAGTGTAGCCCAGTGTAGCCCCTCTTTTTCTCTCTCATGCTCGCCGCTGATTTGCTGCCACTCTGTCACTCGTGGGTTTGTGGCGATCCAATATCGTGCCAGCTGCTGCCACCTGCCCGACACCTGGCGGCTGTCATCCATCTTGAACCACCGGTTGTCCTCCTCTCGTCTTTTCTTCCTTTTCCTTTTCCTTCTTCTTCATACTCATCATCTGTTTCGACACTCCTCATCTCTACACTTTTTGTTTCTTACCTGCCCCCCGTTTCCCTCTGCCAATCCCCCGTGTTTCTCTTCTTCGACCGGAACCGCCTTCTTCCTGCCCTGCGCGGCGCTCGACCACCAACATCCGAAACACGCACCGATCGCACCGTCCCAATCCCCAAAACACCATCCGTCGCACATTCGAACCCTCATATTTCGCCCGACAGCCCTCTCCTGCACAGACGCCACTAAATTTGGATCTCCTCTGTCACACTCACACCCGCTCCGTCCCAGCAAATCCTGACCCGTCGCTTGACAGCCAGCCTTCGCCTGAAATTGCTTCGTCCCGCATGCTGCCTTTGCGACGACCATAGCGCATAAACCTGACCCCTGCCAGCCTGCGACAAACTCTGGCTCGCGGAGTGGCCTGGTCCGCATTGCCTCGCTCGTCAGCCTTGAATTCGTTCCGGAGTTTTGTATCATCTTGGGATCCCTGCATCTCCAAGTTCGGATCGCCCAGGGTTTCGGCGCTCAGTTTCGACTCTGGCGCTGGCCATTTATCATTCGCAAGCCGCCCACCTCCGACCCCAAGACTTGGCTCTTTCTTACACTCCCATTCGTCATTCCAGATTCTTGGGATAGAGAGTCGTCTTTCCTTCTCTTTCTTTTTCGCTTCGTTTTCTTTCATTTTTTCTTAGCGGGGCTTTCTTTCCTTTCCTTTCAACTTGGGCCGGCACCATATCAATAGTTCTTTACGCAACGTAGCGTATCTGAACAGGGTTGAAGCAAACAATTTCTGTCGCAGGTCGACACAGAGTATTCGAGGGTTCTCTATCCATTTTTAGTCACAGCAACAGCCATCATGAGCGGTGGTCAAGTAGGTTGCGCGGAGCTTGTCCGCAAGCAGTTCACTGCTAGAAAAATACTCTTCCACGTCCTATTCTGGGTCTTCCATTGGGGCATCTTTGCATATGGATGGTACGCAATTCTGCACGCTCCGTGCATGTATCTCACAACTCTAACAATATTCCAGGTGGAAACAGGAATCAGATATTCGACTCGCGGGTCTCAACACTTTGCAATACTCCGTCTGGACTTCTCGTGGCGCTGGCCTTGTCCTCTCCGTCGACGGTATGCTTATTCTCCTCCCCGTCTGCCGCACCATTATTCGATGGGTTCGTCCCAAGCTTCGGTTCTTGCCCCTCGATGAGAACATCTGGTTGCACCGCCAGTTAGCTTACGCTATGCTCCTCTACGCTTTTCTCCATACCGCGGCTCACTACGTCAACTTCTACAACGTCGAAATCACCCAGATTCGTCCAGTGTCTGCTGTTCAGATCCACTATACCCAGCCTGGAGGTATCACCGGTCACATTATGTTGCTTTGCATGATGCTTATGTACACCACGGCACATGCCCGCATCCGTCAACAGTCTTTCGAAACCTTTTGGTACACCCACCACCTCTTCATCCCCTTCTTCCTCGCTCTCTACACTCATACAACCGGTTGTTTTGTGCGTGATTCCGCAGCCGCCTTTTCTCCCTTTGCCGGTGACAAGTACTGGGAGCACTGCATTGGCTACCTTGGCTGGAGATGGGAGCTCTGGACTGGTGGCTTCTACCTTATCGAGCGTCTCTACCGTGAGGTTCGTGCCCGCCGTGAAACCAAGATCACCCGCGTCATCCGTCACCCCTACGATGTTGTGGAAATCCAATTCAACAAGCCCTCTTTCCGCTACAAGGCCGGTCAGTGGCTCTTCCTGCAGATCCCTTCGATTTCCAAGTACCAGTGGCATCCGTTTACCATTACTTCTTGCCCCTTCGATCCCTATGTGTCAGTCCACGTTCGCCAGGTTGGTGACTTCACCCAGGCTCTTGGTGACGCCCTTGGTGCTGGTGGTGCTCAAGCCAAGCTTTACGACGGTGTCGACCCTATGGGTATGTACGAAGTCGCTCTTCAAAACGGCCAACAGATGCCTGCTCTTCGCATTGATGGACCCTACGGTGCCCCTGCCGAAGATGTGTTTGAGAATGAAATTGCTGTTCTGATCGGTACTGGTATTGGTGTCACGCCTTGGGCCTCTATTCTGAAGAACATCTGGCATCTGCGCAACTCTCCCAACCCTCCCACTCGTCTTCGTCGTGTCGAATTCATCTGGGTCTGCAAGGACACTGGCTCATTCGAGTGGTTCCAAACTCTTCTTTCTTCTCTTGAATCTCAGTCCAACGACGCTGCCCGTCTTCCTGGCTCCTCGGGAGTGGAATTCCTTAAAATCCACACTTTCCTTACTCAGAAGCTCGACATGGACACCACCCAGAACGTTATCCTCAACAGTGTTGGCACCGACCAGGATCCTCTTACGGAGCTTAAGTCGCAAACACAATTTGGTCGCCCCGATTTCAAGCGCATGTTTTCCGCCATGCGCGATGGTATCCTTGACCGCTCATACCTCAACGGCCTCGAAGGCAACATGAGAACAACCGTCGGTGTATACTTCTGCGGTCCTTCTGCAGCTGGTAAGCACTCCTTTTCTACTGTTATTTGTTTTTATCAATACTAACTCTTCTACTAGCTCGTGACATCCAGGCTGCCTGCAAAGACGCAACTGCTCGCGAGGTGCAGTTCCGCTTCTGGAAGGAACATTTCTAAGTGGTTCTTTCTACGGGAATTTGTTTATCAAGAGCGAAAGATTTATTTTCATCACTGTAAAACTGGTGGCCATGATAGGCTGTCTTCCATATTTCTTCATTATTTAGGTGTTTCTTGGGGTTCTTATTATCTTATTACTACATATCGGATCGATTCAAGTTGGGAAGTGTCTGAGTATCTTGATATCCAAGATCGCTGGGTTCAAAGCGAAACTGTCAATTAAGCACCAATGCATGCTTGTTTCTTTTTAATTCTTCATGACTCTAGCATTCCAAAAACAAAACAATAGTCTTCATGCGAACTTGTGTAATGTGGCGTTTCACGCGGCGGTGAATTCGAAACCAGCGCCCTACTCCTGAAATAATGCACGGTAAACTGCATGATCTCAAGAAACGTAGAAGAAATCAAAGAGAATCATTCATGTCGATTATCATGCTATAAAATATTATTCTTGGCGTCATCATTATCCAAACACAAAGTACAAAGACCAATCATAACTTTTGCCTAACCCAAGCCAAGGAAAGAAAAACAGTAAAGGTTGAGACACCCTTTGGTTCTCAAACTATATGCACCCGACATCCCCTCAGTCAGGGCTCAATGAATTCCGTCTCTGTAAGTAGTTTCTAGATGAAATAGAAAGAGAGGACAATATTAGAAAGTATATACGTGAAATAAATATGGGGGTTTGTCGAGAAATCGGTTCAGCATAAAACGAAAGAATGGTGTGGTGACCCGAGCGGGTCAGCCACTTTCTTCGAACATCATTATCGTGTTTCTCATGGATTCTGTTCGTGCTGTTCTTGTTGCTGCTCATGCACTAGGCGATTCATGTTCTCCTCTGTGAGCGCTTCTCCAAGACCTTGTTGGTCTTGGTACGAGTTAGTCCTGCGGGACGATGGCGGCAACCCAGCAGCGTCGATAAACTTTGTGTCTTGAAGCATACTGGACCATTCCTTTTCGGCTTCTGGTCGGCGCGTAGGTGGTTCCATGTCCGCTGCTGGTGGTGCTCCAAATGGCGAGAGGTCTGCGGCCATGACCGCTGGCATGGCCCGAGGCGTGCTAGGACCAGCGAGAGCTTCGTCTGAGGGAGATGGAGTCGGGATCGATTCACTCTCCTCAATGCCAATCTGCGGTATACTAGTCGTATCACAATGCTCACTCCTGCCGGAACAATCAGAAGCATTGCCATCGTGGCGCACCTTTCTTTTAGAAATTCCCCAACGCACGAGCATTCGTTCAAGAATAGGCATGGTGACCGGCTTGGCAAGATAGTCATCCATGCCGGCCCGTTTGCACTTTTCGCGGTCACCATGAATGGCGGATGCCGTCATGGCCACAATCGGCACATCTTCGACGATGGCTTTGTATGGCGAGTGATGTCGTAAAAGGTGGGTGCACCTGTAGCCGTCAATGATGGGCATTTGTACATCCATCAGGATGATATCTGGCTTCTTTGTCTGCCCTAACGATGTACCCATCAAGTAATCGAGGGCCTCTTTTCCGTTCCATGCCGCAGTCACTTGGAATCCAAGCTTACTAATCGTCTTAATGGCTATCTTTTGGTTGACTGGATTGTCTTCAATAACCATAATATGCAGTTTACCGCGCTCAGAGCGCGGTAAGTCTGACTCCGCATTGCCTTGAGGTGGTGAACGGACGGAATGGCGCCGTCGTAGGTTGGCAAATCCGGTGCTGTCTGAGCCTGGCGAGGTTCCTGTACCAGGTTCGAATTCAGAGCTGTTACATGACAGGCTCAATTCCGACTGCAGCCTATCTGGGATCGCACCCGTTCGCACAACACTTGAGTCGCGACCCTGTTGTGGTTTGTGGAACGGGATCCAAAACGTCGCCGTTGTTCCGCTTCCAACGTTGGACTCAAGCGTAATTCGACCGTGCATAAGGTCTAGTAGATTTTTGCAAATGGTAAGGCCTAGACCAGTGCCGCCGAATCTCCTGGCCGTTGATGCGTCACCTTGGCTAAATGGCTGAAATAGCTTCTTTCGTACTTCGTCCTGGATGCCTATTCCTGTATCTTCGATGACGAATTTGACTTCGATCGAGTTCGACGTTTCCTTTTCCTTGGTGACGGAAAATCTGACATGTCCTTGATTGGTAAATTTGATACTGTTGGTCAACAAATTCGTAATGATCTGTCGCACACGTCCAGGATCTCCGATGACCGTCATGTCACTTTCAATGTCTCTATCAACGTGTGATTGGAACACCAAGTTCTTTCTCTCCACAGCAAACTGGAGCATACGACCAACTTCCTTGACAATTAAAGAGAGGGAGAATTGAACTTCCTCTACATCCAGCCGGCCAGACTCGACCTTTGAGAAGTCAAGGATGTCGTTAATAACTGTTAAGAGAGACGTTGCAGAGCTCTGGATATTATCGACGTATTCGAGTTGTTCGTCGTCTAGCGGCATATCGCTAAGCAGCTCCGCCATGCCAAGAACTCCAGTAATAGGCGTACGAATTTCGTGTGACATATTAGCCAGGAATTGGCTCTTAAGGCGGGTAGCCTCCCTGGCAGCCGCTTCATTGGCGATAGCTTTGCGCTTTTCCCTCGATTGCTCGATAAGAGCCTCTTCGCGAGACTTTAATTCCGTAACATCCATGACTACACCAATGACACCTTCAACGCAAGTATCTGCGGTAGGCTTGCCATCTTGTCGCCTCTTTCCATACAGGGGCAAGAATCGGGTTCGGTACCATCGGTCGTCCAGGCCATGTTCTTTGACATCTTCTTCTCGTTTGCCTTCAAGCAAATCCTCAATAGGCTGCAGCCAGTCCGGGCGTTCACCTTCTGGCATCTGCTCAGTCAACCTGTTGAAGACTGTGTACATATCTTCTCCAAGAAACCAGCGATCGTGGCTGTCTTCTGGCGTGGTATTCCAGATCAAGGCACCTTCCAACATTGTGACGCGCCGGTTAAGATCAACGGTAAAAATGGTAACTTGTGCATGGGCGATGACACTGAGCAGCTGCTGTCGCGTGCGCTTAGCAATGAACTTGGTTTCAATACTCTCGTGGACGTCCGTACAAGTACCTACACATTGTTAGCAGAAGAATTCGGATCGAAACGAACCCGGATACGCACCGAACCACTTGTCAATATTGCCTGTGTCCTTGTTCCTTAGTGCTAGAGCTCGCGCCAAGAACCAACGCCACTCGCCTTCTGCGCTCCGACACCGGTATTCCATAACAAAGGGATCACCCGTCTTAAGAGAGTGCTCCCATCTGGCCACTGCCACTGGCATATCGTCAGGGTGGAAAGAGCTGTGCCATCGACGCCCCAAACACTCCTCTGGCGTTAGGCCGGTGAACGTGTACCAGCGGGTGTTAAAGAAATCATGCAAGCCATCAGGTGTTGCTGTCCAAACTAGCTGTGGCATACTGTCACAGATAAGTTTGAATCGTTCTTCATCTCTTTCTCGGATCTGTGTCATCTCGACCGTAATATCAGTAACATCTCGGAACGTTACCACACCGGCCAGAAATTCGCCGGTAGCTTCGTTGTGGATCGCCTCACCAACCATATCGAAAACGAGCTTCTGTTTCTTGGAATTGTAAATGCCAACTCGCCTGCTAGGAGACGGCTTTCCGGTTTGGAGAAGAATTGTGAGCGGATACTCTTCTACTTCGAGAAGCCTACTAAAGTCGTCGGTCCAAATTTCCCAATTTTTCAGTAGCTCAAAACCTTCATTGTCAGAATCCAAGTCCACGTCGACGGGGAGCAGCTCTCTCGCCAACTTGTTTGGAAATATGACGCTGCCATCCTTCCACATGGCAAGAATGGGCGTCTGTGCGTTGTCAAGCAGTGCATCTTTGAGACGGATAATCTTTTGCAGCATAGATGGTGAGCTTGCATGTGAATGTGTGGCGACTGATGGAGGCCCCATTGGGGGAAATGGTGTAGACGACATAGTAACAGTGCTTGGACCATTAAAGAGGGGAGAGTTTCCACCTCTAGATGACGCGATAGACGGTGGCGTAGAATTCGGAATAGTTCGTCGTTCAGCGGCTTCAAGAATGCTAGGTTTTGCTATTCCCTTCTTGTTATTAACAGGTGTTGAGGCAGTAGATTGTGTGCTAGTAAATGTGAGCGTGAAATAGGTTTGTCTGTCCTCGACTTCCCAGACGGTAACAATCATCTTCGCATAAGAGTGATAGTCAGACTCCTTACACTTGTATCGGCTATCGAATGTCGTCTTGTGTAGACCTTTCCGTGAGATGACAACTTCTACGACCGCATCCTGGGTGGCTTGGCCGCTAGGTGCCTTCTTACGCTGCGGACTGGAGAGATGGTTCGTAGGTGTTGCATCTCCACGGGATGATGCTGGCTGTCGTTGGTCATTTGTTGCTGGTCTTACACCAAGCTCATCAACAAGCGTGTCAAGGAATGCCTCCCACGTAATCCATACAGGTCGGCCATCCTGCAGCATATCGATGCCAACCTGTGAGAGTGTCTGCCCACGGAGTCGCTCGTTTGTGATCAAGCCATCATCGTCCGAATCTTCCGTCACTATCCCCATCATGCGGCCCATGGCTTCGTTTGCTAAGACCACGGTCTTGAGGCTGTTTAGAATAATGACTGGGATAGGCAGGTATTGCATCGCGGAGAAGGCCAGCTGGGCAGGTGATATTGTGGGCATAGAAAGCCTAAAAGGGCTGTGCGATTGTGAGCGAGCTTGGTCATTGCCTACATCTCTTTGAAATCGACTGCCTCCTGCAGTTGCTATATTGCCTATAAAAGGGTTCGTATTTGTAGCCTCTGTATGCGAGCTTGTCGGTTCGTGATCTGGGGGGATCCCATTCTGACCAGGCACATGCTGTACGTGTCGAGGGGCCAAATCGGGGATGGGATCTCGAAGCTGCGGGCTAGCACGAGCCTGTTCGGGTGAGGTCATATCGCCCTCTCTGAATCCGCGTCATGTAGAGCGGATATGGTTTTGCAATTTGTGAATGTTGACCTTGAGCGTCCAACGGCGGGACGTCGGTACACACACACACAGGTGGTAGCTGATGGGCACGCCCTAGGTTGGCCCAAGTCCACGGTAGGTACAAGCTTATAGGAATCGATCGATCGACGGGGTATAATATCGGGAGTGTTGTTTATAGGCTTATTTGGTTGTCCCTTGGTCCAACAACCCAGAATTAGGTAGCCTGTGTTGTGGTTCAAGACTGCTGGTCAGACCAGTTTCCAGGTGGGCTGTCGTGATGCGTAGGAAACAGTTGCGAGAAACAGGTTGAACAGGCTGTGGCACAAAAGTGAATTGGAAAGCTCTTCTGCCGTATGCAATACCAAAAGCAAAAAAGCAGCACCAAACAGCGGCCGAGAAAAGAAAAGAAAAAGAAGAAGGTGACGAAGAATGTAAAACTGGGTTGGGGAGAAGGACGAGACAGTGAGAACAAGGTGAAGGCTGGTCTGGCAGTAAAACGGGACAGCGGGCTACAGCGCTGCACAGGCCACTATTACAGAACACTCAGCCGAAATGCGACGGTCGATCACTGCGCGGATGCACCAGACCAAGATAAAGACGCCAACTGACACAGGGACAAAGACGCTACCGTACAGCGCACAGTAGCGCACGTACAGCACAAACGGTGGGGGAGCAGACCAAGGCCCAGGCCACGGAGGTGAGGCGCCCCGGCACTAAAAGCGGGCTCTGATGGCAGCCCCAAGCCTCCCCTTTAGGAAACCGGGGCGTCCAGAATCAAGGAAACTGCCCCAAGGCCAGACGGCCATCTTGCGGTGGGGGCGCTGGAGCTGCGGTCTTCCGGCGGTTTTTTTTTTCTTGTTTTCCGTTTTCTTGTTTTTTTATGATTTAATCAAAGGTTGTTGGCGTGGTGTTAGTGCCGGTGGATGACCGATGATCAAGGTGAGTGAAGAAGGCAGACCTACAAAGATGGGATATTCGACGAAATGCCATACTGGTGTCTATAGATTCCTATCTTAACGCTTGGTTAAACACACGGATGGTCGTGTGCGCCCAGGCTGCAAGTGCACAGGGGCAGCAGGGCGCAGAACCAATAAAGATCGCGGTTTTAGGCTTGCATCTCGATTGCGCCAGCGATGTAGGACACTGTATCAGCGGGCGCACCAAATGCCAACTACACTTCCCACGCAAACACAACGAAGCCCGTCATGGACAGCGCTGGCACCACCAAAGACATGTTTTCCTTGGCAATCGCCTGAGACATCGTCGCTTCGCGACGGTATTCCCGTGGCTTACTGTTGGTGATGCACATCAATCCATCACCAGCAACTGTGGAGGGGTGGGATAAAATTGCAGTGTCTCGCACACAACCCAGTCAGTTGTCGAATAAACGCACCATCCATTGCCACTGTAATTGGGCTTCTAGACGACTACGCTGCAGATCCTGTGCACTAAGCATTCCCACGCAGCAACGGTTAATAGACGACGGCAAGTCACCAGATAGCTTGACTACAAACAGGCCATGCATGTCTTTGTTGAGCTCATGGCGGTAACGGATCATTTCCTGGAAGCTCCGTTTCAGCCTCTGACGTAGCCAGTGAACCTGCTGACGCCAGGGCCATAACGGGAAGTGATGCACGTAGCCGGGAATAGCAGACGACCCTAACTTTTTGAGCTTTCAAAAAATAGACTTACTGCCCATCCGCCATTGTCACTGTAGTGTCAAAGCCATTTTTCCCCCTCTCGTCCTACTAATCCAAGCCTACCCACTCAGTACAATTGGTGGGACGATCCCAAGGCAAGCAGCGTCTCTCGTGTTGGGAAGCGAGCAAGTCTGGACCGCGCCGGGGCCTCTGGTCCAGACCACCAGGGTCCCACCGCCCAGAAACTGAACTCGCCACCACCTGCTGGCCCGGCGCCGATGCACGCCAACCGCCAACGTTGAATGGGAAAGGGATCTACACTTTGATAGCTGCTGGCCATCGGCCGAGTTCTAATTTTTATTTTTATTTTTTTATTTCCCCCTTTGTTATCTCCCCATTGAGGCGCATAACAAGCTTTTTACTTTGTTTATGCGGCCGTTTCAAGTCAAACTGACAACAGGGCGGCCTAGGCGAGAGCCGACATTGTCCCTACACAGCCAAACAGCTACACAACAACTGCTCATCATGTACCGATATACATATAATTGCCGAGAAGTCAGCCAACCGCTGCCTGCAGATATCCCATGTTCAAATATATTCAAAACGCCACTGCATAAAATACTATGTCAAATCTATCAAGTCTACATCTCGGGGTATTCCAGAACTCCGCATTTCGGACCGTGCTGCTCCACAGGCATCGCAGCAAAGGTAAGTTGGCGGATTATACAGGGTGCAAATCGAGCAAGCCCATCCATCTGCCACTGAGTTGTCTCTCCGTCCTGCCGTACCATCAGCTGCCCGTTGTCCTGATAAACGGCTGTTGTTACTATTATTACTCTTCGTGATGGTGCTTCCACTGCCGCCGCCTCCGCCACCACCACCACTAGCTCGTCGTCGACCGCCAGCCAGCAGCACTGAGCTGGCCGGTATTCTCGCTGCTTTGCCCATGTGGCGCTCCTCAATCTCCATCAGTTCCACCAATGCTGCGGCTATCGCTTGATTGTTCGCCTCATCCTCCTCAGCTTGGGTTCGGAAACCGTTGCTTGTGGCTGATTGGCTCAAATCTAGAACCTGTGCGTCGCTCAGCTCTTGCTCGGCAGCGCATCCCTGGAGGGTGGTCTGTGACCGCCTTTCAACGGCATTTGCCAACACTTGTCTCATGTCTTGCTTCGACGATGCTGGAGCTTTGCCTCCAAGACGATGGCCGCTTCCCTTGCTCACGTTGGATCGCTTGTCCACAGCCTGTCGGGACAACCGACGCAGCTCGCGAAGATTGCCGCCAAGGCCGCCCAGCCTTCGCCCTTCAGAGAGGAAGCCCTCGCCTGTGAACCCTTTGATAACAAGCTCCGTATGTTCATCACGCAGCTTTTCCCAAAGGGCGTGGAACGCGGCGTTGTGTGGGCCGTGCACCATGTGGCACAGCTCGTGAAGCATCGTATCTACGACATTATCCAAGGGGAGAAACTGGTTTTCGTCGCCAGGGTATCTTAGACGCAAGCAGATTTGTGCTCCTCTGTTGACATTGACGCCTATATGTTTGTTAGCATGGTTTTCTCCCGTACCATTCGCACAACTACATACCAAGTAGACTCGGATTAGAAGGATAAAACTCGGCCAACTCCTTGACCTTCCACTTATGCGCCCGCATAATCGGCTTTACCACAGACGCAATCTTTTTCAACGTCGTCAAGGCCTCATCTGCACGGCTCTTCTTCGCCAAGTGCCGGTAAGAAAGTACCCGCGGATCGTGTTCCGCCATGTTTGCGATATCAGCCGGGACGCGTACGTCGTTAACGCAACAGACTGCAGGCGACTGGCTACACAACAGTAAAAAAAGTGAGAGATCTCGATTTTTACATGGTGTGTAAGGTGTAAAAAATGTAGATTCTGGACACCCGTACAATAGTAAAAAGGACACCACGCCTCAGGAATAGGCTACCGCATGGTGACACGGCCAATGCTGATGGCAAACGGCAAAATCACGACTCGAAACTTGAGACGTGATCCAGATGTTGCTAACTGAGTGGGTCGGCCGCCACCCGAACCACAGCGAACCGGGCCGAACAATGAACCGCTACAATTGTATCTAGAGAAATAAAAACTTAAAAATATGGAATTATTTTTTTTAGGAAAGAGAGTAAGTCTGGGCATTGCAAACATCTTTAGACCTTGGTAGCCAAAGCTCTAAGTCTGACGTAGGAAACCATCTCGCCACCATCGGGCTGCTTACACACCAACTTAAGCGCTTCAACTGCCTCCTTGACAGCCTCGTCCCTCTCATTTTCAGGAATAACCTCGAGAATCATTCCTCCAAATAATCGTAGCCATCCCTCAACTCCACCCTTGTCCGCTTTCGTTGGTCTCCATTCCCTCTCCACCTTCTCGACCTTAAATCCAGCGTTTTCGAGCTCGGCTGTCGCCCACTCTTCATCAGGGAAGAACCACGGGAACGCAGCCTGTGCAGCTGGCATACCGACACGTCTGGCCGTAACCATCAGTAAAGCTGTGCTCATCTCTGAGACGTTTCCAAGGCCGCCCATCTCAAAGGCAAATGTGCCACCAGGGGCAAGGGAGGCGTAGACGTCATGAAAGAACACTTTTCTAGCGTCTTCCGAACGGAGGATCCAGTGCATGGCTGCATTAGAAAATGCCTTGTTATACGAACCCTTTTGCAGATCAGGGTTTGTATGGATCTTGCCAGCATCCAACACTATAACCACCGGTCATATTAGTATAAGTGCCGTTTGGGAGATGAGGGGGATGCCAAACCTTCAAATGTAGCATTTTTGGAATCTTTGCATAGCTCGCGTGCAGCGTCAATCATTGCTGGTGAGCTATCAATTCCATGAACACTTCCAGTTCCATTTGCCAGAACTTTGGCAAACTCGGCGTTTAAGATGCCGTCTAAGTGATGTTTAGTAAATGACGTCATGCCTCAGATCTGTGTAGAATAGCCAGTAACTTGCCGCCGCAGCCAATATCAAGAACTTTATCATTTGGTTGCAAATCTAGCCACTGTACGACTTTGCCTGCAAGCTTCGGCACAAATGAAGCTGAGTGCTGGTAATCCTACGTCCCAGTGTTAGCATCGAGATACAAGGGTTCTTGGAGAAATGCGGGGAACAAGACTTACATTGGCGTCCCAGTGGTCCTTCTTTTCTTCTGCCATTTTCAATGCCGGTTTTTGATTTAAAGAGTTATTTTGAGAAAGATGAAAACTCTGTTATAATTATTGTGCCCTTATTTTTTATGCTATTGTGTTTTGTTTTGGAGGAGGGACCGTTGCGCTGGCCGCGACATTCCCTTACTTTTATAATGGGGCATATGGTTGCGGGTCCGAAGTCGGAGCTTTGAAGCAGCCTCGCTACTGAACTGTCTGCTGGCAATTACAAAAGACGGAGAAAGTATTTTATTAAGCAAGGTATGCGAGGACAGTTGGCTGCCGAGGTTTAACTAGATTTCAAATCTATGCGTTGTGTGTAGACAGGAGGTGTGTAGAGCATTGCTTGCGAAGTCAAGATGGCTTTTACATTACTACAAGGCTAATAAAACGGACACTACAAAAGCAAAACGAAGACGCTTAATCAAGTTCAAGAAGCTTGTACTTGTCGTCGCCCAGAGCATCCTCTACTCTCTTCATGAGAGCCAACACCTTTTCTTCTTCAAGTCGGCGACCGATAACCTGGATACCAACAGGCAATCCGTGCATCTCGTTAGCGTTATAGTGCTTGTACGCACCGCGGGCAATACCGTTGAGCTTGTTAATGTTAAAGTCCTTGGGGAGCTGGTCCTTGGCCTTATCAACGTGGGTGACGGGAATGACACCAGCAGAGTAATCGAGGAGGTTGAACATGAAGGTGTAGCCGCAGCTGGCGCAAGCGTCGTTCATGCCGTTGTGGGGAACAGCCGGGGTGGCGTTGGGGGGTGCAATCATGAAGTCAATCTCCTTCTCGTCCCAGTGCTCGAAGAAGCGGCGCTTGTACAGCTCACGCTTGGCAATGAGTGCCCAGTACTTGGTAGTAGTCTTGGGGTGCCAGTTGACAAGCAAGTCGGCCCAGATGGGATCGCGACGGACGTACTTGACCCAGAGGTAGTACATGTACTTGACGGGGCGGGGGAGCTGGGCGTAGAAGCGCATCTGGTTGGCACCACGGTCCTGCCACTCGCCGCTGCGCATGAAAGATGTGGCGGTATCCAGACCGTCGGCATCGAGCAGCTGCGAAGCAATCTGAAGAGCCTCAAAGGGAGAAGGAGGGTCGAGCTCGACAATCTCGTGGCCAGCGCGACGCAGGGCGGCCTCTGTCATCTCCAAAGCACGCTTGCAAGCAGGGCTGGGGTCCACGACGTTGTCTGTGCGTAGAATACCGACGCGGAACTTCTTCTTCTCCAGGTAGGTCTTGCTAACATCTTCTCTCCAGGGGATGGGGTGGATAGAGTAGTCGTAAGTCCAAGGCTTCATCTGAATGATGGCGCGTGTGAAGTAGGTAAGATCGTTGAGGGTACGGGCCATGGGGCTGTATACGGCGGGAATACCGTCCTGGCCGGGCATACTTGTGCTCATGCCGAGCTTCATCCAGCGGCCAGTAGAGCACTTGAGGGAGTAGCAGCCAGAGAAATGGGCAGGGCAGCGGACACTGCCAGCGACATCACTGCCAATGCCGATTCTGCCACCCATGGCAAGGAGGGCACCCTCACCACCGGTAGAACCACCAGGGGTGTACTTGGCGTTGTGAGGGTTGGTGGAACGACCCCACAGGTCATTCTGGGACTCGAAGCTGAGCAGAGTAATGGGGATGTTGGTCTTGACATAGGGGATGGCACCAGCTTCCTTGAGCATGCGAGTGGTAACACCGTCCTCAGTCTTGGGCTTGTTGACAAACTTGCTGTAACCGACGGTGCTGTCGTAGCCAGCGACATCGATGGTGTCCTTCAAGCTGACGGGGATACCAGCAAGAGGACCCTTGAAGTTGATGGAGCCATCGTGCAGCCACTTCTCGGCATCGGAGAGAAGGATCTCAGTAACACAGTTGGTCTTCTCGTGGGCATTGAGGGCAACTTTGCCGTATGTCTTGAGGAGCTGGGCAGCCTTGCTGGGGTCCTTCTGGACTTCGTCGACGAGGTCTTCAATTGACTTATTGAGAATCTCGCGGTCCACAACGCTGAAGGGTCCGCGGTAGGCCGTCAAGGACTTGACCTTGCTGGCGCGTTCATCCTGCTTGAATCGGCTAGCCGTTGGGGAAGTATGTCAGCATGGGGATCGTCTCCACCAGAGTGCAGCGGCTAATAGAAGAGCTTACCAGTCTCGACGATGTTGAAGATAGTCCAACAACATGATGTATTGTGTTTTGATTAAGTGTAGATGGGTATGGAAGGGGAAGGGGTATATCAAGAGGTTTAAAAAAAAAGTGGGCTACTCTTGCGAGGGCCGAATGATGAAGTCAGAAGCGAGGTGGAGGGAAGAAAAACGAAGATGACAAGGCTAAGTTTGGGGTTGGTAGCCCAAGTCTCAATTGGAAAGCCGCAAGTCACGAGATTTGGAGCAACCGGCCCGCTAATGGCCAGGCACTGCGGGGAGAAGGTGGGGGGAGCCCGGTGCTAGCCGGCCAGCTCCGGCGTCCCCCACAGCGCTGTTGGGGCTCTGAGCGCCTGTAAGTGGAGCTGTTTCGGGGGTCGCTTGGGCGATTCTGGGGCATTTGTTACGGGGCATCGAACCGAAGAGGCTTTTTTTGCGCTCTCGGCATAAGAAAAAGGACGGGGTGGGAAGGAGGTGAAGTTGGTGGCGCATTTTTTGGCGAGCCTGGTTTGTGTGTTGGTTGATTGGTCTCTCCATTATTATCTTTGGATCTGGTTGGCCATGAAGAAGGGGAGCTAATCGTAGGTGGTCCTTTGTTTATGTCTAAGAAAGGCAGTTGTATGTAAACCCGTCCCAACCAGTTATAGACTTCCAGCAGACAATACAGCGAGAATGTACTCACAGACAAAAGGACCCAATACATATACAACTGGTTACTATATAAACCCGTCTGCTCTCTCATAACTCCATACTCGAAACTCTCCTCGCTTACACTATCCAAAGCCGCACTGTTACAAAAACCGGGGCCGTTATCACCGTTGAGTTTTACATTCCTGCCCACCACCAAAATGTCCCAGAACCAATACAGATCAAACTTTCGGCTGTTAGCCTTTCTCCGCCGCCGCGCGTGATTAGCTTGCAGCTAGCGCCGGCAGCAGGAAGCGAATGATACCAAAGGCACGCGTCGCCCACACGTGCAACCCAGCGGGTAACAAAGCAGACAAAAGCGTACACTCAACAAGAATGTCTTGAAAAACAATGCCTTAAACAATATCAAATCCAACACATTTTCCTTGATTCACACATTTGACACAACAAACCAAGCTTCGTTACAGATAACAACATCGTTGCCCAGTGGAGACGGCCCTGTCCAGCCAATCACGGAGCGTCGGCGCCCAAGTCCCCGTCATCCCTGTCAAGCTTTCCTTGGTCTAGAAATTTCGCGGCAAATGGGAACCTGAATATCGTCATCCATCAACACATCCCCTTTTTCTCATCTGCTGTGTTTTATATGTGCTCGTTACTCAAAGCACAATGTCTGCAGATGATAAACAGTTTCTAGACCTGGTAAGACTCTGTCACCTGCTCATGTTTTGTTCTCCATTTTGTATAAATTTTCTGACGCGTCGTGCAGCTTGGGAACATCCCGCAGCACCTGCAAAAATATACAGACGAAGTCGCCGGATACATCGATGTCAACGTTGACCGCGCCGCTGGAGCAGTGCGCGAAACGCTTGCTAATGCAACATGGCTCCCCGATTACGTTCGTCCGAACCTGCCCGTCCAGTCCGAGATCCCCGTGGTCATCCTGACCCCTATGGAGAGAGTACAAGGATGGGTTTCCCGAAATAAGATCTTGACCGGAGTTATGGTTGCGGCATGCGGTGTCGTGATCTTCGAAGGCTACCAAAAGACGCAGTCTCTGCGTAAGACGCGACGAGCTAAGCGTGCCAAAAACGGCGGCCGAACGGAGGTTGTGGTCATTGCTGGTTCGCCAACGCTGCCCCTAACCAAATCCTTGTCTCTGGACATGGAGCGGCGCGGTTTCATCGTCTTTGTTGTATGCAGTGCCAGCGAGGATGAGGACCATGTTGCACATTTTGCGCGCCCAGACATTAAGCCTCTGTACATTGACACAGCGGATGTAAGTACAATTGTCACATGATACTTGTACGTAGCCAGCTAACTCTCGTATGAAGCCACCACTGGCCGGAACAGCCATCGAGCGATTTGCAACATATCTTCAATCACCACACGCCCCTGTGCCAAATATGAAGCCGAACCAGCTCTCCCTACGATCCGTCATACTTATCCCTAGCCTCAATTACCAAACATCGCCCATCGCGACTATTCCGCCTTCGAGCTTTGCCGACTTATTCCAAACACACCTCTTGCAACCCATCCTGACTATACAGGCATTCTTGCCACTTCTCACAACTCGACTTCGACCGACAGCGGAGGATCCGGTGAAACCCAAGGTCCTCGTCTTCACGCCATCGATAATCTCGTCGCTGAACCCACCTTTCCATGCGCCAGAAGCTACTGTGTGCTCAGCTCTGTCTGCCTTTACGGAGGTCTTGACGGCTGAGTTACGTCCTCTCGATATTCCTGTCACGCACATGCAGCTAGGAACGTTTGATTTTTCTGGCTTCGTCCCATCGCGCCACCACACTACCAGTGCTGGAAACCCGTCCGAGACGCTGGTCTGGCCAGACGACGCCCGTCACGCATATGGACGAAACTTTGTCGCGCAAACTTCGTCCGCCATTTCTGGAGCCCGAATCCGAGGTTTCAAAGGAAGCTCTCTCAAACGACTACATAACTCCGTCTTTGACGTTATCGACGGATCTATTACAACAGACACCGTTCGCATTGGCCTCGGCGCCAGCGTGTACGGCTTTGTCGGCCGATGGGCACCACGAACTTTGGTATCCTGGCTTATGGGCATCCGCCGTGTCGATGAGCTCTCTGCATGGAAGAACCCTGTAACTGAAGAGTCTTCTGCTTCGCAGAGCGATGATGGCGAAACATCCGCCTCTACTGACTTTATTGCCGTACCATCGGAGAGCAACGTGTGGACAAGCGACAGGGCAAGCACCATCTGGGTCTCGGAGCAGCCATAACGGCTGAAAATCCGAAGTGTAAAATACCACATACTCTCATGTACAAAACACGCATCTAGCATGATATCACGACTCTACTGTTAATACTCATAAAACTCGGTTCTTTCCGATTAATACATCTTATATTATACTATTTGTACAAACGCCCCGAATGTAGCGATGTGCTTCGTGCAAGACAATGCAAACATGACACTCCTAACGCCAAAACTTTTGCCCGTGATAGCCGCACCACCACCAACTATCAGTACCCAAAACACCATATGCTTAGTACGTTCCTCTGCCTCGGAAACGACCACCTCTTCCAGGTCCCCTCCACTTGCCTGCGCCACCGCGGCCACGGTTTCCCCCAAATCTACCTCCTGCATCATCGTCTTGGTCTCTTTGTTGACCCTCCTCCTCCCGTGCGCGCTGCATCATTTCCTTTCGGACGTCTTCTTCTTTCCTCTCCGTCTTAACCGTAGGCGGCTCCAGCGTCTTGGACCACTTGGGATGCGCACCAATCTTGCAGTCAGGGCCATCAGGACAGAAGCCGGCCAAGTAGAAATGGCATAGCTTGCGACGGACGTGCTTTTTGGAGCAAATGGGTCCCAGTGGGCAGAAGCCCATGTCGTAATGCGGACAGGGAGGCAGCTTCGACATGGGATCCAGGTGGAGATATAGGCATTCTTCGCCATTAGAGCAGTAGCCATTTCGCATGAAGAAATTGCATTCAGGCATCTTTCTCAGGTTGTATTCGTGCAAGAACTCGCAAGGAATGCCCTTCTTGCACAGACCACGGAGCCAATGCTTGCATACAAGCGAATTGAGACCACCTGTTGTTTGTGTGCCCGTTGATTTGCCATCAGTGACATGTCTCTCGGTGCAGCGCGTGCCATTCGGGCAGCTGCCGGTTTGGTAGGCTTTGCATATCGGTCGATCGCCAGGCAGACCGACCTGGTAGGTGTCGCGAAGGAAGTTTGAGAATCGGAAGTGGTAGGGCTGTGACGAGTGGTTGAGGATAGCTTCCGCAGCGCTATCTGCTGTCGTTGTTTCTGTTGCCATATTTATCGTTGTGCGCTCCAGCTAATAGATACTGGAGCTGGATTGTGGTGATGTCGAGGTTAACGAAGGCGAACACCGTTGTTGCGTGGAGGCGCGAAGGAAATGCTCCCAGTGGCGTTAGTCATCCAAATTCGGTTAGCTTGAGAGTTGACAAAAGCTAAGCTAGCTTCCCCCAGCGACGAAAGCTACACCATCGTTCCAAACGCACAGCGCTACACGCTGTAAATGGAGAGAAACAATCCGGAAATAGCAGAAAATGGACATTAGCTCAATAAACTGACAGAATTGTTGACATCAACAATCTCCATGCTAAGATAAAGTGGCGGTGTCTTGACGGCAAATTCCGCGTTCTAGGCATTAGTCCTACACTGCCACGACAGCTAGATCATCGCGCCTCAGCTGTTCAAGGGCGCAAACTTGATTAAGGCCGCTGCTGTCAAGGGTTATAGTGCGCTCTGCTCTTCATTAATCCGTGGCAGCCACAATTCGGCGCCGCCGTAAGGTGGCCCCAGCGTGCTGTTGGGCAAGCAAGCGTCAACTCCAAGTGGGCTCCTCGTACGTTTCTGCGAAGAAAGATATACTAATTCGATGCCTTTTATTGGTAGCTAATTATGATTCGCGAATTGGCAAAATGAGAAGAAATGGCAGAGGGCGTGTCCCCAAACGCTAAGCTACCATTCTCGCCACCTACCGGGGAGTTACACAACGGGCATTCGGCAATTGGCCGTTTCTCATCGATACCCCGGACTTTTAGAATTTTAGGACAAAACGATTCTCCATTTTGCGAGTCATGGTCCTCTGAAATTGAATCAGAAAGTAGAATTGGTATAAGAAAGTCCTATCGTGTCCAGAGACAACAAAGGGTACGGACATGCTACGCCCGCTCACTTGTCGCGTTGCACAGCCCACGGACGCCCGAGCAAGCCGGTATTTCTAAAATATGATGAGTGAGTTCGCATACAACTGGTGCTCTTGGCAGGCTACTACCAAAGAATACACGTTTGTGTCAGTCCCTGGATCTTTAAACCATGGTGGTGTGAGAGCGGAGAACTCCCCACGGTGGCGGCGCAACTGTCAGCCTTGAAAAAGTCTCGAAATCATAATTGCTAGACTGTCCATGAGGAGCTGCCAAGCTCGTGTGCACTATAATACCCCCTAAATGCCGGGACTCACCTTGCTCAGGCTCGCTCTCCAGGATGAACCGTTGCCGCGAGGGCTAATGGGACGAGTTTCAGCTTGCTACGAAAGCATCGCTTGCAGTCAGGCTAGTTGTTTAATCATCAGTCACACTGTTTGTTTGTCTCCTAGATTGAAACAATACTTCTTCCAGGTGCAATGCAACCTGACCGTTGAGAAAGATGGTGTGTGTGGCCCACCCGCATCTTAACATCCCTGTACATTCAACGGTCCCGTCAGCCACCCGGTGTCTTTCCTGCCATAGTCATGCACCTGTTGGGCAGTCTATAGTAAAGTAACGCGTACCAGGCTCTGGAAAAGTCACTAAAAGCCTCTTCTCCGGCACCCTTCTTTGCCGAACAAAGACCTAGTGCTTTCTGCTTTTATCCTTATCGATGCCTCTCTGTAAGCGATGTTCCTAATACGGCAGTATTCGTCCAGTTTCGGCTTTTATTCCATCATCACTACCGGATGGTTCTTCTGAAATGCAGAGACAGAAATCAATAGAAGGGGTTTGGGGCCCAAGCACGATAGAAAGCGGCACTAGCCAGTCTGCTTTCCAACCGACAGACAAGAGACACTCGCTCGAATTTGAAGACATGGACGATTTCTCGGAACAGGATCCGGTATCCGACGATAGATCCTGCTCGTCTGCCTCCGTTCTTTCCGCCGTATACGACAGTGAGTGTATTCATGGGCGTTATTACCATGGGTACAAGCTGGGGCGATACCCGTTTCCCAATGACGAAATGGAGCAACAGAGAGAAGAAATTATACACGCAATCATGATGGAAATAGCGGTAAATCGGACACGTTTTCATCTTGTCAGTACAAACGGAACATAATTTAACTAATCTTTCCTAGGACGGTCGCTTGTTCTACGCGGATGCTGGGGAACATCCACAGAAGATTATTGATATTGGTACCGGCACAGGTAAGTCTATGGTGGCTGTCAGGGGCGGTCGTTTAGCTAATTATTTATTTTAGGGACGTGGGCAATAGATGGTACGACTGCCGCTTGACTCTCCTTTCTCATATTCTAACGATGTACAGCGGCCGACACTCACCCCAGTGCCAGTGTTATCGGCACCGATTTATCTGCTATACAGCCAACCTGGGTGCCTGTCAACCTTCGAATGTTTATTGATGACTGCGAGGAGCCAGACTGGCTACATGGATCTGGTTTCGACTTGATCCATTATCGTGGAATGGCAGGCTCCGTACGCGATTTCAGTAAACTTGTACAAAAATCATACCCGTGGGTATAACCTGGAGCGGTGGCTGGTTGGTCGTTTGCTAACTCACTACTACTGCAGCCACGTTAAACGAGGCGGCTGGATAGAAGTCCAGGAGCTCGTGCCCATAATCAGATGCGATGACGAGTCTATGACAGCTAATGATCCTCTTGCACTTTTTTACAAGGCATATGAAGCGGGAATGCGTCAGCTAGGTTTCAATCTTCACACACCTGAAGACCTTGTTGAGGTGCTCAAGAGTGCTGGGCTCATCAACGTCCAGTGCATTCAACACAAAGTCCCGGTTGGGGGGTGGTCTGAAGACCCAAAGCTGCGGGAAATTGGGTTGCTAAACAAGGCCGCAATAAGTGCTGGGCTGGGTGCCATGGCATCCAAGCCCATGGTTGCTCTGGACCTTTCACTCGAGCATCGGAAAAGCATCACCAAGTATGCTCGACTGAGCTTGGACAACGGGAGGGTTCACAGGTACATGACTTGCTGCTTTGTCTATGGGCAAAGGCAAGTATCGCCTGATGGAGTAGCATAATTTGTAATTTATATAAAACAATCCGGAGTCCCCAAGAGGTATGCAGAGCTTGGGGGAATGCGAACTAAGAAAGATAAAGACAAGACAATGTACAGGGATTTGCTCTGTGTAACACCCACAGGGACAATTCTGGAAGAAATACAACACAATGTAGACAAACAGCTGGTATGCCAACAATGTATTGTTCCGCATTTCTTTGTTACTGTGCGCTTAATGTGTTGTCAGGGAGCGAACCAATAGCGTAGACTTTGTTGTTGCTTGCCGTCTGTTGATGCCGCTGTCAATAGCGGAGAGCGCTGTAATGGCGGTCACCTTAGCGCTACAGTAGCCCTACCACCCGTTCGTGAGCGTGCCCCGCCTGCTTCCCGCTGTATTGGTACTGTGCCCCATCTGCTGTAGCGCAGTTCAACGCGTATGGGCAGCGCTGCGTTGTTGCCTCGTCACCTCTTTTAACCACTCGCCCTCAACGCCGTCACCTTCATCCGGCATCCTCGACAGCGACAGCCGTCGGCATCCAAACGCTGCATCTAAAACCATTTGTTTGCTCATTTTTGCATCAAATATTTTCAGTATTACTTCATCCGAATCTTTACTTTGCTACTACTCGTTCTCCTCAGACCATGGCCAGTCCGGCAGAGCATTCCAGCGCAGCTCCGCAAGACGTGGAAACCGATCAGCAACATAACAACAGCGCTGTCTTGGATTCGGTGCAACACGATGAGGAACTGCCACCGTTCGAACCGGTGTTCGCCCTCTTGACCAATAATACCACAAACTCGACTATCCACCCCCGCGTGCACTATGTCTTTAGTGACGACGATGCCACGCCGCTTGACGCAGAATCGGCGGATGATCCCTCCCACCGGCCTATTGTGGTAGACCTGGTGCCAAACGAGGCAAATGATGGCTGGAAGGTCTCGTGGGCGTCGAGCCTAAGCCCAGACTTTGCCGTCGTCGCGACCGAGCTGTCTAAGCAGCAGCAGGGTAGCGCGGACGGTGAGGCGGATGCGTCAACCGGCACCCTGATGCTGCGCATTGATGGCGTCACCCGTGAGCCTGTAGATACACGATTTGACCCAGATAACAGCCAGCCGAACTCTGGAAGTGCCAGCGGCGCCATCGGAAAGGATGAAGCCGAGAGCTTGGCCGATGAGTTCCGCCGAAGACTGGCAGGTATGAAGACGGTTGTGGATGCTGGTCAACAGCGGAGGTTAGCCGCACTTGAACAGACCGGTGCATATGCTCCCGAAGATACTACAGAGGCGCACAATTTTTTGGTGGACAATACGGAATTTGAGCCTAGAGAAACAGACGTCTGATGATTATTCATCGTGCCGATGCGCCGTCCCCAGACACCAGCGTCAACCTGCGCTTTGTTGGGCGTAGATCACCACAACCTGCTCACCTGAGCACTGTTGCAGCCTCCCGCCATCGACCATGTGGTGTTGCTCCAAGAGGCGCCCGTGCATGGGACGCCATCTTGCAACAGCTTCCATTACATTTTTCGTTTTGGTAAACGATCTGGTGTCTAAGGACCCTTTTGCCCCGACGAACATTGTCTGAACTGCCGACGAGTGGTTGCTACGGGGCATTGTTCTCCAGTTTGCATAGCAACCTTGCTTCCACCAACAGCTCCCGATAGTCTAGCTGGTTGCCCCGATTAATTTTCCTAAGATAGATTGCACCCGAAGCAAATTGCTGCAGAAAAGTAGGGGAGCTATATCGAGGTGAGACATTACGGCCGCATTAGACCAGGAACCAATCTGTGGTTGCCCTACATCGTAGGAACTCTGGAATGTTGTTGGCTACAGCAAGATTCCATGTACATAAAGCTCTCCGGCAGAGCTTCTCTATACCAACCGTTGCTAGGATAGAACAAAGGACACATCAATACATCAAGTTTTGTTTGTTCTTACATCTCGACACCAAAATCTATATAACCTCCTTCATCAGGCCTCTTGACAATAGACTCCTTTGTTCATCAGACTCCAGCTCACTCTCATTGTTCTCTCCTTTCGAACACTCTACAATCTCTTCTATTTACACACTCTCTCTACTTCATTCATAATGCACTTCAAACCTTCTCACGTGGCTGTTGCCGCTCTATCTGTCGGCCACGTCCAGGCTAACCATGACATCTCCAACGCCCTTGCCGGTCTTGCCTCGATGACTTCTCAAACTTCACAGCTTGTTCACGGTATCAGCACAGAGAACGCTGTCAACAGTGCCAACGTCAGTCTATACAAGCAGCACCTCACTTGAGATGCCAACTAACATAAACAACAACAGCAACTCATCAGCACCTACGTCGACATGATTAACGGAGCCCTAGGCAGCCTCGAAGGCGCCCTCCTCAAGAAGAGAGATGTCCATGCTATCATCCCTGGCGTCGCTCTCGGTAATGGAGTCATTGCCGGTAACACAAACGAGCCCATCCTTGACGCTGGCGTCTCGACTGGTGCTGTCAACAATGTTGTTGATACACTAAAGAGCCTTCCTCTGCTCGGCGGCTTGTTTGCCAATGCCCAGTCTGGTGCTTCTCCTCCTCTTTTCTCTTTGACTGGACCCTCCAGCACTGCCACTAAGAACATGGGTGGCGTCTCTGCTAACGGTGTAGTTAACACTCTCCCTGCTACTAACATGGTCAACACACCTGCTACCAACAACGTTGTCAACCCTCCCGCTGCCAACATGGTTAACACGCCCGCCACTAACATGGCCAACACTCCTCCTGCTGCTAACGTGGTGAACGCTCCCGCTACCAACATGGTTAACACTTCCCCCGCTGCTAACATGGTCAACACACCTGCCACTAACATGGCTAACACGCCTGCTACCAACATGGTCAACCCTCCCGCCACTAACATGGTTAACACTCCTGCTACAAACAACATGGCTAATACTCCTGCTACCAACATGGTTAACACTCCCCCGGCTGCCAACACGGTCAACACTCCCCCCGCCGCCAACATGGTTAACAACTCTGCCACTAACATGGCCACCACTCCCACGACCAACACCGTCAACGCTCCCGGCACCAACTTGGTTAACTCGCCTGCTGGCAACGGCATCCACGCCCCCGGCACTAACCTCGTCAACACTCCCACCGGCAACAGCATCAATGTTCCTGGCACCAGCCTCGGCAGCAACGGCATCGTCCACCCCGCCGGCAGCTTGGGCAATGGTATCGTCACTCCCGTCGGCAGCCTTGGCAATCTCGTCAACTCTCCCCTCAACGGCGTCGTCGGCCCTACCAGCAACGCCCTCTCTCCTTTCCTGACCGACCTCGGCCGTACCATTGGTGAGATCATTGTTGGCCTTGCCGGTCCCTTCTTCTCCTTCGTCCCTGGTCTCATGACCGCCGTCCCTCCTGTCACCTCTGTTCTCCCCAAGACTGCTATCCAGTCCCGCGCCTCCATCCCCGTCGTCGATGGCGAGCTTGAGCAGATCCTGAACGTTGCCGTCACTAACTCCCAGAACTCTGGTGCCGACTCCGACAAGGAGGACAGCGCTGATGCCATCTGCGAGCACTTCAACCAGGTAAGCAAGCACTCTTACACATTTGAAAGTCATATCTTCTAACACATCTACTCAGTTTGTCTCTGCCCACTCCAACATCCTCGACGGTCTCGTCACCAAGGTCGACCTCCTCAAGGGCAATGCCGCTTCTGGTGCCGTCGCCAACGTCCTCCGCTCCTTCAGCACCCAGGTCCGCGCCCTCGACTCTGTCCTTTCCAAGGCCGATCCCTCTTGCGCTAAGGCTGCCAAGACTGGCGTCGATGCTATTCACCAAGCTGCTCTTGCTGCTGCCCAGGCTATCGCTCCCCACATGTAAACATACTGCATCTGGATAGCTTCTTGGCTTTTACCCCGTCTTCTCTTCTTCAACTAAGCCGCATCTTGCTGGCAAGAACGGCTCTTGATTAGTATATTAATCCTTCTTCTCTTCTACAAACCTCTTTAATCTTCAGAATATTATTTAGACTTGAATACATTTTTTCTTACTCTTGTTCACACTACTTTTCAGCCACAGCCTCAGTCGTATCGGGAGAGATGTATATTAACGGTTTAAGACTACTAGCTAGCTAGTGAAAAGCAGCAGTTATGCTACCTTGTTTTCTTATAGTCCAGCACTTCTTTGGTGCCACCCTTCCCTGTCCCAAGTCCTGTATCCAGGATATCCAAACAAGCAATAGCAAAAAAGCAAAACAGACGAGCAAAGGAAAAAAAATTAGTATAGAAGTCCTACCAAAAGAAAGACAAAGGCCAAACAAAACTCAGAATATACACAGTTTCGAGATCCTCCTGCAATAGGGCAGCTCCGTACCGAATCATTCAGTACTCTGTGGCTTACCCAAGCCCAATCCAATATCACTTTTCAACCTCTTGCAACAAACACAAAGACAAAAGTTGGAACCAGAGAGCATGAGGCTCTTTCCAACAAACAAAAACAGACTAGAGAACAAACGACAGGATGACGGTGAGGAATAAATGTCGGGGGTGTCGAAGATGACGTAGCGAAAAGGCATCAACGCTGATGATGAAGGGAATAGAAAATAACCGTCGAGGTGTATTTGGTATGGGAGCGTATTCGTGTGTAAAGGATAATCTCATGATCCCGTCGAATGTGGGTTTCAGTCACAATGCATGTCAGCTAAAGCATGCCAGGACTTTACAATAAGTCATTAGCAACATCTTGGAAGCTACCGCTGTCTGTGAGCTGACCGAGAGCCTCGCCACCGCTGACCATGAATGGCTTGAGCGCAGCAACAGCATCGAGAGAGCGCTTGCCGCCGCCGTTGTTTGTTTGCGGGGGGCGGATGACAAGGAAGTACACGACGACAATAATGACGATGATAAGGATAATGGCAACTGGGGACAGATTAGCATCTTCACAGTAAAATGCAATACATGTATAAACTTACCACAGATACCGAGGCAGATCCACTTCTTCTTTCTTGTGGCACGAGCAGTCTTGACGGCAACGCCCATCTCCTCATTACCCTTGTCGAGGTTGTCAACAACCTCCTCACCCTTGGCTTCGATCTGCATGACGGCAGCTTCCTGCTGAACAACTAGGGTATCCATATCCTGGAAGAGCTGGGAAAGCTCAACCATCTGCTGCTCAATCTTGACGAGAGCCTTGTGACGGTCCTGGACGGCGCTGAGGGCAGCACGGGCGCGACCTTGGCGATCGCTCTGCATAAGAGCCTGGCTGAAGACCTGGTTGTTGCTGGTGTCCTCGACAGCTGCGCGGACTTCCTGCTCCGAGGCGTCAGGGCGGACAATGCGGTACTGGCGGGCCATCTGATCCTGGGTCTTCTTGCGGAACTGGGACTCAACTTGCTGGTACTGCTGGATGGCTTGCTTGAGTCGGCGGTCGACACGGCCAACTTGGGGGTTGTTCTTGGGTGTGCGGGAGTCGGGGTTGGACTTGACAGTGCGGACACGCTCAGTAAGATCACGGTACATAGACATGGTTTCCGAAGAAAGAGAGTCGAGCTGCTGGTTGGCAGAGCTGGAAGAGGAGCTATCGGCGTCATCGAGGGTTCTCTGCTGGAGCATACGAAGCTGCTCAAGGTTGCGCTCAATCTTATCAACACCACGGTCAATATCGCGGCATTCGTTCAGGATAGAGTTGGGGTCGGATCCCATGGAGCCAGCGTTGTGAGTAAGAGGGGCCATTTCAACGTTAGATCCTACTACCGTCATATTAGCTTGCGTGTCTTCATTGTGACGCTGAATGCTAGCTTCTCGTCCTTACCGGCATAACCTCCGTCAGAGGACTGGTTGTAGCGACCGGAGTTGCCACCGTAGGCAGACTGCTGTTGCTGCTGTTGGCCATAGCCACCTTGCGAACCGCCGTAAGGGTTCTGGTTACCACCATAACCGCCCTGGTTACCCTGCTGGGCGTAGGGGTTCTGTTGGTTGTTGTTGCCGTATCTAGTAAGGAGACTATCTGTTAGCAATCGCGTTCGGTTTCGGCGTCGTAGCGTTCGTTTGTCGAAGGGCCCATGATGGCAAGAGAGAATACTAACCCGTACTGGTTTGACATTGTTAGCTCGAGATGACAACAACAGGGGGGGAAGGAGGAGGAGAATGCTGCGTCGAAGAAAGCAGCGAAAGGACCAAGCAAGCAATTCTTGAAAGGAAGATGGAAGAAAGAAGCTTAATCCTCCGACAAAGAATTGGCTGAGGTCATTTCGCGTCGAATTCTGTAACGGCAGCAGCACCGGGGATGAAACACTCACGCTCATGGTGGCAGAAACAGGGGCGTTTTGCGCGTGTCTCAGGGATTCGAGAGGTTGGGAGTCAAAGGACGCGCGACGTGGTGAATCAATCGAAAAAAGGCGACAGGAATATCGAAGAGGTGCCGAATTGTCGGGGAGAGCGAGAAATGGATGGAATAGACAGACGGACGAGAAAAGAAAAAAGAATAAAGGCGAATTAAAGAAGAATAGTTAAGATTGAAGCAAGACGGGAAGAGATTGGAGATGCGGGAAGGCAAGGAGGACAGGTTCCACGCCAACAGGACACGGACGCACACCCAGACGCTGAGTGGACCACTGTTTCGGCGCTGTTAGTACCTGTTCTTCTGGGTGGCTAATTTAGCGTGGCCAGCGCTGGCAAGGGGAGGCGCGGATGAATTGTGGGGACGTTGCAATCAAAAGGGGCCAGCCCAGAGGTACACGGTCGCAGTATGAGTGTTGGCTGGAGGGTTCAGGTACCTGCGACAGGGACAGGCACCGCAAAAATACTGGGGGGTTCGTTTTTTTAGCGGACGGCCGCTAAACAGAAGCCTGCTTTTGTTTCTAGACTAGAGCGGCGAGGCAGACAAAATACGGCACCCAACAAGGTGGTATAAATTCTGCAGTAATATAGACAAAGTTCTACTACATACTAAAAAGAAGAGCACACCCACCAGGCATCTTACCATGCAACCTTTTCATCTAATCTGAAGCCTGGCAAACCTCGCATCCGCTGCAATTTGGTCTGCACTGGCGATCAGCAACCGCGCACAGTTCCCCGTAACCGCCCTGTCCAAACCAGCCCTGGTGGCGTATGTCTGTCGTCATTTGCATGCTTGGGCATCCATTTTACGCCTTGGTTTTACAACTCCAACAGCCAATAAACATTCTTTCTTAAAAAGTTCCAAGTTGTGTTGTACAATCCCATTTTAGAAATCATTTCATCAACGGTAACTTAGCAGACACAGGGGCCTTCTGAGGCGTTGCAGCAGAGCCTGCCTCTTTGGCCCAAGCGAGAGTCTATATTAAGATCAAGGCTGCAGCCAGCAGTGCAACACCGCCAAAGCTGCAGATAGCCACAACTTGGCCTTTTCACCCAACGCATCATCTCGGATACCCAGAGACCTATAATTATAGATAAAGTAGTACTAAAACGACAATCCTTTCAACATAGTATGGATTGGTAGATAAGGAGACGACGACCCGAGTCACTCGTTTACGCCCTCTACCATTCACAGGTCCGACTAGCTGAGGTTCATGACAGGCAGTCAGCCTGCACCGCCTAGCGCAGTGCCGCCACAATGCACGACAGCGCCTAGCGCGGTGACCAATCAGGCCGCATAGGCGTCTCGTCTTGCAGGACGAGCTGAGCGGCAGGGTCCTCGCATCCTGTTTGGACGTTGTCGCAGCAGTGAGGCGAATGACGTTGGCCACCGTCGTCGTATCCGCTGTCACGACGCCGTGACAGGCTCGCTCGCTCCTGTCAGCGCCGCATCAGGATTCTCAGTTACAGCCTGGGAGAGCTGCTGTCTGTTGATACACATCGGCTATGTTCCGTTTCTAGCTCCAATTTGCATATGGAACAGCAGGCTGCGTCATTCTGCCACATTAATTGCCAAACACAGCGTCCAATCTAGAAAACTGAAAAAGAAGTGGGATTCCTGCTCAAACGTGTGCGTCATGTTTCCCGTCGGCCTATGTTCGACACGCATAGGAAAATATGGATCAATTTGGTTTCAGATGCTCTATGTAAGGCCCTACTTTATGCTACAACCCCCTTGGTAGTACCCATCACCTTCTATGTTATACAACAGCATACGCCGAAACGTAGCTCACGCTGTGGCCGTCTGGCTTTGTCACGAGACCACTTCTATCGTACTGGACGACTTTAAATTTGATCTTCTCCTGTATGCCCTGGCTCTTTGCGTGCTCCTCCAGGGCTGCTAGCATTGTGCCGATAGGATGTTTGCCGCAAATGGTGTTGCCTGTAAACTTGACGCTCTCGCAAAACCCAGCATGGCTGCCGCTCTCTACTGTATCCATAGCATGAGTGTCAAAGAATTTGATGGTTTCATGAATAGGAGGTCCCTTGGGCGTCTGATCACCGGGGTACAAATGTGTCCAGTTGTTGAGGTCGTTTGTTGGGCTATATGGGGCGTAGTCAAATGCGGAGAAGGACCAGTGGCAAAAGTCAGAGCTGACAATAAAGGCATTGCCTGGGTCGCTTAGGTATGGTGCAAACAGTCGCCCGTAGTTTGCTTCTTTCTCTTTGTGGTCCTTCTCATCGGCCTCTCGTGCTTTCTTTTGTTGATTCGAGTCCATGCCCATGTTGTCGACACGAGACCGCATGCCAATCAGCACAGGGACAATAACGGGGAAGTATTTTGGGTCGTCAAACTTTTCTTCACACATTTTGTAAAGATACGGAAGATGCATCTCCAGTGAATGTTCGTGCACCTCTCCTCCGCGGCGGGGCTCACGAGGACTTCCTTTCTTCATGTCGTCGGTTGGGATGCTAAGTCGTTCGCCCTCCTTTTTGATATCATCTATTACCTTCCTATCGACCGTCAGGTCTCCAAATGGCGTACTGTATTTCTCAAAAGTTGAGAGATGGCATGCATCAAAGGCGTAGGTATGAGTCGGGCCAAGCAGAAACACACGCTTGATGTTGGACAGGTCGAGCGACTTGTATGCCCATGCAGCACACTTTCCAGACCATGAATACCCCGCATGTCTAATAGGAGTGTTATTAAATGGACCAAACGCCGTTTTTCTACAAGAAGTAACTCACGGGGCAATGATCACTCGAGCGCCAGTGACAGGTAGTGACACGCCGTCAATAGCGTCTGGGACAGCCTCGAGAAACTCGTCTAGTTGTTCATCAAGAGACTCGGGATCTCCATCATACCAGGAACCGGCCTTACCGGCTGGTCTTGTTGACATTTTATCTGAGGTTCAGGTTGGATATGTGTTGCAGCTGTGAAGAGAGGAGGCACCTCTAAGTGTAACGAGGGGTCGCAACTGTACAGCCTAGGTACAAGCAGCGCCGGCCCACCAGAGCTACCCCATGTTATCCACCAGCACTATAAATGCAGTCGTACACTAACAGATTCCTGATGCTCTGATTGCCTCATCAAGTACCTTTTATTTTCACCCCGCTCGTCAGCTAAACCGGAAGTTCTGACATTGCTATTCGCTGTCGAAGAATATTTAGACTGCTTATGAGAAATTTATAAATTCAGGGTCAGCTTCCAATCTGCGTAGCTGCTGAACCCAAGCTTAGTCAAGATTCATAATTGCTGATGAATGCCGTTGTAGGGCGAAACAAGCTGCTACAAAAGAGACTGCCCCGCACCATGGCCGACGACCGGAAGGCGTTGCCCAAGATCCCATCTTCTTGAATAACGTGGATCGATACGAGAATATAAAAGCAACATCGAGGCATTAATTCGTACTGTAGCCTATCAATCCAGCAAATATGTCTTCCTGGACTCACTTAATTCGCTTTGAAGCTGTCGAGGATGGCCGAGTTCATCTTGGGCAGCTTGTCGACACAAGCCGTGATATTGGACTCGATTCTGTTGAGGGAACCCCCATCAAGGCATATCGACTGAATGGCGATGCTTTCAATGGTACCGTCACAAAACAAGTTCTCACCGTCTCCAAAGTAAGTCATGCTCTGCTGTTATCATCCTATCATTGTGTAATCCTTCAGAATACTAACATGCGCAGCTCCTGTCCCCTGTTTCCAAAGAACAATGCAATTATATTCGATGTTTGGGGCTGAACTATCATGATCACGCCAAGGTATTCCATTCTGTGAATATGTGAGACCGTGAAGAGAGACTTACAATGTCACAGGAAGCCAATATGGAATCACCAAAAGCCCCGATTCTCTTCACCAAGCCTCGCTCAGCATTGGCAGACCCATATCCTTCGGCCGTTGTTATCCCCAAATGTGCACAGGACGGCAGTAGCGATTATGAGGCTGAGCTTTGCGTTGTTATCGGAAAGACAGGCCGCGACATCTCTGAGGAGGAGGCGCTCAACTACGTGTTGGGATACACGGCTTCAAATGATGTATCAGCCCGAAACTTTCAGTTCATGACGTCTCAATGGTCCTTCTCTAAAGGCCTAGACTCCAGCTGCCCAATTGGTAAATCCACATGGACCCAAAAATAAAATGATCAATGCTAATGAAGAACAAAGGTCCCGTCTTGGTGGCGCCAAGTACTATCCCTGACCCCCAGACCCTGTCCATCAAGGCTATATACAACGGCAATGTTGTCCAGGATGGGCATACAAAGTGAGTTAAGCTTACAAGCGTCTATTATAGCCTTGCTAACCTTGTGAATAGGGATATGATCTTCTCGATCCGACAGCAAATTGCATACTTTTCGCAGGGTACAACCCTCGAGGCTGGCACAATTATATTAACCGGCACACCGGCTGGCATCGGTTGTTTCCGAAGCCCAAAAATCTCTCTGAATGATGGAGACGACATGCGCGTTGAGATTGGGTCCATTGGAACTTTGGTTTCCAAGATTCGGTATGACGAGGTCTAGAGTACCATGCAGCTGAGAAGGGAATTGTTCTTAAGCGACAAAGATGGAACTCTACTTCCTGGTTTTAAAGTAGCAATATTACCGAGCAATACAGTTTTTAGATGTTCATCCTACTCACGCGACCTGTTGAACTGCTGGCCGGTGCATAGTGCGGAATGCGGTGGTAGATCCGGTCAGCGGAAGGCTACGGCACCGTTATTAAAGCCCCACTCGGCAAGTCGATAAATTGGTGCTTTGCATACAAGCATCAAATGAATGCTTGAGTCAGACTTTGACAGTGCGGCTGTATCTTGTCCACCTAGGGTCATATGCATGTTCTGTAAGCGAGGTGCGACAGCATGCTCATTCGGGAAGCAAGCCGATATCGCGTACCAAGGACAAAGCTCACGTAGCTCCGTTGGTGGTTCGATAGATCAGAGCAGGGCTTTTCTATCAGCAGGTGGGCACAGTGGCCAAAATATTGTCTAGGCGAAATCTTGGCTCAGCGACATGGGATGAAATAAACAAGATAAACATATTACACTAGAGTCGAGATTTGCAGGGCAGCCAGCCAGTACCAAAGTAGTTTTCACGCACAGTACAGTCTCATCGCTTTGTCTTGTAAATTAAAGATGCAGTAAGCTCGCATGCGCTGGTGGCTTTCCGTGAAGGGGGACTCACAAAAAGTGGCGTGATGTTGAAAACTTGGGACCCCGCCGAGATCCTAAAAGAACGGAGCGGGCGTGCGGCTGGTGCGCAACAATGGGTTTCCGGCGTGCCGAGGCCGCGGAGAGCGCTGAAGCAGGTACAGTAAATGAAAAACTAAATACAATGCAATGCTATATAGACGAAACAGGAAAGCAATCAGGCAAGATGAGCAGATTCTCGTGCCACAAAGTAGGCAATTCCATTCTGAGCGCAACGGTAGCGTCGTATCAATCAGAGTCTAAACCTGCGCAGCGGGCAGGCTCCGGCGGCTTACAGGGGATGTGTGTGGTGGGTTTCCAGCGAAAGAGGAGAGAAAAGGGTGCATTGCAGGCTGCGATCAAGCAGGCAAAACTCGGAGCCCCGACGCCACGCCGATGGTCGCCACTAGTGCATGCTAGTGGGCGCGCGCAACACGTTAGAGCCAAGTTGGTACCAGTGCACACATCCGCAACAGGGAGAAGAAGCTCAGTGGGAAAAGGGCAAAGATGCAAAATATCAGACGAGAAGGACACAATAGCCTTAATATGACAGGGGCCAAGCAAATTAATTTGACCGCCATTCCGAGTCAAACACCAAGGCGCGCAAAGTATTCAAGGGATGCGAATGGCGCTGGAACAGGCACACTCGGTGCCCGTCTTTCGGTGACCGGGCCCCCGTAGTAGGTCCCTGTGCCCCACTAACGCAAGCCTTGCAGGCCTAGCTGCAGCGCTTGCGATGCGCTGTTACAGTGGGCAGAGAAGGAAAAAAAAGTTAGCCGGCGACTGGAAAAGAAAACAAATTTGCATTCCGTCATACGCCTTCTTTGCCTTCGCCCTTCCCCACCAATATCTCACTAGGCCACTAGAATACGGTTGCTTGCTCCTCTCCAAACTTGCTTCATTCATCCTCTTTTCCGACTTTCCTCGTTTTCCTCATCCTCTCGATATCGTGTTTTTCCGTGTTCGAAGCCTTCCGTCTGTTGCAATCCGCCGCAGACTCGAATCCCACATAGCTTAGCTTCTCTAGGCGCCGCTCCTCCGCGAGCCGCGTCCATCGCCAGAGCTTGCTACAATGGGCTCCAAGATGGCGCTCTCCAAGAGCACTCGCATCAAGATCATGATTGCCATTGACACTGTTTTCTTCTTGATCGAGCTCATCTCCGGCTTCCTCGCCCACTCGCTGGCGCTTACCGCCGATGCTTTCCACATGGTTCGTCAGCCTGGCTTGCTGTGCCGTCACCATCGCTGAGTGGCGCATCCCACCACACGCGTATTTTTTTTCCATTTGCTAACGTTTTGCGTAATATAGCTGAACGATATCATTTCCCTCATCATCGGTCTCTGGGCTGTTACTGCTGCTCAGAAGGAAACCACAGACGAATTCACCTTTGGCGTACGAATTATCCCTCCCTCATACCTGAATTTTGTGCTGACTTGTCATTCTTCTGCTAGTGGGTTCGTGCTGAAATCCTCGGTGCCTTTTTCAACGCCGTCTTCCTCATTGCTCTTTGCGTTTCCATTGTCCTCGAAGCTCTTACACGCTTTGTCGAGCCTCCTGAGATCAAAAACCCCAAGCTTATCCTCGCTGTTGGCTGCGCTGGTCTGGTGTCCAACTTGGCTGGCTTCCTCGTCCTCGGTGGTCATGGCCACTCTCACGGACCTGGTGGTCACGATCACGGCGACGAAGAGCAAGGCCACTCCCACGCCCACAGCCACACCCACGATACCGAACCGCCCATCTTCTACAGAGACGAAGTGGCCGACGAAGAGGGCAGCATTGGTGATGTGCTCCCCGAAACTATTGTTGCCCGCGCCGCCGATGGTCGCCGCATTCGCTTCCACGATGACCCTGCCACCGAAGACGCCGACGTTGAGGCTAACTTCCGATCTTCTAAGCGCAACTCGACTCACTCCGCTAGAGGCCGTGACTCCCGCCGTTCTAGCAAGATGTCTGGCCATGGTCGCTTCGCTAGCCTTGACGACATGAGCATTCACCCTTCTAGCTTCCGCCAGGACATCATTGCTGCTGGTCTTAACACCAACCCTATTCCCTCCGAGAGTGATACCGAAGACGACTTGATTGGCTTTGAGTCCGCTACTGATGCTACTGAAGACTCGCCTCTAGTTTCCAACAACAAGGACTCCTCCAACGATGCCCCTCAAACCCAGCCCAGCCCCCTCCGCCTCAAGCGCCGCTCTCGCCGCGACTCGAGCGTCCACGACGGCCACAACCACACTCTTCCTAAGCAGCCTGGAAAGAAGGGTGGCCACGACCACGGTGACATGGGTATGAACGCCATGATCCTCCACGTCATTGGTGATGCCCTCGGCAACGTTGGTGTCATTGCCACTGCTCTTATCATCTGGTTGACCGAGTGGCCCGGCAAGGAGTACGCTGATCCCGCCATTTCGCTCTTCATTACCGCCATTATTCTCAACACCTCGATCCCTCTTACCCGTGCCACGTCGCGCATTCTCCTCCAGGCTACCCCCGAGAACATCAGCATCAGCGAGATCCGCCAGGACATTGAGCGTCTCCCCGGTGTCGTCAGCTGTCACCACGTACACGTCTGGCAGCTCTCCGACACCAAGGTCGTTGCCAGCATGCATCTTCAGGTGTCTTTCCCTCTCAACACCAACTCTGGCGCAAAGTACATGCAGCTGGCCAAGCGAGCGCGTAAGTGCCTCCACGGCTACGGCATCCACAGCGCAACCATCCAGCCCGAATTCTGCCTCGATCCCCAGCAGCTCCACGGCGAAGCTTCCGAGCTCACCCTGGACGGCGCCGCCGATATGGCTTCTTCCACTGATGCCGCTTGCTTGCTTGAGTGCATCGACGACTGCCGCGCCGAGGGGTGCTGCACTGCTGACAGCGCCTCCAAGGCATCGTCTATCCGCAGAGCCAGCGACTCCGAGGCTGATGGTGGCCATTCTCACTCCCATCAGCACTAGAGTCTTTTCATTACTAGAGTTTGGATATTAACGGCGTATATAATATCACCGGTGTGCAGGAGAGAACATAGTGGGCTGTATCGAAGAGAACATCCCTGCCGCGGAGAGAAGGGGAGGAAGAGTTTTACGTGGGCGTTTTTTATACTGGTCTAGGAGACGAACAGAACAGACAGTGTAACTATGTTTTATGGCACGCTTTTTTGATCACAATGTGGCAAAGTTTTGGTGTTTTCCTTTTTGTTATACTGTACTAGGGTGTTTTTCTTGTCTTTGTGAGCTGGCCTGTTAATGCTGTTTGCTGCGTGTGATGCTTGGATACTCTATGGTCGGTCCCGTGTGCTTTCGTATCGTCTTGGAACTTTTGCAGTCTGAATTTGATTAGTATTGCTTGAAACATTGCCACTATCCGTCAAGACAGTATGCTTCGTATGATGTTGTGCCACAGTGACACCATCGCAGCTAGATTGCTCGTCGCCCCAACATAAAGTTGGTTATACAATAGAAAAGAATAGTCGATTTTTAATAATATCTTCTTGCTGGGCTGTATTAATAGTTATATATGCTTTTTAATCGGATATACGGAGTGCGAGACAAATATGACGTTCATGTATCAATACCCTAGAGGCAGTTTGCAACCTGAATCGCAAACATGGGTTTGCAACAATATTCGATTTAGGCTATAGTTTTAGTATCAATCGAATTCTCTTCTCTGGAAATTTGATATTATTGTATTTTTACACGGAAACCTAACATATGGGAGTTGCGAATACGAAAAATGTGCATATATCAAACGTCCATCTGCACTCTACCGAGCCCCCTTACAGAATCTATAAGAACGGGCATTCACCATGACATCATTACCGAACCGGCAAAAGAATTCCCAAAAACCCATACAAATACGAATAGACAAATACGGCGACTTCAATTTACCATTTCCGCAGTGATATATTGCAATTTGTTCCAGTCTGCGTCTTACCGTCGGCGTTGCTTCTCCCGCAACATCCAGCCTGCCTCATCACAGCAGATACCCGCCGGCGGAGTATAAAAAACATATATTCGTCATAAATTACATGCACATCTCCGCCGCAAAAGAACCAGCATAGGGCCAAGGGTGAGCCCTGCAAAGACCGAGGGCACACGATCCCGGGGTTGACCAAACCGCCGCCGCTATTGACCCGGGGGCAATTGCCCAGGCGACAAGATTACATCCTCGGCTGACTATGTACTGAGGTACACTGCCAAAGCCGAGTGACAGTATGTATGTAAAAAGCGTTGATAGCCTAAAAGGAACCACACTATGTCTAAGTCTATAGGGCGCGCAGATGCCACACAAGACTGGAGGAGATAGATGCGACACTCCTTGATACCAACCTTATTGCTATAAAAAACGCTTCTTGGACACTTTTTGCCGCATCACAGTCACAAGACCCGTTCACAGGGGCATCTTTCTAACTGGCAAATGCAGCGAGCTTGAGCCAGCAAGATCCCTGGCCGTCGTCGGTGCTAGACAAGGGATATCCCTGAAGCGACGGGGGCACGACAGTTTAGGCCCTGCTAGTGTATCTGAGAGAATGAGGAGAAATGTGACGAGCGATGCGGATATGCAGGTTGAAAGACGTTCTGCGGCTTTCCTTTGTAATCATTTCAAGGCCGATTTTGAAGCCGTGAATTGTTGCGTGACGGTTTTCTTGATGTTGATATCCAGACGTAGCGTCACACACCTGCCCAGCCAAGCGCTGAAGCGTCGGCCGACGCCGCCCGCCAAGGCCTGGAAGAAAGCCCACCTGCCGTACCGCGCTATGCGTGCTGTAGGATTCTAGCTTACTGCGCCTATTTGCTCCAGAGAACATCCGCTTGCTCTGGCCAGTGCCAACCTAGGCCGAAGACGAACGGGCGCGTGGACAACGGGCACAGGCACTTGCACGCTAAGCAGAAAGAAGCAGTAGACGGTTGGGACCCTGGGATGCAGCAATGTTGTTTGTGCTATACAGTACTGTAGCAGATGCTTACAGTACTGTACCGGGACTTGGTGAGCACACGACGTGACGCTTGGTCCGTACCGCACAGTACCTGGTACAGAAGCTTAGCTGGCTTTGCCGGGTGTAGCGCAGTACTCGCCACAGCCTGCTACAGAGCGACGGCGTTCTGCAGTAGGCTGCTGCGGGCTGCACTAAGCGTGGCTAGAGCCCACTGTAACTCAGACACTCACTGTAGGCTAAACTCGATGTTAGCATTCAGTTGCCGCGAATAGAGTGAAGTTTGTATACAAGACCACCTTTTCCTCTTGTGAACTGCCAAAAAAGGATGAACTGGAGCATAGAACACGCACACGTGCATTTCGCTAAATAAAGAAACAACAGCCTCCTGTATTCCTCCAAGTTTTTGGACACGACAGCACATAGTATGTCTCAGCCTCGCTCAGCAGGCTCTCTGCAACTTGGTAGTGGGCTGCTGTTAGCTGGCAGGAAGCCTGCGTCCAACGCCACGCAACTGCCCTGTAACTACCAGCCATCGGCGCTATGCGCACAGGGGGTGGGAGGGGCGTTTACAGCACTCTACAGGGGTTGTTCGCAAGCACCAACCGCTTCTGAACAAAGCGCCGTGGACGAACGAGCAAAGGTCGCGTCATCCTGCGTAGAAACAACGGCGTATTTTGGCAACCGTCGATCATTTCGTCGAACCGCGATCCCCAGATCGCCTAACCAAGGCGTGCTGTGCTGTCCTTGCGCGTATTACTTGCAGGATGGCGCGCCGCGCCTTTTGCTTCACAGACCATTTAGTCATTGGCCTGCCGCGGAGAACCTTGGAAGAGGAACCGACTTGGATTTGTCCATTGAATCCTTCGGACGAGGTCCTGTTTTTTGGGGTGCTCAAGCGCTATAACTCCTCTTCCCCATCGTCGATGCAATGAGGCCTGGTGCAGCGCAGTACGTCGCTCTACTCCAGACTAAGGTACTGCTCTATGCTGCTAACTCCGCGTGGCGTACGCTTTACGCACTACAACGACACCAAAGACAAGCCACGGTACTGTACATACACCCTCTGAAGCGCGTGTTCTGGGCTGGTTTGGCTGCCAAGTATTGCCTAACCCACTGACCTCTCGTGTTGTTGGAGAATTGGATGTTTGTACATGCATATCTGGGGTGAATGTGTGCCATGTCTTCTACAGAGAAGATGCGTGGCGTCTCGAGCCACAAATGAGCAAAGTTGACTTGTTCAATATCGTGTCGACAGTCTGTTTCCCAGCATCGTCGTGGGTAGATAGTGCGTTTGTCGAATAATGTTTCACACAACCTGTTATGTTGCCTGTATCCCAGGTCATTGAATCTTTTACCGATAGAAATTTCAAGACTCGATCTGTCATAAAGCTCTTGGGACTCGCTGCAACATCGCTAAGCAAACGCAATGGCAGGCTGCGGACATCGTCATTGGGAACAAGCAATCGGTACAAGCACGAAAACAGCGGCACGCCCATGCCCACTGTTTATCCCAGCAAGTCGGTCGTGGTGTTTGATAGCATCTCGCGTGAGGGCGAGCTCTTTATCTTGCCACAATTAAATGATCCCCATCGAGCCCCGTCCCCCAAACACCACTAAGGCGTCATGAGGGAAACTTAGTTCTGGCTGCGCAGAGGCCGCGTCTCCAACGCGTACAGTGGTTGGTCCGTCATCCACTAGTTTGATCCGTCTCCAAGGCTCGGTCTAATAGCGCGCAATTTTGCTTTTTTCAGCGCTAACTGTACCGAGGATGGCCAAGACGCTCAGTGAGCGAAACGAAAAAGACCTTCTTCAGCAGCCCACTAATGATGCGACAGTAGATCTGATTATAGCGGAGCTTAGTGGCTCCCGCCCCGGTCTGGCAAAATTAAATGGCTCGACTGCGGCGGCGTACTCGGCGCTAAGATTGAGGATTCATCGAGGTTATTTGAAGGGTTTGAAGTGAAGATGGTGCAAGACTACTGTACGCGGTTTGCGTAATTGTCAATGGCCCAATCGTTAAGCTTGGAATCAGATGTCTCCGCTTCGTGAGGACTTCCGTAGTGATGCGAGTGGGCAGGCAGCGTGTGGGCGTCGTATTCAGTGCAATGCTGGTGCAGAGAGCTACCGTAGCAGACACCAACGCTTTCTTCTCGCTGCGTTGTTTCAGGAAACACCAATTGGTTCGCTGTTAGGGGCGGGTGAGGCGTGGAGAAGAACTATTCTGCCGAGCCCGTGGATTGCAACGCTATCCCGTCATATCTGCTGTTCCCACGTTTCATAATTCTTTAGAATTTTTTGTCAAGCCTGCATTTTCTTCCAATTATGTGTGACGACTGAGACCCTGGTCGTGAAATCCTACTCTGACACTTTGCCTAATGCAGCAATAATGGTGCAGCTGCAAGCCCGCGCGGCTTCGGCGCCCGAAAGGCTAAGCTAGCCGTGGTACCGATACCAAAGTCCTCTCATGTACCATACTTTTGGGTCGTTCTTGGGGGTGTCCCGTTCGACACGTCTGCTTTTCAATGCATGTCGCGTGTCGCGAGCTTTCGTGCCTGATCGTGCTCGCGTGCAAGATGCTACTCGGCCCACGCACGTCAAGCATGTTGATACCATAACGTGACGACAGCCAAGGCCAGTGTTTGCGTTTACCAACAAGTAAAATGTATTTCCTTCCATGTCCACCCTATCCCCCTGTTGTTCGTGCCCGCGTCGACGCCAAAAGCGAAACAGCTTACCTGGGCTGCGAGGTATTGGCCCGGAGAGCCCCGCCGGCTAAGAGGACGTGCTTTAGGCTGCGCGCGTAGTGCGACCAGTTTATCCAATAGCCACAAGGAAGCCAGCAGTCTCGAGCTCTTACGGATCTAACGTCTCCGAGCCTTGCAGGTTGTCTGCCTACAGGTCTGGCAGCGGCCTTGGGACACCAAATCTCAGCTCGTAAAAGTCTCAATACATATCTGCAGGGGATTTTGACAGCGGGCGTTTTTATTCTTCCGACAATAGAGCCAAGTCTTAATTCGTATAGACATATTAAGTTACCGGCTCATTGTCCATTCAGCTTCATTGTGGCACGGCTGGTTCCGCCCCCGAGACAACACGGTGGAGGCTCGCTAACAATGGACAGCCATCCTATGAGTCTGAGCGAGAAAACAACGGCACTACTGTCCAACGTGGGCGAGATGTGAAAGGGCTGATGATGTGAATCAGTCTCAAAAAGATCTTTCGGACTACCGACGACTCATACGCCACTGCAAGGTCGGTGCCTGTCGAGGCTTGTATTTTGATTTGCTTCAATGCAAGAAATTGTATGCGAGAATATGTCATCTTGGATATTACAGTCGAGCCCTGTCCAATAGGGATGGCTGTAGGCCGATGTCCGG